ACGAATCGGTGAGGCTACAGAAGAGCAGAATGCTGCCAACCTATTTCACGCCGATTCGTATAGCCGTACGTGAGCTCGTACGTGAGGCTATACAAATCGGCGAGGCTGCACGAATCGGAAAGGCTGCACGCCAATTCGTATAGCCTCACGTGATGTATAGGTGAATAACCGGAGCTCCGGCGCAGTGCTCCGAGCCAATTAGAGGGCGGTGAAACGACAGGGGTTTAGGGGGTGTATAACTACTAGAAAGGGGGGTGTACAACTACTAAAAAGGGGGTGTACAGGTACTAGCGCCCATAATATTTATAAAATAAATAAATTATACTTAAGTATATTTAAGGGGAGCGCTACTCGTACACCCCCTAATCGCTACACGTACACCCCCCCCTCTTAGCGCTTCACCACCTTCTAATTGGCTCGGAACACTGTTCCGTAGCCTCCGATTCGCTCGCTTAACTCGCTCACTAATTCCGAATGCTCTCTCCAAATGCGGCCATGTACAACACAAGCAATTACATAATGCCAATTTGTATAGCCTTATGTACGAGCTCACGTACGAGCTTATGTATAGCCTCACGTACGAGCTCACGTACAAGCTCACGTACGAGCTCATGTATAGCCTCACGTACGAGCTCACGTACGGCCTCGTGTGTAGCATCACGTACGGCCTCGTGTATAGCATCACGTACGGCCTCGTGTATAGCATCACGTACGGCCTCGCGTATAGCATCACGTACGACCTCGCGTATAGCATTACGTACGGCCTCGTATATAGCATTACGTGTAGAGAGACGTAAAGGTGAATGCCCGGAGGAAGCTCTGGGCTCTCCGAGCCAATTAGAAGGTGGTGAAGCGCCAAGAGGAGGGGGGTGTACGTGTAGTGAAAAGGGGGTGTACAAGTAGCGCTCCCCTTTTTTAGCGCTGTAGTTCGCCCCCTAGTACTCTAGGTAGTAGGGTATAAATATATAAATTAAGTATAAGAGTGTCAGGTTCGTGGCTGGAAAAGGGTTGTATTGCTATTGACGAGGTTGCGTGGAGAGGAGAGAGGCTCGGCTACGGGCCTGCTATATAGTTGAGCGCGCGCTAGCAGGCGCCGGCAGAACTCCGGGCGCCGGAAGAACCCTCGGCTCGGGATCACGTGACGTCCATGCACGTGATGATCCGAGGCCTCGATGACTACCAAGAGAATGCTGAGGAACGACGTGACAAAGAGTACCTGAATATTCTATTGCATCGATAACTAAAAGCATGGCTGGTTAAGAATACCCTATTCTCGTCCACTGAAGAAAGTTAACCTGTTGAAAAAAAACCAGCTTACACTAAGCCCGTGCCTAAATGTCCTTAGACGCTCCGCAGAGGAATTTAGGGTGTGCAGGGGGGTAGGTGGCAGGGGGGTGAGGGCGGTGTAGGGGGTAAAGTTGTGCACGCCTTAAATTCCTTAAGGGGCGGCTGAGGTTCCTGAGATAAGTGATACTCGGGCACGTAATGTATAGAACACGTGATGTATAGGTTTATATGCACGTGAAATATAGATCTATAGTAGGAGGCGTTCCTACTATAGATCTAGTTTAATTGGAGGCCGCACGGCCCTTACCTATGTGTATATAGCCTAGCTAGATTCCTACATAGAATCGACATCTATTGTCCTCCGAATTGTTTATCACGTGACCAGAATTATCACACGGGGTTGGTGATTGAGGCTCCAACTGAAGTCGCTCAGTCCTGGATTTTTGTTGACCTCGTTGACGAGATGAGGTGTGAGCTTTGAAGTAGGAGAAGAGATGAATGTTCGGATTCGGGTCCTGAAGTGGCGATGGGGAAGATTGAAGGAGAACACGATTAAGCTCTTGCCCAGCGATCCTACCCGACTATATCCACAGGATACTTTTATGCAGATCGTTGCCAATATGAATATATAGTAACGGTCGTTAGTCGCGGAGCTTTAATAGTTTCTTGACGGCTGGATGTGTACGAAAGGAAGTCACAGTTCTGAAGGCTCCAAGGCTGCTTCGAAAATGCTCACTGAGGGCACTAGTTCGCTAAATTTCTGCCGTTGAGGTGTCCTGCAAACCCCGCACACAGCCCCAAACCTGCAAACTAGCCCAATCATTATTGACCTTGGCATGGAGGCTGTGCAGAGTGTCGACTATAACAAGGTCCCAAGGGCCGTAACTTACCGATTTTAACTTCAACCTACTCCACTGCAAATACACACACATCTTAGCTATAAGTCGAGAAGTTACATATGGATCCCTTCACAAGCTTAAGCCTAGCAACGTCTATCATCCAAATTGTCGACTTTAGCTTGAAGCTAGTAAGCAAGGGCCATGACATTTACAAGAATGGTTCCATTACTAGCTTTGACCAAGCGAAGTCGATTGCCAATGACTTGACGGGATTGACCCAGAGCCTTACTGGTCCGCTTGACTCTATTTCCAATTCCAAGGCCCACCTGTCCGACGATGAACTTGTAAGTGATGCGCCGATCCTCTTGCACTAGTCTCTATTTTTGACCAATGTAGAAACTCAGCAATCTTGCCACAGAAACGGGACAAATTGCGCAGGAACTTATCACACTTGTCGAACACCTAACACGTCATGGCGGAAAAGCCAACCCATGGAAGAGCTTCCGGCAAGCACTGGATACGGTATGGAGCAAAACGAAAATAGCAGAAATTATCGATACTCTAAATGCATTCCGAAACGAATTGATCTTACGGGTTGTCGTGTCACTCAAATTCGACCACAAGTTTCAGCTGGCGAGAGAGGACGAGCGCTTTCGCAGCATGCAGCAAGGAAATAAGAAAATTGCAGAAGCTCTGCTCGACAATAAAAACTTCTTCACAGGAGGGTTAGATCGGATTTTACAATACAACAAAGATGAATGCGCAATTGCAAAAATTAGGCATGAAGAAACCATTGCTGCTTTAGCCACCCTTCAAGGACACTTCGCAAACCTCAACATCACGGACGACCTAAAGCCCGAGTCCCTTCGGGACTTGAGTACGTTACAACGAGATGTCCTCAATTGTCTATGGTTTAGATTCATGGGAGACCGAGGTGCAGAAATTTCGAACGCATACAAGGAGACCTTTCAGTGGATATACGATGGAGAAGCGATGTCAAGACGGGCGTGGGATAGCCTCCCAGAATGGCTTCAACATGGTGAAGGCTGTTTCTGGATAAGTGGAAAAGCTGGCTCAGGCAAATCAACGCTCATGAAATTCGTTGCTAGCGATTTACGAACGCATCGGCTCCTTGAACAATGGTCGGAGCATGAGTCACTGCTCTGCGCTTCCTTCTTTTTTTGGAACAGCGGCATTTCGTTGCAGAAATCTCAACATGGCCTCCTACGCGCAATATTACACGAAAGTCTGAGTCAGTACCCCGAGCTTGTCCCAGTTGTCTTCCCGACTCACTGTCGAATGTTTGCAAGACGCAGATTGGACATTCACGATCCGTCTTTGGTCGAACTAATGGACGCTTTCAAGATATTGACAACGCAAACGAGCATGCCACTCAAAATTTGTCTTTTTATCGATGGCGTGGACGAGTACGATGGCGATCATGTTAAGTTTGCCGAGTACTTGCGCTCCATTGCGTCGCCGCGCTGTAAATTTCTCCTCTCCAGCCGACCTACACCGAACTGTGTTGAAGCCTTCGAAAGCTGTCCTAGTCTGCGCCTGCAAGACCTGACAAACACCGACATCCAGACATACGTAAGGGGAAATTTGGTGGACAATTCCCGTGTGAGAGAGCTATTACAAGATAACCCATCTTTAGGGGACCTACTCACCAGCGAAATCGTATCAAAAGCTTCTGGTGTCTTTTTATGGGTAGTTTTGGTTGTCAAAGCCTTGAAAGATGGCCTCCGTAATCGCGACAACGTGCAGGATCTGCTTAGACGGGTGGATGAGCTACCAGCAGACCTCGACAACCTCTATGGAGAGATGCTACACCGTATGGACCCATTTTACAAGCGACAAGCGTCGATGCTCCTCCAGATGGTCTATTGGAGCACCCAACTTCCAGCCAGCACACCCATGACTGCGTTGAGACTGTCTTTTGCGATGGATAACAACCCAGACACTAGTATCAACGCGAACATTTCGGAGATTCATATAGACGAATTGGTTCGAAGATGTCGTGATATTGAGGCAATTGTACGAAGTCGTTGCTGTGGCCTCCTGGAGATACATGGGCCACATCGTGTGCTCTTCGGAGAGTCAAAGGATGAAACTGTTGAAACTTCTACGACATTGAGCATCACAATGACGAAACAGATACTGGAACTGGTTCAAATTTTAAGCAATAGAAGTGAGATGTCTGCTGATGCGGAAAAACTTCTTATGGATCTCCTAGCAGAAATGCTCCCACTCACATATATCCGGTCCCAAGTACACTTTCTACACAAGTCAGTCGTTGATTTCCTGGAGAAGCCGGATGTCTGGAAAGAACTTCAGGATATCACGTCTTGTGACGGATTTGATGGGGCGGTGTCTCTTGTCAGTGCTTCGTTATGCGAGATAAAATCAGCCTCCGTGGAACTGGAAATTGGCTGTAGTGTCGATGACAGTTCTATATGGGAAATACTCGTGCGAGCACTGCATGAATGCAGCCTTACTGAAGGTTCTACCGGCCAAGCCCAGGCGATGTTGATTGAAGAGCTAGACGCTACGATGGAGTCTCATTGGCGCAAAATCAAGGGATGGATACCCAGATTTGGCAAATCACTTGACGAACTGGGTCATTGGTCGCATACTGTTCCGTCATCTGACTCAAAATTCGTTTGGAATCACGGCGCGGTTCCGTACGGCTCTATCTTCGATCTCGCCTGTACCTTTGGTCTTGTTCAGTACGTCAAAGACGCGGTAGCGTACCCAGGAACACTGAGCCCAGATTCAAGTTCGTCCGCACACCATTCTAATGGCGATGCCCGTATGATAGGCTTGGCTCAAAGAGCTCTAAATCGGATCATATTGGACATAGACAACAGCCAAGCATCTACAAGACTATGGAGTCTTCAGCTGGAGATTTTGGAATTTAGTCTCCATAGCGGTGCAAGCCCAAATTTAGCCTTTTTCAAGGGCTTATCACCCTTCCAAGTGGCATTGCATCGCTGCAATCCGCGGGATGTCTCAGGTTGTCAAGACTGGAAGTCAATACTCCTAAAACTAGTTGACTATGGAGCAGATGTCAATGCCCCACACTCCGGGGACGCGTATCTCTTTGCAACGGGAGACGACTGGTTCAACAGCGGTCGCGATATTCGGGTGTGGCAGACACCATTAGTTGCGATCCAGGAGAAATTTTCCGAAGTTGGAAAGGCAGCAAAGACCTCGCGGACACAGGCACGCAAGATAAATCAGTTGTTTCAACAATTGCAAAGCGTGCTCATGAAGAGAGGGGGCTCTCATCGGACTTGGGTCGAGCGGGAGATGTTGGATGAAAATGGTAAACGTCAGATTGGAAAGTGGGAAGCAATTACGGATCCAATTGAGGTGGAAAGCATTCTAGAATGTCTTTGAAGCGGTCCTCGTTGTTGTACTTCTTACTTCCTAAATGTGCTAGTTAACTACTTGCTTTACTACCAGAAATAGAGAATAGTAAATCCGACCGGATTTAGTGTCATGAACCTAATCACCTAATTATGAATGGATAGACGGTAGAGAGGAAGTTATTCATCTATCTATATAAATAAGTGTGCTTAAATATAAAAGCCAACTCCTAAGAAATCTATATACTTGTAGCTCGTCCCATAAGCCAGCAAGCTAGGCTTGTCTACTCGTCCTTAATACTACGAGCAGCTTGTCGCGCTCGTGGCGAGCTGCTCGATCCGTCACGTGATCCTCCGTCCCGTGACGTCTATTCTTAGATCGTTCCCATCCACCAGCAGTCCGTAGGGGAATCCAAGATCCCTACGTGGCCAACCCTCGTCCCACGAGGTCCTGTGGCTTGGTCACGTGCTATCAGTCTGACCTGTTTCCTAGTCTCCTCGAATACCTCAGTATTTGAGTGGTTCGTGTTACGGGTTGTAACATATATATAGAAGTGCGCTAAGCGTAAATAAAATAATCCGGCTAGTATATAGGTAGTAGCCTTTACTAAGCCTTATTCTTACTAATCTAACGTACCCTGCGGGTGAGCTGCCCATGCGGGCGAGCTGCCCAGTCCGTGCACTACTAGAAATTCAATAATCTAACCTTAAATAACTCTACAACCACCTAATAAAAAGTTATACAAATTTAATGTATTATTTTTATATATATAAATACTTAGTATATAGAATATAGAGTTTATCCTTATAGTAGTTAGCTAGTAATAAAGGGTAAGGTCTAAAATAGGGGTTGTCACGGTATCGACCGCGACACCCTACCTACCGAAATTCTGCCGCAGATTGCTACAACTCCAGCAATCTGCACCGGCCTACTACCGTTGGCCGGCCTCCTGCCCTGCCTACCCTGCTCCGCTCCCGTCTCGCTTCCGCTTCCTATCCTGTCCCGCTCCAGCCACCTACCGGCTGCCCCCTTTTCCTATCACCTGATCTGGTAAGGACCTCGCGTACACGCGTGCCACGCGCCGAAACGGCATAGAGGCCGTACGCCACGCGCTCGGCCACGCCCTTATATCCGGTGGCCCGTCTCCCGTCTTCCTGTTCCTTACACAACGTCTTGATTCTCCACGTAGCATTGTACATAGCACCTAATCAACGCTCCTCTTTGAGCCCTCGACCTCTCGCGTGTAGCGCTATCGTGACAGGGGTCTAAATTTAATAATTAGTTAACTACTATAAAAATAGACTTTATATTCTATATACTAAATATTTATATATATAAGAATAATATATTATATTTGTATAACTTTTTATTAGGTAGTTGTAGAGTTATTTAAGGTTAGATTATTGAATTTCTAGTGGTGCACGGACTGGGCAGCTCGCCCGCATGGGCAGCTCACCCGCAGGGTACGTTATTATATATAATATATTAGGAATTAAAGTCTAGCTAAGCAATATACTAAAATAACTGTTATTGGATGGATGTGAAATGGTGGCGCCATGCGGTGCTTTGCGAGAGAAGGACGAAGACGACGTCATCGCCGTGAGCAATACATGGCATAGTGAACTATCATTGGATGAATTTGCAACACCGGTGAGAAGCTAGGATCGGCCCGACACGCGTACCTGCGTGGCACTTTTTGACATAAGTTTGGTGCAGGGCGCGCAGATTGAGATTTTCCGATGTCGCTGCTTTCAATCCATATTTAACCACTTTCTTAAACCTCAATTCCTCCATTTTCTTGACCAAACTTCCTTAACTCTCAGCCATACTCTATCACCGCACCAATCCACCTTCTCCCACAAGGGGCGAAGAATAGTCGTCCGATGATTTCTTTAGACCGCCAATAATGTCTGCGAAGAATGATCCCAGGGAGAATGAAGTGAGCACAGCGGCGCCTGAGAATGACGAACTAGGAACCAGCCCTGCTGCGCCGTTCAATCACGCACGACCCGATTGGAGCGATGTTTCCTACTATCTCTCGATGCGAGACGGAGTTCGTCTCGCCATCAGCATCTATTTTCCCGATCACATGCCACCGGCGAAACCAGCACCTGTGGTCCTAGTGCAGACCCGGTACGGTAGGGCAGGGGCGCGGCACAAAGACAGTGATAACCCGCGCACGCTCGACCCGTGGCTCCGGGCCGGTTATGTCGCCGCGACGGTAGACGTCCGTGGCACCACTGCTTCGTTCGGGGCGCGGGACTGCGAACTGGGTCCCGATGAACAAGCCGATATGGATGAGATCATCGAACATCTCGCCGGCTTGCCGTGGTCAAATGGCAAGATCATTGCTACCGGCACGTCTTATACTGGCAACACAGCCGATCTGGCGACCACCAGGCCCGCGCCTGCACTGGTCGGGGCGATCCCGCGCGCCACCGATTTTGACTTCTGGGAGCTGTTTTGGCCGGGCGGCATTCCGAATGACTCGATGTTCCGAGATTGGGCGGCCGAAGTCCATGAGATGGACTTTGGCCGTTCTACCTCTACAGTCGTGTCCGAGTCGGCGCCGAACGGGGAAGAGAAAGTCCTGGATGGCCAGTCGAGGGTCGACGACATCGCTGAGTTGTTCCCGCTAATCTAGCTAGTCGACGAGGATGCCGAGTACACGCTGGTTCACGAAGCTCTCAGAACGAGAGAAGCCGATCGCCGCCATTGGAATGCCGATGACTACAACAACATATTTTTCCGCGACGACAGGACTGCCAACGGGCATTCCTTTTTTGACGCGTGCGCCGCGGCACACATCGACCATGTGCGCAGGGAAGGGAAGCCCGTCCAGTACTGGGGGTCGTGGATGGACGCTAATACCGGCGATGAAGCCATAAATCGTTTCCAATCGGCACCTGAAGTTCCCAGCGTGACCATTATCACGGCGAATGATCATGGCGGCGGCGTTTGGGCTGATCCCTTCTTTCCCGGCTCGACAGACCCGTTGCCTGCCATGGACGAGCAGCACACGATGCGGCTGGCGTTCGCCAATGACGTCGTGAATAACGGTGTGCCCCCGAGGCGCATTAAATACTACGTGCTGGGCGCAGGGTCGTTTCGCGAAGCCGCCATCTGGCCGCCCCAGGGTGTTGAATACGCGCATTTCAATCTGGATCGGGCAGGGACTCTGACGCGAAGTGTGCCGGGCGACGGCAAAGACATTTACCATGTCGATTTTACTGCAACCACCGGCAAACATAACCGCTGGTATCAGTTCACTCGCGCCAGCTACGGCGACAGACGCCGTCACGATCTAAAACTGCTCACCTACGACACCCCTCCTTTCATCGAGGACGCGGAGTTGGCGGGGTGGCCGGTCGTTGTCCTGCAGATGAGCGCGGCAACCAGCGACCCAGCCGTGTTTGCTTATCTGGAGGACGTGGCTCCAGATGGCACCGTCACTTACATCACCGAGGGCCAATTGAGAGCGATTAACCGCAAGATCGCTGACCGGGACGCGCTTCCGTACGATGCAGGTCCGGTACCGCATTCGTTCAAGAGAGCCGACGCACTGCCAGTGGTGCCCGGGGAAAAGTTCTCCCTGGCATTTAAGCTCTATTCCGTCGCCGCGCTGATCAAGAAAGGCCACCGCATAAGGCTGGCCATCGGCGGGGCGGACATTGATACGTTCCGGCGTCTTTCACACGCGCCGGAACGCTTCGAGGTTTATCGGGGTGGGAGCGAAATGAGCAGGCTAAACCTGCCGCTCCGGCCATGGCGTTAAAGCGCTGACATTTCAGCTCAATCTCAGAGAACGGACCATACAGAAAATGGAACAATACGCTTTTGCGTCAGACAACACGGCCGGCGTCGATTTGCGCATCTTGACTGCGATGCAAGATATCAACGTCGGCACAGCGTTCGCGTATGGCGAAGATTGAGTATGTTCTGCAAGGAAGAAAGAATATCATTATTGAAATTGTGCAATGAAAGCTGTTGCCCTATCAACGTTGCTTCAAAGTGACACAAGAAATCATCTCTATCTCGATTCCATGCATAATGCGAATGAGCTCAAAGGTGGGTTCAGGCCTTAATGAAGAGGAGAATGTGATGTCCATCCGGAAAAGACTGTTGCACAACAGCAGGGTTATAACTATTCTATGTTTATTAATTTATAAACAGATTTGTTTTCTAGTTAACTATATCTTTTATATTAGTATACTAACTTAATACTACGTAAAGAATGCTAAGCTAGATAGACATCCCCGCTAATAGGCGTTTAGCCGAGAATTCCACCGGGTAGAGTACTTACGCCCGAGCAGAGTGCTTGCGGTGGACTTAACTTTAAATAAAACTATCTGCAGATATATAGTTTAATAAAGCAGACGTTTATAGCGAGCAAGATTGGATAGAGCATTAGGTTAAGATAGTGTTATATTAAGAATAGAGCTAGTGTAAGGTTTAGGACAAGCATTACGTGAACTCGTTGCGAGCACGGTGCTCGCGGTTTGGGATTTCTCCGTAAGGATGCTGATTGTTCTTATCGGATGGAACATGTTTTCTTTGGCTGTGTTTAGTCATGTTATGCATGGAAAATTGGAACCTAGCTAGGTTACGGAACTAGGTCATAAGTTTGGACACACGGACACCTCACTGCTCGGGCTCCTCTCCTGCTCGCTCGACACCACTGGAAGGAGTGCCTCAGCTAGCATGCCTTCAACTAGCCAAAATGTAGTCCTATCTCCACAGCATCAAGTTCAACGTCCTACTTAGGGTCTAGAGGGCCTATTAAGACACCCTAAACAGGTGCAACGAGCGCCTAAACTTATGGCCTGGTACTGTATTGTATCCATACAATGAGCAAAATGTGAGTCCACGTTCGGAGCGTCGCTATTCAATCCGTCGTGTCACGCACATCACAATTCTCTGTTTGTCACTATTCACCAGGTCACAAAGAAATTCATTTTAAGGTAAAGCTCAGATTCTGTACTGTTCTTTGAATCTAAGGTATTAATGCTCGAGGCTCGAGTCTCTCTATCCTTTCCGCGAGGCTACGAGGAATGATAGTGTCTGAGGCGACCCATATATCCATGTGCATGGTACTTATATGGGCGCTTGAGACTTTGAGTACGATGCGAATGATGACGCAGCAGGGATTACGGTGCATATCGACTGTTCGGGCAAGCTGAACAGGACTGCTGGGGAATCACTTTTCCCCGTTTGACAACACCGTCAGGAGGAGCCCAGCGAGCAGGTGGCCGAAACCAGACCATCGATCCATTTACTAAGTCTCTCCGAGCCGGGATACCTCGATCGATGTCTTTATAATGAGTTGACCCCTCGACGCTGCCTCTGCCCGCTTCTTACTTGCCTTAGTTTGGACATGTTCGAGCGTCTTGACCTCCGCCTGGAGGTTCGAGACCATCTCCTCAATGAAAGCATCCGCCCGCGCTCCCGAGGCCACTTCCTTCTGCTCCGCCTCAAGCTTCTCGATCTCAGCCACCAGCAGCAAGGCGCCAAAGAGTCCCTCCAGCTGCGGCATCTCCATCGGAAACGACACACCCTGGAACTCCAGCTCGCCATCGCGGCCAATAGCGACCCCGTCTCGCCGCTCTCCCACGTCAGGCTCGCCGTCGGAGTCTCCCTCATCAGCTGCGTCGCCGCCTCCGCCCGAGATACCAGCGGTAGTGTCTACATCGAGAGCAACGGTCAGCGGCGGTCCCGAATACGGCTTGGGCTCACGAACCTCGGGGACGCGCTCACGAATATAGACCCCAGCTTCCCACGCAATCTCCTTGATCTTCTCGATATTCGCGATATTCGCCGCATCGTCCACCGGCCACGCGATGCCAGGGTGCTCGTCAGTGAACTTGTCCTGGATCGCGACATACTGGCTGATGAAGTGCTCCTCCAAGCACTGGAGACAGAGGAAGGGCGCCAGGGCTATTTTCGGCGCGCCGTCGACTACACAGTTAGTGCCGCATTGCTCGCTGTTGGATCCTTCGTCGGGGGCTGGGGTGGAGATGATGTGGAGGCAGCCGGCGAGTCGGTGGAGATCGCCCCAGCGGTTGCAGCGGAAGGCTTGGAGGCGTAGGTGGTTTTCGTGGGGAGACATGTTGTTGGCCTTGCGCTTAGAAAGGTTGTTGGAAAGGGTTGTTGTGGGGGGGTTAGTCTACATTGGTGGTGGTGGCCATGTCTCTATTGGGAAAGTGGGGTTTATATAGTTGGTGTGTGGAGTTCGGAGAGGAGGTGGAAGTGAAAGAGGGTAGGTTTATAGTGCTTAGTGCGTCGGCGATGGAGTCAGGTGAATGTCTCGGGTGTTGCACTCCAGAATGATGCTCTGAAGGATGACGTACGTTCGTTGACAACGCAGCGCGGTTATTAGAGGATGCAGTATAGAGTAGTGCTTCAGTTCGCCTTCCGCTCGATCTACATCACTTTTAGGAGCAGCCCAGCTAGGCGGTAACCAGTAAGTTAAGGGGTAGCCCGATTCGCAAGGCATCACATATGTACATCGCTCCTGGACTTTGAAGGTCTATGGAGGCACCCGAAACAGTGGTAGCTGAGTGCGCACAAACTTGTCGCAAGGCGCTGTAGATGTAAGGTGAAGGTAAGTCACGATGGTGGCGGAGTTGAGCTTGAGCCAAGGGTGATTAGATGGGAGGAGAACTGGCGCATACTTCCTTTCAAAGTGTTTCCTGAACGCTGCGAGCTTGGGAGATGCTAGCCGTTATGAGTACCCTTGAGCTTGGGAGATATTGATCGGGTGAGTCCATCTTCTCAGGAAGCAATAGATTACAAAGTATTATCACGATCACTCTTCGGCAAGGTACACTACCAGGCCATAAGCCCCGGCACACCGATATAACACTACTCGAGTGCGACTATGGAAGCTGGACACCACTTTCAGGAGTAGCCGCCTCGCCAGGAAGCCGGTCAGTCAAGAGGCAGCTCAGAAACCGCTGCTTGAAACTTGACATTGGGCCTAGGATTTGAAAACCTTTATACCCCAAGAAGTGGCGAGCGATTCTTCACGCATATAGCATGCCACTGTAAGTTGTACAGATTTTTGGACAAGAATAGGTTGTATGATAGAGTCGATCTTGCAATCTACTCCTAGGTTATTGGTCTAGAGTCATAGTCTAGCGTCATTCTACACTCTTCTACGTTCTTGTTCTTTAGACTACTCAAACTTCAGCGCGAATGCAAACATTCGATGCAAGATTTCGAAGCAGACTTCAGATCTCATACTTCTAGTCCTCCAGCTACTCAGCATCTTCGATCCTGACAGCCTCCAAACGACCAACAAGCGCATCGATTAGTGCGCTTTCTCGAAACCCGAGCGAATTTCCGAGTTGCTCTGCCAGGTCGTCTATCTCTACCTCGACTTCCCTGCCATTCTGGCTGAGCCGAGCAGACTCTCCTGTGAGCCTATGCGGAGAGCGTTGACGCCGATATCCTCGCCGCCCTCTCGTCTCCCCCTCCTCCTCTCCTGAGTCAGACTCAGCAAATAGGCTCATAGACCGATCCCTAGCCAGCCCCCGTCCAGCTCTCCTACCAAGCGATCTACCACGCCGTGCAGAACCCTGCCATCCACGACCATGCTCACCAACAACCTCACAAGCCCCCATATCCGTATTCTGCAGCACATATGAAGTCGCGTGTTTGATCTCCGTGTTGATCAGCATACTCACAAACCCGGGGTTAAGCTTAGACACGTCTTTACCGGCTTGCGCCTGCTGGGCTTTGAACTCCTTGACGACTCCGTCAAGATGGCTACGGACGATACTTTCGATGCAGGAAAGGCAGTAGAATGGTGGGCGCTGTTTTTCACGCGCTGTTGGATGGAGGCAGTTTTGGCGGCATTCGGAGTCGGTGCTCTTGACCTGGTGACCGCAGACGAGGTCGTGTAATCCCTCGTTAGAGTAGAAGAGGGCTGGGCGGCAGTCTTGAGTCCTCCACTGTATGCGATCTGGGCTGCCAGGTACAGAACTGGGCGAGGAGGAGGGCATGCTGGATGGTTTGTGCGAATGGGGCTCTGTGTGGATGGGATTCTGTGTGAATAGGGTTCCTTGTGAATCTTTCAGAAAGGTCGGTGAGTGGATATGCGCATATGGAGGCAGAAGAACCTTTAATGTTAATGTCGCAGGAATAAGACCTCACCCATTCACCATTCACCATTCACAAAGATATGCTGTACAGTTACAATGCATGATACTGCTTTGTGAGCGATCTGGGTTTAAGCTCTGCATTCTCGAGAATTGAGATGATCTTTCGCATTGTTTAAGCAAAGTATAATGGTGGCTATATGTCGTTCCTCGAACTCTTTCGCCACTCATCATAGAGCTCTGCCCGCCGCCTCAACCCGGGGTTTCGTGGGCTTAGGTGTATGTGCATACCCTGATCTAGAGCCAGGCCACCTCCGACGGTGTCAACCAGTGATACACCCTCCTCCCTCTCGCCGCACTCCACGTAATAGGATAGCCATAGAATAGAATCAACCCCTGAATTCCCCAGCTAGACTTCCCCCAAAACTCCTCTAAAACTACTCCGTCCCGTAAAGACATTCAGATAGCGAGCTCGTCGATACTGTCGATGGTGTCGTCTGCCTCTCGATCAGGATCCAGGTGTGGGCATTTCGGCGGTGGCGACGACCGGCGACGAGGTTTCGCCGACGGTCTCAAACCTCTGTCCAGCGCTTCTGTCCTCGATTCCGAATCTGGCTCTTCGGGGAGCGGCGAGAGACGAATACCCGTTCCGTCATTCTTCGCTCCCTTCCCCTCCTTCTTCTTCTTCATAGGGCTAAACTTCCCAAAAGCCCCACAAAGCACCGCAAGACATCCCGCGTGTTCTTCTTCAATCGGCGCAGGCGTCCCCGCTGCCGGTCGTGGACGCCGTGGGCTTTCTTCCACCGCATCGCCGTCGATTTCAACCACCGTAATGCGCACGCCTTCCGGCTCTGCGGCCGCTGACGACTGCTGCGATACCCGAGCTCTGCTTGTTTTACTACTTGTGGCCATCTGCTCTACTGCATCTTCGTACCTAGAATCCGGGGTAGAGGAGGCAGAGGCTGGGACGATGGGGCGGTCGGCGAAGCGGACGCTGTGGGGGGAGGAAGTAGAAGACATGGCTGGTCCTGCTGTAGAAAACGCGTGTCGTCCTATTGGGATGAAGTGGAATGGTTGAGATAATGAGGGAGGAAGAGCGACGGCGAGTCTCTCCCACGACGCAGGACCTCTAAGGCACTGAAGAGGTAGAGTTGGTTGACAACGTAGGTTTTTGGACTAAATAAAAGATGTTGGTGTCTATAGCTGTGGTGTATGCGCTGAAGAAGGAGCATGTTAGAGAAGATACGGTTCTTTATTAGCCTTACTTAGGAAACGGAGATGGTGAATGGTGAAGGGCGTATGTTGATGAAAGTGCTGGCTTGAGTAGGTATCAAGAGATCATTCCTACTCTTTCAAAAGCATCAGCTTATGCTTAGAGCTTTTGCTTTACAGGATGCCGTACTATAGACTCATACTATATACATGGAGGTGCTGAAAAGTGAGGTGCAAGTCTTAGACCAGCATTGCCATTGGCGCTACCTGATTTCATTCACGCCGAAGTTTATCCGTCCGCAAAAAAACCCCCCGTTCTTCACCTTTTGCGTTTCCTTGCCAAGATTTGCTGCAAAGGGGAAACTCGCGGACGTGGAACCATGGGTGTCGAACCACGGGTGACGGTGGTCTGCGCGACCTCCGCATCCTAATAAAAGGCACACCATTAAATGGAGAGGCTTGAGGCAAAATGAGGAGACTCCGCTATGAGTTCTCACAGCGATTGACATTGTCTGGCTATCGCGCGACGCTTACCGGTCGGCGGTGGTCTAACGGTCGATATTACGATACTTCTTCACAACAACTAGAGGTCTTACGGTCGGCATTGCAACACTCCCTCCCTTCCCCTTCTCTCACTGCACATGGCCCTACGGTCGACATTGGTTGTGAATGGGATACATGGCCTTCGGGTCTATCTTCTTTTTCTCCTTCTTCCTGTGTATTTGACGAATGGGCCATTCGTGAAATGTGAAAGTAGTGGTGGAATATTGGTCCCTTCCTGTATAACCGATTCCTTAGCAGCTTCAGTGTATATCTTTCTCTCTCTCACACACAGATCTAGCTAACTTCCTCACCAACACCACTTACAATACAATCTTCTCTTCCTGCATACCGAGCCCTTACACTGGTAGTCTACCTAATCTGAGGTACCGTCGATGTGCTAGGTAGTGTGCGAAGTCACACAAAAAAGCGTTACTGTCATCACTCAATGCAAATTGCGGAAAAAACTCCAAAAAACTCCCATCATTATTTTTTCATTAGATTAGAGACATGCAATGTCTGTGACCAACACCCGAATTCGACAAGATTGTAAGGACCGATAGAAATGCTGGACGCCCCGATGAACTCCTGAAAATGCGATGGACTGTGTATGTGTGTGAAGGAGGTGTGAAGAGGAGAGTATGATGTAGGTGTAGTTATGGATGTGAGAGAGAAGGGTAGTGCGGCAGCGACTGCAACGCGTGCCAAGATTGGTCGCTCCTTTCCTCCCTCCTCAGTGCGCCAGTGCTACCACTTTAAACATCCACCGACTTAGGCGCCGCGCCCGCCTTCTTGTTCTTATAGAAGAGCGTCGGGAGGAGGATGCACGAGGTCGTGAAGAGCAGGCACAGCGCAATGCTCAGGCCCCAGATCGCCTTGGTCTCGAAGCAGTTGGCCTTGGTCGCGCCGGCCCAGTTGCCCAGGTACAGCTTGTTGCCCACAATGTTGAGGTTCGCGGTCACAGACTCCGTAAATGCGTACGCGGACGCGGCCTCGGCTTCCTTGGACGACGCTTTGCCGATGACGTAGCAGTTAAGGAAGGAGAGGGGCTTGCCGACGGTCACGGCGACGACGATGAAGGCGATGAGCAGGAGCGAGTCGAAGCCGGACATGACGAAGAGGCCGAGGTTGGCTTCGGACCAGTAGAAGGCGATGCTGACGAGGCAGTAGAGGGTCGCGATGCAAGTCTGGAGGTGGGGTGTTAGGATGGGTTACATAAAGTTAGGCACTGGCGGGAGACGTACCACGCTGAGGGTTCCCACGAACTCCTTGGGAGGCTCAATTCCGCTGGAGACGATCAAGGAGACGAAGTTGGCTGTTATGCCGACGATGATGATCATGGAGATGACTTGGAGAACGCGCACGAGGAGGAAGGTCTTGCTGAGGGGAGCAGCTCCATAGGATGGGATAGGCATGATGGCTGAGTTGGCGTTGGTGGTTGGTAGAGAAAGTGAGTGGATGCGAAAGTGTAGATAGCTCGGAACGACAGTTGACGGTCAGGAGGACAGGTTAAGTAGCAAAGAATGGATCGTGATCTGCTGGCAGATAGAGAGAATGCAAGTGCTGGCAGAAGACTTTTTGATGAAAGAGTGAGGCCTGACCCGAAAACGGAAAGAAATGTAAGGAAAAAAAGACGGAAGGAAAGTCGTCAAGAGATGGAAATGCTGAGCTGGCTTGTTGAGTTGATGATGGGAGCTACAAACCGCAGCGTCTACGTGGTTTATATATCTAGAGATCTCTGCTACAAGTCAGTCGCCAGACACTTGCTATTCCTGTCGACATCAGTGCTTGGTCGCTCGTTTCATCAGATCGTGAGTAGTCGCTGGGCCTGCCAATCAGCAGCCCATATGGCCATGGCCAGAAATTCTCCGATCTAGCGAGAGTTTGACGCAGAGACACTCACGCGAGTGGGCGGCTACAGCATAAACAACACTTCTCGCCCACCCAAAGCATGGCTGGTCCAGAGCCACTCACACCGCGCAGATGACTGGCGGCTGGCCGGGAGGGCAAGCCACACCAACGGGCTCTGCGTTCGCTGGGTTACAGTTGTCGACGCCTGAAGATGCGGATGTTTCGCCGCACGCCGCGACCCACTCTGCCCACAGGGCGCGCGGGAGCTATCATTAGATCGCCGTGGGGCTCAACGAGAGGCCCAAGGAGAGGCTCCGGAACGGTGGTGCGCGTTGGCTGTTTGGCCTGATGGTTGAGACTTGTTGGGGAAAGATGAGGCTGGCAAAGCTCCGTGCGACGCGCTGGAGGGCAGCCAATTCTTGCCTTGCTTACGAAGTAGAACTCTGCACTGACACCAGAGCAGTGACCAGACTCAAGGCTGCTTTTTGATTGCTGGCACGCGAACAGTGGCCGTCTGAGGCTGCTGCAGTCTAGCATTAGTATGCTTGGTTCATGAGGCCGCGAGTGGTGAGTGGATGACTTGGCAGTTGGGATCGCTGACAAGTCAGAATAACATTCATGCTCATCAGAGACTGTTTATGTGCACCTCACTGCGAAAGAAGCTCGCACAGCGTGGTAGTGTAGAAGTGAAGAACATTGCAGGAGCACGTGAGGGCCAGGTACGATGCACTCCCCACTCTCGTCGGCGCCTTGATAGGCAGGTCCTCGCGATATCTGCGGGACGGCTGCGGCTTCAGTACTCCGTCGCACTCGGAGAAGCCCACGCGCCTCTACAAAGACGGATAGCTCCAGAGCTCCCCGCTGCCACCCGTCTGTCTCTCAATGTTCTCCGCACTCATTCCAGCTCTCACCTTCAAACATTAATTCTCTAGCTGCAGCAGCGAGCGACACAATGTTCATGTCACAGCACCGCCGCGACTGGTAAGTTTGACAGTCCTGGATAGCTTTCCGATCAATACTGACAAGTACTACAGCACGCGAAAGCAGAATGAGCGCGCATCCAAGATCGCAGCACTTCCTCAAGCCTATCTCTCTCCTCTCTCGCCAGAAGACCGAACCATATTGGGGAAACCCATTCAAGAGCTGGTGCAAGAGGTCCATAAACAAATTACAAAACCCGTGGACATCCTCCGAACATACGGCAAGGTTGCTCTGAAAGCCCAAGAGAAGACCAATTGCGTGACAGAAATCCTATTTCCCGAGGCCGAAGAATGGGCAGAAAAGGAAGTCAACTTGAAGGGGCCACTTGCGGGTATACCAGTGTCACTGAAAGACTCCATCGTGGTCAAGGGCTTTGATACCAGTGTTGGATACTCCTGCAAAACAGGAAAGCCGTATGCTGCAGATGGTATCATGGTCAAGATTCTCAAGGACGCTGGTAAGTAACATCTATCAACCCTTCTAGGGCCTACCTGACCTCCGCAGGTGCTGTCCCTTTCGTGAAGACAAACTTGCCAACCACACTTCTTTCTTTCGAGTCTACCAATGATGTTTGGGGCCGCTGCACAAATCCCCACAACAACAAGTACTCGCCTGGTGGTTCGACAGGAGGAGAGGGCGCAATCCTCGCCTTTGGCGGTAGTCGCATAGGAATCGGCTCGGATGTCGCTGGCTCTGTACGCGCACCTGCTCACTTTTCTGGCTGCTATTCAATCCGTTGCTCCACTGGTAGGTGGCCAAAGATGGGCAATGATACCAGCATGCCAGGCCAAGAGGGAATTCCTAGCGTCTTTAGCCCGATGGCGAGAACGCTCAACGACCTGACCTACTTCACCCGAAGTTTTATTGGAATGAAACCTTGGAAGTACGACCACACGGTTCATCCGCTAGAGTGGCGAGAGGAGGTAGAGACAGAGTACAAGGAGAAGAAGAAGTTCAGAGTGGGTGTTCTGAGAGACGATGGTGTTGTCACTCCAGCTCCAGCGTGTGCCCGAGCCCTGGATCAAGTTGCAGCGGCCCTTTCTTCCGAGGGACACGAAGTGTTCGACGTTACTCCCCCGTCTCCGTACGAGGCCCTTGTCATTGCTTCTCAGCTTCTCAACGCCGACGGCACCAGGACTTTCAGTTCGTTCTTCCGGTCTGGTGAGTGGAATGATCCTGGCGCAGCACAGATGACTTTCTACATGCATCTTCCTCGACCCGTCAAGTATCTCTACTATCTATGGGTCAAATACGTCAAGAAGGATAGCATATGGGCTGGTCTTCTTCAAGGGTGGTCAGAGAAGAGTGCTTTCGAGAACTGGCAGCTTGTGGCTAAGCGTGAGGCATACAAGGCGAAATGGCATGCGTGGTGGCAAGAAGAGGCGAAAATGGACTTCCTGATCACAGTGCCAAATGCGACACCTGCAGTACCTCATAATGGCATGAAGGATGCTGTTAGCAGCTGCGGATACACGTTCCTATTCAATCTGGTAAGTAAGCTCGCCGCTTGACTGAGCTTCTGACTGATCTGTGGTAGCTGGACTACACATGCGGTATCATGCCCGTGACTCACGTGGACAAGACACTGGACCAACTTCCCGCATCCTTCAACTTGAAGAAGCTAAATGGCGTAGCCAGGGGCGCTTACATGCACTATGATGCGACAAAGATGGATGGGCTTCCTGTAGCCGTGCAGGTTGTTGGCCAGCGGCTGGAGGAGGAGAAGGTGCTGTCAGTGATGGACAGGATCGAGTCAGCTTTGGAAAAACGTGGCGAAGCATACCAGTTACTGGAGGTTGACTAGAAGGGGCAAAGCGAGCTGCATAGGATCAGGTGACAGTGGGCTAGGCAGGCATGGAGTCACCTTAGGAAGGGGTCGGCTACGAAGTGGCCACAGGTCGAGTTGTCTAGCAGTACATCACTTCTACAGCAATCAATCAGCTCTCTCACACACTCTTCTTCAACGTGAATGCAGTCCGAAATACAGCTTGGCAGTTCCCAGTTGCATATGCTGATGATATCTCAGCGCACTGACGGCCCAGTGTTGGCGTTCGGGCCAGTCGTTTAAGGTGGAGCACACGTGCCCCTCGCGTCACGGCGAGCCAGAGGAACTTTAAACTTCGACATCCCACTCGTCCTTCCAACCTCACACCTCACCGACACCCTCAACATCCACCCGCCCTGACCGTCGGTCGCCTCTGCGACCTTCCTCGCGCGACCATGGCGCCGCCGCGAGGCGCCATTAAATGGCCGCCCAACATCCTCGACCACTCCCTCGAACTGACGCGCGAATTTGACCGGCTCTGCAACAAACCCAGCATCCAGACCAAGCAGGCTGTATCCTATATCGAGTTCCTCGAGTTCGGAGCCGGTATGCAGCGATTGCACGAGAAACTCATGGACATGTACCACCCCAATGGAATCATACCTGGACAGCCGACGCCCCAGGCGGCATCGAACTACATTGGCCAGCGGACGGACACCGGCTCGACTCAGTACCCATACGCCACGCAAGCCAACCGCAGCGTGCCATCTCCATATACAAACTCTGCACCACCAGTACAGAGGCGCGGTAGCGGCTATACTCCATCTGCGTTTGCCCAGCATCCTGCGTCGGGACAAGTCAATAGCACCTATGGCGCGAGTAAGAACGGGACCACGCCGGTATTTTCACGGCCAGGGAGTGCTCCAGTCAATGGGCAGACACAGGCGCCAAATCATAGCGTTTCGAGAGACGGTGCTCAAGCAGTCTTTCAGTTCCACAACGGAGGTCGATCTTCCCCCGATGCGCAGGCCTCTTCAAGTTCAGGGCTACCTTCTGGAACCGGCACACCTGCAGCTGAAACCTCGCCATTATTCAGCGGGTTCTCTCAGAACACTCAGAATATCTTGAAGAAAGTGGGCGTGAACACTTCTAGCACGGCACCTAGGGGAATACCACCAGTTGCGCCCGGTGACCGTTCTTCCTTCGTCGAAGTCTACTCGCCGTCCACCGAGGAGATCATCAATCGCATCAATCGTGCCAAGACGGGAATTCACCTCCAGCCGATGATTACTACAACCGCGAACAGCTTCCAACCGCCTGGGACGTTTCCTTCAAGACCTGATTCAAGGCCAATGCAGTATAGGGTGGCGGACCAGAGATTGGAGCAGCAAGGAGTGAGACAGCCAGTGCCTTCGTCGTGGGCTCCGCCACCGTCTTTGTCATTCGGCCAGCCAGTGCCTTCGGTATCGGCGCGAGCAGTGCCTTCGCCATGGACGCAACCTGGAACGCAACAGCCACCTGTGCGACTTGATGCGCAGTCAATTACGCAGCCAGACAATCATCCGGCGCGAGTTTCTGTACAGTCGACTCCACGGCCCGAAAAGCAACCAGAAGTTCCACAAGCCACCCAGCCGGAGCAGCGACCAGAGGCGGCACCACAGCAACAGCCGGAGCCGAACTCATCGACCGAGCCAGTTTTGCAAATAAACGCGGCGAGTTCAGACCAGAATGCGATGGTGCGAACCTACTCATTTGGATCTGTTTCTACGTTGACCGACCAGGAGGTGACCCCGGAGCCCATCTCTCCAGAGCACAGTCCGATTGAGCCAACTCATCCTATGCCAATTCAAGAGTTCCAACCGGACCCAGAGGATGTGCAGTCAGAGCCGGAAATTCAGTCCGTGCGCCGGCGTGAGAGACAGAAGTCAAAACCAGAACTGAAGGGGATCCAGGCAGCCCGACGCCAGTCATCACGTAGGACTTCAAACACACCCAGCACTTATAACCTCAAGCTTCTCGCCGGTACTGCGCTTCACACCCCGACCAAGTACCTAGCCAAGCACATTCCGAATGTCACCCGCACCCCCAAAGCAGCACAAGCCCCTCTTACCGCGACCCCGGACACTTCACTGTCCCTGGCCGAATCACGCATCTCTTCTCGCTCTACCTCGCGCCCAGGATCTACTAAGGGAAAAACTGCTGCACCGAAGGCCGCCACAACCATCTCTTCGAGACCACCTCGTCGGGTTCGCGGCTTTACTGAGGCGAAAGGTCTGTTGGCAGGCGAGGCTGTCCTCAAAGCCTTCAGAGAGGCGCAGGCGCGGATGAGGATTAAGGGTTCCACGCGTTTAGAGAGAATCATCAATGCGATGAATGAAGATGATGGACGAGCGAACGGCACGGCTCAGCTTACGCCGCCTGAGAGTGTCAGCGGCAACAAGGGGACCTCGCCACAGGACGCAATCGCCATCGACTCTACTCCATCTGAGGAGAGGGATGGCGAGTCTGCGAACAATGCCCGAAAGCGAAAGCGGAATTCCTCAGTCGGATCGGCTGCCGAGGAGGTAGAAGTCCAACGATCTACAGCAAGTAGTGGTAGGATCGAGCTTGGCAGCCCACAAGATTCCACAGAGGAGAACCCGCCTCATTGGGCCAACCGGGAGCGTGCAGGCGGACGATTCGTGTCGAAGCAGAAGGAGGTAGTCGCAAAGAAGAAGCGAAAGCAGTCAAAGGCCCGTAGTTCTACTACAGGATCTGATGCTCCAGCCACTCCAGCCTCTCCAACCGCTCCGAAAGCCATTTCCAATAGTAGAACTCGCTCCTCCGCTGTTGGCTCTGAGGCTCCGACTACTCCGGCCGCCCCAGCCGCTCCAACTACCTCCAAAGTCACAACCAGTACGAGAACTCGCTCTTCTGCTCTTGGCGCTGAGGCTCCAGCTACTCCGGCCGCTCCAGATGCTTCCAAAGCTACTGCTAGTACGAGGGCTCGCTCTTCTGCTGTAGGCTCCGAAGCTCCGGTAACTCCCAAAGTCACTCCAAACACTAGCACTACGGATCAGCAAGTCACCTCGCGTGGTCGGACAGTTCGTGCTTCAACCAAGGCCAAGCAGAACCAGGAAATGAGGGAGCGAGGCGTAGTAGACGGTGACGAATAGGCGGTTCTTCGAATTCAAACATGCGATTACGACCGAGCGTGCCATTATACACATGTCGTCGAGGTCCCTTGATCGATGACATGAGTTTCAGCTTTGAGGGTATGTTTCAAGCTGGGACACAATGCAGCGGAGGATAAAACTTGCGTGTGATTTCTATGGGGACGTATAAGCAGTGGATGATTAATCGGAACTTACGTGTCTTTACATGCTACGTGTAGTGTGCAAAACGGCGGTACCGTAGCTGATTTGCTGGGAATGTCTAGCATTGCATACATTACGAGGGTCATTCACTTGATCCATCTACATTACGTAGCGACTCAAATTACACGATAAAAATTCAAAAATAAAGATTCAATAACAAATGTTCGCTTCGCGTGACTGTGAGAAATTGGTGATATCACTTGCTCAGGTGTAAGTACAGTACTAGGTCATAAGTTTGGGCACCCGGATATACCACTGCATGCGTTACACAGTCGATCGCTCGACACCACCGTGAGAAGTAGCTTAGCTAGTAGGTGTTCACCTTGTCAAAAGGTAGCCTACTTTCTACAGCATCGACCGTTATATCGTATTTGGAGTATGAGAAGCTCAGCGGTGTACCTCAAGCAGCGGCAGGAGAGTGTGCCCAAACTTATGTCGCAAGACTGTAGCTGCAACAGTCATGTTTGAAGTGATCAGGCAAGTTTTTCAAAGATTGTAGAGACTAAGAGTGCCGGTAGAAACCTTCTTGCTTATTGGCCAGCTCTCACCAAATAGAGTCACGGAGTGGAATGCCTAATCGCCCACACCACCTGCAGGTACCAGTACAAAGAGTCTTCCACAATACACACTGTACCTCACGCAAATAGTACACCAGCTCTCTCAACATACTAGCATTGTCTTTTAGAGCACTTGGTGAAAATAATGTTGCAAGATCTTAACAGAAAAATGCCTCCATTCAAGCTTAGCGAACTAGAGTACTGATTTGAAGTCTAGACCTTATAACGAGGCATTCTATATGATTCAGCAAGTTGAACATGAAGTACCACATCCCTGTCAGCCTAGTCGTAGTCTTCAACATACCCTATTCCAAATACCATATTCCAGTCCCTTATCTAAAGCTAGCTATATGCCACTAAACCAACTCCTCCCGCACAGACTAGAGTCAACGCATGACGGGCCGTGAGACACTACAGGCTCTTCCTACGTCCGGTGACCCAGCGCTAAAATCAAGCCACAAAATTACCGTATAACGCAGAATTTCCGGACGCCTCTAGGAGGGAATAGCAGTCTCATAGCCAATCAGTATTCCGGCTAGTTTAGCATTAGCCCGGAAAAGGAGGTTGACCATGCTCGACTCAGTTTCCGCGCTGAATCGTCGGACGTAAAGAGAGCCTGTACTACTCCCGACAGCCCCGCCCCGAGTACCTTCAGCTCTCTGAGACAGAGTATTTCAAATACCTTGCGTCCGAAGTAGTGTATAACCGCAGATCTCGCGCCAAATGGGCAAATTCTATCTCCCCGACGCCATCATCGACATCTTGCGCTAACACTGCCGACCTCACGAATTGATTCCAAAACGGCTTCCGACACTTATACCACGGATCTCATTCCAGCGTTGCCCGCTTAACTGGCTAGAGAGCTTTATATGTGGCGGCGATCTAGCCTTACATAAAAATGCATGTCGTCATCCCAGTAGAGCGGATCCCGCTGCGCGATGATGTAGGGAGGGCGGAGGTTAGCTAGTTCCACTCCAAACTCGACTTCATTGGGTAGCGTCGGGGCCAAGTGGGGTGCAGGATTTCCCTAGCTAGGAACGAGCGGTTTGGAGCTTTGTTAGCAGGACGCGTCTGGAATGAAGGAATGCGGGGTGGCGGAGGTACTTAAGTCGATGTGACGGCCCTTGTGGCTCTTTTCCAGCATCAAACAATAAGAATAATTGAAACTCAAGATTTGACAGTATGACGACTTATGAGGGAAGCTGCCTTTGCGGTCAGACGGAGTGGACGGCCACGTTGGAGAAGGACCAGACGGAGCATGTTCTTTGGTACGCGACCTCCTCGGTTTCAACTGCGGCTTCTGAAAGCGAAAAGAAGATACTAACATGCCCCACCAGCCATTGCGATACCTGCAAGGTCCTTTCTGGCGGCGCTTTCACAATGAACCAGATCATCCCCTCTTCCGCGTTCAAGCTCGGGAAAGGCGGTGATGCGCTGAAGGTGTACACCTACTACGGCGAGTCTGTTAAGCCATACATCCTTTGACTCGTATCCCGCTCCTTCGCTCTTTCGAGCTGCTGACATGTGGTTTTTGGGTAGGTAAACCTGTCCACTGCTACTACTGCCCCAATTGCACCACCCACGTCTACCATCACCAGACTGTCCTCGGGGACAAGTACATCCTCCGTACTGTGCTGTTGCCCAAGCTTAGGAACAACCCTGTTCATGCCGAGATCTTTGGAAGGCAAAAATGCCGTGGGAGAAGGAGGTTGCGACGACGTTTGAGACGCTGCCACCGGATATGTAGATCGCTGGGAACAGGTATGGGTGCGGTTGGATTGTGAGCGAGGCGTTGGATGTATGTTTGTGAGGATGGAGTAAACTCGAGGAAATAGAGTAGGCTGATGGGGCCGTAGAAAGGTTGTGGGGATAGTTGGGTTGGTAGGATTGAAGTAGGATAGGATGGATGGTTGTAGTTGAGAGAAACGAGATATTTGAAAAAAGCTATGCTAAACCAGCTTTAAGTGGACACTTCATGATAGCAGAGCTTCTAGCTCATGTGGTCACTGAGATTTGAACAGGAATAAAAAATTTATGTCATTATCTTATCGCTAGTTTAAACACGCAGAGATTGAAAGGATTCCTCACTCGGAGAGCGCAGGAAACTTGCGAACGAAATGGGATGGACACTCGTAACCCGAAGGATCTATAGGTATATTAGTAGTGGTCTAGTTATTTTTCAGTGAGGCAACTTACTCATGTCCAAGTAGCGCTGGTGATACTTCTCCGCATCCCACCACTCTCCTGCAGGGAGAACCTCAGTGGCGACCTTCCCCTTCCACCACTCCTTGTTCACCTTGGACGTCACATCGTGGGCGATCTTCTCTTGCTCCTCGTTATTGTAGAATATAGCACTCCGGTATTGGGATCCTACATCTGGACCTTGCCGGTTTGCGGTGGTGGGATCGTGCATCTTGTAGAAGAACTCGAGCAATTGGCGATAAGTGACTTTCTCGGGGTCATAAATAACTTGGAGGGCTTCGGCATCTGATAGCTTGCGCGTTAGTCCATATTGCTCAAACAAGTACGAAGATGATACTCACGTCCTGTCCGACCGCTGCATACACTCCTGTAGCTTGGGTTCTTGCTGTCGCCGCCAATGTATCCCACCTTCGCGTCAATCAAGCCTTTGTTCGCGAAAGTCTTCCGATAGATGTGCTCAACACCCCAGAAACATCCTGCAGCTATAGTAGCTGTCTGCGACCCAGCTGGGTAGGTCTGTGGTGTGGGTGGTGAAGACATTGCGCTGAATGGTCGAATAAGTCGAGAGATAAAGGACATAGAGAGGTAAGATGCGAAGACGAGAACGGCAGCGAAGAAGAGCTTCACTGTGACGGTTTTAGGTAAGGTTTGCTGAAGTTAGTTGTTGGGTGGATGTCAAGAAGCGTGCGCGACCATGGGGATTTATATTTCAGAGGCAACTCGTTATTTGAGATGTTGATGGCGTTGTGATAGATCCACTGCGTCACTGGGGGGTTGACAAATCGGTCCGAGGCGGAGCTTGTGCGCCACCGAAAGATTCCGAATCAACTCTCAGCCTCACTCCTCTTCGGCAACTCTTGCCAATGCGAATCAGTAGATCAGTTCGTTAATGGCTAGAGCTCGACCAGACTACATACCTTTGGAATCAACGAGTCGTCCACTCGCCGCAGTCATCGTCGCGAGCTGTGCCTCCATTAACCCCCTCCCTCTTTTCTACTAGCAACGTGATTCCATTTCATACTTGATCGCATGCCAGTTTCTTCAAGTCAAAATTCAAACAATTCAATTTGCAGTCTTTCAATCGATTTTTCAGCGTCTGCTCTCTTACCGGCCAAGTCGCTGCGCGGACTAGTTGCGCGAATTCGTTGGAAACATTGAAATAGCATCTACATATTCTATCAACCGGTTTTATCTAGTGAGATTGTTTAGTACCGTGGTGGGATGCTAACCTTGGCAGTCTCTAGTTTAGGTCCCTTTCTTCTGCTCCAATCTTCGCTCTTCCGTTGTTTGTCTTCTCTAATGTCTTGTCAGTGCTGAAAGAGTCGAAGCCTTGGCGCGACACTCGGCACGCTTACATCCGCCTCGACCGAGCGATGCTGGACACAATCAAAGCACAATCTATTACACTCACTTGGTCAAGGAAGCTCGATTGTTGAGATAACCTTAACAATAGTCTAGACTCGCCATATCGCGACTTTCTAAGCGTAGACCCACCTCGCTTAGGCCCAATGAGAATCACATCCTGGAACTATGAGCGCCTGAGGAAGGTGTGTACGTGCAGTGAGGTGTTTTTACTTCCTAGTCCAGATCTATCAAATTCCCCTTGTATAAGACCTGCCTCTTAACGATGATCCGGGTCCTGAGAGGGTTTTCCGAGGGTGGAGTGACAGGCATTAATTTAAGGTTAATCTCAACCTCAATATACGCAACTCGTTTTGATCTACTTCCAGGTGTCAAGGAAACTGCCATCCAAGCTCTAGATTACGGGCTCTACTTTACCAGTGAGCTGTTTACAGCTCTTTAGCAATTAGTGTAATTTACTATCTTGCACATACGAGTGGCATTAATGAGCTTTGGTAACATCGAAGGACTCTTACTGCGATGGTGGTGCACGATGGCCTGGTAGTCGTACATATTGGTTCTATTTCCGGATTGCAATCCCAGTGTTCATATATTCATCCAAATCTATCTCAATCTACAAGAGCCAAACTTACCACTCACCGCAGATTCAATGGTGGGCACTGAGCAGGACTTTTAGAGTATTTCAACATCGAAAGTCATATGACACTGTCCGTGTCCTTTCGGCAGGCTGCTGCTCCGTTTCATGCTATCGTTGTTCGTGTTAGATATTGTCACTTTCATTAATAGAGACCGTCAATTCAGGGAGGCGAGAGCTTCCTCGCAATACCAGAATCTAGAAGCATGGCTATGTCCTATCCAAGTCGGCACCGGAGACTTGGCGATATGTCTTAGCCCTTAGTAGAGAAGCATGGCTATATCCCTGCACCGGATTTCTATGAACTCTCAGTGGCAGGTCACACTTAGCCCAGCCATCCGATCCCGGTCTTCAATTGCGGTTCCCATCGAAATCCTGGAGAAGTCGACGGTTAGACCGGCACTTCCATATCAGACACGAGACTCACCCGAGTTCTGCAATTCGCTTCCTCCTATGAGCGTTATCGGCCCACCGGGCCCATTGCACAGCATACTGTTAAGGAGACAGGCAGGTGGTATGGGGTCTAGAATACGGTCAAGACGTGGAACCATAGGCGACTCAACACGATGCGAATACTATCAAGGCAGGCACCGTGGTGTGGAAGCGATCTACCTATATAAGAGCAATGGCTCTTCATGGATGATCTTCTCTCAATCCGCAATACTGACTTTCATCGACTTGCAACTCAACACAGACGCACAATTACTCCCTTAAGAACGTTTACTCAACAAACATGAAGTTCTACCGCGCACTCGCTCTTCTTCCTCTTGCCGCTGCAGCGCCAACCAACCCTAATCTCGGAGGTGTTTCTTCAGGCTCTCCAGATCCGACTCAGGTCCACATCAAGGCAATCACCTACGGTGGGACAGGCTGCCCTCAGGGTTCTCTTGATTATATCATCTCTGATGACAGAACCACCGTCACTCTGATCTTCGATTCGTACGTTGCATCGATCGGGCCTGGCATTGCAGTTACCGAGCAAAGGAAGAACTGCCAGCTTAACGTCGACATCACTTATCCCGGAGGATTCCAGTACTCAGTCTTCAGTGCGGACTACCGTGGCTACGCTGCGATTGACAAGGGTATCACCGGTGTACTCAAATCAACTTACTACTTCTCTGGCCAGACTCAACAGGTAACGTCGTCCTTCACATCCAATGCCTTTGATGCAACGAATGAAAAATGTGTTCCCCAAACTGACAAGTGACAGACCAGCACGGAATACGACTTCGTGGGTCCAGTGAATGGGGACTACCTGAAGCACGACGAGGCCGACAGCACCTCTGTCATCTGGTCCCCCTGCGGTGCTGAGGGCATGCTCAACATCAACTCCCAGGTCCGCCTGACAAGCGCCAATTCCTCGTCCTCGGGTCTCCTGACCACGGATTCCCTTGACGCAAAGTTCTTGCAGGTCGTCTACGTCGGCTGGCAGACTTGCAAAGCATAGGCTTCCCTTAAGATGATTGTTGACATATTTCTAGAGGGCTAAATTCGTGTTGATGTGGTCTGGAACCTTGTGTCGGGTTGCGGGTGCGGGCCTAGCCTGGGAGTGGAGCGGATTCGTCTCAATTTCAGCTCTACGTTGCACTGAACTAGGGCGGTTGCGCCAAAGGAAGGCTGAAGCTGAGCCGCCACCTTAGGCGACTGATCTGTACATTCTTTATATACATTCAACTTGCTTGAAACACTCCAAACTCATTGCCATGAAGTAGACCTTGGACATCAACTTGCCAGAGTAAACACTTGCGCTCAGCCTTCATGGGCGACATACACACGAGAGGAACACGGGAGCCTCAGGCAACAGGAAGAACAACAAAATAGGGATTCACTGGTACTGTATTTGTTGCCTATACTGCATCAATGCACTTCCCCCGGCGATTCACTCGTCCCTTTAACAGTGCTCGTAATGGGTACTCTGAACGAGATGGATTTCAAACGAGGGAAAAACGCGGAATTATTGCTGATGACTAACGATAGATTTTGTTTTCAAATAGGATGTCCTAGGAAACGGTGAATACGAATGGCGATGTTGTGGCGGACCGAGAGCAAGGTAAGGGATCTGAGACAGTCACGTGCTGATAGCGATAAGCATTGGCGCGCCAAACCGAAATCGACAGTCTGTTGTTGTCCCAATGTTGACGTTTCTCCGAGAAAGCAGGAGCTCCCCAACATCAATACCTCCACCTCACTAACTACACCACCACGCGGGCTTCGACAAGCCTTGAGACGCATTTCGCTACCCACACGGATCCCATCATTTAGTTGCGTCAACCATGGCCGTCAACGACGGCGCGTCCTCCATCTCCGTCACCGTACGAGTCCGGCCGTTTACCATTAGGGAAGCAGCGCAATTATCGAAGACCGACGACCAGACATTATTCCTCGGAGATGGATCCCTCGCATGCGCACCTACACCAAAGCTCCACCAGAAAGGAATCAAGCCCGTTCTGAAGGTTGTCGACGAGAAATGCCTGTACGCACCCTTATCCCGTCTCCAGCTGCGGACTGAACCTAACATGTGAGCTAGGATCTTCGACCCCCCAGAAGACAATCCGGTACAAAAGTTCTCAAGGCAGGGCGGACCAACGGGGAAGAGGGTGAAAGACCAGACCTTTGCCTTCGACCGCGTTTTCGACGAAAACACAACCCAGGGGGATGTTTACGAAGCTACCACCAGGAGCCTCCTGGACAGTGTGATAGACGGATATAACTGCACGGTGTTTGCGTATGGTGCTACAGGCTGCGGAAAGACACATACGATCACGTAAGTAGGAGGCCGGTTCTTGCTTCGCACTAATGCTAACAAGAATGGCAGCGGAACATCACAGCAGCCTGGCATTATATTTCTTACTATGCAGGAACTCTTCGAGAAGATTGGCGAGGTATCAGAGCAGCGAGTTACGGAGGTCACTCTGTCGTATCTGGAGATCTATAACGAGACCATCCGCGATTTACTGGTACCAGGTGGAAGCAAACAGGGGTTGATGCTTCGAGAAGATGCCAACCAGGCCGTCTCGGTGGCAGGCCTCTCTAGCCACCGGCCCCAAAATGTGAGTTTGCTCTTACTATACCAATAGGATATTGCTGACATTCACCAAGGTCCAAGAGGTCATGGACATGATCGTGAGGGGCAACGAGTTTCGAACTATGTCGCCCACAGAAGCCAACGCGACCTCATCCCGTTCTCACGCTGTCCTTCAAATCAACGTCTCGTCCAAAGACCGCAATGCTGCCGTAAACGAACCACACACTATGGCGACCTTGAGCATAATCGATTTGGCGGGAAGCGAACGTGCGAGCGCAACGAAGAACCGCGGAGAGAGGCTTCTTGAAGGCGCAAACATCAACAAGTCTCTTCTCGCTTTAGGAAGCTGCATCAACGCACTATGCGACCCACGAAAGCGAAACCATGTCCCGTACCGGAATTCGAAACTCACACGACTTCTCAAGTTTTCTCTTGGCGGGAATTGTCGCACAGTCATGATCGTATGCGTGAGTCCCTCGAGCGCGCATTTTGACGAGACTCAGAACACTCTTCGATATGCCAACCGGGCCAAGAACATCCAAACCAAAGTCACTAAGAATGTATTCAATGTCAATCGCCACGTGAAGGATTACCTCAAGAAGATCGACGAGCAGCGAGCCTTGATTGACGAGTTGATGAACCAACAAAAGGATTACGAGGGAGGCGCAATGACCAAGTTCAAGAAGATGGCTGAGAAGCGGGAAGCACTGGCTCGGGAATCTATCATTCGCATACGAGCCGCTTATGATCATTCCGCGGCGGAACGACAGGAACGAGCAAACATGATGAGAAAACAACGACAAATAGAGCGGCGCATCTGCATGATACAGGCCTGGGTTGCGGCATTCGACGCAATTTGCGAAAATAGAGACGAAGAAGACCCTCCTCCAGGGCTGGTGGCGATGCGCAAGACGGCAACGGGAATCCAAGCGGAGCTCGAAGGCAGCCGACAGCACTACCATCAACGACTGACAAAGAATAACTGGGAGCGGGCGCTTGACACTGCGCTGCAGGTTGGCTTACGACAACTGCACGAAGTTGACGGCATCGAAGAAGGAAGTGATATCGCAAGTTTGACGCGGGAAGCTGAACTTTTGAAGTCCATTGCCGAGAGAGAAGCCTACGTGAGCGTCATGGAACAAGAGAAGGGCGGAGATGCAGCCATCATCCAAGTGCTGTTACAGGCACACTTCGAAACGGTGGCCATCCTTACCCAGATTGCTACCATGGATGAGGAAGAAGCAGTGCAAGCAGCAAGAAAGGTGCTGGGGAAGGTCATTGCGTCCTGCTCTGACGCAGCATCTCAAGTAATCAAGCCCGACGGTGGGCTCCCAGTTACTGAAATCTTTGCTCCTTCGCGTCATGGTACGCCGAAGAGGAGGAAGCCTATAAACATCATGGGGCCGTCACCTATGCGCCCATTTGCCCTGCCCGCCGTCGCTGAGGCAGCACCTCACGTCATGTCGTCACCAATGAAAGCATCCCCGCGACGCCGGAAGCTTGGTGGTGCTAAGAAGGGCATCCAATTCACGCCAAAGAAGAAGTCTCCCGGCAAAGGTCTGAAGCGAGGAGTCCGGTGGCGAGATGATACAGAAGATGGAACTCTCGCGGAATTCGAAGCCACACCAAAATCGCTCGAGGACACTCCTACCAACTCCTCTATCGACCTACCAGTCCCTACCCTCCCTAGCTTTGTGACAGATCCAGAGCAGCACAGCTCGTCGCCACTCCCAACACCACCACAACCGACCCTCGAGGTTAGCAAACCACGTTCCAGCCGCTTCCAAACTGGCTTCTTGTTGAAGAAGCATGATGGATCACCTCCGCCACCAAAAGCAAATGGCATGACATCTTCTGATGATGATTCCTCGCCGTTACGTGAGGTGAACGGGAATGCACCACCTCATCGCTCAGCTCTTCACGTCGTTCAAAACGCGTCTTCAGACAACGCACGCACCGAAAATGGCGGCAACTCTTCCTCTTCGGATGAGGAGAAATGGACAGTAGATCAGTCGGAGGCTAGCCAGATCCGCTCCGCTATCAAACGCCACTCCCTTACCAACCAGGGTGGGATGAGTCGCACTCATCGTCGACGAAGCCCTACCGCCGCGAGCTCGGGTAGCCCACCAAACGAAAACCTTTTCACAGCCTCTCACGCCAGGAGGATGGTAAAGAGTGACCGCGAAGGCGACTGGAAGGGCAGCGTGCTAAGCCCGCGTACCGCTCCCATCATGAAGGGCGCGCTGCGGCGCACCACGATGGCCGGCCCCGAGGGTCATATGAAGGAGGGTGCTTCTCTACGCGGCGGAGGACCTGTGCGGCTCAGCAGTATTAACAGCACCACCTCTGTAAGGGGTAGCTTGACGGGTGGGTCGAAAAGCGTGTGGCGCTGATTCTGATTTTGACCTCGTGTTTGGGCGTTGCTGTAGGACATAGGTGTCTCATTGGAGGCGCAAACTCTCGGTTGCATAATGCATCATCCCCGGCTCTCAGAGCGCGAGATTGGGGATGCGGCGCGTTGGCGGGCTTCTTATTCTGGTATTGGGTTGGGCATGGAGTCCTGGATTCTTTTGGGCTTCTTGTGGGCTTTGTTCTTAGGGTAATCCAGGTTTCGATATCTTTTATGCTGGTTTTGATGGGTGTGCTTCGAGTGATGTTCCCGTTGAGATTCCACGAGAGGAAAACAATATCCATCATTGATGAGGGGGATCGGGGAGGTCTTGGTACATGCCGCCTTCCGTCCCGTCAAGGTTGAGGCTGAGGGGAAATACCCCTTGATATCCCCTTCCGCCTTGTACTCATTCATCTCTGATGCACCATCGGCCATTTTCGATTTCTTAAAGCCCCATTGCGCAATCAGAGCAGAGAACTGGCCGTCTTATAGACCCACTACCCACAGCCCACATGTATTAAAACGCATGTGCTGTTGTCCAGGAGCGTCCACCTTTGTTCACATTACTTGCTTTAGGCACGATTTCGTATGTGTTCATCTATGCCTATTGGTCATGAGGTCCACTGATTGGGGAAGTCAACCGAGTACTTCGTGGTGTGCCTCCACGGATCTTAGCGTGCGCAGATGTGACTTCATTGGTTCGCGTAACGCATTTCTCGCTAAGCTTGCAATCACGTGGGTTCTATTTCCCCTTCCACGCCGCGATACATTGAGCCTTTTTCTCCTTCCACCCCCTTTCTAGCTCCTTAAGCAATGAGTACTCTTGCTTAGTCTCGAGCTTCTCTGATTCCATGCACAGAAGTAAAAGAGACTATTTTCAGGGCGTGCCCGCGCTGGTCAGAATCACGTGTTCGTGTGACCAAAGAAGAATCCACGCCGAAATCCTCAACTCTCTCGCAGAAATGTCATGAATGACCGCACCAGAAAACCGACTTCAAGATAAGATTCGTTCATAATTTCCGTAATCCCTATTCTATCTACGAAAAGAAAGCACTGGCGCAAACGAATGCTTCAGAAAACTTGGGGTATAATTAAAAGACGCCATCCCGAGGCCCCTGTATCCATATTCCCTATCCACAAACGCCATGCCCCATCGCCAAACGCTCATCGCTTATTCCAAAAGAACGGCGTCGCCGTCTTAGGCGGCGCCTCAAAGTCCGTCTTGTCATCAATATCAAATTGCAGCATCGTCGCCTTGCCCCGCGCCTTCTCCTCCTCCTCCGCCCGCTCCGCCTTCTTCGCCGCGCGCGACGACCGCAGGCCCAGGAAGAGGCAGCTCGCGAAGCTGATGAGGCCGATCCCGCCCACGACGCCGCCGATAACGGCGCCGATCATGCCTTGCTGCGCGAAGCCCGAGGCCTTTGGTGGGATGTAGGGCGTTGGGGTGGCCTTGGGGCAGAAGGTGCGGGGCATGACTGCTTTCTGCTCTTGGATGGCGGTCGCGAGGAAGAACTGGTAGGTGTCGTAGTCGGCCATGAGGTAGACCTGGCTGAGGAAGGCGACGGAGAGGAGAAAGGGGTCGGTGGAGTTCTCGTCGCGGGCGGCGACGGGGGAAATGCCGCTGGTGTTGAACATGACGTTGTTGGGCATTGTGATGGTGAAGCCGTCGTCGAGGATGATGGTCATGGTGCCGGCAAAGGGCTTGTTGAGCTTCAGTGAGCCATCGGAGTTGCCGGAAGGTCCTGCTGATAGCTTCTTGATGTAGTTTTGGGTGATCTCGTATGGGAGAGAGAGCGGATATTGCTCGGTGGTGAGCCTAGCTTCGAAAGGGTCTGGCCGGGTCTTCAAGTTGGAGAAACTGGCTGGGTCGAAGAGAGAGATGTTGCTGGTCGAATCCCCACCATCGCTGATGATGATGTCTTGGACAGTAACAGGGAAAGGAGAAGCGTTGTCGGTACGCATTGGGTATTTGTGGACGTCGCCCTGGAATCGACCGGCATCGTAGCCACCGAAGACATTGCTGCCGTTGATGACACCACCGGCACGGTCCATTCCAGATCCGATATACAGGGAGTAGGTTCGGCCCGCAATCAGATTTTGGTCATAAAGCGTCTGTAGGAGGGTAGAGGAGTAACCCATGCCAACTATGCCTGGAGCAGCGCTGCCATTCGTGGCAACCTCAATTGTGTACTTGCTGACGACGTTCTGTGAAGCGCCATCGGTTTCGAAAAAATGGGTGTATAGGTGTAGATCGTCCTGGCCGAACTCTCCTGTGAAGGTTCCATTCAGGTCCGTTATGTTGTGATCCAGTGATTGGAAATTTTTCTCTTGGACGAATCTGTCTTGACGTGAGCACAAGTGTCATGAAAGATCAGTGAGGTAACATACGAGGTAGAGAGCGAGGTGTCGAAGTTCCCGCGAGTAGACTGTGCACAATTCGCGAGGGTACTATGATCACAATAATTTGAATCCGTGATGATAGTGTCATTCCGGATCAACGACGGCCATAGGCTCTGATTCTGTGACGGGTTTCCCACGCCTATGAACGAGCCGTATTGAAACACATCAGTCCCATGGACAGCTCGCTTGTGGATATCGACGTAGATAGGAGCTTTCGCGCAGTTGAAGGCTGCTGTGGACTGAGCAAACAGCACAGACGCAGAGAGGAACAAGAGAAAAGAGGCCATGTCGGCGTGAAGGATTTATGCGTAAGAATTGCAACCAGGCAAAAGCATAGAGCAATGGTTCACGTCAGAAACCGAGTAAGAGAGAGCAACAGCGCGTCGAAAGGAAGCGGCACAGTACTGTCAGATGGGCGCAGCAGAGGAAGGTTATGCTCTTGCGGCCCTTCTGTCTGTTATGTTTCTGGCGACTCGGTGCCACGGCATGAGACGCCAGCTCCGGCGCGCACAACCCACCTTCGCGTCGACATGATTGCATGGTCTGCTAAGAATACGCTCTCAGATTTGCAGGTCCGCATGGGGGCCCGGCTGGCGGGCTCGACATATCTGAAATTAGCACTTCTCCGCATCTGATGAGGCTCCAGGGAAAACATGAGACGCGCTTTCGTCGAGTCGATTCCTGCGGAGGCGTCGTTAGAGACGGCCGGGTGGGTTTGTGGGCGGCTGGGCGCCGGGACTGGCTGCGCGGTAGGCTGCTTCGAGGTTGGAGCCAGCGCTTCCAGCAGACAGCCGTCCGGAGAAGAGTTGATCCAGCATGAGGCGCCCAGGCGGTGGTTTGGGTGGTTGGCGATGTGGACGTTGGAGGAGCTATAAATAAAGCAGAGGCGTTTAGTGATTGGCCTGGATATTCTCCACCGAGCGCCAACCTTCGAACTGACGGGATGGGTGCCGGGGTCCAGCTATTTTCAACCTCCCATCCATCCTCACGTCGATTGTACCGACTCTCGAAAAGCCTTTGGCGTAGCAGGTCTTGCACCAACCTCGCGATACGTGCATACTATACCCCGTCAATTCTCTTAGGTAGCCTGCACTATGTAGAAACACGTCCTGCGCCCGCATCTGGAGCCCGAGCCGTAGATACAACCAAATACCATCTCCATACCTTCTTCCCATCATCTCATCAATCTCACATCTATACCACATCAAGAAGTCATGAAGCATACCCCACTTGCACGAGCACCCGCCACGGTACGGCACGAAACCAGCAGCCCGCGGACCCTCACAGCATCTGCAACCAAAGCCACCGTCCCATTTGGGCGCTTAGAGGCGCAATCCTCAAACCCAGCTCCACCAACGCCGCAGCCCCTCCACCTTCACGAATAAGACGACGGTACGTATCACGAGGGACTACTTCCAAACCGCGACCTCCTAGGCAGCAAAGGACCACCACGGTCCTCTACATCCCCCAGCGCCGAGCTATCCGTCCTCTAATCTAATGAGAAAGAGTCTTGTTTACAGAACGCGCGCGGTTCTACCGATCAGCCTCGAGGGGGGACCGCCGGGTGTATCAAGCTGCTTCAGAACGTCTCACTCACGCACTCAACTAGGCCAGCTGGGCGTCGGCGGTATTGCCGTCAATGGGGCACGCTCTTTTTCAAACCCTTGTGGAGAGAAAAGCTTGTACTCTAGTTCAGTGGAGCATCTGCGGGCCTGCGTTTATGCGGACTCGAGCGTGGGATGGATGGATACCTGCTCACTGATAGCTGGTCACGTGATATGCCCTTCGTCCTAATCAAGAGTTGTTGGCTGCTTGGCTATGATTGAGGCTACGATGCTCGAAGTGCCGCAGCTTGGAGCCGATGCCATGCTTTCCCCGGTCTTGAGACCATCATAGAGCTGCGATCTCGTGAGCAAGATTCCTGCTCTCCATGCCTCTGTGGGCCCTCCCCTCACGCCCGCAGCCGTCTACTCCGCTTATCACAACTCGACCAAAAAATCTGCATGAAGACCTGGCCGCCTCCACAAGGCACGGGAGCGGCGTAGCTAGGGCGCCTCGTCTCCATCGACTAAGTTAGATGCACACTCTGAGCATACCACCCACACACTCAGTGAACACCGAAAGTAATCACTAGAGTCACATGCAACAAGTGACACATCCCCTGAGTAGTATCACAGCTCCCATTCCAGTGTCTACCTCACTCCTGCCCTAACTCTGTACCCTAGGCCTGTATGCAGAATATCAGTGCGTAGATATCCCTCGCTCACGCCCGCTCCTTCGTAGCATCCGATAGCAGGCCCGACCTCTCTTTTCGAGGAAAGAAACATACAGATATAACACCTAGTTTGACGTCCTCCCTTTTCCCTCCTAAATACATATCGTACGTAGCATACACTTCTGGTGACCTGTCGTAGGGTAACTGTGATATGTATGACAGTGAGTGATGGCGCTTACAGCTGCTGAGCAGTGGAATATCGATACTCGATCGTTTCGTGATGCCACTAGTATCTATGATGAGATGTGTGTCTTAATTTAGACATCGAGGGGTGTTTTCGTAGCGCTGAGCCGAACCGCGATTCTGGAGCCGATCTCAAGGCGCGAGCAGGACCCATCGTTTCTCGACCTCTTTCGCGCCGACACGTGCCGCAACGTTGCTGAGGGTGTTGTTGATCACGTCCTTTGGTAGCTTAGGAAATCTTCAGGTTGGTTAGCATTTTGTAATCTTAGTTGAAGCAAGATGGCCACTCACTGCTTTTTCAACGCCTCCACCAGCGCGATCTTGGTCATGTCACTGCCCGAGATCGCAGTTTTGAACGCTTGTAGCTGTTCTGGAGGTACCATTCGCTTCGGTTTTGCAGCTTGTGCAGCACCGGGCACCTTAGGTGGCTTCGGCCCCGGCTTGCCTGCGAGGAGTACGTTGTGGCCATTGACCATGGAGTTTGGCCGTGACGTAAGAGGTAGTCTTGGCGGATTCATCAAGCCGTTGACAGTGCCTGCTTTACTGTCTCTGGATTGCAAGGTGAGAGGAGAGACGGCAGGTACCTTCTCCCAGTACTCAGTCGAGAATGGATCGATGGATTTCGGACGCGGTTCTTTGATTGTTAGCTTAGAAGAAAATGAGAATGAAGTGTTTGCATACCGAGAAGCATCCCCATTTTCAGCTCCCGGAACTCGAGAAAGACCTCTTTGGAGCCATCCGCTCGTCTGGCAACTCCCTTCGCATCCTCCCAGCAAAGTCCCGTGCTGACAGGCTCAAGATCTCCGCTAATAAGCCTCCTTTTATTTTCTGCGGCGTCCTCGTCGTCGAGGAAGCTTTCCAAATCATCGTCGTCTGCCTCGGAATCATCGTCGCCTTCCGAGTCTAGATCCTCTCCTTCCTCAGGCTCTTCCCACTCCGCCTCCGAGTCGTAGTCGTAGTCGGTTTCGGGTAATCCACGGTGGAAGGGGTTCCGGGCCAACCTGGCTGCCTCGTGCAGAGTGGGAACTTTCGTAAATGTACCATAATACGGTGGTCGGACATCCTCAGGGAAGAAAAGATATTTCATGGGTACTTTCTTGAGCAAGTCTAAGGGCTGTGTGTTGGACTTGGTATCTGCGTCGGTCAGGTCGATAGGATGTGCCGATGACCCGTTAATATGGGCGATGATGTCCTTCATCGGGACGGTTTTTAGGCCGCGAGGGCCGCGGCTGGTCAATTGAGACTTGAACGTTTCAGGCTGGCTGATTTCCATGGATTCCTGGTGTTGTGACATATTGTCCAGCCGCTGGCGAGCTACTTCCAACTCGTCCTCGCCACCGATGAATTGATTATACGCTGCCATGATAGAACGGGAGGGAAGCTCGAAAGGAAGAAAGCATCGTTCATAGTCGGTTAGCTTCGTAGCTCGCTTACTTGGGGACGGGGAGCGTGACGGTATTCCAGGCTCTAGGGACAGCGACTTCCTCCTGTCCATTGGGTCTGCTGACAGAACGGGTTTGCCGGGGCTATCCATGGAGCCTTTTGGAGGTTGCTTGAAGAACGCATTCAAGCGCAGCTGAGACTGTACGGCTTTAGTAGCTATCCCAAGATTACTGATGTGTGGCGGGTAGGCATACCTTTTCCTTCTTCTGCTTTTCCTCGTCTTTCTTCCGCTTCTCGTTCTCCTTCTGTTGTTGTTCAAGCTCTTTAGCTCGCTTCTTTTCTTCTTTTTCCTCGTTCTTTTTCCGACGCTCCTCGTCTTTGGCCCGCTTCTCCTCGTCCTTCTGAGCTTTGGCCTCAGCCTTCGCCTTGTCTTTGACCTCCTTTTCTAGCCTCTTCTCCTCTTGCTCCTTGGGGGTGAGCTTCCTCCTCTTCTGAGGCTTGGCGCCATTTGTGGATATGCCCAGCTGGGCATTGGCCTGCCCTGACACCGAGTTGTTGCTACTAGGAACCGGGGATGCTGCTCGCGCATTGGGCTGATTTGAGGTAGCAGGCGTAGTCAGGCTAGATAGCGACGTCAATGTAGAGGTAGTGGAATGAGTCGGAGAGGCAGAAGCCATCGAAGGGGCTGCTTCGGCGGGTGCTCCGTCATCCTCGTGAGGGCGTTTGCGGGACGGAGACAGGCTCTGGGGCAGAACCTCGGACATGGCGGGCGCAGGAAACGCAAAAGCAATAAGCAAAAGGAAAATTGAGAAGCACTCTATGGGGGGCTTGTACAGGTGCGGCGGTGGTGCGAATGTGGGTTGGTGGTTCGGGCAAGGTGAAGTCGAGACGCGTTTAGGATAACGGAAAGAGCGCGTCGTTGGGGGACGTGCGCCGGGCCTAGAAATATATTACCTCCAAGGCTGGCACATCACCTCGTGTCTTTGACAACGAACAAGCAGTGAATGCCGCCATGAATGATGACAGCTTCGACGACATGCTCTTTGGAGCTGTCTCAGATGAAAACTCTTCTCAAGAGTCACTAACTGCTGATACTGACGACTTCGACGACCTTCCGGGAATCCCAGGGACTTCACAGACAACGCTGTTTCCTTCAGAGGACGACTTATTCACTAACTACCATAGTAATAATATTAGTGGCGTACCACTAAAGATAGAGAATGTAGCGGATGCTCTCCCAAGGGGCCCTTCGAACGCTCAAGAACCTTCAAGCAAAACTCCAGAGTTACCACCATCTGTTCGTGACAGGCATGCAGCCCCAGGTGCTCATGGACAGCTATTTATGCTAATACAGCTTTCGAACAGGGACTGGGTCATCAAGAAAATAGAGCTGATCTTCGAGAGCATTGTTGACGCTTTGCTCGAAAAGAAGGACAAGCTCTACATCAGCCTAAAAACTCGATCCGGAAGCAAAGGCCGGAGAATTGATCCAGCGAACGGCATTGTCACATCAGAAGATGGACTCCAGACTCGAATCATTACCTTCCCAGGAAGCACAGCGCAGGAAGCTTGGAGATTTAGTTGTGCTCTCCTGCCTCACTAGCCTTGTCTACCATACTAACTGTTGGACTAGCTGTATTAGTTCGTATTCTTGAGCTTGTCCATGATGCTCTGACCTCAGACGCTGTCATTACAAAGAGGTGAGATTCCAAAGAGTCCAATGACTTCGAAGAGAGATTCTCACATCCATTAGAGATATATACTATCGCAGTCCCGATCTTTTCGTCAAGCAGGCTGTGGTCGATCGCTATGTGGACGATATAGCATGTACTTTTAGTGTCACCCGGAATCTACTTAACGTTGTACGTTCCTTTGGCTCAACATGTTTGCGGATACTGGACTTACCTCGCTTTCAGTCGGCCGCCGCAAAAGGTCTCATTGTGGGGAACTTCAACATTCAGAGATCAGATGGTACGATCATCAATGGTGTCACCAATCGAGAGGTTCGCCCATGTCAGTTGTATATTAAACCTTATCTCACATGAATCTAGGGCACTCTCATCCTAAATCTCAACGAAGATGACGTTCTCGAGGTTTCTGCAATTCACTGGATTGTTGTAGTAGAGAAAGAGGTCTACCGGTGTTTGCCTAGCATCATCCATACATAAACTGACATTTGCTAGGCTACTTTCCGGTCGCTTGTCCATTCAGACCTCTGGGTGAATATCAGTTCGCAGGGGATAATCTTGACTGTATGTGGTGTCACACCACTGTCTTCCCAGCTGACCAGGTTAGGCCAAAGGCTATCCAGACCTGGCAACTCGGGCATTCCTTCGCGTACTTACGACTGTTGCACCACGTATCCCTCTCTACGCCATGATGGACTTTGATCCTGATGGCCTTGCTATTCTCTCTACTTACAAGTATGGGTCATATTCTCTAGCTCACGAAAACTCACATGCCAGCAGTTCTAGCACATCTCGACCACTGAACTTGCCACAGATTCACTGGATTGGAGTCAAGAGCTGTCACCTGACTTCGAGTCCCGTTCTAGCAAGTGACAGGCGCGAGAAAGCGGTAGGCCAGACTGAGGGTCTGCTTAGGTTGACAACTCGAGACCGCCGCAAAGCTCGGAAGATGCTCGAGTGGGACGTCCTCGCAGAAGACGGCCCAGAGGCGGAGTGGAGAGCTGAGATGCAGAGGATGCTCTTGTTGAACGTAAAGGCAGAGATGCAGATTTTTGAGGAGCAGCCAGGTGGATCAGGCCAGTGGTTGAAAGGGGAGCTCGGCTTGTCATGAATAACAACGAATGGCACTGCAAGAGCATTAGGGGGTGTTGATATACCGACTTTCCCATATGCAGGTCTCATGCCGGCATCATGTGCGAGGAGGGCAGTTCTGGCTATATATCTACCACGTTTCCAATATAGATGGCACCCTACATACGCAACCAGCGCCCACAAGTGGACGATATGCACCCACCGTGCTACCAGCAGCACGATCCTGCCACGCCGGGCTGCGATGCATGTCTCTCTCCAAAGCACAGTGTCTGCAGCCTGTGCGAGAGGATAACGACTACGGCGTCTCGTCAGCAGTTTCACAGGCGTAGCTAGGCAGTATTTGCACGACGGCGCCACGGTACCTTATATACAGACAACAGCCAGCTCTACGACTGCCCCTCTCTCAGTGTCAAGTCGAACTAGGGCAGCCGGTGGCACCCCGTCGGCGACTTACTGGCCGTGAGCATGGCCGCCGGGGTAGCACAGGCGGGGGCTCAGTGGGGATTTTCAGTGAACAACGCATCCCTCACGCGCATCTACCAGACAGCTTCTACCACCATGCACCGCGCGCATTGACTTGCATGACACCCAACACAATGCCCCAGGACGACCACAGCGAGTCTCAATATGCCCCGGCCCCCTTAGCCATCGCGAGCGGTGCTGCTCACCACGCCCCGCCCGCGAGCACCCACGGCCACCATGGCCTCGCAGACTCAAACACCTCGAACACTCTGCCGCCCGCCCTCACACCAGTGACGACCGACCGCCAGTCCGTCTCGCTGGGCGTGCTCTCGAGCTTCTGGGGCGACAACAGCGGCTCTAGTGCAACAGCAGACGGCAGTAGCACGCTCCGACATCCTCACGATTCAACTATCACGACACCCAATCCAGCCTCGACCGCCCCTCCACCCTCCCTCTCCGACCACTCGAACCCCCTCCACGTCTCCGCCGCCCTTCGCGCCCTCAGCACCGGCGCGTTCCGGGCCCGCGCACCCGCCAAATCAACCTCAACCCGCACCTCGCTCTCCTCGCAGCCCGTCGTCGTCCGCACCTACTCTGGCTCCCGCCGCGGCGGCGGCTCAGGCGTCAATTCGCCCCGCCTCCTCCCTGAATCGCACACCATGAACGGCAGGAGTCCGCTGGGCGCGGCTAACGTGGATACACTGCCCCCCGTGGACGAGTTTTCGTTCGGGGGCATACTACGCGCCGTGGACCCCGAGATCCGCGACGCGATCGACGCAATTGCAGAGATATGTGCGCGGAGCAGGCTGAGTCTGGCAGACGAGTACGACGCCCATCTACCGCCCACCGGGGAGATCACGACGGGGACTGGTTTGGGCGTGGCGGTGGGGTTGGTGGGGCGACGACAGAAACACGAGCATGGGAATGCGTTTGGGCGGTTTGCGGGGTGGGGCGACAACACGTTGACGGCTGTACCCGAGGCGAGCAGTAGCAGCGAGCGGCTGGCGGGGGAGAGTCGGGCCAGCACCACGGCGGGGAGTGTGGGAAAGAAGTCTGCGTACGGGAGCTTGAAGAGCGTGATAGGTGGGAGCAAGCGGAAGAGGGGGGATGTGCCGGCCTTCCACGGCGACGAAAACGCGTCTAGGAAGGGAGATACCGCTGCGGTGGAGCCGTCGTCGTCATCGACGGCGAAGACGCCAGGGTCGCAGTGGGCTGTTAACACGGACGCGACGCCGCATCCCTCCATCACGCTTGTCACCACACCGACCGCGTCGAAGCAGCTGTCTTTTGACTTCCCTGCTTCGCTCGAGGAGCCGGGAAAGGCGTACTCCAACTCCAACTCTGTCCTCCATGACCCTGCCATGGCGTTCAAACCTATCTTCACGCCGACGCCTGCCCACAGACGACACACCTCTCTCACATCCTTCCCCCACCCGGCCAGGAACCGCTCTACGACTCTCTCATCTCTCGCCTCCTGGATCCCCTGGAATCGCACTGTTGCAGAACGGCCCAGCACCTCTTCCTCCGCAACCCTCGACGCCGCGACGAAAGCAGAGTTGACGCTGAAAGACCTACTACGAGCTTCTTCGGGGATAGAAGGCAGACCAAAAGGAAAAGGCCGGGAGATCATTGCGGCCGCATGATCCACTACTTCAGCAGGAGGCGTTCCGATATATCACGATTAGCGATTTTCTTTCGTGTATTGCACAGGAAAAACGGCTGAGGCGCGTATAAATCGACAGTTTCAAGAGCCTATGTCTCTAAACCGGGAAGGATATCTTAAGGAATGGGTAATGACACAACACGGCGGCGATGGGACCTGGCATCAAATAACGGCCGATAACGACATCACGAGTACAAAATGTATCGAGGTAAGCTATATTATGTTTGCGATAATCAAATAGGCCTGCGAGCTGGGCTCGAAGTGGCTTCTAACGCGTAACTTCCATCACTCACTACGCTTCCATGTTGATTGGTTGATATCATGTCATTTCTATCAGGTAGAATAACCCCCATTCCCAGATCTACTGACACTAAAGCCAATCCAACCCCCCCAAATCCATCATGCAACTCCCTCCCATCCCCTACAACTTCCCCCCTCCCCCCCTCCCCCCCACCACCACCTCCTCTCGCCTCACCACCTCCACCTCCCGCGGCCCTTCCCTCGCAAATCTTGCCACAACCACCCACCCCTTCACCCCCCTCCTGCCCTTGCCCTGGCGCTCCACCTCCGGCCCCGCCCACTCCAGCCCCAGCACCGTCGCGCCCTGCCCCACATCCCCATACCCGGGCAGCCCCACTACGGGCCGCGGGCTGATGGCCGCGTCCGCCCAGCTCGCCTCGCGCTCGCCGTCGTACACGGCCGGCTCGTTTAGAAACTTGAGGAGCGCGTCGCGCTCGGCTTGCAGCGCGGCGGGCGGCGGCAGCGGCGACGTGGGCGACGTGCTGCTGCGCGCGAGGTAGGGCGCGAGGAGGTGCAGCAGGAAGAATTGGGGCGGGAAGAGCAGGATGCGCGCGGCGCGGGCGAGGGCGAGCCATTTGGCAGCGGGCAGGAAGCGCGCGGCTGTGTGCTCGATGCCGCCGTCGGGGGTGGGGGTGGGGATGATGATTTCGTCGGGGTCGAGGGTTGTTGAGATGGGAGAGGCCGGGGAGGAGGGGGGTAAGGGGGAGGATGAGGAGGAGGAGGGCGAGGTGGGGAGGGGGAGGAAGTAGAGGTACATTTGGGTGGTGAAGCGTTTGGGGACGTTGGCGGGGGTGATCCAGCGGGTTAGGGGGATGAGGGCGTCTGTGGGGGTAAGTTATGGGGGTTTGGAGACGGGAGGGGGGACGGGGATGAGAGAAGGGTTTGTACCTGTATCAGCGACTGCTCCGACTTTTCCTAACCAGTCTAGGAACATGATTTTGCCGGAGTGTACGGCTTTTCTCCCCTCTTCCCGCTCCTGGTCGCCGATTTCGGTGAATAACCGCCCCGTCGTCTTGTTCTTCGCGAGGAGGATCCCACTCTCTTCAAACGTCTCTCGTATCGCCGCAAGCCTGTACGCTTTCCCGTCTTCGTGTCGCGCCAACGAGTCCACGGCGGGTATCTCTCCGTCATGCTCCGCGGACAGGGCGCCGCCGGGGAAGACGTGTGCGGATGCGAAGGAGGACGACGTTCTAACGCGGTGGAGGAGGAGGATCTGGTTGGAAGGGGAGACGAGTAAGACGCTGTGTAGAACTCAATGTCAGAAGAATGAACTTTTACGTCGGAATTGGGGGGTGCCTACCTCGAACTGGGGATGGGAGGTCGCGGCACTTTGGGCGGATTCTTCAGCGGCTGGTGGTCTTCTGGGCGGCTCATGGCTCTGTGATATGTGTGGAATCTCCTAAGTCTATAATTCTTAAATGCGACAACTCCGCGTGTATATGGTGGAAGATGTGAAGGGTGGTTGCGGACTTCGAATGGGCACAATCGCAAAGGTATGGGCTTGGATGTAACTGGAAATCTGGGGCGGCCAATGGAGGTATGGAGAAGAGTCTGGGGAAGAGTGCGCGCTGACATAGTAGTCAGCTGGCGGCGACGGGTCTATCAGCTGTGGGTGGCACATTTCGGTGGTGGTGGTTGAGGTGAGCGACGCGGGGAGGTTGAGATGCCGAGGTCGCTTTTCGATGGATGACAAGTCCCGGGATAGTCGACTCGAGGCAAGCTTTGGACGGAAAACGTAACTTAATTGGATCAAGGGTTGATTACAAGATTAATGTGACTGGTGTCCACCCAAGGCGTACCAGGGTACCTATCATAAGCTGTGAGTTTTGAGTTATAGACGTGTTCCGTAGAGCAGATGCGGTCTGGTTAAGATCCTCGTCGAATGAAACAATCACAGCGCCCTCTCCCTCTCAAGAAGCGATCATACGCTATATAAGCAGTATCTCTCGCACATTCAAAGGTACTAACTTACAGCATATGTACAATTCCATAGCTTGCCCGCAAAACCCCATCTCCCTTCCACACAGACTCCCCCAAAACCCACCATCCCCAATCCCCCCTAGCGCCTCCCCCAATCCCAAACTTCTCTCACCTCCAACCCACCACCAACCACCATCCACCCCGTCACGCACCCCAATGGCCTCCAAACGCCCCATATGCGCCCTCGCGCGCCTCACCCCCTCCCGCCCCTCCCTCCCCCCCATCCTCTCAACCCCCCAAACCTCCCCCTTCACCACCACCCCCCCGGCGCCCCTCGCGCACCACGACACGACCGCCTCCCCGCGCCCGCGCTGGCAGCAAACGCCCTCGCGCATGGCCGCGCCCTTCCGCACGCGGCCCAAGCCCGACGGGCCGGCGTACGTCGTCAACAGCGACCCGCGGCGGCTCGACGCCGTGTACGCCAAGCTGCTGGGCGAAGCCGCACCGCTGAGCGACGAGGTCAAGTGGCTGGCCGTCACGCATAAGAGCTTTGATCACGGGCGGCGCGGGTTCAATGATCGGTTGGCGGTGCTGGGTATGTGTGTTGCTTTTCTGTGCCTTTTTTTGTTTTGGAGTGGGGGGGAAAGGTGTGGTTGCGTATGTTCCAGGGGGATTGGGATTTGGGAGTTTGGTGTTATGATGGATGCTGATTATATGAGTGTACAGGTCGTCGAGTGATATCCCTCCAAACCTCCCTTGCGCTGCTCAACTCGACCCCGAGTTCTACCCCAGCGGCGCCGGATGCCTACAACCGCGTCCCCGTGGCGCACCCGGCGCTCGCGGGTCTTGGGGGGTTGACGGCGGAGACGAAGGCGGAGGTGCTGAGCAAGGCGCGCTTGGCGGGGCTGGCGGAGCGGTATGGGCTGGATAAGGTGACGCGGTGGAAGCCGAAGAAGGTGTGTTTTTCCCCTGGCATCCCTTTCAAATTTTTCTGTGCTATGGGTCAGAGAATGCCGGATGAAGGCTAACGGTGATCGTGTTAGACGGATAATCTCCACGGCTCTGGTATCGAAGTTGTGATTACGACGAGTCTGTATGCGATTGTGGGCGCGGTGGCGCTGGAGAAGGGGGGCCATGTGGCGGAGCGGGTTGTGAGGGAGAAAATCTTGACGCCGTTGGGGCTATGAGGAAGGATAGCGGTAGTGGAAAATAGAGGGCGTAAACGGGGGGTAATGCTGTAAAACAGAGGTGTACCATATCAAAACAGAGGGTAAAAGGGTAAAAGAAGCAGCAAGAGCGTGTCCACGGGCAGAGTCGTGGCACAGGCGTGTAGGCTGATAGAATTTCTTGTAAATATCATAGACACGCAAGAAGATCACCCAACAAAGAGGTTGACTCTTCATCCGCAGCATAGACGAAACGCACGTTGAATGAGTGAATGTACTCGTCTTTATCGGGTCATTCGTATGTATGTACATAGACGTACAAAAAACGCTACTGCATCCCATCCCCACCATCCACACCTCCATCCAGACCCTATACAAAAAATAATATCAATAAAACCACCCATATGCAAACCCTCTTGATCGTACCGAAAAATTGCCAAGGTATCATGCACACCGCAAAACGCCACTCTAATGAGATTCATCACTCATTCTTCTAATCTCTCTCAATTTTCCGCCTTACCCCCCTCCCCCTCTACTCCCGCACTCATGTCCGCTTTTAATGGCTATCCGTAGCCCCGTACCCATTCACCCCATTCAGCGCCGCCCCCGGCATGAGCGTCTCGCGCGCGCCCTCGGCCTCCTCCTCGATGTTCTCGCGGTGGATCGTGTTGCTCTTCTTCCACACGAACCCGACGAGCGTCACGCCGACCAGCAGCGCCAGGCCGAGCAGGATCACGTTGACGGGGATCGGGTTGTTGTTGAAGAGCTTGTGCGTCATGGCGTCGAGCGCCGACTGGGAGAAGTTGAACAGCCCCGCCAGGCAGATGATCAGCCCGTAGACCTTGCCGAAGGTGGCGAAGCCGAAGACTTTGGCGGCGTAGTCGCTGGGTTGGGGGATTAGTGGGAGGTTTTGGTGGGGACGGGGGTAATGGGGGAAATGCTTACGAGACGGTGGTGTAGTATAAGGGACGGTAGACCACGAAGAGGCAGACGTTTGCGTAGGCGGCCCAGGTTTGAGGGATCACGCCGAGGACGCCGATGGTGGTGGCGATGGCGACGAGGACGCCGAGGCAGAAGGGGGTGCTGGTGTTGTCGAGGATCAGGCCGATGAAAGGGACGGAGATGACGCCGCCGAAAGGGAGGGCGAAGTCGAAGAAGTTGTTGATTTCGACAGCGCTTTGGTAGGAACCCAAAAGGTACTCGTATTGCGGGCGAATGGTGGCGACGAAGTAGTTGATGCGGGTCATTTGGATGACCGTGAATAGGGTGATAAGAATAAACCACGGGCTCTTGATCTGCTCAGTTGCGGTACGGCCGTGTAAAGCGCCCCAGACCCCGGACACGTTCTTCTTCTTCTCTTCGTTCTTAGTCTGCTCATTCGCGTCTGCGCTTCCTAGGAGCTCGGTAATTTCGCTAACGATACTTTCGCGGTGGACGCGGCGGGCCTCGCGGAGGCGTTGGACTTCTGCGGGGTTGTTGATTTGGCTATCGGATGCGTGGTCGTCGAAGCTTGTGTCTTCTTCGGCTTGCGTGACAAGCTCTCCGACGGTCTTGTAGGAATTTGACGGCATGACAAATAATTGGACAACAAGGATGAATACGGGTACCACCAGGTAAGCCAGGAAAAACTTTTCGGGCCAGAATGTGCCTCCGCTGGCTGTGTAGATTAGTCTATAGAACAAGAATATAGCACTGGACGTGTCGAACGCGCCAGTGAGAAGAGCGAGGATAAGACCAGAATATTGCGGGAAGGTGTTGCTTAATTGGAACGAAGATATGAAGATAAAAGGGCCTCCGAGGGCCAGGAAGAGGTAGCCGGGGATATATCCATCAAAAGGTAGCTGCCAGGCGAAGGCGAAGAACAGACAGCCGATGGCGACGAAGAGTGAGCCGACAATGCCGCAAACGCGGGGACCATAGCGGTCGAGGACTGTGCCAACGGGAAGGGCGACGACGTTAGTGGAGACTGCGGCTACGGTGAACATAAAGTTGAGCCTGTGGGGGGGGACGCTTTGGTCAGTATTTCTTCCCTTTCTCCCAATGGCAGACAAACTGACCGGATCTCCTGCTCGAAGCACACACGTACGCCCTCCTCTAGTTCTTCTTTGGTACAGTATCCCCGATATACCTCTTCCTTAATCAGTACGGGCTTGATGGCGGCGTATCCGAAGACTATTCCGGCGGCGAGAAGGCAGTAGATAACGGCGAAGAAGACCTGGACTGTTCGGCGTCAGTGAAGGGCAATGGAGAACACGGCGAGCCACTCACATATCCTCTTGGTCTTGGGCACCTCGAAGGCACCCACTGGCTCCTCCTGGGCAGCTTCCGGTACCCAGGAGCCCACAGGATTGAAGCTCATCTTGCGCTGGCGGCCATTGGGGCTCTGCTCGCGACTCCACGGCTCATATTCTTCCATAGCGCTGACGCGCTCAAATAGTGACATAGCTGTAGCGACCCCGCAGAAGGTTATCTATGTTCGGAGGCAGGTGGTAGCGGTGGCGGGCTGCAGTCGGCGCGGTAGAAGTAGCACGGAAGAGCTCTTCGATGGGGTGCGACAGCGAATGGGTGACGCAGGCGAGCTTCCCCGGATTTTTGGCTCCGGCGGACACGTGCAGCGCGAAAACGGGTGGGAGAGGGGTAGGGCTAGTTCGTGATGGGGACGATGCAGATGCGAGGAGCACGCTCTGCAACACCAATGGCAGCCAGCGACGATGCTGGGCGCTGCTCTATATACTCTGCGAATGCTCGAGGGCGGGGGAGCATGATAGCCGCAAGGTTGCTATCAGAGCTGTCTGACTCGTGACGCCCGAGCGGCCAATCAAGGCCTGCAGCGGCTCAAAGGCGATGGAGCTTGGGGCTGGCAGATTTTTCGATGCTTTTTCGCCCTGCAGCGAGCCGATACGTTCGCAGCACGCCGATGCACGACGGCAGCCAGACATTCACCCTCCAGCATATGCAGCCTAGTATGTGAAAATTCAGCTGATATTAGACTAGGGCCCCAGCAACTGTTGGCCATGTACGGCATTCCGGCATTGTGGACTGCAACTGCAGGAGGGACCGTCAAACTCCTCCGACTCGCTCATGTATGAAGCACGAATGACAAGAGCTTCAGCGACCACGTAGCGGGGGAAGAGTATATCATTTGAGCCTACGATTCATCCAAATCCTCGCCTGTTGTTTAGTCACGGATGGTAGGTGGATATGACAGCAATATGCGCATCCTGGAGTCCAAGATGCGTGCAGCTTCTGTCTCGTCCATCGGCGCACTTGATGGTGTACTTACGGTTGAGAATCCCTTTGTGCGATTCTCGCCCCAGCTATATTGTTGACTAAGTACGAATATAGCCGGAAGAAAGGTAGGTGACTCTAGGTGTTAGGCATACCATACTGTCCAGCAAGCATTGCTTTATTCGCCTTCATTTGGAAAGTCTATCAACGGGTCCAGTGACCTGGCTGTTGGATGGAAGGAGGATAGAACTGCAAGCCCCATTTGAAGGCATGAAGTTGAATTGAGAGAGTAAGATAAAGAGACGCTAAATTCGAATCATTTCGGTCTCCTCCGGTAGACTAGCTCTACAGTATTTCATGAGATGGAAAATTAAATGCCATGTGCTCACTCTCAGTGAAAAGGTTCTGAGCCCGCTTTCTTTGCATTGGTGATTCGAGCAACTCTCAGAGTAATTCAAGTTTCCAAAGCTAAGCTTAATATTGTAGTGTGAAAAAATTGAGGAAGTTCAGTTCATGACGATAGTGACGATGTCAACTGGAGTGCTGTTCTTCTGATCACCGGCCTTAATACGACCTTCAGGACCACAATGCTGCATTTCCTAAGCCATCAATTGCTCATCCAATTAAACAAGCGCTTTTAGCGTCATATTGCTACGATTCACGGTTTTGTATCTCGCTTTGAATTCCTACATGATTTAGCGATACCTGCAGCTCCCAGGAACTTGGGCTTCCAGACTCGGGTTGCAGCAACCTAGGATCAGCAGCTCATACGGCTCACGATCACCTGCGTGCACAACACCCCAGGTATCCCTTACTCTCCCTTTCTCTTCTCTCCCTTTCTCTTCTCTCCCTTTCTCTTCCTTACGGAATTGTCAAGGGAACGACTAAGGGAGCGCCCTGAGGGGTAGTTCATCTCGTTACTCTATATAATCCGCCTTTACGGCATCTACAATAGAGCAGAGTTCACATCAGGAGAACCAAGGTGATGAACCCCTTGAAGACCCTGACGAAGGTACCCTCGAAGCGCCCCCCAATCCGTTAGATGATCCCGCAGACTCTCTTCTTGAGGGCTCGATGCTGGAAGGAGATGGCCAGACCATACAACCCGATCATACCTGTTCAGAGGCATTTTCATCGGGAGCAGATTACCTAGACGCGCTCTCTCTCAGATATAGAGAAGGCTACAGTGTCTACGATTGGGACTACGAGCCTTGCGAGGCCTGTATCTGGGAAGCAAAGTCACTGGCTGAATCAGACACCAAGCCCGAAGCTTCTGCACTTCAGCTTGGGACCGGCGAAGCTCCTCCGGAGCCCTATTCCGGTTATGAGTCATGTCGTCTAGCTGTCGAAGCACATCAAGCCCTCGATTCCTTCCGGTCACCTACCATGCCGCCGCCACCGCAGCCACGCCTGAGTGGACTACGAGAATCCGACGACAAGAGCCCGGATTACGCCTTCCAGTCGTCTCCGGCGTATACCTAGACGTGCCCTACGGGTATTCCCAAAGGGAAATACAAGACATCCGCAGAGGTCTCCAAGATGCTCAAGAACAAAGGGGGCTTTCTCGAGGCCTTGAAAAGGGGAGATCGGGACTTGGCGATACCCAAGAAGCAGGGTGCCGACGCGGAGTCCGATGGGCAGGAGAAGAAGTAGGCGGCCATTTCTTGATCTAGCGTTCATGGAGATTGTAGTCAATCGAAGATACTCATGCAACCTTGAACTCTACAGTGGCATGTGACAATGCGATCGAAACGTGAGAAACCTTACCTGGCCGTTGCCCTCCGGACACTACTGTTCGAAGTCCTTCCATAGGGCCATGATTCTTTGAAGACAATGTGATGTTCAGTACTGCATACCCTGGATCCGCTTATAGGTAGTAGGCCTGCCATTGGAATTATACACAGTAGTGTGCGGTACTATTAACAAGTGCTCTCCTGCGTGAACGAGGCTGTGATTCCACCACATTTCAACGCCGTCTGGGGCCCTTCAAGAGACCACCGAATTCTGCACCACATGTGAACATCACGCCGTCATAAATCAGACTCCGCTTGCCAATGGTGTTGGGAAGTCAGCGTGCTTTGACGAACCCACAGGCACGAAAAACCAATCATACCTTGGCGGAACTCGAGTGCGTGAAGGGCGCGCAAAGGGCCAGCGCATGTCAAAACTGTCTATGCATTTCTAGATCTAATAATGCATCACAGCGCCTCGATAGGGCAATGAAGCTGCCACAAGCACATATTTCCACGGCTCCGCGTGACACTGATGATGGGAAAAGTATGCACAGTGCTGTCCTCACGAAGAGCGGCATGGCACTGATGTTATGCTCATTACCTGATCACGCTCCCATGTTGTAATTATCATTTTTGTGGTAAGGAGTGCCCACGTAAGTTTGTATCTGTTTGCCTGGTTATCCGCTTGGTAGGTGGGCGTGATAGGGTGTCAATGGGGAGTCTCCCAACGTCGATCGTAGACCTTGTTGCTGTCTAGGGAGTGAAGAAATGACCGATGCACCATGACTGACCAAAGAGCCTCTCTGAAGTTGGTGAGGCGTCGATCGTGAGAACTCTCAGATGGTGACCGTTGACAGTGTTACGGTATTCGTCTTGAGACAGTGAAAAGCTCTCAGGATTGCCATTGGGAACAATCGCACTCGACAGTATGCATCTTGGTGTTCTAGCCTTGCTTCTCGTTGGGCACGACGATGTGAGTGATAGCAGTTGAGCACGGGAGACTCGCAATTGAGTATTGCGCCTTTTGTTGGCTGACCATTTAGTCGGTCGTAGTACGTCCGTCGACCTCACGCTTCCCTTGACGGTACGCGTAAGCGCCGTGAGCATGAGCATTACGCACTCTTCGGCGGAGTGTGGGGAATAAACGCATACGCTGCGGCCACAAACCATTCATTTCGGCTGTCTCGGTAGTCGTGGTTATAGATGCGAACCCGGAGTGCGAAGCTCGCAGTTCGCAACTGCGAGTCCGGCCGTCCTCGCTTCGCACGTAGACCTCAAACTGCGGACGTAGGGATGAACGACGAATCGCCGAGCCCTATGCCTAGTGATCCATGTACGGCGTGTCGTGTGTTGCATGAAGCCTCGCTGTCATTGTACGCAAGGCGGATTCGCATGGATGCATGTGCGACAGGTGCTTGAATCGATTAAGCTTGCGAGGGTCACATCCCAGCAGCCAGTGGAAGAGGTGGTGTTGAAAACAACGGCTTTTGCGATGCGATGTACCCGGTTTAGAAGAAGTCCATGTTCCCAGCAATCTCCGCATATGGCTGGTCTTCCCAGCTGAATCCTAGCGCATCAAACAACCCGTTGTCCCAAACGCCCCAAGGGAAGTTATCGTTCATGCCATGGTTGATCGCGGGTAGCATGGGCTCCGCTATTGGAGCCGCGCTGGGACGGACTTCATGAGTAGTCGTACGACTGAGGTCCGCGGCGTTTGTTGAAGAACTTGGGGTAAGAGAGTTGCGGTGTGCCACGGGCGATGCGTCGACTGAGTACTTCGGGTCAAGATGATAGCCTCGTATATTCGCCGCCGTCCAGATAGCGTTGTACATCAGTGACGCCCCCATGCGGCTCTTGACATTGGTCGCCATTCGTTCCTTGTTTGGCACTATGGTCCGAGCAAGTACCTCCAGGGAGGCAGCTGCGCGGACATGCTGGGGAGAGGTGCGGAGGTTGTTGAAGAGCTGGTATGTGCTCGATACAGCGTTTCTGGCGGCTTCTTTATCGCCTGGAGAGGCGGAGTGATTGCAGTCAAGATACTTGAGAAGGACAACGCAGGCGTAGTACACGAGGCGGAAATGAGTTTTCGGGTGGGCCAAGATAGGACAGCCACCTGTCTCGTATGGCGCACAGCGTGGTTCTCGTGGGAGGTTCTGGGGACCACCTATCTCGGCCATTAGGTTGGTCAGTCTTAAAGCTGCGGAATGTCCTCCTTGCAATATCGTGTGCATAAATGTGGCGGTATCTGACCCTTGGAGAGAAGCGAGTCGCTGTTGGTCGATTGATACCAGTGGAATCGCTAAGATGTATAATTTTACACCAAGAAAATTAATTTCGCAGGGTATCGTCCATGCTGAAGAGAAACGCCTTTTGACGTCGTCAAGGTCATATATGAACATTTGAACTAGAGTTAGAGACGGCTCATTGTTGCTTTCTTCGAAGATGGTGGTGATTCTAGCGTATTGGCGTTGTATCTCCGTCATTGCAATCACCTCAAGGGGTATAGTGCTATCGTCGTAGAGTAATGTAAGCTTGTGTAAGCTTGATGATGATGAAATCGGAGGTGGTAGTCCTAGCCACGCACTCAATCTAGCCGACGTTAGAAAGTGGGTTTAGAGCATGCACAATTACTACTTACTGACAACTGATCTGGAAACACTTCATCCAGGTCATCATGCGGTTCCTCGGTCGCACGAGCCTAAGAGTAAACTTTGCTCTCCGATGGCCAAACAAGACCTCGTCCTGGAATTTGTCCAAGCCCATATGCAGCGCAGTATTTACGACCAGTCCGCAGTGGCCCCAGCTTGGGTCCTCACTTTGCGAGACTATCTCTAAAGGCCAGTGACATATCAGAATCAACGCCTGTAACTCTGCAAAGACCTGAATTGGCCTCGATGTTGTTTTTTCTAGGAGTGATTGATATGCGTCTCTTAATTGATCGTGAACATTCCAGTGTTCAGGATGGTGAAGGCTAGCGCTGTAGACAATACCCCAGAACAGAGTTGGAGCCGAGGTATACAGCTCTTCCAAAGAGGTAACAGGCTCAAAGATGGGTAGATGTGGAAAATAGAAATCGTTGAATCTGAACAGCTTGTGAGTTTTTGCGCACTACTTAGCTGAGGAAACTCACTGCTGGAATAAGTCCATCACAGTTTGGTGATCAATTATGACTCTATCAAGAGTCCAAAAAGCGGGGTTCGGTTGAGATGTGAGGATGTTTCGGTCAAACCAAGGGGTGTCCATCACAGGGGCCTCAGTGGAAGTGGTCGGCTGAGGCACGTTGTAAAGTGAGTGGGTTGTGTGTGCTTGGTCCGAAGGCGTAGTGGACGAGGCGGACATGGTATGGGCTGGTGGTTGAAATGTTTCCGTATTCGGAACATCTGCGAGCTGTTCAAATGCTAAAGCTCGTTGGACTGAATTAAGCTGGTTGGTGAGCTCCTCGACACGCCTGACACAGTTTCAGCTTAAGTCTGAGGATCGAAAGGAGAGTCTCACCGTCTCGTCGCCACCCTCTTGAAAGATGCGTCCATTTTGCACTCGTATTTGCCATTTTTACATCGCGAACAAGGTGATGGATACGTTTCTCGAGCGTCACATTTGAGCTATACCCATGTTAACCTCACGTGCTTCGAGGATTTGGGGGATACACTTACCTTAACCTGGCGACATGCTGTACACGACTTTGCCCTGCTCTTTTTCTGCGCTGAATGTTCCATGATGCTCTGTATCTAAAGTACTCTCTAAACTTGAGCGTCCGTCAAGCTGAATCGTCTTGCCTTTAACCACTCAACATACTCTTGGGGCTGAGGTCTAAACACGCTGCCGACGCTGCCGACTAGCTCCGGTAGGGGAAGTCCTTGGCAGCTTTACGTGGATTGAGGCGCGCGCAAGCCGTCCCCTGTCTAGTTTCGAGATCGTCGACTCTTGAGGACGCAAGCTTTAGTCGCCAAGCTGGAGTATGCCTGCCAAGCGTTTGCAATCCGATAGCAATGCGCACTTTTGCAGCTGTTTCCACGATGTTAGCCACCTTATGACGGTCGTCTCGGTTGCATCCTAGCTACCTATGCGTGAGGCTTGCGAAACTCAGTTGAATGCGTCGTCAGACTCTAACATATAAGGACTGTTAGTTGTGATGCAAACCAAGCAGGAGAGGAAGGAGAACCTCACGAGTATGCAATTCATGAAGAGGTTCAGAGGGTGGGCGAGAATGAGTAGGCGAAACTTGCATCTCCGTCCACACAAAGGCAGTTAACAGCAATGAATGATGAGCGCTCAGAATAAGTATGGGTACACTTCAAGATGCTAGTTAGGTGTCCACATAGGATAGTTCCATTGCAGAATCTATGCACGAGAGATGATCTCTCGGAAAGGCTTACTCAGCACGTGACTAACACGTGGGCTACGCCTATACTGGCCACGCCTATACTGCTTAGCGTTGATGAGTCATCTAGCGCCTTGGCAAGATTTCGCCTACTTACTCTCGCGCGCCCTCTGAACCTTTGCACGAATTTTATACTTGTAAGCCTCCCATCCCCTTCGTGCCTGGTTTGCATCACAACTAACAATCTTCGCAGACCTTGTTGGGATGGCTGAGCTCATGAATTCGGTCCATCTGGCAGACTGTCCTGCATTGCACAGCGCGGCGACGGGCTGTCATGAATCTCCTTCGGGGGCTTCACCGGCGTAATTTTTGCTGGTCCGCTCTCTGAGCAACAAACACTTTTCATTGACTGCTCCTGCCTTGCGCAGGACGTTGAAGAAGAGCTTCAGTACATCCACCTCGCTGCTGGCCCACTATGGCTTCATTGTTCTGCTGGCGCCATCCGCTGTGTTAGCCATAGCTGACCGAGCGGAGCGCCCCGACGTGTCGCGTCAATCTCCACATCGAGTGACTACTTCATCGTAAGTCCCTCATCCCCTCATCCACCCCCTCTGCAGTCGATCTGCAATGGACCTGCAGTCATCTCTGCTGGCATCTCACTTTGCTGACGCGTAGCTCAGATTCGCTGCGACGCCTCGCTCTCACCGCCACAGACGTCCATTTGCTCGCTAGACCCTGCTTAATCTTACGACACCGTCACTTGTCAACGACGGTACCCTCCTCATTCTCGCGACTTCAATTCCCTCGCAACCGTATACTTGATGAAGATCTCGGCACCGAGACACGTCAGTCGTCACCGATGGAGATGCCCGACGCGCACACAATCCTCGGAAATGCCTCCGAACTGCTTGGCCGCATCTCGGCAGCAGCAGCTGCTCGCATCTCTATCAGCGTGTCGTGAAGAGAGACGGGACAGCGCCAATACATAGCTTTGGAACATATGCACTACGTGATGGTGCATGAATTGGACCCTGCATCAAAAGCTCGATCTGGACGATTTCGAGGTCGACCCCCAAGAGGGGATGGCAGATAACAGATAACTAAATATCCCGGAATATCCCTGACGGTTGGTATTTTAGGCTTTGCGAGACTCGCACTGGCCACCATTTACGGCTCTTGGCCCCATGGCAATCCTTGGCTTTATGTGAATCGCAAATGGCTGTGCAGCATGGCTGACCGAAGGCTCTCCAGTAGCATCAAAGTATATACGGCCGAAGGGACTTGCAGTGTGCGGTGTGATCCCGGTGAACATTGCCTCTGGACGGAGGGTCGGTCAAGCATTCACTGCCAAGCTGCAAGTGGCACTGTGTATACGCGGAAAACGGGTACAGGTGCACTACCTCGAGCGCGGACAACGCCCCTAGCGGGCACATGGCGTGGTTAAAAGGCCAGTGTCACGTCGTAGGATCAACGCAGAGCGATGAATGACGCCCCCAGCTGTCCCCCACCATCCATGAGGTCAAAGAGTCTGTGCGGAGTAGATTCCGCGCCCCGGGTTACCTACCTCCGTCGTCGCGAAATCCTGATTGTTGGAGTGCTAACCACGGCACACTATGTTTGGAGGGGGCCGGTGCATCTCAAGTGCGCGGCACGCAGCAGGAGGGCTCGCTGCCGTGTGGTCGGAGGGTCGACGCGAGGCTCCCGCGACTGTGGCTAGAGGCGGCGTTCCCCAAAGAGGAAGTACGCGAGAAGTCCGTGGTGAATCTGTCTTGGCACCCAGCACCAACCACGGGCGGGCAGTCGCATCCAGCTCTCGAACCAGCCCGACCGTGACGCGGCACGCCCGCCCAGCTGAAACCGAAGCCGAGTAGCGTGCAGACCCTGGAGATCTGGCCCAAATCCACCCGCCCGTTGCGGAGGCCTCGCGGTGTGCAGGCAATCTGGCACCGGGCACAGCCCACGCGCTGCTCATCCTGCTCACACGGTAAAGGGGCCTCTCAGCCGCCGCGACGCTCCTGTCTCACCACCCTCGTCGCACCCATAGAACCGTAGGCGTGCGCAAATATCTGTCCGTGTCGCTCCCTCATTCCTCCGGACGCAGCAGTTATCACCCACAGTCGCCGCCTGCACTACGGAGCTGCCACGACACCTCCGCCCACAGTCCTTTCTCCCTCCTCCCCCTCCTCTGCATCCTCCACAATGGCCTCCACCATGGCCGCCAAACGCCTCTTCTCGCCGCGCGAAATCGAAGGCCTCATCGCCGAGGGCCAGCTGATTGTCATCCACGAGGGCTTCGTGCTGCGGCTCGACGGCTGGCTCGAGAAGCACCCCGGCGGCCGGCTTGCAATTCTGCACATGGTGGGACGGGATGCGACCGACGAAATAAACGTGTAATTATTCCTCTCTCCTGTCATTCCCCTCCAGTGCGCTCGTCGTCGTTGCTGCCCTGAAGAGGTGAAGTTGAAATGAGGTTGCGGTCGCGGACCCCTAACCGAAGGTAGGAAAAGACGGGGAGGCGATCTGGCCTCCGATTTGTCGTGATGGGTGCTGACATGCCGGCGCCATCTGCAGGTACCACTTCCAGCACACGCTGCGGCTTATGAAAGCCTACCGGATCGGCCGGGTCTCGATGCCCTGGATCAACTTCGAGCCCCCCCTCCGTGGCGGGGTCTACCGCAAGCTCGGCAGCGATGAGGCAGTGAAGCTCGACTGTCACAAGCCCTCCTGGACGCCCCAAAATGCCCAACAGCGAGCAACGCCAGCCTTCAACCTCAACATCGAACGACCCTACGACGATGTCGACACAGGCGACGAAGAGCTCGTATCGGCGCGGGGCACCTGGACTCCGCAGCCGCCGTCGCTCCGCTCAGACGTATCTACCGTGGACAGCTCCTCGGACGATGAACTCGAGACATCGCAAGAGCTATATGTGCCCTGCATCGCCGACGCCGATGCATCAGACAAGGAAGACGGCTCGGTGGTGTGCACTCGCCGCAAGACATTCGCGCCGAACAACGGCGAAGTCCACAAGCTCTCTCTCGAAGTCCCTTGCCTCAACCGCCCCAAGACCCTGTCGCGAGCAGCGTATACCGCAGCACTAGAGCAGGAGGAGATCGCCAAAGACATCCGCTCAAACCCGTCGCTGGACCTCGAGACGCAGCGTGCCATCACACTGGAATACCAGGCCCTTCACGAGCGGGTCAAGAACGAGGGCTACTATGACTGCCGCTACTCGGAGTACGGCAAAGAGTCCATTCGCTATTGTCTCCTCTTCAGCACATTTATATTCTTCCTCACCAAGGGATGGTATCTTACATCTGCATGCTTCCTGGGCATGTTCTGGGTACGTACTGAGACTTGTTGGCCCATCTCGGCACCGAAGGCTAACACTGACGCAGCAACAAATCATGTTCGTTGCGCATGACGCGGGACATCGCGGCATCTCAGGCAACTTCATCGCTGACACCCTGATCGGCGCCTTTGTCGCTGACTTCTGCTGCGGCCTCTCCATCGGCTGGTGGAAGAGCTCCCACAATGTCCACCATCTCATCACTAACATGCCCGAACACGACCCGGACCTTCAAAACGTCCCTCTTTTCGCTAACGGCCCATCCTACTTCAGAGATATGCTCAGCACCTTCTACAACTTCACTTTCCCCTGGGATGCCGCCGCCGACTTCCTGGTTCCTTACCAAAAGTACACCTACTACCCTATCATGGGCGTTGCCCGCTTCAACCTCTACCTCCTTTCATGGCTGCACCTCATGTCGCCCCGTGCCGCCAACCTTGGCTCCGCCTGGTGGACACGCCCCGTCGAGATTGCCATGATGGCCTGCTACTGGTACCTCTTCGGCTGGTGCCTTCTCTGGAAGACGCTCCCTGACTGGCCCACCCGTGTCGCCTTCGTCCTCATCTCCCACATCATCACCATGCTGCTGCATGTCCAGATCACACTGTCGCATTGGGGCATGTCGACCGCCGACCTCGGCCCGACTGAGTCCTTCCCCCAGCGCCAGCTCCGCACCACCATGGACGTCGACTGCCCCCAGTGGCTCGACTTCCTCCACGGCGGCCTCCAGTTCCAGGCCGTCCATCATCTCTTTCCCCGAGTCCCGAGGCACAATCTCCGCAGACTTCAAGTGCTGATCCGCGAGTTCTGCCACAAGACCGGTATCGAGTATAAGTGCTACGCATTCGTTGAGGGCAACAAGGTTGTCGTGGGCCGATTGGCTGAGGTTGGCAAGATGGTTGATATCCTCGTGCAGTGCCAGCAACATATGGCTACGACAGGAGACAGCGGCTTACACTAAATGAGTTAGATTCAGCATGGGAACAAGATCGGACCTTGCATGGCCTGACTGGCGTTTTTGGTGGCATGGCAAATACACGGTAGCGAATTACACGGTGTAGAATCATTTCTCTTTTGTTTGTCCAAAAAAAAAACAAGCACGATAGCGGCTGTCCCTTTTCCTAGCGTTTTCTTTCCCGTTGTTTATAATTTCGCTACTTCATAGGCCCCCCTTTCCAAGAGAAGTATCTTCGTATTATGATACAAGGGCCTAAGAAATGGAATCGTTTTGAATTCCCAACAAGCTGAATTATTGCATTGGTGAAAAGTATTTCTGCATACTGTGTTGAATTTCTTACTCTCCATCACTATCACATTTCCGTCCCTTTCGAATGTACAGCTCAAGGAAACAGACAATGTCCCTTCTCTGTACCAGGACATACGCTCGCATCAGACCCCTCACTACCGCAAGCACTCATTCCTGTTTCTAGATGAGCTGAATCCCACTCTCGGATTCCCACCTCTTGCGCTAGCTCTGGGATTCAAGATAGATGTGTACCAGGGGAACCTCCGAAATCCGATAGCCATGCTACATATCTCCACCTAGAAGCTTAGACTTCGAACCCCCCACGTACTATATAAAAGCCACGAATCGCCATCAGGCCCCATCCACAAGCTACCACAGTGCCGGTCACTCAGTGTGCCTCAGACACCGTTCCGAAGCGCGCGCGGCCAAAGCGTCCCGCCCATGCTACGGACGAATTCCGGTACCCTAACAAACTCTTGTGAGTACGCGTCATCGGGGTTGGAGCGTTGGAAGGGAGAGTTTGTGCACGTATGTTGGACAGCCGAGTCCGGACGAAAAGAAAGGGGTGTTGAAGCGTGATCACATTTGGGTGACTCCCAGGGGTGGGAAGGTGGAGCAGAATGGGGTCCAGCTGGGGCTTTTGAGGCCACCGCAGCGCATCTAGGCGTCTGCGGTGGGGCGGTGTCAGATCCGCGCCCTGCGAGCCACCTCTGCGGAACAGCTAGCTGGTGGTCGACCTCAAGTTCGCAGGTTCGAGGATCTTTGAGATTTTGCGCGCGCGTGCGCGTAGGCGTAGAGCACGTGATGGCGAGCGTTCCGTTCTGATTTGCAGGGTCCAGCTTGCAAACGAATACCTTATATGTCTATTATCTTAGAGCACCATCCATTAGTCGGAAGGGGACGGGTAAACGCACACCCCCTTTTGAGTAACCACACACCCCCTCTCTCATCTGATCTTCTGATTGGTTCGGGACCGGAAGCTTCCTCCGGGCATTCATCTTCATGTCTCTCTCTGCACGTGAGCTTGTACGTGAGGCTATACGTGAGGCTATACAAATCAGCAAGGCTATGCAGGCTGCTTAAGGCTGCACGAATCGGAAAGGATGCACGTGTAGATGCACGTGAAAATGAATGCCCGGAGGAAGTTTCCGGTTCCTCCGAGCCAATCAGAAGATCAGATGAGAGGGGTGTGCGGTTACTCGAAAAGGGGTGCGCGTTTACCTGTCCCCTTAGTCATATCTCTTTTTCTATTTTCTTCTCTAGCCTCATCTTTAGCACAGCCAGAACCATGCAAATCAAAAGTAATTAAGCCTAAAACCGAGGCAGGAAGAGGACGGATTCCGACAATTAGATCGAGCGCTATACAGAATAGGCTCTCTAAGGATAAATTCGGATCAATAGTAACCCGGTTCAAGAAAAGCCTGCTGAAAATAGCAAACAGCAAACCGCAATGAGTTGCGATAGAGAAAAGATTAAAAGCGTACGTTACTCACTTTACAGAGTCATAGCACTACTACGCCATCAAAATTTGACTCGACCGTTACTCAAAACCGATCATATTCTTATTTAAAATGTCGTGATTTAGCCGATGCTGGAAGAGAATGAGGGAAACAATACGACGTCAATCCACGTAGGCAACAAAGAACAGCATGCTATGGGTGATGTCGTCATGCAGAAGTTGGCCGAGTCGTTCGTCGATGTCGTAAGCATGAGAACTTGTATCCTTGTAACGTTGTCGTTGCTAGTTCAAACGCCTATATGGCCTGAACGCTGGTAATCATCTTCTGTGATGATCACACTCCAATTCTACCCGGGAGGCGTGAATGACGCGGTAAACGGAAAAATCGAGCTGAAACTCTATTCCTAGGGCACCCTCTACACATGCCACAGGGAGCCATGGCAGTTGTAGAGCCATCGATATACGGATATGGAGGGCCCCCATTAACCACGCTGGTAGCCAACCTTGCGTGAGATCGGAACCTGTACTGTGGACGGTAGGATGTCAATGGTAATTGAGGTATGTAAACCGTTTTGTACTCAAACGGCTTAAAGCCTCTGTCCAAACGGTTCAGTCCGAGCTTTGGAAGCTGATCGAGCCCCGTTCGAACGAAGCGATTCTCACCAATTTGCTTCAGATGAATCCCGAGCGGAGTTCCAGTCCTTTGATCCATGCAATTTAAAGCTGCAGCATGCAAGCCACACCTTAAATACTCGGCGATCAGTAGATGTATTTGCAATCCCCGATTTGTTGGACTATACGGCTTTCTTGGTCCTTGACTAATGCAGGGAACGATGTATTGAGAGTTTTGAATGCTGCAGGAGAGGGTGCGAGAAGGCCACGGACAGCATATCGCGATTGAAGTTCCCATGCGAAGAGTGAATGGTCATCTGTTTTCTTTATGATTTCTTCTTGTAATCGAAGAAACGCTTTCTCTTGTCCCTCACCATACAACAAGGGCATATTAATGTCGAAAATACCCATGAGAGAGTAGGCCATATCTTCTGATCGAGTAGCATTCCTGGGCGCTGCCCAAGACATCTTTTGCGCTATGCTGAATTTGCTTAAGCTTTGTCCGGCAAGTGCATCCCGACTGATATTCGTAAGTTGTGGAAATCATGTCTTGCAACTTAATCTTGCTCCCAAGATGATGCCATGCATGATCAAAGAACTCTACCACGGTAGGAGCTATAAGTTCCTGTAAGGTCCATCCGCTCCTCCGGAAAGCCGGCTCCCAAGGCTGAAGTAACTGATCGACCCCGCTCTGATAATTTATCGAAACGGCGGACAGATACACGTAACATTTGGCCGAATTGCGGTACCAGCGATGCATAGAGTTGATGACCTCTTGCAACTCGGCGGAGTTTGATTTGTCAATGCAAAACCCGTCAACCCTACAGAACTCTCAGAGGCTATCGCAGCCTTGGCGAAATCGTAACTTTTCACGTTTTCAATTCCATGATTTATCCCTACACTGTTTTCTATTGCATTCGCGTGATGTTGAGAGGCGCAAGAGGAGCGACCTATTGCTGCTAAGCTACGTGGAGCCACTTTCTAAGGGTACCCTAGGTAATGGCTGGCGTGTGTCCAGTGCCCTGAAAAGGAAGACGGTCGCTGACGCGCCTTTTTATTTTGCTGTGTTAACCTGATGCCTTTAATACGTGCAGAAATGATGCGTGATGCCAAGCTGCATTAATACGCTTCCGATTAGTTTCCAAGGTCTCCACTTCCTCGGCGGGGTCCTCACCAACCTTGAAGCTTCCGCCGACCACAGCTTTCATTCCCAAACTATGTTCTGCAAGCACCACTCAACCCGCTGAGTTATTTACTACCTGACGGCTCTGAACGTGAACCCCGTTACTTATGGACGGTTCGTGCAGTAATACTGGTCTTTCCCCTGCAGACCTGCTCGACTTCGTATATCCTTCTTTCGAGAGTCTCGATGAGGACGTTTTAGTAACCAACATCACGGCGTATGGAGCAAGCCACGGCTTCAACCGCGAACCTCACATGAGCCTTAGGAGCTTGGATAGCGCCGACGTCCCTATGGCCTTCAGCCAGACTACAGGATACCTCAATGCCGTCCAGAATGTCTCTGGTATGATTATCTTGGGTGCTCTCAGCTTTACAAGTTTTGACCTCGCCCTAGATGCTCCTAGCACCGATTTTAATAGCGTGAACTCAACAATTCTAACGGAACAAAGCGAGCATAATAGAATACCTACATACCAAGATGCCGTCAGCGTGCCGAATACCGGCCACCCGGACTATAGCACGATCAACCAAGCTTTTCTTCCGGCCAGGTCCATGGAGAACATACACCTAACGCCTTTCCATCCGGGACACCTATGCAATCATGGCAAGATGAACACAGTGACCAATTCGGCGACACGCAGCGACATACCCTTCGAATATGAGCTCGAAAGTCTACTCGACTCTCAAATGATAGATGGTGCTCTAACTTTACACCAACAAACGACCGACCTCTGCCACGATAGCGGCCCGGGGATATCAGTTTGTCACGACGAAACCAATGCAATTGACTTCCTGCAAAACCTCAGTTACTTCCCCCAGTACTCGAAGTTCAGACACTTGGGTGAAACACAAGCGTATAATGAGCTGTTGGCTCCGACTGCTATTAGCATGGGTCATGCACAACACCAGCCTAATGGCCGAGCATCCGACGTTAGCATCTACACTGCACCTAGAACTATATTTGCAAACGACATTGTGGAGTTACCTGCAAAAGACACGGGACCCATACCTGCGGAGTCCTGTAGTTTACCCGCCCACAATCAGAAGAAGAAGGAGTGTAAGACAGGAAAGAATGGAGTGAAGGGAAGAGTCCGTGTGGAAAGAACCTTCGTTTGTGGAAAGACGAAAGGCGCGAATGCCGTCAGAAAGTACAGACACGACTCTCGGGAATGGAAGCAAATGTTTGATCAACACATAAACAGGCTGAAGCAAGGTGGACAAACCAGCGAAGAAATAGCCGTTGTGCTAACCATCATCCACGGTTTCACAACCTCGTAAGTGGCTCTTGTTCCTCTTGAAAGTATTTTGATGACGTTAAAGGTTGTAGGATGAGTAGAGTAAGCAAAGGGCCCCCAAAGCGACAGACGGATGCTCAGAAAGCACCATCCAACCGAGCAGCCCAGGCTCTGCCCAAGAAGACGATAACGATAGCAGACGCTATTTCCGACTTCCTGATGAAGCCGAGAGAGAGGGAAAAAGCACCTAACCGAGTACTAGAGCTTTCGTTCAAGGAGTACATACACCAAGAGAGGGCGTTCCACGCCCTGCATTCTTTCATCAACGGATCCTTCGATCTAAAAAGTGGAAGATGGACAGTTTCCGCTTTCAAGAGACTGGATGCATCGAGCCATCGCCATGGGTCCTGGTGGCTTCGAGAGGCCCGGTGCCGTAGCATGACCATGTTCGCTTTGAATTCGCTTTACGATCGCGTCAGTGCCTCGTTCCGCGAGCTCCTTGATCTTCAAGGGGTTGCTGAGCCCTGCGATCCCAGTATGCTGATATATTTCTGGCCGATTTGTCAAACACTCTTCGAAGTTCGGCTTCTTCGACAAAATCGCAAGAAATTCGTTCTCCTAAGGGCCTTCTGGGTGAACCTCAGAAAAGAATTTGCTCGAGCCGCAGGCGGTCATCCGTTCGTCCAGTTCTTAGACTCGTTGATGATGGTTCTGAATACGTCGCCCGAGCACATTCGACCAACAGTGGGTCTGGCGTACTGGAAAACCATTCACATGCTTGACAGTTTCCTTCGACCTGAATCAGCAGATCACCCGGTGATACTTCGGATGGGATCACATTGCAGCAATAACTGGAAGACTCGCTTCCAACCACAAATTGAGCAACTTGAGCGCCGTTACCAAACGGATCTTCAGTCTCTGGAAGCTTCGAATTGTCTCGGAGTCAAACGGAGGATTTCCGTTCTACAGGACTATGTAGAAGCAATATCCAAGAGCGAATCCCATAACGACACTCTTATAACTCTCGCGACCCAACTTTGGGATCTAAGCGCAAAGGCATGTAACGAAGGTGCGAAAATGCAGAAGCTCCAATGGACGCACGTGACTGAAGCCTTGGCTTCTTCCGCCGACCGCCTCGCCATCCACTACTTCGAGGGTGGGAGAAAACATAACGAGCACGATCTCAGCTGTGGCTTATGGTATATGAACGAAGCCATCGAGATCCTACGTTTTGGAGACCTGCTGTGCCAGCACCAAGCGCTTTGTCTTTCAGGTCGACTGAAGAATCTGTTCAAAGGGAAGACAAGAGGTGTGGCGGCTGCAGGAGAGAGATTCCGATGGTCGGCAATATTGGATGTGATTCCTAGGATCAAACTCGTAGCTCAAGATCCCCGAGGCGTCATAACTGGTACCTCGCGACGAACCCGTTTGCGCCGGAAGAAAATAGCTTGGCGGGAGTCTTTCTACTCTTACTTTCCGACAGTGTGAGTAATTCCTGGATTTGATCAACCGTCCTCGTGTACCTCCTACGTCGGTCAGTTGCCCGTGATGTCAACACTGAGACCGGGTGGAAGGCTCTCAGCCTGATCTTTCGAAGTCTACGGCGACTTGCATGGATTGGCCACCCCCTCCCTTGTCAGGCTCGCGCGGTTCCTCACACCCCAAATTGCACTGAAAACGAATTTCCTTACCAACCACGACCAATAAAATAAATATTAACGAAGCTGAATTATTGCCTTATATGCTAGACATCTATCTCTGCCCTTTAAATATTTGGTTCTGCCGTGCCCGTCTTGGCGTTTTTGTAGCGGATTTCCACCAAAATCTTCATTTTGCAGTGCATCCTACCACCTACTACTAAAGGAAGATCCAAAAACATGCTGGATTACTGCCTTGTATAAGAGAAACCTATCTCCGTCCTGGAAACCATTATTGAGACTGTTTAATGGGCGAGTAATCTAGGTAGGTTTTGCTCAAGAAAGGTTGGTGAGGGTCGGTCACGAAAAATGACAGGGGGGGCATTACACATTTCGCCCAGCACTCTAAGCACCGGAGAAGGTGAGTGGCCGATCCTAAGTTTCCATTCACCTTGTGCATTAGCCCCATGTTCTTGCACCACAGCCGAAGAAGGTGAGTGGCCGATCCTAAGTTTCCATTCACCTTGTGCATTAGCCCCATGTTCTTGCACCACAGCCGAAGAAGGTTGATTGGTCGATCCTAAGTTTCCTTTCGCTCCATGCATGAGAACTTCCCACATCTCGATTTCGGCAGAATGAGCAGCGCGAATAGCGACATGGTTCTAGTCTGAAGGATTGCGCCCCGTCGACGTTGACTGCGGAACCTTGCCAGTGGCACTTTCGTGTGTTCATCATTGTGGTCGGGCGATTTAGTACGTCCGCCATGGTCCAAAGTATCCTACGATTGCTAACATAAATAGAGCCCAGATCTCCAGCGTCCGGCTGTTCCCCAGAACAGCATTTGATCCCTCTCAAGTCATCATATGACATTCTGACCCTCTCTCCCGGCTCACCACCAGATAGTCTGACCCCTCGCTATCCACCTTATGATGTTCAACCTTGTACCTCTTTGGTTTGGACTGGCCCAAGGATTGCCTAAATCTACTTCGAAAGCGGACGATACACCGCCACCGATCGAAATGCACAAGACCATCGACCTTGTCGACCATCGCCAAATCGAATTGTTCGAGGCGTTGGAACGACTGAAGTCCCTCCAGGCTGCGAGCGATATCAAGACCCCTCAGTTAATTGTAGTTGGCGATCAGAGCAGTGGCAAGAGTTCCATTCTGGAAGCCCTTGCCCGATTTCATTTCCCGGTTCATGAGGAACTCTGCACCAGGTTTCCAACAAAGCTCATTCTTAAGAGGTCTGACAGGAAGCTCCTGAAAGTCCACTTTGACCTCAAGCTTGATTCACGAACCGATGAGGAGAACGCAAAACTGCAAAGTTTTGTCCAACATGTCGAGGCATCCAGCCGGTCCTACTGGGACGACCTGGGCGACCTGATGGTCAAAGCTGCTGATGCACTTGGTGTAAGTCCCCAGAAGCCACCAATACATCGACAAGACCGCTAAATCTCTGGTGTGCAGTCCACCAAAACATTCACCGAAGATGTCCTGGTCATTGAGAAACATGGCCCTGAATTGCCCATCCTGAGCTTGGTGGACTTGCCAGGTCTTTTCCGAGCCAATAGCGCTCAACAAAGCCGAGTAGATCGGGACACGGTTGAGCGGATCTTCAAGGAGCATATCAAAGAGCCAGCCAACCTGGTCCTGGTTGTTGTTACCGCTTCCATCACAGCTGTCAACCAAACCGTGGTAGAAGAGGTCCAAAAACTTGCGAGAAAGGATTACAAACTTCTCAACAGGTTGATTGCGGTCGTGACGCATCCAGACCTAGATGAAGACCGGCTAGCAGAGACCAAACGTGTTCTCACAGAGGAGCCACCGCTACTGGGTAACATGGAGCTACTTCACAAATGCCATGTCGTCCGAAACCAGACAAAGGCGGAGAGGATCACCGGTGAATCCCTCGACAATCGAGACCGCAAAGAAGCATTGTTTTTCAACGGTGACAACTGGCGGCATGTATCGAACGAACAGAAAGGCATCCACAGCCTCAGGGCTACCCTTAAAGACCTTTTCTGGACCCGCACGAAGGATGAGCTTCGAAAGACAATCATCCCAAAGATCAAGGGAAAGATTGTCGATATTGATGCATGCGTCAAAGCTGCTGATGCGTCTCGGTCGAATGACCACCAACGCCGGGACTATCTCTGCGATGTTGCGGAAGAGTTTGAACGACTGATAAGAGAAGGAGTCAAAGGGGAGTACGACGACAAGGGATGCAGAGAGTTACATCTCATTGGCGAGCGCGAGAAATGTCGACAATGCAGAGGGTTCTTCCCTGATCCTAGGCTCGGTCTCAATACGGACGATGGCCAACAGTATAAGCTTTGTAGCAATGTCCGCGCATTGAACAAGGTTTTCGCAGCGACAATGCGTCGGTTTGGTAGGACAAACATAATTGATCGTCAGGAAGGGAGCGAGCCGGGAGCCACGAATGTCGAAACCAACTCACAACACGACCTGAAAAGCCCAGGCCGAGCCCGCAAAGACAAGATCAACGAGTATTTCCTGTCAGCGGAAGTGCTAAGCCAGTACTACACATCCGAGGAACCAAAGTCCATTCCATGGAAGGATTACGAAGACATAGTTAATCAAGCAATGGCGCGCAACAAAGGCCGTGAACCAGATGGAGAACCGAATTGGATTGTGTACAGGGACCTCTTTCGCTATCAGTCCGCAGGCTGGGCTAAGATCGCAGAGAAACACGTGCGAGCTGTTTGTGAGGAGACCGAAAAATATCTCGCCCTTGCTCTGACGCGTGCTTGCCAGGACGAGAGCGTACGCCAAGCCATACAGGACAAGATCATCAGACCCAACTTCAAGATCCTGCAGAGAGAAGCCAATCGAACTTTGACCCATCTTCTCGAGTGCCATCGGACAGGAAACCCAGGATTCCTCGATAGCTTTGGTGATATTTTCACAGTACAGGAGCAGGCCAAGGATCTTGATCAGACACTGGATCTTTTTGGTTGGGGACACCTGGAGCAAAGACTCGGCAAGGACCTCATCAAGAATATCAAGCATGGCTTGGGCGTCTTGATATTGTCATCGATTAGCCCCGTCTCAGCCAAGGGCTACCTCGGGACGTTCGTCTTTAAGCACGCATACGACATTCTCTCGAAGCAGTTCAGCCTGTCTAATGACACAGATCAGAAAGATGCCGCCACCGACAAGGTCACTAAGCCTATTTTGGATTACGACCACGATTACAATGCGGCTGGCGTGATTGCGGGAGTTGAGAGCTACTACAAGGTATTTTTTCCCGGTATTCTTCTCATACCAACTTTCCCCTGTTCTACGACATTGCCCCACGTAATCCCAATCACTTCGGCAATCACTTTGGATAACCATCGATGTTATAGACCGCCATGATTGCCTTTGTAGGCTACGTCAACGCGCTCGTCATCGAGGCCGACATCCTGCGAGAGCTTGAAGGTCGCATCTTCAGCCAAAGGCTCATGCGCCACGAGAGCCAGACACTCATCAACGAAATAGCGGCTGAAGACGAAGATGAGGCCGAGAAGCGCAAGAAGAACAAGGGGGAGTTGGAATCCCTGAAAAGCATTTTGAAGACTTTAGAAGAGGGTTTGGCGGATAAGAAATAGCTTGGCAGTCGTATAGAGAGGTAGGTTTGGTGGGGAGGGGTGGAGATGTCACAAATTGCCCTGGTTACGACTTACGACGCTACGGTATTTTTCTTCTTTCCCTTGTGCACTGGTCATGACTCATAATATAACGGTCTCCTTTTTATTCCCTTGGTCAAGTGCTCTCCGTTCCTTTTCACTCCCCTACAGAGTCTGACGATAGTAAAACCGCTCTTTTCTTTCCTATCTCGGGTATTCTTTCTTACTATTCCTTACCAGGCGCGCATCCGAAAAGATTGCAAAATATCTTAGGACCGCACAGATTAGGAATGAACATGTCGTTCAACGTACTTTGATAAACTACCAGCCCAACCACTCTTTAAGTATGAAAATTACCGACCAACCAACATACGAGCTCCCCTTGGCTGGGGTATTGGCCAATATTGCACATGGTGAAATATAACTGGAGGAGCGCAGGTCACGAGATGGTTACACAGGCGGGAAATTCGGCACTTGAGCGAAGCCTAATCAACGATCACGCTTTGCATGCACGCCGCCTCACGACGAACCGCCTCACGCGATAGAGCTTGTTCTACTCACCCACCGTCCCTGTATATAGATGCCTCCCTTCAAGAGAGCTTAGGCGGTCTCCGCAGGCCGCCAAGTATGTGAGATTGTCTGTGGGGTCAGCCGCTCAATGAAGCTGCGAATAGCCTCATAAACGCGTGGCTGGCCTAGGGCGCTGCTCACGTGATTGACACCTACAGACGCTTCCGTGCCGCAAATGCAAGAAGCTTCAACTTCAACCGTGTGCTCTAACTCCAAGTTTTATAAAATAGCAAACATGGCTAGTCTAGAATGCTTGGACCCCCTTGTGTGAAGCAAAGAAAAAAGGCTTACTCCGCAGGTCATGTGAAGAGCCATGAGGACGAGCTGGTGCCCCACCAAAATGAGCCTCCGCAAAATCCTCCACTCCATCCCGGCGTCGTGATGCATAGTTAGATGTGTGGATCCACTTTATCTCGAACATGCACTACAACCACTTTTTTCTGGACATGCGGATCCACGTTATATTGGTAATCCACCTCCGGGTAACCAACTAATGCCACGCCTACAGCGCCTGCCCGCGTCCGGTGAACTAGCGCGGATATCAAGCCACAAAAGTCAGGTGCAAAAGAGGGGTAATCTCGAAAGTAACGCCTCATGGTACCGTGCTTTTAGCAGGTTCAGCTCAGCCTCGGTAAGATATAGTCTAAAAAGGAGCTTCCTCCGTTCTAATCCCCTCTAGTGTATCTGTGGCGTCAAATCCGCGCTAGTTCACCGGACGTGAGCAGGCGCTGTAGACATGAATTTGAAGAATAACCTCTTGTCTTATTGTTTATGCTTGCTAGCCCTTCACTCGTCAGCGATAATACGGTAACCCTTACGACCCGTCCCCTGTTACCAACCTTGAAAGCACTTGTTAGGAATAGGAGAGACAGATCGTTACACGGAACTGGAACTTAGGAAGTCTAGAACCGGGCTTTCCTAGGCCCAATACTGGGTTCCGATCTGGGACCGAACCCAGCCTTGCTCATTTTACACTGCCGCATACCCTTCTCAATGCAAAGATTCGGAAGTCCATCAGGAACGCCGATGAGTGTTGCGGAAATGCCAGGCTCCGGCTGCAGGCCCCAGAACCAAACCTTCCCCAAATTCCTGCAGAATACAGGGCGCAAACCCGGTTTCTACCTGCGTCTTTGCACTGCCACAAACTCAGGCGCTAACGGGCTGTTTGACTCACTGTACAACTCAACATTGTTTACTTATGATAGAAATACACGTATGCATATGTGTAACCGGAGTCTGCTTTTATTATTGCAGTATAGAATTCAGTAAGGGCCAATGGGATTGTACTAAGTAAACATAGAGAGGAACACCTCGACAAAATTCAGTTTCTAAAGCCCATCATTTCCGGCGGCAAATGCCTCTACTGTTGCAGGGCATTGTCAGTAAGGGTGGCATTCCTATGTGCAAACCGTGTCTACCCTGCCGAGTTCTCCGAGGCTTTGAAGCCTTAGCAAAACATCGAACGGAGCTGCGGAACTTACAAAGGCAGCAGCATCACGTGACAAAAGGTCAGGTGACGTGCTCTGCTTGATCTATCTTAACAAACAACAAAGCAAATAGAGCAAAGGTACATCGTATGAAGGGTGAAAGGATATATAATCTGGAGGAATCCATATCTTGCTTTCTCCCCTTCGTGCTCAACTTGTCTTTACAACCTCATGTTATTCGATCAAGAGCTCTCCACCATTACTGCGTCGTGCCTACTCAGTGGTGACTAGAAACTTCATGATCACTAATAATCTATACCCCGTAGGGCTTCCTTTGTTTGAAAACATGAATAGGGAGCCGACAATATTCTCTAGTATCTTTTCTTGAGTCACAAAAATATGCATTACCACATTACGCAAGATACTCAAAAGGTGGCTTCAATCTTGCTACATTATACTTAGGTTATCCGTCAAGGCACGCTCTGAAGATAGTAGAGTCTAAATAAAGAGAGAGTAGGGCTCGAAAGACAACGATCAGAGCAATTCAGCATTGTCCATCCTAGTTCCTAATAGCACCCCATAATGGAAACCACATGATCATAAATAGTTACTAGCGAGAAAAGGCATTCAAGCCAATCAATCATCAAAGCGAAATCATGGGGTTATAGCTACTATGACACTAGTCTTAGGACATGCGAAAGAACTTCGGCGAACGTACCTCAACCAGGGGGAGCATACGAGGCAGAGGTTCTACAGGTAGAACTTCCACAATCCACCGTTTTGGTGACGGTTGAGCTCTCGATTGTGCCATTGGTCCTCGTGACATACTTGGTAGTCGTAGTGGTGGTACACCTTGATATAAAGGTCAGCCAGCGGTTAATTTTCGAACGATTCAAACTAACATAACGCAGAAAGATGAATGCGGGAGATATTGTTCCTGATGGTATTTTCTTAGACTTTTTGAGGCGTTTCAAAAGCTGTCGTTTCAATATCGTACGTGCTGAGTGATGGTGGGAAAGTTTGCGTTCTGCGCACGCCAAGTGCTGTTATGATTCCAAAGAATCGGGATGCTATTAAGTGTCTACTTTGCCTTCTTATGTACTTCTGGAAGCTCTGCAGAGCCGCACAAAATTAGATCGGCGATAGGGTCACACGCGCTGATTGCTCTTCTCATTCAATCGTCTCGGGATATTGACGAAATCGCCGGAAGTGTCAATTCGATGCGAAGCCGGTGTGCCACCGCATCATTGTCACTAGAGAAGAAGAATAGTCTCAAGCTTCCCATAATAGGCTTTGATTTCTGCAGGTAGATATATGATAAGAGATCAGCCAATCGGTCTCATTCTTGTGCAACGTCGGGAAGGGAAAAACATGTGCGAAGGAGGCTGCGAGGTCACTTGCCAGGCTTACCATCACAAAGGATGAGACACCGAATCGCGGAGGCACGGCGCACCAGTGTCTCACTTTATTGGTCGGGCTCAAAACAGCGCGCAAAGCTTGGCGCGCAAAACCCTCCCCCAAACGCGCTCTTTCTGAACGAAGAATTTCCACATTGTGGACGGTAAGGGCTTTTGGTCTCTGTAATATATACCTTATATAGTTTTTACTCTAACCCTTAAGTTTTAGTCATTTAACTCGTAAGTTGGCTGCGTAAGATAGGTGTTTACCTAGGAAGTCAAGAATTTTATAATTGCGCTAAAATTTAGCGCAACGGTAAGCATGCTTGCTCCGCAGTGCGTGGCTTTCGGTTCGGCGTTCCTAGGCCGGCTTCGTCTTCGCTGTTCCTGCCCTTCGTAACGTCCTGAACGAAAACAAGAGTCTCTCCATGTCGTTATGGCTTCGACCGCCTCAGCCAGCACTACCGACATCCCAAAAGACGCAGAAGAGGCCTCCGTACTATCATCAATATCCCTTCAAAACCTGACCATCCTTGAAGCCTGGGATGCGGAGAACGATACCCCAGAATACATAACGTTCTACCATGTCACCAAAGATGAAGAGGTGTATTTCGGACAATCGACTAAGAAGAAGAGGGAAATGACCATCGAAGACTATCGAAACGCACTCTGTAGAATTGATGACAGCGAGATATATCCGGAGGTTCCAGCGGACACGAAGTTGAAAATCGCACATCATGATGCTGGCGAGCCTATCTACATCAAACGACCCGGACTTGAGAGTTATGAGACGACAAAAGGCACAGACTTTGCCCGAAACGCCCTCCTCGACGAAGTTCTCATCATGGAGCAAATCTCCCAGACGCCTCATCCCAACATCATTCGGTATCATGGCTGCTATACGAGACGAGGCCGAATTACCGCAATTGTTCTACAGAGACATGAATACACGTTAGTGCAGTACGCTCAGAACCCTGGCTTCAAGAACATCGACATTGACGAGTTCCTCAAGGCGCTCGAGTCTGCTGTTGCCTATCTGCATGCGATAGGCTTGGCACACAACGATATCAATCCTTACAACATCATGCTCAAAGAGAATGATGCGCCTGTCTTGATTGACTTTGGTTCTTGTCAACCCTTCGGGAGACAACTGCGGTCTGCCGGAACCCCAGGATGGTGCGCAGAACCTTTTTCCACATCAGAAAAGGAGCACGACATTTATCCTCTTCGGAAACTAAAGACTTGGTTGCTGAAACCGGAGTAGCTAAAGTGGTCAAAGCGAGTCCGACGAGTATCTTGGCATTTGGAAAGCTCGGTGATTGAGAGGGTTCCAAGGCTTCAAACAAGACCAGACCTGTGCCTGTAGATAGCTCAAGGCAGAATATCAGAATGAAGAAAATGAGCAAGGAGGTATGAACTCATGAAAACAAGAGCTATCCCATGGACGGCTGGTGTCCTACGCTCGGGACATATACAAGCTCCTGCAGGATGACCGGTCTGAGCTGCTCAAATCCAGGCGTACACTTCATCATACAGGGTATTCTATTGGCGGAGTCTTATCGATAACGTAGGATCCATATCAGCCGTCCATGAGACGATTTTGCGGAAGGCTTTGTTGGAAGCGGATTCTAGAGTTAGGGCGGATCACACCGCACCCATATTAGCTTAGACTCGTTTTTAGTCTCTTACAGCAACCCGAAAAGTGCTTTATATTAGCCTGTTATCAATTCCATATTTGTTAGTGTCTGAGGCTTGTGTCAGAGGCTGAACCTCGGATTCCTATGTGCACCGTAACCATTTCCTCTGGACATGTGGACCGCGTGATAGGCTGCTCCGCCGACTAGCAAGGATTTGTCATGCTCCATCCGTCTGTGTTTAGACTAATCCAGGGCTTGCGTACGCCTGTGCTTGAGGCATTGCTCTGTATGAAAGTAGTAGTAGCAGCGAGTCCCGCGACTGGGTAATGCGCGCTCAGTCAGGCTGAAATCTGAAAATGAAAAGAATCCGTCTCTTAAGGTACAAGGTAAAGAGACTGGAGGGAATAGCCGTGGTCACACGTGATTAGCCTTCCTCCAACTCCCTTCGTGAAGAGCATATCCAATCACCGTCCTCCAAACGCTTTCCTCGTCTCACGACCATCAGAGTGCAAATAGCCAGTTGTTTTAGTGTTTCTTCCGTTCGTAACGTTATATTCAGTCAGTGTTACAAGTACGGATAACGTGAAGCTTGGATAGCCACGTGACAGCCTCCTCAACCACATCAACCCCATCTCTTGCCATCGACACATGAACCATGGCCTCTCCTAACAACACACGCACTCTAGCCCTCACTCCCACAGATCCAACAAAGACCGGCTTCGCCGACCTCCCCGGCGAGCTCCGCAATGCCATCTACCACGCCATCGCCGCCTCTATCCCCGTCCAAATCACATTCAATGACGGCCGCACCCACCGGATCCCACTAACCGGCATCCACCCCCTCATAGACCGCGAGCTGGGGTCCATGTTCTTTTCCACCCCTCGCATCTTCCGCTTCTGCTACGCCAACCCCCGCCACAGCCACGGCATCCCCGCCGCCGCCAAGTTCCTCAAAAGCTGGGCATGCCGCCTGATGCTCCGCACAAAGTGCCCTCGGATCTTAGTATCATTAGAGCTACCTTGGCCAGCTGACGTTGGCTACAACAGCCTCATGGCGAAGCGGGCACAGTCGCATATCAAGTGGGGCGTCGAGCAGTATATCAACGAGGAGCATGCGCGGTTGCGGGATGGGGGCGAGGAGCGCGCGTGTCCGATTGCGCGGTGGAGGCGGCGGAAACCGATGTTTGAGAAGGTCTCGAAGCGGCTGTCGACGGTGTTTTGGAGCTGTGGGGGCGAGGCGCTCTGTGAGGCGCTTTGGGCGGCGTTGCCGGAGTGGGCGGAGGAGCAGACGTTGCATCTTGCGGTGGGGTTTAAGAGCTTTGAACGCGAAGAGCTGGTGTTTACGGTGCAGCAGACGAGTGTTCTGAGGCCTGGTTGCGGGTGGACAACGCCGTCGTGGACGCAGTAGTGGATGCAGGTTGACGGTAGATATTGACGATTTATCTATTATATGCTAGAGTCTGGCTCGTCAAACTGTAGTCAGAGACTACGCCTGTATCTACAAGCTCTTCTTTCATCGACATCGTTTCCGTCGTCTGCCATTACCCCCGCTCAACCAGCTCGGCAGACTTCAACCAAAGGCCATGCCTCCGTCCACCAAGACACCTTCATCCATGTCATTTCCATCATCCGCCATTACCACCACTCGACGTGTCTAAATTCTTGATACCAAGACCCATCCCGTACTCGAAATCCTCGCCGCAATCAACACCAGCCCGCCCGCCACAAGGGCCGAAGCACTCCACATCTGCGCATACAGATAGTTCCCCCCATGCGCCTGAATCAGCGCTCCAGCCAGCGGCGGCCCCGTCAACGATGCAACCCCCACAAAACTAAAACACATGCCCATCCGCGCGCCAGCTTTGGACATATCCTTCGTCAGCGAACTCAGCGCGCCGGGAAACAGGCCCTGGAAGCCCGCGATGAGCAAGCCGTAGAGGGACGCGAAGGCGTACAGCGCGGCCTGCGTGCGCACTGCTGCCCAGCAGTAGATGAGGATGGCGCCGATGAAGGGGAACGGGATGATGGTGTTCAGGGGGCCGAAGTTCCGGTCGGCGAAGTAGGCTGGGATGACGCGGCCGAAGAGCCCCAGGCCGTTCATTAAGAGGAGCATGTTGACCGAGGTGGAGTAGGATGCGCCTATTACGTCGATGGCATACGGTCCGACCTAGAGTTGAAGTTAGTTTCAAGTATCTTCAAACGACAGCGTGGATGATACACGTGATCATGGAGTTAGCTTACATAGTAGAAGACGTAAAACTGGCCCCAGATAGCCAGGAACACCGCAACGCAATACAGCGAGTACGTCGACTCGCGGAAAGCAGAAAAGTCGATCAGCGGACCACTTTTCGTAGGCGGTAACCGCGGGCGAAGCAACGCTGTCGTGAGACACCCGATGGCCACCATGATGAGCCCCATGACTCTGAGCACCCAGGCGAACCCGATCTTAGGGAGCAATTGCCGCACGATGGTCGGGTATATCATGCCGCCAGTCGCGGACCCGGACACCACAATCGCCACGGCCAGGATCCGGTTCTTTTGGAAGTAGGTCGTCACGAGCGACACAGCCGGGCAGAACTGCATGCCGCACCCGACGCCCGTCACGACGCCTTGGGCGAGGAAGAGCTGCCAGTACTGGGTGCACAGCGAGGTCATGAAGACGCCGAATGCCTCGATGAGCAGGCCGGCGATGAAGACGTGGTAGAAATACCCGGCATCCAGCGCGCGTCCTGAGACGGCGCCGACGAAGAAGTGGCCCAGGGTTTGCACGCTGCCAATCCACGATACGGCCGATGGTGCGAGGCCGAGCTCGGAGGTGTAGTAGGCTTGAAAGACACCAAACGAGGTTATCACCCCCCAGGTGTTGAAGACTACGAGGTGGCCCATGCATGCTTGCGTCCAGGCCTTCAGGCCGCCGTCGGGGGGAGGCCCGGGGTCTCTCGTCAACGCATTCGTGCGTGTGGTTAGGATCTTGCTGATCATGCCGGCCGTGGTCTCGTTCTTCAGTATGGTTGTGTGGGGGCTCTGTGTTCGCACGGCTTGGATCTCCTCATCGTCGTCGGCGTCAGAAACGTATTCTTCCTCGTCGCGGCTTTGATGACTTCCAGCTACTGATGTTGATTCTTCATACTTCTTCTTCTTCTCCGAAATCGGACCAGTTACGTATGTAGACTGCTCGTACTCCTTGTCGGCAATGGGGAGAGGGACAGACATGGCGAAGAGTTACTGTGGGAATAGATATTAGGGGCCATTGACCTTTGCAGACAGAGCAGAGTGGACTGGGTGAGAATTGACGGTTTCGAAGGATGGGAAAACGACAATTCGAGGTCCATGGGTAGATGCGAGTGTGAACGAAGGATCTCGGAAATTGACCGTGCGGGCATCGTGGGAAGTGCCTCTACGCCGATAGTGGGGGAGCGAGGTCTCGGAGTCATCCGTTATCCTTGGATCGCTGCGTTAGCTTGCAGCATAGGGCGCTGGCGGTGCGGTTGCGGCTTGTTGAGAGTCTTTTTTATCGGTTGTTGAAGCCAGCAAAGCCGTGCTATCCGTTCGGGGAGAAGACCGCGATCGGAGTGTTTAGTCCGTTAGAATAGAGTGGCCCCAACAACCTCAATAGTTTTCCGGTATACATGAGCATCTACACTTCTCCAAAGCTATTTAGTTCCCATGATTGTGCAAGGACCCTTACATGCTTTTAGTGGTTGCAAAACGTAATTAGGACCTAGGCTTTTCTTCGAATACCTAATAACAACATGCTTAATAAAGTAAAAGGTCCGTAGAAGTGAAAATGATAGAACTCTAGAGTTATTAGCAAAGCAGTTGATAATTTAAATTAATTTGGGAGATAGCCATGATAGGGATTCAGAATCGATAGGCAACATGCTTGCACAGTAAAAAAGTCTGAGAGATCGGACCATAGTTATTTCGATCAGTGACGTCCACTTGTTCATGCACACTGTCCACCTCTTCGTGCGCGACGCTAACTGTAACTGACGACCTTGACTGTGGATCCGCTATCGAAAGCACCTTTTCCAAGGTTCTCGGTCCGTCAGTCCACCATGATATATACCATGGCTATCCCCATGACTGGCGATATCGTACCATCCATCTCCTTCATCGCCATATGCTCTTTGGTATCATAATGAGCTACCAAGCTCACTGCCTCTCCAGGTCCCAGTGCTCCTGCGCTCAAGCAAGTCACCATTGACGACACGTGCGGCATACCCTTGATAGCCTCATTGCCGTCAATGTACCCAGCTGTCTCGCCGTAGCTAGCCGTAGAGTTACAGACAAGCTTGCCATCCTTGAGAATGTCGACATGCGTACCGCCATCGTGAAGATGCCCGCCTGTAAACACGATTATTCCGGCGATGTCACTTACCAATGGCTCCGATGCATACTCAAAAATGGCATTCTCGTAGCCAGGCACGTCGGAGCTTTTGTAGCAGCCCCCCACATCGAGCCACAGCATCGTAGTTTTCTTGAAATCGACAGGCACTCCCGGTATGTATTCAAACGTGATAGTGAGGATAGCTTCTCGAGCTTCGGGAGATCCGTTCATGAGCTCAACCAGGGTACTGAATTTAGTAGCTGGTGAGATGTAAAGACCCGTTTTATGAGCGCTTGAGGATATCAACGCGGTGTCCCGAGCAGTGTTGGAGAGCTTTGACTTGAAAGAAACTTACATATTGCCGGTGAGATCAACCGGTGTACGCTCATTTCCAGATGCAAAAATACGCGACACATTACTCATCGGACACGCCGGGTCAGGTTGGGTAGTGTCAAAAAGAACGGTGTGATGGAGCCACATGTCTGTGTCTGAGTTTGCATAAGACCCGTCTGGATACTCAAGCCCGGCCTATAGTAGTCAGCAACGTCATTTAGTGATGAAGAATAAGATGGATCGATCACATGCCTGGATAAAGGTAATCAAGCAATCAGTACATGGTTTCTCAACATTATTGAGAACCCATTGCTTCATTCCGCCACCTTCAGAGCTCGCTGGGACAAGAAACGGTCCCCATTTGATCGTTGTGCTCTGAGACCCATGCTCGCCAAATTGCTTCCCAACTTCGGTGCTTTTTGGAGTTTCTGTTATGGCCGGTTAGTCAAGGAACTTAGAGAGATCTACTCGCAGAGACTTGGATGTGTGAAATCCGCCTTTCTCGTTCTGGCATGGGTACATCGTGATGCTTACCCTTCCCAGCTAGTAGTACAGAAAAGACAAAAAAGATAGACAGTAGCGATAGAAATGCGGAGAGGATGAAGAGGGAAGGGCCCAAGTAAGCCTTGGCGTGAGATTTGAAGTCTTCATATTGGCGCTTTGAGGACGTCATTGCGTCCTAAACACTTCGCTTCTGAAAACATGCGCTCATCTAAAGCAGTAGTCGGCACCAGATTGATAGAAATACATGAGATAGAGAAGAAGACTGGCGATTAGGAAATCCGAGTCTAGCAACGTAAGCTTCACTAGTGCTGGACGGTTTAGCAGTGCATTCACGTCAGGGGTTGATTGCGGGGAGAATGTTAGCCTGGTCACCGACAGCTTACTCGCGTCTTGCGTCTTTCTCCACCTCCATTGCCGCGGCAAAACATGCTATCAACAGTACATGTAGTAGCTATGTCTACTAACAATCCTACATCCACTATGCCACCATGACTTCCCCGAAGGTTGAAACCCGATTGTCTACGTCCGAGCCAGTGAAGAAAGAGACGTTTGGGAACCTGGCACCATGGAGCGAGCCCGCCTGGTACAGTTCCCTCGCATCGCCTTACTATAATAAAAGCCACAAACGACTACGCGACGCGATACGCTCTTATTACGATGATAATGTTCTCCCTTACTCACTGGATTGGGAGGAGAAGGGCGACGCACCCCTCGAGGCCAGACTGAAATATGCCCGCTCCGGCTTCACATTCGCGGATGTACCAGCCAAATATCGGCCTGCCGACATACCGGGCCCAGCTGGAATACCTGTGGCACAATTAGACATCTTCCACCTGATGATTATGACGGATGAGGGAGCGAGGGTTGAAGGTGGTGTTGGGACTGCGTTGGCTGGCGCTTCCGTGATAGGAGCGCCTCCAATAATCTACCACGGTACCGAGGAACAGAAACAGAAATGGCTACCCGGTCTCTTCACCTTCGAAACGAGCTTCTCTCTAGGGATCACAGAACCATCGGGCGGCTCTGATGTTGCGAACATCCAGACCACTGCGAAGAAGACATCAGATGGGAAGTTCTACGTAGTGAACGGATACAAGAAGTGGATCACGGGAACACCTTGGGCAACACATATGACAACAGCGGTGCGGACCGGTGGCGATGGCATGAAGGGTATCTCAGTGATCGTAATCCCTGTCAACGCAAAAGGCTTTTCCTGGAAAAGAATACCAAACTCAGGCCAGAAGGCTGGTGGGGCTTCCTTCGTGGAGCTAGACGACTGTCTAGTCCCGGCCGAAAACCTAATTGGCAAAGAAAATGAAGGCTTCCGCATTATCATGACGAACTTCAACAAGGAACGGTTCATCATGTCTATTGCATGCAATCGCAAGGCGCGCACTTGTCTATCAACGTCTTTATCATATGCTCACAATCGCCATACCTTTGGGAAGCCATTAATCGCGAATCAAATCATCAGCTCCAAGCTCGCAACTCTTGCGCGTTACGTGGAAAGTCATTGGGCGTGGCTTGAACAGATCGCCTACCACATTCAGCAGTCGCCACTGGGCTGGCAAGATCCTGAAATCGCAGGACAGATTGCTCTGTCTAAAGTGCATGGAGGTCGCATCCTGGAGATGGCAAACAGAGAAGCCCAGCAGGTTCTTGGGGGCGCGGGATATCAAAAGGGAGGCCCAGGAGCATCTATCGAACAGATGAGCAGAGATCTAAGGATGATGGTAAGACACTGTTCAATCTCGACGTCACTGACACCACGCTAAACTTGTACAGGTCGTTGGAGGCGGTAGCGAAGAGATCATCGCTGATCTAGCTGTCAGGCAGGAAACTGCTCTCGCGAAGAAACGGGGTTGGAAACTGTAGTCATTCCAAATAATCTTCTTTCGGAACGTTCCTACGCTGTCTCTATCGTGATACAGGCTTTTCCTACTACGGTATATAGAGTGGACACTTCGAATATCCGGAGATGCAGTATTCTTAGACACTTTTGCTCGACTCACGATGCTTCTCGCTGCCAATCCATATCCCTAGCCGACTAATAAAGAAGCTCTAATTTGGACCCCTGGATATCTTGCCCGACTTCGGCAGCGAGAGTTGAACTCTCGGAGCCAGATCTGCACAGCTCACAGCGAAATGTCCTTTCTATCCAACGACTAAAGAACGACATTGAACAGTCAAAAAAAGAAGCAGTGGTTAACAAGATCAACTACAAAGCCGTCTTTGAGCCACGATTACTTTACTTCAAAGCCTCGGACATCTCAAGTCCTTTCCAAATAAGAACACCAATGCTCCGTAAATATCAAGTACAGAGCACCTCGCATGGCCGATGGGTCAGCCTAGGCTACTCTCTGTATCACATGTTTATTCTATAGCAGATAGGACGCAATCCAGACTCGTTAGTAGCCTCCATCAAGCCCTCACATGCAGCAGTATAACACTGCCATAACACCAAGCCCAAAACGGTCGATTAGTTGTGTCGCAGATCAACCAACTGCTGGTATAATCCCGTTGCATTGCTAAGGTAGATTTACTACTTTAATCTTCTTCGGAAACTCGTCGCTATCTATTCGCCCTTCCGGAAGCGGCCCTATTATCTCGGCTTTTTTGAGCCGGCATCATCCCCCAACCACAGTACTATCCCCTTGTCTTACATGCTAGTAACTGCCTTCCTTTTCAGTGTAAAACAGACTGACGCTGTGAGACGTATTCGACTTGTGAATTCCGCAGGTGGCCCATAGATATCCTGCACATCTACTATTTCCCAGCCCCCCTCCACTAGACTCTTTGTACTCCTTACAAACCGGCCCTTCTCTCCCCCTCCCTTCCAAAGCACCTCCACCCTCTCTCCCTCCCCATTCTGGAGCAGAGTAAACCGTTTCCGCATCGCCTCCACATGGTCCGGTACTTCTTCGCTCCACCCGCTCACATAATGCTCTTCGTAGTACAATTGAGGCCACCTGTCATATTCCATAATCAAACTCAGCTGAAGCTTGAGTCCCTGCTGCCCTAGGATCCGAAACACGGCGTCAATGGCCGGAGACACGTCATCGTATGCAAAATCGGGCCACGTCGCATCGTATACGGGGGGATAGATGCGCGTGTGCTGGTCTCTAGAATGCACTTTACGCATCCAGGAGCCAGGTATACGCGAGGATACTGTGCCGTCGGTGTCCTTTATGACGGGCGGGGGACGCGAGATGTCGGCCTCGATGGAGCGGAGACGGGCGCGGTTTTGGGGGCCGATGCAGTAGAGGAAGGAGTAGATGGCATCCCAGTACTCGATGCCGGTGTGGTCGGGGAAACCATAATGCTGAGGCTGTGTGGGGTGGTGCAAGTCGCCGAATTTGAAGGTGTTGTGGGCATAGAACAGGGATGCGGATTCTATGGCTATCGTCCTATTCACGTGCAAGAGACCAAGGGTGAGATGGGGATATTTCGAAGACCAAGAATGAGTTCGTGCGCGTTTGGCGGCATCTGGTGGATCTGGCGGTTCGGAGTAGACGATGATGGGAGAGGAGTCTATGAGAAGATGTTCGTAGATCATTTCTCGGACTTCGCGGGGGAGGTTCATGAAAGTTTCTGCGGGATATATTGCTAGGCCGAGGGGTTCACCGGCGCGGCGACGAATTCGGCAGACTTTGCGAGGCATTTGGAGGACCGGGACGAAGATGCTGGGAAGAGGATGATGGAAGGAAGATGATGAGAGGAAAACGATGAGAGGAAGATCATGGGAGAAAGATTCTGGGAGAAAGATGGTGGTAGAAAGAGACCTGAGAAAAAGCTGAGGTGGGCCCGAGCTAACATTGCTTCAGGTAAATGCATGAAATGGGGAGGCTCATCACGTGACTATCGGAACGATCACAGGGCTCTTGATAGCATAACTCCATGCCACTTTAGAAGATTATATGTATGTTTATAGCTCTTTATAAGGCTGCTACTTCCCCACATTTGGAAGAAGTCTGGTCTTGTTCCAAAAGCTAGAGATGCTCCACCTGGATCACGTGAGCAGCTTAAGGTGGAGAGTTCTGGAGGAACGTGCATTTTGGCTTTTATGCCAATCCCATCAAGCCAGTGATCTGCGTGCACTGTCTCCCATGCCTTTTGAGTCCTACATGACTGCAGCACACCTCTTTCAACCACACTCCCAACAAGTCGATTCGTGCCGTAGATATTCCCGGTTTTGCATACCCAAAACTTGGAACCCACGTTTTCGCTTCCAGCCGTAGGGAAACTAGGGACTCGCCCTACGTCACCGCGCGCATGGCTTATCGGCTGTCACCCACACTCTCTCTATCGTGCTTCAACTGTTGGCTGGAGCTTTCTAGGCTCCAGGGGTTGCGGGAGATAATCGTGTGGCTTTTGGAGGGGCAGCATGTGGGCCGTAAAGTTGGGCCGTCCCGGGGGCCCTAGTTATGACGGAGGGCCAAAAGTTTATAACTACATAAGCTACTTCAGTTCATCACCTCACTTCAACTAGTGCATCTGACTTCTTCTTTTGATACAAAGGTACCCTAGAGACTTACAATATTCTTCACTGCTCTCTTTCACTTTCCACTTCTTTAAGCTCAGATCATCTGCTATTCAAGATGGGCGACACAGGTAAACAAGCATTTCACTGTGCATGCGGAAAATGTTAACGCCTACAAGAGCAGAAGCCCACGCCGGGGAACAACACCATGTTCCAAGGCTTCGAATGGAATGTCCCCGCCGACGGGAAGCACTGGCAGCGTCTGATAGGCGCCATCCCCAAACTCGCGGCTGCCGGTGTCAACAACATCTGGCTGCCTCCCGGCTGCAAGGCCAGCAGCCCCAACGGCAACGGATACGACGTCTATGATCTTTACGATGTTGGAGAGTTCGACCAAAAGGGTGGCAAGGCGACGAAGTGGGGCACAAAAGAGGAGCTCTTGGAGTTGTCGAAGCTGGCAAAGGAACATGGCGTAGGCCTGTATTGGGATGCAGTGCTCAACCACAAAGCGGCCGCGGATCATACTGAGAAGTGTCGAGTCGTTGAGGTGGACGAGAATGGTATGCTTGATCTACTTGATTAGGAAATCTGGGCTCACGCTGCTCAGATCGAACGAAAGATGTCGGAGAGCCGTATGAAATCGAGGGCTGGCTTGGATTCGACTTCCCAGGCCGAGGGGACAAGTATAGTGCTCAGAAGTACCACTGGCAAGTCAAGTATGACCTAAAGTAGAGACGCCATCTAACTCGATATCAGGTATCACTTCTCGGGCACTGATTTCAACGCGGCGAACGACAAGAAGGCGATCTACAGGATCTTGGGCGACAACAAGGGATGGTCCGCCTCTGTAAGCGATGAGCAGGGCAATGCAGACTACATGATGTTTGCAGATCTCGATTACTCGCATCCAGAGGTTCAAGAGGACGTCAAGGTAGACCATCTCTCACACACGTACAAGGTCTCAAGCTGACTTGTCCAGAAATGGGGCGTCTGGGTCACCAAAGAATTCGGCCTCAAAGGCTTCCGCCTGGACGCCGTGCAGCATTTTTCCGAACGCTTCACCGGTGAATGGATCGAGAACCTCCGCGAGCAATGCGGCAAGGACATGTTCGTAGTCGGCGAGTACTGGACCGGCGAGACCAAGGCCTTGTCCGCCTGGCTTGAGAAGATGGACCACAAGTTCTCCCTCTACGACTCGCCCCTCCTATACAACTTCTCCCAAGCCTCCACCTCCGAGGGCGCCGACCTCCGCAAAATCTTCGACGACTCCCTCGTCCAATCTCAGCCCGTCAACTCCGTCGTAGGTTCTCCCCTCCCTTCATAACTTTCCTTACCTAACTTGATACCCAGACCGTCGTCATGAACCACGACACGCAGCCCGGGCAAACCGTCGCCACCCCCGTCGAAGGCTTCTTCAAGCCCCTCGCCTACTGCCTCACCCTCCTCCGGAAGGACGGCTACCCTTGCCCCTTCTACGGCGACCTCTACGGCATGAAAGGTGAGAACCCGGAGCCTCCATCCTGCGGCAACAAGCTCGCAGACATGATCCTCGTGCGCAAGCTCTACGCCTACGGCGAGCAGGACGACTACTGGGACGACGCTAACTGCATCGGGTGGGCGCGGCGCGGAACGTGGGACAAGCCGTTCGGCTTGGCTTGCGTGATGTCAAACACAGTGCCGGGCCAGATCCGCATGGCGGTGGGCGAGATGCACAAGGGGGAGGTGTGGACGGATTTACTGGAGTGGGAGAAGAACGAGGTTACGATTGATGAGGACGGGTATGGGCTGTTCCCGTGCGCGGGGATCAGCGTCTCGATCTGGGTGAATAAGGAGGCGGAAGGCCGCGAGAAGTTCCCGGTGAACTTCGACTCTAATATCTACAATGAGTAGGGCGCGGGCTGGGTTGGGTTGGCATCATGGCGTGGAGTTGGCGGCGTTTGGGACTCCTAGATGGGGGCTGGGTGGCTTGCTTCAAATTGGATTAGATCAGAGTTAAGATCTCGGGAATAGGGAATGGTTAATGACTGTTCAATCTTCATCTAATGATGTACATTCAGTGCGCTAAGTGAATCTGCAGAACATCACATGACGCAAGGCCCAGTGGAGCAAGCCTTGGAATTTCTTCATCATTGAAATATGTAAAGCACAAAGCACGCGGACGTGGTTTCAAGCACTTGCTGAAGTCCAACTTCTAATGTATTTTCTAGTAACGGGCGATCTAGGTGAGAAACAAGAACAAAGCTTTTATAGGTTGTGAATCGGACTATTCTACGAATTTATGTTAGCCGAGACTACGGCAGTTACAGACCACGACCTGAGGTGAAGCCTGAGATGTCCGATTTCCTGTGTTTGTTGGATTTATTTGTCGTACCTCGTAGTGTATGACCGAATAGACTTTACTGTCGTACCTTCTCTCTACTGCATACGGACACGACCATTATCTTTAAATCTATAGACATTTCTCAGAGTAGTGATGCACTACTTAATCGAGTAGGTCTTGACTTTCCTTCAGGAAATCACATGGGAAGGTGGTGCCGTGTCACGTGACGCTGGGAACAGCCATGCGGTTGTTCTTGATAACATTCTCAAATAGCAGCTTTGACATTTAGAAGAGGTCTGGACTTGTTCTAAAAGGTCAGTGATGCTTAACAGACGTTTGCGTCATCCATTTCTACCAATAGCTCCACAGCCCGGGAGCGGCATAAGATTCGGTTTGTCTGACGTAAATATTACCCCGGGTATCTTCAATTGCGTTCATAGCTCCCAGTCGTCGCTGTATCCTACACATAACCATCATCGAGTGCGTCACGAATTCCCGATTCGTCTACAGCCACTTCAAAAGCATACAAGAGAATGGACCCAACCTCAAGCGCAGGCTCAAACCCAAAACCCATGAATATCCCGACCCACTCCCACCTGCTCACCCACAACCTCTCTCACTACCTCACCAAATCCGCACTTGTCCATCCTCAAAGAAACTTCACACAGCAGCTCAACGCCGCAGAACAGCGCGCAGCCATGTCGTCCACCTTCCCCACCACATCCTCGAAGCCCGGCGAGCATTTCGAGCCGCGCCAGACGGCGACGAGCGAAGACTACACACCCGACCCGTCCAAGAGCCTCCCGCTGAACCCGCAACGGCAGCGGCTTGTGGACGACATCATCGCGCTGTACAGCTGCGAGCCGACCATCGAGAGGGTGCAGCGATACACGCCTGATTGCGTGTACGACGACCAGTTCGTGTACGCGAACGACCGGTATAAGATGGCGGGGCAGTGGTTTGCGCTGCCGAAGTTGTTTAAGGATAGCACGAACCATGGGTATCAGGTTATCCGGAGTGATAATGAGATGATTCAGTTTAAGAATCAGCAATGTAAGAGTCCTTTCTAACAGTTTGGGTGGATGGATGGATAGAGAGCTAATAGAGGCGCAGCCTGGACGTTCAAGATCATCCCCAAGACTGCCATGATCACGGGTCTTGTGTCGCTTTCGCTGGATCCGGATACTGTGGATAAGGAGTTTATGCAGATTAAGTATCATAAGGATCAGGCGAATGATAAAGATTACTCGCATGAGGGTCTTGGGTTCTCGTTCAAGAAGTGGCAGGCTGACCAGGTGGCGAAGCATATGGACAGTCCGGAGGTGGAGCAGTTTGCGGCGGACAAGAGCGCGAATAAGGAGCATGTGAGGAAGTATGGTTCTAGGACTGCAGATGCACCGAAGCAGGATTTTACGAACTGACATAAGGTTTGAGAAGATGATTGATGCGAAATATTTGTATGAATAATGAGCGTATGATATGATTCTTTAGGTCGAACAGCGATGAGAATAATCTTGCATTGAAACAATCAAAGGACCAACCTAATTTCGACAAACCTCAAAGTCAGGGTAATTATCTTCAACAGATTCAAGAAAGGCATTCGTGCTGGAATGCGACGCGCAAGTATCGCTAAAGTCGCGATAGAAATATGGTGGGGAGTCGGTTGCCCCCTCAACGGCCGCGGATCAACAACAACCTCCACCGTTAATATCGCCAACGCATCTTCTTCTCACCGCTATAACCCCAACAACTCCAGAACGCCACCCGTACAACTCCAAATATCCCAATATTCCAATCGAAAGAATCCAGATCCCAGAACCACAAAAAACCTCCAGAACCAGCCCTCAGCGGCACATCAACCTCCAACATGACAACTATCCACACCAGCCCACCCCCCGGCCCCGGCTTCTCCATCTACGAAGACACCGACCACGACCTTCGCAGTCCTCTCTCCGAATACGACGCCGACACCTCCTTCAATTCGGAAACCAGTTCACTCATCTCCCCCGACGACCCGCTCGCCAGCATCGAACCCCACATCGACATCTCCGATGCCTTCTCCCCCTCCCCGCGCTCCTCCACCTCCACCTCGCGCTCTCGCCGCGTCTCCGCCCTCACCACCACAAGCCTGATCTCCGACCTCCCCTCCGAGCTCTCCATAACCTCCCGCCCCTCGCCAAACGACATGCACTACACCCCCATGAAAGAACGCGCGCTGTTCCGCAACCCCTCCTCGGTGCGCGCGTTGCAGATGGCGTCCCCGCCGCCCTTCGAGACCTACTCGAGCCCGCGGGCCGCAGGCGTCAAGGGCGCCTACAAGCTGTCGACGCCGTCGCGGCGGTCCGAGACGCCCAGCCGCCACTCGCACTCGGTGCGCTCGGGGAGCATGAAGCCGGGGCAGACGCCGACGCCGTCGAAGCAGCTGGTGCAGGTGCAGCAGCAGGCGGCGCAATTCCACCCGCTGATACTGCTGCATGTGACGCTCTTGCCACTCGCGCATGTGTACTCGCCGGGCGTGATGGCGGCAGTGGCGCCGGGGTGGTTGGGGGAGAATTATCGACTGCTGGAGGAGCGGTTTGCGGATTCGGTGCTGATGCAGCGGGGGTTGTTGATTCCGCATCCGAATGAGGAGTATGATTTGCTAGAGGAGAGGTTGTTGGAGAGTTTGGAGTTGAAGATGCCGAGGTTGTTAAAGTGTGGGCATTTTACGGGTGGGGAGGAGGCTGAGGAGAGCGATATTAGTGATTCTGAGAATGAGGGGAGGGGAAGTAGGATGAGTGGGGGTACAGTAACGGGCGAAGAGGAGGAGCCAGAATTTGAGTGTGATGATGCTTCGAGCGTCTGCACGGATTGTCACCGTCCGATCAAGAAGCCTGGGAAGGGGGCTGGGAGTGGGACGAAGAAGTGGAATATCAAGATATACGCGGCTAACGGTTTGATGAGGGCTGGTGCTTGGGGAGCTGCTTGGAGGGAAATGGAGAGAATTGATGTTGAGATCTCGCCATGGATTCCGGAGGATATTCGCAAGGTACTCGAACAGCGGCAGAAGGAGGAAGAGGAGGAGGAGCTTTTAGAGCGCAAGAGAATTCAAGACGCCGAAGAGTTGAGGAAAGCTGAAGAGTTGAGGAAAGCTGAAGAATTGAGGAAAGCTGAAGCGCTTTTAGAAGAAAAGAAACGAGCCGAAGCAGAGGCAGCTTCAATTGCGGAGGACAACAGGAAAGCCGAAGCACTCGCTGAAGAGAAAAGGCAAATTCAGGCGCAGAAAGAAGCACTCGCTGAAGAAAAGAGACATATTGAGGCAGAGAAGGAAGCACAAGCAGCTGCAGTTGCTGAACAGTTTCGAATTGAAGCAGAGAAGGAAGCACAAGCTGCTGCAATTGCTGAACAAACTCGAATCGAAGATGAAGCGAGGAGACGAGCCTTCGTTCCAACTGCTCTGTATACCGAATATCCAGAGCGGCTTCGCTCCCGCAGCAAACGACCATCTTCATCGTCCTCGCGCCAAACCATAGAGGAGATTCCGTTGTCTACTCTCTTGAAGAATTACATTTACCTCATGGCCAGCGACCGACGCAACCTCGCCATCGCCTTCCTCACCGCCTTCGTCATCTTCCTCTCCCTGCAACTCAACAAAGCACCGCCAGTTCTCGTCCCAGGCGGCGACATCCCCGGCCTCATGCTCTCAGACCCACCCCAAGAATGTCCCGCTAGCTCCGTCGTCTTTACCACTACATCCATCGTCACGCAGCTCGCCTCACAAGACGCGTCCGTGATGCCACTAGTCGAATCCTCAGCGACGTCACAGCTCGCTCCACAAGACGTGTCCGTGATGCCGCTAGCCAATTCCTCACCGACACCACTATCCATAACGAGCTCTATTGCCGCCTCGTCAATTCTTGCCGCAGAAGATAGCTCTGTTTCAGTGGCCCCACCGATCGCTACCCCGGCTGACGGTTTGGACGAGCGATCGCCCTCATCTGAGACAGCTGCTGTTCTTCCAGCATCGCATGCGCCATCAGCAGCAGCAGCAGCGGCCCGTGAGCACCAGGCCGCTGATTCTAGCGCCGCCCCGCTATTGTCCCTGGAAGAAGCAGTGCCCGCGGAAACGCCTGAGCCTGACTATGCGGAGCTCTAGCTGACGTTTGGAAACGGAGCAATTGGGATCCCGGGAGGAAGACTTTGGATCGCAGATCAAAATGCGAATGATTCTCCGAAAGAAGCACTTCAGACTTTCTTTAGCTCGGCCTGACGATAAATGCGGCAACGGTTTGCCGAATTTGCAGCTTCACCCTATGTATCAGTATTGCTTGATGCTTGTGCGGTCGCGTGCATGCCTACCTCCTAGGATCTGGCATGTCAGCCTCGGCCGGGCAGCAGGGCTGGGGTGGCACGGGTGGCTATTCGGATCAGCATCGTGGGCCGATCGCCACTCTAAGTTGGGCTTCAAAAATGTGACTATTGATGAGTAAGGTAAATCAGGGGCGGCGTCGGGTAAGCCTTACGACCGTTAAGGTGTAATGAGCCGCATGAGCCGCGGCAGGCTCACAAACATCGTCGCCTTTCTTCTTCTTCTGGAATTGCTCGGTCAATTGCCTGGATTCGGTTATGATGATGAGAGAATGCGTAGCGCTGTTTTCATTCTTCCTGATTTTTGTTTTTCTTTTTTGGGATTCCCTGTCTCTAGTGGCATTGATTGGTCAATTGCGTTCAAGCCCGTTGTGCGAAAGCGTGCTTCTTTTGGAAATATATGGGGGTTTGGTCTGAGCGTTGGAGCGAGTGAGCAGTTATTGAGCGCTGTTATTGAAATATCCCTCTTAGTCTAGTTAGTCAATCGTGGTCATCCGCGCTGAAATCGATGTGTAGAAATGGCAGTGTAGGTCTTGAATGTTGACCTGTGTGTGCTAGTGCAGCCAATTAGCACTATTATCTTTGTTGTGCGGTAGTGTTTGTCAATATGTCGTTGAATCCGAGTCTGGAAATAGGGTACCGTGCTCGGATCCTGCTGCTAGGGTTTGCGGGTCGTCTTACGCACATGCTAGCGTAGGGTCAGTCTGCTACGTACTATTCTAGGATTTAGTGATTTCAGGGATAGGCAATAGAGATCAGGTCAGATAAGGTTGACACTCAAAGATTTGCCAATGTCAAACGCCGCAGTTGCCGAACTCAACGCCGCCTCGCCGACTCGGGTACCCGACGACGAGCACTTCGGCGTGGTGCTTCCCTGACAGTCTGCTGATGTTTGATCGACGTCACGGTTGCTGTAATTCGACGCTAACAACGATTTACTCAATCATTGGAGATGTGGTGTTGCATGATTCTTCTGTTTCTGCCTCGCCGGCCCGATAAGGATGGATATCGTAGATTCCGAAGAAACATGGATTATTTGGCGGTCTAGAGCAACTTGTTGAACTTCTCCGAGTGAGGCTATACAGCCGAGCCTCCAAGCAGACCTCGGGGACCCTATCGAGCTCGCCTTCCTGTCACGTAGACCTAGATTCACCACTATAGCGGTCTCATTCGTCGGCTATTCCTGTCTCTCGTTTCGTCACACATCCATTTCATCCACCCCTGCACCTTTCTTCGACCTCTCTTCGACCCTCTTTTTGGTTTTCGCCTTGCCCTCCTCAATCCATTCCTCATATTTACCTTCCCCCTCTTCTAGCTTTGACCCTACAACGCCCTTTAGTAGCTCCCCCACAAAGCCGACGAAGTTGTGGCGCCGTAGAGCATTTTCCCACTGCCACGCAGTGCGCTTCTGCTCTTCCTGTTGAAGTGTTTCGGCATCGCCGATATCTCGTGCGCGAATGCGTAGATCGCGGACCATGGCGAGTAAGTTGAAGCGGATCTCGTGGACAGGATAACGCTCAATTCGGCGCTGAAGGACTGGGATGACCGCTTCAGGGAAAGACGAGGGAGTACATGGGCCGTGGGATATGGGGGCCGGTTGGAGGCCATCAAGCTCGTATAGCGTCCCATTTATTGAGGAATACTAGTTTGACGACTTAGTATGGTACTAGTGGAAGGGAGGATGATCGTACGGCGATGAAGTGATAGACGTCATCATCTTCTGTGGCCGCGCGCTGGGTCTCATCGATGAACGGTGAGGACCGAGCGAAGGAGTTGTGTACATCGCGAATAAGGTCGGAGTTTGATAGGGCGTCGCCTCGGAGCTAGTGGGACATTATATTAGCTCTTCGCAGCTACTTTTGATATCATCCTGCCCGTATCCAGACTCACATCTGAAGGAAATGCAGACGTGAAGTCCTTGAACTCGGTCAACGACGGCCCAATGTCAACCTCATCCGTCTTGTTCAGCAGCACTGACAACAGCGCTTGCGTGCCGCACGCATTCTGTATGGTCTGGGCGGCGAAGAAGAGGTTTTCGGCAGCATCGTAATCGAAAGTGCCGTCCTTGGGAGTGTCCGAACGCGTCTCACCGGTGGGGTACTTGAACAGGAATATGACACCATAGATTGGGCTAATGGGCTTGGGTTAGCACTTCTGTTCCTCTGCATGGCGGGGGCAACGGTACCTTAGCTGGCGGAGAGAGTCCGCATCGAGACTGATCAGCTCCTCGAACTGCACGTCCTTGGCACCGAGGTTGTTAAGCAGATATGTGAATACGCCCTGTGTGGTGGAATATCAAATCAGTGACGCTGCTACGGACGATGCGGAGGATCGAAGGGGTGGGTGTTGGAGGCGGCGCACAAACCGCGTCTGACTCGATCGTATTCCAGCCTCCGGACATGGTGCTGTCGGATTAGGCTTATGGGCGACTGGCAGTTGGTGGAGTGTTTTAGTGTGCAGAGGTGCAGGGTGGTGTGGGCCAGACTTATTGGACGTTGCGGGCAAACACATCGGTGATCTGATTAAGCTCTAGAGGTCACGTGCTGCAAGAGAGTAGTCCGTAAGAGGAACATAACCTCAAAACGAATACTTTCGAGCTTGACTTGGGAACGGACCTACGATTAAATACTAATGTATTGTGTACAGATGTTACTCCACCCAAGTTTCAAATACACAAGTCCTAATCACTGAGAAAACTCCCCTACACGATCGCCAAGAGCCACCAAACCCAGCATCACTCTCACATATGCTCCCCCCACACGTCACCGAACCTTCTGAACGGCCGCGTCCTTCTCATCTCACGTCGGCTAGAGTCTGCAACATGAATGGGCCATCCTGTGAAACTGCATCTAAATCATACTAGGCATCACTGCGTTAGCTGCTTCAATTCCTTCGCCTCTTCCGCCTACTAGCTATACCTCTTTCCTTTCTAGGCTCCCCGGCTCGTCAGATGGAACATTCGAAGCCTAGTTAGCAGCACGACACCGGTGTAGTACACAGTAGAAGCTCCTCCATGTGTCAAATCCTTTACTTCTCGCCTATGTTAAAAAAAAAGAAAAAGCGGGTCTGGGAAGCGAACTAGCGATCCCACTAAACCTACCGCAGCTCCACTGAAGCTGCTTTCTATGTATGTAGGTTTCAGATAGACCACCTTCTCGAAGCGTCCCTGACAGCCGCACCCCTGCATGCCATCGACCTATAACCGCTACCTTGGTGTAGCTCGTAGCTGTTCACAACCAGGCCCGAGTCTCAGACCGCACCCTCACTAGGTGCTCAGGGGCCTTCCCTGAGCTCTCAACACCAGCCCCCAAACCCGATCCACCCTAGCATTCCCCTTCCACACTCCAAGCATCCCACCCACCCAGCCTGCCCAACGCCCCGCCACCCGGAACCCCGACCTGTCAAACCCTCTAGCGCGGCGCATCAGCCATCAACCACCACGTAGGGGCTAGCTGCTATCGAAGAGCTGCTCGCCATGCCGTATTGAGGCGATGGCAGTTGCCAAGATCACTTCCTCAAGTGACAAGAGCGGGCGTCTTTGGCCACGTTGGACGGCGAACTCCGGCTATTGCATGGTCCACTCCTCCAAGATTGATGTTTCCCAGTTGCCATTCATCGCTCAAACCGTTGCTTCATTACTCCGATTGCGGGCCATCCTCGGCGGGTTGTCTGGTTCGTCGTTATCTTGCGTTGAATGTAACGTGTCTAACGGAACTGTATTCGGTCTTGCAGGTGGGCGACGTCTCACCGAAGCCCTCGCTTGAACATAGTTGCTGATGACACTAGCAACCACAAAGATGCAAAATTTCGCGAAAACGATGAAGGCTTTGAGCTTCTCCAGGCCCGTCCTGGCAGCCCGAGCTGAAAACTTGAGCGGTAGGGTTAATGGGGAGAGCAAGGCGAGCCGGTATCTGGCAGCGATGATATACAGGTACCCGCTAGCAGTGGCAGCAAACCCCAAGAGGTTGACGTTGGTATAGTCGGGATTGCGGTAGAGCGAAAGCAGCGGATATGTCTCCCAGCGAACTTCTGGGTACAAGGCTTTTGTGGCAACATCTTGCTCAGCTGCATATGTCGCAGCATATCGGAATCTGAGCATCGATCGGACAAATCTTTCTTCGACGTCGTCCTGCCATCGTCGGCTCTGATTTGGCGAGTTGACAAGGAAGTTTCGGGTCCAGGCGTATATCGGATCGTTCTGGGCGCTCACCCAGACCGACATAATTGCAGGGTAGCAACGGTCTAGCCAACCATCAAAATGCCCTATTGGGCGCGCGACACACTCATCTTCTGAGCATACTTTGAAGACTTCGGCACACCCAAGCGCGGATACTTCACGATCTGCAACATATCCCGCTCCGTAGCCGTGGCGATGGGCTCCGTATATCGGGTCATCTGATGGGCTTCCAGTTATTTGTGGCACTGGAGACCGTCCTGGCTTGAATGTGAGGAGAAAATTTTGAAGTCGGAATCTTGTGTATACAGTAGGACTACCATACAACATCCCCACAGCTAGGTCATCCCGAAGGTGCGTCGCAAGCGCTGGGTTTCCTTTGTACTCGATCCATGGCAATGTGGCATCCACATCAGTTTGAAACCATGTCGCTCCTTGGTCTCCGTGATTAATCACCGTCTTTACTGGGTATACGTATGTCTCACGACCGGAGTCCATATCGTTGGAGGTTCCAAGAAGCATACTATCGTGAAGGACAACATCAAACATTAACCCCTGCCCCTGTTCAAGGGCCGAGGGGAGCAAGTCCGGGACTCTGAGTTCGAAGGCTCCGTTGACAAACCGTTTACTGACTCGGTTATTCTCTTCGAAAGACCCGTTGACATATGTAATAAAAGGATCCAGAGATACAGGAACGCAAGTCAATTCATGGAGGAGCTTCTTTCCTCCTGGCTTCACGTTAAAGCCAGCATCTTGGAAAGTAATATTTCGACCCAGTCTCAATGCTTTATAATTAGTATCTCCCTTTTCGACCAGAAATTGATACGGCAATTCGGCAAAGACAGGATCTCTCAAGTCCATATTCTCTGTTGTGTACGACGGGAGCGTCTTGCGAAGGTCTGCGCAATAAGCCGTTTGACTCCAGTTTCGACTATCGGTCACGCATGTTCGGAAGTCGTCGCTGGTTCGTTCACGCACTCCTTTGTCGAATGCGGCGCTGTTACGGAGATTGGAGTAGCTGCCCTGGAGATCTTTCCTGGCTAGGACAATGGCCTCTCCTTGCAGACCTTCAGCGAGGAGGAACGGAATGAAGATGCCTAGAATGAGAAAGCTGACGATGTTGAGTATTGCAAAAAGGCCGAATCGTAACTCGATGGTCGTGTCCACTGGGCGTAGTGCCTGGCGATGTCTTCTGCTCAAGCCTTTCATCTTTGCCCAAAAGGCTTTTATTGCATCCATCCTCGACAGCTTAAGCCTCAGATTCTCCGGGTCCGGGAGCTGAATGTTAGGCTGAAGATAATGCCGCATAATAGGCCAGAGTTTGTCGCCAGCAATGGTTCCCAGTATCCCCAGTATCCCCAGAATGATCACGGCCTCCACATTCGTCGCGGACCAGAGATACTGTCGGTACGCAGGTGCTGTGAGATTCCGCCACCAGCCGCTGTGAACACGGTCTGACGGGATATTTGGCAGCAGTGGCATTTGCGCAATATCTGATAAGGCTGAAATGAGATCACGACGCGTTGAGAGTGACGAGAGCGTTCGAGGGGCGGCTGGCGTTTTATCTTATCCGAAGTCAAGTGTACAGCCTCACAGTAGGCGAAGACTATAATGTCGGTCAGGCAACAAGGCACCAAGAGTTTCCACCTCCACAACACAGCAACCAATGCCAAATACTCCAGAAAAAATAGCTGGATGTGCTCGAGGAGCCTGTTTTTATTGCATAAACCACCTTTTTCTAATAAGTTCGACCGCTCTTTGATGGTTTGAGGTCGATAAGTAGTTCTACCTTGATGCCTTGACTAACATCACGACCTTCACCTACTGTGGCGTTAGGTCATCGGGCGTACCTACAAAGGTACAGAGACGGGAGGCCACAAGGCGGTATCCGTGTTTTCATGGGAGATCCAGTCACGTGATCGCACGATGAAAAATCAGCCTGCAATGGCGATCACGTGTCACCGTTTTCCATGAAAACAAGGTGATACGTAGATGTGACTGAATCATCCCGCCTAACGAGCGGCTTTCATGAGCAGCCGGGAGGAAGCCTGAGTAGAGTACATGTTTTCGATCCAATATGGTTCACTCACTCCACTCACTCGTTAGAGACCCGAGGCCCCTCGCCCGACCAAGGAACACCGCTACTCGATCCAAGACGTAGGGAGAAAGATTATTTTCCTCGATCCGATCGGATCTACCTAGGATCTGGGTTCCGGGATATTTATAGATCTCGCGACGGCTCGCTCGCGCGCGCGCGCGCTGCTGCCACGTGAAGGCCACTCCGCTCCACTCCCACCCACCCGGCCAGGCAAGGTGTGCGGCTCGGGGGCCCAAGCTGTCACTGTCCCACATGTAGCATGTGCAAACTTGCAGAAAACGAAAAAAGAAACAATCACGGTTAGCTTTACCCAGCCTACAATAGCCAAGCCAAGCCAAGCCATAGCTCAACTACCTATGCCTGTGGTGGATAGATGTACAGCACCAGAAAACTAACGCAAGCGGCACCATCCGACTATTCCGACCGCCCGACATCAGTCCATAATCCCCCCTCCTCGCCTGCAATGCTCGAATCGGGCGCCCACTCAATACCAACTGCAGAAGCTCAGACATGCGTTCAGCTCATCAGCGACCGGCCCATTTTTGGAAAAAAAAAAAAAAAAAACCCCCCCATTTTCGTTAATTCGAATCCTAGACCGCCTCTCTGCCCCCTTTCGGCTTACGCTACATAGTTACGTGCACCTCAGTTTCTGCTGGAGGAAGGTTTCGTGCGTCGCGCTGCAACGTAACGTCACAGCGTACACAGCGCCACCGAAACCCGGGTCTGTTTTGTTGCCTCCCATCCCTCTTGCGCTGAGCCGTGCCGAGCTGAGCTGAGCTGAGCTGAGCTGCGCTGTCTCGGCCGCCGAATAACCCCAACGAGCCCCTCTAGCTGCCGCATCTGTTGTCCCCATCGCACGTGGCCCGTAGTGTCGATGGCCCGTAGTGTCGAGAGGGGATGATGGACGTCGTAATACCACTCCCTCCTTCCCCTCCTCACGACAGGACCTCGGGATGAAAAGACGCGGTGCAGCAAACCTCTCGTCCGGTTCCGTGCCAACCGTTTGCAAAAACGCTACGCAGGGGAAAATATGCTACCCTCAAAAAAAGCGCGCCGGAGTGATGATTTTTTTTTTCTTGAAATATGCATTTGCTAGTCATGCCTCATGCATGACATAGTTCCCCCCAACCCCGATAATACTGTAGTAAATCCGCTGTCCCCACCACCCACGTTGTCTTCCCGCCTCTTTCCCTCAAGATCCAGATGCCCTCATACCACATCCCAGAACCCATCCAATTATTCCAACATATTCTTCGTGGGCTTCAAGCGCCCCCCTTTCCCAGTCATGCGTAGTAGTATTAAAGAAATTTGTTAAACCCCCCCCACCCCGGACCCCAGCTCCCAGCGCCACCGGAACGTCGCTCCCAGAAAAGAGCAGAAACGCCTAGACCCAGTAATTGAAAACAGTGTATTTATTGTGACAAGATAGCAAGAGACTGATGAGGAAATGAAATTATAGGAAAATCGCTGGCGCCTTCGATGCAAAAGTATGGTCGTTAGGTCGTAAGGTGTGGTTCGTGGATTATGTAGGTCCACAGAGAGAGAGTGTGTGTGTGATGATGATGATGGCATGCCGCATGCCGAACCAATCGTTTCACGCCGTCGACTGGCGCCCCTTCCCCTTGTCGCGGAAGTCGGCGGGCGGCTCAACAGGCTGCTGGTACGGCGAGTGTTGCTGTTGGTACTGTGGCGGTGACTGCGGGAGTTGCGGCGGCGGGAGGTGGTGCGGGAGGGACTGCGGCAGCGAATGGCGGTGCTGGGGCTGGAGGTGTAGCTGATTATGCTGCAGGTGATGCTGGTACTGTTGCTGGCTATGCTGCTGGTGAGGCTGTTGCTCCCTGTTTCCACGATATACGATTCAGCCTCTCTCTCTTCCCAGTTACGTCCAGACGGCGGGAGTGGCCACGAACCCGCTCGGATAGCCCATTGGCATATTAAAACTGTACACATGCTCGTCCTGTGCATACGCCATGGGTGCGACGGCAGGAGACTCCAGTGGCGACGAAACATAGACATTCCCGCCCCCGAACCCGTCCATCGACCGTGGTACCTCGAGGTATGGCGACGTCTGTCCTGACACAACCCCTGAAGGCACGTAACTCAGCGGCGACGGCGCGAATGCTGGCGAAAGGCTGGCCCCGTAGCTACATTGTGCGATCTGGCTCTCGAACTCTAGATTCAGAGTGTCTAAGGCGTATGATGCTTGATGCGTCGGTTCAAGTTGTTCGTCCTGCTGCAGTAGCCAGTCGCGTCGAGCATGATAGGAGGATGCCTGGTCGCGAGGGAAGTCCATCATCAACACAACTGCCTGTGTAGGTTGGCTGTAGCTCTGTGTAGATTGAAGTGTACCAACGATCCGGATTATTTCTTCGAGAGGTGGCAAAGACAGGTTTGCACAGAACGCCGCACCGATGGATGAGAACATGGGCTCTAGAGCCAAAGCTGTGGCATAGAAGTGGGCTAAGACTAGAAGTACGATGACGTCGCCTCGGCGGGCTGCGAGTAGAGAGATCGGGACCCAGAAGAGCCATTTGCGGAGGTAGTAGAGCTGCTGGAACTGCTCTTGGGAGCCTTGTGGGGGGTTGGAGATGCGTAGCTTTTCGATGTGCGCCTTGAGCTGCTCAACCCACTTTCCCTCCTGTTCATACTGAGTCAGGTAAGGCGAGATACGCTGTAGTGAGCTTTGGATCAGCTGAATGGTAGCAAGTTGGTCTCGGCGGACGTCTGGCGTTACAATTGACCCTGCGGGGTTCATGTAATTCTGATTAGGAATTGCGCCCTGCTCGATAATGTAATCAGCGAAAAGCGACTCATGTTTCCATGGTTGCATCGCGCTGATAACCTGCGAGATGGTTAGTGAGACCTCGCAGTGCCAAAAGGTGGATCACAAACAGTCTTGGTCCCGGTGACGAGGGAGGCCCATCCTCGCCTGTAAGCACAACCGTCAGCCGCAATTTCTTTGTTTCGTCTCAAAACAGGACAGGCGAGGAACGTACCATTCTGTTGCTTGCCATGCAAGCAGCAAGGACGAAGCCAGGACCGCGTCCGAGTTGGCCTTGGAGAAGTTTGCGATGGCCTCGTGGAGGCCCTTCAAGGCGATGCTTCCATGGTGGAACGCGAGATTGCGCGTGTCGCTAGACTGCGAGATCCAGGCAAGATGCGAGGCCGAAAAGGCCAAAATGGAGTGCATCACGAAGGGATGCGAGGCGGCCACACTCAGAAATCTGGAGGTGTCAGTCAGTGGGCTGACACAGCCGAATACGAACCTAACGGTCGGAAGCTTAATGCTTACTTCGGCATAAGGTCCGTCCAAGTTGTTAATCTGGACGTTTGACTGCGGAACATCTCATTGGTGATGGATGAGAGGTGGTGAACCAGACGCAGCTCGCTTTTCGAATACGCCCGCCAGAGAGGTTGAGGATAGACTCTCAGTTCAGGGAACGGGAACTCGTCCGTCTGCTGCCAGATAGAAATGGTCGCCTCGATCTCTGCGGTCCAGAGCAGATTGGCCTGCTGGGGAGACTTTGGACTCTCAGGTGCGTTGGCAGATGGGCTGTCCAGGTAGTCACAGCGAACCTGGTGCTTGGTGCAGTTGCGGCTGTCACTGATCAGCACCGCGACGACGAGGGCGTCCCCATGGAATCAGAGTAACTCACCATTGCGGAAACGTCTCGTCACAGCGGATATGGCGTTTCTTGCACGTCTTGCATCCCTTTCGGGACTTGGTGTGGCTGCGGCGCGAAGGCCCTCCTCCAGGTCCCGCCATTTAGGGCAAAATACTGAATCCTACGTACGGTGGTAAGAATGTTTGATGATGGGGCTTCAAAAAAGGCCGGAAGAGGCTCCTTCTTGAGCTTCGCCGGGCTGGTGCAAGGGCTGAAGGGAGGAAACGGTCGGCAGCGGGGCTGGGGAAGCGGGCTGCAGATCGTGTGGGAGAATGGGATGATAACGGCCCTGAGATTGGGTGCGGGACAGCGATGACTAAAAGGGCAGGCTGTGGAGGCGTGAGGCTTGGACGTGAAGCTATATGCTTGATGGCGGCAGGCAGCTGTCCGGCGACGAGACGGTGGTGTAGGGCTGAACTGATATTGGGTGACTTGGGGCCACAGCGTCACTTCGGCGGGCTGTACTGCAAAACGAGGGTAACGGGGGAAAGCAAAAGCGAGTGAATTGGTTTAGTCCCCTGCAGGAGACTCGCAGCCGGGACGAGGCTGGTTTAAAGTGTGGTGCTGTTGCTGGGCCCGCGCCCGTCTGGAAAGCTCGTTGCTGCTCGAGGCAGCCAGAACCGCGGCAGGGGGAAGGGCCTGCAGGCAACGCATGCTACAAATAGCTCCTGGGCGAAACCATGGCCGCTGGGATGAGGTCCGTGGCCTGGTGGAGGAGGCCTGCGGGAGCTACAGCGCTTCAGGAGGGCTCCAGCAAGCCATATGGCCTCGTATGACATAGCCCCCGTGTAACTCCCGTGGGAGATCAAGCTCTTTCCAGGCCCGTGAACCGTCCGTGGCAGACTCGAGCCAGCGCGTCGATGCGGTTTGCCCGCGGTGCTGGGGGCGTGATGCGCCTTGGGGCTGCTGGTGCTCCTCCATGCGTGCCTCGACGCGCTTGCAACGGTGATGGGGCGAAACGGCACCGCGAGCACCGATTCAGACGGGAATCGACCACCTGGGCATTCGCCGACTCACTGCTGCCCCGTCGTGGCCCTTCGCCCATTCACCGACACTCACCTGGGGCCCATTCACGCCGAGCATTCCCCATCCCACCACGCCCACCATCCGACCATTCCCACCGCGGCGTGGCCACACCACGTCCGCCCACCCCTCACGTCTGCACATCCTGGCCCGCCTGTTGAGACGTTTTGGCTGGCTCCCGGCCTTCACCTGCTGGCGTGCATTAGGCGCGCCACATTCTCGCTGCGTTCCGAGCACACGCCCTCGATTCGTGCTGCTGCCCTGTCGGCCCCGAGCACTGGGCTCGCGCAATGCACGTCGTGGGCGACGGCCTGGTAGGTGACCCGGCGCCGGCGCCCACGGGCTTGGAAGAAGGGACAAACATGCCCAGCGACCGTCAGCCGCGGCGAGCGAGGGCGGCCGTCGGCTGTCACCCAAGCTGCGGGCTCTCGATGGCGAGCAGGTGTGCAGGTGCGCCGGCGCCGTTGGAGATGGGATGGGACGGCGGGATCTGGCATTGGGCAAATCATGGCGTGGTTGCGGTTGCGGTTGCAAATACATAATAATCTGATGCGAGGCACGAGAGATCGCGACGGGCCCACCAGGGGGGCTGCGTGCTAATAATAGCGCCTGCTGCGCCCTTCACAGAGTGCCAGCAGTCAAGTCACCAGTCACCAGACGCGGCCGTCGAGACATTGACTATTGTCTGGTTTTGCGCTGAGCGCGGCAGCCAATATGGCAGCGCATATGGCAGCGCTATGGACGGCCGGCCAGCAGCTGAAGGACGCCGCCGCCGCCGGAGGAATGCCACGCTGCTATGCTTCAGACGGCAGCTCGAGCAGCTTCAGCACCAAGGGTCAGTGAGGGAGGGCTGCACCGTGTATCCGGGCGTGCTGTAGGCATCAACAATGCACGCTGCCCGCTGGCCCGCGCGCTGGGTAAAGTCACTCTCCAAACCCCCTCCCCCACCCGGCCTGCAGCCATCAACCCAGAGAGGTGCAGACAAAGTGCAGCAGGGCCTGGCGACGGCGGCGGGGGACGGCGGAGCGGTCTGCTGCAGAGTCGCACAGATAGGTACGGTGGCCACAGGCGTGAAGGCATGGCGGGAGACGCGCTGGAGATGCAAGTGTGACGGTGTCTCTGGCCATGGCCCGCTGTTGTCTTACCGTGCGGACCGCCGGCCAGCGTAAGGCTGAATTATGACGTTAGGGGAGCAAAGTGGAGCGATGCGAAGTCCGAAGGAAGACAGCCGCATCGTCGCCGGGGAGCCAATGGCCGCGATGAGTTTGGCCGAGGCAAGTGGCGGGTGTCTGCGCAGAGCTGGCCAAGGTGGCATCGTGGAGGTCGAGCAGGTGCAAGCGAAAGAAAGATGTAGCAGGTGTCGGGCTAAGTAGTGAGGGAAGCACGCAGGGGCGCTGGCGTGGAGGTGAGGTTGAGTCTATTTTTGGAGATAACCTCGCCGGGACCAAGGCCTGCGCCTCTGGGGAACAGCACTTGCATCGTTCCGCCGCCTCGCAACACGCACCCAAGACGGCGCCGGACACAGAAAGGCCATTGGCGCGTGTCGAACGCGTGCTCCAGGGCTGCGAACATGTGCCAAAGCTGGGATGTCTGATAATGCGACTTCTGATAATGCGACTTCGGTGCAGGGGCGGCGATCTGGGACTGACCACGCTTGCTGGATACGCACAGAGATAGTTCAGAAATGTCCAAATCAGAGCCTGAAACAGACGCGGTCGACTTGACATCACGTCTCCGTTTCCAAGGATGTGCTAGAGAGCTTCAGGCAATGTGAGCCGGGAGCTAGCCGGCGGCTTAGACGACAGATTGAAAACAAAACACCACAGATTCCATCCTGCCCGTCCAGCTCTAGCCCTGGCGGCGTCCTGTGTAGACCAGCTCCCTGTCCAATCTCTGTGCGCCGTTCTCCCTTCCCGAAGAGTCCCCCTTCCACACGTCTTCTCTGCAGCTCCTCGCGCTCCACCACCTTTCGTGCACCCACACGCCATGTGCCTTGCTCCCACCCCCCTCCACTCCGACCCGCGCCTCCGGTCGGCCCTATTCCCAACGCAGAGCCATCAAGCGAGAACCGCAACGGCTGTGGAGCGGCCCTGAAGCCATCGAACCCCTGTCCTTCCCGCGCCAGTCCAACTCCAGCTGGCGCAGGATTTCAGCTTTCACCGCCCACAACCCACCCCCCCTCACAGACGTCCACAGATTCACGGATTCGCCTTAGCCCCGTCGCGCGCTGAAACGAGGCAGAACCCAAGGCACGATCGGTGCGCGACGACACCAAACCCCATTCTTCCCTTGCCTGCTCCCCTTCCAGAAACGAAGGAAACTGTGGAGGATGCTGGTTCGTCTTCCCCTGCCCTGCCCTACCCGTCTGCACCCGGCCATGCCATGCCATGCCATACCATACCAAAGTCTCCTACGACACACCAACAAAACCCTACATCCGCGAGCGAAGCAAAAAACCCATATGCGATATATATCCCAGTCCCAGCAGCTGAGCAGCAGACAGCGGAGCGAGGGTTTGACAGCACCGCATGCGCGAAAAGAGATGCTGATGATGTAAAAATAGCGCGGCCCGCGTGCGGTCTGGAACGGTGGTTGTGCCCGCCCGCGCACCCCCGGCTTTGCCCTGTGCGGGATGCTCGTTCGTTCGGCAAGCCGAGTTTCCAAACCACGGCCGAACGCCCCCCCCTCTCCACCCCCAAGCTGGTAGCTTGCTAACCGAAGTGCAGTGCCAGGCAACAGCCAGACTCACTCGCCGAACCGGGGGGCAGAGACAAGGCAGCCGATACCAGCGTCCGGGTATAGAGCGCGCGAACTGAAACGAGTGTAGGTGTGAGACGCGCTCGAAACAAAATCTGAACTCGTAAACAGCACCGACGACGAGTAGGTAATGCTGCGAGCAATCCACTGAAGAAAAGGAAAGGAAAAACGAAACAAGTAATGTGGTGATGAAAAGTAGTGGACAAGGGCAGTTTGCCAGAGCCGATAGTAACTGTGCTAGTTATAGAAAAAGAAGTGACTACCTAAGGCTATGTAAAAGTTTGTATGATCACAGTGATCGAAAAGCGCAGAAACGCCAGAAATGTATCGAAGAGAAGAGGTGTAACAGGCGTGTGCCCCTTTTGCTGAAAAAAAGGTTGCTTTCGCTGCTCCCTTCCACCCTATCCTCCGCCCAACCCGCCAAACCCCGACCCAACCCGCCTTGCTCCCCGCCCCGCCGTGAAGATAAATCGCCGGAAATCTTCTATAAAATGCCAAGTCCAGCCCGATATTGCTGTCCTTAACCCACCATGCAGACCTCCGCAGCTCACACACACACACCCCCCCATTTCATCTCCTTCGTTGCATCATGCCGCTCCCAGGAAACAGTACGCCGAATGCACCAAGCCCGAGTAAGGGGATTATTCACAAGTTGGACCACGATCGTAGGTTGTGCTCCTTATCAGCCGGCAGGTTGTGGAGGAATTCGTCGAATGCTGGTATCATTGCCTTGTAGCGGACCAGCACCTGTGCTCGAGATTAGTAGCTAGCCCATATGTACTTGTAGATTAGTTTACTGACCTCTTTGAATACTTCGCGGAGCCCCTGACCCGCTGACGGTCCAGCAATGAAACTCGGTGTCGCGCTCGCCATCTCGAGGAAAAAGTCTAGGAGACACTGTTCCATGGCGGCTGGGTTGCAGAGGATCATCTTGTTAAATCCCTCCAGCGCATGCCCCTTTTCATCTGTCCACAATACTTTTCGTATCGCCTGGATGAACGGTGGCGCAAATGTCCCGAGATGCGGTGCCAGCGCTTCTGAGCTGCCGATACCAAGCCTCCCGAGGGCAATTGCTGCGTTCTCGTTGAGTGATTCCGGCACCTTATCGTTGAAAAGAATCGTGGCGAGCTTTTGGAGTAGCCGGTCGACATACGGCGCCATACCCTCCCGTTGCCGCATCGAGATCTCGCCTACAGACCAGCATGCGTTGTTGATCACAGAGTAACTCGTGTCGTCGCCCGTCACCAGAGCTTGTGTGATATCAAGCTGTTCGAGGAGAACCTCCAAGATAGTCGGAAGAAATGGCTGGAGCTGAGGGAAAACGTATATAGCACAATCGCCCAGCAGCGCATATGCCGACTGTCGAACATCATTGTTCGTGTCCTTCATACACCAAGTTAACAGTTCGAAGAAGTTCGGCTGTGATGCTGTGACCAACTCAGTGCTTTTCCGCTCGTCCAAGGCTTGGATGATCGCGCTGAGGAGGTCCAGACTCGTCACCAAGAAGTCTTTCTCTGGCTGATCCATGGATGGATTCGTGCTCGCCATGTAGTTTTCTTCGAGATTTGTCGCGATGATGTTTATACACCTAGTGAATATTGGGCTTGCAAAGGGCGCGAAAGAATCGCCAAGAGCAGTCGCAACGTATGAGAGGCATTCCAGTAATGGAAACATCTCCCTTGACTGGTTGGATACTTTGTTCCAGCGCTGGATGAGGGCTGGCATTAGGATGCTGACAAGCTCCGGTTTTGCCAGGGCCGGCCCAACATGCTCAGCCAGAGTCTGAACGCAGTCGTACAAGATGAACATGTTACGGTCCTTGTACCTCGCGAAGCAGTCGACAAACTGCCGGACTATCACTGCACAGTATTCTTTCAGTTCGACATTCGCCTTCTCCTCGAGGTTAGCAAAGGCCGACGCAGCTGCCTCCTGAACACGCTTGTTGCCGTCCAGCATTCGCTTTAGAATTCCGTCCATCATGGGTTCGAAATGGGCTCTCTTGCCTGCTTCGTCTAGGTGGGATGCCCATCCTGAGTATCGTCCGAGCGACCAGCATGTTATCTGCCGAACCACCGGTTCGGTATCCTGGAGTAGTGTGACGAGATAATGAGTCAAAACAGGCAGATGTGGAACAACCTCGTCCATGCAGCCATCCGCGATGGCTCCAAGAGCTAACACGGCAGCCTCACGGTTAGGCCATTCTGCGTGATTGAGATTGTCGGTGAGGTATGGAAGCGTGACTGCGAAGACCGGTCCGTGGAACACAGATGCCAGGACATCAAGTGCCGCGGCGGAGCACTTCCTAAGGTTCCATTGTTCTTCTGGATCGACCAAGTCATCATCATCGTCATATTCCTCAAGCTCTCCCTCACTTAGCTCGTCGTCATCGAAGCCGGCTGTTTTGCTGGATCCGTTGACTGACGTAGCCTCTCCGTTCGATGCAGCGACTAAGCGAGCGCCTTTGGACGTGGCAAAGGCTGGCTTGATATCTTCTTCCCGGTCTTCCAGATCGGCGTCGTCGTCTCCGCCTTCTAGCTTAAGAATGTCGTCCTCGTTATAGACCATGCTTTCGAGTAGTACAGGAACAATCTTAGGTAGATAGGGTCCAAGACAGTTCCGGAGGTTTTCGTCTTCTCCAAGACAAAGCCAAAACTCGGCAGCATCCAAGGCCAGTTCAGCATTGTCAACACTCCGTTGCTGAGTAACCATGTAGTCGACGAGTCCGGCCATATGGGGCACAATCTTTTCGGGGGCAATGTCCGCAATCTGAATGAAAGACCGACACACATGCTTGCGGACGTCGTCACTGGTGTCGGCGGCTAGGACGAACAGCTGTTGTAATAATGTGTCTAGGTTCGAGATGACAGACGCAGGTTTTTCGGGGATGAAGAGGTTGATACTCGCAAGAGCGTTCGCCCGGACTTTTGCGGTTGGGCTAGCAGTGAACTCCAACAGCTTGGGGAAGATGAAGTTTATGGGTCGCTGTCCCTGATATTCCCGCTTGAGCTGATGCTTGTTATCCTCGCATATCTTGAGCAATGCGCTCATAGCCCCTTCTTGAGCTTGCGGTGGGACGTTTCCAGCCTCGTTGCTAACCAATGAGATGAGCTCGGAGAGAATCTGCGGCCATCCCATGATACCGCCTTGTCGTACGACTTCCGTGATGACGTTTCCTGCATAATTCCGGATCTGCGAGCTGGGGTCCTGGAGACCAACCAGTATAATTGACCGTATGTAGGCTTTTGTGGATTCGGGTATCGTCTTGTAAGAGGTTCTTATATCATTCTTCAGCATGATGGCTGCCGCACTCCGCGCCGCGTGATAGTGCTCGGCTCCCATGTTCAGTATAGGCGGGGGTTGGCTGTTGGAGAATAGGTAGGCGAGGTAGTTGTCGATGTCCGGCGACGCTTTTGCCGACTTCAGCAGCTAGACGACGTGTGAGTATGGTGGGGCGCGAGAAATTGAAGACGATACGCACAAGCTCTGCATTTTTCTGGGCGTTCTTGTCGTGGCCGCTCAACGAATCGCGGAGACACTGGGCAAGCTGCCTCAAGGGCTCCTCCTGCGGTTGCCAAGCCATATTGGGCAAAAGATGAAGAGTATATGCTTGAAGAGTCGGTATTGCGGGGAGGTTTGGACACGGAGCGCACTCTCTAGAGAGCAGGCGCAGTACCCGTACAGGATCGGAGGGGGAAAGCGAAGTTGGAGGGATACTGGAGCGCTTTTCTAGACGATGGGGCCATATTAGCTCGGCGCTTTGTGTGGAGGAGTCCAAAGGCAGTCGGCGAGTGCAATTGAAGATCGGGGAGGTCACCTTCAACCTCGCGTACCTGTCAGGCGTGGTGTGCTACAAGTTGCCCACCATTTTCCCCAGCAAAGTCGTCCGGGACGTCGTGCTAAATTTTTGACGGCTGTCGTTCAACGTTTGCCGGCACAACGAGGCCAGCGAGAATGACGCGGGGGCGGGAGCGTGCAGGCGATACACGGCGGGCCGGGGCGAGCACGGTGGTAGAGGGCGGCGGGCGTTGAATCAGTGGTGTAACGGTGGGGATGCGCGGCGCAGTCGAGCAGCAGGACTGTCGACTGGAAAGGGACGACGCTCACGCTGTTTTCGACGTCTTGACGGTGGTGGGTAACAATGAGAAGTGGGACGGCCCTAGCTCTGCTGCCCGACAAAACCTGCAGCGCCGATGTGCGCGCCCCCATCGACCGCACCCCCATTCACCACCCTCAACACCACCAGCACCGTTTGGACCTTGCAGCACTCGCTGGGCCCAGGAGAGGCCCGCGGGCCCGTTTGGTCGTGCTGTCGTCCGGCCGCCGTTTACAGTGAGCCCGCCGCTCGAGCGCCGCCATCGACATTCACCTCCGCCTGCCTGCGCCTGTGAGGACCATGTCGGCGTGCACAGGACCGCCATCCAGCGGCCTGCGGACCTTCTCTAGCTCGTCCTCGCCAGTGCAATGCCCTCAGAGTCGCTGAACAGTGTGCCAGCCAGCCGCTGCCGGCGCGCCGAGTGCATCGCGAAGAGCCGTGCAGAGCCGCCCTATGTTGCGCAAGATGCATGAAGCCGCTACCTCGGGCTGGAGGGCGACGGGCATGCGCCTCACGTGTACGCGCCTCTATTTCAGGCCGTTTCACCGGTTGTTTGTTGTCGTTGAGCTTGGCCTTGACCGTATCCTCGAGCCCGTCCCCCACGCGCTCTGCGCCACTTTGATATTGAGAGCGCGGAGTGAAGTCGAGCCTTTCCGCTGATGAATTCAGCAGGACTAGATGCTCAACGGTCCACGGAGAGTCTGTGAATGTTTCTATTCTTGAACCTATCGCGTCTCCGCGTTTGCTTCCTATATTTATCTCTTTCACAGCCACTCGTGGTCACAATCGCTCGGGGTGTCGGCACGCATCGTCAGTTGCTAGAGGTGAGGTACTCTGGAGTCGTCGATTGTTTCTCGTCAGGGCCATGCAGCCTCCCGGCTTGGAACAGGCAGCATCCTGGATATGTCTCGTCTCTCTGGAGTCTCACGTGAACGCACACTGTGCAGTATGTTGTACGACTTCCCGGTTTAGCCACACACTGGCCTATCAAGAAGAGTCCACGATCGGCCTCTCCGGAGTCTTAACCGAGCAGAAAATCGACTTCCTGTCTCTGTTGTTGGAGTTACTCTGGATGAATGCCCTCCCGTGCTGCATAGTAACCATTAGTATCCGCACACTGCGTTGCCCACCACCCGGAATTGGCGGAAATTATGCATCCTAACCTGTTTCGACCATGATATACCGTTGCGGTACCGCAGACTTTCATCCCTCCAGCCTTTAGAAGTCGGCTCTAATGTGTCGTGAGATACCGGAGGTATCTATGTCTGTTGTGTGACCATCGTCTGTACTCCACAAACGGGGCCTCTGCTATTGACCTAGCTGGTATGTTTCTCTACGGTCCTGAATTCCAACTTGGCGATCTTTGCGCCCACGAAAGCCCTGAACACTTTTTATCTATAATGCAATTCAGAGGGTCCCAGGGCGTGCTACACACTATTTTCAGGTCGCCGATTTGAGCCCCCATGCCATCTTCTTCATCTCCTTGGTTGGCACAACGTGACCCGGATAGGGAATAATGTGCGGCGAGGCATCGCACAGATGTGAGGCAGCAGTGCTTAAACAACTTGGCCAGATCAAAGAACCGTTCCGGCAAGAAGAGCCGACATACTATACCGAGGAAATTCAGCAATCACAAGCACTCAGGAGAAGGAAGTAGTAGACTTTACGACGGTTCTTGGGTAACTACATCGGACTGGACGAACTGACTAGTCTCCAAGAAGATCTGATCGCTGGTCGGCGACTATCTACAAACCGAAGAGCATTTCCCATGCTGGGTTAGGCTGAGTTCACCAGCTGAGAACTTTTCTCAGGACTACTCGATCTCCACATCAGTTACATTACTATAGGCATCAAGTTCTTTAACTGGATACTGTCGATATCGTCGGTGAAGCCACCATCCTCTTCTCGAACATCCTTCGTTATGATGACTCGCATCTGATAGTCGCATCTCTTGGATCACTGATACCCGGCATCGGATGTCACCAAGTCAAGCAACTTCGACTCTCCGAGTCCGCACGATCACCAAGACGATGTTTCTGTCAAAGCTCCCGATCAACTGATGATCTAATTGTAGATTCTGAGATCCTCCTGCCATCCATAACATCCCGCCTACTAAATCCTCTACTGTTACCTCTATTCACAATACTTTGGGTGCTTCCAATCGGCATCGGATTAACCGATCTGTACGTCACTTTTGCGCTACCCTCGGAACATTTGATTCATCCCCCGAGATCACCTGCCAGCGCACCGCTACCCATGACAAAAGCTTTATATTTACGAAGCTTCTTCAATTCGGCGATCTTGCCTGTTACGGCATCCGGCCGCCAGCATTAGTTGAGGAAGTCGAACTCCAAATGACTAGGGAGATCAAGAAATATAGCGCATTTCTTCTAGATATTGCGGTATGAGTGAACTAGAAAGCGATTCTGTACTGGACTTAGTATCATGCACTTCGTGTAGAGAGCACTGTGCTTTGTGGTGAGCCACTCGTTAATGAAGGCTCCAGAATAAGGCATTCATCCGACCACGTTACTCGGTCGTTACTGCCGCGCTGGCCGCCCGATGATAGAATCTCCGTTCTCCGTCATCTCTTGAAGCTCTTGAAGCCTGTCCCTATGGATCATACCTTGGGCATTCCCATGGAAAGCTTGCAACCGCGGCATGACATCTCTCATAACATTTGGTCACCTGTTCATCCATTTATGCTACTATAACTGAAATGCCTGAATATAGGGTCTGCGAATGATGGAAATCACCGGATCTAGCATCTATTCACGCCTTACTGTTGGGATGGTATCAGGTTACTCTATATCTTGACGGTCCTAGCTAATCCTCAAATGGCAAAACACTGATGACATACTGGGAAAGGTCTATATTGAATGGTGTAAACAACAATCGCGTATATCGGAGGCCATTAAGAAGCTGTTTCACGGCCTGTTCGTTGCCGTGATGATCAAGGCTGAAGCTACCTCGCTCTCTGTTCTTAAGTCTGTCGTAGCTCACTTTGACTGCAAGCCTTCTGATTCAAGGCTTCTAAGGCGAGCATGGCTGAGATATGAGCCCGGCTATCTCTTGGTTAGAGCACCACCTTTAAGAGCGAGGTAAACTGACTGAAGCTCTTGCTTCTGCGAGCTCTAGAGTCCTAGGTCTTTATCACGGAGCCACTGTCGCTTTTCCGATATTCCTTCCCTTCGATTTGCAAATCTACTCGAGTGGAAGCTATTCGATACGCTGGCGAAGGATATCACTAGATGACAACGAAGATGACAAAAACCGCCCTGTTCTGATCAGTAGGCATGCGTGAGGACGGCCTCGCCTACTACATAGAAATCATAAGTAGCAATCTACAATTAGCCGCTACGCCAAGGATTATGAGGAACTACAAGGCGAAACAAGAGTTATGTATGCCTAGAGAGCCAGGCTCATGATCTCGCTGTCACCGACCATCACGTGATCTTCAAAGCCCAGCACAGTGAATCGGAAGAAGATGAAGATTCCCTTGTGGGTTGAATGGAAGCCCCCAACCCTCCCAAAACGTGGGGATTATCGGACTCCTCCTTCGAGGCTTATAGCAATGATGAACAAGATCTAGACTCTGAAATCCAAACAACGGCTTAATCCTGCATCAAGTACAGTACCTCAAGAAGTAGTAGGTCCCCCACGAGTACAAGATGTAGTTGTTGAGTGTAAGAGCTTGTAGTGAGCATCTTCCAAGTAACAGCTTGGCCGCATACCGGGGTTGCGTCTACTATCAAGTAATATAGATTGTGCCTCCACCGCATAGCTGCGTAAATAGCGATGCTGAGAGCTACAAATCTATCATGGTCCAATAGTTGCAAGACCTCGGGAGGCTTTTAGTTGGACAGAGGTGTGTGGCAGCCCCGATAAACGTCTGCTGGTGCTGCCTCGTGCAACGGGTATCTGTCCCTGCGGACCAGCATGTCACGGTGCAGCTCCCAGGCGTCGATTTCGGGACAGTCGGAGTGCTGATGATCCCGACCTTCCCAGACGACGAGGTACCTCCAGTAGTCAGGACGCTGTAAGTGGCTGTGTGGCAGTGAAGAGCCCGTGGGCCACGGATTCTGTGGCAGGTGAATAGGCGCGGTACCTGCAGACCCGCAGCCCACCCCTTTGCAGCGCAGAACGAGAGGCTCTGCATCGCAGGAGTGAATGTCGACCGCAGAGACATGCATGCGCGGACGATGGGACGGATTGGACTGATGGTGAAGCGGAGGTGGCAACTTGGCACGCTTGGATCGCAAACATCGGCAGGGCTGGAGCGTGCCGCGACGCAGCCGGAGTGTCTCACATAGCATGACCGAAACCACGCCTCAGGTCTCCCAAGACTCCACCACAACACCAAACTCGCACCACCTCCCACGCTGCCCTCTATACACGCCCATTCACGCTCCCCTTCACCACTGGCAGCCGCCATCCCGCGCCGCCGTCGATATCGCTACCCTGCCAGCGCCGCTCGACATCTCGACGTCACCCAAGACTTGGCCCCCGCTACACCACGCCCTGCACACACGACGCCGCTGCAGACCAACAAGACGCCCTCCTCGCGCCACTCGTCCAGCACCCCATCACGAGTAGCACCCGCCGCCCCGACGTTGCGGCCGGGCGCCTGCGACGGTCTGACGATGCCAGCGCACGACGGCCTGCGCGCGGAGCCGCCGCCAGCGACCCTCTCCAAGGCCTTCGTTCCATCGTCAAATGCCCCGTCAGCGCCGCCGGCTATCGTGATGGAGTCTCTAAAGGGCCTGCAGAGGGGCTACAATGAGCCTGTGCGGATCTCCAGCAGCCTGGGCTCGACCGCGAAGGGAATCATGATCGGCATCTTCTCAGTCCTCGGAGCCGCCGGCCTGGTCATCCTCATCGCCGTCATCGTCTACTTCTTCCGATACACCCAGCAGGGACGCATCTTCTTAGACCGGATAGGCAGGCCTGGAGAGTATGACGACGAGCAGGCCTTTGCAAAGGAGGAGGCCGAGGCGTTGGAGGAGATGGACGACATTCAAAGGACGGAATATTTACGGGCAAAGGGTACGATCACTGTCCCATATATACTTGGAAACCACTCCAAGCTAGGAACTGCAACACACTGACAATCGACAGCCTTTGTGCAAGCAAACCCGCCCGAATCAGTACAAACCGACATTTCCTTATCACAATTCTTGGCAATACAAGAGAAGGGCGTGTCGGCATGGGAGTTCGAGCCGGAATTAGAAATCGCAAACTGCTTTGTCGAAGGTAGGACAGAGATAGAGTTCTTCGACTCGGAGTGCAGCGTTCAAAGTAACTTGCCCGTACCAAAACAGAACGAGGTATACTATTGGGAGGCCAAGATTTACGATAAACCCGAGACTTCCACCATTTCCATCGGCATGACTACAAAGCCTTATCCGCTTTTTAGGTTACCAGGTAGGCATACTGTTTAAGAGTCTGACATTGACTCGAGCTAATCTTTTCGTAGGGTACCACAGATTCTCCGTAGCATACACATCACATGGCTCACGACGGTACAATCAGCCCTTTACTCCTACTCCATACGGCCCCGCGTACGTACAAGGCGACGTAATCGGAGTCGGATATCGCCCTCGCACGGGAACCATCTTCTTCACACGGAACGGCAAGAAATTAGACGACGTGGCACACGGCATGAAATCCCAGAACTTCTTCCCCTCCGTCGGCGCCAACGGGCCATGCCAGGTCCACGTCAACTTCGGCCAGCTTGGATTTGTCTTCATTGAAGCAAACGTTAAGAAATGGGGGCTGGCACCAATGACGGGCAGCCTTGCACCCCCGCCTCCCTACGGCAGTGAACAGGGCAGCATACTATTAGAAGGGGGGAGGGAAGGCGTCAGAGAAGGCATGGGCGGCTATATTTCAGCGGGCTTCCACGGCCACGGGAGAACCAGCAGCCAGCAGATGCGGTTAGGAAGACATCAGCCCACCTCTCCCGGCCCGCAACGAAGCCCAACTGACATATCTCTTGCTGCTCTCAGTCTCGTAGACTCCAACGAAGACATCGGCGAGGGCACCAGCGGCGCCGCCAACAACACCACCAACATCCAACAACAACAGCAATCCCGCGGCCTCGGCTTCGAGCACACCGACGCACCGCCCGAGTACGAAAGCCCGGAGGGCTCTCCGCAGCAGCGCCACCGCCGAATGAGCGACGACGACGAGCACGGCGACTGGCACGAGAACGCACCGCTGTTGCTGCACCCGCCAGAGCCGCCGATTCCAAGCTACGACGCCGCGGTTGCGGACCGGCCCGGGATGAATCGCGATCGCAGCGGCACGCGCACGTCCCGCGATTCAAGACGCTCGTCGAGACGCTGAAGAAGAGATGTTCTCCGAGCTGCAAAAACGTTTTCTTTAAGTTTTGGGGGGGCTCTGTATTCATGAACATAACATATATCCTACTCTCCTATCTCTCTCACTAGCACGCACGCATTTCATTCCCGTTCTTTGGGCGTTGGGCACTGGAGCTTGGGGCGGTTGCTTGCTGGGGCCTCACATTAGCGGCACATGGAATTGGTTTCTGAGCGGCGTTTTTGTTTTGTTTTTTGCGGGCCTCCCGGGGGAGTCAATCGGGGAGGGGATTCTATAAGGCCTGGAAGGGAAGAGTGAGAGAGGTGTATGGAGGCGTCGTCTTTGTAAAGGGTGGGGGGAAGGGGTCTGACTGGATGGGTGTTGGGCCTCCTGCCTTTGGCGGAAGAACTCGTTACTGGGGCGTTTTCGAATAAGGGGCGCTGGGAATTCTCAAACCTATGACTAAACACCATCGTTTCACGGAATCGTTGTTCTTTTAAGAACGTTGGCATGTGCACCCTTGAATATATATTCATGAGAGTGTGGGATTGAAGAGCTTAACGAAGGGGGTTGCGCGTCGTTGGATGCGAAGGACAGGAGAGTCTACCAACATCGCTGACACGCGAAGTCGTGCGGAGAATGCCCGACCTCTAGGCCCGACCCCTAAACTCCCCCCCCCCCCCCCCCAGAATCAGAGCTCTACCTTCCGCACCCCGTCTATCCGTCTAGAAGAAAAAAAGCTGTCAAAACTCCCCTGCCGGCAGAGACCAGCCTCCTCCTTCAACGCCTTTGGCGCATCCGCGCCCGAGAGATTCTAGCATCCCCCCCGCTGTAATCCCCCGGGGAGGGGGCTGGGGCTTGGGGGGCTAGGGCTCACAACCGCATGCTAATTGCTGCGAACGGAACAAGCTGAACCATCATATTGTTTTGTGATAGCTCGGGCTCGCCGCTTCATTCCCCGCAATCATTTAACACCTACACGCGTGCAAAAGCAGAAGCATACGATTGTCCCGACGCATAAATTACGAATAGGCCGCCGCTGGGACAGAGGATCGGCGGGCCCCGTACTCAAAGATCGTCGTGGTGGGTGGGTTTGCTCTTGTCTCGTTGCGAACCCACACACACGAGTGTGGGTGGGGGCAATCCAGCTCTAGATCGGTGCATGGGGAAGGCAGCGCGATCGAGCGAGGTAGGAGACTGGGTTGGTTGGGGGGGTGTATGGGGGGAAGGGTTATGAGGGGAGGGGGGTGGCTTGGGAAGAGAGATTGGGGGAGAGAAGATGAGGGGTTGAGGGAGAGAGATTGGGGAGAGGGGTTTTTTTTGCTTCCGTTATTTACGGTTCTGGAAGTGTGCAGTCAGGCATTTAGCTGGTCGCGTTGGCTGGTGTGGAATATTACTGTACGACTCCACGCATGCGTAAACACTGTCCTTTCTATCGTGGCGCTGTTCTGTGCACACAGGAACGCAAGATCGGTGCTCGGTTGGCAGAGATCACGGGCGGTTCGAATCTCGTCGATCGTGGCGTTCGATACCTACATACAGGTGCAGATAGTACGCTGGTGCGGCGAAGACGTCGCGGGCTACGACAGCCGTCCGTGTACACACGCACATCCTGCGGAGCAAATGGCTGAGATCCGTACCGTCTAGTTTTGGTATGCTGAGAGTGTTGCGTAGCTATGGCGCTCGCATGCGTGTGCCATGGGCGGGACGTAGGACTGACGGTGATGTTGAAAGGAAAATTTATACGGCGAGCCCGAAGATTCTCGCTTAGTCGTTAGTCAGCGCCGCACCTGACTGTGCTCGGTTCTGATTGATCTGTTTCTGCGATTACATTCAGTAATACCTACCACTCTGCAGCTCTCCAGCTGTGTTCACATGTTGGATGTTTACTTCACAATAACAACACCATGTAACACGGATCTTCCGATCCTTAGAAATTTCATTTATAGCCCTTAAGCGTAGTGATAGAATGTAAAGCTGCCATTGCATCACACTTCCAGCCATAGCTGAAGCAAGGGAGCTCTCGCCCCCCGAACCACGTGAAAAAGCCATCAATCACAACGCTCGTCTGGGCGCTGGTGTGCATGCTCACGGCGACTGTAACCAGCTGGCAGGGACTATACGCGCAGCGGCTCTTGCTAGGCTTCGTCGAGTCCATCATCCCCACCGGCTCCATGTGCATCATCAGTGAATACTACACACAAAGCGAGCAGGCCCTCCGCCAGGCGTGGTGGTTCTCAGCAGCTGCCTTGTTCACTATAATCGGCAACGCGCTCAACTACGGCTTCGCGCAGTTCCACGGTGGGATGCTGAAGCCCCCGCAGTACATCTACCTCCTCGCCGGCTCGTTGAAAGTCGTGTTCGGCCTGATGTGTTTCGCTACTCCAAACTCTCCCCGTCTCTGCCTGGTTTTTGGCACCTGCAGAGCACATCGCAGCCGTTGAGCGGCTCCGACGAGGGCAGACCGGCGTGTGATGCCAGCAAATAAAGTGGCACCAGATCTGCGAAGCCTTGCTGGATGTCGTACTCTGCCTTGTCCTGCTGATGATGGCGACCGGATATACTATCAATGGCGCCATATCGGGATTTAGCCCCATTATCGTTATACGTTTGGCTGGACCAAGCTCGATGCGATTCTCTTGCAGTTCCCAGGCGGCGGCATCTCATTCATAGGTTGTATTACTGGCGGCTGGCTCGCGTCGCCGATTCCCAGCATTCGCCTTTTGCTGTCCGTGTTTTACTGCTTGCCGGTCATCGCTGGCTGCGCCATGATTTGGAAATCGAATTGGACGCACCATGCGCCGACGCCGGTAGCCGGGACTGCTATCATCGGATGCTTTGGAGACGTTACTAGTCTATCGATGGTTGCTGGTATGGCGAACGTGGCTAGCGCGACGAAGAAGAGCGTGATGGCGGCAGCGATCTTCGGCGCTGTTGGCGTTGGGTATATTGTTGGGCCGCAGTTGGCCAAGAGTCAATGCAAGGCGAAGCATTACCCGGAGCTGTGGGAGGGATTGATGACAAGGTGAGTGGATTACAGTGTAAAGCACGACGTTGCAAGAAAGGTGCTGATGCTACCTACTATTGTATCAGATTACGGCCGCAATGACGCTGTATTATGTGCTATGGAGAGAGAATAAAAAAAGAGAGGAGTATCCGATTGGTGAAAAGGAGAGAGATGTTATGGCATTAATGGACCTGACGGACAAGGAGAATCCGTATTTTCGGTATGTCCTTGTTATGGACATCTGCTTGGTTATCCTTATGCTACTTCGGGTTGAGAAGAGACTGGAAACAGAGGGACTTGAAAGAGAGGAAGAAGCAGATGTAAGAGGAGACTTCGCAGACGAAGCAATCTCTCGATGGGCGTTCCGGGGTTCACTCTCTCGCTATAGCGGCTTCGACGTACTATAATCAGGGAGGGGAAATCAGACCGAAAGCCGCGTAAGCCCTTCAGAACAGTATATAAGTTGCGAAGAAACGCTTGAAGCGTACGTCATCTCCTCTCATGGGCTGCTTGTGAGTTCATGTCACGACACGTGAGACGAGGTGTGTGTGATGCGGTCCATCCGTTGAGTCTATCTTGAGCAGGCTCTGGGACTTGGGTTGGGCATACTAGTCATCCATTAGTGCTCACTCACGTGGTTGTACGCTGAGATGACTGTCTCGAGCAGGATATGGCTGAATTCACAGTGCCCAGGACGTGACAGTATGTAAGACGCAGGAGGAGAACAGCCAACAGTGAATGGATCTGCCAGGATCTGCCAGGCCGGAGTACGCGGCACCTAGCGAATCTAGTGCGAGTGGTCGAGCAGTGCTGAGCGAGTGGTGACGGAGGCCCTCCGGGGCCCGGCATGCAGGGCGTGGCCTCTAAGCTCAACACAGTGCTTGGCAGGCTTGGCAGGGCCCCTGAGGTCGCGGAATGGGAGTGAAGACGCGGCAGGAGAGGCTACTCGGGGGGCGACGGGGCGCTGCGAAGGCGCTGGATGCTCTCCCCAGGCACTTCCAACAGCACATGCAAAAGCAGCGGGTTCGGCGCAGTGCTGGCCGTGGTGTTGGTGGGCACGGTGGGCCATGGGTGTGCACCTGCGCCAAGTGACGCGTGCGTGCCCAGGGTGATAAGAGCTGGGCTGCCGAAGAAGTTCGCCCTGAGGCCCACTTGGAAGCTTGGAAGAAGCCACTCGGGGGGCAATGCACCGCACGTCGCGTGCCCTCCTTCCCCGTCCTCAGCATGGCTCTTGTCACCACCATCTGCACATCATCTGCACGCTCGTTCACGGCCTTCGCGACTTCACCACCTGGGGTAGCCAGCGCCTCTCCTCCTGCGGCCAACCACCCCCACAGCGCATACTCCGCGTCGACGAGCCCGCTGCCTGGATGTCTCCGCTGCTTCGTTGAGCGATAGCAGTACTGTCGAGCGGAACCAGCCCCTAATGCCTCGTATACGATTGTTGCCCCGTTTCTCGTCGCCTGCCGATGCCTTTAATCGCACGTCATGCCTCTTGCTTCTGGTTGTTCTTGCTGCGACGCTGTACAGACGAAGTGTAATAGGTTTGTTCTTCCTAGAGGCGCTGCGAAACGAGAGGAAGCTGACCAATTCCTCCACAAAGACTACCAAGACCCTCATAAATGCCAGGCCCTTATCCGCGACGGCCAATGGCTCGATCCTCCAAAACAGCCTTTTGATCCCGACTACGTCGACCCCAAACGGCCCTTCCAGCATTGGAATCCCCCAGGATGCGTGCTGCATGAGTATACCGGCCCAGAGATCAACAGATGCGCCGAGACAGGCAAGATCCTCTTTGTTGGTGACCCAGGAATCCGGCAGATATTCTGGGCGACTGCCAAAAAGTTAGATGAAGGCAAGGCCCGGAAAGAAAAAGCTGGACTAGAGAAGCACGAAGACATAGAGTTCAGTGCGGCTGGCGCCTTGCTGAAGTTTGTTTGGGACCCGTTCTTGACTTCTTCTAGACTTTATGAAGAGTTGGCAGAATATCGAGAGAGTGTGAAAAATTTCACGAAAGTTTTGGATGATGCTTCGGCGGCGGGGTCTGGCGCCCCAGTCGAGGTGAAGCGCAAGTCCACTGTCATTCTCATTGGGGGCGGTCATTCTCATGCTCGTCACATCCATACCGGGAATCTGAAGGACTTCGAAGACGCCGTTGACAACATCACGAGCACCGCATACGCTCCCCACACCATGACCAGCGGGAAACGATTCCCAATTACGGACGACGACGGCATTGGCAATCAAATTTTCTTCGCGCCGGTCCTGCAGCCTCTATACGACAGGCTTTCCCCCTCAAGAGCAATCACGATGCTTCCCGAGAAGATCGACGGTATGAACGAATATTTGGAAAAACTTTCCATAAATCAGGGCCTGAATGTCTTGTGGAGCTACGCGAATATGACTGCTGGGATTGACAGAGCGTATGGCGAAAGCGGTCTCCATGTTGTGGAGAACGTTGCAGGGCGCATGGCCGACGTCGTGCTAAACCTCAGATGCAACGCGAAAATCGCCCGCCAGGACGGATATCCTTACGACCGCACTTGCTGTATCGACTACAGCCCTGTGAATTGGATCCAGCTTGTTGCACTGATTTGCTTCTTCTTCGTCCTCTCGCTTTCGGCTATCAAGGCCGCCAGAGGTATGACCTCAAACACCGCTGCTCGTACGCGTTTTGCTAAGAGCATAGCTCGCCAACAATCCAACTCCATCTCTGCCAATGCTTCTGCAAGCACTACGTTAGCGCTACTGAGTGTAGGCCTGTGTCTGTGGTACTGCTATTTGGCAGACAGGACTCAAGTGTTCCACAAAATCCAAAAGCAGTTCATTAAATATGACTTCTTCTCCTTTTTGTCTGCAGCTTTGGCTCTAGGCCTCCTGACGATTCGAGGACCATCATCTTCTCCAGGACGCCGCCGCTCCGAGTCCTTCACTGGGACCTCAATTAGACAGTCTTTTCTTTCACGCAGCCAAACCGAGGAATGGAAAGGCTGGATGCAACTATTCATCTTGATATTCAATTTCACTGGAGCAACGAAAGAATTGTGGATCTACGAAGTTGTCCGCCTCCTAGCATCTGCCTATATCTTCTTGACCGGATACGGCCACACCATGTATTTCCTCCAAAAGAAAGACTACTCCCTCCGCCGAGTAGCCTCGGTGTTAACCCGCCTCAATGTTCTCGCGTGTTCACTTTCCTTCGTAATGCGCACACGATACACAGCCTATCATTTCATTTCTGTATCTAGCTTCTGGTTCTTGGTCATCTACCTTACCCTTAAGATCGGTCACCGCCGTAATGACTCGATCGCCTTCTTACTCGGCAAGATCATGCTCTCTGCCATCCTCGTATCAACAATTATACACCTCAAAGGCATTTTAGAGTCACTATTATCCCTCCTCCGCCTCACCTGCGGCATCACCTGGAACGCCACCGCCTGGCGCTTCCACCTCGGCCTCGACAAATTCATCCCCTTCGTCGGCATGCTCACCGCCATCCTCCACCTCCACATCGCAAACCTCCACTCCTACCCCCAGCTCGCCACCCGCTCCCGTTCTCTCATCAGCGAGATGCTGACCGACTACTTCTCCGTCTTCCACGCCTTCCTCGCCCTCGCCGCCGTCGGCCTCATCCCAGTGTACTGCATGATATCGGGCAGCCACACCAACGAGTCCGACTACAACAGCTGGCTGCCCTACCTCAGCCCCCTCCCTATCCTCTCCTTTGCCGTCCTCCGCAATTCGACGCGCCTCCTGCGGAACTACCACTCCGCTGCTTTCGCGTGGGTCGGCCGCCACTCGCTGGAGCTCTACGTGCTCCAGCACCACCTGCTCCTCGCCGGCGATGGCCGCGTCCTGCTCGCCACCGGTCTCTTCGCCGGCGACGGCAGCTTCTGGCACGATCGCTGGCGCGACGTCGCGCTCTTGCTGGCGCTGTTCTTGTGGTTTGCGTGGCGGGTTGCGTGCGCGACTGCGACGCTGACGCTGGCGGTCACGGGAGACGCGGAGGCTGTGCTAGTGGCTAGCGAGGCGAAGCCGGTGCACGAGCGCAAGATCAGCGAGTTGCGGCTGCCGGATTACGGGAACGGCACGCCAGGGCCAGGGAGCGTGGCGGCGGCGGCGGCCTTGAACGCGACTGCGCGGCTGGAGCCGACGGGCGGGAAGAAGGGGTCGTCGCGGTGGTGGGCGCAGAGTTTGCGGCGGCGGGTGGTGATGACTTTGGGGGTGTTATGGGTGCTGAATTGGCTTAGCTGAGCGTTTGTGTTTGTTTTTGATTTGCGGAGTGCTGGCTGACAAAGTTGTGGGTAGACGTATACATAGTTCATGGTTTTGCTAGGACGAGGAGATTAGAGGGTCTTGTTCGTGTAGGGTCTTGCATGTCTGGGCGTCTTGGGCATTTGGGCGTCGTTGATAGCATTGAGGTCGCGCATAGCCATCTATTTGCATATCTCATCAAATCATCGAGTTAGTTTTCATCCATCGCTCTTATGATACATCAATGGTGTGCGCTGTGCTGACGCCAGTGAGTGAGTTTGTTGTGAATTCGATTTTTAAGGCTCAACTCGCCGCGGCTTGACGGACAGTCGTTGCAATCTCGCCCGATTCAGAACTTGTCGAGATCCGGAACCTATTTCTCGCCTCACCTAACTACACGTCGTACGAAGAAGTGTTGGGATGCCATCTGCGCTTCACACGACAGGCAAACCATTCCCCAAGTTGCTGCCCGCACGAGGAACGTGAAGTTCAAGAAATCTATCCAAAACCCACACACCGCGTCACAACCAACACACGCACACATCACGGCAAACCCGCCACAAACAGCTCAAAACATTTATATCATCACGAGGAAACCCCCTTTTCGGGATCACAAACCTCCTGGAATATCCGCCCATGTCCCGCGAGCAAATCTCACATGTCCCATCTGCACGATCAACTCTCCACCCAAGTATCATATGAACACGCTTGCCCCCGAAAGAGTGACAAAGGGTGGGAATACATGGCCCGGGGAAGGCGTCGAGATTAGCTTAGTCTACAAGGGCCGGGTTTGTGGCCGTGCATATACAAAGAACGGTGACACATGGATAGTGAGACGTTGAGTTTTGGAAGTGGAAGGAGGGGATGCCGGAGGGCGAAGAGGACAAGAGGGACTAGGGAAAGGGGGTTAAGTAGATTCTCGCCGAGTGGGATGAGTCAGCGGGGGAGAAGTGGTGCCGTGGTTGAGGCGGGCGTGATGACGAGGCGGGCTGGCAGGGGGGTGGAATTGAACGGTGGTAGAGAGGGAAAGCCGTGGGGATGTAATGGGCCACGTATGTCAAAGTAACGCTGAGAGTACTGTCCTGAGGCCGATGTTCGGGGCTCTGCGCTGCACACTTTTTTATGGCGGGAGACATTCCAAGACTTACTCGACCTGGCCATTCGGTTTGGGCGCCTGGTTTCCTAGCATCGAGATAGCCCCAGATATCAAGGTCTCGCCGGATCATCACAAGCAATCCTGCTTCGTCTGGCGTGCCTATTCATTGCTGTGTGGAGACATATGAAGGTACAACCGAGAAGGGGGGCTTTTGGGGAAAGGAAATGCAAGGGCATATACATCACGTGCGGCTAGTGATGGAAACAATAGCTACGCATGAATCACACAAGGACATGTGACGAGATTCATTATGAGAAACGGGCAAATAAAAGACTGCTGCGATGGAGGAAATATTGGTTATGCTATGAAAGAAAACGATTCGTATCTTTGTGAATCATTGGAGAAAGTCTATGAAAATAATGTGAAAGGACTTACCTATGGAGCTGGAGGTCTATGAGGGCCACACATTTCATACTGAACCATAGCCTAAACCGCTGAATGCAGTTCAGGTCAAGGACGAGGAAGAGCCTTACCTGCATGCCTAGCCACGCACCCTTGAACTTACCGCCGTAGGGTGAGGAATTTCGATAGGGTCTCGGTCTCTTACCTTACCGTCTCTACTCACCTTAGCGTAGCCTTAAGGGGCACTAGGCCGTAGTCTTCCTCCTGTGTGGGCGGCGCCAACGGTCTGAGGTTAGTTGGTTAGACCACGCTTGACCTCCTCCAGCATCTCGTCTAGAGCCTGGCTCTTTTGCTCCGTCTTGTACTCAAAATACTGCTTCGTGGGAAATTTGTTCGTGGTACCCGCAAAGTAATCTTGCTGGCGCAGTGGTGTGTTATGGATCCAGCCATAGTAGGTATCATCCATCTTTAGGTCTTGAGCAGAGAAGCGTCGAAGCGCGACCGTAGCTTTCACGCCAAGATCTTTACCCTTGATAAAAAATTTAGGGAAAATAAATAAAAGCCATTTACGGCTCAGCCTGCCAGATTCGTGGAAAGCCGATTTGCCTCTTGCATCCCGGGGGTAATGGAGGTGGTCTATGAGTTCACGGATCTCAAGCGGAGGCCCCATTCTAAACATAGGGGTTTTGTGAAGTTCCAGGGCACTAACGGTAGGCTCGTACTGAACGGTAGGTCGACTTGCCCGGAATGAGGCGGCTGGAGTCGTAGTCATCAAGCACTGACGGAGGGAAGATTCGTGTAGGATAGGTACGTGTGGTCTCTTGGGCGTAGGACCGTTCACTAGCCAATTCCAGTAATCTTCGGAAATTTGCATCTTCTTCCAAATTCCACCTCCACTGTGGGCGTAGCAATGTAGATCGCCTCCTCTCTTCATGATAATGTTTCCGTCTTGTCCCCTTACGAAATGGGTAGGAGACTGTTCGAGCAGCCAATCTCGTGACATCTCGCCAGAGGACTTATCACCTGCGACAACGATGAAGGCGCCGAGAGGGGGTTCCCGAAGCACAGATACGATGTTTGGAGCGTCTGGGCCGTCCTCAAGCGACAGGATTAATCCAAACTTGGCAGATATTCCTGGGGTCCGAATAGGAGTAGGTATGTTGATCAAGTTAGGAGGAAGAGTATATGGAGATGCTATCGGACTAGGCAGTACAATATCATCGCTAGTGATAGACTGGGTCGTGTACGAATTTGGATCCAATTCGAACATAGTGTGTGTCTCAGACGAGCTGCTCTTTATGTTCGTACGGCATTTGTCAATGTTTCCAGTGAACTTGACGTGGCCTTTGATAGAAGGAGGCATCTCTAATTGAGGCGGGTCGCCTTTGCTCCTAAGCCAGCTCCAATATGGTGTGGGGATCACATGTTCCTTTTGCTGGAAGTCCCGAACACCCGACTTGGAATGTAATGCCCCGTATATGGTGAAATGCTCGGGGTGTTTTCGTGTGAACCAAATACGTGACAGGCTGTGTGTACCACCTCTGGTTACTGTCTTGTGTGGTGCGAAAGCGTTGATTCGAGGATGCAGAATGTCTTGCAACATCTCTTGCAAATCCCGCCCTTTTATTTCCGTGGGGAGTTCTTCTACCAGTTCCGTAGTGCGGTCATGTTTGTCGGCGCTGCTAGGGCTGTCCGCAGTGCTACTCGATCCGGCCGACTTGACGGCGGCTCCACTGGCAGTTCTCGTGGATGCTGCTGCTAAGGAAGGAGTATCGATGGACGTTGGACTTGATGCTGTTGCACTGCCACTTCCGCTGCTGACCTGGCGCAAATCTCTAGATGTCGAACTGGCAATGTTAGCGTTGCCCTTGTTGAGATGGGATGTCTTCTCGATCGTGGAGGTATCAGGTTGTGGCGAATGCATTACGAGACCATGATGTTCCCACATATAACCTGCAAACTCATGTTGAGGCATGCTTCTGAATATGTCGGGAGATCCTAACTCGCTCCAGGTAGGAGAGCTAGCTCCATCCGGGACATCTGTCATTTCGGTGTCGGTCTGTTCGGTAACCACACGGAGGGTTGACGGTTTCTTTGGTTGATACGCCATCGTTGTAGATGTTCTGACTTTCCTTGATTTGCTGAGATTTGCTGAAATTTTGCTGAGATTTACTGAGATTTGCTGAGAATTGCTGAGTAGTCAGGGCTGCGTTTTGTGATGCTTGCGTAACTTTGATGTCAAAATGGAAGGACGACGTGCTTATTTTATATACGATCGTCTGAAGCCAAAGACGAGAGGTAACAACATTGTTGACCCTCAACGAACAATCACACAATGTACATACTTAAATTGACTAGAACAAACCGCGAAAACCTTGATGTCGCCGAAGAGCAACTGAACTTGGTTACCACCGCTTGATACAGTTGGAAAGAGATGTTTAATGGTTCAGAAACTCTGCAGAGATCTCCCTGGCTGCCTGGCACAGTTCGGCATGATGATTCGATCCAAACCACTGACTTACTATGTGTCTGACGAAGCAAGGTCTTACACCGACGACAGCTAAGAATCAAAGAGGCCAAAGAGCACAATAAGAACGCCAGCATCTGTTTTAGTGGATTTTTCTCCCACGTAGCTTTCTTCCTTCAACGTGCATTTTGGACACAGCTTTTGCGGTAGGCTCAATGAAATCTGGAAAGCAACAGTTCCGAGGTTGTCCGAGGTGGTAGATTTGAAGGCGTATTGATCAAAGTGTACACTTGGATAGGTAAGAGCATGCGTTGCTGTTGGTGAGGATTGGAAGAAGTGCTGTTGAGATTGAGGCTCGGGGCATCAAGATGCATCTTCCGTGCTAACCCAATGCAGAATCTGCCAAGCAGCGGGCCGTCTCGGTGATGCAAGTGGGACGAGTTCAGCACAAACGGCGTCGAGCAGGTCGGCAGGAACGTGAATTCTACTCGTTTATAAGCTCCTCTGCCTGTTGCTTCTGCTTCTTGTTCCTGTTCTTCTTCTTCGTCCGTCCCCTTCAGCCTCTACCATCAACCCAACCCACGATGCCCTCGCCCGACCCCTCTACGCCGCAATCGTCCTCCGAAGACACCATCATGACCGATTCGCCCGACACCTCCTACTCACCGCGAGAATCCCATCCTCCGCTCCCCACACCCATCCCGCGGGCCGCTCCGTCCACAATAGCATCGCCTCTGCTAGCCCTCCCCCGCGAGCTGCGCGACCGCATCTACACCTTCGCTCTCACCTCAATATCGCCCTTCTGGTACCCGAATCCCACGACCGACCACCACATCGAGCCGAACCTGCTCCTGGCCTCGCGCCAGGTGTACGCCGAGGCTGCCCCGATTCTCTACAGCTCCAACAAGTTCCTCTTCACCCACCCCTCAGACTGCAACATGTTCCGCGTCGTCGCGTCGCCCTACAGCGAGCACATCACCAGCGTGTGCTTCCGCATTCGCGAGAAGGACCTGCGCATCTGGACCTCCTACCTGAGCAGCTCGAGCGAGACGCGGAGCCTGCACGCCGACCTGCCGCGGCTGAAGAGCCTGTGGATCTTCCTGCGCTGCGGGTCGTGGGGACCCCCCGCGATGATGTTTCCCGCGATCCAATGGGCAGCGCAGCAGCCGAACTGGCAGAACCCTTTCCCGCCTCAGCAGAACCAGCAGCAGAACCAGCCTGGCAATCAGATCCCGGTGCCGCCACCGCCTCCAGGTGCACCAGGTGGAGCCAACCCGCCTGTCGTAGTCCACAATGCGGGTGCTGCGCATCTCATCGACCGCTTCTATCGCTGGGACCGTGATCAGGGGCTCGAGAACCTGGTGTTGTCGCTTCAGGGCAAGACACACGACGCAGAAGTGAAGATCGTTGCTATCCAGCGGCTTCTGCGACAGGATGTGCGTACGCTATCGCGGGCGTATCCGGACGACTTGATCCTAGACAAGCAGGGCGATGCGAGGACGCGATTCAAGCGTGTGCGGGGGGTGGAGATCAGCTTGGAGCTGAGTGCCGTGGAGCCAGTTCAGGTGCCTTGAAGCTACGAAAAAGGGGATGGACGATTCGTTGAAGCTGTGTTAACTCTGTGGCAATATCTTAGGCGCAATCTTTGCGGGAAAAGCTATCAAGCAAACATCTTATCAGGACATTTAGCGGATATACGACTGATATTGGGCGCCTTTTGTGAAGCTACAGGATTTTAGGCATTGTCTGTCAGAGCGCGGCACAGCGGTACCACTCATAGCAATGAGATAATTTTACAATTCGACCATATCTACGAGTCGTCTACTGCATTACAGCATTCCAGCCCAGGAGGCTTCGGATTTTACTTACATAAACTATCACGTGACCACTTTATATCATCATCATCCCCGTTCGTCGTTCAAACCAGCTTCGTCCCACATAGGGCCACCGCTGTGCTTATACTACTGTCGTAACTTATAAAGTGCCTTTATATAGGCCTACGAGTAGAGCGGTAATACTAAGGAATTATGATCAGCCGTAAGGCTGCGAGGAGCGCTCGATTGAGGCAGGGTCGCCACCCCGGTCGGTACCTCTGATCGGGGCGATTACCAATTCTGGTATAAACTGCTATATAACGTCGTTCACCCAGAAGCGAGAATCACCCATTAACGAGAATTGGTAGAGCGTTTCGCGAGCAGATTTAGTCCATGCGGGCTTGTGGATGTCAGGCCTGTGGCTGTGCGGAGTCTTAGCAAGCGAGCTGACCTAAGCCCCGCAGCCTTGCGATCAAAACTTGACCTTAGCTACTTTCTACCTCCCCATGCTACCCTACAAAGTTTAAGGCAGGAATGGGTCAGCCGTCCTCACTGCTAGTGCCTCTGAGGTTTCATGCACGTCTCAACATGTGCGTTCTCACCTTCTGCAACGGCCATAGGTCAGCCTCACTGCACCATACTCTAGTTCAGCCGCACCCCCCTCCTCCCCCCAAACTTCGACCTCAGCTTGATCTAACTCCCTCAACTCAAAACTAAGAATGCAGCAAGGCACGACAGCGCTGCATCGTCGTGCTAGTAGATATAGAGAACAGTGGTCCAGGACTCGTGATAACGTTATTGGAGCCTGTTCTCTGACACGGCGAAGAGTTCTCTATGTCGAAGAGAATGCGTGGTCTGAATGTCCCCAGTCTTTCTTCACGCCAGGCGCCCACACAGTAAGGCGGAAATGCTGTCATCCTTAAACCCCACCGAGGGATATCCCTCAACTCGAGAACTTCAATGAGGTTCATCCTACAGTCCGTATTCGGTCCGCAGTCCTCCCCTTCTTTAGGATGAAGAGTTCGAATCTTCCTAGTCCGCGGCCTAAGATGTCGTACGGATCAGGCGGCACTTTGGGAGGCAGTTGTGGCTGGTCCTTGGCGTGAAAGCTGCTTGGCTCCTTTCTGATTGCTTTTTAAGCTTGCCTGGAGGTTCAGCTGTACGCTGCGTTCGTTATTTTTCTGGGCGGTGGATCCTCCGCCGAATGGGAATACGAAGCGCCACAAGCGCTTACGAGCTGAAGCTACAGCCTCTGGACGCATGTCGTGGCTAGTGTCGCAAGTGGTTACGGTGTTACAATGGCTTTTGATCCCTCGGAAGGCTGCTTGGAACCAATGAGCTCGATCTCATGGAGCTCCCGTCCCGTATTTCTGTGCAAAGCCACCTGCACACTAATCACAGGATGCGTCCAGGGACTGTAGAAGTCACAACCTCAAAATACCTTACTCGAAGTGCTTCCCGGCTTCAACCTCAAGAGAGTTGTTCCGGGCTTCAATTCCTCTGGCTTCCAATACCGACGAATGTTGCACCATTTCGCTTATCTCAGTCCGATCAAACCCAGAAGAACTTCGGTGACAGCTCGACCGCAGCCTTGCTCGTATAGCATGGACCCTGGCAATGGAGCCCGCAACAGGTCGTTGGCATCCGCTCGCATGACCTGCGTTCGAATCCTCTTTCTCACCTACAGCTTCGTCCTCATGGCTATGATTCTGTTGGCCTTGCATGGTTCTATATCGGTTGGATGCCGACTCTAGTCTGGGCCCTCATCAGGTACGGACAAAGTAAACATGCTGATCCCAAGGCATGTCGTGAACGGATCGCTAGTGATCGCGGATTCAAAGGACTACCCGATTTCTATGGACTAGGTATCAGGGTAGGCTTGTACTTGCAATGGGATGCAAGCATCATTGCTAACACCTGGGTGCGCTCCGAAAGGCGAACCACCACCGGTGCAAACGTGGCCTTTTTCCTTGCTCTATATGTTGCGATCTTAGCCATTATCTTCCAGGATGGCTGTGTGTTCACAACGGAGCTTATTACTCTGATGTACATTCTCTGGGGAGGCTTCTTCATCGTCATACTACCTCACTTTCCATTTCGATTCAAAGAGGCTGGTCAAACCGAGGGGGTCGAACAGCAACGAATGGAGCCAAAGCCCGAACAGAGTACAAACAAGTTCCACGGTCTCGAGTACCTTCTTGGCTACCTATTCGCGCTTTTCAGTCCTGCGACGATCTGGTTCTGGATTCGGCTCGCGACAGTTGGGGAGCACGACTTTGCTCCCTCGCCCCTGGGCACGGAATTCTTCCTCTTCGCTCGACTCGGCCAACATTCTGTTCGGGGTGCAGCTATTTTCATGACTGTGATAATGTTCTGGATGTGGACTCCGCTACCCTGTGCCCTCATCTTGGGTCTGAGAAACGCAATGAAGGGAAGCATTTCAGATCGCTTTATTATGGCCACAATGGTCTTCATGCCCCCGGGACTTGTATTTGGAATTTACACCCTGCTATTTGATAAGCTTCTAAGTCTTATCTTTCCCTGCCTAAGACCTTTGAGCGAGGAGCAAATGACCCGGGCAGGCATGGATACCCGCTATCCATATCGCTACGGGTCGTATCTGTTCTACAAAGACAACTTCAAATGATGAGTCATCTGTGAATTCTTAGTGCACCTTTGAGTTGACCAAGCACCTCACTAGGTTTTTCGGTATAGCATGCAGCTTGATGTTTATATACGTAGTTCTGGCTATTGAACTTACACTGAAATGGAACTCAGTTTCGGATGTGTATGAAGTGCAATCAACCGGGCAAGTCACTCCTCTAGCGGTAGGGCTTCTGACGTTATTTGCTCTCCTGTGGAAGTTGTACAGAGAAAATGTAAGCCCCCAAGCCATAAGTAGGGATAGGGCTAACCGAGAAACAGGAAGACAAGCTAAAAGAATACGTCCGCCGTGGACGACCTTGGACTGACTGGGCGATGCATTCCAAATCGAAGCCCAGTGCTAGGCGCTTTCATACCGATGATATCGTCCGAGATTCGCCGCAGCGTCCTGACACTCCAGAACCAGAACCACAACCGTCTCGGCCAGTCTCACCCGACCCTGACGATCGCATAGTTGTCGAGGACATGGAACATGGTCGATACACTATCGCCGTTCGAAACCTCCCGGTTCAGAATGCTCCGCAGCCTGTCGGCCCAATGACTGAGCTGGAACCTGTACCCATATCGAGTACAGAACCCAGCATCATATCCGAGGACAACTAAAATCAATACACGTTCTTGTTGGCTTACTGTCATATTATAACATCGCCTTATAGAGGCTTCTTTCCATCACGCCTAGCTTGCCTGCATTGCCGCCTGCATCGCCGCCTGTGCTCGTTCATTCACTTCTAAGAGGAGCACGAGAGAAAGCTCCGAAGAGTCGGCCCGGCCGCTCCGGCTAATTAGAAAATCAGACGAGAGGTGGGGGAAACGGGGGGCGTGGAGTGATTAGGGGGTGAGCGTTTATCCCTCCCCAAGATTTAAGGTGCTTGATCAAAGGATCTTGTTCCGGCACAGCAGCTTTTCCATCACGGGTGGATAGACGTTACATATCTTTCTACACGACGCTCTACGCTCGAACTATGCTATTCTACCAATACAGAGAACGCTTTTCTTCTTGAAACGCCGCCCGCAGCGCCCATCAATGCTCATACAACATAAAAAGAAAAACCCATGGAAAGAGAAAGAAAAACAATTTACTGCGTCAAGTACATCTCCCACTCCCCACTAACAAGAAAAACCCGCATCCCAATCCAATCCATTTAAGCCCTCAAAGAAGCCCTACGCGTCACCCGTCCCCGGCGGGCTCGGCGACCCCCCAAACAAACTCCCCAGACTCCCCATACTCCTGCTCCTCAGCCGCATACTATGCCTTCTCTGCTCTCTCGGACTCCCCCTACTCCCCCTTCTCTCACCGGAAATCACCTTCCGCTCCAAAGACGACCGCCGCCGCTGCGGACTCCCCGAGCCCCGCCTGGCCGGCGAAGTCGGCTGAGCGAAGACTCCGCCGCCGTTAGTGAAGTCGTTGAAGAGCAGACTGTCGTCGAAGTCGGTGGCGAGGAACTGGGCCGCCGGGTCCAGCTCGTAGGACGTGATTGAGTCGAGGAGCTGTGTGAAGCCGGCGCTGGGTTTGCGGGCGGTGGAGTAGTCGGGTCCAAGCGGAGGTTGGTGGGGTAGGGGGTGCTGTGGCCAGGGCGTTTGCGGCTCGGGCTGGTACTCAGGGTGGTGGGGAAGGGCGTGGTCGTAGGTGGGGTCTGGCGCCCAGGAGACGCGGCGGGGGCGGTCGGGGCGGGGGTATTGGGCAAGGGAGGATTTGCGGGGCTGCTGGAGGTGCTTTTGGAGGGACATGGCTTGGGAAAATATGTCTTGGGGGTGGGGGTAGTAAGGCTGGGTGTGGTTGTAGGGGTCGTCGGCTTCGGGAATGAAGAGGATATCTTCGCCTCCGCTCGCGTCGGAGTGCTCTGCGTCCATGTCTGCGTAGCTGATGCGCTGCTTATTGCGGGGGCTTCGTCGGCGTGGTTCTGAAGCCGTCTGAGACCGGGAAGGACGTTGAGTAGAGGATCGCTCAGCCTTCGGTGCGGCTGTCGTGCGAGGACGAGCAGTTCGTGGAACAGCTTCGGGTTCTGAATCACTTGCCTCGTCTTCGCTCGGCTCGCCACGCTTCCTCCGCTTAGCTGCCTTCTTCTTGTTCAGTCTCGCTTTGACGAATTTCTCCAGATCGCCCATGTGTACCAAGATATGAGAGCTCGATAGGCCGCGCTCTTCGAACTGCCGGATCTGCGCAGGCGGTCGCGTTTCGGTCTTACCTTTGTTCAATGCATATGTAAGGGTGTGCACATGTAGCTTGGGTTCGCCGTGACGGTAGTATTGATGGATGGGGTAGTCAGGATACTCGTTGTGAAGATTACCATTCCTGCAGTCCTCGATGAACTTGTGGGCGATGCCACCCTCGCAAGAGTTTCCGAGACTAGCAAGGAATCTCCCTTTTGGCTCGTTTCGCAATCGTCGGTCGTCGGCCGCGATCTCAAGCTTGTTGCAGATATCTGGGAAGTCGAGGAAGCGCTCTAGGCAGTACAGATGGACATACGCCGCCACGTGGAACGGGTCAGCGTTTTCGCGATACTTGTGCCACTTTTCATCAAAGGCAACACGGTAGTGGCCGTGGAGGATAGTTCCCTTGAAGTTCGCTTGGATTGGACAGCATCGGAACCGACATTTCGAGGAGTGTTCCTGTGGGTAACGTCGAGCGCTGTCTGCAGGGGATTTCTGAATCCAAAGCTTCAACTTACAATCTTTAGTTCGTGGATGCTCATATAAGAATTCTCGAATCTCCTTCGCACTGTAAGTCCTCTGCTGTAGCTCGCCGTTCCTGTCGTACTGGAAGAGCGTCTTACTACCCTGCCAGTCGCCGATAGTATGGGGAAGGCTATGATTGTACATTTCTTCAGCCTTGTAGTGATTGATCTTTCCCGTCCGGCTAGTCTTTCCCTCGGTGGTCTGGTTTATCCTAATCCAGTGCTTGTCTTTGTCCGTCTCCGGCCTCTCGGGTTCGTAGACCGATCTCGTGATCTTTGTGGTTGCTTTCCGGCTCTTTCTTAGAGAGGATGTCTCGCTCAAACTGCTCGAGTTGCCTGAGCTGCGTCGAGACTTTGGAGAGCGTCCGTGGTGCGGTTCTTCTTCCCGGGCACGTTTTCTCGGACGTTCTTGAGAGGTTGTATCTTCGCGTGATCGTTTTCGTGTCCTCAGGGAGCTTCGTAAGTCATCATCATATACATCTGCCGTCGTACCGGCATCATGCGAAGCCGGCACAAATCCGTCATGAACCTGCGGCTGTAGTTCGAAATCGTCAGTGAAATATGGTGCATTTGCTTCAGACTGGTAACCGTAAGTGGTATTCTGATAGTCCGAGTTTAGAAGCGAAGGGTCGACGGCGTGGTTATTTGACAGGTCATACGACTGTGGAATCTTCAAGCCAGGCACTGCAGCTAGAGGCCTATTCATCATTTGGACAGAAGCTCGGCGACTCTTAGCCGCATTTACCTGTTGTTCAGGTTCCAAGTATGACAGACTGTCTAGGAGGAAATCAGTGGAGGGTTGCTGGTCAACCCTATTGTACCCAGAAAATGCCGGATCATCAAAATTCACATTGCTCCAGTCGACGTCAAGTTGTCCATATGGTACCTCGAGAGTCCAGTCGACATTTGAGGAGAAGCTGGGGTATGGAATAGGATTCGTGGAGTCATCAAAACGGATTGAAGAAGTCCGTCTGGGAGCGATGTTGGGATTGCGTAAACTAGAACGTCGTGAAGACATGACTGTCGGTTGCGGAGACTTTGCTCGGCAAATATCGAAGGTGATTTCTGGATTTTGCTCTTTTGCGTCTGCTTTGGGGTTCAAGATCGCTGCCAAGTTCAGTCTCGAGAGGATTGTAGAAGAGAAGACCTGGCGGGCACGTTCACTTCTAAACTACACACAGCTATGAAATTTAGGTTTCAAATGCAGCAGCTTTGTTCAGAGAGAAAGAGATTGTCGTTCCAATTATATCATTGTGATTTTGTGAAACAAAGAAGCGTATATCCCTTGGCCTTGAACAATAGGATTTTGAAAGCAAAGAGGCGAATTGTTGAACAAAACTCGAGGACAAAGGGAACAAAGCAGGTACATTAGATGACATAAGATGATACTCGAAGAGACGCGCTTGAACAAGCGGAACGTAACGTTATTAGTGCTGTTGTATTAGCCATGTATATCCGGAATACGTCTTGTGTCTCAAATGGAGTGTTCGACTTCTCATCGTATTCATAAACCCCTTACCGTTGCTAACAAGCCCATGTGATCCAGTGCCATGCTGTACTTCTTGTCGTCAAGATTCCTTGATACTGGCTATAGTCTTCGTCTTGAGGGCTAGACAAGGAGCGCGCATCGCTAGTTTGCGGGATCCAATCGACTATCGCATGGTATATAGGCGAAGGTAGGCGGTGGGAGCTAGAAGGCGATAGCACGAGTACTGCTTATGCATCTGTTAGCTACTAATCCAACGTTCATGTTGATAAGATTGAAGCGAAAGATGTCGGCATCATCAGTAGGTCTCCAAGGAAATGTATCCACATAGTGTATTCGGAACAGGTCTGTGTATTCGCATGTGTTCATCACGATGCATTTGAGGAAAAGAAATGGGAGTGGCGTACCTTCGTAGTCCTTCGCTGTGCAGGCAAGGTCAGGGTCGAGCGTGTTGAGCCTTTCGCTCTCTTCAACATGTGAGTTCCAAATCTAACCCGGTACATGTTGTCTATGCTTATGTTCGATGAGAGGCGTCGGTTTCTATATAGGACTCTGGAGTCTAGCAAATTTGTGAAAAGAGCGCAGTTCGGAGACGGTAGTGTTAGATGGTCATATTGAGATGTCGACCGCGCAGCAGTGGCGCAATGTAAGATATGCTAGTGATGACCTGCAAGAGGCATGCATGTGCTGATGTGACGGGCTCTGGCAGAGGGCCATGAACAATTGGACGAGTGGAGGAAAAGACGGCAGAGAAAAGTTCGAGGTTTTCTGTGTCGGGAGAGCTCGGTCCGTGGCCCCACTAGCGCAGCCAATCACCGCTTCCTTCGCTCCAGAACCCAACCACCTCACAAATATTGGGAAAAAAAGCAAAGTCGACGGATCAGCTATCTTTCATCGTGGGTGGCGTCATTGAAGCAAGTCGGAGGATGAGAGGTTTGTTCGTGATTGGCGATGGCATCAAGCAGTCTCGCATTTCCAACGGTGTTGAGTATGTCTGCGTCTCTTGCATCCTTTACCTTCACCGTGACACTATGAGGATAACAAGGATGAGGATGTCTAGAAAAGTGTCGTGAGTGTGATATCTCTACATAGTACAGTCCACTGCATTCCTGGCTGTGGTGGGGAGCCCCTACATCAGGCGTCAGGCGTCTCCGCAAACAACGCGTGTCAAAACCCTCTAAGCGGACCGCTATTTTGGTTTCCCTCAACTAGCAAGGTCATGAATAGAAACCCCTTCCTCGACAAGTGGCAGAAGAGTACAAACTTTCGGTATGTGACAATACATCACCATTCTGAGGCCCTCCTTTCCTATCTTCTGAGCCTACTCAATAAATGTAACCACTCCTCTATACTCCCGGGATCGTTGTGTGTTGCGATGCCAATGTCTCACAACTGCCGGCAAGAACAAAGTTTGGGGAAGCGTGTCCGCGCAGCCTCCGTACGAGTACCTGCAGCGGCAACTGCACGGCCTTGTGGAGTCTCTAAGAGCGAATTGCGACCATTTAATTGGCCATACAGGTCGCTTTTCTCCAGGACGATCAATATGGGTGGTTCGGGGCAGCGACCAACCGATGACGGCACAGGGGCTGTACCAAGACGCAAGCACCCCTGGCAATTCACTGACTTCTGGAAGTGAGACATTAAAAACGTCTCCCAAGTGCCATTCTTCCGCATCGGATCGTCCCTCGAAGACCGCCCGGCTGGGCTCCCGCTGAGATGGTTGCTAAAATCTGACGATCCACAAGCCACTGATCAGTGATATGTCCCTTTTCAGGCTTCGCTTGAAAGCCCCAACTTGCACTACCCCTTGCACCCTTGGCCTTGCAGAGCATACTAGGTGAACCATGGTGGATGGTCGCAGCCACTATCTGGATGACGGGACGCCCTGCTCCTCATATACTGTAAGCTCGTCCATAAACGCAGAGAGCCGTCACTAGCCTTGTTGCTATCTTGCTATCTCTACGCCGTATAGTGTCCCCTCTGGGTCGTGTTGAGACTATTCTCACAATAGTTCTTCTTGTTCTGTCATGGCTCACCGTTTCACTTCGCTTTTGGGTCAGAGGCAGGATGACGAAATCTCTTGGTTGGGATGATGGCTTCATGTTACTATCTCTGTTTTTTTTTGCTGTCTACATACCGCGAATTCAAGTTAACTAGCTTCAAAAGCTCTTGTTTACATGTTACTCTACTTTCATTCTGCTCATCATCTACAACGGAGGATTTGATCATCTCCCAGTATCCTCCCAAGGTTGTCAAGAAAATAAACGTAAGCGCCGCCACCAAACAGAGCAGGCTCCGTTGCTGATGCTATTGCAGTATGTTCTACTCGCCGAGACCTTTTACGTCTTAGCGACCACATCACTGAAGATCGCACTAGGACTCTTCTTCCTTCGAATCCTCACGAAACCCTGGCAGCGGAAGACGTTCTATGTCATACTGAGCATTTCAAGTGTGTACGGATGCTTGTACATCTTTGTGGTCATCTTTCAGTGCAAAGACCCGCGAGATTTGTCCATCCATGTCATTACCGATACATGCCTCCCAGATACTTTTCTTCTCACTGCTGGATACCTCTACTCCAGTATAAACACTATCACCGACTGGACCTTCGTTTTGGTCCCGCTGCTCATGCTGAGTACCCCCAATATGGACCGCAAAACAAAGTTCTCCGTTGGGATAATCATGGCTTTGGGCGCTGTGTAAGTCTGTTCTCACTGCCAGAATTATGTTTGGACAATGAGGCTAACAGAAAGCGCAGTGGAAGCGTAGGAAGTATACTTCGGATAGTCTATGTAAAGGGGATTATATTCGGTCCGGACTTCTTTGATAATACAGCACTACTTCATAGGATTCAAATCGGGATGTGAGCTGACGGAGACAGCGAATGCTTCCTACGTCGCAATCTACCCAACGGTCGAGGCAGGCGCAGGGATTGCAGGGCTCTTGCTACGTTGCGCCCTCTGATGCGTCAAGCCGCGCAGGCCGTCCGAATCTCCATCCACAGGTCGTCGCAGTCAAGATTCAGCGATCAACGGAAATATTTCAAGTCGAGTCGCACCACCCGCTCTGGGACTGAGCCATTTGACCACGAGAGCTAGATTATGCCGACGCAAGTGACTGCTGCAAGACAACGTAGTACGGGCTCGGCCGCTGCATCGAACGATAACTTCGAAGTGGTCCCGACTGTGTCTTCCCGCTCCGACGGCGAGGACGTGGCCAGACTGGATCCCTGGTCGTCGAATCATCCTGCAGGCCAGATCGAAGGTCGTGGACGTCTATGTCACGTCCGAGGACAGGGTGTGGCATTGAACTTTTCGGGACGCAAGGAGTTGGCGGCTAGATTCTAAGGTGGCCGATTGACACGGCGTAGAACTTCACGTTGAGGTAATTCATGAGACTCTAGGGGCTCCAGCATGAACTTTAATTAGTTATCTAACGGTCGAAACTAACTTTTCTGGCTATGGAGAGTGCGAGACAGTCATCTTCTCGCGTGTCAGCTTCACGCACAACAAAACCTTATCGCTAGGCATAATGCATATGCGAGGTGATCGCTCGCCTGAACGTCGCGTGCGGTGGCACAATGCGTTGCTGGCGCCTCCTGCAGCCAGTCGACGTTGCTACTGCGGGTTCAGAGTTCGCAGACGTCTGTTGAGGGCGGAATGGGAGCGTGATGTTTCATGGGACTCGTTATCCATGCATGGGGGCATGTCGCAGCACTAGTGGCACCTCGTGGTCTTCGGATGGCGGGAGGGAGTGCGGGAGCGGTACGGCACCTTTGCCCGGATCGAGCTCCACAAAGTTTGAAAAGTGAGCGTTAATTTAGGGAGCAGGGGAGTCTGATGTTGAGTGAGGCGGAGATCGAGTGGGGGTGGAGCACATCTCGACACGTGATCTCGGCCCCAAACCGAGCCCCAGCCACCGCTATGCCACCTCCTTCCAGCCACCTATCCTACAAGGGGGTTAACCTGAGCGGGCTGCTCGCCCTCCCTGTCAGTTTTAGGGGCATTATAGTAATATCCTAGGAAATAGTGCGGGTACGACTATAATGCCCCCAAAACTGACAGGGAGGGCGAGCAGCCCGCTCAGGTTACCCCCTTGTATCAGCGGCGAAGCGTCCTTTCCGGCGAGAGCTGCTCTATCGCCCCCAGCCTCCATCAAATCTATCCGGCACAGATAAGGCACAGTCGCAATCATGATAATGGGGAGCTCCTGCGTGGAGCTGTCATGCTGCGACTCCCGTCTCGCTGCCTGGGCCTCTTCTCCTGAGCTCCTCTTTTCACACCCGCCTGATCCCTGGAATTCGCAACAACGGTACGTTGCGCCCTGAGAAGAAGAAAAGGAGGTTGTCACACGGCGCTATGAGTTCCCTGCCGAGTCCGGTAATTATCCTCCCATTCCCGCGCCTCAATTCCAGCCACACCCTCTCCTTCTCAGCTCTATCCCGCCTTCTCGAGCTCCCACCTCGTGGCAGACACGTTCCGTTCACGTTGCATCAGTTTCTCAAACTTCTCAAACTCTACCTGCCTACGGACGCGAACTTGAAAATGCCCTACCAACACTTCATCGAGCTTTTACACCTCGCTAACAAGCCCTCTAGTCCACTCCGCCCGAATACCAGCCGTTCACAGACGCCCACCCACACGAGCACCATCAACACCGACATGAACACGAACCATACACAGACGACCCCACGACCCCGAGCACCCACCAAGCCACGCATCTCCCGCCGCCAAAGTACCACGACGACCCGCCTGCCCGTCTCCCTCTCCCCCTACACCATGACACCCCCTCGCCCGCCTACTCCACCCCGCAACCCTCAAACGACGACGCCCCGCCCAGCTATCACGCGTCTGTAGCGGCGTCGTATCCTGCCACGCTCATTTCGCGCATCCCGCCCGCGTACTATGCGGCGCAACACCAGCAGCAGGACGAGGAGACGGCGGCTATGGTGTACGGGGAGGAGATCGGTAGCTTGAGCATGACTGTAGAGGAGTGGGTTGCACGCGTAATAGTCATAGGGGTCGTGTTCGGTGTGGCGTTTGTGGTGGCGGTTATTGCATGGAATGGATATCTGTGGTAGGGGTCGAGCTGGGAGTGGGAGGGTTGTAGTGAAGTGGGCTTGGGGAGAGATGGAAAGAAAGGAGGATATGGAGTTTAGAGTCTGTTTTGCTTACGCGATGGCTGGCTGGGCCTTTTGGATATGATACCTGTTTATGATTATGGAGTTGGATGACTGGGACGATGTCCTTCTTTACCTCAATAGTTGTACGTGAATATATATATTTGCGTTCAGCATTTCAGGGTCCATGACGTCATGTGACTTGCGTTGGTTGGTATATTCGCTGGATGTTTAACAAAATTACTACCACGGAAAGCTGATAGATGCGAAAATACTGGCCGTTGACTACGTAAGAGAGTCTTCAAGAAAGCATGCAATCACAGTAATCAAGTGTTCTCTTGTATCCGGACAGAACTTGAAGTGAATGTACAAATCACTGATGCGTGATCTTAGAGAGGAGAATTTCACGTTTATTGCGTCCGCCCATAACTACATATGTCACAAAAGGTTCTACGTTATTGGCCCTAAGACCGTCCATGCTCACACCATGGCAAAGACCACTCCATCAAGCCTCAGCAAGAAGCTGCTCATAGACCCCCGAATCCACAACCCTCCCCCAAGCATCCCCTCTCACCCCCCTACATCCCCTTCGCCGGCATCGTCGCAAAATGCGCCATAGCCTGCAAATTCTTCTCCGCGCTCATCTTCTGCTCACCCTCCTGCATCTTCGCCAGCATCTTGAAGTAATTGATATAAAACGCCGGCGTGTACGTATTGAAGAACTCGGCCTCCTCATCAAACGGGTTCGAGAACGTATGCGGCGCGCGGATGGGCACGGTCACGTAGTCGCCGACGGCAGCGTCGATGACCTTGCCATCCGGGGCGTGGAAGCGCACCACGCCCTTGGTGACGAGGAAGGTCTCGTCGTGCATTTCGTGCCAGTGGGCGGGTGGGCCGGCGGTTTGCGGGGGCAGGGTGAAGGTTGCGGAGCCGATGCGGTTGTCTGGGGGCGGTTGTTAGTGGTGGGGAGGTGGGGGAATGGAGGGGGGAGGAGGGAGGGGGAGGTACCGGTGCGAGAACCGTCTTCTTGAATGCGGCAGGTTATGTGGCCGAGCTTGAGGATCTCGCCTTGCTTTGCGGTGACGAGGTTGACGGGGACGCGAGGCATTTCCATTGCCTGCATGGCGGCTTGCTCGTTCATCGGGTCTGCCATTGTGGTGGTGGAGGGTCTGGAAGTCGAGTGGGGTTGAGATGTCTTCCTGTGTGTTGAGTTGGCTTGGTCAATTGAAGTGTGAGAGGTAGTTTTGGTGATGGACAGTAGGCTCGTGAGGATCTAGATATTTATACGAAGGGTCGGTGTGATGATGGGGCTTTATAGCTAACCTTCCTCTATCCAAGCCGGTCTAAGGTCAGGCCTGCCTCGAGGGGTCGATGGCTTATCCAACCCATGGCTTCTGGATGTAATGATGTACGACCTAGTGCACCAACTCTCGCAAAGCCAGGGTACAGACATACGACTTCATCTATTCCGTGACCAGTCAGCACCGTGAACGTTGAAACAAACAACACGAAACGGCGTTAGGAGGCTGCTCCGCGCGGCACCGGTGGCGGGAGGAGTGTTCAGCGGGGAGATCGCAGCCAGGATGCAGCCGGGACAGCATCAATACCTGCATGCTGTATGGCTGCCCCAGGTGGTATGCCGATGGCGCGCGTATTGAGCCTTCATTGGGGAAGCTATCTCCAAGTGGCATCTCCGACGACAACAACCTCACGACGTCTGGTCTCCATTATCTCGAGCTTCGGCCTCAACGGCCTTCCGAAGCTTGATCATCATAGATTAGATATGCTCGTGGTCTAGATGCACAGTCGTCACCAGCATGCGCTTCCCTGGAGATCACCTACGGAGGATCGGACATCATCGACGTTCTCCGCGTTCTGCGAATACCATTCTTCTACGGTCTGGAAATACGCGCATAGATTTCCGACATCTCAGTCTGATTGTTGACGGATGTTTGGAGCACCACAGACAGCGCTGTCAAGGTGGCAGAATCGCGAGGTGATCCACCAGGGCTGAACGACTGCGTCTTCATGATCATGTCGAATTACTGTTCCTTTACACAACTTAAATTACAGGGTAAGCTTTCTTATATCCCGCTTTGATTTCAAAAAGATCTCTGGAACACCACAGACGGTGTCAGGTAGGTGCCAGAACCTAACTTTCATCCACTCAGGCTGAACAACCACGTCGTTAGTATTATATTGAATCATCCTTCATCCACGAGCCTGAACTAAAGCATGAGGTCTCTTACGTCTCATTCCGATTGTTCAAAGACTGTTGCGACTCCACAAACGGCGTCATCAGTATGGGAAATTGTAGTCACTCACCATTGTCAGGAGTATCCCAGTTTCTAAGTAGCCAATCCACTGAAGGTAACTTAATTTGTACAGCATCGCATATTACACCGCGTCTCGGTTTTTGACAGCTCACGGGGGCATCTCAAGCAGCGGTGAAAAGGTGCGCTTAGACTTCTGACATGACGCTGTATCGTATTGGTCACTATGTTCCCAACATGTACCTCATATCTCCCAGGCACAGTGTGTCAACGGGGCTTGGCTGCAGGTGCAGCCTTTCGCCATGAGATGTGCGATTTTCAGTGGGCATGTAACTTCACGTCCCTCATTCACTTCCTCGTCTCCACCCCGAAACTTCACTCGAACAGCTTTCACCGGCATTGGGACATGATGGGTCGCCTAGGCAGCAACGATTTGTCGCTTCTTCGTACTTATAGACGACAAATCGCCAGAGTTCTTCTGATCCTTACGTTATTTCACCTACTTTCTTCTTTACACCACCACCGCTCCCAAGACCCTGCGATGGAGAGGGAGTCTACGCCTTTCTGGGCCACGTACCGCCTACGAAGCCCTGTGGAATGCTGCTATAACACCCATTTCCACCAGTTGTTCTGCAAGCACATCATCGCCACACCAACGATCGAACCATGCGCCAGCAACTGCCTTATGCCCACGCTGGCACCTCAGCCGACCCCAGAGCCTGATAAAGTTACTACGAATCTTGTCGACGAAGAATTCCTGTGCCCAAAATGCGTGGAAGAAGGAGGAGGATCTGCCCACACCTACGTTCTGCGTAATCTGAATTTACGCATCCAAAAGCTCGTCATGCGGCATTGCTACAAGTACGAAGAGGCTACGATCTTGAAGTTTCAAGAATCGCCGACGCCTGACACCCAAACAACACCGCTTTCCGGACGCATTCTACCCTGCTTGCACATCCAGCACGGTGTACCTTCACCATACCACATCCTCGAATGCGGACACACGGTGAAGGTGCTACCTGGTGACCCTGCCGGTTGTGCCTGTAACTGTGCGGGCCCAGAAACGGAATGCGATGGAGTGTTTGAGTGCGCCGCATGCCTCGCCACGGGTATTCCGATCGACCCCGTCCACGGTTACCGTGTGCCACGCAACTGTACGTACTTGTCTACCGAAGACATCGCAATGGAAGAAATGGCGGAAGATTTCGGAGGAATCTCTGTCGGAGGTCAATCACGGTCTTCCTATGCGGTGTCCGAGGAACATCTTCTCCAGTGTGGGCACCAGATAACTACGAATATCTTGACTAACTGTTGCAAGAACTGCAGTGCTCGCTGTGAAAACATCCTCCTTGCGAATACTCCACCAGCCGGCAAGTTCGATTGCAAGAAGTGCATATACGAGATGGAATGCGCAATGGCAGGGGTGGAAACGATGGATATCTAGTGCGTAGATGGCGGCTCAGAGTTGCGAGTCATGTCCACAATGCGGTAATGTCAATTCTCTTGCTTCATCGACCAGTTGCCTTTTATGAAAGTCCTACTCGTTTGAGAGAATAAGTCGGATCACGTGACGCACCGCTAAAATCCAGAGCGCGTCCAATTTACTATGAAGCCTAATCATCCCTTGAAGCCAAAATGCGCAGTACATGTTTGCAAAGGAACTCTTGAAAGTTGAAGGTCTGCCCGATGAAGTTGACAATTGAGGTACTAAGGTTAGACGGGTACGTGATGTGGGTAGCGCGGATTCTCTCCTCTTAAGTTCTCCAAAGCATGCGAGCTCTTTAACCTTGTGTTTTTACCCGAACCATCAACAGCGAGACATTTATCGCGTTGTAGCCTCAGTCTTCTTATCTTGCTGTCCGATTTTTTCATCTCTTTCGCCCTTTAGCTCTATGTAAGTAACGTATCGTTGCATGACTTGACATAGAACTGCTTCTATGACACCTCGCCTTATTAACAATGTGGCTGAAAACATGGCCCCTTTACGAACGTCTGTAAGCGGTGGGGAAGGAGGAGACGGACTAATGGCAGGATTGAAAAGCTGCAAAATATTGCATGATGATTAGATGCTTATTCTTCGCCGTCTCTGGCCACGAATCAGCACTTGAACTATCACTATAACGAACGGCATCACCGCAAACTAACGGTCGAGCCTGTAAAACAATTTGGTAGAAGATCAACGCATGCAAAGCCAACTTTAATAGGCCCATGTCATTATTTCCGCTTTGGGTTGCGTACTGCGAGTTCTGGTGGCCTGTGCGCTATAAGCAGTAGTCAACGGAAGTTTCATCCCAGACTACTGCACAACGCGAAACGCTTTCTGTGAGGCTCAGACGTTCTATCTTTGACATATTAGGAGAGGCAGTTGGAGCAACTGACTTGCGCAAGCCTTCTCGCTCCTAAGTCGTCGGGTTGCGTCGGGCTGCGATGTGCTATAAACCAACCCATCTGCTGGCAGGACGAATACAAGCACTCCTATGCATCGGAACTCGACTTAAATGACTCGAACAGGCAAATGTGACGTATGTCGGCAGAGAAAGGTCAGGGTGGGTACTCCCTCTACAATGCACTCAAAACTCGCATTAATAGCCCAGTGCGATGAACGTCGTCCTTCTTGTGGACAATGTGCGAAAAAGAGCCGGCCTTGTAGTTATGAATACGGCAAAGTAGCGTTCTTCGTAGATGAGAGTGAGCAGCAAGGTGGTTTATGCCCCAAAAGGCCCGCTGGTAACTTTGAGACGCCGCCACAGGCTCTTGCAGATACTGCCTGGGGTACGAATGGAGCCATTACTAAATATACGACACCAGAAGCCACCATTATCCTCAGTGTAAGATCTTCCCGCGGGTCTAAATCTGGAAATGGCGTCTTCCAAACGCTCACTCCGATCTGTGTTTCGAAAAATGTTAAATCCTCGACACCGTTCAACGGAGTTCCAAGAATTCCGAGGAGCCCAATATGCTCAGAAACGAAACTTTGCGACCAGTTCCTTGCAGTCATCGGTACTGATCCCCCGAATCAAAATCCCTCAGAAATCTGGGGAAGCTGGATCCGTCTCATCCCATCACGGATCGGCCAACATCCAGCTCTAGACTATGCAGCCGCTGCTTATGCCGAAGGCAGTGTTGCATACGTCAGCAAAGACCCGGCACAAGCTGCTGCGGCTCGAACAAGCTATTCGAGGGCACTAAAGTGTCTCCAGTCGGCGGTATTGGACAGGAGCTCCGAATTTCTGACCGAGACATTGAGTGCGATAAAGCTTCTCTCGACGTTCGAGGTATGCATCCCTCTGGCAAATCTATGATCGAGGGTAATTCTAACTAGCTACAAGTTACTCATGGGCATGGCATCCTTTGCCTGGGTATCCCATACTCAGGGGCTGGCAAAGTTGCTGGTTGCTCGTGGCCCAAGATTAGCGGACGACGAAATTGAGAGGTCTATATTCTACTCCAGCTACCCTCTTGAGGTAAGCCTATACTCCAAGTCTTGAAAAAAAAACCCCCTTCGATATCCTAACAGCCTCTTAGATTGCAGAAGCCATCCTCAGCGACTCAGTCTCGGACTTCGATAACGAGGACTGGCTTTTCTTTCCACCGCCGGAGACTATATCTGAGTATCCAGCTTTCGACACGGCTTGCCAGGCAGTGATGCAACAGTATGTCCGAGTTCCGCGTCTGATGAAACTCGTACGGACATATCTACAAGATCCCAATAACCTTATTCTCAGAAATGAGGCGGTAGACCTTGCGAGAAAGCTCTATCTGAGCAACCTAGACTCACTAGTTTCGACCGCCTTGGTCGATACTGCGGATCTTGTGCCCACAAACTCCCCAGATCTTCGAGAATACTACCCAGACTCATTCAAATACCACTCGATCAAGATATTAGACCTCCTCGTCCACTACTGGACGTGCCGGGTGTTCCTCCTCGGACTGATACAGACCCTGTGCAGTACACAATACTTCTCTTCGTCATTTCCACTCGAAGAAATCATCGAAGAGGATGAACGAGCCGCCGGATACATTTTAATGTCTAGCGAGTTCGCCGCGAGCGTGAAGCCCATGCCAACGGGTGCGGTCTTGATGATAATGCCACTACAAATTGCGTTTGGAACATGGCACCGCAGCGAGCGGCGACAGGGCTTTTATGGGGAACGCTGGAATCGTGCTGTCTGTCTGAAGAAGTGGAGTCTAGATAGTTCGAATGAGTATTTGAGTATTTGGGGTGGCCGGGAACAGTCGACGGATGAATTGGAAGCAAAGACAAGGGCTTTTGAAGGGGCGCCGCTTGAGCCCTGGATGCGTAGGAGAAAATGGTCTGTTGAAGAGACTCGTCACAAGAGTCAACGCCTTAGAAATGGAATAGTAGAGCCAGAGCAGTAGAGTATGTATCGAGATCGAATGCGGTTAGACTGTAATCGTCTCGGCTCGGCTTTCTCACCTCGCGTCTCACTTTACCCATCGTCAATGATAGAAATGCCTCCGCTCACAAGGATCTCTGCACCCATCCTGCAAGTCTCCTTAAGAAGTGGCCTCACGGGCACTATCTGCAAGGCTGAGTTCGGCCCTGGCTAGTCGGAACCCAGTTCTACGATCCGATTTCTGCAGAACCCCGACGCTGCCAAGCTCCAGTTTTCCGCCCCCAAGTTTCTTCGAGACCTCAATCTTCGGGTCGGCATGTCCTTGTACATCCATTATACAGCATAGCCACAGCCCTGACAAGAGTCTAGGTGGTCATTGGCCAGAGATGATGCTAAAGATGGGCATCCCCGCAGCAAGCCGCCCATAGCTACGCCACCTGCCTATATCGGGAATCTTAAGAATAAGACAAGTTTCCGTAAGATCGGGCTCTCTGTCTTTGAAAACCTCAACCAGTCCAATTAGCTCAATACATTACACATATGTGGCACCTGTCGGACGTGTGTATCGGCTGTACGTATACACAACCTTATGCACAAACCATGTATTATAACCTCGATGCAACATGTTCCACAGGCACTTGCCGATCAATCAACTGCGCCTGGCGTCCTACCTTGGTGGCACCGTCAGGCTGAAGGTGGCTGGGTAAAGCTGGACTCATCCTGCAACCCATGACTTTACAGTCACTTCTTTCCCGCTCAGCCTGATAATTATGTTTAAAAGTCTCTAGTCTACTCAGCCTTCGAAACCATTCTTCGACTATCATCATCATGACAGATCCCCCTTCTCCTGTAGAGGAGTACCGCTATCTACGTGTTGCGAATCCGGACCCACGAGAGGAATTGGAGAGAACTCATGCACCAGGAGAATTCGAGAGAGCCCAAGACTTGGTCGATGCTAGGGACAATCATTCTACTTATTCCTCACATGATAGGATCTCAGACGAGGGAGACTGGACAGAGCTGCGCAGTCTATAGTACGTCTTTCGCGGAGCGGGGTTGCTACCAAGACACCTTCTGATAGTGTGGCACAGTTCTCCCGATACCCAAAACCTTTCTCCTGCACCGAGACCAGACCCAAAACCCATATCATCTCGAGCAAATCCCTTCGAAAACTTGCGAATATATACGACGTTCATCAGCTGGGCCAAAGCTAGGGGCTTTGATGGATGGCGTATGGGCGTGCTGGCAGGCTGTTTTACAGCGGTCTCTGTTTGCTTGGCGAATGTGGCTATCCTGTTAGCAGGTGCTGCTCTATCTGGCGGCTATAAAAATGGCATTGCACACCTAGCACAAGGTTCAGCCGAATACGTGACTAGATGGAGTACCGCACTCCACATTTTCATCAACATTCTTAGCACGCTCTTGTTGAGTGCGAGCAACTATACAATGCAGGTTCTCAGTTCTCCAACCCGAGAGGAAGTCGACAGAGTTCACTCCCAAGGCAAGTTCCTTGATATCGGTATCCTTAGCACGCGTAATCTTCGACACATCTCCAGGAAGAGATTGATCCTCTGGTGGATATTGGGAATTTCTTCGATTCCGCTTCACATTTTGTAAGTGGATCAGAATTCATATTGATCTTGTCTGACTTTGGCAGCTATAATTCCGCGATTTTCGATGTTGTCGTTGGAAATCAATTCGATACGACAATGGTAGAATATATGTCCCCCGAATATACTACTCTAAACATTTCAGCTGCGCGAGACGATTCAACAGCGCACCGAAACTTGACAAATGGGCAATGGCAGAACTTTTACGATGCTGAAGCCGTCTCAGGCCTAGGCGATTTATCCCTCGTCGTCGATGAAATATCCCTGAACCTCCAGACATACCAATCGGTCCTGAATCATACTTTCTCCACGAACAAAAGTGACGCCTTCAACTTTACGGACAACTCGGTCACCATTCATCGGGATACAACGGCTTTCACGATACCAAACATGAGCGCGGAGGGATGGGTTCCGGCATTCAATTTGGAGCCTACCCAGCTTTACCCTATCCACGTTCGCTACGCGTTTGCACAGACAAGAGGGGGTGCGAATAGCAGATTGGAGATCAGTTTATTCTTTATGCTTATCGTGATATTCTCAAACGTTGTGAAAGCGATAGCAATGCTGCTGGTACTACTGGACGAGCGTCCTCTTTATCTTGTCACAATTGGAGATGCGGCCGCCTCATTCTTGAAAAGGCCGGATGCAGTAACGGCAGGGCTCTGTACACTTTCTAAAGACGACATGCTTATCAAGCTCGGCCGAGACCCAACGATGCGCATCCTGGAAAGCGAAGAGAAGGTCATAAAGTTGAAGTCACGTCTGAGTGGTGTATGGAAGTCTCGTAAACGACAATACGGTAGTGCGATCAGTGATGGGAGGCAAGCATTTGGAATGATAATGTAAGTGAGCCTTCTTCTTTCTATATAACTTAGCTTGTCTTATCTACGACTGACAACGCTATTCAATTTAGCTGCTCTCTCATGATCGCGGCCGGCGTTGTCATTTTCTCTGTATCGATCAGCAATGATGGAGGTTTAGGCTCTTGGGGCACATCTTCAACAACAACGCTCTCTATTGGATCGAGTAGGTTCGACGCGACAGGAACTCTCTTCAATGCGGGACTAGCCAATGTTGCACAGCTTCTCTTCTCTATCGGATATCTAACGTTCAACGGACTCTTCACCTGTATAGCGAATGCCATCGAATGGGACAACCTTGCGCTCTCCAGAAAAGGATTACGAGTTACAAAACCCGAGGGGCAACAGCGAAGCAGTTATTTCCTGCAACTACCATTCCGATTTGCAGTACCCCTCACTGGGGTCAGCTGTCTTGTCCACTGGCTGATGTCGCAGAGTCTGTTTCTCGTTCGAATAGACATACAAGACCCGAATGGCAAACTCGTGCTTAACCTTGGTTCCAAATCTGCTTGTGGGTTCTCAAGATTGAGCTTCCTGGTACTTTGCATTACCTTTACCTTGATTTTTTGCTTGGTTCTTGTCATGAGCCTATGGCGTTGGAGGATCAATATTCCGCTTGCGGCATCCTGTAGCTTGGTTATCAGCGCAGCTTGCCACCCCCCTTTGGATGAGGTTGATCCTCATCTAAAGGCTGTACAATGGGGCGTCACGGCGAAGGGCGCAGTGAACGGTATAGAGCACTGTTCGCTATCAACGAACGCTGTAGAAAAGCCTCAATACGGAAGAAGGTATGTTTGAGTAGATAGTTAGTCAAAGAATACTACCTTCTGCAAGGCACAGCAGAGTGCTCACATTTGGGTTGAAGTTGAGCTGGACGTGGTTCTCCTGGGACTACATAACTTAGTACTGTGTAGGTTTTAGGTGCCAAACAACAAGGGTTATGGGCGGAGGTACCTATAGTCTGCACCCAGTTTAGTGCGTGCACGTGTCCTTGCACGCTCCGTTAGTAAGCAAGCCTAACTAACTACTCTTTCGTGATAGGCTTTACCTAGGAACTCAACTCTGAGAACGCCGTACCCAAATGCGACAGCTTCAACCACACTCAGAGCATCTGAAGCCGGACTATATTTGAATGTTTCTAATCGTGGGGCTCTACAAAGGGTAGTAAGGCGCACTTAAGAGTAACCCCGGCATTAACCCCGCAAATATGTAATGTGCACAGCACAACGATGCAGAACGGCTTGACCCCTCATCGCGAATGCTGGCCGGAACTTACGTGACGCGATAGGCGTATATAACTGACGTACGGTGTCTTTTATCGACTCAATACCTCAAGGAACCACCACCAGCAACGAAGTAACGTAAGAACGAACTCACCATTCACAATGGCAACCGCCAACATTGACCATTTGCTCGCCGAATCGAAGGCCGAGTACAGGCAATTGGGCAAGTCCGGATTGCGTGTCTCGGTGCCCATTCTAGGAGCTATGAGTTTAGGGGACAAGAGGACTCTGCCGTGGTCTCTTGAAGAGAAGGAAGCATTGCCGATACTCAAAGCTGCGTACGATAGGGGCGTCAATACGTGGGACACAGGTATGAGACTCAACAATACATGTAGCATATGGACTTCCACATCTAATGTCCGGCCCCAGCAAATACCTATAGTAACGGCGAAAGCGAACGAATCATTGCGAAAGCAATCGAAACCTACAAAATCCCGCGAGAAAAGGTCCTCATCTTGAGCAAGTGCTTTAGCTATGTCGGAGAACAACCTGAGCTGCGGGCTGTACTTTACCGCGAGCAATTGCCTAAGTTGAAGGATTATGTCAACCAAGGAGGACTATCGAGGGCGGCGATATTCAACCAGGTCAATGCTTCCTTGAAGAGGCTGAACACGGACTACATCGACCTACTACAAATCCATCGGTACGACAAAGTCACGCCGATTGAGGAGACAATGGAGGCATTGAATGATCTTGTCAGAAGTGGCAAGGTCAGGTACATTGGAGCGAGCAGCATGTGGGCTACAGAATTCGCGGAGATGCAGTTTGTGGCAGAGAAGCACGGCTGGACGAAGTTCGTGTCTATGCAGAATCAGTACAATCTGCTCTATCGGGAAGAAGAAAGAGAGATGAACAGGTTCTGCAACAAGACGGGAGTTGGCTTGATTCCTGTAAGTTTCCCCAAGACATTCCCCGCTTTCTCCATTACTGACGAGCATGACGCAGTGGGCGCCCCTTTGCCGTGGCCATCTCGCTCGGCCCGCATCCCAATTTGGCACCACCCCTCGTTCCGCGGGAGAGCAGAAACAGTCAATGTGGACGACCGGAACACTGGAGGCTGATAAGAAGATCATACAACGCGTGGAGGAGCTGGCCGAGAAGCATGGTTGGAAGATGAGCGAGGTTGCCTTGGCTTGGATCAATAAGAGGATTTCATCACCGATTATTGGATTCAGTACTGTTGAAAGGATAGATGAAGCTCTTGGAGCACGGGGCAAGACTTTGACTGATGAGGAAGAGAAGTATCTTGAGGAGCTCTACCAGCCTCGTGCGGTGGAGGGGCATTTCTAGAGAGACAAAGTACGTACATATATCAATCTACCAAGGCTCCGGAAAATAGTGCGATTCGGTACCTTCGTTACACCCCTAAAATTTCAACATCTGTTACCACTGCCATAGATGGTGTTACCCAGGCAATAAGCTTTGTAGCGAAAAATTTACAAAGCTAAGCAATTAGAAGGCTGGTGCATATCTCGTCAACAACAAACAAAGCACAGTTTGTGGAATAGTAGCTAAAATCTTAGCTCGTCAAATAACCTCATCCGCTCCGTTATCAACCTCCAGGCTATATGCTCTAAGTATTCGGATCCGGGTACTTACACCGCCGATACCCACAGTAGCAATATTTCCCCTGGAAGTACACAGGGCCGTAATTCACCGTAAGCTCCTCTCCAGCCTTCACCGCCCTATTCCCCTTCATCATAATCGCACTTACTCTTGTCCTTCCCACCCGACCCGTTACCAGATTCGCCTTCGCGTTGCAAGAGTGGTTCACGAACCGCACGAAGGACCCTTCATACGTCGCATCGACGGTCCCAAAGACCTCCGAGAATATCGACGGACCCAGCGGCACCTCAACGTGATACCCCACTTCACCATAATCATAGAGATGCCCAGGCGGGTTCAAGACACCTGTGTACTCACCGACTACCGTCCGTGGCCCGATTCTCTGCTTCGCAAACACGCCCACGCCCATGCCTTCAACCTCTTTCAGCTCGAAGAGCTTCTTCCACTGCGCATCCTTCGCGCGGAAGGCTTCGAGGCTGCATTCGCAGTTGTCAGGCTCCTCGGTTTCGTCGCCGCATGCGAGACACACGCCCTGTGTGGTCGTTAGCAGGGTATCCAGACATGGTTTCCAGGTTTCTGGGCTGCTCCAGCCTTTTGGCGGCTTGGTGGACCATTTGGATGGGTTAAGAAAGACGAAGGAGCATTGATTTGGGGTTGTTTTTGAGCGGATGTTTTTGGCGATGCGGCGTTTGCCGGATACAGAGGTGAAGCGGAAGGGCTTTGGTTTTGAGGGAGCTTTAGGACGCGCCATAATCGGAGGGGTTTATGCTGTGGATAAATTGGTGTTCGCTGAGGTCTGTAAGTGCTTTCGCATGTCTCTTAGTGAAGTATGCTTCTTAGTACCTTTACTCTCTGGTGGAAAACAGCGTGCGGCGAACAAGAAGACAAAGATTGATGGATTAACAAAGAACAAAGACTCGGCCGACAATCGAATGCAACTTAACTAGTTCATGACTTTTGCAGCCTCTGGCAATAAGGCTTTGTGCCTTTGGAGACATAGACTCTAGTCATCGGAGTCTTTGTCCTTTTGTCTGCGGATAACTCCTTTTGTTATGAATAACTTAAGAATAGCTGTACATGGCGGACCTCACGACAAACGCAATTACGATCATGCCCAGGTAAAGTCGAAAACATCGAATCCAACTAAGATAATATCAGTCGTCGAACAATCACACGCAGGAATGTGTAAGCTAAAGAATTTCTACTACGAAGATCAACACGGTAAGAGAGTCAAGGCGCAAAACGTCCCACGAGAAGGTTCAAGTATTGTCTATCCTACGCCTTTCAAAGGTACCAAGTTCTTCCACAGCCAGTGGGCGAATTTGAAGAAGAAATCAAAGCCTGATAGCTGGACGGGAGCATGGCCCCCGACAACGCTCGCAGAGCTGGTGACAACTGACGGAGTTAGAGAACAAAACTGCCGAAACTGCGGTAGCGAAACTATGTGCGAGTGCGATATTAAAACATTTCGAAAGCACTAACGTCCATCCACCTATAACGGAACAACCGCCGTACCGGAATAAAAATAGGTACTTTAACTTTTAAGCTAAGAACTACGAGTACACTTTATAAAATTTACAATATTTTGCTAAGATTTAATATTAAGGCTACTTCTTTATCTCCAACACTGCACCTATATAAAAATTACGCTGACGTTAACACCTTACTACCAAACTTACAACAGCTTATCTTTATAGCTAAAACGAGCGGTACTTCTTACAGAGCCACCACAACGCATACACTACTATGAAAACCTATTAAGCGCATTCTGCCAGGCCTTAGACTTAAGTAGCATTGCTTTGGATATGTAGTCAGCCGCAAGGCTGCAAGTGGCGATTAATTCATGCGGAGTTCCAACCCCTGTCGGTACTTCCAATTAAAGCCGTCTAATTAAGGCGATCGCCGACCCTCGCCGAAACGACTCTGGACGTCCCTGCTATGCACTTAAATTACTTAGTTAATAGGTGGCTATATATAGTGTGGCTGCGTCTTCTATAGCTATATTATATAGCTGGCGGCCTTCTAAAGGCAGGCCCGAAAATAGACACCGCGACACGCTGCCGGCGCCCTTACTAACAGAGCTAAGTAGTATCCTTAGGCCTTATAAGTGCTATTTCTTCTATTTACTTCTATAAAGATGCGCTAACGGATTCTTGCAAACTAGGATACAGCGCGGCAGCCACAGCTCCTATATACTATACAACCCGCGCTTTTAGCATCTACCTACAAGTTCTAGATGCGAGCGAAGTGCTGCTAACAACTTTCTGCGTGCAATAAACTGCATTAAGGGCCCTCCGCCGTCCTACGCCTCTGGTTAGCAATAACTGTAGCAACAAAACAATTCTAACAACAGCAACCTACTACAGTTCTAAGCGAAACTGGCTTCCCTTTAAACGCACTTATAATAAAGTGTGCGCTATACTATAAGTGCAGGTGCAGATGCCTCCCAGGGACCAACTCCTCTAGATTAAGTAATATAAGGGTGTTAAACGTAATATAGGCTTATAGAAGGGAAAATAATTAATTAAGTTATAGAAGTGCAGTAACTGCAGAAGAGTTTATATACTATAGATTATATAATAAAGTTATATAATTATTCTAATAAAGGGACGGTTAATAGGGAATTTTTAGAGGTGTTATTAATCTCGGAACTTTATTTAACTAGGTTCCTACTCCTACTAGTTTATAAAGGTCTATTAATAAATCTTAGTTAAATATATTAATAATAGGCCGAGTTCGGGTAATATAGTGCAAAGTGTAAAAAAAGTATAGTAAAATAGTTCTACGCCTTTATTATAGCTAGAAAAGGCATTTCCGCGTTATATTTATATTTTATATATTTCTATATATAATCTATTATAATATTTGCTAATATAGTCCCTAAATTAACCTATAGGTAATTGCGACTACTAAATTTATTATAGTTTAGGATCTCTCTTACTATTTAAGGTTTATTATATACTATATTAATCTTTAACTAGTATTATTTACCACCGCACCTATATAAACGTCTATAACTTCCTATAATACAACTTTAGTTTAATCCTTTAATTCTCCCCTACTATATACTGTCTATAATTCCTAATAAAATTTTATTTACCCTATAAACGCTCCGCACCTACTATAGCACCTAATATTAGAAAACGTTTCTATATCTAGGGCCTATAATAATTCCTAGGCTTCCTATAACAGGTGTACTATAGTATAATAGATACAGAGATAATAGAGGCATAGTCTAACCTTTAAAAGTAAGTAATAGCTACTATCTAAGAACTATAAATTATTACTAGAACTATTACCAGAACTATTACTAGAACTATAACCGGTTGCCAGGACTGTAACCTGTTTCCAGAACCGTCGCCAGAACTATAACCTGTTGTTAGAATCCGGAGAAAGGGGGCAAGAAGAACAAGGTAAAAGAGGAAGAGGTAAATTAATTTACAGGTGTAGTATCTAATTTTTATATAGCTAATAGCTTTATAAAGAAGATTATATACTGCCTAAAAGTATTTTAATCTCTAAGGCAATATATTTATAGTATTATTTAGGGTTAAAAAGCTTTTAAAAACAGATTATTCTGCTATTTATATTAGTATTTAATATATATTTAAATATCTTCTATATTCCCCGGAAGCTCTTTAAAATATAAGTGGTTTTACTTAGTATATTTAAATTCTTTTTTAGTTTTTATTAAGAGAACTCTAGAATAAATATAATAATACCTGCAGCTACTAAAGTAGCAAATAAAGTTCCTAAAATATAGCATGTTAAATAACTAATATTAAAAGCTTATAACCAGGCTGCCTTAATTCCTTCGCCTAGAATTATAAAACTAGGATTACCGGAACTAAATAACGGCTTCGGAGAGGCGGCAGCTCTATTACTGTACCCCTTAGCTAATTAAATACTAATAACTTAGCTAAGAATTCTTATAGGAAAAGCTATATTCCTGTCTAAGTTAACGGAGCCAGAATTTAAGGCTGCAGCTAGTATAATTGTATTGTTATAGGCCTCCCGAATTGCCGCTCGAATACTTTTATCTTTATCCTTAAATCTAAGGAATAGTATAATAATATTAATATTCTATTTATTAGGTTTAGGTAAAGCTATATACTTAATAGCCTATAATATATTAGCCCTCTATTATATATACTACAAAATAAACAGCAGTACCTTAGCTACTATTATAGGTATTATACTGTCGAAAATAGCACTATTAGAAATCTTCCTAATAAATAAATCTACTTTTGCAATATATAAGAGGGTGTTGCATACTGCAGTACTATAGCTAACTTTATCTATAATACTATATAGAAACTTAGTCCAGTTTTTATAATTTAAAAAATTAAGCTAGGAATAGTTTCGCAAAAGTTTCTTTTAAATTTCTGGATGCCCAGCGTTAACACTAGTGTCTAGAACAGCGACCTTAATCCTTTTATCGCCAGACTTTTAATATTTATTAATTAAAGGCCAAACTCTATTATTTAGCTTTTTAAGCTACTATTTTACTAAATTAGCTTTTAATATTATTAGTTCTACTTCTATATTATTATATATATATATAATAGCTTATAATATAGGCCGTTATATTATATTCCTAAAGTTAAATAGAAAGCCTGCATTAATATAGAGACCTGCAGTATATAAAACTAAATCTATTAGCCCCTTTTTTTTAGTGTAAATTAGATATACTAGAAACTTTTTAAGCTGTATTAATCTAATTTTACTAATTTATAAGTGCTTTTACTAAGGCCTTAGTAGTAGAATACTCTAAACCTAATTTTTATTCTTATAGTTAGATATACACCTTAAGCAGAAAAATAGCTTTATTAAATTCTTTTTAGCGTTTCTAGGTTTATACTAGGCCAGCTATAGCGCCTAATATATGCGGATAGTTACTTCCAAGTACCTATATTATTGTCTCCTAGACCTTAATAAATAGCCTTTTAGCCTTATCCTATTATTATTAGCTATAGTAGGTCTATAATAAGTTATTTATACTAGTTAGTATTTTAGGGTACCCCTTTCCTAAAACTATCTCCCTTATCTTAATTAATTCTAAATTAAGCTTTTCCGCCTCTTTATATTACCCTTTACTCTAGTATATTAAGGCTAAATTTAATAGGCTGTCTATTGCGTTTAGATACTTTTTTCTAAGAAGAGACTTAGTAGTTACCTGCACCTTTTTCTATAAATATATAGCCTTATCCTATTTCTTTTAAAGCCGGTAAATATTTACTAGGTTGCTTATACTAGAAATAGTTTCTAGATATATTAGTCCTATTATTTTTATTTATAGTTCTATAACTTTTAGTTCTAAATCTTCCGCTTTATTAAAACGTCCTTAGCTTTTATATAATAAAGCTAGACTATTTATACTTAATAGGGTGTTAGAATGCTCCGCTCTAAGCACTTTTATTCTGCTAAGTATAGCCCGCGTTCCTAGTGTTTTAGCCTCTATCTATTAGCCTTAGAGCTAATATAATATTGCGAGATTAGCTACGCTTATAAGGGTATTAGGATAATTATCTCCTAAAACCCTTAAACTTATATCTATTACTTATATATTTAAACTTTCTACTTTTTTCCACCGGCCTTAAACTATAAAAGTTAATATAAGGTTAGCTATATATTTTAGTATAGAGGGATACTCTAAGCCTAGTATTTATTAGCAAATCTCTATTAGTTCCACCTTTAATTCCTCTACCTTATTCTATTACCCTTAATATCTATACGTTATTATAAGATTTACTATATAGCTTAGTATTTTAGGATATTCTTTACCTTATACTTTCTTACTTATCTCTATTATTTATATTCTAAGCTTTTTAGCCTTCTTTTATTTCCCCTAGTCTCTGCGTATAGTTATAAGATTAGCTATATAGCTTAGTATATTAGAATATTCTCGGCTAACTACTTTTTTACTAGTTTCTATTATTTAGACTAGAAGCTTTTCTATATTATTCTATTGCCCTTAGCTCTAAAATATTAAGGTAAGATTAGCACTACTAGTAAATATAAAAGGATACTCTGCACTAAGTATTTAATATTAGATTTCCAGTACTTATATCTCTAGCTCCTTTGCCTTAGCCTATTTCCTATAATTTCTGAGGGCTACTATAAAATTAGCTATAAAGCTTAAAGTTTTAGAATATTTCTAGCCTAGCACTATTTTACTTGCGCTTAAGGTTTATATAAACAACTTTTCCGTATTTTTCTACTACCTCTAGTTCTAGATTATTAATATAAAATTAGCTTTACTTATAAGTATATAGAGGTGGTCTATACTAAGGATTTATTACTAAGTCTCTATTACTTATACTCTAAGCTTTTTAGCCTTTTTCTACTTTCCCTAGTTTCTATATACTATCGCAAAATTAGCTATATAACTTAGTATATTAGGATATTTTTAGCCTAGCACCTTCTTACTTGCGTTTATAGCTAGTATAAATAAGTTTTCTACTTCTACTTTTCGCCCTTAGTTCTAGAATATTAACGCGAGATTAGCTATACTAGTAAGTATAAAGAAATAGTCCGCGCTAAAAATTCTTTACTAAGTTTCTATTACTTCTACTCTAAGCTTTTTAGCCTTTTTCTACTTTCCCTAGTTTCTATAGACTATTATAAAACTAGCTATATAGCTTAGTATATTAAGGTATTCTTAACTAAGCTCTTTTTTACTAGTTTTTATAGTTTAAACTAGAAGCTCCTTTATATTATTCTAAAGCCCTTAGCTCTAAAATATTAATACTAGCAGCGCCTTACTACTTAATATCTTCTTATCTTCTATACTAAATAGTTTTTTCCGAGCCTTTACTAATACTATAGAAAGCTCCTTAGTATTAGTATAAAGCCCTATTACCTAGGTATATAATACTATATTATAGAGTAATAAAGCCTACCTATTTAGCGCAACTTCGCTATTTAGCTGCTAACTTAATAAAAACCTTGCGTAAGGAAATAACGCCCTATATTTCTCCTAGTTTTTATAATTACTAGTAGGATATTCCTTATAAAAGATTTAAATACTTTTCTACTTCTACCTTTCTAGCTTTTTATACGCTTTTAGCTAATCTTAGGTAGCTGCTTATACTAGCCTGTATATATTAAAGGTTGCTGCGTTTTCGCTTTCTAAAATAAGTAAGAAGTTGCGTAGTACTATAATATTATCCTTATAACTATTATAGCTCTGCTTAGAATTAATATTATATCTATTTTAATTATACTAGCTATTTTCCTGCATAGCTTTATATTAAAGCAACGTTTCTAGAATCCCTTTAGAGTTAAAAAGGCTTATAAGCAATAGTAAGTTAGCTGCTAACTATTAACTCTAATAAATATATTTAAATAAAATTAGCCAGGTATTAATAAACGAGTTTTTAGCTTTAGAATCTTATTACACGTTTCCTATATTGCTTTTAAGCAGACGCGTTCTTTTACTTTTATTTTTAAACGCTTTTAGATACTAATTTATAGAAAACCGGGGCGCTTTTTATAAAATATATACAGCTGCTTATATAATAGTAAGCGGTATATATCTAAGCGCTGCTATAAGCTTAGCAATATCGCCTCTATTTTCTTGCGTTCCTAGCTTCTTTTTATAGAAAGCTAGTATATACGCCTTTTTTATCGGTTCTACAGTAATAATATTATTGCGCTTAGCCAGTTCTAGCGCTGCCTTCTTATTTCGCGTTATAATAAAAATTAAGCCGTGCTTGTAGTAGAGAAGGTACTTGCGTAAGGGTCTAGAAGTAGTTTTTAAGTCGGCAGCCTAGCTATTAAAAAGAAAGTAAGCGTTGTCAACGTTATTAAAAATAAGCAGCTACCGCTTTTTACTATTACGTAGCTAGTTATATACTAGCTTAAAAATATTAGCTATAGGGTTCTGCCGCCTATAGATCTTAATATTATTAGTAATATTATAATAGCTCTATTTAAACTAAGCCGCGTTACTGGTATATACCTAGAATATCTACGTTTTAGGCGATTACTTATACGTAAAATAGGCATGCTTAATAGTAAGCTGCAACTTACTTTTCTAGTATTAGCGGATAGTATAGTACTGTTAATAATATACACTATTTACTCTATACCGCCTATACTAATAAGCGCCACCTATAACGCCGGCGCAGCGTATTTTTAGCTAACCTAATTAAGTATTATTCCTAGTTTAATAAAGTCGGTATTACAGGTATAGGGTATTATAATTAATAGGTATAGTAGAGTTTTTTATTGCTCTAGAAGTAGGGTTTCTATTAGTACTTACTTAGACCCTGCAGAGCTTAAATAGTTCTATAATTTACTAGGCAGCTAGTAAATACTATTAACAGGGCTGTTAATAATACTAGCTTAGAAGCTAGAATTCTTATTACTAAATAATATAGTATTAGCTATAATATTATAGTATAGTAGTAGTGCAGTAATCGGCGGTAAAATCTGCGGTAAAGCGCTAGCAGGATTTTAGCCTGGTAGTTTTAGCGCGCGTCTGCTACTGCCTAAGCTGCACGCAATTCTAGCCTTTTTATAGGTTAGAAGTTAGAATAGTAAATAGCGCACCTGCAGCTATATAATAAAAGTTCTTACCTATTCCTATATAGCTATCTAGGTAGCCTTCTAATAGGCTTCTATAGTGCTTTAAATCTTTTTCTTTTTTTTCTACCTATAGAAGCTGCTTTTATTTATATAATATCTATCTAAATAGTAATTAATTACTAATCTCTAGTAAAAGCAATTAAGAATACTAAGATATATATATTTTAAGTCTCCGAACAATAACTATACCCTAGATAATAATATCTAGCTTAGCTGCGTCTGGCGCAAACCCTAAAACCCTAGGATATTTATTAGTTCCTATGCTAAAATTCTAAAAAATATTAAAATTAATTATACCTATAAGGGCTCTTAGACTATAGGGCTTAGTTATAAGTTCTATAGTAACCTCGGCCTATTTACTAAAATTGCCCAGCTTTCTATATAACTTGCTGCCTATATTTAATAGGGAAAAACTAAAAATAGCTTCTACTAAGTCCCTATACTTAATATATATTTATTTAAGCCTACGCTAAAGTATATAAAAAATAGTATTACATTTATATTAGTAGAAATAATTAGGTTTAGTAATAGCTTATATATAATTACAGGTGTTAAAATCGCTAGAGGCAGGGAAGGCTTAAATATAAAATTAAGTAACTTTAGGGTTAATACTAAAGCTAGCGTGAATTAGATTATAGGAAACGTGCTAATTTATATTAGCGAGCGATTTATTTATATAAAAGGCTTGTATAATAACTAGGGATTTAAATTAACCGCAGATTTTATCTTTATATATTATATTCGGGAGATCTTCTATAAAAAAGGGGTTTTTAAAATAAAGGAGTATAATAAAGGAGCAGTGCTTTAGGGGGATATTAGCGCTGTTAGAAATAGTAAAAACGCGAAGCCGGACTTTTTTATTAAGGATACTAAGATAGATAATATTAATCTTAAGGTTAATAGCGAAAAGTTCTCTTTTATTAATAATAACAGAGAAAAGTATAATTTCGTGCTTTAAGATAGTATAGGAATTAATTTTCTTAAGATTAATTAGCCTAAAGTATAGTGCTTGCGGCTGTATAGCGAAAATATAGGAACTAAGTATAAATATATATACTAAAGACACTAGAGCCTTAGTTTAGAAAGCTTAATAATATCTTTTTTACTTATACTCTTTGTAATTTGCAACGCTATAAGTAGTACTTTAATTTAAATAGTTATTATTATAATATAAATAAGTTATTCTATACTATATTAGAGCTGTGCTAAAGTATAGTATTTACGGCTTATTATACTATATACTAATAGGATAACGCTATACTATATTTATTAGCTAGGGCCTAATTATAGTATAGCGTATACTTTATTATAAGTGCGTTTAAAGGGAAGCCGGTTTTACTAAAAACTATATAAGGTATTACTAGGAGATAATATATATAATATCGGCAGGTATAATAGATATAATAAGGTATACTTAGTAAAAGTAGATATATTAATAGCATGCATAATATAGAGGCAGTAGATAAGCAGTAATAATTATTAAAAGGCGTTAGTCTAGTACTACTTACTATTATAATAGTGCGTATAATAACGGCAGGTATAAAGGGTACTATATAATTACAACTCTAAGGCAGTAGGTATAATTAACAGAGTTATTATAAGGCGCAAGACTATAACTTCTAATTACTATTTATATATAGGTTGCAGCGTATATAAGCCTATATAAGTTACCTTATTATATTAAACCTCTGCTACTATATATATACTACTGGGGCTCTATAAGGTTATAGTATATTTTCTTTCTTTATAATATATATCCCGCTTATCTATACTACTAAGGCTTCCTCTACCTTTTATATAGTATATTAGCGCTTTCTATACTTTTTTTTATTTCTAGTAGCCTCTTCCTCTACCTCTACTATAATATGCTTTAGCCGACTATATTTTCTCTTACTTTAAGCTTTTTTGCTTACCTTCTGCTTAGTATACTTTGCTTATACTGCTTTAATATCCTTATAGCTTATTACCCTTACCTTCCTAAAAATTTTAGACTTTATCTTTTAGTAAGTTTTAGCTTTATTATTTATCTTTAATAGGAGCTGAATTTAGTCTTAATTAAGGGCCTGTTAGGCAAAGAATATTTTAGCAGTATTAGTAAGCTTCTAAATAAGCTTCTAATAATACTTTATACTTATCTTATTATAAAAATCCTGCTTAATCTAGGTAAGTAGCAACGTAAGAGCCTCTAATAATACTAAAGTTACTAGTATCTAGATAATATTATATTATAGATATAGTCTACTGCCTTTATAAGCTATATAGATAGGCAGTAGGGTATATACCTTAGTAGCTGGCTTTATAATATCTCTAAGTACTCTATCTAGGTTAAAGGGAAATAAGCCGGATTTAGCCTATTCTGCAAGTATATTTTTTTTAGTTATTGCTTATTCTTTTACAGGGTAGTATAGAGTAGTAAAGTGTTCCTTATTAATTACAGTTATACCTTCTTAATATAGGCGTTCTACTTAGTTATAATAAGTATTCTTTAGTAGGGTAAAAACCAAAATATTGCAGGGCTAGAGCTTATAAAAGGTATAAAAGGGGAGTTAGCAGAGAATAATATTATTTCCGAAGCAAAATTCTAATATTTTAAGGGTCTTATATATTCTAAAGCTATTATATATTAGTATTTATAGTTTCTAGTTAGCTTATACCTTAGTTTAGGGGTTAAATACTTATTTTATCTACTCTAGGCTAAGGTAGGAATTATTATAGCTAGACTTAAAAAATATATAGACCTATCCAGGGGTAGAATATATTATCTAGTTGCTCTGATAGGTAGAGGCTGGCCAGATAATTATTAGGTTCAGACACTTACCACTCGCTAATACGCATTTAATAGCGGTTACTATTATACGTTTTACGCCGGCACCTCTATAGTCTTGCCGGTTATCCTTACTTACTAAGACTTTAACAGAGCCTAGTATAGAAAGCATAACTTCTGTCTTATCTATATTATATATATTCTCCGGCAGAATATTAGGCCTATAAAGTTCTGGTTTAATCACCTTAAACTAGTATATAATCTTAGGATATATATTATTATTGTGACAATTCCAGTCCATCGCCCTGTAATTCCTCCGGGCAAGTTCTAGATAGCGCTTCGCGAATGCCTGAGGCTAGTTCTTGTTCGGCGGCTTAATCGCCTTTATTGCAGATTATCGGCGGGCAATGCTAAATGCTAGGAGAGGTATATCCTTAATACGCAGGGGAAATCCAAGAGCAGCCGTTCGCAATATATGCTGAACAAAGGCTATCTCTTCCGACAGGGTAAGGTACTGCTGGTGTTAGGCCTTAGTTAGTCTTAAGGGTTGTCCCTTATTATAATACCACACAGTGGTATAAGACACAGGGATGTTAGAGCATTCTGCTAGAGCAGTATAGGTTCTCCGCACATGCGTGGGCAGATTCTGCGCCAGCGCCTGGCTGGCTGGATCCATGGCTACTTACTGTAGTAATAATGGAGGGGACACCGCGAGCATCGACAGTACGCAGCGCTGGGCAATAATGTACCTCCTGAGTTAAAATTAGAATAAGACAGGTGGCTGCAAGATTTAGATTGAGCATAGCGCCTTTTTCAATACATCATGACATAACAATGCCAAGCCCTGTCGTGATCTCCCTCCTGCATGGAGATACTCTCGGTTTCCCGAAATACGGTTTGCTATGCCGCTGGAGTCTCGGAACAGGGACTCTCGTGATCAAACCTTCGTCCTGTAGCTCCGAAACCCGAAGAGATGCGATATGCCGTGACTGGGCAGGGGTAAACTGCTGAGACGCGAATGATCGTCAAGAACGCAACCTCCGACAGCAAGCTTAAGACCGCTGTAATTTTTTACTTTGAATGCGACGATATGGCCAGGGTTAACTGATCTATTAATGCACAGTATCCGTACTCCTATACAATGGTGTTGGTACATTCTAGATGCTGAAGAAGAGGATGTTGTTCCGCTACGGCAGTTGTTCCGTTACAGTTGGATGCACATTACGAAGACTGGGACGATAATTACGTTTTGCGCAAGACGGGTGATGCCAGAGGCCTTGGGCTCTTCTGTAAAGAAACGTTCGGGAAAGATTATCGTGAAGGAGACTTTGTGGGCGAAATGGCGGGCGTGATTAGACCTCCCGGTTATGATTTCGGTGACAAAGACGGATACCACGTAGCTTTCCCGATCGGCAACTGTACGCCTAGGGTCATTGGATACGTGGATCCGTACGATACGGGCAGCTACATGAGGTTTGTCAATCACTCCTGTGATTCTATTTGCGAGTTTCAACCGAGCAGGGTTGGGAATACCCGTATCAGTTCCGTGGTCGTGAAAAAAGGTAAAATTCTACGTGCGGGTAACGAAGTAACCACGGATTATGGCCCTGGATACTTCCAAAATCTCGAAGCATGCCTTTGCGGGGAAGCGACATGTCGAAAACCACCTAAGAAAGCCAAGAAGAGAGGAAAAATAGGAAGCATGACAAAAAGGATGCCGACAACGGAGAGGCCCCATCTGAGAGAAAAAGACGGCCAGTGAAATTGAAATGGATCTAGATCAAGAGGATGGTTACGTGCCTCCACGCAGACCCAAACCAAGCTCCTACAAGGAGAAAGGCAAAAGTAGGGCTGAGTCCACGCGGGAAAGTGATCAAATGGATCTAGTTGAAGATGATGAGTCGGATGATGAAGTTGGGACTAACGGCACAGGTAAGGTAGTATTCGATGGAAGAAGCGGCAAAACAAACAGCAGTCGGGCAGCTTTGGAAGTTTCTCGTGATCGAAAGACGAAGGCTATTACAGGCGTTACTGGGCATAAAGTCGTTAAAACGGGCATCAGAACACAAAATCTGCGCTCGAAGCCGAAGGCAATATTACCCCCAAGTGTGGGCAGTGCCAGGCCAACTTCTTTCAAACAAACAACATCTCTCGGCCGACCAAGATCCGACAACCTCAAGAGAAAGAGGCCTGCTATAGAAGAGGACGCTCGCTCAGACCAGAGCGAGACCGAAAACCCTGCTTAGAGGTACCGTAGAAGGGAGTAGGACTAATGGCAATGTAAGTGACGCGGTGATACATAAATCAGGTGAGGTAAGCATGTTCTGGCATTCCGGAATATCCGGCTTGAAGCGTGCCGGAATTGAGTAGCTGCAAGAGGTAGGTTATTAGTATTCTCGAATAGGAGGAACGAAATGGAGGAACGAAATAGAACTCTTTCCGAGCCACGTATTAATGCATAATCATAAATACTCCGTGATTATGTGAGAAGATTAATAGTGGGATCCCCATCTTGCCAAGCAGTTCTTGATGACGCGCTGCAACCTTCCTAGTCGCATCACAGCAACCTGCTTCATTGAGCATATTCGCCATTATCCGGCCGAACCACACGATGAGTTACCAAGACTATATGCTTGGCAGTTGCCGACGTAGGATGGTGTTGTGGATACCATCTGGGCACGGAGGTGAGACTGTCCAGGCAAGGTTATGGCTCAAATCGAATTCACGGTTGCGTTACGTGACACTGGTAGCACGTCTTCTCCTCATCTCACGGCCGGTTTTTCTTTCCAATTGACATGCAGCGTGGCTGAAGTAACTACTACACCTCTCTCAATACCTTCCATGGGGAAACTTGAGCACAATGGTTAATTGGCTTTCTATCTTCGCGACTGCGTTGCTATGTGCACGTGGATGGGCTATTACTCCAGAGTAAGTTTTGAACCAAAGGTCTCATATCAAGCGAAGTAGGACGAGGAAACTGTCGTTTTTTCTAATACTCATAAATTCTTTCGTTTCAATGCTCTCCTCAAACTACACGCCGCTAATAAATGAATAGGCAAATGCTCAGTGCCCCACGTCGCTCAGAAGCTGTGCCCAATCCTACTGGCGAATGGGCTATCTTTTCCGCAAGCTCTTATTCTTTCGAGAAGAAGGAATCATCTTCCAATTGGAACTTGCTTAACCTGAAGAATGGAACCATCGGGTCTCTGGACGTGTTCACCGAGGACGTTTCTGAGGTTGTGTGGATTCCCGGAAGTACCACCGAAGTGATCTATATCAACGGTACCAACGAGGAGGCTGCGGGTGGAGTAACGCTATGGCTTGGTGATCTCTTTGAGCTTTTAAGGTACCTTGGGGTCTTTCCCCTTCCACTACGAAGCAAAAGGCATTTTTACTAACCCTACCAGCTTTAAACTGGTAGCTTCTTTGCCTGGCCCATTTTCCGGGTTGAAAGTTTCCAAGACAGCCTCGGGCGATCTTAAATTCCTAGTAAATGCCTTGGCTTACCCGAATGGTAGGCTGCCGTTACCAACTAAGAATGAGCATGCCGCTAATAGGATTCTCTAGGCACCGTGTACAATGCCGAAACAGCCTCAAAACCAAGGAGTACCGGTAGATTATATTCAGACACCTTCGTTCGTCATTGGGACTTTTGGTTGACGGCTGAGCGTTATACACTTTTCTCGGGGACTCTTCAGTCAAAAGGAAACTATGCACTATCCCAAGCCGGGGTGCAAAACCTTCTTATCAACCTCAACTACACTGTCACGCGACCTGAGACCCCCGTCCAGGTAAATCCCTAGCCAAACCTACCCTCTATTTTCCTTCTAACTCTTTAATACAGCCTTTTGGAGATGACGGTGATTACGATCTAAGCCCGGACGGCAAGTGGGTGGCCTTCCTTTCGAAAGCTCCCGAGCTTGCAAAGGCAAACTACACTGCGAGCTATATATATCTAGTTCCTTTCGATAGCCCTGAGGTCGCCCCAATTGCGATAAATGGGCCGGATACCGCAGCCCAGGGAATCGGCGCACTTGGGTAAGTTGCAAGCTGCCTCGATACTCGCGGAAACTAACGTTGAAAAGCGCTTCTGGTGGGCCGAGATTCTCACCCGACAGCTCAAAGATTGCATTTTGGCAACAGGATGGTATTAGCTACGAGTCGGATAAGAGCAAGGTCTATGTTACTGCCGTCAAGAACTCTCCGTCCTACGGCGGAGAGTGGTCCGCCATCGCCGGGGATTGGGACCGGTCCGTTGACTCCCTTGCATGGAATCCAGATGGGAAATCACTGTTCGTTTCTGCGTCCGACCTTGGGGAGGAAAAGCTATTCACTCTTCCCATTACCGCACCGCCCAACTACGAGCCTCGTAAATTCACTGCCGCGGGCACGAACGTGGCATGGTTTCACATCTTGTCCGATTCCAGCGCTCTGGTCTCTGGAAATAGCATTTGGTCGTCCAGAGACTTCTACATCAAGTCTGCGAACGCCACGAAGTTATTGTTCTCTGCTACCACTACAGATCCCGAGCTTGAGGGCTTGAGCTCTGACGATGTGGAGCAGTTCTACTTCACTGGCGCTTTAGGAATACCGATCCAGAGCTGGATAATCAAGCCCAAGGGTTTCCAAGCGAATGGCACTTATCCTCTAGCATTCATCGTCCATGGAGGACCTCAGGTAAGTTGCCATTCCAGTAACCACTTCTGCTTGCTAAACCAGTTTTAAGGGTGGCCATTACAACTCGTGGAGTACACGCTGGAACTTCAAGGTGTTCGCCGATCAAGTAAGCCTTTTCTCCTCTGAGCTAATGCATTTTCAGGAAGTTGACATTCCAGGGATACGTGGTAATAGCTCCCAACCCCACAGGCAGTTCAGGATGGGGACAGTTCCTCCAAGACTCCATCCAGAATCAGTGGGGCGGTCATCCCTACGACGATCTCGTCAAGTGCTGGGATTACATAGAAGCAAACCTAACATACATCGACACCGACCGCGCCGTCGAACTCGGGGCAAGCTACGGTGGGTACATGACAAACTGGATCCAAGGCCACGATCTCGGAAGGAAGTTCAAAGCCCTAGTCGCCCACGACGGTCTAGCAAGCACGCTCGGTGCTTACGCTACAGAAGAGCTTTGGTTTACTCAACACGAGTATAATGGCACGCTTTGGGATAATCGCGAAAACTATGAGATATGGGATCCAGGTACGTTTCCAATTTCTTCGACTCCGTATGCGGTAGCGCTGACCTGTTTTAGCTGCCCATATCAAGAACTTTAGCACGCCGCAGTTCATCATCCACAGCGCGGAAGACTACAGACTGCCCGAGTCAGAAGGAATTGCTATGTTTAATTATCTTCAGTCGAGGGGAGTACCGTCTAGGTTTCTTAGCTTCCCGGACGAAGACCATTGGGTCTTGAAGCCGGAGAACTCGCTACAGTGGCATAAGAATGTGTTGGGGTGGATTAATCACTACTCTGGTATTGGTGGACCTCTTAGTGATAATGCCATTGGTGGTTGATCGGCTGCGGGAAGGCGATACGGAACCAGATTCGCTCTACGGTCGTGTGGATGCTATTGGTTGCCAGGCCGCTAGATTTCTTGCGAAGTATACGTGGTTGGGATCATAAATCAAAAGTAGAAGATTAGAAGGTGACATGATGAATTAATTGAACTTTTGGGTTGAATTACTTCACCCATGGATTCCTCCGCGAGGTGCGTTGGAGGAAGAATGACGATTGAGTGTGTTTGGTTTTATTTCACGCGGAGGTCACGTGACTATTACTCAACGCACATCTGCATAGTCACTGAGGGCCACATAGGGGAATTGCGGCTGGAAGATTTTAGTGTATGCTTTTTAGAGAAAGACATTACTGTAAATAATATGCATATTTGAAATGAGCCAAGATCAATCTTGATACAACTTCAGGTAAGTTATTGAAGTAGATGCAATATAATTCTGAGATGATGTGGGATCAAATTTCTCTTCTATAGAATCTCTTTGCGAAGCGCTTATGTCTGATGCATGAAATCAACCTCAAGCTCAGCTGTACGTCCACTCAGTCTCACCCGTTGATTTGTATCGTTACAGATGTCACCTTCAGGTGGCTGATGAGACGCTCGCCCTTCGCTGCTTCCTACCAAGATACGTACTATCTGGCAGCATATTAAGTTTGTCTTCGCGCTTATCAAGCCTCTGGTTCTGAAGCCAGAACAACACACCACCGACAGCTGCCAGAATAGCGACGGTAGCATAATTCCAGACGAGTAAAGGATCGTCGCTCAGCGAGACAAACGCCTGGCCAATGGCGTTGCTGAACGCTGACATGAAGTGCCAGTAGCTAGTAACCAGCGAACGCATATTTGTAGGCGCCTTGGTAAACGCGTACTCCAGGCCGGTGATGGATGCGAAAATCTCCGAGAAGCCGATGAGCACGTATGGGACCGTCTGCACCCAGACGTTGATGGGCGCGGCACCCTCCTCGCATGTGTTCATATACTTGCCGCATGGGCCGAGCTTGTAAATGTAGTACTGGATGACGGTTGCGGAGATCATGGCTAGCGAGGCCAGGCCGAAGCCAAATGCGATACGCTTAACGGGGGTGAACTTGATGCCCTTCTTGCGAAGGAAGGGGTAGAGGAAGTTGTCCACGAGGGGAATAAAGATGACCAAAGAGATTCTGGCCGATCTTCTTAGCTTATTACACGTCATAACATTCTGTGTCTCACTTACGGATTCAAGTTGGTGATGATATCGTTAGGCACGCCATGGAGCTCCATAGTTGCCGCTTGAGACGTGAGGTTGTTGTTCATTTGATTGTAGGTAAGCCCTGTAATGCTTGTTAGAATGAGAGTTTTGGAAAGGCGTTGCGACGACTGACAATAGAGAGGAATCCATGTGAAAACTCGACATGCTTTCAAGCCACGGGCAACTTGATCAACCCAAGCATCGTCAAAGGTCATCCAAGTTGGTTTGCTCGAGCCAAGATGGGTAGGCTTTACGTCATTCCAGAAGTTGGGGTCGGTGAAGTTTCTCTTGCTATGAAGCGCACTGTAAGTTGCAAGTCGGAGAGGTAAAGAGGCGTCGACTTACAGTGTGACCGGATTAATGGACCATTTTCCTTTCTGCGCCAGTCCCCACAATAGCCAGAAATTCTTCAACACTGAACCGGTCGGAGGGCTCCTAGTGTAATTGTTCCGGCAGAAGTACAACACAATGGGGCAGAAGCAAAACATAATAGTTGGTAGGAGGAAGGCTAACCAAAATCCAACATATTTCTCGACGTAGACCATGGATATCTGACCTGTCAGGGAACCGACGTTTACCCTGTAACGCTTGTTAGAATGAGAGTTTCCGATAGGCTTATGACGACTGACATCATGTAGAAATAGAGAAAGATCCGGGCTATAGTAATGTTAGGGTCCGAGATTTGGCGTTCACCAGTTTTACGGTCTATCACGATCTTCGGCTTGGTCTGCTTATATTGCTCCGCAATCAAGGGAGACACGTTTGCCCTGTGATTGGGCTCGTCAGATGGTCAAACAGTAGGGGTCATCAAATAAGACTGACTTGAAGGCTCCTGTGCCGAGACCGAGCAGGATCAGTCCTGGAATGAAAGCGCCAAGGGCATGACCGCTGGCGATGACGGAAGGGATGGCAGAAACGACGATGACGATATGGCCAAGGATAGCAACAAAAATAGCCAGGAAAATAGTGTTAAAGCGGCCAAGATACTCGTCCGCAACGTAGGCGCCAATTAGTGGAGTAGTGTAAGCCCAGAACGAATTGACTTTCAAAAATAAGAACCGTTAGTTCCATCATAAGGATCGGAATAAAGCTACAGAAGCGATCACTCACAGGTGCCTAGCCCGAATGATGCCCTTTGGCCCATATTCAAGGCTCCCGACTGTCCGTTCGTGCCACTTTTACCAGTAGTCGATCCAGGAGGCAATGGACGCTGAATGTAATTGGTATCTTCAGTGAAACGTCAGTACTCTGCTTTGCTATGTAAGTTCGCAGAGTTGTCAGGTTTGAACTCACAAAGCACTTGGCACCCATAGTAGCCAAATCGCTCGCACATCTCCGTAAAAGCGATCGTATAAGCCAACCACGGGATCTTGCCAGAGACACGAGTGAGCGTCGCCAATTCCTCTTCGGTGGGGTCTTCCCCAGAATCATCGTCTGGACGGTTCGAGTCGGAATGGGAGATGCTGAATTCCTTTTCGTTCTTGGCATACTCCGCCAGGCCTTTCGGGGCGCGAGCCATGGCCACCTCCTCGACGTTTGTGCCAGCTGCCGCAGACATGGTGCTTTTGGACAACAGGGGAGCTTCTGCAGGGAGAAAGATCTAGACATGGCAAGAGGGCAGAGATAATCTTTTATAACTTCATGGGAGCTACTGGGGCAAAACATCATCGGTATCTATAAAGAGAAGGTAGCAAAGCAGTCGCGAGATTGTTGTGTTACATTGCAATGAGCAGCGGCCGTCTTGGAAGACAGGCCTGGGAACTCACACGTCTTGACAAGGATCGATTGAGAAAACTGATCGAGGCGCCCAAGCCTTGGCATATATTGGCACATTGTCGATCTTCTTCGGTCTTGGTGCAGGAAGCTCCCCAGAATAACGCATAGTGCAGGGCTAAGGCCGGATCAAAGCGCGAGCTGTGCCGCCGGGGATAAGAGGCTACTCACTGCCAAGGCGCACTGTAACCAAGTTCACGGCGGAGGGTGGCCAGACGCTCAGCAGTGCAATCGAGTTTCCTAAACGAGGGCTAAGGACGAGCATGGTACCCAGCAAGGTGGCCGCGGATGGCGCCAGTCGCCCGGATGCATCGTGCCGTAAGGGTGACCGTTTACCAAGAGGATGGGGCGGAATTTCTTGGCAATCCTTGGCTTATCTTCACTGGTTCCACCAGTGGTTTTCCGAAGACGCTGTCGCTGATATCGCTCTGCATTGGGCGCTGTCCGGGGCTTCCTGTTGGTGTAGGCGGGGATGTGGATGCTTCAGTTATTCTAGAACAGTGGCAGAAGGCTGGGATGGGGACCTTTCGGAATGCCCAATATCTCTGCAGGGCCTGAGTGGATGGAAGCATGGGTTTTCTAACAAGGAAAACACGGGACAGTTACGAGGTCGTAAGCGTTTCCACGATCGTACTGTAATAGGAAAATGCGCGAGATATGAAAGAAAGCACGCGACGATGTAAGAGAACACAAGGGATACTAGAAAGTAGAATTTCAGACGGCGAGAACAGAGTAGATAGAAGAGTGGACGAGGGAAATGACTACAGAGTGCAGGTTACAAGAACCCAGAAGTGTAGACGCGAGTAACGGCAAAAGGCTTCATAGCATCACTAGAGTATCAATGTTCTATACAATTGAATGAGGTTGTAATGGAAAACGAAGACACATCGTTTTGGAGTGATAAGGCAAAGAGTGGACCCACCTCGAAGAATTCGGGTTCTCCGGTTTGTACACGTGACCAATCGTCTCCCTCCAAAGTTCGAGTGTGGTGTGGCGCCGAGCTCTTTGGCGCTTAGCCATGCAGAAAGCGGAAGGTAGAAATACGTCAGAACGCAGCTAGAAGACGCAAGGCTTGGCGTTTAATAGTTTAATTCAATCATGTCAGTGACTGCGCCGGCCACCGACACTGTAACCTACAGCGCTGCTTTGCCATCGATCACGCTACACCAACACATCACCGGCTGCAATGATGCGCACACCATCTCACTGACTATAGCATAGCGCCAGCGTCGCCGTATCAAACTCGAAACCAGCCTATATCCGTCCATCGATTGCAACAACACCGCTTGTGTCGCCACACCCAAGCACTTCGCAGCGGCTACGCTTTTCCTCTAGTCCTAGACATATGCTACACCGTGCACCGAGCCCATACTACGCGAATAAGACAGGACTTGGTTGGCTATGGATACTGCGTCTTGAGGATCACTTAATTGTTCCAAGAGAAGCGCTACGGCGTGGCTGAGATTTTGAGACCCTATATGGCAAACACTTCCATCAAACGAAATGTTTCTTCGGATATCAAAGACGATCCACACGGACTGGACGATAATTTCCTCGCAAGCCTATGCCTTCGCAGTCCGTACATGTTTTCACACAAAGGAAGACAACGCTCCTTACGACGTTCTCAATTCCAATACAATCTTTATGATATGAATAAGGGCGCTGTTACCAGTCTACAACTTTCGCGTGCTAAAACTTTAGGAGCTCCAATATCGGTTAGCAATGACATTCAAGAACGAAATAAAGTTATCCAAAGAGCATCCAAATCCTTCGACCACCGCAGTGATCGTAGAGTGATCGTAGTCACCTAGACTTCTAACAGAGCCGATACAATTATTTGCCTAGGTACAATTGAGTCTCCTTGGCATTATTATGCCCCTCATTCCTGATATCTCGCTAGAGTACCCCGCAGCCACTCCCGTTACATCCTAGCGATAGTTGCACCACTAATCTTCAAGACGGAATTTTTGTATGAACGGCAGCACGGATTCACAAACTTCGCGCCTGCCCAGTATGGATGCACTAATACGGAGCGGGGTTCGTGATCTTCGCGCAGTCCTTCATTCTCCATCAACATCATTCCGGACCTCCTGGCCATTAATTTATCAGTCAAGAGAACAAGAATGTCGTCCTCGTGGCGCTCTTCGGGTCTTTTCTGTCTACTCTCCTTAGTTGGGAGCAATGCGCAAAAACAAATAAACCCTCTCATCGGCACGACGAACGGTGGTAAGCGCCAGTACACTTAGGAAGTACGTCTTGATTAATTTACCGTCAGGACATGTCTTCCCTGGCGCGACACTGCCTTTCGGTATGGCAAAAGCGGGCGCTGATACCAATGGAGGTGATAATCAAGGTGGCTTTGCCTCAGATGGGAGTCCTATCATGGGATTTTCTCACATGCATGATTCGGGAACGGGAGGCGTAGGCGTCATATCGAAGTTCGTATAGCAATCTGAACGCTGATCCGTCTACAGTCTCCTTCTCTCGGCAACTTTCCTATTTTTCCACACGCAGGATGTCCGGGCGATGACATCAACAATTGCGCTTATACGAAGTAAGATTCAAGATCCTAAGCTTGAGTGTCTTGGTTGCTAAGTTAGAATAGAGATGATAGAGCTACCGGGCTTATCAATGGGACGGTCGAAGCATACCCAGGATACTTTGCGCTCACGCTAAACTCTTCGATCCATGCTGAGATGACAGTGTCAAACCATACAGCACTCTATAGATTCACTTTCCCTACGGAGCCTCTTGATTCCGACACCCCCTTGAGTCCACTGATTTTGGTCGATTTGGCAGATCTTCCGAATTCAAGGATCAACGGCCAAGTCGAAGTTGATTCTGCCACTGGTCGCCTCTCTGGAAATGGGACCTATTCACCATCATTCGGAATTGGCAATTATACAGTACATTTCTGTGCTGATTTCTTAGGTGCGGCCGTTCGTGATAGTGGCGTTTTCAGCAATAATCGCGCTGGAGTCGGAAGATCACTCTTCGTTCAGGAGGATGGGGTCAACATTTCACCCCAGATTCTACGTAATTACTCCTTTTCCTTTTGCGAGAATGTCTGCTAATTTCACCCTTGCCTTTAGCTGCCGGGGCATGGACGAGATTCCACGCGCCGGATTCAAATGGTCAAGTCCTCGTACGCGTAGGGGTTAGTTTCATAAGCGCTGCGCAGGCCTGCGGAAGCGCAGAGAAGGAAATTCCTAATTTCGATTTCAATCAGACCTTGAGCGCCGCTGAAGACGCCTGGAACACGAAATTGAATGTCATCGAGATCGACGCTGCAGGAGTGAGTGAGGAGCTTCAGACAACTTTCTGGAGCGGAGTCTACCGAAGCATGATCAGTCCGCAAGGTATGAATAATTCGAACTACCGTCAAACCAATACCAACAAAACTTTCCAATCCAGACTACACAGGAGAAAACCCATTGTGGTACAGCGACGAACCGTACTATGATTCTTACTACTGCATCTGGGACTCATTCCGTAGCATTCATCCCCTGATCACGCTATTGGACCCGCACTCGCAAACGCTCATGGCCAGAAGTCTGATCGATATCTACCGCCATGAAGGAAAATTGCCTGATTGCCGCATGAGTCTATGCAAAGGGTTTACCCAAGTATGACATGCGCTATACGCTCTTATCTAGACTATGCTAATCTGGCAAAGGGCGGCTCCAATGCCAACATTGTACTCGCGGACGCATACTTGAAGAATATTACTGAAGGCGTGGACTGGGCCACTGCGTACCAGGCTGTCGTGTCCGATGCTGAAGACGAGCCACTGAATTGGGCCGTCGAAGGTCGGGGAGGCCTCGAAAGCTGGAAGCATCTTGGGTACATCCCGACTGATGACTTCGATCTTAACTCCGGCGCTCGCACGCGCAGCATCTCCCGCACGGTCGAGTATGCCTACAACGACTTCTGTATTGCAGAAATGGCCAAAGGTGGTCTAGGGAGTGTGGAAGCCTACCAGAAGTATTCTCAGCGTTCAAGAAACTGGAAGAACATGTACAAAGAAGACGAAACATCTTCCATCAATGGTACCGATACGGGCTTCGTCGGATTTCTGCAATCAAAATTCATGAACGGGACATGGGGATACCAAGACCCAATCTTCTGTTCGCCATTGCTCAACTTTACGAGTTGTTATTTGAATCCAAATGGCCACGAGACGTACGAAGGGAGCAGTTGGATGTACACCTTTTTCGCTCCAGGAGACATGGCTGAACTCATTGCTACATTGGGAGGCCCTGATACATTTGCTAAGCGCTTGGACTTCATCCACGAAAGCGGACTTCTTTACATAGGCGATGAGCAAGCATTTTTGCTAGTATACCTCTACCACTATGCCGGACGACCTGGATTATCTGCCGCGAGAACACGATTCTACATTCCAAGTCAATTCAATGACACCATCGCCGGCATCGTAAGTCAATGCTTCTCTGCGCCCGGTCCATATTGCTAACATGTTCCAGCCGGGGAACGACGACAGTGGTGCAATGGGCTCTTTTTCAACCCTCACTATGCTAGGTATTTTTCCAAATCCCGGTAAGAAGACAAGCCAAGGAAATGCCATCAAGAGACTATGTTTTAACAATGCTAGGCCAAAATGTGTACTTCATTACTCCTCCCTTCTTCAAATCAGTGTCTCTCACGAACCCGCAGACGGGGAAGACGGCAACGATATCTTCGACTAACTTCAATCCGAATGGGGAGAATATCTACATTCAGAGCGCAAAGCTTAACGGGCAGCCATATACTCGCAACTACCTAACTCATAGTTTCTTCCTAGATGGAGGGATGCTAGAGCTGGAATTGGGTTCCACAGAAAGTGATTGGGGGACCGCGAAAAGTGATCTGCCGCCGAGCTTAACATTCAGCGGAGAATCAGCAGAGTAGTTACCGTGGTGAGTGCGGCTGAAGGAATCTCAAATGGCTCTCGGATTGCTGTTTCGATTGTGATGGAGTAGCGGCGAGCGCTCTCCCGCTTGACTTTGTACAAAAAAAAAAGTCCAGATAAACACCCAAGCGTAAAAGCTGGAAGGCATCCAAGGCGGTCTCTAGTCGATACAGAAGTATGTCGCTTCTGTGTAGAGTCATTTGTGAAATCGCATATTTATTTGTGACGTTGAAAGTCGTGTACTACAAATGTCAGTGATCCTTCACGTAGAAAAGTCGAAGAATAATAGAGCGACGTGATGGTAATTCACACAGCATTTCAAAAGAGATGCTGCTGACAGAAAAGCGCATGGTTGGGAGCCATCGTGTGAGAGGGATGAGTGCTGAGGTCGAGCCTTGGTGGATATCGGGACAACTGGTGCCGATCCGAATTGTCTTGGCAGTCGTCTTTGGCATCATCAAAGGAGATATATACGTCTATTAATTCAACAACATTGCGCGTTTCTTAAAAGCGGTCCTCGTACATACTTCTGACGACCCAAAACGTGAACCTTCGACATGTTAAAGTGGTAGCTTACTGCGCCCTCGCTACCTGATGTCTCCCAAGCTCCCAGAATCACCTCCTGGAATACCGCCATCCGACGATGTCATCTCCTTCGCCGTCCAGGAGATCTGTCGATAGCTTCGAATCCCTCCAGTCTCCGAGCTCGCAACGCAATCAGTACCCTTTCCCTCAACATGATAGACCAAATTCCACGGGTCGATACAACCCAAGCCGTGGGCGCCGGGGGTCGACGGCGAGCTCTATACACTCGATTCACTCCCTGAGCTCAGTCGGTGGCGCCCTGGACACATCATCGCAAAGCAGGATGGGCTCGGTGAAAGAGGTCGGACAAAACGGTATGCGCTGGGAGCTGTTCATGGGCCCGTGGCCAGATAGCTAATCCGAGATGCGCAGCAATCTCGACCCTTCTACAACCACCGATTGTTCGCACGGGGATGCTGCCGCATACCGCAGCTTCTGGCGCCTCAGGGCATAAACCCCCTTCTGCAAAGGACATACCTCCCGTCACCCTTACCAACATACCTCACATCGATTCTACCGCGTTCAACTCGTATTTGTCTCAAGTAGGCTCGCTATACGACGCTTTTCAGAGGGCAAAGGCAGAAACAGATGGCGGCTCGTCCCAGATATTTAAGAGGGATTCGGATAAGAAAGAGGAGTTTGATGAGATAGTGGAGAAAGGGTTACAACGGGACCATGCAGTCACTCCACCACTTACCAGGCCTTCCATAGCCGCTTTGTCTCCTGGGGCGTCACCACAGCCAAGGCGACGTTCAAGCGGAGGCGTTTCTAGGCGAAATCTCAACGCCGTGACACCGTTATCAACAATACCGAACGTCTATTTCGATGACAATTTCCATCTTGAGAACCCACGCACATTTGACATTGTCAGCGAGCGGTCCGAGGTCATTCGACAGCCACAAACTAGAAGTGATACGGACTCAAATGGTGCGAATGGCAGATTGGAGAGTCCACAGCCTCCTGGCAGGAAAGCTCTGGCAAGCAATGCTATTCTACAGGAAAAACTCTCGTGGTATATGGACACTGTTGAGGTTCATCTTATCTCCTCTATTTCCACTGCGTCTACTTCCTTCTTTGCTGCTCTCGGCTCCCTCCGAGAGTTGCAATCCGAGGCTGCAGAGTCCGTTTCGAAGATCAAGTCTCTGAGAGAGGATCTGAGCAACTTAGATCGCCAGATGGCCGTTGGAGGTCTGAAAATCATTGATATGAAGCGACGGCGAGAAAATCTTAGAAAACTCACAGACGCAACGGACCAGCTGCAGAGCGTCATGCAAGGCTTTTCCCATTGCGAGGAGCTGATTGACAGAGGCGAACTTGAGACCGCTATAACCCGGATAGACGCCCTGGAAAAGCTTATAGCAGGAGATTTAAACATCACAGATCCATCTACAGTATTATGGCTCCAGCCACATCTACCAAGTAGGCTCGTAGATCTACGTAGTCTCAAGGCCTTCGATGGGCTAGCAGAAGGCATACAACAACTAAGATCTCGCATCGGTAAAGGATTCGAAGCCAGGTTTTTGGAGACCCTGCTAGTTGACCTACGTCAACATGTTCAAAGCGTGCCACAAAAGGACACTCTCCAACGCTGGGCATCTGCTTCCCAAAGATCTCGAGGCAACCACAACAGAATGCAGTCTATATTACCAGCATACATGAAAACGAATGAGACATTCCGTTCAGATTTGCGGGCAAATCTGATAGGTCTCAGCGCGTCTAATTACACTACCAAAGCAGCGGCAGCTTTCAGAGATGCCATTGTCAGGGAAATGAAAGTCCTTATTCGACACCACCTCCCGAGCGCGTCAGATGATGACGCGGAATCTGTCACATCAGTATCGACCCGGAGCAGTCGCTTGCACAGCCAGCAAGATAAATCGTCTATTCTTTCTCGAAACCTCCGGGCTCTTGATTCCGCCGATGCCGAAGAGCTTTTTGTCAAAATCTATTCGGATGTTGGGGAGGCATTGCGCCGACTCAGTATTCAAGTAAAAGTGCTGCTCGACGTCACAAGCGGTGTCGGAACGCCTCCGCCGTCCGCAGGTGGTACTCGCTCGCCTCCTAGAAGCCCTAATCTGGGAAGCATTGATGGATACATGAACGCGCGGGGTCCGATCTTAGAGTCCAGCGATCTTCAGGAAGAGTTAATGCAAGCCCTGGACATGTCCAGTCTCTTGGGTCAAGCTGTCGATGCGGCTCAGACTCAGATCACAAAAATATTGAGAGTGAGATCGGAAGGAACTACTCATCTGGAGCTCCCTAGATTCCTGCGGTACTTCAGTCTAAACAGGTTGTTTGCGGACGAGTGTGAGGCCGTATCGGGCCGGTCGGGTGCAGCATTGAAAGGTGTTGTCAATGATCACATCGGCCAGTTTGTGTCTCTGATGGGAGAAACTGAAAAACAGCGACTCAACCAAGTCATGGACTCAGATCGATGGAAAGCAAAGGATTTCGGAGATTCAAACAACGACGTCTTGTTGCGAATATTGCAAGGAATGACTAGTGATCCCGTAATCTGGTCAAAGAGTTCAATGATTTGGGAAGACATCGATCTTGCAATGAACGGCACAGCGACCCTGGACACCAATGGAAACTCCAAGGAGAAATCGCAAGGTCCAAGCCACGCAATAGTAGACGAAGAAAGATACGTGGTCAGCGCATCGGCGGTCGCGGCTCTGAAAGGTGTCGATAGGTTCGAGAATCTCATCGCCGCGATACCCAGTATGACCGCGGAAGTCTCGGTGTTGATTTGCGATTATCTCAAATTGTTCAACTCTCGACTATGCCAACAGATCCTTGGAGCTGGAGCAATACACAGCGCAGGACTAGAGAATATCAACACTCGACATCTTGCAACTGCTTCCCAAGCTTTGAGCTTCATGATCGCGATTCTGCCATACGTTAGAGAATTCGCACGGCGACATTCACCCAGTTCTCGGGCTTCAATTGCTGAGTTTGACAACGTCAAAAGACTGCTGCAAGATCAGCAGGTCAGCATCCACGATAAGCTTATCGATATAATGAGCAACAGGGCTGCCGTTCATGTAAAGAATTTGAAGAAAATAATTTGGGATGAGGATACTGCACGACAAGTCAGCCCCAACATGGAAACTTTGACGAAAGACACCCTTACGCTTCACAAAGTCATCAGCAGGATCTTGTCGGATACGTCGGTTCGCATGATCATGTTGCCGGTGTTTGTTAGCTACCGGGAGCAAGTTGGCAAGGCATTTTCCGATGCAGTGGTCAAGACGGCGGCCGGTAAATCGAGGTATGAACTGTTCCCATCGCTTCGTTCATTTGACTCAATTATGTCCTCCTGCTAACTTAGGTTATTGCAGGCTCCTCCGCGACGCCCAACTGTTTGACTCGATGCTCGGTCAAATCGACGGGGCCGGAGACACAGGGCCCTACCTTATCCGCTTGGTCAATGAGAAGACGACAGAAACTCCTACCCCACCACCGGTCCCTTCTCATGCTGGTGATAGTGGTGGCAGGTCCTCACCGGAGAAGCCGGCCGTGACGAACGGAACTGAAGCTGCTTCATGATGAGTGGAGTAGCTTCCTGTAGTACAGTAATAAGATCACAAGATCTGCACTTTCGACTCTTGAAAAAAGCTGAGATTGTGATGTTTTCTAACCGCGGACTGCACATGGTAAAGAATACTGAAGGCTACAAAGCCGAAATGCTTTCCGTGACCTCGACAGAGGTGGATGGCGTGTAGCTAACTACCAGCTTAACAGTATGACATACGATACTCATTTTTCATACAGGAGCTATTCATAATGTTTCAAACACTGGAAATGCTCGGCCTTCTTGATCCTCTCACTGTCATCATTCGCCAATTTCTTTGGTCTGCTTTCACCACTCATTCGCCATCTTGTTTTACAAAGCTCATTCTCCATATTCGCTGCCAGACCATCACAATGTTCATTGTCTCAATTGCGTTGGCCATGTTCACTTATCAATGTTCAGCATTGCACAATGACGTCTCGAATCGAACATATAACAAGCTAATCTTGCCCGTCAGGACGCTTCTTTTCCATAATACACACAGCCTCCCCAATTCGAAAGTCCGGTCACACCCTTCCACGCACAGTCATTCATACACCACTCGGCAGTCACATACTTCTCAGTATCCACACCATGCGGCCCAGTGTAGCAAACCGCAGCAGCACAACCAACACACCTGGCATGTCTCTACCCTGGTGGTGGCTTACCTGGCAGTATTATGAGGATACGATCATAATCCGCAATCCAACCGGCGAGCTTCGTTGGGAAGATGGCGAATGGCATCATAGCGACTATCCACCTCATGATCTTGGTCGCCACTATTTCCCTTATGAGCGGCCAGGTCCAGCTCCTTCGGCCGAGAATGTTCAGATCGGAGGATTCGGGTCGTGGCCTGAGGATCCCCGTCCGGTTCAAAACCATCTGAGAAGGATCATGTCTGAGTTACCCCCTTTGGCAGCCGAATGCCAGCGAATTAGTTTTGCTCGCTGGCCTCGAACCGCCAATCTCTCTGACCCGAAAGGCCCGATACAAAAAGAGCAGGTTGATCGCTTTCGCGGCGGGATGTTGCCACCAGAAGCTTGCGACTTGGAGGCACAAGCTAGCCTTGGAGGCAGGCTTGGTAAGGGGTTGACGTTCTCTGTGGCGAGATCTCCGAATGACTTCACAAACGTGTATCTCCTAGCGCAATCAGTCTTCAGCAATATTTTTGGTCACCCGACTTGGTTCGTCCATGGATACTCTCATATGAGGCCCACGATGCCTACTGCGTCTGATTTCAGCGACCTGGGTCGGCTGCGTAGGCGGAACGCAGAAACACCGCCAAGCTCACTTTCACCTATAAGTCCCTCAGCGCATTCCGTCCTCTCAGGATTACCAGGACGCTTCATTAATTCGATAGGGCGTGATGCTGAAATTAGGCCCTCTCGTCCGCGGAATATGATCCCTTCTCCTCTTCGGAGCGCATACGAACAATACACATCAAGGCGTTTGCCCCACGCTACTTTTGCGCCTAGACGGACGTTTGAAGCACGCGAGCGACCTGGAGCTCCCGACCGGGATGATGAGCCTTCTTCCTATGAGAAGATACCCCAAATTCCCAAAATGAGCTGGAAGTCAACTCGGATGCTCCAATTGGGATTCCGCCGACTTCGATCCGACGATTTGGAGCCAATCACATTCGAAAAGCGGACGCTTGATATCAACAGCAAGCTCAACCAGAGGAACGTACTCGCAGAAGGACTCCAGCAACTCGCATCTACGCCCACCAATTCCACAGTAGATGTCCGGGGCTTGCGTCGTGTTCGGGGAGTCTTCAATCTTAGGGACGGTCGGATCCCCGCCATTTCAGGAGAATCTACGCCCTCCATCTGGAGCGGATTTTCCAATTCTGGAGATAGCGTTGCTTCCAACTATGGGTCCAGCGCTCGCTCCAGCCTCAGCTCCAACAACGATGCGAACGATCAGCGTCGACTGCACGAGCATTTTGATGAGAATGGCCTTGACTTTTTCGTGGATCGGTGGCAACCTCGCTCACCTTTACCGTCTCCAAGCGTACCCGATGAAGAGCCTGATCTCGAAGCTGGAATAAATGTGGATCTAGAAGCACAAGCGATTCGCGAGAAGAAGCCATTTCATAAGAAAGTCATAGGAGCAATGAAGAAGACCGCCAAGACACTTTTTAGAAAGACCTAATGGCGGTTTGTACGCATGCAACTTGAGACTATTGTGTCAAACTGTCTAGGACAGGAGCTTAGAGTTTGGCGATAGTTGACATATTAGGGCTTTGTTTCGCGGCTCGAACTAAATCGTGAGTGTCTCCGTCACCCTTTAATCTGTGTGTGCCATCAATCAACTATATTCTCCTAAAAGAGGATCTTGCACAACAGAAACACAACAAAAGGACAGCCCGCCCCCTGAAATATCCGGGAGCATATCTTGTAGGCATGCCCGAGAGCTCTTCCTTCTCGATTTAGTACATCAATCTATTCACCCCTACGATATTCATACTTTCTGTATTCCCTCGTGCTTCTGATCAGGTTTCATGTTCACGATGTCCTTGTCAGCACTATTCGCAACATGCATATGATCTTTTAGATGCCTACATTCATTTCATAGTGTCTATACGCTTTCACAAGGCAAATAACCCCCTTTTGCACATTCACTGTCACTGTCATTACTCTCCATGCGTGAATGCCCAATTTGAACGCCTAGAGCACCCTCTGAGTACTCACGTGAAATCTTCTCAGAACAATTACAACACATCACTCCCGCGCTCACCACCCACACACGCATCTTACAAACCCGTCCACCACAACACCCATCGCGCCGCCCACATAATACTCAGTCAACTAGCACCACCACCACAACATGGCACCCCAAAACCGTGATCGCCTCGTTTCAGTCAACGCTATGGTCTCAGAACTACGCACGTACATGGCGAGCTGGCGTACCTCGGCCTTCGCCAAGCAACTTCGAGCACTACTTTTATCCCGCTCAGAGAAGTGGGCCATTGATCGAGCGGTCGTAATCGGTCTCGGTTGCACGATTCCTCGTCAGCTGAACGAGGAGACCGATGAGGAGTACTGCTTGTTCCGCCGGCACATTCTTTGCCAGTGCATGATGTTCCAGGAAATCGCCAATATTTTCTCTTCTGAACAAGGGGACCGCAGCATTGAGATGTTTGCCTCTGATCCAGACATCGATCGGCTCGACGAAGAACTGCTTGAGCGTCTAGGAATCACCGTTGTCGACAAGTGGGAAGAGCTCGTAACAACGAAGACGTTCGTCTATAGCCCTTTCGCCCCCTGGCCCGTTGGCCTCCGAGCCATTCGTCGCTCACCGGAGCTATATCTCGGCGTCGACTGGACCGTGGTTATAGAGCTCCATGATCCACGTGATCCGAGCAAAAGGAAAGAGGGGCGTTGGGGCATGACCATGGAGCAGTACGCCGTCTGCGAGACCTTTCTAAAAGGACGTGTGGAGAGCATATTTCCGGGACTCGAGAACTTTCCGGAATATGCGGCAATGGACTGGGAGAGAATGTTGGAAAGCCACGCTGAACTAATCGGTGTGACGTATACGGCATTATTGGGGCCGTTCCGCCTCTACTGGCCGAAGCCAGCACTGCCTCCGGTAGAAGGCGAGGGAAAGCGCTTTGGTTAGGCTGCTTAGGTTAGTTAGAGGTAATGATCTTTTCTTTCCTTCGACTTCTTCACAGGTAAACGCCATGGCGTCATGCTCAGCTCCGCGACCTCTCTAACATATCGTAACAATGCTATTCACAACGCCTTCAACAATGTTCCTTATAATTTACTCTTATTGCCATCATTCACTAACAGTGAATACTCATTCTCTACCATATAAAGCGCCCCTTGATGTTAAGTCTCCACGGAACACTCAGACTCAGAACAGCCCACCCCCTTCTTAGACCACCACAATTTCAACATTTAAGAACACACCCCACCACTTAAAGAACAAACACTACAGCATGGATGAACTCATCGCACCTGAGGAATGCACAAGCATCATTCATCTGCCCGCTCTTCTCGAAGATCTCTCCGCTTTCAAGGAAGAATGGCTCGCGTCTCCGTTCTCCACTCGGCTCAGCTCGCTCCTGCTTGCCCGCTCAGAAGGGTGGGGCGTCGACCGAGCAGTCCTCATCGGCCTGGGGAACATGACTCCTGATGCTCGCGAGTGCGACGAGGACGAGGACGAATATAGGCTGCGGCACAAGGGGCGGCTTATTCAACTGATGATCTTCATTGAGATTGTTAACATCCTCTCTACCGCACAGAGTGCCCGCCCTATAGAGATGTACGCCTCCGATCCTACTTTCCAGCACATAGACGAGGCATTGCTAGGAAAGTTGAACATCAAAATATTCAAGAAGGGAGAAGAGCTCGTCACGTCATCGACGTTTGTTTATAGCCCCTTTGCACCCTGGCCGGCTGGTGTCGACGCTATCCGTCATTCTCCAGAGTTGTATCTCGGTGTTAGCTGGAAGGGGACCACGGAGCTCTACAGTTTACAGTCGAGTTATGGATTTGAGATGACCGACGAGCAGTTTGCTATCATGGAGAACTTCTTGCAGACTCGCTTGATGTACAGCTTCCCAGGACTGGAGAGCTTTCCGGACTCGCAGTTCGAAAAATGCGATCCTGAGCTGGTGGAGTTGGCTTTGGAGGGTTTTTGGGGAGCTTTCCGATTCTATTGGCCCAAGCCAGTGCTCCCCGCACGACGGAAGACTAGACGTTGAGATCGGGAACAATAGAGTGACGTAGAATGAATGGAACGCACCCCATACTATAACCTTTCTATTTCTGAATCTATGAAGCAACTTGTGATGACTGACATCATAACCCAAGTATTAAAGCCACCAGGGCAGTATTCCAATACGACGTGAGATTGAATGACATGGAACCGAAGCGATATCTCCAGAAACACAAAGCGTCCGTCTCCATTTTTCGCAGGCTCAAATGATCGTTAGAGACTCTTCTTCCGCACCTTTAAAGAACTCTACGCTCGCATCCCAGTAGCAGCCAACTCGCTCGTACCTACCCTCCCCACCTAGTACCAAAATGAGTCCATTATGTCGGTAATACCAGCTCGTTTCAACACGCAACGTGAGACATGTCAGCGGCGTGTCAAGCGACAACGGATCATCCGCAGTATCGAAACAAGCCGTAATCTTCTTTCCAACTTCGTTATATATTTCACCTTTCAAATACTGCAAGGGCTGCGGCCCCCTATGCTCATCTACTAGTCTCGGACGAGATCTCATCGTTGCTTTGATCGTTGATCCGTGGAGATCTACATATCCGCCCTCGACCCGGCCGAAGCGATCGGAGGGGTTTTCCAAGGCGACGTGCCATTGCTCGAGTTCGCAAACGGGCTGGAAGGCTCCGGATGAGTCTGTCCACTGCACGGGCCTGATGATTGATGCCCACGAGAAGGTCGGTGCGAGGTATTTGTCTCCGTGGCATTCTAGCCATGTCGTCTCATCCTTGCCTTTTCTAAGCATTGTCCTCCACAGAAGATTGGACATCAGGTCCTGGCCATCTAAGCCTGCTATGTAATCTTTGATACCATAGTCTGAAGCTACGGCCGAGATGGCGGGAAGGATATCAAGCGGATATGTTAGTTGGCGGAACGTGTATAGCTCCACCAACGTCTGCCATGGTACTCCTACCACTCCATCTGCGTCTTTGCAGTAGAATTGCTTTTCTGGCTCACTCTCGTAAGAGTCTTGCTCGTTGCATTCACACATAAGGTCTTCTTCGCACTCCAACACTAGTTCCGTGTCCATGAAATGAAGAGCACGCTGCGATAACAGTCTCTCCTGATAACACCATGCGCGTCGGAAGAGCGGTGATCCCTCCGTAGGAATCGCTCCAGTGATATTGTTGTGTCCATCCTCCAGCTTGTTACAGTCTCTAGCATAGATAGCCATTCCCGAGGGGAGCCTGTCCGCTAAGGGAAGTTCGATGTCGGACTTTCTATCTGACAGGAAGCCCTCATTGAATGAGGCGGACCGCGTGGCACAGATCGTGAGGAAGGCTCCCGCGTATATTGACGCCATTTTGGATGCTTGCTCTAGCCAATCTTTCGGATCGTCTTGGACGATGCAATAGGAATCGATCCATATATACCTATAGTTCAACCCCCGCGTAATAGTAACTGCATCCTGGATATTCCTGGCCAGTCGAGAGAACTCCATTCTTTGGCAAAGCTCATCTTTGTTCGATTTCAAGGTTCTATACGGCATCGTGCCTCCCCAGCAGTGAGACAATGCAAGATAAGGCCCCTTGACCTGTGATGTATCATCAAGGAGTTTTGGAGCAGTGGAGCCAGTCGCAGGGCCTACATCCACGAGACGATCTGGCATGCTTCCCGAGCCTGGTGTCCGACTATGTCTATGGTTACTGGCGCATTCGGAAATTCGTGTCAGCAAAGCAGGTAGTGTACCCCTAGATGCTAGAGCAGGAGAAACAGGGGGTCTAAACGGGATAGCCGAAAGCTCTTTGACGCCATGAGGGGGAGAGGCCTCACGATACTTTAGAACATTGGAAGCGCTGGAAATTGATAATGCGTCCGTATTACCCTTAGAGAACAGGATAAGATCAAATTGATATTCGATCTGCGAAGGTCCAGGTGGGGTCAGGTCGTATCGAACTCGAAAAGAGGTAGGGTCCCCTTTAAAGTACCCCAAGTACAAATTTAAGGGTTTAGAGTCGCGAAGTAGTTCTTGACCTCTGGGAAACTGCTGGATGCCGTGCCAGACGGCTGCGCAAAGAAGACAATGGGCGGCGTTAACACGGAGATGATGAAAATTGGTGTGGATCGAATGGCGCGTATCAATTTTCCAGTTCTCGGCCTTACCCATATCATGGCAGGTAGAGCAATTGGCAGACATGATTCTGACTGCAATGTACAAGAAAGACGACGAAGACGTATGGAGAGAAAGCAGTATTCTAGAATAAGTACGGCACGAGGAAAGCCGTTCTGTCAAGGTTCAGTGGCGTACCCTTTTCTATCTCTTGAGGACTATACTGAGCCAGACATAGGATGGAAAAGGCCCGATTTGTGCAGTTTGGTAAAGAGATGCTCACTGACATTCACCCCGAGGTTAAAATGTGGGGTACACTAGCAGGGATCGCATCGAAGCTTGGCGCGACCAGCAATTCAACCGTGACGCGCCAGGAGCTCTCTAGCCACAACCACACAACCCTTCACAATGGCACAAAAACCACTATCCCCCGAAGCCGACGAACAGTACCACGAATCCTCCGACGAAGACTTCAATCCCGCCACCGCCCCCGTCGCCGACGAATCCTCCAGCTCCTCCGAAGACGAACCCATCCCCGCGGCCACCAAGCCTGCGTCGCGGAAGCGCAAGCGGAAAGCACCATCTCCTCCCGAATTTGACTCTGGAGATGAAGTCACCATACAAGCGGCGAAGAGCCGGCGCGCGAAGAGGAAGACAGGGAAGGCAGATGACGACGATTTACTTTTGTCCGACGACGAGGGCGGAGAAGGCGGACTGGTGAAGACTAGGGCACAGAGGAGAGTGGAGTGAGTAGCCGAAGGTCATGATTCCATTCACGGACGAATTTGCTGACGCAATTCTACAGAAAAATAGAGCGGCGACCGCTGGCAAGGACGGATGGGGCAACGGTAGACGTCGATGCGCTATGGTCGCAGATGCTGGCTGCTCCCCTTAAACCTACGAGTTCTGTTCCTGGGGCGGAAACACAAGACGGGGCCCACAAGAAAGGGGAAGATGCGGAGACTGGACCTCAAACCGAGGATGGCCCCAGTGACGAATTCATAAACCTCAAACTCGTGGCCAAGCATGCAGGCCAAACCGACACATTTGAAAAGCGTGTCCGCAAAGGCTCTGCGGCTCATCATCAATATTTAAAAGACGGCTGGACCATCGTGGAGCCGCCTCCTATACCTCCTGAAGAACCTGCAGAGCCAGACGCTGAACCCGCAGACCAAACAGAAGCCCCAGAAACCGATACTATCCACCGCCCCCTCCGTCGACCCTTTCGCTTCGAGCCCAACCCCGCTGGCTATGTCCGCAACCTTCCACCCGACCGCCAGCTTACCTGGCCCCGCAAGCGCACCGCTGTCGACCAAGAAAACGCGCCTACGCCCGCGGTTGCAAAACCTATGCTGCCGCCTGAGAAGGTGAAGAAACTCAACGTGGTGGATAAGACGCGGCTGGATTGGACAGGATTCGTGGATAAAGAGGGTCTGGCAGACGATTTGGATGAGTACGGGAAGGCGAAGGCCAATTATGCAGAGCGAATGGCATTCTTGGCAAATGTGGACGCTAAGGAGGAGGAAGAGAGAAGGAGGGCGAGAGAGGGAGCAAAGGGGAAGGCAAAAGCGTAGGGTTTTGAGCGGTACTGGTATGAACGCTGTCAGCGATGACAGGATGCCGAAAACAAATATAATTGATGTTCTCACATCACAGAAGACTCCCTTTCCAATGAGGCTCATAAGCTCAACTAAGAATTTCTTGGCAACCTCAAAAGCGTTGAAAGTAGGAAGCGTTGAAAGTAGGAGGCGTTGACCATCGTCAGCCTCCTAAAACTTCACTCCAAAAGCCAGAGGTCTGATTCCGAGTCGACGTCAGAAGATGTATGATTTTTTGTGGGAACAGAACTGGTGAAAAAGTAGGTGAAGAATCAGGCGTGATCTCAGGGTTTTTGACGCTTCGTTTGCAATACTAAAGGACCCCTAGGTGCTGGAATCACAAACAAAAGATAGTATTCGAGGGTGAAGTTCTCAAGAACATCGCCGAGTACTAAGACCTGACGCACATCAAAGAGAGTGCATCCTTACACTATTAATGGAATCTAACGCCCTTCAAAACCCAAGTAAACCCACTCCCCCAAAATGCCCTACCCTAATACAAATACCCCTCGCCACTCAACCCGCTGCTCCCGTAGCTCCTCCGTCCGACTCCTCCGTCCGCTCCTTTGACTCCTCCTCCCGAACCTTCGGCACCTCCCTAACCGGAATCTCCCTCATCAGCGTCTCCTCCGTCGCCAGCGCCATCCCATCCAGCAAATCCGCCCTGACATCCGTCTCCGCCAGCTCATCACTCCTAAACCCCATGCTCGCGCACACCCGTCGGCCCCCCCATACTCTCCCAATTCCTTCCTATAAAAGAGATTGCAACACATACCTCAAACACAACCCTCTCCACCATGCTAGCGAGCACGCAGCACCCCGTCGTCCGCGCCACCATGCGCCGCGTCGAAGGAGCGGTGAACAATTCGAGCCCGGGGAGGGATTGCAGGCCCGAGTCCGCGTAGAGGGAGAGCAGGGCGGAGAGGGGCAGTTCGGTGAGGGAGCGCGAGGAGACGGGGAGACGGTGGAGGAGGGTGTGGTGGCCGAGTTTGTAGGGTAGGAGGGTGTAGGGGTTTAGGGGCGCGGGGGGAGGGAGCAGGTGCTGCAGGCGCAGGCGTGGGGTGGGATTGGGGAGGAGGAGGCGGTAGGACTGTTGGGGTCTGGGTAGTGGCGGGAATGATTGCTTGGGTAATGATTGCGATTGAGGTTTGAATGATGGCTTGAATGGTGGCTCCTTGATTTGACTTTGAGTTCTGTGAGGAGACATAGAGTGATGCTGAGGATGGTTTTAAGAGAAGAAGGTCGATGTTGATATTTGGGCTTTTTATGTGCCCAGAAGATATTCCATTCTCGGACGTGCACTTCGGAGTCAACAGCTCGACGGCTCCAAGCACTGGGCGGCAAGTCGTGAAAGTGGTGTCGCTCTTCAATTTCTTCTCGTGACTAAAGAAATTTGTTCAGGGAGTACGTAGTAAGTTTGATAAAGCGAAAGAATCGGATTGGATATGCAAATTTGTTGAGAACTATATTAACATCGATCGCTGTGAGGGTATATCTAGAGGCCACTACTCATGCTGCATTAAATCGCTCTTGCGCCGCCATCACCCACCCAGCCAAGCCCATCACGCCAGGTTCCATCAACCCGAGCGTCACACCCCAAGCCGTGCTAGTGATTACACCTCAAAGCAGTCCGTGTGTCGACGAGCGCTCACTCCTGCCTCCAAACCGCCTAGACGACGCAAGTGACATAAGGCTGTCACCGCGGATGGATGGCGGAACGGGAAAGCTTCACACCCAAACGTTAATCTATGTCAAAGAATCAGAAAGGCGGAAAAGACAGTTACCGCTTGAAGATAGCGATGAGACTCTTCCGCTTCCCGATCTTCGGTGTGGCCTCCGCTGGTATGGGTGGCGGCAGAGGCATCTTAGGTAACGCTGCAGTCTTCCCCGCTGGTCTTGCCTCCGCAGTCCTCCTCCTGGCTCTGTCGTGCTTGGAGGAAGTGTCTTCGGCTTGGGGGGATGGTATATTGGTTTTGATTGGAAGTCTGCTCGTCTTCCGATTCAACGGAGATGACAGCTCTGAGAGATGATTCGAGTCGCTCAGGAAGCTTGGCGGTCCGTCGACATCACCCGCCTCGATGGGCACAGGAGTGAGCACCGGTGGGTAACTGGGAGAGTGGCCATTGACGACTGTTGGAGAGCTACCCATGGTCGGCAGACTGGGTCTCGGCTTCAGAACAAGCGATTTGCGCGAGGCTTTAGTCATTGTGCGCTTGAGAGCACTCCCGTTCTCTTCAGCAAGCTGCTTCTCCAATCGCTCGATCTCACCCAGGATCGTTGTTCCGTTCATGGCCAAGTTCTCTTCAAGTATGCTCTGGAACTTAACGATGCCACGATGAGGCGGCACACCCAGGGTGTCTGATAGGAAAGACTGAAGAAGTGCTGCATTGCGTTTGTTGGTACTCGGCTGGATATGGACTGGGAGGGCGGTAACAGTGAGGAGATACGTGGGGTCGAAGGTCCCCCCAAGGAGAAGGCATGCAGAATGCTCCAGAATAACCATCACAGACGAGTCTGGGCGTTGATATCGATGCGCTAGGGTTTGGGAAAGGTCCATAATGAGGGGATATTCGTCTTTCATCTGAGTCGTATGAGTGACATGAACAGGCTGTGAACTGGAATTCACTATTTACGGACTCACAATGACATTGGTCCGCAACTGCGCGATAATAGGAGAATCTCTCATGGTCCGCTCACGCACTGAACCGGGACTATCCTTGTACCTTTCAGAGAACTGTTCCTCATAGTACTGAGTACGTCGTCTTGAGTTGTGGACGTGAGAGCAGTGCCTTGAAGTGTCTGGGTCCTTCTTCTTCCCGGGCGCTCCATAGACTATGTGACGAGTGTTTTTGCTGTGATCGACCACTGGTTCGGACTCGGAAAAGTTGGGTGGAGTAGACTTCAGTGAGTCCGGAGCAGAGAGGTTCGATTGGGTTGGTGAAAGCTCGTGCGTGGTGTATTCTCCCACTAGCAATTCTGTGCCAGCAGCTCGAGGAAACACAAAGGGCGAGGAGCTCGAAAGAGAAGCCCTGTGGTCGGACATGGCCAGCGAGGTATCAACGGAATGAGGTATGCTCAAGATAGGCTCATCCGTCATTCGTTATGGGGTAGGGAACGTGTTTTGGTCTTGGGGAAGAAGCGGAAGGGGAGGTACTCTTTCGATACTGACTTCAATGCTACTTCCAGTTGGAGAAGCGAAAGAGAAATGGAGAGATCTGTACTCGCCATAGTTTTCTATCTCGGGAGGAGGGACGGAGGCACCTCCTTGCTAGCTTGGTGCAGCTTGGGTAGGTCACACCCGCGTCCTTACGGCTCGCAGCCGTCCTGTCACCGTCCTAATGCGTTGCGCGAGGGGAGCGAGGCTGAAGTAGGTCGGCGTGGATTCTAGGTGGCCACCCGAGTGGCGTTCACTAGTTTCCGTCTCGAAACCAGGGCCCCGCGACCATCTCCGTGCCAGTGACTACCTAATGAATACAAAAATGCACTCGAGTCTGGTTTCGATACCACGTACCTGAACACATGGAACGGCTACCGGCATTGTAGAACGTGGCTCACAATCGTGTACGCTTCGTGCAGCCCCCGCGTCCCACGTGCTTGGATCAACTCTACATTTGTACAGCGCGCTCGGGCATTAGTCTGTGCATGAGATCCTCCCACGTACTTTCAAAAAATGAGATGCGTAGCACCTTCATCAAAAGACTGCGTGTTTGAAGTAAGCGAGGCTGTGGAGCTATTAGCGTTGAGCCTACTTTGTTTGTCTTTCAGTTCTAGTGACCGTAACTGGGGCTGTATGCACAAGCATATAGTTCTGTCCCCTATCTAGAGCTACAGCTCCAAAACGCCACATCGCTCGTTAATCGTGACGAGAGTACCGAGATATGCCACTCATAGCAGAGCAGCTCTTCATTCGTGAAGCTTCGTAACCACATACCCATATCGAAGAATTAGACAGCTCCAATTCTCCCTCATTAATCACTCAAACCTCCGACCCTGTCAAACTCCCATGTGGCGTCTTCGCTGCAGCCGCGCCCCCATGCCCCTGCCAATTATCCAACAGCCGACCCACTTCTCGGAAGCTGACCGGCTTGGTCATGTAGAGATCAAATCCGCTAAGAAACGCCTCGCTCTGGTCCCTCCCAGATGCCAGCCCGGTAAGGGCAATCACTAGGCTCGGGGGCGGCGTTTCCATAGGCCCCGAGCTCGCTGCCACCTCGCGTTCAATTTCACGGATTTGTCGCGTCGCCGCAAACCCATCGAGTATGGGCATGCTGATGTCCATGAAGATGATGTCGGGTGGTTCTGGCGGGGAGCGCGAGATGGCGGTCCGGTACGCAGTGACAGCCTGCTCGCCGTCTTCGGCTGAGACGACGTTTTGGTACTTTCGCTTACGCATGAAGGTGTTGAGGAGGCGAAGGTTCACGGGGTTGTCTACAAGACTAGAGTCAGCAGGCTGTTCCTCAAAGAGCATCCCGCAGCTAATGAAGCAAATCACGGAACTGGTAACTGTGAGACTTACCGTCGACTAGGAGCAGACGAGGTGGGCGTGGCGCAGTTGAGGAAGGAATAGGGGTGATGAGCGGTACGTCGGGTGTACTGGTAAGCGCACCAGCGCCTGTCATCGGCAGCGTAGGTTCAGGTTCTCGAGCCGCAAGCTCTGACCGCGTAGGTGATATGGTTCTCCGAGGTCCAAGATTAGGACGTTGCTGGTCAATCGCAGATACAGGCCTGTCGATAATGTCCGACAGCGAATCCGTAGCTAGGATACCAAGATCATTCGCAGGAGCGTCAGACGGAAACGGAAACGCCTCCTCTCCTTTCACGGTTGAGCTTTTCTCACTGCGCGGTGTGCCTAATGCCATATTCGCATTGCTTGATGCCATGTTTGCAATGATGCCTCCATTTACCAGTAGTTGAATATCTGGGGTGTCGCGGTCCCCGGTTTTGAGAGTAACATGTTCCACCGCTGACACTAGGGAGTCCGCGGACTCTGATGTTGAGTCCTTGCACGTGGTATCTGACGAGTCCAGTCTGTTGTACGCTTCAAACTCCACTCGGAGGGCCCGGGCGAGCTTCCCAAATATTAGTGACAGGAGAGGAAATGAGATTGGGATTTCTCACCTTATGTGGTCCCACTGGGACACAAAGGAACTCGATGATTACACCAGCGTCCGAATAGTCTCTTGTTAACGCGAGCCTAGACGCATTTCCACAGAACACGATTATCATAGGTTTCGGGTCGGAGTTTGTCTGCCGAGATTTTGTCAGCTTTGAGGGGCTTAACCCGGTAGGGCAGAGGTGAGGAGTGCTACTGCTTGTGCGATTCACTTATATGCCAATGGATGATTGGAAAACTTACCGCGCTATTGATAATTTTCAGCAATGCTTCAAGATCGGTCTCGTCAACAGCAACGACATGAGCTGTGGACCCAGCTACCCACTCAGTAACGTCGACAAACCCGAACCAGTTCCGGAAGTAGTTGACCAAGGTCTGACTTTGCAGTTTGGTGGCCTTGGACTGCTCACTGGAATTAATACTCGGGGATTTTCTGAAGAGAGCGACCGTCTTGTCCACGGCTTCTGCCCGACAGAATGGAATGCTGTCGTCTTTTGCGCGCTCCAGACTGCTACCAGCTGAGCTAGGCGTTGATGTTGAGTTCATTGGCGTATGATTCATGGGTAATTTGATCTCTACCGCTGTCCCGATTCCGACAGTAGACTTGACGGTGATCTCGCCATGAAGCATGTTGACGATGCCCTTCACAAGAGAGAGGCCTAGGCCAGTACCTGGGTTCATACTGCTCTCTTGGGCAAAGGGCGTAAACAGCCTATTCCTCATGTATTCTGGTGATATTCCTTTTCCGGTGTCAGAGACCTTGAGCGTTACCCATGTAGTCACATCTGTCGGCGAGCCGTTAGCGCCCTTTTGGACGTCTTCAGCATCTAAGTATGATGATGTTAGTGTGGGAATATCGTCAAAAATGTGCAACTATACTGAAACGCATGGGCATGAATTCAACATACCCAGTTCGACGAGTATGTGGCCTCTGCTCGTGTACTGGGACAGTTAGCTGAGCGCTCTGTACGATTTCCAAGATAGGAAGCTTACCTTCAGTGAATTGCCGAACAAATTCATGACGATACGCCGGAACGCGCCGGGTTGGGTTACAAAACTCCAGCCGGCTGCACGCGCTCCAATATTAATGATAGTCTCGACATTGGGTTTTGTGATTTGGTCGGCTTCAGGTGTTCCAGTCTCACTTAGCCGCCTGAGTGGCGTACTCTTTTTACGTTGATGAAGGGGTATATCTTCTCCCTCGACAGTAGTGATATCTTTGAAGATTTGACCAGTGGAAACTCCTTCAACGACCTCTTCAGTGATGCTAGCCCGTATGTCAGTTTCTGGAATTCATTGCAGTCCTCAGTTGGGAGACTCACGCGGCCAGATCAACATCCCCGTAGATGTTAAGCACAGGTTGAAACCCGTTCGAATTGCCTCCAAACCCGGCGGGTGCCTGACCACGTTTTCCTGCTCTGCGAGCTTTTTGCGCGCTTCGCTCGAACGCGTTAAGTCTACTGTAATCAAGAACCATATTGATGGTATCCAACAGGGTTCGAGCACACGCGTCAGCGGTCTCCACTAGTGACTTCTGGAACGAAGTGGTATCTGTATCATGAAGAAATTCTACGTTTAGGTCAGCACTCGGAGACCGTAAGAAATACCAAAAAAATGCATCGCAATACGTACCCATAGAAGCTAATATGCCATGCAACGGCGATCTTAGCTCATGGCTTATAGACCCAATAAAATCCGACTTCTGTTGATCTGCGGCGAGAGTCGCGAGTCGACCAATTTCCGTCATCACGCAATTGCAGAAGGCAATGCAGTAGAGGAAGTCGGGATTTAAAGTCAGGTTATGGAAATCGTAAAGGTTGTACACAAAACAAGTACTCCATCTTGAAGACGTGGAGTCGTAAAGGGGCAGGAAAATCACTTGTCGACTTCCTGGAAAGTGCTTGAGCAGAAGAGCTCTTTCCGTTTCGGACGGAAAGCTCTTCCGACTTATGTGCAAATCGAATGCGGTTGGCTCATCCCCAGACGAACTGGACCCGCTGAATCCTTCTACGTCCAAGTTGAACAGCTGGCCACGCGGGTGTCGTTTTATTAGTTTATGAAGGTCCAACGGGGAAATTGACGTGAAGTCATCCGTTTCGTTGCTGTTGCTGTTGCTGTTGCTTGTTACCTCGTTAGAAGATGATCTGGCGGCGCCTAATACACCAGACATGCCGCGCCGACGAGGCTGGTTGAATGCAGCAGGTGTATTTCCAGCTTCTTCCTTATCTTCGTACTGAAACTGTACATCTGAGCGTGTATGCTCATTCAGGTTCCAGCCGTCGAAGTCGTCTGATTCGCTTTGCATCGAAGTCATTGTATCAAGAAATACAACCCCACCTCCATTTTGTAGGGAGAGTGAGTCATATAGTAACTGCGCAGCTCTCCGGAAGGTACGCAAATGGTCGTCCTCAACCACCTTTTGTTTATAAGACGTATCGGAATCCGTCCTCGAAGAGTACTTAGACTCAGAATGCTCCGCTCCGCCGTCTTCTTCTTGGCTGATTTTATGACGATGCTTCTGTAGACCGGGTCTGGGGATTGCATTCTCTTGGGGTGATGTTTCCGGCGAGACACTCGATTCGCCTACATGTGGCTTTCTTCGAGAATGTGTTGGCCTTGGAGAGCCTTTTGGAGACGATCTCTTATCTTGATCTAATCCCATGGGGTTCCGGAGAGATGTCACTGAGACATTGTCTGCTGCTGGTCTCCGGACTGTACTACCTCGATGTGCCCCTCTTGCTGGTGGACTTCCTGATGACGTCCTCCTCCGTCTGCGTTGGTGCTCGGGATCAACAAACACTGCTAGACATGTGTTCATGTTTAGTGCCCTGATACGCTCTTCTTTCTCCTTCATAGTTTCTAGATGTGTCATGATATTGCTGGCAATCGTAGTAAGAAACAGCTTGTTTGCCACACCCAAAGGCCCGCGGGCCACAACATCCATCGCAAAGAGACTTCCTATGCTGACACCCTGTAATTGTAAGCCAGCAGTTGCTTACGCCTAAGCCAAATGCACGCACCTTCTTCGTCCGAATGGGAACGCCGACGTAGTAGCGGAAGTGTGGAGGGCCAGCGACAAAGGGCAGTTGAGAGAATCGAGGGTCTTGGGATAGGTCGAGTACTTCGAAGCAAGCGGGGCTGCCGTCGCTAGTGGGCATCGTTTGTAACGTGTGTTCCTGACCGATTCGTTAGCTCGGAGCCATACTCGTAGGAGGGTGTTTGAGTGGTCTTACGCAGAGGCGGCCGGCCTTTGGGACATTGATGCACTACAGCGTTGTTAGTACGGCCTGTGTACGTTGTACATGATGTCTCAAAAGAAGGGCTAGCAGCCAAAGGAACGTCTCCACATACTCCTGCCCATCTTCTTGCACATTAGCAAAGTCGGAGGTGGTGTTGACTGGGTAGACACTTACATCGCATCATCCGGGTCATCGTGTAGCGTACTGTCCTCCAGACTCAACGTCTTGGTGCTCTCGGCCACGAAGTATTGTATTTCCTTATCAATCAGGCTGACTAGGCTCCGCTGTGCATTTAGACGCCATGCCACCAGCTGGGCGTACGCGGTCAAGACGGTGTCTGGCGCAGTGCTAGACTGCGAGGCGACGAGGTTTTGCGCGGGGTTGAAGTACCTGTACAACTCGCGACTGCGGACGAAGTCATCAGGGCCGAGAGGCTTTGTAGCAATGGGCGCTGGCGCACCGTTGACAGCAGGCTCCATGGGCGCGGGATGGTATGGAAACGGACTGCTGGATCGGAAAGTGGTCCTCCTCCCGCAATCAAATGCACAGTGAGGATGATGGAAGCTGGGTGGGAAAAAGCACCGAGGGCGCTGGTTTGCTAACGCCACCGGCGACGCGCATAGCTATCCTGGTCGCACAGCAGTCACTAGAAGGGGGTGAAAGGGTCCTCTGGCGTTCAGCCGCCGCATACAGGCATCTGCGGCGTCGCGGCGCGCATTGATGCAGTTGACGGTGGGCAGGACGCGGGCGTTCTAGATCGTTACCCGGGACCCTGCTATTCCAAACTCGGAGACGTTCCGAGGGCACGCGCTGGAGTCTTTCCGTAGCAGCACAGCAGGAATGGCCAGTCATGTTGAAGATCAGGGCCTGATCAGCACGAACGTCAAGGCCATCTATGTAGGTGGCAACTGCTTTTGGCTGTTACAACATCCCATTTTCAAAACTGAGGAAGATTCTTTAATTTTGGTAATTTTTGCTTGTCCGCTTTCAATTTCAATTCAAAGATTGATAGAGACTCAGCATCATGATGCCGTCATACTGCGCCGGGCGTAAGCGGCACAGCGGCTATCTGGAAGATCTGGAGCTAGCCTTCTTTCATGCGTCAGGATAAGCTTGGGCTGTCCTGCCCGAACATTACAAGGGTACGGTACTTGGATGATTATGCTTGATTACCACAGCCTATCTAACCCCAGCTTGTATCCTTCATCAGAGACGCCCTCGCGAAAGCCTTGAGCAGTAATGTCGTACGAGTGCACACCGTCACAATCGGCCAGCAATCGCCTATGATCTAACCTTCAAGCTATACCCCCAACTAATCGTACATATCGCCCATTACCATTAGAACTTGCTTGCCGCGGACACTATGGGACTCGTCGGCATTTGCGTCAAACTATGTGCCCTCCCAAACTCCACGAATGCATAGCGCTGCAAGGAGAAAATCCGCTCAGGCTGCTTTCCTTACTCCACATCATCCCGTTACGCCCTCAGGCTGGGGCATTCCTCGCACTCTGCATACAAGGCTGAGCAAAACTCGCGCACATTGCATTGCTCTGGGTCAGTCGCGACCACGTGGTTCGAAGGACATTGCCAACACCAGTTGCCCTCGTCGTTCCTAGCTAGATGGTTTTCCCCCGGCGACCATGTGTCGAGACTGAACATGATGCGGTTGAAACAAAGCTTGCCGGTATCTTTGAACGCCTGCGAGGCGTGGAACCAGACCCAAAGTGGATTCCATAGCCTGAAGTGGGGTTAGCAAATCTCTTGCAAGGACGACAAGTGAAGTAGGAGCAACGTACGGATCTCCAATAGCGCGAACATGCAAGTTGAGGTCCTCCGCTTTCTCCACACCAGTTAACGTCTCACAGATTTTGTCCCGGAGAGGCCATCCCTGCGGCATGCTGCGAGGGTCGATGGCTCCTAGCATCTTGGATGTTGTGATGAGTCTGAGGTCGCACTTTCGGACGCTGTTGAGTGTCTCTGCTCGGATAGGCCATAGGTTGCGCTTGGTGTGGTTGTTCTGGTCTACAGTAAAACTGAATCTCCCCTTCTTGCAAAGTACATCCATGTACTCCTGGTACACCTGACGGCTCGCGAGCATGATCCAGTTGCTGCTACGTGGTGCCGGGCGTTGAGGTAAGATCCACGAGAGGGAAGAGAGGGCCTTGGCCGGCGATGTCGTCGTCGGGGGGTATGAGGGAGAAGGGTCTTCAATTAGATGCTCGTAGACGATGTCTCGTAGTTCCTGAGGCAATTCAAGAAATCGAAATGGTGTGACTTTGGTTTCCATTCTGTAGGTCCGCACAAGAAAAGGAATAGAAACAACGAGGGCAATGACTAGCGACCCTACAACCACCTGCCACTCTGGCGACATACGTAGCAAGGCCGCCGATGAGGTAGACATAGACTGTGGGCACGATCGGTTACCGATGGCAAAAGTGTGTGATATTTCCGACTCGTCGGTTACGGTAGAGGTCGTGAAGGTGTGTGGGGTCGAAAGGCTTATGAAGACCAAATGTCAGAGGAAACGAGTGACAATGATACCTGATTTTAGTATGCTAGACACCTGAGAGTGAAGATGAATGCAGGAGAAGGCCAGGGTATGAGTGCCTGATATCATTTACGGTTGCCTGGGCTGCGCGGGCTGATCTTCTGCCTCGCGTTCGCACCGCCACACCGCAATACGGACTATTGATGGGGCTGAGCCAGCAAAAGCTGCTGGTAGGTAGATACCTCACTGGGGAGAGCAGCAAATGCCTGGACCGTCACACAGCCGTGTCGTCTAGAGAGTTCGCCGTGGTGAATCGAGATCGCTTTTGCAAACAAAGGCACGTTGTAGCAGGTGACAGTGTGAGTCTTCAGGGGTACGTTGTGAAGGTGGGGTCGCTAGCCGGGGGAGACACATCCTCGAATGAATGGTCAACTTAGCGCCGCTCTTCCAAGATAGCCAGCATGTTTCAGAATCCGTGCAGTGGCATGGCACGCCGTCTCGAGAGGGCGGTCACTGGCCGAACTTTAGAATGCATTTTGCGCTAAGCCTTATTGGAAGTAGCGAAACTTTTGCAGTCATGTCACTTCAGGGCTCGCAGTTGCTCTCCAAGATGCTCGTATCAAAAGGCGTTTAGGTATATTGTTGATCATTAGCCACTTTATGTGGCTCGCAACGTAGGCTATGCATTCGCAAGTATGGAATCTTCAAGACGCTTGCGTCCATTGAGACCGAGAATGGCCCATTACGCCTGCAGACAAGACACGTATGTCTGGAAACCCCATTCGCCCTCCTCATAACATGATGAAACGAGCCGCCTTCAATATGACGACCAAGCAATACCGTGCGATCCTTCGCTCTCGCCCATACGATGCCTACTTAATCCCGGTGAACTGACTTCTAAGCGCTTCTTGAGTTCGCATCGGTCAATAGCACAAGACGAGTATGATTTCAGTACTTCGGCACTTGGCTGGCCATCTCAACGTTGTTCTGGTCCGTCCACTCCTTGCCACGTTGACGGGCAGCCCACTTATCAGCCAGCCATGCCACGATGGAAACACCAAGCGACATGGCTAGTAAAAGGAAGGTCACCAAAGTACCATATATGGCGAATTTCTATTGAGTCGTTAGCTTTGGTGATGCACGAGGCGGCTCGGCAGGGTTTAAGCTTACGCTCTCTGTACACAGCGACTCAAATGCCCCATTACCCATCCCAGATGGTAGACCCATATCTTGTGGCATAGGCTTATCGCTCTTGTACTTGCACGTCCATGTCTGAATTGTGTCAAGCTCGGGCGAGTTATTGTTGAGGATGTGGGCGTAGACGACGGTGCATAGAGTTGCCAATCCTCCTGGGAGGGCGGTTCCTAGGGCGAGAGCTGCGCGGAAAGTATATCGGCTGGCAGGGTTGAACTGGAAATGTCAGCAATGGATGATCTAATATGAGAATGATGTACTTACTCGAGGGACAAGAGCAAAGACTAGGAATATGGCACTCAGCACCATCACAGTTACAGCGGAGCCAATCAAGGCTTTCGCGCCATGGGAGTCGAAGTGTTGGGGCCAAAGTGGCAACCACCAAGGATTGAATGATTGTTGCGTGTTGAAGACGTGAAGAGTGTGTCCTGCTGTCCCAAGAATGGCTACTGACATGCAAAAGCACAATCCAATGAGTACGGCCTGGGCGGCATGGAGGGGGGCGGGGTTGATCTTCATCCTGAAGAAAGATGGAGGAGTTACCGGTAAAGCAAATAAAAAGAATGAAGATTATACGGGTAGGCTCAACCTGGAAGAAACGAATTGAAATGAGCAGGACGTTTGGTGGCTCACCAAACAACGGAAAGACGTTCGACGGATTTACTGAAGCCTCTGAAGTAGTGAAAACGGAGACGGGAACAGCAATGCTTTAAAACAGCAATGGTAGCAATGAAGGTTTCATTTCCTGTCGAACCGCGACCGGGAACAGAAGCCCCGGCTGTTCATCCCCAGGACATATCAGCGCGTAGATAGGTCAAAATAGCGCTGCTTGCAGATGAGGCCTCGAGAGCTTACCATCGATGCAGGTGAAAAGAGCCACTCAAGGGCTTTGTTGGCCTCCCATCACTACGGTGTCCGCGCTCTAACCTCGCCTTGTCGCCCGGTGCGGCCTAGAAAAGGGGACTTAGGCACCGTGGCGGCCGCCAGAGGGTTCACCTACGGCCGATCTCAGAGCGCCTCGAATCATTGCTCGTCGTTAAGGCTTCGGGTGTGCGCCATGCGGGAGCGTCGCGCCCTGGAGGACATGCCGTCCCTGCGGTTCGTGCACAGAATGTATTTCTGGCCCCGGCCGTCGATCTAGCCAGGTGCAGGCGCTTGGAACAGAGTTGGAACAGAGTTGGATTCACGTCGTCTGGAGCGTGATTCGGCAGACGTGGGCGCTTACAGCAAACACCTTGGATTGGTGCGCCAAAAACTTGCACGTGTGAACCGACAAAGATTATCCTGAATAGAATTAAACTTGCAGTCTGTGAGTCTTCATCGCGCTTTTTTTGAACGTTGATGAATGCTATGAGGTTATGATGTGCTATTTCTGGCTACAAATAAACGAGCTCGCCGCTTTCCTGAGGATGAAGATTTGTTCCTGCTGGAGCATTTTAATAATCGGCAGCCTTGCAATCTTGCAATATGCCCGGGCAAACAGTCTATTCAAAGCATCACAATCTGTATGTGTGGGACCAGGAACAAGTTGCATGACTTGAATTCCGTGCCCTGCCCTAGAGATGGGGGCAATTTTGGATAGTTCAGTATGTGTTGCTAACAAGTCTGGATCGAGGATACCCTTTCATCCCTCTATTTTACTCCAGGGTGGCGGGGCGCCTCGAGAGATGCCGCAACCTGAAGGAGTGATATCAAGTTGATCGCTCAGCTCGACGACATGCTAGTGATGTTATCGTCGCCGTGGATTGTGGTATCTTCTCATGAAATTTGGCTTGACAGGCCCCCTCCACTACCGCCAATACCCCATCTCCGCCGTGGAGGCGCTTGCGACGCAGGCGATTTGCCCTTCTTTGCTACTTGTAGAGGGTTTGCTGCCTCCCATTTCTCATCTTCTTTGTATGCTGCTATCGCTAGTTCTAGGTCGTAGTCTGATTGCTTGAGATAGAGAAGAGCGATGTCATATCTGTAATTTGGAGCAACACTCCGCGTTGGTTAGCCAAGCTGCATCAGAACACGCATACATACGACCAAATCAAGACATGGAGAACACTTACTCCGCTACTTTACAAGCGACCATCCATTTTCTCACTTTACCTTTCCTACTTTCTTCCTCCTCTCCTTCAAGCGGACGAGGACTCAGACTCACCCCGCCTTTGTAGAACTCGCCCGGGATGAGGACAGTGCGACGAGCCGCCAGCAGATGATCTGCATACAATCCATTTGTGGTTCTCAGAGCTCCAGCAGGTACCCCATATCGCAATGACAGCGACGCGATCGTATCGTTCGAAGGATCAATGAAATGTAGGACATCTGGCGCGTGCTCATCTGAGCTCCCAGACTTCTCAGACGGTGGGTGTATAGCATTAAGTACGGAATATGCAGGTAGCTCCTCCTGAATTGATTGGCCTGCCCGTGCGGATTGAGAAAGTTCGGGAGACGTCGGTGGCGAGTATGGAGGCGGATCGCGCAGTCCTTGGGGCAGAGAGGTGGGTACTATAGACACTTGGCAATAGGGACAGTACGTGCTGAAGCGCGCATTATCAGTAATACATCGAGCGCAGATAGCGCGATTACAGCACTCGAGCCGACGTTCGTAGAGAGCTGGCTTCTCTGTCTTCTCGTCGTATGTAGGAGGGATAGACGATAGGAATGCTGCGCAAGTGCAGCATGCTTCTGACGACATATTAAAGAATGAATCTAAAGGGTATAGATAAATGTACAATGCAGGAGGATGGAAGGAAATGAGGGCTTGCTATCTACGAAGACGAAGATGCGGCGATATCTCGCGCGTCATGAACGAGAGAGGACGGCTTACATAACTTTATGCCCGATCCATAAATGCACGGCCCCACTCGGGATATTTCGCACTAGCGAGGACCGCCCACACCAGAATTTCAGCTCCAACATTCCCGACTCCACGCCCATCGCCATCACCAACTTCAGAGGTATGTACGTATCACCCTCGCACCCGAGTGCCCTCAGGTAGCCATGGAGAGCAATCGCCTGCTTGTCTGTCTCCGCGCGGACTTGCAGTCGATACGCGCCTCTATCACGACATGAGCTGAAGAACCCTTTCGGGCTCGACCCGGGGGCACTCTCAAGCTCAGGCTTCTGATGGCTAATTCCAATCGTGGTACAGACACCTCAATCCGCATCTTGCCGTTTGAGCTCTCGATCCGCAATCATGGTCAAGACTTCCGTTCTCAACGATGCGCTAAATGCGTAAGTGTCCCACCTGGCATGCGATTCGAGGTCACGAACTGACAGGCGAGCAGCATCAACAACGCCGAGAAGACTGGAAAGCGCCAGGTCCTCATCCGACCCAGCTCCAAGGTCATCATCAAGTTCCTCACGGTGATGCAAAAGCACGGTACGTGGAGCGATTTCTTTTCCCTTCGGACTGATAACGAGGCAATGGTTTTGATTCTCCTACGACCTTTGCCCTTTAAGTGTCCGATAGATTGTGACGAAGATCTTACACGTTCTCTGACTTTTTCTGACGTGCAACGTTTAATCTTACGCAACATACTGACATCTTTGATGCAGGCTACATCTCCGACTTCGAGGAAGTCGATGACCACCGCAACGGCAAGATCGTCATCTCGCTCAACGGCAGGATCAACAAGACCGGTGTCATCAGCCCCCGATACAACGTCCAGCTCCGCGATCTCGAAAAGTGGATCGTCAAGCTGCTGCCATCCCGTCAATTCGGATGCATCATCCTCACCACCTCCGCCGGCATCATGGACCACGAAGAGGCCAGGAGGAAGCATGTGTCTGGAAAGATTCTTGGTTTCTTCTACTAGATATCTACTACAAAATGGGGTACGATGGAGTGGGGTATACCACACCAGGCTTTGGGTCTGAACAGGAAGTAGCACTTTTGAAGTCTATACAATACAAGGATTCATCTATATAATCTATTCCTCTGTGCATCATCCCTGAATTGTGAACTCTTAGAATGCTTGTGGTTTTGTGGAGTAAACGGCTGTCTCAGTCACTACTTTAAAAGTTTACTGATTGGTAGCAAATACACTTCGCCCACCAATCAAAAAGTTCATGTCTCTAAAGCCATGACCCTTGCCATGAACTCTGTGGAGACGTGATCAGCTACTTCGTAGATGTCTTTGTTCACACGCTATTGTAGTTTCCGTAGCCCATTCGCCGAGTGAGGGTTTTTAGCAGAATCTCTAAAAACACCGGCCCATTCCTGAGGACAGTTCAAAAGCCAAGAGCATCTTCCATTTGCCGAGGCTTGTCCAGTTCACACGCCAAATTCAGCCAGTCCCAAACGTGATGTGCGGGCGCTTTGGGAACCTCCATCGCAACTACACCTCCACCTCTCCTCTTCTACGCATAGAAAGATGGTGCTCGAAACCATCTATGTCCTCCGGCACGCCAACAGGGTCCATTACAACCTCGACTCGAGAACGGGCGTCTACAGCTCAGCTTACGGCATCGCAAACCCCACTGGCTTGGGCAATGATCCCGTTCTAGCAGCGCACGGCGTCGAACAGTCTATAGAGTTTGCGAACCATGTCTTACAGCTCGACCCGCCAGTAGATATCATCTACTCCAGCCCGTTTTATCGATGCCTGCAAACGCTCACTCCGGCGCTTGAAACGATATTTGCGCAGCGGAAAGAGTTTCCTTTAGTGAGAGTGGAGAATGGAATTGGGTATTAACTATTTTCTTTGCTGGAAAGATAATTTGACGCCGCTCTTTGGGACTTTGCCATCTTCTGAGATTTGGTTTAGTCGAGCCCAGATTTCAAGATCAGTTTCTCCAATGCTTTGCCTAAACCAGACATTCCCGACGGCGTCGAGATGGCAGCTGGGAGAGGATTTTACTTTTGATTCCACAAGCACACGACTGCAATGGCGCAATGGAGACCATTCCATGAATAGTTGCAATGCTGCGAGTGGATCTTCATTGCAGTTGCGGGTGTAGAGTCTGACACTCCCCCTCATCGAAGTGCTGCATATTGTAGTCACGTGGGGCTAGCATTTACAACGATATCGTTCCCTTACCATTTCAAGCCCATCGAAACGTAATAAACACATTTCATGGGTAGACCGAAGGCCGAGATCAACTCTACATCCTGCTAAACCAAATCCTGAGGATGTCAAACTTTCACAGAGCGGCCAAACTCCTACCTTCACCCCACAACACCAGTCTACAGAACCCAAGCTAACACCGTTCTCCCCCTAATAGAGAGTTCTTCGGCCGCGCCCACTTCCACCACCCCTCCCCAGCGCCCCCTTCCGTCCTCTTAAGCCACTTTCCCAGCATCGATCCAACTTACACCCCCATCATCACCCCAGCTACAAACGGTGAGACCATCCCCGGCCTACACGACCGCCTCGCATACGCCCTCTACCGCATGATTATGGAGCTCGACGACCATCCCGCGAAGCCGCGCTCCGTGCTAATATGCTCGCACGCCGCGACCATCATCGCCGTCGGCCGCGTGCTGACGGGACGGATGCCGGAGAACGAATCAGAACACGACTTCGACGCTTTCACGTGCGGGCTGTCGAAGTTTAATCGGAGGGTGAGGAGTCCTGTGAGTGTGGAGAGGGATGTGTGGGATCCGGCGAAGCCTGATCGGATTCCGGATGTTGAGTGGAGGACGGAAGGGGGAGTGGTGGGGGGTTGGGACTGCGAGTTGAATAGCGACTGCAGTTTTCTTGCTGGCGGGCAGGAGTATGGATGGTGAGTTCTGATGGCCCCTTTCGTGGACGTTGTTATGCTTGGTGTTGTGTTGACGCTCTAATAGGCATTTCAACGGAGACGAATCGTTCATAGATGATAAGAAGTCGATGCTATAAGGAAGATAAAAGATGGGATTTCGCTCAGACTTGACAGAAAGGATAGTTTCAAAACCTAGACGCATGATTAGACCTACGCTATGGACGCATAGGGAGCTTGAGATGTTCCCTTCGAGAGCCCATAGTGGTGAGGCCAATATATAAACCTGCCCTCTCCGGAGCTTGAAAATAGATGTTCGGTTTTCCGATGCTGAAAGTAATCATATAGTCTCTCTCTGGAGCTAGGTTATCGGCCTACGCGTGATGCACGTAGCACGGTCAGTGTGACATTTTGGGTTCCAATAATTGTCGGCGAAAAACCGTCTACTTGATTTCATAGACCTATGCAGAGACACGATGGAAGTATGGAAATTTGTTCTGCTGCAAAGAGGTAGACTCCTATAGCCCTCATGATACCGGGTAACCATTTTCTCCACCATGCTTATTGAACCTTCACCAATCCTCTCCCTCTTCACGCAGCGGTGATGGCCCTGCGGGTGCGTGCACCACGCTGCCTCGAGTTCAAGCGGGCTTGCTCGCGGCCAACAACCTCTGGAGACTTTTGGACGACCTCCTCGCCCTCGGTAAGGATCAGCTCAATGTGGCAGGGGTTGGACATGTAGGGGTTGATCTGGTTGTATTGTCAGTGATCGTTCTCTTCATTGAGTGTCGTGTGTCGCAAATGATGAAGGATTGATGATGCCACGTACTCTGCCGTGAGCACGGTAAGTGCGTCTCCGCTGCTTGGGGGCCTGGTTGACTTGGATGTGCTTGACCTGGAGGTTGCTGGTATCGAGACCCTTGGTGTCGGCGTTGGCTTCGGCGTTCTTGAGCAGACCGAGAAGGAACTCGGCGGACTTGACAGGCCAGCGGGCCTTGGAGACACCGAACTGCTTGCCTGTGGATTTACGTCAGTTCTGTGTTTTGATATCCCTCCATCTTCGTCGCCTCTCCAATGCCAATCCTGAATATCGCAGCCCCAGTGCATTTATCCACGCCCACTCCTCTCGTGATTCCCGGTGATTGCGTAGCTTCTCGAGAAGGGTGCCGACTCACCCTGTGCGCTTCGTCCAGTGCTTCCAGCATACCGCCTCATGGGCACGGCCTCCTTGTGCTCAATCACATTCTCGAGGTAGGCAATGGCGCGGGGCAACTTCCAGCCATTGATCGCCTGGGCAGTTTCCCGGGTGTTCTTGAAGGAGACGCGCAGGTAGGAGCCGCGGGCGCGAGCGGACTTCGCGTTGTCGATACTGGTAGCTGCGTATCGGACCTGGGGGGACTAAAGTCAGCACAAATTCATTGCAGAGAGTAGCGCTTCTGATTTATATCATCAAGCAGACGGGGGGCCATACCATGATGGCGGTTGGTGGAGTCCTGGTTGATGCGATCTCGTGTCGTCGAGAAATTGTAAAAGAGAGAGTGTGCCTTCCGGGCTCGTTAAGCGATCTTGGCGCGCTAAGCCCGAAAAATAAGCTTGGGCCTTTTTTCGCAAGAAAATCACATCGAGAACTTTCACATCCATCCCATCGCCATCCCGTCGCTCGCCCACCACGCTTTGCACGAGACTAACGCCTCGTGAACTCAGCGAGCTAACATATGCGACAGGACTAAGGCAAGCTTTTTTTCCAGCAAAATCCTCCGACTTGCGACTCCTTCTGACTGCTACCAGTCGCATACCGAGCTTCACAACTTTCCGAGCTAGCAACTAGACATGGCCTTTACACCCAGAGGAGACCGCGGCGGCCGCGGAGGCGGACGAGGTGGATTTGGCGACCGAGGTGGCAGAGGTGGATTTGGAGACCGCGGTGGCAGAGGCGGCTCCCGAGGCGGTTTCGGCGATCGCGGCCGTGGTGCTCCTAGAGGACGAGGAGCTCCTCGTGGACGTGGTGGATTCGGAGACCGTGGCGGCAGAGGCGGCCGTGGTGGCGCCCGAGGAGGTGCTGCTGGAGCAAAGGGTGGACAGTAAGTTGCACCTCATTCTGTTGGAATTATATTGCGATAGTAGCGGACCATTTCCTCTGGAAGCTGGTTCCTATTTCGTAGCATGGGAAGCCTAGTCACGGAAAGGCTTCAGGCTTCAATTTCTAACACAGACCACAGGAAGGTCATTATCGAACCCCATAGGCACGCTGGTGTCTTCGTCGCCCGCGGAAAGGAAGACTTGCTCGTTACCAAGAACTTGACCCCGGGCGAGAGTGTGTACGGCGAGAAGCGCATCACAGTTCCGAGCTCAGACAATGCCGTGGCGGCGAATGGTGATGCTGCACCGCCAACGAGCACCGAGTACCGTGTCTGGAATCCCTTCCGAAGTACGAGACAACCCCACGCATTCCGTCTCGAAAGATATTTCTCTGACGCGTTATCTAGGCAAGCTTGCGGCCGGTATCTTGGGTGGTATTGAAAACATCTACATGAAGCCAGGCTCGAAAGTTCTGGTATGTCAAGACCTATACTGAACTGAATGGTGCGATCAAGTTGCTAATCATTTTCTAGTACCTCGGTGCAGCCAGCGGAACTAGTGTTTCTCACGTCGCTGATATCGTCGGACCAAAGGGTACTGTCTTCGCCGTCGAGTTCTCCCACAGGTCTGGACGTGATCTGATCAATATGGCCACACACCGAACCAACGTATGTTGTCTTGTCAAATAACGAAGAGATCTTTCTAACAGAGTCTTAGGTTATCCCCATCATTGAGGACGCCCGTCACCCCTTGAAGTACCGCATGCTCGTTTCTATGGTCGACTGTATCTTCGCCGACGTTGCCCAGCCTGATCAAGCCCGTATCGTTGGCCTCAACGCCCACTTGTTCCTCAAAGTCGGCGGAGGAGTGATTGTTTCCATCAAAGCCAACTGTATCGACTCTACTGCCGCCCCTGAGGCTGTGTTCGCTCGCGAGGTCACCAAGCTCCGTGAGGAGAGAATCAAGCCAAAGGAGCAGCTTACCCTGGAGCCTTTCGAGCGTGACCACGCAATGGTGTGCGGTATCTACCAGAGGGCTGCCTAGGCGCGTCGTATCGAGTTGTCATGAGTTTTTGCTGGTCTTGATGCTACAGGTTGGCTAAGTGTGGTTCACGAACGGCTTCTGACTGATCCAGAGGAAAGGTGCAGAGATTTGGCAGGTTCTGTAGTCTCTGTAAATAAGGCTCATGGCGTTACTGGGCGCCCTGGATACAGGGTAAAAACTAGGTCAATTTCAATTTCATTCAACTTCGAAAAACATGCAGTCTAACTCTCCTGCTTCACTCACCGTTGACAGAGATGAATTAGCTAACCTCGTGATTCTCATGGTTGTCAACCGCCGTGCAGACGACGGATTACTTTAATTCATGAAAACGTACATCTTTCTAGAGATAGCCGGCAATTTGTTCAAATGCGAAATTGCCGATGTGCAAGTTACCATCCTTGATGGCTGCCTCCATCACAAGCGTCCTTATCAAACTTGCAACTCGAGCTTCGTTAAACTTAGGATCTCTATTGCATGATAGGCGACAGCAACCTTGGATCTGAGCAGGGTGATCTTTGGAGGCTCGCTGAAATTGAGCTTGCGCATTGGACGAGGAGCATCGTCCGTCTAGAACCGCTGCAGCTTGACGGGCGACTCTAGCTCCGTCTAGTGCCGCCATCTGCAACAAGTTCATGCTTTGTGTGTTCATACCAAGCCCTTATGTTTTGTGTCGACCATTGCTAGTCAATGGAGTCGGTCATCAGTGAACAAAGTGTACTTGAGCAGTGTCCGATGAAGCTTGCCCAGTGCTCCTTGGTCCTGATGTTCTTGACCACAGCTCCTTTCTAGGAGTACGGGAGTCTTTCATAAGAGATCCCTTGATCACCCAGCGTGGAACAGTATTGAGGGCAAGGCCGGTAGTAGAGTCGAGTACGCCTAGAAAGCAAGTACAACACCTCGTCATACATATGTGTACACACATTTCCACTGCTTGTAGCACTTCAATGTACCGATACAAATTTGGCGGAACGGGTCACATGCTTAGTCTATGTACACTGTCCTGCCGCTGTCTGACGTGACCTCGCGAATTGACCAATATATTGAAATAGATTATGTCTGTCTCATTCGTGTTTTGAGGCAGAGGCAAGAAAGTATATGCAATGTCATGATGAAGCATTGGCGCGATGGGATTCTAGATATCTGAAGAAGTTGGACGCAATGTCTTGAACTGGTAGCTCTTGGCACTTGCAGGTGTGGAGCACAGAGAAATTCCAAACAGTTTGAATACAGTTCTAAATACAGTCTCGACATGTTCTAAACACATGACTCGGGAATAAAGGGTCTCGGTTCCATGCGGAAGGAGCCAATGCTGACTGCTACCGAGCAGTACGTCAGAGTGAGTAACGGCGAAAAGAGTGTGGAGTTGGACTTGGACTTGACCCCGGACGTTGGGCGACGAAAACTTGTTGGTGTCTCGAAAAATGATCTGAGCCTACAAAGGGTGCGGCCGAGTGCATATTCATGACCCCACCAGCTACGCGAGGCGAGGAACATCAAAACGACCGCAAACGAGTCACTTCTCAGTTCTCTATCTCGGCCATACGACAAGTTATTAAGTCGCGGAGAAGAGGAATAGTTGTGTTGAGGCGTAAATGTTACAATTCCGAAAAAAGGAAATTTATTGTGCTGTTGGTGTTGATGCACGGCTGTGTTCTGGTTTTTGGTGGACGGCTTATGTAAGGTGAATATGCACTCGGCCGCACCCTTTGTAAGCCGTCTCCACCCTGAGGGTTAGGTGGTGACGTAGATCCAATGGTGGAGGGGCACAAGGCTAGAGAACATACGAGAAGCTTCGAGCCGCGACTCACAACAGCGCGACATCTCGCGACCCTTCGAACATCTCACGTTGTTGGGCACCGACGACTATATATTTCTGCCTTCTTTTACTTGTTTGCTCCTTCCTTCTGCTACAGACAAACACAACCTCACTTACACTTGCCTGATTTGAACAGTCGAGTCACTCACGACATTCCACATCATGGCGTCCAAGATGGAGTTCACTGACCGAGCGTCGAAGGCACTTGGAGATGCCAGCGACTTAGCCACTCAGTACGCCCATTCACAACTTCAACCGATCCATTTGGCCGTGGCTCTCATAGATCCGCCGCCGGATCTGAGTAAGGACCAGCAAAACAACACCGGCCACGATACACACTCCCAAGCCTCAGCTCCCTTGTTCAGACAAGTTGTTGAACGCGCTCATGGCGACCCACAACTCTTAGACCGAGCCCTCAAGAAGAGCCTCGTCAGGCTGCCCTCACAAGATCCTCCTCCAGAGAGTGTTTCCATGGCACCAAGCTTCTCGAAGTTGCTTCGATCAGCAAACGAGCTGAGCAAGACTCAAAAGGACAGCTACATTGCTGTGGACCATTTGATCCAGGCATTGGTTCAGGAACCAGCCATTCAAAGGTGTCTGGCCGAAGCCAACATTCCCAAACCCAAGATGATCGACGAGGCCATACAACAAATTCGGGGGACGAAGCGGGTGGACTCCAAGACGGCCGACTCGGAGCAGGAGAACGAGAACCTCAAGAAATTCACAATTGATATGACGGCGATGGCCCGAGACGGCAAAATCGACCCCGTCATTGGCCGAGAGGAGGAAATTCGACGAGTCATCCGCATTCTCTCCCGGCGAACCAAGAACAACCCAGTCTTGATCGGAGAGCCTGGTGTCGGCAAAACCACCGTTGTCGAAGGCCTAGCTCGCCGCATTGTCGACGCCGATGTGCCCGCCAATCTTGCAGCATGCAGACTGCTATCACTCGACGTCGGCGCATTGGTGGCTGGAAGCAAATACCGGGGTGAATTCGAGGAGCGGATGAAGGGTGTCCTGAAAGAAATTGAGGAGTCGAAAGAGATGATTGTTCTCTTTGTGGACGAAATGCATCTCTTGATGGGTGCTGGAGGAACCGGAGAGGGAGGTATGGATGCTGCCAATCTGCTCAAGCCCATGCTTGCTCGCGGTCAGCTTCACTGCATCGGTGCAACGACCCTCAGCGAATACCGCAAATACATCGAGAAAGACGCAGCTTTCGAACGACGTTTCCAACAGGTTCTTGTCAAAGAGCCTTCGATCCCAGAAACGGTTTCAATTCTACGTGGTTTGAAGGAGCGATACGAAACACATCACGGTGTCACCATTCTGGACGGCGCTATTGTTGCTGCCGCTACACTAGCTGCGCGGTATCTCACTCAACGTCGTCTCCCCGATTCTGCGGTCGATCTCATTGACGAAGCCGCTGCCGCCGTACGCGTTACGCGAGAATCTCAACCAGAGGCCCTCGACAATCTCGACCGGAAACTCCGCCAACTTCAAATTGAGATCCACGCTCTCGGTCGTGAGAAGACTGACGATGCCAAGGCTCGCCTTCGGGAAGCCGTAGCAGAGGCTGCCAACGTCGAAGAAGAGCTGAAGCCTCTACGCGAAAAGTACGAAAGCGAAAAGCTACGCGGCAAGGAGATCCAAGAAGCAAAGGTGAAGCTTGACTCCCTCAAGACCAAACTGGCCGAAGCAGAGCGTATCCGCGATCTACAGACTGCCTCCGACTTGAAGTACTACGCCATTCCCGATGTTGAAGCACGGATAGGACAACTCGAAGCAGAAAAAGCGAGGGCAGATCAAGAAATGTACAACCGTAGAGGGAGCGGTCCGGGAGAAGCAATGCTTACCGATTCCGTGGGCCCTGATCAAATCAACGAGATCGTCGCAAGATGGACAGGCATTCCAGTGACGAGGCTCAGGACAACCGAAAAGGAAAAGCTGCTCAACATGGAAAAGGTCCTAAGTCACATCGTCATTGGCCAGAAAGAGGCTGTTTCATCAGTGTCTAATGCCATCCGACTCCAGAGGTCAGGTCTCGCAAATCCAAACCAACCGCCAAGCTTCCTGTTTTGTGGCCCATCGGGTACAGGAAAGACGCTCCTCACCAAAGCTCTCGCCGAGTTCTTATTTGATGATCCTAAGTCGATGATTCGGTTTGATATGTCCGAATATCAGGAACGTCATTCACTGAGCCGAATGATCGGTGCTCCTCCAGGGTATGTCGGTCACGATGCTGGCGGGCAGCTTACTGAGGCGCTCCGACGAAAGCCATTTTCAATCCTACTGTTCGATGAAGTTGAGAAGGCGGCGAAGGAAGTCCTCACTGTCCTCCTACAGCTCATGGATGACGGACGTATCACCGATGGCCAAGGCAGAGTCGTCGATGCGAAGAACTGTATCGTCGTCATGACATCCAACCTTGGTGCCGAATACCTAGCCAGGCCGAACTCACCAGACGGGAAGATCGACCCAACGACAAGAGAGATGGTCATGACTGCGCTACGGAACTACTTCCTACCCGAATTTCTGAATCGTATCTCAAGCACCGTCATATTCAATCGCCTTACAAAGAGGGAGATCCGCAAGATTGTCGATGTGCGGATGGTCGAGATCCAGAAGCGTTTGAGCTCTAACGGTCGCAATGTTAGGATCGATATGACGGAAGAGGTCAAAGACTACCTGGGCAGTGCTGGATACTCTCCAGCGTACGGTGCTCGGCCACTTGCTCGGTTGATCGAGAAGGAGGTGCTCAACCGCATGGCCGTCCTGATCCTTCGTGGAAGTATCAAAGATGGAGAAACGGCGCATGTGGTGCTGGAGGATGGCCATATCCATGTGCTTCCGAATCACACGGACAGCGAGATGTCCGAGGACAGCGAAATGTATGACGAAGACGACCCGATGGTTGACCTCGATGATGGCCAGGAAGATCTCTATGATTAGAGGGCTTGGAGGTGATGCATGGCGAGCGTCACGGGAGTTAGTATAGGGATTAAGCGATTGGTCATTTGGGCTTCCTTTGGGTGTTATTAGGACGAATTATGAATGAAAAAAAGGAGGTTTTATGGGACGGGTATCATGACATGATACCGATGCATTGTATAGTAATACGACTTTCTGTTTGCCTTTGTGCTGATCGTGAAATGACATGATTTTAGTGATAAAGAGACAGCCGCGAAAGCCCGCTTATGAAGACATAACGAGCGTCTTACTACCTGTTCAACATACATCCACGTCACCTTCCTATTAGTATCGATTGCTCCTAAAGCTGTTGATTGCACATTGAAGGAGGTGCACGTGGGCTTTTGGGGCTAGGCGTAGATCTGTAGGCATCTTAATCCGGGCATCCAGTGGTGCTCGCTGCGATGTCATGCTGATTAGAGTGCTCAGGTGCTCCTGTGGGTCAAACCTTAAGACAAAGCACGACTACCTGCGAAACCTTGATGCATGTGCATCCATAGCTGCCAAAGTGGAGATAACTTTTATCTGCGATTTGCCTTAATGAAGGAGTGAAGGAGTTGTTTCATCGAGACTCGAGTCCATCCTGCAGTGCTAGGCGCACTCGGACCACTCCACTGCAAACGCGTGTCGGAGATGCACGAACTTCACGCGCCCAGCCTTGCACTTTTCCAATTGTCCGCCTGTCATCATCCCATCCATTCACCGGACTCAGCACCGCTTTCACCACCTCCGCACCTGCCTCACCCCGACGCACTTCTTCTTCTTGTTGCTATTTAACTCGTGCTCTCGTTTTCTGAGTCTGCAAAGTTCAACACATCATCCACCACCAGAGCCAGCCCCTCACCACCACCACAGGGCACACTCCGGCACCGGCTCTACATCCTCCTACCGCCGTCTGCGGCACTGATCCTGCTGGGGAATCAAGGCATAGAGAAGACTTAGAAATAGAACAGACAACAATGCCGTCGACCTCGCACCGCTCCAAGCGTCCATACCAACCCTCCATCACAGCCTTCTTCGCCCGCCCTGACCAATCCGACTCGAGCATCCCACATATAACGACGACGCCTGCTCCGGCCCTCCCATCCTCCGTCCAAGCATCTCTCCTCAACGTCGGCATGCGGGTTCGGAAGTCTGTCCCTGAGGGCTACAAGAACAAGCAGCGCGAACTCGACAACGGGGATGCCTACAGCGTCAAGCCCGTGCAACAACTACCCACGGAGACATACTCGCATCCCCGCGAACTACTTCCTTTCTGCGGCCTGCACAAGATTGGGGGCTTTGCCGAGCAGCCCGTTCACACACCCTCCTCCAACGACTGGGGCTGGCCAACCCAGCCCGTCAACTCCCAGCCGCACCTCCACCTCTTCACAACGCCCTTCTCTTCCCAGGGCTCGACCAACTCGAATATCTCCACCGACTCGGCCCCCGCTCGCCAGCTGAATGCGAACTCCCACAAGCGCAGCTTCGACGACGCCGCGAACGACGTCTTCCCCCTATCGAACACAAACAGCCTCTTCGCCCCGCTGGACGACGAGGAGCCCGTCTCCCCAATGTCGAGCACCCCCCCACCGAACGCCTACCCGATCAGCCACACCGCGATGCCGCAGCTCTCACCGCAACCCCTCCGGCCGTTTGCCCAGCCACGGACACGAGGCATGCAGCGGCTGAAGAGCGGCAACACCCAACAGCTCCAGCTCCAGGAGCTCGGGTTCAAGTCAATGGCTCTGCCAACAACCATGGACGCCGAGAACGCCGACATGGGAGACGCCGAGACAGACGCCGGGCGGAACAGCTCTGATTTCGAGGAAGCGGACTTTTTGCGGCCGGTGTGGGAGCGTGGCGAGGTGGAGATGGGTGGGGTTTGAGACATTCTCATTCCACACATTCTGGACTTGCAGTCCAAGTTTGCATTTCTCATTCATGTGCGAACAATAAGGGGTTCGATCATGCCCTTTTCCTTCTGTCTTGATACCATCTGTTTTCCTCAGGCGTTGGAGTATGGATCTGGGGAATGATTGTTGGGGGGGGGGGGGGGGGTCCTATATTCTCTAGCCTTTCCTCCGCTATTCTCTTATGCTCAGAGCTTCTTTGTCCAGCATACACGATATGTTTACCTTCTTGTAAACTTCTACACTTAGCTGCGTCTCTACTTCTTCCTCAAGCTCTAGCCCGAGTTTCTAGATCGACGGCATAAGAGCTTTTTGATAGCTAAATCGTAAGATTATACAATAAATCTTGGATGTGCTGTGTGAAACAACCAATGCATGAGACAACCTCTTTTTGCCGGTGCAAGATGGGGGCGTGGGCATGGGCGTGGGCATGGGCGTTACTCCTGCCCACCTCGAACAACCCAACGCCAAAACGCGAGTGTAGTAGCCCTTGAAGACCCACATCCCTATATTAAAGAGACATCATCTCACACAACCCACGAGTTTCTGTAGACCACATTATCGAAGCAACACTTAGCACCTTGAACATCTCTCCAGTCCGAACAATTCCAAGATCCAACGTAACCACACTCCTCCTCGCCAAGAGACTTCGATCCATGCGGTTCTTCATCCCTCTATTCCGTCCCTCAGCCCCCCCCAAAAAAAACAAGAGCAAGCGACAGACTATGTACAAGCCGACGGGGTGCACCACACCGTCAAACGCGCCATAAAGTCGCCAGCCTGGAGGGAAAGCTGAACCCAATAGTTGCTTCGAAACTGCAAACCCTAGTTTCAAAAGCAAAAGCCTAGCAAAAAGCTTCAACAGGGAAACCAAAGTTTTCACCAAGCCAAGTATCAAGAAAACTCACGTTGCGAAGCCCACACTTCAAACACATCCATCACAATCACCATACCCTTGTAAGACCATGGGAAGTGAGTAAAAAAAAAGGGGGGGGGAGCAGATGCTCGAAGCAATTGATTATGATCCACTACCGGTAACCCATCCACCCACCTAAACACCCCGCCCTCACATAATCCCCTAGCATCACGCTCGGGACCATTCCCCCACTCTCCTTCCATCCATGCAAGCCGCATACCTCCTCATAGAAAAGCAAAATCTAAGTAAATAAAAAAACCAGTTGCTGGGGTGCTCGGGGTAACTAGGGGTCAGCTCACACGCGTTTACAAGACGGGGAATCTTTGGAATGTCTCTCTCTCTCTCACTCTTCTCAGATACCATGCGTGCCAAACCAAACACATAACAAGAAAAAAGCACAAACGGGGGCCGGGTGGGGTGACGGGAAGGCGGTGCTCAGGGTAAAAAGAAAACACTTAGGTATTGATAGATAAAGAGGGGAAAAAAAGTGGGGGGGATATCTCTGGAACTAGGCGACTTTTTTTTCCAATGGATCTTTCTAGAAAAAGAAGAGCTGGATGAGAGGCACAAAAACTATTTCTTCATTGACCTGCCCATCCGTGCTCTCTGCTGAAAGACCTTTGGCGCCGTAGAACCTTACATGACTTCGGGGGCATACATGAATTTCCTCTTTGGAGTGTTGTGGTGTCCGGGGTGGTGCGAGGTGGGTGCTCGATATATCGCAGGGTGTTGAGTTGGGTGGGATTAGGGTGTAGGTGTGGCGTGGAGTGGCGAGGGATTCGATTCGGGGGTTGGGTTGGTGCTGTGCGTGCTGCATCAGGTCGATGATGTGCTGGTGATCGGGGTCGGGGAACTGCTCGTGCGGAGGAGGGGAAGGGAGGGCGCCTTGAAGCCAGCGTATAGTACGAACAGTGGCTAATCGTATCCGGTTCCGGTAAATCTAGGGCTCGAGCACCTCTGGGGATTCGTCGCCGTCGATAACGTCGTTTTAGCAAAACCAAGTTGATATGTCTGTAAGACAAATCCTAGACATGCCAGAGCTTACACGATGATCATGAAACTAGGTTGGATTTGATCATCGCGCTGTCTATGGTTTTCCTGAACCTGTGCCACTTGAGGCCCTGACGCCGGGTATGGATATGGAGGAGGGATGGATTACTCAAGCCATCTGGCCTGCGTTACCGCCTTCAAATAATAATAGTTAGCCTCCGGCATTCTAACGGAGTCCTCCATTCTCAGACGACTTGGGAAGGAAGAGGAAAGAAATGTGTTCTGTACCGATTTGGCGCTTTATCTGCTCACGAGCCCAACGAGCCGTGTCTTGCGTTCGAGGCTGGAATTCACGATTGGCGCGAACCTCTCTAGCCATGGCCGTCAGCCAGTCAGCGCGGTACAATTCCGCAAATTCGCCGTGAGGGAAAGCATCGGCAAGGTCACTTGGAATCGTTAGTACAAATCTTCGAATCAGGCGAACGTCGGCGCTTACCCGACGACTCCCAAAGAGGATCGCAAGAGAGCCTGCGAACGGCTAGAGTCCGTGTAGACCGTATGTAGGAGCTCAAAGATGGCCGTCACCCAAGGAGCCAGCAATTGCGCTAAAATGGTCAGTACAGCAGCTCGCGGAACGGAAGTTCAAGGATATCAACTCACTCTTCCCACTGCTCTTCATAGCCACGATCGCACCATCCCAAGCATCCATTATGCCTTCTCTGAGCGACACAACGTAGTCCAACATCTCGTAGCTGATGTCTGGGGTCATTGGAACACCCGCAGCCTGTTGAAGCACTTGGGCAACAACTGGAAGATATGTTTCGAAGTGTCCACCAATGGCCTGTGCGATATCGCCGAAGCACTGGAGAATAGCCGGCTTGAACGTATTGCCGAGTTGTTGGCTCTTTTGCGAGGTTAGCAAGTCTTCACTTCTGGTACTAAAGGATTTACTTACCCGGAGATTGTTCAAGAGGTAGTTCATAAATGCATCGCACCACGGTTGGACCTTCTCGCCTAGCGATCGGGTGATATCGCTGACAAGGCCAATGGCCATAGAGCACAACGCGGGCTCTTCCTGGTTGCCGAGGGCGTTGTACAGGAACGGGGTGAAAGCGTCCATGTACTTGATGAAATCATCCTCTAGAGCATTTGCAAGTGCTCCAATAGCCGCAAACACGGTGTCAGGAACGCTAGATTTCGCACCAAGAGAAGAAAGCAGTTGAAGCAGAACTCCCATGATTCGGTCAGCTTGTGGCCTAATCTCAGTCTCTAGTCGCTGTACGATTGCCTGTGTGTCTATTAGTTTGAAGTCTATTACTCAGTAGAAATGTTACTGTACCATTACGACGCTTGTCAAACTTGTCTGCATCTCCTCTAGGGTCAACTTGTCCTCAACACTAACCACCTGAGCTTGGAGTTGGATAGTCTTCTCTAGACGTTCCAAAACGACATCGGACAAGCCGGCGACAATTCCTACGCTATCGTTCGCGGCATTTGTAACGAAGGCGTTGAGGACTTCATAAGCGGCAGTACGAAGCTGATTATCGGCGTCATGTCTAGTAAGGTTAGCGAGCGTTCTACGGAAATACGAAAGGGGCGGACTAGCCGTTCAGTGACTTGAAGAATGTGAGTGACGCTGGCCTGGAAATGCGGTGACAGTGCGTTGCTATCGCACCCAGGCTCGCCGGCAAATCGATCTGCGAGGTTCATGAGAGCCCAGCAGCAGGACGATGCCATCTTTGGATGGCTCGACAAGCCGCCAAATAGAGAGGCAATCAAAGGCTGAAGATGAGTGGATGCGTCGATAGACTCGGCTGTAACTTCGCAGATACGGCCCAGTGCGTAAGCTGCTGAATCCTTGACCTGGATTACCTGGTCGTCCATCATGCCAATGAGAACAGGTAAAGCTTGCTTAACGAGGGGATCCAACATGGACAGCTCTGGACCTTCCATAATGGCACCGAAAGCAGAAACGGCAGCATCACGGAAATGCCAGTCTTCAGACCGTAGGTTCTTCTCCACAAAAGCAAGGACCGGCGGCACAACGGCACTGCCCACGGTCTGCGCCCAAAGTTGCAAACACTGGTACGCAGCTCTTGAGACGTTGTACTCATCATCAGCCGCGTCCTCGTCCTGCTTAGCAAGGAGCTCCAGAAGGACTGGGACAACTTCCTGGGTGGCGACTCTAGCAAAGTTGAAATACTCCCTTAACTCGGTGGAGCCTTCCGCTTGGGCCTTTGCCAGGGTTAGTGAGGTGTCCTCATCAGCTGCACTTTCGGACTGGAGTACTAAGAAAAGGTCACGTACTTGTTGATTGTCGTCCTCGATAGAGATTTCTTCTTCGCAGACGGTGCACCAGAATTCAACAGCGAGCTTGGCAACGTCTTCCTCATCGTGCTTCATGCCTTGAATTGTGAGCCCGAAAAGCGCCTTCTCCATGTAGAAGCGCATTTTGTCGTAGTACAGGCTCATGATTCTGTTGAGGCAGCCGTACGCGCCTTGCTGGATACGAGGGTCGGTGGCTTGCGTAGCCTCACAGATGACTTGCATAATGTAATTTCGCTCGCCTTCGTTCTCGAAATTGGTCCGGACAAACTCGAGAGAGTCGCTGAGAGCCGTGATGGCCGCGCTCCGGACCTCTTCGTTGGCCTCCTCTTTCCGCGCACCCTGGACAACAGCGGTCAGGATTGCGTTGGAGTGCTGTGCGAGGCTGTCCCGAAGATCTTGATCGTCCGTGTCGCAGATATAGCCAATTGTAGTCAGAGAGGCCTGCTTCTGGTGATCGGAGCCTTCCCCAACATTGCTGACCAGCGTTTGCATGAGCTCCGGCCACATCTGGCGGGGAAGCTCTATGGCGGCAATGGACGCGATGAACTGGGCAGTCTGGCCGCCAACCTGGTTGTTGCCCGCCGAGAGCGTCTTCAAAGCCGTGGCCTTGACCTGGGCCTTCACATTGGGGTCTACTTGGTTGAGCCATCGTTCCTGGACCTGACGTAGGCGGGTGTACTCTCGCGCGGAAAAGGAGTTCTTGAGGGCAAGTGCCGCGGCGCTTCGGATGTGAGGTTGAGCGTGCTCGTTGGCGAGCTCAGTTGCGAGGACGGTCAGGTAGGCGGACTGGAGTGAGACAAGGCGCGGTTAGTGAGTGTCTTGAGCGGGCACGGAGAGGCTTCGAGACGGCGGGCGCCCAACACTCACAAAATCAGTTTCAGCGGCTGAGGTGAGCTGCAATTCGGCATTTGTGCGAATCGTGGCATCTGGGCAGAGTCAGTAGGGCAGCAAGGCTTGAGCGAGCGGGCGGGTCGCAGCACGCACCTGGAGAGAGAGTCCCCTCCAACACCTGGTTGACATCCATGATGGTAGGAGGGCGTGCGGGTGTGCAGACAGCGGCCGGGACTTGCAGCGACAGATGTGCAGCTGGGTCGTGCGAGTGAGGGTGCGGGTGTAGATGGGGCGGTGGTGGAGTATAAGAGGTGTCGTGGGGGAGCGTGTTATGGGAGGGAATTTGAAGCGAAAGTCGACGGCCTTGGACAGGCCAAACACGTGAATTCAGCAGAGATGCCCGCTTCGCGAAAGGCCCACCCCGCAGACCGACAACAAGCCCCGGAGCGTCTCAGGCACGCGCGGTGCTTTGGACCAGTGCGCCCTGCTCGCAGAGGCAAACGGCAAACAGGGCGAGCATAATGCCTCTTTGGCGGCGGATCGACGTCAAGGCAGCCGCAACAGCCTTGCAGTCGTGGTTGGTGAAGGGCTCACGACCACAGGAGGATTGGCTCGCTTGCCCTGGCGTCCGCTGCCGTGCCCCTCCGCCCACGGGCTGCAGCATGGTGAACGGCTCAGTGGCGAAGCTGGGCGTCACCGAGGGCAGAGGCTTCGCTATTTGCTACCTTTGTATGCATGCCGGCGAGCAAAGCAGCGTTGGTGTTTGGAGCTCGCGACCGTGCACAAAGAACCAGATAGAGCACGCCAGACTCCCTCAGAGCAGCAGAAATCGGTAGAAATGCAGCGAAGACGTCTTCACGACTGTCTCGTCTGTACGTCGGTGCGCGCTTCAGCTATGCCGACAAGAACCACCCAATGCTTTGGCCCACGGCCCAGTGACCCAACGACCTTATATACAAGTACATGTACAGCACGAGCCTGTTCCCAGCTTCTCCCAAACGCCGCGTATGCAGTGCCATGCCTCTACATCCTACTTCGCGGGTTGTTGGCCTCTTCCTTCCGCCAGTCCCGTAGTTCTTTTGTCCCCAGACTGCCCAGCCCGCCCTCGCTCCTCCGTTCCCATCCTCCCAGCCGCACGACTAGCGTCGTGGCATTATCAGCGTCGGTGGCCACCTCAGTGGCAAAGCCAGTCACATCCCGAGCGCCCTGCTCTGGAGTGCGGGCTTCCTTGACGACGTCCACGATCTCCTGGTCGCTCAGATGGCCCGACACGCCGTCAGATACGAGAACCAGGAAGGAGAATTCCGCCGGCGAGATCTCCATGCGCCGAATCTCCGGCTCAGCAGAAACGCCTATGCGTTTCGATGCCATGTCTCCAAAGGCACGGGTGTTGGCAAGGCCGGAGACTCGTTCTTCGCCGAACGAATCGGTCACGAACGTCGCCGCATATCGCCGCAGCCGGGTAGCTTCCATGGGCAGAGAAGGGTGGTGGTTCGATGTGAGCGGAACAGCAAGCCCAGTTGCTGTGTTACAGAGTAGAATCCGCGTGTCACCGCAGTGAGCCGTAATGAGTGTTGAAGGAGAGGCAGGATGCCAGAAGGGCGAGGGGGTTGGCGTGGAGATGAGCGCAATGCTACACGTGCTACCGCCTTTGAAGCGCATTGGGCCGCCTATGCGTTTAGTGGAAGGGCTTCCAAGTATGTCGTCGTCGTTGATGGCGCGGTCAGCTAGGACCGGATCCTCGTCCTTTTTGCCAACTTGAGCCGACACGAAGTCGTAGTCCGCTTTCAAGAAGGCATACTCGAGGACCGTCTCGATGCCGATACCCTCTGTGGTGTCGTCCGGGACGCATGAATTTTGGAGCTGCTTCCGTTCAGCCATCTCTTTCTCTGCGTTATGACCCTGGCCTCCGGCGGACAACGCAAAGTACTCGGGCTTGAAGCGTCTATAGTAGCCACCCACAAGTTCCTTCCAAGCCTTCACAAGCTCGCTCTCTAACTCTTCTGCTCTACACACGCTATCAGATTGCTTGACAGACCGAGCATCCTCTGGAGGCGTAGCAGCATCAGTCCCGCTTGGTGGCTGTTCATTAGTGCCTGCTTTTGGTGGCTTGACCGGCTCAGTACCGGGGGCCGTATATGTGTCCACAGCCTCCAAGCTGTCCCTGCCGCTTTCGCCTAGACTGCTCGGCCAGCCCATATATCGCTCCGGCTTGCCTTTGCGTCTGAGACTGCTTTCCAGCTCGAAGAGCTTCGCACCTCTTTCAATGTATTGATGTAGCTGCTCCCGCAAGAAGTCGCTGCATTCTATTCCTCCATGGCCATCGAAGACTCCAAAGTAGAAGACCTGGGGGTCTCCGCTTGGGCTATCAGCCGGCGTTACCTCCCCAGCTACGTTTCCACGATTGCTGCGTGTCAGGGTCATAGGCCTTCGTTTAGAGAACGCCGGTATATCGATTGTGCCCGCCTGAAATGTGTCTTCGTTGTACGGTCGACTACCCCGTGAAAGGGAAACCCCAAAGTGGTGTTTCGCGCTCTTGAGCGGTATGCGCACGACCGTCATCTCCCGGGACATTCCCACCATGGGCGGAGGCGCTGCGGGAGTTCTGTTCGATCCCCGCAGGGTATGAGGCGTCGATTTGTCTCGGGGGAGCTTGTGGTGTGGTCCGCCGGCGGACTTGTCGGGATGCATGGAGGAGGTGGGGAGGTGGGTTATGAAGTATTCGTGAAAATGTCGAGCCCGACATTGCGAACATGGTTTTGGGCGCCTAGTGCTAGCTCTAGTGATTTGAGCTGGTAAATTCCACATTCTTGAAGCTCCAACGAAGGACACATGTTGTGCATGCAACTCTTCGTAGGGTTATGTCATGTTATTTGGTCCAGTTTCATCAATTGGGTCGAAAGTCTATCAGAGGGAATGTCGCGTGCTTTTCCTGCAAACGCAGTCGTGTCGAGGGGTCTCTGGGTATAAGATCTAATCGTATGGCAAGTGAATGTCGTCTCGGGTACAGGGGCTTTTTCGCCGGTTCCTCAGCTCCTGTTGGTCTTGCAGGCCGGAGAAGTCGTGTAGGATGCCTAGAAGGTGGAGTAAGAACGCGATACGGGTACAATTTCGATACAAAGATCGCGTAATACAGTACTGCGAGAGGATCAACTCAAGGAGGGGCCTGCGCAACGAGGCAGCGAGAATCAACCGGTGGAGGATACGGATGTGGAATCCCGGGCGTGTGGGGAACCTGGCAAACCAAGGTTGAACGTCGCCGCTGTCGGCCCATGCCCTTCATCACCAAGACACGGTTCCTGCAGCATTATATTACAATATTCCAAAGGGGCAAGTAATGCATTCAAGTTAAACCCCAATTGCTATGTTCGGAACTATCTCCTCACAAAGCAGCATTCATCGGATCTCGAGATAGAGTATCCAATCGAAGCCATAACAGCATAGTCCAAGCAGCCAGAGTCGGTGACATCCGCCACAGTCCCAAGCCGCTTAGCAAATCAAGCAAACCCCCGAACGCAGTCCAAAGTCCAATTGGGCCCCGAGTGAGGGAGTCCGGCCGAGCTCATGAGGCCATAGTCCGAGCAGCCAAAGTCAGCGACTTCCCGCGCAGGCATCCCGGAGCCGCTCAACCCAAGTAGACAGTCGACAAAAACCAGAAATCAATCTAAAAGATATTGGAATAAACATGCTTCCAAAGCCCCATCCTGTCCGTAAAGTCTCGACCAGTCCGATATCCGAGACAGATTCGCCCTATGAGCTCCAAGCTGTCAATGCATCCGAATCGTTAGGTCGTAAGTCCGTGAAACTAATTCCCATCGTCATAGTCGAGGCCGGTCATGAAGTCGTGATCATATTCGTGATCATAATAGTGAATCTGAGCCGCATCCATAATCGAAATTGTAGTCGTTAGTCCGAGTCAATAGTGCATCAAAGTAGAGCAAGCCTCTTCAAAGTGTGTCTTTCCAACGTCTCGTCTTTCGTCCGACCTTCAATCTCTGCCTTGCTCTTGCCTTCTTGCGACTCTGTACCCGGCTAGTTGCGGCTGCCATGTCTGCGCTGCCTGCCGTTCCCAGATCGAGGTTGCAATCTTCTTCACAATCACCTCAGCACCGTGAACGATTTCAGAACCAACCGGACCATTCGCCGGATACTTGTCGCACTGAATTCTTGGAGTGATGCAAAAGAGAACTTGATATCTCTGGGCGTTCGCTCTGACTTCGTGCGGAGAAACATCTGGGTTTCGGAATACCATGCTTGGTGTGAGAGGGTCTTCCTGTTGCGGGAAGTTGAATGCCCAGTCCATCTGATCCATGCGCATTCTGATACTGATGCGGACTGCGCGGATGAAAAATTGTGTGAGTTTAGAGCGCGCCTCCTCCATGCTCTTCTGACGCATTGCTGGAGCTAGAATACTCATCAAGTCGCTCGTCATTCCGTCGACAAAGCCGGCTCTCCAGTGGTGATATTGAGGATCCTCTTGCATTTCCCAGTAGAGCGCGGCTCTGGTACGGAGGATTTCCTGGCATGTAGCGTATTCGGGGGCTGCGTTCCAATGTTGGCGGAGGACACTATTGTAAGTTTTGAGCTCTGCTGAGAAAGGGTCAATGAGGTCGCATTTCATGGCCGCCGAACAGATGTAATGATTGACCACAGACAAGATAGCAAATTGTTCCAGGGTCGGGTCTAGCAAGACTTGCTGCGCGGCGGTGTCGTCTCGGACAAGCGTAACGAGCTGGGTCGTGGCTTTGCAGAGCGCCTCCATAGGATTGAGGTTCGACAAGGGAACCGTGGCATATTGCTGGACCCATTTCTCAATGTCTCCAAAGTAGTCGGCCAGCATTGGGCGATATGCCTGCTTGTTCGGTCCACCTGGGGGTACTGGCATGGGTGCATGCCTGAGTCGAGGCGTGTCCGCTCTGGTTCCAGATCGTGGTGCGGGAACAATGCCACCTAGGGTTTCTCCTGATACGGGTGCCGAGGGCGTAACTACTGGCGCAGCGCTCTGGGGTTGTGGTTGATGGGCGTACGGGCTTGGACGATGCGGGTGCGGTGCTGAGGGCATCCTTACAGTCTCATCCATGCCGTCAACTCTGAGTTCTAGAGCTGCGATTCTGTCGGTCTGAAGAAGGACAATGCGCTTAAGCTCGACAATTTCAGCTACCAGCTGCATATACTGATCCTGCGTGACGAAGCCACCCCTCAGGGTGCCATTGAACGACGTCGTAGACCGATTCGTGCCCCAGAAAGAAGCTCCAAACGGAGCAGACGGCTCGGCGTCCTCATTCCCACCATGCCAGAACGGATCGTTCAATTCGAGATCTTTCAGATTTGACATCTTTGATGGCAAATCTCCGAACCCCCAGTGGTGGCTCGTACCGGTACCTGACCTGTAAAGCGCGCAGTTTAGTACAATCTATTCGAAGGGTTGGGGGAAGCCATCAGAACTGCAAAGCTCGAAATAGCAGGAACCCCATGATACTCTTGACCGAACAAGTGAAGCGTTGAAGCCAGTCCGCTTCCAGTCTTTCAACCTCTTTCCATGGCTCAAAAGCTACTGAAGGACACGTCCAAGCCCTGCCCCTTTCCTGCACGCCACCTCCTCTTCTCTCCTCTCCTAATCCTGCCTTTCCTAGCTCTTTCCAAAAGAACGCTCGCTTGGGCAGTGATGTGATGTGAAGGGGTGTGAATTGGGCGAATAAAAGCCATCTCGATTCTTACCTTTCAGCTCTTTGGGGCGCTTCAGCCTCCTTGCTACCTCCCCACTTCGCGGACGGAGGCGATTCGAATTAGGACGCGAGACGCAGCGCACGTTCTCTCAGGCCGTTGTGCGGTGCTGTTTGGGGTCAATTTTGGAGCGCCAACGAAGCTAAGGGGACTGGCTTACCGTGCTGATGAGTGGTGTAAGAGAGGAAGTGTCGAAGTGCGGAAGAAGCTCTCTTATAGACGGCAGGCCTTATGACAACAAGCAAGCCCACGAGGTGAAGTTTTAGCCCAGAGCAGGAGAGGTGAAAAAGGCCCAAGAGATAAGGGGTGAAAATAAGTCTCGAGGCAGGTGATCCGTGGGCACGTGCCACTGTGGGGAGTGGCCCAAGGTGAGTTTCAGAATACCAGAATATGTCATTTCGCTGAATGCGGAGATTGGGTTGAAATCAAGCGTCTGAGCGAAGGGTACGTGCTGCTACAGGAGGTAGCACAAGCAAGTATCCAAGCTCCCGAAGAGATCTCATTCTGTTGAGGGCGCCTATTGCACTTGAGCAAGTTGCTTCAGCAATTACGTGTGTGCGGCCGTAGGGGATGGCCTAAGCATGCGTCCGAAATCCAAGAGCGATGTCAATTCTTTGAGAGCGCGAATTGCGTTGAGATCAATTGCTTCAGCAGCGGCATGCATGCTGCCGTATTGAGGTGGCCTAGGCCTGTGTCCACGTTCTAAACCATATGTCATTGCTTCGAGAACGGGAACTGCATAGCAGATATAGTGCCTCAGCAGTAAGGCAAATGCTGACGTAGGAGGTGGCCAAGCAAATCTCCGACTTCGGGGAAGGACGTCAACTGCCCGAATGCGGGATTTGTGTGGAAGTTCGCTGTCCGAGCGTGAGCCTGATGACCTGTTGACCTGCCCCTGGGTAGTTCAAGAAGTCAGGCGGGAATGGGAATGGAAAGCCGCGGAGCGACTACTCACTTTCGAAACAGTGCCTTGTGATAAGCTTTTTGCCATGCTCTTGCCGCTGTGAAAAGGGCTACGAATGAGTTCTAAGACTTTGGATAGATTGTAAAGTATATGTCTCTTCCCATCAAGCGCAACTCGAGACTATTATCTTAAATCAGTGACAACGCCGTCAGTGGTGCTTCAAGAGAACATACTAAAGGCTGACTAGGCTGCAATACTTCCAAGCCTTCAGAGTTGAGGTAACTCACGCTGGTAGTTTTGAGGAAGTGACGTCACTGCCAGTGGTGCTCCGACAGGTTTCCAAGAATCTAGGGAGGATGTCAATACCAGAAGCCTTCATATTCAGTGCAATTGGCCCAGGTGAACCCTACCGTATGCTGCCACTGTCGGGAGTGCTCCGCGACACTTCTCTAAAATAGAATAGGATTTAAAGTAGTCAGGCGTGCCGGCTCGATGCAGTTCACACCCGTCGGTGTGATAAGGTGATGTAGCTGTCGGTGGTGCCCTGCGAGGGTTCTAAGATTTCGAATAGCATGTTATCACCGCCCGCCATTGAATTCAAGATAGTGGTTCTCACCTTACGATGCCGCCGACAAGGATTCTCTAAGAGACTTCTCGAGTCTGAACCAGATGTCCAATCCAGATGACTGCTGACATCGTCAACAGTGCTCCCACACTCTTTCGGGAGCCTCAATGAGACGTGAAATAATCGTGTTGAAGACTCTGTAAGCTTGCCGGGCCACGCCTGACGACATCGTCTACAACTAAGAAAGAGGAATAGAGATACTCAAGAATTTGGACAACGAGTTTGCATAATCATGCGCTGCTGTGCACACTTGTCTGCCGCTGCTTGAAATGCTTCGATATCTATTCAGCGCTCGGAAAGACGCGCGAATTATACAATTTAGCCCGCCTAATGCATCTCTAGGCCACCTCAGACGACGCGCTACCGCCCACCGTTCACTCAAAAGGGAAGTGATACGTACAATGCCTTGTCATAGATATCCGTACACTTTCCTACCACTATTTGAGGGGTCCTAACGTACTAATAAAGACTAGGGGCGGCGGTGAGAAATCCAATGTACGTACACCCTGCTGATGCTCTCTTGGCTGGCCTCGCGAGTCTACTAGGTGTCCAAAATGCTGAGCGTCTCTCATTCAGAATGCTGAAAATACTATACGGCTTCTCGTACAGCGGTAAACGGCTGTACGGATATCTATGACGAATCATTGTACATAGGGATGTCTAAACTTAACAAAGCGCTACATGCAGTAGCATAGTAGTAAATGCAGACGTACGACTCGAAAATACAGAGCGAAAAGACGGTTGTCACGTCAAAGAGAGGTCAAGCCATGATTACCAAATTATGAAAGGTTCTGTATTGGCTGTCCTAGTGTTAAGACCAGTCCGAGTATGATTTTGTGTTTTTCGTCCTTTCACACAGAATTGGTGTCGAAGCAGTGCCAACATTCAAACGCCCAACCAGTCCCTCCATCATCCACCAACCAGTTAGCCCGCTCATCAGTCGAAGCAACACTCGATTTTCGTCGTTTTGTAGAAAATTGGTGTCGAAGTCACGATCACGCAGAGTTTCAGACAATCGCCCAGAGGCGTCATCCAAAGCAAGGAAGTAGGGAAGTGTGCAAGTGGTATGTGTGCTTGGGGGATTCTGTTTGTACAAACCTTTTCAGCGGGCAATGTCGAGCAAAAATCCCAACAGGCAAGTATTTGTCGAAAGGGCAAAGAGTCTAGTGTACTGTCGGACACGAGAAGTAGCTGCCGCAAGAAGGCGATCGAAGTTGCCGTGAAAAGGTGTCGAGAGTGCCGTGAGAAGGTGTCGAGAGTGCCGTGAAAAGGTGTCGAGAGTGCCATGAAACAGTAATCGGGGGTACTGTGAAGCAGTTATCGGGTATGCCGTAAAGAAGCGTACGTTCGAATATCAGGTTCTCGTCAAAGACCGTAGGAAAACCGTTCGAACGTAGCTACTCAACTGTGTCAGCAAACTTCGCGATCAATGAGGGGGACTGGGCCGCTGAGAGGGCAGATACTTGTGTGACAAATTATGGTAGTCTTAACGGTTGCGAATGCTGAGCTGGGTTCTCCTGGGAAAAATGTGAGATGATGCCCATAGAAAAAAACCTTACCATCGAAAGATATCGAAGGGTACCGTTGATACGCTTACGGGACCGAATTCGGGAACCGAATGTTATACATGGCATCAGAGACGGGCTCTGCGGTAACCATGTGGCCTGCGAAGTAGCGACCATTGAGGCCCTTGATTGCTTTCTCACCACCCGCGATCTCCGTAAATTTGACGTAGACTTCGCCCGGGGTCGACACCGGATCGATTCCGATATGGAGGACCGTGCCATAAGACTCATTGCACTCATCTCTGACCTCGGCGGCCAGTTCGGACTTCCAATTGGGTCCACCCCTATAACTCGTTAATATCTGCGTCAAATAATTAATCGCGTATACCTACTCTTCGACCTCTTCCGAGCCGTACATGTCTTTGAGTACAATACAGCGACTAGCCATGGGGGCCTCGACGCGAATCGCCTGGCGAGGATTTGGCTGGATCGCCTGGCGATTAGCACTAGTAGCGGGCGGATCCTCAATCCGGGCGAGCTTGCGCATGAGGGAGTCTCGGGAGTAGTTGTTGAAGTTGACACCCGCAACATCCGTGTCGTCAAGGGCACTAGCGCCGCCAGCTTTGCGGTCATTGTCTCGTCCACCGGTGCGATCAAAACTGCCGCCAGCACCACCAGCGTGGATGCCACGACCTCCATGTCCCGAGAAAGCCGAGCCCTGGAACTGGGGCTGAGCCTGTCCGTTGAAGCTACGTAGCAGATTGGCTGTTGACTCCGGCGTGAACTTGTCGTTGCCAAGGCCGACGCGGATCGGGCGGCCAGCTAGTTCAAACCCGTTCATCTTCTCGAGAGCTTCTTTGGCCTGGGCAGGATCGCGGAATCTGGATGGTTAGTAAAGGAAGCTGAACAGAGAAATAGCTACTTACTGCACGAAGCCATAGCCCCTACTACGACCAGTTTCCTCCTTCTGCAGCTGGACAAACTCGAGCTCGCCGAAAGGCTCGAAGACGTTTTTGAGGTCCATCTCGGTGATGCTGAAGTGAACGTTGCCGACATAGAGACGGTGGAATGGAACGCCGCTCGCAGCGCTGGGAGCGCCCTCAGCACGCGCCTGGCGATTCTTCTCGGCTTCCGTATGTTGCGCAATGATTGGAACGCCCTTCAGCTTTTGGCCCGTGAGCTCAATTGCGGCCGCGACAGACTCCTCGTCGAAGAATTCGACGTAACCAACGCTGCGCAAGTGTTAGTTGGGTGCTTGAAATGGAGATGGGATTGGTGAGATAAGCATACCCTTTCGAGCGTCCCGAGACGCGGTCCTTCACAATCTGGGCCTCCTTGACTCGACCGACTTTGTTGAAGAAGTCGAATAGGTGCCTAGTCTCAAGACGGGCCGCCAGCTGCTGGACGAAGACTGTGCGTCTGTCACGCTCGTCTTCGGTTAGTACCGGCTCCGGGGTCTTTCGACGCTTAGGGCTCTCGTCGCGGGATCCACGTCGAGCATAGCGTCCTCCGCGGTTATATCGATTATCTCGATCCCGAGGATAATCTCTATCTCGGTCACGGCGGCCACCCCGGGGTTGATAGTGTCGGTCTGGGGACCTAGACCGGGAGCGGTTGTGACCTCCTCGATAGAAATCGCCGCGTCGACGATCATCGCGACGACGGGGCGAGCGTGAGCGGTGCCTATTGGAATGGTGAGAGTCACGGCTTCCACCGCTATAATGAGCATCTGTCATTTCGACATCGCCGTCTTCTGTCTTGACCTTGCTGCGGCTACGATCGCGACGGTGATCTCGATCGCGGTCGCGGCCACGGGCGCGATCCCTGTCACGGTTATCATCGCGACGGGTGCCGTCTCGATGTTCATTCTTGACGGAGCTAGAATTTTTTTCCCGGTCGAGAGCGGCCGCAGCCGACGCAGCTTCCTCGAGAAGGGCCTCGATGTCAGAGAGTCCTGGTGTAGCCATTGTTGGAAGTGAAATTTTGTGTGTGGGGAGTAATCACTGCCGCGAGTGTCAGAGTAGGTGCAGATTCTTCCGATCTGGTTGCTATCACACCCTTGCGTGTTGACTGTTGAGCAAGCTTCGAGGGAAGCTGCTGATGAAAGCAGAAAGCAGAGAGCAGAGAGCAGAGAGCTGTGTAAAAGCAGTCGAGGACTGGGTCTTCAAGTGCAGAGAGAAAAGGTTGTGGAGGAGGATGAGGTTCGGTGGTGTTGTTGTTGGAAAGCGGGCAGAGAAGTGAGGAGGTTTTGATTCTGCGGCCGAAAGTGGGACAGTTTAGCCGGGTCCAGGTGACTAAGCAAAACCGGGCCTAACTAAACAGCCCGCAACGCCTGTCGATCTTCGCTGGTGCCTAGTCCGCACACGTGACGTTAATCTGCAGCGTGTTCACGGAAACGGCGAAGTGGGTAGGGGCACAGGTAGGATTCATGAAGGCCAAGGATATTGAAGCTCTCTGAGCGTATGCTTTCTGTCTTGTCCTCTATCGAAGATTGCCTAGATACGATGCCTTGATCACGTGCCGTTCTCCGATATCTTTAGATACTCTTAATTGAAGCGCGCAGCAGGCAGAACCGCAGTGGACAGAGGTCTCCACAGTCTCAAAGTATAGGGCCTCTCAATATCCCTCTAGAGGTGCATCGCCGACTCGCTACCGTTTTGTCCTCAAAACCGCTATATCTTTATGCGGGCTGCCGAAAGAACTAAACCATCTCTCAACAGGGCAATGGATAAGAGTGACCATTATTTCAAAGCAGACCATCGAGGAAGCTTTAAAATCTCCTATAGCGAGAAGCCTAACGTGGTTGCGGAGCACTTGAAAACACCGCTCACGCCCAACGGCCGCGTTCTAACATCAGAGGAATTCGGCTGGTGATTCCTTATGCCCTACGCGGTCAATATGGAGACGTCGAGTTGGGGAGCAGTGCAAGAAGCTCCCTTTATCGAGCGGTCTACGAGGTAGATGGTTGTGGTTTAGAAGCTTCTGGGTCGAACCAGGGGCCAGTCTTCCAAGATGGACAGATGCGATGTGGAGATAGGAACAATGGCTTTAGCCTACGTTGCAGTCAATCTCCTAGCATGTTCGGAGCAGTCTGGGGTTGAAATTATGGACCATGATGGGAAAGAGACGTAAGCTTCGGTGAAGGTGCATTCCCAAACTCTGACAATCTTCGACGCAGATCCATTGAAGTCCTATCTCATAGCTAGAATATGTTCCCACGAACCTAAATCGCAAGAGATTTCCTAAAAAGGTTAGCCAAAGATAAACGAGGGTGTTTCCCAAGTGCCACAGTTGATGCAAACAGATTCTGCAACGGCAGACTACCAGCTGCAAATTATATTGATACTATGAGCATCAGGATGAGGAGCGAATGAATCCCCCAATGCTCTGCCAAACCCCAAACCCCCCTCAAACGAACAACGTAAACGAATGCCGGGCTATCATTACATTACCACAGAGCCCAACCTAGCCCGATCTAACCCATGACGCCGACCCAATGATTCCAAACTTCTCCAGGACACGGACTATACATGAGAAGACTAAGCCGCCTTCACGATCTTAGGCTGCTCCATTACCAGCTCCGTGTTGAAGACCCAGTCCCAGAATCGGCTGGTCACACCGAAGCCGTTCTGGTAGTCGGCGAAGTGGTGCTTGAGGTGGTACTTCTTGAGCGATCGGTACCACGCTGGTAGGCTGGTTTTTGTTAGCGGTGGCCATGCACTCGGAGTTTGTAATACTTACTTTCGGTGGTGGAGGAAGTAGTGGGTCAGGTCGTAGCAGATGTAACCAAAGATGCCACCACTAAAGACTGTAGTTGCGGCATACTTGTTGTAGGAGAAAACGAAATGTGCGAGCCTGTAGAATGGTGTGGCTAGAACAAGGAAGAGAGCAGGCGGCATGACAAGGCGATATTTGTCCATAGGAAGGTAGTGATGTATGCCGTGGAGGAGGAAATGTAATGTAAAAGCAAAGCGATTGTCGGGTAGGTAGCTAAGAGACAGTCAGCATCTGGTACACGAATCTAGAGCAGAGACAACTTACTAGTCAAGGTGGAACAGGAAACGATGTAGAATGTATTCAACAAGAGTCCATAAAAAGAGGCCCAGGGACCAATATGCAGCCGCCTCCGGTACGCTTCCAAGGTTTAGGAAGCCTATAAAGGTCCCATACATCACTGGAGGTAGCCAGATGGTTGGAATCATCCACCAGGCGGTCTTGCTGAAAGGTTCCAGGAAGTTTCCAAACAACGGTGCTGAATCTCCTCCCTTGTAATGTCTCGGCCGGTGGACCTGCTCAAGATAGAACTGCTTGTTGAATTTGCTCCTGATCATCTGCATGAATAGCGGCTTGTTCAGGTCCAAGAATTTCCATGTCTTATAATCGTCCGTAAGGTCAGTTTCCTTCGACAAGTCCTCCTCGGTAGACATTCCAGTAGCAGCATAAAGCGGCTCCGTTGCCACTCCATTTTCAGCTCCATTCGCCTTGAGGTCTGCCATGCCCTCCTTCGACGGCGGCAGTGGCACGATATCATCGGGGTGCTCGCTTTCCGTCACGGCGTCCAAGACTTTCTCGGAGACGACGAAGCCCACGAGGCATTCATCTAGAATCTCGTATGCAGCCTCGGAATGATCGTGCGAGATCTCATCCTTCATTATCGCCCCAACGTCCTGCCCTCCGTGCTCCAGGATAAGGTCGCCACCACCGGGATGGCCTTCGAGGAAGTCCGTGACATCGTAAATCTTGGTGCCTATCGTGACATAGCACGACTTGGAGGTGTTATGGGCCTGGACGTCCGCGATCGTGATCGTGGGTAGTGTTCTGGCAGGCATGATGGCGAGGGATGATACGGTCAAGTCGGAGGAGTGAAGGATGGTCGCCGCAGAGAGAGGGTATGCACTCTAGGAAGGTGGCGGAACGATCGGAAGTATGCGCAAAGGAAGGGAACTGGCTTAGCAGTTCAAGGAGCTCCTTAAGGAGTCGTGGAATTAGACGGGAGGAGTGCACATGGGGATATCTCGAGCATGAGATGATGGCGAGACGTTGGCGCGACTTCGTCCTAGCGCGACTTCTCCCACCAAGGGTTTGCCCTGAACGATCAGAACTCCGTCAGGGGCAAATTAGATACGACCCTTCCTGTACAAAGCTATCCGGACGGGCCGGCGAAAGCATTCAGCTTCTCCGCGCGTGGTTGGAAAACACAAGTCGCATCATATCTTTATGCTAATCGACTTTAGACTGTGAGTACTCGAGAACTTGCATTAGAATACGAGATGCTATCACTTTCTCAACTCAACACTCGCATTTCAAGCTCACAAGCACAAAAATAGATAGAACAGCAATATTTCACCTTGACATTGCTGAGAAAGACGCTTTCTGTCCTTAGAACAGATACTTGGGATCAAATTTTCAAACATTTCCACTCTAAACCCCAAATCCACACCATCACGTGCGCAGTACAAACCACCTGGATAGCATGCAATCCCTCTTATCACCTGGTATATTGACTAGATCCAAACCATCCCCATCCTAACGCAGATCAAACCCACTCTTCCGCTCTCCAAAGGTACCCGCAACCGTCACCGGATCTCCCACCCGTGGGCCTCCATCTACGTATCACACCCTAACCCGGATATACTCAATAATACACTCACCTGAGTACTCCAATGTACATACTGTAGCAGCCCTATCACACCTCCCCCAGGACCTGAATTACACCATCCCCTCAGCCCCTAGCACCCTTCCGCCCGTCAAGCCCCCATCCCCGTCAATATCAAACGCAGTAGCGAGGTAGCATCCCACGTCCCGAGTACCCCCCTCTACGTAATTCTAACCTTAAGACCCCATTCCACTTACGCAGTCAATGGGGCACAGCACGTACGGCACAGCTCAGCAGACCAACCAAATTTCACCAGCAAAGCAGTCCTCAAAGGGCCCGCATCTGAAACGCTTCTTCGCTTTCACCATCTACCCAGACTATTCCTCGCACATATACCGCCACCAGTCTTCCCCGTACTCTAAGCATGCAGTAACCAATCTTATCCCCGTTCCTTACTCCAAAACGCCCTTCCCATGATCTCCGAGAAATATGAAAATGGTTCCACTGTATCGACTGGGACAATGAGAATAGTCTGCTATATCGACGGTTTGACGTGATGATATCCTTCAAGCTCCGTTCCCAAGCCTATATCGCCCCCGTTTTCCATGTCGTAGAATGCATGTTCAGAAGCCAATCGTGACACCGCCCACCCACCAACCAATCATCCATCCATAAATGCAAGAATTTCGCCCCTTCCTTCAGTTCCGCCAACGCTTATGCCCAAGACCAGCCCAAGCCAAACTCAGCCCAAACACCTCCCAGAACCAACTTTTCCGTTTTACCAAATTCACCCCCCCGCGCATCCTAGCGCTGTTCACCATTCCCCTGCATCCAACACGGCGCACTCCCATCCTGCGCCGCGCTCTGAAAATCATAGTCCCCAATCCCAAACGGCGTCTCCAGCATATCCGGCAAGTTCGTATCCCACATCATGTCGTCCCAGAAGCCGGACAGGTTGCCCATGCTCGCCGGATCCGGCCACGTGCCCATCCCACCACCCATGCTGCCCAGCCCAGCCGTTACGTCCTGCGGGACGCCGTTCGCATCGAGCCCCTCAACCCCTAAGAAGCTGTTGTCGTTGTTGTTGGTATAGTGTGCCGATTGCGCCATCGTCTCAGCAGCTTCAGCGGCAATCTTGTAGGCGTCGTAGAGCTTCGAGACGGCGTCGGCGGAGCGGCGCGCGGCGATGGAGTAGGGCGTGATGCGCGCGAAGAAGGACAGGGCCGTCTCGACCGTGGCGCGCCACTTGTCGATGTCGTCTGAGTTGGAGGCGTCGCTGAAGAGGGAGATGAGGGGCACCATGGAGGCCTGGAACGCGAACCAGCACGCGTTCCAGCCCGAGATGAGATCATTGCTGCACTCGGCGGCCATGTCTTCGATCGTCTTGGCGGCGATGAGGCGGCATTTGCCCACGGCGACTTTTTCTTCGGCGGACAGGGCGACGAAGGGGGTGCGGCGGAGGGCCGTGGAGAGGAGGACGGGGCGGTGTAGGACGATACGGATGTTTTGGAGACGCCATTTCATGACCAGCCGTACGCGTTTGAGGAAATCGGGGCAGGGCTCTTCGGTGTTGGCGAGGATGGAGGGGAGGTCGTCGTGCCAGCGGACAAGTTCGGCGTCGAATTGGGCGAGCTCTTCGAATTTCAGAAGCGGTTGCTCGACGAGGCGGTCTTGGATTCGAGTGCCGATTTTGCAGAACTCGCTGGCGTGTATTAAGGGGAGGATCTTGAGCTGCTCGATGTATTGAGCGCTGTTTGGTTGCGCGAACATGTGTGCATGTAACTATGTTAGCGTAATTCATGGAGATATACAGATTGAGCAACGTACAGGATTCGTAATCTTCCCAGGTAAGTTCACTGTGATGGATGCGCCCATTCTACCAAGAGAAGGGCGGCCTATCGTAGTGGAAGCCCACGAATCCAGGCAAAACAAGCTCCACCATATCCTCCTCCTCATTTCCGGAGAGATCGAGTCAGGTTCGCCATGTTGCATGATGCTGAGTGTGTTCCCACTGCTGTGGTGCGCGGGATCCGCGTACTCTCGATGTAAACCAAGTGCAGTTGCCATTCGCAACGTTCCTCCCATCAGAGAATGAGCTTCGTTCGGTCGATTGAGATAGTGCATGTAGTAGCCGCTCATCATACCCAGCGCTTGCAGAACTTCCAGGTTACCGCTGCCAAAGGATTCCAGAGAAAGGTGTTGCCGTGACCGCGTGAAGTAAGAATAATGTGCTTCGTTATCTGCCGTTGAAGATGCGAGAGAGCCAAGTGCAAAGACCATGTTTAGGAGAGCTAGCCAAGGCGAGTCACTCCGTTCGCCGTACAAATAGGTTGTCCAGAATTTGCGTTCATCGATCATGGGAAAGAAGAGGTGTACGCGTTCGAAGTAGCTTTCAATCAGCGCCTGGCCTTCTTTTCCAGGTGGAACAGCGCCGGGACTTTCTTCCGCAATCCCTGGGGGAGGAGAGTTGGTCCGGCTGGGCAATGCAGTGTCGTTGTAGCTGTGGGCGATGAACGGCCGTGCTTGAGGCGCACACTTCACAATGACTTTCAACGCAGCAGTGATTGACGAGATGCCCACATAGGAGGAGAGGCGGTCCACGGACATGGACAGCCCGTTCACATCGTCGGAGATGCCCTGGATCTTGTCCTGGTGCTTGCGGGCCTCGTCCCACTCGGGGTCCTCTGGCGGTGCCTGCTCGAGGGCCTCGAGACTATCGGCGCCTTCGGAATGCGGAGTGGCCTCTTGCTGCGGGATCGATGTTGAGGGCGAAGTGGTGGATTGAGCAGGCAGTGATAATGCTAGCTCCAAGAGCTCTTCACGGGGCATAGACAACAACGAGTCAAGGTCCTTGCCGGGAAACAAACAATTGATAACACTGCGATACCGATCGACTGAGGAAGACAGCTTGTCCACGAGCCTGCACTCGTTCAGCACAACAATCACGCTTCATAGTGCAGAAAGTCTTACTTGCGGGACGGCACCACGCGCTGGGCAGGCTTCGAATAGGCGCAGGCCTCGGGATGCTGGTACCACCTGCACTGGCCACAGGGCTGAGTGCCATCACAGCGAATCTTGCGACGCCGACACTCGACACAGGCGTTGCTCGTGGAGATGCGGCGCGAGCCCGTCGACCGCGCGGCGGGCTTTGCCTGCTCGCCAAGATCACCAGCAGATCCCGGCGACCGCAGGGCCACGGAGCTCTGGAAGGTGTGGAACATCGGGGCCAGCAAGTTGGTACTCGGGAGTTGTGCCGCGTGGAGAAGAAGCGGATCAGCTCGGCATGCCGCACGAGACGTGGCCGAGATGCGCAAGGCTGGTACCGTGGACGAGTTGGTGCAGACCACCTGTGGAGAACCTTGAAGAGTCTGTCCGACGGGAGCCGCGGCGAGGCTAACGGCCGACTTTGGCACAGGTGATGGCGCGTATTGGGGTGGAAGAGGCGGGATGGGCAGACTCGTCCAGCAGCGTGTTACTAAAGTATTTCTCCATAGTCCCCGCAGGATAGCCCCTCTCGTGGCCGCCGCTAGAAAGCTGGGCATGCCGGGGACAGTCAGTCCAGCGCGTTTGATATGTGAGCGGCGCCCCGAGCTCTGCGGCGTGACAGAACGCCCAAGCGAGATTCCCGTCGAGAAGGCCCGCGGGCCAACGACGCGGGAAGCCAGTCAGCGGCAGCAGGGTGGCCGCAAAATCTCCACAAAAAAAGAGTGACGGCCGTGGAGCCACCCCGCCATTCCAACGGCTGAGCTCCGGACCGCTGGCTGCTGAATCGCAGCCTCGGTCAACTCCACGTGAACCACACCACGGGAGCAGGTCCCGGGACGCTACCGGGACGTCCAGCACGCCAGCACGCCTGCACGCCTCGTGTAGAACAAATCTCAGGCCCCTTGAACCGTGTATCCTCGCTGCAGTCAGACGGCTGCCATGTTGATGTCCGCATCATACTAGCGTCCTCACACAACGCGACCCGCGTGGGCCATACCGAGCCTTCGAATCATGCCAGGAACCTTAATTGACACATCACAGTAGATAGCGCCTGATATCGCCCTTCCCCCAATGTCCGAACGCCCTCCTGCACTGTGCCTTCGTTCCCCAACCCTTGCCCAAGTGGCAGATCCAACCACAACGCCTGGCGTCAGATCATCGTCGCCGTCCAACCAAGCTCTCCGCCAGCGCCGCTCAACAACCTTTGCGAGCCGGTGCTGCCAGCAGGCGAGACCCCAGACACTTCCCGCAACCGGGCGAGCGAGCTGCATCTGCAGTGCATTGCAGTGCGCTCGTCATCTGCGCCGCCGCATCAAGTGCGCCCCAGATATGTCCAGCGCAGCGGTTGGTCGCTCGGTCCCAAGCCCCTCACCTTGACAACCTGTTCGTCGCCTGGGACGACGTCGATAGCACTGTCCGCCACCAGCACGCCTGTTCGTTCCTCGAACACTAAGCCCTTGGTGGGCCGTGCTGCCTTGATCGAGATGCTGTCTCCGCGGTGGTACACCTCCACCCCGCGGTCCTCGAAGCTGAGGTACTTGAGCGGCTGCGGCCAATCGACGTCGCGGGAGACCACATGGCCGTCGATCCATATCCTAGCCGCTAGGACGTGAGGCTCCTCGTGGATGTTGTCGATGGTCCCCGAGAGTACATCCGTAGTCCCGTTTGCCACAATGGTGATATCTTTCTTGGTGATGGATTCCTTAATTTCCTTGCCTGTCGCAACCGAGATGAAACGCAATTCCGCCGTCGCCGTTAGTTCGCGTGGCTGGCTGCTGGCAACCCACAATTCATAATCGCTCGTTTTGGGTACGCGAGCATGAACCACGCTCCAGTCGTGATGAGCTCTCTTCACTGCGACCGCCACGGGAGCTAGCACTCGCCGCATCGCATAATATGCTGGCTTCTTGCGCAGAAAGTAATCCACAATCGACCACGATGTGACGGGCCAGCAGTCGTTCAGCTGCCACACCAGCGCGCCACCGCACAATCGCTTCTGGCCCCACTGTCGTCGCCATCCTCGGTATCCAAACATCAATGCCTCCGCTTGGGATAGCTGCGTCAGGTGGATAAAGCCCTATCGCCACACTCATTAGTACCCCTGTCACCACTCATATCACCCGGCATAAGACGTAAGACCCACCTCTAGATCAGTCTGGGTCCTAAAATTCTCCACCAAATATGTTGCGATCCTGCGCTCGTGACCATCTGCTTTGTTATGGAAGTCTAACATGTGGGATTGCGGGTAAAGCTGCGTCGGATCCGTGCAATAGTACTTGATCGTCTCGATATGTGGGAAGGCCTCCATGCCGAACTCGCTATTGAAACGACCTCCTAGGGTATCGAAGATTTGGTACTTCTCTTGCGTGCCGTGCCATACTGAAGATATCGTCAGATTGCTAGGGTTTGGAGTAGGGAATACATGGCCTCGACTCACCATTCCACTGGTGCATATCGCCAACGGTTGTGTTCGACGTGATTAATCCATCTCCCCAAGGACTACCAGGATGGTATGCAACATGCGGGCTCTCCTGGGCGACCACTTCGGGTAGGATCTAAAAGGCACTTGTGTCAGAAAGGCCTCTTCTCGTGTAAGACGGCTACCCGGCGCATCCGCTTACCTTCTCGTAAATATATCTTGCAGGGAAGTCAGTCTTCAACCAGTTCTCCGGGTCCTTGTCCTCGTATTTATAAGTCAGATTGAACTGCTCCTGCACTTGGTAATCCTCGTTGTTGCCAGCATATATGACGATGGCGGGGTGGTGGCGCAGCCTTGAGACATTTGCTACGCACTCGAGGCGGATGGATTCGAGGAGTTTAGGCCACGCCGGATAGTTGCCACAGCCAAACATGAAATCTTGCCAGACAAGGACTCCGAGCTCATCGCAGAGGTCGTAGAAAACGTCTTCCTCCCATATCCCGCCGCCCCAGATTCTAAGGTCGGTGATTAGGTACTTGAAATGATGAATAACCACTTCTTAAGCTTACCTGATCATGACTTGATACCCGTCGACCATCATCTCAAGCCACTTACGATACTTCTCAGCCGTCACCCTTGGTGTGAAGCTGTCCGCGGGAATCCAATCAGACCCACCACAGAACACATCCACGCCATTGATGCGGAAGAAGAATGTTTTGCCAATGTAATCAGGCTGCTGAATAAGTTCTCCCTTGCGGAAACCAGTCCTGCGGGATGCAGAGTGCAGGTCAACCTCGCCGGTAGAGACTGTGGCAGTCACAGTGTATAAAGGCTGGGCTCCGTACCCATGGGGGTACCACAGCTGGGGATCATTGACGCGGAACTCTACCTTGGCTACGCCATCACTATCGACGTCCGCAAAACCTTTGAAAACTACGGTGTCTTCAATGTGAGCTACGAAAGCCACGGTCTTGCCAGACTGCCCCTCCACCTTCGTCGTAATGATGCCGCTTGCAGCCTTCAGACTCGCATCCAACTCGTAGTCGATGCGGAGGTCCGAGATCCTAGATTGGTACGTCTCGAGGCGCACTGATCGCCACGGTCCGCAGGTATTCAGCACTGGGCCCCAGTCCCAGCCCCTGGCATTTGTCAGTACATCTAGCAGAGCTTCCCCTCAATTGGCACCCACCAATGATATTGAGCCTTTCTGACCGCCAGTCGAGCCATGTCACCATTGAACCCCACCCATGTATGCTCCGCATGTGCTTCCTTAAGCTCAATTGCCCGCAACCTCGCCGAAGCAAAGTCGATCTCGAGGACGTTGTCCGGTCCAGGCTTCAGCTTATTTGTCACATCTATCCGGTGGGGTATGAACATGTTGTCGCTGGTGAGGATGGTCTCGCCATTGAGCTTGACCGTTGCAAAGGTGTCAAGGCCGTCGAAGGCCAGAAAGGTGACGGTGCCTTCCTGAGGGATGGGGCTCTCAGGGAGCTTCGTCCTGTAGGTCCACGACTTGTCCGCTACCCACTCCGCCTTGAGCTCATTGAACCCTAGGAAGGGGTCTGGGATCCTGTGCGAACGTCAATGGTTTGTATATCCCCTCCTGGGCCCGGGCAACATACTTTCCATGGGCAATGAGGTCGAGGTGGACGTTGGTGGGGACGTGGGCAACAGGAAGCCAGGCATCGTCGGCAGTGTCGTCAGTTTGCTTGAAAGACCATTCAGACGTCAAGTCGTGCACTGCCAACGCTTGGGACATGGTGTCAAAGCTGAGGAGTGCTCGAGGATGGTCCAGAAGCCAATGCGATGTTACGAGAGGTGTCGAACAGGCTGAACTTACGCTGCAGCTGTCAGACTACATATAGGCACCGTAGGCAATCAGTCAGTATGGACGCGGCACTGGAGACGACAGCACATCCGGAGCGATGGCTGCCGTTGGTGCTCCATCGAGACGAGCGGCGGCAGCTTGGCTGCGGAATACTCGATGGTGGATGAAGCTCTTTGAGCCCTCCGTTTCGAAGAGGGTATAGTGTTTGGCGGGCGCAGTGCCATCGGAGCAATTAGGTCAGGCTAACCTGACAGCGACTCCCTGGTCGAGCAGCAGGGACAAGGGCCACACGAGACGGGGACTGCGCTCCGTGGCCGCCCGTTGACGATGGCCTGTACAGCGGGAGGTGAGTGGTGGAAATCGAGGCCATCGAGCTGCATTCGGCGCCCCAACGCGGGATCAAGCCACACGCGCGTCGCTCCGCCTGAGGAACAGCAGGTGGACGTCCTCCCAGGGTTTCCAGAACACCACGCCGCCACCACAAATCGCCCTAGGCTCGCTGCAGGAATCTGCCGAGCAGCCGTTCGCCGTCTTCGAGAAGTCTGCACTGACACCTGCGCCGCTCGGGCCCTGTAGGTGTCACTTCTATGTAGCTTGCCCCGCCGTGATAGGTACATGTACGGCCCTCGATTTGATATCAACTGTTGACAGCGTGACGCGCAATACGGCTAGCCAGTAGAGTCACACGACGCCCTCGCTCGGTCAGTGAGCCTTCGGCACTTTACAGCATCGATCAAACCACACCTGTAGACCTGGTCCTATATCGTGGATGGGGAGTCTCACCGAGCTCGCTGAGCAGGACCCTTGCTAGAGCTCCGTTGCCTGCCTTCATCCACAAGTCTTGTGCAACGGTGGACACGTCGTCGTCCTGAGATGAAGGTTGTATTGGCAATCTTGGAGGCGGTTACCTTCAATACGGGGCGAGTCGACAACAAGCAGACGCTTTGGAATCTATCAACAAGCATTCCAGAGGGTTGATGAATCAGCCTTTCCATTAGTTCTCTTCAGAAGGGCTGTCTTAGACGGTTCATCACTAGTGAGCTTCGCTAAGGTATCATTGTGCAGATGAGTGAGCATTATGTTGAGGGCTCGGAAGCCATGACGAGGCATCTCGAAGAGGTTTACCAAACAAGGACGGTAATATGTCATGCGAGCAACCGATTATACGCATAATAGGTGTATCTAAGAGGTTTCTACGCACGATTTGTGCAGTCAAGACGGAAACAGTCATATTTACCCGGATGATGATGTTATTATGAGCACGTTGCTATCCTCCCGAGCACGTATTACTCTACCTTCCCCGTCAAGAACCATCCGAGGCCGGTCGCGGCACTGCTGCCAGAAGCAAGTTTGTTCCTTGAGCTGAGTGGTCGTCTGTAGGGTTCGACTGAACAATACGCCTATAGTCCCTAAAATTCGGGTCGAACAAGGGATCGTGACGTAGTATGCAGATACCAACAGGAGATGTTGAACAGTAAATGGAACGCAAACAGGAAAACCCAACCCAGGGTATCTCAGAATGAAGGAGATCGGAAGAGCCTATCAGCGTATCGACGGCAGAGCGATGCTACTGATGTCCACCGCAAGACTAGTTCAGGGACTGTATCACGAACCTGCCCCTACGCGTGTCGCCCGTTTGTCTTCTTCCTCGTAATATGCCGTTTCTGGGGGCTGCCATTAGGATTTGGGTCGCCGTTATTAGGGTCTGGATTGCCATTAGGGGTGCTGCCGTTTTTCATTTGTTGAGTCGCCTCTCGTTCCGAACTGAGAATGGTGGTGGACCGGCCCCCAGGGCAGAAGATAACTTCGAATCCACCTCCACTTGGGGTCATGAACATTGAACTGGCGTCATCCAAGGCTGGCTACAGATTAGCAACAGAGCGTTAGGAAGGGGTATTTCAGTTGAGAAGCATTGCTGCCCAGAGCAGAACGATTTCATACAAAGTGCACGCTTACCGTAACTATAGGCGTCAGGACAAACAGTCTTCGCCGCCTTGCCCCAGTCTCCAGCTTTGCAATTGCCACGCCCGTACTCTGGAGTATTGCAGCAGTAGTCTGGGGTATTGTATTTTGCGCATGCAGAGAAGCATGGGTCGAACGCAGGCCGCTCAATGTTATCATCTGGGTAAGGATATACTCCATCTCCTGGCTTTTGAGGGGGGTTGAATTGCAGGTCCCACGGGCACCAGCGGGCAACATGTTGGTCGTCGACGTCTCGATCAAACGGCAAGGGATAAGAGCTATTCGTTCCGAGGAAGGTCTCGTAGCCGCTGGTATACGGGTCGTAGCCTGGCTCCCTCAGCTGGCCTACGGTTGCTACACATGAAGGGTTCGTAAGATTTGGCGGTATATCTTCCAGACTGTGGTTGGCAAGCGGTTGCATGACTACTGCCATTGGAAGGTTGTAGCCATCGACCAATGAGATGTCGTACCAGGTCTCGCCTCTGGCATCATCCAGATTGAACTCGGCAAGTGTAGCTGGAGTTTCTCCCTGAGTTCATGTAACGTTAGCCAAAGCCAGGAAGACAGAAAAAGCACAGCGAGACCTACCGTGACAATACAATTCAGAGCACTGTTACAGTCCCCGGTATAACATGCTTTGCCAGTACCGTTCGCGGAGGCAGTGCCCGCATCGTTGAAGGTACAGTTGGTTCTACCCCAGACACGCCCTCCCCAGTCCTCCGAAACGGTCTGATTTTTGGACTCTCCAGGCTGCAGCATAAAACCACCCTCCGAAGGGCCTGTTCCAGATTGCGTGGTGATTCCAGGCCAGATGTTTTCCCCGCAGTAATTTGTGACAATGATTGGTGTCATAGGTGCCTTTCTCTTAGCTTGCCTCGTGCTGAGCTTCCCAGCGTAGAGTTGATCCATAACACGGTTGCCATTGGTAGCCGGCAACGTCAATCCTAGGATCAGGGCAACAGCCCGCATCGACTTCATCAGCATGCTGGCTGATAGGTCGGGTATCGAGGCGTTCTAGAACGCGATAGGGTTTGTTCAAGGTTCCGCGGGAGCCGTTCAGGGTGATACGGCGGCTCGTCGCAAAGTGAAATAGGGAAAAGGACAAGTCAATGATTTTATAGGGAAGTTACGAAAAGGGATGGGAGAGTGTTGAGAGGTGTAGTGGGGACGGGAGAGAACGGCGACCCGCGCCGTAGAAGTTGGACGCCGATCATGAACGGGTGAAGTTGGCAAGCGCCGTGGAACTTGAGGGTTCGTGGTTGCGTTGCTCCAAGCTGTCCAGCTCCAGCAATCCATGATCGTCGCCGGACCTGGCAGTTACGTAGCTAAGAAAGGCAGGGACCCGGAGGCAGGCAGCCCGCCAATCGAACGGTGACGAAAATGCAACTCTAAAACGGCGCCTTATTCGTCGACATTCTGCTATTTCCATCCAGTGCCATCTATCTAGAACTCTTCCAGCTATCCCAACAAGTACACACCTCGACAGAAATAACTGCACTCCAATACGTCGACATGACTTACGTTTCTGACCTCGACTATCTCCAGGCTTCGGTTCTTTAGCTACACTCGACAAAAATCTGTGCAAATGGCGTGAGTCTCACTCAGTACAAGTACAGATTGCACTTCAAAGATTGGACATCATTCCCAGATAATGTAGACAAAGCGGTTTATTTTCGCTTGTTCCTGGCTAGTCTCAACGGAGCTGTGCTATTTGCATGGTTCGCAGTTGGCCCAGGGTTGCGTCCAGAAATGCGGATCCAGTCTATTGAACCCGCCCGTAGCTTCTCCTACTCTTCTCCACATCTGGATCTTAACTGGACTAATACAGCCCCATAGAAGGCTTGGTTTGACGCAAAAATCATACAGACTATCGAAATCACGATTGACTCCACATTCCAGGTGGAATCTAGCTCTAGCTCAACCAGATGGCCACGCAATCATTCAGATGATCGAGACTATGCTTTGCCTCGTGTTCTAGCTCTTCGGTAGCTAGGCAGAAACTCTGCACGCTGTTAGGGCCCCATTTCCCTTCTACACGCTCCACCATATTCATGACAAGAGTGCATTGTTATTACGAGTCTATGCATCCAACATACAATAATATGGACACACTAAACATAGCTTTCTGCTTCGACAGTAAACGCCCACACAGTGCATCCCAAAAAATACGGCTCAGCCAATACGAATAAGCCCCAGCTTACAAAGCCTTCAATCCTTTTCTCCCCGCATCTATTTTCAAAACATGGTATATCCAACTCAACCCTATAGCATAAAGAAAGCAGCAATACCCGCCCACGCAAGCCCTGACAAGCCACTCCTGGCGGCGTCGGCAAAGCCTCCGGGCGCGGCGTTGACGGACTGCTGAGGGGGACTGGTTGTACTTGCGGCCGTGGCGGCACCGCCCGTCGCGCCCGCAACGCCCGATGGTGCAGCTGCCGTGGCGGTCGCGATAGTAGAAGCTCCACCGAGGACGGCTCCGGAACTAGATGCGGCGCCGGCGACATCGGCGGGGTTCTGGCCCGGGGATAGGTTGGCAGGGGCGAGGGCTGCGAGCGCAGCGAAGGCTTGGACGGTCTTGTTACCGCTAGTGGCACTGTGGAGATGGGTTAGTGTGTCTATGTGTTGAGTGGAGGAGCAGTGTTACGTACGCGTTGATGGCGCCGACCATACCGGACTGGCAATGTTTGGCCTGGGAGCAGTAGAACCAGATGGGTTTTGTGTCCTTGACGCGGATAGTGTAGACTAGTTGCACACCAGAAGCACCGAATGTGTGATTGTTTGCCATAAACCCGGAGAAGAACGCGTCGGTCTTGTTGGGCATCACATTCTGGATCGGAACACACGGCTGGTCGAAGGTGGATTGAACGACGGAGTGGTTCTATTGAAACGAGTCAGTGGAGCCACGACAGGCTTAGATGCAATCGAACTAACCTTTTTATTGAATTGGAACTGGACGAGGTCGCCGGCGGCTGCGATGACACTGTTTGGCGAAAAGATGGTTGAACCATTGGTTCCTCCGACTTGGACGACATGGACGGTTTCCTGACCCGCCGCCGCGGCAACAGTGGCACTGGCAGTATAGGCAGCCTGTGCTAACACCTGACCGACCACGAAAAGCGACGCAGCGATGGTTCGTGAGAAATGCATTTTCGGCGAAGTCAAATGAGCGACTGTATTATAAAAGATCGTGGTGGAGATGAATGAAAATGATAGGCGGCTAGCGCTCTAGACTGGACTTGCCAGAAGGATTGAATGTATAATTAAGAAGTGAAAGACAGAGAGACAGACAGAGTAAGGAGCAAAAGAGAAAGACGAAGGAGCAGAATGGAAGATGAAAGAGAAAGCAGTTTGATTGAGGCCAGACCGGCTGGCTCAAAGCGGATCTTAAGGCATAAATGTAATCGGACAAGCTGGTTAGAGCGTCGTCAAGGAGGCCAACTTGAGGCTGTGTCAGGGATGTCGATACAGGGCGGGCGAGTTCTGCGACGTGCAAGATCTGTTTCTGCTTCAGCCACGTCGAGACGAGATCCGGCCGCCGAGAGCTGCAAGCACTGCTATCTTCTTCATGGCGCTTCGGCGGTCAGTGGTAGGAACAGATTCTGCAGACATCAGCGTCAAGAATAGCGAACAGTCAGTACGTTTCCAGCGACATTGCAGCACATCTAGAGCGTATTTTGTTGTGTCAGTTGCGATCAGAAGGTGTGAATGGCGAGGCTATCGCCAACCCCTCGATGTTGGTGAAGCGATCCCTGTTTGAGGACGGTTTGAGCCGTGCAACAACCTTAAAATACCCATGCAACGTAGGCGCGGGCACGACGAATCCGAAATAAGGGCTTGGAAAAGGCCTTCGATTGCTAGCATTGAGATTACGCGGCGGCCAGAGGTTTTCTTCAATGCCGCCGCGACTACGTACGCCGATGTTTCTGCATCCGTAATTCGTTTTGGCCTTGTATGAGACCTGCTAGCCTACCGGACCACTCGAAAGGCGGCAGGAAGTAGGCTCGGATTATCCCTCCCAGAGACCCAAACTAGAAATCGCCGTGCCAAATATCTACAGACTCTGGTGAATCGTGTCTACCTTGCTGGGATAAACAGGAGAATCAAGCTTAGCTGATACATGCCCACCATATCTCAACCATGTCTCCAAGTTTAGTCTGGATGTCGATGATGCCGTGGCGATGTGAAGCTTGCCATTGAAATTCGAAGACAGAAATGCTCGGCTGATTGTCTTTGAGCCCGCCCAAATCGTTGTCCCTAGGGCCATCCGCTTTCAAGGATGTAATCATATCGAAGGGTCTGAATTATCTTCATCTTCTCAAGTAGGGCCCATTCGAAGCTGAGTCGTAGTAGTTGACCAGTTGCCTCGGGTCCCAACAAGGGCCCAAGGTATGAAGGAATCCAGCAAGACCGGAATCTCGTAGCAACAGCCATCTGCCTACGGAAACCCTTGCCTCTGTAACATCACAGTCGGCCATGACTCTCAGAAATCCAACACAAGCTGCGGCGCCAACTTCTCCAGATCCTCAACCTATTCATCACCACCATTAGCCTCCCTTATTAGCCCAACACCTCAGTATACATACCTGCAAAAACCCATCACTAACCCCCATCCCCACCCCGCCACCACTCGCATCCTCCCTCTCAAACGCCGCCCTCGCCACCGCCTCCCTTACGAACGTCTCCACATACTTCCCCACCACACTCATCGCCTCCCGCTGAATCTTCACCTTCGGATCCTCAAATCCCTCGTGCAGCAGCCGCGCCAGCAGCGGCGGCGGGACAGCCGGCCTCTGCAACTCCTCTACCTGAGCCGGCGCGGTGCGGTGCTGTGCACGGTCTTCCATCTCTACATCGTCGTCCGAGGCCTCCTCTTCAGCTTCCTCGTCGTTGTCATCTTCGGCGGAGTCAGCATCTTCAGCCTCGGAGGAGGAGATGATGGTAGAGGCGTTTTGGAAGCTTGGGCGCGAGGTTGCGGGTTTCTTGAGGGCGGCGGAGGTGGAGGTGCGCGCGGCGGGCTTGGGAGCGACGCGTTGGGCGGGTTTGGACGCGGTGGGAGCGGCTTTGACGGGGCGGGGTGGCTTGAAGGCGAGGCCTTTGCGGCGGACGGGGTTGGAGGTGGGCTTTGGAGGCATGGTGTTGGCAGGATGCTAGGCAGAGGGTGAGTTGGCAGTTGTTGTTGTTGCGAGGTAGATGCGTGAAGAGGAAAGTCAAACCACAAGTCACGCCCTCACGTGACTAGCATAAAGGTGATGAATGCGGATGGTCTACTACATTTGAATATACATCACAAGCATAACAAGAGCGTAAAAATAATCAGTAGCGTTTCACTCAGGCTGTATTGTACAAGACGGAAAGCAAGTGACATTTACTCAACTCTCAAGGAACCTTAGCGACGGTTCCAAGACCGGGAGAGCGGAACCCAGGTATGAGCGCGACAACGGTCTTACTAATCTCTTGCTACTGCAATATCTCGGGTCTCGTGTGAAATGGTGATCACGCTCTGATATCACCATCATCGATGGAGCTTGTTGGTGGTATTCCAATATATTTTCTAATTATTTGTATCTCTTTCACTAGCTCTCCTCTCCACGACATCCACATTCGTCAGAAGGTATGCCAGCTCACTACAACGATCGTGTCGAAAGAGTAAGCTATACAAGACAAGCGAAGCGCCCGAGCGCCCGCCAGGAACGCCGGTTCGATGCAATGTTTAAAAAGAAACAAGAAAACAAAAACGGAAAGTGGTATATCGCAACAAACGATCCATGTTTCCAACCAAGCAAGAAGAGCCATCCAAGTCATACCCATTCATCCCTTGCTTTTCTTCTCACTATCATGACGTGTAGAACCAGTAGACCGCGCTGTACTCGACGTCAAAGTCGCCGCTGATCCCACTGCAGTTCTTTGGTGGCTGTCCACCTGCGGTGTCGACTCGGTACACCTCTTTGAAGGTGCCGTCTTCGATACCAGTGAGCTTCAACCATGGCACGCTGCCCATGTTGTTTGAGCCCGCGGGTGCGTCCGCAGGTGCGGTCGTGTTTGCAGTCTTCTTAAGGCTGCCGATGCCGTAAGCGTGCGCGGCTGTGTCGAGGTTGAAGACGGGTGTGGTAATGTTGGAGAAAAAGTGGTGGCCAGATTCTAGGGCTGTGGCTTGGTCGCCCGTTGGCACGGAGAAGGCCAGAGCAATGGCGGGGGTAGAGGAGAGTGTTGTCGGAGCGCGGGAAGCAGCACATGTGGCGTTGAAGAGAGTTGCAGCAGCACCTTCGGATACTGGAATAACCGTCTCAGAGGCAGAGGCGCAGGTGTAGTTTTGGGTGCCGCGGCCAACTGCAACATGGTAAAGTCTTAGACCCGCAGTTGGAGGTGGTAGAGGAGCGGTTTGGCCTGACGCAATGTTAGTGATTGTTCCTGCTATATTATGCAAAGAAACGTACCCAATGGGGGTGTCACGCCGTCCAGGTCACAGACGCCATCAGTAAGGCGCTGGAATGTCGGGGCTGAGATGGCCCGTTTGCTCAGGAAGTCGCCGAGGGATGGTAGGCTGAGGGCTTGCCGTGTTGGGAGGGCGAAGATGGTTGAGGGAGCAAGGGCCAAGGCGAGGACTAGTGGCGATGAGAAGAACATGTTGATGGTAGTGTGTGTGTATGTGTTTGGAGAGGTATGTCGGTAGAATCGACAGAAGATGGTCGAAGAGGAGGATGGTGAGATATATTATGCCCAGAAGGAAATAGAAGAAGCCCAAAAAAAGATTACCCAAAGGAAAGCAATCAATGCAGAGGACCGAAGAAACGGAAGGGAAAAGAGACTGCAGGGCTACGCGCTGAGGGCACTTGAGGTATCACAGGTTTGACTGGAGGTGGGATAGACATTGCTGGCCAGGCGGGCCAAATCCTTATATGTACCGGCGCGCGAGTTGCGTCGACGATGCGCGCACGGAGACCCATCAGCGTGGATGGCGCGTACGGAACCACCTCTGGCCGGCGCAGTCAAAAATAACCAGCGGCTGGGGGGTGGTCGGGAGGCTGGCGGCCTGATTGGGCGGGCGGGGAGCCGCTCAAGGAACCCTGCGATCCCTGGGGCGTGGGTTAGAAGCCAAGCTCTTTTAGCTCCCGTGCCGTGCAGGCTATTTTGGGGCCAGAGAATCCCGCGGAGTCGTGGTGTTGATGCTGTGAACAATCCCGAGAACTGCGAGCGTCAGCAGCGGACAATGCTCTGAGGGCGGCAGTAAGACATCGTCTAGATCCCGTGAGCCCGCGATTTCTCAGCGTGGGCTTCACGACAGCGCCCTCTGCGGGTGGCGTTGTTGCATGCAGAGCCGCTCGCGCGACGGTGGAGGCCCCGCTGCGGTCGAGTAATGTCCGTTAATTGCCTACAACCAGGCAAGCGGGAGATGAGTGCTCCAAAATAGACTCGATGCTGCATATTGCCAGCAAAATAGTGCCGTTGTGGCCTCGCTGCCGTAACCGCCAGGCCAATAGCGGGTCGCGGGCGCTTCGACAGGCTTCGAAACATCGTCGCTGGTTGGACGAAGCGTGCAGCCATGTTTGCTTCGCGCGGTTTCAGCGTTCAGGCCTTGGTGGCCGGCGACTGGACAAAAGGCCCGCACTTCAGGCGGGAAGGTCGCGAAGACGCTGGGTCCGGCAGCGAGAAGACGCAATTTTGACGCGCTGGCCTTGGGTTCCTTGCGGGCGACCCGAGAAGATATTTCGGTAGCCACCTCATTTGCAATCGCCGTCACCTTCCCCGCCTCTTCCAAACAAGCCAGGCCATGGAAGCATTGTGGGAAATATTCGAATGGCAGGGAGCTGGACCTGCCACCCGGATCACCAAATGCCGACCTGTTCTAGGGAGTAAGGCCCGTCTGTGAAACAAGTGCTGCGGTGAGCATTTGGAACCCTCTTGCACAGCACCCGCAAGCCACCCGCTTGTTTCGTGGCTCTGGTGTCAAGACGAGGCCATGTGAACGACATCTGACCGGAGACGCACCATTCCGCCCAGAACCTACTGTATTGCCACCAAGGTTTCCAAGGGCTCCACGTAATGCCGGTGGATCTCGAGAACCACTGAGGGCGGGCCTGTATCTGGGCTGTCCGGGCGAGTAGTCGAACCTTTGAGGCTGCAAAATGCTGCTGGCGCCGAGACATTGGTCGAGATATTGCCGCCGCCATGCGTAACCTTCCTGATTTAATCTTAGCGAAGACACTGCCAGCGCGAAGAGAAGACGGCAGCTTGCTAGAACACCCCAGTAACAATTAGACACACGCGTGTTTGTCAGGCCTGTGGATGTCCTTGTGATGACGACGGCTAATAATACAGCGACACAATACACGCCCCAGAAACCCTCTTGAAATCGCTAACCACCTTCCTGGAACCCCTCCTGGTGCCAATCTCCAGGATTGGCTTCACCACCGCCATCCACAGGCCCTCCTCCAGCCGCCGCTGCCAGTGCCGCCTCGCCCAGGTTCGCCGAGTGCTTCTCGATGTCCGCTGTGCCCGCCCAGTACAGCATGAAAAACACCAATAAATGGAGCCCTAGACAATACGCTGCAAAGAGGTTCCTACTGGTTCGTGTCGCAAGAACCAGCCGCGTAATTCGAAAGACTATCCTCTCAAACACGCTCATTCGCTTGAGCGCCCGAGCCGACTCTCTGCCCCGGAATGCTGCGAACGGCGAGATGTTCTGCTCGTACGTCGACCGATATCTGTCCATCGTGAGCCCGGATGAGGTATCCGAGGAAACTTGAATCGTCGAGGGATTGGGATTCGTCGAGTACTGCAATGCTGACGACCCTGCAGGGTGACCCCTATTATAGGTCGAGACGTATCGAGTCTTCTCGTATAAGTCAAGGTTGTCTTTTTGTAGAGACGCAATCTCTGACCGGAGCGAGGACACATTCTGGTATGCTTTCGACAGCTCTGACTCTAATTCGGAGTTCCGTTTCTTGAACCGGTCCCGTTGGGCCGTGACCATGGGAAGAATACCGGACCCACCTCCCACAGGCTCGCCCATTCGAATCGCCTCCATCGTATTCAAAGACGCCTGTTGAGGGTCGAATCCCGATATAATCGACGACGTGGGCGAAGACTGCTTCCGGCGGCCTCCAAATGAGGATTGTGGGTACCGAGATGCATAAGTCCCAGCTACCGACATGGCTGATGAGGGGAACGCATTGGATGCCTCCTGTTGCACCTTCTCCAGGTCGTTTTCAAGCGTCTCTGTCAGACGCCTCGACTTCTCAAGCTCCATGTTGGTGCTTGAAAGCTCTTCTTGCAGCGATTCAAGACGGCTTTGGAGGTCTTGGTGCGACACGCGAAGAACGGTGAGCTCGTTATTGAGCTTCTTATTTCGAGCAAGCAAGAGTTGCTCCAATGTCTCACCCTTAGATTTGCTTAAAGTGCCATTTTGGTGATGAGTAGCTTCTTCGGATGGGATGTTTCCGTCATCCTCGTCTCCAGTAGAAAATTCGATAGACTAAATTATTAGTGATTGATCAATAGACATGTAGGGGCATAATGCATACCTTGAGAACTTCTAGCTCCTGCTTGACATTTTCGTAGTCTGCCCACTTCTGCACCTTCTCCCGAAGGTTCTCCCTCTCACCTTTCAACGAAGCGATTTCACGCTCAAGACTGCGACTCTCAGTTTCCAGGCGCCTCTTCTCAGAGTCCTTCTCGAATTTTGCCGATTCCAGCTTTCGAAGCAGGGAAGAGTTCTCTGACCGGAGTCGCAGGAAGGCAGGTTCATCCTCAATGACAACTTGCTGCTGAGAGCTTTGGGTGCTCGACGCGGACTGTGCGAGCTCCAAGCGTAGCTGCTCGTTCCTTGCCTCGACCTCTGCCAATCGAATGCTTGTCCTCTCGAGCTCAGAACTAACAATCTCTAGCTCAGCAGCAGTAGCGCCTCCAAGGCTAGCTTCGCTCTCACCCTCCTCGCCTCGCCCTAGCCGCTGTGAAACTTCATAGCTGGCTTTCAGTTCCTTCAGCAATCGATCCTGGTTCTCAACCTTCTCCTCTAAACTCTTTTCTTTGGCCTCCCAGTTATCCTGCTTCTCCGCCAATACTGCCTCCCATGATGAGCCCACCTCCTTGATCTTAGAATCTCGCGATTCTTCGAGTGATTGCCGAGCACTACGCTCTTGTTCTAATTTGCTCTCCGTCTCTTCCAACTGTGTCGTAAGGTTCGAAACAGTCCTTTGTAAATGTTCATTCTCCGCTGTGAGTTTGGGTACCGTTTCTTCGGCAGTGACAAGGGAGTCGATTGAGGCTTCAAGTAGGGGATATGGATCGGGCGCTTCTGAGAGTGGTGAATAGACTTGGAAGAAGGCAGCCTGGACAGCCTTAGACTGGTTGGATATTAGATCAATGAAAGTTTGGTATGCTGTATAGATATTAGTATGGCTTAATGTCAACGGTCACTTCTGCCTTACACTTCAACAACCCCTTGATATCGCTGAGCTTGCTCGCATCATCGAGCTTTCGGAAGTCCTTCGTTTTCTGTGCCAAGTCTTTCCGCTGTGTAAGGGTGTCTCTCTGGTGCGCTACGATGTCGGAAGCAGCGGTATCGAGGGTGGGAATCAGGGTGGTCAAATCGATGTCTAGTAGTCTCCGTAAGCATTTACACATGGCCTTAGGCGGGAAACTTTACTCCTCCACGCGGCGATAGCAGTCTGGAACTTGTTGTCTCCGCCATTCCCCGCAAACTCAGCGAGGTCGTCGAGCTTGTCGATGGGGTTGGACTCCTGCGAGCTCCTGGGCTCGTCCGCCGCGAGATCCATGTCGTCCAAGTTGAGGTGTCAGCGCCTGGATAGTGCGGTGCAATATAGCAATCACTGGTAGCAAAGGCTCATCCAAAAGCAGTCATCGAGGGGAAGTTGTATTCGCGTTCGCGTGGACGTGATGCTAAGGCTGTCGAAGTGGACACTCAGCCCTGGGGCTCTGCGGCGTTGCCAGCTCTGCCGATTCGCCGGAGCTTCACGAGCTCAGGCACCAACAAGCACTCCACCATGGCTCCTGTTCCTGGTTTGGACATATAAAACAATGTCTAAATCAGCCCTGAAGGAATATGGAGACCGCAGTACCGCCAGACCAATTGCGCCTCTCTTCACAGGCGCAGAATGGCTCATACATCCTCCGCAAGCTGGTCTCCAACATCCCACTATCAGCAGATGGGCCGACTGCAGACGTAAGGATAACTTGTGTTGAAGTATGGAGTATGTATAGAGGATCATATTCACCAAACATGGGCCCCGAATCTTGTTCTTGCGCTCCTCGAGAAGCTAACATGCATCCTAGATGGCAATCTTTACATTGGCACATCCGCTGCAGAAATTATACACTATGTCCTCATACCCCCCGAACCCAATGACCCGTCCGGGGAACCCACAGCCATCTTTGCCTCGAGATTTCCAGTCGCGAACACACATGCCTTGACGGGACCAGGAGTCCAACAGATATTACCTCTACCTAGCGTTGACAAGGCATGCATTCTATGCAACAATACTCTCACGTTCCACTCGTTACCGGAGCTCACGCCGGCCTTCCCAAACACAAAGCCACTGTCATGTACCTGGGTTGGAGGGGTGGACCTCAATGCGGACTACGACGACCGGTCACGCGACGATGGCGTCGTTCTAATGATATGTCAGAGGAGCAGGATCAGGCTAGCAAGAGTGAGCGAAGAAGGACCACGGAGCTTAAGAACCATTGAGTATGGAGGCTGTCCAATATCTGTCCGCAGGGATGACTTTGCATGTGTTGCAGATGCTCATTCCTACGCGCTGCTAGATGTCGAAAACCAGCAGAAGATCGGTCTTTGCCCGATATCCTCCCTAGATCCGGACGGCGGGGACGTTGGCGGAGGGATTGAAGATATCCCTTCAGGACCACCATCACATAACGTTTCTCGTAGTGTATCATCCGCGAGTACACGGCCGACGACTCTAAAACCACGAGAGGAGCCGCGAGGCCATAGCAGGAGCACGAGTCTAGGCATTTTCAGCTCTGGTGCCCGCACAGAAAGCCCACGGCCACCAGCAAGTCAAAGATATGGATTTGATGTTCCGGAGTCATTCCAGAGGACGCAGTCTCCTGCTGCTGGTCGTTCACGAGAGAGACCAGCGCACCCGGAGAGAACGACCAGCCTTCCCAGAACTCCTACGCCAACGCCCGACAAACCATTACCACCTGCCCCGATAGAGGCTGCCGAGGAAACGGCACCGAAAGTAGAAAAGCCATTCGTTCCTCTCAAGCCACATGTTGTCTCCCCCAGTCCATCTGAATTCCTGCTGACGCGAGGTACAATACCTTCTGAGCCGGGTTTTGGAATGTTCGTGAATTTGGAAGGGGATTTCGTACGCGGCACAATCGAGTTCAGCAACTATCCAGATGCACTCGTTGTAGATGGAAGTGGCATAGATATGGCCAGCTCACTGGGACCTGAGCAAGATGTAGAAGAAGGCTATATCCTGGCTACAATGCATTGGGAGGGAGATAAAGGCATAGAATACGGAGTAGAGCTTCAGCGATGGGACGTCGACTTGGGTGAAGGCCATGCATATAAAGAGTGGCTGGATGTCACTGTTCTTCCAGGTTCCTCTACGACAAGCGTCCCCGGGAAGCATACAGCGACACCCCTAGGCATTCGGAACATTGTTGCACCAAACGATATTGTACTGTCCGAAATTGGCGAGAAACTTTCGGTGCAACGTTTAAATCTTTCTGTTATCTCCGGCAGCCCTTCTCCAGCCAAGGAAGCACCTGTCTCCAGGACGCGGCGACGGACTGCTCAAGAACAAGCAGATTTTGAATTCACAGAACGGTTATCGAAGCTACAAACCCACATTGTGCTTTGGGCAGATAATCAGGTCTGGTGGGTTGTACGAAGCCCTCTTGTCATCAAGCTTGATGCCCAGCTTGAGCAAGCGCAATATGCTCCAACTGACGACGGTGTTCGTATTCACCCAAACCGTGAGCTAGTTGAGCACTTACTCAACGAGATTCGTGGGCAAGAGCCTCGAAGCGAGTCAGAGTATTTGGGATTAATCTACATTCGACAAAAGGCTTCAATCCTTCTATTCATGGAACTTATCCTTCGAAGCACAACGAACATCATCATCTTTGAAAGTGAGAAGAGGACGACAGAAAATGCGTTGATACAGGGAGAGGTAGACCCTAGAGTGATTCTAGCTCTGCTTCCCATACTTGAGAAAGAGGTCGTTGAAGGTCCTGAAGGCATCACTATCTCAGGCGGACTCACTACCTTGGTCGAGCAGTTCCTAGAACAAAACGACCTCTCTGCGATGCCGGCTACCGTAAATGGGCCTTTTGGCGACAATCTCCTCCAACTTGTTAAGAGATTTCTTTTCTCATGGAAACGAAGGAAAGGTATGGCAAGCGTTACTAATGACCCCCATGTCTTCCAGACGGTGGATGCTGCTTTACTACACATACTACTGCTCCTTGATCGAGACAGTCCAAAAGGGCCCGCGACTGCAGGCTCGATCCGATCAGAATTGAACGACGTTGTAGACAGGGAGGTCGAGTGTTTCGATAGAGCTGTCGCTTTGTTAGAAGATTTCAAGCGCCTTTACGTCCTGAGCCGTCTATACCAGAGTAATAGCAGGGCTTCTTCTAAAGCGACCAAGGTTTTGGCAACCTGGAAACGCATATTGGAAGGGGAAACAGACGAAGGAGGTGAATTTGCTGATGGAGAGCAAGAGATGCGCAAATATCTGGCCAGGATCCGAGACCAGTCGCTGTTCGAAGAGTATGGTTCTTATCTTGCGAACAGAAACCCCAAATTAGGTGTTCAGGTCTTCACAGATGACCACAGCAGAGTCAAATTCGAGCCCAATCGAGCTGTTGCTTTGCTTAAGGAGAAGGCTCCAGGTGCCGTGAAAGAGTATCTCGAGCATCTCGTCTTCGGGAAGAAGGTATTTGCAGGCCACATTACCACAACGACAAGCCCTAACATCTATCTACAGCACACAAAATACGTCAATGACCTCATCGCCTTCTACCTCGATATCGTCATCACCGAACTCGAGACTTCCCCTAACTCAAGAGCAATATTGCTCCAAACATACGAGACTTACCGCGCTCTTACCCCTCCAAAACCGACCTACCGCCATTTCATCACTGAGAACTCCATCGGCAAAGAATGGTGGAACTCACGTCTCCGTCTCCTCCAACTCCTCGGCAGTAACCAAGGTGCTGCCTCATCTTACGACGTTCCCACTATTCTCTCCCGTCTTGAGCCCTACGAACAGGAGCTCGTCCCGGAAATGATCATCCTCAACGGCCGCCAGGGCCGCCACGAAGAGGCGATTAGGCTGCTGACCCATGGCCTCGGCGACTTCGATACGGCCATCAGCTACTGTCTTCTCGGTGGCTCGAGCATATTCCGGCCGCCGTCCGGGTTCGTGCCTCAGGAAGCCATTCCATCACGAGAAGAGCAGGCACGCCTGTTCGGATATCTGCTGCATGAGTTCCTGAAGATCGAAGATCTTAGCGAGAGGATTGAGAGGACGGGCGAGTTGCTAGAGAGGTTTGGGGGGTGGTTTGATGTGGCGACCGTAAGTCTAACTCCGATCTTTTCGATCATGATCTTTCTATTGTTCATTGCTAACGCGGTGTCTAGGTGCTAAGCATGATCCCGGACTCATGGTCTATTGAGATCTTCTCTGGTTTCTTGATCAATGCGCTACGGCGGTTGGTTAGAGAGCGCAGCGAGACTTCTATAAACAAGGCACTGAGTGGTGCCCAGAACTTGAAGACGAGTGAAGATTTGATTGATCGGGCGGAAGAACTAGGGCCAACTGTTGAGCGGGTGATGTGAGGAGGGGTTTGAAGTGATAGACATACTATGAGCGTGTAACTAGTATGATGTTTAGCGTGGAATATCCTCATCGCGAGTTCTTCAAAAGGACAATATGTATATACAAGAGAAAGGAGTCCCAATGTATCTCTTCTTCTCACCTATTGCTCATGATGTCCTAGCTACAGTCTCCACATATGAAGTTGTGAAAGATGGGTTCTTCGAAGAATTTCACCCTGTTGAAGCACCCATTGGTCCATTCCCCGAACTGTGATGCTGATTCACGGCTTCTGACAATTCAGTGCTGAAAATAGCTCAAAATCGCAACTCCTTTGACGTCAACCCTCAGATCAGACTTGGAGCACTATGCCAATACTTCAGGGCACCCAGAAAGTTTCACGCGGCCAACACTCCACACTTTTCGAGGCGCCAAGACTTGCTTCAATCGGACAGACGGGAGGGACCTTAGAGTGATATAGACTTCATCTAAATTTCGAGGACTACCTGCCTGATCAATCCTCAGGAGCCCACAATCACCAGAGCAAGTCGTATTGCATTAATTCACGCATGATCTAAGAATCCATCAGGAAGACAAAGCATATTCATTCAACCGTCTCTCCTCTTCTCCCTATCTCTATGCCTCGCACTCCTTTTCCTCCCAATCCCTCCACTTTCCTTCCCCATCCCCGCATCCACTTCATCCAACCCCTTTCCCTCCTTTTTGGGCCAGTTCCTCGCAAGATCAATACGCGAACGCGGCGCAAAAACCTCCAGAAACACGAAGAGGAGGTAATCGATGAGCACGCACAAACAGAAGAGCTTGCCCGCCCAAATACCACAGCCATAGTAGCGCTTCAGCCGCTCGATGAGCGCAAAGCTCTGCACGCCCGCGCGGCCGCGAGTTGCGCTCCACCCCGCTGCGCCAGCGCCCGTGCCAGGGTAGAACTCATCGTGGGGTAGGACGCCGCTGATGCCGTCATACACGCGCTCCGTGCGCTGCGCGACGTCGGTCCAGGAGTAGAATTGCTTGACTTGGTTGTGGAAGAGCTCTGTGGGGATGCGGCCAGCGCGGAGCTTGGAGATGGCGCGTCCGGTCGCCGCGACGATGTCGTCTTCCTCTGGCTTCGCGAATTCGGTCATGTGGCCAGGCAGGACTTCGGGGATGCCACCCACGCGGGTGCAAACGACGTAGAGGCCGCAAGAGGCGGCTTCAACGATGACGGTGCCGAAGGCTTCGGTGAGGGAAGGGTGTAGGTAGATGTGCCCTTGTACCATGACGTCGCGCACTTCTTCGTGGCGGGCTGGGCCGAGGAGAGAGACGCGGTCCTGTAGGACGTTTCGCTCGATCATCTGTTCTAGATCGATGGCTTTGGGGCCTGAGCCAGCGATTATGAAGCGGACGTTGGGATGGGAGGCGAGAATGCGAGGGATGGCTGCTATGAGGAGGTCGGTGCCTTTGTTGTAGAAAAGGCGCGATACTACGACGATCGTTATGGTTTCGTTGGGTCCCAGACGGCGTGCTGCTGGAGTAACACGTGAGTGCGGATCGGCCGGTAATGCAGTGTCGTCCGAAGGGAGTATGAGAGGGCGGAAGTTCTCCGCCACGACTGCGTTGGGGATTACGGAGACCATGAGAGGGTCGAGGGAGGCTCTGAGGACCGTGTTCTCTTTACTGATGCCACTGTTAGGCGTTGGGTGGGATCTATTCAAGCATACTCACCATGTATGGCTAACACAAATAACATGGTCCACGTCACTCAGGGTAAATTTCAGCAGCTTGTTCGTCAAGATACTGGCTGCGTCCGCAAATCCAAACAGAGAATGATCCGTGAATACGGTCCGAAGACCCATAGTCCGCGCATGTATGATAGACTCATGGCAAATGCTGCTGAGACTAGCATGCCCATGCACTATTTCAATCTGCTCCCGTATTATAATATTCCGAAATATAGGAAAGAAGGAGAAGACGGTTGGGAAGGTCGTTTCTCGATATATCACGAGGAAGGGAACGTGGTAGACTTTTAGGCCGTTGGTGAGGTATCTGACTCCGGTGCGCCCATCGTATGCATGCGTGATTATTACCACTTTGTGGCCGCGATCAATGAGTTTCTGGACGCAAGGTTAGCTGCGAAGGTTAGGGAACTGTTCGTCACACATACAGAGGACAGTTGGTAGATATGGCTTTCGACTCCTCCTTGAAAGAGGTTAGAGCTTCCTGGAATAGCGAGAGCAGCAGTGAATACCTGGCTGGGGAAAGAAGCAGTCACTGCACATCCTACATGCGCGTCAGTCGATTGACCTTGCGAGGGCACTTGTGTGGAGACATACGCAATATTGTAAGGCATCTTGAACCGCCCTGACGATCACACTTGGACCGTCCAGTAACTCGCAAAGCATCGCGTTCTGTTTGTAGATGGCGGAGAAGCTTGCGACGGGCGAAAGTGGTGGTCGCCGCGTGGTGTTGAGGTCAGAGCGCGGAGGTGAACCGCCTGCCCGCCAAAGCTCGACCCTAAGCATTTTTTTCTACACTCCTCCCACGTCTATCTACAAATCGCAGGCCTCTAAAATGGCCACCCCAATGTACGCGCGATACATCCCTCCGAAAGCGAAAAACACGAGGGGAAAAGCGAGTGTATCGCTTCCTGTACCAGAGATATCACAGGCGAAGGAACAGCCTGGAAAAACGAAGCAGCAAAGCAAAGACCAACCAAAGAAGCGCAAACGAGAGACGAAAGACCCACTAAAAGAGAAAGAGGATGATGTTACAATACCTTCTGTACTAAAGGCTTCTGAGGTGGAGGAAGTGCCTGCAAAGAAGGAGCATCGAAGTAAAGATCGGCCCAAGAAGCGGAAACGGGAGCGGGAAGAGAAATCTCACGACAGCGAGGATAACGGCACGAAGCTCAAGAAGCACAAGAGCGTGCTTTCGAAATTCGAAAAGGTCTCGAAGATAGCCGGAGCTGCACGAGAGAGCGCGGTCGATATCCCAGCGGAAGAAATCAAAGAATCGCCAACTGAACTGCATGGTAGGAGCACTTGCACGCTTCCATTTTGGATTCTCATGTTCTAATATGGAACTCTAGGATTGACTCCATTACCACAACCTGAACCCGTCCCAGAACCTGAATATCACCCCACCTTCTCAGCTCTGCCACCATGGCTCGCGAAGCCCACGACAGTATCTTCCTCGGCCAAGGTACCGTTTGCAGACCTAGGATTAGACGCTAGGCTAGTCGAGCAGCTGGAGAAGAAGGGATACAAAGAAGCTCTGGCGGTTCAGTCTGCAGTCATTCCTATGTTACTACCAGGCCTACACCAGCATTTCGGAGATATATGTGTATCCGCGGCGACGGGCTCCGGGAAGACACTAGCATACATCCTCCCAATGATTGAGGGGTTGCAGGGTAGGGTGCTTTCCAAGCTCTCGGGGTTGATCGTCGTTCCGACAAGAGAGTTGGTAACACAAGCACGTGTAGTTGCAGAGCAGATCACAGTAGGCACGAAGATCAAAGTTGGCACAGCCGTTGGTAACATATCTTTTCCCGCGGAACAAGAGCTTTTAGTGAAGAAGGATAAGAGGTTCGATCCCGAGGCAGCTCGATTGCTGCACGACAAGGCCAATGAGCAATTACGCACTGGATTTGTTGAAAGAGGTGGAATCATGGGGGATTTGATGCATATGCCACCAGGTCATGTGCCACATTACGAATCTAGCGTCGACATTCTGATCTGCACGCCTGGTCGGCTAGTTGAGCACATCCAGTCAACAACGGGCTTCAGTCTTTCAGACATCCGATGGCTAGTCGTAGACGAGGCAGATCGTCTCCTTGACGATAGCTTTCAAGAATGGGTTGACGTTTTGATGAAAGCTCTGGAGGTAGAAAGCACTTCTGAACAGGCCCTCGCGCGCAGGAAAATCATATCGAGGAATCCATGGCTGAAGCCAGAAAGACAACTGACTAAAGTCGTTCTAAGTGCGACTATGACTAAGGACCTAAGCAAGCTAGGCTCGCTGAAATTCCGGAGACCTAAGATGGTGATTGTCGAGAATGAGGACCAGAATATTCACTCATGTGCCCCTGGCACTGACATGACTGGAGACGGAGAATCGTTCGAGCTGCCCCCAGCCCTGAAGGAATGGGCAATACCCGTGGGCACTGGGTTGGACAAGCCTCTATATCTGCTCAAACTTCTACAGACGAACATACTGTCACAATGGGAAATGGAGAAGACAGACACACCAACTGTTGCAGACGTCGATACTGAGTCTTCGGCGTCCTCATCGTCTTCGTCTGACTCGGACAACTCCGATTCGGACTCTGCTTCCTCTGTGTCAGATTCATCGGAGGATTCTTCGTCTGAAGATGAGTCGGATGACTCTGGAGTTGACACAAAGAAGAAGTTGTCAAACCCGAAACATCGCTCCAAAATAACACCTAAGAACCAAGCGGATATCTCATCACGAGTGTTGGTCTTCACAAACAACAATGAGAATGCAGCTCGACTATCGCACCTCCTCGCCATTCTGCACCCGCCACTAAAGAACAAATTAGGGACACTCACGAAATCAGCAGCGACAAAATCTAGTCAGAAGACGCTTGCTGCCTTTGCAACAGGCAAGATAAGAATATTGATAGCCTCCGATCGAGCTTCCAGGGGCCTTGACGTGCCTGACCTTGGACACATTGTGAACTACGACCTTCCACGAAGCGTTACAGACTACGTCCACCGGGTAGGACGGACAGCAAGAGCCGGAAAAGAAGGCCAGTCTTGGACATTCTTCACTAAGACGGAGGGAAGGTGGTTTTGGAACGATATTGCCAGAGCGTCGGCGATCAGGAGAGCGCAGAAGGTAGACAGGGCTATCGTGGATGCGGAGACGTTGAACGAGGAGAAGCGGACTACGTATGAGGCTGCGCTGCGAGAGCTCCGAGTTGCCGTCGAAGGAAGCACGGGACGAGCCGTGGGACGATAGGCGCGCGATAGCAATCTAGCAGGCACTGACATGTGAGCCTGGCTTCCGCTTGTCTTGTACGCATACAGCGTAGGCTTCGTGGCAGGATGGCTATGCATACGAGCGCTCGGTAGCCTCCGTACGATCCGAACGCCTTGACAGATTGATAATGAGGTCCTTGCTCTTGGAAGCTGTATAGGTCGTTCACGGCGGCAAGGACATACCACATGCGCCGGCGAAGTCGCGTCATTATGCAGAAAGCTTCGAAAGCTTCCTCAAAGTGCAGGTGCTTATAGTGTTTGGGGCCGCTACCAGCGCTGGCCTGCATGTCTCAATATGAACTTCTGCTTAGTCGCTACAATGGAACAAACAAGCTTTTAGGTTTGTAGATCTTGCTAAACACATCGGGGCTGAAAGCTCGAAGAGGAATGTGACTACCCCAGCATGGCCCTGCGTTTTACCGAGCATTTCAGGACCTCGCATTTAGCTACCGAGAAATCCTTCGTAAGTCTGAAGGAGCCATCGTTGCGCTCTAATTACCTCCAACCTGGAATGGGTTGCATCCGGTACGGGTGGGTCTTACTTGCTTAATTCGAGCTGCTTTACTCAAGCAGGACTTTGTGATAGACTACTGTGGGGTCGACTCGGAAGCTCGGGAGCGTGTTACACCATGCGAAAGACGCCGGCAGGCATGCCTATTCGATGCTCCCAGCTGTAGTCCCATACCACTAATCTGCTTGGCATCCATACCACTCCGGTCCAGGTGCCCCAGTACTGTTCAGCGCTTAGATAGTCCGGACTCGCCGGTCTCCAGTCACAGCGTCCGCCTCCAGCAGAAGGGTACACGCTGGGTACCACGGTGATTGCTTGCTTTGATAACGATGTGGAGGCGAATACACCGCAGTACCGGCGCGTCGTTGTTCCACCTGCGGAACTCATGCCAACGCTACCGCCATCGCCACAGGGTATGGGTGACGCGCATCAGGATACTCTTCTCTCGGACAATAGAGTGACCAGGTGCATGTTACGTGGCTGCCTGCTGCATTCTCTCTCGCGTGGTCTGCCTCGTATCTTCGCAAGTCGGCGCAGGATGGAGTCCATGAGCAGGATCCAGTGCATCGGTGGCTGCACAGAAGGCTTGTCGATGAAGAAGCAACAGATTGGCGTCTTGTCCTGAGAGGAAGCTCGAAGCTTGACTGCAAGGTGTGGTGTCGTGACGATCGCTCAGGGGACGTTTGATACCAGGCTCGCTTAGCACTCCCGAAACGGAAGCCCACTCTTCGGCCCTGGAGCGGCTTCAGACGACGACCCTTCTGCTGCCCGTGAATGGCTGTGTCGACAGCTCTGCACCCTCATCACGGGGGACGGGTGATCTCCCAGCCCAATCGGCCATCGAATTAGAGTGCGTCGTTAGCAGCCGCCCTACTCGCGACGACGTTTCCAGACGCTCGAAACCACCTCGCCGCGGGCCTTCACCGCACCGCCATGGCCCACTGCACCACCATGGCCCACCCCGGGGGCCCCAGCGTTATCGCCCGCCCCGGCCGCCGTGTCCCCGTGCTGGCAGGGCCGATTAAGCATTGTGCTGCGTGCCAGGTGCCGGGCCAGGAACATGGGTGGGCCACTTCGGCGATTTAATCTAAACAACTTCTGACCACTGCCATCACCGCAGAGCACCATCGCCACCTGCCCTATTGCGACGAAGCGCGGGCGTCTCAGAGCTGGCTGCCTTGTTCCTGTACGCCCGTCCTATCAGTCGTCCATCTGATGCTGCTGCCGTGCAAGAAGCAGGCTTTTGGGCAGTCATGATGCCTGACTACCATAAGGCGCCTCTAGGGCCTGCATCTGCCGGCGACGCACCCCACATGACGACTCGGGGGGCATGAGCTTGAGACGGAGCGTATCGTCTTGGCACCGACGCCGCGAACGACCCCAGTGCTGCTCAGCGTGTCCGCCGCTGGCCACAGATCGCCGTTGCCAAGCGAAAGGGGGCTTGACGATGCATCTCCCCGAGCAAGGCGGCGGTCCAGGCGGCGGGCCTTCACTGCCGCATGCACTGAAGATCTCCGAGCGAGTTTGGTCCTCCGGGCGGGCGGTGCGGCCCAGTAACACTGTCGCCAGATGGCCCGTCTCCTTCATTTGTCTGCTCTCCAATGCCTCTGTGACTGTGCCGCGTTGATTGGCACCCTGTTTCCCAGCGTGGTTGCTGAAACACTCGGAGACTGCCGGTCTATGCGATCCGGTCAGAGTCACAGCATCATTAAAAGGAAGGCCAATGATACCACCATGGCGTCCTGCCCAGCCTGGATGGCGCGATAGCCAAGTCGCCTACGCAGCCTCCCGCTGCGTCCCTACGGTTCCTTGCTCGGCGCCGTTTCATGCACTTGTCCATCAACCCTCCATGACCCGCCGCGCCCTGTTTGGCGGAGACAGGACCCAATCTAGAAGGTATCCAGAATGTTTCTACGCTGCTCGTGGCTTCAGCAACCTTACACCTAGGCTCAAGACCACCTGTGGTGTGCCAATCGACACGGACACGCCATTGAGTGGGCACTGCATTTGATTGCTCTTGCGATCTGCCTGACGAGTGCCCAGACGGGCCGTCGCTATGCGCTAAGCCACTGCGGGGAGATCGTATGGGACTCTCACTCTGCTTCAATTGCTATAAAGACCAGCCGTACCTCGACTCTCTGGGGGCCATCCGCAGCCGACCACTCCCAGGACCACCAAGCCTTTACATTCACTCACTCATCTTTGCGTTCAAGTCTCATTCATTATGCCTTCTTTCGCTTCCCTCACGGCTCTGGTGGCCGTTGCGGGCCTCGTCGCCGCCTCCCCCGTCTCCCTCGAGAAGCGCAAAGCCTTCACTGTCGAGCAGGTTGAGAAGGGCAAGTTCGTCAGGAACGGTGCCGCCAGCGTCGCCTCGACCTACTTGAAGTACGGCAAGCCAGTGCCTGCGAACGTTGCCGCCGCTGCTGCTGCGCAGGGCAGCGTGACCGCTTCGCCCTCGGACGACTACGACTCGTCGTACCTTTGCCCCGTTGATGTCGGCGGCACGACTATGGAACTGGACTTCGATACTGGAAGTGCTGATCTGTGAGTTTAATTTCACTCGTCCAATCACAACCACGGCGCAGGGACGCCCTCGAAGCGACATCCAACCCCTGCATAAGCCTCTTGGCATGACATCACGTGAACAGCGATGTTTAGGAACTACCAACCTTCGCGCGAGGATCGCCGTCTTCGGCACATATGGTGGCCTCCATCCTTCAGAGATAATTGGCTAATACAATTCCAGCTGGGTCTTCTCTTCTCTGCAGCCCAGCTCGCAGACTTCCGGCCATGCCGTCTACCAGGCTTCGAGCTCCAAGATCAAGTCCGGCTACACCTGGGACATCTCTTACGGAGATGGATCGGGAGCTTCTGGAAAAGTGTACGCCGACAAGGTCGTCGTGGGCGGTGTGACTGCCACTTCCCAGGCTGTTGAGGCTGCCACGTCCATCTCGACCCAATTCCAGCAGGACACGAACAACGACGGTCTTCTCGGCCTGTCCTTCAGCAGCATCAACACCGTCAAGCCCAAGGCTCAGACCACCTTCTTCGACACCGTGAAGTCAACTCTTGCTAAGCCCCTCTTCGGTGTCGACCTGAAGTACCACGCGCCCGGTACCTACGACTTCGGCTTCATCGACACCAGCAAGTTCAGCGGCGCCCTGACCTACGTCGACGTCGACAACTCCCAGGGCTTCTGGGGCTTCACCGCCTCCGGCTACATCGTTGGCAACGGCACCCAATCGTCTACCTCCATCAGCGCCATTGCCGACACCGGAACCACCCTGCTCTACATTCCCCTCTCTGCCGTCAAGGCCTACTACAAGCAAGTCAGCGGCGCCAAGCTCGACTCTAGCCAGGGTGGCTACACCTTCCCCTGCTCCGCCTCTCTGCCCGACTTCACCGCCATCATCGGTGGCACCAAGCACACCGTCCCCGGCAAGTACATCAACTACTCTCCCATCTCCGACGGATCCTCCACTTGCTTCGGCGGCATCCAGGACGACTCCGACATTGGACAGTCCATCTTCGGCGACATCTTCCTCAAGAGCCAGTACGTTGTCTTCAACGGCGACACCACCCCCAAGCTCGGCTTCGCCCAGCAGGTCTAGATTGGTCTTTACGACACGAGACGAGGTAAAAGCAGAGGGAGACTACGGGGCCCCTATGGGGATAAATGCATACTTTCCTTCTCTGTTGCAGAACCTACACATGAATTCTTTTCTTTCACTTACTAGCATGCACGTTCCGCTGATGCGGGCGCGCCATTTCATTCGATTCTTCTTGGTTTGGTCTTCGGATGGCCGTGCGATTGGTCTGCTTCCATTGGATGAATAGTATGAAATGACATCTTGCTTGACGTAAACTTTGCTTCTCTTGCTCGACTTTGCGGTGTGATGGTGATTGCCACAGGGCCCTTGGACAGCTGAGAGTATGGGCTCCTCTCCAGTCTCAAGCTTTAGCGATGGCAAGGAGCCCCTTTGGGTATAATTGGAACAAAATGCTACAGATCTGACCGCGTAGAACCAATTATGATAGATGCGGAGTAGATGAGACGTCCTCCTGTCCTGACTCAATAGTATCGAGATCAAAGAGAACATCTGAGCGTGCCTCGACCAAGGACCGCTCATGTTGTTCCAAGGTCTTACCTAATCAACCGCGTGTGATTTGTTTCATAGAAGCGGAGCATACGCTGCGTCCACTCATTGTAACTCCTTCCCGCGGAGATGAGAGCCTAAATCAGCTCGACGGCAATAGGATTTAGCAAAGCATGTTGGGGTCTCTCGGGCAAGACTCACTTCAAAATGTTACAAGATATTACAATAATTAACCAGGTAGAAAAGAAAATAGCAGACACAGAGGGCACGTGGCGTACGCCCTGCGTAGTCTCTTTTACTGGACCGTCAGAGCATCTAAATCAGATCGAGATAGTTACGCTCCACAACAATAGCTGGGGTGCTTCAGCGAGAGCGCGTCATCGTTTCGGTCGTAAGTTTTTACCAAACCAACCGCGTGAGTCCTGATTTGATGGACTCGGAGGGTACGCGGCAGAGTCGGTTGTAACTAGGGAACAACAGTTTCGAAATCGGGTTGGCAATATGAAAGTATGGAAACATGGCTGAAGTTGTTTAGTAGGAGTTGAGCTCTGTTTAGTTAAGTTTCTTCCGAATTTACTGCGTTGAAGCGGTCTTAGCAGACACGACTTCGACGTGAGGAAAATGCAGTTTAGTCCCTGGAGCCTAGGACTAATGATCATGACTGGGGTCTACGGTAATAGAATTAGGAAGATCATGTTGGGGTAGCCTTAGGCAAGGAAAATCCAGTGCTGTTACAAGACTTTAAAGAATCAACCACCTAGCAGCAGTTATGAAAGCCACGACGTAGATGGGGAGGATGCGGTGGCAGCTTTTGCGGTCGCGCTTTTAGTAGGGCTCTTCAGGTATGGACAGGTGATGATAGGATGTGGAACTCTGAAAGTTGAGGGGAAGGTGACCTAGACATTAATGAAAGCAACTTGAACATTCCATGTTTTTGACATTGAAAATCATGACCACCGGGGCCTTGTTCAGCTGTAATTGATCTTTAATCTTGGCCACACGTTCCTGCAACCCAAACGCCTCGCCATGCAAATGCAGCCACCGTACCCTATGTAATTCCCCCGTGGTATCATCATACATGAAGAGTTAATTGTGACTCATCCTTTTATCTTCTTCTTGTCTTTCTTTTTCTTGCCAGTATCACTTCCGCCGGCTGCGCCTATCGCAGCTGCAGCGTCGCCTCCCTGCATCTCTGCCATCATCTCTTGAAGGAAATTCTCACTGACGCCTCCTCCAGTGAGAGCTGGTGAATGTAGCGGCAAGATGGTGTTCATTTTCCAGCCGCGTGGGATCGCAGGTTGGAGTGGCTCTTTTGGAGGAGGTAATCCAGCAATGCGCAGTTTGAGTGGTGACGATTCGGTAGTGGGGTGATCTTGAAGATACTTTGAGACAAGCGTGTAGAGATGGTGTTCTATACAGCAAGATAGGGTCAGCAAGTTTAAGTTCAAACCCAAACAGGTGATGAACGTCATTCTATGAGGACATGAGCCCGAGAAGAGCACCACCTGAAACATATAGTCTGTAGGAAATGAAGGACCACCCACTATTCGCGACGATTCCTCCCACTGATTTCCCCTTCTCTTTCACTAGGACTCGTACTCGGCCGGGATTGCTCCAGTCCTTGGGATGCGTCTTTTCAGGCTCAAATACGACATTGAGTCCTAGTGATGCCGTAGCTTCTGCAATCTCACGGGCCAACGGATTAGGAACAGCCTGCTCTTTTCCGATGCGGCGACCTTGCCCTCGTGTGCGACTGGCATCGAAGTAGATTGGGTAGAGGCATTGCCAATGCTTTGACTTCTCGCGATCCGCAGCCTGTTGCTTGGACTGTTGAGACTCCTGCGCCTGGGATGGTCTTGGTGGCATACGTTGCATGGGTGATATTGGCGCTTGAGGTTGGTGAGGCTTCGAGGGGTCCGCTGGCCGCAACTGCGACTGTAGGCCCGTCTCTTGATATTGCGGATTGACCATCTGCATAATGTTGGCGGGATCGAAGTCTGCAATGTCCATCTCAGCCGGATCGCTGTCGCTGTCGCTGATCTCTTCTATCCGTGCGTTTCGCGACATGGTGGGAAGTAGTTCGGCGAAGTATCCTACCGGGAAGAGGACGAAGCAATGCTTTTGCTGGAGATTAGTCCAGCGATGGTCCTCTTAGTGTTGAGGTTCGGAAAGACGCTAGTCCGATTGCGAGCTAGTGCACGGAGACTCGGCGTATTTTTTCCGGCGAAGCACATGCTGCGAGCCTTTCCCAGAAGAGCTTCTTAATGAATAGTACTTCGGAGACTTGTCCGGGGCCATCATCATGTTCTGCTCTAGCCTTCTATCAATGAGTCTGAAGCCATTTCGTACAAGCATTCGCTGACATCAGCTGCAGGCATTTTCGCCACTTTGGGCTCGCGTCCCACAAGACGCCAGTCTGAATGACTTGTAAAGTCCAGACTGCTCGCCGTCACATGCTTGTGACCGTTAAGCGACGATCTATCAACATATCCGTACGTAGTGTAACTGACTTTCTCGGTTGCATGCAATGGTGGCTCGATTTCTGTTCTGGACGTCACGTTCTACGCTTCCTGCGACGTACGAAGAGCACAAGGCCACGCCGCCCTATCTAGTCGCTTCCCATAATGTCCAATTTCAGGAGATCTCGCGGTCTTGACCAGTACCTTATACAGAGAAGCATGCGATGATAATCACAAAAGATTCGTGTTTAACTTGGAGCATCTCTATCACTCCACACATCAAGGTTATTTATCCATGGGTGCCAATCTCCTCTAGCTTAGCTTAGCCCTCTTTCTTTAGGGGCCAAAATGGTGATGCTCTATGTTCGGGTAATTGAAGAGAATGGGTTAAGCGGCCTTCTCTTACTTGATCGTGGCTTTCCCGTTGCTACATTGGCCTAAGCCTTGTGGGGGCATCGTCTCAATCCATAACCTAATCACTGGCGTTCTCCGATCCGCTCTTCTGTCATACCGACACTATGAGCTGGTCGCCACGATTGCTGCGACCATGTTCACATCTCAGTTCGTATTGGCGCCACTGCCTCGCACTTCAGGGTCCAGATAGCTGGAACAGCCAGTGCGGATCGAACATATTGGATACCAATGCACTGCGGCCGGCTTCTGAAACCGTGTCGGCAAAGCCGGCGACGTTGCTGTCAAGCTACCCAACGGAAACTGCGGACCCTGTTCGAAGGCGTTCGCGTGTCAGCCAGACTTCTTAGAGTGTCGGCGTGCTTAGAACGCAGACTCGTCTCTCTGTCCAGCCTCTATTGGCTAAAGGGGGTGGCGGACTAAATTTCGCTGTTCAGACAAGCCCAGCATGGGTAGAGTCAGATCTATTTCAGGAATCACTTGGTTTTCGATGGTGTTTGCCTCATGTCAGTCGCATCGCCCGTCTACCAGGGCCATGGCTCATTCGCAACAAACACTGAACAATGGTAGTTCATGACGTAGCAAGGCGACTACGGAATGATTAATTAGTTGATTGGTATCTCCTTGGTATCCAGTAGATCCCGCGGAATCGGACCGTCTCAATGTTAGCGAGTTGAATGGTCCCGTTGCCGTTCTTCCCCAGCACAACTTTCAGTGGCTTACCACCTCCACTCTTGAGATCCAAATGCTTCCCAACACTCCTCCAGCAATCGGGGCCTCAATTCTATAGGCATATAGGCCACAGCTCAATTGCACAGAAAGGATGCTCCCTCTTACCGTTTAGGGGGGGAACTCCCGGGCTGCAGCGCACTGCGATGGGACACGTTTCACGTTGCTACTGAGCGCGACACCAAGGAAAAGGAACCGCAAACTTACTGATGTAGATGCAGGATTGTCTCATTCTAGTAGCTGCATCGATGGTTCTCAGCTGAGTAGCCTTAAACGCGTTCGATTCGACTAGCCTCCTGGAGCACTGCCAACACCGTCGACGCCTCACCACCCAGCATCGAATTATGGGTTTTCTTCACTCCCACCGAGCAGGTACAAGCGAAAGGACCAGGTCATAAGCGGGACTACGGCTACGTCGGCATCGGACCGAACATATAGTCAGCCTTCGGCATGCCGGACTACTATCTTTCGGGTCACCTACGCCGTCGGGCCTCCACTTTCTGACGGCTGCCGCGACAGTCCCGAGGCTATGAGGGGTTGAGCCGGTGGCATTAGGTCCTAAATGACTCAAAAGACCGAGAGCTAGTGGTGCCGATGTGAAGGTTGCAGAGAGTTGACGTGTATAGATAGTCGACCATCCCGCGCTGTGAGTGAACACTTCCGAAGACCAAACGACTAAGCTGATAGATTTGCAGTAATAGTCCTCAAACTTTGCCCATCCTATAACTCAGTTACACACGATCCCTCATTGCACCTATTTCTACTACAATGTCTCCGTCTGCGGTTGTCAACAAACGTGCTGTCGTAGTAGAGCCAGAAACGACCGGCCACAAGAACGTAAAGACGAAGAGTGTACTACTGCACCGTCACATCCATTATGAACCCAGCACAGTGGTTGCAGCCAAGGGCAACTACGTCGAGCTCAACAGCGGTCAGAAAATACTGGATGCCACAGGTGGCGCAGCTGTGTCTTGTCTAGGCCATGGAAACCAGAGGGTCAAGGAAGCTATCAACCGTCAGTTGGACCAAGTCGCGTATTGTGCTTCGCTGTTCTTTGGATCATCAGCTGGCGAGGCTTTGGCCAAAGAGCTGGTCGATGGCACCAACGGTCAGATGGCGCGGGCATACATTGTGTGCTCAGGTAAGTACTCTTGTGACGAAAAGGTCTATGGCTATCACTGCGTATTTTTTTTAACGTCTGAATAGGTTCCGAGGCAATGGAAGCTACGATGAAGCTTGCCCGACAATACTTCCTGGAGTGTGCGCCAGCTCAGCCTGAACGAGTCAACTTCATTGCTAGGAAAGAGTCCTACCACGGAACCACACTGGGAGGTCTCTCCATGAGCGGTCACGTAGGTAGAAGGGCGTTGTTTGAGCCAATGCTCCTTGGAAATGTCAGTAGGGTGTCAGCTTGTAACGCTTATCGCGGTATGAAAGAAGGAGAAAGCACCAAAGAATACGTCGCCAGACTAGCGCAAGAATTGGATGATGAATTCGTTCGGCTGGGTCCACAGACAGTATGCGCCTTCGTTGCTGAGCCTGTCGTTGGAGCCGTAAGTTCGCCATTATCTCTTCCAACCTGTCTGAACACATATGAATGATCACGAATGCAACCGAGACATGCTGGTGGAGTATACTTCCAGTTCTTCCTATGGCATGTAGTTGTTGCATAATCTTATCAATCAATCAATTGCCCTATAAGGCTGAGATTGCTAACGATGCAAAGGCTCTTGGGTGCGTCCCTGCCGTACCGGGCTACTTTCAAGCTATGAAGGCGGTCTGCGATAAGTACGGTGCGCTCTTAGTCTTCGATGAGGTGATGAGCGGTATGGGTCGTTCCGGCACGCTCCATGCCTGGGAGCAGGAAGGAGTTGTTCCGGACATAGAAACGATTGGCAAAGGCCTCGGAGGAGGCTACGCTGCCGTAGCAGGTTTGCTGATCGGCCACCGGGTTATCCATGTCCTCGACAAAGGCACGGGTGCTTTCTCTCACGGACATACCTACCAAGGACATCCAGTCGCCTGTGCAGCCGCGCTGGAAGTTCAGCGAATCGTCCGCGAGGAGGGTCTAGTGGAGAACGCTAGACGGATGGGCGAAGTGCTCGAGAAGCAATTGAAAGAGCGGCTTTCGTCGCACCCGAACGTTGGTGATATTCGTGGACGAGGGTTGTTCTGGGGCGTAAGTTGGCATCGCAAAACGATTGTGCACCCGTAAGCTTACACAAGTCGGTTTAGATCGAACTTGTTCGTGATAAGGCTACGAAAGAACCGTTCGACCCCAAGGATGGCATCGCTATGGCACTACACGAGAAAGGTATTTTCTGATTTCATCTTTGACACGCTACTGCTGACAAGCGATCTCTAGGGCTCGAACCAAAGCATAGCATTTCTCTATACCCTGGCACTGGCACAGTGGACGGGAAATCTGGAGACCATATCATGCTGGCCCCGGCGTACAACACCACCGAGGCGGACATCACTCTAATCGTCGATAGAACAACGGCGGCCATTGAGGACTTCTTCGCTCAACGAAGCTACCATTAAGCTCATCCAATTTGAATCTACATAGGTATAAATTGTGCCATGATAATAGGGCCCTGAAGATGGATACGGGAACAACTTTCTCTTTCGCACAGAAGCAACGCAAATCTCATAAAGTGCACGATTTCGACCGGGAAAAGGCGATTTGCAATTCTCTTTACATAGGGCATCACGCAGAGCACAGACCATACGGTCTTGATTATCTCGCTGCGCCATATGTAATAGAATTCAAACCAGTCGCCATGTCAGATGTCAGCGACTACAGACCTTCATACTTAGTATTTGATTACAGCCTCAGCACGGATTTGTCAGTAAGAAATGCAGAGTCCTCTTGAGCATGAGGTCTGCTCCAGTCTGCGTGGCCTTTCCAGGTCGACTCGCCATGCAGGCTGAGGTGGCCGAGACATGATTCGTCTAAAGCTGCCAAGGGACCGGCGACACTTTCCATTTGGGATGTCTGGCGCCTTTCCCGCTGCACACAAGGCCGGATTGAGTTGCGTGATACCACGGGCGGACTTGCAATGGCGCTGACAGCCCATCCGCAGCCGGGCCGGAAGAGCATTCTTATGACAGAAGCCCAGCGGCATCGCACGACCCGTGGACGTTCGATATCAAAACCATCACGTGATGCCTCGACGCGTGACTGCCAATTGTTTCAAGGAGCCGAGATGAGATACTCAGTCTGCTGCAGAGAAGGGAGAAACGCTCGCGGAGACATGAGATAGATGGCCGCATGGGATTGCGGCCTCCTGGAGCAATCCTGTGAGGTTTCACCTGCGGACCTGTGACATCGGCGTGAAGTCAACCGTGGCCCTGCGGTGGCGAAGGCAGCATTGAGGCCGGCCTCGTCTGAGCAGGATCCCTCTAGGTAGCCGGCTGACTACCATCCTACCATCATACATATACATACTGGAGGATCCGGAGCGGCGGGTGTGCTGCGCAATTATTAATGGGCTTCGGGACGAGCAACTGCGTTGAGGGGAGTGGGGACGGGCTGGTCAGCGCGTGGGATAGCGACTGGCGACGCCATATTATGGGCGCCCTGGGGGTCTCCGCACGCTGAATATTCATGGGCTGCGCAGCCTGCGCGGCGTGTCCTTCGGCAGGATTGCTGCTGCTGCTGCCACCCCAACCCAGCAGGCAGGTGACAAGCCTGGCTCGAGCCCATAGCGGTCGCTGCACGCCGCCCAGTGTGACGGGCTCGCCTGTGGTGCCGCAGCGCAGCGCAGAGGCCAGACGGGCAGGCAGAGTGAATGTGGCCACCAGGCGGCGTGGACAGCGAGCGCGGCGGGAGGTGAATTGCGCAGTGTGCCGGCTCTCTCTTGAGGCCCGGGCCCAGCGGTTGCTACGGCGGGTGACGGGCCAGTCGCAGTGATAGATGACGACCTGGACAAGCGGTGCCGATGGAGTCGCGCTAAGCTCACGACTCTAGGTCTGCTCACTCTCAACTCCGCAGTGCCAGAGCCTCTGCACCCAGCACCACCCGGCTCCTCTGGCATGCAACAGCCCGCCCGCCCATCGCCTTCGAGTGCTCCCCACGTCCGTCGTGTCTGGTCTGCGAGCTGACCTGGCCGGCAAGACGACCTTTCTCCACTTTCTTCGCCCTCGGTCGGCTGGCTGCGATAACGGGCCTACGCCGCTTCTGCACGCCTCAAAGCACGCCTCGACGGCCAAGTGAGGTGCCCGAACCCGCTCAGAGCGATCACCACGGCCTTCAATTCTGCACCCGCACCAGTTGCGGCCCTCTCCCGCGACTTCTGCGTTCTGACGTCTCACTGCCCGTGGCGTAGGACGTTGGCAGCACGCCTCCAGGCCACACACCAGCCATGTCGACTCCCTCCACCGCGACTGCCACTCTGCCTCCTCACCACCAGTACTACTCTCATCACCAAGCATATCAGCCTCCCGGAGTCAATGGCCAGGCTTCGAATGGCTCGTCGCGGCTAGGGAACTCGCTGTATAACGGATATTCTAGCGGCACGTCAAACTCTGACATACGACGAACCGCGACCGGGCACCCGAGACAGCCTGCAGCCGCCGAGATGGCTCTCACCAGCGGCCACGCCGGTGCCAGGCAGGACTCGCGAGGCTCGAAGCGGAACCCCAACTGGAACGATTTCTACAAAAACGGCGTCCCGAAGGAGATTATCGTGATTGACGATGACGACGACGAGCCTGCTTCTCGCCCGCAACGCCAGCCACAGGCAGGCCGACCCATCGCCAACGGTGCCACGAGGCATACGGACAAGAAACGGAAGACAACCGCTTCGACAGCCTACGATCCGGTCTACAACCAGCAAACGTCGTATTCGACCACCCAGACTCCATACTACGACGAATCACCATCTAATAACACCATCTCCACCGATCGGACCACATCTGCAATCAACACGACTGCCGCGACGTCTCTTGGCTCCACAGCAAGCAATGGCACATATATCCCGCCTCTGGAAAATGGCGTCGTTGGACAGAAGAGGAAACGGACAACTAGGCAAGCAACACAGGCTGAGGCTAAGGAGGCCAGGGAAGCCAAGAGAAGGGAGATTGATCCGCATGGAGATCCATTCAGCCTCTACGTGCCTCCGCCAAATCCGCCCATCAAGGCCAAGGAGGTCTTCGTCCAGGTTGTGCCTGACGTAAGTGTCACTCTGCCACGGAAAACCCGAAACGCACACTCACAAGCCTCACAGAAGTCATACATGAAGGACCAGAAAGTTGATGATGAGGACGGTCATTACATTGTCGTTCCAGAAGCGGATTTGACAGAGCGATGTAAGTTTCAAATTCCACATGCAGAGGAGACTTGTGTTGAACATTGCTGACATTCTCATGTAGACCAAATCGTCAAACTGCTTGGCCAAGGCACTTTCGGTAAAGTCGTGGAAGCTTTCGACAGGCGAAAAGGAACCCGATGTGCCATCAAGGTTATCCGCTCTGTTCCGAAGTACCGTGATGCGTCCCGTATCGAGCTTAGGGTTCTCTCTACCCTTTCGTCAAACGACAAGCACAACCAGAACCGGTGCATTCATCTGAGGGACTGCTTCGACTTCCGAAACCACATCTGCATCGTCACCGACCTCTACGGCCAGAGCGTCTTTGACTTCCTCAAGTCCAATGCGTTTGTGCCATTCCCCAGCACTCACATTCAGAAATTCGCCAAACAGCTACTCACTAGCGTAGCTTGTAAGTAACCTCTATACATCAAGTTCTGTCGCATGCAAACTAACAAACACATAGTTCTGCACGACCTGAATCTCATCCACACCGATCTGAAGCCTGAGAACATCCTATTGGTGAACAACGGTTACCAAACTTTCACATACAACCGGACTGTTCCGTCATCGTCAACCACAAACAGCCGCTCGGCTAGGCATCGCAAAGTCCTGCTTGACCCTGAGATACGGTTAATCGACTTCGGGTCCGCTACTTTCAACGATGAATATCATTCATCGGTTGTCTCTACCCGCCACTACCGTGCGCCCGAAATCATCCTCAACCTTGGGTGGAGTTTCCCGTGCGATATCTGGAGCATCGGTTGCATTCTCGTCGAGTTCTTCACCGGAGATGCGCTGTTTCAGACTCATGACAATCTGGAGCACTTGGCTATGATGGAAGCCGTCTGTGGAGGCAAATTGGATAGGGAGATAATACGAGCTGTGATGAAGGATGGGAAGGGCTCATCTCGGAGCTCAAATTCCGCTACTGCGTAAGGCATATACTAATAATCTGATTGAACCTGGACTAACATGACCACAGATACTTCAAGAACCAGAAGCTTGACTACCCAAACAGCGAGACACCAAAGGCGTCGAAGAAATACGTCAAGGCGATGAAGAGGCTACAGGTAATTAGTACCACTAGCAAACCAGTCCTTGACTTACGCCTCCTGCAGGACACTATCCCGCCCGTCAACGAGTTCAACCGGAAATTCCTTGATCTGCTGAGAAAGATTTTCGTGTACGATCCCAAGAAGCGGATAACTGCAAAGCAAGCTCTCCAGCACGACTGGTTCAAGGAGACGCTGATGGATGATGGAACCGAGGCCCACAAGATCCGTCTTGAGCGCGAGAAGAAGCAGCAGCGCCAGCGAGCCCAAGCAGAGGCCCGGTACTAATGGAGGGCTACGATATTATGACAGTGTCGACAACGGTGTCGAACGATCATCCACTTACCCCGGGCATGTTGTTGCTGCCTTGGGACATGTCTCATCTTCTGCATTTACGACTAGTCAATACGATGCATGGCAGGGCGACGGACTGTTTCCACTGGATTTTGGCGTCAAAGTGACGATTCTCTTTTACTTTGCGGAGGTGGATGTTGACCTGGGTAACACTTTGGCGCCACTAATCATGTCTCTGCTGCCACATGTCTATCGGCCACCTGTGGTCTCTGAGGGCAAGGCAAGTTGATGTTATTTGCGGACAAAGACAAAATTCCATGCGTTCTGTCTACTGCGTCTACATGGAGCTGGGCCCCGCGGTCTGCTATTCTCCCATTCCTATCTTCTGGTGCGTAGACGTGGAGACGAAGTCAAAGGTGTCTGGTGTTCGGGCAGTAAGGAGACTCATTGGGAGCATACTGCAGGATGGGAAGCCCTGGATAGGACGAGCAGCTACTCAATGATTGATCTGGGACACGTTCTCAAGATGACAAGCCCAACAATTACTTCCCGCCCGTGATTCGATATGATGATTATGTGAACTCGTAAGCGCCCCAGTGCGCCACTATCACAACCCCAGGGCTACCCCACAGCAACCCTGCGTTGCAGAGCCCAGGCACGTGCCAGGCCGTAAGGCTGATAGTGAATTTCTAGCCGAGCAGTCGCGCCAAGACATGTAAACAACCCTCACCATCACGCCTGCTTCGATTTGCGCCGGAATGCTTGACGCGCCTCAGAACACACGCGCACTTCCAATATGGCAACCCCGAAACAAGTGCAGAATCTTCTGCTGACCGAACACTTCAAATTCACGCCCCTCGTACGCGTCACCCTTCATCCCACCCCACCTCCATGCCCACGGGACAGACACTGACGAAGCCCCTCGCAGACCCTCGTAGACGACATCATCAATGCCGTCAATGAGCGCGCCTACCACGCGACTGATGCGATCGAGGCCTCCCTGCTAGCAGCAGATCCGACGCAGCTTGGCTTCGAGTCGCGCGCGAAGGAAGAGGGCCGTGTTCCAGAGACAGATGGAGAGGGCAAGCAGGTGTTTCCAGAGGCGAAGCTAGAGATTGACGAGGGCATACACCAGCTAGAGACACTGCTGGAAAACACAATTGACAAGAATTTCGACAAGTTTGAGATCTATACGCTTAGGAATGTTTTGACCGTCCCGGAGGATGTGGTGCCGTGGGTTAGGTTGGGGCATTATGAGGTTAGTTGGATACAATGAGTCTCTGGGGATATCATGGCCCTAGGATTTTTCGTTGGACTCTCGGAGAGTTGAGAATTGGAAGCCAGGCAGGACTTTGATCATGAATCAGGACTAACATATCACAGAACCTCACCATACCCGCCCCAAACGCCACAACACCCACCCCCGAATCCCTCCAACACCTCCGCCGCAAACTCTCAGAAACACAAAAACTCCACGCCGCCCTCCTCGCGGAGAAAACCCGCAACGAAGCCACCCTCGCCCGCCTCCGCAGCTTCCTCTCGCCCCCGCCTCCACCGCCCAAGACCGAGCACTCCTCTCCCAGCCAGAACGAGAAAACAGCCGCAACCAGCAACGGCGACGGTGCCTTCGCCTTCCTAACACACACACCTGCCGCGCAGAACCTGGGCATCCAACCCCTCCCCCAAGCCTCTGTTTCCCGAGCTACATCGGGCCCTGAATCAGCCGCTGGCCCGCTAACGACACATACCACCTTCACCCTCGCGCAGCTGCCTGCACTAAGGGCGCAGCTGGAGGGGCTGAAACCCTATCTCGCGACCGCGTCACTGCCGTCGGGTCGGGAGACGACTGAAGCGGCGGAGGCGGCGAGAGAGCGGAAGGAGTACGTGGAGAGCCAGACGCGGAGAGTGCTGGAGCGGAGAGGCGTAGATGTGAAGAATGGGGGTGCGGTTGAGGGGAGGCGGGTTGCTGGGGAGGAAGTGCGGGCATTGGAGGGCTTGGTGAAGGGAATGAGTAGAAATGGGGGCGAGAAGGCGGCTGAGGGCGAGGAGGAAGGGGAAGAGATGGATACTGGAGATTAGGCAGTTCTTTTTGAGCCTCTGTTCGGGCTTGGAGTTTGGGGTTTTTGGGATTCTGGGGTTGCGGGATGGTGGCTGTGTCATCTGGGTTTGGGGTGTCAAACAGCGTTCGAGGATCAGTCGAGGTTAAACTGGGGCGTCTGGTATCCTTAGGTACGGTTTGGATGTCCTTGACGGACAGGATATGGCTCCGGTCGAGGTCTACAGCACTGGACTCTAATATTAGATTGAAGCATTCCGGACAATAGCTTCGAGCGCGGCCTCGCCACTATCGCCACGTGCTGAAGTGAGATGGCTGATTTGTATTAACGGGCTAGGGTTCAAACGAGTAAGGAGTTCGAGGCCTCGGAGTGTTGAAGTGTTTGCTTTCCTGTGACCTTTTTTTTTTTGGCGAGGGGTCTACCTACCTACAAGTCGAGCCCGACAGTCAGGTCACTTGAAAGTATTTTGAAGGGAAACGGAGTATGTTCGATTCTCCAAGTCAAGCTCCCTCCACCCGCTAAGCTTCTTTCAAAGCAGCACGATGGTCTGACTCTGCCACCTTTCTCATTTGCGTCCTTGGGAGCTTCACTTCCTATCCAGATTTCTGATCCCTGTGCCGAAGCACCTCAGACAGTGACAAGCAAGTGTGCATACACTGGATGTGCGACCCCTCGCTCGAGATTTTATCTGTATGTTGAGGGACTGCCCGTGGTAGGGGAGAATTGTAGGCATATTTCCCGCAACGCGAAGAAATCTGCTCGTGTCCCTTAATCGTTTGGGATGGCCTGGCGAGTTTACAGGTCGGTCAAAAGGATCCCATATGCATTTCGTTTCAGCATCTTAAAAACATGTTGAATATCCTCAGACGGCGACAGCCACATGTACGCCGACATCGGTCACAGCTTTGAATTGATCAAGAACACATGAAGCATACACCCGAGAAAATGTCCTGAAACGCCGTGGCAAGCACATTGAGGGCCTCGATTCGAGTATAATTACCGTTGTAAGGACCCATGGCGTCTCCCAGCACCATCAAGGCCATGTCCAACAAATGACGCCTAGAGCGTACAGGTACCGAGACCAGTCACTCATCACCGTCGCTGCGTAGAGCCTCTCTCAAGCGACTAATCGCCTGATTCAGATCGTCCTCATCTGCGACCGCAACAGCAAGGCCTTTCCGGAAGGTCTCAATTGCGTTCTTCAGCTCCGCAGATGCGTTCTCGCCCATGTACTCTGCCTCCTGCTCCGCCTCTCGTAGCCTACGTCTTGTTATACTGACGCGATTCCAGTAGCCTTCAATAGCTGTTGGGTATGTTGTATCTTCCAGCTCCATGGCGAACTTCGTTGCATCAGTCGCCAACTCGTCCAGAACATCCTTCATGCTCGACCACCGGTTGCCTTCCAGAGAGATATGAAACTGCAGGAGCAAGAGGCCGGGTTTGGTGATCGAGGATCCATTGATAGACATGGCCGCATTGTACCAGATGTTGGGCTGATACAAGACCTTTGAGCGGAATTCAGGCCGATCTAGAACTTTGGCGAGCGAGACGCGATCCCAAGCTAGATCCATAGCTACGACAGAATCAATGCCGGAGTCGAACATTGGCAATCCCATTACTGCGACCAGAAGTTTGAGGGACCAAGGGCAGACCCTGAGAAAGAAGACCGAGCTGCTGAGGCCGTAGGGGTGGTTGGCGACGAGCATATTAACGTCCGCGAAATCAGGCGGCGGCAGGAATATGGAGAGTGGGATCAGCGGGTTGAGAAAGATGTTGTTGGCATCAAAGTACCTGCAATGGTTGGGTCACCGGTCAGTAAACTGACATGAGTTGGCTGTAAGAAATGGGCCTGTAGGGTCCGGGTCTCACACATACATGATCCATTCAATCCTTTCCTCTTCGGGCTTCGACAACTCCTTCGCCACCAGCGTGAACAGATAGGCGAACTTGTTCCAATATCCGTTGGTAATACTCTGCCTCAGGACGTGCATCTCATAGCCGTAGTTCGTGTTGTGGAGTCTGTGGGTTTGCATTGCGCCTTCCAGGATTTCGTTCTGAGCCCCGTACAGCATCGACGCTTTGGCGATTCGCACGTTCTCCTTCAACTTGGATCCATTGTGCAGTACTGGGAGGCTCGGCTTGAGGACTGGAAGACTCGGCTTGACATATGGAAGGCTGGACTTGGCACGGCTGACACGGAGGACCGAGGACACGAGGAAGAAAGCTGCTATGGCGAGGATAATGCCGCGATACTTGAGCCAGTTAGATCTTTGAATGATTCTTATTCGCATGGCATGTTTTGAAACCTCAATCAAGATCTGCTAAGTTAAGGGGGAAAGTTCGATACTATGAAAGTCATCAGTGAGCAAAATGGTTTCTTCTTGTTTCGTCCTCTCTTGCAACCAGAACACAAGCAGGTCGTGCGCGGTGGGAAGCGGGGGCGATATGTAGCTTACCCTTGTTAAGACGAAGCATGGTGCCGAATGGAACCACAAGGTACCTCCTCCTAGTCGCACGTCGGTAGCTTGCAGCGTGAAGTAGATTGCTAACAACTGCTTCAGTGTTGATTATCTTGGTTAGCAGGCCTGTGTAGATCAGCTGCAAGGTCGAGTAGTGACTGATATGTATGCTTGTTGAGTCGTGAGCTGCCCATTAGCTGTCGAGCAAATTGGTATCCAGCGAGGGGTCGCCAAGCTTGATGGCCAACTCTCATCACTGCTTCCCATCAGATCGCACGGGAGCTCGAGTGGTGTTGTTGGTCCGTGGACGCGACGCAAGTGGTCTCATTTAAAACGATAACGCTAACACTACTAGCGTGACGGAATATGGCGGCAAAGTAATCGACCCCTCACACCTCTCAAACGACACCGCTAGGGATGCAGACAGAACCCCCTTTACAGTCATGATACCATCTCGATTTCCAAGCGCCAGCTTCTAGTACAGTATTCTACGATAATAGTGACGCCCTTCGCACGTTCATCGGAATTCTTGTTTCCAATTTGAGGTAGTAGGCAGAGTCGAAACGGATCTCCGAAACTTGTCTCGTTGCAAAACATCGAAAGGAAACATCCCTGAGAGGCTTCAGGCTCTCTGAGCGATCTTGACTGGTTCATCATACCGGTCCTGACACCGTACGAGTGTCACGGAAAGTACTTGTACCGATGGGAAATAATTTTGCTCGAGTACAAGTACGCTGTTTGTCCCTCCGTTTTTCTTCTGTCCTCCCAGACGAGATGTCGATGTTGAACTAAAGTGCCACCTCATTTCCGTTTCCATATCTTCTTTAGATGAGCACGCGCTATTTACGAGCCGAAAGTGGATCCTGCCGATGCAAAACTCCTGAGTTCCTCTGAAGACTCATCCGTTGGCATGGACATCAGCAACCTTGGAAGCCTGTCGAAGCATATGCTCTTTTCCTCGATTGATCCTCGTATTATGTCTGGGAAGACTTTGGTATTCCAGTTTGTTACTATCCCTTCTCTCTTCACGTGGCTCAGTCAATTCATTGTAAGGAAATGAATTCTAGATTTCAAACTATATCATTCGACCCATATTTCCATCTCATGTACGGAAAAGCCCAAGGTATCGAGATTACAATTCTCATCGAAGATCCGGCAAAACAAGCTGGCTTGTCTACAGTTTCCTCCACGACTCCACTTCCCAACACTCATCAACATCTGTCACATAACCAAGAACGCCAGGATCTGCGGAGAAGGAAGACAACCGTAGTCTGATCTAGCGAAGGACAGCGATTAGACTGTCTGGCCGACTATGAGATGAGGCCGGTGGCCTCGGCCAGCAGCGCCTGAATTGGATCGGGGTCGATCGAAGTCCACGTCGGCGCAACATCTGCGAGAGTGACAGCTTCTGTCGCGTTGGCAGCGTTGCCGACGCCAGTGCCCGTTATCTGTGCAGCCGCAGCGGTGCCGACCCCGGTAGCAGCGGCGGCGCCCGTGCCCGTGCCCGTGCCCTGTGCCCCTCCTCCAATGCTTGCAATGAGAATGGAGGCGTCGGAGACTTTTACAGTTAGGATGAATGATGGGCCGAAGGACGAATTACTTACTCATGATAGTGTCCGTCTTCTTCTGTCCCTTATTGGCAATGATTTCGCTTTGTGCAAAGATAAGCTCCTGGACCTTGTTGCCCTTGTTGTCCGCAATCTCTATCACGACTTTTTGCACCACTATGAGTATGGTCGTGTTCTTAGAATTTTTCTTCTTATAGGCGCTCTTTCTCTTCTTGTTTTTCTTCTTATTGTTGGAACTGTTCTCTATCAAGACCGTCTTCACCTGCTCCACGATAGCGACGTTATTTCCCTTTTGAATTTCTTTGATGTTGATCTGTGTAATCTTGATTACGTCGGTGTTGCCGTCTCCTTTCTTCTTGCTTGCCCGCTTTAAGGGAGGGAAGACCTCAGGAGCGGGTAGAGCTGGAGCATTGTTTGGATATCGAGCTACGATATTGCCGACTGGAAACGATGGGTATGCAACTGAAGGTAAGAGTCAGGTAAAGTACACCCACAGAGGTAGTAGGAAATGCTGTCTAAGAGTTCACATACCTGCTTGAGTAGCGAAACCTGTCGCTAGCGCTAGCACAAGAGCTGCTGACTTCGAGAAGAACATAATGGCGATAAGAGGTTATGAATTACACACAAAGAACGTATTAGGTCGGATAGAAAAAACCAGCGCTGTCACAGACGCGAAAGAGTGCAAGGTGCTATCGAAGCAACGCAACTATCAAAGCTGCAGAAGAGAATGTGAAAGAAGGAGTGAAGATTAAGAGCCTTAAGGAATGTCTCGTGTGGGGAGTGGAACGTGGTGGAGTCGAGGTAGGAAGGGAAAAGCGAAGACGGCAGATCACAGCTTAAGAAGACCTCGCTCAACCCCCGACCGCCCATCAGCGCCCACCGTCATGCGATTCGGCCACTCGCCCTCCCGAAAGCCTGGCCAAGGCCCTTGAAGCATATCAGCGGGAAATTGCTGTGACTGTTTGGCGTTTGCCTGAAGCCGTACGTATGCCTCAATGCGGTGCTAAAGACATGGGCCAACTGCTGCAACTGATCCTCGAACGCACATGGAAAGCCCCTAGGAAGTTGTGACGGAGGTTTTAGAGGTGAGAATTTGAAATGTCGAGACTGGGAACGTGTGAGGCTTTGCAGAAGCTGACGTGGTTGGTGTACAGCCGGTGTGGTGCAGGGGGAGTTCGCGACAGCACTGAAACTGTCCTAGTCGCGACGTTGGATCTGCAACGCCAAGTCGTCAAAACCACATCTAGGTTAAGCTTAATTCGAGCTTAAAAGTTTGCTCTATACGGGGCTAAGCTTCATGCTTGTCGCTCGGGAGCGACAGCTTCCAGCTGGGCGGACGCTAGAATGGCGGTGATCACTGTTTATCAAATCGCGTGAATGGCACCATTTTTACACACAACCATTCGCTCGAAAGGGCTCCGTTCCAATATTAGAGAAGCGCCGACTCTCAACTGACACTTCAATCAGGGTTGACAGACTCGGAAAACAGAACGTGACGTTTGAAATGCGAAGATACTCATGATATTCACGTGACTGCCGGAACTAGTTAGGGTAAATTCCATCATTCGCTCAACCAGACCTCACGAAGACTCGTCACCAAAGAACTGAACGTATAGCAGATGCACAGACACGCCCATAGACGTAGCTTCCAAGGTCCTCAAGTCGAAGGTGATGTCAGCGTACCAGTGTACGCTTCCTAAAGCTGTTGCATGACTCAGACGTGCCCTACACTCTAGATATATATTCCATCCTAATTCTTTCCTTCCACTTTTCATCGTTTCGCCGTAATATTGATAAGCTTGTGTAAGAGCCGCTTGAAGTAATTCAATACATCTCATTCTCAAGATTCTCGAAGAGAGGTAACTTCGCCACCTTGGCCAGCGTTTCCCTTCGCCAAGTCAACCAAAGATATACAAATAGAGAAATTCTGTAGCTCTATTCCCATACAGCTTGTCCAATAAGCTAAACGTCGCCTCCAGCTTTCAGCATCCAACATGGTCGAGAAATCTGCCCAAGTTCCGTCGAGGAAGTCCTCAAAATTCCAGAAAGAGCTGCAAGACAAGTACAAAAAGCAGCAGAAACGAAAGCTCAAGAGTTCCATCGAGCTTGACCCTGCCATCAACATTGACGAATACACTTCTTTCTCGGAACACTTAAAGTCCTCTACTCGGATTCTTGCGCTTATTGGCGCTGGCCTATCCGCTGCATCTGGCATTCCCACCTTCCGCGGCGCTGGTGGTTTCTGGAGGGAGCACGATGTGACCGATCTCGCGAGTCCCGAGGGCTTCTACAGGAACCCCAGCCTAGTCTGGCAGTTTTACAACTACAGGCGACACCAGGCACTGAAGGCGATGCCGAATCGAGCACACGTTGCCCTTGCGAGACTGGCGAAGCAAAAGCCTGGGTTCCTGGCAATCACGCAGAACATTGATGGTACCTACAGGGATACAACCCTCTTGATATGCCATCCCTAACAAACGCAAGGTCTTTCTGAACAAGCCAACCACCCACCCTCCCAACTCGAGCGCATCCACGGCTCCCTATTCGAGATCCGCTGCACGAACAGAGACTGCGACTTCCAAGAAACCAACTTCACAGACCCCATCGTCCCCGCTCTGCAGCTGCCAGAAGACCAAGACATTGGCGACGTCAACTTCCCACTGCGCGAAGTCCCCCGAGAAGAGCTTCCCCACTGTCCGAAATGCACCGACAGCCTCCTCCGTCCTGGCATCGTCTTATTCGGCGAAGCCGTGCCACAGCCCGTGACCGAGCGGATTGGAGATTGGCTTGACCAGGGGCAGATCGATCTGATGTTGGCCATTGGGACGACTGCTATTGTGTATCCCGCAGCGGGTTACATTCATATCGCGAGAGTCAACCATGCGAGGGTTGCGGTGGTGGATATGGAGCCGAAGGATGGGGATGATGTTCAGAGGGAGCAGGATGGCGACTGGTTCTTTCAAGGCGATGCCTCGGTCATCGTTCCAGAGTTGCTGAAGGAGGTGATTGGTCGAGTGCCCTAGGTCAGAGGATAGCATAGGAAGAGGGTTATTGATGGGCAAACGAAGTTTTGGGGCGATGCAGGCGGCCCTCTTTTCAGCCTATTCCAGCTCCTATTCATCCAGGAGCGTGCCTCGAAGCACTATCAGAGACCTGGACGAAGATGTATGCTGCTCGAAAACGCGAATTAAAGCAAGTCTTCACGTCGTCTTATCGACTCATTGCCACATCGGAGCATTCTTTCAGTGCTGAACTTGTATACAGACTGTTATCGTACTGTGAAATTTGCATTGCTATACATCGATGCTACCTAATAGCGTCGATAAACGCCTAGAAATGCATATGATAACTCCAAACCAGTCCTGACTGTGCCTACTTACTCATCATCCGTGTCGGTATCCGTATCGGTTTCACTCTCCGTGTCGACGTCGCCTTCTGTATCGCTGCCGTCACTCGAATCGTCTGCGTACCGTTTCTTTGGTTTGGTGGCCCCTGGGAGACTGCCCGACTTGAGTGTTCGCAGCTGCCCTGCTACAGTGTCTGAATTTATATTAGAATCCGAGTTGTCAGAACTCCAATAGGGCAACTTACCCTCATCTGGCTCGCTTATCTCATCGTCCTCTCCCATCTCTTCGGCCTTCGATGCCTCTTCGACTACTAGTGTCACTTCCATCTTGGTGTCCATTCCGACGTAAGAATCGCACACTAGATGCATAACAAAGGTGTATCGACCAGCTTGTGGGGGTGCGCCGAATTGCATCTTGAGAGTTTGAACATTGAAGGTAGGTTTTCCACTCTCGTCTTGAAGTGGTTTGTCGAAGGTTGAAAAGGTGAATGGCGGCACTGCGATCTTGCCTTGCTTGCTGTCCGCAAGGAATACATGCCAGCGCGGGGAACGGTTTCGGGCGAAGTACGGGGCATGGGCCAGCGGAGGCTGGATAGGCTTCTCGCTAGATTTATCGTCCTTGCGCCCAGTGATGGCAGCCACGTCACCTTCCGGGGCGTCAATGTCTTCGAGATCTGACTCCTTAACAGGAGGGACGTTGACGCTTCCTGGAGGTATTATGCGAGCCTTGATGACGAATTGGACCAGACTACTGGGAGTAACATAGCGTTCTCCCACAACCTTGAAAAACGTCTTTTCTACGTGCAAGAATGGCAATTGCGAGGCTGTTGCGATGGCGTCTTTGTACTGGTCTCCAGTGAGCAGACCAGGACCAGTTGCTTGCTTCTTCCTTAGGTCAGCCGAGAGATGCATGAAGTCCTGGATTGACATGTGCCTCCTGGAAGCATCTCCTTCGACGGCTTGGACAACTTTTGTTGTGAAATAAGGTAATTGTAGTAGTGGCGAGGCGCTAGGTGGAACAGCTTGTATGAGGTTTTGAGAAACGTGGTATGCTGACAGGACAGGGCTCGTCATGCCATACGCGAGAGATATCGCAATAAAAGATTCGTTGAGCTGAAGGGCAATAGGTGCGACCTCGAACTTTTCTGCTGACTGTTAGTCTACGATCAGGGTTAAATAGGATATGCAGGTACTTGCCGTCATTCAGAGTCTCGTCATCCAACTCGATGCGACCTAGGTATGCCCACAACAACGAAAGCACCTTCCGGCGCGTGCCATCTAAGTTTTGCAATGTCCGGCGATCCTTTTCATCCAAACCTGCCTTCGATTTCAACGAGATCTCACCCTCTTCCAGGATCTTCTGCTCCACTTTCGAGGCACCATGATCAGCTTTGTTTCCCTTCAAAATCTCGTTGAACTCTTCTCCGCTGCTCAGGACTCCAATTACAGCGCCGTCTCCCATCTCCGGTTTGTATTCTCGGAAAAGGTGTCCAGCACTCGCAACAAGCACTCTATCCCTCGTGACGCGCTGTGTTCCATACCACCACTTGCCCACAAAATATGGCAGAAGTGCACCCAGGAGGAGCGCGTAGACAAGCAAGACGTATTTGCCGTGACCTTCGGTGACTATCCATTTCGGCAGCGCAATTCCTATACTGAGACTCTGCTTGCCATCGGGATGGCCGAATTGAAGGTAGTTGTTCCGGATTTCTTCGTCGGTCAGAGACTTGAACGCCTTTGTGATCTCCACCCAGTGGTCGTTAATTGATTCTTTGGTGATGTTCCTGGAAGCGTCTTCTCGGGCTTTGTCGGGATGCTCGGTAAGACTGAGTCTTCGATAGTGGGATTTGATCTGCTTCTCGGTGGCGGACTGCTTCTATGTTAGTCGTTGCTTCAGATCTGCCGTGCAATGCGGTGCCAAACTCGCCCTTGCTACCCCCAAGACATCATAAGGATCCCAGATCTTGGGAGTCGTCCTCGCAGTGACGACCATCAAGTATATCATCCACGCAATCACTAGCCATCCTACCAGGCTGACTATGAACCTCTTCAACCTCCTCTCCCGCCTCTTCTGCTTCTTCTTCTGTCCCTCAATAAGATCCGCATGTTCTGGGGTGAATTCCGACTGTATTCGAGTCGCAGTATTCTCCAGCTCTAGGTAAAGTCAGGAAACTTGAGTCCTTCGGCTGGACTAAGTGGAATGTACCTTTGCTAGGTTTTAGGAGCGAGTATGTGACGGGAACCGTGACTAGACTGGTTATAGTGAGGATGAAGTAGGGGAAGAATTGGGCCTACGCGCGGTCAGCTCTACTCGTAAAAAGGTCACAGACTATACTGACGTCCCTATCGTAGTTGTAATCCGTGGAGGACATGGCGGAGTCGCGAAAGACGCTCTTCCGCGATGCTGGTCTCGATTCGCTTTCACCAGTTTAAAGAAATCAAAACGTATCAGGAGGACAGAGGGTGCTTAACGCCGCGCGAAAAGGGAAGAGCCTTGGAAGGAGCGTGGTGGTGTTGCGGCTCAAAGAAAGTCGCGAATATTTAACCCCACGACTTCTACTTGACAGTTCGAGGACACATTTCGGGAGAGGCTTGGCATTTCCACGTGACGTAATGTCTCCCTAATTTCCTCCCTGCCATCTCTTCTGCAGTTACTGACTAACTGTCTATACACAAGTGAAAATGCAACACTTCCGCACTCCACATTTCCACATTTCCACATTAGGATGACGCTTTTCAGCTATGCTTGCATTCTTTCTTGTATTCTGGTGAACACGTTTTGACGCCAGGAGTCTTAATTTCTCAGACCCCAAGCCTCTCTAGGGTTGATCTATTCTCAACATACCTCCATCTCTTTATTTTGATTCAAGCAGGGTCAATCAGTGAAGAGCCACCCACCACAATGCTCCATACTATTCAATCCCCATCCAGTTGGGTCTCTCTGTGCCACTATGACATGGTCAGGATATCACAAGGAACTAGGATGAGAAGTTCAATTTGTCCTTTCATCTCATAGTTCTACAAACTACTCTATGTCTCCCAGCTGTCTTCTTTTCTACCATCTTCAGTGCTCTCTTTCCCCATCTATTTCCCCGTCCAATACTCCTCCAAAAAGTCCTTCACCTTGGTCGTCTTCACCTGCGGCAGCTTCTCATTCAGCGTCGGCCCCTTGAAATCGAAGTGCCCTTCCGCCATCCCGAGCCCCATCATAGCCAACATGCCGAACATCATAGGCTTTGGGAAGAACGCGTATCGCGGCACGTTCGACGGGAGTTCCGTGACTTGGTAGGTCTTGAGCTTCGCCACATCATCATAGTGGACATCGAACTTCTTCCCTGTGTGTTTCGAATCACGTTAGCCCGGGATCTCGTCCACAATTGCAAGGTGGAGGGTCAAGAAGGGATCAAGCTTACCCGTCGCCCCCTCCGCCCACTTCAGCATATCATTCAACTTGACCTTATCACCAATAATAATGCTCGTCGGCTCCCAGCTCTCCAAACTCAAGCTCTCCGCCACAAACTTGCCCACATCCCGCGTCAGCGTGAATGTGACGGGCACTTCGCCATCTCCAGGGATCGCCGCCACCCCGTTCGCAATATCCAATATAATACCCATGTAGGGCAGATAGGTCGGGTAGTGCGGGTACCCGAAGTAGTCGAGGAAGAAGCCGCACACGAAGCGGGTGTATTCGAGCGGCGAGGCCTCGAGCTTCTCCACGGTGCCGGTCTTGAGGTCGCGCATGGCTTCCGAGGGGATGCCGACGCCGCTGTTCGAGGTTGACGTCAGCGTCTAGATTTAGGAGAGACCGGAAACCCCAACTGGGTACTCACTCTTTCTTGTTCTGGACATAGTCGAGTCCGAATTCCGAGGGCGTGAAGCGCTTCACGGTCCCTGACTGCACCGCTCCGTCAATCAGGTTGAATTGCGCCTTCTGGTGCTCTTCCTTGAAGATTCCTAGGGTGGAGATGATGGTGTCGATGTTGTTGGATTTTAGAATTGAGGCAATGGCTTCTGGGGAGTCGTAGTCGATGGCTAGGACCTTGACGTTTGGGTCGTCTTTGAAAGCCTTGACGTCCTGTTGTACGCGGCTGAGTTAGGCATACGAAGAAGAATGCGTGGAGCTCTAGAGGCGACAAACCTCAGTCCGAGATATCAAGAAGACATCGTGCTTCTTTGTCGCAACGATCTCCTCCACAACTGCTCGTCCTAACCCACCAGTCCCTCCCGCAATCGCGACTCTGACCATCCTGGCTGCTGCACTCGAAAAAGACTTGGGATACCCGAATTGATTAGGACGATATCGATTGGGGAATCTACAGTTCCTAGATAGAGCGAGGAGTCGAATGGCAGCCAGAGCTTCGAAAAACAGTTAGTTGATATAGTATTGAAGCTTTTACAGCTCCACACCACACCACAGTATATATACACCTGCCCACTCTATCCCACATCCAACGGCTAGGGCTATCCCGATGTCTCTCTCCCCTCCCCTCACTAAACTACTTCCAGCGTTACAGCTCTACACATTACAAAGCAGTTCAGAAGCTTCCTCGTTCTACCCTATGACACACTCAACAGCAAAAGGAATGCATGTTCTGGTAGCCAATTGTTGAGTGTCGGGAGTGGAGGCTCGGAGAGTATGAATTCCGGGTCGTGATTGGATCCGGGACGGAGAAGGGCCGTACCGAATCCCGGATGTTCCCACGTGATGGCGCTATAGTGGTTATCCGTTTAAGGTCAGCTTACAAAGACAGGCTTTTGCAGACTTCATCTTGTTGGCTTTGTTGGGAGTATGCTCTCGTGATATGCTGCGGTAGAGATTTTCTTAGCCTCCAAACCTTAGCTAACTAACATGGCTCGGGAATACAGGTATGTGATATATTCATGTCTTCATCATTGCCGCAAGTATGATCTAGCGACCGCGTTATATCTCTAGATAGCGAGAGTCCACCAATCTTCCTCTGTTTCCAAAGCTTGCTTATACTACCTTTTCAGGCTCCCTCGGCGCTTCAGCGTCGCTGTCGCTCTTGTCAGCTGGTGCTGTCCCTTCAATCTGGATGCCCTCAGCGCGAATGGCAGCCTCCTGTGATTCGGTGAGATCTTCCGCATTGAGGGTGATCTTCGGACCAGTGAACCTGTTTTTCTAGTTAGAATGCTGCTTTGAAAGCCTAAACGAACAAGTCTAGACAGGACCAAGTGGACTCACCATTTCCGAGCATCAATATAGTAATAAATCAACGACCCGCCCCAGACCGCGCTGTTGATCACGACCGTGTAATTCATCGACTGTGGCGTTGGGTTCGGGCCTCCGACTGGCATCATACTCAAAAGGATGCCAAACACAAGGAACACAATAGCGACCCAGCCAATTGGCTTACTGAATCTGCCCGTGTAGAAAGGGCCGGGCTTGAACTTGGCTCCGCCCCAAACGAGGCGGCAGAAGATAGGCGTCCCCCATGCCACGTTGTTTCCTGCGACTGCGAGGGAGAAGAGAGCAGAGGCCGCCGCAGGCGCGATCAGGCAGAGCAACCCAAGGATGAGCGCGAGAAAGACGCAGCCCCAGATGGTGCGGAAAGGGATGAATCCCAGGCTTTTGGAGATGGGGCGGAATATCTTGCTAAAGGGGAGCGCACCGTCCCGAGAAAAGGCCCATGTCTGGCGGGATGCAGCGACGAGGATAGAGAGACCCATGAGGAATTGCACGATGAAGAGGAGGGACATAAGGGCCATGGCTCCGTGCTTTCCCACGGCGTCGTAGTAGATCTGGGCCATGGGCTGACCGAAGGGGCTTCCGAGAACATGTTCAAGGTCCGGGTTGATGCAGGAGGCGATAACAATGCAGATAATAAAGCCGAAGAACCAGCAGCTACCGATGGACATTAGGATGCCGAAGGGGACGGCTTTGGTGGCGTTGGCGGCCTCTTCGCTCATGTGAACCTGGTGAGTGTTAGACGGTCCCGGTAAGTTTCAATGAAAGGGAAAGATGACTTACGCAGCTGTCAAATGCTCCAATAGTCCAAATCGGACTGAGCCAGGCGAGGAACCATGCTATCAAACGTTAATATAGGCTCATGATCATCAATACGTTTCGCTCACCCCATCCTACAGGCCATGTAGTTAGATTGCCGGTTGTTCCAAAGATGTACTTCCCATCATTTCGCTCATGCGAACGTCCAATGGGTAGTGCGATGATGGTAATAGCGATCAGCAGGAAGTTCGCCACAACGAATACTGTCTGAAGCTTTCCCATAACGTTCGCGAGAACAGAGGCCAAGACTCCGTGCAAAAGAACGGTGCACATGAACACGGCGTACACAATACCGTTTGATGCAGTCCACTCCCCATCTCTAGCGATGACGATCACAGAGCAGAACATGAGGGCGAAGCCGTAATCGATAGAGCAAAGTCCACCGACCAAGCCTGCAAAAAGGTTTAGCGATTGGGCCTGAATCTGGCAAGATATCGACTCTTACCAAGTGTGTTACTGTAGCCAACAAGAAAACTGAGAGGATTCCGTGTCTTCGGCGAAGCAAAGAAGTGCGTCCACCAGTATAGTCCACCCGACGTTGGCATTGCGGACCCCAGATCTGCCATTGCAAGGCCGACGACGAAGATGAAGGCGCTGGCGACAAACCATCCCTACATATCTCATTAATGATTATTCCCATAGGTCTGAGAAAATGCAAAGTACCCAGACTAGGCCGGCGGGCCCTGCCGGCAAGCTGTATGACAATGTACTCGCAATCGAGGGCAGCAGTCCCATAATGGAGAAAGCGATTCCTGCAGGCGTATTTGTTAGACAGCTTCGAATGGAAAGATAGTTGCTTACCGAAGATTTCGATCATAGTGAAGTTGCGGCGCAGCTCTTGCTTGTAGCCCAGCTGGGCTGTATCTCCATTAGCATTGGCTTCTCATGAATCAATGGACGTCATCTACCCAGCTTTGCAGCATCTTCCTCATTGGCCAGGCCCTCAGCAGCCGCCGTGACCGAAGCCCGCCTCTCAGGCTCCTCCACACTCTCAACTGTCTTTTCCGCCATCTTTTCAACAATCTTTTATCAAAGTTGGGGCTTAACGAAGCTTTCAATCACAGAGCCAGAAATCGGGACGTCGGCGTGCTAGTTGCAGCTGCCTCGTAGTATAAGTACCACGCATGCCGCCCCCTCGGGTCACCAACATGCGATAAACCGGACCACTCTGTGACTTGTGCGATTTGACACACCGACCGTCGACGACGATTCGACGGCTGCTACGGGGCGATTGCAGGGTCCACGGTAGCTCTATCGCAATGCTGGGGAAGGTCCAGGGAGCTCTTATCAACCCCGGCACCCATTGGGAAAAGAAGTACCGTCGTACTTCGACATCGCATGCAACCCCCTCAATGCGGCGTAGCACTCCGTCCCGCACCGTGAGGCCGGCGTGGAAGCACGTACTGGCTGGCACCATTTTGCGATCGCGGAACTGCGCCGTTTGACCTGGAGATGGCTTCATTCTGTCCTGAAGGCTTGAAAGTACGGCCAGCGGTACGGTAAGGGATGTTGCATCGCGCCAGGATCTGACGCAATCGTGGGAGACCGTGTGCGACCTCGAATCAGGTCTTTGGGGCGATGGGATGGAGTTTTGTGATAGGATCAGTCGTATTCCTCATGGCTGAACCTTGCATCTGAGAAACTCTTGGCTAAAGCTTCTTGCTCTCCACCCGGGGACTGGACGCGGGCCACACTACAGGGGTCAAGATCCAGACCAACAGGATGTTGTACATATTCGCATTACACACTAGAAGATTGCGTTTGCATTTGATAGGGTGAGAATCAGGCGGCGAACGTCCCCGTCAAGAGACAATGGCATGACGAGAGATATGCACTTGTTGGTGTAAACTACCGATTTTGATTCAATCCACACTGAGGATCCCATAGAAATGAGTATGGTGCATGAGAAGAGCATTCTGTGAGTACAGGGTCAAACATATATATGCGTGAAATCTCCCGCTGACGGGTCCCCTGAAACTGCCAATCTAATCCAAAAAGTGATATACGATAGGATTCCCTCCATATTGTCAAGGCCTTCCAAACTAAGCTGCGTAAACGCCAATCCACCTATTTCGCGGCGTTACAAAAAGGCATATAGCTTGTCTATCATGCCTTCAAGTCTTGGAATCCTCGACGAGTAACAAAGCACGAACCGCATATCGTCATTTTCAAAACGAAGATCTATATTCTACTATTAAATGCTCTCTCAAAACGCCAGCGCAATGCTTCTGCCCCCTACACCTCGATGCATTTCTTACCATTATACGCACACTTCTCACGCCTCCTTCGCCACACTCTCATTCGTCCCCCCACCCTCCTCCAAATCCGCCTCGCTAACCACTAGCCCTCTCTCCCTCTCCCTCTTCTCCGCCTCATCCGCCTTCCTCTTCGCCAGATACTGACAAAACTCGCTCTTTGCCCTCAGCGCCGTCCCATATCTCAAAAAAGCAAACGGAATCGCGCACATCACGATACTCAAGAAGCCTAGCAAGCTACACGCCCACGGCACACCCAACGTCCTGTACATCGGCCTCGCCGCAAACGGCAGCACCGCGCCGAACGTACTCCGACACGTGCTCGCCGCCGCCATCGCACTCGCCGCGAAGATCTCGTACGCGTCGACCAGGTAGTTTAATAATGCCATGAACAGGCAGAGATAGCCGATCCCAAAGGGTATACCCGCAAGACAAGGCACGATCCAATGCACGTCCTTCTTCGCCGTCCACCCAGCCCAGAACATGCTGAGCGCGAAGAACGGCCCGGCGAGGCAGGCGAGGGGCAGCCGGCGCATCTCCTCGCTGCGGCTCCAGGGCTTGTTGGCCTTCTGCGCGCGCGCGAGGATGCTGTCCCATGCGAGGTAGATCCCAGCGGCGATGATGGCGCCGATGCCGATGGGGAGGAAAGTTAGACCCTCCTCGCCGGCATTCATGCCGTAGATGCCGCCGAAGATGATGGGGTAGGATTGGAAGAAGATGTAGAAGATTGCGTACGCGTAGCTGAGATACAGGCACGTGAAGAGCACGAGGGGCTCGAAGCAGAACATGCGGACGGGGCGGGTCAGGACGACGGTCACGATGTGGTGGATGTTGGTCTTCTCGAGTTCGATAGGCGCGAAGGTATTGGGGTCGGAGGTTTCTTTGCGGATTTTGGCGGCGCGGTGCTTGAGGAGGACCGGGGTGTAGGTCTCTGGCATGGTTAGGAGGAAGGGCCACGCGGCGGCGGTGAGGAGCAATCCGATCCAGAAGGACCAGCGCCAGCTGACGACTGCGATGAAGCCTGAGATGGGAGGACCAAGGACAGGGCCGAAGGTCGTGGCCGCCATGAAGACGGCCATTGCACGACCGCGCGCCTGGGGATTATGGTACATATCTGCACATATTCTAGTAGAGTTGTAAGCGTGAGGACACAAAGCTTACTATAGTCAACAGGATAAACATAACATACCCGCCTACGACAGCAATCGGGCAAGCTCCGAATATACCAACAAAAAGCCTGAAGACGTTCAAGGCCGCCCAGTTTGGTGCTAAGGCGGAGGCCATTGAAGCGAGCGTGAAGCCTAGAAACCCCCATATCATCGTCCATTTCCTTCCCCATGTCTCGCTCAAGGGTCCGAATATCAGAGGCCCGAAAACATAGCCAACTAAAAAGATCGAGGTAGGTAGAACGAGCTCTTCTTCGTTTGTAACATCGAAGTAGTTCGAAAGCTGCTTGCTATTCCCAGCCGCGAGCGAGGACGAGACGGTGCTGTTCATGACTGTGCAGATGGCCGCAAAGAGTGCGTAGCTCTTCTTTTTCTAATATCAAGACGGTGTTGTTAGCGGGCCATTGTGACATGCTAGGGGTGTTGCGTATGCATACCGAGCTCCAATTGTTGGGTTGTTCAGGATCATTGTGCCCAAAGGAGACTATCGTCCTCGGTGTGCTCGGTACCGACTCCATTGAGGCATTCGAGAGTGACGTGGGATCCTCATCTTCCTTCTCAGGATCTAGTTTTTCGTCTATATCCTTTTCATTTGTGGCAATGACCCTGGAGGGAACGCGCTTGACTGCACTTTGTATTTAGCAGGAAGTCCAACCAACCGCGAAAGAAATCACTCACAGATTAAATCCTCATTGCGTTCAGACACCTCACTTGACGGAGACTCGTCCCGGGCACGGCGCCCTTGCGGGATCTGCTTTTCGAAATCTGCCATGGTTACTGGGGGTTTCTGAGCGAGGACACGAAATCGAGTACCATCGAGAATGCGGTTGGAGAGAAGTGGCGGGGATCGTCACCATTTGGATGAGAAATGATGGGACGTCCGCCAGTAGGCGCTAAGAGTCACAGGAACAGATTTGCTCAAGCTTTCTCCTCAAATCGGTAGCTAATGGTGGGGTTGGCGGGGAACCCATAGTTTCCCGTGCCGTTATAACCGACTTATGATATTTTGCACGCGGTGAGAAGGGCGTGCATAACCGTCAAAGGCGGGAATAAGCCACAGGAGCGTCAGTGGCTAGCGATAGGACGAGGCATGCGTGAATCGTTGAGGGGCCCGCAAAAGACTTTATGAAAGATGCTGAGATGGAGAGGCCGGACTTGATGAGGGTATTTCAGCATAGAGCTATCACACCAAGGAAAAATGGAAAAAATTGGAACTGATCATGCAGGTGATCCCGTCCCAAGGACCAAGATGGAAGTCTGATATTGTGATTCTGGTTTTGATACTCCGTAGCCCTCACGTCTCCAGGTTGATACTTCTGCCGAATCGTGCATACAATGCCACCTTCAGCTCCGACATGTGTTCTCGGACCGCGCTCAGCCTCTCCTCGAGCTTCGTGACATCCTTGTCGATATCCTCCGTTGATGCAGTGAGCAGCTCGAGCACCTCCGACTGGGGCAGCGACACGAAGCAGTCGCCAATCTTGTACCTAGCATCCCACCTGTTAGACCGAGCCCACCAACCATGGATATAAGAGAGAAACAACGTACGGCACCTTCTCGTCCTCATCGACGAGTTCCAGCTCGCTAGAAATCTCTTCCAAGTCCTCCTTCTCCTTCTACAGCGGAATGATTAGCTACCGTTGCTCTCAGGCACATCACGATGCCCTGCCTACCTGCTTCCCCTTCAGCTCCTCCTCGATCCCCGTCTCCTTCTGATGTAGCGTGCTGAATTTGTTGATTTTCTCCTGGTCCTCGCGACGGACCTCGATGTCCTCGGTCGCGGCCTCGTCCTCTTTGCTTAGCTGCAGCTTTCATCAGCGATTCTCCCTCACGCCATCAGTTTAGAATGCTAGAGGGCAAATACGTACCATTCGACGCTGCATGTTGGCGGTGCAGGGGAGAGGTGTGTTTCTCGAGGGTCTCAGCGACGCGGAAAGGTTACCTATCGGCTCGGGTAAGGTCTGTGCAACAAATAAGAGGCCGCGATCCTGGAGGGTTCTGGCGGGCGCTTCACCAGATTTTTGTTGGTGTTTCGGTCCCTGTTTCGTCACGAAAGTCTGCTTGAAGGGTTTCGAGAATTAACAATTTAACCTCACATTAATGTCGCGCTACAGCAGAAGCTCGTTCACGTATTACTGATTTGTTTGAGGTTTTATCTAGTATTCACTTCACTGCTTTCCACCGTCCATAGTTCAATGAACGCGCACTACAAGCACGTGCTCATATCTAATCCAGCCCAATCGCCACGCAAAATACACTGTAAGGATGCAAGATTCCAAATCGGCCTTGGTATCTTGCAGAAGAGAACAACCTTTAACCTTTAACCAGAATGTCGAGTCAAAAATAGCAGCTTTGCTTTGCCCAAAGCCCCGAGCCCACCTCCCTTCCTACGGCGCGTCAAGCCAGTCATCTGAATGTTTCTCGAGCTCCAGGACCGTGGCACAGCTACGGTTCTTCCTTGACCTTCTCCGCATACGACACTCCCTCATCCCTTGGATCCGTTGTGCTGAGTCCTTCTTCCTCATCGCCAGCTCCAAGAAGGCTATCCTCTTCCTCCTCTGCCTTGACCTTGGGATCGTCCTCTTTTTGCTCTTTCAGCGCCTGTTGCAGCTTGCTCGCCAGCGACTCTGGAATTTTCTTTCCATCCTTCGCGTACTGCGCTGCCATGTCCTGTGCGCGCTTCGCAGGAGGAGAGTCGTATCCATCCTTCACGGTCTTCCTCAGCTTCTCGTCAAACTCGTCCACCATAGACGGTGTATTCTGAGTCTCCTTCACCTTCTGAGCTGCAGAATTTGTCGCATTCTTTACAGTCCTTGCTGCATTCTTGACCGGTGTCTCGAAGTCTGATTTCTTGGCGTTCTTTGTCGCCTTGCTGGCCAGATTCGCAACTCCATTTTCCAGATTCTCGCCTAGCGACTCAAGCTCCCGGTTGAAGCCGTGAACAGCGTCATGGCCAGCTTTCGCAATCGCATGGTGGTGCGTCGGGTGTTTCGCCGATACCGATGTCCGCTTGAAGTAAGAACGAACAAAGAATCGAATAAAGAGGGCTGTGAGCGGGAGAAGATAGACAACGTTGAGCCAGATCGCAAAGGACTGTCCTGTTGTATCGATGCATGGGATCTCCTTGTACTCATTCCTGTAACGGATTTCACGGTTGACGGTCTCCTCGACCTTTCCTGCCTCATTCCCGAAAATCTCGCCCTGGCTATTGCGCACATTCTCTGCCAACCCTTCTTGGCCTGCTGCGCGGTACGCGAGTTTCTTGATTATGGCGCCTACGTTCGTGGTCGCAGCTGGGAGAAGGCTAGAGTCGATAGTCGACGAGAGTGCAGAAGCCGCAGAGCGCACAGTGTTGAATATGGTGTATGGGGTGGACACTGGAACTGTGTAGGAGACGAAGAGGTGGATGGCGGCGAACCCGACACCGACAACGAATTGTGCAATCTGTAGGGTCGTGAGGGTCCGCTTGATGAACTGAGGGACACGATATCGAAGAGCGGAGACAGTGTAATAAGTGTACTGTTCGAGTGTTAGCAATAGTACCCTAGAATTGAAGCTTTTGAATTACTCACCATCATAGTGTGGATGCCCGAGTTGACCAAGACAAACATCCAGATGGGAGGCGACATGTAACGAATGCCAGCCCACATGCAGAACATAGCCCCGGCATGATGATACGTCTGCAATGTAGAGCTCCTCTTGCCCTTTGCAAGTATGATGGCGGTGTCCAGGACCTCGTAGAACTTGGACAGGTAGAAGAACCAGCCCCAGAATGCGAGACCTTCGTTCCAGATCCTCCCGACATCGGTAGAGTCTGGCAAATTGTTGGAGCCAAGTTGGATGAGCCTATTCTTGCTCTCCCACAGGTCGTTGCTGGAGTTGTACGTGACGGCGTCGCCTAGGCCGCGCGGGCCGTGGATCTTGCAGAGCGCGTCCGTGAAGCCAACGATGCCGTATTGGTTGTCAATCGCTGGGAATGAACGCGACAGCGCCCTCACCATTGCGGCAAACGTCACTCCGGAGTACACGGCCAAGAAGGAGCTATGCAAGACCACGAAGGCCTTGAACCACCAGGTCTTGCTGATTGCCCATGGCTTATTTCCCTGTTTGCGATTGTACGCGTTTATGGATACTACCGTGAAGACATAGATAGAGGCGATGGTGATGGGCCACTTTTCTGAGAGGGCCTGGTTGTATAACTTGGCGGGGATCGGGAAGGGGTTCCCAAAGCTGAACTCGTTCGGAGGCGGTAGGGCTGGTGGCGCCGAGTCTGGAGGGAACTTGAATAGGGAGTGTGATGGCATTTTGATGTGAAAGGAAGGGCCCGACATGTTGGCTGGCAGCGCCTACGGGCAGAGTAGTCGCTGTGCACGCGTGGCGATGCTGTCGTGTGTGAGGCTTTGGTGGTGAATTTGTTGAGGATTCGAATACGGCGGTAGCGTAGTAGTCGAGGGCGGTAGTGGAGAAGCAGGCGGCACTGCGCGGGCAAGTGAGGGCAATGAGTGAGAGATGTATGACGGTCGAGAGGACGAGGCGCAACAGCTTTGCTGCCAACTCGTCGATTTATTGTTGAGGGAATGGGAACTTTTGAACAAGGATCTGCTGGCCAATGATGACGTACTTGGGATTCGCCGAGGCTATTACTGCACTGACATCAGGGCAGGCAAATTCAATGGGCTAAGCCAACCACTGCAACAGCTCTTGGTACGCTTGCGCATTGCAGGCGGTGCCGGAGTCGTCTCCCGATGGAGGAGGTACCAATGCCGTCTTGTTCGCGGACTGCCAAAAGACCGGCAGCAACCGGAACCATGGCTGGCGCACGTCACAAAGGTCTTAATTTTACAGTGGATTCGAACGTGTGCAAGATTTACATAGTGGAATTCAAGATTCTATCGGAGCAGTGTCTATAGAAGCTCCTCGCATCAAAAGAGAAGTGTGTACTGATCAAGAGGGAGGTGCATATCAAAGACCCTGGAAGTCTCAACCCCACCAGATTGCCTAGACCCGACAAATACAAGTATTACCAGTCCAGTACAACGCTACCCAGGTAGCGCACCCGCTAGCGTCCCAAGGTTGAGTAAGAGTGCAGGCGGGATCCATGAACGTTGAGCTCTTCGCGTCAAACTAGTCCATAAAAGGTACACTATGTACTAAAGAATAATATCATGTGAAGATATGCTGTCGAGCGAACACCACACCAGAAGCCGGCGTTTGTTTTGATAGAAGAGCACTGCTTTAGGAGAAGCTTGCCATCGTCAAGTCCAGGCTATCCGGCAAAAGCTACTAAACAGATGTAACTGCTTACAAGGAGCTCCTGACGAAGCAACGCTCGTAGCGCGCGAAGAATCACCTTGTTGGTAAACATTGCTTGAGCATTGTCTTGACCCTCCCTTTAGTCGGAACATAAGTCGATAGTGGAAATGTTTCGGGTGCTCCGGCTGTCTCTTCCCTTAAACCGATAGTGTCCGTTAAAACCGGCTCACGCTGGGTTTCAGCTCTCCAGCCAACTCTGTCATCGTGGAGCTTGTCGTCCTGTGTGCCTAGTCCTCGATTCATATAGGAAGGCTGTCTGGATTTCGATACTGCCGTATTCTTCCGCTGGTCACGACGCCCCAGGTTTTGGTTTGCTGGTCAACGGAATGGGTGGGGGACCCGGAGAACTTGCTAATGTCTCCTTTTTCCGAGGCACCGGTGGCGGAGGTTTCTTACCGAGCCCTCCGTGTACTGGGGACGGAGCAACTGGAGAGGTCGGAGTGGCGGCAGAAGTGTTGCTCCCCGAAGCGAAGCTATTCGCTCTGTCTGCCACGCCATATTTCTGGTTAAGAGCACTCGCCGTCCGCCATCCTGAAGTGACTTGCTCGCCATGCCTTTCGCGGAAGTTGTTCGCTGTTCCTGCAGCACTTTTCATATCTGAGAAAGAGACCTTGGATGGGTCTTCTCGGAACGAGCTCGCAGTCTTCAAGGCTGCTTGTTTCTGGGCAAACGAGGTACCTGTAGTTGGTTCGGCCGACGATTGCGATGACGGCGTTGACATCCTTGAAAACCTTGATTGAAGCTCGTCAAGCTGCGGCCCCCTGTTGGTGATAGCTGGAGGGGAAGTAGGAGGCTTGGGAGGAGAAGCTGTTTGTCGTGGCGGAACAGGCGGAGAAGCGGTGCGACCGATGCCGAACCCTGGGACGGATACACCGGCTTGTCCTAATCTGTCTATCGGCCCCTGATTTATGTATGTTTGTGCCGGTGGATGGGTAACACTGTCATTGTACGTCGGCGGAGGCGCTGCAGAATGAGCATCCGGGCGAGAGTTCTGTCTCGGGGGTAGCCTTGGAGGCAGTTTGGGCTTCGCAGCCGGCTGAGAAGTCGGCTGAGCAGCTGATGATGGCTGAAATTTAGGTGGTGGAGGAAGATTATCTACCCGAAGGCCCGTAGTGTTTACTTTATAGGGGCCTGGAGGCGGTTTATTTGCTTCCTCTTCCTCCCTCCTTTTCGCTCCCTTCTGCTCTTCCAGTCTTTGATTCGCGTGAAGCTCTTCTTCAGATAACGGAGCTCCCCACCCATCACGATCCGGAGTCAGACTATTCGGGGCGGCCGCTGCGCCATGGAAGTGTATGTGTTTAGGAGGGGGCCCGAATGCGGCCGGGTCTTTCAGCGTGCTGAGAGGAGCGGATCGGTGGTCTTGGGCTTCTTCAGCAGGACTCTTGCCCTTTCCCATCCATCCGGCCTAAGATTCCTGGTCAGAGAGAAGATCGATGCGACGTGGTCGGCGGACAGCTTACGACTGTGTTGACGCCCTTGAAATCGCCGCGCCATGTCTCCTTTCCGCCATCCTTGCCTTTCGGGTGCCATCCACCCTTCGTGAGGCCTTTGAGTCTGTCACTCATGGTGGAATATAAACGCGACCAACGATGTCTTGAATGGGTCCCTGCGGAGGGGTCGGAGGGAACAGGGTCTTGCCAAGCGAAGTCACGTCACCCGTGCTGTGAAACCCCCACGCCCCATTCCTTTATTGAGAAGCCCATTCCGCGTGCATACTGGACGGCGTAGTAAACACTACCACAATTCGTATCTCTGGAAGCATCAGATACCTTCGAAATTCTGTGGGTGTATGCATATGCAGCTCAGACCTCCGTTTTACTACACCGTATTCTGATAAGAATGATGAAGTGGCTCTAACCCTAAGAGAGCTGACTTTAGATCTCAAGACGAGTTCTAGGCATCTCAATACTCACTGGGGATTATCATCTTGATTGGATATCAACGTCGCTGCGCACTTGAGTCTATGCTTTTTAGCAGGGTAGACTTCCCATATCAGAGACACCGTAACCCAAACCTGCTGCCTGGGGCTCAGCCACCACAACGATCAACCAACTAATACGTGGCTACAAGAGCTGCTTCAATACAAAAACCTCCCAAAGCCCGAGATCATGCGATTGTCACAGCTTCGTTTGATACCGGTCCGTTCGAATGTGTAAAAATAGAGCAAAACTCCTTGCGATGGAGGCTCACCCACTCCCCGGAATATCTCATGAGGAGCCCTACTTCACCGCAATGGAGCCATTCCAAAGCATCAAATCACAGCAGCACAGCAAGACTGGACCCGTACCCCCACCTCAGCCCAATTCCTCACCAACCCAACCCCAACCCCAATGCCTCTTCTTCTCCCTCCCCGCCGAGCTCCGCAATCAAATCTACACAGCCGTCTTCTCCACGAAAACCCCCATCAAAAACGCCCTATCCCTCCTATCAACCTGCCGCCTCATCCACGCCGAAGCCACCGTCTTCGCCTACGCAACCATCACCTGGGTCACCACCAAATCCGACTACTACTCCCTGGCAAAAAGCGCATCCACCCTCCCCCGCGCCCAGTTCACCGCCATCACTCACATTGCGTACAGCTCCCGCAGCGATTACAGCAGCATCTGGGAGCTCTCAGCCTTCATTGCAAACGCCGTCTTCCACTTTCCCGGCCTCCGCACCGTCACGCTTTTAGTGCGACGGACGGACCACAGCACGATTCATAGGGGCCGGATCTCTTCGACCCCGGGAATTCCGGTAGAAATTGACGACTGGTTCGCGAAGACGATCCGGGTGTTTATGAGCGGGCGGGCGCTCACGTGGCCGAAAGAGCGGCCGTGGAGGGTCGAGTGGCCGGCTGGGAGGCCGGACAGCGGGCAGTTTGAGCAGTGGACGGTGTTGCCGGAAGACGAGGAGATGTGGATGCGGTGTGTTGTTTCGCGGGATGGGGAAGGGGTGGGTAGAGCGGAGACGCGGGTGGAGGTGAAGAATGAGTTTCGGGCGCCCTGGGCTGGGAAACCGGAGTTTGTGCCGTGGGAGCCACCGGCTGAGAAGTTACCGGTGACCGTAATTGGAGAGGCCGATAGGCCAAGAGGGATCCAGTGGGATGGGAGCCCAGAGTGGTGGGTAGAGAAGCGGAAGAGGGAGAAGGGGTGGCTTTGGTGGTTGTCGTGAGAGCAATTCATATTTAGGTAGGAGGTAAAGGGGATGGGGGATGAAACCAACTCCAACTATATTTAATACTTTATACGAGGCTTTTCGAGCCTCCTTGACACGTTAGAGATCCAGTGCTACATCCCAAATTGAGCGAATCTGAACTATCCCAAGCCAAAGATTGTAATGCTAGTCTACGCCAGCAACAACCCAATTCTGTATTAGCACATCCCAAACATCAAATCTTTCCTTGTTACCCTCAGGTTTAGCACTTCGCTATTCCCAGGCCCCAGAACACTAGTTTTCTCGAAATCTCTGAGCTGGAAGATTGGAGTATCGTACCATCTGCAAACGCCTTGCCAGGGTAATTGCCAGTGTTGGTCACAGTGACGGAAAGGTTTAAGCGACATCCCAAAGCACGGGTTTGCCCCCTGAGCACATCAATCCCGGTCTTAGCTTCTGAGTGGCACAGCACACAAAACACGGATGCCTGCTCCGTAGCTGCGCCTTAACGCAGTACATAGTACGTGTCCGGCCTCAGCTTCGCTCTTTTTCGTAAGCCCGAAAGAACATCGATCCCTCGTAACGGAGCATGAAGCTGCTCCGGAAATTTACCAAGAAAACAGTGCCGGGGGAATATGGGGCTGAACAAGAGGTATGATCCATTGAAGTCCGTAGTGCGGCTGCTAAGTCGCATAGAGCAGCACAACGTCAAATCGGTCAAATCGCGCAGACGGAGCAAACCACAAAGAGCAACACCTCGGTCTCGTGCTCCTATATGCAGCTCCTCCAACTCTGTCAGAAACAAGCGGCCCCAGCGTCGACATCGTGGCTATTCATGGGCTTGGGGGTGACCTCCGAAACACTTGGACACACAAAAATGGGACACTTTGGTTACGGGATCTCCTCCCACAATCCATCCCAGGAGCCAGGATCTACACTTATGGATACCCATCAAAAGTTTTCCTGAATCGCTCGGTTGCAGGGATCCGGGATTTCTCGACTCACTTGTTGAATGCTCTAAGTTTGGAGACGCGCGATAACGTGAGTTCCATTCGCAATCCCCTGCGTCTGAAAGTGCTAATTTTGACTAGACGAAAGCCTCTGGCCCTCGACCGATTATCTATGTGTGTCACAGTCTCGGGGGTGTTGTCTTCAAGCAGGTGAGTTCTTTCGTTGCTTCGAAAAAGTAGCCCTAATACTTGCAGGCGATGAACCTAGGTTCCCTGAAATATGGAAACGAAGCAAGGGCATAGTTTTTTTGGGAACCCCACATCGTGGCAGTGCGAGCGCAGCGCCAGCCAAAGTCTTTGGAGACATTTTCAACGTGGTATGGCATGCTTCTGGAGGTGGACTGTTTAGAAGAGGGGCCAAGACGGATCTGCTCAGAGCATTGGGTCAAAACTCTTCTGAACTAATTGGAATCGCCGACGATTTTAGACTGAGAGCCAACTCGCTCTCAATAACCACGTTTTACGAGCAATACATAACCCAACCGCTTGGCACAGTGGTATGTGCAACATGCATGTTCCATCTCATTCCTCGTCCCTACACTTTTCACTAGAAAACTTCTCTCATATACGGTACTCACTAACCTCTTTCTTTCAGGTGGTTGATCAATTTTCTGCAGTCATTGGTGTGGCCCACGAAAGGGCCAGCCCTCTTTGGGCGGACCACCGCGAAATATGTCGGTTTGAAAACACACAATCAGACAATTACAAGCATGTCTTAGCTAGTCTACAAACCATTGTTGATGAATCATCAAACGAGATGAAGGACACTGTGTCAAATGCTGGTACTGGTGTTTGTAGGCTACCATCAGCCCAAGATGTAGGAGTACCTGAGGCTGATTGAGTGTAGCGCTCGACGACGCTGAAAGAGCTTGCACAGCAATCCTGAATTGTGTTGATGTGTCGGGATATGAATCCAATCTGGATCAGCATGCAAGTGGCACTTTGCAATGGGTTTCGAGCGATCCACAGTACAACAACTGGCTTTCCAAAGACAGCATGCGGCTACTGTGGGTTACAGGATTTTCTGGCTGCGGAAAGACAATTTTGTCTCATTACCTTGTTGTTCACCTTCAGAAAATGTTATCGCCATCCACAATAATCTGCCGATTCTTTTGCAACGGAAGGATTGAGAGCCAACGAGACTCCGTCAACCTTCTTCGAAGTATCATTTATCAAATTGTCATGCATCGACGAAAGCTCCTCAGGATTGTTAGGAGAGCATCCGATGCCCAAGGATTTCAACTCTTCAGCCGTTTCGATTCCCTATGGAACCCGTTTTTAGAGATATGTCGCCACAAGGGAGACGAGCTGATCGTTATCATCGACGCCATCGACGAATGCGAAGAGCAGATCCAGGTATCAATGACCAAACGTATCGTTAATCTACTTGGGTCGGAACCCGAATTCTCGATCAAGTTTCTTATAACCAGCAGACCGAATGTACCTGCTACATATGTGCTAAAGAGTGCGGCTATCCAGTGCATCAGGCTCAAGTTGGAAGAGAAACAGTCGCAATAAACGAGGACATCAAGCTAGTCATCCAACAACGGCTCGATGCGGTGGTGGACCGAGGGAGATGCGACCCTGAGAGTAGAGACCGCCTCGAAGAACTCCTGGTGAACAAAGCAGATCGCACTTTCCTATGGGTATCAATGGTCCTTTCGCTACTCGAAGTGCGCCGTTTCTTGACACCACGTGACCTGCACGGGCTAGCAAAGAAGCTTCCATCTGACCTTAGGGCCTTCTATGAACACTTCCTTGGCACCATACCCGTAGATGATGCTAAACTCGCGGGGAAGCTACTTCGAATCATCGCCACGAGCTCCCGACCCCTTAGCGCAAAAGAAGTTCAAGCAATCTTCGCCATGGATGAACAACAGGCCCCGGAGGGCTCTTCACCGATTCAGGGCTCGGGTCTAAGGCTTGACTCGATTGAAACGGTGCTGGGTCCACTCGTGAGAGTTTTGGATTCTAAGGTACATTTGATCCATCAATCTTTGAAAGAATACCTTATTGAATTACGAGCCGAGGATAGCCACCCGCTTGCAGATGCATTTGCAATCGATATGCATCGAGACCAACTTATGATAGCTCGAGCAAGCATAGAATATCTGGCGCAACCAGACTTTCAAAGGAATCTCTTCGAAAATGACATTCTAGTTGCGGAAGAGTCACCAACGTCCCCAATGCTTCCACCCGAAGACCACACGAGCATTTGGGAGTTATCTCTGTTTGAGGTCCACGGAGATTCCATCTTCAAAGACGAGATGAAGATCGATACAGAAAGATGTGCTGCCATCGCAGCCTCTTATGGATTTTTCGACTACGCTGCAACGTATTGGGCCACTCACTTTTCTGAGTGCGAGGGCATCGCCCCAGAGCACCTTTATTCCCGTGTAGTCGCAATATGTAGTTCTCGATCCGACACTTACGGGAACTGGCTTCGTTACTTTTGGATCACACGGGGTCTCCTGGAGCCTGTGCCCACCAACATGGATGAGCTTGCAATTCTCTGCTTTTTTGGCCTTTCCCGCACAGCTCGTTTGCTTATGGAATCAACTGAGTCACAAGACGCCAGCCTAGGTCTCGCTCTTTACTGGGCTTCTAGGAATGGGCATACATCCTGCGTCGAAGAGATCTTGAGTCGATATCCGCATGTTGGTTCCCAGGTCCACTTGAATCGCCTCTCACCAGTAGTTGCTGCTGCCCAGCATGGTTCTTCTGGGTGCCTGAGGGCGCTTATCAAGTCAGGAGCTCTGAGTGCCGATGAACTGGGACCTGGCGGCCGCACTCCTTTGTGTCTCGCTGCAGCCGGTGGGTATGAGGAGGCTGTCAGAATCCTACTCGAGAATGAAATCGATGTGAACCGACCTGACCATAGCGACTCACCACCTCTATGCTGGGCAGTTGCAGGGAATGCCACAGGGGTAATTTCTTTACTTTTAGAGGATAAGCGCACGAACCCGAACCAACTAGACCGAAAATGTTGCAATGCTTTGTCGTGGGCAGCTGCCGAAGGATGCACCAATCCACTTAGTAGACTCCTTCGTGACCCTCGTGTCGACGCGGATAACAAGGATACTCTCGGCCGAACGCCGCTAATGTTAGCTACGATGGGAGGACATCTGGACAGTGTTCGTCTTCTACTGCGCAGCAATCGTGTCAACGTATCAACGCTTGACGCCAATGGGCGCAACGCCATCTCGTGGGCCGCCGAACAGCCGAACTTCAGAATCCTTCGTTTGCTTCTCAAGCACGGTGGACCTGGTGCAGACACGCAAGACCGCGAAGGCTGGACACCGCTGGCCTGGGCACTAAATGCTCCAGGATATCCCCAGAATGTCGATACACTGGTACAATCGGGCCTCGTTGACATCAACCGCCAAGATTGTGACGGTCGATCGCCGCTGTCATTCGCTGCTGGCTACGGATACTTGGCAATCACGCAAACCATTTGCAGTGCAAAAGGAGTTGACATCGATTTTCGAGATAGATGCGGACGTACGCCTTTATCATACGCCGCTGAGTTTGGCAATGTTGGCATTGTTAATTTTTAGTTAGCACGATGAAGGTGGATATCAACTCGAGAGATGAAGAGAGTTGTACACCGTTATCGAGGGCTGCTAGAGGAGGTAGCTTACTTGTCGTCATGTTCCTCTCAGAAGTTCCTGGCATTGAATTGGACTTGGCCGATATGAAAGGGCGTACCCCTTTGTGGTACGCTGAGCACCATAATAGGGAGGATATTGTGGTGTTCCTGAAAGCTCGGACACGATAACCTTGTTACAGTAGATCAACTTTTCGTCGAGTTGCCATCTAGTTTCCCAGAGACGTGGCCTGTCACTGCATGATCCTCGAACGGCTGTTAACCATAGTCGCGGGTCGATGGGAAGAGAAGGTTCAGGAAATAATGCGTTTGGACGCATTTAGAGAAGCAGCCTTTAAAGTTAGCCTACGTCGGTTGAAAAAAGGATGAACGAAACGGGTCGCAAGCTTACCTCGATATGCAAGACATTGTGCATTGCATCGAGTATTGAAGAATGTGCCCTGGCTGCGGTCGAATTCTTGATTGGATTATTGATTCAATTCCTTTGAACTTGGCAGAGCTGATCGGCAGCCGTCCTGCCATCTGGATCTGTTTCGAAGCTGTGTTGCGTGTGGTAGGTAGAAAGCTTGCAGCGGCTGAAAATGTTCAAGAGTCAGTGGCGGCGATGCAGTTCAGGCGGTTCGGAGCTGCCCGAATGGAAAACAGCCAGCAGCCAAGGCGCGCAGAAGACAGCTTGGTTGCGAGGTTCTTGAAGTCACATCATGGGGTACTAGATATCAATATGCAGCTCATAAAGCAGCGTAGTACTGAAGAAAACCGAAGTTGTAATGGAATATCCGTAATTGGCACCCAATTTGGACTAGCTTCCGTAGTCTAGACCTAGATGGTGCTAGTCAAGATATTGAACAGTGACGAGACTCCTTCAACCATCATCCAATCCATCAAGTGTCCAGCGCTGAGGCCCTTAACTTGCACCTGTCTTCCAGGTCGTCAGAACAGCATCCCAATACTCTTTCTCGTGTGTTCTCATATGGCCACAGTGCGCACTGGACTCGAAGACGACTTCTTCCACATTGTGCCAACCCGTTGCGCGTGCTTCCGAGGCATGCTCCTGGACATCCTTCCACCATACCATCTCGTCCGCTTTCGAGTAGATGTAACACCTGGAAGCCGATGGATTGAACAGGCTTTTGTCAAGGAGATTCTTCCGAAGCCCCGTCACAATTTGCTCTTGCCAGGTGAGGGTCTGGGCTACAACAGAAAAGACCATCACACCGTACATCACAACGGCCCCTATCGTCTGTACAATCCATGATTTTGGAAGGCCGAGCATAAATGCGCGCGTGCTTCCACTAATAGAATCCTTGCCCGGAGCGCTGTCCACGATGATTGCGTTCACTGGTAGCGGGAGCCCTTCCGTCTCCTTGAACACCTCTGCAACTTTGGAGATTTGGTAGGCTCCTCCGTTGCTCATGGTTTGGAGAAGGATTCGGGGCTTCCGGCCGGGTGTCTTGTTGGTTGTAGATTTTATGATCTCGACCACTGGCTCGACGCGTTTTCGTTGTGCTTTGGCTGAGTATAAAATGATGTCGGACGGACCATTCACAATAAGCACAATTCGCGCGAACGGAAAAAGCGACTGGTAACCAGATGTGTACTTCAAGACATGGCGGGGTCCAGCCCCCATCCAGGTCGCGAGGAGGATCAGATCAGGTGGAGCATCCGTGTTTCCATTTTTTAAGGTCGGAGCGATGGTGACGTCCGGATCTGGGCCTGGCGTATATAAGAAAACAACGTCGGTCAGCCTTTCGAATCCCTCAGGAGCTTGAAAGCTGGCCATGACCAACAAGACTGTGCCGACAATGGAGAGAGCAACAAGTATTTATCGGACCCAACTCTGCTACCTAGGTACTTAACGGGATTCACTCAAACTCCGAATTCCCGCCCAAACGGAACGCCACACATAGTCATCCTATCAGATGCAAGATAGACGGTCAAGCCTCACTTGGGCCTCCCATCACCAAATCCTCTTCATTCCAACGATCTATCTTCTGAATGAAAATGCTTCTTAGATTTACTGAAAGTAGCTACTTCAAGTCTTCTTGATGCGCTCTACATGATAGGTTATGCTTGCAAGGGTTTTAACAGCTAGTTGAGTTGTTCCGTTCGGGCGGGGATTTCGGGCTTGGGTGAAACCCGCTGGCACTTCTAGGCCTCGCAACAAAAGTTAATAACAGGTTCGGGGCCTTCCTAACCATCCCAACAGATTTAGGACCTATAAGCTGTAGATACCCCACAGGGATCACTAATCAACAATTCAGTTCAGTGGACCTCGGAGGAGACACAACTACAAATGAGGAGTCTGCTAGATATCTTCTTCCTGCTGGCCACAACTTTTTGGGAAAAGTCGAATGGCAATTCTGGTACGCATTTACCTGCTTTCGTCATTTGAACACTTCGAATCGCCAAAGTAGTCGTTTTGAAAAGTTCACTACATCACTTCACTGATGAAAGGCTCAAGCTTAGTCTAGGAGGGCAACATACCATCACTCGACCGTACGCCAGCAACCTATCACTATTGTCGACACCAACGTGTTCAGGTTTGCTACTTGGGGCAACATGAGATAGTTAATTTCCCAAGACCCCAACAAATCTTCCATGTCGGTAGGTTATAGTTGCCCAGAGTCGAGTTTGAACCTAGCCGAGCAGGAACATTTCGCGCAAGCGACGTGGTCAAGGCACTTCGCCATGCCTATCATTTGCCCGTATCCGCCGCGCTCGGACACATGCAAGCCAATTTAGAGCTCAATATAACATCTGCACCTGGATTTTGGATGTCTTCAACAAGCTGGCCGGGCTTTTTTACATATGAAAGCTCTACCCTGTTAGACCGAGGTATCACAGTCACCAAAACATTGCCGGCAATGCCTTTGAAAAAGGGTGCGCGCAGGGTACCCTAGGAAAGTCCAGCGACGCGACGAACGAGCTTTAAGAGCTCAAATTTCCCAAACGTTCTTCCTACGCTCTTTTTAGAGATCTAGGGAGCTGATCCGTCGCTTCCCTAGAGTACGCACCGCAAAACCGTGGGTTGACCCCTGAAAGAAGCTCACGGGATGAAGCCAGCACAAGGAGCGTTCATTAAGAAGACCGGAACATGGATTATATTAATGTTAGGAATGCCCTTAATGTACATCGTCTCATCATCACAAAAACTCGGCTGCATGGATCGTCAGCGGGGTCCAGGGATTTGTTTTCCATTTAACAAACATCAACCATCAAACAATTCCCCTCGCGTTCTTTTGCAGCCATCTTATATGTGGACCGTTCATTCATTCCATTGACTGTCTTTCATATCTTGTGACTACTCACGCTACAAGCCATGTCTATCCGCTTTATTCTAGCCCTCGCTACCCTAAATTTTCTTCCGGCTCTTGTCAAGTCGGACACATGTTCCACGATAGCCAATTTGACGGACTTTGAGATCGAATATCCGCTGTCAGTGGACTACGACTATGACCAAACGCAGTATTGGTCGACCGGGTGCACCAATCTAAAGCCATCATGTATCCTTTCACCAACTACCTCAGACGAAGTCGCTGCCATAATTCGAGTACTGCATCAAAACAACGAAACGTTCGCCATCAAGTCCGGCGGGCATAATCCTAATCAGTATTTTGCAAGCATCAGTAGGGGCCCGCTCATCTCGACAAGAAAGATGGACGAAGTGACGTATGATCCCTCATCAAGCACTGTTCGCGTCGGACCTGGCAACCGTTGGGAGAATGTTCAATCGACGTTGAACGATGCAGGTGTGACTGTAGTTGGAGGCCGCATTGGGAATGTTGGGGTAGGCGGATACATGCTTGGAGGTACGTGTATCGGGATCGTTTGTCTGAAGCTTAAGAATCTTTTCAGTAGCTAATGATCCGTTAGGTGGTCTCAGTTTCTTGAGCGCTGAGTACGGTTGGGCTGCTAACAATGTGGTCGAGTTCGAACTTGTTCTGGCTAATGCGACCATAATCACTGTCTCTTCCACTTCTCACTCTGACTTATTCAAGGCACTTAAAGGGGGAGGAAACAGCTATGGCATCGTAACGTCGTACACCTTAAAAGCTCATCCCATCGGTCAAGTAAGTTAGCAATGATCAATCTTTGTAGGTCACACAAGACTGACAATCCAGATATGGGGCGGAAACCTCGTCTTCACACCCAACAAGACCGACCAACTTCTTTCCGCACTGCGAGACTTCACGGAATACTATCCAGACGAGAAAGCAGGCATCATCATGACCACCGAACTAGCTTTGCTCGGAGCCGTAGACCTCTGGATCATGTTTCTCTTCTACGACGGCCCGGCCCCACCCCCAGGAGTATTCGACAACTTCACCGACATCGGCCCCATCGTTAATAGCTGCAAGACTCAAAGCTATGCCGACCTTCTCACGGGAAACGATTGGTCCGTTGTCCGCGGCTCTGCATACACCATCACTACCGAGACCACGCCTCTCCCCAACGTCAGCATTGGATTGGATGTTCTGGGTGCGTACTACGATCACTGGCGCAACACCACGGAATCCGTCATCGCCGTGCCCGGCCTCATAGGCTCCATGGCGTTCCAGCCTATGCCCAAGGGGATCGCTCGAAAAGCCAAGGAACAAGGCGGCGATCTCATTGACCTCGACGACGACGTCGACAGGATCGTGATTGAATTCGATTTCTCGTACTACTTCGCGACCGACGATGCGACCGTGGATAATGCGACCCAGAGGCTGTATGGCGGGATCAGAGAGAGGGTGTTGGGGTTCCAGGAGGATGGGAAGCTGCCGGAGGCGTACTTGCCGCTCTTTATGAACGATGGGTATTTCAGGCAAGATTACTTTGGGAGACTCAGGACGGCGGGCTTTGCGAGGAGGGTGAGGGATCAATATGATCCCGATTTGTTCTTTGCGGAGAGAACGGGGGGGTTTAAGATGTGAGTCCTGCTCCGAACAAGTTTCAGAGGGTCGTTTCGAAGCCGATGGTAATATGTAATTTCTGTGGAGCTCTCCCCGGCTAGACTAGTGATGGGCGAAACATTTCACATGCATCAACTTTCAATTAGCCATGCAAACGTAGCACCTCAGTTCACAGTCACGAAAGACGGCGACAACGACCGCGAAAAGCAAGAGACGAGGACATGAGCTCGTTATTGCGTAGAGCCTAACGACAGCGAAAAGCAAGAGAAGAAGACATAAACGCGTTACTCAATAGAGCCCGACCCGCCTGAATCTGTAGCCGAAACCGTCCTCAGCTGGGCAAGAACGTCAGAGCGGATCCCACCATTGCAACACCCTCAGAGAAGCATCGTACCCCCTCAAAGAGGCATCGCAGCCCCTCAAAGAAGCATCGCACCCACCGCGCCCACCGCCGCAACACCCGCCGCGCCTGACACGCCCCTGCCTCCAGCCGCCGGCGTCGCCCTCGGCGCCGCCGCCTCCCACACACTGTTGGCGATACTGGCCTTCACCTCGGCAACACTGACGAAGTACTGCTGCACATCGCCGGGCAAGCCCGTGAACCACTTCGGCACCGTCGTATACATAGTCGTCGTGCCGGTCTCGGTAACAGCCGCGGGGACATCGGTCGCGGTGGCGAGGTAGTCGTGCACGACCTCGGTGACAGAGGCGTACTTGGGGTCGGCGGTGAGGTGGGTCTCGTAGGTGTACATGGCGTGGAAGACCTGGGAGAGCTTCTTGGCAGGTTCGACGGGCACGGTGGTGGCGGTCGGGAAGGGGCTGCGGAGGCCCCATTCGGCGGAGATGAGGGTGCTGAGGGAGAGGAGAAGGCCGGCGAGGAGGGTTGAGGGCTGCATGGTGACTGCAGGTGGAAGCTGGCTGTAGAGAAGTGGTGGATGTGGGTGTTTTGAGTTGCTTTGATGGTGTTTGCGAGGACAGAAGGGATGACTGCCTTTATCCTGTGGTGATGAGCGTCTGTTGTCACATAACAGGATATAGTAGACGCTGTTCGTGTTGAATTTGATGATGAGGAAGAGGATGTAGAGGAGACGAAGAGGTCTGGAGGAAGGCGAGTTTATATACAAGAGCTGTCATGCGCCTGCCGTAGCCGTCGCCGCTCCTACCTGACACCTGTACCTACTACGAGACGGGCCACCTCACTTGCTATTTAGCTATGCTGAGGCAGATGCAGACAACCGTTATGATCGCTAGTCTGTGAATTGACCAGGCGGGATCACTGAACAGTACTGCCGCATCGGCTTGGCTTCTGGGCAAATACGGGGCAGTTTCCTGGGGTTGATGTATTGACCGATGCTGATGTTGATGGAGGTTGGCATAGAGGATTTATTTAGTTCCATGTAGTCCATCTCATATGAAGCCGCTCGCGGGGCTCGATTGCGACACATCAACACTCTCGCACCTGACGTTTTACGTCAAGTCCGCTTCCTAATGAAGTGTCGCGCCTTGTTGATAATAGTTTCGCTCTTTCCATTAGTAGACACTGCGAGAAGGTTGGGATAAGTTTCTTCAAGCAAAAATGACGTTACTTAGCAAAATTGGCGGAAAGGTATTCAGAATGAAGATGCCAAATCCTTAAAATCAGCCTTGCCGATGCTTCTGTAGCAGTTTGGGCCGGCGTATCAGATCGAAGCCTGCCCGCCGCCCGTGCCGTCCTTCCCGAACCAGTACACTCTCGGCTAGGTAACTCTTGCCGTGCCCTGTGCCACCATTGAGGATCAACGGCCAAGGACTTGGAGCATCCTTCTCAATTCCATCATCGATCCTGTCATAGGAAATGGGGTGTCCGCAGTGACAAGCGAGACAGCGAGACACCGCCGCCCGAGGCAGCTTGGCGAGTTTACCGATTATCCGAGATGATCTTGCTCCAGAATCGTGAGAGCAAATGGAAAAGGTACTTCCGGCAGCGGTAGACAAAGTCCCAATGCTTCTAGTGGTGTAGCGGCCATGATGTTTCTAGACGACTGTTTCTTCCAACTCTTGTAAACTTGCACGTTGAAAAAGACAGCAAAAGTCTCCACGAAGACGATTGACAAATTGTCCCCCGTGCGTTACCTCTTGGGGCAGGTCTTGGCGCGGGAGAGTGAAAAAGTGTCGAGTCGAGAGCCCGAAGGCGACAGCTCAAACCACCACAAAGTCTTGTCAGATAATTTTTTGGTGAAGGTATCCCGAGGTCACGAGCTTCGTCCCACGCCAAAAAATTGTACATATCACCCGTCAGACCGTGCGCTTTGCGACTGAAACCCCCACCAAGATCTAAAGCACACTAATAGATCCGTACGTTACGGCTACGCACGATGTCACGAATAACGGAGCAATATAGACACCATGTGACCATATATATGGTTAAGTCAAAATTGCATTTTCCTCGGCCGTTGAGGCCGCTCAACTCCACTCGGAGGAGGGGAAACGCCAATACATTGGCTATTTGTACCCTGTGTTGAAAAGATGGCTTGCAAATCCAGCCATACCCTATTGGCCATCCCAAACACCGACCCAGATGCATAGCTTTAGATCGTGGAGGATCTATTTTTGGCGCCTGTCCATTCGTCGACGTCGTGGTCTCGTAAATTGTTGAAATACACGAGCGCGTGCGCTCTGACACGCTCTATGAGAGCTCTATTTTGAGGCATAGGTCTGCTTGGGTTGTGGGTATCTGTAGGGGGTGTTAGCCATGATGTATTCGATTGAGAAATTATAGGACACTTACGAGGGACCGAGTTCCTGGATGCTGAGCTTGGCGAGCCATTGGCCCAAGTCGATAGATTCCTTGATAGACTTGCCTTCGACAAGACCAGCGGTGAAACCACCAGCGAAAGCGTCACTGTGGCGGGCTTCTGTCAGTCTTTACCCCGTACTGTGGCGGAGGTCACTTACCCGGCACCGTTCGTGTCATTGATTTGGGACTTCTCGATCGCGTGGACTGGGACCTCAACAATCTCGGCGTCTCCGCCTTCCTTGCCGATGACGGCAATGGTAGGGTCGAGTCCTTGCGTGATGATGACAGTTCGTGGACGCTTTGTGTTTTTCTTTGGCAGCGCAATTATCGCCTTGGCAATCTCCTTCAGATCAGTCGTTCCAAGAGCGTGAGATTCGGCATATGCGAGCGCCTCAGTCTCATTTCCAATCAGGATGTCCCAGTACGGAGACGTAGAGTCGAGCTGTTCCTTGAAGAACTGAGCAATGAACGGCGCAGACAGGTTGAGAATGAACAGCTAGAACATGGTTAGTCATATAATCTCTCAGTCATACCGGTCAAGCTATCGTACCTTGTCCTTAGCAGCAGCCTCCTCGCCCAAGGCCAAGATCGCCGGGACGGACACAGTCAGATGGTATCCTCCAACATAGTAGATTTTCGCCTGCTCGACGAGCTTCCAGACCTCTGGGCTCTTCAAGTGCTCGGGCTTGTAGTGATTCGCAGCCGCAAGATCGGTGCAGAGACTCCGGTCGTGTCCAGTAATGACCACACCACACCGTCCGGTGGGGTGCTCCTCGTCGTAGCGGTACTCCACGCGCAGGCCGGCTTCGTTGCAGATATCCTTGAGGATCTGGCCGTACTTGTCTTTGCCAACACAGCCAACGAATACTACCGAGTTAGGAGGAAGGATGTACTATATTAGAGAAGACGTTAGTAACCCCGTGTATTCCAATTGACCGGAGTTGTAACTTGCCTGAGCACCTCGGGCAGTGTTCTGCGCAGCTCCACCGGCAATGACCTTTGCGTCGTGGTTCTGTAGCAAGTCCTCGTATAGTCCCATGTGCTTCTCCTCGGCCAGAATGGCATCGTTGGCCTTCAGGCCGTACTTCTCGAGGAGTTTTGCATCGCTGTACGGAAATCAGCCATTGAAGCCCCAGATGGCTAGCCTTTCGCTAGGAATCATACGCACCCGAGTCCTTGAATGTCGAGCAATGGGTTCTCTAGGCAGAAAAGCTCGTAGTTTCCGGTTGAGGCCATGGTGGTAATTCGTTGTTGGTGGGGAGTGAAGGTCGTGGTGGGGTGGAATGGAGCAAGAAATTGTCGGGGACCGGAAGACCTCGAGTGCCCAAAGTCCGCAAGCTGACTACTCCGTCTCCATCTCACCCCCGACGACGCCCGCGGAATAAATCGCTGTGCTTGTGAACACGAAAACCGTAAGGATGCCATTGATACGGTTGGATTGGTTCTCTACAGAAAACATGAACGTGGTGGACTCCTTGCCTCTGTCCGTGTCTCTGTCACTCAAGCCTAGACCCTAGGCTCACCTGAGGTCAGGAGATCTGCTAAAGGGTCGTCTCCCTCACATACTTCATCGTCTCACGAAACTCTTCCATGTCAACCACGGCAAACCGGTTTCTTCAGCACCGAACATACGGTAGGTCGGCGAAAATTTACGGAGGGACGTTGGCCCGACGGTGCTCCAAGGTCCTGGGGAACATCACAAGCAATGATGCTATCTCCATTGTACGGAGCATTTATCTCCCTTCAGCTTCGTCGCTCCTAAAACAAACTGTAGTTGACTGTTGGAGCGAAGATGACAAAGCTTTTATTTTAAGATGCTGCCAATCAGCTCCTGGGATATGATTCAGGATGGTAGAATGGAACGAAATTCATAACCCCTCACGTCTATTGTCGGACAAGCCTCGGACGAGGAACAAGTATAAAGACGCCCTGCCTCTCACTCCATTGAACTCATCGAGTATTTACTCTTGCAAACACCACCAGTTCAAAACTAGTCCTTCCACCGCCGAGGCAAGATAGACGAGAATATCAAGCCAATCAAGCCATTTTTTACGCCACCAGTCTCTTTATCAGCCTCAGCTGAGAAGCAAGCTTTCCAAGGAAAAGACTTGTACTCGCAGGCAGCCAGTGGTTCGCCCTAATTTTCAATTCCGCCTACTCGTGGAACCATTGCGCTTGCCTTTACAACTCCATCCTCCCACTTCCGGCTTCTACAACTTTTTCAATCATGGCCGACAAAGGCGAACTCGTCCTGGTCACAGGTGGAACGGGCTTCATCGGCGTGTACTGCATTTTCCAGTGTCTCGCCGCTGGCTACCGAGTGCGAACCACAATCCGGTCACTTAAGCGGGAAAACGACGTCAAGAAGATGCTCGAGGAAGGAGAGGCCACCAACATCGACAGGCTGAGCTTCGCCGAGGCCGACCTATCCAAAGACGACGGCTGGAAAGAAGCGATCGAGGGCTGCACATACGTCCTCCACGTCGCTTCTCCCTTCCCACCCGCGCCCCCAAAGCACGAGGACGACCTCATCATCCCTGCGCGCGAAGGCACCTTGAGGGTCTTACGCCTTGCGCGTGACGCTGGCGTGAAGCGCGTGGTTGTCACCTCGTCTTTTGCCGCCATCGGCTATGGCCACACGAAGAAGATTGAAGTATACGACGAAAAGACTTGGACGAATCCGGATGGGCCTGGTCCGAGCGCCTACATCAAGAGCAAGGCAATAGCCGAACGCGCCGCCTGGGACTTCATAGAGAAGGAAGGCGGGGCCTTGGAACTATCGACCGTTTTGCCAGTTGGTGTGTTCGGTCCAGTCCTGGGACCAGACTTCTCGATATCGATCCAGATAGTGCAACGCTTGTTGAACGGAAGCTTTCCAGGAGCCCCAAACCTGAGTTTTGGCGTCGTGGATGTGAGAGATGTCGCTGATCTGCATCTCCGCGCAATGACGGATCCTAAAGCGAAGGGGGAAAGATTCCTGGCTGTTTCGCCTCCCGCAATGACAATCCTGGAAATGTCACTAGCATTGAGAGAGCGGCTGGGCAAGGCTGCAAAAAAGGCGCCGACGCGGATTCTACCCAACATTGTGCTCAGGCTGATAGCAGTCTTCGACAAGGCCGTTTCCCTGGTCCTGCCCGAGCTTGGTGAGATTAAGGTCATGTCTAACGATAAGGCCACGGGGGTATTGGGCTGGCAGCCACGGTCGAACGTTGATGCGATTATGGCCACCGCAGAAAGTTTGATCAAATATGATTTAGTGTAAGAGAGCCGACAAGTATTGCTACGGCAACTCCAGGGAATATTTGAAGTTGGAGTATTTGGATCGCGGATTTTATCAGACTTGTGTTGAATGTTAATGAATTTAATCAAGTGAAGAGAGCGGTGTCATCTATACCATGCTGCCGATGTGATGGTCCTGCTCGTAGTGTTCAACATGGTACTAATTGTACCCGTCGCGGCCGTCGTTCGACATTGGAAGTGAAGCGCAACGGTAATGACAATATTCCGTGAAGTGTGATTGATGCCGTATCCGGAAATGATCGCGATGATCTAAAAGAACATGAAGCGGAAAATACTGGCGAAGAGCTGATATGGATACGTAACACGAACATAGAGTGACCAAACTGATGAAGTACGAAAACACGTTCGGGGCCAAACCTTTGCTTTATAAGGACCCTTGACAAGTTTTCACACTTGAAGGGAAGCAGTACCAACAGCATAATGAACAATGACTGCGCAGTGACTCTTCTGGCGTCGACATGCATAGCTGAGTGATTGCAACAGGCGGTGATGAATGCCCGCTCCTTCACCTCTCGTCTGCTTTCCGAACTCAACGCTCGGTCAAGCCACGGCTCAGGCACACGCAGGGCGCACATTGATGATTCCAGGGTTAGTGTCAGCGCGGATGCAATGCAGCGGACAAGCGGTGGTAGGGCTGGTAGGGCTGCCTAGGGTGGTATTCGAGATGCTGGCTAGAACGAATTGACTACCAGCTCAGCACTACCTGCTATTAATACCTTGCAGAAGGTCGGTCGGTGAGTGCTGCAACCTCCCACGCCGAGACGCTGAGCTGAGTGTTGCAGGTTAGGCCAAGCCCCCACTTACCGCTCTTCACCGGGTACGCCCTGTTATAATCTGCCATTTTGGACTCCCCGGGAAGAAATGGCCTGCTAAGGTGGTATCGCTTCACTTTTCTGCTCAAAGTGGTCAATTCGAAGTCGGTGAGAGTCCGCGTTAGAATGTCTAGGCAACTGGCAAGAGAGTTACTTCAATGTTTTATCTCATTGGCTATTAGGCGCCTCTGGTCTGTGGAGCGGCGTGGGCCTCATCCTGTTGGTGATTGGCCCTGTATTAACGAACTGATGGAAGTCGACTTTATCAATGAGAGAAACGAAAGCAAAAAATAAGGCCGCAACGAATGTGTGTTGAAAGTTGAAGTTTTATCGGCGGATATTTCGCCAAATAGGCAGACGTCACGGGTTAAACGAGATTTGAATGACCTTGAGCGTATATTATACCAAGGATGGCAATGATAGCATACCCGTTCATTCGCGTGAATTGTCATTCTTGCTTCAAAATATGTCACTTGCCGTTGTCACGTGCCTTTGGGATATAGAAATGAAAACACGGTGGGGTATCCGTGTGGCTCTGTATGACATTTAGCAATCAGAGAATAGAGACTAATTAGTCCATCGCCTCTACCATCAGGTCTCGAATTTCCTCGGATAATCCAGTCACTGGAAGCAAAGGAGCAAGAGGCTGAATAAAGCAATAAATTCCAACAAAACATGCACTACTTCTCGAATGACCGTTTGGAGCCTTCTGGCAAAGCAAGCCAGCGATATGGTATGCCATGCAGAGACAGAGAGTTATGCATATATATGCATCGCAAGCAGTAAAACAATGAAACAGGCCTTCCAACACCCTTCTACAATTGTGTGGACGGATGCGGTCAGGCAACAGGAATTCTGACAAAGAACCACCAGCAGAAACGACAGCTCTTTCACAGCCGCAGATCCATTACCCACCCTTCATCTCTCCATGTTCTGTGTCGCACGCGCAAAAAGCATATTATAAGATGACAGCAAATGAAATGCACAGCAGATGCACCTACTCTCCGACACACTGGCTCTGGTAGACAGGCCCTGTGCCCATCCTCCCGCGCATCATTCATCCCGATTCTTGGATAGAAAGCCATCAACACGTCAGCCGAAGACTCTCGCGAAAGGTCGTATTTGCGGTAGAAACGGTTGGTACAGTCTTGCGACATTCAGAAATTTCGAATAGCTCGAGCCGAAGTGCCGGAGACGCCGTTGAATGAAGAGCATGGCGACACAGCAACAATATGCGCTCTTTATTTAAGAAGCAGTTGTGTTGCGCCACGACGATTCCGTGATTGATTGCAGATTTGTAGCCCGTAACCAGCCTACTTAGAAGGCAGGTTGGACAGCTACATTCAGCCACCTTGACCATTTGGAGGCGTTCGACCATACGAACTGGTTCCCCTCTCGAGATCTGAGCTCCAGGTGCTCCTGTTGCCGGAAAATATCGAGCTCATTAGGTTGATGTTGGCTACGCTCTGATGGACGGCTTGGCCGTTTCCATAGATTGCTTGATTCGTGTTGCCTAAAACGGCACCGTTCCCGAAGCTATTGCCTAGACCGTTGGTATACGCAGCAGGGTGTGGAAGGGGATTTGGAGTGACGGTAGGCCCAGTCCAGTCTTGGAAGGCATTGGAGCTCCGGATAGAGTTCACTGAATTTCCACGTGAGTGTCCGAAATGATCAGTACTCATGAAGGGAGAGTTTCGAGGCGCGAGCCCGCTCGCCGTAGGGGATGCAGGTCCCGGAGAGCCGTACTGAGGATTCCATATGCCACCATCATTGTACTTTTGCGCAGGTAGCGAGGGCAATTTTGCAGGAGGCTGTATGATCGACGAGCTAGACGACATCCGGTTCATTGGTGTGCTGAAAATTGGAGGTTGCGGAGAGCACAGAGGTTTGCCGTAGTGCTGGACAGCATTGACGAAATCGCTCACGGTGAGCGGGCCAATACCATATGAGGTATCATCCACGAGGGCTGTATCTTCAAACGTTTGTTCTGGAGGGGTCGGAGGGATGTTTTCGTCCTCCTCCTGCAGAGGATCCAGACCATCGTCTTGACCGACTAGATCATCGACCATACGGTTCATAGCTACGTCTTTGGTGATGATCGTAGAAGCTGATTCCGAAGGAGCAATATCGTGAGAGACTTGGTCCACTTGCAACGGGATTTCTGGCGTAAATAACGGCATATCCATGCTCTCCGCAGGGAGGAGGGGAGAACCGTCGGGTCTATTATTAGGGCTCGCGAGAAGCTCAGACGGTAAACCCGCTTCTTGGTAGACGAATCGGCGACCATGGAGCTCCAAAGGAGTAGCCTCCACCTCAACCAAGACGAGACCAGCTTCCAGTAGATCGCGAACTCTAATGACCATTTCCTCATTTGGGTGATGCCGCTCGACTTCCGGGTCGGACCATCTGGGCTTCAATCGGCCAGTGGACTTGGCGTACCAGTTATCCTTTGTCTCGTCGCCGGCGAGAGGCTGGAAGGCAATAGTGTGCACGTCCTCGTCCAGCAGGTAGACCCTCTCAAGTAGTGCAACTTCTTCTGGGGGAAAAACCGACATAAGAAGAGTTAGAGTCTCGGCATAAGCCTTCCACAACTCCTGGACTTCGACTTTGGTCAATGTGTCTGCTACATGGGCGTTGAGTATACGCCAGAATTTGGTAAACCACATGCTGTACAGCCAAAGACTCGGAAGCACACGGCGTGCAACCACCGTGATCTTGTCGGAAAGCTGAGGAGGCCGGTCTCCATTTGGTGCAGTGACGTCGTCTCGGTCCGTGAGTCGCTCAAGCTCTGACTGAAGAAGCTGGAGCAACGTGAAAAATGTTTTGACGTTCAGTCGCAAGAAATAGAAGTATGACCTAATGGTCGATTCCTCGCGATTTGGTTCTGGATCAGTCAGTCATTTATTCAGATGGTCAGCCCGACAAGAAACTAACCTTGAACCCGGAGCGACGCAAAGTACTCTGCCGCTAGATTGATGAGGATTATTTTCTGTAAAATGCCATCTAGAGACTGCTCCTTCAGTTCAATGGTTAATTGGCTGAGCACCTCGTTCTCAAGCTCTTCGTGCTCAGGGAAGTCCTCTCCCTTATAGCATTTGCTGTGCAGACGCACAAACCAGGAAATGAGCGCTTGGCCGGCGCCATTGCCATCACGTGTCGCACGACTGCTAATGAGCTCTCCTTTCTCCCAGGCCAACCGGATCTTCTTGAATTCGAGCTCGAGATTTGCCTTCGCCAGTGGGTAACCCTGTTTGGTGGAAAGTGCACGGTAGAGGTGGTATGTGGTCCGGAAATGATCTCCATCCTCACGTGCTATGACGGCTTGCTGGTTGTGGGAAACGCCGGCATCCGGGTAGATCTCTGTCGCGAGCCCGTAATAGCCCTTCGCGGGGCCCCACTTGCGCTCTTTACCATCGCCAAGCGCTGCAGTTTCGCGGTATCGGGAGAGGTCTCCAAGTTGGATGAGAGTCTGGTGGCAGGATAGGAGGATTTCATGTTTCAGTTTTGGGGAGAGAGGTTGCTTCGAGCGGACGTTCGGTTCTATAGCATGGGTGAGTTTTCGCCAGCAGAGGAGAGCTGGAGGTTCCGTACCATTCTTGCTGTACATCTGTGCAACCTTGCGAAGCTCCGGGATCCCGTCAAACCGCGCGTCCAGGTTCAGGATGTACTGGCGATAGAAACGCTGACTAGATTTGATAAATTCCAAGAACGCCTTGGCGACCTTTCGGTTCTCCACAATGTGGTGCTGCTTGCCATTGTTGCGCTTCAACTACGCTGGTGTCAGGGGTGAATTGTATATTCCGGGACAAGGTAGCGAACCTGTCCAAGTCTCTTGCGATATCTGTTGGATATCTTGGTATGGGCAGCCCAGAGGCGGGCCTCGATGCTGTGCGCTTCGGCATACTGGAAGTCGCTGAATATAATCCTCTCACTCGCAACGCGGAAACTGCAGTGTCTGTGAGCAATCGCCCTGGTATATCGTGATAGCTGTGTATCCTACTCTTCAATGAGAACCGCTATTTCAGCGTCGGGCGCATTGCTCTCGAGGCTCTGGGTGAGTAGTTGCTCTACCGCATTCGCAAGCCTAGAGGGCGCGTCAGTCACAGCTGGCTGGGGAAATGGAGGCGCAGAACAGCATACTGTGCAGCCTGCTCAATCTGCGTTGCCATGCCTGCGGGCAGAGGGAATGGCGATGTTCATGGGCGACCCCACGGTCAGCCGCCAGGTCAGACGTGCGAAAGATGTAGCGGGCGGGCGGCGTAGTTTCCGCAATCCATGGAGACAGGCTAGTCTCCCTTAAAAGAGAAGCGGACAAGCACTGGTGGGTGGATAAAGAGCGGGCAGCAAACTGCGGCCAGAGACTGTCTGACCGCGAGGGGAGTGAAGAGGTGAGGTGGTGGACTGAAGATCTGGTCGAGACAGCACAGACGAACGGACCACGGATTCCTTGGGCGCGCACTCCCCTCCCAAGTCGCCACGGTCCCCCCAATTCACCACCAGGAACCCTGGCTAGACCTTCCGCCCGTGCCTGATTCAGCCCTGCCAGACACACGTAGCACGCCCAACTTCACTTTCGTGCTGCAGCTTGACGCGAGGTGGAACTGGAACAGCTCGTCAAAGAACAAGCGCCTCCAAGTAAACCTCACCACCACACTCACAATGGTCAAGCGCTCACGGCCAGACTCCCCCCCGTCCGGAGACGACGCGGACTCGCCCGTTCTAGATATCGAGCGCGCCTCCCGTACCGTGTCACCCGCGTCGACCGACCACGAGAGCCGCGCAGCCAAGATCACCCATCTTGATGCCAGCAGCGCCTCGGACGAGCAGCACGTCGTGATGAAATGCCTCCTCCCGCCGCACCAGCCGTTGGATTTCACGTCGTTTGAAGACTACGAAGTCCATTATCAAAAGGCCCATGTCAATCGCTGTCAAGAGTGCCACAAGAACTTTCCCTCTGATCACTATTTGGGCCTGCATATCGCAGAGAACCATGATCCTTTGAACGAGATCAAGAGGTCTCGGGGGGAGAAGACGGTAAGAGGTCGACCATTTCGTGTCTCGCCATATTTTAAACAACATTTTCTACATATAAAGATACCGTACCAAACGACCTCTATTTTTAGTCTCATCCATATCATGCCACGTCTTTCGCGCCTTGATCCTTCTTACCAATTCTACTACCCCCATTGCTGTTGTCCATAACCCCACCCCCTACTTTCCCGGTCCCGCTAGCTTTTATTTCTCTCCCAAGGAGCTAAATACCTCCCCTTCATTCCCTCCACCCCACATGACCCTAATGAACCACCCTATCTGACCCTCCTAGTACGCCTGCTTCGTCTCCGACTGCGACCGCCTCTGCAGCACCCCGCACAAGCGCCGCCTCCACCTCATCGACAAGCACCAGTTCCCCAAATACTACGACTTCTTCGTCATCAACGATGGGCTCGACAAGCGGAACTCCCTCCTGCGGACCGGCCACCACCGCCGACGGAGCTCGGCAGCTACGACCACGGCGAGATCGCGGGCGGCATCGAATGTGAATGTGAGCGTGGGGAAGAGCGAGAAGAGCGTCGAGGAGGAAGAGAAGGACGGGGAGGACGGGAGTAGCGAAGAGGATGAAGATGAGGACGAGGAAGAGATGAAGGAGGGTGTGCCGGAGAGCAAAGCGAATGAAACTGGAAAGAGCAAGGCAAAGGTTGCCGCGGATTTGGATAGTATCACGTCGTCAATGTCCGCACTGAAGTTTGTGCCGAAAAGTGTTAGGTTCGGGAGAGGACGAGGGAGAGGAAGGGCCGGGTTCGCAGCGTCCTAGAGCCATCTCACCACATTGCCAAAATCATGATAGACCTGGCGGGTACAAGGCAGCATTGGCGAGTTCTCGACATAGGTATTTTGTCATCTTTGGCGGCATCACGACTTTATGAGAAAAGTAGACATCACGTGATCACGAATCAATGCTCTAGTTCATGGCGGCGGCGCATAAACCGAGTAGATGAAAAATATGCCGTTCTGTTTCGATGTGAATGCGCGAGTGCTTCTTGTCATTGCTTGCTGACTAGGGACGTGTGATGTACAGGATATCCAAGATCGACCGCAGCCTCCACCCAAACCTTGAAGCATGCAAGTGCGAAAAGCAAATGCCCGACCCGATTGCTGGAAGCAAAGTTTGCCCCAATAATCTCACAAATCTAACCCAGAAAGATCCTAGAATCACGGCATCCGCCAGCCGCCTCCCCACCAGCCCGATTCAGCTCACACCTTGTTCTCTGCGCTTGCGATATCCACCGAGCGCTTAAGCTTCCTACGGTCAAGGTGCAGGTCCTGATGGGTGTTGCAGTTCGCGCGAAGCGGGCTGCCGGTCTTTGAGATTGGCGAAGCCGCTCCTACAGGCGTCGTAGTGCCCGTTCTACTCGAGCACGATATTGACGATGAGGCGATGTCCATTATTTTTGATGCTGCATAGACGCAGCCACCGACTGCGTGCCGGACGAGCGAATCGCCAGCGAGACTGCCGATAATGAAGACATTTGGCGCGACTTCGAGGTCGGTTTCTGCTTTGGCCCGGAGTGTGTGCGCGGATATGAGTCCTGCGGCATTGGATTCAGAGTCTGAAGGGTTGGGTTCGAGGACTTCGTCTTGTAAGGCTTGGTCTAAGTAGGCGAGGGAGCCCCGCCGGCCTACGACGTACTCAAGATGGCCAATGGGGGTTTCAAGTATGTCGCCACTTTCGAGCTTGATCTTGACTACATACCTCCCGTTGTCGTTGGTGACGTCAACGATCATTGCGTTCGGAAGACCTCGATATGTAGCCCAGTCTCTGCTGTTGAAGAATGGATTCAATTTCTGACGCATCAGCGGGGACTTTGACGGTGCTTTCTTCCTACCAGCCATGACAGCTAGCTTCATCTGGCGATAGATGGTCGCATACTCTGGATAGGCGGTGTGGTGACAGCCACGCAATGGCGACGGACGCTGGTTGGGAATCCATTGGAAAATATGAATGATCTGCCGATTGGGAGGAGTCGAAAGTATTACATCTGCTGCAGAGAATCCTGATCCTATAACCAGCAAGGGATCGCAGGAGTTTAGTAGTTCAGCTAGGGGCGCTAGGAGCTTAGGTGGAGGGATGTTGACGGTGAAGATGCCCGATGCTAGGACGAGATGTCTGCACGATATACCATGAGACGCAATGTAGAATCCATGAGACGTCCGCGAGACATGGCCGACGATTGTTGAGGTCCGTATCGAGTCTAGTATGCCAACGGCTGCAGGGTATGCCTTGTAGTAGTCTGCTACATCAGCGCGCGAGGGCCGGATGAAGTCAGGGATAGCCTCCTTCCGTGTCTCAGCATAGTAGTCTGAGTAAGAAAATCCTGGAAGAGATAGCATCTCTGCATAACTCAGGGTCCCGATGTTCCAGCTAGCAGATACAGGATTGTCTGCCCATTGTCCCCCAGCCTGTGCAGCGTCGCCAAGTGCAATATGTGAGATTGCCCTCCCGGGATCATTCCTCCACTCTATACAAGACGTTGGGTTGATTTCTGTGTCGGCATTGGGGCGAATGAGCGTGTCTAGTAGTGTGTTGATAGGTAATGCTTGAGTGGAATAGCGGAGGGATGACGAGAAGTGCGCGTAGAGTTCTGGCGTCAGGTCGAGCAGGCTGGGACGCGCCGACAGTTTGGAGTCTAAAATGGTATCGTGGTGGCCTCCCACATAGTAAGGAGTGTTCCCGTGTAAGATAAAAGATAGAATCAGTGCGGCTGGTCCACCACCTGAGAAAATTTGTTAGTCTGGCCTGGTGATCTTGCTTCCAGCACTCACCAATAATCACGGTATCTACGTAGGCCGGCAATCTGGTAGCCATGGAAGGCTGATAGTCGTAGGATACGCCATCGGAGATAGTTTTGAGGCGGAAGAAAGGGTCATTTGTACTCGGCCTCAGAAGCCGTCGTTCTTGCCATGCCCACTAGTGAGGGGAAAAGTACCCTGACGATGATGGTGGAGTGGGGTGCAGCGTGCGCCAGGAGCGGCATGTCTTTCCATTGACGCGGGATTGGACTGTAGGGCTTATTTGCGTTTCCAGAAGACTGGCATATCTCGGCTATGCAATTTACGCGTTTATATAGATAGGGGTGGTGTGGTTCGTACAGCCTGGCAGTTGTTGTCACACAGAACGTCAACGTTCGCGAGGGGCTTTGAAAGCTGTTGCATTTGACACCTAACGCTAACCCCTCCTATCACGTAAACCACTTCGTCATACGACAAAGACCCGTATCTAGCGTACTTTAGGGTTGAATTCATAGCGGTTGGAAATGTGTCATTCTTTCTTCTTGAGTAAATCGCTGGAAATGGCGTCGGTTGGTATTGATTGATATATTTCGATCAAGACCCGTTTCCGACCGTACATCCAAGTCGTCGCATGAGGCTTCATAAACACCGTAATAGGCCTGATAAGGCAGGCTCTCAAAACAGGCGTTGAGCCGCGAAATCGTCATCAAGGAAGAAGTTGGGGTCTAAGGAGACTTTATCTCTACAAAATTGAAAGTGGGGTTGATGTAACGCTTCGGCATTGTAGTTTAGTATGTACAAGTGATGGCTCTCCCATATCCGGCCTCAGTACCGATGGTGAATGCCGCTCCTCATTCCTCAACACGTCTAAAACTCCTTGATCAGATCCCCCCTCCTTTTTCCGCGGAGGTCGTATTTGCCCTGTAAAATCTCGTCAGATATATCCTAGACCCTGATACTGCTTGCTTGAAAGCAAGCCAAATCGTGAACTCGTGCGCGTGTCTCTGGTAGCTGAGCCGGTGGTTCGGCCGCAACCCAAAACTCCAAAGAGTCCCACGATAGCTATGCGCCTTCTTATGAACAGAGCTGTTGTGACTCACATCGGTCGTATATGCGAGATAGCCAACGATGCTCGGAACGACAGCGACGTAGGCGAAGGTTATCCAGGCGGTCCGCCCTGTCCATCGGAAGTACTTGTGTCGGTTGACATACATGTCTGTACGGCGACATCGTGAGTATGGGGTCTATGAGTCTCAGATATTGAGGGCCGTGGTCATCTTACTGGCGTATTTGACCAGCGACGGGTCCATATGGAGGGCTGCGGAGGGGCTTGTCAGCGATCACACTCAAGCAATTGGCGGCCGCAGAGTCTATGGACACATACAATTGTTGTGGCCCGCCATGATGAGTGATTTGGCGATGCGCACTCGAAGGATTCGGATGTGTTGGTGGAGCTGGCGTCTGCTGAGGTTCGTCGTCGTTCAGGTTGCGGAACATGGCGAGATAGATTACTGACTGGCGTCACGTATTAAACTGTGTTTTAAATGCCGACTTCAGCTCCACGACATCCATGCATCGATCATTGCAAAGTCATCATATGTTATTTCTCGAGGCTGATCCCACGGACCTCGTTTAATTTGCTGCCACACTGTCATTTACCTATGCATGTACATATTCTAACATCTTCATTGATATCTCCGCAGTTCCGAGGCTCGGCGGAGGCCACATGAAGAAGATGGGCTGATAGCTCCGCTTTCCATAGTAATGGATATCCTGACTGGCGCTTTTACTAGATCAATTTGGACACAGAACTCCACGGCATGACGTCCGAACTAGTTGTGTGTAGCGCAGGATGCCGGCGTACGATAGACACAACCTAGCAAAAGGGCGGGGCTTTCTCCTGCCGAACAGACGCTTCACGGCCATCTTTGACACCGTCTCCCGCTATTTTCCACGCTTTTAAGGTCCAAGACAGCGATTCCTGAGAACGTGGTACCACCATTAGCTCCATCTTTCATTTCCACACTCACATCAAGGGAACGCGATGTCGACCGAGACCAATCAAGGTGCCAAGGTTACGCTTTACTGGTATGAACTACTGCACCATTCCTAGGAATACACTTTGTCATCATTGTGTGATGCAAGTCCTTGCTGTAGTGCTCCATATATCCTGCTGCATAATCACCAACGCTGTCGAGTTCCGGCTAACTTGGACCAGGCTTGACAAGTCGCGATCGCAGAGAATCGTATGGCTGTTGGAGGAACTCAAGGTCGATTATGAATTGAAGGTGTTTAAGCGAGGCAAAGACATGCTTGCACCACAAGAGTTGAAAGATATGTACGTAAGCCCCCGACACAGATGAAAAGTTTCCTAGCAATCTGTCTGTTTGAAAAACTACTCAGGGAGTGTTTCGAGACAACCACAGTGGTGTCTTGGAATCCCCTGAAAGAAGTGTCTCACGCAACAGTACTTATTACAAGAAATCAATAACGGTTTCCTCACTCTGGTTCTGAATGATTTGCTAACCTTATTGCCACCTTTAGTCACCCATTGGGCAAATCCCCCGTGATCGGAGTTCAGGCTCCTGGTGCGGACAAGCATATTGTTGTCGCTGAGTCGGGAGTCATTGTCGAATATTTAACCGAGTACTTTGGGAAGTGGATGATCCCAAAAAGATATCCTGAGGGGAAAGAGGGTGTAATAGGAGCCGAGACGGAAGAGTGGCAACGGTATCGATACTACATGCACTACGCCGAGGGCAGCTTCATGACTATGCTGCTCATGTCCCTCTTGACTCAGAGTAAGTGGCCACCCGATAGCAGATGTTGTTACACGGTCTCATTCGGTTCAAGACATGCGAAATGCACCAGTGCCTTTCTTCCTGAAGCCAATCGGCATGATCAGCGGAGCTATAGCGAACAAGATCGATGGCAGCTTCGTGATGCCCCAAATCAAAGGGCATTTAGCGTTCTTGGAAGAACAGCTGGCGACGGCTCCCAATGGTGGAGGCTTCTTCTGTGGCAACAGTCTTACCGGCGCCGACATCATGATGGTAAATAGATTATCCAATCCAAGAAGATACCACCTACTGATCTGGTTCAACAGATATTTGGACTGGAAGGGGCGATGCAGCGGGTGCCTATTACTGAACAGTCACATCCAAATGTATACCATTGGATCATCCGGATGCAGCAGCGGGACGCCAACAAGAGAGCGGCCGAGAAGGTGACTGAAGCAACTGGCGAGCCATACGTTCCCATTAGCAAGGCCAAGTTCTAAGCAAGAGATGGGAGTGTGGAACGAGGGCCTCTCCTTTCGCGGCCTTGTTTAGATTGGGGTTTAAGCGTATATACCGTATACGCAGTACTATCAAGGCCTCCACGTAAACCTACCACGGGGGGCCTTTCATGCTCTTAGACACGCACATGCAGCGAGATGACATGCCCTAATATTGGTCAGTGTCCTCAATCGATATGCGGACCGCTGGAAGCGCGCCAACAGACATGCGATCCGGACTGGCTCCAGGGATCGGCACACGTCAGACGTATCTTTTTTGAGACAGGCGAGGCGCTGAAGTGAGGACACGCCCCGTGGAGAGGGCGATGACGGCGACTCACCGATGTAGCTCGGCCTCAGCGTCTCTATAGCATCAGGATCCTCCCTCGACGTTCCAAATCAGCTCGTGCAAGCATAAGCATCAGCCACACAAGCGGCCGCGGGCATGGTGTTTGGAGCGTCGCGGCGGCCGAATCATCAGCCTCACTGCTTACCTACCCCAGATTCTTCCAGAACACTGCTATAACGGGTGTTTCGTACGAGCTGTGATAAGCCGAGTCCGCTGCTCGTGCGTCGGCGCCCAAGTGGATGCCGACGCGGATTACAGCAGCAAGCCAAAATGGTGATTTCAGTGCTGCTTTGTTAGCCATATATACGGCCTGCCGTCGCTGGCAGGATGCCTTGCTGTTGCCAGTTCCCATCATCGCCATAGAAATATCGCAGGTTCGGTTTTGCTTCTTTACTGATCCCACCAGTTCCCGTATCCATCTGCACTAGCATTCCGAGAATAGTACCCTAGAACGCTCCAACTCCACCCGCAATTCCTCTGTCATATTTCCATCACCACTCGGCAGCGAGAGTACCAGGCGAGGTCAGGACAAACGTCCGCTTCTTGCGCGACCCAGTCAATGCCGGAACAGACTGGCTTCACTTCATCCAGAGACTTCGCATTCCAGAGCACTGACCAGGACTTCGCACACGGTGCTGACGCTGCGACAACCAACACAGCTTCGCAGTCCACCACCCGCTATGATCCTGAGAGTACCACCAACGCGTCCAATGCGCCTTCTGACGCGCACCAAACCGCGCCAGACGCCCTTCTGAGGGGTTACAACCAGCAGCAATCGCCTGACGCATTCGCCAACTACGGGTACAGCCCAGGTGGACCTCTGGTATGGGACTGGAACAACTCAATTGACTTCTCTGAGTTCGCCCACCACTACGAGCCCCAGGGGGAGCTAGTCCAAGAGCTTCAGAACCAGAACAATCCCTCCCAGGACTTCAGCATTCCGCTCCCTGTATCCGTTCACGAGCCGATATACCAGTCCCCGCTCCACACACCCAATACTGCGACAGCGCCCACCCAAAATCCTCTGTCGCCGCCTCCACCGCCGCAGCAGCGGCCTACCGTCACCACGACCACGGCCTCTGTGAAGAGGAAAGCTCCTTCAGAACCCAGCTCCGCGACTTCAGCTGGCGTCAGCTCCCACTTGCCCGACATCCAGCAGCCCGCCGCAAAACGACCCACCAAGTCACGATCTTCCTCTTCTGCTTCCGCGAATGCTCCCGCAATAGCTTCAGCTAGCAGTGATCGACGACCTTCAACATCTATGGCGTCAGCCCAGACTACAACCGTGACGGCAGGGACGGGTGAGGGAACAAGCGGTGATGTTACTCGTAGGAAATCGGATAAGGCTGTAGCGAGTAATAGCCGGCAGTCTGAGCATGTCCGATCTCGAAGAATTGTTGAAGCGCCATCAGGGAGGGACCCCAGCCAGTTACCTGCTGGGAAGGTGTTTCCCATACAAATTGGTTCCGAGTTGTTCAGATTATCAGGCGCATCGATATCTTCTGATGGTAAGTTTTCAGCACCCGTTATAGTCCTTTTATTACTGCAATTCTCCGCTAGTATAGATGAACTGAGAATTCTAGAGCACCCTCATACTTCTCGCATTTTTTCGGCGAGCAGCTACACCATACGACTGGTCGCGCTGGTGACCTGAGAACGCTTTATATCGACCGAGATCCGGTAACCTTTCGAGATATATCCTTGCATCTGCAAGGCTATCATGTCAAGCCTCGCGATCCTCAGCATTTCGTAAGATTATTCGCTGATGCGCAATTTTACAGTCGTAGGTTCTCCCCTATCAACACATTATGCTCGCATACAGCTAACAAGGCAAAATACAGTGCCACGCCTAACAAAGCAACTCTTTAGCATGGACATCTTCATCCGTGTAGGCCATCGTGACTTTCAAATCCCACGTGACCTATTCTCGTCCCCCGGCGACAGTCCCAATTACTTCTCCCTGGGTTTTGCTCAATTCTTCACCACGCCAACTGAAGTATTTCCCGGTCTTGACCGTGATCAGCTACTTCGCCCACCGTCCATCACCCCTCCAGCCGTCCCAAGTCGCAACGGCGACATATTCGCCGAAGTCTTGAAGCTTTTGCAAGGCTATCAAGTGCACATCCGCGACGAGAGCCACCGCGCAGAACTACTGCGGGACGCGCGGTACTTCCATCTAAAGGGACTCGAACAGCGTCTCATTCCCTGCGAGATCAGCTTCAACCTAGCACGCGGCACCTCCGAGATTCTCATCCGACTCGAAGACATTCGGCAGTCTGGCGTCAGCTTCAAACCCGATACGCATGCTTACAACATCGCCACGACCTCGAACTCGAGCAATGCTTCTCCCGCCCCTGGCTTTGCGCCTTTGAGCAAGCCGCCTACACCAACGCCGCACTCCACCACCTCGAGTACTGCATCGTCTACTATCGGCTCCGGTACTGTCTCCTACGCGCGCCCCTACACGGACGAGCACGCAAACACGAATGTGCTCATTCTCGAAATCGGATCCCAGGAATCGACCCGCCTGCATTTTCCTATCTCACCCACCACGTCCTCTTCTTCTTCGCCATCTCTCGACCTCCGCGCCACCTTCCACGGTCAAACCCTTGCGCGTATCACAAGCCTATTTTCCGTTGCGGCTGCGAAAATGGGCCTCCCAGCTACTCAACCACTCGGGCTCATGATGCTGCAGAATGGTGGCGGTGTCGCGGCGCAGCCAATGTCGCCAGCGAACTCAGGGCTCAGCGAGAATCGAGTGCGGGTGCGATGGGAATCCGATGCGTGGATCGAGGTTGACGGCGTGGCTGTGGAGGTTACAAGTGGTGAGAATGGCGTGTTAGGCGTCCAGCGAGTGAAGGGCAGCTCTAAGAATACAGATGGAGACGGCGATGAAACAATGGAAGAACTAGAAGAAGAAGACGATGAGTGGGTGTGGGGTGGTGCGAGGCGGGAAGAGGAGGAGCGCGAGTGGATTGTCAAGAAGGGGCATTGGCGATTGAGGGTCGAGCCTGTTGATGGCGAGATCGGCAGGATGCAAATTGTTATGTGTCCGGTGAGAATCGAGGCTATGTCGTGTGAAAGGACGAGGAATAGGCGGAGGGGTTTTTTGAGTTGATTTTGAAAGGCACGTTCGAATTCGAGTCGCTGGGCGGCTACATTACTTTCGCTTCGTTGGACATTGTGTTTATATGGGTTTTGGATATCTGGGTTGCCTTGCATGTGCATTGGAGTTCTTGTACGGTAAGGCTGGAGGCCTGGATGCGAGTGGCGGGTCTCTGTAGATATCTTCTCTTTCCTACGTGGCTTAGATTGATGAAGGGTCCCGACTGTTTGATTGAGCCAGTTGTGTAATTGCGCCCTCGCTAAGTTTACATCGATTCGAGTTCCTCTTCACATGTTCACATAGAGTCGTATATCAGCAAGTCATGACTCCATCCTCCTCTTCAAGTGTGAAGTCGTGTGCCTCCTCGTGCTTTATTCAACGGTTGTGCTAGACCTCTTTGCTACTCTTCTAGCCTATTTCGCAATTCAGCGATAATTTCTCCATTTCTTCTCTTAAGGCTGACAGCCTGACAGCACTTTCGACCTAATATTACATGAATGCGTCCACGCTGCATCAAAATGTTGCTGTTTTTAACCACGCCGCGTGACCACCAGACATGCCCTTTTTATAACCACTTTCGGTCCAATTAGTAACATTAGCACCATCTGTAACAATTGTAACATTGGTGACATTAGGACATCTTCGACCAAGAGCGTTCTCCATGCGGCACGCTTTCGCTCCAAGATCACCCATTTAGACCGAAAGCGTGACCTCAACACGTATTTGCGTTGACCATGCTTTCGCTATAAGATCCCCTCGTTTCGACCGAAAGTGTGGCCACAACGCATGACTACTTCATCACGCTTTTAGTTCAAAAGCTCCTGACCCCCGGCAAGTTCCCCATCCACGTCCTCATGAAGCCTACTTGTATCGAGGACGCTTCCGATGCAAGGACTGCCCAATCGAAGTACGTAGATGGCGTAATTCTTAGACGTTGCGTCCCTACCGCATATGCGCCCAGTGGCCGCAAAATCTGGCACGATGTGTGTTTTCTTGCGTAGCCATCGAGTCCTGATGCCCGCCAAACACAAAGGGCTCTCGCTCTCTTCGGGCGCTCTGAGCCTAAAGCGGTCGCAGCAGAGTGGGGAATGTCGCGGTAAACATCTCATCCTTCTTCAGACGGTGTCATGCTCCACCCCTTCACGTATCCAACAACTCCCTCAACTCCTGAAACTTCACCGGCTTCGGCAGATAATGATTAACCCCACTCCGCAACGCCTCCTGCTGCGCCTGCGCGCTCGCCAGCCCCGTCAACGCGATGATCGTCGCCGGCGCCGCCACCTCCCGTCCTTCCTCAAAAGCGCGGATATGCCGTGTGCTCTCCAAGCCGTCCATCACCGGCATCGAAATGTCCATGAGTACGAAGTCGAAGCGTTTGCTAGGGTCTTCGCACGCGCTTTTGTAGGTCTCGAGGGCTTCGAGCCCGTTGCGGGCGGAGGCGTAGGGGAGTTTGTGCTTTTTCATGAACATGACGAGGAGTTGCAGGTTGATGGGGTTGTCGTCGACGAGGAGGACGCGGACGGGGTCTTGGGGTTGGCGGGCAGAGGGGGTGCGGGTGGGAGTGGGGCGGAGAGATTTATTTCCTGGGGGTGGGTTGGAGACGGGATTGGCGTTGGTGACGGTGGAGAGCGAGCTCATGGTAATGACTCCTTCCTGGTGAGAACTTAACGGGTCTATGTGTTCTGATTGTCGCCGGGGTGCCATCGCAAGGCGATCCTTGTTGATGCTCGTGGAAGGAGGATTGGTGACTTGCTGAGACGCTTTGGGAGGGGCAGACGCGATCCTTGGTATTGATGACGCCTGGCCATCGTAGGTTCCGTTGCTGATGCTATGTATGTCATCTAGACACTTTTGAAGGACTCTGGCTAGCTTTCTTGGTCCGCACTATTTACATATTAGTCTCACAGAGGATTAACATATACAGGAGTTTTAGATAGGGCTGCAAGCAGCAGTTTCTTGTGTCCGGTGAGAAGATAAAACTTGAGGTACGTACAGGCTGTGGTATAGCTTCGACCACTCTTCCTTCGGCCATCAACGACGATTTGAATTCCAATGCCCTAGTTGCACTCGGGCAAATGACTATGATGGGGGCATGCTTTGGATTATCCCCTCGAGTCGATTTTGGGATCGGGCCATGTCGGGTCAAGTACGTATCTAACGATGGCGGCTCAGCATAAAGGAATATGTCCGCAGAGACACCGTTCGCATTCGGCGAACGAATGACATTCATGTCAAACCAATGTAAAGAAGTTTCCTCGAGAGATGCATGAACAAGCCGCGCGTTTTCAGACTGTGGAACCTCGCCTTCATCGTCGTGATGGAGAAGGCATAGGGCCAGTCCTTTCGTGGATGCAGCTACTGAGGAGATTGCAGGCTCTGGTTGAATTACAGGACTCTCGGCAATGGGAAGACTCAATACAACGTCGATATCAGTTCCGACGAACTGAATGCTCTTAACGGTAATAGAGCCTCCTAGTGAGTTTATAATCTGACGCACAATGCTGAGTCCAAGGCCAGTTCCAACCGAGAAAGGGTCTTCCTGCGAAAAGGGGGAGAAGAGCTTGGTACGTTGATATTCCACTGACATGCCCTTTCCGGTGTCAACGAAGCGGAGTCGAACATTGATGGTTGAAGGATTTGTCTCTGCCTCGGCTTTCAGAGAAACTATGATATGCCCTTTATTTGTGTACTAGAACCTGTTATTAACAAGTCGCGTAGAGATTGACAAGATGTGAGCTTACTTTGAGTGCGTTGCCGAGTAAATTCATAACGACGCGCCGGAGAGCTCCAGGTTGAGTTTTGACATTCCAACTTGGTCTAGGGTCAACATCTAGAACCACTAAAACTTCATCACCTGCGTATTCTTGTGGTAGTGGTGATGCGCTGGTTGTGGGAACACTAGTCGCAGCTGTCACTACTAAGCTTGGAGGACCGGATGCGTCCTGCGATACGTCGGGGTCATGAAAGTTGCGGGGGTGTGCTCTTTTGAACGCATGACCGGCACACACAGCGTCGACGACCTCTTCAACTAAAACACTCAGATCGAAGTCGACAGTCAATCCTATGATGTTGTTACTATCGACGCCGCTATTTCGACGAGATCTTATAGCTCCTGTTTTCTTTCGAGTGTTGGCCTTCCTCAATTTATTAATCTTAGCATAATCTAAGACGTGATCGATTGTGTCCAGGAGAGTCTTGCCGCACGTTTCGATGGAAGAGAGCAGACCCGTTTGATAGGCATCCATGACAGTATCATGGAGGAACTCCACAGATCCTAGAATCCCATGCAGAGGCGATCTCAACTCATGGCTGATCGAAGCAATGAAAGTGGTTTTTGCAAGGTCCGATTTTTGGGCGTTTTGGCGTGCGATTTCGCTCATGATACTATTACCAAAGGCTTTCAGATACGGTAACTCGTTATCTGGATTCATGAGACGGCCAATCTGATCAGTCCAGATGAAAGCCCCGGCGACGTACTTTCCTTCCGAGAAATCCCACAGTGGCAAGAAAATCAGGCTCCGAACATCAGGGAGAACTTTCAGAAGCTCCGTAGGTACGAATGGCTCATGCTTAGATCTTTTTATCGAACTAACACGTTTATCATCCCCACGAATACGATCCATGACCTCGCCATGGCTTTCGTCCCCAGAGCTGATACCAGATCCGTGCTCTGTAAAGCTAAAGAACTTTCCATACGGGAATCTAGTAAGGTGAGTTAGTACGAGCACTCGTAGTGGCTACGGGAGCTAAGCACACAAGGGACACACCTTCTGATGTATCTTTGCATGCTTTCTTCAGTGAGAGCAAAGCTCTTGTAGGAGAGCTTCGACTTGTGAGCTGTTTCATCAGAGATAGAACAGGCGACCACTGGACAAAAGCTCTTCTTCTGTACAATGGAATCGTTATCTCCAGTACCACTGTCAGATGATAATAAGGCTCTTGAATTCGCTCTATCACGGCGTCTCCGCTGCAGGGGTTGCATCTCGTTATCAGTCACCGACGACGGGGACTCATCGGTCACATCCATAGGATTTCCAGATGTGGACGTGTCTGGAGAATGCCCTATGAGGTTGCTCGCGGTGGTAGAGAAGAAAACAACACCATCTGCCCGGGTAGAGTCGTGGATTATTTGCGCTGCACGAGAGAACACTCTGGCGGCGTCATGCTCAGTAGGTTGGGGCGTGGAGGCTGCATTTGTGGGTGCATCCCTTGGAAGAGGGTCAGTTGCGTTGTTCGGCACAGTTGGGATTTCGGTGACCTCGGTTTGATCGATGATATCAACTCGAGAGTTCTCAGTCTGGCGTTCCATCACGGAAACAGTGTGTGGAGATGAGGTTAGGCTGGAGGTCCTCTGAAGGGGTGGCTTTGGAGGCAGGTCTTCTTCAAGATCTTCCGTAGAACACATGCCCTCTATGAACTGTGCCAAACCACGCACCATTTTCTCCCCATTGTTTCGATCGTCTCGGTCTTTTGCCATTTCTAGGTGCTCCATAACTGTAGCAGCAACGTCTTCCATAAACCTCAATTCGTCTGCGTCTAGGCCAAAACGAGGCTTATCACTCGACACGGCATACACACCGATCTTGTGTCCAGCCTTCGTTTTTATAGGAACCCCAGCGTAAAAGTACACGCCCGGAGTGCCCTTAACATAGTCTCGATTCTTGAAGCGGTCGTCAAGGCGCAAATCAGGAACGACTAGTGCCTCTGCGGTGTATGTACTACCATCCTCTTCCAGGGCAGTGTAGGTGGACGCGAAGGTATGGTGACAGACGCCATCGCACCTCGCTATTATGGTGTTTCCCAGCCATACCTCATCCCCTAATTTGAACCGATTGTCGGACACTAGGGAAAGCGACTTTGTCGCCTCGGCCAATATAAATTGCTGTGATGAGTCTATCAGGGAGACCATCCCTCGTCTGACGTTGAGGCGAAGCGTTGCAAGTTGTGCCCAAGACGTGAGAGCCTTGTCGCGGGAGGATCGTGGCTGGTAGCCTTTGTACGTGAGGCCCCATGTGTCTGCCTCTCGCTCTTGATTGAGGACTTCGACGAGGCTTTGAGCGTCCAGCCATGGCTGATAGTATCTGTGTCTGCAATCAGCAATCGACCAACACGTGGGGCACTATGAAACATACCGATAGAGATCCCTCTCGCGGGTAGCCTCTGGGCGCATGATGGTTGCTCAGTCCTGTGTACTCCTGCGATTACACGCCTCCAAAGTACAAACTAAGTTCGAAAAAGCGCCATAAGGGACAGGAAGCAGGGGGCTTAGAATATTCGACATGCCCTCTCGGCGACCCTGATGCCGGATCGTCGGCACGCAATGGCAACCTTTCTCGATCGATCGTCGCGTGCGAGGGACGCTCCGAGGAACGTGACGCCGGATACGGTTGACCGCCACGTGCGTCATGGCCGTATGAAAGGGTCTCTCTCATTACAACATGGCCCGAAAGAACTGACGAGTCGTCTTGACAATGTAGTGGGCTTTTCGGAGTTGTTTCCCCGCAAAGTCGGCGACTTTGGGAGGAGAGGGGATGATGAGTGATGTAATTGGTCAATTGTAGAGCATTGCGGCTCGCCAGGACTGCCTGCATCCGGTTAAGTGCTTCCCTTCGAGCTACTATTACGGAGTGTACGGGAGGCCTGGAGGTATTGAGGCATGCATGAACACGCCCTTTGTCGAGGACAGGGTAGGACAAGCAATAATAAGCATATTTATTTATATGAGTCACATCTCACAAAGTCGTCTCATATATTTCAAGCATTCTTTCATCGTTCTGTTTACTCATCTAAACTCCAGCACACCTAGTTATATCTTCAGTCAACTAACAAATTCCTTGAATCATACCCTATCAATCAATCTATCCGTCGAATATCGAAAGCTCTCAATCAACCCACTCCTTAAACACCAAAACCTCATCCACAATACCAGCCCCTCAACTCCCCACAATGTCCCCCACCCCCCTCAACACCCTCGCCCAGACCCTAAAATCCCTCCACGCCCCCGGCCACCCCCTCGTCCTCACAAACACCTACGACGCCCTCACCGCCCGCATCATCGCCTCCAGCCCCATCGCCCCGGCCCTCGCCACAGCCAGCTACGCCATCGCCGCCTCCGCCGGTCTCTCAGACGACGCCCTCGACCTCTCCACCAACCTCGCCGGCATCCGCGCCATCGCCGCCGTCGCCAAAGAGTCCAAGAAACCACTCACTGCAGATTTCCAGGACGGCTATGGAGAGAGGCTCGAAGAGGGCGTGAGGGAGTTGATCGGGGCGGGGGTCGTGGGGATGAATTTGGAAGACTATGGTCGCGAAAAGGCGGCGCTTTACGACATTGATACCGCTTGTGAGCGTATCAGATCGGTTTTGAGGACGGCGAGTGACCTTGGTGTGCCTGATTTTGTCGTTAACGGGCGCACGGACGCGCTACTCCATGGGGGCAGTATTGCGGATGCCGTTGAGCGGGGGAATGCGTATCTAGCGGCTGGGGCGACGACTGTGTTTGTATGGGGCGGGCGGGAGCGGGGAGGGATCAGTAGAGAGGAGGTGAAACAGCTAGTGGAAGCATTCGGGGGCATGTTGAACGTGAGTCTGAGGCTGGACGAGGCGGATGAGAAAGGGGGGAGGAATCTGACGAGGCAGGAGTTGGCGGAGATGGGGGTTGCGAGGATTTCGGTTGGGCCTGGTTTGCAGGCCAAGGCTATGGCGGCATTTAGGAGGGAGGCGGAGAAAGTTTTGGAGGGGTAGATAATGGATTTGAGGATGTCATCCAAATGCGGTAGTGATGTATGCAATTAGGGCTAATATACAAAGAGCGCTAGTATTGAGACGAACAAGTAACAAATGCCCCCACAATGTCAAAGATTCGAGCGAAATCATATATTAGAATTAGGCTATCCCCTTTTCGTACCCTACATGTTGCTAATTAAGAACCCGTGTTGTCTTGTCGTCCAAGCATGCGATGCACCACGAGCAAAGAAATTTACTTGCAAGCCGCCAGAAGGGGGCCGAAGTCGACGAAGACCTTGCCGATGAGAACAAGGTAGATTTGGAAGCCGATCTTGATATTCACGATGAAGTTGGCGACAACTCCACCAATGGCAAGCAAGAACGAGATGTACGTGTGGAGGAACAGAGTAAGGGTCCAGCCGAGCAGTTCGATGATGGCTACAGAACCGTTAGTGACTGTTCACGGAGACACCGAGGAGTGGAGACATACTGATCTTTAGGACCGCGACCGCGTGCAACAACGTGCAGATTATCTCAATGAAGACCTTGATGGCAAGGGAGATGACGAGCTTCAAGTCGGCCTCAATGAGCTCAATGAACTTCAGCTTGTAGATCTTGAGGCTTGCAAGGGAGAAGGCGGAGAGAATCTTCTGGATCTCCACCTGGATGTCGGCGATGATTTTGATTTTCTTGCCCAAATCGATGGAGATACCCTCGCATGAAGAGATAGTGACGTCTACGCATCGTTAGTAGGCGACCTCGTAGAACATGATCATTACCATGGGCGTACTGATAGACGCGGTATAGCTGAACACTTCGGTAACGAGCGCGTCTACAATAACGACGATCTCTGGAAGTGTTCGCTCCTCAACGGCGACGACGGAGGTATCACGTTGCTCAACCTCTGCAACGGCGACATCGCGTATCTGGAGGGAAGTCGGGGCCGCGAGGGAGCTGACGAACAGGCTCGAAAGAGCAAAAAGGGAGAATGCTGAGAACCTCATCTTGACTGTTTCTGGTATAAACGAATGAATGTGGTGAATAAAAGAAGAGCTGAAACGAGTGACTGAGGTGAGCGGGAAGCTACAACACACGATTTTGGATTGATAGTGATGAGGAGGGAAGGAATGGTGGGCGATTGAGCATTCTATATACTGGTTTTGATATTCAAAGCCACATGTTGCTGGGGTCCAGAGATTTGCATAATAGGATACAAATGCGAGAGATGATCCTTTCCATTAACCACTCCGGCCCTGAACCTTGAGGCTTCTGGGCTCTAGGGCTTCCGGGGGCTGATGGCCGCTTGGATGACTCCAGACAGCTAAAAGTGTTTTGTGTTGATGCACCCGAGGTCCCATGTGGGGAAGCAATAATCCACATGTTAAGGGGAATTCGTCCGGCACGAACCGTTAGGGCAATTGATCGGAGTGGATAGCCATGCGCTGAGTGGTGATAGGTGAGGCGGCATTGCGGGCCTTCCTATGGCGCGCTCGAAGCGTGCTGAAGGGTCGTGTCAATCATATGAAGATCACACACATCACTTCCTGTTCCTGACGGCGACCCGCCTCGCACTGCCGTTCGCAGTGGCCAACACGGCCAGGACTGATTCAGGTACCAGGCACAGGTTATGCCGCAAACGGACCTTGATGTTATCTGATGCTTTGGATAATCTTTTAGTTTGCTGTGTCCATTCTCAATTTGCATGGTGATCCTCGCGAATGTGACGGATCAACCCAGGCCGTTCGCTGCGGCGCACACTGAAAGCCCACAAAGCGTGTCGATGCCTTTCTTCCTAGGGATCGAGATACTGGCACTTTCGGAATATCGTAAATCGCGGTCAACAAAGTCTACCAGAAAAAAAGGTCAGTGCAATCGTGGCGCCGCGTATGCGCACTCGTTCAGCGCGCATCACAGCTAGCCTCGGATGGGTCGGCACTGGCGGGGGCCATACGGCGAATGCGGCCTTGCGGTGAATTGTGAAGTGGTGGTCAGACTTCGGAGCCCTCCGTTTTTCGCAATGCGAGTCGCGTGAGAAAAAGGGGAGTGCTCGTGGTTGCTGTTGAGGAGGATTGGAGGGTGTGGGGGCCAGGGATAGACTAGCTTTCCCGCCCCGTCACGTGTCTCCAACCCTATACTTCACAGGACTCTCCTCCACTTTTCCGCATTCGACACCGCGAACCCCGAAGATTCTTGTCGAACGTCTGCTTCTACAAGGGGTAACCTGAGCGGGCTGCTCGCCCTCCCTGTCAGTTTTGGGCGCATTATAGTCGTACCCGCACTATTTTCCTAGGGTATTACTATAATGCCCCTAAAACTAACAGGGAGGGCGAGCAGCCCGCTCAGGTTACCCCCTTGTAGTCGCCTGTTCGCTCCCCGCAGTTCCACGGTGCGCCGAATGCCGCCTGAGCACCCTCACTCTAGTCTACCCTAAATAGGACATCTCTTGGCTCTCTTTGTAAGGCTTTTCTGCCATCATTTTCTCACTCTGTCCCTGTGAGTACTCGCTTTATTACTCATCCTAGTGTACTGCATCCGTAGCTCTCCGACACTTCTGGTCATCTGACTTACATCCTCAATGAAGCCGCCGAGCTCTTCGTTCCACTTTCCGATGCCAACGCAGGCTTGCCGTCCCAAAATCTAGCTATACGGGGTACCGTCAAGACAGAAGCCCTCCACTTCGTTTATTACGGCACACCTGAATCGAAGTCTGAAATGTAGTGGGTTGGCTAACAGATCATGAGTATTTTCAAGGATAGTCCTAGCACGTGGTCGTCTTCCATTGTGCAGCCATTGTATTCAATTACTTCTACAGAATGGACACAGCCAACCATATGTTTCCATATGTTTCGAATCCTCAGTTTGGAACTCGATAAGATCTCATTCCGCTTCATCTTCCAAGCACTCCATATCAACAAGTTTGCACAAGTGAACCTGTCCGCCTGACCAAGAGGGCTGCCTCCCAGCGCTCCTAGTCTCTTCCATCTTCTTAGCCAAGGCGTATCCCAGTTACTATATCTCCAACGCTCCAGCGTCGCATCTATGTGGGCACTGGGCCTCGGCTCTGTCAACATAAACTCACTCGTTAGTTCAAGCTCCAACGGCTCTTTCCAGGGCCCCCTCATCAGCATGGTTCTAACTCCCAACTTTCCCCAACCAATCATCTCGCTCTTGTACCTTGCATACAACAGCCTGATTATCGTCATACATGTTAGTGTGGAGTGAACTAGGTCTGTGGTGAAACGTATGTCACCGAGGGTGTGATTTTCGCAGGGAATGTAGCACTCGACGCTCGGGCTGCCATCGCGGCCGGTATGTCCAACTCTGTCCCGAGGTTCATAAGTGAGGAAATAGGTTAAAGCTCATATATTAAGAAATATGCCATTCCCCCTGATGATCATGTCAGGTGTGCTCACCAGCTCGTATCCCATCTATATACCTGGAAAATTTTACGGCATAAAATCGTCAAGAGGATGAGAGTAGTCATGGGATCACCACATCCTGGTTCTCAAGTATCGCTATTATTTTCACGACGCTTATTAGCTTCCTGATACTTTCGGGGCCTGTGGGAGTAGGGGTTCGATCGTTGATACCGGGAATGCCGCATTTCTAGCCTGTTAGACTGAGCAGTAGGCAAACTTGGTTTCTCGCAGTCTTATTGATCGTAAACTAACTCTCTATCGTGAAATTCCTACGACAATATCATCCGGGCGGGTTCCCTTGTCGGCATTTGGCTATCGTGAGTGCAGCCTCTCAGACTCAAGGGCTAGGAAGACTTCACGTTTGCTCCGATGCAATGAGGCCCAACTCTGGTAACCAAATCGACCAAAAACAAGCGTAGGTCACTGCTTCTTTACAAGCAGCAAGCTCGAGGCATCATCTAAAGCAAAACTGTCCGCATGCACGCTCAATCTAAAATACAAACCGCCAACACTCAACCAACCACCTCCTACCTAAACCCCTTCGTCCTCTCCTCACACCACCCCGCAAACCCCTTCGCCCTCCCCTTCCCCCCCTCCTCCACACTCTTGACCGCCTCCACTAAATCCTCCCTCAAGCTCGGGTGCCTCCGTCCCCACGGCACCACATACCCCCCCTGATCCCCCTCCCCAAGCTCCTCACTCAACCCCGCCCACAGCTCCGTATACGGCCCATACCTACTCTCATACAACAACGGCCGCACCGCCAGCACCACCAACCGCGGCATATGCCGCGTCAGATTCGTATTCAGATTCCCCGGATTCTGCGTCACGCTCCACACGCCCTCCCTCCCTCCCTCCCTGCCGCGCGAGCGCATCCGCGAGGTACCAGTTCCCCAGCTTCGTCACCGCGTACTTCAGCTGCGGGCTCTGCTTCAGATACCAGCTCGCCTCGGCCTCCGCCCCGTCGGCGCCTGCGCGTCGACGGCGATAGAGGACGTCCACACGACCCCTGACGCTGAGCCGCGGCGAGCCGCGCGGGCAGCAGCAGCAGCAGCTGGGTGAATAGATACGGCCCCAGGCCAGTTCGTCGCCAGCATCAGCTCGTCGCCCCTGGGCGGACGCGCTACCGAGCCGGGGGCAAGGAGACGCCGGCGTTGTTGAACAGGACGTGCAGCTGCTTTTCGCGCTTTTGGAACGCGGCGACGGCGGGCGCGATGGTGCGCAGGTCGGCGAGGTCGAGATGCAGGAACTCGAGCGTGCCGACGGTTTGGGGACGCGGTTAGGGATGCAGTTGTGGATTTGATAGCAGCGAGGCCGTTCGCTTCTGAGAGGCCCGCGATGTAGATGCGGCCGCCGGCGGTGTAGAGGATGCGCGCGAGGGCGAGGCCGACGCTGGAGGCGCCGCCGGTTATGAGGAAGACCTTGCCGGTTTGGGAAGGGAGGTTGTTCTCGGTGAGAGTGGCGGTGGGGGGCCACATTTAGGACCATGTTGCGCCCATGATGGATAGTGGTGGTGCAGTAGCAGTGATGGGGTGAGGTGATGGGAGAGGTGTCTAAGACGCGAGGTTGAGGCGTTGATGGATTATCTTTATGATTGGATGTTTGAAGCCTGATAAGATTTAGATTCAATCCTTCAAGAGTCTGACTTCGCTTCGTCATTAAGGGGGTGGGTTGGGCCAATCAGATTTGGGCGCATAGGAAAGCGTATAGGCGTAATCGATGAGACACGAGTTAAGATCGACATATCTGGATCGAAGGATTAAGAGACTTGATGTCCATTGGTACCAAGCTGACCTTGTCTCTTACCAACGCTACTAGAGGTCGGTGCAATTCCAAAAGTCAGCTCGTTCAAGTGTTTTGCTACACCAGTACTCCGATCCTCTTACTATTCCTTCCTTCAACAACAGGCTCATACAGTTCGTCCTTTTGCCCCCAAATCCCTCTTTTCACTTCTTCCTTCCTTCCAGTCCCCAAATCAAAGCGCAATAGGACAAAACCCCTTCGTCTTCCCCTGCTCGTTCTCCACACAAATCTGAAGTGGCCCATAATCCCGACAACTCCCATCATTACCACATGCAAACGCCTTGTCCTCGCACACGCCCCCGGCGCACGACAGCACCTGCGAGCAGTACCCACAATACACGCCCGTCGGTGTATCTTTCTGGCACTTGCAGGGCGCCTTTTGCGGGAGGCAAGTCAGCGGGATACGCGTCGGACACGTGAACGGAAGCAGTGTCGAGGGCGCCGAAGAATTCGTGAGCGTTGCGGGTCGACTTATAGTGATAGTACGTGTCCGCGTACGGGTAATGGTGGTGTGGACGGTTTGAACATGAGCTGAAGCTGAAAAACCAGAACTAGTAGTCGAATTCGGGTACGGTACGGGTACAGCCGAGGGAGCAGTCGGGTAAGGAGTTGTCTCGTTTGATGCAACGGTTCAGTTCGTGGGAAGTGTGGAATTGTCGTCTCCTTCAGATACCAGAAACGCGCTCCATTCTATGCTCTTAACGCGAGGTACGTCTTTGGTGGTGTTCTTCATGTAACATGCCGCTGTGATGTCCGCGTACGAGACGCCCTTGCATCCTAGTGTCGCGCCGCAGAGATCAAGGCAGGCAGCGAAAGTGGAGGCGTAATTATTGTGTAGGTCGTTGAGGAAGAAATCAAGCCCACAGAGAATTCGGAAGTCGGAGCCGTTTTTGGCTGTGTAAGTCGTGCCATTGGCCGTTGGGCAGGTTGGCTTTGGTGAGAGAGGGGGCCGGGGTGAGATGCGGTCGGGTATGTCGAGTGAGTCTGAGCTGCTTTGGGAGGCCACTTTGACGGTAAAAAGAGCGAGAAATATCGCTAAATGAATGAGGCGACACATTATGAATGTTTGCTTGACTATGAATGTATGTGAGCGAGCGGTAGCGCTATCAGTGCGAAAGACTGTAGCTAGTTATCGCAAGATATATACGTCCGGTTCGAAGTCAGTACTTATGGCAGCCATGGCAACAAGGGTTGAAAGGCGCGTGGACACACGTCTCTTTCTCAGACATCTCCTCATATCTGCGCATTTTCCTAAAGGTGCCGCCATTTATGTGTGTTATCATTATGCCTTGGAGCTAAAGGGGGTTAGCTGTTGAAGCAAGGAATGCTTCGTAACGTGCTCGTAGAACGCGGCCCAAGACATGAAGATATTTTGCATTCCCAAAAGTAAACTGGAAGATCAAGCCCATTCTTCACGTCTAGAAAAGCGACTCAGAATAGCCTCGTGACGTAGGTAGCATACGACTGCTGCTCCATGACTATAGGATAGTATTAATGCTCCAATTAGAGTCGCTATTGCGGTAATGAGTATGACTAAGCGGAGCATACTCGTACGTGGAAAGGAAATATCGGTTGTCGGAATCGCTGCTAGGCATTGTTCAATCAGTTGAAGATGCAATATAGGAGGTGATAGAAAAGAACGATGGTCGTGCGTTGTGGAGTTGTTTGAGACATATGCACTATCCTGATAGGCGAAGAAGCTGCGGAAAGGGCACAGGAATGCTTTCCCAAGTTCCAAGGTGTATCTCAAGGTCTAGTGTTGGGTCAGGCGATGGTGACAAGGAACCTTTCAGGTAAGTGCTGAACTCGGAGTGCCTAATGTCTCGGATAGGAGGCATTTCGACAGGATTGAAAACGTTCGGAAGCAAGGCTCCGGAAGATGGCCTAATTGCTACTGATCAAGCAAAAGCTGCCAAAAGTATCTCTAGCCTTGACACCGTCGCATGAATAAAATGGTCAAGAAGCGAAGACCGTCTGGTCAGTGAGGCAATGAGGAATCAGAATCAGATAGACGAGGAGTTGTAAGAATAGTAGCAAAAGTAGAGGAGCACGTGAAAAGGCAGCATGTCGTACTGTACGAAGTAGGATCACGTACCTTGATGAATTAGGCCCGCAGTGTCGCACAACGACTTCGTACTCCGCACTGATTCCCGACTGCCTCGTGCCAGCTCTCGGGATGCCACCATTTAGGCACGGCACGTACGATCCGGGCGCATCTCCAGGACGTATACCCAGAACCAAAGAGGATTCTCACGAGAGTCAAAGGAAGAAATCCAACCTGAATGCGGGGAGGCGTCTGAGCTTATACTCGTGACTCTCGTCTTCCGCAGCCCAATCAGCACCTCACTAAAAGAAGGTGCTCCCTCATCAGCAACCAGCAAATTCGCAGTTCGCCAATTACCGAGGTTTCCGGGAGTCTTTTTTTGACCACCTGCTTTGCAATACGCCAAGGGGCAGGGTTATTTTTACAGTGCTGACACGACACCTAAGCATATTCTTAGCGAGTGACGGTGGCACCGAATGGCAGTGCGCCGTCACTAATCCTGCCGTGCTGGACAGGCAGGCATCAAGGGAGCGAATTTGTCAAAGAGCCGGGCGGTGCTGGTGTTTTGGGATCTTAATATGGTGGCACTATGCCCCTGCATGTCGTTGTTTGCGGCCTTGACCTTGCAAGATGTTGGGCCTCGGAAACAAACACTCCCGTGGTGTTTCATGGAGCGCGGTGGTATGGCCGCGTATATTGCTGCGGCATCATTTCGCTTGCGAGCACAGTACGGGGGTTTCTGTAGGAGGGCGGGAGTTCAGGCGACCAGCTGCTGAGAAAATGAGGCCTGAATGCAATCTGCTGCTGAAAAGACAAACCGTGGAATCAGTTCGCGAAGCTGAACGACGGCGCGCCCTAGTGCCCTCGCGAAGGGACTCTTCCCGTCCTACCCCTCTCGAGCTGAGCTGCAGTTGGTGTTTGAGGAATTTTTACGCCGTGGCAGCGCGGTGTGGTGTTGGTGTAGGCAAAGTGCAGACTCCACGGCCACCAGCTAAGCTTTTTCCAACGCCCAGCAGCCACCAGGCAGCCCTGCGATGACCAATCCCAGGTGGCTGCCACTCTGTTTTTAGCAGCACGCGTTTGCCCGCATTGGGGCCTAAAGCTCACCTCAGCACTCGAGTAGTGCTTACGGCGCCCAATCACTGCGCGTCGCAACCACAAGCTTCGCTGGACTGGGGCGCCAGCGTGTTTATTCAGTTAGCGCCCGTCCGGCACCGCCTATTCGCGGTTTGTTTCATCGCTCACCGTGCTGGCGGCGCTGGGTGGAGGGCGATCGGCTGGCATCAGCATCCAGGGATCGCAGCTGTAGTGCTCAGCCCTCACCTCCACGCTGCTGCGCCGCTACCGCCGGGAACGTGCTGAGCCGTTCTCATTTGCGCTGTATATAATATACACTGAGGAGGCCGCTCTGGCAGAATATCATTCCACTACATCATCAGCATCTCATCAGTCCACTCGTTGTCCTTCGCTACAGACCTCGATATATTCCACCATCTCCTTTCGTCTGTATAGCTTTTCTTAGTCTTCACCACAGAACAACCCTCAAAATGCGCTCCGTCTTCTCCATGGCTGCCGTCGCCGGCATGGCCCTCACGTCCTTCGTCTCCGCTGCGCCCATCGAGTCGAGAGACTCTCCCGCCTTTCCCCTCTCAGACGGCTTCCCCAATCCTTCCGGAGCCCAGATCTTGCAAATCCAACAGCGAGCCGGAGGCACCCTCCCGAACGGCAAAGGCGCGCCCCCGGTCAGCGAGGACGGCCTCATCAGCTTGCGTTTGATCGCCCTGAACGAGCTCTTCGAGGTCGCCTTCTTCACTGAACTCTATCAAAACCTGACCACCAAGGTCCCCGGATACGACCTCGGCAACGGCCACCAATTCATTCTCGATGCCATAGAAGCCGTTGTTGCAGTACGTCCTCCTCTTTCTCTCCCCCAGGCTCTTTACTAACACCCTACCAGCAAGAAGAACTCCACGCCCTGAACGCCAACGGCGGCCTGAAAGCCAACGGCGCCGAGCCCATCCTGCCCTGCAAATACAGCTTCCCCGTCTCCAACTTCAAAGACGCCATCGCGCTCGCCGCCACCTTCACCGACGTCGTGCTCGGCACGCTGCAAGACGTGCAGTTCAAGTTCGCCGCCTCGGGCGACATCAACAACGTGCGCGGCATCGGCTCCGTCGTTGGCCAGGAAGGCGAGCAGGAAGGCTTCTACCGCCTGCTCCAGAGCAAGAAGCCCTCGGCGCTCCCCTTCCTGACCACATCCGTCCGCGACTTCGCCTTCACCGCCATCCAGGGCTTCACTGTGCCCGGTAGCTGCCCGAACATCGACACCATCAAGCTCACCACCTTCCAGCCCCTCACCGTCCTCACGACGCTGTCGGCCCAGTCCACGACGGCCGAGTTCTCCTTCGACAAGACCAAGGCTGGCACCGACGACTACTCCACGCTTAGCTTGGTGTACATCAACCAGCAGAACGTGCCGATTGTGGAGAAGCTCACCGTCGTTGGGACCTACGGCAACACCGTCAAAGTGACCGCGTACTTCCCGTACTCCGAATTCGAGCTGAACGGGCTTACCATTGCGGCGATTGCGAAGGGCAACAGCTTTGCGAATGCGGACGAGGTGGCTAAGGCTGCGATTTTCGGGCCTGGCTTGATTGAGATCAACTAAGGGGTTGTATTGAGTGATTGGTTGATTGTAATTATTGTGGAAGGTTAACATTGCTTGATTTTGGCATAGCATTGGCGTTTTTTTGGGGGGGGGGATTTGGGATTAGGAGATATCCTCCTACTTGTTGGGGTAGATTAGTATGTAACTTCTAAACACTCGGTGTGCTGTCAACCGATTTTTGCTTTTGTTGATTCTGACGACTTTGTTTTGCGATGCTTGTAGCTTTTGCCGTGACGTTGAATATAGCTGGTGATCCCATCTTAGTGTAGTGCTTCGAGACGCAATAGGTTGAAGCATATTCGTTCATCTCGTGGACAAAGACTTTGAAAGTGATTTCCTCGTGCTGCTCATCATTTGTGATCTTTCTCCGATGTCTTGAGACCCCTTTCGATAGCCTTGGCATTTCCAAAAAAGCGAAATATTCTGCAACCACCAAGAACCCTCCAACCAATGAGAGCGCACGAACATAAATTCAAGTAGAAAAGTGAAATCACCACTCATCAATCATCTCGTTCCCGCTCTCGCTCTCTACTTCCATGGCCTTCCGCGCCGCCTCTGCGCCAGCTACAGGCAGCATCTCAACCCCCTTCTCTTTCAGATCCTCACCCACCTCTTCGGGATCAAACAGCCCCAGTTGGAACAACACAGACGCCTGATCCCAATACACTCGCTCGTGGTGCAACTTTCCTCCTCGTAGACCGACAATGCTGACGATGACAATCTCTACTTTCTTGTTTGTAGGTGGTATCCCGGGTAAGATCCATGGCATCTCAGTTGTGTGCTTGAAGGTGATATGGAGCTCATCCACGATGCGGTCGACGCCGATAGTGCGGGAGAGGAGGCGCATGAGGAATGAAGGGGGCGTCGAGGGAAGGAAGAAATCGGTGTAGAAACGGCGCAGCTCCTCTTTCCCAATACCACCAGTCATCGTAGGCGTATAATTAACATACGGCTTCGGCGACGTCGTGAATGTCTCTAGTAGCTTATCCGCGTCCTTGGAGTGGAACTTCGCTGCATACTCCGTCAGCTTGATCTTCATGATTGAGGTCTGTGTGCAGGAAGGGTGTTGACAAACCCTCCACATTCTCCTCCCACGTCCTCTCCAACTCCACTTCAGCTCCAAAGCCCCGCCTTACCACACTCAAACTCCTTGCCCAGGCGATTGCATCAGCGACTTTGTCGTACTCCTCCAGATCGTGCTCCGCGAACCCCACATCAACCCCCTCGACAATAATTAGTCAGAGCCAACGTTTTCCTTAAGAGAGCCATACCTCGTATGTATACGTTGGGTAGTCGATCTTACTCTGCAAGCCTCCAGCCCCAATGCCCGGCGTAACGCGCTTCTGCACGGTCCGCCGCTTGCCCTGGATCCCCAGTACCTCCGGCCGGCGACTCACACCCACAGTGCCACCAGCCAAATGTACCAGCACGCGGAAGGAGGAACTAAAGCGCTGGCGAGGATCCGGGATCGAGGAGGGGTAGTACGCAACCAACGAGCACAGCTTCGACGTCTGAGTTGAGGGCTCCGCGTAGACCTCCAGACAAACAGTCGCTGCATCGCCGAACGCTACCGCACATCCCCATCAGCTTTGTACAACTAAATACTACAACTGTAGGAACAGGGAGTAGTACCTACGATCGCATACCGCTCCCCAATACTCATCCCATCGCCCAGGTGGTGCAGCTGGTTCACGTACCCCTTCCCGCCCTTCCCGAACGGCACGTAGGTTACTTTAAAGCCTTCTTCTTGCCAGGCTTTCAACGTCTTCTGGTCGAACTCAGACACGTCGTCTGTTTCGGCGGTTATGTAGAGGCGGGGCGTTTCGGGGTTGAAGCTCAGCCAGCCGTTGCTGTTGGCGATGAATTGGAGGGCCATAGCGGAAGGTGGGATGGGTCGGCGATGGGGATAGGGCTAGGAGGAGGGTGTCGGTTTGGAGGCTCCATGGTGGTGCTTGTGTAGAAACTTGCTTGGGATGACGTCGAGGGAGGGCGGAGTGGTGATGTGGGGCATGATCGACCCCTCGGAGTGTTGGAAGAATTGCCAAGAGCGTGGATATTTGGTCTCTTTTTTGGCCACGTCGTATAACGTGAAGAAAAAAGTAGTTTTTGTAATGATAGCATTGGTTTCATCAATTGTCGGTAATTATGTTAATTAAGCAATGGTAAAGGTCTGCGAATCAAGGTGTTGAAGCTTGCTAAGTCCACGCTGCTGAGCAACATACACAAGTTAGGGATTCAATTACACAGGTACTAATGTCATAAGACGTGGAGAGGTCATAGAGAACTCTTTTTGTTCGAACCTTCGTCCAAGAGTAACAACACAAGTTTTGGAAATGGCTACCAAAGATCACTCTCCCTCCCAAAACCACCACCATCCCTCAGACATCAAACTGCACCACAACAATCGACCAAGCCGGGACGTTCCAACTCCAACTCCTCCCCCTAGTCTGTGTCACGTTCGCAACCTTTGGAACCACCGCCTCCATCTCTTCCTCCGTATTCTCAGCGTTCTCATTCGGATTCCCAATGACCGTCGCATTAACCCCCCTAATCTCCACATCCAACACCACACTCAGCGGCACCGCCGTATCCCCAGCATTGATAACCTTAAGATACGCCTCCGTCTCCTCCCCATTGATACTACTCGCCCAAAACAGCGGCCTAAAATCTCCTTTCGTATTCACGACAGGGAGTGTTTGGGCGCCTCGGAAACGTGCGAAGAGCCACTGCTGCCAGTAACTCGCACTGAGCAGCGTCTGCGCCAGGTTTGCAGTGAAGGCGATCATATCCGGCACCCAGTTGTACCAGTTCAAGTTCTGTAAGCTAGGTGCGTAAGAGCTCATGCGGACCGTGTTAGGATTCCGCTCGCCGCCGAGGGCGTACACTCCTTCTGCGATTGCGGATACCAATTGCGGGAGTGGGAGTCCTGGAGCGGACCAGTTGACAGCGCCGTCGGGCGAGTCGAGCTGCTTGACGCTGTACTCGCCGAGCAGCACGCCGACGTCTGTGTTGTTGGTCGCCTCTTGCCAGTTATCGTAAAAGTTGAAGTTCTCGAGGAAGTAGTGGGGCTCTTCGTAATGGTGTGTATCCCACATCCCACCCGCGGGGATGGATATATTGTAGTCTGCGTTCTCATTGTAAGCAGTGCTGATGAGCGTGATGTCCGGGTAAGCGGCTTTGAGGCCATTATAGAGGAAGTAGAAGCGGTGGGGATAGGTGCTGCTAAACCAATCCTCGTTGCCGATCTCGACGAAGTTGATCTTGAAGGGAGTTGGATGGCCGTGAGAGGCACGAAGGGCACCGTACTTGGTAGTGGTTGGGCCGGTGCAGTATTCGAGCTCGTCGAGAGCTTCTTGGAGGACTTCGTGCATTCGGGACTCGGGGTAGGAGGCGCCGTCTTCACCCCAGATGTCAAGGGAGAACCCCGAGTATACGGCTAGAATGGGCTCTATCTCCATGTCTTCGGTCCACTCGAGGTATTCGAGGAGTCCTAGTCCGTCGGTGTTGGCGTAGTTCCAGTTGGCGATTGCGCGTCCGGGCCGGTCTTTGAGGGGGCCGATAGTCTTCCACCATTTCCATCGCGTTTGAGGGGAAACTCCTTCTAGGTTGTTACCTAAATAGATCAGTCAAAGCTAACATTTTACTCGGGAGAACCATACCTCCTGGAAACCTCAAAAACTTAGGCTTTATGTCATAGAACGCTTCAGCGAGATCCTTCCGCAACCCGTTCGGTCTATTCTTGAATGTCTCTGGGAAGAGACTGATAAGGTCAAAGTAGAACGTCTGCCCAGCTACCTCATATGCATCCATAGTAACAGCAAATGTGTTATTCGAATTTGGTGTCTTTGCTTCATTGGAGATGGTGGTATTAAGCTGGATATAGTCCAAAGTATCGACCTTCACCGTAGGAAGCTCTGTACTTGCCCAAATTTCTTCAGTCAAGTTTGATCGTAGCGAGACCGTGAAAGTAGTGCTGTTGCCCTTGTACCGTGGATAATTTGCTAGTACGTAGAAAGATGCCTTGTATTCCTGTGGGCTGACGTCCATTCCCCACCACCCTGTTTGTTTAATACAGTCCCAAACAACCCATCGCAAGTGTGGTGCGTACCGTAATTGAAGAATCCGACCTCGCCAGTCGCGTTCACAGGTATGTCAACTTGCAAAACAGTTGGGAGCGCATCTGAAAGAGGATGCAGTATGTCCAGGCTCAATCTGACATCTCCAATCGGTCCCCATCCTGTTAGCACTGGTCCACCAGCTAGTGCCAAATTCTCAGATGGAAGGATGAGGCTTCCTGAATAGCCTGAAATAGAGCCAGTGTTGATGTTCGAGCCTATAACTTTAGTACGTTGGTGTAGAATATGCGGTCTCTTGGACTTACCTTGAAATGCTCGATTGGTGATCAACTCAGCATAGATTCCTCCATCGCCCGAATGCTAGAACAGGCAGCATATCAGTCTATGAGCCCGTTGGGATGCGAGATCAGCTTCATACATTGATGTCCTCAAACATGAGCCCGTAGAGATATCTGTAGCGAATGAGTAAGTACTCAGTGATCTCGGATTCGAACTCCAACTTACGGCGCAGTCTCATTCCTACTACTATTGTCTTTAGTAGAAATCTTCAGTTCCACAGCAGTTGAATTCCCAGTGCTCTTGAGGCTTGTAGGGTACAAGCCAGTCTCCCGAAAGACGCCACTTCTTCTGCCATTACTCAACGACGGCGCAAAAGCCGTTACAGTGGCAATTGCTACTGCGAATGACATCAGCATGATCGCAGGGAGTGATAGACACGGAAGCATCTCACTATGTGAGTTTTGCTTCTTTCTAAATAGACCTTAAAGACACACACGGCGAAATTGATTCGCGACCCCTCATGTCGCGCGAGTATCTCCTAGGATCGTACCGAACTAGGCTGCGGGGACCTCGATCCCTGATAAGGGTTAGATGCAGGAACGGAAGAGTATATTAAAGATATACTCAAAAGTGCTGGTTACCGAAATGCTATGATCACTAAAGCGAACGCGACTGTGGGATTGAGCCACCAAGGAGATCACATTCGCAGCGGCGCCGGCGATCTGACTACATGGAGGAGAGACATACATCGGTGGAAAGCATACCGATCCAGATGTATTCTTCCGTCCATCTAACAGCTCGGGTAGTGGATGCGGGAAATGGAAGTAAACTCGCCTGGGTGTGACCCTCCTACCTCCAGAGCACATCAAGGATCAACTGCATGGATTGGAATGATTGGACACAAGGCTCGAAATCTGATTGATTAAGTGTTCTTTACCTGGTCTATCGCGACAGCCACTTTGATTATCCTGACGTTTGCACATGCGGCTATGCACCAAGACGCTCTAACATTACCGTACACCTTCAGCCTGCCGTCATTGTGCTGGACCTAGTCTACCCCATATGCCGTGACGCTAAAAGCTCAAAAAAAGGTAACGCCGCCCGATGCTGGATCATGGATACTTAAGTCCTAGTCCGAATCTGCAATCTCTCCCTCATCATCATCGTCTTCAGTCCTTTCTACAATCAAATTCCCACTGCGTCCGATGCGGTCTTTGATGGATCCACCTGCGCTCAGCTCGTATGCCTCGCGTGGCATAGGAGAGACCAGCTTAAATTTATATTCGTGCTCAAAATCATCCGGCTTGAAGACTTTCTCACTTATTGGCTCTTGTGACTGCAGTATATCGTAGCATTCAACGAATGCATAGAGTTCCTCAATGGGCTTTTCAGCTGCGAACTTGCGCACAATACGATTTCCTGATGGCATTCGCAAGCTGATGCGCACGACGTCTTTGACATCAGGGCCTGGCTCATCAGCAATCGAGGTTGCACGCCACTTGCGCCACTGGGCAAGATTCAGAGCCTCTTTTTCTTTTGCTGCCTCGCGGTCTAGCGCCTCTTTCTCTTCCCGTGCCTTCCGTTCCTCGGCCTCGCGCTTCTGGCGTGCTCGCTCGCGATCTAGCGCCAGTGATCGTTCGTAGGCGCTATTTTGTGACTCTCTTAGGTTCCTCGAAGCTTGCAACTCCGCGCGTTGAGCTCGAACTCGGTTCAAGGGCTCTGCAACAGCCTGGATACCCTGTTGTAACTTGGCAATGTACTGTCCTGGTGGAGTCGGTCCAGCTATCCGGATCGCAATGCCCATGGATGTTGACGACACTTGCGGAGTATGTGCAATAAGGCTCGTAAACGGAAATTTGGTGCAGTTCAGCGCGGCAGAAACTTGAAATGCTTCGGAGTCCTGAACGTTGCCGGCCCAGAGAATGATCTTGTTCTCTGGATCCTTGATGAAATTCACAACATCTGGAGCTAAGAGAGTCTCTCGGACAAATGAGGTGGTCATATCATGCTCCGGTGACACCAGAACGATCATGAGATACTTCAGTTCCTTCTTCGCCAAGTCGAACGCCTGGGCGTATCCGTTTTCAAAGAATGGCAACTCATGGCTGCCGTACTCCTCTTCAAACTCCCGGATAAAACGGGCGGCAGTGTCTCTAGTATTCAGTGGCCTACGCCCGCTTGTATTTCGCCTAGGTGTCTGCGCGGTTGTTCCTGCGGTGAGCCGGGTCCACGTACGCGGTAGAATCGGGAACAAATATCCAACGAAGCGGAAATATTTAGACAGCAACGAGTAGACCAAGCTGAAAGGTGTGAACAGTATTGTCAATAGCAGTGGTGCCTGATTTGTGATTTGGCTCTCGGGCTGGGGGACTATGCGCGGGGCGGATTCGAAGCGTCTATTACTTGAGGACGACGATCGCGGGGCTGAAGAGAAGCCGTTCAGGAGGGTTTCTTGACGACGAGGGTCTTGTGGAGGAGGTAAACTCGAGCTTGCTTCGGCAACCGGGTCAGTAGCGGGCTCGCCATCGAAGAATCTCGCGATAGCAATCTGATCTTGGTCAGTCATCTTGTCGGGACGGCATTCTAGAGGGCACACGCACCTGCACGTTCCACTGACAGCGCTGGAGGAGTGGCACGGCAGCTGCTGGAGCTTGGTCGGTCACAGCTATGAACTGCTGCAAGGCTAGCTGCTGGTCTTCGGTAAGTTGAGCGATGTCGATGCCGGCGTCGGCCATGGTGGTGATCTCGACACAGCTCAGGAACGGGCGTGGCAGTCGTGTCGGAAAGAGGTGGTGGAGTGAAGAATAGGTAAAGGCGTTCTACGGCGTGCCTGGTGTATTGGAGCTTGCTGCAACCTGTCACTCTTTACAGATGCCGCCGCCACAAATGCCAAGCGAAACTAACTCCGCAACAGGCTCCGGCGGTGGCAGAAAGAGCAGCGTCTACCGCGGACTGCACGTCTGGAATGGCATTTAACGATTTGGGCGGTGAATTGCACACGCCCGTGTATGGTCGCCAGTAGACATTCACGCCGCTGCTGTCCCTCATTGTCCTCGCCCGTTGATAGCTCCGCTACGACGCCGCTGTCGCCCTCCCAGCTGCATGCTACTCCTGCTTGCTGCTTTGCCGCTTTTGTTACCTTCGCCGCCGATGCTGATGGAGAATAGACACCCTTTGTCATCGGAAGTTGGCTTTGCCGCGTGGTGGTACGCGGTCTGTTCGCCGTAATGTACTCACTCCATTCACCCATTGCCCATGATATCCTCCGTTTCTGCCCTTGGGAAACATAAGTGCCTGTGAATTTGATGCTGATAGCCTCCAGCATCTTGTAAACGCGCAACACGGTGACTCTATCTCGCATCCCTCGACTTTCGAGCTTCATCCTGGACCCAAGCCTCGACACATCGAACCTACCCTTGACAAAGGTTCTCGTATAGGGCTACTAAGGCTACTACGCGGGCTCTTAAGAGCTCATTGATGCTCGCTTGAACCACTCTGGCGCGACACCGGGAGATATCAGAGATACTCGATAGGACGTTGCTTCTCTGCATAGGCGCATCCGTGCAATACAGAAGACTGGGAAGGCAGCGCACGAACAGGCCTTGAAGAACTGCAGGCGCATACCTCTGGACTAAGCCAGCCTAAGATATCGTCCACGGGTGCATTGCTGCGGAGCAGCCGCACATGGGTCCAGTGTCTTCAGCTGACAACAGCCACGCCCAGACTTTACTGTCTCGCGCACTCGATCACATTTCACTATTTTTGCTTTCTGTTCACTATCAGTGTCTCTTCGTGTGCGTCCAAGATACCACGCTCCACCATCCAGCCTCAAGAGAAAACACGGAGAAATTGGGAACCCCACATCTGATTCAGCGTTGACGGGCATGAATTAATGGCAACAACATACGGGAGCGCGTCGGGCGACTCGCGGCGGGGGGTATCATCTCCTCGACCGAAAGGCCGTGGTATGGCGCATCCATTAGAGCGAAGCTGTGCAATCGGATCATATCCTCTAATGTTTCTTGTGTAGAGACGAAGAATGTTTTCTGCCGAAATGTGACAATATATGGTCACTGTCGATTTAAAGATAGTGAGTGCCCCGCTCAATTTTCAGCAACACAAACTTCCCGTCAACATGGTGCCGAGCTTCGTCGGCTCATTGGCTAGCTCGCCTTGAGTTCGCGCTTTCTTCTCCAAACAAGTCACCACCTCTGCCTCCACTTTCATGGTCCGACAGCCACAACATCCCGCGGGTTTTCATGATGCTCATAACTAATTCATCTCCCTTAGCATGCCCCTATGTACACGATGCGTCGAAATTAAGCAACGCCTCGGCCCAGAACGAGAATATCAAAAAGCGTTTCAACGCCGACTCGCCAGCCTTCACCCCGCTTCAGCCGACAACAAACGGTGCTACAACTCCTGCGGCGCGCAGTGCAGCTATCTCTCCGAAAGCAGCTGGCGCCGCAATCTTCACGCCCAAAGCTCAGAGATCCAGTAAGTCAATAACCTCACTACTAGCCACGTTTATGGTATCGTATTTAACTGCAGAGTAGATAATTCTACTCCTCTACACGTGAAGGAGCCCACAGTAGAATGGCTTCCCCAAGAATTCCCGGAGTTTGTCCCCCAAAATTTCGAGGCTCAGCTGGTGTGTAGAAGCTGTCAACTCTTAAGTCCTCGACTGATTATATCCCAGGCCGATGCCGCAACATCGCAAATATACGATCCTTTTAACACGTCGAGTATTGCAGGGTCTACTCACTCTGGCGCGACGTTGAACCCATATGCCCAGGATGCATCTGCACTCACTGGAGCCGCGTTCTATCAGAATTCCAACACCTTCCAAACCTCACCAGCTCATCACCTCTACTGGCCGATTGGACCACAACCATCTAACCTGCTCGCGTATCAGCGCACTGCGCATGATTTCTTCATTCCGGAGAACCTGAGAGAAGAACTGCACCGGAAGTCTGAAATCGCTCGGCAGGTCCTGCCCAACTCATCACTCCCTCCCCTCGAACAATACCATTCTCTCGTATGCTTGGACACGACGCAGCAGAAGAATCAGACTCTATTTGGCTACCAGAGTTGGGTCTATAAAGCTGTGTCTAGCAAAGACGGCAACACCTACGCGCTCCGGAGGCTAGAAGGGTTCCGCTTGACGAACGAGAATGCAATCCGTACCGTGCAGAATTGGAAGCGTGTGTACAACGGCGGAGTTGTTACCATCCATGACGCCTTCACCACCCGCGTCTTCGGCGACAGTTCACTCATCATAGTGACTGACTACCACCCTTGCTCAAAGTCACTCGCAGAAGAACACTTCCGACCTACGGGCATGCCGCGATACCCAGGAGCTAGACCAGTGACCGCAGTACAAATCCAAGAGCAGGCTCTTTGGGGTTATATTGTGCAGATCGCGTCAGCTTTGAAGACAATTCATGGCATGAACCTGGCTGCTCGCCTCATCACCCCTTCTAAGGTCTTACTGACCTCCAAAAACCGTATTCGACTCAATGCTTGTGCCATACTCGACGTCGTACAATACGAGAACGCTCGCCCTCTCGCCGAAAATCAAGCGGACGACTTTACGCAGCTAGGCCGAATGATCCTGAGCCTCGCAACCAATAACCCCAATGTCCAGCTCAATATCCAGAAATCCTTCGACCAGATGCCACGAACCTACAGCCCGCGACTGAAAGAGTGTATCCTCTGGCTGCTTGCTCCCCCGCCCTCCCATACCACTCCCACCTCACCCACTACTAGTGCAGCCCCACTCCAGAAGGATATCGACACCTTCTTGCCCTACATCACCGACCACATCACCACCATGCTCGACAACACCATTCACGCCGAAGACACCCTCACAAACGCCCTCGCACGCGAGCTCGAGTCGTCGCGCCTCGTGCGCCTTCTGGTCAAACTTAACTTCGTTAACGAGCGCCCTGAGCTCGACGCCTCTCTTCCTGGCGGCTCAGCCTCATCCGCCGCAAACGCCTGGTCCGAGACCGGCGAGCGCTACTACCTAAAGCTCTTCCGCGACTACGTCTTCCACCAGGTCGATGCACAGGGCCATCCAGTGACGGATCTCGCTCATGTGCTTAACTGTCTCAACAAGCTCGATGCTGGAAGCGAGGAGAGAGTGAACTTGATCAGTAGGGATGAGCAAAACGTCCTTGTTGTCACCTATCGTGAGCTCAAGCGCGGAATGGACAGTGCGTTTCAGGATCTTGTGAAGGCGGGCAACAGGAGGTGAGAGATGGTGCAAGGAGCCTCCTCATCATCACCACAAACCTTCTGAATCGTGTAGATTGCTGTGCGGCCTCTGTTTGCTCACTTTGCCCTAGGTCCCCAGGACGGGAATCGGAATCGGAAAGCGTGTGAGCGGTCGAGCGAAAATGCTTTACTTTTTGTTTTTCTGTTTTGTCTGTTTGATTTGCAGCTTGGAGGGGGTGGTTGATAAGAAACCCTGAAGGTACGACCAATTGGAAGCTCTGGAGGGATGACTCATTGGGAGCTTTAAAGGGAGGAGAATTGAGGTGTGTGTAGGCGTAGATGGAAGTTGGTATGTGTTGAATAGGTCAGATTACGAAATCCACTTTATAGCTTTCATGTTCGGTTGCATGGTCTGTGATTTGATGCTATACGACTTCGATCTATCGTGAAACTTGCTATGGTGCAAATGAGATTCATGGGTAGGGATTTGGAGTTAAGCTTGCGACGCGACACGCCTCATAATCATAATTGCACGTACCAAAAGAAGCAAAGGAATTAAGACGCGTGGAGTTATAGCGAGATGGTCTAGGAACCCTGGCCTTTTCATGAAGTTGCCATTCCTGCCTTAGAATGTCGTCTCGGCGTGCTAAGACGGCAAATTTCAAGCAAAAGGAACATTCACTAAAGCACGAAGGTGCAGACATTACTAGTGAACACTTACGTTAAGCTTCTGGAGTACATGATAGATGTATTTCGCGTCAAACTTGCCAAGGTACTATGTACGCTGTCCCTGCGTGGCAAAGGTCGCCCGGTTGCATATCGCCCAGGGCACCCAGGGCTGATGGTGTCACACGTCACCCTCGCCTCCTGGGCGCTCTATCACTTGTCACTTGTTGAAACTCGAGATCCAGCCAGCCACTACTGAGAGGCAGTGACGATGCCGCGTGATGATCTTATAACGCGACGCCGCCCTGCTCGTGCTCCACACCCTCCTCCACGACCCCATGATCTCCACCCGCCTTGAGCATTCGCATCCCCTCCACGACCCCGCGACCTAAACCTAAGCCATACTCGACCACGCACCCTACGGCCAAGAAGCCCAGGAACACACGCGAGCACCACGCTCTCCAGACCACGCTCCCTAAGCCAGACTCCACCTACATATCACCATGGGCCCCGAAAGCATGGCCGCGATGGCTGGTCAGGCCAGACAACGCATGCAGCAGAACGAAGAAGACCGCGAAACCCGCTCTCTAGGAGGGTTTGCAGAGATCGAAGCCGCCATGCCTGCGCTTACGAGCCGCTTCCAGTTCTCCCTCAAGGACAACCTCTCCTCGTACCTCGGATCCAAGAACCCCTTCTACAGCTATGTCGACCCAGAGGAGCACAAGGTGTGGGTTTTCAACAACACTGCCTACGAGCTTAATGGCGAAGCTGGAGACTGGCAGGCGGAATTTGTTGCAGCCATCTTCCTCAAGGGAAGCGGCAAAGATATAAGCAAAGTGGTGGCAGATATCGCTGAGAAGATCGGCCTGGCAGGTAACGAGGAGGCTGAGAAGACCATTGCGAAGAGACTCGAACCGTTCCTCGATGCCATCGTACCAGCACACGCGGTCAATATCAACTTTCTGGGCAACGACAAGATAAGACTTGGGCCCAGCGGACGGAACGGCGTCAGCAGCGATGTAATTACCCTCCCCCAGGGACAGTATCAAGACGGCCAAGTCTCGACTTCGAGTGCCATCAAAGCAGACGCCAAGGACTTCGAGACCGTCTTTGCGAGTCCTAAGGGCTGGGCCGTAATCAGCGATATTGACGATACAATCAAGAAGACATTGACATCTTCAGCCGTCGGGATCTTAAAGACAACATTTGCAGAAGAGCCAGAAGCTATAGCAGGCATGCCAGAGCTTTACAAACACATTGTAGAGAAGCTGGATGTACCACCCTTCTTCTACCTCTCCGCGTCCCCGTACAACTTGTACCCGTTCCTACATGACTTCCGTTCGACCTATTACCCACCTGGCACCATGATCCTAAGAGACGCATCGTGGATGAATCTCGCTGGACTCTTGACTGATCTCACCCAGGGGACGCAGGCCTACAAGACGGATCGCATCGAAAAGATCCACGGCTGGCTCCCAACTCGGAAGTTCGTCTGCCTCGGCGACAATACTCAGACCGACCCTGAATCCTACGCCGAGATGTACCGAAAGTACCCTGGCTGGATTGGAGCAATCTACATTCGAAAGGTCACCGGCGTAGCTGAGATGGATGAGAGCAAGAAGAACAGCTCGGAGAGGTTTGAGAAGGCGTTCAAGGATGTGCCACAGGATGTGTGGTATGTTTTCGAAGACGCGAATGAGCTCTATGCGAAGGTGGACACGCTGGTATCGGCATGAGTGCTTGAAGTATGCATGATCATTTTCTCTCCTCGGTAACATGGTGGCATTTTGTTTGCGGCGCTCATTTTACAACCAAAGGATGAATCAACGAATCGCATATGTAGTCAATTCTAGTAGTAACCTAATTCTATCAAGAAAATTCCTACCTTGGCGCTCTTCTCATTGCATACATACTTTGAAGTCAATGCAATGAAAACCGACTCACGTGACTCGGACCTCGCAGATCATTTCTGGAAACCCTTCGACAACACCAGCACCTCAACACTAACTCAAACCTACCACAAGAATTCCGCAGCCATCACCTTCATCTTCTAGATGGCTATGAGCACGTCGATGATCCATTACGGGGAACACGCAACTGACCGGCGCCTCTGCCCTTGGGGAGCGCACGTGTCCGACATCATTTGACGAACTCCGATCACAGTAAGCAGACGTGTCGTGTCCGCTCGGATACACCAACTCCTCCTGGATACGTGAATGGTCTCACATGTCTATGATCCTCGCAAATATGCTGCAGCAGTATGATATCAAGGTTAACAAGCCGGAGGAGGGACGGTACAAGAACATTGAGTTTGCGCATCAGAATATCCCGGATCCGGGGAGGGATTTGCTGTTTGGGAGGTTGAAGACTTGAAGGGTCTTCGAAGACCTAGCGTGCTGCTGCAAGTAGAGAGTTTTCATAGACTGTACAAAAAAAGCAGAAGCGTCCTTGAATTTGAAGCAGAATAGATTTCATATCGCCATGCCACTCAAATGCACAATCGTACCGCATTGTTTGATGCATGCCTCCCACCGCCCTCCCTTCCTACTTTCGGATTTTACTTCCCCGCCCACGTCTCAACCCACTCCTCGCCCCGCTTCAAAACTACCCTCCGCACCACCCTCTCCCTTCCTCGTACCCCTCCACCTCCCCCTCCCCTTCCCATCCTCAGATCCATCCGCCGCGATTCCTCGTCAAACTTCTCCATCTCCTGCTGCAGCGGCAGCTTTGTCGTCCACCACAGGCGCCACCGCTCCGGATGCAGCGCTACAGGGTCCAAGAGCGTATTCCCCGCGGGAATCAGGTGTCGAGGTCGAGGTATTGGTGGCGGCGCCGGTGGGGGAGGTGGCGCAAAGAGGATGGAGGAGAGGAGGGAGGTGAGGGACGTGGGTTCGGGGGCTTGGAGCTGCGTAAGCGTGGAGAGGGGAGTTTGGGAGGGCCGGAAGTGGCGGGGCGCTGCGTGTCGGACTGAGAGCGGCTCGCGAATGGAGCGGGAAGAGGGCGGGTTAGTAGACGTCGGGCGGCCAAGAATTTGTGCTGTGGAAGGAGGTAGTGGGCATGGTCGTCCTGGGGCGGCTGCTGCTACTCTGGGAGACGATGTAGATGAGAGTTGCGCGTTGGATGGTCTGGTGGATGGTCTGGAGGCCAGGGATGTCGCAGCAGGCGTAGAAGGCCGAGGTGTGAAAGGCCGAGGCGTGAACTCTGCTCTTCCTCGTGTGCTTGCTGTGTCTCTGGTAGGCGGTGTGCACGGCACCTGTGGGTGAGGTGGCCTGCTTGGTGTGGTGGAAGAATGAGAAGCAAACTCTGGTCTTCCTCGGGTGGTAGATGCACTGGAAGATGGTGCATGTGAGCGCTGAGGGCAGGCTGGCCTGGTAGATGTGGGTATAAAGCTAGAGGGAGCCGATGGTCTAGAGGGCATACCACGGGAACCAAAGTGAGGGTGGGGACTAGAGCTCCGTCTTGGTGGTGGCCGATTTCGCGACTGTTCCCCTGAGAGCTTGAATCGGACTCTTTTTTCGCCGCCTTTTGATTTCTTGAAGGCCGATTTAAGTTGTGGAGTGTTACTCGAAGGCCCCCCAAGAAAAGAAGTTAGGCTAGAGAGCATTTTGCTTGGCAAGGTTGGAGCTACTGATGATCTTTAGTACAACTTTTAGGAGTACGGTTTATGAAAATCTGTGTTTTGATTGTCTATTATAAGTGAGGGGCCGAGGGAATTGACTGTCTATATGGCGGAAGTACGCTGTTGATGACACGTACAAGACAGCTCATTGGCCTCTACTCAAAGGACCGCACCTACCTAGGTAGTCCGCTTTTCCTACGCCTTCGTGGCCGGAATAATCTCTGCCTCGAGTGTAGGGTGTCTGATGACGCTGTGGATACGAGGATCGCCGAGTGAAGGGCAGATCAAATATCGCTGATGTCGGGAGACCTAATACCAAAGGTCATCGCTCAGCCACCCACTGCTCTCACTTCAGTAATCCCTTCTGCCGCAGCTGTATCCGCAGCCATTTCAATTCCTGTTCCTGTTCCGCCATCCACGGCCAAGAGGCCTCCAACATCAATAGGAGTGCTCCCATTTCCTCCTCTCATCACGTTCAGTTCCAGACTATTACGATTGCTCTGTGCGCCTTCGCTACCTGCTGGGCTGACGCCGGAGCGTGAAAAAAATTTGCGCAAGTGGTACATCCAACTCCGTGCCAGAGGGCGGTGATGGAAAGCCGCTTGGATGTCCTCGAGAGAGCGGCCACGCGTCTCGGGCATATAAGCTGTGAGAACAAGGACGGTACCGAGAGTTAAGAAGCCGAAGAGGAAATAGGCGCCGAATGAGGAATTGGCGAGGAAAATTGGTGTTGTGAAGGCAACAAGCCAATTTGTGAACTGTTACGTGTTAGTGCGAGAGGTCTCAGGAAATGTATAGAACGTACGAAATTAACGCCTTGGGCTACACAATTCGCGGCGGCTCGCGTTCGGGCAGGTTGGATCTCGCTGGCATATATTTTTGCCGACACGGCCCATGTGAAGGCGTAAGTCAAGGCAAAAGCAAAGATCAGCACCACTACTACCCATCGTACCGCGCCTGTTGGATGAACACTCTTAGAAGCGTAGAGGCTGCCGATGACAATCATGCAGAACGCTAGACCCGAGCCACCTACGAGAATAGACGTACGACGACCTACGCGGTCAGCGACTAGGAATGCCGGAATCGATACGGCGAATATGAGAATTGCTGAGACTCCAGATGCAAGAAAAGAAGCGGACTGAGATGGAAGTCCGGCTTGCGCGAAGAGAGTAGGTGCATACTGTAGGTTACTATTAGCACGATTTTTTAAGTCGAATTCGGGAGGCGACGTACAAACAGCACGCCGTCAATGCCACTCAGTTGCACCATTCCGAGAATGAACAACGCAAGCATCGTACGAGCACGGTATTGACGACGGAAGATGATGAGGAAGCCTTCCAGCGTCGAGGGTGCAGCATGAATTTCGTTAGTAGAATTGAGGAAGTCCTTCTCCGCCTCGACACGAGACAAGTTTAGTCGATCTATCTCCTTCAAGGCCGCAACTCGTTTACCAGAAAGCATCAGCCATCTTGGAGATGTTGGTAAGAACCAGGTGGAGACGGCGAGTGTAAATGCAAAAGCGGCTTGGATGATGTACGGTAGTCTCCAGGAGATTGAGGATACGATCTTGGTTGATCCGTAGCATGTGAAGTATCCGCCACAGAGTCCTGTCTACATTAGATTAAGCGATTCGAGCAAGGAGGCAATACTTTACCAACTGTGGTAGCGAGCTGTGAAATGGACACAAGAACGCCACGACGCGCACTAGGAGAGATCTCGGTAACATAGCTAGTGGGACGAAATCAGTCCTGAAGCCATAGGACTCTCGACATCCTACTCACACGTAACAGTTACTGATCCAGAGCCCTTCTCCGAATCCGCTCAGAGCTCGTCCAGAAAGAAACATAGGCAAGTGGTACGCTCCGCCTTGGAGGGCTGCCCCAAGGGTAAAGACAAGAGCGCCTGCCATGATGATAGATAGATGTCCATATCTATTCGCTAATTGGCCGGCAAAGAAGGACGGAAATGCTCCCGTGAGCATAATCAGAGATACAGTGAAGCCTCGCATTATAGGAGTGAGCTCTCCGAACGTATCCTGAAAGAACTTCATTTCCGTGACTGAGCCGATAGAACCGGTGTCATACCTGGGCTATGTCAAAATTTTGAGATTAATGCAAAGTGAATCGACTCATCTCACCCATTGAGAAAGCCGCCAATCGAGATGAGCGTCGAGGCCACAACATAGCCGGGAGGGCTCGCTATCTTCTTAAACACGGACGTCATGATGGAGACGAGTAATCCAGATGGAGATGATTTGGTTGTGAGCTGTTCTGTCGCCAGTGGAGAGAAGTGATGTTAACAGTCTGGTGGCACCCGCTGAAGTGTTTATAGGGCTGCAGATCACATTACAAATGCATTGCTCCCTGGCGTCCTTGACGTACGCAGTACGGTGAGAAATTGATAAGGATGTCGCATGGAAGAGTGGGGTCTGGTTCGATAGTGCTGCGGCCTTTGTAGGAGGTTGGAGGCGCGGGAGGTTCCATCCGGGGTGCCCTATTGGCGTCGTCGATCATGAAGAAGAGGCTAGCCTGGATTAGGAATGTTATACGACATCTCTCTCCCGCTTATAACGCCTCCAGTATAAATACAGGGGAAGACTACCGTCTTGACCTGATGACGCATCATTTCGGAGTTAGTCTGGTATTTTCCACACTATCTGACGGTTGACCAACTGTGATCGACTTAATTAAGTGAGCGAATGTTCGTGACTCATAGTGGTCTTCCAACGACGCTAGACATGGAGCTGATAGAGATGAGCGAACGATACGGGCCCTGGTCTATAGAAGAGCTATGTAATACAGATACATGATTTCAGTGTACCAAGGTTGACAGCAGCTCCTCCGGCAATCGGGACATATAGTACCCAGCGAAGAACAAGCCTTCTTGAAGGCCTTCTAGAAAGTACTCTCATCGGCCTCTTTTTTCAAAAAATCCGCCACCCAGGTGTGGCCCTTAGATATCGCAATATCTAGAGCGGTGTCTCCGGAATCATTGCGAATACTGATGTCAATCCCGTGTCGGACGAGGAGGTGTGCAGAGGCATGATGGCCAAATGAAGCTGCATGGTGCAGCGCAGTGTTCTTCCTACTGTCTTGCCTCGTCAAGGAAGCTCCGTGCTTGACTAGGAGCGCTATTGCTGAACAACAATCACGCTGGGCGGCGTACATTAGAGGTGTCTCTTCATCGTGTTGCACGGCGTTGAGATTGGCTCCGTACTGTACGAGATGCGATATAACGGCTGTAGCGTCAGGAATCGTGGCGACGTGCAGCGGTGTTTCCTTGGCTTTACTTTTTGCCTCGATGGGAGCGTCCCTCTCAAGTAGAGCAAGAGTCAATTCCGCAAACCCGAATTTTGCTGCATAATGAAGTGGCGTGAGCCCTGCGTCGTCGGCGAGGTGGATTGGAACGGACTGTTGAAGTAAAAGTTGAATTAGTGGCATATAGCAATGCTGCCCCGGTAGTATTGCGGCATGCATAATGGAATAGCCTCCATCCGCAATCGAGTCCTTCTGAGCACCTCGCTTGAGAAGCAACTCGACAATTCCCTCATACTTCGGAGGACCCAAATTATTGGCGCAAACGACCGCAGTATGGAGTGGCGTTTGCTTGCAATATCCAGGTGCGTTCATCTCTGCGCCTCGATTCAGGAGAAGGCTCACTATTCTCTCATGTCCAGATAAGATAGCATAACATAAAGCGCTGCCGTGCTCCTGGTTTCTGGCGGTGATACAGGCGCCATGGTTGAGAAGCATCTCAACGAGTTGCAGATCGCCATTTGCAGAGGCTCCCATCAGTGCGGTTTTGCCGCCTTCGAGAGCGGCGTTAATATCCGCACCGTGCTGCAGAAGCAAGGTTACGACCTCACTATGCCCTGACGAGGCGGCAACATACAAAGCGCTTACGTGCTTTTGGTCCTTGCTCGTAACATGAACGCCTTCGCCGAGAAGCATCTCAACGAGTTCCAGCGGGCCACTTACAGAGGCTCCCATCAGCGCTGTTGCTCTGCTATTCTCAGATACGGTGTCGATATCTACACCGTGTTCCAGTAGCAAGGTCGCGATTTCACCGTGTCCAAACAAGACAGCATAATTCAGAGCGTTGGAACCGCTGTCATCCTTTATATTGACATCGGCGCCCTGTTTATGCTCGAGAAAAATCCTAACAAGTTCCAGATGACCGATTGCAGCGGCTCTCATCAGCGCTGTTTTACCATCCCTGGATGGAAAGTCGACCTCCGCACCACTGTCCAGTAGTAAGACCGCAATTTCTGAACGGCCTAGAGTTGCAGCGCGATGCAAAGGCGTAAGATACCAACGGCCGAGGAAACCCTCCTTCGTTAGTTTCTCGATATGTGCCGTAGGGACCTTTGGGAACTCAAAGTCTTTGTACTCCTCTTCCTCTTCCTGATCGTCGGGCAAGATCTTTACCAGTATCCGCATCCCGTTCCTAGTGTTGAGGCGAAGTCCACGCTGCAAGAGGTAGGCCTTAGCTTTTCGGGTCTTGTTGCTATTGATTGCCTCGTGGAGCTGGTCGATGTCTTGCTGATGAGACGAAGCCATAGTAACAGATGTTGAGGACGAGCTATGGGAGTTGAAGAAACGAGTGTTGCTTTTGAAGTATATATAAAGGTGGTCTTCAGGTCGGTTGCGTGTGATAAGTAACGCAGTGCCAGGATGAAAGACGTTGTGGAAGAATAAATGCTCGGCTGTGTCTGTGATTGCTTTAAAGATGCGGGTATATCAAGAGCGTGGGAAATGATGGATGATGCGTATCTGTGTTGATGTAAGAGTTTGTTGATATGCTGAAATGGAGTCGAGGTAGTGACCGCGGAGCGAAGGAGGCACACACTACCGCTTTGGGCAACACGCAGCTAGATCACTACTCTGGGATGGGTAGTCGGGATACGCATTCTCTTTTGCTACCGGTAAGGGCGCCTCAGCACGACTTCACAATATGAATTGATCTAAATGTGCCGCTTTGAATAGTCCATCGACTTGCCGAGCAACTTATCGGCGTGCTTCACTGATCGAAGGACTTACTTAGACATACTCAGTAAATCAATCTGAAAACGCATTGAGACACAAAAAGCCTTGTCAGAAGAAGGGCCCAGAGCTTTATGAGAAGGCATCATACAGATGATGCATCTAATACAACTGCTTGTACGGTAGTAGGCCATAAGTCTGAGCAAACGGGTAGCCCTGGCCCCTTCTTGAGTATCATTTTGGAAGCCGGGCACACCGCCGGGAGCAGCCCGTTGCTAGGAGTTGTGTAAAAGAGAGGCATTTTATATTTCCGCTCCCTGAAACTTGACGTCGTGACCAGATTTCGGAAACACCATAGGGGAACCCTGAACAGTAGCATATGAGTGTGTGCAGCATTCGCCCACGATTTATTCGGGCCAGCCGATGTAGGTGTTAAGCACTCCTAGCTCCCCGACTAGGAATGGGTACTCGTACACCCATCCTCGACGCACCTTGATCTCGTCGGGCGCTTGCTCCATAGCATCAATTTTAGCCCTCCAATCTTGAAACCTGCGCTTCCATGCTTCAAGTCCATCTTTGTCCGTTCCTATGAGCTTCAGACCATCGAACCCTTGGTAGACCATGGCGGAAGTCCATAAATGCCTCTTCCACTCTGGACCTGTCCAGCGGCGCCATCTGCTGTCTCTTTCTTCGTCAGGCTCTTCAAAGTCGCCTCCAACGGCTTCGCGAATCTGGGCCCAGGGCCGATCCCAGCGGGTGCTCTCTAGTAGATGCTCAAGCGACAGCTGATGATCGTATTTAGTCCAAGGATACACGTTCATGCGTTCTCCAGAATTTGGCAAATATGGACCAATAGCTTGGACCACACAACGTGGATTGACCGTACTGTTGGGTCCTGGTTTAGGATGGTAGTCAAAGCATCTCCAGTCAGGTATACAATACTTCACGTACTCCAGACGAGTGTCGAGATCGGCACCCATGGGAATGGTGCCAGACTCAAAGTAAGAATCGAACGCATGGCCGAAGAGCTCACCGTAAATTGCCAAGTGGAAGAATGCCTCTGGTGGGTCGGACACGATTGTGTATGCATCATCGACGCCACCGTTCCAGAAGTTGGGCGTCTGCGACCACTGTACACCAACAGATTTGTCGATGAGATCGGTGACCGGGTTAATGGTGGAGAAACGTAGAGTATGTAGTTCTCGGATTCGCTCCATCGTCAGTCCGGAATGGTCTAGGCAAAGGTCCATCAAGCCGTCAATCCCGCCTTGGAAGGCTTTCCGCAACTCCATCGTATTGCTGTGACTCCGAGCTGCCCATGACGACAGCTGACGAGCGGTGGCTGCAATCAAAAATTGAGGAGACGGTCGGAAGAAGATTCGAGACGCAACGGCGGCGAGGCGAAGTATCGTCCGCGGTGCTGTTCTAGAGAAGTAGTTCCGAAGAGCTCTGCAGCTTGATGTGAGATTCATGAAATCTTCAATATCATGAAGATAATCAGGCAGCAAGATGAGAATGTCCGCTGGGAGCGAAAGAAGCTGTAGAGATTGGGCACCCGACATATTGACAACCTGGTAGGGCTAAACCGAGCCAGAATCTTGTAGCCAGAAGGTAAATGGCAGATTCGAGTCTTGGTTGAACGATTGGAGAGGAGGGGAAGGGGAGAGGGAGAGGGAGAGGGAGAGGGAGGACAGAGGATCGAGGCTTCGGTCTGTGCGGCACCGGCCGCCGAAATCTCCGGGCTGAGGCTTGCCACTCATCTTGATCCACTCTGTTTCAAATGCAACACCATCATAGCAATCGTTCAATAGCATCTCCAATGTGCCGCGTCTGTCAATCCGGGCATCGCATCAAAGACTATTAGTTTCCGAGTAGAAGATGTGCCTCTAGGCATACAAGACTCATCTAATTCTAGGCCGACTCGACTTACTCTACCACCCCCTGAGCTAGATCAATTTGGAGAACTCGAAGAATACCATTAACATGAGGCGTAAGGAGTCGTCTTCATATCCAAGAGTCTATTTATAGACAGTAATAGTAACCACTTAATGCTTGCGATCTACAAAGATGGTTCGTCTATCTTCGTCCCTTTGTAGTCTTCCGTGAAGCGTATGAGGCATTGCAAAGAGACACGTGATTTTGCAAAGAGAAGCGTAAGACGGCCATCGATGAAGGTAACCGATCGAAGCCTCACTCGAGTCTGGCAGTCAGATGGTGTGAAGATATACATTTCCGCGCCTATTTATACAGGTAAGATCCACGCCTATCGTATCTCCATCATAAAGCATCTCCTAAATGTTGTCTGTAGCGACGGTGTTTTCGATCGCCCACTCCTTGATGGCGTCGAAATTTCTGCAAACATGGTCGGTGTTAAAATCGGGCCAAGGATCGTCATATTCGGGAAGCATCGCAAAGGTGAAGACTCCGATGTCACTTGAGCACATCAAGTTCATGCGGAGGATCTCAATGCAATGGTCTAAAAGCTGATCAGCAACTGCTTCGGACCTCGGCCTTGTTGAATCAAACGGGAGCCGTACCTAGATGCATACGAAGCTTTTCGGGTGGGTCAGAAAGATCACCGCCCTTCGACTCGTAGTGGTCTTTATATGTCACCTTCCGAAGAAGATTCAAGCAGTGGAGCTGATGAAACACTTCCAGGCCAATCCGGAAGCCATGTTCTCCAGTACGCAGATCTGTTACACCCAGAGAATTCATGGGCTTTCCCAGCGCCTTCATTTGCTCGTGTGATACCATCTGGTCGCCGACTACGCAAAGCATGAGTAGAGGATCGAGTTTGTGGAAGTAGAGAACTTACTGTCGAATGAAAGGCCGTTCCACGCCTCGTCTACGTCGTCGCCCATTCCCTGGTACGCAGATGAGAGTGCACCCTTTGTTATATTGAAATGAACATTCTCATATCGGACTGCTTCAGAAGCCGGTGCTATTTTCACTCAATTAGCCCTGCTAACTCCTTAACCACGATACTGCTGATGACTACTCACACCATGCCGAGAACTTTTCAACGAACATATCCTCCGTTGGTTGACCGAACCAGCTGGACACGAAGAATGCCGCTGATATCGAGAAAAGCGCGGCGTGTGTGTACCACATCCACCTCGGTGTCTTCTGGATGATGACTGTCCGCTGCTCTGATCCTAGCCCATCTTCCAACAAGGTGGCCGATGAATCATCACTCGACATGCTGATCCTCTTCTCTTCATCGTGGACCACTTCATAACGCTTCTTTTCGAACCCGGGCTTGCTGGACTTCATCATGGCTGCGGCTGGTCGGTGGACTTGTCACGTGGAAGAGTAGGAATAATGGGTGTAGAAATAGAACGACTGCCTGCAGTGGCCTTGGAAAGACGGGCTGCGGTGGGGTATTATGCGATCCGACAAGCGGTGGGCATCTACAACGACCCGAGGCTTGCGGGTTCCCAGCTAGGTTTGATTGGCATTTTGGTTTCAGAGGTGTTGGAGACAGCAGGGAGCGACAAGCCGGCAGTGGAGACCTGGCGCATCGGGGATTCCATACATGGCGATTGCCCAGTACAGTACACACCCGCGAGTCCTCTCACTGGTGGCAATAGCCCGTGGCCGGTTCGAGCCGTCTCATGTAAGCAATTCGCTGTACAAGAGCGGCCGAAGCACGATCTGATAGGGCTTTCGCCTGCCAACTCCTAAACGCGGTCCTTCGTCGACGTTCCAAGCCTGGCACACGAGGAGTCGCAGAAGGCGGACAAGCACTGCTGCCGATTATGCGACGGAGCTTGCGTCGGTTCGCCATGCCCAGCCTTTGAACAAGGCATTCAGGCACTGGCACAGTTACAGAACTCCCGGCGCCGACCGCGGCCTTGGACACCTCATGCCCTCTCCGACGGCCTAGTGTTGAGCCTCGTGCGGAGGATGTCACAGCCGGCCAAGGACGAAACTCGTCGGGGCATATCCATGGCGGCGATCAGAAGCCCCTGACGCTCCACGACGCGCTCGGCTACGCTTTCCGGCTCGCCTCCGCCTGCCCCGCCATTCCGCGCATGCACCAGGGCACTAATTCATCATCTCGGAAAGCTGGGCAAAAGCTTGGCTCCCCCGCCCTTATACCAGCAGCGACACCCGTTATCCACCAGTGTTTGACGGCACGTCACAGACTGCGTTCTTTTCCGAGCCTTTCTGCATTCGCTTGGCGCAGTTTGGCGCCTAAGGCCTGGTGCTGCGTGCCCTGTATGATCCACATCTCATCGCTACCAGCGATTCGATGCCTGATTCGGTTGCTCTATTCTTTAGCACCTACGGGCTCCACAACTGGCGGGAGTTGGAGGTGAGAAGAAGAAGGAGGTAATGAGGGGCCAGCGCTTTGGGCTGCGCGTAGACCAGCTGACCGGCAAGAAATCACTCATTGATGAACCTAGAGTGGGTGGGCCAAAGGTCTATCTGATATAAAATGCTCAGTCCTCTCGGCGCTTCTTCTTTTCGATACTCCATTCTTCATCTTCGTCTTTTGTGTCTTCAGTGTTCTACGCGGTGCTGGTGTTCCCTGTGTATCCATTCTTTCGCCATTTGATTCATTCTTTCCAAGTCTCATTCTATCTATCTTTACTGCTGGCCAGTATTTACCTACCACTCTTTCATCATGCATTTCTCCACCTTCACTCAAGCCCTGACTATTGGGCTTCTCGCTGCCTCGTCCTTTGTTGTGGCTCAGGACACCGGTGCTCTGGACGTTGCCAAGCGCTTCGTCGTAAGCTTCCAATTTGCCTCCTCATCCACCACTCACATACTGACAAGAGCAGGGTGGTTCCGCCAACGCTGCCTCTGCCTTTGTAGCCTCCGTCCGCGCTCTCGAATCTCGCGAGCCACATCACAAAGAAAAGGGCGCAAAGAGTGGCAAGACAGCCATCGCTGGAGCCGCAGCAAATGGCACCGCAACCACGGCTGCTGCAAGCTGTGTTAGAGCTCCCCACCACAAGGGAAAAGCTTGTGCTCGCGACGTCGAGATTGAAGCCCGTTCTCCGCATCACAAAGAAAAGGGTGCTGCCAAAGGCGGAAACGCTGCCACCGCCAGTGCTGCTACGAACGGAACCGCCACCACTGCTACCACCGGGAAGACGAACTGTGTTAGAGATCCACATCACAAAGGAAAGGCTTGTGCTCGTGACGTTGAGGAGATGGAGGCCAGAGATCCTTCACCGCATCACAAAGGAAACGCTGCGCCAGCTGCATCAGCTGCCCCTGCGACGGCCAGCACGGTGACGACTGCAAAGACGAACTGTGTTAGAGATCCACATCACAAAGGAAAAGCTTGTGCTCGTGACGTCGAAGAAATGGAAGCCAGAGATCCCTCGCCGCATCATAAGGGCGCAAATGCTGCACCAGCAGCCTCCGCCGCCCCTGCGACAGCCAGTGCTGTTGCCACTACGAAGACAAAGTGTGCAAGAGACCCGCATCACAAAGGTGCGAAAGCCTGTGCTCGTGATTTCGACGAGATGGAGGCCAGAGAACCAGCACCACATCACAAAGGAAACGCTGCCCTAGCTGCATCAGCTGCACCAGCAACCGCGAGCACTGCTGCTACTACGAAAACTAAGTGTGTTAGAGATCCACATCACAAAGGTGGCGCTGCAAAGGCTTGTGCTTAGATTGGGATTGGGGAATGAGGGGCAAGGGGTTAAGGGGGATGGGATGAGTTAGTTGATTAGTTGGCAAGGGGTTGGTGGAAGTTTTACTTCGTGGAATTCAGAATTGTATGATACTTGAGGGAGTATAAAATTAACGAGAAAAATGGCTATGCATTGATCTGGGGCCTGGACGTGATGTGTGGTGGTCCACGACTCTGTGATTCTATTCTAAAGCTTCCGAGGTATACTTTAGAAGCACGCTTACGCCTGGGAAATGTACACCTGGCTAGCACCGTCCGAGCGCCTCTGATACGTTATCAAAAATTAGAACACAACAGTTTTAATGAGTCTGATAGTTTGCTGGGTCATCTCAGACAGTGTTGAACTACCACGTTGTGTTCACAAGCAGTCCACGAACATGTGCGGAATTCTGTTCTGAAAGCTCTGGCAGCCTCACCTTCCTCCGGACCTCTCTCTCTTCTCTATCATCGTCATACAATACATCACGTGCACGGCGTACAGCTCTCCTTGTTCCGTGACATAGATTTATCACTGCTTAGCACCAATCTTGCTCACTCAACACCACCATAAGGAGTGGCCCAACTGCTAATCAGCCAGTCATTCAAGAGGCAGTCTAACTTAAACTGCTTGACACTTGACGTCGCGCCTACCTTTTTGGAATTCTATAGCGGTACCCCACGCAGAGGTACACGAGTGTGCACAGACTTATGACCTATATCTGTATTGACTGTAGAAATTCTACAAAGCGACAAAATCTATGATTTAAGATTTTGTTAACTATGAACAATACACATATTCATCTACCGTCCAAATCTCAACATATCCTATGAGGGCTCGGTTCTCGTCTTCGCTTCATCAAGAAGCTTGAATTACAGAACTTCCATGCAGCTACAGGGCGCTTGCTCCAGTTTCGAGCACACATCTAGCCTAGCGCTCACCTACTAGACCAAGCCACACAGCGTCCAGGCTGCCGGATCTGGAACATTGAAACATTGGTGGCCTTTGCTTTTTCTCAGCCTCGTCGCCTCACTCCCCATTACCTACAAAATGTCTTCAATCCCCTTGCACCGCCTTACGGAGGCCGTCTCTGAGCCGCGTCTGAGCCGCGTCTGGGCCGCCGTCGAGGCAACAGAGACAACAATGATATCCAAAGTCATGTGAGCAGTTTCCTACTAAAGGGTGCTTATAACAGTATTCTTCTCTCTTTCTGTATTGCAAACGTCGTCAGCTTTTCGTAGGATTTCAGCTTTTTTATCCTTTCTTTCACGCAATATAAGTTTCATCGGAGCCACAATGTCGTCAGAGTCTACGAATGAGCACTGTAAGCTCGCCAACGACCCAGACCTCACGGGCCTAGGTGTAAGCTTCAAAAAGCCATTTCTTTCCATTGGCTTCAGCTGAGAATCATCTCCCAGGTCCGACTTTCCGTCATTATCCCCGTCCTCTCCATTCTCGCCCTCTCCCTCGTCTGGACTATCCCTCGCGCCCGAACCAAAAAATCTACCATCGCCCAGATTGAAGACGCAGTCTCGAAACTCAACGCACTCCAGCTCTCCGCTGCTATCGTCCTGCTCGCCATCGCACTATCCAAACAAGAGAGCCAAGACTGGTTCCACGTCCACTTCATCCTCAACACCGCCGGACTGAGCGGATGGTCTACCGTATTGACTGCTATCGTTGTGCCAGATTACTTCACGGAGACCGTTTTCCAGATTCCTGTCATCATCGCGTACTTCGCACTAGCCATAAATGTCATGCTGGACTACCAAACCCAGCTAACAAACGCCATCGCGGAGAAGCCGGAATGCTACCCCCAAAGTCTAGCGCACGAGCGATACTGGCCTATGTGGATATTATGGGCCGTGGGAATCTCCCTATGCATAGCCGTCAGCGTGTGCAACCGCGAATCATGGAGTCCAGCTCGACGACGGTGCTGGAATCTCGATATCAAAACCTGGAGAACGTTGCCTATCCTCGCCCTTTTAGCTATCCCAACGGCCGGCATCGGCGCTGGCTTATACGTTAGCTTCTGGATCTACCCGTGGCTAGAGCCGCTCCTCGCGCAGTCGGAGGACGAGTGGACGGTGGGTCAGATCATACCCTTGGGGCTTGTGGTAGCGGGGAGCGTGGCGACGCTGTGGCAAGCTTTTGGGTTGGATGGTAAGGGTCTTCCCACTCTACGCACATGGATTATATGGAGGTTGAAGTGAAGCTAACTGATGTAAAATGCAGAACTTGTTAGGGCGAGAGGTATGGCTGTGTATCAGAACCTTGGTCGGGGCCTGAGAACATTGTCTCGCATTCGAGATAGTGACAGAGGGCTCTTGATCCCCATAAATGAAAGGCCGGCTATTCAGGCTATTCCTTGAGATCGATGATCATAGGATCTACCTCCTGGGCAGAACAAGGACCTGTATGCCGTGTACATGATGTATTGGACGATGATGATAGAGAAGAGAGAGAGGTCTGGGGGAAGATGAGGCTATACACAAGGGGTGACACGTGCCTGCCATGGCCCTCACCGCTACTTCCTGGCAGCATTTCTACGGTCAATATTAATAGGTACCGAGATAGGAACTACTAAAATTCTATGTGAATAAAAACTGGATGGGTAAGATGGAAAAACGTTCCTATATATATCTAGAGCGGGGGGATAATATCTGAGATCAAGCTGAAGTATTGGTGATTGGACCTCAAATTTGATTCAGCTGCTGATACCTCGGGTATTTTCCTACGTACACTGTCAAAACAACAGAAATACCCCTCCCGCTCGTGTTGCTCGGCTAAAAGGATAGGATTTCGGTATGTGAAAAACGGAGGCCTGCTTCAGAAGCTTAAGAACATGACATTATGCGGATTCAAAAAAGAATGAGCTAGAGTCTCTTCAAATGTTTTCGTACTCTGTCAAAACAGCGCAAGGACGGCTCTACATAGTGTTGCTTGGCCACAGGGAAGGGTATTAGAATGTCAAGTCTGTACGCCCGATCGATGGCCTTGAGATAATGACACTATAAGGATTCGAGTGATGAATGAGCCGGAGAGCCCTCAGATGGCATCGTGGCTAATAGCTCCCATTAAAAGGAGGCTCGCCACGGCTTCGTGTACAATATCTGCATTTGCAGTATGGTTCAATGACTGCAAGATTAGCATCTGGAGAATCAGTGTAAGACCCGACCACTGCTGGCTGGTGATCACAAGTTTCCCTCATCCTTGGGATATCTGGCGCCATATCTGCACGATGCCGTTAGAAGACGGAAAACACGTAGTCTCGTGGCAACCATTCATGTTCGACATCTCGGGCAGGCTTTTCCCATGTTAATGCATCGCGAGGGGCGAAAAGATACTCCCGCCATTACCAGTCCTCAAAGTGCAATATTGAACGTGCTGCCATGTGCCAGGACGGAGTGTCCCGCAATTGCAAATTGCTGAAGGCCAGCTCCAGCTGCGAAAGGGGGAGCGGCGAGAACCCAAATCGAGGAGCTATGAGCCAAAGCTGGTCTAGATCCCAGCCATTCGTGAGTTGCTTGAATACGAGGTCCCAAACGTCGGAATCAGCGCCTTTCAGAGTAACGTAACCTAATCCCAGCCGGCGGATTGATGGGAACATGGCCAGCCAACTCATGAGATCTTCTTCGGTCGTGCGAAACAGGCAAGTCGAGTTCGGGAACTGCAATTGTAGCTCTTTCAAGTTCGACAATGCAATGATCCCAGTAAGCTCCACGAGTGGACGAGGAAGGGCCGGTATATGACCCTCGGTACTCTTGAATTGTACTTCAAGATATTCGAGCTTACTTGCTACATTAAGGAAACGCCGCAAGGCTCCTGTAGATTAACTAGAGGGTCCCTCATGGCAGATAGTTATGGACAGTTTGCTGAGATTCTTGAAGGCGCTTCCCACATGACGGCTTGATATACTCGCAAGCATTTGCATTGAAATTCCAAAAGTGTCGTCTGCTGGGGTGAGAAAGCGCTCAAGTTTTACTTTGGCTTGGACTAGAGCTGTGAGAACAATCAAAACGGCCGTGTTACGAGCCGGATGCAACTCATGATCGTAGAACCTTCTGGGGTAGTGGTACCTGTCAAGCATAGTGTTTCTGTATATCGTGAAACTTTGCAGTTTCTTTTCGTCGACATCCCAGCCCGGGATGTGACCGGCACCTTGTGGGTTAAGTCGAACTTCTCGAAGCTTATTGAAACTCCAAAGGATAATGACAAGATCCTTTAGTAGGGCACCGGACCCCCAGAATAGGTCCTGATCGGAACGGCATGCTCTGAATTTATGGCGATATGACATGAAATCGGGATCTGCTGGATTGGTGATTCTCACTAGAGCGAGGGCGTATCCGACGGCGGCCTCAAATATTGAACGGTCCGAAAAACGGGAACCATTGAAAGATAGGGTATTCACCCAAAGAAGAAGCTATTCGTTCTTGGAGATGCGCATGAGTTCCTCAATACTAGATCGAGGAAAGTAAAAAGGTCTCTCCGCGATGACTTTTGCGAGTGATCCCCAAGATTGGCTGTGGAACCCACGAGGTATCAATCGAGCGTTCAGTATGTTGATTCGGGAGTCCTTGCTTAGCTTTGGAAACCTTTCAAGTGGAGTTGGCTGGTATTCCTCTAAGCCAGCAAATACCCCGGGTACTAATTCTATGGGGAGCCTTTGGAAAAGAGTAAGTCGGCCTTCCGTGGCGAGCGCGACATCACTCATGATGGGTTGCTGCGAAGATTCTGGATGGTCTTGCATGTCTAGTAGGGTGGGTAGGATTTGTACATGAAAAGTTGTATATTCTCGATCTTTGGCGCATTAAGATTATGCTCAGTTTTAGAGAGTTAACCTAGTATAGCTTTAATATACTTAACATAATGGAATTTTAAGTGAAGGTATACAACGTCACCATTAAACTTGCCAGTGGCTTCAGCAGCTATATATGTGAAGCGGCACGCCACCAAGCGCTGACAAGCTGTTCCATACATGTCATTATACAGCTCATGCTGAAAAGTAGAAGTTCGCTGGCGAACACTGATCGTGGTCCGTTTGCAGACGGCACATTATGTACAGAGCCAAGCCATAACTCTGTGCACACCTGTTCACGACTGCGTGGGGTACCTCCATAGGATTTTAAGACTGTTGGCGTGATGTTAAATTTCAAGCAGTGTAAATCAGACTGCTTTTTAACTGACTAGCTATTTACTAGTCAGGCCAATCCTTACAGTTGTCAATTGAGCAAGATGGGGGCCAAGTAGTGATGATTCCTGTGCCCGGACTAACGGCCTACTCCTGTGGGCAGTTCCAGGTGTCGCGCGAATTGCGTGATGAGAGCGCTATCTTTTAGAGCACAGGGCGGAAAACGAGACGACGGATGACTGTCCATTCTAGGGCTACGATCACGATTATGGAGATGATCTAGAACGGCTCTGATTCTTCAAATGATAGAGGTGTTGTTTGAGAGATGACAGCCAAGCCAGGGATGAGATCTTCGGTTCTCGTGATATTTTGAGAACTTTACCTATCAATGAAAGGCATCTTGCTTCGTATATGCGAGAGAGGACTCCTCGTATCTAGCGTTTGACGCGCGATCCCATTACGAGTCTTGCACCACTAACCCAAATCATTCAAATCACGTGAGTGAATGAGGTAGTTTGCGGTGGTTTGGAGCGAGAAAGCCACCAACCATCATCAACATTGCCCAAGTATTAATCAGCTACCTGCAGCTGAGGATTAATCAACTCATCACCTCGGGTATATATCAGGGGGGACCGTCCCTCCTCAAGATGAAACGTCCCTTTCTCGCTTTTCTGTTCCTTTTGCTCGGAGGATGAGATGAGGGACTTGATATATTCCGGATACGACACCCCCAACACAGCGCAGCCACCATCTCGTATCGCTAGCCTTGTATTCGGCCGGCCCCACGATACGAAAGCTCCGACAACGTCATGATCGACTCGAAAATGACTCGGTACCAAACCCGAGTTCTCGCGCCTCACCGATGAAATTTTCATCCTCACATTAACCACGAAGCATAGCGAAACAAGCGGAGTGAACCATTATCATCATTAACATTATAGCTCCTCCACTACCACCATTCGACCACACAACTCCCCGAAAAACGACATTGCTGAAAAGTAGACATTGCTCAAAAACTCCATAAATGCATCCGTAGCCACCTCGTTTATACAAAAGCCCGGAAATGCCCACGCGGTCTCCATAGGAGCCAGACTGGTTAGACAACAAAGAGATTCGTGTCACATAACCCCTGTTTTTAGGTTAGTAAACACACTCGCCACCTCAGCTGTAGCTAGCAAGCTACGACCTTGGCGCGTCAATCAAGTTCGACATCGGCTCAGCACGCCTCCTGAGCCCAGAGTCACCCTCGCTGAACCCAACTATCGAGTTCTCGTACGTGTCCCAGCTCTTGCAACCGGCCTTGAAGTCGTCGAGGCTGCCAATCGACGACAGGATTTCGGATTCCCGTTCCAGGAACTGCAGACCTAGCCCTGCGGAGATATGGAACGGAATGTGGCAATGCATGAGCCACGCGCCCGGGTTATCGGACTCGAAGGCGAGGATGAGGAAACCGTTCGCGGGCAGCGTGGCGGTATCACGGCGAATGGGGTTGGTGAGGTTCAGGGTGGAGACATCACCACCCCACTGTCCGGAACCGGCTCCTAGGACGTAGAAGTCGTGGCCGTGGAGATGGATCGCTGGGAACAATATTAGTTTGAGACTCGGTATAGGCTGGGATGGAGGGCGCTTACGATGTGGCAGAGGTGGGTCGTTGGCCGCGGCTTGGATCATCCAGTATTGCCAGCCAGTGCCAACGGTATAGACATTGTCGCTAGCAGGGAAGCTAGTGTTGCCGTCCACAACGTACTGCAGCGTCGGCTTCTCCCAGTCGATTTGGATGGCAGTCGAGTTGATGAGCCATTGCACGAGGTTATCGTTGGCGGCAGTTTGAGCGAAAGTGAGGCCTAGCTTCTTGGGAAGCGAGGAGGGGATGGTGGTCTTGACGTAAGGCACAATGTTGCTCTCGTCGTAGCAGCCAGATGGCAGAGTGATACCCGAGGAGTTGGGGTTGCCAGCGGGAGCACCCACGTAGGAGAAAATGCTCCTGATGTTAGCGGAGTTGGCATTCGGGCCGTCGCATTGGCCTCCTCCCGTGCCGACGCGAAGCCAGTAGTTGGCGACAGTGGTGTTCGCGTTAATAATAACATCGTATCGTTGTCCTGCCAGGAATGGATTAGTGTCGGTTCGGGAAATAGAGTGGGTCACGGGTGTTTCACGGAATCGCGGGATGAGATGGTGGCGTTACGATGTGTGTGCGCGGATTGTTTGACTTACCGACGCCAAGCACGATCGAAGTCGTGGTGTAGGGCACAATCGGAACGAAATCTGCAGCGATAACCGTGAAAGGGTGGCTGTCGAGAGAGACGTGGAGGAATTGGTTGATTCCGGTGTTCACGAGACGCAGAAGATGCTTTTTCCCAGGGGTAAGGGTTGTCTTAGCGTAGGCGCCTCCCGAACTGGAGGTCATGGATCCGTTCACGAGAATATTGTCAGATGTCGGCGGGCCACCGGCATGCAGGGCGGCTGCATTGACAGTGAAAGCGGGTGTGTGAAACCAATCAGTGAGTGGCAGGGGTCCGAGATCGATGTCGTAATTGGCGGTAGCAGGTCCGTTAATGACGATACCACCAACAATCCCCTCCGCGTATTGAACAGAGTAATGAGAGTGATACCAGGAAGAGCCGTATTGCGTTGCTTGGAAGGTGTAGGTTTTTGTCTGTCCCGGAGCAATCGGGCATTCAGTGAGACCGTTCGTGCCATCCATCTGGTTGCTGTCTAGCTGACGCAGACCGTGCCAATGGATACCAGTACCGTTGTTCTGGAGGTTGTTGGTTACAGTGATTTGGAGAATGTCGCCCCAGTTTGCTGTGATGACAGGCCCAGGGTACTGGTTATTGATGAGCATCATGGGCCGCCCAAAGCCATCTGGAGCGAAGTTTGTAACGTTGGTGATAGTCAGGGTGTACTGTTGGGTGTTAGAAGCGCTCATTCTAATACCTGAAGCAAGATAGCCTTACTGTTCGCGTCACTCCTGTAGTGGGCCACTTCTGGTCCATGTCAGTAGATACACTGTAACCATTGGACCAGCAGCTTCGGGTCCGGGCCGTGTTCGAGCAGGTCGAGTCGCGGAGATGGATATCAGAAACCTCGTGGAACTGAGCATTGTCACGCCCTAAGATGCCGTCCCTTTTCCAAGGAACCTCGATTGTGGGAAGAGCGGCGACGAGGAGGGATGGTGCAAGCAAGGCCAACAGGCCTGCTTGTTTAACGACTGAAAGCATTGTTGATTATGATTAGGCAACACAATATACCCAAACACCCTCTCTGCAGAAACGAATGTAGCAGGGAGAAAAAAGAGATGGACAAGAGGAGAGGAGCACTATGGATGAAAGCAAAAATCCAGCTGATGCAGGACATGCAGCGAGCTTAATACTCGCGTACCCAGCAGTGCTCGCCATGTCATGCCCAAAGCGGCGATTGCTCGCCCATGCCCTGCTTGACCCATGCATCTCAGACAAGCGGAGGCCGCTAAGGTTCGAGTCTAAAATATTGGCTGTGAGGATTCTGCACCGCCAGATCCGTCACGAACGGGTCGCCTGGACGGCAAGACGGGGGTGTGGATGGGGTGAGCTCGCTGGGATCGCCAGATACAGCCTCGATGCCGGCTACGCGCGAATCACGATCAGAGCTACGGCGACCATGGCAGCGTTAGGGCCCCAGGCTGGGTGTGGTCAGCAGGATACGAAGACCAAGGCGGGATGGGTTCGGTGAGGTTCGTGATAGCAGCTCGACAGCCGCGGTGAGCTCCAGCTGCGGAGAGCTGCGGAGAGCTGCGGTCTGGACATAGGGCTGTAGATCCAGCCAGGAAAGAGACAGCGCTGGGGTCACCGGCCAACGGCGACGTGCCAAGGCCACAGGGATTGCTGGCGGCCAGACGCTATATCGAGTCAGCGAGGCGCACCTTTGACATCTGCAGCATGTTGCAATGCCTTGACAGGGAGTGGCAGGCCGACTGGCGGCCCCAGAGTGGTCGTCAGAGGGCGTCAGTGGTGGTTGGTGGTGAGAAGAAGCTCCAGCGAGCCGCATCAGAGCTATTTCTGGACACAGACTACGCCCCAAAGCGGCCGCGGGGAACAGGGTGCGGCAGGGATCGAAGCCGCCAGCGTAGCGTACCCGGCGGAGAGCCGATACACAGCGTCTTGGGGCTAGGGGCGCCTTCAGACATCGCTTGCTGCTGACAACACCCGTGGAGACCCACGGCTGCCTCCTCCGCAGCATGGCACTGGCGCGAGGAGCGGCACAACGGCAGCAACCTCATGACGTCTCAGCCGCCCTTGAGCGCCCGACTGGAAACTCAGGCGTCCCGTAAGGACCTGCGCAAGCAGATTACTGAACCTGTCAAAGTCAGTCTCTGGCAGTGTGGCAGTGACGCATTCTTATTCACGGAAACTCAGGCAGCTCGACTTGCAGACTCGGCCCTGTTGTAGCACTCCAGGTACCCGGGAGGGCCTGGGGGTCTTATGGGGGCAAGCATCCGCGCCTCGGGACTGCATGCCATGGCACCGTATTCTCTGTCCAGCTTACCGCCTACCTAGCGATGGCCTGACACCACTACGCAGGGCGGACCTCTAGGAGGGGAGTCCGTCTTGTCCATTGCTTGTCGTCTTCTCGCAGGCTTGCACCGCCTTGGAACGTGCCGTGTCTGCTGCGAGTGACAGAGCGGTGCTGATCTGTCTTCGGGATTACGCTAGGCCAAGTGCACACCGGAAACTTATCGTCAAATCGTATTGTAGTCAAATCGCTGGGCTGGCGCCAACGCCACAAGGCGGAGCTGAGGCCTGCAGCTCGAAAAGTACTGCAGTGCTGATTGGACGTCGGGTGCAGTGAGGGTTTTTTGTTCAAGGCAGGCTAGCTAGCTTTGGTCGCCTTCGCTAGCTGCATGAAATCAATAGCTCTTGCATCGACTCTGGGGAGACCATGCACAGTGTGCGGTGGCGTTGAAGTGCCGAGTGTCGTCTGTGGGATCATTGTTCCTCCGGCAGAATTTAGAGTTGAGGCCCCGGAGCCACGGTACGCCGCCTTGCGTGGCGACACAGCCTAAACACCACAGCAACTCAATCTCGGTTTGCAGTCCCAGCAATCGCAACTTTGGGTTTGTGCCACTGGTTCACAAAGAGCCGGTCGTGTTCCGGAGGCCCTCTTGTGCTCCGTCTGGAAAGCCGACGCCACAATCGCTAGCAAAAAGCTGAGGCGTTACATTGTACATTTGATAGACGCCGAACCACGGTCCGCACCATAGACTTCTGCAACCCAGTATGCACTTCGTCGTTCCAGCCCAGGGAATCCACTTTCCGTCGTCTGCCGAAAATCTCTGCCATGCTTTATGTAAAATCGTATACTGGGAAGTCTCAAGTTGGGATACAGTAGCGCGTAGATGTACACATAATAGTGTCGAAACTGAGACCAACGAAGTTGCAATGCAAGTGCAGCCGGGGTAGTCCCCATTCGTGACCATTGGAGTGCGAAAGGGTAGCGATAGGGTGAAGTGAGGATCGCGCAAAGGCTACGACCGCAAGGTCGCTGTTCCTGCAGTATGTCAACCCTGGATACGGTCCCCATTGAGAGCTGCCGTCCTCCCAAGTACCAAACTCCACGCAAACACCCCGAAGACGTCCACGGCACCCGTCGTACGGCGGTGGAGCCGAGGGTCTAGCCACGCGACATGGAGCCATCGAAAGAGGTGACCCCAAAAGCTGTACCTGCAGCGAACCCAGGACCCCTTTGCGAGCACATCCATGACAGCACAAACCAGACAGATATGAGACATAGCAAGGGCATCAGAAGGCTGTGCGATGCCTTGCTTCGCCTGCTTTTAGATGAGAACGTTCTAAAGAAAGCACCAGATCCTCTGCGGGACGCCTGACAGAAACTAGACATAAGGCAAGCAGCCGCAGCGACTCCTACAGGAGAAGGTCGAGGCGTCATGAATCGTCCCAACCGTGGGATTCCGTACATATAGGGCTGCAGATGTCAATGTCGTGCTGGCCGGGCCCCCTCCCTCATTTGCGCCTCCAAAGGTAGCAACTGGCAACACCTCTTTTTCTGACTATCGGTGTACAGCATTCCCCTGATGCTGTCGAATTACTCTATTTTCCACTGTTTATAAGAAGACAGACATTCCCAGCATCGGCGGTGTGATCTGCAACGGCTCTTCCCGACTGACTTGTCAGCTTCTCAACGGTAAAATAGCGATCGTCTCTCAAAGATCCCAACCATGTGGAACGCCTGATCTAACGGCAACATAAGGATCACCTTTCATGCAAGTAACCACAGCCACATTTTAAATATGGCATGCATGCGGAACGGTATTGCCTTGGCAACGGTTATTGCGAATAGAGTCGATCGTTCCCCATGTGAGGCTCGAGCTGTAGGGCTTCGTTTCTTTGAAACACAGCTTGGTCCCAGTTGCGGTCAAAATGAACGACATGAATCTCCGTCAAGCCGGTAATTGCGACTTGCATTTGCCAAGAGTATTCGGCGAGGCTCTGCGTAAAAAAGACAATTGTTGAACTGTGCTGTCCGACACGAAGTCAAAGGACATGGTGTACTCTGATGTACAACCGTCGAACCCAAAGAGTGACATGGCGGCGTCCATGCTGTGAGCGCAAGGTCCCCAGTGTCAACACCTGTCTTCCAACCTGGAGTTGCTATGCGATCGATTTTCCAACAACCTAATTCCGAAAATCGTGCTGACTTACTACAAAGCATTTTGGGGGCTCCTTGACGATCGCAAAGAAAAAAGAACTTCGGAAAACATCAGCCTTTCCAATCAGACTTGTGATTGTGAACGGAAAGACGTTGACAAATCAAGGAAAGGACTCCACTTAATCACTTTGCCAAATACTCAACAGTCCTAGTGTGTGGGTCCAAGATTCTTACCTCTTGTCACTGACAACATATCTATCTCATCGGAGATGCCGGCGGCAGCGAAGTCCGAACTGCATCGAAATATTGGAAGCTGCAGTCATCGCCGAGCATCAACAAGCGTACCATTTCTCCTCACCAATCATCCAATCAAACGCAACCGTGTCAGCCCTACACCGCAAAATCTTGAACGGTGCCATTACACATAGCGCGTGCACCTGTAAGCAAGGCCGACGATTCCGCTGCCCCATAAAGAATCTTCATTGAACCCGTCACGGAGGCAACCGAGCGGCAGTGTAGTATCTCTACATGTAAGCTTGGACCCTCAGACCGCAATAATTGCCGCAAGAGTGAGATCCCTCCGGTGCGGATCAGGCGTCCTTTCAATGTTGGGGGCCGGTTCGGAGAATGAGGCACAGCCCTACGGATTACAAGGGGGTGTGGGGGCTAAGCCATGCGATCAATTGCAGAATGAGGGAAATCTGCGAGAGGACGTGTCTGAGGGTGGTTGGATAATGATGGGAGTAGGCCTGACGGGGACCGGAGCGGAGATTTGATGGTGTAGAACGAATTGGGTTAGTGCGCACGTGATCATAGGTGATGTTGCCATTGATGTTACACTTCACTTCACTTCACTTCACTTCACTTCACTTCACACATATATCTGAAGGATATTTGAAGGTATTGTAGTCATTCGTTCATACACAGTCGTATCGTCGTTAGAGCATCCACATCCATCCATCCAAGCCTGTCGGCATTCCCATCAAGGGTTCGCCAACACTCCACCGCCTGGAGACTTCTGGGAGATCTCGTCTTCTCTAACAAGGTCTGCATTTACCAAGGAAGCTGGAGCGGTATAGGTAGCTTGTCTTTCGGACCCAGAACAGCCTCTGCGGATCCGATGTCACTGTTCTCAGGTCAGCCATGTGGAAGGAGTAGAGCAGAGGACAAATTAACATACGCAGCTCCTCTGGGGGCCCAGAACTCTCCAGTATGCTCGATAGTGAACGTCTTGATCCACTCGACTAGTGATTCTGCAGCAACATCAGGGGTAACAGCTCCGCCCGAATCCCAGAACTTGTCAAAGCCCACACCTTTAGTCATATCTGTTCTCATGAACCCAGGATGCACAATCCCCACCGCCACGCCTCTATCCTTGAGATCCACGCTCAACAGCTTCCCGCTCATGTTCAGCGCAGCCTTGGACGCATGATGGCCGTAGTTGCCTCCACCATCATACACCAACTTGATGCTTCCGCCCTCACTCGACACAAGTATGACCTTTGTACCCTGTGAAAGAAGCGGCTTTGAGGTCGAGGATGGTGTGTAGTTCCCGAGCGCAGACACCAAAAGGGTAGGCCCGATAGCGCAAGTCTTGTACATAGCTAGTTGTTTGTCGAAGGAGGGCTCCTCAAAGGTTTCGGTTACGAAGTAGCCTGCGGTTACAACGATGATGTCGAGAGAGGTTATGGAGTGAGCTTCGAGATATTTGATGAGGTTCGGTCCGGCGTCGGGGGTAGAGAGGTCAATAGAGGGGATGTAGGATAGGTTCTTGTCTAGATGGAAATTGTCTTTAGCATTCGCGCGCAATAAAATGGATTGGAGCTGTATAAAGCTCAACTGAGGGTTGGGAGAATGAAATAAGCCTATTGCGTACCATCAGATGGGGGGTTCGAGCTTCGAGCTGTAGCATAGACGTGGTGGCCGATTGAGGTGTACTGTTTAGCTACGGCAGCTCCCAGGCCACGCGTGGCTCCAACTATCAAGACGTTCGGCATGTTGACGATATTAATTGAGAGATTTGTGAAGGGTTAGTTGGAAGGGGCCATGTTTAAAGCACGATATTGTTATGAGCGATGACGAAGCTTGACGCAGCTTTGACGCAGTTGCACTTATCGATAACAGACACCCTTGCTCCTCCTCTGATGCCTCATTCATTTCATTCATCTCATTCATCCACATCATCCACTTCATCAAAGAGGTTGTTTCCTTCATGGAACTTCTATTCCGTGTCAAAAGCGACCAGGAAGATGTTGTTTATTGATGAATGCAGCTCAGGGGCTACGGCCCCGCACTTCCTTATCCGTTCATGACGTTCTCGATCCACCCTCAACCATCTCCACGCCTTTCACCCTTCACAATATCAACAATGCCTACGTTCTTACCTCAACACAAGCCCCTCGCGGCTCCGACTTCTGGCGGTCGAAAACAGTGGTCACTTGCTTCCACGTGAGATGACACCTTCCTCACATACGGCCTTCCACTATTCAATTCACCGCCAAAGACCGATGCCCTCCCAATTCACCCGTCTCCTCCGACCAGCACCAATCCTCAGCATCTTAAGCCTCATCGCTATCCCCTTGGTTCTCACCGCCACCATGTCCAGTTCCACGCTTAAAGCAGCTTCCGCCTCGACCTCCACCACCTATCCCATAACCTCATATAAACCCCGCCACACCACCTGGCCCTACACCCCCGCGGACTTTCTCCGACAGGACCTCACCCCCGACACCTCCTTCTACTCCTCGCCACGCTTCGTAACCCATATCGACGAGCACGCCATCGCAGCCCTCAAAGCTTACTACGCCTCCGTCCTCCCCCGCCACGGCCGCATCCTAGACTTCTGCTCAAGCTGGATTTCACATTTTCCCCCGTCCCTAGAGTCGGCGGTAGAGAAGGGAGAGCTAGCGGTGGTCGGGATGGGCTTGAACGCGCGCGAGCTGGATGCGAACCCCGTTTTGGGCGAAAACGGTGGGCCGGGGCGGATCATGAGAGACCTGAACGAGGACCCAGACGTGTCGGTCGCAGTCAACAGCGGGGAGCTGTTCGATGCCGCGACTTGCGTGGTGAGTATCGACTATCTCACGCGGCCGGTGGAGGTGCTACGGAGTTTGGCGGGGGTGGTGAAGCCGGGTGGTAGGGTGCATTTGGTGGTCAGCAATCGGTGTTTTCCGACGAAGGCGGTGCGGAGATGGTTGAGGGTCGATGAGGAGGAGAGGTTGATGATGGTGGGGGATTATTTGTATTTTGCGGGATGGACGGAGATTGAGATTGTGGATTTGAGCGGAGGGGAGGAAGAGGAGAAGAGCGCGTCGGGGGTTGCAGGGCTGATGAGGTGGGCGGGGATGGGAGGGCATGATCCGCTATGGGTTGTTAAAGGGGTTAAGAAGGTTGATTAGGAGAGGCTGGAATGGGAGTCAAGATTCCCCGCCTAGAGAGCTTCGATATGATGTTTTCAGAACTAAAAGGCTGGAATGGACTTTCCGATGTGGGAGTTGAGAGCTCATGTCGATCCCCAGGAGCTTGGATTGAAGTCCCCGGAGAGGGAGCACTTACACCTCCGGGAGTTGCTCTCCTTACCCCAGATACCCAGAACGAGACACGTTATTCGCAGTAAAAATTTTAATAGCCATTCGTTAATTGTAGTGTACAGCTGCCCGCAAACGCCTAAACCTCCCATTGACACAAGTGATAGAGAGGATCGAAAAGAAGAGTTTCTTCGTAGTACGTTCAGTGCAGTGTCCTCAATCCCTCCTCAATGGCAATTCCGAGTGCACCAAATCCGAGCACAGTCCAAAGCCAGTGGTTGCTCAATTCCTTCGCAGCGGGCCAGAACGAGTTCTTCTCGTTGCGGAATTGCTCCAGCTGCTTCAGCTTCTCGGGGTCTGACATGGAGTATCGACGCGTCTGGCTAGCTTCGTTCTCCTTGTCTCCACCGAAGTAGCGCAGGAAGAGGTAGTTGGCAAGAGGGCCGAGGAGCTCAACAGGTGCAAGCATGTCGGAGCCGTAGAGAAGTACGATGAAGGAGAGGTGGACGAATGTGTCGCCGAGATAGCTAGATTAGTCAGTAGTGTGTTAAAATAGTATATCGGAAGGGTACTCACTTCGGATGGCGGACAATGCTCCAAACGCCTTCCTTGGTCAGACCGCCTTTGCCCTCTTTTTTGTGCTGATCGAGTTGATAATCGGCGATCGTCTCAAGAGCAAGCCCAGCAGAGAAGATACCCACAGCAGCCATCTGGACGTACGGGTGGTACCCCATCAGGACAGCACCCTCATGTCGGAACGGCGCAGTGAAGGGCAAGCTGATGATACTTTGGATGAGAGCTTCAGGGAGGAAGGTCGTGAGGAGAGATTTGGTCCAAAAGTCATCCTCTTTCTTGACCTCGTCATACCTGGGGTCGTCTTTACCACGTTTGATGGAGCGAGAGGCAACGCGGTAGAAGAGTCGGCCGCCCCAAAGCGTGACGCCAGTTAGAACGAGACGCTCATGCCAGGACAAGCGATTCAGAGCTTGGGAGAGGGTGAATCCAGCATACACGCGACGTCCAACGGCAGACCACCACGCATTGACGACCTGTCCGCTGGGCCAAATCCAGTCTTTGGCTTCAACACGGTTGGTGTAGCGGGCAGCTCCCCAGGCGATGACGGCGAAGCCGGAGTGCAATGCAAGAGAAGGCGCAAGCGTGTCTTTGAAGATGCCGACGTCGAAGAGAGAGGCGGACTCGACGTGGATCTTGGAGTGGAAGGAGTCTTTGATAGTGGTGTTGTCCTGGTTGAGGTAGAATTGATGCGGTTTGCGGTCAGCTACTTGGACCTCAACAGCAGGGATTTTGCCCTCTTTGATGCCCGAGCGGTCGAACCATCCAGCCATGGTTGAAGCTTTGGAGGGGAGGGGAGAGAGGAGAAAGTGTGGAGATGACGGATTCGGAGAGGGCGGCAAGGCGTGTTTATTCGACACAACTTCCCCGCAAACTGACGGACAATGATGTAACCGCCAGGTAACGCGGGGTGCGATCGCCTGACTGGTTTCTTCGTTGACTCTTCATTATTAATGCTACTGTTAGCAGCTCTTCACTCCTGCTGTCGTAAATGGCATGTCCAAGGCGTGTCCTATTTCCTCTCCAAAATGTGGAGTGAAGTGCAAGGATGGAGTGAGATACAAGATCTGAGAGGGTGGTCTGTGCACGGGCCTCAACCTCAGGCCAAGCATCGCGAGCTTTCGTCCCATCTCTCCTCCACCAATGTGCCTCACGGCGCCGCTATGTACATGCTATCTCACCAAGACGCAGACGCTTAATTCCGCGTTCGAAGAAATCAGATACGTGGTCCCAACCTTCCCCGCACTTTCGGGGAGCCTCAACGCGTTATCATGAGCGACAAACGAAACATGCTGCAGGCCCGATCTGCCATGCCGTCGAAGTATCTTCCCTTGCTCTCATTCTCCCTTTTCTCAATTCTCTGTCAATGCAAGAGAACGAATATCAGCGTCTATGATGCAACTCAGGGGACTTCGAGGTTTCGCCCCAGGTTGGGGTGCATCTTTCATATCATGTATTTACAGACTACCTACAATATTGGCCAAGGGAGTACTGCCACAATTACGCTCTATTTTCTAGATATGATTAGTAATGGCCTCTATTGTGCGCTATTTCACTATTGCACATGCTCACAATTCCAATTCACCAGCGGCGGTGGCCCGCGCTTCTTCCCGTCATCTATTAAAAAATCTCAAGCACGCCGCGACTAAGATTGTTCTCCAAATGACTACTGCCCGCGGTCACGGCACATCGCACCTCACACTCTTTATCTACCTCCAACCCCTCACCATCCTCCCTCCTCCCTCCATTGCCAGCAAAACCGACTCGTCCGCAGCAGAACCTTAGCATCGCAACGCCATGGCGGGTCGCCCCAAACGCAACGCGGAAAAGCCTCAGCGCTTAATCGAAGAACTTTCAATGGATCGTGGCTCTGAAACTCCCAAGTCTGGAACCTCCAAGGCGGCTCCTGCGATCAAGCAGTCCAAGAGAAAGAGAGTGACTGCCAAGGTACATTCCTCCGGTATTCTATTTCTACGAGAGCTTAGGCGCTAACTGTGTTCCAGGGTATTCAGCACCCAAAGAATCTGAAGTCCGTTGGCTCTGCGCCCTTGGGCAAGGCGCTGCTGACCAAAATACCTTCCGACGAACCTGGACCGAAACGAGCGCGTCGAAGCACAGCCAAGGAAGCCGATGAGACAGAGAAGAAGAGCCTCATCGTTAAGCTACGAACACCCAGCTTGCCTGCCACCGAAAATGCGGGAGATTCGAGCAATATCGCGAAGTTGAACGATTCCGGCCTTTACGCCACGAAGCAAATAGGAGAGTCGAGCTCAAGCGGTGAATCCGAAGTCGGCGAAGACGAGGATGAATCAGTCAGCAACACGGGTCATGAAGCTTCTTCAGCGATGCCAAAACAGGGCGAACTCACCTTGAAGTCCACCGGCCTGCGCCGCGATTCCGCGCAGTCTCTCAGAGCAGTAAACCGGGGTATTCACGTCCCTCACGGCTCTCCCGGCAGGACTCCTCCTATGTACGCCAGGTACACATTGTCCCAGAGTCCACATGCGACGGGCGTTCCTTACGAGTACAGGTCCTCTGAAAGCTTTGATCCGACTGTCACGCCTAGCAAGGATGAGCCACATTCGTTCGCTTCCGCCCACGCTGACGCCTTTTCCGAGGTTGCTACACCTGCCACGTCTAACAAGAAAGAGCCACGTTCGCTTGCTTCCATCTATGCCGACGCTATTTTTGAGCCTGCTACACCAGTCCAGCCCCGCGATGAAGACTACGACACGGACCAGGACACTCCTGTCTCGTCTATCGAAAAAGACCACCATGGCATCATCCTTCTCGACGACGCCTACACGCCCAACGAGGATCGCGGTGAAACGCCCATCGAAAGCCTACCGAGGACCACCGACTCTCCATACCTGTTCGACGAGACCGATTTCCTCGAAGACGAATCCTACGGCCTCAAGCTCAATGACAACAACCCCACTCGCGCTCGTGATGCTTTGATCGTGTACCTCAGGGATGACCGCGATCTCATCAATATCCAACGCAAGAAGATCGCACGAGACATGGAGATTAGGGCTTTCATTCGCGCGCATCCGAAGTGGGATCGTTGGGGATTCTACGAGAACCAGAAGGAACTGATGAAGAAAGGTGCGGTCGGAGAACCGAACGGTCCGAGGTGGGAAGTCAACCCCGGCGGATACAAGACCATCTATGACGTGAACCCTGGCAAGTACGACCTGTCCGTCACAGTCATGGATCAGCCGCGTGACCTGACTGTCATTCGCCGCGTTCTGGCGTATGCAAAGGTCCGGTACAGGTATAATTGGGTTCACCTGGCCAGCTCCTTCAGAGACGAGCTGCCCATTCGCACAATGGAATTCGAAGCGGAGATTGTGGAGATGATAGAAAATGTGGGCTTTCCCAAGAAGCTGTGCGAAGATGTAGCTGGCGATATTGAGGAGATCGACTCGGATTCGGATTCTGATGACGATGAGGAGGATCCAAACGAGGGTCAGGTCCAGTATCAGGCCCAGGACGACGACGATGCATACGAGGAGCCCTATGTCTTCAAGTACTGGGCTGAAGAGGATGAGGAGGAGCAGGAGTGAGTTTGTGCATAGGGATGACGAGCTCAAATGCTGAAAAGAATTGTCGGGTCTGTACAACGATGGCTGTTGAGAGACGGCGGATGTCAGACTTCGGCGGTTCAGCTTGATGTTGCTTTTATTGCTGCTTAGTATATTTAGCACGGCTACCAGCAGCTTTCCATAAATTGATGCGAATAAAAACTATACTATCATTTCTTCTAGGCTCTGAGAATGTGCTATACGGGATAATAATCTGAGTTAACCAGGCCAACTCCCTATGGGCGTCTTGCAATTGCTTAGAGGTAAGTGCTCGTCACAAGGCCGAATGCGGAGACATAGGACATTATAGGAAGGCTTCCAAGAAGACCCTATCCTCGAACATTGTTGTATTCTGTCCTACTGTTTGAAATTCCATTCTACATTGCCTCGTCATAGATATTCTTACACTCGTGCCTCATAGTATTTCCGCGTTCCGCATGAGAGTGAAGTACGGCATTTTGGACAACTAGTAAACTCACGAGGCTACCCCAAACAGTGTCAGCATATTGTACGCAGATTGGAAGTGTATTTGCTGCCCCCGGTTTCTGGTAGTGCATTGAAGCCCCACGAAACAGTGGCAAGAACGTGTACGGATATCTATGACAAAGCACTGCACCATAAGCCATCGCAAAGGAAGCACCCATCTCCAACACTCTCCTCCTCCTCCCTCAACCTATACCCCCCCAGCCCCATCGATCCTTCCAAACCCCACCTGCTCCCAACCCCCCTCGTCAATATGCAACCCCTCATGCTCCTCCCCCAGCACGCTTCTTCAACGGCAAGCTCCCCGGCTCCCCCTCCCAACCACCCACTCTTTCACCCGCCTCCAATCCCGACACGTCTGCTCCCTCTCCGTCTCCACCACGAGATCCCTGCTCAATATCCCAGATCTACCGGAGTTAGCGTCACCGGCGTGAGGTCCGCGTGAGACAATATAGCTTGCAGCAGGTGGTCAATGCAGTGGTCGACAAGCATACGCATCTTCATGCGGTACGCATGCGAGCGCATAGCGGAGGTGTGGTGGCATGGCTCTGTGTACTAGTCCGGGTCGATCTACTGGCGGATGGTGTTTATCCCATGTGCTCAGTTTGGGGTGGTTTCCCGGTCTCCTAAAAGCTTATACATAAAATTCAGTTCTCGTGTGTAGTGTGACTGGCGTAATATCGGAAAGACAAAATGGTCCTAGACACGACTGTATCATGTGGAAATTGAAATTGTGCGTATATTGAAGTAGCCAACGTGTGCATCCCCACCAACCATTCGTATCGTAAGAGTGCGCCGAAGGTGTCACTTTGCGGCTTGAGCGATGAACCTGAACATTTTAAGGCGGACCATATAAGCCCTTGGTAGACTCCATCCACATCATGAACCACGGGGATCCTAACTGCCTCTCTTGAGGCCTTGCGCGAAACTTGAGACCTCTCTTGATTTCTTCGGCACCAAGCTCCAGCGTGTGGACCATGTCTCCGTCCATACAAGGGTAAGACCATCGTTTCTGCTGGAATTCTTTGTAGTCGTACTTGGTTGGGGGCTGGAGGTTGAACAGCATGCCGTTTCCCCCAGACCTGAGATTCGACATACGAAGCTTTGTGAGTGCTGGCATTCCCGACAAATGCGAGAAGATTGCTTCCCAGGTGCCTGTGGTGAGGCGGACCTCTCTGAGCTCGAAGTGGTTGAGCTTGGGGTGTTTCTCTAGAAAGAGGAGTAAGGACTCAGCTGTCGTGGGTACGCCTCTGAGAAAGCACTGCTCAAGCGCTGGCAAGTGGACTTCGCTTGCCACCGTGTTGAAGATCCGGTCGTAGCTCTTTGTGGAACCCTGCAACGTGTTATAGAGGTGCAGGTCAATGGCCTCGAGATTTGGCATAAACTGCAGCAGCTGCGCGACACCGGGGAAGTTGTCGTGTGCCAAAGCCTCCGGGTCATCGGCCTTCAGCAGTCCCGCGCTCGAGGTGCCAAAGGCGTCCTGATAGATTTTTTCGACGCCTTGAAGGCCTTCACGGGCTTCGAGAATCTTCGAAAAGTTGCACACGACGCGTGTCGATATGCTGAGAGCTACGTTCTTGACGTGGACTCCAGCTTCTACAAACCCGGCAGTTTCAAGAGCAGCTATGTGATCTGTGATCTCGACAGAGGGAATGCTGCAGCGATGGGTCTCGCGATAGAAGGTGAGAGTTTCGACTTCGATCCCGCTCCGGGCAATCGCCAGCGTAGTGATGTCAAAGACCTGGGTTGCGCGTGCCCAAATCGCATACCACTCTCTGGTAGCCTGTGTACTCACGGACTTTCCCGGTGCCTGGATGACGGAAGCGTCAAGTTCGATGAAGTCTAGTTTAGCAAAGGAGCGGAAAGCTGACTCTAGCATAGAAGTGGTTGAGTCGTCAGGTTGGTTGCTCGATTCTTTGATACGAGCACGTAGCCATTCGAGGTCGGACTTCGCTTCCTGGAGCTCCTCTTCGGTGCATGCTGGCTCGGTAGTGCTCATGAAAGGGCCATTCCTTGTAGTAATTCGTTTTCGTTTTGTAGCCAACAGACATTCGAGCTCCGAGGGATCATAGATGATGGCTCGGACTATGACATGTTTTACCGCTGGGCCCAACTGTGTATGGGAAGCGATTGCGTTGAGCTTATCTAAGCTCCCCTTCGTCAGGTCTGTTGACTGGGTGTTGAAGAAGCTCTTGAAATATGGCCCTATGCAGGTATTGCTGAGGTCTTTGCAGCTTAGCCGAAGATTCTTGAGAGAAGCCAGATCGAGACTGGAGATGATTCTCTCCACAACCTCGGGTGGTAAGCCTAGAAGAGGTGGATTCGACGAAATCTCCATTATTGTAGAATAGGGTAGCTTGAGTTGTTCGGATACGATAATGAGGCGAGAAGAGAGTATAGGAAAGTTACGAAAGAAGTAGGTACTTGGAATATAGGATGGATGGGAATGAGAGTGGCACAATGGCTGATGCCTGGTAGCACTGCCTCCCGACTCTATTCTTAACCATCTACAGAGTAGGCGGCTATTGCAGACTCTGAGTCATACCAGAATCCGCAGCCGAGAGTAAGAAAACACTTTTGCGATGTTTCGTGATGATGTTTGATGGTTATGGTTGGCTTCGCGAGATTCAGGATAGATTTGAAGTGGGACGCATCCATCTCAACAAAGCAACCTTGGAAGTCTTGGATTAGCGGGGAGCTGAAGCCCGGGGGCTACGTCCCGAGTGCCTGTGTGGCTAGCGGAATGATAAAGGAATAACATGCCGAACAAAGCAAGTCTTGGTGTTTCAACAAGGTGCGTAGGTGTGGGAAGCTGAGATGAGATTGGATTAAATTCTGAAAAGCTCGGATCAAGGTGCGATTGGTAGGTAAAAGACACTATTCTACAAACCACGTGACTGCAGACGTTTACTTCTGGCATCACTTTCGCTCCTATGAAGCCTGTGCACACCTTCATGTTACTGAATGCGGAGCTTCAAGGAGCTTCCGAGAACCTAAACGAAATGGATGTTCTTCATATTGAAGAAGCTTAGTTTCACTGAGCCACATCAAATAGTAGGCAGTTGTGAAAACTATCTTGAAGCCCATCAGTTTGTTTAACGCGCTGGATTGATAGGACTTGTAGAATGTATAATCACAGCTTGATGAGCAACCTGAAAACATTTCACGTTTCTAGTCATTGATGGGTATACTCCTATAGTACAACCACATGCTCAGTCCTCTCACGGCCCATATATATACATACCCATCGATCCCACCCTACTCATCTACAAATCCCAACATCTCCCCAACCTTCACCTTTTGCCCCTGCTTAATCTTCCAACTCCATCCCCCGGGCCTCTGGCCTTCAACATATCCTTCATCAAAAGTCGGCCGGCGGCCCTTCGGTGCCTCAAATACAAGCACAATCGTACTGCCCAGCTGGAACCCGCCCATCTCCTCTCCTCTCTTCAGCGCATGCCCACCGAGGACGGAACTCGCGTTCTCGTACGTAGCCTCGGAAAACCCAGAATACAACTCCCCACGCTTGGCCGCCTCCTCGGCAGCGCGATCAGCGGCCGTGTCCGTATTCAAACTATTCGTACGCAGTTCGCGATCGAAGTTGACGACGATAGAACCGACGTTGGTCGCGCCGACAGGGGTAAAGCTAAAGAAGCCCCAGCGCCAGCGACCAAGAAGCACGACACGCTCGTTTAGAGTGAAAAGGCCTGGCAATGTGCGCTGTAGATAGGGTGATACGCTATAAAGCTCCCCGGCGAAGTGGCGGCGGGATTCGACAACCCAGGAGGCTGGGGAATGGAAGCGGTGGTAGTCGCCCGGCGCGAGGTAGATGACGCAGTAGTACAGAGCGGTGGGATCTTTGGAGGGGGTGGGTGCCCACCAGGAACGTGAGGACTCGGCGAGAGCCAGGTCAGCGCGGACTTCGGCTTCAGAGGAGGCGCGGGGCGAGGTCGACTGGTCGACTGGCATCTCGCCGGGTTCGTTGCCTTTCGGTTGGGGGCTGGAGAAAAGGTTGGGTAGCGTGTACGATATGCCGTTTATCTGGGCAAATTCTTCATCGGCGCGGATAATCTCTTCGTCGCCGGTGCGGGCACGGGAGCCGCTAGGTTGGGCCGAGTTGGGAGATGAGGCGATGTTGGAGGTTGGTATTGACCCGTTTGAAGACTTTGGACGGACAGAGCCTAGGAGCGCGTCTAGGCTGTACGTTACGCCTTTTACTTGCTCGACTTCGCCATTGTCAATGATGCCGAACTGGATTACTTTGCCATCGGCTGGCGAGACAATGGCGTTGGGGGAGGGGTCAATGGGCCGAGAGCCGGGCTTTAGGGTACGGTAGAAGAAAGACGCGAGATTTGGGTAGGTATGGAGGTCAGGCTCGGCGACTTCCGAGAGACTGGACTGGTATTAGCATGACGCATTAGGTCGATAGTGTCAAGTAAGGTTTACTTCACGCCAAATATAAAAGAGTAGAGTTTGAAGCCGGGCACGCGAAGGTAGTATGGTATTTCTAGTTCATTGAAGCGACCCCATATCCTCGATAGTGCCTTCAATGGTAACGTAGACATTATTTGAACTTGCCTAGAGGTATGATTGTTAGTCTCGTGGTTTAGATAAAGCTGAGGCGTGCGAGACGTACCACGGTCCACTTGGGCGTATCCTCTCCCTCTTCTTAGGCTTACCGCCATCTGGTCCACTCCCATAACTGCTCCTCTCCTCCTCTTGTATCCGTTGCTCCCGTTGTTGGACTCTGTAGAACTGGAAAAGACCGAGGAACCCAATGCCGAGGCCGATTGGGATAGGCTTCCACTCAATCTTCGTAGACTTCAGAGCGGCATTCAGCCGTGACCGGAAGGACTCTTTCGTCTGCTGTTGTTGCTCTTCTAACAGAGGTTTTGTCCAGGCAAAGGTCCTTGAGGGCGCAGGATTGCGGACATGTACGATGCGGCGAAGGGTCCCGCGGTAGACAACGATGCAGTCGCTGCTAATGGGCCGAATTGCGGCGTGGCTCGCCGTATAGGCTCGGCGGGAGCATGCTAAAGACATATCTAGGTCATACTAACAGAAGAGGGTGGGATTGAAGGTATGCACACGGAGATGCTTTTTGCCGCATGACATTCGTTCATGCCAAGGTCGATCGAAGCGGCGCGGTTTGATGGGTGATCGCCGGCGAACCACAACGTGTCTGGAAACAACACCACCTATCCACCATCCACCACTGCGCCAGCGTTCGCTTTCTTGTGTCCAAAACACTATAAGCTACTGGTGGCCATGCTGGCTGCTCACCTCTCAACCCCATCATAACTTCCACATCTCTCGCTATCCTCTCCGTCGCCATGTCCGATCCCAGCGCGGCAGCACCGGCCGAGCAGACCTTCATTGATTTGAAGGTTCTGTCTCCTTCCACCGAGGTCGATGGCGACATGTTCTTCAAGCAACTTCCGGCGTCAACGACGGTGGCAGAGCTGAAGCTCAAGATCAAGGACCAGATTGCCGCGAAGCCCGCGGTGGAGCGTATGAGGCTGATCTATAGAGGGCGGGTCATGGCAAAGGAGTCGGACACTATGACCGATGTATTCGGCCGCGATGAGGTAAATGAATACTCCTCGTACCTGCTCTTGAGCTCTGAAACTGATATCCTGCCAGATCCGCGCCTCAAGTGAACAGAGCTTGCATCTTGTCCTCCGCGAATTCGCCCATTCTTCGCATCCTCATAACCCCAGTAGCACTTCCTCCACGCCGATACCCCGAAATTCAGTAACTCCAGCTCCTCGCTCTTCCACCGTGCCTCCCCAGAACCCTTTCCGAACTGGTCCTCCTTCCCCCGCACTTGGAGGCCCGACCCCTCCACCTCAAACGAATCCCTTCAGGGCTCCAGCTCAAGGCCGTCAACCCGTACAGCCACACCAGAACCACGTACATCACATGCGTCATCACCATAACGCGTTTCCTCACCTACAACCGTTTCCATTCCCAATGAACGGCCAGCCAGGAGTGCCGCCACAGCTACCCATTCCGCCTGAGCTTCAGAACCTCCTCCAGCAGCAGGCACAGCAGCAAGCGCAAGCAGCAGGACAGCTCGGCACTAACCAGGCTGGGCCTCAGCAAAATGGGCAGACTCCACCCGAGCAGCAAAATGGGGCGGAATCAGGGACGCAAACCAACGCCAGAGCACCAGCTTCAAGGAATGCTTTCCAAGATTACGTAGCTCGGCAGCAACAGCAGAGAGCCGCTACAGGTTCCCCTGGCGCCGGAATCAATGGAGCTAATGCTACCCCAGGCGACAACAGGGAACCGGGGAATGGAACACCGCCAGGATTACCTTTTGGTGCTATACCTCCAAACACTTCTAGCACGATCAGACACGAAGGCATAGGTCCAAACGGACAGCGCTGGACTATGACCGTCAACAGCACTAATGTTACCACTGGCCCTGGCCAACAACCTCCTAACTTCGGCCGTGCATTTCCCCACCCTCCCCATATGCCCCTGCCTCCGTTTATGAACGGACGGATTGGAAGTCCCAATCCCAATAGACAGATTTATTCAAATATGGACCGAGACCTGGCCAGAATTCGATCAAGTCTACAAGCAGCCCAGCGGGAAATGGAAAACATTAGGTTGCTTATAAATGCCGACTCTGGGGAACTTACGTCAAATCTCACGACTACAGGCTCGACTACTCCAACCTGGCGGCACGGAACAGTTCGACAACATATGCAGAACCTTCTCGGCAATCTGGACGAGTTGCAGACCGCATTAAATTCCCTTGTCGCCGATCCCCAATTGGCGCGTAACAGGGATATAGTCTCTCTACAAATGTTGAATAACAGCTTGAGACAACAAGCAGATGGTCTAGTTGAAAGCATCGATCGCCTCCAAGAGAATGTGGAGAATTCTCGAGCTACAAATACGAATGGCGCCACAGACACTAGTTCTACCTCGACTCCCACCCAAGCCAATCCCTCGAATCTGCCCCAGCCGCCAGCTTCGACTGGAACAAGTGCCCAGACACCAGCCACCGCACCCGGCCCAGAACTATTCCTCCTCTCTGGCCCTCAAGGACCCGTCGGTCTTCTCTTCGACGAAAGGGGCACTTACACGACTGCTCCATTTTCTCCAACACTCCCTTTCGATACGTTCAACCAGCAATTCAATGCGAATCGCCAAGTTCTTGCGGGCTTCGTGAACCAAGTTGCCCAAGTATATCAACAACAGCCCGCTACCAATCCTGCCCAAGGTCAGAACCAGCAACCTCAAAATGCAAACCAAAACCCTGCCACACAACCCGGTCAGCCTGCCGCACAGCAGGCACAACCAGGTCAGGCGGCAGAGCCTCCGGCAAACGGTATCGGAGTCGCAACTCATTTCTGGCTTCTCTTCAAGCTCATCGCTTTCATTTACCTCTTCGCTGGTGGTACTGGCTGGCGCAGACCGGTCATGATGGGCATTACCGGCATCATCGTGTATCTCGCGCAACTGGGCCTTTTTGAGAATCAGTTTGACAGAGTGCGCAGACATTTTGAAGCACTTCTTCCTCTTGCGGAGCGCGAGGTTGGTCCTGGCCAGCGACCGAGGCCGGAGGCTGCTCAAGGCGGGGACTCGCGCCGTGCCCCTACGCCCGAAGAGACTGCCCAGCGATTGATAAGAGAGCACGAAGAGCGGGAAAGAGGGTGGATGCGGGAAAGAATAAGAGTCGTGGAGCGCGCGGTTGCGCTTTTCGTGGCGAGTCTTTGGCCCGGGCTGGGTGAGAGGATGGTGAGGGCGAGAGAGGAGCGAGTTGCGGCGGAACGAAGGGAGGAAGAAAGGCTAGCGGCAGAAGAGCAGGCGAAGGCTGAAAGAGAAGCCAAGGAAAAGGAGGAAGCCGAGGGCGAGAAGGCCGAGGGCGAAGGCATTGGAGAGGCGGGCGAGGCCAGTGGCAGTGGCAAGGGAAAGGAAAAGGCCATTGTCCCGGAAGCTGGAGAGGCTTCTGGGTCCGAGGCGCTGCATACGAGAGATGAGGAGGTGGTTCGATGAAGCACATTTTGAGCGTTTTCCTTCTTCTAGCTTTGGCAGCGTTTTAAGGGTGTTTAATGGCTTGAAATCATTGATATCATGCTTTACAAGCAGTTGGAGAGGGATGTATCATAGGAAGGATTTCTTCGTGTAGCACACTTTCGGCCCTCGCGCTAGGTTTATTATGGACATAAGTTTTGAAGTCTTCGTAAATGCCATAACGCGAACTACACGTTCCGATAGGCTTTATTGAATCCTGAGAGGTGCGACATCTCATCGATTGTCTAAAAGTCTCCAAAACATCACGTGATCTTGCCTATAAGCGGCTAGCTCGTTTTCTAACCAACCCCGGCTCCGACTCCTTGCTTACTGTCTCACCTCTACGCATCACCCCTTTCCACATGTAACAGCCTATCGAGTCCGAGTATAAGCCGAGACGCTCATCTTCGTTTCGCAACTAAGGCCGTAAATTCGAAGACCCCGCGTCAGTGTGACAATTAGCCACTTTTGTACGGCCGTATGCAGTTCGCCGGCCCAATTATATATAAGTAGCGGACTATATAAAGCTGCCGTGGACGTCGACACTACCTGGAATCATACACAATATTCATCAGGAGTTTCCACGAACGTTTCATTCCATCCAAGGCCCTCATAGCTCATCTGTCTTTCATTACCATCACACAAAGCCGCGTAACCTACACCCTATTGCACCAGCTTGTCCATCTGCTCAACTCCCCGTTTCCCACCCGCATCTCTCCACATAATGCCGCCCCTCACCATCGCAATCATAGGCGCCGGCCCCGGTGGCCTCCTCCTCGCCCGCCTCCTCCTCCGCTCCCCACCCCCCATCTCCGTCTCCATCTTCGAAGCTGAGGCGTCCGCCACCACTCGCTCGCAGGGCAGCACTCTGGATCTCCGCCCCGGCGGCGGGCTCAAAGCCATGCGCGAAGCCGGGCTCTGGGACGAGTTCTGCGCCCACGCGCGCTGGAGCGGCGAAGCGCTTAAAGTCGTCGATAAGAAGCTCGTCACGTGGCTGAGCCGCAGCGGGGGCAGCCAGACGGAGCCGCGGGAGTGGGGCGCGGCGCCCGAGATTGATCGGCGGGTGTTGAGGGACGTGTTGCTGGGGAGTGTGGGCGAGGGGGTTGTGAGGTGGGAGAAAAAGGTTGCGAGTGTTGAGGTGGATGATGGGACGGGGAAGGGGGTGGTGAGGTTTGTGGATGGTGGGGAAGAGGGGGGGTTCGATCTGGTCGTTGGTGCGGATGGGTGTTGGAGTAAGGTCAGGGCAGCGGTGTCGGAGGTTAAGCCGGTTTATTCGGGGGTTGGGGGGTTCTCGTTTTCGATTTCGGATTGCGAGAGGAGGGCGCCAGAGGTGTGGAAGCTGGTGGATGGGGGGAGTGTGTTTGGATATTCTGATAGCAAGGGGTTGAATGGGCAGGTACTGGGGGATGGGAGTGTGAGCGTGTCGGCGTGGGGGGTGAGAGGTGAAGACTGGATGAGGGAACGTGGGTATGATGTCTACGATCTTGAGCAGGCGAGGGAGGGGACGAAGAAGGAGTATGTAGGGTGGGCGAAAGAGTTGACGAATATGCTGGATGCTGTGGATGATGATGTTGTGCCGAGGTCGCTGTATATGCTACCGGTTGATTTTGCGTGGGAGCACAAGAGGGGGGTCACACTGCTGGGCGATGCAGCGCATGTCATGACCCCATTTGCGGGGATTGGAGTTAATATGGCGTTGCAAGATGCGATGGAGTTGGCTCATGCTATCATTGACGCTGCGAAAGAGACGGGGAAGTCAGTTGGAAAGGATGTCTTGGACGAGCAGATGAGGAAGTATGAGAAAGAGCTATTTCCCAGAATGCACGCGGCACAGGAGATTACGGATGGCGCGATGAAAGACATGTACTTCACAGAGGGAGCACCGAGGACATCGATACATCGGTGGTGCTCTACGGTTGCAGGACACGACATGCATCCTCTCGTCAGGCCTGTCTTCACCGCAGCGCTTTACACGTACTTCTTCATTTTCAGGATGTTCGTTTGAAAGTCGAATTTGAAAGATCTTCCTCCAGAGCTTGTATTATACTCAGTTCCTTCTTAGATTACGTATGCAACACCTTGCTATAAAATCACCAATCTCAGGTGTAATCGTATATTCCAAGGAATTGATAAGGAGAAATCTACTATTTCTTTGCTTCTCGCGGATTACCAGTTGAATTTCCGTCGAATCGATGGCACCGTACTTAATCATACCTGCTCATAACTGCAGCTGCCGCACGCAAAATGGCTACACATTGAGCAGCACATAGTCGTGATGCTGAGCGCCCCGTCCCCACACGCACAACAATACCAAACGCGAAACCTACCATCATTGACAGGAGGCTCAGTTTGAGGAAAAAGCCGAATGCGTTTGAAATCTGAAACGCAATCTGTAAAATTCGAGTCAGGTAGCAGGTTGTCTGGGGCGTCTTTGGTATCATATGGCGGCGCGTCCTGCGGACTGATACGCTGGTATTGTATACCGCATTCCCCACTGCCAGCTTAGGTTAACGTCGGCGACGGGCTGGAAGAGAGGAGAAAATTACCAGGTTATATGGTCATCGGCAGTTCCAGCATTCAAGTTACCACAACTCGGACAACACTAGTCATTGATAGCGTCGTCGGAGAAAAGAGCCGCCATCAGTATTCGCCGTCCAGGCCGGAAGCTACACTTGAAAGGAACATTTCGAGAGATTTCTTTCCTCATCGTCGCGTCCTGTAGTACGTATTGCTTTCCGGCGATACGGTCCAATCCTGGCATATCTCTGAAGCGCGCGAGGAGGACATCCTCGAAGATCTATTTGCAAACATGTCAGGTACGGTGAGAGGTGTACTGCTAGCAAGAGGTCTCTACCTACATCCCAGCTGTCAACAAGCTCTAAAGGCATCCTCGTGACCCTCCCTATAGCATCGTCAAGGATGACTGGCTGCTCACTCCAAGGTTCAAGAAGGCGAGGTAGCTGGGATTGGATGTAAACCACGCCTTTCCAAGTCTCGTAGCTTACTTTCCTACACGCACAATCAGCACCTATTACGTAACAAATACGAGATTCACAAGGGTTCATATGACATACCAGATGATTTGAGCCTTCTGAAGGAACTCTTCGCGGAACTTCGTCAACCTGAAGGTGTTCTGTCAGTGGCTTTAGATAATCTATCCGCGTATACGCATACGTAGTAATCCAATCAGTAGATGGAGCAATCAGCCGTACTTGCTCCATTTGTTCCAGTCGTTTTCTAATGTTCTCCACTTCAGCGGCTTGTTGAGCAGAATACTCTTCTTGCTGACTGCTCGACTCTTCAACCTGGCGACGCAACCGCTCATCCGCCATGACGAAGGAATTTCTAAGAGCGCAGTCAGAGGTTCAGCGCATCAGTGTTCACGAATATACATAATGTCTTACAGATGTGCCGACACTAACAAAGCCGTGATAGACTGCGTGTGATCTCTAATGTTCGTCCGAAATTGCTCCACACACTCCTTATGCGACATTCGCCAATGTAGCTTCCAGAAAGATTCGCGAACCGCATTTTCAGTCTTCTTCTTCCACTTCCCTCGTTTCTTCTTAGAGTTTCCGAGATGTTTCTTGTATTTATCAATCTTACCATGAAACACGACAATAAGATCATGGCAGTCCTGCGCCTTCAGCCTTGCTGTCTGACCCAGTGCCACATATCCCGAAGAGCTATCGCACGTCGCGGTTAGATCTTTCAAGGTAAATAGAAGGCGTTGAAGGTTTCGAATATCCTCTACAGCCTTCTGGTAGTCTCGGGTAGAGCCGCGGCTTTCGTCCAAAGTTTCGAGGAGGTCTCGTAGGATCTGACATAGGGCTACGATATCGCCCACGGAGCCGATTGTAACCGGCATTGCTCCACCCGGTGACGAGGCTCAAGGAATAGTTTGCGCAGTAGCGGAGTCTTAGGGCTTGCTCCGCTCGTGGAAGCATTGCATATATAGCTGCCCTTCGAAACGAGGTAGTGGTCAGGCTGAAATGCGCCTTGCCTTGGCATGCATGATCTCGAAGAAGCATAGCGTAAATGCGGGAGGAGAGAACATGATTGGAGTAGTTGCTCCGTCATGGCAATTTAAGAGGTGGGCCGAAAGACAATAGGAATCGATTTGAGGATATAGCTTCTGGTATATCATAACGCGGTACAAAATTTCCTCGGAGTGTTCATACGCTATGTATGCAGTCATTGACAAGTAGAAGAACGACAAACCAAATTTCTACAAAGGGTCTGAACACTCACTCTAAAGTCGACCCGGCTCGCCACATTCATTTTGTGCGCCTCACACAGCCTCAGAGTCACCGTGCTTGGTGGAGGTGCTTGTTATCGCTCGACCCACCACCGGACGAAACAAAGGATGATAATGATGAGGCCGGCGCCATAGAATGAGAGATGCCCATGGAGGATATTTGTAGTGATGGAAAAGGAAGGATGAGAAATGGGAGCAAGACTGAGAGAATGAAGGTCAAGTATAAGTACTGCGCGTGCCGTGCGTACTTCTAGGGCCATCTACTCCCCACTACACTTCACACAGATAGGGATGGACAGCACTAAATCAGTTACATTCGCACTTTAGTTGACTAGACGAGGACATAGAGAATGAAGACTTTCCAAAGCTCTGCGGATCTACTGAAGACCTCGGGGGGACGTCCGACAACTGAAACGGACAGCAACAATAGCCAAACCTCTATTTCATCTCATGCTTTCGCAATCCATCAGCAACAGCTTATTGAGACTGCTATTTTACTTACCAGAGTAATAAGGCACTTCCTTGAGGCTGTGGCACACCAACAATGACATCCAACGCGTTTCCATTCGAAAGGCAGCTCTAGATTTACCCTCGAACTTGCGACCTCCAGCGGAATTACTGTTCGTCGGACTGGCTCGACTGCTCCTCATAATAATATGCGCCTTCCCAGACTGGATACTGGTCCCCGCACTCCAAAGACGTTTCAACAAACGCATTTTCAACCCTCTCTAGTGTGGTGATTCCCTTGCAGTTGCTTGGAATAGCTCCAAGAAACCTCATCAGGATAACTTCCCCGTTTCGGTATAATAGTCGTTCGTCCCAAAACTGTGCCGCTCGGAAGAATGCGTAGGATACCCAATCGTAATTGGTATAACCTTCCACGCCCAAGTTGCCCATTGCGTCCAATACGAGGAGGAATCGCTCTAGGTTGATGAATCCTATATGCGGCTCGGATTCATCAAAATTTCCATATTCCGAGAGTTTCCTGGAGCTAGTTAGTCCTCGCGCTCGCGGATTTAGGCTTGAAGGAATTCACTTACCTCCACGGTGGGTTTTCGCTTGATGCGTAGGTCGATGAATCAGATTCATGTGAAGACGTGGAGTCACCGTTCGAAGAATATGACGCAGGGCTAGTACTCGAACCATGAAACGATAGCGCAGGGCCAACGGAGCCGCTGCTTGAAGAAGAATGCAAGCCAGAAATCGATGCTATTGGCATAGTTGTATGGACAGAGCCGTCGCTCGGGACTGATGATAGAGAAGAAGGAGAGTTGATAATATGCTGTTCAGAACCGAGCGCAGTCGTTAGCCCGGGGGACAGCGTAGTGAGAGAGGTGCTCGCTGAGTGACGTTGACGCTTGCTTGGAGGAGGTGAGGCCGACATGGCTTTCGGGTGCAGCGGGCGTGGTCAATTTGCTCCTCTTGCGTCGTGGCTTGAATATGCAGGCTCTTTCAGAAGCGCAGTAACGTTAAGTACACTCGATCGCCCCTTCTGATCGAAATTTGTCTTGATCAGGAACAGAAGCTGCAGATGCGCAATGGATATCCCCGAGGCCGGTGAGTTCTTTCTCGGCCTCAATAGTGTCAGCTGAGTCGCAGAGTAGTGCACTATCGATGCCAACATGTTGCTTTTATGGAGGCAGGAGTTAGAGAGGTGAAGCCAGCGCTGTCGTATTGGCTGAGCTCAGACCCTATAGCGCCGCGTTTGGATCATCGCCTTATCGTCTGTATAGAGTAGACATCATAGTGAGTTGATTCCTGTATGATCATCACATCAACTGCGCAAGCCACGTATCACTATTGCTTAGCCTGCGATTTCTAGTGTCGGGTTCATCGCATCAACACCTCCCAACTCTCACACGAACCCAGAAATCACGGTGCTCACACCAAACCCAGGAAAATACGTTCATAGTTATATCGGTTTTTTTTTTTTGGAATTGTTACCTAAGAGTTACCGACAACCAAACTCCTATCGCTCGCCAACCCACCCAGCCAAACCGGCTTCTATCATGACTAGGCGTACTCCCCTGCTTCCCACGAATGGGTTGCAGAGATCAAAGCCGCAAGTGGTAAGATGCCTTTGGCACTGGCCGAGTGAGTCAGCTAACTAATGGAAAGTGGAAGTGTCGTCGTGGTGCCCCTACGAATAAAAGAAAAGCAAATCGCTCATGGGCCGCGCCGGATCTCCTGCTCCCGAGACCACCAGCTGCCCTTTTTTCGTCTTAGGACAAGGAAGAAAGGAAAAAAGGAAAAAGAAATCATCTAATGATGCGGCCGTCGTACTCATCGCTCTTTCAGAGGCATCCCCGGCAGCCTCTTCACCTCCTCTCACTTTCCCCAATCACATCCCCACTCATTAACTACCCTGACATGTTCTACTCGTGACTGTTTGCCTTCCCCTGCCCCGCATATATCTGCTCTCGTCGCCTCTCCTCCGTCTTCCACTCCGACTACCTCTACTACTCCGTCTTCTTCTCTTCCACCCACTGCACTCTGCTTGCCGGTTTCCCAACCTCCAGGTTCCTGGTACCAGCAAGACAGGATCACGAGTGTAAGACCGAAGAGTACGATGCCAGAGTCCCAAAGCTTGGGGACGACGAACCGACAAAAGAGATAGCCGAGGCCGAGAGTCAATGCCATGAAAATCGTCATCTTGAACAAGAAGGACGGGCTGGCCCATCGAGTAGCTGGCTTGTTGCTTGAGAGAATGATTTCGACGTTTCCAGGGAGACCGGCTTCGGTCTCCGGAATGCTGCCACGGATATTTGTGACGGTGGGGGCTAGCTGGGGCTTTTTAGTTGGCAACGGTACTGGGGAGGCCGGTGAAAGAATGTTGTGGGTTGTTGGAGAAGAGTCTATGGGGTTCTCCTCTCGAACCTCAACTTCCTCGAGAACTTCAGGGATGACCTCGGCAGTCTCTTCTTCCTGTGCCTCGTGAATCTCTCCAACCGATGATACCTCATTCGACTCCGTTTGTGTTGTGTTTATGGTTTGCACAAACTCCACAATCGGCGCCGTCGTGTCTCGTCGTGTCAAGTCTGTGACGTGCTGAGGGTCGCCCTTTTCAGAATGTCCAGGGGAGGAAGACTCCTTTTCAGAGGTGGTCAAAATATCCAGATCCGATGTGAGAATCTGAGTGTCGAGTTCAAGATCTTGGATTTCCGCCGATGGTTCCTCATAAATGGTGGAAATTTGGCCCTCCGTGATCGGGATAGCGTAGCCAGAGGCTACTGCCAGTTCTTCCGGACGTAGTAGTGGATCCTCCGGGTCGTAAGGCTCGATCTCGTTGGAAATGACGACATCTAGGTCGTCCTCGTCTGAATCGTCCTCGACAATAGTGTCCAAAACAGGTCCATAAACGACCTTGTCATCTCCCTCGGACTCTTCGTCTGCTCCCTCCTCAAACTCTTCATCGGAATCGCCACCCTCGCTCGACCCCACCTCGTCTTCCTCATTGTCCGACTCGTCGACATCTGACTCCCAGTCATCCCCAGAAGTCGCCTTCACGCTCGCCACAGTCACAAACTGGATGGCCTGATCCGCCGGGCCCTCCTTCTCCAGCTGACCATCGGCGCCAATCGTAATCCGGTCAAACATTGACCTGCTCTTAGGCTTGGTAGGCTCGTCTTTCTCCTGTGAATACTCGCTGGAGGTACTCGGTGGCTCGTGAATTGAATCTTCCACCGGACCATGTTCCTCATCAGATCGGAGAGCGGAAGTGTCAGTCATGATGGTTGATTTAGTCATGATCGGAGTAAGAACGTTTTTTTCTGGTCCTTCCTCGATACCAAGAACCTCACCCAATGTGTCAGCTTCTCCAAGAGAAGTGGGTTCACCCTCGAGAGGATCCTTCGAGGTGGCCTCGGCGATGACACTCTTGATAGTAAGAGTAGCGTCTGCATCGACAATAGGCTTCTCAGTGATGTCGAGGCTGTCTTCCGGAAGAGGTTCTTCAGTATCCGCCGCGGGGTTGTCGCCACTCTCGATCACAAGAGGATTAGAGTCGTCCGAAGGAACTTGTAGCTCATCCACCAACCCGTCTTCCTCTTCCGATAGGCTGTCGCCGTCCGTCAATTCCGGTGAATTCTCAGAAAGGGTGCCTTCATCGACTTGTGGGGTTTCGTGAGGTGTTGAGTTGTTAGTCGAAGATTCAGTCGTCGTAACTACCTCAGTCTCCATGACAGAGACTTCCGCAACAGCGATTTCTTCTTTTTCGGTTACTCGAAAGCTCAGGGACTGAGGCGTTGAGTTGTCTTCTACATCCTTCCTCGGTCCATTAAACTGGAAAGCGAAGGAGGACTCGCCGGAGATACTTGAAAGGAACGAAGTTCCCGACGTACGCGAACCTGGTGTAGAGGATCCCGATGAGGATTGTGAGGAGGTCGTACGATGTTGTCGATCTAGGGCGGACTTCTGAGGGGGTTGAGTAGGCTGGGAAGCCCAAGTTCCGGCCAAGTCCTGTAAGAGGGCCGCATCCTTGGCCTTTTTCTCTTCCTTAATCGCCACGAGCATGGCAACTTTCCTGGCCGTGGTTGCGTTCAGCACATCTTCTTTGATCTATTTCTCCTTCTTCGTCAAGGCAATGGTGCCCGGCGCCACCGTAGCCCCATTGGAATAGCCCTGCCAAACGTTAGCGTCAAGTGTACGTCTGCGGAAGCTTGATCGTCTTACCTTGCGTGGACCTGCACTAGCGAGAGCTTGATTCTTGCGAGGTTCCTTCGCCTTGATCAATTCCTTAAGCTTCTTGTGAAGCTCCGGGTTGTGACCCGCCTTCTTCTTAGCAACTTCGTCTTCTTCCACTTTCTTTTCAGCTACCGCAGCCTCTTTGATTGCCTGTTCAAGAGCATTTTTCTCTGATGCGGCAGCCTCTTTGGCCTGCCTCTGTCTGAGCTGCTGGGCCTTCCGCTTGAGCCTCTTCTTTTCTTCCTTTGATAAGACGGCTTCCTCCTGAGGCTTCTCGTCAACTACCACTTTTTTGACCGCAGGTTCGGCTGAAGACACGATGCTATCCTTCAACTGGACTTCGGGGTCGACACGCGACTCCTGACGCACGATCGTCGGAGCAGGGGCTGAAACGGTAGATTGAACTTTCATCGCTGATTTGTTGGGGACCTGACTGACAGGTTTGACCTGATTAGCGGCCGCTCCAGCAGAGCCGGAGGAAGAACCTGGGTTGGAACCGGTGCCCATGGGCTTTGCTAGCTTGGTGATGATTCGAACGTTTGGGAGTTCGGCGCTGAGAGTAGACTGGGTGGCTTGGACTTGCTTGGAGGCGACGGCTTTGGCGAAGTTCATGGGAGCAGACTCTTCTTTCTTCTCCTTGCCCTTGTCGTCAATCTCCTCCATAGAGGCAGACATGGCGGCGCGGATGTCCGCCTCCTCCTGCTCGTTGAATGCATGTGGGCCTTCCTTCTTCTTCATCTCCTCGACGAACCTATCGATCCTCCCCATCACGTCCTTCTTGCGACTAACACTGGCAGTGGGCGTCTCCTCGGGCTTGTCGGAGGTAGCAACGTTGAACTTCTTCGCCTTCTTGGCCTTCTTGGTCTTTTTGGATCCATCGCCGGTCTTATCGACGATCTTGAAGTTGCCAACGATGTTGACGTTCTTGGTCTCCTCGCTGTACTTCTTCTTCTCCATGGCCTTCTGGGTCTTCGCAGTTTTCTTGGAAACCACAGTGGTGAATCCAGATGTGTTGATTGTAGCGGAAGACATTATGTATGCACGAACGGGTGTCGGAAGAAGAGGTTGGTGGTGAAGAATGTTGTTGTTAAGCGAAGGTTTGGGAGAGCAAGAGTGTCTGGGATTTGAAAGGGTTAGTGGATTGCTTGAAGATGACTAAAGTGGTGGACCGGAACAGTGATTGTGGTGTGGTGTGGTGTGGTGTGGCAGGTTGGAGTTGGAAGCAGATGATTGAAAGAAGACGGGGGACGAGTGGCTTAAGTAAGAAATAAGTTCAAGACAGGAGGTGAATGAAAGATTGAGGAAGGATAAGAGTGGAGGTGAACTGGTGGAGCAAGGCAGTAATGAAGCAATGGAAGAAGCCGGGAAGGGTGGTGAATGACCACGGACGCAGGGAGGGGAAAGTGGGATGGGTGTTGTGGAATGGTTGGTGAATTAACAATGAAGAGGTGGGATGGGTAGTAGATGAGTAATAGGAGAGGGTCGAGACGAAGGGGGAACGAGGAGCTGAGATGGTAGTGAATACTGGAGCACTTACGAAGTTGAAACTTGGTCGCTTGATTGACTTTGCAAGTTGCTGGAAGTGATGGTGATGGTTGTTGGAATACAGAGTTTCTTTGAGAACTGTGGTGGTCTACAAGCTGTGTGGAGACGTGGAAGAATTTCTGTGAGGCTTTCTCGATCGGGGAGGGGGAGATTTTATACCCCTTCGAAATGAGGAGGTCACATGAACGTCCCGTGATGTCGCTCCATGGCCGCCGCAGCGGTCGCAGGTTAGTGAAAGCATCCGGCCGCGCAGGTTCTCGGGCAGGCGACTGGCCGCGAGCGTCCCGGATCACCTCCTCTCCCTACCATATATAAACCCTTCCACTCTCAACATCGGCCCCCCACACCTTCCTTTTTACCTATGCCCCCATCATTCTCTCCACCGCAGGGACGTTGCGAGTTCTGTTGGATTATGACAATCGCCTATAGCAATCACTGCCGGTAGCAAACAGGGCGCTTTCATATACATAATGTCGCGTTCTGTCAATGTTCAGATGCTACGGCCTGCAAACCAACAAGTTCAGTGTTGACGACGACCGGGACGTGGCGTTAGGCAGGGCCCCATCTCTATATGCGGATAGTTTTTGAACCAACTTCAGTTTCTCCTTTTTCTTTTCATTGTATATTGAATTGATGATAAAGGTGATCATATCCCCAAGATGATGATCTATATGTAGCGGAGACGGTCAACTTCCAACGTTGGTGAATTCGAGCAATTTACTACGATATCCATCACCACCACCGAGATAATCTAGAGACATTTACCGTCAGGTACAAGTATCGGCGGGAAAATTAAGCAATTGAACGTAGCAAACAGTTCCAGGTCAAGAGCAGCACGCAAACACGTGCAGTGACTTCGCAATGCCGCACCCCTCGAGTGCATGGAGCGCATCCACGGTGCGTTCATTCTGTAAAGAGAACTTGATATCGTACCACCCTTCCAAATAGACCTCGCCCTTCTCATCTCCAGTTCCCCGTTGCTTGCCCGCGCAATACGGCGCGTCACAATCCGTTTGCGGACCATCAGGTGCCACTTCGGTAGTACTTCAAACGTCTCAGAGATCCTGCTGATATATCGTATCAAAGTACTATCATCGGACGTTGCTCAGTGGATTGAAGGCTATACTAAATAGTGACCTCTCACCTCACTCATAGTTCCTTCACAACGCAGTTCCAAGAAACAGCAAGAACCTCACTTCAAATAGCCATTCCCACAATGAAGATAATTCATAAGATGCTAGAATCAATTATGCATATGATGGTACACGGTACCTTTCTAATGACCTGCCCAGACGCCAAAGTACCAGAACCTAGAACCACCCGCATGCAGTGTCTAGCCTAGCCACAATATATACAAGAAGCCCGCCTCATAAAAGTATGCCAAACACAAATCTATCTCGTGCATCGGACTCCCCCGGCCTAATCAATCATCAAGTCATGCCAACCTCCTACCTACTGCTGCGAGTCGCCTCAAGCGCCTTCTCAAGCCCCACAAGCCTCAAGCTCTTCCCCCTGCCTAACTTCCCCTGCATCAGCCCCGCTGCGGGCACAATCGCGTCGTTCCAGTATCGGAACACAGCTTTCATATCGCGCGGCACGCCCTCGAGCACGACGGTCGTGACGGGGACGAAGGGGCGGTCTTCTGCCGAGGCAGCGAGGATGCCGTACTCCTGCGCGAAGAGGAGCGCGGTAGAGAAAGCGGAGGATTGGGAGCGGGAAGTGGAGCCGACGATACTACATGGCTCACATATTAGTACGCCCCTTTCAACATCATCCACTGTATGAACGAGCGACAAAACTCACATGTAAATCTCAAAGAACGCATCCAACACAAAAACATGCTCGGGGTCCAAATCGCGCTGCACAAACGGCGCAACCTCCACAACCTTCGTAGTAGTGGCATTGGGCGAGCTTCGGGGGAGCGGTGATTTCGGTGTCGACGGGGTCTGCGGGCGCGGTGAGGTTGGCGACGTTGCTCCTTTAAGATCTTGCCACGAAGGGCGGCGCATTCTCGTGAAGAAGGAGCTCACCTGCAGCCCGGCTCCCGCCCCCGTCATCCATCCCGATCCTCCCTGAGCGCCCTGATGCTGCTGCTCCACGCGGAACAGCCGTGCGCGGTACTTGTCGCTGGTCTTCTTATACCGCCAATGGTCGGCGGATCGTGGTACGGCGGCAGTCTGCTTGCCCTTGGCGGTTGTACTGGTGTTGTAGGTGGCGGGAAAAGCAGAGAAGAAATCGGGTATTTCGTTGCCTTCTTGGATCTCGATAAGTTCGCCGGAGGAGCCGAGATCCATGCCCATGAGGCGGGCGCCGGAAACTTCTTCTTCGGAACAGCCAGCACCACGCCAGAGGAAGACGGCGCCGGCGGTGGTGGAGATGAGGTATGGGAAGCCAGAGCAGAGACTCTTGAGCGAGAGCTCAACTTCATCGAAGGCGATATGACCAAGGTGACGACGTCCACAGAGCATGTACTGGCGAGGCCCAGGTCGTGATCCGCGGCGGGTGATTACGATACCACCAAGAGCCTCGAAGAAGTATGGCGTTTCTTTTCCTTGCCTTAAGACGATGAGCTTGCCGCCGTATTTCTTAGCCTCATTTCTAGCAAAGAGTTGAACGTCCTCGACGGTAGCGTCCGCTACATCATTTCCAGCCCAAAGATAAACCTCGTTGACCTTTGCTCCTTTCGAATCTCCAAAAGAATGGGTAATGAGGTACATTGAATCTTGGTACAGAACGTGTTCTTCTTGCATTGGTATTGGTGACAGCTGACCACTTCCAGAGATCTCCTTTATGCTTTTGCGTAGTGTTCTAATCTTTCCCGAGTCAAGTGGGCTGCTCTTCAGTACTTCTTGCGCATCGATGTTGCTAGGAAGTTCGCCTGTGGTAACAGGTATCTCATCAAAGAATTCCGCGAAAAGATTGTCGGACTTAGCTTTTTCTTGGGTTGGAGATTTCCTAGGAGGCTCAGATTGCGGTCTTCCACCGCTTAGGGGAGGGGATGCCGGGTAATTAGAGCCGAGAGTTTTCGGTGGAGTTGATTCTCGCCCAGGTCTGGATGAAATGGAGGGAGCAAATGCCCCTAGTCCCAAGCCAACAGGCTTAGGTTTTGGAGCTATTACAGACTGTTTGGGAGCTTGTTGTTGTTCTTCTGCGCGCGCCAAGCCAGCACTCTCCATAGCAGCTTGCTCATCTGCCTTCGTAGGCAGCTTAATGGGGGATTTCGATCGCACCAGTTCCGGCGAGGACGACTGAGACTGTCTACCCCATAAGGCCGTGGCACTCTTCACCGAAAAGCGAGATGCTTCGGACTCCGGGGTATCGTCGCTGGCAGGGACATCTCGACTTTGATCCGGGTTCGGAGAAGGCTTCTCAGAAGCTCGTTTCGATATTTGGAGAGGCTTGATGATGGTCTGTTTGGCGAATGACTCCTCCGCGGGCTTTGCAACGGGGTTTTCGACTGGCTTGTCTAATGACTTTTCCGGCGGTGTTGGAAGTGGCCTCACCGGCAGTCTGAACGGTTCAGCTATTGGGGACGTTGATATACGGCTTGACATGGACTCCCTCCCAAAAGCCGACTCCGAAGGCTTGCTCCCAATAGGCGGCGAAAGTCTCCGCTCTAGCTCCGGCGACTGAGGCTTTCTCGGTAATTCAGGCGATGCTGGCTTCTCTATTTTCTTATCAAGCTGCGGTGACTTTGCAGGTGCCAAGGGCTTCGGTTTCAGTGAGTTCCTCGAAGGTGTTGGCGTTTCAATGAGCGGCTTCGACTCTACGGTGGTAGTGGGGGTGGACAAAGGGGCTGCGTTACTTGATAGGATATCCTGGCTTTTCACAAGCGATACGGACGCAACACGGGTAGCTTTAGGGGTCGATGGCTCTTCCTTTTTGGCTGCTGGAGCTCGTCTCTTAGGCCCTCGGGCGCGGCCTTTGGTCATATGCGTCAACTCCGGTCCTGATTCTTCAGGCTCCTTTGCAGTAGATCTAGCGGTAGGAATACTCTCGGACGAGCTGCTAGGCTTTGGAGCTCCGGCATTGCTGGCCAGGGGAGATGGACCTCGAGCAAGTATTCCGGCAAGCGCAGGATTGAAGCGATCCGATAGTTTACTGCTTTTAACTGGCTCTTTCGTTTGCGGGAGAGGAGTTGCTTGGGGTTGTTTCCCTATGGAGACGGGCCTCGCATTCCCCTTCAAGCTCTTGTGACGAGAAAGTGCTTCTGGGGTAGTAGACACGGGCTTCTCCTTGATAGGCGGAGGGCTTGTAATACTATCAGGTCTTCCAAGATTTCTCCTCTTGGCGATAGCCTCTGGTGTTGTTGGCGGTGGCGCGGAACTTGAAGCTTTCGCTTTATCCACAGGCCCCTCTTCCAAAGCTTTTGCCTGCATGGCCTCCTTTTGCTTGACCAGGCTCTCTTTCAGTTCATCCTTGCGAGCTGAAGGCTTAGGGCCTCCAGTGGACGTTAGCCCAGCTTTTCCGCGGAGAATATTATCCTTCAGAGGATCTGACACAACATACTTCTCTGTTTGTGTTCGCTTCAGCTTTCCTACTGCGCTTAAGAATTCAGGTTCGTCCTTCTTTTGTCCGTCAGAAGGACCTTGACGAGGTTTTAAGGCAGCACGGAAGTCTTTCTTTGGTGGGGTACTCGGCTTAGACTTGTTCAGTGATGCTGTGGAAGAAGCCGCATTCAAAAATCGCGACGCTATGGGTAGCGGCTTGGTTGCAGCCTGTGGTTGCGGCAACCTATTCTCGTCTGGATCTACGGCCGGTTCTGATTTCTCCGCCTCCTCCCCCAGGTCCGCTTGGGGTTTGGCATCTGTAGTCGACAAAGCAGCAGGCTTCACTTTGAGAGGCGGAATCACGGGCTCAACAGGTTCTTGTGGCGGTGCAGAGTCGCGCGATGGGAGCTTCGCGATTGTTGTCAATTCCTTCGTTGGTGATGGAAGAGAAGAGCCAGAAGAGAATAGTTTCGAATCAGCAGGGCGACCGAGATCAACACTACTTCGCTGTTGCTTGATCCTGTTAATCTCAGCCATCCATGCTGGTTGCTGAGGAGGTGGTAGTTTTGGCTTCGGCGAGTCTGGCTTGTTGAGCGCACTCTCTAGCCAGCTCGACTTGGTAGGGCTCCATCGCTTCGAGGGACTAGCAGGACCATCATCCGGAGATTTACTATCTTCACCAAATGTTGATGCAACGGATTTGCCACGAGAGTGATGTGGAAGCGCAGGCTTGACGAAAACGTCCTTGGACCCGATATCATTGAAGTCGCCAAAGCCTTTAGTAATAGTAAGATTACTCGAACTTGAGTTAGGTCGCGAGGTCGGTTCCATAGAGTTACCACGGCTGAGACTGCTAGGTCTAGAATCCAGCTTTGATATGTTGGCAGACCCACTGATGCCTCCAGGAGAGACACCGCGGTTGCTTGCAGTAGAGCCATGCCGACTCAGGCCAGGCGGGCCTTGAGCACTGAATCTCTTGCTCTGGCTGTCAGTGCGCTTGAGCATGGCACTCTGCACGAAGCCACCCAGGCCCTTAGTAGGAGAAGCTGGGCGGTCCATTCGCTCGGGGGAAATGCGCCCTTGGGACGGCGACATTGCAACGCTGTCCCTTGCTGAGGGCTGCTCGGGCGGCGGCATACTGAATTTTTGAGTGTCTAGAGTGGGAAGAGGGGACTTCTTGCCCATAAGTTCAGTGTCTCCACCGGATACGGACGTGTTTGCAGAAAACCGATTGCTCCACGCAGCACTGCCCCGGACTGAGCTTCCTCGTGACGGCGAGCTTGAGCGGAAGCTCTCTGTCGGCGGGCTTGATGCTTCGGGCTCTGCAGTAGACTCACGCGACAAGCCGGGCAGCTGTCGCCTGCCTGATATTGATCCCACATCGCTCGCCGAGTCTTCCTGGCTCCGCCTGTATGCCGCCGAGCCGACGCCCCTGTCCGCCGTCTGTCTGAACCATGCAGGGTCTTTCGATCCAAGCGATTGTGCGATCTTGTCTCTGTTTATGCCCGAGTCGCCTGGCGATGTTGGCTCTGGTGTTTCACGCGGCGACTGCGTGGCGCTTTTCTCGGCGGCCACCATGGAGAGTGGTCGTCGCGCACCAGATTGAGGCCTCCGCTGCTGCCATGAAAGTGTTCCGGACCGTGTAGGCATGCCGACGCTGGGTGTTGAAGGCTTCTTCGGCGCTTCGTCTAGGGGAACAGCAGGCGAGCCAGTCAAGGCCTGCAGCGAGTCTTCGCGCGACGACTGATCTGACGGAGGCTCCATGACAGGCGTAGGGGACTCGGCAGCCTTTTCGTGTATGCTTCTCGGGGTGCCGGCGGCAGAGCGTTGGGATTGCGGCGTGTTGTTTTTTTCCGGGGAGAGAGATCGAGCGCGCTCTGTCGAAGCCATCAGCACAACCACAACACGCAGGGCCCTTCTGCCAGCACATACCTGCTCTTCGCGCCAGTCTCTCGCTGCGGCCCTGTATAATCTCCTCTTCCAGCTTGCGCACGCGCTCGGCGTCTTGTTGATCTCGCTGCTCCCCTAACTGCCTGATTCTCTGGACGAATTCCGTGGGATCCAGCTCGTCGGCGGCAGACATGATGGTGAAGAGCACGGCGGGCCCCCGTACAACCTACGACGCGCGGGGGGGAATGGAGAGGAGATCCTGGGAGGGCTTCAAAGCCAAACAGCCTCTGTTATATTGGCGTCTTCGGTTACCTCAAGCTTGGCCGGAGCTCCTTGTAAGATCTTGGGCAGTCACGTTTCAGGGGGCTAGAGTAGAGGAATATAACACTTCGAGCGCCCAGCACACAACTTCAATGGCATTCGTATTCACTACTGCGATGTCTATACTCGCCATGGCCTCGCGGTCTCGTCCCAAATGTCTGCTTCGCTGCCCTGGCGCGCCTCGAAACCGATATCTGTCACGCTATGCTGCTTCGAGAGCAAGCGGAGAAGCTTGACGACAGGGCCTTCACGCCCTTGCAGGAGTATTGGTATCAGAAAAGAAACAAGCGGTCCTTTGCGTCTTGCACCACCCATTGGAGCCCTTCGTGGAGGTTCATGCCCGTCATCGCGCTGCATGCCATAATGGTCCATTTGTGCGTCTTGATCGAGTCCAGACGGAGTGCCTGCATCTTGTTATTGGTCGAAACATGCCGGAATGCAGCCCGCCTACCAGCCGCACGTCGTCCTCTGTCATAGATCCAGACACGTCGCTCTTGTTCTTAAAGACCAGGAGACTTGCGCCCATCAAACGCTGTGATACTGACTTAGCCATGCACGAAGCCGGAACGCGTCGAGAAACCGTCGAGAAACGCACCTCTTCCAGCAGCAGGCCCTCCAGCTCGCGGCGGCAGTCATCAATACGCTCCCGGTCAGTCGCGTCAACCACCCAGATGAGCGTGTCTGTCTTCTCGAAGTAATTCTTCCAGTAAGTACGCAGTGTCTTCTGCCCACCGACGTCCCCTTCCTAGATTAGTTGATGTCCAGGTAGATGAGTGGAATTAGTACATATGTTGAGCTTGTATCTTGCTGGTGTAAGTAGATCTGCCTCACAGCCCGTAGAGAAGCAAATACGTACCCATCGTACTCGATCGTCTTGATAATGAAGCCTAGAGTTGGGCTGACACTATAGACGTCTTCGTTCATAATCTTCTTAACGATGGTGGTCTTTCCCGCGCTATCAAGCCCACTGCGAAGAAGTCAGCCTCCGCGAAGCAAACGCAATTGAAACAAGCACTCACAGCATCAAAATCCTCATCTCCTTATCCTTAAGTCTCGCTTTCCGTAATATGGACAACATTCTGAACTATGTGGTGAAAGGCGATGTTCGATGGCCTATGGTTGCCTCTCGCGACTGCAGGCGAGCGGGACTTGATGCTCGGCAAAACCTTCCTTCAGTAATTCGTCTCAACTCCTTTCCGTCTAAAGACGTCTAAATCCTCAAAGCAACCAATGTCATGAGACTCGGGCGAAAGTCTAGTAAAAATGGCCTCGTACGCCTCTTCCGCTGCTTGCACATCTCTCAGACTAGGATTCTTGAAACAAGTAGTATCACGATTCTGAATGTGCATTGTAGTAGTACTAACATAGTAAGCCTATCTCGTCCCATACCTCGAGACGCCTCTACATGTAAGTCAAATGATCCGATTTTAGCGAGCTTAACTAGATCCTACCCCCTACGGCATCTAGCATGCAAAGACCCGTTGATGGTGCTACCTAGGCATGCGGGCACTATTTACTCACTATCAGACCGTGCATCCCATTGTCCGATCTCATTCTCGCAGATGTAGTGCCTCGTCATAACCGTGACTCTGCGTACTACTTGGCGATATATATAAGGCTCTTTGGTGCATCTTCAAGAACTACATAGATGGCAAGGTTTGTCTCGGCAAACCTTTGATCTATCGGCTACTTACTTAGGCCACACCAGGCAATACCTAGCATCCAGAAGTTAAGAGCGCCCGGAACAGTAGGCGCGTTAGGTTGTATAGTCTATTGAGCCTATTGAATGCTGCACACTGCTCCGATTGGCCGGGAATTCTCTATGCAGAGCCACGGTTTGAGCTTTCCTCGCGGCATCGGCTCCTGCAAACCACGGCTTCAAGTTCTCACGGAACACTCCCATCAACCCAAAGTACCGTCAACGGAGAGAGTAGCTTTAATCTCTGCCTTACTTGGCGTGTACTTGAACTTGGTCATCTTCCAAAAAGCCACTACAGAGAATGGCCGTCACTGAGGCCGAAGGTACGCCGCCTCACCTTTCCCCAGCCCTCGTACTCACCTCACGATTCCAGGAGAGATTCATCCCGTGTTCGCGAGCATCGCACAGGTCCCGGCAGCTTCGCTTGTCGTCGCACCTGCCGCGCAGCAGGCTTCGACTCAGACACGCCGGAGGCCCAAGCGGCGACAATACAAAAGGCTCGCGCTCGACTCTATTGAAGAGCCCCAAGTTCCTATTGTCCTGCCAAGCCTCGCGCCCGAAACGTCAACCTCGACCAGACCTCGCTCACCTCATCACCTCTCACAACCAACACCAATCAGCAACAACACAGTCTCGTACACCAAAGACCTCGAGCAGCTTAACGAGAAACCCTCCGCTTCGCGCGGACGTCGTCGGAAGCGCAAGTCAAAAAACATGGCGACCGTATCGATCCCCCCTCACTTGCGATACAAGAATCGCGCAGCAAACCTAACTCCAGCGACCACTAACCATCTGCCTCCAGCAGCCCCGAAGGGAGCGGCCACAGGTACTGCCAATGGAGTTGCTCCCTCTGCTCCGGTTGAGCAGCAGGCAAAGCAGCAGGCCAAGCAGCCAACAACCCCTGCAGGCTTGACCCAGGCACGATACGCCGTTAGCAGCGCGGCCAAGCACGTGCCCGAGTAAGTCGAACATCTCTATCCTTACTTCACCTATGCAGTCTTGGCTGACACGATCCTAGGCAACCCCCTAAAAAAGACAGCGCGATCAGTTTGCAGGCTCTCCCGACTCCGCCCGTCAGTCCAGCACAACCCGAAGCTCCTCCAACCACCACGTCTGCGGCCCCTACGCCCGCTACCACTGCCAATGCGACTGCAGCGTCTCCAGCTAAAGCAACTCGTGTTCCTCCGGCTAAGGCAACTCCTGTTCCTCCGGCTAAGGCAACTCCTGTTCCTCCGGCTAAGGCAACTCCTGTTGCTTCTAACGCGGCCCCGGCCTCTTCGACCAAAGCGACTCCTGCTCAGAATGGTGGAGCGAAGAACGCGTCATTCACTTCTCCATGGCAAGGACGCGCGACCGCGACAAACCAGGGCCCCAGGCCGCGCACGGAGCGTTTCCCCAAGTCCAAAGCAATGCGGCCACTGACTGATGAGGAAAGCGACGGAGGGGTTTCGTTTAAGTCGGACAGCAACGGTGACCCCAATCATGATATTCGCAAGCTTACGGATTGGGACGGCAATTGGTTGCCAGCTCCTATAGAATGGGAGGGAAGACGTGGCTTTTCGGACCGCAACTTCTCCAGCCGTGTAGAGGGTTGGATCGTTAAGACAGAGAAGGCCTGCCGAAACCTGGAGATCATAGACACAAGCGCTCCCAAATTTCTGGCTAAAGATAACGGAGATGTTGCGCCTAGGGTCTGGATTCCCCAAACGATTGATGCCGAATCCCCGGGAGCTTTCTGGAGGACCTATCAGTCACGAGCGCCGCCACCCATGTCCGATTTTGATCCAGACGAGCTTCCTTGGTGGGAGAAGTACGAATCACCGACTTCGAATCTGCTGAAGTCTATCGAGGTTCCCAATGCATTTCTGGACCGCGAGGATCCTACCTACAGCAAAGCACAGCAAGACGACGGTGCTGCGGGAGCAATCAAGCGACGCGAGCATCTACTGAAGGCGAAGCAGGCCAGAGCGGCCGCCAAGACAAGACGCCAGCTTGCAGAAAGCAAAGCTGCCGCTAAGATGTACGCTGATCACCCGGAACCGCCTGACAACACACTCCATCCCAAGGTCAATGTTTTCGTGCGCCCAGCCTATCCCGCCGACATGGAGCAAGTCCGGGACATCTATAACCACTACGTCATGCACACCATTCAGGCCCAGGAGTTCGAGCCGCGTACACGAGCCAATATAGTCAACCGCGTCACGGACATTACCAGCCACGGCCTTCCTTACATCGTCGCCATTGACAGATCGCATAAAGGTCCCAACGGCGGGCTCAGGCATCTTCCCGACCGCATTGTGGGATTCGCGAATGCTGATGACTACGCCTCTGTCGGTTCCATGTACCGGTTTACCGTTGAGATGGAGCTCTACGTCCACCCTGACTACAGCCACAAAGGTGTCGGGAGCTGCCTGTTGGACAAACTTCTCGACCTCCTAGACAACGGCTACCGCGCGCGAGGTGGATACGACTGGTTTGCAAAGCCAGACTACAGATCAGATGGCCAGCGTGTCGTGAAGACAGTCAACGTGCAAGTCCCGTACGACCACAACAACAACTACGTCATTGAATGGATCAAACCATGGCTGAAGAATTTCGGCTTTAGGGCCGCCGGAGATATGCGCGGCATGGCTTACAAGAACAACACCGTCATCAATGTTGCTATCTTCCAGTTCGCCACGAGCGAGTACATCGACCCGCGCGAACGTCCGACCAACCCACTGTAAGTTCGATACTACACACACCATATACCCGGTTCCCAATCTGCATCCTGGCTTGCAAATGCCCAAAGACCCTCTCCTTTCTTTTTTTGATTCACAATGATTGCTTTGCGGTCTTGAAAGAGAATCTTTCCTTTCCTTTTCCCATGGCCATGCACGTCTGAGATGACGGGCCTTCCTGGTACTTGTTTTCTGGCAATCTGCCATTGCGGCAGAGATAAACGGGGTGAGGGATTCTGAAAGCCGGCTGAAGAGCTGGCGAGATACAGCGCCTCTGGGTGCTTTTTATGGGTCTTTCTGCGACTGCATTTCTTTTCTACACTTTACAATGAGAATGCTTCAATCGAACCACAAAAATTTGCTTGGACTCAGATTCCGTTTTACTTGGTCAAGTTTATAGTGATGGTGGGTCGTGAAGGTCGCCGGTGACTCCTTTCTGATTGCCATACACACTCGTCAACATCGCAGCTATGACCATCGCTCACGGTCACTTCATGTGTTTTGTTTCAAGTTAACGGTCGGAGTGGGCGTGCGTCAATCCGTGATGCTCATATCCGCCATATAATGACGGCAGGGGTGTGACTGCGTTTCCGAGCGACTCGAAACTCGAAACTGAGAGGTTACACAAGCTTAGAAAGCGTTGAAACACTCATGCGTCTTCTAATTGAAGCTCTTGGAGTCAACAGGAATAGTAATGTCTCCTCCTTTCTAGCACAGCTATAAAGACTGCTCCTTCGAAGGTATTCTCTACCTTCTTCCACCTACTACAACATCCAGTCATCAAATCTCATCGATACGATTTACACTATCTCAACAACCCACACTTTCAAGAACCGTCGCGAAACTAAAGGCGAACTCTCTCATATCCACACTAAATCTTCCCTCGAAGCTTGAATCATTATGGCTTCCCGAACCCGCCCGGACAACCCCGACAAATCCTTCACCATCCTTCTCGGAATGCCTAAGCCCGAGAAGCCTAAGCATTCAGACTGGGTTCTTCTCAAACCATGCGAGCTCCCCCTCGAAGCCCGCTGCGATCATCTCCAAAATCGTAGCACATGCAGGAGAGTTTGGGAATGCTATGGTTGGCAGCGCGGGTTAACCCTAAACAACTTCAATGACTATATCTATACGTGTGAGAATGAAAAATGTTCGGGCCACGCCAGCGACGAGGGTCCCCGGTGCTATGGTAAGCCTGGTGTGGTTTGCAAGCAGCCGTCTGCGAAGGGCGAGGAATTGAAGAGGATGAAAGTACGGGGAACGCATGAGGTCAAAGGCTGGAAGGACATTGTGGGAGAAAACGGCTTGAATAAGACGATGAAGAAGATCAAGGCAAAGCAAGGGAAGCAGTTTGTTGGGTAGGGTTTTCCTATGTTTAGAGTGCTAGGTATTGCGAGATGTAGAGGAATGTCTGGGTTTTGTATTTAAGTGGTGGTCTAGAGTGCGTGTTTATTCTTCTTCTGTGTATTGCTGCTAGATATGTCATTGGGTTTGTTTTACACTATTGAACCCAAGAGTAGCCTCAACGAATTGTGCTTCTGCAAGTATGAACTACCAAGCTTTCAAGGTCTTTCGGCAATGCGTCTGAGTATAAATTGAGTCATCCACAATTTCTCGTCGACTCAGTTTACTCTAACATTTGCAGTGTTACCTTCTGAAACTCACGAGTCACGAGTAATGACGCGATATAAAACCCCTTGATTGTGACTGTCTTTAGCACTCCTAGCCATGGTTTCAGATGTTCGTCTCTGAAGGAGGCTTGACTCCTCTCTACCCTTGGCAGAAGTATAAGAACATATTTCTGAGCGGCTCTTCTCTACCTTCTGTAAACCACTACAGAGCATAATCACCTTCTAGCCTCTTGAACCTATTCCCAACTCAAGTTTCCACGAAGCTGCAAGGGCACCTTATCTAAACAACAACATCATCACCAACAACCGACATCCAAATCGACATCTCGTATCCACACCACATCTTCCCTCGGGACCTGAATCACTATGGCTTCTAAAGCCGCCCTGCTAGACTCCAACACACCCTTCCGCATCTTAATCAACCACCACGGAGACGATGGACTCACAAAAGTGGGGGAAACCTCCGTCGATGTCAACCCATCCACCTTCCCCATCGAAACCCGCTGCTCCCATCTCCAAGACGGTAGCACAACTTGCACAACTGGAGAATGCTATCACTTGGTGTCTCGAACGCCCCCACACAAATTCGACAAGGGCTACGTCTTCACGTGCGAGAATGAGGCGTGTTCCGGCCATAGGACCCCGTTTAGACGGTGCTTTACTGCGGATGGTTTGGTGTTGAGCGAGCTGGGTGACCGTACGGATAAGAGGGCGTTAGAGATGACAGAATACGATTACGGTGTGCATGAGATTGAGGGGTGGAAGGATATTGAGGGGAAGAAGGGGTTGAATGAGACGATGAGGAAGATTACTGCGGTGAAGAAGCTTGCTGCATTGAAGTAGGGCGAGGGGGAGGAGCAGGAGAAGGCTGGGAGGTAACGCGTAGTTTGGTGTTAGAGTTGCTTGAGGTTTCAGTGTTCGGTCTTACGAGTTGTGAAGGAATGTCCGGTGTGTGTATTTGAGTGGTGGCCTAGAGTGTGTGTGTATTTGTCTGGAAATAGCTGCTAGATCGGGTCCTTATTTTGTTTCTTGCTATCAAATTGTAGTAACCTCAACGACTTGTGTCCTCAATGTAAGTGTACACTTTCCGATTCTAGGTCTATTGCAAATGGGCTTCCCGTAAAGATCGAGCTAGCCACGAAATCCTACCAAGGCCGTCTGGGGTCGCTTCACCATGACCAGCTAGATGAGAGGAGGTCAAGATGTAAAGCGGATTCCTCCACGAGGGGACGATGAAAGGGAGAGACTACTCTATTGAGATACTCTAAAATCGGACTTACGAGCTTGTATGGATTTAGTACTGCTGAAGCGACCCGAGAATTGTGTCTGTAACTGCGGTGGAGTCAAGCGCGGTAGACATGGCTCCCAAAAAATGATGTGAGACGGATCTCATCACTTCTAGGTCTGTTGATGATGCTTCGCAGTATTCAATCAAGTCATCCATGAAAACATATAGACTAGTCTAACGAATCTCCCCTTCTATGACTGACAATGAGTAACGCGGTATGAAACTCCCTCATCACGAGCTCCCACCACTTCGAGTCACGGTGTCGGAAATCCCTGCTCCGCGCAAATAACTGACTCCTCTCTGCCCTTAGCACAGGTATAAAAGTTCCTCCCTAAACAGTTCCTCTCCATCTCCCAGGCACACACGACAGAACACTATCACCCAGCCTCGTCGATTCTCAAGAGCCAAAACCAAAGCCTACCAACACCAACACCAACAATGTACCTCAAATTCCTCGTCCGCGACGGTATCGGTACCCGAGACATCGATCTCAACCCTCCAGACGCGGCCTCTATTCTCCGCTGTGGCCACATCCAGCATAAATACCGTATCCGTAAGACCACCTATAGCTGCGACGAATCCAAGCACTACGCCATCCTTTCGAATTTCGAAACGAGCGCGTCTTCCCCGTACGGCCTCTTTTACCTGTCAGGGGCACCCGTGGCCAGAGAAACCGTGCTATGACACGCAGTCCTTGTTCTGTCAGCTCGACGACCCTTGGTATCTATCAGGGAATTTGAAGGCGAGGTATGAGGCGCTGGAGGAGGGGGGTTTCGTGAATGACGAGGTGTATAAGGGGAGTGGGAGGGGATGGGAAGTGATAAGGACGGAGGAGTGGGAGACGGAGGATTATGGATATGATAAGAGGATGGAGGAGTTGAAGCGGGAGCTGGAGAAAGTGGAGACGGAGAAGTAAGAGAGATTATGGGGGGTGAGGAGAGGGCGAGGGCAAGGGGTGAGAGCTGCCGCCGGTAAAGACGATGGGTGGTTATTTGAAGTTCTGTCATTTTGATGGCGGCTTGGGTTCATGCGTTGGATTCTTGGTTTGTGTTAGGCGTATAGACTTTTGTATTTGAATGGTGTTGTAAGAGTGCGTGTTTCGATTTGTTTGAATATAGCTGCTAGATCAGGTCCTGGGGCCCTTAGTCTGTTTCCTGCTATCAAATTCAAGAGCGGCTTCTACAACTCGTGCTCTATCTTATGAATGGTAACCTTCTGCGACTCACAATTAATAGCGCAATAATAAAACCCATTGATTATGAGTGTCCTTAGCACTCCCAGTCACGGTTTCAGATGTTCCGACTCCGAGCACAATATTGATTCCTCTCTACCCTTGGCGTAAGTATAAGAACGTCTTCCTGAAAAACTCTTCTCTGTCTTCCAATAACTACTACAGAGTAAATTCGCTTCTACACCTCTTAAACCTTACAAAGCAAACTTCCACAAAACCGTGACGGCATCTTAACCATACAACATCATCACCAACCGACATCTGGCCTTCAACTCGAACACCTACCAAGCATGCAAACCTTAGAAGGCCAACCAAGCGGGTTTATTGGATTTGTCGTCCGCAATGGCGAAAGGCTCCAGACTATCTTCATCCCCGAGTCCGAGACTCGTCGTCGCACCACCTCCCTTCTCCTCTGCCCGTGCCGCCTTCGGCGGGGACACTTCTGGTACTGCGACGAACCCGACGCGCACTATGGCACCCTATCCAATTTCAAAGAGCGCCATTACTCCCCATATGGCGTCTTTATTTGCCCAAACAAGTGGTGTGACGGGCATCCGTACCCGCATCACCCTTGTTACAGCACAGAGTGTCTTTTCTATCAGGACAATAATACTATTTGGGCAAAGATGAATGACGTGAGGGATGAGGTGCTGAAGCAGGGCAACGGAGTGGATAAGTGGCAGAATGATATTGATGAGATGTGGACGATTCTGAGGACGAAGGACTGGGAGAAAGACCACGATCCGGGGAAGGACTACAATGGAGGTTTGGACAAGAGGATGAAGAAGTTGAGTAGGAAGCTGAAGGCAAGGGAGGAGCAGGAGAGGAGGGGGAGGGAGAGGGATGGGTGATAAGGAGAGATGAGGAGCGAGGATTTGAAGATAGGCGGACGGGTAGGAAAGGAGGGTAGTCTTTCTGTTGTGTTGGTTTATTGGTTAGGCTCAGGTGTCCAGAGATTGTTTAGCGATGGCGTGTTGTCTTTCATTTCTTCTCAATGCTTCTTTTTTCTTTGCGTCTAGATTTCCTTTCAAAATACCCCGGGAGACAGGGTTTGCAGTTGGCAGGTAATTTTAGATCACTTGTTCGAGTCTACCTAATAAGTCCACCCTGGCACACCTCTTGCATCGCTCATCGACATTCCGAGTGGACTTGACAAGTCCAGTTGAATGCTAAAAGTGCCCCCTTCACGTCTAATGCGGCGTACCACTTTGTCGAGAGGTTCGTCATCCGTCCGCACAGTGAAGTGTCCACTACACCTCAAGCTATTCAAAGGTGCCAGCCACTCCTCCTCGTTATCCATTTCTGCGATAAGATCTATGTGCAGCGTTCTCAGCTTCTCTAATTTTGCAATAGTACTCCACACCCGCTCCCATGTCTTCATTCCCTGGCGCCGCAGCTCCGGGCTGTAGGACCCGTATTGGGTGAAATGCAGGGAAAGCGCTCTGATATTATCGAAACGCTGCGGAGGAATAGAGCTAGAAAGGAGAAGGAGACTTGGGTCCTCTAGAATAAAAGTGTTGACGGCGTATAAGAGGTCAATAGTCTCAAGATAGCTGGTCAGTGGTCAGTATTGCTGATGAGCGAGAGGTAGGTAGGTAGGAAGGAAGCTCTCATACATCGCGCGACAGGTTAACGGGAGAGAGAGAACGGGTTTTTTCGCCTCGACTTGATCTTCGTAGCTCTCCCACTGTCGCCAAAAAATCAAAGGCTCATCCTCGAATCTCGCGGCTGTCGTGCATGTCAACCGCGGCTTGTGGTCTTGTTCTTGTTTGCTTGTCGTTTCCCATGATGGTCTTATATACAGCCCTGGATCATTGCAAAGTGCCTCGCGGTAAATGATCTCTCGCAACTCTGCGGACAGCTTCGAGAAGAGCGGGGAAAATGGTTGATGCAGGTAACCAGTGCTCCCTTCGGCGTCGGAGAGTAGGCCTTGCCTGACGGACTCCTCTGATGGCGAGAGTGAGAACTGCACTGATAATGCTCGTTGTTTTGGAGGTATGCTTTCCCACTTTGCATCATACTCTTGGCTCATAAGAGTCCGCCAGTCTTGTAAGACTCCTGGAACCCGTGTACCGCTTACGCCGGTTTGCTTTAGAATTGTAGTCAGCGTCATGATGAGAGGAGTATACTCCGTAGGCGTGTTAAGTACGTAATGAGGGTGAAGACACTCGACTATATGCGAGCTGTACTGTACAACACCACGACTTCAAAGGTCAGTATTGAGCCTTCTAAACAAACTTAGGCAACAGTGGCACAGTGGTACTGAAGGTCACCATATCGCACATGGGGTTGTAGTGTTTTGTACCGTCAGACGGTGGCTGGTGCATGGCTGGTGCGTGGCTGGCCCCTTGATCAGCCCCGGACTTGGAGTCGCCGTGCACGGGCCGCGTGATTTTCGGTCGCTGTCTCTCGAAGCAGCAGCAGGCGCCGCGCCTTCTCAACAGAAACCTCGTTCCTTTCCCCTGCTCGAGTCTGACCAGCTCAATTGCGCCGCCATGGACTCCATCCTCACCCAGCTCCGATCCTATCTGCCAGATTCCCAGCCAATCGCCGAGATGGCGACCAACGCGTCCAAGATCCCCCTTCATCCCTACTATCCCCTCGAGCTCGAGATAGTGGGATACATGGCGAACAAATGGGACACCCTGACGCTTGTGTCCATGTTTGGCGCTGGCTGTGTGGGCATCTTCGCCGTCACATACTTGATCACCACCAGGATCAGGCCACAGATGTCGAAGGCGGACCTGTCTACCATTATGTGGTTTGTTCTGTGTATGTACCTTCTGTGTGCGACTCAATTGGAACAGTAGCTAACACATGGCACAGGTGGATGCATACATTTGTTCTTTGAAGGTATGCGAACACCTCCTCGACCCCCCCGACCCCTTCTGACGCGATCAGGCTACTTCTCGTACAACTTCCGCCGCATGTCTTCCATGCAAGACCTGTTCGGGCAGTTGTGGAAGGAGTACTCGCTGTCGGACTCGCGCTACCAGACTCAGAACGCGTTTGTGCTTTGCATGGAGACGATCACGGCGGTAAGCCACTCACCGCTTCCCTACAGCCCTGACATCTCTAATTATGTCGCTCCAGGTGTGCTGGGGCCCGCTCTCCTTCGCTGTGGCGGGTATGATTGCTACAGACCACAGTCTCCGCCACCCTCTCCAGGCCCTCGTCTCGCTCGGCCAGATTTACGGCGATGTTTTGTACTACGCAACCAGCATGTTCGACCACTACATTCTCGACATGAGCTACTCGAGGCCTGAACCGTTCTACTTCTGGGGATACTTTGTGCTCATGAATGCGTTTTGGATCATCATTCCGGGGAGTAGGTGTTCCAAGATACTACTAAGGAGAAGTTCAAGCTAACGGTTGCAGAACTCCTCTACGATAGCATTTCAGAAAGCGGCAAAGCATTTGCGGCGTTGGAGAAGCAAGAGCGGATATTCAAGGCCAATGGAACTGGAAATGGAAAGCTGATTGGGACCCTGAACGGGACCCCGAACGGCACTCCAAAAGGCAAGTCCAACGGCAAGGCGAAGAACGGCTCGATCAGGAAACGGTGAAAGCCGCAAGATGATGCAGGGGAGGCTTGTTCACATTTAGCGGCATTTGAGGCCATGGCAGGAAGAGGTCGGCGGAGACAGTGCCCATGGTCAACGGTTGGGCGACGACTCTTCCGGACCGGTTAGCGTGCATGGAAGGAGGATCCGCGACGATCCCACGCCCACGTCCACGTACGTACATTACTATTAATAGAGAGCGACGTTTTATTTCACCTCGATATCCCCCCTTTTCGCATGAGGCACATGGGATCTTAGGATAGCTGGATCTGGGACACACGGCAGGGTGAGAATCAAGTTGAGCATCCTGGCGCTGCATCTCATATTGGATGGCAATGCGCCACAGCTCCAGGGATGTTGCCGGCGTGCAGATGGTCGACTGCGGCCTCAGATAGCATCGGTTGACATGCGGCTGGAACGGAGTAAACAACACATCAAATAACATGGGCTCCCATCTTCAAGCACTCCATAGTATAGTAGAACACATCTCTCTGCCGAATAGTGGATGTATTTCAGCAACAGCACTCAGCTGATAGCGATAACCCATTCAGCGCCGAGCCGCGGCGGGATGATCGAGGGGGGACCGTGCGACCTTGGAAGTGCACTGCACGACAGGGTTGCGCTCTGGCTGCACGTCGTCGACTGTTGTTGGCCAATCTGAGACCAACACAATCGCCTCCCTCTCGCATGGCACAATTCGCCCACAAGCCCATCGCCGTCTCTCTCGCCCTTTGCCTCGAAGAGACTCACCGCGAGGTGCGCTGCTGATGTGGCGCCGTGCCGATATACCTAGCGCCCTGGTAAGAAAAGCCGTGTTTACTTTCGCTTTCCCATACAAACAATTCCACCGCGACCCACCCCAATTCCCACCGCTCCCACCACCCCGCCGCCCGCAAGCGCAAACACCGACACATTCCTCTGGCGCACACACTGCCGCAATGCAATCCAGCTAACGCGCCGTCCCGCATTGCAGATATCCCTTCATGCCGGCGGACTCCCCGGCGACCCGGCGCGCTGCGGCGAACCGCGCCCGCCAGCAGGACGCAAAGAAGCCCCTCGATTTCGGCAAGGCCATCGGCATCCACAAGGATGCAGACATCCCCAGCAAGATCAAGAAGTGGCAGACCGAGGGCGGCGGGATGATACCAGTTGACGACCCGGCCGCGGGCGCAGTCACCGAGGACGAGAGCACGGAAGCGGTGGATGCGATCGCGACGGCAAAAGGAAAGATGAAGGAGAAGGAGAAGGAGAAGGCGGCAGAGTCACCGAAACCGAAGAAAGCTGCGGCTGCCGAGGCCGCGAGCCCGGCGCGGTCGCCGAAGAAGCTGGCGCATAACAAGCTGGATGAGGATGTGCGGATTGCGAGCGCGCCGAAGAAGCTGGCGCATAACAAGCTGGATGAGGATGTGCGGATTGCGAGCGCGCCAAAGAAGAGGGTCGTGAGTGACTCGAACTGGCGGAAGAACAAGAGCCCGCCGAAGGACGGGGCCGCTGCGAGGCCGGATGTGAAACTGCCTGTGGGATGGGTAAGGCCGGCTGTGAAACATGTCTCTCCTACGAAGCCGAAAGTCGAGGCGAGGCCGCCGCCGATTAAGATCACGCCGAGGATTGTGAGGACGCGGACGGCGGTGAGGAGGAAATCGCGGCCTGGGAGTTCGGGGAATGAGGAGAGGCCCAAGACGAGTGGATCGGATAGCGTGATTGCGGAGAAGAGTGACAGTTCGCCGGCTTCGCCTTGTGCGGCGGAGAAGAAAGAGGCTGTGAAGTTGCGAGGTGGGGATGGGAGAATCAGGTCTCCGAGAGTGTATCTGTCTGCTGACGATGAGGCTCCAGTTAAGCGGAGATCGAGTCGTCGAGTAGATAGATCACCGACAGAAGAAGCTATTCATGACGACACACCTCCAGAGAAGTCTCCGGCGTTCGATAGCCCCTTGGCAAGCGGGTCACGACGAAGACGACGTTCAGGCGGCCATAAGATAGAGCAAACGCTCAGAGAGTCAGAGGAGCCAACAGAAGATCCACCATCTACAGAACGGAGACGACTACGGAAGAAATCCTATCAAATAGACGTGCCGGATGTGGCACGACCACCAGAACCAGAGGTAGCACCAGAGACTCCTCCCAAGGTATACGGAAATCGCATAGAGGCATGGCTAACAACAACCCCCGACCCATTTCTGGACTCCGAGACCAAGTCGCGAAGAAGTTCAAAGAGCACCGTTTCTACGTCAGACGTGTCACGGCCGAAGACTGAAGTTTCCTCGTTCACAGAGAGCTCAATCTCAAGGGAAGAGTCCGTCCTTGAGAAACCAGATCGAGCAAGCAGCAGCAGGAGGCGAGCGCGGACTCGGACCATCACCGTGGATACTCGGGATATGGATGACAGGACCTCGTCACACCCTTCAATCGCCCCATCCGAAATCACAGATTCTGCCGCTGGCGGCGACGGCACTCCAAGCCCTTCTCTAAAACGAAGAGGCGCAAAGCGCAGCTCTCAATCACCTACCAAAAACAGGTCGAAGTCCCTATCATCTCGGGATCCCCCGACTGTTGTAGACACTGAAGATGAGGTGTCAGTCGCTCCTTCATCATCCGTCGACGCTTCCACATTCCAGCTGCCGGACCTTCCCATCAGATCAAGACCGCAGACCTTAGCGCTCAAACGCCACTTTCCCACGAGGGGAAAGCGCTTGTCAACCATTGCCTCCGTAGAAACATTTGCCACAGAAATGCAAGCCGCACCTCCCTCCGAAACCGAAGGCTCAGAAGCCACCGTCCAACCGGAACCCATCTCCGAAAACATAGACGGGTCGGAATCTCGAGACACAGTCGACCTAGAGTCCCTCGTTTCGCTCAATCGCCGTGGTACTTCGAAAAGAAAGCTCGCCAGCCATGCGGACTTGATCTCTGTGCTGTCTCTCCCCAGGGGTGGCTCGAAGAGCATTGTCTCAGCTCGAAGCATCCGAACGAACCGGAGTCGCCTCGCAACTGCCACCATCGGGGACATCATGAACGAGTTGGCTTCAGACGAAGCCAAGTATATGCGCGAACTCCGCACTCTCGTCGACGGTGTGATACCTGTCCTTCTCGCCTGCGTTCTTTCCAAGTCGGACGCCGCGGTTGCCGCAGGCCTTTTCAGCAAATCCGCGTTGAAGAGCGAGCCAAATGTTACGAGACCGATAGTCGACATGGGCGTTTCTCTGGAGCGACTGAAGGCTTTGCACAGACGAATCCCCAAGGAAGAGCCTGACGCCCTTCTTTCATGGGCCCAGAGCGCCCAGCGAATTTACTCGGATTACGTCAAGGCATGGCGCCTCGGCTTCCAAGATGTCGTTGTCAATCTAGCTCCTGCTGACGAGGGCACATCATCTGCGTCTGGGTCCGGCAAGGCACCGGAGGATGCAGTGTGGGACGAAGGTATGCCGCGGAATGAGGAAGGCTATGTCGTCAATGGTGATGGCGAGAGGGTTGATGTTGCCTTCCTGCTGAAGAGGCCTCTAGTTCGGCTGAAGTATCTGGCCAAGACCTTCAAGGGAATCAACCATGTCAAGCATTCGCTGCAAGCAGAAAAGATGTCGATGGCTTTCCAGGAGCTAGTCAACGACGCCCGTAAACGATCGAACGAAGAGCGAGCGCGACTCGAAGATGAAGCCGCGTCAAACATTGACCCGACGAGAGCTCGTGATCCACGCAGCTTGGCGCCGTTGGCTGGCGTGAAGATTGATTCGATGCGATGTGTGAGGGCAAGAGATTACTTCGACATGCATCTACCACACTCTAGTGGCCAGGAGGTGGACTGTCGAGTCGAGCTGCTGATCAGAGACGATGCCCCTGGGAGAGGTACCAGCGGGGACGTCCTTCTCTGCGAAGTCGATGAGTCGGGTCGGTCGCTGTTCTTTCCTCCCATCCAACTTGGCCGCATATCTGCTCGAAATGGGGACCAGAAGGGCGAGATCATAGTAATGATGCGAGGATTTAACACCGCTGGGCATGAGTGGAACGAAGTCTTCTCACTGATCTCCAACGACGAGCAAGCTGGATTTGAATGGGTTCAGATGCTTGGACTTCAGCCGGTTCCCCCTCAAATCACAGAAATTAAGACGGAGCGAAGTTTCATCAGTAAGGCGCGCAGACCGCCAAGCAGCCATGCTTCGTCATCTCTCGTCTCTGCCGCCACCGGATCGACTATCCCCATCAAGAGCAGAACCCCCAGTCCCCGCGAAGTTGAAGTACCCTTTGGCGAGCGAGCAAATCCGACGTCGAAGAAGTGGGATTACAGTACTCCAGACAGGCCGGGCAGCAGGGCATCTCCAGAGATTTCTCCAGTCACTCCCCCAAGCAGTGAGCATTCGAAAACCAGAGCGCACACCAAAGCAAGTCCAGTGTCTCCGCCTTCGCCCTTATCCCAACGTCAAGACGCCCAATCGGATCGAGATATACTTCCCTCGTCGAGACCTAAAACTCGGGAAGGTGAACTTAACCTGGACCGGACACCTAAAAGCTTGAACGATGCGATGATGATGGCCGGAACTGGCTCGCCGGTTGCTCTTAAGCGAACTAAGGCGAAGAGGGTGTCTCGTCATGCTACTCAGTCGCCAAGCTCTCCAAAGGAAATGTTCATTGATCATGAACCTGCTGCAGCAGATATCAAACCATTGAGGAAACCGTCTCGTCGACAGCCAGCGGAGCCACCTTACACCCCCACATCATCTTCGATATCGCAAAATAGCAAAGGCTTCAGCGTCTGGATGCCATCTTCGGAACCAGAGTATTCGGATGAGTCCGATGAAGAAGATATGCATCCAATCAAGCCTGCTCTGGGACCACCCGTGCGGCCTCAACCGCATCGACGTGCGTCTTCGGTGCCCTCTTTGGATTTGCCCACTATCCCCAAACTGCGAAAGACTAGCCAACCTAGCACACCAATCATGGAGCTAGAAATGCGTGGAGGGTCCGATTCCCCTCCTGTAGAGGCGCCTCAAAAGCGAGTTCCTTCGTCTGCGCCGTCAAAATTGCAAAAGAAAGCCCCAGCTCCCATCAGAGAAGAGGTTCTAGAGCCAGTAGAAGACAAGCCGCCGCCAACTCCTCCACATCGTTCGCCAAGCCCAGCGACTCCAGTAACATTGAAGGCTTCAAATACACCACAATTCGCGCCAACACTGCCTGGGTTCAAGACTCGACGACGATCATCCTCACCGCTGAAGCACGAGTATGAGCCGTCTACTGCTACGGAGTCGTCCGGGGAAAGTGAAGGAGAGATTGTGGACAACGACTCCCTCACATCAGACTCGTCAGAAGATGAGCTCGAAGATGACATTCCGATGCCGATGCTACCAAGGACTGAACAACCTAAATTTCCCAAAGTTTCTCCACCAGCTTCTATATACAGTCTGCCCAACGGGACAATATCACCGTCGCAATCTGCTTCTAACACACCGTATCGAGCCGTTCCACAAGGCTCAGGAAAAGCTTCGAAGGCAATTGCGTCCATAACGTGTTGGTCCAATGAAACAGGCAAGTGGGAAAGTCTTTATCCTGATGAATGCAGCATTGTTGTTACGCCAGGCAAGATTGAGGCATACGAGCTTACGGCAGCGCACTCCAAACCACTTTTGGCTGATGGAGACGAGATCATCAACTCTAATGGAAAAGGACCACTCGTCTGCCAAGAGGTCACGCCGTTAGTGATACTCCGAAAAGGTACTGCTATCGACATAACTGTCAAGTCACTTCCAACCTCCGAATCGCGTCTCAAGTGCGGAGAACAGATCATGTACAGGAGCCGTAATCCAGAAGAGTGTGATGCACTCTACAACATGATCAACATATCTCGCTGCAACAATCCTACTTGGATAGCTCTCCAACAAGCCAGAGGTTCCTATGGCCAAGGCTCTACCTGGGCTGCCGCAGTGGACCGCCAAAATGCAGCTCGCTCCACAACTGGCTCTCAGGGCGCTTGGTGGAACCTTAATGGCACCCTCGGCCGCCGCAGTTCTTACCGCGCCTCCAGCACCCGCGCCGCTTCCATCTCCGCAGTTTCCGATTCCTCCGTTGGCACCATGACTTCCGCCTTCTCAGCCCTCAAGCGCTTCAGCGGCAGCAGCCGTCTCTTCAATGTCGCCAAATCTACCATCAGCTCCCGTGACAGCGGCGGCAGCACAGGCAGCCTCGACTCTGGCTCCGCGGGCTCGGGCTCTGGCACCAACACGCCAAATCCGGACGGCACGCCTCGAGCTCCCGGCGCCCCTCAGGGCATCACGAATACCAAGATTCGCCTTTATGAGCGGGAGTCTCTCAATAGCTGGCGCGATATGGGCTCCGCGCGCCTCACGATCATGCTGCCGGATCCCAACACGCCGCGCTCGGCGACGCGGCAGGGGCAGGGCAGTCCTGGGCTTAGGCAGCATGGGAGCGAGAAGCGGATTGTGATTGTGGGCAAGGCGATGGGTGAGATGCTGATGGACGTTACGCTCAGCGAAAGCTGTTTTGAGCGGGTCGCTAGAACGGGAATTGCGATTAGTGTGTGGGAGGATGTTATGGGGCCGAGTGGGGTGGGGACTGTGGGTGCCGTGGGAGGAGTGTCCGGGGCTAGGGCGAGGGTTTATATGGTTCAGGTACGTGCGAAGTTGATTGTTTTGATTATGGGGAAGATGCTAACGGGTTTGGTGCAGATGAAAACGGAACGCGAGTGCGCGTATTCGTACTCGCTACTTGGGAAACTGAGGTATTGAAGAGCTTGATCCAGGCCGGCTACCTACTTTCAAACACAAAGCTCTATCTAGATATGGGATAGATGGCTGCATACCTCACCAAACCGCCTCGACTAGGGTTGCATTACAACAGCAATACCCACGAACTCTACCACGGAACGATTTTACCGACTTAGCGCCTTTTCCTGTATATCACCACTGCAAATTTCCGGCTTCCGTCAGTCAGGCGATATGTTCCCTTCTATTATGCATACCATATGGGCTCCCCCCCTACTTCAGCGTCGGCGCTTCTTATACGGGCCTGTTTCTTGATTTCTTTTATCTGCTTCACCGGTTTCTCGCTCGGCTTTTCACGGATGTGGCATCTTCCGCTACGGATTTCGTTGCTTGTTATTAGAATAGGGAATGTATGATTGGGACGGCTGGAGTTGGTCACTTTGCTGGCCTACGGTATATGTATGGCGCTTTTAAGGGGGTGTAACGGGTGTATGATTGGCGATGATTGGCGTCTGCGTTTTTTAGCGAGCGTCGGGGAGGGACGGGAGATGCGAAGGGAGGGCTAAGGGGGAGGTTGAAGTCAGACATGGAGATAATATCATAATGATGCTGTTCAAATCAGGCACTGTGTTGTTAAGCGGTTTGTGAGGTTGCTGCGATCGTCTTCTCGTACTCTTCGTCTGGCCTGTGCAAGGCACGTGCCGCACGTGACATCCTTAGTAATCACTTTTCTCCAACATGTATAAAACCTTCCCGGCACCCCTCTCTTCTCCAGCTTCTCAGACAGGATCGGCAAGGATTTGAATCAAAAATACGATGAACACAAAAACTATGGTAGTCGCGTCCGGAGTGCAAAAACGGAAGACTGTTCCTGTGTATGGAGTGGTGTGCGGTGGTTGGTGGTGGAATTGCAAACCACAGATCTAAAGGGCCATGTGGAACTCGGTGTTCAAAAAGATATCGACAAGCCAATGGATGGGCAATCGAACTTTCAGTGGGAACGAAGGCTATGGAAGAGTTCGAAACAAAAGCACAGTAGGATGTCATGGAGGGGAAGAAGGGGAGGGGGTTTTGGAACTTTTTTTGCTGGATTATGACACATCACCCACAGCAAATCAATGCTAGTTAGTAGCAAACAGGGCGCTTTTCATGCACATAATGTTGCGCTCTGTCAATGTTCAGATGCTACGGCCTGCAAACCAACACTTTTTCAGAGGGGGGATAGGTGATGGGGGAGTCAAAATGCCGCCGCTCGGGTCTCCGTGGAGGGGACGGTGGTTGGAATCAAGAACCTAGACCTCCTGGGACTCATGGAGAGGGAGAGGGGAGGGGCTTCAAACATAAGAGGAAGAGCGAATGATGTGGAGAGGCGGAGGCTGTTGGTGTGGTGATGGTGGTGAGTATTGCGAGAGCATTGTGAGGCGGATGCTGGGGTCTAGTTAAAACTGCGAGGCATTCGGTGGAGGGGTTGGGGGATGGGACGTGATGGTGTGCAGCAATCTTGTTAAAAATGGTGGAGGACTGCGACATGGTCCGTCAGTGTACACAATGGTTGATCGCACACACACGACTCCGACGACTCCATTGAACCATTCAAATTGTGCTTTTGATATCCACAGCACGGCCATCAGATGCCGCACTCCTGGGATGTGATCTAGCCATCACCGCCCGCTCTTCCATGCTGTGAACCTTCCCCGAACCCTTCTTTGAAGGAGAGAAGCCTGTGTGAGTTGACTCTTCTGTACCTCCGACCAAAGATACGCACGGGTCGTGCACGTGGAGAGTCAGGCCACCTTCTGTCAGAGGTCCCAAGGTCTGAGCAAACAAAGACAGCAAAGACGTAGTGCACGTGACTCAGCACCATTTGGTCAAGGGGTATAAGATCTCCTATGTTGAGTCTCTAGGTTCCGTTCTTCATGGGAAGGGAGTCGGAAACTGTGTATCTGGTTTCCTCCATCAAAGTGACGCGGCAGAGACGCAATGGAGGGTGGCATGATGGAGTCAGCTTAGGCACAGTGGCAGAGTTCGAAGACTTGGACTGGCAGCATGGGAGTCAAAACAACCGTTCCAAACAACGCATGAGACGGCGCTCACAAAGAAGATTGGAGATGTAGAGTGCCTACGAGAGATCATGAAGAAGGCCTTTGCCATGTGGAAGCATACCTGAGCCTCAGCTCTAGCTCTCACCAAGATTTAATGGGGCAAAGGGTTGACGTTTGCTCCATATTGAAGAAGATGGTGCTCAGCACCATGATATAGTTGCAGATCTTCCTCAATCCCCATCTTTCCCTTCCTCTCTTCGTGGCCTGTGCGCCAGTATGCTGTAACACCACTCAAACCAACCCCTCCATGCGGGGCGGGGCGGTCGGATTTGACACAACTCCCGCAGATCCACTCCATGGCGGCTGACTTTGAAGATTTCCGAGCACACCAACTCATCAGCGAGACGCCTTGAGGATTTTGCAGAGCCTTATTCCATGCCTCGCGAGGATGTCGATCACCCAAGCCCACACCAGCCCCCCTCACCCATGAAGGAACAAAGTTTGAGCAGACCTACGTCTGGATTTTATATGGGTAGGAAGATGAGGATTAGTCACCGCACGTGATATGTCGCGCTGCTTGATGAATGACAGGATTGAGTGTAGAGCACGTGAGTTGATGAAAGGAGTGGTGAGGCGGAGTACTGATATGCAGGTATGCTCGCGAGCATTTCTTTTGCAAAGGCTCTGGAAAAGCGAGGGGCTAGACTGAGGATATGGAGAGAGGATTAGATTGCAGTATTTGGACATTGAAGACCACTTAAGATGATAATGTTGCAAGCGAGGAGTATTCTAGGAGATGGATAATCGGAGAAATTGCATAGAGTAGAGTTGACATCACGACTAGTCTATGGCCTAGGAAAGATGAAATAAAAGGTATTCGCATTCTGTCCACCTTCGTTACCCAAGCACGTGGCCTCGTCTGTTGGATTTCAGACGTCCCCATCCACAAAGGCCATAATATCCCTAGTTTGTACGACGTATACCACCACACGTATCACCACATATGCTAGGCTCGTTCCCTCCTGTAAGACATCTGATTCAGACATGTCTGAATGCTGTACTACCCCCAGTGGCGTGAGGCTCTACTGATCTCAATATACGATGCTATGATCATGAGCATCAATGGAGTAAGAGAACTTGGCGAAATGAGAAATAAATGGTGTAAGGTCGCGATTTGATATATGGGATTACCGTGTTTGGACGCCGTGGTACCAATATTCTACGCAAGGAAATCTTACCAATAAATCTACAAACCTTGGAGAATACGTCGTCCTCTCTCGCCATCTTTCTCGGGTCTGCCTCCCCTGCATCCTCATTCGTGTTCCTAAAGCCCTTCGCCAAAATGATAATCTTCTAACTAGCACCCCTGCCCCCATTGTCACAGACCCCTTTCGCACCACTCTCAGGGTTTCATGACTGTACAGACCCAGCGGGTCGGGGCAGGTGTGTCCAGGTCTCTGAGACAAATACCCGCTGGGCAGGTCGGCCAGGGATACGTGACAGCTGTCAGCTGCAGCATGCCTATGTTGACAGCGGCAGGCAGGGTGGTAGCGTAGGGGTACTCGTACGACAGGCCAGAAGAATAGCCATTCATTGCAGTATTGTGGTTGTGGTTGTGAGATGGTCGGATAAGAGGTGACGTAAGGCGACACGGAAGGAGATGATAGGAGAATACCAACCTACAAGCTGCAAATGGTGAACCTGGTGATGAAGAACCCGCGAATCTGGGCGAACCATCACGATCAATCCTACCAGACACAGCACTCGCCCGTCACTCGCTCCCATCGCCGATCCCCCTACCCTCTCAATCATGCCCTTGCTCCCCCTCGTTCCAGACCAGCCCGACGACCAGGCACCACGCAATCTAGCTGCGGAACCGACCTCCCGGATCCGACGCGGGCGCTTACAGCCAGATCCTCCCTCCCTCAGCCCGATTTTGCTTTTTTGCGCCTTCGATCCTGCGCGTGCCCGCCTCGCTCTTTGAGATAAGTCCCAGAGCGGGCTGGTGTGGCTGAATGGTGTATTGGCTAGTGGGGGCCCAAAAAGCAACTTCCATGGTGGAGGCGATGGCTCGCGTCAACGAGTTGGTTGGCTGACGAGATCTGGAACTGTAATTTGTATGGAGCTTGGTACATTTTGGTGAGTAGCGGGGTTGCGGAGCTGGTAGAGAATGTAGGAAAGTGTCTAGATAGAGCAATTAGGATGGTAGACGCAATTGAAGTGTCGTAACAGCTCTAGAGTGTTGGAATACGCAGCTGGCCACACAGGCCTCCACGAAATAAACAAGATATCGCTCCGTGCCGGCGGGTGGGGCGGTCGTCTCCCTGGTCTGGGAATCCCTCGGGGAAAAGAAAAAAAAGGCATCGTATTGGCACCACAGTGTCCAATGCGTGATTGGCCCTCCTTTCAATGCTTGCACCTCTCCCATCCCCATCCTCCCTTCGGGCGTGAGCGTACCTCGGGCACAGCGACAGCGACCTTCCGCCCGTCGCCTTGCCCTGTCCCTTCCATTCTTCCATCAATCAGCACCAGCAGGCTCGGTTGACAAGCAGGAAACTGCAATACGACCTCAACCCTCCTCCGCATCCGCATCTGCAGGTGCGGAATCAGGGAAGCCGGTCATACAACACCTATTCGGTCCGTCCGCCTTGCCGCCGATCCCACCCCTCCCCACCACAGCCCCATCCAATAACGCGGTGGGCTATTGGCAAGGAGCGATCCTGGGCGCCGGGTTCAGCTGCGAGTGAGGCTTTCCGGCCCTCTGCCCATCCTCAGCTTGCTGCGCGACTCGCATAGTCCCAATGCAGGAAGGCAGATGTGACGAGATGGCGGCGATCCGCGGCCCGGGGCTGTGGGATTGGGAATGTTTCTTTTTTCTGCTCGTTGACGCATGCAATGCAGCCTTTGCGCCGGGGCTTGCCGTCGCCCTCGCCGCAGCGTCATCGGAAGCACTGCAGACGGAGAGGGCCATGGGAGGTCCGTCGTGCCACTTCGGCGACGTGGCTGGGGCTGGCATGCCATGTCAGTTGGTGCCGAGCGTGGTGAGGTTGGGTGACAGCGGTCCTGTGCGGATGGGATGCAGGTGGTGATGCTGGGCGGACCGGGGGGAGCCCTGAGGCGAAAGGGGAATGGTGAAGCTTGAGGTCGGTAGCCAGGGGGAGGGCGCTCATTGGCTGCACCGCGACCTCAGAAACACTGCACCCTGCCTCGCGCACCGCCAGCACAAGGCGCTGTCGCAGTGCAAACTGCGCCGGAGTAACTGCCGAAGCGCATCGAGGGACTGCTCGCGATGCTACCCTCCTCCGCTGGGCCTCGGATTGGGCAGCTTGGGCGCCAACAGCCGCTTCACTGCTCGGTGGCCCAGGTACTGACACCTCAGCCTCACCGTGCGCGATCCGCGCTGCAGCAGTTGAAAGGTGTATCGAACATCTCGCGCGATTCAAGCGGACTCTATTGACTGATTGCGATTGCAGCCCGACCTGTCGGCTCGAGCCAGCCCTCCGAACGTCAGCTGGCAGCTCTGGGCCTCTGATAATGCCACTCCTGGACCCAGCCCCTAAGCTCCCCCGCATACATCCATGCACGCTCCACGACGCCACGCTCCAAGACCGAATATGCAGTCCGCCATTACAGTCTCCCCGAGCCTTCAGAAGGTGAGCCGGCCACCGTTCGAGGCGCGTAGGGGCGACCGAAGAGAGCCTCGACGGGCCCGATTTCCTTTTCTCCGCCTATAAGCCTAGCAAAACAAGAAAATACACGTCGCGTGCATACAACACAAGCCAGCCCAAGAAAAAGCAAAAGGCATGAAAACAAGCGAAAGAATCCCTGGGAAAATGCTAAACCCAATGGTGCCTGATCCCAATGCTTTGTTTGGTGCCTTATTCCCGACGCCAAGATGCTCCCTGATTTTACACGGCGCCCCGAATACATGAAAAGCAGTTTACAGTGTAGCACGCGCCGCCATGCCCCCCAGCTCTTTTTCTAAATCCGTCCCGCCGTCCGACAAAAGGAAAGAAAGGGCAAAGAAATCACACGCTCCTGAGAAGCCGGCCGGGAGAATGGATTGACGCGGATGCCAAGCAAGGAAATGTCTCGGAATGTCGAAATGTCGATGCTATTGAATCCCGTCGCCCCGCGCCACGCCTGCCCCTTTCCCAGCCGTGAAGTTGCCCATCCAAGATGCCATGTCGGAGCCGGAAGATGTCCCGAGCATCGAAGAGAAAAAACAAAGGAGATCATGAGTGCTGAGTAGAGATACATGCCGGTCGTGAATCTGTATTTCCAAGGGGTCGGAACAGGATTATTAGAGAACTAGCTGGGTATAGTGCGTAGAGAGCAATGAATGGAAGATGCGTCCGTGAAGAACGCAAGCGGGTATTATCGTCTCCGCGCTGAGGCAGAGAGAGTGCGCTGTGTCGGTCCGGCTGAGCCGGACATGTTTTCTAGCATATCGAGACATGTTGTGAGCACTGGGATGCTTTAGTCTAATGCGATATTAGAGACATGGGCCGTGGACTTACTGTTTATGATCTCTTCCTCCCACACGCCCATCTGGTAATCCACCAGCCCGTGCTTCTCCATGTTGTCGCAGAGGTGCACCAGCTGCTTGCCCATCTCCTCGAGACTGTCGTACTCGATGATGCTCTGCGGTGGCTGCGGGCGCTGGCCCGTCTCCAGCATGTTCTTCTGCTGCTGCAGCGTCGTCAGCCAGCAAGTGTTGAACTCGTCCCAGAGCTTCAGGCGCTCTGCGTGCATGGCCTCATCATCGCGAACTAGACCTAGAGTCAATATTCTCAGCTACACACTCTCCCTGGAGCAGCGGGGGAAGGGGATGTAACTCACCAAGCGCCTCCGCATTTCCCAGCAGCCAATTCGAGATGTTCATCAGCAGCGTCGCCGCCTCCCCCAGCCGGCCGTCTCGTACATGCTGGAAGGTGCGCTTCAGCTCCGTCTGGTACTGGTTGTAAGCCGTGTCGAACTCGGAGCCTTGAATGCTGCCGCCAGCCTGCGCATACCCAAAGGAAGCACTGCTGGCGCCCTGGCTGGGGTCCGTCATGCCGGCGGCGTAGGAGGGCTGTTGCAGTTGCTGCTCGCGCGGGCTCTGTTGTGTTGTATAGCCCATCTGCGCGTAGGACGTGACGTTGTGGGCGAGTCCTGGCGCGCTAGTCGGCCCGCCTGCACCAGCGCTTTGCGTGCCGGCCGCCGCGTCGCCTGCGACGTTGTAGTATTGTTGTGGCACCCCGAACTGGGACGACAGCACCTCGATCGCCGCGCTCTGGTGTCGCGGCTGGCCTGCATACGGTGCTATAGAGGCATCGTACGGGGAGGCGGGAGTTGCAGCGCCTGCCGCCCCAGGGTTGTACATCAGGCCCTGTCCGTACTGCGGGTACTGCCCCGAGGGTCGCGTGTGCTGCTGCTGCTGCTCGGACGACGGGTAGTCGCCTGTATATGCGGACTGGATGCCCACGAACTGCGCGCTGCTGTCGCCGTAGGTGGGATAGGCGTAGGCAGAGCGGGCGTTGCCTGACGCGGGCGCCGACGTGGGCGACTGTCCCGTAAGGGAACCCGTCCTGCTCGTGTGCGCTGCTGGATTGTAGAGCCCTTGCTGGCCCGCGTAGCCGGGTGCCGTGTTCTGCCTTTGCCGCCGGTCATTGTTTTCCATCCCAGTCGACCGGCCCTTGAGAGAGAAGTTGAAGGGCGGATCGAGGGACGACCGATACGCCAATGGCGAGAGAGGCGGGGTCCTGTAGGAGGCCAGTTTTTCGGCTTCCCGAAGGCGGTTTTGGAGAGGGTCTGGGGATGGACAGTCGAGAGCACTGGGTTGGAGGCGCGGTGAGACGTGGTGGGGCGCGGCGGGTGAATTTTTCGCGAGGTGAGATACGAGGTGAGAGATTTGAGAATTATAGTCTATGTCTATCTTTTGCAACAGGAAGAGAAGTGTCAGAAGCTGGAAGAGCCGCGGGTCCGGAAGGATGGGAATTGGGTCGATCGAGGACAGACGAAAGGGCTGAGATTGACTTACGCAGAGCAGATCCGAATGGTACGCAGATGATATAAACACAGCCCCCGGCTCATATCCTGAACCACAGCCAATGGAGGGTGCCGCGAGACCGTTGAAGAGGTGGCGTAGTAGCCTCACTCACAGGCACAGGGTTACCCCTCGGCGGGCCTGCGACGACAAGATGGCGCGGAAGCTGAGGCGGGAGCTTCGATGCCAGCAGCCACAGCGCGAAGCCCGCGAAGGGACAGCACGTCGCCTGGAGCTTTCTGGAGCAGCAAGGGCAAGCTCCAGCGGTGGGCCGGCGAGACACGTAGGCCCGCTGCTCGCTTGGGAAGGGAATGGGAGGGAAAAACGAAGCGGGGGAGTACCCGGCTGCAGGAGGGCGATGGTCGAGTCGACTGGCTTTGAAACACTTGCAGGTTAAGGGTTCCTTGCTCGACGTCGGAAACGAGAGAAAAAGAGCGTGCCCAAGGCCTGACGACGCCTAATGGACCACAAGCTTCCAGAAATAACGGCCACGCTTCGCACGATTGATGAGGCTTTTCAGAGTGCACAGAACGGTCCGGGCAGCCACGCAGGTGGTGTCAGAGCCAGGTCAGCGCGGGAGGGACGTGGTGAAGGGCGGCGGGCCGACTTTCAAGACAGACGTGCGACACAGGTGCTATATATTTGTAAGTCGGCGACTGGGCACACACTAGAGGTCGCTGTGAGGCTTTGCGGGCTCGATTGGGACGGACCTGGGAAGAGATGGCACTCGGCGCGGCGTCCCATTGGCATGAGCGGCGCGCAAGCACGAGAATGGCAGCAGGGACAGCGCTAGAGGCGCAGAGGCGCGTGAGGCTGCTGCTGGGCGATGGCGCCTGGTCGGGTTCAATGGATCCTAGGGCTGGCACGGGGTGGGGGGAGTACGAGGGGGGGAGTTGAGCAGTGAAGGTCGAGGGCAGCCACATCACGGGCGACAGACGATGTCGGGCTGAATCAGGGAGTGCTGGAGCACAAACGACGCCACGCTCAGACAGGGTCGGCGGGCAGGATGCGGAAAGGGCAGCCAGCCGTGCGCAGACGGGTGTAGGGAGTGTGGACTCTGGACGTGGTGGCTTTGCGGCGGGAGAGAGACGAGATGGATGACGGCGTACCTTGGGAGAAGTCTCCGATATCCGGCCATATCGAGGGAGCGGGGCCTGCTCTGTGCCAGCATGAGGCCGCCCTTCGCCACGCTACAGATCGTCGAGATCTCGGGCTTGCATGCCACAGGGCCATTCACCACTCGCGGCCTCACTCATCAGTGACGCTCCACGCACGCAGCTGTGGCCATGGCCGCCCGCCGCCTGGTCGTCTGGTTGCCACACCCGTGGAGCTCTCCCGCGCAGCTGCATTCGCCAGGCTGAGGGCTGCCGAGGGACTGGGGGCGGGTTGCTGCTTGGCTGCAGTGAATGCTTTGGTCCCCCCTCCATCCTGCTCCGACTAGCGCAGCCACACGCGCGCAGGCGGCGTCCCTTTGAGAGAGCATCTCGGACCAGCTCCTCTGCAGCTGCTGGAGCAGCTCGCTGGCCACTGCTGGGCGGCATTGCGGAGGCAGGCCGGGCAGCGCGCAGCTCTGGCACTGGAGCCGGGCTCGTCTCGCGCGGACGCAGATTGCGTTTCACGCGCTCCAGGACACCAGGCGTGGGTTTGTGCGGGGGGCGCGGGAGCATCTGATTCGTTTCATGGGCGTGCTGCTGGTCAAACAGTGGCGGCCGCTGGGCTGGAGGCCTTCAGGAGCGCCAGGGGCAATTTCGGCTTCGCGCAGCCAGTGCCTCAATGTGCGCAGGGACCCCGCCGGCCGATCAGCCATGCCTGCATCTCCACCGAACACGCGAGCAGCCTCATCGCGAGCCCTACGGCGATCACCTCGGGCAGGGCGAGGCAGGGCGACGGCCTGGCGCCCCGCGAGTCATGATGGGCAGCGAGCCGACGTCAGCGCCAGGACCTCGGTCGATGCAGCGCTGGCCACGATGCCGCGAGCAGGCCATGGCAGGCCATTGCAGACCATTGCAGACCATGGCGAACGGGCGGCGCGGAGGGCCTGCATACACCTGTTTTGCTGCCCATGTCGGAGGCCGGCCCGGCGCTGTGAGTGGACCCTCAGCTGGCGCTATCCAATGCAGCGCGCCGAAGGAGCTCCAGGGCTGCAGGGCTGGGAACTGCCGCTGGACTTCGTGGCGACTCTCGGCCATGCCCACCGACGACGTCCAAAGCGGCATCCCGAGTCCACAGCTCGCGGCGCGGGTGCCGGCCGGGCGGTGCTCGCCTTCACGTGGCATGAACGAGAGCGGTGCAACGAGCGCCAGATATATTTAGACGGCACAGACGGCCTTTTCGACGCCTGAGAAACACGGCACCGTCATCACGATCGCCGTTTGATCGCCCAGCGGCCCTTCGCACATCATCCGATGCGCTCCGCTGCTGCGAAATTGCAGGGCGCGCCGGCCACGTCTCTGCTCGCCTTCGAGAAGGTTTCATTTCTTTCGTCCGATCCTTCTCGAGCTCCAGCACCGCTTCTAGCGCTGCCCGAGATTGCGCTGCCCGAGATTGCGCTGCCCGACGCCTCTGCTGGCCCTCTGCTGCCACCGCCCTCGTCGCAAGCACGCACGCCTGGCCGCGATCCGCTCGACACGAGTCTCTCCCCGCGCCCTCGCATGACTCGTGTGCGTCGCCTTGCCTTGCTCTCGATTTTGAGTTCGCGCCAGCGGCGATCAGGCACAAATCGTGCCATTCACAACGGCGCGGCGGCCGTTGCGCTGCTCGTCCGAGATGCAACGTCGATTTCGTCCCTAGCCCGCGCCGTTGGAGGAGCGTGCATTCCGCTTGTGCCGAAACGGCTGACTCTGTCGCCTCGCGTCCTGCCGTCCTGCGCCGCAGATGCGAATAACCGCCTCCACCACCGCCATCACCACCACCAGCCGCTCAGCAATGCCACAACTGCGGGGCACCGTCCGACATGCGGGGCGAGGCGGCCAAAAGGGGTGGGGGCACAGCGTCTCAGCCCGAAACGCTGTTTGACTTCCTCATCTTCTGGAATCCCACCTGGCCCCCATGCCCAGGTGGACGCTCCCGCGAGACCGATCTGGCGTCCCATTACTGCCCTCTTTCGGCCACATCGCAATATTCCATGCATGCGCTGGAGATGCCTAGCCGATTAGCCCCATATGACCTCTCCGCCAGTCTGACAATCTCGCCATCATGACGTCCACAGCTACTTACCAAGACAGCCACCGCAAGCACCGGATCAACACCACAGCCTGGACACGGCTCAAGCAGAGCGTTTGGTGCACCCGCGACATCCGGACGCTCCTGGAGGCTGCGCGGTTGCACAGACAAACGTCTCATTGCACGGCCGCCGCATCTCGTAGCGTTCGACGGGCCTCGTTTGACAGCTGATCGGAAGATAGGCACGATTTCGGTGTGAATGGGCAGCATGACTGGTGGCAGAGGCATCGCCTGACGCGCGTGAGTCTGACCGTGGTCGGGCGTGAAATAGAAGCCGCTCCATTGGGGACCACGTCGTCGGGTCCATGCCACTCAAACGGCCGAGGCAAGCGTTTAGGTTTCAATCTCCCGTGGCAGGCACCAGCACAGCATACTGCTCACAACAATATACCTCAGACAGATGCGGAACAGCAGGGCGGACTAGGCAACTGACAAATAGTGTACAGCCACACGGCCATTGGCCGGCAGCGATATATACAGGACGTACATACATGCGGCCGCAGCCTCAACGCTTGACCCACGTAGGCATCTTGCGCGCCTTGATGCGCCCGGGCTTCTTCCTCTCGACTTTCCTTGGATCGCGAGTCACGACGCCAGCTGTTGGACACAATTTGATTAGCATTTGTTTAAGCCAGCAGGGTGGTCGGAGCGTTCATATGCAGAGGTGGAGCGACATTGCGGCTGTACCCGCCCGCCCAAGGAAGGCAACTCCGCGTCTCAAGGCGTCGCAGAAACGATCCGCCCAGCGCAATAGAAGGACGGAATAGAAGAAATACGGGGGTGGCTTACCTCGCCTTAGCGCTGGTTTCAATGCAGGTTCTTGAACGAGCAACGCCTTCGCAACGGCCAGCGCCATCGCTTCGGCTTGGCCGGTCACACCTCCACCTTTAACGAGCCCAAAGATGTTGTACTTGTCGAGTCTCTGCGTAGACTTCAACGCCCACACTGCACTCTCTCTGTCGTGCAGCCTACCGAACTTCTGTGCCAACGTCTGCCCGTTGATCAGGACCTCGCCATCGCCTTCCACTAACCATGCCACTGCCGATGATGTCTTCCTCCGTCCAACTCCTTTTGACCTCCCCCATTCATCAATGACCGACGGCCTTGGCTTTATATCGTGCGGGTTGATATCCCTCTTGAACTTCGCCATAGCCGTTGTGACCTCTTCTGGCATCAACGCCGGATGGATGTGATTCAGCCGGTGGAGAATAGCAATAATCCTAGCATATCTTGCCGGCCCGATGGGCTCGTTGACCTTGACTTTGTAATGGTGGATGCCCTTCCACGCTACTCGCGGTGCATGTCCTGGCGGCACAACTGGCAGCGTCGAGTATTTCCGTAGAAGCGCGTCTAGCGTGATGAAGTCGTCCGTGGCCTCAGGCTTTGCGCTGAAGTATGAGGCAGAGGCGGGCACGACACGAAGTCGTTTTAAGAGCTTCTGGGCTTCCTCTTCGGCTTTTTCTCTGGCGGCTTCGGCTTGCTTTGGATCCATTGAACTGATGTCTTGAGTGTCTTCGGAAAAGGAAATAGGCGGTGCAGCAATGTTGCTACGAGGGACTTCATCGACGGTTTCGGCTCGTCGGATTGCGCCTGTCGCAAAGTATTTTGATGTGGACTGATGGAAGCCTCTCCTGGAACATGGTATCGAGCGTATTTGTGATCGTGGAATGCTCCCGAGCGAGGCGAAAGCCCGCAGCAGACTCTTCGGGAGCTCACCTCCACTCATCTCGCGGCTAATTGAGATGGGGAACGTCGCGAAAAGCGTCCTGGATGGGAGACTGATGGCTTTGCAGACTGGCAAAGAAAGTCAAGCTGAGGCTCAGGATGACTCAGCAAATGCCAAGGCGCCTAGCTGGAAAATTACTCCTCCCACAAAACTCGATGTCGCCTTTCCCAACTGCATCACATCAACTTCACCAACACCTACCAGGACTATTCAGTTAGGCCTGCCTCTTTATACATCTCCTTACGCCAAGAAACCGCCATCATGTCTTTCGGGAAGCTGTACAGCTACAAAGTAAGTGAGCGCGGCGCTGGTTGCCCCGCGATGACTCCACCTAACAATCGCAGGGCAACGCGCGAACGCCTGCCATCCTCGCCGTAGCCAAGGAGAATGGCCTCGACATTGAGCTTGTCGAGACTGTTCCAGGAAATGGCCTCTCTGCCGAGTACCTGAAGCTCAACAAGCTCGGAAAGATCCCTACCTTTGAGGGCGCCGACGGCTATGTTCTCACCGAGTGCATTGCGATCGCTGTTTACCGTAAGCCTGTCTTTATGCTGTTGTACACCCACACGCCCGTACTGCCGGACATTCGCTTTTATGATGAGACTTTTTATTCAGTTATCCCTGTCTGAAAAAAACATAACCTGTTGATATATTCACACTCTGAAACGCCTTCAATTACCCCACCTTATCAGCCTGTAGACCTGGGCAAGCACATGCTGACCTCGTGTAGTCACCTCGCAGAACGAGAAGACCACCCTCCTCGGCAAGACCAAGCAAGATTACGCTTCCATCCTGCGATGGATGTCTTACGCCAACAGCGAGGTCCTTCCTCCTATTGGTAACTGGTTCCGCCCTCTCGTCGGCCGTGACCCGTACAATAAGAAGAACATCGACGACGCGCAGAAGGCCGCCACCAAGGCTATAGCCACCTTCGAGGAGCACCTCCTCACCCACACATACCTTGTCGGCGAGCGTCTGACTCTGGCTGATCTCTTCGCTGCTGGCATCGTCGGCCGTGGCTTCGAATACTTCTACGACAAGGCGTGGCGGGCGGAGAACCCCAACACTACCCGATGGTTCGAGACCGTACGTAGCCAACCCATCTTCACGAGCGTGGTCGGTGAGTTCAAGTTCATCGACGAGGCTATCAAGAACACCCCACCGAAGAAGGAGGCCCCCCCCAAGAAGGAGCAAGCAAAGAAGGAAGCGCCAAAGCCCAAGGCTAAGGCTGTCGAGGAGGAAGATGACGAGCCAAAGGAGGCACCCAAGCCCAAGCACCCGCTTGCGCTTCTACCGCGCCCTACCTTCGATTTGGACGAGTGGAAGCGACAATACTCCAACCAGGAAACTCGTGAGGTTGCGCTACCGTGGTTCTGGGCGAACGCGAACTTTGAGGAGTACTCGATCTGGAAGGTTGACTACAAGTACAACGACGAGCTGGCCATGACTTTTATGAGCTCTAACTTGATTGGTGAGTCCTGCAATTTTCTTGTTCCGTAATAGAGGCTAATAAATCTTTAGGCGGATTCTTCACCCGCCTCGAGGCTAGCCGCAAGTTCATCTTCGGCGCCGCGTCCGTCTATGGCGTGACTAAAGACTCTGTCATCCAAGGCGCGTTTGTCATCCGCGGTCACGAGGCCCTTCCGGCCTTCGACGTCGCTCCCGACTACGAGAGCTACGAGTTCACCAAGCTGGACCCCACCAAGCCTGAGGACAAGGAGTTTGTAGACGACCAGTGGTCGTGGGACAAGCCTATCAAGGTCGGTGACAAGACCTACGAGTGGGCCGACGGAAAGGTGTTCAAGTAGGGGACTGTATCGAGATCCCTCCTCTTTTCTTTGTCGTGCTGTAGGGTTGCGGTCTTGGTACGATACCAGTACTTCGTGAGTGATGATGGACGGGCTTTATGCTTGAAATGATATGCGGTATGATCTGATGGTTGAAGCAATGAGAGTGTTGATACAGCGGTATCTGTAGCTGGTTCACTCATCTTGCTTAATTCAATCGAATGCCTGCTACGAAGAACAAATATCTTGGCACTATCAATATGAACTCTGTGACTCTATTTGGACTATCCTTTTCGCAGGCATTTTCGGTGTTTCAGCAACCACGGGTACACGGACAACCACCCACTTCACCACAATCCACCACACGGCGCCCTCGTGTCTGCCACGGTCACTTACTAGGGCTTATTATGCAGCCCTATGACTAAATCGCAATGGCCGTGTCATACAGAATGCCAAACCATTTCTACAAACATGCCCCAAGTCCTGGAATCAAAGATAAAACCACCGTGAAAGCAAGTCTATGATCGTCTCTATCTCCGGCAGATGCCGTGCGTGTCGCAAGTTCAACAAGGCTGGAAATCTAGGAGCTGAACTGCCGATCCTGTGGCGTCGGCGCTAGCTGTCGTGTGATTGGCCAGGGGGATTAAGTGGGCGCGAGCGGCTCTAACGTCGTCTCTTTCTTTCGCGAGGGCTTTCAGGTTCCCCACAACCACTTACACCTGAGACACCGCTGTTACGAAAGAGACGAGTTGACGCTGAAGAACGCGCTGTATTGGGCTGGGACGGCGTAAGACTGAACCTCTGGGACGGAGCGCCGCGAGTGAACGAGAGAAGTGTCTCACGCGACACGGCTACCTACCGAGCGAAGAGCTGAGGCTGAGAAAGATTTGAATCGGAACGGCAGCGAAGGGAAGGGAACGGCCGCAGACAGGCGCAGACGGCGCTCGAGCCTACGGTTCTCAACAGCGCGCGGGTGGTGAGGCAAACCGGCGAGTGGGCTTCGACGCAGCAACGGCCGGTGCCCGCATACGCAGCAACGTGTGACACAACGGTGCCGCAGCACGCAAGGCGAGCGGCCACGACGACTTTGTCTCAGAAGAGGCGGATCTGTCGGGAAGTTCAAGCCACAGCAAACGATCGGCCGGTGCCAGTAGCACGTCTGGGACATTCCCCAATCCGAAGAGCTTCGCCGAGTCTGCAGAGGCAGCCGCCCGCGAGGTGCTCGTTTGCTCCCGTTCGGCCTTGCCTAGAGGAGGCGAACTTGTCTCGGGAGCCAGCGGTAGCTTGGGGGTAAGAGGTTGGGTGCTAGCAGACCGCCTTCATGAAAGACGTCGATGGGGTAGTAGAGGGCCGGGCACGGCGCGCATCGCATCAGCCTGTGGTGGAGCCTGCGATTCAGGTTATTTGTTTGGTAAGTGGATTTTCTTCTTCGCTGTTGGGGTTTATGGGGTCGAGAGATGCGTGGGGGATGTTGAAGTAGAGATGGTCTCCGTTCGTTGTGTATAGCTTCGTGCGCTGCTTATACAAGGATATGGTTGGTTGTATTTATGTTTTTATGTTTCTGATGGTGTGAGAGTTCACATCAAAAGCATGATGCTACAGTCTCGATCTGAGCTTCAACAAGAGACATTCCTAACGATGAACACAGGGCGCCGGAGGAGGTCCGTCTGAAGACAACGTGACGGGATTTCTGGTTCGGTCAAAGGCATCAAAGTGGTCAAAGAACTCAGTGTTGGCAGTCGATGCCGGTTCCCATCTGGCAGCCATTACCCGCATCCTCGAACAGGACTTCCCGCTAGTCTCCGGGACAAATCCAGCAGATCTTCCCTCATCTCGGAACGGGGACCACAAGAACGGCAACGGCAATGGCCATGGCAATTACTCACCCAGCCCGCGGACTGTAGGTGTTTCTAACTCAGACGATGAGGATTCAGACGACTCGGCTTCTTCCGCTGGTATTGCTCTACCCCCTATCACGACACTCGAAACTGGTCCTTTCGAAGGACTCCCCTTTCCGCACGCTTCAGCCCGAGCAAACGCTCTTCATGTTGTCCGCGAACATGTATCAACTTACCTCATAACGCATCCCCATCTTGACCATGTCTCCGGCTTCGTCATCAACACAGCCGCTTTTCATAACACCTCAAGACCAAAACGACTCGCAGCGCTCCCTTTCACTGTCAACGCTATCAAAACGCACCTCTTCAACAACGTCGTCTGGCCGAATCTCACGGACGAGGACGGCGGCGTTGGCCTCGTAACGTTCCAGCGCCTACAAGAAGGCGGTAACATCGCTATCGGCGAGGGTCACGGCCGCGGCTACATTGAAGTCTGCGATGGGCTCAGCGTTCGTGGCTTCAAGGTCAGCCATGGTCACTGCATGCGCGGACCTGGTCACGTCCATCGCGGGAGCAACGCCAACCTCCCTGAAGCCCCAGGTTCCGCATCCATTCAGCACTCTCACCACCACAGCGCAAGCATCAACGCTGTTACAGCCGCCGACGCCGCTCGCGAAGGCCGCTCACACTCTTTCTCCCTCCCCTCCCAACCCGGCACCCCCCTCTTCTCCGGCAGCACCACCGACGGCTCACGCGTCAACACTTCAGCTCACACACAGCAAGACCAGTGCGTCATCGACAGCAGCGCCTACTTCATCCGCACCGAAACCCCCTCAATATCCGCTTCCCACCCCCCTCACGCCCGCGAGGTCCTCATCTTCGGCGACGTCGAGCCAGACTCCCTCTCCCTCTCCCCGCGCACCGCCCACGTCTGGGCCGAAGCCGCGCCCAAAATCGCCGCGGGTATCCTCACCGGCGTCTTCATCGAATGCAGCTACAACAACTCACAGGGCGACGCTGTGCTCTACGGCCATGTTGCCCCGCGGCATCTGCTCGCAGAGCTGCAGCACCTCGCCGACCTCGTCCGCGACGCGCGCCACGAGCTAAAACAGGCAGCCGAGGAAGCGCGCAAGGGGCGGAAGCGGAAGCGGACGAGCAACGGCTTCCTGGGCCTTGCGGACGGCGGCGGGCCGGAGCGCGAGAGGAAGGGGAGGATCTTCAGCGGGAGCATGGCGCTTGCGCTCGATGCGGCTGCGAACTCGAACCCTTATGCGAACGCGTACGCTAGTGGTGATGAGACGATGACGGATGCCGCGCTCTCGCCGACGCCGTACTTGAGTCGTACAACGACAACGGCGACGGGCACGGCGACGCCGGTGGGGGGCCAGCCGACGCTGACGCCGCAGCAATCGGCGGTGGGGCGGGAGGAGCTGCCGCCGTTGAGGGGCCTGAAGGTCGTGATTATGCATGTTAAGGATACGTTGGCTGATGGGCCGCTGGTTGGGGAGAGTATCCTGAAGGAGTTGGAGGAGGGGGAGAGGGTGCTTGCGGAGGGGGGGAGGGGGCTGGGGTGTCAGTTTGTAGTTAGTAAGTCAGGTGGAAGTTATTGGTTCTAGAGACCTTGGGGGTAGAGGTTTCGGTATCTTGAGCGTCTTGTGGGAGAGGAAGAGTACAGAGATACATTCGAGTACTTGTTCTGGAAAAGATCAAACGGGAAGGGATGTGAAGGTATGAGGTATGATACATGAGTGGGTCTTGTTGGTTTTGGATTCTGTTTTATAGCAGTCATGTTTATTCAGCGTTAGAGGTTTGGTTATGGGCGCGGGCAGCATATCTAGGAGCACAAAGCGGGGTTCACACGCATTTGGGCTTTTATGGTTGCTGGTAGTGTAGGAATAGAGTAAGAAGAATCTTTTCTTTTTGTATCTATTCTCGTTTCCAAATCCTCTGTTTTTACACTCTGAACTCTCTCATTTAATATGTAAGATGTTTGGTGACGTTGTTAGGTGAGATGGTGTAGGTGACGTCAGGGGGGGCTCTGAGTTACTCTTCTTTCACCTCAAGTCTGGCTGTGGTGAGCGAGATCGAGAGAGGCGAGTCCGGAGAGGAGGCATGCGTCGGGAAAGGTGAGGTGGGAGAGCTTTGTTACCATCACATGAGACCCCCCATCCTCTCATCTACATATTCTGTCTTATTTCCCAAATCCCCAATTAACTCGAACAGCAGGTCGGTAGGCGTACCAAGTCGGCGTCCCGTTACCTCTTAGGGACCCCGCACCCCAACAACAACCTGCAGGGGCCTGGGTTCGAACCCGGCCCTTGTCAGGACTCGACATTATGGCTGTTTCCTATAGATTCGACTGAAAAGTCGCGTGGAAACGTAAGACCATCGTCGCGAACGGAGTAAACCGCCCGGGGTTTCTACACTCTCCCTCGAGGAGAGTGGTCTTTTGCTTCGGGGATGATCTTTTTTGTTTATTATATATACTGTGGGCTGGTTTCATCTTGTGTTTGTTTGGAGGGATAGGAGGGTGTAATTTTTTTTTCTCTTAATCTGAGAATGAATAATACGGGTCTGAACGTTTAGAAGTTCACTGCTTGCTAGTTTCCAAGTGGCGCAGAACCGTCTTCGCGCTCACCCACTTGCTCACTTAAGGGCTCCTTGGCACGGGTTTTATGGAGGCTTGAGCACCTAGGGTCGGTGTTCGCAGGACGGGTCAAAATCTTGCAAAGAATCTATTTCGCGATGTGATCTTTTTTAAGATAACTTGAGTAAGAATAGTACAAAGGATTGGGGTTATATAAGAAGATGGTATAGTTGAGGTAGACCTTAAACACAGCATGGTAACGGGAAGGCGTACCAGGAAATTTATATACATTTTAATCTCCATCCCGTAAAGAGTTCGTATGCACGCCGTCAGCTCCACGGCTAATACATGTACAAGATAGTTCAGGCTATATCGCATGCTAGAAGCAAAATTTAGTATCCAGTGCTGGATGAAATCTCCAAGTCATCGCCTAGCCCCAAGTTGTTCACGAGTTCCCAGAAATTGACTTCGGCTCGCCCGTGAGTCTGCCCTCTCCTGCTGACTCCATCCTTTGCAAATCCCACTCCGTTCTTAACATCCGACACGATCTGGCGAGCTCGCTCCCAATCGCCAGCTCGAGTTAACGCCGTAACAATGGACATGAGAGCGCTCCACGATGGGTTCTTCCCTTCCCTGGACATCCTCGTCAGCACGGTAATCATCTTGCCGATCTCATCGCAACGAGCGTAGCCTTCGATCATGCGATCGTACAAGGTCCTGTCCGTGATGCTGCCTGGAGTGTTGATGATTGTGTTCCATAAGGAGTCCACTGCTTCGATGGCAGGAGGGTCCTGATCGAAGTAGTGGGTGATGAGACTGGTATATATTTGCGCAGATGGAATTATGGATCGCTGAGCCATGTGATCCAGGACTGCCCGGGAGGCAATGACATTGCTGTGCCTCTTCAACAGTTGATCGATGATGGTGGAATAGAGGACCGTATTTGGCGTGAGACCGTTAGCTTCGATGTTCTCTAGGAAGTCGATCATGGATTGTCGTTGTTCATCTTCCGAGAGGTCGCCACGCGTGGTTTTCAATGTGTCGTTTATGAGGATAGTGTATGTGGCAATGTCGGGGGCAATCTGGTCAGCCTTCATAGAAGCAATAATCTTCGAGACCATGCTTGCATTGCCTTCCTGCAATGCCTGGCGAAGGAGGACATTATAAGTGATATTGTCAGCTTTAATTTCAAACGATGAGGCCCATCTGAGAACCGTTTCCATCGCATCTCTTTTCCGCTTGGGCGGTACTGGTAGATGTGCCAAAGCAGTCAACACCGCGTTAATACTCGCAGTATCTGGCTTGGGTGGATTCGCACGTTTTTCAGCGCCTTTGATTTTGCTCTTTGTTTTCGTTGGTTTCCCAACATTCTGCGCGTCCTTCCATGCTTTGCCCATTTCGCTCAACGCAGTCAGACCTTCATCACGTGCCCCCATGGAGATCAACCCAAAGAGGCGCGCGTTCCAAGCAGCATTGTCAGGCTGAACACCAGAAGCAATCATGCGTGCCCAAATTTGCTCGAGGCCATTCAAATCCCTACCCTTTTGACACCCCGCAAGCATGGCAGTCCACGTAATTACGGTTGGTTTTGTCCCGTTAGAGATCATTTCGTTCCAGGCCGCCATAGCGAGGTCGGCTCTCTTAATTTCCATGAGGCCGGACAACAGAGCATCATAGATTTTGCTGGGAATAAGGAATCCTCTCTTGGAGTTGGGGACGGCGAAGACCGAACGAGCTTCCTCCCAAAGATTGATGATAATTCTCATATCTTGTCTTTCAAATGCTCTCGCTAGTCGCTTTATCAAAAAATCCATCAACTCCTCCGCCACGCGAGGGTCTTGTGTTGTTGGCATTGCCGAGGCAAATCGCTTTGCGCCAATCACTTTTAGAGCTCGAGTAGGAATGGACTCAACTGCTTCTTGCAGAAAGTCTGTAGACTCTTGAGAAAGTATATCGGCGTCTTTCATGTTCCTGATTTCTTGGGAGAATCGCGCCATATTGGCCCCGGGTATGATATGCGCTACAAACCGCACGAACGGAAAAGCTTCTGTCCGGAGGCTTTGGGGAATGCCGGCAGCGTATTCTCTGCGAGTGAAAAAGAGAAAAGTAATTAAAATAGGGAGACCGATAGCTGGAGTCATGTCGTATTTAGTTACAAACTTGTCGAGGCGTTCTTCGAATTTTGGACTCAGGTGACTTCCTGTAGTGACCCTGTCGAGTTGTGAGAGATGTGGTAGACAGGACCACTGGTTGGAGTGCCGGGGAACTGCTGGTAGTTGCGAAGGGTCGAGTGTGTTGGACACATGCTGACCAGGTCTGAACTGTTCCCTTTCCGCTATTGAGACTAGCTCCGGGCTTTTAGAACTGAACTTCATAAAGAATTCGCGCCAAAGGTCCACGAGTTGGCCCAGAATAATTGGCTGGTCCTCAACAGCAGTGCCCACGGTTGATTGTCCGAGCGTATGAGAAACAAGCGGCCACAATGAGGCTGGCCAGAATTCGTTGCGCATGATTCCCACCTCCTCGAATTTCCGGATTACGGCGAGAGGCGGTGGGCATCTACTAGACCAAGGGGCCGAGCACCACTCCGTGATGAGAGCTTTTAGGAGTTGCCGAAAGACCTTACCGCCAGCCAGTAAGTGGACATCCTTCGGATGTGGATCGACCAGAGCAGGGGAGCCTTGGAAGAAGTTCTCGAGGAAATAAGCCCAAGTATCCGAAGGGCGTGACCCCGGTCTCTCCAGCAGCTTTGTCAGATGGGTTGCACTGTCGACGGCGACCTCCACATGTCGGATTGTTGGACCAATGCGTGTATCAGGTTCGGCAGTCTCTTCCCCCTCGGGTATATCGAGGTCTTCCGAAAGACGTTTCGAGTATCGGCCTCGCCCACCGCGGTCGCCAGGAGAACGCCCCGGAAAAAGGTCTGGGAAAAGCAGCTCGAAGGGTTTGGTGTCACTCGGCTTCTTCTCGAGAGGGGCTTCTTGCGGAAATAGGGAGGGGATAGAGGCATTGAGATCGGAAGCTTCTTCGCTCTGTTTTTGGGCATCGTTCGGGGGAGGCGGAGGTCCCGGATTTGCAAAGGAGAGAAAGGTTCGTTTCGAGTGCCATTGCGGTTGATGCAGGTGGGCTGCGCGTCGGGCAAGGCGGTGGCGACATCCTGTGCAGACGTATGAGGCACTCATGGCCCCTGAAACGCCGCGGGGTTGGGCGTTCGAGAGATGCAGCTGGCAGAATGTCGCGATAGAGCTGTGGTGTTGACCGCTGGGACGCCACGCTAGGCCATATGGAGCAGCCCGAGGCGCACGTGGGGCCGGCCGCTAGTGACGCATCACCAACGACCTCGAACTTTCTTTTCACCATTAGTTACGCCTTCACCGTACAAAGGCATTGCTAGGTCAAAGAGCCCTCCAAATGACTACCCTCATTCCCCGAGAGCCATATACCGAGGAAGAGCTCACCCGCTTGTATCCAAAGCATCTCAAGCTCCGGCTTGTACAAGTTGTAAGACAACGTGACAATGTTAATACGCGATCTCCTGGCTAAAATTGTGTATCATAGCTTCTACGTCATGGTAACGTCTGTTTGTACATTTACTGAGGCAATTGGCTCACATAGTAAGGCGAACGCACGCCAGTCTCAGCACGGTTCCAAAATGCTGGCCTAGCACCAAGTATGTACATCAGCTCCAGCCATAATGATTCGGGATCTCACCACGAACCAACCTCAGACTGGCCCTACTGCAATGCTGCAAGACAGCTCAAGGCCTCCATCTTAGCCACACCTGATCTGACTAAATGGGACGGACTCACGTACCGCCGGCGTATAGAGAAGTTCGGCGACGACGACGGACCTGTTGTTGCGACAGGGCCAAGTGGCGAGTTCGACAGCATCTGGTAGGCTCTGATCTTTGATTTGTTCTCTGAGTGTACTAATCCAATGACAGTAAGCCTGGAGAATTGACAGATGTTGGTCGTCAGACGACCCTTGCGCTTGGACGGCGGTTAAGACATCTATATGTTGACCAGCTAGGCTTCATGCCAAAACTCATTTCTGACTCGGATATGATATATTTGCGAGCTACGCCAATTCCTAGGGCGCTAGAATCCTTGCAGCAAGCATTTTGGGGAATGTATCCCCCATCAGCGCGAACAGCAGATTTTCCCTCCCCCACAATTCTTACGCGGGCTCCGCAAGACGAGACCTTATACCCCAATGACGGCAATTGCAGACGATATGCCCATCTTTCGCGAGCATTTGCTCAAAGGGCCGCTGACCACTGGAATGAGTCCGATGACATGGAGTATTTGAACAAGATCTTCGCCAAGTGGATGCCAGACGGTAAAGTGGCCGTAGACTCACATCCTCGACTCTCTGGGCTCATGGATACCATAAATGCAACGTTAGCACATGGGCCCGCAACGCGTCTACCCAAGGAATTTTATGATTCGAAAGCTCGTGCGATCATTGACAAAATCGGGGTAGAGGAATGGTACGCTGGCTATCTAGAGTCCGCAGAATATCGCATGCTTGGCGTGGGCGCCTTAGCAGGCGACATTGTTACTCGTATGACGGGAAGCGTGGAGCAAAACGGGACCGATGGCTTGATAGCGGTCGGCGGTGAAAATGGACGTCTTGGCACAGGGCGTGGAGGCGAGAAGGACATCAAACTTGCGCTTTCAGGATGCCATGATACTACTCTCGCTAGCCTGCTCTCTGCCCTGGGCGCATTCGAGGGCGAGAAGTGGCCACCATTTACTAGTCATATCGCCTTCGAGTTATTCACGGATGGGAAAACTACACGCGACAACCCTAGCGGCGCAGATTCATTAACACCACTGAGCTCGCAAGGCTGGTTGTCATCGGTGTTTAGGCTCAGGGACTCCATCAATAGGCACGCTTCAAAACCTGAGGCCATTGCTCGGAAGCCCATAGACGAGCTCAATGACGAGCAGAAGAAGATTCTACGAGATCATTACGTCCGCATCCGCTATAATGACAAGATCATGCAAGTTCCCGGATGCAAGGCCGAAGGGAAACATCTCGAAGGAGACACTAGCTTCTGTACCCTCGTAAGTGTAACTCTCATCCGCTTGCACATATGAGAAGAGGCCCTCGTCTAACCCGCGTGTAGGAAGCGTTCAAGTCTATCGTAGACAAGTTTACGCCTAAAAACTGGAAGCATACCTGTGCTTCCAATTTAGACTCACCAGCATTCCCCACTCGACCGGAGCCTGCAGGCTACTAATTCATACATAGATGTTCATATGATACCTCTAGAGTAGGCAGGATCTAGGCATCCGCCCCATGGACTTCAGGGCGTTCTAATTTATGCAAATAGGTATAAAATCAATTTGGACTGCTATGCCTCTTAGTGATACTCCATTTTCTTTTTCTTTTATAGTGTAGGTAGTAGCCTCGCGTTACAGTGTTGAGGAGATAGAAAATGTGCCTGTCAGATAACAAAATTGTTAGCAGATGGGAAAGCTATTTGGAAGTGTTTCTGGAGAACTAGGTGGATTTTACCGTATGCTTGACACTACTAGAAGCGTTCCATCATTTCCGAACGTAAAGCTTTGTCCTGAGGCCCGGTCTCAGCTCTAGGGTTTCTAAGGTGTTGACGTTGTGAGGCTTCCTGAAGCGCTCCTGGCCGTGTCAGGCGGGTGGACGGGAAGGCACGTCGATTTCCGGTGCAGGCTTTAGCGTCCACCCTTCTTTCTAAGTGAGGGCATCTTTCCTACGACTTCAAAATACTCTGCACTTCATCTTCTCCATCTACTTTTCCATCGGCTTTCTTCCCTTTGCCATCGACTTTCATCCCATTGAACTGCACAATTACCTCTGCAGCTCCGATGTCGTATCTACAGACCTTTGGGAGCATCCCTTTGGACAGCTTCTATCCAGCTGGTACGCGGCCTCAGCCTCGACCAGGTCTTCTGTCAGAGACCCCAGGCGCTTTGTTGCCATCCCAACTCACGCCAATGACCGTGACAGAGGACCTTTCCATTTCCCGTCTCACGGCTATTGCAACATGGATCCGCGATCACCTTGACCCTCGGATCGCACGCGAAGGCGCTGATATCCTGAAATCAGAAGACGTCTTGATCCTACACGACATCTTCATCGCTCTGCAACACACTGAACTGAGTGCCAATACTCTGCGGGCAACGAGGATCCACAAGGCGATCCTGGAGATTTCAGGAAAGGCGACACGTTGGCCGGGTCGGCTAGCTGACGAATGCGACAAGATTCTTGCGCTTTGGAGACGGAGGTTTGGCCCACTGGAGGGATTGCGGCCATTTCTTTATAGCAAAGGAGGAAGGCTAGACGGCATTGCCAGTGTGACTGAGACATCGAGGGGTGTGAGTGCCGGATCCCATTCGCGTCATTCTCCAACCTTTCGCTAATCTCCGAGTCAGGCCGTGTTGAAAAGATGGATGGAAGATGTGCCAGACCTTGTCGCGCCTGAGCAGTCCAGACGGGTTGGAGATTTGGGATTCCAGCCTGGCGAGTATGTCTGAGTTTGCTTCTATCGTAGGTGCTTTTCACAAACTAACGCACTTTAGTTGGTGGCTCAACTCTCTGTTTGCATTCCGCGCTGGCATCATCAATCTTGAGACGACCGAGGGCGGCATCTGTTTCGATTCCCAAGGAGCGTATGCCATTCTTCTCCGAGACTCTGATGAAGTTGATGGAAGTTCTCCCTCGGCTTTTATATACCGCTGCAGGACGAACAATCCAGGTCGTTTCCGCCTGACGTCTGCGGACTACAAGAGTCGCTATCCAGTGAGGGTGCTACGCAGTCACAACCTCACGAGCTTATGGGCTCCCCGGGCTGGGGTCCGATATGATGGCCTGTTAGTGACTTTAATCCTCCCTCGCTCACATTTCCCGCTAGCATCACGAAATTATGCTGAAATTTGCAGTCACAAAATTTCAGGTTGGACGATCCGCGCGGCCACAGCCACGGAAGCTGCGAAGTCAGCCTTCGCACTTGGTGAGCTCTTATTTGATGTCAAATTTGAGCGCGTGGAAGAAGGTCAGAAGTCAATGCAGGAGGCCTTAAAGTATCCGTCCGCCGCAGATATCGATGACTACGCAGAGTTCAAACAACTTCGCCGCCTTCTTCGACGCCCATCACACGAGGACTCGGTAATCGAAGATGTAGGCTTGGGAATGGATATCGAAGCGCCTCTCGAAACATCACCCATACCCGACGGTCTAGAGCTCGCCAGTGCGACTCCACTGGTTCCCGCAAGCGTTGTCCGTGCCGAGTCCATGACAAGTATGAACAACACAACTAAGAGCGCTGTTCTATCTCAGACTCCAACCTTTGGCCAAAACACTCCCCAGAGCGTAATCTCACGCTCCTTTACAGAACACAGTCTCAAGGCCACCGACGAGCCTTCCCGCCGACCGTCTCCTGCACGCCTAACTACATCGAGTTCATTCCATCTACCATCGCCCAAAGCTATAAGTACTGCATTATTACGACATCCAGGGAATGATATTCCACTCGCTGAGGACCAGGTTTCGATTCTGGCTATTCCGGGCTCGAGCGGTACACACACAGCGACCAACAGTCAGAAGTCGTCTCCAACCTCTGAACCCATCCGAGATGCACATGCTACTCAGGCCCGAAATGCGGCACAAAGTCTGCATTCAAATTCGGGTAGAGCCTCTCCAAGTGTTGCGCTCAAAAAGCCAGAAAACCCGGCCAAGGCATACGTGGAGTCTACTGGCCTGCCTCTTACAGAGGTAGCCCCGTGGGCTGATCTGGAGCCCCAGCCAAGTGTTGACCGGTCTGTATTACTTCACGCCAGAGCTCGAAGAAGCACCAGCACATCACGACCGCATGAAGTCGTACCTCGGGTTGATACGGCCTCGCCAGGAAAGGGTCCATTTGCATCTCCACCATCACGGCCACACAGCTCTCTGCAAGGTTCCCTTAGCAGCCCAGCATCTGGACATAGCGGCGTCGAAACTCAACTTCAAGGCTCTACGCTCACCAATACCCAGCGTGAAGAGCGGCGGGCTCGGAGAAGAAAACAAGACAAGAAAAGAGCAGATGAAGAGTATTCGAGAAGCGAAGAGAGGCGGCAGCAAGGGCTGCCTCGACTGAGCATGAACCTTTTCAACCGGAAGGGCAACATAGGCCGACTTCTGGACGGCAGCACCGACTCCGCAAAAGATGCATCGCCTCTCCCCTTCGGATTTTCTCCCATTCGTCGGAGACTGTCTCCGATCACAGATCAGGAATGGAATACCGTACTCAACTCTGCACCGAAAATTCCTCCCCGCATAGAACTACAGCCAACAAAGCTCGAAGACAATATCGTATCGCCATGCGCGCTCCCGCCCGCCAAAATTGGCAACAAGTCGCGGTCCTCCGAGCATGTCTTTGCGTCTGTTATGCCTGCCTCATCTTACCGTCCGGCACCTTCAGAAGCGCTGCGAAACGACGAAATTTCCGATCTCGACGGGGCCGCAGCCGTTGAGGCGCCCAATACAAGCTCTCTCAAACTCACCGGTGGTCATATTGAAGACGACGACAAGGCGTCCAGGCGCTCCTCCCAGGTCATCAAAGCAGAACAGAAAGTGAAGGTACTTGAAGCTCTCCTAGAATTTCAAGCGATCAAAAACTGGTTCACGAACGCCTACACTGATGGCTCGAACTCACATGATAATCCGCCCATATCTGCCTCCCTCTCTGACCTTGGCCAGAAACGTACACTGCCGTCCTCAATGGCCCTGGGCCATGCTCTCAGACCCAGCGGTCGCGAGTCGTCACATACTTCCCGTGGCTCAAGTGGTGATGGGGCGCCTTTGAGTCTCCTGACGCATGCGAAAACACAAGGAGAGAAGGCGGCCAAAAAGGAGAAAGACATGGCGGCGTTAAAGAGGTGGCAACGGGATGAGAGGGATCAGGCCTATGAAGAGGCGGCCATGAGACAAAAGCCGGTGAGGGGCATGATGAGAGAGGACAGCCCTGATCGACAGGACATAGAGGGGAGGGTAATGTTCACGGATCCGTTTAAAGAGGCAATAGGCATAAGTGGCGATGCTGATGTGGGTAAGGCTCAGAAGGAGGAGCGCGGCCTGATGGGTTTGGGAGATGGTGAGCGCATGAAGAGGATGTGGAAGACCCCGAGCGAGGATAGTGCGTCGAGGGAGCAGACTAAGAGAGCGTGGAAGAAGCCGAGTGAGGATATCACGCCGGGAGAGCGGATTGAGTGGAAGGGGTTGTTTGAAACTGGAAATTGAGTAAGTTTTACGGTGTTTATGATTGTGGATATCGACTTATGACGGGTTTCGAAGGATTGTATAGGTCATCAGCACAAACCACTCAGTTAGCATGATTAGAGTATAGGACAGCTCGACTAAGAGAGCGTATATGATAACTTCTGCGCATACATCTTGCCATTGTCATAGGTGTTCTAGCGGGCCGTCAGAGATACAGGCGTAATGTCAAATCTTCGAAAGTACAAATTAGACTAGCCTCCGTACGAGTCCATTCTTATAACGAAGCCATTTTGAAATCGTACCAATAGTGATAAGAATCACAATACCAGACATTTGAGTCAGAAGTTGGCACTGCCATCCCCTTCGTTTCAGTCTCAACGTGCTTAGCTACTTCTATCTCCTTGCCACTGCTTGAGGCACCTCGAGAAATTGCCAGATACCAGGATGAGCTGTCAATGTTCTGGAACGCGAATCAGATCGATGTCTCTGATATCTTCAGCACTGCGCGGAATCTGGGCTTCCCCAAGGTCATATCTTCCATGGCCTGATTAATCTCCTCCAGAGGATATGATTCGACCATGCAGTCAACCCCATGATTCTCGCAGAATTCCAAAGCTTCTTCAGAGTCGATACTATGCCCGCTAGGCCAGCCATGAACAGAGAGGCCCTTGAAAAGCATCGGCAAAGTATTGAAGGTGACCTCACCAGCAGCTAGAGCAACTCAAATCAGCATCCAATCAACCCGCATAACCATAAGACTCAGACTCACCACCCAGTATCAACAACTTCCCCCCATGCATCAAACCCCCTAACAACGGCGCAATAACGCTCCCACTTGGCGCCGTCGTCAATATCAACGCCGCACCTCCGAGTTCCTGCAACTCCACCACTCCCCCACTCTCACTCTTGTGCGTATCAATATAATGGCTAGCACCCAACTGCCTCGCAAACGCCTCTTTCTCCGGCCCCCGACTCAACACCGCCACCTGGTACCCCATCTTCGCCGCATACTGGATCGCCAGATGTCCAAGCCCACCAATCCCCTGCACGGCTACCAAGCTCCCCGGTCCAATCTGCATTTTCCGCAGGCCGTTGAAAACAGTCACGCCTGCACAGAGCACGGGGCAGTACTTCACCGGATCGAGGGCTTCAGGGACATGAACCACGGCTTCACGGCGCAGGAGGACGTACTCTGCGAACCCGCCGTCGCGCGAGACGCCGTTGACGGCCTCGGTGGTGCACATTTGGAAGACGCCGTGTCTGCACTGGCGGCAGAAGCCGCAGTGGCCGCCGTGCCAGGGGGCGCCGACGCGCTGGCCGAGCGTGAAGTGGTCTTCGCCCTGCGGGATGGCGGCGACGGTGCCGATGGTTTCATGGCCGAGGACGAGAGGGAGGGGGATGGGGAAATGGGCGTGCTGGACTTCGTGGTCGCCGGCGCACACGCCGGTGGCTATGACTTTGACGAGGATTTCGCCGGGGGAGGGGAGCTTGAGGGGGAGGTCTTTGATGACGAAGGGGGAGCCGATGGTTTCGAGGACGGCCGCGCGGTAGGTAGTGGGGAGGGACATGGTGGTGTAGAAGGGGGATATATGTTATAGTTTGTGGTAGACTGGAATTGGGTTCAATTATCTAAGTTTCGAGGGAAGATGCAATAGGAGAACCTCAAGAATAAATATACTCTGAAAAGCTGTTCGAAAAGCCGATATCTCCGAAGTATTCTTTTGAGTCGCCTTTCCGGTGTCTCGGTAAACCGATTCCACCAGCGGAGCTACTCATTGGTTCTTGTCTAGATTCGGGACACGGAAACGCTCTCGAGATAACTTACATGCTGTTAGTCTATAGAAGCGTAAGTAATAACACCTGTACAGACAGTTTAGCGGCGGTTGAGTAATCTTTTACGCTTGGCAAAGGAGATATATGACATCGTACCACAATTGCGTTCAGAATGATATTAACGTACAAGAACCTGTTTCACATCGGATTAGTGAACTACCCTTCTCGTCCGGCGCAGACTTTGGATTGCTAGAGGCTGCACGGAGATATGTCTGTAGCAGTGATTTCCCTTTTACCCCTATTTCACCGGTATCGCCATAATACTATCTCGATGATCCCTAGTATGCTTACTGCTTAATGCCGGTAACGCCGCGCAAGACGGGGTCAGTCGTGCTTTCTATACTCAATCCCTGCTGAAAATACCGGGGAAGAGTGACAGACTCTGTTTAATCAATGGCCCTCTCGAAAGGATGATCGGAATACCGAGTGGAGTGGTACTCGATCACGTGATCGCAAGTGATGTGAGTGAGCGAAGGAAGCGAAGGCTAAACCGCGACTACCACCTCTAGTAAAGAATAACCTTTCTTTCCTGCATTTCTCGTAGAGGTCGCTAAACTTACAGTATTTGAAATCTGTTCTAGGATAGGAGCCTGATGCGTCGCGTTCTTTGGGCGTTCATGGACTGCTCAGTCCTGTAAAATCTTAGCAATAGAGAAAGTTCTTAGAACGACTAACAGAGCTGTTCAAGATAGCACAGGGATAGGAAAAATATATGTGTAAATTCGGTTGCCGCTGCCTGGGATTAGCTCGTACAGTGCCCAAGTTCCGAAGGAAGCTTCAGCCAGCTGATGTCCCTATTGTGTAGTGGTATGATTGATCCAGATCTGTTAAAAGGGGATGACTACTCCAGACAGCGCCGGAGAGTTATACAAAGAATTATGTCCTGATAATGTTCGTTGCCTCCACATGAACAAGCCATCTGGAAGGTATACAGCGATCAAGGAGGACATGGTGAAAGACCTTTGGTGGTTCAGTGTTGGTCCTCGGCAACACATGCCTGCACTTTAGTTCCCCAGCCACCGCGACCCGTGGACAACAAACCATCCCTCATCATCACATCGCCCGCCTCCTGACCTACCATCCCCTGCAAGCACTGTCCACGCCGCTCGCAATCATTCAGAGACGGCGGAGGAGAGAAGAATGTGAAGCTCGCCACCATGTCCTTCTCATACGACCGCTACGACCGCCGCCAGTCCTCGAGCCGCCGCACCACCTTCGGCTACTGGGTGCCCCTTGTGTTCACCGTCACCGTCGCAACCGCTGGAGTCGCCGCCTGGATCTGGAGCCAGCGCGAGGAGGACGAGGATGAATCAGATGATGCCGACCTGAGTTATGGCGAAGATGGGGACAGATCGCAACCAATTCCTGGGCCACGAGACGTGGCGGGCTCAGTCCCGCAGGGCGTCGCGCACGAAGAGGAGGGCTTTCTAGGACGCGTCCAGGGCGCAATACGGCGTACACCGAGTCCGCAGCAGGCGTTTGATCTGGTCAGCAAGAAGGCCGTCGCCGGCGTCGCGGCAGCGGGCGCAGCTATGGGCGGGGTGTTGTCGTCGATTCGCGAGGAGGACAAAGACGCTTTCGATGAGTCTTCGCGATGGTCTGAGGAACAGCTCATTCGGCGAAGCGTTGAGGCACAGTCTTCTCAGAGTGCGTCTGCTGTCGCGACCCATACATCCTCTTTCGGCGCATCGGTGCGTGGAGGACCGCAAGCAGCTGGCGCGCGAAGGAAAACCGTGGTTATTGTGGTGTCTGCTGAAGCTACACTCGAAAACATGCATGATGAGGACGAGCAAGGCGCATATCACACTGAGCATGCCGTAAGCTACCATCACACCCCTCTGTTTCTCGCAAGGCTCGCTCAACTAACGATCTGCAGTCCATTCTCTCTCACATCCCTGAAATAGACGCTTCAAAGGCCCGTGTCTTCGTTCTTATCTACTCCCCATCCCTAAGTGCCCAGCCTACGGGGTCGTCCAGCTCCTACGCCGCTCCTCCGTCCCTTGGATCCTCCTACTCGGCTCTCTCTACTCCCGCCGTAACCCCCGGTGAGGAACTCACACAAATCGCACCTCACCCCGAATCACCCTACACGCCCGCTCAGACCGCCACTACTCCCGCTCTCTCGGCCCGCGATTCGGACAACTCTCTCTGGAACAGCCTCCACGTTCAAGCCCTCCGCCTCGTCGAGAACCCAACCATGGTCATGCCTTTTACGACTCCGACTGGGCACGTACATATGCTGCGGCACCTGGCGCCTGACGTTGTCTACATAGTAGATGCGCTCAGCGGGGAAAATGGCGCCAATGTCGAGCAGATCAAGTCGTGGGTTGGGCAAGTTATCGTGGTTGTGGGTGCTGATGGCGCGGGCTTGGGAGGACTGGTGGATACGGATGACGAGGGCACCGGTGGCGAGGGGAAGGCTTACTCCCGGGGACACAAATGGTGGGAGAGCGCTGAGATGGTTGGGCTTGGAAAGGGTGTTGAGGTTGTGGACGGCGCACGAATCCGTGAAGACGTCGAAAAGAGGGTTGGTGGCAGGGATTAAGGCATTGGACAAGGGCCTTTTTGCTGCAATTTCCGCATTAAACCTCGCAGACCGTGGATCGGAAGTATGCTTTGGACGCGTTATGACGGATGGCTGGTTGGGAAGCGATTGGCTACTTGTACTTCAGTTGCGTATATATCTTTGAATCAAGTCCATTACCAAACAGGCCCGGAGCCACGGACGACACTGCAAAAGATGCGTTTTACTAATCTGACCAGGCTACGATATCGCTAGAACTACCCCACAAGAGAGCTCTCTATTCTCACTAGCCACACCTCCGTACGATATCTTCGTGTTTATCATGATACCTGGCAGGGCGTTCCTTTACAATAATACACGTCGTTTCTTTGTCGTTGACAATGTCATTGTACACCGCACCTTCACTTTCCACAACATGCCAACAAACTCCCTCACGATATCCCTTTTCTATGCGTGAAACTCATCCTATCGTTACTTCGTCTTCATATGACATCCCCTTCATATCGTAGTCACTAACCGTCGTTCGAAAAGAGGATATCACCAATATTCACCGCTAAAGACGAGAAAAGAAGCCTTGTTTATATTTGAACATAAACATATTACTTAGTCGGCGACTATAGAAATGGGGTGGATCTGCTGTGTCTGTCGCACACGTAACTCTTGCAGAGAAGGTCCACGGTGTAGTGAGTGTGACCATTATCCATGTTGGGCGTGTGGCCACTTTAGGAGGGCAGCTTCTTCAGGGACAAGCTACCTAGTGTCCTCGGATGGAACTGAGCATACGGGCCATCGGCGCCATGGGCCTGGTAATCAGAGCTGAGTGCTTTATGGAGTAGTGTTCTTGCTAGGAAAGGGAAGTATGGGGTGGATAGAAATTTGGACGTCGAGTTCCAGTCGTCTTGCAGCGTTTCCTTTTCTCCTGATCTAGTCTTGCTTGTCCCTGGCGATCGATTAGATTTATGAGCCGTGGCATTGTCCCATACTTGCAATCTATTCAGAGCCCGTACCTAAATTTGGGCAAGTTTACTTTTATAAGGAATGAATGCCCTACCATGCTCTTCTCTTTGCGACTTACGATACAAGCATCACCGTCTGACATTGTGCGAGTGCTAGATGACTGACCTCATGGCAACCGTGCTAAGCCTTATGCTCGAAGGAAGTGTGTGGGTATCACGTGATGTTCGGATGCCTGCTCTGGGGAACGTTAAGCGCATCACCCATTTCAGCCTCATGCGCAACTGCGCTTCATCAACCACCACGCCAAGACCGTCCGCAACGTTCATCGGTTCCTCTCGCAGACTTCTCAAGCACTGGACAACCTGTAGCCTCGCCCCGTAGAGCGCGATACGCCGGAACACCAAACGCGCGCGGCGCTGCCGTGTTGCGCATACCCCTCTGTAGCCAGCTGCGTCGTCACACACCCTTTCGCGAGCCGCCTTCCTTACGTCCTTCTATCTTACTTCTTCGCCCAGCATGTCGAGCGTTGTCACTGCTACACGGCCGTCGCAGGCCTTGCGCCAGCGTCGCGAGTCCCAGCGACCAGCTCTCGCGCGCACAAACACTTCGAAGGCTAACGCCATGGACCAGACGACTCTTGTGAAGGACGAGCCGAAACCTTACGGTAGTTTGGCTCTACATTCTAGCATGGGTCTCGGTGCTAACATTCATATAGTCATCGACCAAGCCTACATTCTTCGGAAGTTCAATGGCTGCCGCCCCTCTATGGCCATACACCTCTACAAGCAAAACTTTCGCATCAACGACTCCCAGGATCCCTTTTCGTATACTTCGCCCATGAAAGGGCTGTTGGAGCATTTGAAAAAGCGGACGATTCCTCATGATATACTGGAGGAGTTATACCAGTACAACGTACAGTTCTACGACGGTATGTCTAGTGCGCTCTTCTGGAAGGTGCCATTCTGACTTGTATATCTTAGGTTGCCTCATCATCGAAGTCCATAACCATGTATCAACTGCTGAAGTGGCCCGGCCTAGCAGCTCGACAGGTTCGTCTGGTGCCCAAGAGAAAGCCTTCTCTATCCACAACTACAACAACTTTATTACCCCGTCACCCTTTGTTCCATATCCCAAGAAGACCAAGCCAGCTCATCCGCGTCAAGATGGCCAAACTAAAGCTCACTCAGGCCCTGGGACTGAAACAGCGACTGGTGAGGCCGAGACGGATAAGGAGAACATGCCTGCGCCTGGTCAGCCTGCAAGTGCAACTCAGAAGCAGCCTACCAAGGGAACAGTGACCACCGTCGTCCTCTTCCCGACGCCATTGTCACATGATGCGGACATTCGAATGCTAGCCAACACTGCTGTGCCGGACATGCAGACATACAGGCGGAACCAATCGCTGGCATCCAGAGGCGGTGCAACTCCAACGATGGCTCACCCTCCTACTCCACTAACATCGGTGCCTCCAACTCCCTTGCTGCCTAGTGGCCGAAGCCCTAAACGGCAAAAAATGGTCCTGGACGAGACCAATGTCCACGAATTTGAATCCGATCTCATCATTGCAACGGCGCCAAAACTCTACCTTGGGCTGACAGGAAGTCTTGAAGAGTCGGTTGCTCTGATCGACAAGATGACACCCGCGCATTATAAGTGTCCGCCGCCAGCACCCAAGGTTCGGAAACGGACGACTGCAGAATTGGCTGCAGACGAAGCCGAGGCAGCGGACATGCAAAGATTTATGCTGGCTGGTGACGAAAGAAAAGCCAGTACATCTGGTGCGGCAACCAACGCCGATGAGGGTCAAGCTGGTTTACGTGGTGGAAATTCTTTTGAGCCTAGATTCTCTAGATTCAAGACTTTGGAGTCTATCAAAATGTTGCAGGAAGACAAACAGAGGCGCGACAAGGAAGAGGAGGCCAGGAAAGCTCAATTGAAAGCTCAGCAGCGAGCTGAAGCAGAAGCGCAGAAGAGACAGGCTGAAGTCAACGCGCGGCAGGATCAACAGAATCAACAGAATCAGCAAAACCAAGCTATCATGCAACAGCGCCGAGAGCAGATGCTTCAGCAACAGCAGGAGCAGCAACAGGCACAGCAAGCAAGGCTTTTACAACAGCAACAGCAGCAGGAAGCACACCGAGCTGCATCTCAAGCGCAACAGATGCCGAATGTTCCATCAGCACAGTTCAATCAAATGGCACATCAACAACCTCAGCACTCTTCGCCGGTTGTTCGCCAGCAGACTCCGCTTGCTTCATCTCCTGCTATGAATGCGCATAACATGGCGTCTCATGCCATGGCAAGTGCACCTATGGCGCCAACATCGTCAAGTCATGGAGCCGGTAGTCCTCCTAGGCCAGCTTCCGCAATCTCGCACCACCCGCTGCCAATGGCACGCAACATGAGCCAACAGCACAGCGGTCAAGGCGTCAGTCGCAACGGCACTCCGCAGATGGTTCAAGGTACTCCAATTATGAACGCAGCAATGCCGGCACGGAACATGACCCCACAGCCCAGAATGCAGGGCAGCCCGAATTCAGGTATGCAAGGGACGCCGACGATGATGCATACGCCTTCGGGCCAGCCCTATACGCCAGAGCAGATGCAATTGCTACAACGCCGCCAGCAAATGGCACGCATGAATGCCCAGCAGCAAGCTCAGATGACCGGCATGCAAGGCTCCCCCAACCCAAATATGGATATCCAGCAGATGGCTCTGATGCGCGCTCAGCAGCAAATCCAACAGCAAGGCGGCGTCCCTGCTGGTCAAGACCCACAACAATACCGCCAGAATCTCGCGCGTAGTATGTTGATCCAGCTCCAGGAACGCAACAAGGCTATGGCAGCCAGTTCGCCTCAGAACGGCGCCCAGATGCGACCCACTACGTCCCAACCAGGCGGCGTCCTGATCCCAGGTCTACCACCCAACTTTGCATCGCTCGATTCGGCCACGCTCCGCCAAGAATACGTGCGCCGCAAGCGCGGAATCCAGGAGCAGTTCGGCAACCAAGTCCCGCAAAATTACCTCAACCAGATGCGCCAGCTCGAAGGTATAATCCGCAACGCCGAGATGCGCGAAGGCCAGGCCAGCGTCGGCGGTGTTGGCGGTGGGCACCTCGGCGGACAGCCCAACGCCCAAGCTATGCACGCCATGGGCATTAACGTCGGGGCGGGAGCAAACTCGACGCAGCAGCAGATGCAGCAGGCAATGATGATGCGCCGCCAGCAGATGCAGCAGCAACAGCATCTCATTCGCATGCAGAACGCGCAGCACACACAGCAATTAGGACAGCAGCAGCAACAGGGCGGCGGGCAGATGAACATGGGCGGCATGGGCAACAATATGAATGCCATGATTAACGGCGGCAGTATGGGCGGCGGTATGGGTGGCGGTATGGGCGGTATGGGCATGGGACAGATGAACATGGGCCAGATGGGCGGGATGCAGGGGATGCAGGGAATGCAGGGAATGCAGGGAATGCAGGGAATGCAGGGGATGGGCATGGGAGCAGCGAACGGCAGCGGCATGTCGATGCAACAAATGCAGCAGATGCGCATGCATCAGGCGTTGGCACGACAGCAGCAGCAGCAGAGGCCTCAGCCCGGGCAGGATGGAGGCATGGAGTGGAATGGCTAGCTAACGCGAAGACAAAGCTGGGAGAGTTTCGACGTTTCATCAGTCTTCAGCGCTACGGGTGGGAATGGTACTACGATTCGAATGATACCCCGGCGTCGTTCTTCTTTTCGGATCCCGGAGTTGCATGATATGAGGCGGAGTGCTGAGTAGCATTGGGAGGCGTTTTTGGTAGATACAAAGGCGAGAGTATCGCTTGCGGGCGGGCTACTTGTCCTGGGTGGTAGAGTCTGTTGCCGTTATTTCACTATCACTGGTGGTCCATTCGACGGGTTTTACATTACTCGAGTCGAGCGACTTAAAGTTTCTTCGTGGCTCTTTGAGGTCGCCATCCACCATATTCAAACCTGCACTGTAGCTTTTAGGAGTAGCCGCATTATTTCAAACCTCTTCACTTGCTTGACGCACTCCGAAGTTTACTAAGGACTTAGTATTGGGTACGCCCTGACGTAGGCACGGCAGGAGCTCCTCAGCTCCTACAGCCCCCTACAGCTCCTTCACCTCCTCCAGATAGACGAATGACACAATACAAACAATCTTTTACTCACGCTCAACGCGTATGTCTGCTACACTGCCGCGACACTTGGAGGCCTCAAGGCGAGAGATACAGTGTCTTTATCATAAGCTCGCGCGTACCCCTTTCCCACTGCGTGCGGTTCCCTCACAGTATTTGAAGATCCAAACATGATGTAAAGCTTGACCGCCCGGAAATCCGAGCTGACTATCAAAGACTCTTGAATAGCTAGCTATCTAATACAAGGAAGCCTCGATAGGGGTGTTCAGCTACTATGAGCAGTAGTTCCTTCATACTCATCTAGAGTCTAGATACGTCCGAGTGCCGAGAATCGCCGCTTGCGTGCCGTTTAGTAGTGCTTCTAGGGCCACAACTCCTGGACACTGGAGAGATTTGAGTGCGTGAATGTGAAGCTTTGCAGATTGTGAGTTGGACTGACGTGGTGGTGGTAGCCTAGTGCTGGATGGATTCTGATGTGTTTTGGCAGGTGACACCCCCAATCTCCATTTGGGTGAAGTTGATGCCGGCGCCTACTTCTTATTTTTCTTATGCGTGTGTGCTGGAGACGCAGTGATTGCGGCCTTGACCTCCTCCTCCTCCTCCTCTATGGTCATATGTGCTACTCCAATGCGCTACTGAAATATAAACTGGTTTAGCGTATGAATCCGAGTTGATGGAAATGCGGCCCTTTTCTGCTTATCTGCGAATGTACGTGGTGCTCCAATGCATTGCTTGAGACGCGCGCGTGGTGTAATGTTATCGACCTTCTGTGCACCCGTGAGCTCTTGAAGACCCTCCAAGAATTCTAGTTTTACATCGTTCGGATCTGGAATCTCAAGTTGGTATAATTTTATGTGGCGCGAGTCAAACCCATGCGTTATCCGTCGACTTCCGTGAGCGTATACGAGGAGGAGGGTCTTGATAATGCCAGGTCATCGACACCAAATTCCTCGTCTGGAGGTGTAGGAGAGGGAGTGTTTCGGAACCCAGGGTCGTTGAAATTTTGTGGTACACCCTGCTGAGGCCTGTTGTCTTCGCGGACCGAAAGAGCGTGAGGCTCGTTCGTTTGATATTTCGATGAGGAGGCCCAGCGTTTGAAATGATTCCGTGCCGCTGAGTTTCTTGAACCGTCGGTACCGTTGGGCTTCGGGTCCTGAAGTTCTTCGTCGACCTCGGAAATTACGGAGCGCTCGGGTATTGCTGATAGGTTCCTTTGATGTGTCGAGCGAGTCCTCATGAGGGCATGCAAGGGTCCCTTATGGGGGTTGGAAGCGGCCCCATTGTTATTCAAATAGACACTAGACATAGAAATGGCAGAGTCAGGTCGACCTGCACTAGATTTCGGCTTTCCAGAGAATACCGCAGCGTCATCGCGGGCTTCTGTCAGGATAGCAGTGGTATCCTGGCTCCGTAGAGCAGCCGCTTGATCGATCGGAGATCTACTGAGACATTAGGTTTGAGTCGGCATTGAAACCAGTGTTGAGGCCGATACGTACAGCTGGACCGCCCGGATGAAGATGCTCAGGCATTGTAGCTGGCTGTTAAGCTGTTTCTGATGCTCCTTCACCGTTCCTTCATCCCACAGATGCTTTCGCTTTCTGCCAAACTTGAAGAGCCCAGGGGTGGCGCTTGACAAGGCTCGAGCAACTTGGCTCTGTATCGTCTCAATGACGAGGTCACAGGCTTCCAACGAAGATCGGAATTGCTTCTCCAACTCGAATGTTTGAACAGCGCCTTTCTCTACCCGCTGACTCAATCTGTTTATCATTGCCCGAATGTTACCCAAGTGGCTGGTCAGCGACGTAATGCCAACTTCAACATCTACATAGCGTTTTTCCAGGTCTTTAAGATCAACTAGTATCCAGCCGACCCGGTGAGCGATTGCAGTGCAGCGACTCACAAGGCTGGTGATGGTTGAAGGGTCCATAGTGCGGGTGGTGCTGATACTTGAAAAAGTTGTGTTGCTCGAAGTTGGTCTTGTACCTGAAAATATGAGACCAAAAACGAGCGGCTGGACTGTGACAGCGTAGGGAGCATTTTAAGGGAGATAAAGCCCTTGCAGATGAGGTTGAAGGCGCTCTAGGCCTGCGGATCAGAAAACGCATGATTATTGGTGGCGCCATTGGGCGCTTCAGCTGCCAAGGGAGGTGTTTGGCGTCGTCACATGATGACGGAAATGGGCGATTAGAAATGAGCGATTATCTAATTGGATGCGCAAAATACAGTCCATCCTTGCCTCTAGTTTAGTGCCCCTATGGTATTGCATCAACCGAATTGACGTCCCGACTGCTGTTAGCATTCAGTTCGTCTCTATTTTTCTGGCTTTGCTGGTACACGACTTTCCTCAGTCTGTTGATGCTGCCTAGAGGTTTATGAGCAGAGAGCCCACGCCAAGGACTCAAGGACATCTGGTCCTCCCAGAAGACGCGTCGAGCTGGAGAAAGTGGGTCTTGAGGCGGGAACTCAAGAAACCCGAGGGTCTGGTAAGGAGCTGTGGCTTCATCCCACACGACAGATGCATCTTCCGTGGGGTGGTGGGCAGGGTCGGTCCCAAGCTGGATCTAGGCTGCTGTTAGCGGCCCATCCAAAACACAAATCCAAGGCTACGTACCTTGAACTCATACTTCGCCCCTCTTTCTGTAAAGTATTCTTTGAGCCATTCACTGAGGACTTCCCGGCTCTGGGCACTCTGTACCTTCTCGGAAGCCTTCTTGCTCATCTTGTCATCAGCCGGGAACAGTCCCATATGACCATAGTAACCCCCAAACCGAAAGGCGCTCTGCGTATAGAAGTTCATTGAGATGATGTTGGTGTTCGGTAGCATACCTGGCGCAGTCTGCTTTAGAGCATCTGTTCTCAGCGCTGTTTTGGCCTTGAGTGTCACCGGATCGTCAAAATGCTTCTCCCTCAACTTCATGATATCCAAGCAGGTGTCAATGTCCGTGAGCTCTATCATAGGCGCGTTGTTGAAGAAGAAATCCTGTGCGGTATTGGCTTCGCTGGGCCCCTCGAGGAGCTCGCCGTTGACTCCAAAGACCTTGAGTGAGAGACCTCGCGGTCCTGGAGACTGATCTGGCTGGAGAAACACTGGTTCGTTCGCAAACCGAGCAGCTACATCGTAGACCCGGCCTGCCTCAGCGAAGATCCCTTGACGGAGATGGATTGGCAGGTCATAATTGACGGTTAATTTCCCTTTGACAATCCCCTGGGTCTTTACATGCGTTGCTCGGAATGCATGGCGGTGCTAGAAGGGCTTAGAAATGCTATGAGCCATGTTGGTTAGAGGATTGGTTAGAGGAATGGCGGACCTGATCGAAGTTGTGCTTTTGCATCTTCTTCATGATGTCTGCTATTTCTCTCGTCGTTTGCTCCTCGGTTGACTTGATCTCCTCGATGCCTGGAGCATCCCATCTCAAATAGGCATCGCTGGGTGGAGCAGACGACACAGCTTTCTTTGCGGCCCGATACCCTTCGCTGAGCTGGTCGGTAATTGAAGCCATGTGGCGAAATTGCCAACAGCTGCCACGGCACAGAGAGAAGAGATAGATTGCAATGAAAATGAGGGCGAAAATAAACATTAGGGGACTCAAGGTCCGAGGAGGCTATCCATACTTAGTAGACGTCATCACTTGTTAACGAAGCACTAGCGGGCGGATGAGGCCGGCATCGGTAATTTAGACAACGTGTGCTATCGTACATGATCTTGAGCTGTTGCTGAATACGTCGTGTTTTCAAAATTTCGAAGTTCGATGGAAAGCGAGTAAGGCCATGCTGGAGGAATTGTGAGGAAGACCTCAGGAGAAGGTCAGCCCTAGCGGCTTGGCTTTTGACAGGGGTTACTTTCACCACACACCCACCTGTTCGGCAACATACGCCAACTCTACGTCGCCCTCAGGTGCGACTTTCTCGTAGCGTCTTAGTCGCGGAGTGGCGTTTTGGATGCGTGTGTGAGTGAGACCTTCTACATAACGATCAGGCGCGGAATCAGCCTTGCGGCTGCCTAGTCACCACAGCTTGGAGTGCATCCTAGTGATCGTCCCACGTTTTTCTCAGGTTTCCGTTGCGGTCATTTTGCGTTGAAGACATTCACTTTGTCCGTCTGACTCTCTATCTTCATTTCTCTGCCACATGCCCTCGAGCTTCCCTAATGGACCGCACAGACCGCTCTTTCCGGGACAGCGTACGCCAATTGATAAAGCGCCAACGCACCTCCAAGTCTGCAAAACCAGGCTCTGTTCTCTCACAACCATACTCCGCCACCACCGTGTCGGATACGCCTGATTCATTTTACCTCCGACCCAGAAGAACTCCGGACAGCGATTGTGAAAACATGGGTGGGGCCGAGTCTAAGAAGGACGTCGAGGCACCCAAGATCTCCCTGCTGATCCGCTTCTTCGATCCGGAGATCCACTCGCCTGATGCACGAGGCCGGACTCTAAACAACATCATTGAGCACGGCGACAACTGGTTCGAGCAATGCCACGATTACGTCCAGATGTTGTTTCCACTTCCCGAAGGATCACCATTCAATTTCGCAGCCCCAGTCATCACACGAGCTGTATTCGAGGCTTTCAGAGCGAGGCCTGAGCTACGAGCTGAGCTCAGGAGGGCCTGGGTTCGGATGATGAAGTTTTACGGGTTCGATGTTGTTCAAGAGGCCGTTAAAGAGACCAAGAGCAAAAGAGAAGCCGACAGCGAGGCTGAGGTTGAGGCTGATGCTGAGACTGGTGCTGATTCTAAGGTAGACAGCACGAGCGTTGAAGAAGCCAAGGACTCTAAGGACGACGGTCAAGCTCAAGAGTCCAAGGAACCTCCCGACGCTGTCCAGTCGAATGAGACGACGACTTCTGAGCCTGTCCTTAACGAAAGCGTCAACGAAGCCGCTAGTCTAGCCCCGCAGAAGCCTATCAAACTTGTTTTATCATCCAATTATCGAAAGGCATTCCAGAACTGGGTTGTTCGCTTCGATCACAACCATCTCCGCATCACACGCGTCCTCCGTTCTCTGCGCGTCCTGGGTCTTCAAGAAGAATGCGAAGCCTACTTCAGCATGCTTGTCATGGTGTACGAAGAGTATGGGCGTATTAATGAGCGCAGTCTGATCTACTGGAAGCGCGCGGTTGAGCGGCCCCTCTGGATTGCGCCGGATGATGACAAGGTGCCTTGGCTGAGGACGGCGTGCAAGGAAATAGAAGAGGCAGAGATGGCGGAAAAGGAGGCGAGAGAGTTGGCCGAGAAGAAGAGCAAGGAGGTTACTGAAAAGGATGATGTGGATGATCACGTGGATCAAGCTACAGGTGGAAAGCCTCCTTTCTATGAAGCTTCAGCGACGCCAGCCTCTGAACAAGAACCGGCCCAGAATAATTTGACTGAGGAGACCAAGGGTTTGCCCACGACAGAAGCTGATAAGGCACCTGAGAGGAGCGAAGAGGCCACCGGACCCCCTGAAGATGGGAAGTGGGACAAGATTCGGAAAGGCGATACGGATAAGTGGGACGCGATTGGCAAGACGGACGGGGAGAGGGAAACGTGAAGCTGTTTGGAAGACTCCAGAAGCTGAGATAGCTGATGGTTGATATTGGTCAACTCGTTTTCCAGCGATGGGTGTGCATAGACGCGCTTGAATAACATCTCTGCACAGCATGAACTTTCTCTAGATGGCAAATGATGACTCGGTCTTTTGTTAAATTTGGCTCAACATACAGTGCCGTGACAAGTCTACTTATACCGCTCTGACACTGCTTGCAGTATTCCCATTGATGAAACCCCTCGAGCGACGGATCACTTGTTTAGTCTGAGTACACTATCTGCCACCGCCCCTTCGAATTAGAGTCCGACTAGTGAGCATCCTTTAGTTTGAGATATACTGAGCATCCACGTTGGGCGTGATAAAAGTGGCACACCCATCAAGCACTCTGTCTCACGTGTACACCTGTCTTGGGTGCTTCAATGAGTTTCCACATAGTCCAAGGCGAAGGGGTTCTATCTCGTTCTGATTCCTGAAAATGCATTGAAGCACCTCAAGCAATGGCAGACAGGTGTACACACGAGACAGCTTGCTGTAGAATTGGAGTGCCACCTTTTCTATGCCCGGCGTGGCATCCTCTCAAAATCGCGAAGGATGAATGCCACGACAGGAGGTACGCGTCAACTTCAAATGCGAGAAGTCCGGCCGAAGCTGCCCTCGAGGCTTGGAGACGGGCAATTCTTGTGGTACGCGTGCAAGTCCGCGCCTTTGTCGTCGTCAACTCTTGTCGTGAGCCATAGCGGTCCTGGGGCTGTGCAATTGAGAATCCTCCACAAGCTCTTAACTCCAGCCGCGCCGTGCACCCCTCCAAGATGCACACCACGTAGTCGGCGACACGCCAGGACGACCCCGATATAAACATCGTTTCATCTCTGCGACCTCGAGACAGCTCCGACGACGACGCCCGCTGGTCTAAGGACGCTGCCGTCCCGCCGTCCTTTGCTATACTCTATCCCCGCCGCATCCTTAAAATTCCCACTAGGCCACCACCATGGTTCTCAAACGCTTCCAGAGCATGCTGAACAAGCGCCCGGGTAAGTTACGAGTGAGTGACTTACTGGCACAGAGACTGACATTGTGGCTCAGGCGGCGCCCCGGACGACAGCCTTGCATCCGATCTAGATACACCTGAAGCAAATGCGGCGCGAGGCGTGGTATGGAGCTTTCTGCACGTTATAAGCAGTATATGAATGCTGATATACTGTGCCGCAGCGACTGTTCTGCGAGTCTGGATCCGCGAACACGGTGAGTACCATATGGCTTCTGTACACTATACAACCAGCTAAATATAAAGGGTCAGGGAGAAGAGGTCCTGCACCTCCCCATCATTGTCGAATCCGCCGTCGCCAGCCCCAATGCCGCCGCCGCTGCCTGCTCCCAAATCAAGAAGTTCCTCTCGAAAGAGAACTACACGCGTCCGCATGTCCAGTACAACGCCATCATGCTCATCCGGATCTTGGCCGACAACCCAGGCCAGTCCTTCACTAAGAACATGGACAAGAGCTTCGCCGACACCGTAAAGCACCTTCTACGCAATGGCCGGGACCCTAGCGTGGGCCAGATACTCCGCGAGACACTGGACGCTCTCGAGCGGGACAAGGCCTACGACACAAATCTGAACGCTGTTTTTGCGATGTGGAGGAAGGAGAAGGGCCTGATGGCCAGCGCAGGCCACCCCCCACAGTCGTTTGGACCTCGGACTCTGAATGCTCCTGCGTGGAGTGGTGGCGGTGCACCACCTGGAGTCACGTCCGAATCCTATGGCCGGAACTCGAGGCCAGAACGTGCTCTTCCACCACCTACTGAGCTCTCTGCTCGCGTCGAAGAAGCCCGCACATCTGCCAAACTGCTCCTTCAACTCGTCCAATCCACTCCTCCGAATGAGCTACCAGGGAACGATCTCGTCAAAGAGTTTGCTGATCGCTGTCTAGCCGCTCAGAGGAGCATACAAAACTACATCAACTGCGACAATCCACCTCCAGACGATGACACCATGCTTACGCTCATCGAAACCAACGAGCAGCTCTCTCTCGCAGCATCCAAGCACCAACGCGCAGTACTCCAAGCTCGAAAGGTTCTTGGACCCTCTCCCGTTCCTACTCCTCCAATTTCAACCGCCAATAACGACTACCCCCTCCCCGCTATCCCTCAATCAAGCGCCCCACAATTACCACCCTTCACGCAAACCAATTCCATAAGCCCCCGCGACCCAAACCCAATACCCGCATATACCGCTCCATCTCCCATTCCAATCGCCCTCCAAGCCGCTCCCCACCGCACGCGCACCGCCTCACCAAGTTCTAACTATCCGGACGACCCCTTCTCAGACCACGGCTCTAACGCCTACGATCATCCTGCTTCGCCCAGCAACGCGCCTCCACCACCACCGCCACCTCGTGAAGCCATCCGCCGCCTCAGTGAGCGCGAGCAGGACTTCCATAACGGTGCCGGCCTCGGCATAGGCACCTCGGGCTCACCAAATAGCTACCACCCGGGCTACTCGACTAGTCCGAGCTATCTCCAGCGTCAGGAAAGCGCGGGCAACAACGTTACCATGCACGGCGGCGCTTCGCCACCAAACGGAGGGTTAGGCATGCGTGGCGGGCGGATGACGGAAGAGGAGGAGTATGCGCGGGACTACCCCATTGGCGGTGCGCCGCAGGGACAGAGAGAGCAGGACGCGTGGAGCAGTGAGCCACGGACGCCAGAGCAGGTGGGGCGGAGGCCGGTGGGAGGAGGAGTAGGTAGGAGGGAGAGTGAGGATGTAAGTCCGGTTGCGGAGAGAGAACAGGTCACATACAGGTACTAGTTCTGGCGATGATTGTGGTGGTTTCGAGAGATATGCTTCAGTTTTGAAGCGGGTTCTTGTGATGGAGGAGGCTTTTGGCGGTTTTGCTTTAGGCGATGGCGATATACCACGGTCGTTTGGAATGCATCCTGTAGCGTTTTCAAGGGAGGCGTTGGATGCATCTGAGTGCTGCTTGTTGCCGTGACTATTCAGGTGAGGATGGGACTGAGCGAGGCTGCAGGCTGATACCAGGTAGGTATGGCGAGCTTCATTTTCACATCACATCACGGTGCAGTTGCAATCAAGTCGTTCAAAACCTCATAAAAAGTCAAATGATATCATTCAAAACTATCTACTCAGAGCCCCCAGATCCCCTCAGAATTGGAAAAATTGTCGGCACACTTCAGTAATCCTCGCTCACCCCTAGGCCATGGATTCGAACCAGTCACCATGATTGGGGGCGGAAAAGTCGCAGAAACCGAGCTCGGAAACCTTGGTGCGTCTGTGAATTCGATCTCAGCAGAACCCGGATGGGCGTGTGCTTTTCCAACCAGCTGCAGCTCCCTTGGCAATGCAATAAGGATGCAAGGCAGCGCGCAGGCCAGGAGCTGGTGTTGGGTCGTGTACGAGCGGGCAGAACTTCGCCGGGTTGTGGGCGCGGAGCAGGCAATAAAACTTCTGAAAGGGGAAACCCAATCAGCAACTTGCGAGGTCGGGGCCAGACCATCCCTCCATAGAGCCAGCTCCCACAGGACGTGGTCAACTCTTGCTAGGGCCAAAGAAGACGAGGAAAGGAAGAGGGTCGGGGGGCGGCCGCCTTTTTATGTGAGAAGTGAGCGTTTGCGCTAGCCGGATTGGGACGCCGGCAGGTCGGCGTGAACGCGATTTGTGAGCTGATCATGACGTAGATTGCTTCTACGGGCTTCTATGGTGACTCTGAGAAGGCTAGGCAGAAGTGACTCTCCTGGAGTGAGGAGCTGGTGGCGCTCTTAGGAGAGTCACGTGATACACAGCTGGAGCTGCGTGGACGAAGTCACGGCCCAGGGTGAGATAAATGAACGGGAAAAGACTATGGCGCGCATCCTGAGTTGAACAGGAATGAATTGGGATACACGACGAAGTTGCTGCTGGTTTGGTTGTGAATCCCAAGGTCACTAACGGCTGCCGCGCAGCTCTCATTCACTCACACCGCGTCCAGAGATATGAAATGAATGGCAAGGCGAGAAATTACTCAACTAGGTCAAGCACGTAGGTTCTTAGCAATTGAAGTCCCCAAGAATTCTGTCCAGTAGTCGTTGAGTCTGACGTTAGTATCAGACTGCGAGCTGTCGCCGTTGTGAACCGCAAACTAGTGCTTACTGCGATCTCTATAAGATGAGGAGGTATATTAAACGCTGCCTGAGGTAGACTAGCTACTTTAACAGTTGATCAAAAAGCTGAGCATCCATCTTGTTCGAAAGTTTCAATTCGTCTTGAACTCCTACACGCAGCGGCAAGAAAGCATGAGTGAACCTTTGATGAGGCATCTTTACCGCTTGGGGGCCAATCATTGTAGGGCGCTTCGAGTTTCTAGCCGGAGCTCAACATGCTATCAGGGCGGAGGGTCGGGAAGATAGGTAATCTGTCAAAAGAAGAAGAGTCCGAGCCAGAAGTCCTAGCTCTCAAGATGCCAATTTGTCCAACGCCCCGGGGAAAAGTCACGCCAATCGATCCACCAGTAATCGGGATCTCACCCTAGTCCTTCTCCAGAGTAATCGCAATTCCAGCATTTATTGTAGTCGGGGGAGGAATATCGTGCTCACGTAGAGGCCAAGCAGTGTAGTAGTTGTCCTCGCCGGTATCACTATTACTGTCATCGTTTTCACCATCGTTGTGGTCGGCCTCGCTTTCGTTCTCATTAGCCTCGCTACTATTATCGTCCTCTTCGTCCTCTCCTTCATAGATTTCACACGTATCTGGAAGAGGCTGACGGAGCCCCCAGGCTTCGCAAGCAGAACGCCAGCCACTGCTGTTTCGGTTGTCGGCCTCGTTGCCGGCGAAAGGCACTAGTACTTGGACGGAAGAGTGTTCCTTGGTTGATTTGTGGTCATCCTGATCGACATTCATATCCATGCTCATGCCGCGTCGCTTAGGTTTCTGGCGAACCTTACGCGCCCGTTGCTGGAGGAATTCCAATAGTTGTACTGGTTTGTTAGGATGATATGGCTTGAGTCCCCTGCATTGCTTGTGACTACGTCCAACCGTAATCCAGGACCCTAGCATTCGAAGCCTTGGACAATGCTTTTCCAGCACCCCTTGTAAATCACGGATGCTTTTCATCCTGGGCAACCGGTCTATTTGCTCCCCAAGCATAAGACGTTGTAGTTTCGGGAATAGACAAGGTTGTAATAAGCTCATTTGCGAGGCTCTTGTGGAACACTTGATCCCGACTCTTTCGAGCCCTCTGCAGTGTCTCCCAATACTTTCCAAGGATCTTTCCGTAATACCTGCACCGTCACCTCTACCTCCTGGGTATCTGTTTTTAAAGTATAAACCCAAGTATGTCAGGTTTTGTAGGCATGCTGCGAATTCCTCCATGTGGTAGTCGCATACTCTATCGCATGCAATATCATTCTGGCTGCCTAGAGACAATTCCTTAAGTTTCCGGTGACTCTGGGCGAAAGCTACCAAGGCAAACCCGGATATACTGACAATGGGACCGTACTGGTCCCAAAAACCGTTCAAGCTCATATGAGGAAATATGAATTTGATATGGAGACTGATCAAGCTGGTGCAGCTCGAGAGGCGCTTCAGAACGTCGTCCAAATCCGCGTCGTTCATGTGCTCTTCGCATCTGTCCTCATCAGTTTCACGCCAGTCTTTATATCGAGAGTGCCAGATTACGAGTTCTAGGTGTGTGAGATTGGATAGACACGGCCACAGAATGTCGAATATGGAGAATGAGGAGGGCCAACGCAGACATCGAAGATTCGGGAAAATAGGATCCTTCCAGGCGGGATGAGGGTTGGAACATATCTTGATTAGATCTTGCCTTAATGTTCTACTTTCTTTGCGGCCAAGCGTTAGACTCAATTCGCTGAGTCCAGGTCGTCGAAGTAGATGCTCGAGCAAGGAAGCCGATGGTCTCACTACCCTTTCCACGAGATGAAGGATTTTTAGCGAAGGCATTGCCTTTAAGAAAGATAACAATTCAACGTTGGGTATATGCGACGCGCTCCAAGCCACCAGACTACCAATCTTGAAGCTTCTCAAGTGAGCACATCTTTGCTGAACGGTAAGAAACATTCGTTTGACCGAGATTTGAGAGGGTATGCAGGTAATCTCCAGGCTTACAAGACGAGTACTTGCTAACAAGGCTTCGAGGGTTTCATCTATCCTTTGGTTCGAAATGATTAATTCTCCCAGGGCTGGAAACTCCACGGACTCCGGGTGGCTCATACTGTATTGTGGAAACCGGAGATCTAGAGTGCGTATCAAATATTGGTAGAAAGGCCACCGGTCCTTCGGAATCTTGACTAGAGATCTAAGAGGTATATTCCTCACCCAAAGTATCCTGAAGGCTTCTTCCGCCCACAGCTGACTCACGCACATGCACGGTAAGAGGGTCGTAAGCTTTAAACGCTCAAAGCAACAATCTTCGGGGTTTTCATCATTGTCAAGGGTGTTCCGAAGTTCGTAAAGGACACGTGACAATATTTCCGGTGCCATCAGTGCACATTGTGTGCTGGTTCTGGAATCGTCTGAGGCGGGGAACGGGATGTTCCCAATAGCATGCGACGTTGTGAAAGGCTTATAGGCCCCGCGGTGTAAAGGGAGATGTATGAGCGGGATCTGGGTTGGCGTTTGCCAGTCGTGGAGCCTTCTGGTCAGCAACAACCGTGGCCGGCTTTGGTGGAGTCGACTTCTGTTCCTGAATAGCCTTCAGAGCTTTTTCGACGATGTGCTTCTGCTTTGCTTCGTCCTTGGCAAGGATCGGGATAAGATCTGTTGGCACAGGTGTGTTGAGCTTGAAGTTTTCAGAAAATCTCTTGAGGTTGTTGAATTTGACAGCCTTGGATTCCCGGACCATGGATCGTTGGCGCTTCTGCACACGCAGCTTTTCAGACTCGCAAAATTGCATTTAGGCGCTTCAAACACTAGTAGACAAGCGTACAGGTCTAGTAGAAGGCAATATACAGCTATCCAGTACTGCGAGACCAATTTGTAGCGATGTGCGGTGCGATGAGAGGAAACGAGCTTTGCAAATATTGGTGGTGGAAGAAAAGTGTCGGACAGATCGAGACGAGAAATTAATAGGAAGAAAAATCTGGTAGCCATGGTTCAGATTTCAAATTTGCTGCTTTACACCATGGTGCAGTGGTTAAGGGTCGACCGACACGTCCATGGTTAATCCCAAGCCAGGAAACAAGATACGCCTCCTGGGAAATGACACACCCTAGACGGGCATTCGAATCTAGGAATGACATGGACTATGTAGTATTTATGTCGATATTCATGTACCGAACTTCAAACAGTGGCAGTAGTTGTAGGGAGGAAGATGGAAAAGAGAGGGGCATGCTCCGTTGAACATAACGTGGTAGTGCAGCACCGTCTGAGGTGGCTTGTATGTGCTTCGTAGAGCTAGAATATCAGGCTTGCCAAAACTATCACCTTACAATTTTAAAAACATACCAGAGAATCTCAAGCAGTGCTAGGCAAGCATATAGAAGCGCAGAGAGAGTGTATACCTCAGAGTCAGGAAGTTCTACCTTTGTATGTCGAAACCAAGAGGTGAAGTCCTCAACCTAGGAATGAATGTTGATGCTTAGTCATACCATTTCGGGCTTCCTCAGCACGAACGCTACGTCTTGGTACTTCGTAACACCGGCATGTAGGACCTATACGCTCAGCCGCCTCTCCGCTGAGGTGAGGCTTAGAGCCCATCTCTCGTGTGCCATGCTCTGTCATCGTCTGCTTCGCACTTTGCCATTGGGATAATGCAGCAAGATGCAAACAACAACACGATGGCTCTCGCCTCCACGCTTCTGTCCAAAGCAAGTCTGGAAGTCATGGGCAACTTCGTATAGGTTTCAACTCATAAAGCCAAGTACGTCACCCTCTCTGTACCCTATATTGTGGAACTTGAGGCTCATCAAGCCGCAGTCCTCAACGTTTCATTCCGTCCAGCTATCCAGCCGATTCCGTCCTCCATACTGCTCTCGAAGGCCTTCGTAACTCGCCTAGACTTTAGGCCATCTTCGACATCACATTTACGGTCCGGAACTGTAGCATTCGCAGCAGATACCACCTCGAAGGCGGAGAAGTACGACTTGATTGTGGTCGGATATGGGGCAGCAGGAGCTGCTGCAGCAATTACTGCTGCAGAAAAAGGCGCTTCGGTCCTTATACTGGATCGCGGATATGGTGGTGGCGCCTCAGCACTGTCGGGAGGGATATTCTATGCTGGTGGCGGAACACCTTACCAAAAAGCTGCAGGCTACGAAGACACGCCGGAGAATATGTTCAATTATCTCCAGCAGGAAGTCAAAGGTGCTGTTGATGACGAAACACTCCGCACTTTTTGTGATAGCAGCGTGGAGAATTTGGCCTGGCTCGAGCAGCGCGGCGCCAGATTTCAAGGATCTTTGTGCCCATACAAGACGTCCTATCCGACTGATAAGCACTATTTGTATTTTTCAGGGAACGAGAAGGCCCATCCGTACAACCTCCACTCCAAGCCAGCACCACGAGGCCATCGAACTTTCGGTCCTAGTTTAGACTGCGGCGCTATCCTATGGCAAGCATTGCAAAAGTCTGCCAAAGCGCTCGGTGTGCAATTCCAGCCCCTCAGCCGAGTTGACAAGCTGATCGTTGAAAACGGTCGAGTTGCAGGTGTCAGCTTCAAGACCATCCCAGAGTCTAATCCTGCTTTTCGAAGACATCGCCGATTGGCTACGCCAGCACTGAAACTCACGAACTTCCTTGCATCTGTTGGCAATATTCTCAATAGCAGAGCAGAAAGGATATGGCGACAGGCCGCAGTCGCACAAACGGTGCACGCTAAATCAATCATTCTCGCAGCTGGTGGCTTCGTCTTCAACCATAGTATGAGGCAGCAGTACGCTCCAAAATATGCCCAAGTGTCTTCCCTGGGAACCATAGGCGATGATGGTACTGGTATACGACTTGGTCAAGATACGGGAGGTCAGGTCACGCACATGGATCGAATAACCGCATGGCGCTTCCTCAGCCCGCCTTCGGCTTTGATTGAAGGCGTCACTGTAGGCTTGAGTGGTGAACGGATAATGAATGAAGATCTCTACGGTGCTACTCATTCCGAGGTTTTAATCCACAAATTCGATGGCCGGGGCTACCTGATTGTCGATTCGACGATTTGGAAAAAGGCCATAAACCAATTGCAAGAGCAGTGCCAGGACTTCCAAAGACTGCAGTTCAATTATCTCAGATTTTGGGATAGCTATAGAGCTCACTCTCTCAGTGCACTTGCATCAAAACTTGGAGTTTCAGCAAGTGGTCTCGAAGCTACCGTGAATGCTTACAACGACGGTATTCGGGACGGAAGCGGTGACCCATTCAGGAAAGCTGCAGATTTATGTTCGCCTATAAGCAAAGGCCCATTCTATGGTATCGACATTTCCATTCGTCCATCACCTTTGTATTTTGTCCCCGGTGTCACACTGGGAGGACTTCAAGTGGATGGTAAGTCAGGATTGGTGATGACGGACTCTGGAAAGACAATTCCTGGGCTCTATGCGGCTGGCCGTAACGCCGTTGGAGTGTCCTCCAATTCCTATGTTAGTGGCTTGTCGTTGGCGGATTGTATCTTCTCTGGACGACGCGCTGGTCAGCATGCAATGTCTTAGTGAGGGCCCCTCTCGTTATATACACACGCCCTTACAGTTGTAATCACTCATTATGCCTCTATTACTTACCTCTAGTACCACCATATGTTTCGTTTGTCAATTCTAATAGTTAGTAACTCCATAGCTGAATAATAAAGGGCGGAGACCCATAGTTATACGCTGTCTCATATGTCGGCATGCCTCGTGCACACCCAACAGGCACAAGAGACTTGGCTACTCTGCCTTCTGTGCATCTAGATTTCTAATCGTCCCATTGCAAATAATAATACATTTGATTCATTGGTTCACAGCATCCCTTGGCGATAATTACATCATGCATCCCCGCAAAGTGCTACCTCTCCCGGACGGACGGCCGAGCAGCTGCATATAATCGCCTACCCCGGTCTTTATAGCTGAACCACGACATACGTCTCGTGAGTTACACAATCGCAAGCGCCGTGCCAAAAGTCTTCAATATTGGTCATACGTTTGAAATCTCAGTCATCTTGCTACCTGTTAGCTGTCTCTATAAACCCACCAGCAAGATAACAATAACTTCCCAATATCTCCTCTTAAGCAGCTCCCTCGACCTATTCTAGTTCCCATATTCATAATGGCCAAATCTTTCCGCGCCCATCTCGGCATTCCCGACAGCACCTTCTCCCCCACCGACTCCGCCCTTCTAATAATCGACGCCCAGAACGAGTACGCCGACGGCGCGCTCAAGGTTACCAATGCGTCATCCAGCGGTGCTGTCATCGCATCACTCTTGAAGAAATACCGTGAGGTGAACGGTAAGATCGTGCATATCCTGCACGCAACGCCTGAGGGCGCACCGCTCTTCACGCCTGGAACGGCTCTTGCGGAGGAGTTTAAGGAAGTCAAAGCGGAGAAGCGAGACGGGGAGGAGGTGGTGTGGAAGCAATTTCCGGGAGCGTTCGCGGAGACGGGGTTGAAGGATTTATTGGAGGGGTGGGGGATCAAGAAGGTGGTGCTTGTGGGGTATATGGTAAGTGTGATGAATTTGAAGAAGTCGGAGTAAGCTGATTTGAGAATAGGCGCATGTTTGTGTGAGCACGACGGCGAGAGAGGCGCATCAGAAGGGGTATGAGGTTGTTTTGGTGGAGGATGGGATTGGAGATCGGGATATCCCAGGTGCGAACGGGGATGAGGTCAAAAAGGTGAGATTTAATCATAATCTGTAGAGATGATTACTGACTTCTCCTAGATTACTCTGTTGGAACTTAATGATGTCTTTGGGACTGTATTGAAGAGCAGCGATATCAAGTAGATGGGATGAGAGGCTCCAATATGAACCTAGATCTTGTTTGCTTTTCAGGATGCGTACTAGTGGTTGAAGTCTGTGACAATTTCCTGCGATTATCGAGAAGCTCTGGAAACCGAGAAGTCCACTCATATATCTGGTATACCGCCCAAGTAACGCCCCGATGGACCCAACTCTGAAACCTTGGAACGATACGAGAATAAGGAAGGAAGGAGCTAACGATGCTCTCACACGATCAAGATTGACCAAGCAAAATGTTGCATCTGAGAGACGACGAAGGACTACTCTTCATCTTCACCCATATCTTCCCACTCGTCAGATTCGCTGCCCTCGTCGTCGCCCTCTTGCTCTCCCCCGTCGTCACTCATGACCATTCGATCGAGTGTGAGTCGCGAAGCAGCCATCTGATCTAATATCTCTTTTTCCTCATCCGAAAAGATATCCGAATCGTAGCCACTCAGTCCATGTGCAACATAGATATCATTCAAACGTTTGCGCCTCGCATCACGACGTGCATCGTCTTCTGACGTCTTCACTCGCACCACTAGGCGCTGCATAGCATCTATCAGCTCCATGCCCCCAGATTCCACCATTGCCTGCAGGTTCAACGCGTCAACGCTAGCTTGCTGGGCCATCTTCTTGATTTTGTTCTCAACATACTCCTCCTCTCTAAAGAACATCGAGTACATTGCCCGCCAGTCGAACGAGACTTCACGTTTCTCATAGTCAATCTCGAGGCCTGGGATCTCCGTGTCGTTCAAGTCGCGGCGGACCCGAATCATGTATGGCGGCTGGTCTACCCGACCTAGTTCCTTAGGATTGTTGGATCCAAGAGGCGGGCCGGTGTACCATCGCATTGCTTCCTTCCATTTTTGGGGAACGTGTTTGTTCTCAATCCTGATGCGGTGCCTTCGAAAGACATCGTCCTCGTCCTCGTCCTCTTCCTCGTCTGACTCTTCCTCCGTCGTGTCTTTGAAGAACACCCGTGTCTTGTCCTCGGAGAATCGGTCAAACGTAGTCTCCACGCGAAAATATCGAACACAGCGTGCCTGGATAGAGTCGTTGAAGACAATATAGGTCTCTTTGATATATTTGTCGCGAAAGATGGTATCGACGTGGCTGCGGAAGGACCTGGAGACTCTGCGGCACACAGACCAGAGAAAGTTGGGATCGCGGGAACAGGAGAGGATGTGGAGCCAGATCTCCTCCGGCACGTGCGGGTTGCGTATTTTTCTAATTGTAGTCATGGTGATTGAGTTTGCTCCTGCAAGTTCGTATGGAGTTGAGGAGCGTCGGAGGTTAGGATGGAAACCGAGGAATGAGGAACAGCAACCGCGTCGCGGTGGTCATAGCTTCGAAGATTAGATTAGAAACATACGCGATCCCGTGATGGGTTTGGGCTATCCTTTCTCCATCGCTCGGAAGACTTCATCCATCCATATTCCATCCATCATCACAAAAGCATTGTCTTACGAACGGCGTTATCGCAGCTGTAGTTATTTAGTAGGCAGGTTGATAGAGTATTGGCGATATGTTCTTGCAATTTTCCTTGCTTGGCGAAAGGAGAGGCACGATGTCATACGGGTTCTGCTTCGCCTTCTTCACTTCGCATTTCAGACCTCTCATTTTTGTTTCCGCTGTTAGACCTTCATAGCCTCGCCCAATCCTCCAAAGCCTCGTGCGGGTTTGATCAGTGCATTCTTCTACATATCAACCTTCCCTATCAAGTCTACAGTTTCATCTTTCCTACCCACCGCAACATGCCCATTCGCGGCTAAAACCCCCTGGACTTATCCATTCGACACTGTCCACTTGAAAATATCACAATATAGTCCACTTGCCTTTTGCCGTCGCCAGCTCTCACAATTGACGCTTCCCCAAGACTACCCACAACCTATAAAATGTCTCGCGCCAAGACTCCTCCAACGTCTCAGGTTTCAAAAGACGTCTAACCCACCATCCAGCATATACCGGCTCTGGAGCCTTGCTTTGCATCAGACTATTGCCCATGTGTGTTGCAACCATGAGGCATGGCCCACTTCCGTTTCGAGATGTCGTCGTCACCGCACAGTTGAGGTTATATACATCTGCGTTACGGATGCTTTACTTGGGCATCTCCGGTAGAGCAACGGTACTTTCATTTCAAAATTAGTCTTTCCAATATGTTTTTCTCTGCTTTATTCTTGTTGGTCTCTTTGCTAAGTGCTGCGCTGGCGCAAACACCCTCAGGCTTCATTCCATCCGTCTCCAATCAGCTCACCGTCATGTTTAATTCCACCGTCGTCTCTCCCGCTGGCAAGCAATTGTCAAAAGCTAGTACGTAGAGCCGTGCAATTTTATGCCCTACGTAAGCTGATACTCCCATAGCGACCCAAAGCCAGCCTACCATTGGCGTAAGTGGCGTAGCCGCCGGGAAAACTTTCATGTTCGTAATGTTAGGTACGTGCACCCATTCTGCATCCCGAGCCCTCAATCGTCTCCTAATCTCACCGCAGACCTCGACGTCCCCTCCAAGACTGGCCCCAGACAAACACTCCTTCACGCCATGGAAACCGGCTTCAAAGCTTCCACTAAACGAGCCGCCTCCAGCGCCTCCATGCTCACGTCCTCTGGCAAGGCACCAGCTCCTTACATTGGACCCTCGCCACCTGCGGAGAATCCGGCCTTTGGCCACCGCTATGTGCAACTGCTCTTCGCGGAACCCGACAACTTCGCTGTTCCGGCTAGCCAAACCGCTGCGGTGAGCAAACGCATAGGGTTTAATATCACCGCATTCATGAAAGACGCGGCGCTAGCAGAGCCTCTGGCGGCAAACTTCTTCGTTGTGGAAGGGAAGCAAGAGGCGGGAGCGACTGGTGCGAGTGGGACGGCTGCGGGGAGTGATAGGTCCACAGCGACCGGATCGGGAGGAATATCGAAGTCGACTTTGGAGCCATTTGAGGGGGGTGCCGGTAGCATGAAGTTGGGGATGAGGGGCGTATGGGCGGGGTTGCTTGGAGGTGTGGCAGTCGCGTTGGTTTAGGGTCTTCGATGCAGTGAAGAGCTATCACAGGTCACGTGTCGCATTACTATCAGCGGGCACCTCGTAGGGCAAGTGTTGGAATCCATCTTTAATTGATGAAACTCGGATGCCTCAAACCCAGTTTGATATGTCGAAATGTGCTGGCTTGAAGTTGAAGGTCCCTTATCGAAACAATAATCGCAATGCAAGACCGAGGCCATCAAAGCTGTAGAATAGCCCAAAGAGGTCTGTAATCGCTCACGTAACTACGGCGCATGCATCCGAGCGGACGCCCGTGCTTGGTAACAGCCGCTAAGCTCTTCAACGACGTCATCGTGCTTCGCCGTCGCATCCAACTTCGGACGACACCAACGGCCCGCTCGCTCTAAGGTATCGCCGCCTGTGATCATGCTATCGCGTTCAGCGGTTGCTGCTGCTTAATTCCGAGACTCCAGACAGAATGAAGCTCAGACATTGTGCATATTTAATACCAGGTATCCAGCGCCTTTAGATGCTCATATCGGGGCACTCGGAAACTCCGGCATCGTACAATGGCCAGATACGCGGACCCAGATCGGAACTCGGCCACTATTGCTAAGCCGTCTACAGTTACTTCGTACGAACTGAAGCGCGACGAGGACTGTGTGCATCAGCCGTCATGGCCGAGCGGGCGACCGCCCGCATTGCTTAGCTTTCTAGCGTGCTAAATCCTAGTTCCTTTCTTTGTATTTGGGCTCTGTACTGCCCACTATGACCTCACCTGCAGAATATCCATACTTCCCAAAGACCAACGACATCTCTCCCGCGCAATTGCGCCTCCTTCCACTGAGTAATACCTATTGGGATTGGTGACTGGGCAACTAGTCGACAGACTCACCAACATGAATCAAGAAGACTACAACATACTGAGAGACGAGGCGAATGCGGATCCACGCCGATACTCGCAATGGGACGCCCATGGCCAATTTCGTGAAGAAGCAGCAGCTCGGCGTGAAAAGGCCGCACATCAGCGAGAGCCTGAAGAGGCTCTCGCGCCCGTGGATACCCGGAGCTCAGGCTCCAGTTCAAGTTCGAGCGCCTCCAGCGCGTCCCAGACGTTGGAGCAAATACGTACTCAACCTCAAAGTGCTATTGGCACCGCTGCCGCGAGTATCATATCACGGCATCCCACGGAACGTGATCCTGAAGCTATTCGACGCATCGAGACGCATCGCAGTCAACAACAGCACACTGTTGGAAAGGTGTTGACCGAAGGCGGCCGGAGCATCACCCGTCGATTTACATCGAGAAAGGAGAAGCCTCTCCCGAAAATGGGTGCGGATAAACAGTATCCACCTTTACTGCCAGAACAAGAGGACTATGTTGTAGAGTATGACGGACCGAATGATCCTCTGCATGCACAGAATTGGAAGATGTCCCGAAAGTACGTGAGATGAAAGCTCCATAGAAATGCATCGCTGACAATACATTCGTAGACTTTACATTGGCGCAATCTTGGCATTTGATGCTCTTGCTGCGACTATGGGTAGCAGTATATTTTCTCCCGGTATTGGCCAGGTATCGAAACACTTCGGCGTCATTATGGAGGTCGGGACTCTAGGAACCTCACTGTTCGTTTTTGGATACGCTTTTGGACCTCTCGTAAGTCTTCTTCCCATAATCTTGGCGTGAAAAGATAGATTCAACTAACCCGTGCATAGTGTTGGGCGCCAATGTCGGAACTCTACGGCCGAAGACTCCCACTTGTGATAGCATCATTTGGGTTTTCCGTTTTTTCCATTGCAGTTGCGGTAGGAAAGGATCTACAGACCGTCCTGATATGCCGTTTCTTCGCCGGTATATTCGGATCATGTCCGCTAGCTGTGGTCGCTGCCGTATTTGCAGACATGTTCGATAACAGACTGCGAGGTCTTGCTGTTGCCGTCTTCTCTGCCACAGTTTTCATGGGGCCGCTCCTCGCACCATTTATCGGCGGCTTTATTACAGAGTCTTATCTTGGATGGAGATGGACAGAATACATCTCTGCAATCATGGGCTTCACAGCCTTCGGCCTGATTACGATATTCCTCCCGGAAACGTATCCACCGGTTGTGCTAATCAGTAAGGCGGAGGAGCTTCGCCGCCGCACCAAGAACTGGGGAATTCACGCCAAACAAGAGGAAATCGAAGTCGACTTCAAAGAGCTCATTGTGAAGAACCTATCGAGGCCTATGCGGATTCTCTTCACAGAGCCTATTGTACTTCTAATTACGCTGTATATGAGCTTCATCTACGGGATCCTATATTTGTTCCTAACAGCCTACGCACTTGTGTTCCAAGGCGTCTACGGCTGGACATCTGGAATCAGTGGTTTGGCATATTTTGGTATGCTCACTGGTGAGATCATTGCATTCATCTACGTCGTCCTGGACAACCCTCGATATGCACGAAAGCTGGAGGCCAACAACAACATCCCGGTTCCTGAATGGCGTCTCCCAATCTCGATGGTCGGCGGTCTTCTTTTCGGTAAGTGAAGTTATCAATTAAAACCTCAGATCAATGAATGCTAACAGTTGTAGCTGCCGGATTATTTTGGTTCGGTTGGAGTGGCTATACTGGAAACGTCCCATGGATTGTGCCAGTACTCTCGGGGATCTTCACCGGCTTTGGAATATTCTCAATCTTCCTTTCGCTACTCAACTACATCGTCGACGCGTACCTCATGTTCGCTGCGTCAGCTCTGGCAGCTAACACATTCATGAGATCTCTCTTCGGTGGCATATTCCCGCTATTCGCTACCTACATGTTCAACGGCATGGGTATTGAGTGGGCATCTACCTTGCTAGGATGTGTCGCTCTTCTGCTGGTGCCAATGCCGGTCCTATTCTACCTTTATGGCAAGAAGATCCGCACGAAGAGCAAGTTCGCTCCTGCACCGGATATCGATCAAGATAGGAGGAGGGACGAGGAGAGCAGAGGAGCAGCTGATCAATCGAGTGACGAGACACCAACGAAGGAGAAGGAGGAAGACAAGGCCGTATGATCGGCACTGACGAGAACCTAATGATAAATGTATAATTACGGGGACCCACAGGGACGATTCTAAGGTTCTGAATATGATTCAATTAGCAGGCGTTCAAGAATGTGGGGAAAGGCTATACATAGAAGAGCGCACATAATCTACCTCCTACATACTCAAAATGAAGCAAAATGATTTAAATATGCAGTCGCTCTTCACGTCCGGTGGTCAAGCGCTAAGGTCGAGTCGCAAAATTACCGTATGAGGTAACAACTGCAGGCATCTTTATGGGGAATTGCCACCGTCTAGCCCATCGACGTTCATGCTGGTCAAGTATTAGCCCAGAAAGGAGGTTTACCAGGATCGATTCAGTTTCTGCGCTAGACCACAGACGTAAAGAGAGGCTATAGAAAGACTGCTTTCCGTCCTAGCGTTTTTGGTTGCCTAGATAGTGTCGATTAAAATCATCGCTTTCAGGAAAGTGGCCAATCAAACTACCTTTTGGTATGCTTCTTCGGAAACATTATTACGTTCCTTCGGGGATCCTTTCCTTTTGCTCGGTGAATGTTCACGCTAGTTTCGCCTCAGCTCTAGGCAACCGCCTCCTACTGCGACCTGGGTTCGGTAGCTGCTGTGCTTGCGTGGAAGTATATTTTTGCGCGCTGGGAGTTCATCTAGACCCAGTAAATTTATGAAGGCGAATGGAGTTGGGCGTATTTGCACGGCAGTCGCAGTTCGAGGGTTCTAGCTACCTCGCCTTTGCTCTCGAGCCCTGTCATTCAACGAGAAAGATTCCACCTAGTCGAAGGATAACCCATCAAGACCAAGGTTGAGACGCTGACAGAGAAAATAGAAATTCGTCGTACAGTACGTTGCCGTTATGGTACTAGCCAGCCACACCATCCCATCGAGCACGACATTGCATCTACATAGTCAAGTAGGCCAGAGCCGCTTGTCAATTATCCACCGTAAGAGCTGCAAACACGAAGGTGATTTATCACACTCGAGGCGAGCGCATCAATGAAGCACCCCTGAACACATATAGTTCATTCTTTTCATAGCAGCGATGTGATGTTGGGCCTCAAAATAAAGCCATAAAGACATAGGTCCCAATTCACCCCCGCCAGACTGCAGTTCTTCTTCAATCCGTTACTACCTGAAGGAAGATAGCAAGCTAATTAGTAAGCATCCTAACAATCTCCAACATCTGCTCTCCGTTCCCGGTCACCTTCTCCACTCGCCCCCTTTACTCCAATCTTGCAACCCCAATTACGTAGACTTCAATCTTCTTGGCCTATTCCCATATTCTCTTCTCCGCTTCTTGGGCCCAGATGGGAGGATTAGTGGTCGCTTTGGCGCTCGTTCTTCCTAAAGTTCCACGCCACCAACCTCTTCCCCTCCCGAGAGCGTAGACCCCGACACACTCCCCGAAGCGTCAGGCCTCACTCTATGCGCCGGAACCCGACTCTGCGGCCTCCGAGACCTTCCCCGTTCTTCCTCAACACCGTCGCAACCTTCCGTACGGCCCCGTCTATGGTAGTAATCATCCGAGCTTCTGCGGCGGCGAGCGTAAGCACTTCCGCTCGTTAAGTCTCGCGGGGTCTCCACCGGCTCCAGACGGAGGGAGTCGTATTCTTCAAGCGGAACGTCTCTTTCGGCAAGAGCCTGTACCGCGATGCTGTGGGCTTCGTGGAATGATCTCCATATTATCGTGCGCTCGTGGAAGGTGATCGGGAAGCGGACTCTGGGGTTTTCGAGGTACTTTTCCTGGAAGTGCTGGGCGTACTGCTCACCCTTGCCTGATTTGTTGGAGATAAGATTCACGATGGTCGTGAGGGTGTGGCGGGTGATTTGGCGGGTGGCCATAGTGAGGTTTCGATTGCGTTTTGGAGGTAGGGAGTTTGAGTTTGGTTTGTTGGAAGGCTATAATGATGAACTGACGAAAGAAAGAGAGTTCTGGTTGCAGCGAGAAGTTAAGGATGGAGGTGAAGTGCTAGAAAAAATGGTGCGAGCCTGTGCCTTTGCTTCTCGGTGAAAGACTCAGGGCAACATAAAACAGACGCCAACGGGAGACAAGACGTAGAGCTTCATTCTAAGTCAAGTAATTGAGATCGCTTGAAACACCATTGAAAGTACCGAAAGTTTATGAAGAGTTGCGAGAGCTGAGGAACTCATATCTCCAGCTTGATCATTTGCACGCGCCTTGATACCATATATAATACTCTACCAGGTACTCGACTGATGACCTTATGGTAATCTTTCAATAGGTACTCTCTGGTATGCAACAACTTCACCTCAAACGAAACCGTGATGCGGCTGTACAGACGCATCCTGATAACTAAATCTACACAGTCTAAATGAAACAAATGAAATTAGCTAGGGAGGAGGGTGTAGTGTAGAAAGGATTGAAAGAACCTGTTGGCATAGCCCTTGAAATACCCAGCTCTTGAATGATATGGGCCCTCATGGTAGCTATGCACAGTCTTGAACTTGACAGCAATTACAAACCAACGAACCATGTCCAGTCCACCCAAATCGGATATGCAAAAATGGCATGACTTTGAAGTGTCGAAATTTTTCCGAGTTAATGTGATGGAGATCTTGCTTCAAATAGACTGTGGGGCCGCGAGACTGTGAGCTCGAGTAGTGTGACTGGTAAGTGTGTTTGCAAAGCAACCAGCACTTGGACTTGTGCAGACAGGCCTTGGTGTTGAGGCGACGGAAATACTTAACCCACGCCTGTGCGGCACTACTCACATGACTAAGGTCCACTCCGCATTACCCGGATACTGATTCATGAATTCCCCAGAATGCATGACCACTGAGCGAGATGCTGCCGAATTTTAGGAGCTCTGGATATATAAAGCCAGGTCTGGACAGTATATTCTCAGTGCAAGAAGTCTCTGCGCTGCTCAATCTCCTCTGTCTTCTCCCGGCCCTTAATCCCCCTCGCACCTGATTCCTTCGCCTCCTCTCATACATTTAGAAGCCATGGCTGACTTCATTGTGCCGTCGACGAGCAAGCCTGAAAGCGATGCTCAGGCCCGGCTGCGGGGGCCCATTCACGCCAAGCGACATGTCCGCATCATCTGCATTGGTGCCGGCGCTTCTGGACTGTTGATGGCCTACAAGCTACAGCGACATTTCTCTAACTTCAGCCTGACGGTGTACGAGAAGAATTTGGAGGTGTCTGGAACGTGGTTCGAGAACCGATACCCGGGGTATGTTTTTCTCTCTTTATCCCGCGCACGGGCCCATCTCCTCACCCATCATCCTTCATCGGGTTGGGGCATCCGAGATTCTACACCACGCCTATGTGGAGACAAGATGCGCTAGAAAGAATACTGACTGCTCCAGATGTGCTTGTGATGTGCCCTCGCACAACTACACATGGTCCTTTGAGCCTAAACTCGACTGGTCTGCTGTGTACGCTAGCAGCCAGGAGATCTACACGTACTTCAACGACTTTGCGCGCAAATATGCCCTCCACAAGTACATCCAGACCGAGCACCAGGTCATCGGCTCGGAATGGAATCAGCAAAAGGGCGGCTACAATGTCAAGGTCCATGACTTGAAGTCTAATCGCGAGGTTGATGATCACTGCGATATTCTCATCAACGCGTCTGGTATCTTGAATAACTGGCAATGGCCCGCCATCCCAGGTCTGAAAGATTTCAAGGGCACTCTGCTCCACACCGCGAGCTGGGACGACAAGGTTGATTTGACCAACCGACACGTGGGTCTGATTGGAAACGGGTAAGTCTACAAATCCAACAAAGATGCGATAGTGCATCACGAGCCTCACTAACCTCTCTAGTTCCTCCGGTATCCAAGTCCTCCCAAAGATCCAGCCCATTGTATCAAAATGCACTACCTTCATCCGAGAGCCAACCTGGGTGTCACCCGTCCAAGGTCTCGAGCAGCATGTTTTCTCTGACGCTGAGCGTCTTGACTTTGCTACTAAACCTGGTAACCTCCTCGAGTACCGCAAGGGCATTGAGCGGGGTCTCAACGGCCAATTCGGCATCTTCCTGAAGAACACAAAACCAAACAATGACACCGAAGCCTACTTCCGAGAGCAGATGAAGGAGAAGCTTCACAATGACTACCTAGAGGAGCGCTTGGTGCCCAACTGGCACGTAGGATGCCGCCGATTGACTCCTGGTGTCGGATATCTAGAGTCACTCGGAAAGGAGAATGTGGAGGTCGTGTACGGTGAGATTACCAAGATCTCGGAGAAGGGCTGCGTGAGCGACAACGGCAACGAGTACCCTCTTGACGTGCTTATCTGCGCCACTGGATTCAACACTTCCTTCAAGCCTCGCTTCCCGGTCATCAACCACAAGGGTGTCAACCTCCAGGACGTGTGGAAGGACGAGGCACAGTCATACTTCGGTGTTGCTGCTGCTGACTTCCCCAACTACCTCATATTTTTGGGACCCAACTGCCCTATCGGCAATGGACCCGTCCTTTCCGCTATTGGTGCGTCTAAGTCTATCAACTCATTATTGCCAATCACTAATTGTACTACAGAATGCCAAGCGGACTACTTCCTGAAGCTCGTCGACCGTTTCCAAACCCACAATATCGCCCAATTCGCCCCACGACAGGATGCCGTCGATGACTTTATTAAGCACAAGAATGACTTTATGACCACGACCGTGTGGAATGACCCGTGCCGGTCATGGTACAAGCAGCGACCTGACGGCCCTATTACCGCGCTATGGCCCGGCTCAACACTTCATTACATCGAGGCGCTCATGGAGCTACGTCTTGATGACTGGGAGACCAAGTACAACGGCAACAGGTTCGCCTGGCTGGGCGACGGATACAGCCAAACTGAACTTGACCCGACGGCCGACTGGGGCTACTATATCCGGGATAACGATGACGACGAACCTTTCAGCCGGGGACGCAAGCTGCAAATCCTCAACAAGTCGGGCACGATAGCAGCCAATGTGGGTGTGAATTTCGCTGGTGGTCTGGATAGAGAAGAGGAGAGGCCCATCCAGTCGAAGATCTGAAAGGGACTGCATAAGTGATGACTTCATGTTACGATACTGTGGACGCGGTGGTCTTTGCTGTGGTTATTTAGCGGTGCATTTTCTTGGATCTATGTTTGCAGATGACGCTACTTTATATGTATATATGCAAAATATAAGGCGTCTATAGACTTGTCTCAATCTATACTTTTTACTCCCAAGCAAGAGATCACTCTACAGTTGTTGAGAAGTCACAGTGTATTTCCACCAAAGTGTGTCTCTTCGAAAGGCACAGCTTTATCTTGATCTATGTTATCTGCCCTGTTAGCTCGTGTGTCTTTTTGAATGAAAACACGCGATATCACTATTTCAATCACGTTGTTCTCTCTTATCAGGGTGCACCTATTGCCCTAACTCCCCATTATCAGTGATTGACAATCAACGGCATCTCTACTGCCCGCACTCTACCGACATATCTCCCAGGATGCAGTGGGGCCCCCAAGGGGAAATGCGTTACAGTGAATGTATTGAGTCATGCAAACACCCTAACAAACCGTGTCACGAGTCATGCTGCGAGAGGAAAAGCTCAGCCGAGGGCCAGGCTCTCGTCTTATCTCCACCTTCGGAGCCAGAACGTGCACGCGTCCCCACAAACTCGAGGGCCATCTGGTGGGGCCCGGAAACGCGGACTTTCTGACGACCGCGCCTCCTAGGGAAGCTCCCTTGTTGAGCCTCGCGCGGCAGGAAAAAGTATCGTCACGCAGCCACCCTGCGCGTTCCCGGCTGTGGGCACAGCCAGGCACGCGTGAGTGGACCCCTTTGCCCGATCTCTACCTTGGTATAGAGCCCTCCACGCGCTCGGGATGAAGCCCGATTCCTGGAGCTCCCGGCTTCCCATTTTCAGCTTTCCGCGATCGTTTCCTCCTACATTTTACTCTTTTTCAAATTACTTTTAGGTTCCTGATTGTCTACTCTACCTGTAGTCCCGCCTTGCTTAGTTGAAAATGTCGTTTGCTTTGAAGGGAGTCGCGTACATCACCGGTGCGGCGTCAGGTGAGACCCCATCCCGGCGAAAGGCTGAAGCTTCAAGCTTCAATACCGAACCAACAGCTTCCAACACCCCCCTCCACCTCTCCTCCCTCCTAACAACCGCCATAGGAATCGGCCAAGCAACCGCCTATGCCTTCGCGCGTCAAGGCGTCCGCTCCTTTGCCCTCCTCGACCGCAACCCGCCGACCGAAACCATCAAAACCCTGCAATCCCTGCACTCCTCCCTCTCCATTAAAGCCATCGAGCTGGACGTGGCCTCCGAAGCCGCCGTCAACGACAGCGTGGCCGCCACCGTCAAGGAATTCGGCCGCATCGACTACGCCGTCAACAACGCCGGCATCGGCGGCAAGATGGGCCTCACGCAGGACATCCCCCTCGACGACTTCCAGCGCGTCCTGGACGTCAACACCAAGGGCGTGTGGCTGTGCCAGCGCGCGCAGCTGCGGCAGATGATGACACAGGAGCGCCCGGCGAATCCGCGCGAGTACCGCGGGACGATTGTGAATATGGCGAGTATGTACGGTATTGTTGCGGCGAACGCGAATGTGCCGTCGTCGGCGTATGTGACGAGTAAGCACGCGTGTGTGGGCTTGACGAAGGCAGATGCGGTCACGTATGCTGCGCACGGGATACGAATTAATGCGATTTGCCCCGGGTATGTGGCGACGCCGCTGGTGGGGGGTAGTACGGCGGAGGTGATGAGTGATAAGAGCGGGATTATGGCACAGGAGCTGGCGAAGGTGCCGTTGGGACGGTTGGCGTTGCCTGAAGAAATTGGGGATGCGATTGCGTTTCTGGCGAGTCCGGCGAGTAGTTTTATGGTGGGCTCGCCGATGATTGTGGATGGGGGGTTTTCGCCGCAGTAAGAGGGTATTTATTTCATGCTTCCAACTTTTTCGAACCCAGTGTTCCAGGGGCATTTCAGAGGGTAGCGTGAATGCGAATTGAGGTGCGGAGTTGTGAGTGATCCAGAGCACATCAATCGTCATCAGCTCCAATTGTTGAACTTCAGCGTCATCGCATCAAGTCTTCTTCTTCGCTTCACTTCCCTTTCCTCCAACCTCCCGCTCTCCAACCTCAACCTCAGCCACCTCCAAACGCTCACCCACAAACCACACGCCCAAAATGTCCCACCCCTCCAGCTCCTCCTTCACCTTGAAAAACTGGAACGCCATCATCGCCTCCACCTTAACCCCCCCTCCTCCCGCCAAAGGCACTCCAGCTGAACCGCCCACCGCCGCCTTCTCCTTCTCACACTGGACGGCTAAAATCTCCCTCTTCTCCCTCGGCCGCACCAAGCAATGCATCACGGCCTGCGGCAACCTCCTCGCCATGCCCGAGCTGCCAGAACCCCATCGCCAGAACACACTATGCCTGATTGCGATCTGCGTAGCCAAGGAAACGGAGGACTGGGACAGGGCCGAAGTTAGCCTCTTATCATGTCTAAGATAGTTGAGCGTCTGAAAGCTGATGGTTACAGAAATTTTGGAATCAGGGCGAGGAACACTGGGCCAATACGCGTTCCCGGTGCCCGCTTGGGCAGGATGCTGAGGTCGATTCGGCGCTGGCGAGGCTGCGGAGGGCGTTGGATGAGTTGAGGAGGTCGCAGGCGGAGAAGAAGAGGGTAAGGATGGGTGGGGAGAGGAAGGGGGGTGGAAGGGGGATTCAGGATGAGCTGGGCTATCTGATTGATGAGTTGATAAGGGAGTATAGTGAGGGGACGCTTGAGCGGATGGACTTGGACATCGAGATGGAGGATGTTTGAGCGGGATTGGCGATGAGGGGAGACGGGGAATGGAGATGTCCTGGAAACATAGGCATAGGTGAATTTCCAGGGCAGACATCGATGGGATTGCTGAGTTGGCGAAAGTGGGAATGGTTCGACACGCCAGGAATATGATTCTTTCTGATACCATTCGCATTCATCTCGTATACACACCCCGAGTAATAGCCAAATTTCTCCCTAATTACGCCCTGATATCAAGGCTAAATTCTCTTAACCCATCGCTCCCATCCCAACCCCAACCATGACCATAGCTCCCAACGCCGCATCCCACGCCCCCACATTCGTCGGCGCATGCGCCCCCGCCGTGCTGATCGTCGTGCTAGGCACAGTGCTCGGTCCCACAGCCTGCGTATTCGCGGTCCTGCTATCCGTCGTCACGAGTGCTGGAATAGTGCCAGTGCCTGGGCTGGGTTCGATTTGCGTGTGCGCGGTATGGGTGGTCGTCTCCGTAGTCGCGCTTGGGTTTACAGAGCCGATAGTAGTTGGACACCCGATTTCCGTGTTCGCGCTCCTGCTATCGGTACATGCGGTAGGGACGAGCTGGGAGACGGCGCGGGGGCCTGGGACGGCGTGAAGGCGGAAGAGGTCGAGGAAATTGGGGAGGGCGAGGGTGAGGGGAGTGGTGAGGAGGAGGAGAAAGAAGGAGAGGCGGTATTGGAGATGCATGCTTTGTATGGTGTTGCTAGGGATTATTGAGCTTTAGGTAGCCCAATTAGTAAATAGAGGTCTCTATGAGGTGACAGAAAGGATAGAAAGGTGACTGTAAAGCCTGTGTTTATGCTTAAGACACGTTGAAGAAATGCAGCTACAACATGGGGATCCTCCGAATTTGATAGCAAAGTGCCTGAAGCTCCATTGCAGTTACAATGACGCAGATGGCATTGCAAAGATAGGCATAGCTCCAAAGGAGTAAGGATTGACACCGACAGGATCCAATGAAAAAGGACGACCACGAGATTCGTTACCCGGATGAGACTTGTGTCCCTGGAACGCGGGGGTGAGCTGATAAGGGGTTTTCCATGACTTCTGACATAGCCTGTGAAAACTCTTGTCCTCAGCCGCCAATAGCATTTCCATCAATTCGTAAAGCCCTCGTCACGTCAAGGAGCTGGATCACGTCATCAACTTCTCAAGCACACCTTTGTCACAATATTCGGGGAGTTAGCGGGAAGCAGATGATCTAGAGACGGTAGAATACAAAGGTAGTTGAGGGATGCTCAGGGCTCAGAGATGATGGAGTCGTGATGGGCAGTACACAGGTTCTGCCTCATTCAAATTTCCGAGACTAAACCCGGTTAGCGAGGCCACCTTCTCAGAGCCTCTCTCCTCTCCCATTCATCGTCGTCTTAAACTTTCAGACTTTCTTATTTCATCAACTTTGGCATATGCAGAGTCCGAGTATGGTCATCTGGGTGTTTATGCCGCGCTAGAACATTGACAGGCCCTACCTTCTTTCCAACTACTTTTCCTCGCGGCCTTCAGACAAAAAAGACTAGTGGCACTCAAGTAAGTTGATGCGATTCAATCCTAGCATCAAAGTTGTAGACGCCACTCATTAATCCAAGGACGACTTGCCCGCATAATTCTCGTGGCTTCCACGTCTGGCGTCTGAAGCGGACGCATCCGTGGACATGTCGGCCGTAGATGCTGCCAGTTGAAGTCACAAAACAGAAAGCCAAGGTACATCTCAGGGTTCTCAACTTTAGTTCCTTCTTTCGGGCCAATATCATTCAAGTCTGTGCCTATACATATCAGTTATCCAAGACTTGTTCGTGGCGGTCCTGTCGATTTATTCAAGCGTTTCATGGCCAGCGATGGGTGAGTGGAAAGCCATACTAACTGAAGCAACGAAGGTACAAGTGCTACGCTGCATGGAACTTATTTCGTTAAATCCCTAGATTTACACGCTCGGTATACCGCATTCTTTGCATTCAGCGATCGAATGGAACATGGCAAATCGTTTCTTCAGCTTTCTAGGTTTGCTAAGGTTACTGAGCTGTCTCTCTATGAAAGAATATCGTCGAAAACAGAAGTTCTCTTTTCTTGCTTGTCGGTCTCTATGCTCTCATTCTTCTCGTCCGCATGTTTCCCGTGCATACCAGCCAAAACACCTGCCCCAAACATTTAACAATCCCCTTCCATCGCTACATATACAGCCCCTCACATCCTTATCTTACCCCTCACTCTCACCCATCCCGCTCTCACAATGTTCAAACACCAAAACGGAGGCGAGCGCTATCCGCTCCGAGTCTATCCCAAATCGGTGCCCCCTTCGCCCACCGGGTTACTTCAGCCAGTTTCGGCTCTCTTGATCCAGCTGTCTGAATCACCAACACCCTCCCTTGCGTCTTCACGATCTTCTTTGTCTTCTAGTCCACAAGAAATTCAAGCGGCGGATGGTGAAGAGCAGGGAACGGGGTGGTTTAGGAAGGCGGGCCGCGGCGGTGGCAAGGGTAGTGGGAGGAAGAGGGGGTGGTTTAGGTCGGATTTGATGGATATGGTTGTGTATCGTCCTGGGGGAGATAGAGAGGATGAAGAGAGCGAGGTTAGAGGAATTGAAGAAGCTGGGGAGGATGGAGGGGATGATGAGGAAGAGGTATATGGGAGGGGAGACGGAGAAAGCGAGGAGGGGAATGATGGAGGTTACGATGAAGGTGACACAATGGGGGATGATGTAAGGGAGGAAGAGGGGGACGAAGAAGGTAAAGGGCCGGTTGTGGATGACGAGGCTAGGAAAGATGACGAGCTTGGTGAAGACACCAGGTCTAGACGAGATGACAAGCATAGACCAGATGGCACGCTCACATCAAACGACAAGGCCGGACTAGACGATAAGCCCGCGGAAGATCATGAGCTTGGAATTATTGAAGAGCCTAAAAAAGACAACAGGTCTGAAACGACCGACCAACTCCGAATTGCTGGCGAACTTAAGGAGGCCAACGAATTTGGGGCAGATGACACACCTGAACAGCAAGAGGAGCCTGGCATAGTCGACATGCTTGAGGATGACGATAAGCTGGAAGTAGACGACACACCTGGAGGAGATGCAGATCTTGGAGGAGACAATCAGACTGAAACAGACCAGGATCCTGGACGAGACGATCAGATTGGAGAATATAACGGGCCAGAGCAAGATAGCAAGCTTGCCAGAGATGACAGGCCAGAGGAAGACCACAATACGTCTGGCGTAGATGATGCTCCTGTGATAGAAAATGAGCCCGAAGTCAACAACATGTCCAACGATATGCAAGAAGAAGTAAAAGAGCCCGAGTCAGACACGGACCGACAGGTGGTAATGAGGCCACGGTATGATCTTGGTCTTCCTGGCGGAGGGAATGGTAATTACACGCCAGTCAAGGTGGAGGACCGTACGAATCAATTTGTGGTGCTTCTCGAAAACACACTAGAGGATGTAACGGAGAAGAGCGAAGTTGTAGGACTGGTTTCAGAGAAAGAGGGCAAGGCGGAGGGAGAGAACGACGATGGGAGAGCAAAGGACGGACAAAGTGATATAGAGAACGAGAAAAAGGCAGAGGCAGGAAATGATAAAAACGACGCCACCGAGGATTCCAAGGGCACTGTTGCCGGGAATCAGGATGGAACGGGATATCCGACACCACGGGACACGGAAATGATATATTCGGTCCTGCTGCAGTCACAACCCAGCACGGATAGGTCAGAGGCACCAGAAGTTTCCCAGAACCACGACGAGGAATCGTCTGAGATGGATTAAAGCAGTTTCGGTATGTACACGGAGATTATGTAGTGTAATGAACAATATGCGTCGTACTTTACAATGCATGAGACCTGATGATATCCTGAATTGGAATCTATCATTTTAAACTTCTAGACTCATTTTTAACGATTAGGTACAAAGATATAGTATGGTTATTGAGAGGGAAGTCTCTCGCTCAATTGGCCTGTCTTCTCCGGCTGTCCCACTAACTGATTAAAAATAAGGTCCAGTCACCTATACCCACCCTTCTGACTCCACTCTTTCAGCCACGCTTTCACGAAATCTCCCTCAAGCTGCTGTGCATACACCACCGCGTTAGGCGGCAGAGTGCTGGTCGTCTCGTTGGCAAATAGTCCGTTCTCATCCCAATGATGGACCGCGTCCGGGATCAACCAAAACGGCTCGCTGGTGGTCGATTTACGCGGGTGCGCCTCGTCCGCGAGCGGCGTAGCAGGCCTCCACGGGTCGGCTTGGCCACCGATGATAGCAAGGCGTGGATAGTTGATGTCGAAGCCGCCGTACTTGTTCACGTTCTCGACATTGGGAGGGGTGGTAATGTTGAAGGCAGCGCGGCAGAAGAAGGTGCCGTATTTTAGATCGATCTGGCGAGAGATCAAGGGGAGGATGGAGGACGGAGTGTTGCCAGTTTGGATGTAGCCGTATTCGCTGCACTTTGGTCTGTGTTAGTAGGTGGTATGACGTAGGTGGGGTTTGGGAGGAGTGCTTACGACTTGGTAGTCCCATGATCTCCAGTCATATTGGTCGAGGCCATCTTGTTCGAAGTATGTGGCATTCAGGGTGGTGAAACACGCATTCTGGTCCCCAGAGCACTGGCTGACTGCTGTATCATTGACATAACCAATCCAGTTCAGCAGGGCAGTTTGCAGGTCTTTGTTGTCACCATATCCTCCGGCAGAAATCAAGTCCTTGGCCGTTGGCGCGAGCGAAGCGGTTTCCGGATAGACCAAATCAGGCGAAACGAGGGTCTGGCAGTACTCAAAGAAGCCAGGGCTGTCGACCGCTGGGTCCCAGTTGCGGCTCTGCCAGCCATAGATTCCGTATGTCAAGATATTGGCGAAGTCCCTGTTGTCTGTAAGACCTGACAAGCCAAAGGCACCCTTGAGCTCGCCGATCTTACTCTTGTTCTTCGATATGATGTTGTCGACGACATTGGTGAGTTGCTGGGTATTGCGAACGCAAACCGGAGGTGCGTATTGGCGGATCGGCTCGAAATATTCCCAGTAGTCATAGATAGCCTTTGTAACTCCAGAAGAGGAGATGGCGCCCCAGAAGATCTTCGGGTATTGTGTTCGTAGAAATGCCACGAAAGCTCCAGAATACGAGCCGCCATACGCGATCCAAGGAGTCTCAGGCGCCGTCAAGGTTTCGTTGAGTCCTTCGAACTTGACATTTTGTGCGAAGTACGCTGCATCGGCCAAGGACTGAGCTGTGTCCAAGAATCGCAAGTTCTTCGTAGATAAATCTGGAGTCGGGAAGCTAGTGCCGTAGTATCTATGCTCGAGGATGACGCCGACGCCTCCAGTTGCCTTGATCAGCTGTGCGACTATGCCCTTTTGTAGATAGACGAGACGACTAGATGCGTCGGTTTCTCCAGATTCGAGGACAATGACTGGTCCACCTGGCTTGTAGTACTGAGCATCGAACCAGTAGCGGAGGTTGAACTTCTCCGTCGAGTGAGGCGCATATTTGTCGTCGTGGGGGAAGTGGTCGACGGGGACGGAAAGGTTGTATTCTTTGTACAACAAGGTCGGGTCTGTGTCTCGCTTCAAAAGAGCACTACGGCGAGCTGCTGACTAGAGATTGTCAGTGTTTAGACTTGAATGAACGAGCGAGCAAGAAACTTTGCAATTGAAAAGCATGACGGAAAGCATTGAGGTCTGACGCTCTCAATTGGAAGGTTGGATTTCACAAATCGCTCGAATTGGCCTCACAGCTTTCTAGAGTATTTATGGGTCCATTTTAACTGTACTGTGTACGAAGCTCGAGCAATGCAGAACGACAAAGTAAACAGTTACCACTCACATTCTTCTTGAGCTCACTAACAGGCGTAACCGCAAACCGCGCCGCAACCAACTGCAATAGCAGCAAACCCGATGCCAGTAACTTCACCATGACTGCAAGCAAACTAAGAGTGAATAAGAGGTATTCGGAACGGTCGAAAAGGCCGGGAATTCATTCTTAAAGAAGTGCGGGGACTGGGGAGCTTCCGGAGCTTCAATTACCTAGGCAGCTGCAACCCTGCCCCAACTGCCTAAAAATGACGCCTGCGGTAAGCACCTCATTATCTGTACCTCTCATCGTGCGCCGGATTGCTGGGTTGCTAAATTGTACGAGGCAGGAGCATGGGGCGCAATCGGTACGCTAAGGCCCAGAGGGGCAGGCCGTAGTGGTGCAGTGGCCAGGATCACACATGCAATGCGGGTAGGGATTGATGAGATCACCGCCTAGCGAGCTGTGAGATGGTGGCGGGCTTTGAGCCGGCTGCTTGTGGTATGTTACTGTGGAAGTGGTGCAATTATCCGTGTTCTAAGGTACGGATATTGTACGCGGTTCAACATCGCTTTACAAAGGTAGTATTTCGGAGATACCGAGGGTTGAAGCTATAACGATAATATGAACATCTATCGAGCTTCTGCGAAGTATGCGGCCGTTGACCGTGGCAATCGTAAGAGCAGTAACGCAAAAATCGTTCCACCCGCGCGGTTGGAGTAACAGTTGCCACGAACGGGATAGTGTAAGTATCATCATGAAGGAAGACTTTTGGTCTTACCCATGTTGTAAGCCGCCACATAAGTTAGCCGTCTCCCTCGAAAGCTTTATGAGAGGTTAAAAATACCTGCTAGAATACTAATCCTCGCTAGCCATGCTATTAGGGAGCAGTACCAGCTCCAATTATCCATGCTTGGTAATCTTATCGAGGATACGATTCGAACTGAGGTAAGGTAGCGAGGATATCGAAAGCAGACTTAGCGGCTTGAGAGGAGAAGCTAGGCAACGCGAATTTGTAGGAAATAGGGAGAGCAAATGGCAGACTATTTATCCGTATGGTGGACAAAAAGGCCTAGATAGGCTCATTCCATTGCTAAGTGCTGTTTCAAAATCTGGGGATGTGATAGAGAGGGTCGAAAGAGCCTAACGACCCCGCGTTGCAAGACGTAAATCGGACGTATCAGATAAAGATGTTGAGTCATGTAGGCTTAAGTGTACCCGGATACAGGTCGGAAGCACCTTCGCGAAGTTCATAGACGTCAATAGTTACGAGTCAGAAGAAGGATACTTGGCGTGAATGTTTGAGAAATGTATTGCCCTTTTCTGCTATGCTTCTGATTACTATCTGAAGGCCTCAATGAGCAGTTGAAGATGTAAATGTCCTTGGATTGGCATGTTTAGTAAAATAAGTTTGGAGGCTCTGATCCCTTGTTGTCATAGGCTTTGTGGTTGACGATCCAGCTGCCACTCGAACTATGGTGGGTTCGACAACGAAACTCAGCGTTCACTTGACAGAAGGAGATACGTAAGAGCTGCTAGGCCTTTGCCTGACTCTGCGAATGTATAAGCTTGCTCAAAGTACTACGTGGATGATGACACCGGGGCAGAAGCTGCCCAGATGCCCTTGACACCCAATGACGATGCAGGCCTAGCACCTACATGGTGTTGCCTATGGCTCTGCTGCAGGTGATCAGCTGAACTGATTTGTCGGCCTGGAACGAGTGCCTGCGCATGTGGTGTTGCTGTCTCGAAGGTCATGTGAAGTACGAAGTAGGTGAGCGTCACGATGAAGTGGCTGAAAAGACGCTAAGAACCCCGTTGGAACGTCAGCGCAGCGCCTCATCCATCGCCCATTGTCATCAACAACGAATTCACCTCCGCCATATCATACGCGTCGACCGCTACACGATATCATCCATGATATGCTATAGACGCTGGCAATCAAACGTCTCGAAACAACACTGCTTGCCGCATCATGGCGGGCGGCGAGGAACCCCTCTTGTCTCAAAGACCCTCCTCGGAGATCTCCAACGACCGGACGGAAGAAGAGGACGCTCTCTTGACAGGGGAGAGGACGACGCGGAATGATGGGAATTCTCCTAGGACCTGGAAGTTCTGGCGCGAAGTAGGCGCCTTTGCATGGGCGGTTCTGGCTACAGCGGCTTTGATCTGCGTTGCGGTCTTATATGGACACTCTTCGGACAGCAAAGGAGGGCCCTCATCCCATCCATCCGGAAAGAAGAGTTTGATCTTCATGGTTTCAGATGGGATGGTAAGACCTCTTCATCCTTGGTGGAATGCCCGTGGCCTAACACTCTTTAGGGCCCAACCTCTCTCTCGTTAACCCGGTCCTTCACTCAGTTTGAGAACGGGTTACCATGGTCCTCCCAGCTCGTCATCGACCAACACTTGATAGGCCAGTCCCGAACTCGGTCCACCTCCAGTTTAATCACGGATTCAGCAGCGGGCGCCACGGCCTTCTCCTGCGGCTTGAAGAGTTACAACGGCGCTATCTCGGTCATTCCTAATCACGATCCATGCGGGACAGTATTGGAGGCAGCGAAGAAGGCAGGATACATGACTGGCTTGGTCGTTACCACAAGAATCACGGATGCTACACCCGCATGTTTTGCAGCCCATGTAAACATGAGGACAGAGGAAGACCGTATCGCCGAGCAAATGGTCGGAGACTACCCTCTCGGTCGCGTCGTTGACTTGATGCTTGGAGGTGGGCGCTGTCACTTCTTGCCAAACAGCACGGACGGGTCTTGCCGTGAGGACGATAAGGACATTGTGTCCCTGGCGAAGCAGAACGGCTTCGATTACATTAGCGATCGCAAAGGCTTCAATGGACTCAAAGGCGGCTCAAAGGTGGAACTTCCACTACTAGGATTATTCGCCGAGACCGATATCCCCTACGAAATCGATCGTCGCAACGAGGACGATGTCTATCCTTCGCTCCACGAAATGGCTGAGACTGCCATGAAAGCACTGAGCGAGGCTACGAAGAACAGCGATAAAGGGTTCTTCTTGATGATTGAGGGAAGCCGCATCGACCATGCGGGTCATCACAACGACCCTGCGGCTCAGGTGCACGAAGTTCTAGCTTACGACAAAGCGTTCGCAAGTGTTCTAGAGTTCTTGGAAAGCTATCCCGTTGAGGCTGTAATGCTCAGCACGAGTGACCACGAGACCGGAGGACTGGCAACTGCTAGACGTAAGTACTTGTGTTTTGCTATTACATATCAACATTGCTAACGCTGTTCTCGTAGAACTTCACAGCACCTATCCTGAATATGTCTGGTATCCTGGGCCCCTTGCCAACGCCTCCAAGTCCGCCGAGCGCATGACGGCAGAATATAACGAGCACCTTTCTTCAAGCACGCTTGACGCAACTGGTTATGTCAAGAAAGCCTTGGCCAAAGGACTCGGGATCGAAGACCCCAGCGACGAGGAGATCTCCGCTCTCGTGGACCAGCCAGATCAGGCCCTGATCCTGTTCGCCGATATGATTTCGCGCCGATCTCAGACCGGATGGTCGACTCACGGGCACTCGGCCGCTGACGTGAACATCTACGCATCCTCCGCAAAAGCTGCGACACCGCTTCTTGGCAACCACGAGAACACCGAAGTCGGCGAGTTCCTTCGCGACTACCTAGGTGTGGATGTCAATGCTGTCACTGAGGAGCTGAAAGAGAAGGGTGCTTCGTTCAATACCCTTGATGCGGACGGAAAGACCGTAAGCTGGATGGGCAGAATAGCGGGGGACGGCGAGAGAATGGATGGCCAGGATCATATGACGCATTACTCCGGCGACTTCAAGAAGCACAAGCATAAGAGGGGATGTGATATCTGTGGAGTGTGAGTTCGCTTGTGGCAAGGAGTTTGGTGTTTAGAAGACTCTTGATCGACGAGCTGCATTGTTCGTGGGTGCTGTACCATGTTTGTATTTTGAACTAGCGGCCTAAATACCCTTTCATACATAGCAATTCTTTGTATACAATCGCGGATACGATATACGTTATTGTTCTGGAGCGAGACCGATCACCTACAGCCTTTCCAACAGCCACTAACACGAAGTATAGATAAGACTGCCTCCATGTCTAAGGTTCCAAGTTCCTCTCCAGTCCGTACGCCGTCTCAATTCTCCTTCTTTTCTCCTGTCATGGAATCTTCCGTGCTGGATATCCGAATTCTGAACGGGCTCCAAGGGTCCTCATCTTCCCCTTGGTTCAACCACCTATCCATCCCGGAGCCTAAATCGTCTGCTTTGCCTCCGGCTTGCTGTGGGCCGGAAGGCATGGCAGAATTTTTCGGCAACGACGCGTTGCCAGCAGAAGGTGATGGCGATGTCTTCTTGGCTTCCACCTAGATGAGTAGACTTATTAGCAATAAGGCACTTCGAGTACTAGGGAGACCTGAACTACCTCTTGGGTTTGGGAGGCCTAGGTGTCTATGCTATTCTCGGTGTGTTCTGGTGGTGTCCTTTGGTCTGGCATCTTGAGAGCGGTGCACTAAGAAAAAGTTAGTCGAAGGTCACGAGACTCCGGGACTGTGTTTACCTCGAATCTCGAAGACTGTTAATGGCCCGTAGAAAGATTCCGTTGGCGTCACGATGTGGCCTGTGGTTTTCGGCTTTCATCTCTTAGGAGGCGAGACGAAAGCTTTATACCTGGAAGTCAAAAGGCCGTGGCAGGCATGGCTACGCCTTCCTGAAAAGGTCGTCTCGTCAGAATACAAAGTCTCTGTGAGGAACTTGTGCAACTACCAATAAGAACGTGTTTGGGCGTAGGGAATTCTGAGATAGCAAGTAATCCTGCGAGGAACTTGTGCTATGTCGAAGCGCTAACGAAGCCACCTGTCAAAGGTTCTAACAGGAACTTATGTTGCTGCCAATGAGGGGAGAGAATGGAGATGAGTTGTTGCAAGATACACGACAATTCTGCGAGGAACTTGTGCATGGCTAAAGCACTGAACGCCTACTTTGCCTGCTCAAACTTCACCTTATTACTTTCGGCTCACTGACTGGAGTCATGAATAACCAGCCATGTGGGCAGGTCCGGCTTCTGAGTGTAGGCACTGCATTGATGTCTCTATCACTGGACGCCATTCATGCAAGGCACTTCTGTTCCTGCATGTCATTCGCCGATGAGACGAGTGATGCATGGAATTTGTGTACAGCCTATCAGATGCCGACCTGACCGCGCCTCACGAAGGCATCCAGGCGTTCAGCCGCCCTCAGCCTGCCAACATACAAGAACTCTGATCCTCGATCCCTGTCGATGGAACCACATTACCCAGACCTCTTCCTTCCACTCTAGTTCTAGAGTTCATTCAAAGTTTCAGTTATTCACTTCTAAGCTTTTGCCAGGACTCACACAAGATGAATTCCACTACGATGCAGCCGCCGAAGGCACCGTCCCAGTGGGCAAGTCCCACCGAATGGGATCGACACAAGGCGAAGATCTCGGAGCTTTATGAGACTATGGAGCTGAAGGATGTAATGAGCACAATGGAGAAGGATTATGGCTTCAAGGCCACGTCAGTTCCCACAAGCAGACAATTTGTAGCATTGAAGTCAGGCTGATGACGAGCACCCAGGAAAAAAATGTACAATACACGTATTGCGAAATGGGAACTGAACAAGCGCATACAAGCCAACGACTACGGTAGCATGATCAGAAAGAAACGAAAGCGTGCGCAAGAGGACTGCGGCAAGAAGTCAACATTCATCCTTCACGGAAGAGCTGTGCCAGATGCCAAAATCGCACGATTTGAAGCAAGAACCGGGAGACAAGAGGTTGACGACCTCATAGCTACTGCCCGTACGTTATTCAAATACGTCTAGATACTAAGCTATCGAGCTGATCAGCTCCTCAGCAACACCGCCGGGTTTGATTTGCAGAACCCCAACGCCTTCAAGCCCGTTTCATCGCTCTGTTATTCCTGCGGCTTCAGCTCTCCTTTCACCTACGAGCTCAACTGGGAGTATCTGGAACTTCATTTCCTGGAACGAATCCACAAATCAGCCTTCAGAGCCTTCTAGATTCCATCAGTCTACCGACTCATCTGCGAACCTGGCTGGATCTCAATCCGTCGACGTGACAATGGGCGGCAGTGAAGTCTTTGCTAGATTTTCACCAACCCTTGGTACTCGAAATTTGCTTCAAAGCCAGCGCCAATCCCATGCAGGTTCCGTCAATGCATTCCTACACCACTACCAGGACGAGTTTCTGTCCTTGCCGCATTCGAGTCCCGGACTACAGAAAGCCATTATCGCCACAACTACTAGCCCCAGTAGCTCACCCACATTTTCCATTGCATCCCTTCGGCAGATCACACCAAGCCCCGAGCTTTTGCAAGCCTTCGAGGGCCTAGCTTTTAGTTAAAGTCCTTCGCTCTCAAGCACTGAATGGTGGTCTTCATTCGCCAACTTTAGAGAATCCTGTCCAGCAAGCCAGGCAGCGGTTACTCTCATTAGTCAGGTCGAGGACTACCTTAGAAATCGTGCGCAAATCCTGGACAACTATCCTGACCAAATGGAGTTCGGATTCATCCTCTCACAAGTCAGATGTGAGTCTGATTGCCTGTACTGCGACCAAGTAGGACAGCAGCGTGGCTCGCGGAAGTGTATAACTCTTCAGGTTTGCGGTATTGCTATCATTCGTGCGCGTAAACAAAAGTGGAATCTTAACAAAAGCTTGAGGTTTGGCTATGCTGCATTCCAGCTGTACTTTGAGACCTTCAGGACCCTGAACGGTAACCGAGAATATATGGCGCTGCTACTCCGATTTGAGTCACTCATGCAAGGTTACCAACGAATAGATTACGAACATGCCCACATATCGACTCTTGCTGAGCAAGATCTATTGACTTCGCTCGGCCCAAACCACTACCTGACTCGGACCGCAATTTTAGACGTCGCGCTCCAATGCGTTGGGTTAGGAAAATACGCGGAGGCGGAAAGCAAGCTCAAGATAGTGCTTAAGGAATCATTTGATGATGTTTTTCTGCTATGTAGTGGCACGACTTTTCCACAAGATATTGGCACGGCTGTCAGACTAGTGACCCAGGGGCATGTTCAAGTAGAGTTCGGCGAGGATGACATGTTGTGCTGCTCATATCGTTGTATGAATGGAACACGGGTTGGAGAAGATTGGTGTCATTATGAGACGGGAGAATTAAACGTGAGGGAGATTGAACTCCGTGGCACTGCCACTTGGCTATTGTCAAGACTACGCTACGACAAGGGACAGATACGAACTATAGGTTCAGTTTGAACAGTTCATTGAAAGTTGCTTCTGGGCAACAGAGTTCCTTCTCATACTCAAACGCTAATATAACGTTTATCTCTCAATGCCTAAACTTGCAGTCGCTGATATAATGCAGTATCATAGCATTGAAGTCATCGGGGACCAGTAGACACGTCCTATAAGATTGGACATATTTCATAACGTGCACTCAAACCATTTCAAGTTCAGTATGACCCACTTCAACGCCTTCTCGCCCTCGCAAACCTTTCATGCCATTTCCGCGAAGCAGACCCTGCTGCCTTGGAGCCCTCACCAAAGCCGTCGGACCCCCCTTTGATAGAGATCGTTGTCGACGTGGGGAGGATGTAGAGGTCTTTGATAGCATCAAGCTTCGCGTCATCACGCCACAACTCGGGAAGTATGTCTTTCCAAGACTCTACAAATACTGAGGTGTGGAGATCCTGAATTGAAGATTCACTTGCAAGGAGAGTGCGCCCGACAAATGAAACGGTGACTCGGCGGTCGATCGAAGTCCCTGATAACATGAGTTAAGTCTCACATTATGACTGGAGGGAAACTCACACGTTGTATCGCCCACGTGATCATCAGTAGCCAAGCGCGAAAGCAAGGAATAGAACAGATCCACGGGAAAGCCTTCGTCATCTATGGCTTTCAGCAGGTCCTCGGTCAAGAACTGCTTGTTCAAGTTTATCCCCTCAGCCAATGCAGCCACATTGATCGACTTCCAGAGCTTAAGCAATGTCACCGCAGAAGGCTTGAACGAGCTCCCCGCGAACTCGAATGCGATCAATTCACGCCAGCCCAATTCACACTGCGCGTCGGACAAGGGGACGTCGGAGAAGACTTTCGATTTGCTGTTCCCGTTACCTGCTGCGTCGACCATGTCATCGTCGGCCATGTCGTAGAGCGGCAACGCTTCTTTCAAGTAGGGGATGGCGGTGCCGGCCACGGGATGCAGCTCCAATGTCGTGGGACATGTTGCTATGGCAGACACCCCTGGGACTGGCATGGAATCACCATGGGAGGTGAGCACGCATTTGGTGACGAAGACGGAGTTAGACGTCTGCACTTGGCGCAGCTGGTACGTTTGGGTTGGAGTGCATAGGACGGCATATGCGGGCTTCGAGCTAGGTGCGCTGGATGTGGTGGGTGGCGCTTGAGACTTGACTGAGAGACTATAAATAGTTAGATCTGTCAATCAGGAATGATAAGAGTCAACAAATATCAAAAGAGGAACACATGTCTTACATGGGTGCATTGGATGCATTGGGAGAGTCGATGAGGGCGAGAATCTCGGGAGGCAACTCGACGAGGCGGAACTGCTGCTGGTCGTGGACCACAGAGAAGGGGACACCACTGTCGTCCTGGGTGGCCATGGTGTGTAATTAAGAAGACTGCGTTCTGCTGTGTGATATTTGCAAGTGATGGCTGTTGTGACAGTTTGAGTGGTCCCTCCTCCAAATCACGTGAATTACAGACGCGACCTTACGCGACAAGGGTCTAGAATTACACAACAACAAACCGTCGACCCTTGAGCATACGCCAAAAATAGACTTGCGCGCACCCGCCGCTGGGGATCCCAACCTTCAATCAACTCTGCTTCGACGTGTCCTGCAGGCTGGCTGCAGGCCCACCAGTTTTGTTTTGAATCTACCTGCAACACCGCTGATCGCGTCCTCGACACCGCCGACCGCCTCGACATCCTCCTTTTCTCCTCCGTCGCATTGCGCGCCATGCTCCAGCAGTCGGCCCAGGCATGCTAAAGCTGTAGAGCTTCCTCAGAGACCGCGTTTCCCGCCCTGTTCTCGCGCAATTGGCCAATATGGTGGTCATCACTGCTGCCCCAGCAGCCCTTCCGCCGCAGGAATTGTCTCTGTTCTATACGACCGACGAGCTCCTCTCCAATTCTCCAATACTCCTCTTCTACGGCACAAGCCCCGCGAACCACAACAATCCTGCGGGCCAGCATCGCATCTCTGCCCATGTCTTCACCCCAGCTGGCCTACAGAGCTTCACCCGGCTCATGGTATCGCCCACCGCCCCATTCTACAGCGCCGTCACCTGTCTACCCCATGAAGAGCAGGGTGATGAGGTGTGCCGAGGACTCGCCTTCAGTCTGTACAAATACTTTGCTGAGCTCCCTGTCACTGTCAGGAATGTGTGGGAGACACACTGTAACTCTCTGGGAAACTTGCCTTCGGCGCCGAGGCTCTTCACAGAGTCGCACGCAGCGATGCTAGCTAGTCGCATGGTAAAAGTCGACAACGTTGTTGAGGTTATCAACGACGTGAGAGAGGCTTTGGGGGAGCAAAACCTAGCATGGCTCGATTTGGACGTAGTTCTCCCCGCTGGAACCATTCAGAAGCTGGACAACCCACGCGAGTCGAACCTTTTTGACATACCAGAAGATGAGGTGCTGCACCAGAGATATGGTCAGTATGCGCCAGTCGTCAAACTATTTGGCGAAACAGCCTTCATCCCAACATCGAAGCTCCGCCGAGCGCCATCGAAACCGACAGCTCTCAACCGATCACAATCCTTTTCAAGGAAACAGAAGGAAACTCTCCGGCGCGAGATGTGCGAGTTGTTGGATACAGAAGAGAGCTATATTAGCAAGGTTTACGACCTCATACATAGCGTAGCTGCAGATTTCCGCCAGAAAGCCAGAACCAAGAGCGGCGGGAGCTCAAGTCCTAGCGAGGATGCTCTCAAGGGGCTGTTCCCTCCTAGTCTCGACCGCATTCTCGAGGTCAATTCCGATTTTATGGAGGCAATTCGAGGCATTCTAGAAGATACGGAGAACGACGCGATTCAAGATATTGAACAGGCCACAGACGATGTTTATGTCGCTCCGCTTCGTGGCCAGAAGGACGTAAAAGACGTGACTGGAGCATTGAAGCTAAGCAAGGCTTTAGTGGAATGGTTTCCAAAGTTTGCGGATTGCTACATCGATTACATCCAGGCCCATGCTGAGTTCTCACAACTTTTGAAGATATTCACGAAAGAGACGGGATCTAGCTTCTCAAAGCGAGTGCATGAAACTGGTGAGCAGCGTCTCATGTCCATGCTCATCGAGCCTGTTCAGCGCCTTCCGCGCTATAATTTGTACATCGACAACATTGTCAAGCAGCTCCCAGTACGCCATCCTGCTATCAAATCGCTTCTCAAAGCTAGGGATATCATCTCAGAAATCTGTTCTAGAGATTCTCCTACATCTCAACAAATGAAGGTGATTGATCGTTTGCGAAAGATGGTCTTCGGTTGGCCTCCGACATTCCAGCCCCTTGGCCGGCTTATCAATGCGGTCGACTTTGTGGAACTTGCACCACCTTACCGTTCTGAGGGACAAGCTTCCGCAGCAGCAACTGGCATATTTCTCCTATTTGCCGACTCTCTCATACTTCTAAGTAGACCTGTTGGCAGTAGCATCACAGCTCGTAGTGTGCTGGCTGATGTGGATACGCCAAAACTGACAGAAGATTATTCTGGATCCTCCCAACTCATCTTCCACCAGGCTGTCAGACTTAACGATGTTTTTGTCAGCGAACAATCGGATGGAAAAACACTCCAGCTATTAGCTCCAATGCCCACACCAAGCCAGTCCGCGAGGCCAAGAAGCCGCGATCGACCCTCCGGCGTCGGCGTCCGAATGTTCTCCCTGAATGGTCCCTATGAAGGGAAGGCCCATAAATGGACAGAGGATGTGATCAAAGCCAGAGTTGAAGGCAGATTTCCGGAGGCAGAACGAGAAGGCTACAGATGGGAGGTACGGACTCTATCCGGGGACCTTAGCTTGTTCTCTGCCATCTTTGAGAACGACGACCAGGAGCTGCCAGAAGGGAGGGCTGGCCCAGCCAAGATACGCGTTGTGGTCGATCCAGCAACATCGAACAAATTCGCTGGTCTTGGTGAGAACGGGATTGAAGCTGTAGCTTGCATCTCGATACTAAGCAACGACTTCTTCCTGTTGGAGGTCAACGGGATAAACAAGTATGGAACGAGCGATCGACTTACAGCCTCCGAGTTCCTGCCCGTGCTCACAAAGCGATGTAAGTAGCTTTGAGTTTCTCGTCCCATCCACTAATCTACGTTTTGACTAATTCTTCTAGTGAGCAACTTCTTGCAAATGCGCAACAATATCAGGAATCCCGCCCTTGCCGTCACGTTCCTATCCCGCAATCAGCATATTCTCAAGTCTCTTGCGCTTCAAACCGAAAAGTCCCGACCAAGCAGTCCTCAGGAACGGACATTCCGGCCACCTTCTCCTGTGAAGATGCTCTCCAATCTGTTCGGAGGCAGTGTAGCTAAAGACTCCGGTGGGACTCGGAGATTCCATCGCAATCCGCCTTCCCTCAGCGATTTTCCACGAATGGCCCCTCCATCAGGTCCACCATCAAGGACGCAGAGCAGAGATGGGGAGTTGTCTCGACCCACGTCTTCTAGCAGAACAATAGGTTTCAATGCTTCTGAGTTAAATTTAGAGTCATTATCGAAATTAGAGGAAACCTTGGCAACTTACGTGTTGGCATTACAAGCTCGTAAAGGAAACATCGTGGGCAGGACTCTTCGAGGGCGAGGTGGCGCAGACGAGCTCGTTGTCAACGAACTTTACAATACGCTGCTCGAAGACCCGAACAAACACGATGCCGCCGCCCAAGCCTCCGTTGATGTTCTCTTCTCGGCATTCGAAAAGTTCCTGAAGGTTGCTTGGACGGAAAAGATGGGGCCTGTTATATCACAATCTGTCCTGACTACCTTGCAACTCAGATCTGACTCCATGCATCCAGCTGAGTTCGAGGATTTCTTCCGGATGACCTTCGCGGAAATGGCTCCGCAGAATCAGCGTGCGCTGCGCGCCACAGTCAAGCTGCTCGCGGATCTTTTAGACGGAACCGGAAACGATGGTGACCGTGGAATCCTCACTGTAGCTTTCGCTGAGGTTCTCGTTCCTGAAGGCAGTGCTAACGACTACATCTCGTTACTTGACCGGTTCATAAACGATATAGAGGGTCTCTTTGATGAGCATCTTCTGGGCGGCCTCTCTACTCCAAACCATGGCTCCATGACATCTGAGTCGCGAGCACGTTCGGTGAATACTGGATCAATGAGTTCGAATGCGTCTTCGCTCCGAAAGCGTTTCGGCTTCGGAACACTGAGCCGAGAGAATAGTAAATCGGAACATGAGTCAAAGGTGGGATCGCTTTGGCGCACTTTGAGCAAGACTGGCCATGGTGGAGACACTCAACCACCGAGCATATCAAAAGCAACTTCTTTGGGACGATCCAATTCCACAGACACGAATATTCGAACATCTCCGAAGCGTCCTTCGTCCCGCGACCGTCCGACGGTACTGGGCGCTTTTAGTTTCGAGAACGGAGAAGGGTTCTCGGGCAAGTCGTATGTGGGGGCTGGGCTGGGGACAATTGGAGAGGTACCTTCTACTGCAGGGCCTCCTAGGAAGAAACGACGCTCTTCTCTCTCTGACCTCAAGTCTTTGCAGGCGTCCGCCAATCACACTCCTACGTGGTCTCCACAGACACCCCGACACTTTGATTCGGCCCAGCGTAGCATCAGACAGAGGAGTACCTCGCCACATACCCCCTCGCCAACTAAAACTGTTACTCATATTCCCACTCCCACTCGACTTGGGTCTCCCATGCGGAAAGACAACTCGCCTGCAAATGCCCTCGACCGACCAACTCTCAGCCGCCCACATTCCAAGGGTTCACAACCTCCTGGAAAGTCTGATGAAGTCAGTGTCAAATCTCACAGCCCCTCCAAGCGTCGTACCGAGTCAATTTCTGGTATCCCGACGCTTAAGAGCGCTGCCAGCAGCGCCGGGCTTAGTGAGAAGCCCACATCTGGCAACGTGACCAGACTCCCGCCCACCCCCGGCTCCTCCATGAAGCCAGGGGCAAACGTATCTCCACCGAAGAAACTCCGCATGCAGAGTCCCCAGAAGCTCCGCGAGCGTCTTCAAAACGAGCAAAGAGCAATCAACTCCGCTTCAAAGGATCTCCAGGCCGAGCTGTCCGCAATTGGCAAGGAGCTAGCCGCCACACCTTCATCGAGTCGTCCTCTACGCCTCGCCACCACCACCTCGGCGCCTCCCGTTACGCCCAACGCAAGATCACTCGAGTCTCGCGTCTCGACGCTGGAAACTACCGTCCGAACTACGTTCGAGACCCTTAACGCTCGGACGGACTCCATCTCCACAGACCTTGCTTCCTCACTCCAAGTCTCTGAAACTCGCGTCAAGAAGCTCGACGAGCTGTACCGCGAAGCGAACGCCGAGAACGAAGCACTATACGCACGCTTCAATGACGAGCTCGCCAAGGTCATGAAGGCCGTCAAGAAGGGACAGGGCGAAGAGGAGGTGCAGCGGCGGCTGAAAGAGCAGCAAGAGGAGGTGGCGCGATTGCGGAAGGAGAACAATAGGCTCAAGAGGGAGACGCTGGGGCTGAGGGCTCAGCTGAGGGGTGATTAGGTTTGGGCATGGGATGAGTGAGGGAAGGGAAGGAAGGCGTTTGAAACGAGGGGATGCATTGGGCGTTCCGGTTGTATGAATATTGACTGTACGATTAGGTGCTGCTGGGTTGAGGTGTTGGGGACTACTTGGTTTGGATGTGGGAAAAAAGCCTGGGATCTCCTTGCACAGGTTTCTCTTTGCATCGTGATCATGTGGGTGCTCCGCACTGGCGGTACTGGCAGCACACGACAAGCAACGAGAAACGGTGGACGAACACAAATAAAAGCTCGATGCGCTGCATCGCATGTACTCTGCTTCAGGAAAGCATATCTTAGACACGGTAGAGCATAGCATGGATAGCATACTCCTATAAACCCAGGCATTTCTTGGGTTTTACATACAAAAGTCTAAGCGCTTGTGTTTCGTTGATGTGTCGTTGTCTAAACTTTTACATTAAGGTCCGACTAGGAGCTATCTAGGTACGTAGTTCTTCAGTATTCCTACTACCACTAATGTCCATGCCCGTCATCATCTCCACCCCTCTCCTCCGGATCCAGCTTAATCAGCGTATCAATCCGCATGATAGCCACGCACGCCTCGACGGCGCTCTTCAGCTGCTTCACCTTGCTCATACTGGGCTCGAGCACGCCTGCCTTGATCTCGTCGCAGACCTTGCCGTTGACGAGGTCCAAACCGTAGTTCTTGTAGTTCTTGGAGCGCGCGATGGCTTTCTGGTCTTTGGTGGCAGCGGGGTCGTCGGCGGTCTTTTGGGAGAGGGCGTGGCGGCTGCGGAGTTGGGAGACGAGTTCTGAGGCATCTTTTGCGGCGTTGACGGCGAGAGTGGTGGGGATGGCGGTGAGAGCGGCGGCGAAGGCACCGATGGAGGACTGTTCGCGGGAGCCCTGGGAGGGTATTAGTTTCATGGGTGGGATGTATAGGTTGAAGGAGGATTTGGCACTTACGACTGAGGTCGCCCATTCCTCGAGGTAGATATGAAGGGCCGTCTCCACCGCTCCTCCGCCGGGTACTACGCGGCCACTCTCCAGAGTCCGCTTTACAGCAGATAAAGAATCGTGGACTGACCGCTCCATTTCGTCTAACTGGTAGTCGTTCGATCCGCGGAGAATGATGGAGGCGGAGGAATGGACCTTGGTGCCCTTGACCAAAATGCACTCGTCGTCTGAAATGCGCTCTTGTATCACTTCCTCCGCTTGTCCCAGCGAGGAAGCTTCGAACTTCTCGTCGCCGTTCAAATCCGATAGTGAGGAGATGAGTGTCGCTCCCGTAGCCTTAGCTATCCTCCGCAAATCCTCCTTTTTGCATCTCCGTACGGCCATAGCGCCCTTCTCAATGAACATCTTCAAGCATAATTCGTCAATGCCTTTCGTCGTGAGGACAACGTTGGCACCAGCCTTAAGGATCATCTCCACTCGATCAATCACAATTCCAGCTTCTCGCTCCCTGATCTTCTCGAGTTGTTGCGGGTCGTCGATAGTGATCTGTACGCCCAGCTTCATTCTCTCTTTCTGCAGATTTATGTCCAGACACGCGATCTTGGCGTCCTGAATCCGCGTCTTCATGGCCTGGGAGGCGACTGTGCAGTTCAACGCATATCCCTTGATCAACATCGACTCCGTAGCGCTCTTGCCGTGCGCTTTGAGGATATTCACGGCCTTGACAGGGTATTTGACCTCGCCCTTGGTGTTCGAAGACTTGACAGCCTGCATGGCATCCACGACCAGACTGGCAAAGAAAGCTGAATCGGACCCGATAATCTTGCTCGACATGGACGTCTTGGCGATATTGATCAGACTCTCCCGTCCCAGGGTATCCACCTTTATGCTAATATTCTCGTTCATGTATTTCACCGCCTCGCGGAGCGCCAGCCGGTAGCCTGTGATTATGGTGGTGGGATGTATTTTGTTCTTCATGAGCTCGTTCGCCCGCTTCAACAGCTCCGCCGCTATTATCACCACGGATGTGGTCCCGTCTCCGACCTCCTTGTCCTGCTGTTGCGCCAGTTCCACTAATATCTTGCCAGCGGGGTGCTCGACGTCGAGCAGACTGAGAATAGTGGCGCCGTCGTTCGTGACGGTGACATCGCCAATGTCGTCCACCATCATCTTGTCCAGTCCTGAGGGGCCGAACGAGGACTTCACTATGTTGGCGATTGCGGTCGTTGCGAGAACATTTTGGTCGCGGATGTCCTGGCCACTGATCTTTTCGCCTCCAAGGACTGCGAAGTATTAGCAAGAGTCTCTCACTGAAAGCTTGGGATAGTTACAGAGGGTGCCGGCGTTCCGCTGCTGCTCGAATATGCCTGCCATGGTGATTGTAGGTGGGGTATCGGGTTGTATATAGGACTGCTGCCTCTACCAGACGCGACAGGTTGAGAAAATCAACGCGATAGTTCTACGGCTAAAAGATTCGCCGGTGCACCACCACTCCAAAATGCTGTGGCTGAGCACTTTGCCCCACGTGCCCCACCAACGTCCCGTTGACTCTTTAGGACCGCGTTTGTGACTGTCCTGCTGTCCTGTCAACCACCCCAATTGTCTCTCACTTTTGTCAACCATAGCCGCGTCCTGGTGAGTATCCTGCTGCGCATTCACCCCCGCTCATAGTCGACCTCTCACTGACTCATTCCACCAGGGTAGCTATTTAAGGCGCCGTCGCTCGCACCCGATCGCAAACAATTCCTCCCCAAGAACCTCAAGCTTCGCGAAGCCTTGATTACGCCATGGCGGACGCAGAGGAACAGGTCAAAGTCCTCTCCATCTCGGAGCCTGTCCCGGAGCCGGTCGTAAAGCGAGAGCCGAAACCCAAGAAGGAGCCCAAGCCGCCGAAGGAGAAGAAGCCCCAGCAACAGAAAAAGAAGACTGAGGTGGGTTAATTGGACGGCCATACCATGAACATACGCTGACTGGAGCACACAGGGCGCCGCTCTCATTGGCATTGACGTGTCCAAGGAAGTCGATGTTAGTATCCTCCGACATGCGCAAGGAAAATTCACTTTACTCAATAACACAAACAGCTTGGAGAATGGTATCAGCAAGTCATTACGAAGGGTGGGATGATCTCATATTACGATGTGGCAGGCTGCTACATCCTGGAGCCCGGAAGCTACGCGATCTGGGAGTCTATCAAGGACTTCTTTGACAAGAAGATCAAGACCTTGAAAGTCAAGAACTGCTACTTCCCCATTTTCATTAGTGCCGAGAACTTGGAGCAGGAGAAGGAACATATCGAAGGCTTCGCTGCTGAGGTCGCCTGGGTCACCAAGGGAGGCAAGAGTATCCTCGAGAAGCCTGTCGCTGTTCGCCCGACGTCGGAGACCGCTATGTACCCCTACTTCGCCGACAAGATCCAATCATACCGAGACCTTCCATTGAAGCTAAATCAGTGGAACAATGTTGTCCGTTGGGAGTTCAAGCATCCGATGCCTTTCATTCGGAGTCGCGAGTTCCTCTGGCAGGAGGGCCACACTGCTCACCTCACCAAGGAGGAAGCGGGTACCGAAGTCCTGCAGATCCTAGACTGGTACGCCGACGTCTACCAGGAGCTCCTTGCTGTCCCGGTGGTCAAGGGAACCAAGACTGAGAACGAGAAGTTCCCGGGAGCTGACTACACTACGTAACCCGTCCACAATAAAACATTCATGCGATGCAAAGTACTGACATACAATAGCACAATCGAAGGCTTCATCCCTGCCACCGGACGAGGTAAGTTTGGTCTTGAGATACAATCGATACCTATGCTGATCCCTAGCAGGCATCCAAGCAGCAACTAGCCATTGCCTTGGTCAGCATTTCTCAAAGATGTTCAAGATCACCGTTGAGGATCCCTCGGCCAAAGAAGCTGGAAAGTCTGAGAAGATCTACGTTTGGCAAAATTCATGGTAAGTAGTCGCTTCAATAATATTCTTACAAGTAGTATACTTACAATTAGTAGGGGATTGACTACGCGGAGCATTGGTGTCATGATCCTTGTCCATAGTGACAATCGAGGCCTCGTCATTCCCCCGCGAGTAGCAGAGGTGCAAGTTGTGATCGTCCCCGTCGGAGGCAAGTATCAAAGTATCAGTTGCAAGACCGCCCTATTGACTATTACTAGTTACGGCGAAGATGACCCCCGAGAACAAGGACAAGCTCTATAAGGAGGTCGATGCTATTGCTGAAGTCCTCAAGGACGCTAATGTTCGAGTCGAAACCGATTTCCGCGAGGGATACTCTCCGGGCTGGAAGTTCAACGACTGGGAGCTGAAGGGCATTCCGCTCCGAATCGAGTTCGGTCCGAAGGACTCAGAGCGACACGTCGTAACCACCTCTCGTCGTGACATCGACGACAAGGACCAAGCTCGAGGGGAGGTAGCTATCTCAGACCTCAAGGACGCCATCCCGGCGCTCCTGGAGACCATCCAGACCGACATGTTCAAGAAAGCCGACTCCGAATACCGCGCCCATCGAGTCGAGATCAAGGAGTGGGACAACTTCGTTCCGGCTCTCAACGGCAAGAACGTCGTACTTTCCCCCCACTGTCACGGTGACAAGTGTGAAGACGAGATCAAGGACATGAGCGCTCGCAAGGAGGTGGGCGACAACACGACAGTAGACTCAAAGGCCCCAGCTATGGGCGCGAAGACCTTGTGCATTCCGTTCGAGCAGCCGGCGGGCATCATCGAGGGCGAGACCAAGTGCGTGAACCCGAACTGCAAAGGTCTTGCTAAGAGCTGGGTGCTTTTCGGTCGTAGCTATTAGCGGATCAGCATAGCGAGCGGTGTACGGGCACGGGAAAAGAGTCATGTCTTCCTTAGGATGTCTTTCTGAGGGCGTGTATGCGGAGGGCAAAGCGTGTCACGAATATTGAGCGATTCAGCTAGGTCGAGCAAAGCCAGGTACCAGGTTAGGTAGGCGTCACGACTATAGGACGAAAAGTCAATGAAATCAGGATTGAAACCAGCGTATGCTTCAACTCTCGTCGAGCTGTCTAGCCCGCGTGGATGCATAGTTAGCTCTACAATTGCTTTCAATGCTTTTCGAGGAGTCTTCTTTTTCTGTGAACGCAATTGCGATTTGACATATCTCTCTGCCTGTTCTCGAGGTGAACCTTTTGAGTACACACACCCCCGCACGAGCGGTTCCTGCTTCGTCAACTGCCCAACTCCTTCCCACCCATCGCCAAGGCCACTTCCCAGAATTGGACTCCGATTACACAGACTTAACTTATCACGCAAGAACCATTCAGTAGAATTTTTTATTTTTTTTTACACATTGGTTCTATTTTCTTCTCTGCCTCTTCATCATCATCTCGAGCTATGCCGTAAACCCGCACGCGCCATCATTAAGTAACCCACCTCGATCCCCCCAAACACCAATCGAGAAGACCGATTAGGTAGCATCCCGGTACCATAAAAAGAAGCCAGCAAAAGAAGCCACCGACTCAAACCCATTCGCCCGCTAAAACGCTGTAGACCGACCATAAACAACAAAAAAATGACCCGCCATAGAGAGAAAAAGATAGACCGTAGATGAGCCTCCAGATATGATAATACAAGCATAGAGCCCTCAATGCACCTCCTCAACCTCACTAAGCCACCGCCTGATCCCATCTTTGAGCGTCGATTCGGCCGACATCTTGCCCCCGCTCCGGGTCGTCCAATCCCTCGGGAACCCCAATCCCGCGCTCGTCCGCTCGGCGGTGACGCTCTTGACGACCTGCTCCAGCGCGCTGAAGACGAGCTGCCTGCATTCGCTTCGCGGGATCTCGAGCCCAGGCGCGGCGTCAGACCCAGACCGGCGATCGCGTCTACCCCTTCTCGAGCTGGACCTCGAGGAGGAAGCAGAGTCATTCCGCGACGGTTGTCCGCTCTGCGCGAGCACCCGCTCCACGGCGTCTACAAAGATGCCGTCGAAGTCGGAGACGGGCTCCTCGATGAACTCTTCCTGGATCCTGCGCTCCATAGGCGAGGGAGGGATCGTGGATGACTGGGAGTACGGGTTCCCGTACTGCGAGCGCTGGGAGCCGTTGAAGCCGGGGGTGGCGGGAGCTTGGGTGGGGGTGGGCAGGATCTGGACTTCGCGGCGGAGGCGGATGCGCTTGACCGTGAAGGTGCTTGTGTCGGCGACGAGGGCGCTGCAAACCTCGATCCAGCGCTTCACGGGGCCTTGTTCGATTGTTGGCGTCGCGGCGGAGGAGCTGGGGGTCGGCTCAGCGCTCATTGCGCGCTTGAGGTCTTCTATGAGGTTCGCGTAGGGCTTGACGCTCTGGAGGGCGAAGTCGGGGTGGAATTGGCTGAGCCACCCGGCTACATTGACAGGCTGTTCAGTCTCTCGGTGGGAAACTGAGAAGAAGGAAGATTGGCCGAAGCTAGATCCCTCTAGGCTTGAATTTGAGTTATATCCTGCCAGAAGGGGAGATTGTAGAGGCGACCCAAATTCTGGTAGAGGGATGTCGACATCAATGATACCATCCTTCTCATTGACAGACAACTTCAGAGGTGAATCATATGCTCTAGGTCTTTCAGGAATGTCTCGAGCGGCCGACGGTTGAATGCCACTTGATCCAATAGGTCGTTGCTCTGGGGAATTATCGGCGGTGTTGCCGACGGAGGAATCAAAAACCTCGATCTCATCCCCGTCGATACGAGCTCCGCTTTGGAGCTCGTGCACCATTTGCTCAAGTGCATTCATCTGTTTCCGAGGGGAAAGCGGAGTTTGTTTCTTATATCCTACGCCAGTGATGCCTAATCCATCATCAGTCGACTGCAATATATCACTCTGATCAGTTGAGGAGCCACGACGGGGACCTCCCCAAAAGCTTATCAAGCTGCCCCATCGACTCGCGGATTGCGAGTCGGTGCTAGGGCTACTAACGTGCCCACTGGTACTTCGTTGTAGGGTATTCATCAGATTTGTTGACGCGAGACTATCACTGCTGCCCGGGCGACGTTCTGTGGTAGTGTCGTAGGAGGGGGTACGTGGGACAGTGAAATGAGCCACAGGGAGAGCTGCGTCAGACGTAACCGTGGACGTCGTTGCCGCGCCACTCGTAGTAGTATTCGTACTATCCGACATGGACGGAATTAAGAGACTAGTCCGAACTGACCGTGCTGAAGGCTGTCGAGAGTGGCGCGCACGGAAAGACTCTGGAGGAGGAAGGTTCATTTCAGGCTTATCATCAGCAGACTCTAGTGTCGAAAGATTGTTCCCCTTTGCTCCAGGCGGCTGTAGCCGCATATTCGTGTAGCTCTGCTTGCCCCTCCTGTTGATAGTTCTTCGCAATGACTGCTGCCGCGAGACAGGCATGTTCGACGGCGGCGATTGGGAATATGCGCGGAACGATGCTGATGTGCTTGGTCGCATGGATGCCAACTCATCAGAAAGCGCATGCGACGAGGACGGCATGAAGGCAGCCAAGAGGAAAATCAATCTCCGAGAAATCATCTTATTGTCCGAAATGATGACGGTTCGGCTGGAGATTGTCAAATCGTTGCCAGCGCTGGATCGTTGCTGCTCGCGATGTCGCCTCCGATACCATTTGGGGCCTAGAATATTGAGCCATTCGGTATGGTTTCCGAGGAAGGCTGTTAAGAGCTTGAAGAAGAAGAAGTCCTGGTCGCGACCGCCTGCCATCTTTTCAAGCAATCGAGCCTCCTCTCGCCAGACACCCCATCGGCCCTGGCCGGTTACGACGCGAGGAATCCTCATCCCGCGGACGACTCTATCCCCTGCTAACTCCACCGCAGCTTTGATATCCTTATCGAAAGCCAATACGTTGGGCTTGAGATTCAGATAGCGACGTGCTTGAGGCGGCGGGGCATGCTGGTTCACTAATCGACCAGCCTGAACGCGCGGCTGTTGCATCATGAGTGGAGAGCCAACTTCCGTGCTCTTGAAATGGGCCAGAATTCTGTCATGGACGACTGACTGGAGGCTCGTCAGAGTGCGAGTAATGACGTCCATGTGCTGGCCAATAACGTCGACACGGTCATCAACGTCGCTGCTCAAAGACGCGGAAAGGAGGGAATCCACCCCAAAGTTGGAATCCACGACAGCCCATCCAGCACGTCTGTCTGAATCGACGGACGACCCTAGAGAATCGTGGCCCTGAGCTGAGCCCGAAGCTTGCGTTCCGAGGCGCTGATTTAATATGCCAGGCCGAGACGGAGGCCGGGGGAGGGTGGGAGGAGATACTGGCAGATGTATGATTAAAGTAATGGCATACATAGGCGTTTTAACTCTTCTCGGCGGATTGGCTGCTCTACCGTGTGTTGAAGGAGGAAACGGAAAGCCATTCCCTTTGCCAAGAGAGTTTCCGGGAGTCGGGGTTCGCGTGTTTGTGGTATCTCCTGTTTGCTCCTCTTCAGGAGGTTCGACAGAGAAGGTGCGAGTTATGAGAACAGTCCGTCGCCTGGGCTCTCTCTGGGCAGAATCATGAGCTTCAGCTACAGACTGAGGTAGCTCGGAAGGGGGGTTTGAGGGTGTATAAGACTTGGCAAGATGGCTCTTTCTGCGGCCTTCAGCTCGCCCGAAAGAGCTCGTGCCATCATACATGTGTGGGCTGGCCGTGGATGGCTCGACTTGACGTGGTTCTAATGGAACAATGTGGAGTTTGTTGCTTGGACCTCTGTAGGCCATTGGGGTGTTGCCAAACATGCAGTCGAGACATATCTGCATCAGATCTGCAGACTCCTTTGTTCGGCCCTGTGTGTGCTCGTCGATGTTGGGCATGGAGGATATGGAAGATCCACGCCCGCGGGCACGCTGAAAGGCACCGACCGTAGGCGATCGCGGGGTGACAGTCTCGGTCACGAGAGAGGCTCTTCGGGCGTGTGAGCCACCGAATGTAGGACCAGCAGTGCTAGAGCCGGAGTTTGGGCCAAAGAGTCTTGTGCGGGGGTTCGCCTGTGTGGGTGATCCGGGAAGCGTGAGTCCTGGCTTCGAGTCGAACAGGACAGTCTTGGGCATGGTTCCTGATTCATCTTGCGCTATTATGATGCGTATATCTCTTGAATGCTCCAAGTCAATCTCTCCTTGAGCGCCATCGAAAGCACTAGTTGGCGGAATGCTCGCGAGCGGGGACCCATTGAGGGTACTGTATTGCCAGTCGGTCTGGTGAAGCGTGGCGGCGTCCGGGAAAAGGAGATTACGCGTATGGATATCGTCGGTGGTCGACTCGAGCTGGGAGGACTGTCGAGGGGGGCCTCGGCGCGAGGGATTGATGGAGTGGAGGAGTTGGCCGAGCATCTTCGCGCGTGCCCCAAGAGCTCAACCCACCCGAGTCTTAGCAGGCGTTCGGCCGGTCAACACCAATGTTGGGAGAGGCCTGCCGGCGGACGCCCATGGCCAAATCGGGGGAGCACGAGGGCAGGGGGGAGCGGTGGTGGTGGAGGCCGGGGCAGTGGAGGGCGGACAATGGTATGCAGCACGAGGCAGCACGAGGCAGCGCAAGGCAGCACAAGGCAGTGCCGTGTGGAGAAGCAGCGAGGTGTGCTGGAGAGGGTTGAGAGGAGAGCACGGTGAATTGGCGAGTGGTGAGGGATTTGGGGCTTCGCAGTGAGTGGTGAGTGGTGAGTGCGGGACAGACGTCAAGCTTGCGTCGGGGCTTCTCGGCGCCTCTTTCCCCAAAAGATGCGGTGAGCAGTGGAAGACGGGGCAGCATCGCGGGGCCCTGTCGCTGGATTTCTTTTTTGCCAGCGCTCGGATGAGCTGCACGGGAGCGAGCCGTTGCGGGCTGACTGCGTCACCGCCAGATTGCTGCAACCCTGCCGAGAGCGTGGTGGTGACTCCGGCTGCCAGCTCTGGTGAAGCATGCGGATTGCAGCATGTCGACCGCGATGGCCAGGGACAATGTCTGCGAGTAGGGAGCCTGGCCTGGGCCCTGGAGTCTGGACGCAGCGCAAGTCGCCCAGAGATAGGAAGTCACCGGAGGAGCCTGTCCTGCTGTGGATGCTTGGGAACGCCCTGCTCACCCATGCGTAGAGCCATCACACAGTCCGCATCCTCTCCTCAGCAACAGTCTCAGCATCCGTCACCTCGCGGAGACGGCCGTGCCATCTGCCTGCCGCCGCGGAGCCACGCTCGTCGTGTCGCAACCGCCGGCTGTTTGCAGTCTGCAAGGCGCTGCTGCCTGTCCGAAAGCGAGTGTGGTGAAGGCTGGGGGCATGGATGTCCCATTTCTGCGGGTTGCACGCCGGCTCTGCACCTGTCGTGCTCCGCATTGGGCGACATTCACCCTGGACCCTCGCTGCCCAGGATCAACCCTCAATTGCTGCCTCCGAGTTCTGGCCGTGCGGCTGACGAAGAAGCAGACGACATGCTGTACACTGCTTCACTACTGCATGAGGTGCCTCGACGCATTCTTATAAATTGGAAGAAGATGTGCATCAGTAAGAGGCAATGCTGACGGCACCAGACACATCTCATTTTGCTATTCATGCACTCCTTAGTATCGCCAGGTCACCAAAAAGCATCTCACCGGTACGAGGGGTAATCGGCCACGAGCAGATCGAGCAGATCGAGCATCTTTGCCGAGTGACAATGCAAGGCTGCAGGTCACGTTGCGCCTCTTGGAGCCCAACCTGTGCAACCGTCAGAAATAAACAAGTCCGCTAACGATGATCCGCCACCCTAGCATCTAGAACAGATCCCATCGATGTCTGGAGTTCAACCGGGGAGCGTAGAGCCCTTGCCAAAGTATGGAGCAGAAGAGGAAAATACTCATATCGTTGCAAGAGTCCCAGCCGAGTATGTGATGCAGCAGTCCCAGGACACCTCCACATTACTACCATCCAATCAAACTCAGCGGTTCGAAATACTCTCATGCACGAGCTCCCTTTCTGAGACCTTCACGCGCCCGATACCGCTCCTTGCAGTGATGAGGGGATTCGTGCATGTGAGAGCGAGCCTTGCGAAGAAGTGAGACATGCTGTAACCCAGGCTCCTTTGATTACCACGCAAAGCGCTTTCTCACTCTCTCAGTGCCTCATCGACTTCCGTATACATTTTAGCCACTGCTTGTGGTGCTCCAGCTCATTTTGAAACCTCCGAACACAATCTGAGAACCACACTTTGAGCAACTGGTAAATTCGCTGAGCTCTCTTAGATAGTGGCATAGAGCTGTACCCAAAATGGAATCCTGGTGCTCACACCTTCGGCCTGTTTACACGCCGACAGCATATACGTATGAATTATTGCGAAGACAGTAGAACCAACTCTCAATCCGGTTGAGGAGATACCAACATGTGATCAATACCTCGTACAACTCCTCAACACTAGAAGAACTCTAGAAGAGGACTCTACGTATCTCAGACCACACATAGTCGGTTCTGCCAAGGTGTCGCTAACGCTGCCGTGTGGCCATCTAACCGTTCGTGCATTACCGAGCACGGGAACACGCAGGTCCACGTTTGATCCGCCGACCACCAGCGCATCGCTGATAACAGTGTGTGCGATGTGATAGCTTACGCAATGTCGCACGTGGCGTCGAAATCGGCGATGTGCCATGACCATCAGATTCTTGGACAGTTGCGCTTGTCGTAGCAATAAATGCGGACTGATACTCCGTGTATTGAATTGGAAATTGGACAGATACAATAATATTACAAACAATGTTGAAATTTGGAGTACAAATAAGGTGATATATCAGACGCCGCTCACATTGAATGTAAATAAACCATCCGGCTTCGGTGACAGCCCGAATAGGGCATGTCCGTTGCATTTCAGATGTGGCAGTTCACGTAGACGAACCCCTTCCTCCTCCACTATCATCAGAGCCCCTACCACTACTTCTTGAACTACCTCCATACGATCCACTAGAAAACTGACTCCCCATCAAAGCAGCTCCAAGATTCGGCGCCGGGCTAGCCTCGCGCACAGTGATGCTTGGAGCCAATCCAATTGTCGGGATGATTCCGTCCGGAATTGGTGCAAGGTGCGGGCTCGGACTCACTGGGACCCGACTCCTGACTGCCTCATCGTAGGCCTCGTAGAATTGGGTAAGAGCTATAGAATCAAAGCAGAATCTCTCAATCTCGTCTTTGATTTCTTCGGGAGTCTGTATGACCGCCTGCGCAGGCTTCTCGGCTAGTGCATGGAGAAGGGACGAATCTTGCACCGGCCGCGCTAGCGGCGAGGACAATGGTGACCGATGAGATGCCGTGTGTCGCTCTGAAGGGGTTGATCCTGAAGTGCTCGTAGTACCAGGTCGTCTTTCATATGGATCAGTCGGCTTGAACCTCGAAGCATCGCGAGATGCTGCGGCACGGTTGTTGTAGAGTCGGTTTGCAAGTAGCACGAACTCGCCTTTATCATTGATTTGCGCGAGAAGGCAACCAGATTTGTGGATAAATTGTGTGTATTGGTAGTCTGGTTTTCCCCAAGAGTAGTTGACGTCTACGTCAGAAGGAAACGCTGACGCAGCTTCGATGTCCAGTACAAAACCCAGTTTTCGTAAAAGAGCTTTGTGGTATACGTGCTTGTCGATCTTCAGCTGTGGTGCAAATTGAGTCGTATCGAAATATTGCTCCGGCTGAGACTTGGGCGGTTCCTTTGCAAGACGAATGGTGTATGGAGAGCGGAACGGATGTGCATCGCGAATACTTGAGGCTTCCGCGATGGGTACCTCCACAAGCTTCAAGCCGTATTTCTCGATCGAGGTAACCCAAGTACTAACAGAATCTTCGATCAACTTCGCTGTAACGTTCATCCAATCGATTCGAATGTGATAGCAGTTGTCAGGATTGTGTAGACGATCGTAGTGCAGATTTATAATCTCAGGCCGATACGACCGTCTCCTAGGGTCCACATCGTAGCGCATCACTCGACTCAGAAACACGCTCCGCTTAGGAGTGCCTGCTCGTGTCGGCGTTTTTTCGCCTTCTGCAGATCCGGTGGAGTCTGCAGTGCTCGGACGCGATCTACTAGTGCGAGATGACATTGACGACGACTTGGGTGGCTCAGAAAGCGGCGTCGAAGGCACAGATCTGTCTGAGCGACGGGTCCCAAACCAGCCAGTCCTTGAATCTGGACGAGGAGCCCGATATTCTTGAGCTATCTGATAGAAGAAATTTCCGTCTCGAAATTGATGCTTCTTTTGGACATGTTGAAATAGACCCTTTTTCATTAGCTGGTTTCCGAGTTCCACTGCCTCATCTCGAGTTTCAATGTCTTTGAAATTCTGGAGTATCCAGCTGACAAAGTCGAATCCAATGAAGCAATGGTAATGCAGACGAAAATGCCATCTTCGATCAACAATCGGGATTCCTTTCTCGCCCTGAAGATCCTCTGCTAACCTCTTAGCATCAATATTAGAGGTTGAATACTGTTCATTCTCCGAAAATAATTGAGTCGGAACGTCTGCAGCGTCTCCATCGACCAACAACGAGCTTTCAGGTCCAGCAGAAACTATCACAGACGGATCTCCGGTCCGGTACTCGATAGCAAGTGGATTTGGGTCTTTCCGCTTTTTGTTCGAAGCCTGAAAGTGGCCTTCCTCTGGTGGTGTGTAGCGGAACCGCTGCCATATCTGGGTCAATTTCCGGATGCCTTCTAATCGAACTTCCTCCTCTGAGTCCTCGCTGAGAAGAGGGAGTGGCCGACGACCAACAGAAGGTAGCTCAACTGGGATGAGAACAAAGCGAGCGCGCCAGAAGCGGAGAGAATCGGAGAATTCTTCGTGATATCCTGCGAGAAATGTGTCGATGTAATTCCAATTATACTCCCTCCTTGGAGGTTTCAAGATGATACGGCGGGCAGCATACTCCTTCTCCAGAGCTGTACGAACAAGCGGCTGGTAAAGTAGAGGAGAGTCTACCCCCGCAGATGTTTCTAAGGCAGTCGTCGGCTTTCGACTGAACCTTTTGATTTCAACTTCACCACCGGCTACGCAAACAAGCTGATGAATGGTGCTCCCCACACACATGAAAACTGTGTCACCATCATGTGACATGTATTTGGGATCGAATATTCCAGCAATGTCATGCTCACGACCACCTGCAACTTCTGCGACAGCTCTTCCAACTACGATCTGGAATCCATGGGACAGTCGAAATGCGATCAGCTCACGTATTAGAGATTCACGTGATTTCGGCGCCTCAGACATTTCATCATCCTCGTTTTGGGTGATCTTGTACGGATTTTCACTATATTCCGTTCTGAGTTGCTCAGCGGTGGGGAAATACTCGTTCGTTAGTGGAACCGCTGCCGGAGAGCAAAGAGACTTCCATTTGATCGCGGAAGCACGGAGTGGCTTCGGGAAGACGTGCTGCCAGCGTCGAAACTGATTTGCAAGATTCATGTTGTTTTTCTTGGGGTTACAGGGGTTGACCAGAACTAGCCATGGAGAGAGTGCGCTCGTTGGAGATAGGGTGCGTGGAATGTTCTGGGCGCCGCCGCTGGACGAGAGAGTAGGCTTTCGACTAGCTTCTTTCGATCCGGCAGCAATCAGGAAAAGGGAGTTCGGGTCTTTCGTAAGAGACTGTGGCTGAATATTTCCACCTCCTGCTTTCGTACCGTTGATGGTTTCCACCGACCTTGAAGCTTGTTCAGATGGAGAGTGGGTCAGAATAGCGTTGGGACGCGAGGCTGCCTTGATGGCAATTGGTTGTGAAGGGCTTTCGATTTCCTGAGTCCTGGTACTCGCAAGTTTGGCAGCAATAGCACCCTTCTGGTTGTTTTCTACTGTCATCCTGGTAGCTTCCACCGTTCCCGAGGATACAGTGGCACTGGCTACGGATTTGGAAGCCCCGAACCCAAGGCCACCAAAACTAATCTGTCTTGATAACCATCCCGCTTGCCTAGGATTTGCATCAGACTTTGACTTTGTGGAATTGGCGGGGCTGGTTTGGGGCTTTGATAATTGCGCTTGGGGTGTATGTGGCAGCGGTGATTTGATATAAGTAGCATCTTTTGTACTTAGCCGTGCGTTCTGTGGAGACGATACTGTCACTCGGGGTTGCGTCCGAACGGCGTTTTCGGTCTCAGCATACTCAGACTTTGGTGGCATGTCTCCATCTCCTTTCAGAGATGCGGGTCGTCGGATAGATCTATAGCTGTCAAAGGCCTCGTGTCGGTATGATAAATCGGAAGGCCTAAATCCCCCTCCACGTGATTGTGATTGACGACGAAGGGGTGACTCAGAGGTGTTGGACCGTTCCTTCATGAGCTGATGGAAATTGGTTTCGGGTGGTGGTCGTGCGGAGCTTCCGAGAGAAGCAATCGATTCATTGAAAGATGCGGAGAGCAGAGAGTCCTTCGGAAGAGAATGATGTGAGTCCCCATTATGCGGCTGCGCCCAATCCTGCCCTGTTTTGAGGATTCTCTCCTCAGCAGCACGCTTTTCGGGTAGTGACCTGAAGAGGTTCTCGTCGTACGTTTTCATCCATGTCGATTGTATATTGCGACCTTCTTTGAGGGAGCTTTCTGCGTGATTGTGATCGACCGAATTCTGTCCCGCTGTTGATGCGGAACTGGGAAATACGATTGGAGTATCTGTGAAGCCGTTGTGCATCTCGGTCGCTTTGTCAGAAAAACCTCGAAGGGCGTAAGGAAACAATAGCTCTTCCTCCATAAATGGAATAGAGATGTTGCTTAGCTCGCTTTCCATGATTCCCATCATCTGCAGTTCGTACATTCTACATCTGAGATTGAACTTTCTTCCGTTGTTGCGCAAGCGTGTCAAAGAGCCCTTGGTCCGCTTGGGTGGTGACAATTCCACAATCTCCTCAGAAGGGCCAGACCAAAATGACACGTCTATCCAGTGCGGCATCGCATAACTCCATTCATCAGTAACCGGCTCATTTGCCATTTGCAATCTCATTGGCGAACGCAGGTGCGCCGTCTTCTCTGGTGAAGGATTGAAAAGATGACCAAAACTTGGCCGATTTTGTTTGGGTGTTTTGTCGTCGCCGTCTTGATATGGGTCGTCCTCGGGTGATCCGCGATTTGAGAAGCGAGTCATCGTTTTCGGCGCTCCACTGGACTTAATCTTGGGATTCCGGTACTTAAACAAGGGTACAGAGTGCAACGGAATAGGTGATAGGCAAACCAGGTCAATGCCAATGCCCGTGCCAATCAGCGTATCAGTCGTCAGCTTAAGCATATTGTAGTCGACCTCGAATATGCCCGTGCCTGCCGATATCACAACGACAGAGATCCCTGTTCGAACTAGGTCGCGGTCGATGTAGTCTTTAGCAAATTGGACGGATGCCAGACTGATTGCCTCAAGAATGTTGCCGTTGGTTGCCATGGAAGGCGCGCCGGCTATGATGTAATTCTTCTTAGCATCCTTATCAGAAGCCTTCTCCCTCTTAGGGTCGCTTTCTGTCGAGTCATATTTCTGCAAGAGCGAGACGTCCCGGAGAAAAGCTTTGAACTCTTTTTTGAGTTCGTATAAGATATTGATCCAGTCTCCGCTTGCCATTTCGTTCACTACGACGCGGTAGTAGTCCTGGTACGGTCGGCCCTGGCTGTTTTTGTCTATTGGCCGAGGTCGCTTGGGCGGATGGCTCCCAGAGAGAATCTCCTCATTCTCGTATTCCAGCCTCGAGAATAGAATAATCGTAACTAGGTGACGGGCATTGATCTTCATCCAGCGTTTGAATAGCTCAGGAAGGAATCCGTTGACCACCTTGTTGAACATTATTTCCCCGGCGCCTTCGGTGTCGAAGTCCCACATCTCCTTCGACATTTGGATGAACAAGACATACCGCGCAGATTCGCTACGAAATATTGGTTTCGTTACTGAAGAAAAGTATCCTGAGTGAGTTGATTGGCCATTGATGAATACATTCTTAACTGTTGCTTTGATGGTTCCCATGAAGAGTAATTTTTGTCCCTTGTAGACGGTCTTATGACTGAGCTCTGATATCGCCATTCGCCACATATCGGCCCTAGCAAGATACTCATCTTTGAATCCAATCTCAACATGGGATGCAGAGTGAGTGTCCTCGTCGGCCTAATCAAGAGTTAGTTTTCAATTCTTAAATAAGCATACGTAGTAACTTGGAGTACTTACTGTGGTGATTATGATTTGCATACGATTTCGGAAATCAAACACCTTCGCAATTGTTTCAGATATCGAAACCTGGAGATTGGGATATTTCGCCTTCTGCTCGGCGCTCATGGGCTTGATCACAAAAACGTAGCTCTTTTCCAAGTCCATCTCACGGCTAGACGGAAACTGCGATCCGTTCTCGTCCAGCGTGAGCGTTACGGAATGCCGGCGAGGCCTCTTCGTCTGTGTATCTGTCGCTACCTCTCGAGACGTTTCGTCTCCCTTTATGTGCCTCATGTCGGTAGAACTGACAGCAGACTCGCGCGTCTCTGCGCGACGAGTATGTTCCGATGATGCGTTCTTGATTGATTGGAAGTCACGGACTGCAGTCGACTGTTTGAGTGCAATGATTCGAGCCAACGACCCCTGAGTGATAGACAGCTCAGGAAACTTTTCGGCGTTGAACACGACCTCATTTTTGGAAAAGTTTTCATCGTGGGTCCAGAGAGTGCAAACCTTCTGAACCCGCCTGGGTTTGATGTTCTCAGTTGACTTTGACATGATGCAGGTGATCTTAAGCCCAGAAGTATCGATATGCTAGAGCCATTGAGTAGGAGCCACCGATAGCGTGGGAATAATAACCGTTAGTGAACTCTTTTCAGTGAACCTGCCCTCGGTCACGATTCGACGCGGTACAGGGGATAGCCCAAGGCATCCCCTATTGCAAGTTGTTTTCGTTGGATGGGCCAAGCCACAAGCAAAAGCGAAAACTCGACAGACGAGGGCAGTAAAAGTATCTCTGGATAGGTAGCTTCACGATGAAGTTCATGAAATCAATGAAGGAATTGACGATGGACGGCAGGCTGATGGCAGACGAAATGAATGATGCATGAGCTGCGTCCTAACGGCTAGCGGCGGTTCGGGAGCTTGGCAGCCAGTAATCACGTAATCTCATCTACCACTCTTCGCTCACTTATTCGAAGATCTTTACAAGTCGCTTCCGATGACCTTGACAGCTCAATAAGACGCAGTGTTTCTCATCAAGTACATTAGTCTAGTCTTACTGACTTGAAAGCTGGGATCATGAAATCAGTGGAACACCTCACAGCCTCGTGCAAGCTTCCATGCCGTAAAATATAACATCAAACCAGGGTAAAACTTAATACTTAGTCTTCGAGACCACTATGTATTTGTTATGCATGAAGCAATTTGAAGACATTCATTGCATATATGTATGTACACAAAAATATTTGCACCGTCCTTCAAGCTTATATTTTAAGCAAAGTGCTTGTCAACAGTCGCCTTCATGTCTTTGGCAATCATCTGGTGTACCCTAGTCGTCGGCTGCACGAAGTTCATCCAGAGGTATTGATCAGCATGTTTCCCGACCATGCAATCATTCCAGCTTGCATCACCGTCCCCATCACAGAAGCTAGTAAGTGGCTTGGTGAATCCATTCGCGGCTACTGGAAGTAAGCCAGGGCGTTTCAACCGTCAGCCACCGAAACCTAAAACATTTCATCGCTAGTTCATCACCAACGTAACAAGTGAGAAAGATGAAGATGACAGCATAATACGGCGACAGTCCGAGATATTAGCACACAGAGAATCTTATTCCAAAACCCCGCTGCCCCCAGGCCGATCTTGTGAAATATTCTACGTAGCGCCTCGGCGAAAGCTTCATTATGCCTACGAGAAGCAGATACGGAACATAAGCTCATTCTATACATCAATTATTTATCTTTCGTCAATTACATGGATTCCACGCGCCCTAGTATCTATGGCTAAGGGTTCGAATCCGGTCGTCCATGGCTCGTGTCAAAAGAAAATGAGTAGCTGGAACCATTCCATCGTTTATTCATCCAATCGTACCTACAGACAGAGGAAAAACATGCGCAAGCTCCGATAAAAACACAAAACGTCCACCGACTCGACCAATGTCGTCGCCTCAAGCCGCGAGCTCGTACTTCACCTTGAACTCCATTCTGTTTTTGTCGAAGTCATGCTCATACGCGGCCACATCCTCGCAGTCCTCCGCACCTTCTCGGCGCAACGCCTCCCTGAGGGCCTCGAAGAAACTCGGTATTATGGCTCGAACGGCATGCTGAATCCCAGAGCTGAAGATATCACCCCTCCATGTCTCGCATATTTGCCTCCGCGACTTCTCCACAAAAGCGTCAAACGCTTCACCAGGTCCAGCAGCAATTGCTCGACGTTCTCCTGTGGCCAAAGAAGCCCAAGTGCGCACCAAGCCACTGTGGAGATTGACGTGTCGTGAGCTGGGAGGTCCCGTGTTCGACGTGACGGATGGTAGACCAGTCATGTTGTCCTCGAAGCGACCGCGGATTCCAAAAACTTGGACGAAGTGTTCCGCCCTTGCGTCTCGGATCTGCTGCAGAGAACGCAAATTGACCTCTATGGGTGTACTAGGTATGAAGGAGGCAGGGCATCGTTCAAAGCCACAGTGAAGCACACTAGGACCGAAAGGGGTCGAGAACGGGGGTAAGCCGCTGTGGATAGCCGCTAGCTCAGGGTTGATATCCTGATGATCTTCGCTAAGGAACGGAGTAAGGAGGATTGAGGCTACGACTGTCGTTGGAAGAGCTACCTGTGGATCGAGCACTGCGGTAGCGATCGGGTGATTGTGCCTAATATTCTTGAAAAAATTCTGCGCGGACGTACGAGCTTTTTGGTATGACAAGAGCCAAAAAACGAGGATCTGTACTCTTCCCATTACTTTCAGTTGGTCTTCTGGGACCCAAGCGTCCAGCAGCTCGACTTCCTGAGAGAGACAAGCGGAGAGTTGCATCCAGAACCGCTCGGGTTCTCTGATGAGCGATTTAGGTCCACCGAGATCCTTTGGTATGAGTGGCGCATTGAACTCTCTGTAGATCAGGCCTGAGAAATTGTGGCGCCACAATGCGTCACCGGACCTATCCTTCAAGAGCTGACCAAGAAACAACGTCGTGACAGAGTGAAGAACTTTAGAAATCTTCATGGTTCGAATGAGAACTTCTGAAAAAGCGCCAGACTTAGAACCAAAGGACAGCAGTTGCATGAATCCTTTCATAGGATACGTTATGACGAAGCTGGCGACCCCGTTTTGCTCGAAGTCTTCGGCAGCCCAAATCAGTGCCTCGGAGAACGTCACCCATTCCCCAACTTCACTGAATGTTTGCCGGCACCTCGTAGACTTCAGCATATTAGCCAGCATCCAAAGGAATGTAGAACGTCGCTGGACAGCTTCGTTCTGTTCATCTGCCGAGGCATCCCCGTTCTGCAACATGGACCCGGCCCATGATTTCGTCTTCACAGTCTGCTCAAGAATCGTCATGAAAAGTTGAGATAGGCCTGATGCACCAGTTTGCAAACCACCTGTCAACGTGAGGTACAGCTGCTGATTGATGTACTTCTTGTTCGAACCTTCGTAAGCGAGACATGGGAGTATTCCGGAGAGCCGTTCCTTGTAAATGGAGAGGCCAGAGGGTCCGAGAAGAGCGCATTGAAAACACACGTTCTGGCTCGAGACAACTTCTAGATTTCTCGAAGAGCGCCCAGCGGCTAAAGGAAAATTGAGAGCGAAATCAGCAGTGTTTGCGGCAGTCTCCTCTTGCTCGAGGAACTTCAAGGAAATCGACATCACTTCTTCGTCGCCGCAGCAGACTAGACAATAGCCTTTGTATGAAGGAACATCGAAGTTTAGGTTGGCGAGAGCCAATGTTGAGTCCGAAGAAACAACCGCGGCTCGTCGAGCCCGATTGCTACTCCTCGCGAGTATTTCGGCAGTAAATCCAGAGTACTCAATCTCAGTCAACTGTCTTAGAGCGGCATCAACTAGTTGATTGCGCTTGCGCACTACTTGCACTTCCGGAGACGAGGAGAATGTCGCAATTCTTTCCTGGTAATGCTCTCGATTCTTAGCGTGTGCTTCTCGTAGGCGCTCCTGGAGATCTTTCTTCTGACTTAGAGTGATTCCCTCTTCGCCCATGCCCGAAATTATCTTAGCAGCTCCGGCTACATCCTCCAGCTGCGGAGTCACCTGCTGCGATTTGTGTTTGGCGATAAAGGGGCGAAGTTCTGCGATTCGACGTCGTATCTTAAAAGCAATACACAGGTTGTTGAAAGCTTCTTCTGCAAGCAGAGGGAAAAGTTCATCGTCGGGAAGAGCTGCTGCTTTGACCAATTGATCAAGGTCAACATACACAGGGCCGTGATGAACCTTTTCCCATTCTGGTCCCAAGCTGACCCCCTTGGGGAGATTCCTGCGATATTCGTATTTGGGAACCGAAATGTCAAGGCTTTTGCAGTGTTGGAAAAATTCCCGTTCGTTTTTGAACTTGGTGATCTCATCCCAACTAGAAAGGTTTCTTGCTGAAGCTCTTGTGTTCAGAACGGAGAAACATCCCTTTGCAGCAATGATATAGATCCGACCTGTCTCGACTTCTTTGAACAGTATAAGAGTGTCATGTGAGTTCGCGAAAAACGAAATGCCAACCGAAATGTCCTATGTTCAACGTGATTAGCATATTCCGTCAAAATAGAAAGGGGTCAAAAACAGTTGCACAGATTCAGATTTACGCAATTAAATGAAAAGTAGGTAGGTTTTCTTACCGTTGTTTCCGGAGTACTGCCTCGCGAGCCTGTGATAAGAAATACCACGGGTATGCTCAATACGTCGTGCTCCATGGCAAGCTCTGCAAGCTGATTGACGTCGCTCCCGAACACTTGACCATCGGTTAATAGAAACCAGCAATCTGACTTCTGGATGCATTCCAAGGCCTCCTTCTTATTGAGGATAGAAGAAGGGGTGGTTCCACCATGATCAGCCTTCCACTTTATTGTGGAGAGACGTCTCGGAGCATCACATTCTTGACCCCATTTTGCGACTCGAGCCTCTTGGTTTACCGGGACCGATTCTACGAAAACACGTTCGGAGTTTAGAACGCTGTTGCTGTTGAACCCTGCTGACCCAGACGCATCAACAGCAAAAAAACTCCGCGAATTGAGAAACGAGGTATACTGAACCTGGATGTCGGATGGATCAGGTATAATCTTCCAAGACGTCATGACAGACAGATAGGTGCCTGGTAAGCGTTGAGAAGGAGAAGGTGCAGCGTGGTATTCCAGGCGCAGAGCGTCCGTTTATACATGAAAAAATGGAGATGGGATGGCTTCGATCGCGAAACAAGCCCAGTAATATATGAGCAGCCAATGACTCAGGCCCCTAGGGCTGAGTCGTTAGTTAGGTATTGCTTACCTTGGCCCTTGCTCTGCCGTCTCTGGGCTAAACTATATGGGTAAAATATCGGTCAAGTCATCGCATAGGAATCGCGGGCCTAGTACAGAACGATTTGTAAAGAATGCGCTGTATCATAAACCGCTCCTTCGTGGGACAAGTGCCTGGACTGCTGCCTTGGTTGCCGCCTTCGATTGCGGTGTGGTGTTGTAGTAGCGTAGACGCTTTACTTTCCCATGATTGAAATGGCCAGACGCTATGCCATATTAGAAGTATTCTCCAGCAATAGTTGTCCGACCGCGTCTATTTATCACGGTACGACCAGAAGAATAAACCCAAGCAAAGCTTAGAACCTGATTCTCAAACATTTTCATCCAGTTCTCTAAGGCTGTCTCGTTATGCTCAGGAATGTCAGCCTTATTAGACTGAGCTTCGTCATTCGCAGCTCTAATATTGTCCAATCAATTATACAGAGTTGTAAAGCTCCAGGGGAAAAGCTAGACGAACTCTATTACTGGTGCTCTAAGTACTGACCGAATCAGAACCTACATCTGCAAGTGTTCTGCAAAGCGCTCATTCCATCGTCATCAGAAAATATATGTAAAAATCACATGCTCCAAAGGATCCCAGCATTTCCTTCCTTCCGTAATGCTGCAGTTGCCAGACGATACACTACCGTCCGCGGATACGGAGAGTTAGCCGACAGCCGGGAGCTAGCCTATCGGAAAGTTGCACTAGGTTTGCTGTTGTACGATGCTGCCCTCGAATCCTATTTGACCTAGTCTTAGAAAAGCGCAGAACAGGTCAAAATTCCCCTCTTTGAAGGTGACGGAGGTGGCTAGATTCGGTGTGCTATAGGCCCGACCATCATATCACATTGAAGAATTGATGTGTGCCATTCTAGAGGATCGGCCGATCTTCGTGGTCGACACTGCCAATTTCACTCACGAGACGGGTTCCCACATTATCGGCTGGCGGGAGTGCTGCCGGGCTAAGGCCAGACATCCTAGTTGAGCATCATGTCCAGAGAAGGCCTGTGGGCCTCTCGCGTTGAATACGGAGTGTGGGTGTAAGCGGTTGGAGCATCCGTGGGAGTTCAACAAATGCTCTTCAGCGATCCGACCCGTACCTCCAAGTATCTCAGATACTTCAGACCTGCCTTATTTTGGTACAGCATCAGATCTGATCGGAAGCTGTAAGAGATTCAGAGCCCCTACCCACGCAAACTTTCACTTACACAGACCGGTTCTCGAACTTCCGACGGGCAGGGCAGCAAAGGACAGCCGATGGCGAAAATCGTCCGTGCAACCTTCTTTCAACGTGAGGTAGAGAGTGGTACAGGTTTTCCGTAAGGTCACACGCTATTGCTGGCATGTGGTGTGATGGAGAGACCTGCGTACAATCTGGGGAATGCGTCGAGAAGCAAACCTAGTTGCTAGATTGAGCGAAGGGTATGACAACAATGGGGAAGCGGGTCGAACAGCAGTCGCCGGAGCGGGTGGCTAATTTGGGTATGGCGTACCGTGCTGTAAGGCTGCGAGTGCTGAATTCGTGAGCTTCAGCGCTGCCCTGGTTGATAATGCAACTCTTTATGGGCGCGGATGTGGAGGGCTAGAGGCGGACACTGCAAGTGAGTTTGCAGTCGCATGATCCACTAAGTAGATGCTAAAATTGAAAAGATAATTGTACAGATCTGAAACAGAACAATCATCAATAAGAATGCGTGATGATAATACTTGCGAAGTCATCGCCAATGAATGTGAGGGACGGGTCGATGTAGCCAATGCACGTTTCTCGTTTCCCACTAGCAACATCGGCAACAGCATTGCAGAGATAATCGAATTTTCCGGCTTGCAGATTTCTTCAAGCTGCGTCCCGGTTACCGGCGCGCTTAACAATCCCAGTCGCCACCTTTGCAGGTTACCTACCGCCATCCCACATTGTCGATGGCCCTGCACATTAGCAGCTACTAGAGCGCACATATTAACCGAAGAGGCGCTCAGCCCAAGTTTTTCCGGTGTCTTGTACAACAATTGTTTGTTGGCAACCCATCGTAGAGGCGTCATATCCGTGTATGCAGGTAGCGGTCCGTTGGAAAGTGAGAGCTCACCTTGTCGCCATCAGAGTCATGGCCATCCCCGTTTCGCAGCTCGTTGTACAACATGAGGTTGTTGGGCCCATCAGATACAGAATTGTCACCTCGGGCTGCTTCTCCGTAGCGAGCTGCGTGAGAGAGGTGATGCAAAGTCAATAGAGGTTATGTAGAGCCATGGGCAGCACGATGCGATTGGAAGCAAAGTGGGCACAAAGGTTCCATCTGGTCCCACTAGCCATCTTCTCCCCTTGGTGACGCTGTTCGCCCTGAGCATGCTCAGACTGGTGGTTGAGGGAGTAAATGTGACGAGTCTGAGCTCTCCAAAGAAAACGATTGGCTTCGACAACACTGTGGAGACTTGGAGAATACGTACCAACATGGTGTCGGTAGCACTTTGCAGTGTGCCAAATTCGTGGGAGTCTGGGGCAAATGGTTATAAAGGAAGGTGGCTTGTGCCAACCATCGCAGCTTTCGTCTCCAGCTTTTCTTTCCAAATCCTGTCCATACTCACTTGTAGGCATTGTCATCTGCAAGCGAGCTATTTCCTGGTCGCATCTTTCTAGCAAACTTTGGAAAACTCGTCCGAATAGGAACGACCGCACTGCTCGTGGCAACCGCTCGTTCACTTCTCATCCGCCACTATCATTCCTCTCCGGTATTTCGAGCGACAAGAACTTCAAAGGTTTGATTTCTGTCATGTCGTCTGTTTCTTGCAGTCGAGGCTGACGTTCTGCTAGCCCTTTCCCTACGGCACACATCTTCAATGTGCCAGTATGAGTCTATCTACTTCTCTTGCGGCCACAGCAGGCCTCGTCTGATCAAGCACTGCCACTTTGCACGCAACGACCCGAATCACCAATGCTTCGGAGCGTGGAGCATTAAGCGCGAATGGACCAATCCCCACGAGAACTGCGACATCTGTGTGAGGAGGGGTATGCCACAGTACGTCGCTACCGGTGTGCAGAAAGGCTATGATCCCAACTTCGCACCGAGCAGATAGGAGAGTGGGCAAGGCAAGAAAAGCTTGGGACGATAGTTACCAAGGCTAGCCAATGAGAGAAGGACAGTAGATAAGTGGAGGACTGTATGTCACATATAAGCGTATGGATTTCCAGGCGTTGTGAGTGTTTTGACGGCGGAAAGGATACTGTATCACTCATGTTGGATTCTTGGGTAGCGGTGGTTTCCTGGAGGATGGTATGAGTTCATGACGAGCCACCAATTGACTGCGTTATGGGATGGTGACCATGTATATGGGGCATCTTGTGCGATTATCAGTCTTGTTTGTAGATAGAATCCGTATTAGGCGGTCTATAACGAATGTTTAGTTCTTGGTTCTGGATATCATTTTGCCCGGTGCTGATCTTGGCGACGATGTTGAAAGTTAATTGTATGACGACAATGGTTTGATAGGAAGTTCCTGAGTAAAAGGCGCTACACTTTGGATTGTTTTTTTAGTTCGCCTCAGATGATGGTGACGCGCCATAGGTAGTCCACCGTAGAAGTCGAAGGTCAGAGGTTTCTAGTGCTACAACCCGCACATCAGGATTTTAGATTAGACTTGTCTCGCCGTAGCACCACATACACGTCCTGTGTGAATTGGGGTACGCCAGCGCGACCTTTTCATGACTGTTCCAGTATGCGGAAGGAGAGTGACCCCAGTGTACCCAGAGTCGCTGGTAGAGAATCAAGTATCCTCAATTGACCCACTCTTCACTACCACCATTACGACGCACACTGTTGGCTGTTGAGGCTTTACAGGAGCACCCTCCATGCCGTTGTTCATGGCACACGAGATAGATAGGCATGTGGCTCAACTGCTCTAGAGCCTTCCACACGGAATCAATGAGAAGTTCCCCACATGTACCCCATTGCGACACCAAGTCTTCGATTTGCGGGGAAGAAGACTAGAGGTTTACACCTCCTTCCGGCTTGAGTTTTCCGACAATATTGTACCGTTTGCTAAAGAAGGTGAACCAGTCGGCGAGCACGCCCTTCTCTTTATCATCGAGGTTCTCCCAATCGGCAATGCAGTCTTCGAGTTTCAGGGACGACTGAGCTAGGGCGCGATTGGGCTCTTTACCGGCGAATACTGAGGTCGAGAAACAGTCAGAGCGGCATAGCAGGCGCAGAATATAGCACGCACCGTGGTACTGGCCTTTCGCACCATACGCAGCGTTGCCGCTTACGTCAAAGACAGTTCCCTAGACAGCAAAGATGCGTCAGTCACAACGATGCAGATCCTCGCGAGCCACGACTGGCGGGAGATGCACGCTGTGGTACCTTGATTGCAACCAGGGTGGGAAAGCCGTCGTTGGTGCCTGCATACTATCTGGTTGGTACTGTCCTACGGACTGAAAATGGTGGAGGATATGCAATGGGCTCTAACCGTCGCATTTGGAGAGGTAGTCCAGCGTTATGGGATCGTCCTTGGGTGGATCCAGAGTAACGGGTTCCTTGGGCTCGAAGCGCTTCGGTTCCTCTACATGGCCAGACATTGTCCGTCGGGCAGACGGATGATATGTAAATGGCAAATGGTGTCGTCGAGAGGTAGCAAGTGGTTTGCATCCACGACAGCAAAGGATGGAGGTGCTGATGGCGGGATGATGTCGAGAGAGCGCGCCGACAAGCGGGGCGCGGAGGTGGTGGACTTTCCGCCGTAGCCCGAGGTCGCAAGCACGACAACTGCTACAACGCAGCTCGACATCGATACGAGTCGATGTGATGCCCCGCAGCTGAGGACCTGATCTAGCCTGTCTTATTGCAGCTTTAGAACAACGTCGGGAGGGCGTTTGGCGCACGGAGACTGCCTGCCAATGGCAGAGCCTCAGCTTCACTACCATAACCGCACTGGCGCATATATCGAGCAGTCTTACGATCCGCAACTATTATTCCGCATGTGCTATAGACGTTCCTTCTGATGCCCCGGAGGCCGACCTCTACAGCCATCCAATTTGGCGTCGGATGAAAAGAATGTCCGAACGGCAAATACGACCGGTCTGCAGCGCCATGCCTAATGGTAGTGCCAGCCACTCGACATTCGACGACGCCCTCCAGACCACCATCCTACGATTTGACGGGCCTCTGCACCATCAGGTCCAGCAAGGACTGGACGACCTCTGCAGCCGCCAGGACTGTTGTCTCACCGGCGTTGTCGTAGACTGGACTAACCTCGACTACGAATGCAACGTCATGTTAGTCCACATTCGGCGTACTTACATGCGCGCAGGAGACTCTGGAAAGCTTACCAACATCCGCCCCGATGACATCTATACCGTCCAGTCCATTAAGTATGGTCAACAGTTCTCTCGTGCTCCATCCCCCTACTTCGGCTGTCCCCGTGGCTATTGGAGATGACGAGGTCAGTGAATCGTCTGTATGGGAGTAGGGATTCGAGTATCCGTCGACGATCACGCATCAATAGCTCCGCTCGAAGCCAATGTACAATAACGCTTCCTGTAGATCGCCATAATCAAAACTAATAAAAGCTCACTTGCTTACCTGGTGCGAATGCTGGGTCTAAAACGTCAATGTCAACGCTAATATAGACTTTTGAGCCGGCTACCCGTTCCTTGAGCTTCTTAATGATACCTTCAGTGCCAATCCGGTCAATATCCCTAGCTTTGATCATTTCGAACCCGCATCGAATGTCATTTCTTACGTCGCCTTTGCGACGCATGACTGGTGCTCGTATGCCTGCGTGGATGGATGTGTTTCTGATAAGACCCTCCTCGTGTGCAATGTGTAGGAACGTGCCGTGGTTGACTCCCCTGTGAGTACGATTCGTCAGCTGCTGGACTGGTCGGTGGCATTTCCACAATTCGACTCTAGCTTCGGCTCTACCGACTCACGCATAGTGGGATACGCCGCCGCCTGGACTCGACACTTTAGTATTCAGTGATTAGGTTGTCGGGAACGACATACCTAACACTTCTGGGTCCCAGGTATCTGAGCACATTCTGTTAGCTTTCTGGATGCAAAGATGATCGTGCGCCATAGGGGTGGTATCGGATCATCTCACCAATATGGCTGTCGAAATGTATAACGCTCACGCTACCCCAATGCTTGCTCGTGGACCTTAATGCTGAAAGAGTTGTCGTATGGTCGCCGCCCAGAGTAATGATCCTCGGTGCAGTATACTCCCTCGATTTCGTCTCTCGCCTGGAAATGATCTATGACCTCAGTCAACTTTCTATATATTGTGAAAGGAAGAACAATGCTGCAACTCATTCTTTTCCTTTGCATCATGAAAATGTGGAATCCTGACCTTATGTGCTTGATCTAACTGTTTCAGTGCAACGGTGTTGTCCTTCAAGGCTAAATGTCAGTCTAGAGCGTTGAGTCGAGACCACTGCTTCGAGCGAGCCCAACGCACGACTTGACGCGACTCACCAAAACTGTAAGAGGAACATCGCCGCAGTCCACAATCGTTGCCCAATCAAGGTACGGGTTTCTCCCTAGAATGCGTTCTTTCAGCAAGCTCTTCCAAGGTTTCTATCGTCATGATGCGCATGCAGCACTATTCAGCTAGTGAAGTACCCACAGCGACGCCATGTTGCGATCCGCGCAGAAGCGATGCCTGAGCCCCCCGAACACACGAAACATTCTGCAGACGAGAGTTTTGAGATGCTGTCGTGGGAACGCTGCTTCGCACCACATCCTGTAGTGCGCTGGCGCAACATGCCAACAACCCAGGAGCCAGGTCGACTCGAGCCACAACATTGGATGCAGAGGCAAGATGAAGCTAGTAACTCAACGTACCTGTGTAGATGTCCCACGCAGCTTCTGGCTCGATTCTTCGTGAACCCTGTCGTATTCCTCCAGGACCATAACGAGCACCGGGTCTACTCGTGACTGCCTGATCATTCCATCAGTACAACAAGAACCAAGTTCTCAGCGTCTTCCAAAGAGCCCAGTCTTCGTAATTCGAACGTGTGTAAGCACGTACAGTATCAAATGGTGCACCGATGATTGCGATATCATACGTCTCAACCTCTATCCCTTCCGCAGCTAAACAATGCACGTGTGGCAAATTGGCAAAAGTGGTAAGTCCTACAAACGCGCTTCCAGTGCTAACATCTATAACTCCAAGAGAGCCCACCGGGAATTGCAGATTCTCTGGCTGATATCCTGAGGCCGCTGGAAAAGTGATTTCGCGAGCCTCAGAGAGCGTTCCAATCACGGCAAGAGTGAAGAAGAGGAAATGCATTTTTATGAGACGAAAGGCGTGAGCTTGGTGATTTGATGGGAAACTCTGAGTGTTTGTGGACGTGAGTTAAGATAGATAGATGAAGGTCAAGAGGTTTACTTAACGTCGGATGCCATGGACAGCCTAACTCGAAATAGTAGGTTTACCCGTGGCCATCCACTTCCCGACCTTCCGCACGCCAACACGTTCGATCCGTCAGCCAATCGGTGAATTTCGTGAGTATCATGTTAAAAGAAGGCTGAGAATGCGAATAGGTGTACATTGATGAAATCTATTGCAACGAGAGAACCGCCGCCGTAGCACCACGGACGATGTGAATAGCATATATTCAATGCAATCTTAAAATCTCCATAGCCTTCGTAATCTCAATTGAATCCTCCAAGAGGCATCCCTACCTTGGTATCCGCGCCGGCTAAAACGAACAGCCTATTTGGCATTCTTCAAAATCTCCTCTGCTGTCTGATCTCTCGTTCCCAAACTTCCACTTCGCTCCGCAGGCTTTAGTTCCTTTCCGGACTCTCCTCCCTTCTCAACCTCACTCTCGCTCGCCAACTTCTTTAGCCGCTCAGTGTCCTCTGCCTTGATGTCCTTCGCTTTCGCTTCATCCTCGTCGCTGTCTCCGAGGCTGAAAGGGTCATGGTCTTCCGGCTCTGGATGAGGTGCCACTGAGGTGAGTGGCTGCCACTTCTTCCCCTTGTTGCCTGAGTTGGACGTCGTTTGACGTTCGCGCGCCTCGACCTCATCCACAGGGCCGGTCTGAGGCGGCGCGACTGGGGTTGGCTTGAACAGGTCAGGATTTGCGAGAGGCCGTTGTGAGCGAGAATGTTGGGCTGGTGCTACGACCGTTAGACAATGTTGAAGAAGCACAAAAGGGTACTGTCGAGAGGTCTGTTCTAGGGACCTAGCAGCATACCTTCTTCGTCCCGCAATTCTAGAGCCTCAAAATCGTCACCCAATACCCGGTTGTCAGCATCATAGCGCTCGCGATCGCCACTCCGACGCGCTTCTGAGCTCTTTCGGATACCGTATAACTGTTCTGATTGTGAAGGGCCATAGTTCTGGCGTTGATTTTGCGAGCCGCCAGGTTGGACGATATCGGATTCTTCGTCGTCGCCGTCTAGCTTTTTGCGGAAAGTTGTGATCCATTTGTTGACGGTTGTTTGAGTCTCCAAAAAACCCTTGCGCATGTTCTCCTTGATCACTGGTAAATCGTCTGCAATATCTTCCTAGTTAGCAGGATAATGATACAAAGGAGCCATGAGGTGTCCCACCATCGAAGAAACTATGCTCCCGATCATCGTAGAGCTCGTTTGGCTTAAGTCCGGGCTCCTGACGCCGTTGAGGCAACGGAGGGTCGCCACGCTCTCTTGATCCGTAGCCTGGAGCGCCGCTCTGGTAATGTTGCGCAAGTTGTCGTGCGTATTGTTCGTCGGCCTCTAGCTGGCTTTGCGGTTGTCGAGGGCGAGGGGGTTGGGGAGGGGGGGTCTCTTCTGCTCTGAAGTCCGGATCTGACATGCCTAGACTGTGTTAGCTGCGAAAACTGTAAAGGCCTTGGTGTATGCATACTCAGCAAAGCATTGAATGCCGGTTCTACCTTGCCCCCGCTTGCGACCAACACAGCTTTGACGACCTTAGCATCGACGCTTGGGAAGGCTTCGATCAGAGTGTTTTCAGCTTGTGCCTGTGGGCTCATCGGGCGAGGGGGCTTTGCGGGTGGCGCCTCTTCATCTTGGAAGCTCACCCTTGGCTTGGGTGATTTGGCGGGAGGCGGTGGCGCCATGAGATTCTCCGTTGGGGTAGAGGCACCGTCTTTATCGTCGTCGTCGAAATCCAGCGGTCGAGCTGTCGTGGGCGACTCAGCACCAGGAGGTGCTCCACCCTTCACCTGCAGTGTCTGAAGCCGCAAGTCAGTCATGCGATAGCTCCCTCATCTGGTTGTCTAGTAGCAAGGAGGGGCACAGTACCTTGTCAGTTGGCTTGTCTGCCATGATCGATGGTGGTAGGAGATGGAGAAGGGCGTCGTCGTTGGAAGGATTCGGAAATGAAGGATTATAGATAGGTGTTTTCAGAGCTGCCTGTTGACATACGCGGCATTCCCTCGTGCTGTGGCTTCGTGCATGTGGTTTCACTGCCCAGAAGTGGGTCCACGGGCCCGATGACGCACGCTAGTACGAGGTGGGCTGAGAACCGACTAACCTGCTACAGTAAGCGCCTGTATAATATAGCTCTTGTCTATTAGACTTTCATATTCCAATCATGTTCCTTATGTTGAGACGAGAAACATATCTTACCAAGAGTTCTAGCATTGAGCTGAGAGGTCTCCTATTAGTAGGCTATGGTCGAATCCTTTGCCATTGCATCCAGTCGCAGCGAAGATAGCAAAATCGAAACGCTATTGTCAATGAAGTACTCATCGTTATCTACAAAAAAAGGTACTGTACCAGAGAGTAACGTCCAGGTCTGAAAGGTATTTCGTCAACAACCATCATCTTGTTTTCTGACTAACGCGCTTTCCTATCGAAGCATTTACTCTAGAGCCTCTTGTAGCGGCTCCTCTCCTCCCTTTATTCTCCAGTGAATAATCGCAGACAAACGCTCATCAAAACCTCTCGACGACGAGGCCTACTCCTCCACAGAAGCCTCCGCCAGCTGCTATTCACTAATATTCCAAGGACCCGACCAAGCAATGATCCTCAGCTGTTTCGCTACGGAAAAAGTAGCAATTGAGCTTCGATTGCTACCATCTTGCAAGACCGCCAAGGAGGAAAATACGACTTGGGTTTTAGCACCAGTTCGAGGGCCGGAAAGCTATGGTCGGTAGATCTATAATAATCAGTTTGAGAAGTAAGTAACCTTACTCCATTTCGTTCATCACTTTTGCTGCTAGGAGCAGACTGGAGTAGTGTGTAAAAACTGGCAGCCATAACAGGTTGCGTGATAACGAGACTTTAAAAGAGATTGGGGAGGTGGTCACGACTTGGGGAAGACGTTGAAGACAATACGGTATTTGTTTACGGGCTTGATGCGGAAAGGACTAAATAAAATCCGGTTATAACGTTTACGTAATATAACGTTCTCCGTCGTTCCAACGTTCAACTTCACAAAAGCTTTGTTAGTATGGCATAGCGTGCAAGTTAGATATATCGGTACTTTTACTGCTCTGTTCTAGATAGGCGTTGGATGTGAAGCTTTTAAGGGGCTAGAAATAAGCATTAGGGGCTCGAACGGGGGTGCCTCGGAGCTGCAGGCGCGAATATTTCCCCCACAATACTCAAAGCCGATCTGGTATCTTGTGTATACAAGATTCGGCATTAGAGATATCTTCCTACCAAGGGAAGCAAATTTAATACATATCCATTGATTGAACGTGTTAGCATTCACACACGTGACATATTGACATAGAGTTTAGACACTGTATAACTCCAGAGTGTTGCAAATCGAGACGAAAGGTAAAGCTAGATGCTACTGTACACGTGCCTGCTATCACTTGAATGGCTCGAAAAGATCACGTCGAGCATGTTGCGGAACCTTGGAGCCGACAGAACAGACTATGACTTCGCTGTGACGGCGCAGATCCAGGAGTGGTATGCTGTGAGAATTGAGCTGCTTCCCGCACGAATTCCTTCGGTGTAAAGATAGACCCTAAAAGGCAACATGGTATGTTGTTTTCGCCGCCTCGCAGACGTGGATGTCAGTGACGAAGACAGACGCGAGAGGTTTCGGTCTGTCGGGCAGGATGTTGTGCAAGATCGCATATCCAGTAGGAAAAGATATCTCGTGAGGAGAGCAGCAGCCTCCACTGCCGACAGGACGGGCCCGTCGCCGGAGAGCGCGGAGAGTTTGTAGTGCCAGGCACAAGGGCCGCGCTGCGCAAGCGCCGCAAGCAAGCAGGGGTCGCCTTTCTGCAGCACAGGTTTGAATCATCGTCGGTGCCCTGCGAGTGCCACGCGCAGCTCTTCTTCTCCTCCCGCCATGACCGCCCTGGCCTCTCTATAGCCCGGCCTTGCGCGCCCCGATGAAGACAGACAGACCGGCGGGATGTGTGAGTTCCTCTTTCCCTCTGTTTTCCAGCGAATCCCCGGTGCCGGAGCCGTTCCGACTCTGCAGGGACAGCGCGCTGCTTCGCCCTCTCAGCCTTCCGTATTCCCACCTGCAGCTCCCAGAAGGCCCTATCTGATTCCGCCGTGAGAGAAGGCTGCTAACACGAGGCCCCCATGTAGCTGCTCCCCCACTGTCGCAAGCACGACAACATGCCGGGAATCTGTCGCACCATCCAGAGCCTCCCGCGATCCCCTCCATCTCCCCCTCCCGCGAGAATTCTGTAACACGCGGGCGTGCCCTCACAGCCTCGGGGCGTGCGCTGTCTCCTCGATCCCAGACGCCCGTGGTTGTCGTCCCCAGAAGCAACCCCTCCCCGGAGGGCGGACTCGAACGCAAACCGTCCCTGTCCTACGGCCACCACCGCCAGACCTCCATCGTACATGGCATACAGCATTCGCGGAATACCAGCTTTGTGAACTCGCCGGCTACCAGCCCGCTGAGCCCTCAGGTCATTGCTGCGGCCGGGGCCGTCCCCGATGGCCTCACCATGTCGCAGGAAGACCTCAGAGAATCCCCCCAGGCTAACGGGACGGTACTTGCGGCCCCCAGCTTCAGCACAAATGGTGGTGGCATCCCTGGGGCATCTGCCGATGCAGCTTCCTTCACCGTGGGTGCGCGGAGACCAGAGCGTATGCAGAGCGGCAAAGCAAAGCGGGAGCACCATCATCACCGCTCGCAGTCTCGGCATCATGGCCATCCCCAGGAGTTGAAGACGGTGGGAGAGTATGCGTTGCACCACTTGTTCAACTCGGTCAGTTGCCCACATTCTGGGACGCATACATTTGCTAAATTGAGTTTTTGTAGTTTGTCGGCCAGGCGGACCAAAAGATCAATCAATGCATCAACGACCCAAGTCAGCCTGAACCTCGAGTCGAGCTGGTCTGCGGCCCTGGCATTGACCCCAATTTCGACCAGCTTATATCAGCCTTAGGCCACATTGCTCGCCAAAAACCAAAGCCTTTGATAGACACACTTATGTTCTGGCGGAAGGCTAAAAGTGAGGCTGCAAATACTGCCAGACTGGAATTGAACAACGTGAGATTGTCTTCCTCTTTATATCACGGTTCCTACTGACTATTTGTAGTCGCGAGGCGTCACCCCACCGACGAATGGACTCCTCCCTCGTAGAAATACTGAGCCTATGCACGCTTTCAGTGATGGCCAGCCCTCAGCGACATCAGTATCTACCTCGCCCAATGTTATACTCCTCCGTCAGCAAGCCGTGTTCCAGGCCGAGCGCCGATCAACCGTCTCCATCTACATCCTTTGTCGCGTACTTATCGAAATAATTGGTCAGAGTGACCTCGCATGTGTCACACTTGAAATGGCAAATCGTCTTGAAGACATAATCTATACCCAGCTGAAAGGTGCTGATCCCGAGTCATTAGAGGAATCCCCTTTGCGACATGCCAATTGGCTTATATTCGGGCAACTCTTAGGAGTAATGAGCGAAATCAACTTTGACAGCGTATCTGAGCGTTTTGTTGCAGATCTTGAGAAAATGCAGAAGCATTTAGGGGTTAAGGGTCTTGCGAGTAAAGAAATTGAAGGAAAGGCGGTGCTGGTTGTCCGAGGCATGAGATACCTACGGTTGAAGAGCTATCCCGAAGAGGCTTGGGATCATTCGTGCGATTTCATGCAGTCGCTCGCTAGACTGTTTGTCAATGTCCATGGACGGCCGGTGAAATATGCCTATTGCCAACTACTGAAGGAGCTACTGCTTCGAATAGCAGAGAAAGCAACGATCGAGCTCAACGTGCCGAAATGGAGAACCGTGGTCGATACCATCAAACCTAGGCTTTCACTACTCCTTAGCAAACCAAAACATTGGCACGAAGCGTATCCTCTCATGGTGGCCTTGCTATGTGTTTCCCCAACGGAGACGTTCGCAAACCAATGGCTCGCTCTTGCGCTGTCTTCTCAACCACGTTTGAAAGAACGTACGACACGGGTCACTGCTCTCAGGGGGATATGCCGATTAGTGTGGACCTACATTTACCGAAACAACACAGAACCCCCAAACGCTGTCACGAGAAAGCTAGAGGAGATTATCCGTTTGGTTTTTCAGCCTGGAAAGCGGTCCTACATCTCCACGGAAACCGCAATTGTCGAGCCGCTCATACAATTGATCCGAATAATTGGCTTTAAACAACAGGATCTCTGCTTTAGAACGATCATCTTTCCACTTCTGAACTCCGACCTGTTCTCTTCAGGCAAAGAACTCAGAGTGGGCGACCTCGAGCCTGAAAGAATGGTCATTGGTATCCGATCATTCCTCGCTATCATGGCAGACTTGGAGAAGGGTTCACAGCCACCTTTCCCCATAACCTTTGATTGCGATCCTTACGTGGAACCCATTGAAATACCCTCACTTCCCATCAGTCCACGTCCTGCCGCTCTCCACATACCGCTCAAGTCGTCCCTCGTACGAGAGGAAAGGCTTTCAAGACCCGTGATAATCACAGGATTTGGTGAAATCGCGAAAGAGTATTACATCAAATTTTGTAAGATTTTGGGCGAAATAACCCTAATTTGCGACAATGCATTCGGCGGACAAGCCGTCTTAGACGAGAAATTTGCTGTACAAACTCCGAAGACTCCAATGGCCGATGCCTTCAGCTTTGGGCGAAGAGAAGATCACCAAAACCCGACCGATCTCAGACAGGGCTTCTACGACTTGTTACACGTTGCAGTGCAAGCTTTGCCTCGCTGCCTTTCTCCTCACATCCCCTTCAATTCTCTCATCAACTTATTGTGTACTGGCACCGCACACGTCCAGAGCAATATCGCAGCTTCCTCGGCTCAATCCTTGAAATCGATAGCACGGCAATTGCATGCCCAACAAGTTACCATTGGCTTTGCACGATTCATTTTCAATTTCGACGATCGATATGCAACAATGTCCGATGGCGGCATGCTTGGTCCTGGACACATCGAGAGCACCTTGAAGCTTTACGTAGAGTTACTTCAAATCTGGATCGAGGAAATCAAGCAGAAATCGAAACGAAATGCTCTCGACACTCCGGACGACGGTTTTTCCGGCAACCGTGGCGCCCAGCTGGATCTTTCCGGCATTTGGGCGCATGTTGACGAAGTCGAATCTCATGGCCTCTTCTTTCTATGTTCTCCATCCAGGCGCGTACGCTCTTATGCTGTTACTGTCTTACGACTGATCACCGAATTTGACAAAGCCTTGGGTGGGAGTAATACTAGAATCATACGGGTCATGGAAGAAAGCGCCGAAGTGATGAAACTCAACGACGAGAAGTTATCACTCGCGGAAAGGAGCCGGCTTCAGAGAGGCATGAAAAAGAGCAACGCGGAGAGCACCTTAATCGAGCTTTGTAGCAGCGAAGTGCCGTACGATGCTATGCTTTGGTTCAAAGTCTTCCCGAACTTAGTTCGCATTAGTTTCGACCAATGCCCGTTTGCTGTCACTCTTACTCGCGACATTGTTTGCGCCAGGTTATCTCAAATGCACAGGACTCTGCTCTCCTTGGCAGAAGGGAACCGTGGCAGTCCCTACTCCACCTTCGACAATGCTACAGGCAAAGTAGTTGGACGCTTAGCAACAACAGCCCCAGACGTCGTTATTGAGCAATGGAAGTTGTATCTCATTTTCGCTTGCACGACGCTGACAAATCTCGGCGGTCAGCAAAATACTCAGAACCAAGCAGCTCAACACTCCAGAAAGAATTCTAAATCATCTCAGAAGAGCCAGAACAAGGTATACTCTGCCAGTGACCTCTTTGCCAAGGTTCTTCCATTTCTTGCAGTCGGGAACCCAAAGATCAGGGAAGCCGTCGTGGTTGGGCTAGGCTCTATCAGCATCAACCTTTATCGAACACTGCTGGAGTCTCTTCAAGTATATGTCGCGACATGTGCCGATGAAGCAAAATCACGTCTGGGAATGCATCAGCGGACTGTGAGCAGCCCTCGAAGAAACCGGCGGACTGATCATCTTCGCACTGAGATCACGAATCTCTATAAGGTCACTTCAGGTTTCTTGACAAAGCCAGAAATTTACAACGATGAATGGATCTTGAACAATCTGGTCAACTATACCAAAGACCTCCGGATATTTCTTAGCGACGCAGAGGTGCAAAACGAATGGGATTTCCAGAAGCTACGTACGCACTATTGTGGTCTGATTGAGGAACTGTTCGAAGGCATCAACAGAACATCCGACCCCATCCGATGGATGCCATTCCAAGCTCGCAAAGCCGCCTTTGCTCTCATGGAAGATTGGTGCGGTTACTCTCCAAATCAAAGTCAGATAAGGCAAAGAGAGGACCACATGGCACGATCAATAATGGATCGTGAGCAAGAGTCAGGTGGCAAAGGCAGCACTACTGCTACTATAGCAATTGAGAAGAGAGAATTAGGAACTGCTGCCCTCAGCGCAATGGCATCGCTATGTGTAAGTCACAGTCCTTACCAACTCGGACCCAAGCATTTCTAACCCCATGTCAGGGCGGACCAGTTTCTATTCAAACACAGCAAAATTTCCTCCACTTCGACGTCAACAGGATGCTGTCTTGGATCAACACAATCTTCGAAAATCCCAGTGACAGAACACACGCCATTGGCCGTCGTGCTCTGACAAATCTAATTATGCATAATCGAGAACATTCCTATCTCCTGGATAGATCGATTGAGATGTGCTATCGGTCGAAGTCTTCGAAGGCATTAGAGAGCTACTTTGAAGTCGTGACACAAGTCTTGACCAAGGAGGAGTCTTACACGCTACCGTTCTGGAAGGTGCTTAGCGCCGGGCTATACACTCTCGGACACGAAAACTACGAACTGCGAATGAAATCAGCAAGACTGCTCCGAACCCTCGAGGCGCGCCAGCAGAAGAACTCTAAGTTACAGGATTTGGATATTAGTATTTCTGACAAGACTATTGCGGTCTACAAACTTGCTCAATTCGAAACATCACGACGGCTGGCCAAGCAACACCCGGAGTTAGCCTTCCATGTATTCTCGCAATTTTCCGTCTACTTCAAAGAGCTGCAGCCAGATCATCAGCGAAATGTGGTGGCGGCGCTGCTTCCGTGGATTCAAACTATCGAACTGCAGCTCAGTCCTGACGGCGGGCCGACAGCGAGCTCTTACATGCTTTTAGTCAATCTTTTTGAGATAACGGTTCGATGTGGTAATGCTCTTCACAACGAAATTCAAGCCTTATGGCAGGCGTTAGCGACGGGTCCTCACGCGGGAAATGTCCAGTTGATTCTGGACTTCATAATCCTGTTGTGTTTAGAAAAGAGAGAGCAGAATTTCGTGGATTACTCTAAACAGATTGTTGTACATCTGTCTAGCACACCAGCTGGCCTCAAGGTCTTCGAATTTTTGCTCATGAAAATCAATCCGAGGACAATGGTTGTAGAAAAGGTGGAACCAACGACCCCACCCCAGGATACTACATCGCTTCCCTATCTCGCAGATCTCGGTCAGGTCTTACCGAGTAGCAGTAAACAGGTAAATACTTTGCGCAGCCCAAATCTTGGATGTAGCTGACGCATTATAGTCCGGGTTTTCGATGGGCCAATTATGCCTCATACTATTGGTAGATCTCATGGTATCTCCCTTTCAGCTTTCACAAGAGCATGTACCGCTCCTGCTCCAGGTCGTACTTATCCTGTGGGATCACTACACGCCACTCGTCCAGGACCAGGCCCGAGAAATGCTGGTTCACTTGATACACGAACTCGTCATCTCAAAGATTGAGGATGGAAGCACTGAACCAGACAAGAAAGCCATCGAAAACTTCATTGAAAACATTCGCCGCCACAAACCTGAGATAGTCTGGGAATACGAAGATAACAACGGAAAGGACGACGAAAGCTCAGGTATAAGGGTCCCTAAAGGCATGATCCATGTCGCAGACCAGGTCCTTGATATTTTTTCCCTGGCATACCCGGGGATTCGCGAGGAATGGGGCAGGGTCACCTTGAGCTGGGCAACCTCTTGCCCTGTGCGCCATTTGGCATGCCGGTCTTTCCAGCTATTCCGCTGCATTTTAAGCACCCTCGATCAACACATGCTCTCGGACATGCTCGCAAGGCTCTCAAATACGATCTCGGATGATGAAGGTGACATACAGACCTTTTCGATGGAGATTTTGACTACTTTGCGAACTATCATCGAAAAACTTGAACCGTCGGATCTTTTGCAATATCCTCAACTGTTCTGGACGACATGCGCTTGCCTTAATACGATTCACGAGCGAGAATTCATGGAGAGTCTTGCTATGTTGGACAAACTTTTGGACAAGCTCGACTTGAGTAACGAAGCCACTGTCACCACTCTCGAGGACAACTATCCTCAAAAATGGGATATGCCTTTTGAGGGCATTGCTGGTTTGATATACAAGGGAATCAGGTCAAGTGTATGCTTGGATCGATCGCTGGGTATTCTTGAACGGCTAGTCACTCTTCCGTCCAACAGTCTTGTTGGAAACGACAATCGCCTACTATATACGATACTTGCGAACTTCCCAAAATTCCTCAGATCGTTCGAACAAGACATACCAGACCCAAACATATTTAAGACGGCGGAGGTCTTGGCTAATATGTCTGAATACGGATGTCCCAGTCTATCTCGAGCGCTCAGTGGTTTCGCAACTCAGCGGTACCGCACCGACAAAGATTTCCTTGGACAAGCCGCATCCGCTTTGCGATCATCAATCTTTCCAAACTGGGAGTACAAAAGCCTAATATTCCTACTCAGCCTGCTTACCAACAAGCTGCCATGGGTGAAGATCCAGACGATGCGTCTTTTGTGCGTAATCATACCCGAGATTGATATGCGCAAGCCAGAAATCGCGGCGAAGGGGCCGGATCTTACATCACCCCTACTACGGCTTCTCCAAACGGAATTCTGTCCGCAAGCCCTGCAGGTGCTTGACTATGTCATGAACATGACTGGTACACCTACACCTTTGGACCGACATCACCTTCGCATGAGTATGGCGGGGTCACACTCTAGCCGAGCGTTTCGAAAGGAGTACGACAAGACACAGAGTCTGTATGGCATACCCGAGGAGACAGGCTGGTCGATCCCGATGCCCGCTCATTACTCGGCTTCTACACGCAATAATGTGCATGCAGTGTTTTACACTTGCATGACACCAGAAAGCAACAATCTGTCAGAAGTCACGACTCCGAAGATCGAATTCCGTCAAGAAGAATTCCCCTTCAGTCCATTTCCCGACTATCGCACTACTACAATGACCTCTACGTCCGAGGACGTCCGCGGAGATGGTCATATTGGTGAGCTGGTTATGAAGCTTGATAGTCTAGATGACTTCTTCGAAGACGACGACACTGAGACACTCTCCGAGCTTCCTTCTAACCTTTCTCTCGGACGGTTCAACTCAAGCCAGGCTGATGTGCGAGAGAATGTCTACGATCAACAAACGCTTCCCATTCTACACAAGTCTCTCACTCGGAACGCCAGCGTTACATCATTTCAATCTGGCTTTGCTGATGCCAAGGTGCCAGCGCCGCCAAGAGACCCAGGCGTCATGACCCCAACGCTGTTCACGGCGCCATCCGGATCTCTTGCGCCTGCACCGTCTGGTCCCCTTCCGCGGCCAGGTCTGCACTCTCGATCTGTCACGTCACCTTCGGTCAATCAGCGGACACCACCAGCATTTCCGATGAGTACAGATGACAATGAAGAACCCTTCTCGGACGACGACGCATCAACAGGACGTATGACCACCGTAGAGAAATCTTTCTCTCTTGAAGGCATGATTCGCCCTCTTACTCAAGATACCAGGTCACGAATCAGGTCCGGCATGCGACGATTGACAGGCGGAGGAGGAGACGCGAAGGAGAAGGAGAGGACGAGAGAGGCCATACGGGCGGCGTTGCAAAAGAGCCCACAGGTGCCAAAGGTTCCTGACATCTACCTACAGAACCCGAAATCAGCGGAACCGTGAGAGAGTCTGCTGCAGCTACTTTCTTTTTCTTCCTACAGGGCGGATTCTGTCCTGGCGCTGGCGATATTTAGATGCTTCTTTTCCGTAGTCGATGGTGCATGGGGACAGCATGGGAAAAGGCGCGAGTGCATATACATGGCGCAGATGCACAAAACTGTCCTTGGTGTTGGACTCTGCTTGGAGTTGGTAGGGCAACTTGCACTGTACTGTGCCACGACGACGTGGTTTGGAGAGCTGGTGTGATTCCATAGCGGACTTCTGGGCGCAGCGAGCGCAGCCTGTGGAATTGCTTAACTTGATACCCAGAAATCTCCGAAGATACATGATTGCAAGCTGCCTCCCGTCGTTCGACAGTCGACTGCGCACGGACCGTGCTGCACGTGATATGATGACGTTTCACGCCTAGGACGCGGGCCACTCCCCAGATCGACCTTCCAGGTTCGAAGCCACCTCGCCAGTGTTTTCACCCTTCCATCACGTCCACACACCCGCTGTGCCTCTTACTTTTCAAAGCAGCCGCCCATACCCCTAGCTCCATCCCCCGCTCTTCAAAATGGACTTCTCAGACGCTTTGTATGTGAACGCAACCGAGCGGGGCTCCGACTCGAGAAGCAACAGGCAGCTAACATCAGAATAGCCGCATAGTCAATCTGGCCATTGGTGTCCTCATGGTCCTAGGCGGTGTTGCGCAATTCTTTCACTTCCAATTGTGAGATGCCCCGTCCCGACTCGACCGCGCAAACTCAGTCGCAACCACGGTCAACTCCTTTCCGTCGCACGAGCCAGCGGAAGCTACGCTACATCGCCTTACCATTGCTTTACCGGTACCCCTTTAGCATGTGGTAGAAATAAGATGGCCGTGGGATGCGACGGGGAGGGATGACACCTGGAGAATAAATGCACTGTGGATCGGAGTTTTGCTGACGACGGGAACAGCAAGGATATCATTCTTGGAGTGTACTTGATTATATTTGGCCTTGGTAGGCACTCTAAACCCCTCACAGTAGACTACGCGACTAATGTACTCTCAACAGCAACTGCTCTTCTTGGTTCGCACCTATATCCAGCTCTCGGTGTTCACCTCTAACCGGAAGCGCAGAGTTCCAAATCCCGCCGCAAATTGCTAAGCATGCTTCATTCATGTTCTCCTTCATTGGCCGCGGAATCTGTGAGTCCAGTTGCAAGAAAGACAGGTGGTGAAGGGCACGCAGCTGACGAGGCGTAGTCTATGTCTTTATTGGATCGGTCGTTGTTGGCGACCAGTGGTACAAGTATGTGCCTGGCACCATCGTAGGTGTGGCTGGAATCGCGTACGTGGTCTTGGAATACATACCATCAATCGAGCCCCCGGCGAACATGCGGTACGTAAATGGCAGATGTAGAAGTAAAGACCAAACACTGATGCCTTGCAGTGACGCGGACGCCGGATGGGGAGCGGAACAAGTTTAGACAGTCGTATCACGACGGATGGCAGAGCCTGGAGATTCCAGCGTGGGTGTTTCGGGCGCGTATGCGAGGAGACAAATCATGTGCTATTCTTGTACGAAAGTGTGCCGGAGGCGGACTAAGGGGCCTGAGGGAGCGTTCAATTCGGCGTAGCGAGTGTGTATATCTTGTATTGTTTGGCCTTCCTGGAATGAGTAGAGACTGCATTTGCCGCCTTGTTTCAGTGCTGCAGAGGACGGCTGGGGCCCACGCGAGCGCCGCAAGCCACCAGGAGGCAATGGCGTAACCATAGGCATACAATGTCTTTTTCAGGCGATCTGTGATGCTCGTCCACGTTGTGGCGGTTCTAGTGGTGAGGCCCCGGGCGAAAAAATGCCATCAACCGAGCATGGAATAGGTGGTATACTACGTACGGGCTGATCTTCGATCATTGTGAAACAACCCGACGGGGCCCGAGTACGAGGTTGACCGGCTTCAGCGCATCTGGCTTGCGCGGCCTCGTCTGCCAAGTGTTGATGCGGCAGGAGCGGGACAATCTTCCAACGCCGTCGATCTGGAGCTGTGGTGACAATCTGGGCGCCGCGGATTGGACGAGGCTTGATTACGAACGCGCGGGTGCTGATTGGCGGGCGCGTGGACGGTGAGCAGAGCCCGGTCACGACTTCCTCAATGCGTGCCGGCCCGTGTTCGACGGCAGTCACCAGTGGAAGAGTGCCCTTCACGGCTTCGACCGACGTGGCTTGTGGCAGGACGGGTTGCCGCTCGCCGAGATTCCCGCCTGTTACCTACCTCTCGTGAGCATCCACCGCAGAGCCCCCTCGCCCCGAACCCCAATCGCCGCCAGGCAGACTGCCATCCCTCCACGCCATCACGCTCCCCCGCGGCCCCCGTCCAGTGAGCCCGAAGCAGCATCAGACTATCAGCCGCTCCCAGGTCTTTGCCGAATCAGCCCATTCGTTTGTGCTGGCTGCCTGCGTGCCGCGGACCTTATATCAAAGTCTAATCCCCACGGCCTCGTCGCATGGAGCAGTGAGTCCCCGCAGCACATCACTATCAAGACATGGCAGGAGGCGTATCAGCCGCTGGCGGAGCCTCTCTGGCGCCTGCTCTCGCACACCATCCCCACCGCCTGTCACGCCAGCCGTCGAGGGAGGACTTCGAGATGGCGGAGAACCTGAGCATGCTCAACCACCCGCAGCATCACCGCCCCGCCGGGACGAGCCCTCAGGCATCTACAGAGGCGGCCAGTCCGGAACATGACGCCATGTCCACCGCTTCGCAAGGTGCGCAGACTGACATATCAGAGTACCACTCGCTCGAAGACACGCTGGCCCACCGACAACCACCGCCGGACCCATCTTCTCCCCACGCTTCCCCAGCAGCCATGCAGCAGCGGCCCCAAGCGACCAACGCCCCGGTGAACGGCCAGGTCTGCAGGTAAGTTCGAACCGTGCTCTTCCACTCCTTCTGAAGGCCATATCGGGAACCCAAATCAGTGCTGATCCGCCACAGCAACTGCGGGACCACGCACACGCCGCTCTGGCGCCGCTCTCCCACTGGCGAGACCATTTGCAATGCTTGTGGACTCTACTGGAAGGCTCGAAATCAGTCCCGGCCGACGAATCTCAAGCGCACTGTGCAGCCTACTACGCTGGCTGTCCAGCAGACGCAAGCAACAGGACAGCCCCACGACCGGAGCGACTCTCCGTCAGGCCGCACTACCTCGCCGCGTGCTACTTATGTTGCTGCCGACCAATCTACCACGGGCACCTGCCCCGGTGGTGGCCGATGCAACGGCACTGGTGGTCAGCAGGGCTGCAATGGATGTCCAGCGTACAACAACCGCGTCTCAAAGACGGCCCAGTTTGCTCTTGCCCCCGCTAGTGCTCAACAGAGTGCCTCTCCTGCTCCAGGCTCTGGCGACGCTCCAGCTTCCAGTGCTGCTGACAACTCAAATGCTCCGGCCGGGCACTCACTCGGCCAAAACGCCGCTAGCGTGGTCCCAGCCTGTCAGAATTGTGGTACCACTATAACACCATTATGGAGACGCGATGAACTAGGCCATACTATTTGCAATGCATGCGGTACGTCGTCGCTCTATTCATCACTAATCCTGCCCTTGTCTATGTACTATTACACACAGCCCACTGACACAAGCCACTAGGTCTCTACCACAAACTTCATGGCGCCCACCGTCCAGTTGCAATGAAGAAACAAGAGATCAAACGCCGCAAGCGCGTCGTTCCTGCGCCTCCGGATATGACTTATTCCCCATCGCAAGCTACCCAAGGCACTCCGCGTGGTTTCGATTCCTCCGTGTCCCCTGACCCCTCTACTTCGCTCCCAGAACCCTCCGAGCCTTACGCTGACCCACAAGCTTCTTGTGCGTATGGGCCTCTTCCTGTTGACTTCACGAATTTCCATCACTCCACTTCTTCATCTGCTACAAATCCACGCCTGAGTTACCAGCAGCAACCTTCACCCAGTGCGCCCAGCCCTCGTAAACGATCCTTGTCTGCTGCTGAGGAAGATATTGCCACGCCTATTCCCTACACCTCGAACGCCCCTCCTTCGTCCACCAACGGCCAGACGCCCGCACCAGCCACTCGCGGAAATAGCATTAGCGCTATTCTAAATCCCTCTACAGCTCGACAGACACAGATATCAGACGCCTCCATTGACCCGACTCTTGGAGTTATAGGACGGCCCGGAGAAGATGAAAGAGCCAAGCGGAAAGACAAGTTGAGACAAGAGGCTGAGGCTATGAGAGAAGCTCTTCGGAGGACCGAGATGGAATTAGAGAGTATGGAAGGCGAGGGAGAGCAATAACACTTGCTGAAAGAAAGGAAAAAGCGGAGGCGGTTCAGCTTACATCCCCCATGTTCGTTCCACGAGGTATATACGAGTAAAATGACGGAAATTCAGGGGGACGAATCGATAGGTCAGGTTATGAAGGTTGGGTTATGACAAGGAGGATGGGTCTCATGGGAGTTTTCGTTCAGCGACACTGGAAATGGATACTGCTACGGCTGTGGTGTCTGGAGTCGATGCGCCCGTTATCACACGTGGCCTTTGAATGATATTCCACTATGGTATTGCTATTTATAAGGATCAGTCCCACCTTACTTCATGAAGCTTAAGGCCAGGAACAGCTTCGATGAGCATTCTGCTCTACAATCAATTCTCCATCAAAAGTTCTATTATCCTTGTTGAGACTAGGTTTTGGTGCTGTGGCTTACGAAATCTCGTCACTTAGCGTTGAGAGAGATCAGATCATCTTACCACTTGGCTAACTCTACTCCACTTGACATTAGACTAGAAGTCTCTCCGCTTCCCGTCACTGGTAGGTAGCATCAACATCGCAAGTTTCACTCAAACTCTTCCTCAGTCTCTTCTGTCATGATCATACGATTGCACTACCACATTCAGCACGGTCACCACTATCGATCAAACATAATTCCACCAAATCCTTTTCTCAAAAGAAGCCTTGCTCACTTCGCCCGCGTCTTCGCCACTAGCTTCGCCCTCCGCAGCATCCACGCTCCTTTTTTCGAACCTTGGCTGGGGGACCGCCATGCGCGATTACTGCAGATGCCGGGTGTGCTCTTTACGATGTGAAGAGTACGAGGTATACTATGTCATAACTCCACCATTTACAATCAGTACCAGGCTCAGCTACACAAGAATCCAAGGAGGGGGAAAACAAGGACAGGCGCAAATGGAGAATTGGCTACGACACTCGACAGACTGACCATTGGTATCGTCAGGTTCATCCTTCTGCTAGTGGCCGAGGTGCGCGGTATGGTGGTTGCCAGCGGGTGGAGGGGATGGCGCGTTTTTGTGATGGAAAGAGATGTCGTGGTTGAGATAATGTGTTTTGCACTTTCGGGGTCGTTTGCGGTGGTGCCTGCTTGGGTTACACGTCCAGTCCAGTCCGAGAACATCTATTTGGCACCGCCTGGGATGGCCTGGCAAGGTATTAGGTCCGTCAAAATGATTAGCTTTTTATCTCTTTCGGATGTTTGAAAGTCGTTCGAAGCACCTCCAGTGGTGTCAAACAGTGTACACTCAAAACCAGATTTTGATGAGCTCTTCACTAACAGCACTGGGAGTGAGCACTCCAGATTCGGTGAGAATGCCTGATATGAGGTTTGGAGGCTACAAAGGTGTTAGTTCACGTGACATCAAACAAAAACGTTAGACTAACCGTATAATCAACCGGATCCTCAGAGCTGCCGGAGCACTTTCTCCTGGTCTTGCCCTCTGAAACCCCCGAGTCCGAAAAATCCACGCCCTCATCCTCAACCGTATAACCACCCTGGCTCTCATTTTCAGTTGACACCAGCTCCCCCTCTTTTCCCACCTTAAAATCGAGGATGCGCTGTTTGATCGGCAAATCATACTGATTTAGCGGGAAGAGCTTGACGAACTTGTGGCTTTCCGCAACAACGTAGAACGGCTTCTGCTTAGCCTTTGCGAGCAGCCCGATCTGATACGTGCCAAGCCTCGAGATGATGCCTCCGTTCTCCACCACGCCCTCCGCCCCCACAATCACGATATCAATCTTTCCCAGCGAATAGGCCACGGCGGAATCGGGGATCGTCGCCACGGGTATGCCCCGCGCGCGCAACATAGCCACAATGGCGGTACCGGACCACTCCCCCTCTTGTGAGTCCGCGTCCGAGTCCAGCACGTAGACGACCTTGAAACGCACACTTCCCGTTTCGGCAACCGAGCGAAGCAGGGCAGCCACGACGCGTGAGCCGCCGTTTGTGAGCACCGTAGCCCCATCGCGGACCAAGTTCCGGCCAAAGCTTGCAATCTTGTTCCGACTAGCCTTTGCGCGCTCGGCGAACAGGCGACCGTTGGACAGCAGGTGGTTGCGAATGGCGTCGAAGTCGCCGGCGCCGGAGGGGGAGGCGACGCCCGCAGAGGGCCTGTTGAGCGTGGTGACGAGGTAGCGCTGGAAGAGGTCAGTGCCGGCGGAGAGCGAGATGGGGTTCGCGACGGAGGATTTGAGGGTGTTGGTATGCTTTTCGAGGTTGCGCATGGTCTCGGACACGGTTTGGGTGGAACTTGTCGCCATGGCTTCGACGAGGGCTTCGATGGCTGCTACGGGCATGGTTAGGTCGTGGTCGTTGGCCAGCAAGCGGTGGTATACGGCGACGACGTCGAATTCATCAGGCAGAGGGGTTTCTGTTGCCATTTTGGACAGTTTTTGACACGATGGTGGGGTTGAAGCTCGACTCACACTTGAACCATAAAGTACTTTCTGTGCAGTCACGGCCGTCCAATCAGAGGAGTTTGCTTTCTTGGCGTGCACAGGCTTTCACAACGGTGCAGACCAACGTCGTCCGAGGTAGCGGGTTGGGGCTTATAGGCTGTTCAACAAGCTTCAATCGAGAATTTTACAGGACTCCAGAGCACTTAATACGATGGTAAACGAGTGGACACGCTTCATCAGAATAGGAAACCCTTCCAATCGTAAGAAAGCATCATTATTCCACAGCCTTGCATTCATGTACGCCTGAACATTCTTGGCGTGCACAAGTCTACACAATTTCAGGATAATACCGTCTGAGGTGGCTCAGGAGGGTTTAAAAATTGTTCAAACCGTGTCTCTTACAAGTTTCTAAAAGGTTACCCAAGTGCTTCACACATATTTCTACTCAGAAGTAGCTTCCGTCCAGTTCTATCCAGCCTTCCCCGCGTTCTAAATTTAGCATACACACAAGATACACCAAACACGCGCTACGAAGCACCATTCTGCATACTTCCGCTACAAGTGCAGGATATCATAAGATGCATCTACAGTTGAACCAATTGTGGGGTTCGAAATGAGGCTGAGGCAAGGCTGAGCACCCGCAGGCATGGAACAAGCCTGGGCATGATGGCAGGCTGCATGAACCCGACTAGACTGGGGCCGAAACGACACAACACGTCCTCGATATCTTCTGCGCTTGCATTCTCGCCCCAGCCTGGGAGTTCTCTTCTCCTTTCAAGCTTCATTCTCTTCTGCCTTTTCAAATCGCGTGATATGTATGATCTCGGATGTCCACACGTTGAGAAGCTGTTACCCCCGTAGCTGCCTGGCCTCGAAACACCACCTCCATCATGTCGTTCGGAGTGTCGATTGGGGACTTCTTGAAGCTCTATGAGTCTGGAATGAGCGTGTATAAGAAATGTCAGTGTGGTGGTAGTACTTCATACGCGCAAAACGTGATGACTAACCGCGTCGCAGGTAGAGACTCGCCCGGCGAATACAAAACCTTGACCAACGAAGCCCGCGCATTGACAAACGTTTTGCAAGATCTGGCGGACAAAGTGGAGCAGGGAACGATACCAGAATCTAAGCGCCCCCAACTACTAGCTGTATACGAAGGAACCGTGGAGGTGCTCCAGGAGCTCGATGCGACACTCACTAAATATGCATCCTTGGACACAAAAAGCAAGAGAGCATGGGATAGACTCACATGGGATAGTGACCGATCGAAGAATATGAGGGGAAAATTGACAAGCAGCGTGGGCATGCTGAATGGGTTCTGGAACTCCCTAATACATGATAACCAGCTCATAATAATCGAAGCGCTTGGGAGACTGGAGAAAGACTATGCTGGGGGCCACAGGGAGGAGAGCAGGGCTTCCGTTGAGAGACTAGCATCTGCTTCAACTCGGCGTGGTGCAACTATCAGCGACGAATACTTAGACTCTCCGGACGACGATGATGAAGAGGACGAGGCGTGGCCACAGATCATCAGGGATCTTGAAGACGTGGGAGTGAGCAAGCAAGACGCGATAGAATACCGGGACTTCATGTACGCGCTTTCCGGTTACAAGACCTTGTTGACTGTGCTAATTTCCTGAAAGCATTGATTGGTTCGTACGAGCTGTCAATGAGGGCAGGCTTATGGAGAAATCCATCGAAGAAGAGGAGAGTCCTGATGCTGACAGCTTCACGCGTGACCTGCAACTAGCTCTTCCACCGGTTGGAGCTGGTGATAATCTCCAACGAATGCCAAGCTGGGAAACTCCCTCTTTTCCTCCAAGAGTAACGGTAACAAGGAAGGCTGTTGGTGCCCCTCCATCCCGTACAGCTACGCAACAATCCTCCCATCAATCCAGTCCTTTTCTAGAGAACTCTTCATCCTCAAGAACTAGCCCTTTGATAGGTACAACCAGCCCTCGTCCCAGTACAGACTCACTTTATAGTCCACCAGAGCGTGTGCCATCTAGAGAATGGGACCAACTGCCTGTCCCAGTCCAGAATCCACAGCTTGGCTCACAGTCGTCACTCAACATTCCATCTGGAACCAACACGTTTCCAGGAACAGGCTCCTCAGCTGCCGATCCACCACTAGCTGCACTTTACCAAGTGCCATCAATTGTGTTGCCGGAGAATCAGTCGAGCTCAACGCCAATGTTCTCGGCACATGGGGGCGCTTATTCACAGCCGCCCACCATCGTTCATCAAGCTGCAGTTCCTTCAGTATCGCCATCACCATCTCAGAGCCCAGCGCGACCACCAATTGCACCGCCCCCGGCATATGATCAACTGCAATCGACGCCGTCATCGACTGATTCCAACCTCATATGGACGGCGCAACTCATCGTGACCTCTTGGAACGATTGCGAATATGTTACGGCAGGAAAGCATCTTGAAGACCAGCTAGCAGCTGTTCGGCGTGGTGAATCCATCATGATGCAACACCAGATCGCTCAGCCAACAGCACGCTTGCTTATGCATCTAATAGGAGTCAGCGCATCATTCAGCGGGAACTTTCTTAAGGCCAAATCGTACTTCGAAGCCACAATGCGTGGTCCCTACACGAATGGTGCGAATATGGATGATGGAGATATTGCAGCTGCGCGCTGGCTGGGTGATACTTGTGTAGGTGTCTTTGCCCAGTTTAGTACCTCCCTAACTGTGCTAATCTTCTAACAAAGCTGCATCTCAATGAGCCTGAAAATGCTGGACTTGCGTGGGCAATGGCTCTGGACGGCCTCCTCGTCCGTTATGGCATAACACGGCATATCACAAGGCGCGTGCTGGAAGAATGTCGCATTCTTGACTTACGGCTGAAAGGACTGACCAACCTGGCAAACTCATTCTCCCGCTTCAACTTCGATTCTTCAAACGTATTCAAGACTACGTCGCATATGGATAAATCACGACTGGTGTCTTTTGCTCTTGACCGTATACGAGAGATCCATGGGAGCCCCGGACCCTACAATAGTAGTTATCAAAATTCTGCGGGAATCAACAGGACCTTCCGACCTCGTCTTGATTGGAAGGTCAGAGAGGGGTTTCTGATCCAACCACTAATCTCGCAGTCCTCGTGGCCACTACAGTATGACCCCTTCTTTTCACCGTTTGATGCTATTGCGCTCCTGTGCCGCATTTCAGCCAATACCATTTCACTTGACGGCACCAGTCAACAGTCTTTTGCTTACAACACCATCCCCACGGTCGGATTGGGCGGTTCCAAACACCTGGATTATGTAACACGGAGGGACCCACAATGGCTCGTGTCTGCAATGATGGATGGACTGAAGGCGTACGGCATTGAAGCGAAAGAAAAGGGGAACATGGTTTTCTGCCGGATTTCGCAAGTGAGATTCAAGTATGCATTCTTTGAAGCCATCGGGATCCGGGTCAAGAAGCTGCCGCTTAGGAGTGTCTATGGCATTAAAGTCACGGCGGTGTTGCATGCGACACGAGGCATGTGGAAGGGCCCGGCCCATGTGAACATGCTGGACTTCAACAAGGACTCAAGTGGTTTCCTGGACATTGTGAAGAGCATTCTAGAAAGGGCTGAGGACGAAGAGAAGATGAAAGAGGTGGGAATTACCGTGAGCGAGCCATTTGAGGGCACAGCGTCATACGGCAGCGTACACGTCAAGACAGGGGAAAAGATCTCGTACGGCTAGGTGTGTGCGCGCAAGACTCGTGTTGTTGCAGAGATCTGCAGCAATGAGGCCAGAAAGACAGCATGCTCGGGTGGCTGAGAGACATCACACGGGTCACAGCAGACGCCGCACGCGCAGATTGCTTCTCGCGTGAGGCTGCCAGCGTGGAGTACAGACAATGCGAAACGGACTGGCTTGGACATCAACCAGGACATCATTTCTCGCCCCGGATACCAGCAGCAACGGTTGGAATGAAGCATTCAGTCGACCACGGTTCTTATGACCAGGCTCAATTCTGGAACCGCGCGGGAAGTGGCAGGTTCCCAGCAGACACCGATGACCAGGTCCGGGAGCGCGGGTGTCGAAAGCCACTCCGAGAGCAGAATGAGTGGAGGACGTGAATGGACAAACTCGCAAATGAAATGCGCCTAGAGAATACACGCGGTACAATGGAGGCGCGTCTGCACTCTCGTTCGCACCGTCACACTTTGCATAACCGCACGCATATATGCTGTAGATAGCTCTCTATTGCCTACTTCCTATCTTTTGCAGACGCCTGTCGTTTCTTCCCGGCTGCTTTCGGAGGTGCAAGTTGGGTCAGTGGACGAGACACAAAGTTTCAACTTGACTCCAGCCGAGCTGCGGTGCGCGGTCGGCTCCTAACAGCGTCTACTCCGTGCCTATGAAGGAGGGCTTCCCGGTGGCATGTCAGCGGCCGTGCAACGTCGACCAAGTGGCAGTGAGGCCAAACGGGGCTCTGCATCCTTTGACGAGGGGTGGAAATGACTGCTGCTTGGCGCTGTGGGTATCCGAGCAGGCGCGGAGTATAGGCAAGGCCATCATGGTTGATATCAAGGCTTGAATAGTCTTGGCAGGTGCTTAGAAGGACGAAGAGAGCGACGAAGGATGGACGAGTGAGCACTATCGGCAGCAAATTGGTGAAGGCTGGTGTTGAGTTTCTAGGCGTTTGGAATAACGAAAGCGGCACGTTCGGGCTGGTCTAGCGCCGGCAGCCCTGTGGCGATCCCAACTGCTTCTCGTTTCAGTTTCACGCATTCGGGGCTTTGTGGGCGGCTGATTGGCTCCGGCCTGGCAGTGTTTGAGCCACGCCGCCCAGTGCAGCATCCCCAGGCCCATCACCACCCGCCGCCCTCGCAGCACATCGTCCTTCTTGCGGCGACGAGCCCAGGGCGCGCGCGGGAAGACGCTCGCTGCAGGGGCTAGCATGTCTGCCACCGCCAGCCCGCGATGAAGGGGCGGCCAGCGTTTGCAAACATGCTTGGCGCTGATCGACCCGGCCGTCCATGTCCATATCAATCTCCGCTTCTGCAAAACCCCGCCCTCAGCTCTTCTCTTTCTCATTCACCACCTCTGCTGCTCTCTGTTTCCTTCTTCTCTACCAAGCTGGCCCTTTGTGCTTCTTCACCACCCAACTTCCGTCCTTCTTTTCTGGCTCCGGCCTGACACTCTTTACGCCCGGGTCTTTGGCTTGTTGATATCGTCACTCTGCCACTTTCTTGCTGACTCCTCGAGCCAGTGTACAGCTTGAATCCTCAGCGCCAGTCGACCTGTCCGCTCCCTGCCCTGTACACTCCAGTCTTCACGGCTACGTTCATTCATTTGTGCATACTGTGTTTTGCACCCCTTCGACTCTCCCCATCAGCTTGTTGAACAAGCCTCGTCTAGTGCTTCGAGCATTTCAGCACCCATCGCTACCTTCCAAGCTCCCCGTTCACCATGCTGTTTACCAAAACACCGGCCCTCCTGTTGGCCTTGGCCGCTGCTCGTTCTGCTGTTGCCCACACCGTCTTTACCCATTTCTATGTCAATGGCGTCTCCCAAGTAAGCAATCTGAGCAAAGCTCATTCAATAATGATTAACGCATAGATGCGTAGGGTGTTGGTGTTGCCATGCGCATGAATAAGACGCCTGCGAAGGCGTCTTTCCCAGTCGAGAACTTGGCCAGTAGTGACATGGCATGCGGTAGGCATACAGTTTCCATCCTCATATCACACATACCTGGCCTTTCATAGTAAAATTGCATGGTGCTAACGATGGTCATCAGGCTTCGATGGTACCGAGGGTGTCTCCAGAGTCCAATCTGTCAAAGACGGCTCCACTCTTACCTTTGAGTTCCATTCATGGCCCAATGACTTTAGCAAGCAGTCTCTCGATCCGGGTCACAAGGGTCCTTGCGCAGTCTATCTCAAGAAAGTTAACTCTGCGGTTGAAGATCCTGGTAAGTCCACTCTCATACTCCTCGTATCAATCAAGCCTTGCTGACAAAATCAAAGGTACCGGTGACGGATGGTTCAAGATCTTCGATGATGGCTACGATTCTGCGAAGGACGAGTGGTGTACCGACCGTCTTATCGCTAACAATGGCCGCCTATCTGTCAAGCTCCCAGACAACCTCAAGGGAGGTGACTACCTTGCTCGTCCCGAAATCCTGGCTCTGCACGCTGCCGTTTCAGGCGATCCACAGTTCTATACTGGATGTGCTCAGATCTTCCTCGAATCCAAAGGAACCTTGGTCCCGGAGAGCACTGTCTCTATTCCTGGATACGTGAAAGCGGGCGAGGAGAGCGTCAGCTTCAACATTTACTACAATCCCACAAACAAGCCCTACCCGGTTCCCGGACCTAAAGTGGCCAAGTTGAAGGCTGGTCCATCTACTGGCGCAATCGAGACCACCCAGAAAGACGGAGTCAAGCCCGCTGGTTGCATCATGGAGAATGCCAACTGGTGCGGATTTGAGGTCCCGTCCTATACCGACGAGAAGGGCTGTTGGGCCGTAAGTAACCACACTTCCAGAGTTTTGTGATCAAGTTACTAATCGGTTCACTATTACAGTCAGCTCAAGATTGCTGGAATCAAGGTGATAAGTGCTACAAACCCTACCCGCCCACTGGTGCGGCGGGCTGTGACCTTTGGGAGAAGAAGTGCCAAGCCATCGACGACGCATGCAAGAACAAGCAGTTCACGGGCCCACCTAACAAGGGCAAAGACCTCACGCCTCCTCAAACTTCTATCGTCATCGGGCTTGTTATGCCTACCGAAGGCGCTGCCCAAGGAGGTGCCGACTCTCCCACGCCCTCGTCTGCCGTAGAGGTAGCCGCGAGCAGCGCTGGGTCTCCCAGCACATTCGCCGTTATCACCAGCGCTCCTGTCTACAGCAAGCCCGTTACGTTCATCAGCAAGTCGAAGACCGCTTCCACCTCGAAAGAGGCAGTTGAGGCTCCAGCTCCAACGTACAACCCCTACCTCGCTACCGTCACTGAGACAGTTGTCAAGACGGAGGTGGAGTATGTCACCTTGTATAGCAAGCAGCGACGGGATAGCCACGCCCGGAGGCATGTGGCTGGCCTGGATCGTTCATCGTAAGCGTGGCAGTTGCCGATGGTAGGATGTAAAACCAGCGTGACGACACGCTCCTATAGCCAGGTTCTAGAGCACTTTTATTTCTTGTACTTCTATTCCCCTTCGCTTCTACTCAATAGCAGGCCTTCAGCCATGTTAACGACCTAGGTTTGCCACTTCCCTTCCCTTCTTTGTGGTATGGTATTCCAAAAGCGGCATTTACTTCAATCTTCTCTTCTCTTATCCACCCAACTTTCCTACGGATAATGGGTGTCTTTTGGGCGTGTCCAGCTTGGCGAGTGGTTGATGGAAACTTGGACAGCATAGCAGAACGAAAATTAACGCTTTGACGCACGAGACACGACGTTTGATCCAGAATATCTTGATGATTGTGGCGACGTGATGAACAAGTTTTAGGTAAATGAATAAGTAAAGGAAAAACGGGAAAAACGGGTGTGGACGTAGCGGGAATCATACTAGCAAAATTCGAAGGGGACCTTCTTCTCATCCTCCCCCTCCACCTCCACAACACCACTACATTACCAAATCCCAATCTATCGCCACCATGGGCCGCGGTGAGAAGGTTCTAAACACGATACAGCTACTGCAAGGCCAACTCCGCGAGCGTTCATTAGTTGACAATACGTACCATCGTCTCCTGAAAATCTAAACAAAAAAAAAGAATTCTCCCATCATCGCGAATCGCACTCAGGCTTGCCGACGGAGCCAAAAAGAATAACGGAGGAGCAAAAGTTCGTCGGGCCGAGCCTGCACCTGTCCAATGGCTTGGTGAGTTTGCAAATCGATCAGAATGGGTCACACATTTTTCATCCAAATCTTTCAAAATGGATGGAGGCATTACACGCAGTGGCAAGCTACTTCACACCCTCCTATCTTGATACTGGATCTTATGCCTGAGGGTTTCTTTCATCGGAGCTATCGTATGAGTTCGTTCATCACGATATAGTTGATACCGGAATTAGTATTCTCGACCAGCGATGCGCTCACGTGATATAAACAAGCGTGGCAGCCTTCCATCAAACCACGGTAGAAGATCGTGAAAAACCAAAGTCTGTTGACATGACGCATGCACCGCACTTTACACTCGCGCATCTCCATGCGACTACAAGCCGCCATTTCTTTCTCATCCTATAGATCCCACACTTCGCTGTAGAACATCCTTTGCGTGTGTCCCAAAGGCTACTGCAAACCCACCTGTGCAGGAGCGAAATCTTCACCACTCGGCTAGCCCCAGCAGACACGTGGTAGTGAGCCTATTTCTGGACTGCTCCTTTCCTCCTTCGCCGTCGCCGTCCCCTCTCCACCCCATCCAACCTCCGCCAAACTATCAACTCCTCAGCCCACACACCACACCCCCTAGTCACCACAATGACCGCCGTTACCAACCTCATCGAAGCCTGCCAATGGGGTAGTGTGGCCGACGTCACCGCTCTTCTCAACGCTGGAGCTGACCCCAACCAGAACCACAGCGAAGCCCTCTGGCGCGCCATCGACGACGAAACCTACGACATCCTCGAACTCCTCCTCGCGCGCGGCGCACAGCCCAACATTGCCGACCCCCCTTACCAGATGTCTAAGATCTCCAAGATGACCACCGAGCCCTCCTGGGTCAAGCGCATGTACCAGAACCACGGCAGCCCGCTGCAGTACGCCTGCCTGCTCGGCGACATTCGCGCAGTGCGGCTGCTGCTCGACGCCGGCGCCGACGTCAACGAGGCGATGGGCTACTTCGGGAGCGCGATGTGGATCGCGTGCTGGCACGGGAAGATGAATGCGAAGATGAGGGAGGTGCTGCAGAAGATGTTGAGTGCGCGTGGATCAAAGGAGCCCGAGCAGATCGAGGAGCTGCAGGCGCCGTACCAGGTCAGGGACGTTGAGAGGCTGCCGACGAATATCTATATGATGCAGCGTGTGGATTCGTCCAATGACGACACGGAGAAGGAGGAGGCTGAGCGGGTTCGAAGGGTACAGAAGTTGCAGAAAATGTGATAGATGGGCGGCCCTGCTGTGGTCTGATGGTTCTTTTTCTGCTGGGATAGGATCTGGATGGAGGTTCTGACGGGCTACAGTACGGAAGCAAACGGCAACGAGAACACTTTTCGAACTACCGGAGCGATTTGGATTCAGAAAACGACGTCACAGTACGCATGACTGTACTGAAGCAGACAACGTATTTCAGCTAGCATCGAATTATGACGCCTTTGGGGTGCTTGGAGCGTTATCGGAACCACTTGAATTATGGAATTGGAAGTCAAAGAAGCCGGTTATACATACCTAGCTTACACAAGCTTGTTTGACAGGATAATTCAATTGCTTTTATTTCTGGTACTTACATTCGTGTAACACCTACAGATAGGAGCCAGCTTTCGCAGTCAGCCAGATGGCAACAGCGAATACGGCTCCTAGTGCCCCTACCCCAAGGACAATGGAAGATGTACTCGCAATCGGTGACCTATCGGCTTCCTCCATAGCCTTGATCTCATTCTCCAACCTTTGTGCCATCTTCTCTTTCGAAAACTCACCTTTGACCCTCTCCCGGCCCCACTTACCCATTTCTTGTAGACGTTCCTCACCAGCGCCATCCTCGAGTGCCACACGCATTACTTCTGTCCAGTCCTGCACTTTGCTAACGTCTCTTAGCCATCCAGTCTGGCCACTGATGACAGTCTCGGTTGGTCCGCCTTCATTGGCTGCTAGAACAGGTATACCGGCCATCATGGCCTCTAATGGCACAATGCCAAAGTGCTCGTTGCGGGGGGTATATACCAGGAGGCGAGAAGTAGCCAGCAGGGTCGATTTGAAGGCGGTAGGTACGGATTGGAGGAACAGAACAGTGATGTCATCAGGGACCGACATGGAGCTGATGATTGCCTTTGCTGTGGCATGTTTCAGGTTCAGCGAAGAGGCTAGGTCACAGAGCTCGTTGTAAGTTGAGACGTTCTCGGCGACACGGGCATCATAACCACCTGGGCATAATTAGCTTGCTACTTCTTAGAGGATTCATTTAGGAGATGATGACTTACCGGCAATCACGAGCCGCGATGTGCTTCTTTCATGCTCGCTCAACCCAGCGAACGCGCGAATGGCCAGGCCAACGTCCTTCTTCTTTTCAAACCGGTTGATGCTCAGTAGCACCTTCTTATTGGCCCACAACGGTTTGGCATCCTCAGAAGCATCCACTTGGGACGTGTCTACGCATGGATATACCACTCTTGGCTTCCTGTCCTTCAGGCACGGGAATGCTTCCGCGAAAACACCCTTCGTGAAGTTGCTATTGACCACGATGGCATCGCTGCAGCCTGTACTCCAGCTCTCTAGCCAGTCAAAGGGCCCCCTGTACAGCGTCTTCAACAATCCTCCTTTCTTAGCGAGAAGTTTGTCTGGGAAGTGGCAGTAGAATATGACCCTGACGTCGGGGAGCAAGAATCGAAGGAGGGGAATTCCAGCGCTGAGCTGGTCAACGAAGAATGCAGTGGGTCGCAGAGTCCGCAGCTCGGACGAGAAGAGGGCTACTTGTAGGATAAGGTGAAGCTGGCGAAGAATCGCGCAGAGGATGGAGAAGCGACCTAGAATGGTGGGGGGGACGACGGTATTCCCGCGGACGCGTACATTGAGGGTTCCTTTGTGTTGCAAAGCGGAGTCTCAGCTACCTTCTTCCAGTGTATGAGTGAGGTGTGATTGTGGCAGCTCAATTAGGTGCTTACCATTGCGCGCTTCGTCAAAACAGTGCCTGGGATCGCAGTGGGACGTGAAGACGGTGACTTTGTGGCCTAAACTCTGCAGTCCTACAGCGGCGTCGATAACGAGCCTCTCAGCACCACCGATTCCGAGATCGGGATGGAAGAAGACGATGTCCTGAGGTTTGGGAGCCATGGCGGGGAGTTGTGTGTTTTGGTGAAGTGTCGTCGTCTGGTGACGTTGCGACAAGGGCAAGGCTTGCCGAGTCTCTTTGATGCCTGTGCATCTGATCTAATGCTTATCCATCTACCTGAACTACCATAGCACATTCACTGTTCTCTACAGTGAACTCGACAACATGCTTTCCTCGTAGCCGCGCTCCACCTGTTCATTTAGATGTTCGCCATGAGGACTTGACATCCGCATACTCAGCCCTGAAATTCAGCCAAACACCCCCAATACATGCACCATCATGGGCCAAGGATACTCTTTGACCACCCTTTCGGCAGGGTCGGCCGGCATCGATGTCCCCGAAATGGCTGACCTCACGTATGAGCAGTCTCTGGGCACAGCGCGGTTCATGAAGTGCATCCGGGCTAAGCATAGGGATGGCCTGGTAGTCGCCAAGGTGGTCATGAAACCATACGCTAGCATCAAGCTAGATGAATATGTTCGCGTTCTCTTAAGTAAGCCTGCTTTAATGATTTGAACTTCTCTGATGAAACAGTCCTTAACTATTGTGCTTAGGGGAGAGAAAGGCCCTTGCCGACGTCCCAAACGCTCTAGGCTATCATCGCATCTTGGAAACAAGCACAAATGGGTACCTCGTCCGGCAGTATATTCACAACTCTTTGTATGATAAAATAAGGTATGTGTCTACGTTGGCCTGTATGAATGCTTTACTGAACGTCCCGTAGTACGCGACCTTTCCTCGAAGGTATCGAGAAGAAGTGGCTGGCTTTCCAGCTCCTTTGCGCCGTTCGGGATTGTCATGCACGAGACATCTTTCATGGAGATATCAAGACGGAGAATGTCTTGGTGACCTCTTGGAACTGGCTCTACCTTGCTGACTTCTCCTCATCTTTTAAACCCACGTACTTGCCAATCGACAATCCTGCTGATTTCTCTTTCTACTTCGACACGTCTGGTCGTCGGACGTGCTACCTAGCACCGGAAAGGTTCTTGAATGCCGGAGCCGAGCCAGAAGGCGACGGAACCATCACCTGGGCTATGGATATCTTCAGTGTTGGCTGCGTAATCGCTGAGCTGTTCCTCGAAGCTCCTATTTTTGACTTGAGCCAGTTGTTCCAGTACCGCCAAGATCAATATGACCCGAAGCGTGTTCATTTCAGCAAGATAACAGACAGTTCCATCCGAGATCTGGTGGTGCATATGACACAACTTGAACCAAACTCCAGGATGTCCGCAGAAGACTACCTAAATTGGATGAAGGAACTCCGTGGATTCCCAGACTACTTCTTCGAAATGTTGCACCAATATATGTATACCATCACAGATCCCACTTCTGGGCGCAAGCAAGTCACTTCAGGGACCGAGAACTTTGGCGAGTGCGACGATCGGATCGACGAGATTTTCAGCGACTTCGACAAGATCATGTTTCACCTCAATGCGCAGGATGATCGTCCATCAGTGCGAATGTCACGTCCAGCACAGAAAGCAGATGGTGGGCTATTCCCTCTCGTTATAGATATCCCAAACTATCAACACGAAGCGGCGAACAGACCAGGACCGTCGGACGATGGGACTCTCATCTTCCTTATGACTGTAGAATCTTCTCTGAGAGGAACCGCTAAAGCCTCTTCCCGCATTCGGGCTTTCGAGCTGCTGTTAGCATTCGCAGAACAATCTACAGACGAAGCAAAACTCGATCGTATATTACCATACATAGCAACCCATCTGGAAGACAAGGCGGATATGGTAAAGGTAGCTGCCCTACGGACGCTGACTCAATTGGTAAGACTGCAGCACACTCGGATTCTGCGATGCTCTGTTCCTGTACTAATTCTGGACAGTGCTCACTAGTTTCTGTTGCGTCGCCGATCAATGCAAACGTCTTTCCCGAGTATATCCTTCCGAGCTTGAACTCGTTTCTTCCCCCTCCTCCTGACGCGACTGACTCCGCGAGTCTGCTTATGCGGATCACCTACGCATCGTGCATTGGAACTCTGGCCACAACTGCCGCTCGAAACTTGGACAAGATGCAAGCACTTCGTGTTGACGTGTCTCTCCCAGATACCGAGCCTGAAGTCGAAGAGGATGACCCAAAGAACCGGAGTAATTCACGCATCTTCGATCTAGCGCGTGCCGACTTAATGTCTCAGATCGAAGTCCACACAAAAGCACTGCTCACGGATGCTGATTTCTCGGTCAGACGGGCTATGCTTGGATCTGTAGCAGATCTATGTAATTTCTTTGGGAGCTCGAAAGCCAACGACGTAATCTTAAGCCATCTCAACACTTACCTTAATGTTACAGATTGGCTTCTTCGAAAGGCGTTCTTTGAAACCATCGTCTCGGTCGCAGTCTATGTTGGTGCACCAAGCTTAGAGGAGTATATTCTCCCATTGATGGTACAAGGCCTTACGGACCCTGAAGAGTTCGTTATCGACAGAGTCATCCGGTCTTTCTCTACCATGGCAGAGCTCGGTCTATTCCAACGATCCAAGACCTGGGAATTAGTGGACATCGTGGCTCGCTTTACCATGCATCCCAACAGCTGGATTCGAGAAGCCGCAGCACAGTTCATCTCCGTTTCCACCTCTCATCTATCAATCGCCGATACGAACAGCATTCTATTCGACCTCATCAAGGTCTACTTTACAGTGAAGCCCTCCGAGTACTCGGAATTGAAGATACTAGACTCGTTGAAAAAGCCTTTACCCCGGATAATCCTTGAGATGGCTTCCACATGGGCGATAAAGGCCGAAAAAGGACTGTTTTGGCTTCCCCCGAACAAGAAAATACAGACATCCTCTGGATCCAGCCGAGAAGCAGGACCAACAGTCTCTGCAAGAGACTTGACTCCAAAAAAGGCCTTGAGCAGGATCACAAAGAATGATGAGGATGAGAAATGGCTTACTCGCCTCCGCAATGCTGGCATGAATTCTGACGAAGAGTTCAAATTAGTCGCGTTGAAGGACTACATCTGGCGTGTGGCACATCGAAAACGGAACGATGACAAGGCTGTGCCAATTTCGATGTTCAACGATATAGTAGCACTGAACGCTTTAGACGTTATACCGCATACTGTTCTGTTCGATCAGGGTAAGGAACTGCTCGAGAAAGTTCCAACTCCGGACACAGAAATGCAAACGCAGAGCACCGTGCCTCCCAGAACAATTGCGGATGCTTTGCTCGATGCTTCAACTACAGAAGAATGGCCTGCTACCCGCGCCAGAGCATCGTTGGCTGAACGGCTCACGCGAGAAGAATCGGCACTTGGACGTGGATCTAGCCCAACACCACCCAAATTATCCTCTTCGCCAAGTGCAGCACAACCCCCCCAAATACCACCTTTGGATGTCGAGTCACGTCGCTCTTCCCTTCAAGTACCCAGATCAGATCGTAGGGCCCACGACTCACCAAACGGTCAGTCGCCAGTCGGTTCGGTCGGTGGTATCACTTTCGGTGATCATAACCATGGTCTACGTCACAAGAATAGCGCAATGAGTCTGCTCAATATGGGTGACAACAAAGCCCATCCCGAGACTGGAACCACATCTACGAATGCTTTTGGCAAGGTTGATGGGGTTTCGACGCGAGAAAGCAGACAAAAAACTCAGCAACCCTCCCAATTGGCGGCGGCGCAGGCACATCATCGCCAGAGCCCTTCACGGATTCGATACAAAGAATCACATAACTATACGGGAAACGACCGAAACATCCTAAGACTGCTGGACTCATTGTACTTACAAAATTATCCTGCCGATGATATTGAATTCGGACCGCAAGTCCAGTCAGTTGACCAACAACCAATCAAACGTGGAAACGGTCAGCCATCTTCCTCGGCAAATCCATGGCGTCCAGAAGGAACATTGGTTGCCATGATTGGAGAACACACTGCTGCCGTCAGTCGGATCCTTGTTGCTGCGGACCATTCCTTCTTCATCACGGGATCTGATGACGGTTCCGTTAAAGTCTGGGATAGCTGGCGGTTGGAGAGGAACATCACGCACCGATCTCGCCAAACCTTCAAACTCAATGAAGGTGCTAAAGTTACGAGTCTTGCATTTATCGAGAATACTTACTCCTTCGTCTGCACAGGAAGCGATGGAAGTGTCTTCGTTGTCAGAGTCGACTATCAGCAACTTCCAGGCGGCGGCACCAAGTATGGGAGACTGAAAATGCTCAGGGAGTATCAACTTCCTGAAGGAGAGCACGCAGTGTGGTCGGATCATTACAAGAGCGACGTGCACTCGGTGCTAATGCTAGCAACCAACAACTCTAGAATCATAGCCTTAGAACTAAGAACTATGACCGAGTTGTACGTTCTCGAGAATCCTCTACAACATGGTACCCCAACCTGTTTCTGTCTTGATCGGAGACAGTACTGGCTGTTGTTGGGCACATCGCACGGCGTAATAGATCTTTGGGATCTCCGCTTCAGGCTTCGACTCAAGGCATGGGCATTCCAAGGCTCGTCTCCCATCCACAGAATCATTCACCAATCACTCGGACGGAGCAAGTTCAAGGTGCACATTGCCGGAGGGACTGGACAGGGTGAAGTCACGGTCTGGAACATGGAGAAACTCGTCTGTAAAGAGGTGTACCACACTGGTCTTTGCAAGAACAATCGCAAGGGTATGTCATTAATCGATGTGGACGAAGAAGGCCCAGGGGGCATGCTTGGCCGTTTCGCAACCTCGCTGGAGCCCGATGGCAACGTCAATATCGACCGCGGTATACGGGCAATGGTTATAAGAACCCAACCTACCGAGAAGGGGAAGGACTACGAAACGAAGCAATTAATCTTGCTCACTGCGGGCCCAGATTGGAAGGTTCGGTTCTGGGATACCGTACGTCCTGAGGCTTCGACGGTGGTCAGTGGGATGGAACTGGATGAAGGGAAGCCACAATATAGCACAGGCCAGCTTACCACGGAGACATTTGAAGTCAGGGAGCGACTGTCTCTACCCCAAGGCCAACAATCGTCTTCGAGCGGGCGGGATGGCAGCAGGGCATCTTCCAACACATCGGCCAAGCGGGGCAGCACGAAACCATCCAGGTCGTCTATTATCTCTTTGCAGCAACAGCACTTATTGAGGAGTCATATGGACAGTATCTTAGACGTGGCGTTGCTGGAATACCCCTACGGCATGGTGATATCGGCAGACAGATCAGGTGTTATTTACGTATTTCAGTAGCTGGCAAGAGAGAATATAGATAAAATACTATAAAATACTGGAGATATTTGGCGAGCTCTCTCAAGGCAAACTCCAAACTAAATCCATCCCGTGACTGCTGTGGCACTGTGGCTGGTGAAATTCATGGATTACTCGATTGGTACTAGCGCACCCCCGGATTTTTGGCGGCGGCTGGCGGGCGGCTCAATTTTAAAAACTGATGGTGACCGCACTCCACCCATAACACCCCACCTCCTCGTCCCAATCAGTAATCCACCTTTCGCGCCCACAAATAGCGTTTCGAATAACCTCCTCGTCCTAAAACTTCGAACAATTCCGACCTCACCTAGTGGTGGCCGCGCAAGATGAGGCTAACGGTGGACGTGATCCATGGCTCGCTCAGCTACATCAATCCCCTCCTAGAGCGCGAGCTGGATCTACGAGGTGCGTACACGCTGAAAAGAGCAGATGCTACACTTTGATGAGCTTCGTTGATATCAAACCTCTATTTGCGAGGCTACAGGTCACAAGATCCCCGCTATTGAGAACTTGGGCGCCGCCAAAGTGAGTAGCATCTCCACCTCATCCAATTCTAGCAGACACACAAGGCTCGCTACTGTAGACGAGGCAGTTTGAGTATTATTGGCTAACTGGCGGGCTCGCTTCTCTTCGTATAGGATCAAGACGCAATTGACTTCACCGACAACGACCTCTCTACTCTAGCAAACTTCCCCCTCAGTCCCCGGATACGCACGCTACTGCTAGCCCGGAACCGTATCACAACTATACAGCCTACCTTGTCGAAGAGCATCCCGGGTCTGTTTTCGCTCGTGTTGACGGAGAACAACATCTCAGAACTCTCGGATCTGAATGCGTTGGGCGGGTTCACGAACCTCACACACCTGGTCTTGCTAGAGAATCCAGTCACGAGGGATACGGTATGTACAATCTCTGGTCACTGTATGATATGGATTATCGGCCTGCGGTTGGATGGCTATTGGCGATTTCTATGGCCAAAGGCTAACAAATCAGAACTACCGCTCCTGGGTTATCTTCCTATGCCCGGCTGTCCGATTCCTCGACTTCAAGAAGGTCAGAGACCCGGAACGGAGCGAAGCCAAGAAGGTGTTTGGCACAACCGCGCAGCCATCAGCTTTGGCCTCAGAGGTATCTACCCCTCCATATCTTCACACGCATATTTACGTTTTCTGACAACTTCTAGATCTTGGGAACCAAGTCTCGCACATTCGACGCTGGATCGGCAGTGAACGGCGACGAATCTGCGTCAAAGGAGAACCGGGTGCAGCTCAGATTGACGGCGCCCCAACAAAAGCGACTTGAGACACTGCTCAAGAAGGCTACAACCATCCAGGAGATTGCGTGGTATGAGAAGGAGATTAGCGAAGGTCGGATACCCCGAGGCGTGTTGGAGTCTGGATCTCCTGAGATTATGGAGGAGTAGACTATTGGGTGCTTCATTAGGCTTCCCGAGGTCAGAAATCGTGCTTTTTCTTGTCCGAATTGGAGTCAGCGGTGACTGTCAAGGACATGTATCGCAAAGCAGTAGCTAGATGCAGTGGCTAGATGCATTAGCTTTGCACAAAATAATACCTAGTCAGGGCATCTCAAACGGTGCCAGATCAGACTACACACAAGGGAACATTCCACATGGTAGCAGCGAAGGTCTTTGGTTGCTCTTTTCAAATACGTGTCTCGATAACTTAATGTGTTTTTCCTAATCCGATCGATCGTTGGTATACGAGGCTGAGCCTCCCGGCTCCTATTGCTGCATGTTATTGAATAAACCCGCAGCCCATAGGTATCCTACAGCCCAAAGCCAAAACGCCCTTTTATGCAGACGATATCCACCTTAGTACCAACCTACCACCTCCCCCCTCGTCTCCCCCCTCCACCCCTCCCACCACCGCCATAGTTCCCTCCACCGCCTTGTCCTTGCCCGTAGTTTCCGTACCCCGATTGATTCGGCTGGCCATACCCCTGGTTCGCCTGCTGCTGAGGCGGCTGCTGCTGTCCTGGCATTCCCTGTCCCATGCTCGCCATGAACGCGTTGAAATCTAATTGCGACGGATCCGTGACACCTTGCTGCATCATAGCCGCCTGCATTGCCTGCATCATTTGCTCCTCATTCATGCCCATCATTCCGCCCATACCACCCATCCCTCCCATCGCTGCCATAGGGTTATTCTGCGCCGCAGGGCCAGTGGGCGCGCCGGGAACGGGAGGCGCCGCGCTGGAGTTTGGAGGCATGGGTGCGGCACCGAACATGCGCTGGAACTGCTCAGTTTCGGCTTTCTGCGCCGTCAGCGTCGAGGCCATGGACGCCTGCTTCTGGCGGTACATCTCCCACGTGAACTCGTCGAAGCCGTAGTTGAAGTAGTCGGACTGGTCGGCGCCGGGGAGCCGCCAGGGCTTGGTGCTTTCGGCGAGGTCTGTGGGTAGAGGTGGTGTTAGTAGTGTTCTTTGTGAGGAATGTTCGGGATGTAGGGCGTAGAAGACGTGCCTGCATCGATGTCGATTTGGGAGACGGTTTTGCCAACGGGCGGGTAAATGGGGTCGGCGTTGACGTCTATTGTAGACGTGCGGACTTCTGGGAAGCTGGTTCCTAGTTGTTGGGGTACGCCGGGAGCTGTGGGAGTCGCTAGAGAGGCCTTTGCGGCGCTTCCTTGTTGCTGCGCTGTGCGAGTTGAAGAGGGCTCAGCGGGCGCCCGTGATGCTTCCTTGGTCGACTCGGCGGCAGCTTTTCTACTGTGTGTCAGAATGGCGGCGGAGAGCTTCCTGATGGAGGTTCGAAGGGATCGAAGTCTAAACGAACTCACGTTGTGGGCTTTGATTCTTCCTCTTGGGGCCGGTCTGTGATTATCTCGATGTCCTGCGGCACGTCAATAGCTGGTACGAGTGTGCTTTGACTTAGTGCTGCTCACCGAGTCGCTCTCCTCTTCCTCTTCCTCTTCCTCCTCCTCCCCGGACTCGAGCTCTGCGTCTAAAGTGTCGTCTTTATCTGCCGCTGGCCCATTGGACGCGCCCTGCCTGGCCTCAGTTTGGTCGCCGCCGATAGCATTGGAACTTTCCGGCCCATAGAATTCATCGTCGTCTTCTTCCATCCTGAGGTCGACTTTGGGATCGAAAGCTCGATTGCTATGCGGGTCCCACGGGACAAGGGTGTAGATTTTCTCGTAGACTCTGTATACCTGGCGAGCCTCGCTCAAATGGATTTTCTCTCGGTCGGTGTAGGGGCGTCTTGCGCCGAAAAGGACCTGGAGCAATCTCTTGGTGATAATGAACTTCGCCTTGGTCGTGTCGTCGCTGTGGAGTGGGATGGTTCAGCACAGAGCTCTCTGCACGTTCGTAGCGTGAAACCTTAATTCACAACACCAAGACTTACAGATACGGCTCAATAGTACACGACTTGTAGGCCACCACCTCACCCGGATTCGCGTTCACGCGTTCTTGTGCTAGCCTAGCCTCTCTCTCCACACGCATCTCTCGGTTTTTTTCCCTTCTCCGGTCCCTTTGCCCGGCCCTTTTGTGGCTCCGTATCGGAACAGGCCGCCATTCCCCATTTTCCATTGGAGTGACAACCTCGATAGAATCTCTCGATCTACACTCTAGTAGCGGCTTTCTGGACTCGACCTGTCTCGGACTTTGATTTCGCGGTTCGTTGGGACAAGCGCGCTGCCTGGACAGGCGCCCTTTACACGGCTAGCATTTTCTAGCAGTCTCAGACGCGCCTTCACCAATTCACCACCTCACGCGTCGGCTTAGGCAAGGACACCACAGGGCGCCTCTTCAAATACATCTCTGGCAGCGTTTCTTCGACATCTCCAGCAATCATGGCAGGCTTTGGGAGGTCCAACTCGTTGAGCATTAATACAGGAAGCTCGCTTTTGTAAGCCACCTTTCTCTTGAAAACCACATATGCGCGTACTTTGCAGCTTGTACTGACGGTCATCTGCCTTATAGTGGGAACACCAATGCCAACCAAGGCCAGCAGAGCGCGGGACTCTTTGGGGCATCGACAAACGCATCCCAACCACAGCAAACCGGCGGCCTCTTTGGCCAGGCGACATCGCAGCCGCAGAGTGGAGGACTCTTTGGTCAATCAGCAACAGCGCAGCCTCAGCAGAGCGGAGGGCTCTTCGGGAACCTACAAAAGCCTGCCCAACAGCAGACGGGGAGCTTGTTCGGACAATCGACTGCTCAATCACAACCGCAACAGCAACAGGCTGGCTCGTTGCTAGGGGGAAATCTGGGACAGCAGAACCAAAATCAACCCCAATCGGGAGGACTATTCGGAAACCTAGGCCAGCAGAAACCCGCCACACCGTCACTATTGTAAGTAAGGGGTGCCGTCCTCACGGTTCTTTGTTGCACACGCATGCAGACTAACATTCCTTACAGCGGCTCTACTCAAGCCAAACCCTCCCCTTCGTTGTTCGGTGCCTCCCTCCAACAACCTCAGCAGCAACAGACACAGCAGCAGCCATCTCTATTCGGTGGTATGGCACCTCAAAACACACAAACCAACACCCTCGGAGGCGGTCTAGGCCAATTCGGTCAAAGTCAAACGCAACCAACAGCGTCCTTCTCACAGCATACAGGCGCCGGCCTCGGAATCGAGGATGCCACACGAATCCGCGGCACAACCCAGTTCACAGACCTCAAGGTTGCCCTGCAGAACGAAATCGCAACCATCGAGCAATCCATCCAAGACCACATCACCTGGGCGCGCAAGAACACCGAATCCCTCGCCGCGCACGGCGCCCACGTGGCCCAGCTGCCGCCCGATGTCGCATACGTGCAAGAGAAGTTCAAGACCATGGAGCTGGCCATGGACAACGACGTCGTCGCGCTCGACCACGTGAAGCAGACGCAGAAGAAGGACGAACAGGATGTGCAGCTCCTGCAACGCGCGATCCAGAACATGGCGCTCCCGCAACACTACCACTACGCTAGCATGCGGGGTCTGAATGCGGCGAACGCCTCGATATCTGCAGCGGCGGCGGCGGGGGACGACGACGATCAGTACGGCAAGCCGGTGGACCTGGTCGCGTATTTCTCGCAACGCGGCGAGGTGCTGGATGCGACGCTGACGCAGTATAACAAGCAAATCCGAGAGATTGAGGCGCATCTGCGGACGGTGGAGTCGGGGGCTGTGCAGCGGGAGAGAGAGCTGATGGCTCAGGCGCAGGGTGGTAGTCCGCGTGGGAACGAGAAGCAGGAGCTTTTCGATGCCTTGAAGGCCATTGAAGGGGCAATCTTCCAGGTTGCTAGTAAGGTGGGCACGGCGCGGGAGATGGTCGTCAAAGAGACCTTAGGGGCGGTGGGAACGTAGGGCAATCGTGATGGATGTCAATGCCTTGGATCTTGCATGTTTGAGCGTCTGGGATGGCACTCATTGGGAGTTCTTTGTGCAAAATGAGCATTTGGCTGGCGAGCTCCAGGGAGTTACACAACATAAGGTTAGGATTCACAAGAAGTAACATATCTACAAAACCACAGTTCACAAAGGGTCACTCGTTTTATAATTATCCGTCAAAGAGATTTTTCAACTCGCCCATTCCTCATCCTACCTCCCTTCCACATCTAACCTCCTGACAATACCTTCTCGTCTCCTACCTCGTTTTCTCCTTACTTTAATACAGCCTTCACAGCAGGCACCTCCTCCCCCTTTTCCAAAATATCCGGCAACGGCCCCACCGGCGTAATCGCAAACTGGTTAATCTGCCCATGGCTCTTGGTGTAATGCTTCTTGATATGCTCAAACTGCGTCGTCTCCCCAAACGCCGGAATATCCCAATACAGGTGCCTCACCCACTTATGCAACGCCGGGAAGCCGGAGCGGATGTCGGCAATGTTGCACTTGAAGTGCTGCACGTAGACGGGGTCGAAGCGCACGATGGTGGTGAAGAGGCGGATGTCAGCCTCGGTGACGTGGGGCGCGGAGTGCAGGTAGGGGGTTTTGGAGGCGGCGAGGTGGGATTCGATGCGTGCGAGAGAGCCGAAGAGGGTGTGGACGGCTTTTTCGTAGGCTTCTTGGGAGCTGGCAGGTATGTGTGTTTAGTAAAACGGGTGAGATGGCAGGAATTGGGGGGGGGGGGGGGGATGGAGTGTGTGCTCACGTCGCGAAACCAGACTTGTAGACGCCGTTGTTGATGTCGTTGTAGACCCACTCGTTCTGCTCTTCAATCTCTTTACGCAAGTTCTGGGGGAACAGGTCTAGGTTTTTGTGCTTGTCGTCCAGCAAGTCGTCGAAGGCGTAGTAGAACATGCGGATGATCTCGCTGCTTTCGTTGTTCACGATCCGCTGGGCTTTCTTGTCGTAGAGAGTTGGCACAGTGAAGCGTCCTGGATAGTCGGGGTTGTTTTGATAGTAGATGTCTTGGAGATGTGTGAAGTCTGGGTGGACGGGGTCGGGCGTGGTATTCTCGCCGGGGATTTTCTCTTCTGCGGTTGCGAATCGCCATCCTTAGAAGCATTAGCGTAGGTTCTGGATGTTATCATGTAGATACAATGTACCTTTGGCTCCCATATGCCAGTGTACTGAAGTAAAAGGGATAATGTCCTGCAGGTCTTTCAATTGCCTTGCAATAAGTGTGCGGTGTGCTTCGATTCGTTAGCATTGAAAGTGATGTCTTTTGAGAACTACCGACCCCAGGGGCATGCATATGAGACATAGAGATGGTAGCGGTCTTTCTCAGCGGGGAACTCGGCGCCTGGATCTTTCGAGATGAACGATCTGAAGACAGATTGCTGCCTCTTGAATTCGCCTTTTGGGTCTTTGGGATCAACCCAGTTGAGGATGTTCTTCTTATCTTCTGACTTGAAGACATCAGTACATGGTATTTTTCAGCTGAAGGTCTAGAGAATACAAACCATGCTGGTACTGAAAGCTCTTATGAGGGATGTGGGGCTCTGTATATGATTGTTGATCAGTCGCAAACGGGAGAGAACTGAGTTCATCAAATTGAAATCAAGTAGTGGAACATAGAAGCACGAAAGAAGTTAAAGATCAAGACTGAAATACTACCTGAGAAGAAAAGCGGGAGTGTTGAAGCTTTAAAGCGGTGCAATAGAAATTATTCATGAGCGGGGTGGCTCCGCGATGGTGCTCGTCATCAAACAAAGGCGCCGCTAAGACAGCTTGACATTGCTGGGCATGTTTATTCAGCATCATGAAAGACCTGACAAACATTAATCGCCCTCGTCCAGCTTCACAAACCAGTGCAAAGGGATTATGCGAGTTTATAAACATATTCCTGAGCGTCAAGCTGTAAGGTCACGTGCCGTGGGAGAAGAAATCGGTGGGTTACAGTTATCTCAGGAACCTCAGCCGCCCCTTGAGGAATTTGAGGCGTGCACAACTTTACCCCCTACACCGCCCTCACCCCCCTGCCACCTACCCCCCTGCACGCCCTAAATTCCTCTGCGGAGCGTCTGAGGACATTTGGGCACGGGCTTGGTGTAAGCTGGTTTTTTTTCAACAGGTCAACTTTCTTCAGTGGACGAGAATAGGGTATTCTTAACCAGCCACGCTCTTGGTTGTCGATGCAATGGAATATTCAGGTACTCTTATACTTAATTTATATATTTATACTCTACTACCTAGAGTATTAGGGGGCGAACTACAGCGCCAAAAAAAGTGTGTTCATTTTTGTAACTGGTTCACGCGCCATTTCGATCTGCTTTTAAGATGGAATTTCACCACTACAGCTTACCTTACCCTAAGAACCTAGGAGCTAGATCTTAAAGGTGTAAGGAAGCAGCTCCCAAAGTTTTAGAATAAGGCAAGCTGTGGTGGTGGAATGCGACCGCAAAAGGTCCTAGATGGTCGCCCTTATTAACCGCGCCCAAAAGTCCTCAGACCCTCTACGAGGAATGGGCCTGCCCGTCACGTGAACCGCCTTTTTGGCAGAATTCTCTGCACAACGTGCACAACGCCCAACACCAACCACACGCACTCAGGCAGGGCAATATCCTCGCAGAGGGTCTGAGGCACCTGAGATAAGGTTACAGCAATGAAACAATTTACTTTCTCTTCTGAATCCATTAATCTCTCTAAGCATGTTAATAGAAGCTATAGATTGAGCAGCCTCCTACAAAGGTAGGCGGTGATATCAAGTAATTTAAACACGCACGCGGGGTATGAAGAAGGTGTATGCCACTGCTTAGGTGTCTAAATGCATTTTCAAAAATATGAACGGCATAGAAGCCATTGTCTTTGGACTATGTGGAAACTTGTTGAAGCACCTCAGGCAGCGTCAGACATGTGTACACATGACTGCACGGGATAGAATGTTGTTGGGCATCTATACTCGAAGGTGGTTTCCTTTTAGAAGCACCATCATGAAGCCATTGAGCCTGCGGAGGAGTAGGATCGTCATACCCAGGCTTCACTAAGGCACCTAATAGGGCAAATTTGCACGTGACCGTCACGTGACCAGCGACCAGAAGACTTCGAAGGTGTTGTGCCACCAATGAGACTTCAGCTGAGGCTTCAACCATGGCTCTGGAACGATAGCATCAGATGCTGTGGCCCTACGTAAATAGCACCATGACAGGTCGAACCGTGGTTCAAGTGTATTGGGAGAAGTAGAGCGGGATACGATCTCTAAAAGCGTCCGTAAATAGCCACATACGAGGGTGGTCTGGGCTTGGGTATTCTGGGAGGCCTTGGGGCGGTGCGTGTTCCATGGTCGAGACATGTTGGAACAGGACGACACCCCCACAATCGCCTTCCATTCTCGTGCAGGCGTGCAGGCGTGCAGGCGTGCAGACAGCCACGCCGGGCCAGCACTGAGGTGCAGAGGACGAACATAAGATCGGGGGACTGTCTCTCCACGGCGCCGTTGCGGCCGCTGGAGATGGGTGGGGTACATGCAGTCGTTCGGACCAGGTGTGGAAACGCTGACTGTGGACTCGAAACAACGTTGTTCGTGATAGTTGCGCGCTGAGAAAGCTGAGAGCCCTCCCGGCTACCCGGTTCGATCAAGCCTCAGGCTCCTTCGAGGATAGATTGCGGGGCGTCTGATAAGTGATGCGTTCAAAGCTCCAGGGCGCAGTCGGTCCCGACGGCCAGCGCATCGCATGCCCACGCTTCATCCATCGTACAGTAGCAGCGCGGGTAGGGCCGGTACCTAGGTATGCATGCGTCGGTACCTCCACCACCCACCGTTCTGCGGAAAAGAAGACACTCGGTGCGCGCCCGCGAGCCCAACGCGATGGAGATCCTACTGCCTCTGTTGCCGCCCGGCTCGTCACTTCGACCCTACGTATACGCCTCCACGGACGGCGTGCCTGGAAAGCGGCGGGGATGATGTCAGGGCGCTAGGATGCGCCTGATGGCTCGCACGCGGTGCACCGTTCTTTCTAGGGTTCTGCAAGGCCAGCGTGGTGGTCAAATGGCCCTGCGTCTGTGGTCTGAGGCCGCAGGTCCAATATCCGCGTGCATTGGCGTGCAGGCCGTCTCCGCCAGAGGGACGCCGGCATGAGGCAGACGGTGGGGAGATGATATGCCCGTGATGCAGCCATGATTGGCAGTGTCGAGATTCGGCTCATCTGGCGGTCGGCCAGCAGTCGCCAGCAGTCGCCAGCAGTGGCCAGCAGTGGCCCGGCAGCAAGGCCGCGGGCAGGTCCACGTCGATTCCAGAGCGCGCAGCCAGTGCGAGTTTTGCCACGCCCACGGCAGCGTTGAGGGCCGCGACTCGTGACGAGCGCAGGCGTTTGGCACGCTGCTGAAGCGGGAAGATCTGCTCTTAGCCACGGCCAATGGCGCCCTGCCGCCGCCACGCAGCAGTCTCTGCGCAAAAGAGGGCTCCCGCCCACCGGCGGGCTGGCAGCCAGCTTTATTATTCCCCGACCGCCCCCAGCGCTCGGCTGCCCTACTGTGCGCTGCGCAACTGCTCCTGCCCGGCTGCTCCGTGTGGGCCCGTCGCTCGGGTTCAACGTCGACGGCGCCGCTCTCACCTGGGCGCGCTCCCTCACAGGCCTTGCGCCCATCGGCCTGCCTCCCTCCTTACATCACAGCTTATATTAGGACGCCCTCCCCGTTCGGCCCGCCGTCTCTGCTCGTCCACGGTCCACCGCGCCGCACCGCCATGAAGCTACTCGCCTCGCCACCACCCACGCGAATCTCACCCGCCGCCATCCACGGCCCCCGGTAGCACCGCTCCCCAACTCCACCCGCCCGGCGCATGGCCATCGTCGCAACAACACCACCTCGACAGCGACCTCGCGATACCCGCTGGCCGCCCGATGCCGTGGCCGTTTGGGCGCCGTCGCGCCACCAAATTAAAAGTGGACGGGCCCGCCCCCGTCGCCGAAGGGAAGAAGCCTGCCGCTGCTTATGCTGGCCAGCGATCAGGCGTCATGCCCGACACGTCCCAGGCCCTGGGTCGCCGGATTAGCACACGCCAAAGCAACAGGCGCAAAAGGAGGCCCTCCTCCCGCTCCGACGCGTCCCTGCGCGACGTCAACCTCGAGAAGCATTCCTCCGACCTCGAGCCTACACACACCGCCAGCGAGAGGCAGCACCTCTCCCCCCCGGCCAGCCAGGAAGACATCACGGCCCTCCCCATCACCAAGGAACTCGGCACCAGTCCCCACCTGCGGCCCGTCACCCAGGAGTACGAAACACCCTACAACTTCCAGCTCCAGGGACAATCGCACTCCAGCATCCCGTCAGCACGCGAGCGCGGCAAGCTGCAGCGCCCACAGACGCTGCGGGGCAAACGGAGCGCCAACGACCCGGCCCTCCCTCGACGCAAATCCACGAAGAAGCGGAAGAATGACCACGTGCGGGAGGAGGAGATACGCGCAATGAGCATGCCGCTGCCCCAGAAGCGACCCGCCGGCAACGCTGGAGGAGGCATGTTGCGCCGCGACAGCAAGAAGATGCGCAGTGGCCTGAACAGGCACCTCGAACGGCCCACGTCCAACATCTCCCTACCTGTTGAGGAGTCAATCCACTCCTCAATGTCGGGAGGATCCGAGTCCCGCGCCTTCAGGGTCAGCGCCCTCGACATGTTCACGCCCAGGCCCAAGATCCGCCTCTCCGGCTTGCAGTACTCTCCAGGTGGCGCGAATACGTCACCGCAAAACCCATCACGGAACGAGTCGAGAAAGGAGAAGAGAGCGACGACTAGCAAGGATGGAAAAGAAAGCAAGGAGGCTTTGAACAAGAGCAGGACGATTGATGATCTAGCTGATTCGTTAGATGCAGGCGCTCTACGAGAGATTATGGACAGAGATAAGAGACGGAGAGAGAAGAAGAGGAAGGCTGATGAAGAACGTATCAAGCGCAAACTGGAGCGCAGAGCAGAGAAGCAACGGGCCAAGGAGCAGGCACAGGCACCAGGTGGCACGCCGGCCATTGTACCTCAGCAAGCGACTGGATCCGTTGGCCTAGGCATTCAAAAAGAACCGTCTACTCCGATGCACGAGCAGCCCGCCACCCCGAAACCAGACCCCATGGAAACCGAGTCGTCTAGCACCTATCTGAACTACCCCGCTAGCGGTCAGATTTCAAGTAATCCGTTCGAAAATCGCGAGTTAGAGATCCATCGTCCAATCGACGAGGTGCCCACTCCCTTGGAGAGTCCCTTCGAAGAGCCAATCGTCGCGGACGCGCAGGAAGTTCGCTATTCACGGGCAAGCATGTCGCCTCCTACTTCGCCAGTCCACCACGCTCGCGGTATATCAAACGTGTCTTACATGCCGGATCTTTTATCAGAAATGGTTACTCAGCAGCCGGTACAATCGGTCGAGCCGGTTCCTACCCCACAAGAAGCAACGAGCTCGAGACAAAGCTTACCCATTGCTCCAACGGAAGTCACACCGCAGCGAACGTCAGCTAGACGGAGTTCAGAAGCTAGCGGTAAGCGCGCAGGAGTCTGGGCGTCGATATTTCGTCGTGGGGGAAAGAGATCGTCTATTGACCAAGGACGGACAACACCGTCAGAACATTCATTTTCAAACACGTCGCGAGAATCAATGTCGCGTCAACCACCACCCGCACATCTGGTGGGACCGCCGCAGGTTCGGCGGACTTCGGGCACTCCAGTTCGTACCATGTCTAAGTTCAAGGAGGACCTTCCAGATTTCCCATTGTCGCCTCCCGACTCAAGGGTCCAATCACCGGAGGTTTATGCATCGAGCTCGAAGCCTATTGCAGCTCGTCGGGGGAATAAGCAGCCGTCAAGTATTCACATCGAAGGCGGAAGTCGGCCAGGCTCTAAGCGTGGGGCAGACGCTCTTATTACCCCAACGGACGACGTAAACCGGAACGATTCGCCTGTCAGCCCTGGTGGTCGCGCTTCGCGGATAATGTCACAGTCTCTGGCGTCTGTGGACTCAGAGGGATCGTGGCTTTCAGGGAAGCCCGTTAAGAGACGGTCAAATCAAGTTCATGTTCGAAGCAGCGTTGGTTCGGCTGTCACACCAAAGCAGCATGAGGACTTCAACGCTTCTTACGAAGAACTTGGAATCCCCGACGACGAGTATTTCCGCCGATTGACGCCACAGCCAGACGAGAAACGACGATCAGCACAATCTGGTGAGCTCTTCACTCGCAAGCCTAGCAGCACAGCTATGGCTCCAACAGCTGGATCCGATACAGACGACGACGCACAAAGTAACGCAGCCGAAAAGCTAGTCGACCAGGAAACCGTCCACAGCGGGGTTGCTCGTCAGCCAACTGTTGTGCACAGGAATCCTCGAGTCAAGTCTACCGAAGCGCTGGTGACTTACTTCCAAGCTGACGAAGCCTCTGCGGCTGGATCATCACCCTCGAATGTCGGCGAATCTCCTGATCAGGATCGGGAGTCGCCCACAGAGGAGCAGCCGGTTTTGGTGCAACGCGCAAGGAGTGTCGATCTTGGCAACCATGTGCGACACCTCAGTGCGGGATCTGCAAAGCTATTAGACATACCTGCACGAGGGTCTTCTGTCGACCAAAGGCGTGCGAGCTCTACTTCTCATAAATCGAGAGCGTCGATCGTTGAGTGATCGGAATATGTTGCATGAACGAGGAATTTGTTAGAACCGATCTGTCGTTGCCAGCCACGCCACTCTTTTTCGTAATTTCCTTTGTCATTGTCAGTCTTTTCTGGACCTCATTCCGATCTCAGTCACTCGTTTTTACTTCCCTTGAGCTTTTGTGTCTTCTGTCTCTTCGGTAAGCAACGACAGCTGGTTCTAACATCCCTACGTATCTGTCCAACGTGCTCTGCCCTCCAACTTTCAACCATTGATGAAATGCGAATTGGCTATCTTTCTTGTTTTGGGGCGAAGGACGGTTTATTTGGATTCAACAGGAACTGAAAATACCCTTCTCTTTATAGTTTGTACATCAGCTGTCGAGAACAGACTGTCTAATCTCGTTTCGTCTGTCGAAAAAATTGGCTACGGGATGTCTGGGTCCGGTATAGATGGCAGGGAGCGAGTATCTGGTCTCCGCTGACCCGGCTGGCTTGGAGTGTGTGATATCATTTTTTTTTCTGGGATCGGTCTGGAGAAGACATGTGGATCTTCTTCCATCTCGCCACGATTGAGCGAGCGAGCGTGTTTTGGTGGCCTTTTGCCAGTCGTACACCTTTTCAGGTTGAGATTGTGTAGTGTAGTTTCAACGCACTTGTATTGATGGTTGATGCCAGTTCAGTCATTCATTGTCATATTTTCCGTAACGGTGTGCACAGACTATCGAATCTTACGGAGCTCATGCTGCCAAAAATACTGCTCTTTGGCATGGTCAACATCACTGATCTCATAGACTGAGCAAACAGTGCAGACCACATGTCTGTCTAACCTGGGAAGCAGAAAATAACATAGCAGATGGCCTGGGAAGCAAGCGCAGAGTTGCCCATACCTTTGTGTGCATATAGAGATCAATAATCAAGACTTCTGACCTCAGCATATCGAGGCTTTGCCCAGTCCAGGAACAGTTAGTGACGATGCTCAATCTAGGAGGAATCTAGGGAGTGAATTCCACATGACTATGATTCAATACAAGAGTCCCTCTTCATCGGTGTGAATCAATTGATTACCAACAAGTATATCTATATCAAATTGACTACATGATGTAGCCTCACTGCCGCGTACTACCCTTGTCGATAAAAGTGGTAGATGCGATAGCGAAGTGAATGCGTGCACATCACATGTGGCTTACTCCGAAGTACCCCGCCGTTGGGCGATTAAGCACGTCATATTTCCAGCGCCGTCTTCTGGCCGCCGAGGGGCTGAGGGGTCTTTGTATACAGTAATCAGCCAAGCACCCGCAATCGCCGCCCCAGAACCTTCTCAGCGACCACAAACCCAGTATCACCACCAGACACCCGTCCTACGATTTGGAATCCAGTAAGTCGCCCTTTTATTCCTGTTCGCGCGCAAGCCACGCCACTATCCTGCTTCCTTCTGCACCGAGCGAACACCGCCGTAGCACGGGCCGTCAACACTTGCCGAGAACATCACCTAAGCATCATTGGAATTGTAATCCAGTCCGCAACCATCTCGAATCCACGCTTCGCCCCCGAGTCACCCTTCCTGCTCTGTATATAATACATCAACGTTCTTGATGCTCGCTCCTTCAGTATTCAGACGAACTTTGCTCATCACTACGTCATCGCGAATAGTTTCAGCTTCGACAAGCAACCTGTACCGACCTCTCTTCACTCCTCAATTCTTTCATACCACCAGCAAAATGGGCAAGGAGGGCGTACACAACCTGCAGACGTAAGTCTTCCACCTCTCTAGAGTCCACATCTGATGGACTTGGTCGCTATTGCGCGCATGCACTGACTCAAGTTCTCTTGACAGGAAGGCCGCCTTCGACAAGGCCCTAGAGGATGATAAGGACACTCTCCTCGTCCTCGATTGCTTCGCCACCTGGTGCGGCCCTTGCAAAGTCATCGCTCCTCAAGTCGTCAAGTGAGTGTCCTCGTCGCACGCGCAACGATCGCAAACGAAATCTGATCTCATCTGCAGGTTCTCCGACAACTACCCAACCGCGAGATTCTACAAGCTCGATGTAGACGAAGTCCCCGACGTCGCGCAGGAACTCGGCATCCGCGCCATGCCCACATTCATGCTCTTCAAGGGCGGCAAGAAGATCACTGAGGTTGTCGGCGCCAACCCCAAGGCTCTTGAGGCAGCTATCAAGGCCAACTTGCCCGAGAGCGAGAAGCCATGAGGTATATCACGAAATGAATAGCGGGATGATGGATGCATGTTCTCATAAATTTGGAAGGACGACTGTGATAACTGCATGGCTATGGGATGCAGGCGAGCCGGCCATACCTTTTCAAGCGAGCAACGGTCGGTAGTATTATAGGCTCCCCAATACCGTCATTCGGCAATACAAATGTAACATCTTACGACTATGCTGTGTTCAGTGGCTTGTAGAAATGTGCCGGTGCCATTGCGAAAGAGGCTCTGTGTGATGGTTGAGACAAACCGGCCGATCGGAATCCAGGCACTCGGACAAAGTAATCAGGGCACCCCTCCAGCACTTTCCAAATGCGTAACTATCAAGAAACCTTTTCATTGCTTTGTAATAGCGGATATAGACGCCGGACCGTTCACGTTCTTTCGATTCCTCTACACCGATAAATGATGAAACTTTCCATATCAGGACGCAAACAGTGGTCTTTCTCTTGCGCGTAGTGCAGCAATTAAAACGCAGAACGATCTCGATTCTATGAAGTATCAATACATTCGGGCCGCCGCTCTGGCTCCCCGAGACTTTACGAGCCGACGTGGACGAAAGCAAGGTCTTGACTATCTCCCTCTACGTTCTGTCTTCGCTGCGGCTACTACATGAAAGACCTGTTATGTCGAACAGTCAAGTTCACCAACCGCTTTAAAGCAACGTGACTGCCCTTGCTAGAACGTTGGAACTTACACGGCTCCTACGAAGCTCATGTTAGATTTTCAAACTCCATCCATCGCCTCCAGACGCCTATCCTATGTATCTGCGTGATTGACGTCACTATTCGTGAAAAAATAGTGGCCCTTGCCTAGTTAGGCCGGACATAGTATGTACCACTCACGCAGCTTGTGTGGCCACTTCAATGATAATCTTAACAATCGAGACCTCATCCTTGGCCGGACCAAGATTGGGCTTTCAAAAGATATGCCAAGAAACCACCTTACGCGAGGAGTGAATTGCGACCTTACCCATAGAGGCAGTCAACTGGCTTTGGGCCTTCTTTCTATGCACTAGAAGACTTCCGAAGTACATCACTATTCAATATAATCCACCTACCTCCCATCCCCAGTCCCAAACTACCCAACCTCTTCTCCAGCCCTCTCCGATCCCTATCCCAGAAGACCAAACCCCCGCCTCGTCCCCCTGCCGTGTTCAGTGTTCAACAACTCCCCACGCCAACCACTTCGTTCGGCGTTGCCCCATTACAACCCCACCACTTCCTCAATCCAGTATGATCAGACCCCTTGCAGCAGGGAAGTGTCGAGGGTAGAGAGAGAGCATAACAGCCTTCCGGAATGGTACTAGCGCCGATATGAACGTATGCCCCCTCTCATAATCCCATCAGCTGAGACTACCCGCATTGAATCGATCTAAATGTGAAAGCCTCAGCCGCTTAAGTCGTCATACCGAGGGGACGCATTAGGCGGAAGAAGTAACACTTGCAACTGGCAACCCTGTGGGGATTCTGTACCCGTTTGCCGTTTGGTGAAAATAGTAACGTATTGAACCACGTGAGATGAAGGTTTTGATAGACGCGGAGGGGTATGCGAGAGCTACGTTGGGTAGTTCCTTTTCTGGACGGGAGTAGGTGCCTTGAAATCGCGGAAAGGGGGGGGGGGGGGCTTTTGGCAGGAGGATGAGGGAAAATGCGCTGAGGCGCTTCCTTGGTAGACGCACGTGGTTTAGTTACTATTTGTTACAGATCGGGCCGTGTGAGAGCGATATTGGCAGACGCACGGGAGGCGTCGCGTACGCGCAGTGTGGATCTTTATTCGGACGTAAGTAACTGGTTCTAGAGGGTATATTCTAGCTCAACGGGTGGATCCGTAGAAGAAGGTAGTGAGGTGCCTCCATGAAGGCTCTGGTCAATCTTCTCACAAAGATTTACAGATCGAACCGCGTGGAACCGTTTTTGATAGACGCAAAGGGTATATGGAGGTGCACTTAGTGTAGTTTGTTATTGAGATATAAGCAACTGCCTCCGGGGGTCCGATATCAGCTCAACGGTGACAGACCGATAAGAAAGCGCGAAGGTGCCTCTACGGAGGCTTTAGCGGCGTTAGTTGCAAAGAGTCACAGATTGAACCGCACGAAAGTGGTTTTGGTAGGTGCGGAGTGCGCGCGGCGCGACTACTGCTTGGTTTCTTTTTATAGTTGAGATAACGGAGTGCATAGAGTACGATGTAGCTTGATTATAGAAGGTCGAGGTAACAGGCTGAGGGACCTCCGAAGTTGCTTTTATCAGTTTAGCTGCAACGACTTTGTGTATGGCCCTGAGGAGGCAACGGTCGCCAGGGCATGAGGAGCTATCTGATAGGGTTCAAGCGTGGGCTTTCAAAGCCGGTGAAAGGCCATGTATCCGAGTGCGAGATAGACGCGAAGGGGTCTATAGGGTTCGGGAGACGTGAAGACGATTCCGAGATGTCGGCCAATAGATCAAGGATGCGGGAATGAGATGATGGGTGGACAGCTACTCGAGTGAAGCAGTATATAAGACTAGACACATGGCAGTTAGATACCGGTATGCATGAAGTGCTGAGCGAGTGACGGAGGAATCGAGAATGCAGTATCTTTTGCGAAGTATCAACTCGTCTGTGAGTCCACACGATCAGTGGTCTTGAAACATGGTTCTCGATGGTGGTCTACTCGGCTACCGTTTAGTCTTCGAGAGTTCCGTGAGGTTGACCTTGTTTGGTTCTTCTCGACGCTGCTTCGGTCAAACTATATCTTCGTTAATCAAAGCCACAAGCTCGAGACAATCAGAAGCGACCGTCTGCACGTGCTCGGTTCGCAGGTGTTCAGGGGAGTCACTTGTACCATGTTGCGGAGCCGCGCGTCGCGAATGTGGACAAGAAAGTTGTGAGGCATTCGAGCCTGGAACGTGCTTGGGACCCGGGGTGCAATTGGTCATGTCGTCAAAGTGTTTGTTGCGGAGAAAGCTACAGCGTTATCGGGCGCTGTGGCGCCGCCATCTGAATGATTGTGCCGGAGACGACCTCCCCCTTTCACAACGTCCACGGGGCCTGCGTGGTGGAGAATCAGATGCTGGTTGGCTTGCACGTCTGCCTCCTAAGGCGAGATAGGCATGTGAAATGGAGATGCGCGTCTCTCCGCAAGGCGTGCCCCCGACTGTCAGCGACCGCCGTCCAACCACAGTGCAGAGATGGAGCGAGAGATGGTACGGCGGAGTCACGTGGCCATCCTCCTGCTCTTTCAAGTGCTCGTTCTGTTTCGGACAGGGTGCTTCGTCGCCAACGGGTCCTTTCGCGAATCTGCAATATCTCCTCGAAGAAACCGCATGACGCCGGTGGTGTAGCATATCGGTTTGCAAGGCTGGGTGCTTGGCTCTCATGTCCAGCAGTCGTGACATGGCTCCGCCGCCCGAGAAGAGGACAGCGAGGGCCTTGGCAGTGAGACTTTGACACATGTGCTGCTCCACTGTGGCTCCGCTGGCCCAAAACTGTTCGGATAGCGGCCACCAGCCTCCCGCCCAGGCAATTCAAGCCCTTGGCAACGCCCAGGGCGAGCAATGTGGGTGGGCGGAGGCTTCGGCAAGCTGCTTGGCCCGTCGCAAGCTCTCTCAGACGGCGCTTGGCTCAAACCAGCAGTGATCGATGGCCTCTGTTCGGCTTCCCCTGTGCATCACTTACCCTACCAGTCGACTGCAATCCACAATGCCTGGATAACCTGCGATTAAACTTGTGATCCGCGCCGAGGCCACGCCTACCATGTCACCATGGCTAACAATAAGAAGAGGCGCTCCCAGCCCTGGCGACCTCCGCCGCAGCCCTTTCTCAACCGTGGTTCTTCCCCTCTCCACCTCTTTCTCTTCATAGAGCCGTGGTTCCGTTCGTGTCTATGATTTTTCTCTTATCTACCGTCACTCACTGAGCATTTCACTGCCGTCTCATACTATCCTCTCATTGCTTTCATGACCTTTCATTTCCCAGTCCTCCATATTTGCCAGCGAGAATGGGCCGGGAGAGCGCCAGAAGCGTGAAGTGGGTCGAGGTTGGTACTGCCAATGTCAGAGCTTCAAACACATGTCTGACTGATCCTATGCAGGGCCTTCGCGGCATCGCATCTGTCCTTGTGATAGTGACCCATCTGGCGCGAGCCTTCGACTACCGACTATTCTGGCCGAAGGATAATGCAGACACCACACCGCGCCTCCTTCAATATCCCATCATCCGAGTACCGTGGCAGGGCCGCATCGGAGTTCCCATCTTCGCCTTCCTCACCGGCTTTGTGTGTGCACTAAAACCACTGAAGCTATCCCAGGCCGGCAACCCCTACGCCGCCTATGAAGCCATTGCCAAGAGCGCATTTCGTCGACCACCACGATTGATACTGCCGGCTACCATTGCCCTCCTTATTTCATGGACCTTCACCGTGTTTGGAGGCTATCGGGCGGCCTCTCGCTGCGACTCATATTGGGTCCGCTTCGACAGCCCGATCCAGGAGGAGACACTATGGCTTGAATTCGTGCGGCTGTTTGACACGATCCGGAGCACATGGACAACCAACGAAAACATCTATGACCGCCATCAGTGGGCCATGCTGCGACTGCTGGTTGGCGCCTTCCACGTCTACATCACGCTGGCCGCGACTATGGCTATGAGGCTACGGTATCGCATCGCCGTTTACGTTGGCATGATCCTCTACTGGTGGCAAGACGCGTCCCAAATGACTGGTACGCCCACCTCCCCCTTTCCCCAACCCTCCGTACCCGCGCTGACCACTCCTCCCCAGAAACCTTCGGCGTCCAGCTCTACTTCGGCATGCTCATCTCCGACCTGTCCCAGCAATCCGCCATCCAAACCTTCATCTCCTCCCACCGCCGCGCCCTGAACTACCTCGCCGCGCCCATCCTCATCACCTGCGGCCTCTACTTCGCCTCCTACCCGCAAGAGCACCAAGAATGGGAGCCGTGGTCCGAGTACCTGCAGTCGCTGACGCCCTACTTCATCCCCGAGCGCGTGCACCTGGGCGAGCACGGCCGCCGCTTCACGGCCATCGGCACGGATCTGTGCATCGTCGGCGTCTTCCTCTCGCCCGCGGCGCGCCTCGCGCTCGAGCACCGCTGGCTCATGTGGCTGGGGCGGCACTCGTTCGCCGTCTACCTCATCCACGGCACGATTCTGCGCACGTTGGGCGTCTGGATCGTGTATGGCATCTCTGGGGAGCCGTGGCACCAGGCGGTGGAGGGGGAGAAGCAGTACTGGTTGCAGAAGCGGGGCGGCGCGCCCGTGGTGTGGGTCAGTATGGTCACGTTTGTAACGCTGACGTATGCGGGCGCGTGGCTGTGGATGCGGTATGTGGATGAGGCGTGTGCGCGGGCGACGCAGTGGCTGGAGGCGAAGGTGTTTGCGAGTGAAGATGAGGGAGAGCTGGAGAAGGAGAGGGAGCAGAGGGGGCCGCTGCTTGTTTGAGGCAGTAGTGCTTGCATTCAGCATCAGCTTGGGAGCCATCAGCTTGGAAGTTGAAGTTCCTTCTAAGTGAATATTCATTCTCATGATTATGATTCTTTCTCATTTCATGCACAGCATTCGATGGTGTTTTGAGGTTTGATTGAAAGGTTCCCATTTAATATATACAGGTTGAATGAGAAGCCAGCCTTCGAGATCCCAACTGGACTTTGGTGAAAAGGAAATTAGAGTATTCGTCTCCGGGTTTTCTCATAGTCTCGTCGCTTCATCGCCGTCGCTGTCTGATCTCCATTTCCCGTCTCCTACCCAAGGAAACTAATGGTACAGTTCCTCTCTTTCATCAACATCCACCCATCAACGCCGCGCCGCTTTTTTCTATACCCCGGCATGAAATCGCCTATTTGGAGGTGTCCAAAACGTAGCGACCGGCAATGGCACCAGCACGCATCTTCTCGTAGACCATGGGCAGCTCAGAGAGACCGACAACCTTGTAGGGTGCCTTGATGAGGCCGCGGCGGTAGAACTCGAGCGCCTCGGCGGTGTCCTTGCGGTTGCCGACGTACGAACCCTTGATGGTGACCATCTTGATGACGGACTCGAAGACGGGCGCGCGCAGGTAAGCGCCGGCGGGCAGACCGATGCAGACGACGGTGCCGCGGGGGCGGACGTACTCGGCGGCCTGCTGGAAGGGCTTCTCGTTGACAGCGACGAGGAGCACGGCGTGGGGCCCAAGGCCGTCGGCGGTCGCGGCCTGGACGTCCTTGACGAGGTTGGTCGACTTTGCGAAGTCGATGAAGGTCTCGGCGCCGAGCTCGCCGGTCACCATCTTCTTCTTGTCCTCGCCCGTGTCAATGCCGATGACCTGGAGGCCCATGGCCTTGGCATACTGGCAGGCGAGGGATCCGAGTCCACCTCCAGCTCCGACGATGGCGACAGTCTCGCCGGGGCGCGCGCCCGACTCCTTGAGGCCCTTGTAGACGGTGATACCGGCGCAGAGCACGGGTGCAATGGCGTCGAGGGGAATGGATTTGTCGATGCGGGCCACGTGGGCGGCCTTTGCAATGGCGTATTGCTGGAAGGAGCCGTCGACGGTGTAGCCGGAGAGCAGGGCGTGTGCGCAGAGGGGCTCATCGGACTGTTGGCAGAAGGAGCAGGCCAAGCAGGATCCGTTGATCCACTTCACACCGACGTGGTCGCCAATCTGGATCAGTTGTCAGTATGGTGGATCTGAAACGTGGGGTGAACGTGGGGTGGACAGAATCGGAAACATACCTCGATATCCTGGGCGAGGTTGCCCTTTGCAACCACAACACCGGCGCCTTCGTGGCCACCGACGAGGGGCAGCTTGGTGGCCAGCGGCCAGTCGCCGTTCAAGGCATGGAGATCGGTGTGGCAGACACCGGAGAACTTGATGTTGACCAGGACTTCATCTGGGGCGGGCTTCGCGACGGGGATCTTCTTGTACTCGAGGGGGCCGCCGTTCTTCTCGAAGACCTGGGCGTACTGCTCTGTTGGGATTGAGGGCGCCATTGTGATGTAATTGGCGAGTTGAAAGGAAGTCTGGGGTATAAAGGCTTGTTGTTTGAGTGAGGAATGTTCAGTGGACTGATGATTGAAAGTGTCACCGACGGCGGGCAGCAGGCCCTTTATACTGGTCACTCATGTCACCAGAGCAGCTCTCGATTCGAAACCCCACTTCCAGCGCGTCGTGTCCCAGGGTCGCGATGATACCGGAGGACAAGCTTGGCGGGAGCTGTGGGCTACGAGCTTCCCACCAATGCACCACATTGCCGCATCCGGCTGGCGGCCGGTGTTCCGGAAGGCTTTCAATGGGCAGGTGGAGGCATGATTGGCGCCTCGCAGCAGAGCCACATCTGCAGTTGGCGGCAGCGCTCTACACGGAGCATCGGATGACAGTCTCACGACGCCTCGAAGGCTTCTCGGCCGGCTGGCGACGAGCTTTGCTGCTCCCACGCGGGCACGGGTAGCAATCTCAAAGGGTTTTTTTCCTCTGTGCTGAGGTGGGCTGACTTGGCGGGCGCGCTCCGTGGCAGACACTGTTGCAGTAGGAACCGCGGTGCATGAGCATGACGTTCTCGAACAAACGGCACCCTAGCAAGCGACGCATTCCACCGAACCTCACCTGATGATTTACCCCTCCACCCCTCCATCGCTCCGCCGCGCACCGCAGCCTGGGTAGGGCTGGTGGCGACACCCCTATCGCAATCAAATCAATCAATCAATCATCAACTCCCATAACAGTCGTGATCGCACCGTCTGCACAATCAATAATCAATTCCATCTGATCGATGGCATCCTCCCGCCAGCCCCTCAGCCTCAGCCCCTCTTCCTCCATCACAGCCAAAAGAGTTAAAACTTCATCGTAGTCCCACAGCCCGGACATGAGGATCCCCCCCTAACAGCCTCCCTCCCACCATCCCTCGGTCGAACGCACCCACCAACCGCCTGCCCACCACTCTGCCTTCAAACCTCTTCCCCCGCAAGCCCCACCACCGTCCCCCTTCCCCGCCCCCAACACCGAGCCACCAGCACGCTACGCGCTCCCCAGAGCCGCAGGACCGCCCATCTACCGATGCTGGTGCCGCATCAGATGCGCGAACCAGCGCCCTCGGAGCCTTTCGCGGCGAATCTCCATTGTGGAGATGCATGCCGCCGGCGGGACGGCTCACGTTGGTTACCTTGGTCCACCACGCGGTAGGCTATCGCGGGGTAAGGGTCTGCCGCGGAGCTCCACGCCCCGTCTGAGCGCATCCAGGCGCGCTGCCATAATCTCTCGGGCTGCACATGTGGGTTCCTGGTGCATTTATCGGCTGAAAGGGTGAGGGCTAGGTGCAGATGTGGATGCAACGAGGGGGCGCTGTGGAGGGAGATGCACATACGTGTTCGTGAACTACTTTGGCCTTGGATCGTTGCAGAGGTAGGTGAGTATACACCGCGAAACCACTCGCAGCAAGCCATACCACCCCCGAGGTGGTTCCAACGTTGCTTGAAGCTGTCTCGACCTATTCTCGAACCCCAATTGCGGGGGAGAGCCTAGAAGCTTTGTTAGACTTTTGCTCGGCCTTCGGGTCATTGTGAAACTGTATCCCCAGGCCACCACAGCTAGGGGTCCTCGTGCAGGTAGTTCCCTGTACATCTTGCATTGACTCGCTAGTGCAGAGAAAATAGACTCCTTTTCGCCGATGAATGGCCAATAGAAACTTAGAGCTGTCCTGGTCCGAGCTCCATCTGTTCCGGTGCCCCTTCTGGAATCGAAGAGCTCATGCACCCCAAGAAACTTCGCATCTTTCAATCCACTATTGCACCTCCCCACATTGGACCTCGAATAACCCTCAGATGTAAGAAACGAGAACAGTGAAAGTTAAAAGAGAAATCATAAGAAAGAAATCTTCGAAGCATCAACCGCCCATACATGACGTCCGGATGAATAAATACGGTAGATGAGTGTCAGGGATTTGCGACTCAAACATGGCATCATCCAGTAATCAACGACCGGCTTCAGAACTACCATCAAAAAGCCATCCATTCGGCCTACTTGGCCACCTCTGATCAACCAGCGCACTCACGCGATTCAGGATGCGATTGCCGCCTAGAAGAACCTGGAAACGCTCGACTCGCTCGTCTGCTGACAGTAGGATGAAAGCGGGAAGGCCGAAAACCTGAGTCTCGTTTTGATCCGATTCGGATGTCGATAAGAACGGTGTGTTGGGGGGAGGCTTCAGCGCGGCGAGGATAGCTTGGGCTGCATACGCATTCACTCCGCATCGGCGAAGAAATAGCTCCCACTGAGTAATAGAACCCAAACATCAGTAGCGCGTCCAATGTAGGTAGTCACTGCTAGAGAAAAGCTACTGCCCACTTACCAAAGTCTCCTCTTGCAGCAACTTCATCTCGTTGGGCCTATCTGGAATCGTTGAGATACCCCAGCGCTGCATGGCCCACACAATCCATCTTGCAAGAGCCTCTTCTCCCCCGGGTACGTACTTGATGGACACCGCCGCTTCCATGGACGAGCAGAAGTCTTTCAATTCTGTCAATGCTTTGGTGTCATAGTCGTCCAGTGGATTCTCGAGTCCATCTCTCTCACGTTCTGCACTGAGACCCTCGCTGACGAACACGACTAATTGCTCGTACCTACCTGATAACGCAAGCACTTCAGCCCTGATTGAAGAGTGATCAGGCTGTCCTGGCAGAGCCCGTTGTTTGATCTGCTGCAGAGTCGTCAACACTAGCCCGGTAGAAGCTGAAAGAATCAGGTCTGCTTCTTTGGCAGGTGAATTAGGAGCCTCGAAGTCTCGTTCGATCAGCTCTACTTCGGGATAGACTTTCTGTATAGCTCTAGTCAGATAGCGTTGTGTTAGGAGCGCGGCTGAGATGATGAATGAGCAAGGTGGGAGGTTATCCGATGTAGGCGGCACGCTGGTGCCTTTCCGAGTAGGCTTCAGAGCAGCCGTTGACTGTTCAGTAGTGAGCGGGACTTCTGGGGTTGTATTTTCGGATCTCAGCGGTAAGAAAGCAACATTGGGGTCTCTCTCTGTCGTGTTAGGTTTCTTGGGTGCTTTGCCACGCATGTCCATGAATTTGTCCAGCGCTGTGGATGCTGAGAATATGCCGCCAAGCATAAGGCCACCGTCTGGCTCGTGAACTTTTCTCGTCGTGCCAGTGATCGCTTCCTGCTTGGAGCCGGGTGCTGCGCGTTTGGCAATTGGAAGGCCATGCTCGGTGACACGCTTATCGTTTCTTGTCGCATCAGAACTCATCTCCTCGTCCTCCGCCAATTCAAGTCTCCTTTTTCGTAGAAGAGTCTCCATGTCCTTATCTGGGCGATAATTTCCCATTTCAAGTTCTTCGTCGCTTTCCTCTGTGCAATCAAGAATTCTTAGCCCCTCTGGCTTCCAAGTCAAGGCTTCAGTATCCACGGGATGCCCTCCACTCAAATCCTTCAGCAGCTGGAGTAAGAAAGCATCGTCTTCAATTTCTTCATCTAGAGCAACTTTGCCTAACTGGGACGGGAATGGACTCCATGGAAGATCTTTTTCAAGTCGCCGGACGCCATGCCATGATGAGAAGTCATGGAAGTCATGGCGTTGAATGATTTTGAGTAGCCTCATCTGAGAAGCTAGATCTGTCTCGTCACTCCCATGATTGCTATTTGCCTTATGCTGGAACTCTAGCCACGGTGACTGAGGCAATGAGAAGTCAAGTTGGGGCACACTCATTCTTCTAGTCGTATCGATCTCCTGAAGTTGCTCATTTTCGAGCCGTTGATTAGCTACTACTGCGCGCGGATTGATCACTTCGTCGAAGAAATTCTCGAAGTCATTCTGAGAGCTGATTAAGTTGCCACCAGAGTTGATCGTGGGCGGGAGCTTTAAAGTTGGAAGAAACTCTTGAGCAATATCCGAGAAGGAAACCGACTTGGTTCTTTTGCTTGAAGACTCCAGTGTCATGGGCGGAGTAAGCGGGCCTTCGATCTTTAGATCAACAGCTTTGCGCTTCCGAGGTGACGAAGATGGAAGCTCTGATAGATCACGGAGCGGACTGTAGATTTGACCGATATGAACGTCGCCAGGAAGCAATGATTCACTCTTACCAGAACCAGTATACATTGTAGGAGGAAGGATTGAGTCCATTTTCATAAGGTGGTCGTCAAGCGCTTGTCCTTCTGCGGCTGTTGAGTTAGTGAGATCAGAGAGTACCTCCATATGACCAGCTAGGGAGTCGAAAGCAAACGCATCAAGCGGAGGCGTAAGAGGGAGCAACGGCGGAGTCATTGGCTCGATGGCTGGATTCTGACCTCTTTAGTAGTCATTCTTATGCACGATGGATTCCACCTACTCGTCTGTACTGATCTGCCTCGGCCTTCATTTCGTCGAGATCTCTGGGGATGTAGGAGTCTTTCATGGCCGACTGGAGAAACAAGAGATCTTCTTTTGATATTTGCAGTCTCTCTTTTCCTGCCTCCTGGTGCTTGACAAATGGCAGAGCAAGATACCTCGAAGGCCAGGCGAGCCCTTCGTCATTGTCGTCATCAACCAGCTCGAGAGGTAATTTGAGCGTTCCAAATTTCGGCACTGCGATACTTCCGAAATTGCGCAGGTCAGCTTCATTATCAGAACGCAACAATGGTAGCTCTAATTTGAGCTGCGCCACTCTACGCCGGTCGTCAACGGTTGGATCCTGGTAGTCGGGCAGTACCGGTTGGGAACATGTTAGCTTCAAGAGTATCGCTACGTCTTTGCTCAGAGTTAGTCGTTCTTTTAAGACGAAATCCGAAGCCAAGTCCACTAGTGAGATGCCGATGGGATCTTGAAGATCCGTTTCGAAATCTTGATCTGATACAGGCGTGACACGACCGGCAAACGTTAGTTCCGCAGTGTAGGGTATGGTCAGCTCAGATTGGCGTGCGTATTCTAGAGCGCTCAAGTCTTCGTATTGATCTCCGGTGTCCTCATTGTCGGCATTGTCGAGCGACCCTTCGGAGAAAGGTATGACGCTGTCATAGCCACTCCTTTGGCACGCAAGCGCGGGTTCTTGGGGCTCTGACATGCCTAAGTCATGCCGTAACAATGCTCCCGACTCGATGAGAGATGATCGCGCGTGATGATGTCCAGGGAGAGATGAAAGTCGATGCGAAGTTCCCTTCGACGAGCGGGATCGGCAATCACGTGATTGAGCTACCTTTATCTGGATTAGCGCATATCAAGCATTGCCGAGAACCTTGGAATTATGCAGGCCAGGCACATCACCACCACGAGAAGACATCTAGTTCAGTCAATTTTATCCATATTTTGGTGTCATGCCTTAAGATACATGCAATGAGGGTAGGGGTCTAGTGAAAAAGACCCGCGTAAATACGCTCGCTAATCCGCAGCATGCCATGACGAATTCCGCAAAAACGCCAGACTCTCTGGTGAGTAATGAAAAGAAATCAGCCTTTTCTCATACTGAGGGCTAATCAGTTAACGCCAAAGCCTTTTGTACGGTGATAAGCCATGGAAAGAAGGTAGAACCGTATCGTAAGCCAGATGGTTATAATAGGCCTCTAGTCATTGTAGTTGACAATGCCCGAGCCGTCCTTGTTGACCTTGGGAAGACCATAGCGCTCGGCAAGATCTTCTTCCTGGGATTTTCCGGCAGGATCGAAGACTGGACGCTCGGCCTGGCAGCAGACTCGCACGGCGTGACGGCGGTGGGGCGCAAAGCCGTAAGATGCAGTGTGATTCTAAGGCACTGTTAGTCATAGTCTAGTCAAGAGCCGGGCAGTTGGAACATACGCAGACACGATTGTCCCAGAACGCGACGTCGTCCTTATTCCACTGGAAGCGGACGTGAAGCTCCTGGGTTGTGGCGATGACCTCGTTGAGGTATCCGAGGATGGCATCGCTCTCAGTCTTGGGGATCCCGACGATCTTGGTAACGAAGCCGGGATTGAAGAAGAGTGACTTCCAGCCCGTCACGGGGTGGGTGCGGATAATGGGGTGTTCCGTAGTGACAGCGTCGCGGCGGACAGGACGGCCCAGCTCACGTGATCCTTGCGCTTGCATCTCGGCGGAGTGCAGAGCGGTAAGGCTCTCAAGGTACTTTTGCATGAATGGGGAAAGGGCATCATATGCTGCATACTGTGAGGACCAGAGGGTGTCGCCTCCTCCGCCGCGTGGAGGGCCAGTGACGACCTTCAGGGACGTGTAAGAGGGAGGCTGAAACTCATAAGTCACCTGGGCTTGTCAGCATCGCTTCATGGTGGGAAGACATTCGAGGTCACTTACGTCGGAGTGCCACAGGAAGGTTGGGGTAAACATGGCCCGCATGTCTGTCGAGTTCTCACCGGTGTACACAACATGAACATCCTCAAGGCCAGGGCGCTGGGGCACACAGGTGGTGGCGTGCTTGTGCAGGCTGCCAAAGTAGGCTCCGAGCTCGCGCTGAGCATCGATGGTAAGGTTCTTTTGGTCCCGGAAGAAGACGACGCCTCGAGTGGCAATAAGGCGTGCGAGGTCGTCCTTCTGGGCATCCGTGAGGTTGGCCAAGTCAATGCCGTGGATCTCTGTGCCGATCTTGGGGTTGTAGTCGAAGACATCTGTGGCGGCGCTAAGGAGATTTCGGAACTCTGGGTCACCGTTGAGGCCCTTATCGTGGTACGGCACTTCAGTCAAGGCCGGCCACTTGACGTCTGGGAAGCGTGGTTTAAGATCCTCATACTCGTAGTTCTCGTGTGACTCGACGACGTTACGGCCTGGCGTGTAGTTGATAACCGACTTGTTCTTGTGAGGAGCCTTGACGTCAGAGTCCTTGAAGGCGTCGTACTGAGCAGGTTCCACAAGGCCAGGTGCCATTGTGACGGGTTGAGTAGTGGGTATGAAGGGAGTTGGTTCAAGAAGGAAGTGGATGAGGGGATCTTTGACGAGTGTTGACGAAGGAAAATGGGCTATTGTTTAGACAAGTGGCTCAATGCAGTGATGGTTGGAAGAGAAAAATGGACAGAGTGGAGCTTTCTTATATTTCAGAAGTGACTCGAAGCGGCCGGCCTGATGGCGCCAGAGGCAGACCGCTAAGTCGATGGCCTCGCTGCTATAACGCAATACCGTGGGTGAGCACACCATTTTGCGGGACAAAGCACTGTGGCAGGTCCCCGCAAAACCGCTACGCACATGGGTCATATCAAAGTCATCCCAGCCGAGCCGCAACGGTGCAGGCATAGATCAAGCACACGCCAGTTCTCCGGGGCCTTGACGCGCTGCACAGGCACCAAACGGGGAGCATTCGCCAGGCATGTCGTGATCGCGCGCACAGGGCACTACGGCTCACTCTCCTATGGTGCAATCTGGAGACTCTGGCGAATGATTACTGGGCGGACGGCGGGAGCGGCGTAACGCAGCAGCAGTGACTTGCCTTCTGCTCCAGGCGTCTCGCCGTCAGATAGGCCCAATTGTGTACGAAATAGGCCAAATAACACGCGGGTGGGCGCGATGGGAGGCAATTTGGGATGATGGAGGTTGGAAAGCGCGCCAAGCCATAGTGCGCCATGCCGGATCGGGGCCCCGAAACGCGGTGAAAGCCAGACCTCAATCACGCAATCATCGGACTCCATGGCGCAACGACGGTGGTGTTTGTCGCCTGGTCAGACCTCACGGCATATGTAATGCCCGTGTCGTCGTCCTTCCAGCACTCTCTGCCTGTCTCCCGGCCTCCCGAGGTCCTCCGCCTGGGCCTGCTCACCGCGTCGTCCTTCTCTTCCAAGCTCGTCCAAGTTGGGCCGGTCTGCAGCAAATCCGCCCCTCGCAGTAATTACACGGCGCCTATCCCCGAGCTCGCAAAGTCGCCGGGAGCGGAGCACCTGGGCCGGAACAGACGCATTCCCTCAGCCAGCTCACTTCGCGCTGGACTTCCTCACATGTCTAGCGTATGTGGGTCCGTTCGTGGTGTGGCTTCTGATATTCTGCTCATGCAGCCTGGAGGAAAGTAATGCTGGCACCGTCCGGGGTAGCCCGGGCATGTATGAGGTTGGTCGAAAAGGTACACCTGTGCCTACGTCCTATTTTCGAAAATCCGTCAGAGTTCCAGGCAGTGGCTCGTAAGTGTCACAAATCCCCAAAAGATAAGACCTGTAGCAGCTCACCTCGGCTACCTCCGCTTCGCCTTCGTTGTCGTCTCATGCTAGCGCCGTATGTGGGTCTGATACGGAAGTCTGTGGTGTTGCTTCGATGGATGTTGAGATACACAGCATCACACCTGGACCCTGCGTTATCCGAGTAGCGTGGCCGTCACCGGCATCCCGCACCCGTGCTTGCAGAGACGCAGAACCTCAGCCCTGCCTGGCAATCGGTACTCTTTCGGCATGCCGTGAGCAACTTCTATCGAAGCACGCCGTCCTCGACTCCAATTCTCCCAGCCGTTGGACATTGAGATACTACTTGCCGCATCGACACGTCTTTGGCCACACGGTTTCCGTCACTTCAGCCTAAGCGCGACGTTGGTGGACAAGTCGATCTCGATCACGGTCTGAACAAGCCGTGTCAGACTGATTAGCTCGAAGGATGGAAAAATGATCAGAGGCGGTTGAGGTGGTGTAGGGCCGCTGCTGATTGGGCGACAACTATCACGGCCGATAGTGGCCCGCGCCTCGTTGCGCGTGTTGGCTGAAGAGCTACATCTAACGAAGCCTTGAACCTCGCAACTCCATGCGCCAGCCGAAAACCCGCTGCGTTGCCTATCGAAACAAGGAAATTGGTCCCACGAGCATCTTCGATGCGAAAAGCGTCAAAAGTAGTGCCAGTCCACAACTTGGCGATCGCGCCAGCGTTTGCGACGTCCACCTTCATTTCTTCAACAACTCACGATGCTCATTCATGAGCACCTCAAAATTAGCATGTGTGCTGAAATATATCATCTTCTCTCACGAGTCAAAATTTGACGACGGTCAGCCCTCCTTCACAGTAATTGTCTCGTCTGCTCCTTTCTCGCTGCTTCTGCTCTATCAGCGGTTGTGACCTCTATCTGACCGCCACGCTTCAAATACCCCACATACGCTAGACGCTAATTTGGTTATATGATCCCACGACGCTTTCCATCGTTTCATCGACCTCAATATTCGTTTATACTTTCGATATTCCTTCGCTCTCTCGTCAGCTTCTCTGCCAATACCCACCACCTCGGTGCGAGCCTGTAACCACTTGCGATGCGCATTATCAATTGTATCCGGAAGTGTTGACACTTGCATGAGCGCTCATCATGTCAAACCTTCATGGCCCCCGTGTCAAGGTTGTGGACAGAGGCGGCCTCCGGACATTGTTTCGATAGTGAATCGTCGGCGCATCATGAGGATGACAAGCAACTGCTTGGACGATTGCCTCTGTGCAAGGCCGATCTGAAACAATATCTTCTATTGAGATGTACAACACAGGGGCTATACGTTATAGAGCTTACGTTTCCGCTAAGCAATGTGCTCTATTCAACGCTTACTGAGAAAATAGTCGTGGTCACAGGACCGGAGGTCGTCGACTTCTTTAATTTTGAAGGTCATGGGTCTGCTGCTAGCCTGGAGAAGCATCCCGAGTATTGCAGTCGCCGAGAGCTGTGCGGCGCGTCCGGACCAGACCTTCAGGATGTAACTCCTCGTCGCCGCTTTAAAACACTAGAACACTTGGTTCCGCCTTCGTCTGCAACATCAGCAGGGGTCCAACTGGCCGTTATCTGCAAGGCGAGGAACTGCGCTAGCTTCACGCAGGTGACAGCACCCATCCTAGTCTTGTTCATGCATTCGAACTAGAACATCGAGACTATCACTCCCTGCCGGATACGCCAATCCAGATTCAAGCCCGACGGTGTTCTCATCATGACTAATAAGTGGAACTCATACCTGCGATATGCTCTCATTTGATCCACTTACTCTACGCCACGAGGATCGGCGTCCCCATGAATGCAAGCTGCACTCCGGAATCAACCCTGCGTTTCTGATCCCAGTAGCGTACGCTCGCATACGGGAACAGCCCTTAGCCTCCGGACTGCGGCTGTGATGGTGTGAAGACGTTCATGCCCAACCTGAGGTTACAATTCTTTATCTTCGTAGGTCAACGTAAGTTCGTAAGTCATCTCAACATCTCCATATCTCAAACCCGCGAGTTGCAGGTATATGAGAACTTCGCAGCTTGCTTGCTTGGTCAAAGAGTTACGTGCAAGATATAATTCCTTCCTTTTTCAGAATCTAATCACTGCTTATCACATCCTATTCTTGGGCTTCCGTGAGCGTCATGATCACCCATGTGTGTCTTCAGAATGCATACGCGTGTCATGGAAAGGTGTTCAACTGAATCTCCAGCCCCGCTCCCCTCATTCCGCCTCCTTCTGGACTCTGAATCAGCTCACGCTGATCACCTGGCCACAAATAGCTCAGCAAACAAGCCAAGGAGCCTCGCCACCTTCGCTACTGCATCGTAGGGTATGTGGGCCCCGGAGTTGCAAGGCCTGGGGTGCTTGCGTGCCCCTTACCAATCTCGGTCAAGGAATCCCTCGGGAGCCCTGCCGGCAGCTAGTGTATGAAGCATAAGCGATCACATCGACCATCTTCCATCCGAGCTGGCTCTCGACCTAGGGTGTCTGCCCTCACGATGAGCTACCGCTTCTACTCTCTTCCAGATTTCTAATGCTATGCCAAACTGCCGGCGAGCGGGGTCGGTTTGGAGTGCTTGAAATCCGAGCCAATGTACGCGATCCAGAATTTTACATCTCACGTGAGTTTCTAATAGTGCGCTAGAGCACCTCAGACAGTGGTAAGCAAGTGTACACACGTTTTGTTCGGAGCTGTATCTATGCTAGAGAAATTAAGACTAAGCAAACGACAACAACCAAGTAGTAGATGACGACAACTGGTAGGATTGTTTTAAATTATGTATCGTGTACTTGGGGCCTTGTGAAGGTGTAGTTGATGCTGAGACGGATCCATGGATCGTGTGTTCCAGAGTTCACCATCTGTACTCCACACCTTTCCGTATGCCAAGCCTTTCAAGATTAGACGTGCTTAACCCTAAACTCTATATTACACCAGAGCCACAAATTCGTGTAATACTGGTGCATTCGCAAGGAAAAGCTGTGTAGTATAATACTATACTCAAGCTCACATAACACCATATGCGTAGATTATCGTACGTTCGGCCAAGCCCTCAAGAAATCAACACAAAAATCTCAGTTGCTACAAAATTGAAACAGTTATCAATTTATCGTCTCAAAGCGCGAGTGGACATCTTGGCATCGTCGTTGGGCCAACTGAACACCCGGCAAAGAAACCGCGGTGATACAAAAAAGAAAACGCCTCCGACCCAGGAAGTTTCAGTCGCTCAGAAGATGTGGCTGATCATCGGCTCCATAGGTTCATCCCGCCGATTCCTTCAGCACAAGAACCAGCCACGGCATCCGAAAGCTCGTTCCCCGTCACCAGTACTTTTTGCCATCTTGATATTTGAGAATGCTTTGACGGGTAGATCTGTCCCCGGAGTCAAGTACTTCCACAACTTCCTCACTCTTAGCAACTTGCTCTCTCCATGAGTCGTCGAGGCTTTCCAGACTTTCTTCTCCGAAATGGCTTTCATTCAATACGTCTATACCCAATCTTAAAACTACGTGGCGCAGCTCTAGATGGCAGACCTCGCATATAGCTTCGCGATCAGTGAGGTCCACTGTGTGCTGGGTAGTGTTCGTGCAATATCCAGAAAGCGTGCGCTTGGGTTGTAAGCATAGAACGACGCCGTCGAACTGCAGACGGTTGCAGCAGCGCACGAGGTGGTGGTAGAACTCGTGACACATCCTTTGCTCAGATGTTGTAGAGAATGAGATGAACGTAGAAGTGACGGGCTTACGAATCGCTCGTGGTGGTGGTTTTTGGGTAGTTGGTATGTCTTAGGCTTTAAGTAAGTCGTTTCATCCCGTCTAGAAAAACATTGCAACAAATTATGACGGGCCAGTTAACATAGAGAAATAAGAGTAGTTAGCAAACCGTGGACAAGGGAGTATCAAAAGCTTTTCCGCGGGTGAGACAGTTATGGTGAAAAGGTTGGGTGATGCCAATTAGAAAGCTTCCTCTTTGATCTAAAGCCATACGTTCGCACATCAAACGATACCTTCATGTTGGCTTGGTGTGATTCTATAACGCGTATGAGATGGTGTTGTTGAATACGAAGTCATCACTGTCGGCCAGCTGGTTGACAACAAGACCAAATGGTCAGAAGCCAGCAATCAAATTATGTAATACTATAGACTCTGTTGTTTCGCTCCGGGATCATTTCTCGTAGTCGCCGTTGCACTGCTCGTGCTCGAACTCGAGATCTGGTTGCATTTCCCTAAAGATTTGAATTAGATACACATTGATAAGTTAAGGAGGTGGGATATAAGTACCAATATAATGCTTCCGGATCGCTAGCCATGCGGAAAGTGTACTCTGCCGCCTCGTCATCAACTAGGATCTTTTTGAGGCCATTGGCCGCTGCGGCTTCAACCATGAGCTGTATCTCGCAGCTGCGCTCCATGAGCGTGTAGAGATAAGCAGCCTCATCCACCGTCCCCCCAACGGTCAATAGCCCGTGATTCCTGAGAACAAGACCTTTCCCCTTCGGTCCCAATGCAGCCGCCAGCCTCTTTCCTTCTTCCTCATTGAACACGATTCCGCCAAACTCTTCATACACGCCTTGTGCATCCCCATAGAAATAGCAAACATCCTGGTTCAGCATCTCCAGTGGCTTCGCAAACGCACTCCAAGCCTTTCCGAATCTGCCATGCGCATGAACCGCCGCATGGACGTCCGGTCTCGCTTTGTGGACAGCGCTATGAATCAGGAATCCAGCCGCGTTAGCTGGTCTGCTCCTGTTCCCTCCGACAGCTTGTCCTTCGAAGTTCACAAGCACCATATCGGAGGCCCGAAGGCACCCGAAGTGGCGTCCCAGCGGGTTCGTCCAGAAGGTGTCAGTGTGCTCAGGATCGCGAACAGAAATATGGCCGCTTATGCCCTCGGTGTAGCCTTTGCGGGCGAGCACGCGGAAGGCGCCCGCCATGTGATTGAGGATCCATGCTCGATGTTTGTCAAAACTGGAGAAGAGGGGAATTCCCGGTAGACATTCGCCCTGCGATATAGCTTGGAGGGGTGTGAGGACCTTGGTGGGCTCCTTATCAGTTGCTTTTGTGACTTCTTTTGACAGAACAAGCTGGGTGGAAGTGACGGGAACGGCAGAGGGAGCCATTGTGAACTTTCGGGGCGCTGTTCGGGCGTCGAGGCGGATGGTCTGAGAAGAGCTAGATATACTGCGGGGGAAGAAGTAAGCTTTGGGGGTTGTTAGTAGTAATCGCAAAGCTTCTCAGTGGTCTCTGGGATGTCTTTGTAGGCCGAAGCCGGCCTCGCCACTTGCCAGCCGACGGCTCCCACTTTGAGGCGTAGCTAGACCAGATCAAGGAGCCCTCGATCCTGCTACACTGGCTTGTGGGGCGCTTCCTGGTGTCTCGCGTGGGAGTGAGGAGTGGGGGAGCTTGGAACCTCCGCTGTCATGCTAGTGGCACAGCAGTGGCTGGTGTTCTGATTCTCCGCCTACCTAGCACGCTGGGCATGAAAAAAGTGGCACAGTCATCAAGTGCTCTGCTCGTATGTACACCTGTCTGCCACTGCATGAAGTGCTTCAACAAGTTTCCACATAGCCCAAGGTGAAAAGCTTCTATCTCGTTCAGATTCCTGAAAACGCATTGAAGCAACTCAAGCAGGCAGATAGGTGTACACGAGACAGCTTGTTCTAGAATCAGAGTGCCACCTTTTCCATGCCCCGCGTGCCTAGGTATGAACCTTGGAAGTCCCCTGTCAAGCCATAAAGGTATCTCTCCATACCCCTTCTCATTCGTTTCTTTCGAAAGATACGAGTATTTGGAGCTTAACTTCAAAGGACGCTAAGAGCTCTGGATCTTTAACAAAATGCCCATATTGTCAACGCGGCGATAGGTGACGTCATGCACAATATCTACCTACCACTAGGTACAGTAATTTTCAACGACACTCGTTCTTCCTTTCATCAACCTCACCTCCTCCATCACATTACCAACCGCTCGTTTAGCTTCCCACCGAACCAATGGCCTCAACTTCAGTTGTCAAAAAACCTACCAGTCCTACGGACGCAGACTCCACCATCGACGCCAGCTCGCGATCTGCGCTCACATCAGCAAAGCGCAATCTTCGGTACCTCTATGCCCCAGGCAGCTCTCCTAATCAGCCCCAACGCCGCCGTACACGCGTTCTTCTTCGTTTTCTTCGTTCTGCTACCATCTTTGTCTTCTGGAAACTTGTGCGTTGGGCGAAGTACGCAGCCATTGCCTCACTAGTAGCCGCCGTGGGAGCTGGTGCGGTTGGAACTGCTGTTAGCGGAGTAGGCTTTGTGGTTGCGCCCACAGGTATCATGGCTGCCGTGCTCTCGGGGTCGGTTTGGGGGATAGGTAGAATGGCGGCTAGGCGAGTGCAAAAGAGATGGGGAAAATCCGGGTACGGGGAAATGGAAGAAGAGATTGAGGAAAGCAGGAGTGCAAATATGAGGAAAGAGGTTGGACCAGAGGCCATACCGTGGTGATGCGATTCCGTCTTCCCAAATGTAAAGGACTGCGTCATTCTATTCTGCTAAAACCGCATGTCTCCAAACAGAGCTCATCGACAGGGAATACATTAAGCCTCGAACGTGAGATTTGTATGACATTCATATCTTTCATCGTACATCAGTCCCCTCCTCCGTCTCCTCATCCTCCAATTTTTTCCCTCGATAGCCGCTATTCCCTTCATATCCTCCACGATCTCCCACCCTCCTTTTTGGCACCCCCTTTTTTGAGGGTTCTTATGCATTCACCATCCACTTCACGAGCTCGGATCGAGGAAATTGGACGGTTAGATATTGAGATTGTTGCGAGTGGAAGGAAGAATGTGAATGTGTACTACTGTGAATTCTCATATCAAAACGTGCGCTGAGCGGGCAGTCTCCTACCTTGCTTCCCAGCTTTCCCCCAACTATCTTAACAGATATACAGAAATTGAAATCCATATTCTGCGTTACTAGCGATGCGAAAAAGTCGATCGAGGGGCCTTCTTCTTCACTGTCAGAAAGATGTGAAGGTGGAAAGTGCTCCATGTCGGCTAAAATGTATCTCGTCATATAGGAATGGCTGAAACAAGCAAGTACTGCAATGCATTTCTAGTAGAATGGTTGTTGCATGGTACACATACCATCTGATTATAACGACGAAAATACACAAACAAACCCCAGAGCCTAGTAACGTCGAAATACGCGCTCTTGTCTAACCCCGGTTAGATAGTACTAGAAGTAGATCGATTGTAGAGTCTGGTATACAGCTACATCAAGGGACTAGTAATATCTAAATTTTATCGGTAAATGTTACCCGGTGCTTAAAGAAAACAACGCAGTTAGTTGATAGGCTACGTTCTAGAATACGTGCGCAAATATTCCAGCGTTATCTATAATCAGTCGGACAGCTGCACAGCCGAAGACTTGGAAGGCAGCGGGGGCCAATAAAGAAAATGACTTTCCAAACGCTTACTTTTAAGCGTGCGTACTGCTGACTTAAATAAGCAACAGGCGCCCTGGAAAGAATTAGGGCGTGTTGTGTACCTTTCCCTATATGCCGCTATAAGTTGGGGCTTACCCTGACTAGTCGCAAGGCGGAGTATCTTGAAGTGACGTAGACCCCGCTGAGATTACTATAAGAGTCTTCTCCTTTACTTCTTTTCTGTGAGGCATTATTTCTTTTGTAGTAGTCTTCTAATAGACTAGATTCACACCTTTAGCATTAAGATGGGTCCATCTTAGTGGAATGAGTATGGAAAGATTGACCCCGAATTCGAGCAGGTATGTATCAACATCCATCCGGCGCAAACCAGCTCAAGGGATATGAGGTCTTCTCAAGAGAATTCACACCTGACATTATCCGCCTTATCCACAATGCATCTTGACTTCGCCCATCAACTCACTGACATTTTGCTAGCTGATGGCTCAACAACCCCTCCCATTCAAGGCGTCGGATTTCCCTAGCACCGATGCCGCTCAAGCCAAGATAATGGAAATGATGACTTTGATGGTCACGTCCGGCATGGTCAAGATGCCCTACTTGAGCGGCATCAAGAAGGAACAGATCCCAATTCCAATGCGCGACGACGGACCCAATCGGAGCCTGGTCTACAGCCCGGAAACTTCGACCGAGCAAGGTCCTCTTATTGTCATTTTCCACGGAGGTGGCTGGTGTACCTGCTTCCCCGAAGTGGTCGAGCCATACTGTGGTCATTTGGCGAACATTAACGGTGCGACAGTGATTGCAGCTGGGTACCGATTGGCTTCGGCGTTTACCTTTCCTACTGCTCCGAATGACGCATGGGATGTCGTGAAATGGGTACTTTTGTTTGTTTCTGGAAGCCCCATCATGATTCTATGTTTGTACGCTACCATTGTATTCCTGTTTCAATCCGTGATTGATAGCAAGCCACTCTACCTACATAACGTAGAGCAGATTAGTAGATAGAAAGTAACAATTCAAGATTTGAGGTTCCTCTTCTCACTTTCTACAGCTTTCTACCATTCCGTCAGGGTCACCAAAGGAAGATACTGATTTCCAAACAGGCTGCTGCCAATGCCGCAAAACTCGGCGCAGATCCATCAAAGGGTTTCATTGTTGGCGGTATGTCAGCAGGCGCCAACCTCGTCAGCGTCGTATCGTATCTCGCACGGGATGAGAAACTGGCACCTCCGCTCACCGGCGTTTGGCTCGACGAGCCGAACCTAATTGATCCAACTGTTTTGCCAGAGAAGTGGAGGCAAGACTACCGGAGCCTGGAGCAATTCAAGGACAACACACCAATTCTCGACAGGGCCGATATTGAGTGGTATAAAAGTGTGTATTTGTCTTCCGACAAGCACCCTTCCCACTCCACGTATGCTGATGTGTGTAGAGCACCACAAGCCCGATCCAGCGTCACCGCTTTATAGCCCCTTAATCTAGCCCTCCGGGCATGAGAAGTTGCCTCCACATTACTTTTTGCTTCAGGGATTGGATCCGCTGCTTGACGAGGGACTGATCTACGAGCGAACCTTGAGAGAAGATTGTGGTGTGAAGACCAAGCTGGATATGATCCCTGGTGTTCCACATGGATTTCATCATATGCTGCCGACGTTCTCCAAATCGGGTCCCACAATACAGAAGATGTTTGAGGGGATTGATTGGCTGCTAAAACAGAAGTAGGAAATTGTATAAACATAATATAAGGACTCGTGAATGCGTGTATTGTTAGCATTTTGTCCAAACCAGCCAGTCCAACGCAAGCGCACAACTCAGTAGCTTAACCTAGGGGGGAGAATACTTAGTATTGTACAAAGTCGCTTTAGCGAATCGAATAAACAGATATGCATGACCATGCAGATCATTACGCATATGACCCATTTGCCCGCCCAAAACCTCGGGACTTCTCCATAATCGCGCTCATTTTCGTTATTTGCTCTCAAAATCGCTTGCCTGTAGGTTCCGTGTCATCTTCGGCAGCTTCACCACTAGCCCATCCAACTCTTTTGACATGACAATCTGGCACCCTAGTCGGCTTGTCTCCGTCAGCCCAAAGGCTAGGTCCAGCATATCGTTCTCGTCGTCCTCAGGCTCTTCCATAATGTCGAAATGGTCAGAGTCGACAATGACGTGGCAGGTACTGCAGGCACAGGAGCCTCCGCAAGCTCCCTCCATCTCGAGGTCGTTGGCTTGGGCGATGTCGAGGAGGTTGCCGCCGTCGGCGACTTCGAACGTGTGGGAGTCGCCTTCCTTGTCTATGAAGGTGACTTTGCGTCTAGAATAGCAATGTTAGTAGTGTTCGAGGACTGTATAATGGGAGACAAGTACTCTTCACCTGGCTTAGGCGTGTCGAGATGGCCGTGTTGCGATATGGGGGTAGTAGAGAATCGCCGCCGACTTCGGGCGAAGGTTGGGAGCCATGTGGAGGATGAAGACAAAGCTGTGTGCTGGAGTGGTGATGTTCTATGGCTCTTCCATGCTGGAAAAGTGGCGGATGCTAATGGCGTTGAGGTGCAATTGCTGATATGGCGCACTCTATGCTGGGACGTTGGTGAAGCATTTCGAGATAGACGTAGACGGAGGGCAGCGGAGGCAGATATTCGACTCGACACGCAAGGGGCAGACATGGCGACAATATTCTCGGATGGTCGAGAGGGAGAAGAGGGAACACGAGGGGAGTTGACTGACTCCTACTCGGCGTTCGCTCTCTTCTCCGAGCGCCAGAAAGATTTCGCCCAAGGCGATGAAAGCTGTCTGCACGTCCCGCTCTGCGCGCCCTGCTCTGTGAATTTGGCCGACGACAAACGAAAGAAGCTCGTCACCGTCACTTCGCAGTGCTCGCGGCGTCGACCTCAATCCTCTCCTGCGCACCACCGCTGCCGCCATGGCCACCTCACGAGATGCCCCGAACCCGCTGCGGCCCTACTATAGACCCCCATCCATCGGACTCGCGCCAGACAGCGCCGCCAACGGCACCGCATCGCATCATGCTTCATCCTTCTCGAGGCCCAGTTTCGAGTCCAAGGCACGCGACATCCTCTCCGACCTCGACTATGGCGACTACATGTCCGACGGCTCGCCCTCGGTGGCCGATATGGCGAAGAGGCTGGTTGATCAGGCGTTGTGGGACTACACCACCGTCTTCCTCGGCCAACCGCTCGAAGTCGCAAAAACAATACTTCAAGTCCACCAGGCCGCAGGACAGGCCCCGCCGGGGATAACAGTCAATACAGACGACGTCAAGAGCCGGCCGAACAGCTATGCAAGTGGGAAATACGAAGATGTAGGCCTGGGTGCGGCTTAATGCGTGCATGTCAGTTATTAATATCAAACAGTATCCATCGGATGAAGATGATTCGGACGCCGATTCGCCCTCGTACTTCACCTCTACAGCGCCAAATGTACGTTCATTCTCCCCTACCGCCCAAAGGTCGCCGGAACGTCGTCGACATGCGCCCAGTCGGTCAAACTCATCGACACCAACGCCTTCATCCACGAAGCCGCCACACAAGCTCGAATTGCGGAGACCGGATTCTCTGCTCGAAGTGTTGGCCCAGTTATGGCAGAAAGAAAGTGCGTGGGGAGTGTGGAAAGCGACGAATATGACTTTTGTCTACAACTTCCTGCTCAAGACCTCCGAAAGCTGGACTCGAAGTCTGCTCTCCGCATTGTTGAACGTTCCCGACCCCGGCCTGGTCAGTGGAGCAGCTTTAGGGCTAGGAAGCCTGGACATTGTAGACAGTCCGAACCCCCTAGCAAGTCTAGCTGTTGCGGTAGCAGCCGCCGCAATTGCAGGTCTAGCACTAGCGCCGCTTGACCTCATCCGAACACGGTAATTCTCATTCACATCGATACCATAGGACCTACAATACTGACAGTCTTATAGCCTCATCGTAACCCCTACAAGCTCAACGCCTCGCAACATATATCCTTCCGTGCGCTCTCTCCCCTCTTTGACGATCCCGAACGCACTCCTCCCAATCACCCTCCTCCACTCTTCCCTCCCTGTCCTCTTCTCAACCTCTGCCCCGCTAGTCCTCCGCTCCTCCTTAGGCATCGACTCCGTCCTCACACCAGCCACCCACGCCCTCTCATCCTTTCTTTCCTCAGCCGCCGAACTCTTCCTCCGCCTCCCGCTTGAAACCGTCCTCCGCCGCGGTCAGGTCGCCGTTCTCCAAGAATCCGACACCAAGCGACTCAGCGAAGCTTATCGAACCTTGCGTGCGAACCCGGGGAGCGATGATTCCGCCACTACGCGCAACTTCAAGACGATTGTGGACGTCGGGCCATACAAGGGCGTGCTGGGGACCATGTGGTTCATCGTGCGCGAAGAGGGCATCACGTTCGTCGGGCCGGGCGGAGCGGCGGTGGCTGCGGCGAGCGTGCCGAACACGCCTGGTCTGGGCTTTGCAGCGCGCGCGAGGGTGCGGAAGGGGCAGGGTATGCAGGGGCTGTGGAGAGGGTGGAGAGTCGGGTTCTGGGGGTTGGTGGGGGTGTGGGGAGTGTCTGCGTTGGGAGGTGCCGGGGGTGGGGAGTTTTGAATCCTCAAATTGAATGGGTGAGAGGGAGACCGTGAGTTTGACCATTGTTTGTGCTATATCCATTCTCCATGCTCACTCCACGATGGGTCCTTGGGCGTTTTTCTAAAGTTTGCACCATAATTTATTCTGGGATCAGGGTTATTTTCATGAAGAGATGATTGACGGGTGTATAATATAGATGATCTTTGATACTTTGGAAAGAGAAGATGAGGAGGTTAGGATGTATATGATACTCCATTCTCAGACTTTTCAATCAGACTCCTATCAGTTCTTTTGCTTATCTTGAACTGATATAGTGCGAATTCAGCCTAAAGTAATATGCCCCACACGCGCTATTCTACTTGATTGCCTACTCCGGTCGCTGTCCTTCGGCTACCGTTCAAGCTAGTCAAAAGAGGACAGCAATACCCTGACAGAGTGCTACGACAGAAGACGGCGCGAGAGGGGTTTTCACACGCCTTATCGAAGGAGCCGACGCAGATATGTTGTGGGCGGACTTTAGAAAGGAGTTGCGCATTAGGGCAGGATTAATGCCGGATTTGGCTTGGTGCGTTGGGAGTAAGAGTTTGCATATAAGAAAAAAAAAAGGGCTTTCGCTTTCCAGTGGGCAAGACCGACGCTTCGGAATACATTCGACGCTGTTCCTTCGAAAGGCTCGGTTCGAGCTGTGGGTTCTTCCGTCAGCGGCACGGAGACGCCGCGTAGCTGGACGTTACAGATTTGCGTTTCCGGTAGTAGAAGTTGGACTGGTTCAAGAAAGAAGGGAGGGAGGAGGGCGCAGAGGCTTTCCCCCTAAAAGGTATGTTTCAGAGCGGAATTGTTTCGGTATCAGGTAGAGGAGGGGGGTTTGGGGGCTGAAGGGGGCTGTTAAGGCTTTCTTGAGCGTACTGTGTTAGTCCACCAGCACATTCGATGTTCTATTCCAAGCTACATACTCTCTCTAGTCCTGTGCACACTTGCCTAGCACCGCTTGAGGTCCTCTCGTATGTTCTCTACGCCGCCGGGTTTGACCAGGCTAATAGCTCTCCGGTCAATCTCAGACAGTGTTGAAATACCACTTTGGGCTCAGGGAAGCCTGGAGGGTCCAAAGGGGATGCCATGAGCGCTTCCTGTCTTTCATGCATATCACGTACTGAAAGTGTCCGAAGAGAGGAGAGGGAGAGGGTAAAGTAAAAGAGGCTCCTGGCGGTCTAATTGGGATATCTTGTAGCGAGAGCGTGCATTTAGAAGGGGATTGGGGCCCTAAAAACTTCTGTATAATAGAGCTGTACTTAATAGAGTCTCATGTGATATGCACACCAAGCCACAGTATTAGGCCCTGAATTTGAGCACACGATATATCATCGCTTGAGCTCGAACTCCTGCTTGCTTAATACTACCACCAGGGGTAGCCCAGCTTCCAGGTATTCAAGGAGCCAAGCCGCTGCTCAGTTCCCACGGTGTCCAAGTTTACATCACATCTAAGAGTCTGTTAACCTATAAGGACACCCCAAGGAATTATAGACGTGTGTGCACAGACTTTTGGCATAGCACTGTAGATATGCAAGTTCTTGTGCCGGAAGCGCGTACGATGCGTAATGGCAATATAGACATTAGTCTATTGGTACTCTTTGTATCTAAAAGCGCAATGGAAAACAATACCTGCCATAAGACCGGTCAGTACTTACTGTAAGAGGCTCTAGCTTAGGCGCGTCGCCCTCATCTGTTTCTCCTTTGTCGTAAGGCCGGCTAATTCTGTAAGAATCCCCAGCTAAAGTGCCTCACCCTCATCCACTTCTCCTCTGAACCCACCACGATACTAAGCTCAACCCTTTCCTTCAAGCTGTACAACACCTCCACACTCCTAACCCATGCCGTTATCAAAACACTCGCCCGCACAAATTGCGACCCATTATCGAGAGTGTGAAGATGTGTCGAAGCACTCTAGGCGGTGGTAGCAACAGAAAATGTCCTACCACTACACCATTGATCCAACATCCTTGACGAAAAGCGTTAAGAATCAAGCTTGGTTTGTCTAACTAGTGAAATATCGTATTGCGGATCAGGAACGAGAACCTATGGTTCTATACCATGAGATTGTATTAAAGGGGATCTTTGAGTTCCAACACTTTAAAAATATGTCTTAGAAAGAGAATCCAAACTATTTTAGGCGAGGAGAAAGAACTGCTTGCCCCTGTAACCTCGGGAGCGTTCACGTATTGATTTGAGTGTGCAGAATGCTGCAGATACGCTTGTGACGAACCGAGTGAAGGGTGCAATATCCCTGGAAGGGTACAAGGTCCTGGCTCCATGCAAAGCCAACAACTTTTGGCTCACGCTGCCAGCACTCTGTTGATCATGACATCCAGGTCAAAGCATGCATAAGTAGCCAACTTCTTGCCCTCACAGCCCCGGCCCTTCGAAACGGGCCAGAACAGACAGAGCTCGGGGCCAGCCGGGCCCGCGTATGTTTGGGGGCTCAATTGGCTCTTGGAGATCCTCCTTTGCTGATCGGCAGCAGATTGTCGGAGCGAGGGACGTCAACGGCACTAAGGTCCTTCAGAAAGTTGTTTGCTGCAGCTGAGACGTGTGTCGATCGACGACGGCTTGCCGAACAGGGAAGTAAGCGTTGCACGTCACAGCCGGCAGGATGGGATCGGCGACTGTGCTACCGGCTGAGAACACAGGGAAGCGCCATCATCAGGCGTGGTCGCGTAAAGTGAAGGTGGGGAACGTTGATAGACGCGGCCGGAAGGAAGGTCTTGCTGGGAGACAGCAAAGTTAGCATCTGTGCAAATGCTTGTATGATCGAATTCGAACGATTCAGTTCGACTTGACCTGAAGACTAGTATCGTGAAGATGGTCATTGTCGGATCCGCATACGCGGCGTGTCTTAGTTATCTCATGCTTGACATGCGAGAATGATGGAGACTGCTCCACATTCGTTGACAAAGGAATACGAGCTGCACCCAGACGTGGCATGGATTGACCATTGCTAGAAGAAAGTCGTAACGACAGGATCCCTGTTGCTTGCAGAAAAGGTGGGAAGCATCTGCAAGGCGAGGATCAATAGAAGAGAAGCGTCTTTAGCTTAACGACTCGTGTATTAGAAGTGAACCTTGATTACTGGGGTATTTGACTTCAAGCCCCAACATCAGCAAACCCAAAACAGTCTTGATTTTCTGGGGACTAATACCCTGATACGAGCACTACCAACAGCGCCCTATCTGACCATGTGGCGAATATTTCGTCATGGGCCCTGATAACCCAGTCCGCCATGGGCGACATGGCCCCGAAGAGTAGCACAGTAGTGTGGGCTATATGTCTAATAGGCGATGGACCTAAGCTTTATGACGGATAGTCGGTGGATTCGAGTCCTGCATGGTTGAGCAGAAGAGCCACAGGGCCAGGAACCATAGGCACAATGAGACACCCATGAAGACAACCTTGAAGTCTGTTTCGGAATACCTAGCGCCTCAGATGCATAGTATCAGCATCCTCAATCCCACGCGCCTATATCACGTCTGCTAGTTTTTCTGCTGCTCCTTTCGTCGTCATGACGAAGCCGGGCCTTTCGTTGGGGTTGCGATGTGCTCCGTGGATTCAATCGACGACAGTGTGATGGGAGGGCTTCTACAGAGGAACTTGGCCCAGAACATTGCAGAAATCGACGCTTGACCTCATGCCGAGGTGCGTCCGACATGATGTTCTTCAAAGCGTGGTGAGGGACCAAAGCTATTCCCATCGAGATGGTGTAGCGCATCGAGATGGTGAAGATGTCATCACGTCGGCCTCGGGGTGCACTTCGACGTGTTCCAGCCAAAGGGGCGAGAGAGCGTGCCACCAGATCGAGGGATCAGGAGAGGAACGGGCCCCTTATGTACGCAGATAGCCTACGCTGCTTGCAGGAAGAGGAGGTTGAAGCAAGGCGAGGCCACGCTTGTGGCTGAGCGTGCCGACTCGAGGTCGTGGGTGAAGGCAGACACTTGTATTACTGCGGGCTTTCGGTGCAAGGCTGGCGTAACCCGATAGCTGAGGGCGTGATCCATGGGACTGTGGGACTGCTTGACAGTCGAGGGCGGGAACTATGGCGTTTCAAAGGCGCGGCACAGCGGTGTGGCGGCGACGATGGAACGGCTGGCGAATGCGATGCTTCGTTGGCTGCGTCGGGACGGCCCTCGTCATGCTGGGCTTGGCATCCGTCACCAGCGAGGCCCGACTCCCCGTCTCCTCTCGCGCATGGCAGTTCACTCCACACTCCCGCTGCCTGCATGGCGCATTCGCACCCTTCCCCATGTGCCCATGATGCCATTTCTGCGCGCCCACACGCCGGACCCGGGGTTCAGATGCGCCAGGTGACGTCGCGCTGCTCAACCACGGCCGCTGGAACGCGGCCGAATGGCGGCACAGCGGCGCAGGGCATGCTGCTGACTGGCACTGACCACGGCTGCGTCGCGTTCGCCCGCTGCGTCACGGCAAGCGAGTCACGGCAGGGCGTTGTGGCGTGGTGTGGCAGTGTGCCAGCAGACGGCAAAATAACTTAACGGCAGCGCAGCATCAGCCGCGTCCCAGTGTGCCAGGGCGGTGTCGGACGGAGGCATTTCCAGGGACCAAAGACCCTGGAATCTTTCATCATGGCGATCTTCAGGGTCTGCCAACCACGCCAACCTCTCGTTAGGCACGCCCCCCACACTGCGAACGATGCAATGCAGCCGGTGCTGGGCCACTGAGGCCTCTTCGATCGCGAGATCCCTGCCGGTTAGCTCAGCGGTACTGAAATTCGTCCCCGTCGCGAGGGCACAGTGGTCTGGTGGTCCAGAACTCTGACGCTTGGCGCGATATGACTGCTATCGGCTGGCGCCCCAGTGCGTTGATCAGCGCTGATCCTAGAGGCGTGCAGCCGGACGCCCTCCTCCGCCCGCCCTCCTCCGCCCGCCCAACCTCTATATCTAGCCGGGCCCGCTGTCTTCCTCATTGTTCATCGCTCACCCAAACATTCTTCGACTTCAGACATTCATCCACATTCCAAACCCAACTTCTCGCCTCACCCTCGAAGCACCCATCACCCACATCACTCTGCCACTATGTCACAAGCTCAAGTCCTCGCGCAGGGTGCCTACTCTGAGGCCGCTCAGCAGAACTTCACCTCTCAGTTCGGCATGGAAAACCCCAACGATGCCATATCCACATACGCCAAGTAAGTTTCTGTGCCACTGCTAGCAGTGGCATCTACTGACCACTTCAATAGGATCATGCACGAGCACACCAAGACTCAGCTCAACACCGCGACGAGCTCGGCACGACGACGGTCACAAGGCATCTCGCCCAGCCTCACGTCTGGGCTCAGCGTCGAATCCGTCTCATCGAATGGCTCATAGTCGGCTCAGCAATGCATTCAGCCTTTGCATACGCGACTGGTGTCAGGGGCGCACTTTTCTTATCACGCAATTAGCGACCATGGCCTTTGGGTTTATCGGAGTTGTCTAGAGTCCTTCCATTTACGAAGCTTCATGTGGTGTCTCGGCGTTATACCAGTCCAGGCAGGACTTGGTATAGGATTGGGTCACGGTGCGGACAGTTTCATTTTGCCATTTTACTACATATTTGCCTACATATTATAGGCAATGGATCATCAAAATCATATCACACTTCACAACACTCCAATATCCTCGCTTGACATGGTTGATCACTTGATACGTCTAACCCACTTCCTATCAGTCTGTCGCACATCCTTTCGCATTCCGTTGGCAGAGCATGATTCCGCTTTGTGTGCACTCGAACAGACCGAACAGAGTCTTTAAGTAAATATTGCAATCGGTTTCTTTCATCATGTTGCTTTTCTTGGCCTCACATCTTTTTCGTCGCAAATCTCTGTGCCAGTGTTCCGAATTCTGCCAAAGTACATCTAACACCCTCGTTGATGCTCTTATGGCCCCTCTATCAAACGATACTTCCCAGGTGTCCGACCCTCCGCGATTGCAAAACTGCAACCGGTTACCCGAAAGTACCGCCGATCCTGTCGCCTCCAACTTCCAACTTCCACTCAGAATCACAATGCTCATACCGGCCCTCGATGCACTTGCCCTTTAACTCCACATAAACCCTGCCTTAGCGCTTGCCCCTCGATGACGCTCCGGTGTGACTCCTGCGCTAGGCACGAGCTTCTGGCGTCGATGACCCTCGATTAGCGATACAGGATCGTGCAAACTGAAACGCAGCGGGAGGTCCGTCCACTATTATGAAGAGACACGTTTAGCTACCGGCTTTACAGTGCATAGAACGGGATGAACGACCCTGAGGCTCATTTCAATTCTAGTGGCTTCCACGTATTGTATTTTTCAACCTGGAAGATTTCCTACTCTCACCTGATAACCTTGCTCCCACCTTTTGCGGCAAGAACTCGCGGAGGCGAATTGCTAGGCACATTTGATCTGGAGACCCTGAGTGTCCCACCTATCAAACCCGATTCAAGTTGATATCGGGACGTCGAATAACGAAGTATGGACCCCTCTCTGTGTCCCCCTTTTGCAGCTCAATTTGACTTCTTGCACGATTTCATGGTGGTTATTTTGTAACCGACACGCCACAGATCGCCAGCAAGTGGACGTCATCAATCTAAAGAATAGCGCTCACATGTTGTTCAGTCTTGCACCCTCCTTCGTTGCCGTCAAGCATGAGTAATTGTCGCAGGTGATTTCCCCAGGCTAAGGCTAGGGAATCAAGATTTACTGCTAGCGGCTAATCTTTGCCATCTTTTTCTGCAGGACGAGGCTTAATGCGATGGTACTAGGGCCGCTGACCCCGATACATGCCGCTGTCTGCACTCTTGTCTTCATCTCCCTATTCGCTCAAAGTCGGCTGCGGAGTGGATGCCGGAATCTTTGAGTAGATTTCTAGAATTGTCTCCCCTTTGGCCATCTGATGCTGGACACCCACTACAATATGATAGATACCCCTCTTAACACTAGGCCTACGTTTTGATATCAGACAACACTTCGAACAGAAAGAATCTGGACGAATCGTGAATTGACTGTTTTGACTAGGTCGTTCCCTCTGTGCGGCACTCGAGAAGGCGTGGTCTACTACTTAAAGCAATAGGCTAGGAAAACGCGAGGTCCATCTTGGACTTCTTAAGTATTAGAGCAACGCACGCAGTGTATTCTACAAAGAGAAAACGAACAATCAGAAAACTTAGGTTTTGGCGGGGATCTTTTCTAAGATTTTGAAAATAATTTTGATAGGTAACATGTAATCACAATTGGTTCTAAAACATGTTGGTGACACAAGAGAGCCAAAGTTGAGGTTATGAGAAACCGTCATCCGTCCGCCCCGCTCGAGATCCGCCTGCCTGGGGAACACGTGATGTCCGAGTCTTACTCCGGTGGGGCTGATCTCCACCCCGGCCTGGGCACCACCCGCATCGGCCAAAAATTTCCCCCACATCTCTGATCAGGCCGCAGCAACACCCAATTCTCAATAAAACACTCCCACGCTGCTAAAATGGCTCCCACGATATCTCTCACCGAAGACGCCATCGATGATCTCCTCTACCTCGCCCGCGTGAACGAAACCGCAGAACTATCCTCCTACCTCTCCGAATTATGCGCCCAACACCATGCTTCCGCAGCCAGTATACTAGAAGCGGCAGTAGATGAAGCATCTGGGAATACTTCACTTCACTACGCGGCTGCCAATGGGCATCTAGGTAAATTATTCTACATCTAATGTGTTATTATGCATCGGATCGAATTCGTACTTCGAATTCCTTACAAAGTCTCAATACGCTTTCTTGCGACTATCGAGTTGCAACATATCTTCAAAAACCCCCCCCCCCCACCCCAATTAAAGGCCTATCATTTGGAAATGTCTTTGAATTCGCTGAGTTACCTCGAACGTCACCGTCGTCTGCCACTCAATTGTGACGATGGCTATGAACTTCCGATATTTTTTGAAGCACCATGAGCAGTACTAGAAGACTGTGCACAGACATGTGACAAGTCGCTTTCCTTCCGAAACTCAATGATTCAAAATAAATTCCAGTGATATCCGACTGACACTACACTACCAGATACCCTCAAACTCCTCATTACCTCCGAGTCTCCTGCTGCCGCCCCAACCAAGGAAGGCCCAATTCCAACACCACCAAACCTCAACTCTCCCAACGCTGCTGGCAACACAGCCCTTCACTGGGCCGCGCTGAACGGACATCTCGAATGCGTCAAGCACCTAGTAGCCCTTGGCGCGGATGTCAGCGTGCTCAACAAAGCAGGCCACGACGCAGTCTTCGAAGCCGAACTAAATGGGAAAGAAGACGTAGTGGCATGGCTGCTTGTGGAAGGCGAGGGACTCGAAGAGGGACTGGGCGGTGAAGAGAAAGATGAGAACGACGACGGAACTGTAGCAGAGGTCAACAAGAAGCTCGGTGAGATGGAGGTCAAAGACGGGGAAAAGCTTGGTGGCTGAACTGGCGTGAAAGTGGGCTAAACGTTTGTTAATGGATTCGATGCATTTGATTGCTGTGGCGAGTGAGTCAATTCATGGCATGAAACGCAGGAAGAGGGTCGATACACCAGTTACTCCGTTAACATGTGAGACTGTTTCCTGGATGTTCCCTCAATTGTTGCTGACCACGGCGATCTATCAGATGACGTTTCTTCGAGCCTAGATCTGTGCAAGGACGTGCTAGATCTTCTGGAGTATCTGCCCGGCGGATGTTCAGGGCGGTCGTGTGGATTTACTCGTCTCCTGCGAGTCGAAGGCGAGGAGTAGTGAGCAATAACTCAGCTACCTCAGGGCGGCTAGTATACCCGGCGTTATGCCTGGACGCAAGTCCCTTCGGGTACGGTGCAAAATCACGTACATACATGTACAAGTAATGCATCCTTCTATTAGCTGCAGACTATAACGGTGCTCAAATTTTTCACCTAACTCTACCGCTTCTGGCCATTATCCAGAGTATAATAGGCATTAAGGTAGCAATGCGCAACGCCACCCTGGCTCCTTCAAGCTTCGAGCTCTTTTTCCCTTGCTGCGATATCTGTCCTTCCCTGCCCAAGCCCTGACAGCTAACTCCCAACCCCTCAAACATGCAAGACACGCTCGCTCCCAACCAAACAGCCACAACCACATGAAGGAACCCCATCCCTCGACTCAATCACCCATTGCGCTGGCTAACAACCTCGATCCCATCTACTCGCATGCGTGCTAGCTCCCGCCCCACTCAGCGATGCCTAGGTCGCGCTGGTATTGTATTGTGGAGTCAGTCGCACCTCCCAGATCCAAGACGCCCCATCCCCGTCATCCGATCGTAACCATCTTTGCTTGGGGACCAGGTGGGCAGCTTGGCCAACGGCATGTTTTGTAGATGGATGGATGGATGGATGGGCTTGGAGATGATTTCGGACGATTTTCAATACCGCTGAGCCAACTAGCCGGGACTGGGGAATCGAAGTGTTTGCACTGGTCTTCTCTGGCTCTTAGGTGCCCAACACCGGCTGAATTGAGTCGGCCGTATGGGGCGGTGCGCCTGTTGAGAGGTTGGCAGGACCCTGAAGATCGTCTGTGATGAAAAGATTCCAGGGTCTTTGGTCCTTGGCGATGCCTCCGTCACCACCGCCATTGGAAGCGGCTGATGTGATGCTGCGTTGCCGTTATTTTGACTGTCTGCTGCTATCACCACCCTCGTGGTGACTCGCAGCGCTCGGCTTTCGGTGACGCGGCGGGCGGGCGACCATGACATAGCCATGGTTTGGGAGTCGGGTCCGGCTACGGACCCGATGATGCGGGGGGCTTGGGTGCGAGTTGTGGTGGGGTTGAGTGCCTTTTCTGGCTCCCTCTTTCTCATTAGGGCGGGATGGTGGCTGGGTGTTGCTAGGTCTGAAAGAAGGTCGTCGGAAGAAATTAAAGGCAGACGTGGTGACGATGGTCCAAGTGCGTAGTGAAAAACTGTAGATGGGAAGAGTCTTGCTTTGATAAGGTCTCAACTAGATAGGTCCTAGTGAAAACTCAACAGGCAAAGAGGATACTTGTTGCTAGGGCCATGGATGTACTCAAACATGCACAAAATATTTGAAAAGGTGACGTGAAGAACTTATAGCTTGTGCTAAAGATGCGGAAGCCTTTCGGCCAAATTATAGTGTTTAAACGCAGAGGCGACATCAAGCCCTTTTCTGGATGCTTATCTTTAATAGCTTTGTAAAGGTTTTGGCTGCTACTTGTTGATTATAGAAAATGTACTATGGAGATAGCTAAGGCCGTAGACGAGAAGATGAACTTTGTACTCGCCGTATGGAAGGCATGTCCACTACTAAGTCGCTAAACTGTGGAAAGTTCGGAGCTCCGGTGAGTACGTGAACATCTCTTTATTTGGTGATAGACAATGCCGTATGGTGGGGCTTAGAAATGTATCAGGACGATCTGCGCGATAAGTCTACGTCTCAAAATACGCACTTGAAAGACGTCCGATAGGGCGAGAAAGGTGTACGCGGATGTATGGCGCGATGTTGTAGGTCATCATGACTATATCCTATGCCTATATGAGAGTATCTAGTAGGGTCAATCACGGACCATGAGCTGGAAAATTGCCAGCTACATATCGTTACAACGCCGCGGTAACTAAGCTATCATCTTACCTGCATCAAACAAGATAGATAGAACATACGAAGCGCACTCCGTAACACTAAATACTACTAGACATGAAGTCTACTGTTATCACTAGAGCAATCTAAGTGAGGGGACGTTGTCTGTGACCTTTGGTGGCATGCGAGTTGGTAGGGTAGGAACATAATGACATGGATCCCGGAGATTTCTTGAGTTTGCCGATCGTTCCCAGGCTCACAATGCCGCTTCGGCAGTGTTTCTGCCGGTCCTTGTAGATTTGTTTTTTCCGGGGCGAGTGAGATTCAATCTTGAAAAGGGTCACATAGACTGATGAAACAGGGGCGATGAATTGTGAAGTGAAACTGCATCCTGGCCTCTGCGCCCTGGAGCGATCGTCGTATTGAGATGATTGTAAGAAATTTCCCATGTTTTGATGTAATAATACAAACATGACCAGAAAAGCCGAAGAAGTCAGCCCAGGTTCTGTTCGCCCAGGCAGATCCCTGCAGTGCATGTGGTTTTGCATGCTTACCATCAAGAGACTGTTTCTGAAGAAGCTGGACCCACACGGCTGTGATAGCAAGTTGTTCTCTCCCGTCATATTATTCCTGTTCAGTCCCTCAGCCATGCTCTCCTCTTCTCCTCTTTCTTCTCCCTTCGCTTGTCTCGGAACGCCTTGACTTCCTGCTTGGTGAGTTTCTTCCCCTGCCGTTCTGCTTTGAGACTACGTCCGTCGTGGTTGTTCGCAGCAGCATCGACATCAAAGAAGGCGCTCATCTGCCGCTTGCTCTTATTCTCATCGTTGAACTTCTCCGGATTCAACGCGGCCGCCTGCCAGCGACCGGTGAAGCGGTTGAAGTATCCCGTTGCAGCATATTGAGAAGTAGGATCCAAACCAGCGGCCCTGGCTGCAGCATCCTCCGCAGCCTGTTCTTCCGCCGCAGCCTCAAGCGCATAGTCGGCATTGGGGTCATAGTCACCATGTATTGCTGGGTTGTAGCCACCATGGACGCGTCGAGGCGGGGAGGAAGTGCCAGGTGCACCATAGCTGCTGCTGGTGGTGCCTGGTGCGCCGCTTGTCGTGCCGGGAGCGCCAGTTGATCCTATCCGATCGTACGCTCCGAGCCCACCAGCAGAGGCATCTGGTCCTGTTGGCACCCGCGGGTTCTCCCATTGTGTGGCGTGGGTAAGGCGGTTGTAGAAGTAGAAGGCACTGGCGGATTGATCCCAGACAGGCTCCCAGCCATCGTCTTCAGGCAGTTGCTCGTCTGGTAATGGGGGGGCTTCTCCGTCTTCCAGCGCAGGGGCTTCCTCACTTGGCAGCGGCGGGACGTCCTCGTCAGGCAAGGGTGAAGAATCTGCATCAGTATTTGGGCCTTTCGACCGTGTTGATGAGGAGCTACGACTACGTTTGTAAGAAAAGTGAAGGGCGGACGCGCTGTGGGAGGTAGCTTGCTGTTCATCAATTTCGCCAGAGCTTTCGCGGCTCGCATCAGGCTCAATGGCCGGCGCAGACTCAACAGGAACGGGAGCCATTGTATCTACAGTGATAGTGATAGCGGAGTTGGTGGCGGAGTGCTGGCTGCAGATAGTCGGTGATTGTAGATGCAAAGTGAGGATGTGTGGACGTTGTCGCGTGGAGCTGGGAGGATCGTTGCACTGCTTAGTCATAGCGTAATATAAGGCCAGCACATTCTAGCTCTCGTGACGTCCCCGTGATGTCCCCGTGATCCCGCACATCTTCATGTGATACTGAAACCTCATCCTCAGCCTTTGGGGCTCGGGACCGGATGTGGGGTCCGCTCCGTTCTTGACGGCTGTCTTACAGCAAGTGCTCCGTCCATTCGGCGGTTGATTAGCCAGCATTAGCCACTATTCTCCTCTGCACATTCCTTCAAGCGAAGGACCGCCAACCATTAATCTCGCCGGCTCTTCAGCTTCGTCTACGAGTGGCAAGCTAGTCGCCCTCATGCAGGTGCACCTGTGCATCTGCATGCCATCGGAACATGACCTGGGCTTGAGGCGATCCTTCGCTCCCGATGGCGAGGCGTACTTGGCTATGGCCAGTCGTTGTACGAAGTAGGTCAGCGGACGACGACAGCGGACATTCCGTGTGGCCAAGGACGCGGAATAACCTCTTGACGCGAATTCTTTCTGTTCCTGCAGGCAGTCTTGTCTGCACGAGTGCCAGGGGTGCGGTAACCCCCATGCCACAGCGGGATTCCCAGGATGCGTGTGTGCGTTCTGCACATCGAGATGAGCAATCGGCATTCACCCAGAGCAGCCGTGTCATACCAAGCATGCGGCCGGCGTTGGCGGCGGTTGGGACCCCGCCAGACGGGTCGAGTCTGGATAGACTCGTGGACGGCAGCCAGAGCTGTACGGCAACATGCAGAACATGCCATGCAGAGTGGCCGAGTCGCCATGGCGGCTGGCACGCGGGCCCTAGACGGTCCCACGCTCGAATCGGGCGTGAGCGTTGGGACTCGAAACAGCAAAATACGAGGCGAGGAAGACTGCTCGAGGTCGCGGTTGGCTGGAAGCGTGCGAGGGCACGGCGAAAGGAGAAGAGCGCAGGACGCAGTTGATCAGAACCGTTCAACCCAATCTATCTGACGCCCATCATGGGCCGATGCGGGCAGCCTGGTGGGTCGCTCTGGGGAAATCCTGGCGGCCGCTCGCGTTCCTTTGCCGCCATGTCCTCAGGATGCCGCTGAGCAGATGTCCCCCCGGCCCTGGAGGCTGCCCCTGGCTGCATCAAGATCGGCATGTCGACATGCTTCAAACACTGACGCCGCACACTCGACGCCATGGCGCCCGGTGGCATAGGAGATCTGAGACGGCAAAGAGCCCATCCCAGCCCTCCACGAGCGCGCGGAGACGCCGTTGCCAGGCGCTAGAACGCTCCCGTCGTCCACCGCGGGCGCGCAGCGTGCGAGTGCTTTGTGCGGGCCGTGCGGAACTGAAGACCTTCCCAGGCCCCCCTAGGCGTGTCTCTGTGCTGCTGTGCCGTCCGGACTCGCATCTTGCTCAGGAATGTGAATGCTGAGCGCCCGGCTTCTTGGAGACGTTGGTGCCGCGACACTGCCGCGGCCTCGCGGACTCGCAGCGGACGCATCCTGCTGTGGCACCCACGCGCTCTGCCGGCGCTCGTGCTGCTTCGCCAGAGCCCGTCGAGGTTGCGGTGCGGTGCTTTTTCAGGCTTCGGCTCCTGTCAGTGCAGCCGGCACTGTCAGGACGGGACTGTTAGACGTCAGCCCTGCACGGGCACCATCTTCCGTCGCTCCTCCGCAGAACCTTGCCTGCCTGTGCATCTCAGTGTGCCCAGGCAGCCAAAACCACCCTCTGGACTTTCTTTTGGTCTAATGCACATGCTCGGCTGTTCGTCCTATGGCCAAGGCGGATGCAGCGCCACTGCTGGGGCCTCTCTCTACTAGTCATCGAGCACCCCCATATCTTTCGATGCACTCCTCAAGTGCCATTCTGTCCTCGCGTCTATTACCGTAGCCATTCTTCCTAATTGCATTTGGATTCTTCATCTATCGAAAGGCGATTGCTCGCTTCCCTCTTGCTGCCATGGACCGTCTGCCGAGTCTCGCTGCCCCCAACGAACCACATTCCTATTTCAACTGGAATCCATCTAGATCTTCAAATGCCGATTCACGGCGATCCGAAAACGCCGCTCAGTCTAAGCCCTCTCGATCATTGGACCACCACCCTGGCGGTCAGCAGCTTCCTAGCCTCCGGTCACTTCTGGAGCCTCAACTCCTGGACTCGAAGGCGCCGGTGCCCTCCTCACCACTAGGTGGGAGAAAACTGCCCCATCCATCTCGTGCCTATGGTTCAGCAAGCCCTACCTTGAAACGGCGGCTCGAAAGCGACTACATTGGTCCTCTTCGTAATGGAGGCGACGCCGAATCCCCGAGAGCTCGTCCTGCGCTGCATACTCCTTTGCAGTATCCAACAGCGCCCAACTCAAGTGCATCCCTCGCCCCTTCATTCCACCGTCATTCACGCCTGAATCTTTCGGATCCAGTTCAAACGATTCCGCGGCCATCGTCTGCAGCGTCGGGATTCTATGCCCAAGGTTGTGTAACCCCATTCTCTATTCCAGTTCCAACAACCGAATCGTTTGATCCCACGTCCGTACTGTCTAAACGACACCACGACCCTTTGTCACAGCGGGCGCCAATCCGCTCCACGAAATGCGTTGGCCAGCGGGAGATTCCCGGTGAGGGCATGTGTTATGTGTACGAAGACGGCTCCTTTTGTCGGGTCGTCATTGACGGTGAGCGAGTGAACCCGTCATGGGGAATCACCAAGGCAGGGAAGCCGAGGAAACGGCTGGCTCAAGCCTGCTTGACCTGTCGGGAGAAGAAAATTAAATGTGACCCGGCGATCCCAAAGTGTCACCAATGCACGAAATCACAGAGAGCGTGCCGAGGGTAGGTGTCCATTCTTCTTCAGTCGATGCCTGCTGTATAGCTAATGCGATAGACAGAGGCCTCGCCCAGGGTAGTATTCAAGACGAACAATCCCCATCCAGAAATTCTCCAATGTTGCACACCCCAACGATCGAACACATCAGTCCACTATCTGGCAGAACTAATGCTACCTGGGAAGCACCATTCTCAAGCCAGCCTCCACTTAAAGCCCACAACACCTCCGAAAACACTAACTCTGTATGGGGTTCCGATTTTCAGAGAGAATTTAGCTCAAATGCCGCCACCGCCGAACCTACCCCCAGAGCTCGTTCGATCCACGCCCTCCCGAAGGAGCCTCCATCAAGCAGCAGAACGTCTTCCCAGCATAGTCTCTTGATGGAAGATCAAGTGGAGTCGAATTGGGAACAAGATCCATATGAAGCGGATCCGCATCTCACAATATCTCTGTTAGGCCTCTACTTTACTCACGTAGGGAGTGTGACTTACTGCATGTTCCCAAGGGAGCAATTTATTGCTTGGGTAGTAATGTGCCGAGAAAAATCGCAGGACGATCGAATGCTGCTCTACATTCTCCTTGCCATGGGTTCAGTGTTTTCCCCCGACGTAGGACAACGTTCTGTGGGCAAACGATTTGCTGAGATAGCCGCTCATGCATCTAGAAAGAGATTTGGGAAATTTAGCTTGCAGCTGTGCCAGAGCAGGCTCATGCTTGCACTGTTCTATTTCTCACGAGGGAAAGCCGCGGAAGCCTGGGACTATTCTGGTGCTAGTTTGCGAGCAATTAGCGCTCTAAAGCTTAACACAGAGGAAGGCGTGAAAGATTTCCCGGACGATGATCTGGATTTTGGATTCGATCGACCGACACTGGAGGAATGCCGCCGACGGACTTTTTGGTCGGGATTCCTAATGGATGTAAGTGTATCATCGTATCCACAGGCCAACGCTATTACTCTAATCCTTCGGCAGCGGTACAACGGATTCTGTGGAGGCACGCTTTGTTTTATCCAACCCGAAGATACGTTCCTTCGACTGCCTTGTCTAGAGACCGATTTCGGCTCGCCTTTTCCACGGGAATCTGCACTTTTTGATTTCGAATTCTTCAAAGAGCCCCAGCCGAATGTGCCACCGGGCGCAATGACCCATTTGACCCTAATATCCGCCATCTGGGGAGATGTTCTGTTGTTTACTTCCCGAGCTATCAATCGACCAGACCACTCATACCCAGAACGGTACGAGAAATTCTACGACATAACCTCTCAAAGACTTGACGGGTGGCGGAACAGCCTTCCCCCTCATCTTCGCTTCACTCCTTCGAACCTCGACGATAGCTTCGTAGCCGGCTCCTCAGGTACATTTATCAGCCTCCACGCCCTATACCACGCGACACAGATGCGGATGAATCGCTACGCTCGGATCGCAACCTTTTCTCCGTCTACCCTCCGCCGCAATACCTACCGGGCGAACAAAAGCGCAACCAAATTCATAAGAATTGCGCAGGCTCTGGCGCCTGCAACACGTCTCGATCGCCGCCCAAACTCCCCTCCTGAATACATTCTGACTACACCCTTCTCCGGCTATGCTCTCATGCTAGCGGTCGACATCGTCAGCGCCGGCGGCGCAATCGCTGGTCTACCCGCTCTCGTGGAGTCCATCGGCACCGGTCTTCCTGCAGTTGCCGAGCTAGCAGACTTTTGGGCAAGCGCAAAGGTGCAACACAAAGCCATCTCGTTGCGACTGAAGCAGCTGGCTGAGATTGCTCTATCGGAAGATGATAGCGCGAGGAGAGGGCAGTTTTGGAGGTTGAGCGGTAGTCTGGAGCCAAGTTTCACGAAGAAAGATGATCTGATCTACGGGATTGAAGACCGTGTTTTCTTCGATATCATGGATGGGGACATGATGAACGAGGAAGAATAGTTGGAGGTGTACAGAGCTTTTTCTACCAAATTTGGTGCTGCGGCTTGTTGCTGTCAGCTTGAGATAACCATTGTAATATTTCTGGGTTGCTATTTCTAGACAAACATAGGTCGGTGTATTGGGTCTTGCATCTGCGCTAAGCGCACAACTGATGAGTATGAGATTCGTTTGGAAGGTGTAAACATAGATATTAGTCTTGCTCCGCTCATGAGGAGATCACCATAATGTATAGAGTACTCTTTAATTCATAAAACCCAGTGGAACCTTTAGTAAGGGACTTGATAGAGAGATGCGAGTAGACAGATGATCATCTTTGAGTTGCATGGAAGAGGTGGGTCATGTAGTATGGGCTTCATCAATGACAGAGACGGAAAAGGTGATAATCTGGTAGCCCATCGGATTGAGCACTGACAATCAGTAGAGTTACATTGGCTCTATTGACCTTTACGGTATTGGGCAAGTTCCTACAGACACGCTGCATAAGATGCTCATCTAAAAAGCGACGCGATCCTGGGCATGCAAGACGGCTTTCTGAAATCAGTACGATCTACTAGACGTGGCAGGCCCACTATTACGAACACTATCACCTGCTAGTCATTTCGGGCATGCGAAGTGGCCACGCTCTCACGCTCTGTGCGACGCGGCTGATACAGTTGTACCCTAGAGAAATCTTTGATGAGCCCATTTTTTTTTCTTTTACAAGGGTACGTCGTGCAAACGGGCCCTCCCACAGGTATCCTTTCAGATGCACGAATGATTCCCCGTCCTCCGCCTTCACGTCATCATCTCACAAATACCCAACATCAAGCAGCAACATGCCATCTCAGTCCCACTCATGCTCCTTCCTCCTTCCTCCTAAGTCATCTCCACGCACATGGTATGTACCAACCAGTTGACACCGCCTGCGCAACCTCACCCAGCCGAAGCTGGGCACACACGCAGCCAGCTCTAATAGGTTCGACCTCCCTCTCCGCACCACCAAATCTCGGCCTAGCAATATACGCCCCCGCCGGCGGTACCCAGGCGTCTGACAGAATGCCATTCGGAGGGGCGACGGACGGGGTGCTGGGTGAACTGTCTTGGGTGCGTTGTTGAAGGAGGACAGAGGTCGGAGGCTGGGAATTTTTTTTTAACCGCGGCGCAGGGGTGCGCTAGTAGGGAAGGTTTAGACGAAGCGCTAGTCATGGTCACGTGCCGGGGTATCGCTGAGCCTAGCAAAAGTGAAAAGTAGTGCGAGATCTGCGCAAGGGTTAAGGTCTTCATCGTGCATGGAAGATTAGGGTTTCCAAAAAGTATTGGTTTTCTAATTTAACAGGACGGAATACTAGTCTAAACTCATCCCCCCCCTAACTTGATGTCGCATCGAGCTCTGGCATCCGAACGTGTAGCAGTTCAGTCATATGAAAACTAAACTATCGCCAGATTCATGTACTGGCTGTAGCAGAGACTCCCGCAAACACAATCTCAGACTCGTTATCCTCCCAAGGTCCCCTTCTCGATACCCATGGTCTCATTATCTATCCCTTTCCAAGTCAAAATGCGTCCTCGACTACCGTCAAAGATCCAAATTTCAGAATAAAAAGTTTTTCCATCACCATCTAGGAGCTAAGAGCCGATGGGACCGAGGTGTAGGTGCTCGTTAGGAGCGTGCAGAGATTCGATTCATTGCAATATGAGAAACTTAAGAAAACACCTTCCGTATTTTTGTAATTTCTTTATTTCTTTCGCAAGGCGTTCGTATAGACCGATGTATGATGTTTCTATCCCTTAACCTGTCGAAAACCTTCAAATTTGAATGTTCTTCACCAAGAACCTATCGGAGTGGGACGATAAGCTAAGCGAATAATTCCGATTGGTGCGATATCGTTGAGCCCAAATCGACCATGTCAGCTCTGGTATTCAGGCGAGAGCCTCTTCGCTTCACCAAACCGGCAGTCTCCAGGTAGGGCTAACGGGCGGAAAGGTGTCGGGGCCGATGACGTTCTTGTCTGGCGTATGGACAACTGTGTCTATAGACACTTGGCTGCTAGTCTCGTCCTCGTCCTTGTCATCTTCATCCTCATTGTCCGGCATGAGCGGGGGAGGGCAGACGCATGATTCGTACGGATAGCACATGGAACAGTTTACCACGTTCTCTTGCTCCTCGGGCTCCATCGCTTCCTTTATTTCCATGACCCAAGCCATGATACTTTCATATTTTTCGTCATCCACTTGGTCTTCGTTGTTTGCTAGCTCCGCGATTGCTGTCTTCCTTGGCCTAACCCTCGGCAAGTATGGGCTCTGGTTTGACTTTGGCACTCGGGATTTTCTTACATTGCTCTTCTCGTCTATCATGTCTGCTTGCTTTGTAGATCCCGAGAGCTTTCTTGGTCTACAGACCGGCGGCGGTAGTGGGTACATACCATTCTTGAGATAGATCCCATTGAAAGGTTGGTCTGCTTCCGTGTGCAGTTTTGGCAGTGGGTATATGCCATTTCTAGGAAACACCCCATTAACGGGTCGATCTATTTCAGTATCCGGTTTCGGGTTCTGTGCTGGTGTTGACGATGGGACGTCGCAGCGCTGGTGTACAGACGGAAGAGTGGCTCTCTCTATTGGAGGGAAATCTCGGAGTTGATGACGGCCTTTTCTCATCGCAGCGAACTGATAAAACCTCCGTCTCATTGCGGCCTCGACATCTCGATCCTGGGCTGTGAAACCAGGATGAATCACTGGTGCAATGCGCGGGTGAGACGTGCGTGTCGAGTGGAAGCTTCTTGCAATCGCAGCCTCATCATCTCGGTCTTGGGCCGTGAACCCAGGAGGAATCATCGGTGCCACGCGCGGGCGAAAGGCGTGAGTCGCCTGAAATTTTCTCTCGATCTCGGCTTGGACATTTCGCATTCGATCCCTCTCGTTGAGCAGCTGCATCTTGTTCCTTGCGAATTGTACGTATTGTTCGCGTGCTAGGACCTGGGCCTCGAGTTTATGCACATCGCGAGTGGTTGGGCGTTGGGGACTGGGTGAGGCAGGCTTCATGGTGACATAGGAGGTGTAAGCAGGCGTAACGACCTGGGTGCCGTACTTGTCCCCGGTTCTCTGCGTAAAGGAGTCCATTTCGGGTGGCGGTGGAATGTACGAGTGCTGTATTCGTGGAGTAGAGCGTGAAGAAAGTTCGTGTTTACCGCTTGTGGTATACAGGTCGTGCTTTGGGTACGCTGGGTTGTCTTTTTGTAACGCTGTTGTAAGGTAGTGGCAGCAGTTGTCTGTTGGTGCGAAGGTGAAGAGTATGTGCTGCGACCGTAATATTTATGAGTACCTTGATCGCGCTCTGATCGCGCTCTGACTTGGAATCCATGGTTTTGTGTTGACGGAACCGTGGTTTGGTATTCGGTTTGAAGGGTCTTACTATGGCTTGGCATCGGTACCTGAACATCATGAGGCTGCTGAAAATGAGACTGGCATCGTTATGTGGTATAGTGGCCATGGTTATTGGAAGATCCTCTGTGCTGGGCAATTGGTCGTAAGATCGAGGGAGCGATTTGGGCCCCGTTGATAATATCCATGTGGCATGGAAAATGTCTAAGTATGCTGTACCATAAACTATGTATGGTACTGATCAGAAATTTGAGCAAGTCATAAAGGGAGAACGCTGTAGATTCCATATTTGTGAGACGCACGTAGGCGTGGAATGAAAGGGTGGAGTCAGAAACGTGTGGAAGTGTGTGAAGTCGCCATGTACGTGGTGTGGCCAACGGTGGTTTTCAGCCAGCAGAATGGATCCCGTTAACTCTTTACGCAATTTGATGTTGTTCTCCTTCTCTTATCCACATGACGATGAAGTCTGAGCTGGAGCTAGAGGAAGTTCTAAAATCTCATCGAACCCCTAAGCCACAGCTACTCCCCCATGAATAGCCAACCTGAAGGTAATTCTAATCAAAATGATAGGGAGATATCAGGCGTTGCGAATAAGTCTTCAATACAGTGTGAGCACATTCGTTGTATACTGACGTAGTTCCATTGAAAAGTGTTTTGAGGATAATTGAATACCGCTATTCATGTCCAAGCTCGCCACACGCCACGATAGAAGTCCTGTATCCGCAATCATCGACCAATCATGCTGTGGTTGACCGGCCCATTGGCTTGTGCGTCCGCCAACGGTGATCTGGTTCGCCTTCTCTTTGACGAAGTACTGTCGGTGTCTTCTCGAGTGCGTTTGCTCCCCAACTTCTGCCGGATTTCATCTGCAGAAGACGTCGGGGGTGCAGGTAGAATAGAGGCACACTGTTGTGCTAAGAATGACTCCGGGAGAACATCGGTGTCCGCACGGACCAGAACTGGCGGCGTTGTGGACATTTTGGAAGCTCTGACACCGAGCCCCTGGGTGCTGCAAGCGTCCACGGAGAATCCGGTCACGGATTGTGAGCATGAAAACTGGGTAGCTGATGCTGGCCAAGTTTCCTGGGAGCTTCTGGGCGTCGTTCGCTGAGTCTGCCGAGTAGTCCTGTCCGTTTGTTGTGAAATACTAAGCCGGTTTTCGTACCTTGAAATGCGTGCAACGACATCCGCAGCAATACCATCAGAGATCAACTCAGCTGCAGGCATAGCTAGCGCCTCTTCCGCCATCCGACATAGTTCCTCCATACAAACAGCATCTTTCCAGGTTCAGTCTCGGTGAACTTTCTTGATCCGTGGATGTCGTAGCATTAAGAATGACTCGTTAGAAGGTTTATCATATCCACTTCCTAAGACCTCGACCACGAAGGGTTCCTTGAACGCTACGGCCATTGACCGACCATAGCCATAGTTCTTGACTATATCGAACGGTTCAAGTTCCAGACCCTCTCGGTACTCGATAGAGCGGAATTGGCCATGCGAATTGAGATAGGCGAGGTCTGCTTTCGGGATGCAGCTCTCCGACTTGATGACGGCAACGATTTTGAATTTTCTTTTCTCTCCAAACCGAACAGAGTCCTTGTTCGTCAAACAGCCAAGATAGAAATCCGTCCAACGTATCGATCCGTCCATTCCAGTCTTCAACGCCAGCATGGAGTCATATCGAGCGCCAACAACTGCAAAGTCGCCGACATCTTTGGAGCCCCCCATATCCGCAAGATAATCTTTCTTCAATTTTACAAAGAAATTCGGGAGCCATTCCTCATGCTGGGCCTGGAGAGGAAAGTATGGGGAAAGAGCAGGCTTTAGGATATAGCCTTCATATTTGAGTGCCAGTGCTCGTGCAAATAGGTCCTTCAACTCCTCGGCTCCGGTCGATCTGAAATCGAGTATTGTCCATTCTGAACGCATGGCTCGTCCCGGGATGTATTTTACGAGCCTTCTCAACACATCCCGGCGCATTTGTAGGCCTTGGCTCATGGTAATATCGTCGTCGACAAGAAGCACATCGAAGAGCACAATCATGAGATGTTCGTAGTCGTGGCACTGCGAGTCTTGAAGAACGCCAATGAACGAGCCTGATCGGGAGACGTGCTTGCGAATCTTATGGAATTCCAAGATTTTCTGCTCTCGATCGCTGTACACAACAAGCTCGCCGAGTAATATGCATTTCGACTTGACTAGACAACCTGGCGTTCCTACTCGAAGGGCGGCTTTAATCACACTACTTGTAGTCAGCGCTATGATCATTATTACATCCTTGGGATGTGTTGCTTACCTGTGTAATGCCCGCCGATCCTGTGTCATCAGCGAGCCATACCCGTTTGCCTAACATGTCAAAACAGTTCTTCCAAGACTATCATGAAGATCAGCGAGCCGTTTAATCATATGACGAATAACTCACCCATGCCTTGCGGAAGTGAGGTCTTCCAACTTTCACCCCAACTGTTGGGCGGAGGTGTTTTGACGCTTCCATCCTCAACATTTTCTGGACTCGGATGTCAGGCTTAGAGTCGTAGCAGCTCAGAGGACCCTTGAGCAGAGCGAATACGGCCTCAAAATCGTTCTGGAAATGCAACAGTTCTGGCAGGAGGAAATGATATTCTCTCAACACCAAATTTTCGTCCAAGGCCACAGTAGTGAACTGTTGCAGGACCACGCGCAGGAACCATTTGATCTGCCAAGACCGCAACTTGATTAAGACTCCATGGAGTATTTTGTCCGTATCCATGCTGAGATTCCGCTTTGATTGTATGGCTGGACTGGAGAAACGACACTTAGCAGTTAATTGCTCTAAGACCTCGAGAATCTTGTCGACAGTAATAGGGTCTCCTACTAGAGAGCCGTCCCACTCCTTTGTCGCATTTTGTGCACATGCGGGCATATCACCATTTCCCCATTCGCTGTATTTGTAAAGCTGGGTAATTTGGGGTGCTCGAAATCTCATCAAGGTCGAAACTTTTGTAGCAAGTCTCACCTCTTGCATTCCATACACCATGTCTTTACGGCGTTCCGGAAAGAGAATTGAGAGAATGGCGGGTCCATTGATAGTAGGCTCCATGAGAGTACTTCGATGCTTGGCAAACCATTCGACTATGGTCGTTCTCCTTGTCTGATCTGCACGGTATCTCGGGAGTTGAGGTTCGTGCTGTGCGACTTTTTCCATGTTCTCAAGTAGTTGACAAACTTGGCTGAACTTGAACACCATATTTTCAGGATTGATGTGACTGGTTTCTTGAGATGGAGGTGATGGTTGGTGGTTAATATTGAGTGTGGTCGATAGTGAATATACTAATGGATGGTTGCTGTGAAGTGATATATGTGTAGCTGCCTGGAAACAGCAGAAAAAAGGTGAAAGGCCCTTGCCACGAGGTGAACATTGAAGTCACAGCAAATATTGAGGCCAGCCTTTAGTGATAGGGCTGACTTCCAATAAGGATGTATCAAAGCCTCAATCACTAGGGGCGCAGCTTGAGTGAAGCGAAGATCCAATGTGAGTTAGAAGCCTGAGATGTTCGAAAAGGTCCAGGTAAGGTCAAGGTGGCCGTATTTCTGCTCGAGCCCAGCCACTTCAGGAGACAAGGTTGCAGTGTGATGTTGATCACGGCCTAAAGGTTCAGATAGTCCGCCTCGATTTGAGATGTCTCTGTAAAGTTCCACCGATTGTGAAACTAAGGACGTCGCTTTCTTTGTATGATTATGTGGCCGAAGTCGGGGTTGGAACTCCGCCAGCGAAACCCCACAGTCAAGACCGGTCGAGACCGTGCTACGTAAAATAGCATAGTCAGAACGGTCCCAAATGAAGTGCCACTAAAGAGGGTCGTTGGGTTTCAACGTGACCGTTTGAAGCTCTCTGCCTCGTCCAACCCCGACTAGTATCGTTCAGAGGAGAACCATATGGTCGAAGCAATGATGAAGCCAAAGGTCTGAGGAGTGATAGTGGTAGACTCTAAGAGATTTTCGACGGCTAAGAAAGGAAGAAATGGGGGACGTCAATGGAAAGATGAAGCGTGCGAATGTTGTTGTGATGACAATACGCGCCGGGATCGGCTTTGTCTTCCATCCCCACGAAAGCACGCTAGCACACGCCATCACCTGCTCATCTTTCTCGGGACGCGTTTCTTTCATCCCAAGTGCCTACCACCAAACAATCACCCCATCGCCGAACATAGAGGCGAAGACGCAAGAAAGCGAACAAAGGTATCCTTAATGCCTGACCCCACCACCGTATCCGGCTGCCAGACGTCATCATTCCAGTCACTGTGCAACTAACCTACATGCATCTGGATTGCATGCCCGTCTCGGCTTCAGACTGAACAGTCTTCTCTTTGTTTGCAATTGCATCCACTAACATATATAGCCATTGATTCGACATTGGCTAGCTTCCTCCAGCTCCTGCCCGCCTTGCCTCCCTTCGATCCTCACTAGCATCTACGATGGCAGATTCAATCCCGGAAAAGAAGGAAACGAAGAAGCTCGATCTCATCACTCGCGGAGACCACGGCAGCACACCCTTAGGTTCCGCCCTCTTCGTTGGCCTTCGCGCCCTCGACCCTTTGCTCCAATACCAGATCCTTGCAAACGGACTCGGCACATCCCTCTTGCATCGAATAGGCCTCTCTACTCTTCCTCTAGGTGTCCCGGTTCAAACGGGAATTGCGCTTGTCGATGGGCTAGGACTCTCACCATACCGTCTATTCTTATTTGGAATGGCAGTTGGGAGCATGTTGAAGCAGAACATATGGCTGCTTTCCATCTCGAACGACCCTATGCCCGTACCGGCCTCCCTCGCCATCTCCTGCTACAATACTTTCCTCAACAGCCTGAATAGTTATCTATTCCTCTGCACCGCTACATCTGCCTCTCTCTCGGGCAATGCGAGGTTCCCTCAACTCCCGCTGATTATTGGTGGAACACTGTATGTCGTCGGCATTTTGACCGAGCTTGTCGCAGAGATTCAACGCGCAGCATTCAAACGGGATCCAAGGAACAAGGGAAGGGCATACACAGGTGGACTGTGGCAAGTAGCACGGCACATCAACTACACGGGTTACTCGCTCTGGCGGGCCGGCTACGCCATGGCCGGCGGTGGATTCACGTTCGGCGCGCTTGTGGCGTCTTTCTTGGTGTTTGATTTCACGACAAGGGCCGTTCCAAACGTAGATGAATATTGCACAAAACGAGTGAGTACTCTTCCCTGGTCAAGTACTATTAAGTGGACTATATGCTGATAAATTGGGTGTGGCAGTATGGCCAAGATTGGGTGGATTTCAAGATCAAGGTTCTGTACAAGATGTTGCCTGGTCTCTACTAGGTAGGACTGCTGCAGCTTTCCTTTGGTATGAGAGCCGCTTTTCAATAAAAGTTACTTTTGGAACGATGAGAATTATTCATACATTTACTCACTCTGTCGTGTGTGCTCTCAAAGGTTACTTAGTGTCACAAGGCGTGTAAAGCGTCCAGCTGCCATATGAATAGATGCCAGAGGTTTCGACGAAGGATATCAAGCGTTCCAGCCGCGACGCTTGGGACTCGCCTTTGTCGTACTCGAAGCTCCCGGATGTCTACAGTCCTTACTGCCCCCAAAACTTCAGAAGGCACAAGAATGTCTGTCGATTGCATCTGCATGACTTATTATTTTACACCGTACTATAGTGTCAGACGCAGGCGGATTGCCTGAATCAAAAACCCGGGGTTAATTATTAAGAGCCTGTTTTAGATATCCCTCATGTTCCATTGGATGATGTAATCTTCTAGCGCTAAACCTGTCTCCGACCTCGCTGATTGCTGCGCCGACTCTTTCATTCATTCATTCATTCTAGCTTACGCAACGCCTATGCTTATAAATGTCTCAAGCTGGAATATCATGATGAAAGAGCCTTGCACTTTCGGGTTTCGTCTCTTTTGGAATTGTATAGCTACATGACCTTTGCGCGAAGTACCTAATTATCCACCTGGGCATAGTCACAGCTTTAAATATGACTTCAGAAGTACTTGAAAATCGTCCTGGGAGAAAAGGAATGCACAACTCCACTCCAGAATATCCAGAATCGGACTTGGGAGAAGGAGAGATTCAGTTCATCACCGTCAGCCACCCGTCTCAGCTCAAAGGGAAGCCTGCTCAGAAAATTATTCGGAAACATGTAATGGGAGAAGTCGCAAAGGCAAAACGACGAGTTCAAAGAACGTATCAAGTTTCCTCGAATGAACAATCTTTTAAAGGTGGAAAGGGGACGAAAGCTCTCTCCCTCTCATGGCTAGGGGCAGGGGAGGTTGACCCTTTTGTGAAGTATCCCATTGAGCTGGATGGGTCTTCCCGTGCGCTGGTCGCAAATAGTAAGTAGCAGCTTTCAACATTGCCCCCACCGTTTCGTCATGTAGTGGTTCTTGTATCTGAAAAGACTCGTCCATTCCATTCTTTCAATGTCCCCGACTACCCGTCAAGATGCCACGAGACTCCTTGAAAATCAATCCTGATCTAGTTCTGATATGGCCTACAGTTTTCCAGGGCAAAGGATCCGCACAGAGAGCGCTCCGAAACGCATGGTACTCCGTAGGCTTATTCGACTTTGCTGCGTTCCACCTCGTCCTCTCCAATTCAGCGTTGGCAATTCAGATGCTCCGCAACGGGCTGAAGTTTGTCAACAACGAAGACTCAGAGGTCTTGAAGCACCATGTGATAGCCACTCGGTCAATTAATGCGAGACTTGCGAGTCCAGATCATCGGACGAGCGATGGAGTTATTGGTGCGGTCGCGGGACTTGTGTGCCATGACGTAAGTAATTTGTGAAAAATGCTTCGCGTTTCTGACGATGATAGTATGTATCTGGGCTATATGAGCGTTGGAGGATACATGTTAATGGCCTGAAAGAGCTTATTGCCCTACGAGGTGGTATTGATACTATCAAACGAGAAGACTTGAGGGATACGATTACTTGGTATGTGTTTCACTATGTCCCAGTTACCTAGTAATATCGAATGGGCTTTTTGAGGAATTCTGATAAGCTCTATTGTTAGCCGAACTCTCTCCCAACAGCCGTTCTAACTACAAGTTCTGAAGGGTCGACCTCTGCGGCGCATACTGCCAGGACATACCCCCCAGCTTTCCCACCCCGCGCTCCTGGAAAACATACCCACAGCCCTTCTCCCCCTTCCTCGCCAACTCCAAATTCTCCTCCCCGCTCACTGCCGCCTTCAAGAAACGCATGTATCAACATCCTGAAATCGTCAGCATATTCGACGACCTCACAGCCTGCACCGCCTTAACATCCTACGAATCCAAACACCTCGGCCCCGACTACTGGCTCAAGTCGACCTTTGCCCCATACGGGGCCTGGACGAATCCTACAATCCACAGACTGCTTACGCTAAGGCCACTCAGTCTAGAATGTACCCAGGAAACGGTGATTGCGGAGGTGTGCCGCGCGGGTGGACTGCTCTATATTGCGCCCATTTGGCGGAAGTTTGGGGCGTCGCCGGCTCGTACTGCTGATCTGATAAAGCATCTTATGAGTACTCTGGAGACTTATGTCGTCGATTGGGGCGAGCTTCGGCCGTTTTTATTGTGGACGATGTTTTTTGGGTGTCTTGAAGCGCCGGCTGGAGACGAGCGCGATTGGTTTCTTTTTAGAATTGCGAAGTTGATGAGGTCGTTGGAAATGAAGTGGGCAGATTATATGGCACCTGTTAGGGGTGTGATGTTTCTTGATGAAGTCTTTGCGGGAACCGACGGGTTTGTGAGGGCAGAGATTGAGGAATTCTTGTCACGTGTGTCGCAGGTCAATATTGTGTAGTGACGGTTGTGAAGCAAGGGGCATGATCCACTACATGATCACTTCCGATAATGGCGAATGAAAGCGCCTACATAGGATATCTTATGAAAGCCTGACTCAATCGGAAATGGCCTCAAGACCCGCTTTTGCCGCTACGAACATGAAAGCATCGGACACCGCAAACCCTTAAAATCTTGGCCCATCTCTAACCTTGCGTTATGATCGTGAATAAAATTTCACCATTACACGAATCGTTGAAGTTTTGGAGCAGCAAGTTTCGCTCACTTGCTCCTCTTGTAGATCTTCTTAAGGAAAGTCTCAAAGACCTCCTTCTTCAAGCCCTCAGACTCGTCAACCTTGTCAATCTTGGCCCTGAGATCAGCAACGCGCTCCTCTTCCCATTGCTCGTAGAACTCCGCCAACTTCAACTCGTGGTACAGTGCCTTGACCTTGGCCTCGCGCTCGCTGTTCTTCTGGCCGTAGTTGTCTTCGAGGATCTTCTTTTGCTCCGGGGTCACCTTCTTGAGAGCCTGGTTGATCAGCCATGAGCACTTATTGTCCATGATGTCGGTTCCAATCTTGCCGAGCACTTCTGGGTCGGCGAAAGCGTCTAGGTAGTCGTCCTGCGCCTGGAAGTATTCGCCCATGGGAATCAGGATGTCCAATGCGGTGTTGAGGTTCTTCTCAGTCGCAAAGCCGCAGAAGTGCAAAGAGAGCGCAACGGGCAGGTAGAAGCTATAGTAGGCGGTCTTGAAGATGACGATGAAGGTAAACTTCTCGAGGCTGAAGTTGCTCAGATCGACTTCGTCCTCGGGAGCGGTGAGCAGATCACACAGCTGGCCGAGCTCCGTCTGGAAGGTCACTTCGTGGAACAGCTCAATGAGATCCACGTAGCTCTTCTCTTGGCGGAAATGCTTCTTCAGCAGCACGTAGATGGAGGCCTCGAGCATGAAAGCGTCGTTGATAGCAATCATCTTGACCTCAGGAACCCGGTACCAGCAAGGGGCGCCGCGGCGGGTCTTTGAGGAGTCCATGATGTCGTCTGAGACGAGGAAGAAGGCCTGGAGTAGCTCGATCATCCATCCCAAGGCGGCGGATCGGAAGTACTCCTCCTCGGTTAATTCTTTGTTGAGGAGCAGCGCGGAGGTGTCTATCACAGACATTCCTCGATTGCATTTCCCGCCGACAGTGTTGTATTGAAGTTGCTTTGGTAGTGTCAATTCACGTGTTTGTGATACACACGTGGGGTCGGCAGGTACTCACCCTCCTGAACCAGTCAAGGGACTGTTGGGGGAGTTTGTAGGCCTTGCAATGCTCGGTCAGGTCTTCCAAGAGACGCGGCCAAACGCTCTCAAACTCTTTGAGGGTAGTAGGCATCTTGGAATTTGGGTTGAGGAAATTTGGAGTAGTCAATGGCTTGCTGGTGGTCAATTGATGCCAGTCGACGAGATAGGCGGTCGGACGGTTATATCTCAGTGCACGGTCGAGTTCATAAACCGTTTCATCGTTTCGGGGCTCGGCAAAACCCCTTCCGAGTGCTGTTTTGATCCCCGCCATGGGGTGAATGACTGGATCTATTCACCGTCTGGCAAAGGCGACAACGCGATTTCTTGAAACATTGACGCGGCTTTGCGACAAGCAATGATCCAGGGACCGAATTCGCAACTTTAACTCAAACAACAACCATGGGAACCCTCTCGGCGAGCGACCAGGCGCAATTGAAGGCCCAACTGCAGGACGCCGTCACTTCGTGCACTGATCGATGTCTATACCAGTCAGCAAAATGGTGAGCCACCCTCGAGAGTCGATGCAAATGAGCCAAGGACTAACGGGCTATGCGCTCAGGGCAGCAGAACTTCTCACCTCATTGCCCTCGTCCGACCCAGCCTATGGCTCCGACACCGACGTGGACTCGCCAATGTCCGACGCACCGCCGCCTCAAACCCCTACACACGCTATTCTCAAAGACCCTATAGAAGCTCGCTTGGAGGCACGTGAGGTTCATAAGTTCTTGCTGGCTAAGACCTACTTCGATTGTCGAGAATACGACCGATGCGCTGCCGTCTTCCTGCCCAGTACCTTGCCGAAAGGGGCGGCGAACCCAGTCTCCTTCGAACCAGAGAAATCTTCCGCGAAAGGCAAGAAGAAACTCAGTACCCCTACAAAAAGACCGTCTTCGATAGACGCGATCTCGGGGCTCAGCCAGAAGGCACTATTCCTGGCTTTATACGCCAGATACATTGCAGGCGAGAAGCGCAAAGATGAGGACAGTGAAATGATATTAGGTCCTCAGGATGGTGGCGTTACGCTGAATAAGGAGCTCAATGGCATTTCAATGATATTAGAAGACTGGTTCTCGAATCTACCAGCGAGCGGTAGGCAAGGCCAAGGATGGCTGGAATACCTTTACGGCATCGTACTAGCGAAGGGCAAGAATGAAGTTCTAGCCAAGAGATGGTTCGTTCAAAGCGTACATCTCTACCCCTACAACTGGGGTACCTGGCAAGAGCTGTCAAGCTTGCTAGGCACTGCTGAAGAGGTAATCACTCCTGTTCCAGATCTTTCTTGTTGAAACGACGCTAACATGATGAAGATGACTCAAATAACGGAGCAGCTCCCGCAGAACCTAATGACCTTCGTATTTCATGTTTACACATCTCAGGAATTATATCAGGCCACGGAACAGGTCCACAACGAACTTGCTCAAATTGAGAGCATATTCCCTACATCGGCATTTCTCAAGACCCAGAGAGCGCTCTTATTCTACCATACCAAGGACTTCGATGAGGCGGAATCAATCTTCTCCAGGCTACTCCAAACGGATCCTTACCGGATCGACTCGCTCGACAATTACTCCAACATCCTCTACGTTATGGGTCTCAGGCCCAAATTGGCTTTCTTAGCTCAGCTTGCCACCGCGACTGACAAATTCCGACCTGAAACATGCTGCGTTGTAGGGAACTATTACTCCCTGAGATCAGAACACGAGAAGGCTGTCATGTATTTCCGACGCGCTTTGACCCTCGATCGGAACTTCCTGTCTGCATGGACGTTGATGGGCCACGAGTTCGTCGAGATGAAGAACACCCACGCTGCCATCGAGTCATATCGTCGAGCCGTTGATGTCAACCGTAAAGACTACCGAGCATGGTATGGACTGGGCCAGACATATGAAGTGCTGGAAATGCACAGTTACGCTCTTTTCTATCATCAACGCGCCGCATCTCTCCGTCCGTACGACCCAAAAATGTGGATGGCTGTTGGCCAATGCTTTGGCAAAGTCGGGAAATATCCAAACGGTATCCGAGCTTATAAGCGAGCATTAGTTGCTGGAAGCTACTACGATGCCGGTGCTGGAAGCAGTTTTGGAAGTCAAGAAGGCGTCTCAGGTCTTGGCGGTGGTATTCTCGATCCTGAAGTCTTGTATCAGATCGCGCTCCTCTATGAGCGTTTAAATGACATGCAAGAGTGTGCGGCTTATATGGAGCTGACCATTGCTCAAGAAGAGGGCCCGGAGTTTGACGAGGATAATAGCAACGATGGAGAAGCGACAGGCGTTGGCGTTACACCTACCACAAGCAAAGCGCGTATGTGGCTTGCGAGATGGGAATTCATGCGTGGTATGTATCAACGCAGTATGGACCTTGCGAACGAACTCTGTCAGGATGGTGTCGAGGTTGAAGATGCGAAGGCATTGGTAAGGGATATCAGGGCGAGGATGGAGCGAGAAAAAGAAGGGACAAAGGCGGCTGTCCAAGCGACAGGAAAGAAGGCACTTGGGTAGCTGCGACGTCTTCAGCCATGATGAGTTCTTAGCGATGCATAGTTGGAGTTCCGGGTGGAGGTATGGTTGATATTGATACCCAGTACAGGTTAATCGAGTTGAAGCTTTACAGCAGTTCGTTACTTGTTCACAATCTGCAAAAACCACGAGACACTTACGTTGAGCAGGCATTGTGAATGGTCCGGTCCTTCCAACATTCACAAAGATGGCCCCTCAGGAGTTGGAATGCCACGTCAGTGAATGAGGCCGTAGGAGGCCCGTCAAGCACCTCCAGCGGGCGTACCACCTAGGAGTCAGGCACGAAGTCTGTGAGTGAATGCACACCGTTCTAGAAATCAGCATAAAAACCCCCAACACCCGATTTCTCAAACCAATATCCTTCCATCATCCTCCATTTACCACTCCTTCCCCCACCCACCAACGACCGCCCATTAGCCCCACTTTCAATTACCACATTTATTACCAAACTCTTTTCGAATTTCGAATCACAGCATGTCCAACCGTGGTGGGCGCGGTGGTCGCCGCGGTGGCCATAACGGATCAGGACCTCGCAATGGACAAGGCGACAACCGTAACCGCGAACCAGGAAACCCCGCAATCGCTGCCATGTTCCGCGAACTAGGTAGTCTAAGGAAGGAATCGTTCAAGATCTTCGCTCTCAATCTCAAGATATTCCCTGGAGCCGTGCGCAAGATTCCCGCGAAAGACTTACCCAAAGGACACCTTGACGAGGACACTTGGGAATGGGTTACGTTCGGCGATGTAAGTTCCGAACATGATGAATGTGAACCTAATACTAATACATGGTGCAGAGCTCTCATAGGCGTCGTAATGGCATCAAATATAACGTAGAACTAGGAGAGCCATCCATGAAGATCAACTCGGTCTACGAACTTGATGTGTTAGTGGAAGAAGCTAAGCCGTATACTTTTGTTGGTTGCCGTGGTTTCAGCAGGATCCTCTCAGTGAGGACTACTCGCTGGTACAAATGAGGCCTGCGTGTCGAGGTCCTGTTTGCTGGACGGTGGATCGACTTCTCATCGTGGCTTGAACGCCTCGAATTCAACCCTCCAGCCGGGAAAGTCGGATCCGATTTGCAGCGTGGATGGTGGAAGAGCACCGGGAAGACCTTCAAATTCCTAGAGTTGCCTGCCGAACTGAGGAACGCTGTCTATAAATTTTCCCTAGGCTCAGAGATCTTCCCTTCCCACGAATCGACTACTGATGCCCAGACCGGCACGGAGACAACCCAGCTTGTACTAGGTCGGGGATGGGATGGGCGAGTTGCGGACGGCTACACGAGAGACCCTCGAGAAGCCGGCGTCGACGCACCTAACCTTGCTCTGACTCGGGTGAACAAGCAAATTCGAGGGGAAGCACTTCACTGCGCCTGGGAACTGATGCCCAAGGTCTTCACCTCATCTTTGGGGCTCTATGAAATCGGTCTCGAGATGGACCAGGATCTCCCCTTCAAGAGCGCCGGACACGTAGTGCTTGTCTTCCTCACAGTCGACTATATTAACTTCTTTGAGGTGCCATTACCTGGTCTCGCCCAAAAACCGTCCTTACAGCCCCTCGCATCCTGCCTTGGCAAGGACCTGTTACCGGGTCTGCAACACTTGGAGATCAGGTTCCAGAACACGAAGCTTGGCCCGGCCATCGATCCGTGGGGCCATCACGACAATGGCACCATGAAGCTTGGGTCTGACTTCCGTACCTCATGTCACAAAGTCCTCATCGACTGGATCATATTGTTCGCCATCGACCACATCAAGCACATTCCGCGCGTTGAGCTAAAGGGCTACATCAAGACGAGCCTGAAGCAGAAGTGGGAGGCGATCTTAGCAGATGAGCGAAAGGGCATCGTGCACGATCTCACTGCAGAAAAAGCGGCGGCTCAGGCTCTGACTATCCATGATGTGTAAGTGCCTTGAGCTTCTCGTTAGAATCCCTTTTCGAAATGACTGCTAACGGTTCTGGATCCTTAGACCTCCATCTTGAGAGTGCACGAAACCCTGCCGCTTCGATGGCATGCACGCTATTGCCGCACGCCGGGAGCGAGACCGGCGATGTATCTTTCCCCAGAAGCAGCGGATCCACTGGATGAACGACTACAGCTTCGACTTCAATGATTAAGGGATGTGCCAGTGGTTGCGATATAGCACTGGAGCACACGTTCAGATTGTGAAGCCAAGATTTGCAAGTCGGCAGTGCGGTTAGCTACATGGGCTCAGGGGAGCTACTCTTTACGACTGCTTTCGAGGTTCCTAGATGACATCACGTAGTCCCAAATTAAAGTTACACTCTGGGACTGTTGCATCAGCTCATTGTTAGGCCAATAAACACTCCCTTTCGGGGTGCTTCAGAGTAGCATTAAAATCTCAATGACACTTATGGATGTTGATAGCCAGAGCCGTCTCACTTTTTGTTCAACACAACGTACGAGAATCTTCTTTCATAACTCACTTTGCTACCACAGACCTAACAAACATCCGCTTAGATTCTGGAAAGGGACCACCGAAATCCAAGGCCCTTTGCTTCTCAACGGACATTTGATCTTCAAGCGGCTAGGAAAGATACATTCACCCAACTGGAAAGAGTAAGCCCTGGCTTTCCCTCATGCTCTCTCGCGTTTCCCGCCAACTAACTTCATAACAGCTACAGCGCAATGAGTGAATCGATATCACTCACTGCCTCCACTGCGGCGAAATCTGAGGTACAGGTGGATAACCAGGAAACCTAGGATCAAGTCTCGTAGCTGCTCCAGTTGCCGCACCCTGTCCCTGCCCCTGCACCATCGCCTGATACCCTTGTTGCGGAGCCACGAAGACTGGTTGCCCACCCCCCATAGCCGTATGCCTATTGCGGGCATGCGACTGCGGACTTGGCTGTTGTGCTGAGTACTGAGGCGTCTGAGCTGCTGGGCTACTGTACTGGTAGCTTTGTGCGGTTTGTGCCGGGAACTGGAAGCCTTGTACGTTTGGATGAGCCATTGGATTTGGAGCTGGTCCCGCATGCTGGAAAATTGATGGTGTTTGTGCTTCGTAAGGGTTTCCTTGTGGGGCTTGTGCCGGAAATTGGAAGCCTTGGGCGTATGGATGTGCATTCTGGCCTTGCGGCTGCCCTGTGTTGTAGTAGCCCTGTTGCTGGCCCCATTGGGGTGGGTATCCAGGTGGTCCAGACATTCTTATTTAGCTTGCAGCACTCCGTTCTGAGTAATGGATATGGTTCATAGTTGATGCATTTATACTGTCCGTATCGAACTCGTGGTGGACGCGTTTGCGTAGCTCAGATCTGACGTGGTTAATGATGCTGAATCATTTCCACCAAACGCACATCTTGAACAGCAAGAAATCTCACAGCCAGCAATAGCTCTAATACGCACAAATCCTCATGTTGACGTTCTTGTTCTGCTGTCATAACGTCGCCAACGATCTAATATTGATGACTTGCTGTCCCTGACAAACACCTTGAAATTTTGTTGATGCTGGCATCATTTCACCTATCATGAAGAAGCAATCTCAAAAATCTTGTCCGGTTCATTGGTGTAGCCTACACGGTGAAGTGTTCGGTTGGGGGTTGGTGGTGACCGTGAACATATGCAAGTCCATTCCACTTCACTCTTGTGCCATTTCCACTCACCCCGTCTCGAATAGTGGTTTGAAGCGCCTCCAAAGGTGACCTGGCGAAACAAGTTCGATGCAGATCTGGAAGCCAGACTGATGCCTTGTACGAGCCTCTTATTTATGGGACTGTTTTCTTCTGAAATGAAGCCGCAGAGATCGTCGCGGGACTCCATCCTGCGGAGCGCGGTCCAAAATGGCCTCCCACCTCCAACCCACAGAGTATAAATGCTTAATCGACCAACCGGGCAGATTAAGCAAGAGATCGATTATCAAGCTGGTACTGGGAGTTGTGTACTCGGACAAGAAGCCGATCGTCTTCAGGCGAGACATGTCGTTGATCCACTCTGCTAACATGTGACCAACTGCCGCGTTCGTGGAAAGCTCCAACCGATGGGTTACCTGGATTCGCTCCAGATTCAGCCCCAAAGCCTTGAAGTCGGTCGATTTTAGACGCTGTTCGCAGGAGGGAGGGTTCCATGACATGACTCCATGTCTGGTGAAGTGTTGGCGGGTGAAGCTGATTGATCTGATTGCATCCAGTTGGGTTTCGTTGAGCCCTGCGGCTGCTACGTGCAAGCGGAGGGAATGCTCAAGGCGGCTCACTTCGAATGTAGTAGCTTCCCAAGCAATACGCCAGGCTTCTTGATGGACTTGACGACAAGTCAGCAGAAAGGCGAGCTTCTTGGATGCTGATCGATTGGTAGCAACGAGTTTGGTGTAGATATGGTTGCGGAGCTCGCCAGGGAGCTCTAGGAAGGAACTCATCGTGATGCTCCAGGATCGGCAGTGGTTGTCAGGTAATACTGCTTTGCCGCTGTCTGAAGCCCTCCAAGGTATTTTCGACAATCGGAAAACAACTTCATATAGATCTTTGAAAGTGCGCCGGGGTACTTCAGACGGTGGCAGAGAGTAGTGAACTGGATGATTGATGGTGGTGACTGTGGTGTGTGGGGTTACGTTGAAACAAGCGTGGCGCCCTGACCTTTGTAGGGAGCTTTTGTGTAGAATAGCTGTAGACGTCAACAAACACTCGACGAGAATCTAATGGATTAAAAACACCACAGCCTCCAGAAGACCTCCAGCGGGCTCCATGAGAATCCCATCTTCTCCAATTCACTACCCTGCTCACGCGCACTAATTGTGATAGCTCGAATCACCGCATCTTGGAGCAAACCTAGAGTCTGCACGGCCGTCACACAACGCAAACAGCCGCACTTCACAAGGCTGCATCTTGTCAAGACTTTTTTCTCTATTCTCTGGCACGACCAGTCTCTGATATCGTTCCATCCCTCTCTCTTACTCTGCTGCTCTCACATTCGGTGCCTGCTTGATCGCGACTCCTGACCTATTCATTTCACCATCTCGCTGCCGACACCGTCACAGGTTTCGGGCAGACCTCACTAGCAGTCAACCACCTTCAAAGGCCACTTTCTCCGCAGATCCTCTATTAGTCTCGCCTCTCTAATCGCTCTGGTTCTTGCCTGTCAACATTGACCGAGACCGTTGATAGCGTCAGAGGCGGTATAATGAACAACACGACCGCCCAGAGTACACTGCCCGAGCTAGCTAATTCGGCAACGACTGACCAAAACCCATCCGCACAGCCAGTGATGGCCTCAAATGGTATTATTCCATTTGAGCAAATGGCCCGACCAGGAGCTCCCCATGGCAAGATCGAGCCGCCCAGCGAGCACCCAGAGGGCGAGGAGATTCGGCGCCAGGTTGAATTCTACTTCTCTGATGGAAACTTGGCGACCGACAACCACTTGCTCGGCCTCTGTGGTGGCCGGGAGAATCTTCCAGTCTCAATCAGCCAGATCCTTGGCTTCAAGAAGATGCGCCGGTTCAGGCCCAAGACGCGTGTCGTTGAGTCGCTCAGGAAGAGTGACTTCTTGGAGGTGGACGAGACGGGCAAGACCATCAAGCGGAAGATTCCCATCCGTATCCCGACTCTGCTAGATGACGACGACGATAATTCGGAACTGGCGTATGATCCGGCTTCTGTGCAAGAAGAGCGAAAGGTCACGCCGAGGAGGGCTAAGCAGGTAGTCCCGACGACGCTCAGGAAAGAGATCCCACCTGGAATGACCAAGAATATGGTAAGTTTGTTCCACGACATCTTCTTATATTGACTTGGTTGCTCATGGCATCTAGATCAAACCCTCCGGCTTCGAGGAGGGCTACGTAGAGGGCCCCATTACCCCAGATCAGTACGAGGAAGAAAAGCATATGTACGACCCCGACATCTCCTTCGTCGAGCGGATCGAAGTTGCCATTCAGCGCTTCAAAGCCAAGCGTAAGATGCACCAGATGTACGTAGAGATCTTCAGCAAGTTCATGCGCTTCGGTGGCGTCGATGGGCAGCAGCGCCAATTCACAGGTAGACTAGCCAAGACGGAACTGGAAGAGTACGATGCTTCAGAAATAGCGCGCATGATGGCGACGCACCATGTGCCCTGGGATCGCGCGGACCCGAAGCGGTGGGCTGTGGACTTTGAGGGCATTGCCAAAGGCTTCCTGTGAGTTTTCCCGGTCCTTTACAACCCCATTTCGTTTCTTGGTCTCTTAAGAACTGATAGTTCCTAGTTCTTCCTACTACCCACAATACTTCAGTCCCGAAACTCGCCAGATCAATCGCACTACCCAGGTTCTTCGCTCCTTCTACAACTACATCCTCCTCCACAACGTCTGCCCCGAGTACAACGACGACATCCTCGCCGCGCGTCGCATCTGCGACCTTGCCGACAAAGAACTCCCCGCCGTCTACGCCGTCGGCGGCCTTCTCCCAGGAACCTTCAACACCTCTGCTTCCGCCCTCCTCGGCGGCTACTGGGCCCAAATCCACCCCCCGAACCAAAACCCCGACGACTCGTGGGACGATGTAAACCGCGAGTCTAGCTGGACCGGCGAAGCCCCCGACGCTTCCAGTAAGCAAACCTACCGCCCCGAAGCCATGCTCGCAGCGTTCAAGATTGGCGTGCTCGCGTGCGGCGGCGAAGCCGCATACACCGCCCTCGCCAGCGACGGGCAAGACATCTCCACCATCAAAGACGCCTTCCCGGTCCTTGCAAGCGAAACCGTCGGCCTCAGCGTCGTCAACACCGAGCCGCCTAGCGACGAAACCCGCGCCCTCTACGCCGCGCACAACAAGAAATGGAGCCACAAGCTCCAAATCGAGCCACTCGGCAAGCTCATCTGCGAAGCGTGGGCCGTCCCGGACCTCGAAGAGTGGGACCTGCCGCCGAAGCTGCTCGCGGCGAAGACGAAAGCGGTGCCACGGCGCTTCGAGTTCTGGATCGAGGAGAAGGCGCTCACGCTGTGCTTTGTGAACATGAAGATCCGCGCGACCGTCATGAGGCTCGAGCATGGCATTGAGGTGCTGGATGAGGTCAAGCTGGTGCATTGTAGCTTCTATGAGTTCTTGCTCAACGAGTTGCAGATGCAGGCGAAGGCGCCGAAGGAGGTGAGGTTCCTGAAGCATCGGGATTTGAAGGCGATTGAGGAGCAGCAGGCGGAGGAGGACATGGCGGTTGCCGAGGTCTAGATGATGGCTTTCTTCTCTTTCGGTATATTTGTTCTCTTTTGATGGCCTTCTTGTCCTTTAATGACAGCCTTAGGGATTACTAGAGTTAGGTGAGACAGCGGTTAGTAGGGCCGGGGAGGTCCTCAATGCAGCGTGGCGAGCTTCGGAGTCTTCGAGATGCGAGTGATTTTAGGCAGGTATTATAGGTGAAAATGCATCGGTATGAAAAATGGAAGCTTGTGCGCATGTGCTTGGTACTGTTTGAGGTGCTTCAATACACTATCAGGAGTTCCCAGAAGACGTATGAAATGCAAGAGCGAAATCCTGACACGCTTTTGAATACTCAGATCCTCTTAATTAGCATATCGCGCTATCCACGCGGTGGCGTAAAGGAGCACATATGCCTATATCCTAGTCCGAATGATTATCTTATGGCTGTAACAACAGCTTGCCTGTTGTTTTCCTGCCCTCGAGATCCTAGTTTCGTTAGCTTAATGTGTCCTTGATATCGCGTTGAGCGGAATAGACGGCCTACCTGATGCACCCTGACAATATCCTTGAGCGGATACACCTCATGAATCCGCGGGTCCATCTTATCCTTGACAATGAAGTCCCACAACTCAGCTGAAGCCTTCTCTAGCTCTCCTTCCTCCGAGATATAGGTGAACAAGTTCGGACGGAGGAGTTTGGCGTTCTTCGTAGTAAGCCGCCTATCGTACTTCGTCAGTGACGGTCCACAACCACCAGCCCTCACCTCCCCAATAGAATGTCTTCAACTCACGAAATCGTCACCGGCGGCACCGCCCCGCTCGCATTCCCAAAACTAACCAAGCTCCCCTTCCGCGCCAAACTCCCCAAGCTCGCATCAAACGTCGCCTTCCCCACCCCATCAAACACCGCACTCACCCCCTTTCCCCCGGTAACCTCCAACACCTTCTTCACAAACACATCCCCGTTATCGAAATACTCCAGCGTCACCTCCGCCCCGTAGGTCTTCGCCAACTCCCGCTTCTCCGCCGTCGACGCCGTCGCAATCGTCCGCGCCCCGACTGCTTTCAGCAGCTGGACGAGCCACAGCCCGACCCCGCCCGCGGCCGCGTGTACGAGGATCCAGTCGCCACGCTGCACGGGGTAGGCGTCGCGAATGAGGGTGAGGGCCGTGAGGCCTTGGATAATAGCGGCGGCGGCAGTTTTGGGTGAGATGGTGGGCGGCAGGGGGACGACCATGTGCGCGGGGACGGGGGTGTATTCGGCGTAGGCGAATTGGTGCATGTAGACGACGGAAGAGTTCAAGGAGAGAGAGGAGGGAGTGTTGGGGCCCAAGGCAGCGATTGTGCCGGCGCCTTCGCGGCCGAGGATGTACGGGTAGTGGGGGGGTGCGTAGAGGCCGGTGCGGAAGTAGCTGGGAGGTTGGCGTTAGAAGAGGTCTAGGTGTATCTTATGTGGACTGAGAGGCGGTTTGGTGATATGAGGAAGGGATGTTGAAAGTAACAGGAAGAGTAGGAAACAGGGTGCATACGTATCAATATAGTTGACACCAATATATTCATTCTTCACCAAGACCTCTCCTTCTTTCAATTCAGGTACTTGGATGTCAGTCTTGTACTGCAAGACTTCCGTTCCACCTGTCTTCTCGATCCACACCCCCTTCATTGTCTTCGGGAGCTGTGCTGCCGACGCCATAGCTCTTGACTGCAAGCTGCTTCTACCACGAATGAGGGGAGAGAACTGAGAGTTTAGGGAGTGCAATCGCAAGACTGAGGATGTGAGAGAGCGATTACGGAAGATGGTCGTAATAATTCGAGGTGCAAAAGACATGAGTTAGGAAATAAGAGGAAGAAGTGGAGTAAGTGGTCAAGCTTTGTAATGAGCTCTTGCGGAACTGCCCCGCGTCCATCATCGAGCCCCGCCATCGTCATTGCAATTCGGCTATTATGGCACCATATCTATACTGAGCCAGAGGGCTATTTGAAGCTTTCGGTTCCACGGCTAGGCATACTGCAGAAAGTCGGTGATTGTTGGAGTCGGAGAAGTAGCGGCAAGTCGAGCACCCTATAGCACCGTAGCCCTTGTTGGAGGCCTGAAGCTTCTGCTTTTGATTAGTTGAGCGATAAGAAACCAAAGCACATAAGCATCGGATTGGGTGCCCTAAGAGGAGGGGTATACAAGTTCTCTAATGCTTAAACATAACTAGCTATTCACCTATACATGCAAGCCGCCTGGTATGTGTTCTGGTAAAGTATGCCGCCTTTACCGTTCTCCGTAGCTTCTCCTTCATCTGAATTCATACTCAACAGCCGTTACTCATCCAAGGCGCACCATCCACCGCAGACATCAAGCCTCCTATCACCCCCAGAAGATACACTGAAGTAGACTCGCATAGAGAGTGCTCCGCCAACTTCCCGGCCCCCATCTCAGGAGTACCACGTATAAAGCAAGTCGCCAGCTTGGGCCAATCTCACACCTGACAAGCACCAGATTCTCAAATCTGAAAAGCACTAGATCTCGCCGTCCAGACGCGTCTGACTTCTGATGCACTGTCAATGCCGTCGGCCGGGGCTTGTCAGCATCGGTGCCGGACCGAGTCTGAACTATTAGAACAAGCAAGACAAAAAGCGTCCAGAAGCCAGGAAAAGAAGAGACAAAAATAAACATAGAACGAAAGATGGTCTTAAAGGAAGGCTCACAGAAGTAGCTGCAGAAACCAAGACAGTTGCCGACGCTATCGCCGTTGCCGCAGCTTGATCTAAAAAAAGAAGCATTGTATTAGCAGAAGAGAAGGAGAAAGTCAAGCTACACCCTATCTCCCCTTCATAGCATCAACAAGCAGGTGAGAGCAACTGCTAGGAGGCCACCAGTATCCGCACTAAGCTTACCAGCAGCGCCCTTCTTGGTCGCGCTTGCTGATGGTGCGGCTCCTGTTGACGTAGCGTTAGCACTGGTGGTCTCTCCGCCAGGCAAATTGCTGTCGTCATTGCCTAGAATCTTAATTGCCAGGCCCTTGACCTCGACGCCGTTGCTCCCGTAGATGGCCATTGGGACCGCTGTCTCTGTGACATCCACCAGCTTTCCGTTGTTGGGGTTCTTGATGCCATTCTTAATCAGGTCATCAACACCGTCTGGGGGACTCGGGATCGTGAAGTTCTGGGAGAAGCCCGAATCCGAAATCAGGCCTGAAGAGCATTCTGGGGCTTTCGCATTGGTGGCTGTGGGATCGGCTGACTGGAGGAGAGTAAGATTTAGCTTGTTGTAATGATCCTGGAGGTTGTCGTAGTCCTTCTTCAATGTAACAGTTGCATTCTCGTTGATATTGACGAGACCATAGTCAGCCTCTTCCTCGCTATACTCATAGACAAGTCCTCCGCTGAGGGCTGTCATCTGCGGTCCGTATAATGCAGCGACCTCATTGAAGACTCGGGGTATGCCGAGCGGCTTGTTGCATCCATACTCAGAGAAGAAGATGGGGAGCGAGCTGTTCTGGAACATGGAGACGAGGTCGTTGTAACCTGCAGTCTGGAAAGTTGCTGCTGCTCCACACCAGGAATAAGAGTTGAGTCCAATGAAATCCGAGCGAGTCAAATCCGTTTTGCCGTCGATGTTGCATTGGAAATAGTTGTAGGTGTCATTCAGAATGGGGCGCACATCCGCAGCGGAGTATCCCACGGGAATCGTTCGTGTGGCATGGGCGGCGATGTAATTCTTGAGGTCACGCTGGATAGCCTGATGAATGTGTTAGCTTACAATTTGGTTGCTTCAAGACTTGTGACCAGTGCTCACCCTGATGTACGGAGGATTCTCCTTGGACGAGGGGATGTCGTTCATGACCTCATTGGCGGCGAAAAAAGCGAGGGTGTTGGGAAAGTTCTTGAAGGCCTCCACGATTCCAAATGTACGGGTAAGGTAATCGGCATTGTAGGAGCCTGAAGGGTCTGAGCGGTCCAGAGACTCGCCTGCAAGCGGCGAATTGACATCCAGAATCATGTATATGCCGACGGCGTTGAAGATGCTGGCGCAGTCATCGTGGTTGGCAGACGGATCAATGTTGTAGACGCGGATGGTATTGACCTGTCGGCAGATTAGCAGCGAGCTCAGGCTTGTAGGAATGGAGAGCAGAACATACACCCAGTCGCTGGAGAAGCGCAGCATCTCGTAAACAGACGGTGCCGTTGGTGAGCGGGTCCTGGCCCGACTGAGGTTTGTATCCAGCTTGTCCGCCGGGTTGATAGCTGCGCAGGTCAGCAGTGGCACCAATTGAAGCCGGAACGAGGGCCTTACTCCACACCGATGATCATCAATCGCTTGCTCGTCTTGGAGTCGACAAAGTCCTGGCCTTGGATCTCGACGGTATGTACTGCATAGGCAATGCTGGCCAAAGAGACGAAGAGCACCACTACGGTGCGGAGGAGCTGCAACATGATGATTAGAACAAACGGCTGGTATGGGTACTTGTGGAATTGTTGGAGGACTCACGGAGAGCATGGCGGGCGCGAGATAAACACCAGCGGGCAGTCAATGGCTCGGGGCGCGCTTCCCTGCTTGAAGCACGCGGCGACTCGCGACGGCTCCTCGTGGTGCAAGCGTGGTGCAAGCGTGGTGCAAGCGGTTGGTGTCGAGGGGCAACAGCGGCACACTGTGGAATGCACTACGGGTGGGTGCAGGGCAACGCAATCGTGCTCTTCTGCAGCAGCGAGTGAGGGCGACAAGTGTCGACGTAACGAGCGACGTGGGTGAACAGAAGGACAGCGTTCGGGCGGGTCGGGACGTGGTGATATCCACGGGTCCCTCAGTTGCTTAGTATATGGCGGCCAGCCGAGGACCAGGAGATTGCGCCCAAACGAGGGCGTCTCTCGTCACTAGACCCAGCAAACATGATACCCTTGTACAGCGACGTTGGAAGCCGTGCTTTGGAAGCCGCATAGGAGCCGCGCAGGACAGCGTTGGTGCCCCTAAGAGAGGGCTCTCGTCCCCAACTGCGATCCTGGACCCTCCAGCATCGTCACCTTGTCCAAAATCCTCACGCATCCTACAAACAGACTGGCTAAAGTGCCCGCAGCCCATCCCGGACAGGAAGTCCACACGCCGGGCTTCGCTGCGCTATTGGTGGGATCCAGACCTGGGCGCGGTTTCGGCATGTGGAGGATCCCTCCAATCCACGGTCACGTCCAGCAAAGGCATGCCGTGTTTCAGAAACCTCGCAGGTATATTGATGTGCACCGGGGCCTTCCTGACCACCAGCTTTTTGCTATCGTCGAACAATCGCACTCCAAGACGCTACCCCTTCCAACGATGAAATGCGCCTATCTTTGCTCCACGCCACTGGACTACTGGCAATAGTCTGCTATGCTACAACACCAAAAGAGAGCGATCCCAACTATCCCATGCTCTTCTCCTGGCCACTGCGGCTCACCATCACAAAGTGTTTGTGTAGTTCGCTAAGGCCAAGTTTAGCATGACGGCCTGCCCACTTTTTCGGCAACGGCGCGCTCTCCACTCACTCCGCCGCCGCTTCCTCGTCTGCTGCCTCTGCCTCTGCGGGCTCTGCCGCCTCTGCCGGCTTCTCCTCCGCAACCGGTTTCTTTACTGCTGGCGGCGGTTTCTGCGCCTCCTCCGGGAAGAGCTCCGCGAAGAAGTTGGGCAAAAACCTGTTCAGACGCTTCCACGTCTCGTTCCACAACTCTTCATGCTCGGGCTTCTGGTCCGGCGGAGCCAGGAAACCACCGCTCGACATGACTAATAGAATATTCTTCAAGCTTTCCGAAACAGCCTCCTCCTATGCATCGTTAGCCATTGACTATACGCATCAAGAATGTTCCATGCTTACCAAACTGTCACCCTGCCCGCTGTTCATGAGCCTATCCATAATGGTAATGATCTTGATCCACAGATCGAGCATCCCATCCCAGTCTGACAGCATGACGAGATAGTGCAGGAACACTTTGCAGAGCAGCGTCGAAGCTCGGACTCTCGTCTCACTCATGCCTACTGGATCAGACTGGTAAATTTCCGGCTTCAGTAGCTGCGTGATGAGTGGGAAAAGGACTTCTCCAAAGATGTCCGTCCATTCCTTGTGATCTGGGGAGGCTAGCTCGTTAGACAGCAACGTTCGCTGTAGAGAAGCAAATGCCTGTTGTCGAATTTCTCGGCAAGGGTTGAGGCATTGCTTTGTGAGCGCCACCAGAATGGGCGACCAGTACGCAGTCCACGCTAAGTGTTGTTAGCAATCTGAAGAGCTTGCAAATAGTAGACAAATCTCTTACCTTCATTAGGTTCGAGATGTGACTGTATAATGAAATTAGGAACCCGGCTTGACATTTGGTAGATAATGCTCATCGACTGAGTGCCACGAATCACTGCTTCATTCGTTCTGCGATTAATTAGCAAAGAACGTCTCGATTCTATGTTGATACATACTCGGGCTTCTTTGGCTTAGCTGGCTTGCCTCTTCTCGCGTTTTGGTCTCGCCGCTGTTCTTGCTGAGCGCCAACTTGGCCATCAGTTGCGAACTCGTTGAGCAAAGTAATTACAGCCTCATAATTATCCGCCGTGATTCCCGGGTGGGTGGAATTTGCCAATTCTTCAACGATCTGGAACACGTCCCCAGCTGCCTCAGGGACCGAGCGTAACGTGTTGAGGATGGACCAGAAGTCTGGCGAGTTCGCCATCTCGCTGCGCAGACCAGTTGGACCTTTGATACAATCTGCAAGGCCTTTAAGTAACGGCTGAGCGCACTTCTTCAAAAGCTGCGGGTCAAAGCTTGAGAAGGTATGAAGTACCACAGGAGCCCGGATGAAATCAAAGTCCTAGCGCTAATTAGTATCATCACGAGACAGAGGAGGTATCGGACAAGAACCTACATTGCTTGCCTTTAGCAGACTCAAAAGATAGTAAACAGATCTTGCTGTCACCACGGAGTGCAATTTAGCCGCATCTCTTATGACGCTCTCTAAAGCATCCGTAACATCTTTCGCCAACTCGCGGACAGTCTCTTCGTCTCGCAACGCCAGCACGGTGGCCAGTTCGAGCACGAATACAAGGCTGGGATCGTACACTGGCTGGTTGAACTTGTTCTTGTTTCCGTTCTGCCTTGGGTTCGTAGTCGGCGGGATATCTGACTTCACAACGATTACTCGAGGTGAGCCATCCTCTGGGATTTGCTCCAGGAGAGAGATAAGTAAAGACTTGAGTGACTCAATCGGAAGCTGGCTGATATTGGAGAGTATGTCCTCGAAATGACATTCTTTGACAGTATCAACGGTGCAAAGCGTGTACTCTATTTCCTGATCGGACGGCTCTGGAGGTTCGTCGTTTGCGAAGCTTGACACGTACGACGTCAATGCTGAGAAGATGCCAGTATCGGCTGGCCGTTCGGCGCGATCGATGATTTGTGCAGGACTTTGTAGAGGGATAGGCGGTAAGGCAAGTGTCTTTTGGAAAGACAAGAAATACGGGGGTATCAATGAATTGACGAAAAGATTCAACATTATGTGGATTAGCTTTCTCTGTCAGCTCATATATCGCGACATGTAGTGTGGCTTGACTTACTCGATCCCAGCCGTCTCGAATTGATGCTTCGTTTCCTTTGATGACCTGGAAGAGGACGACGGTGGCAAGTTGTGCTCTTCCATCACGGCCAAATTTGACGGCTGTCTCACTGACCATGACGCTCTTCTTGTCAACCTGAACCTCGGTGTTCAAGGAAGTGTTGGGAGGCACTTCAGGGGCCAGTGTGCTGATGTAGGACAAGCAAGAAATGATACGGTCCAGGGCGTCGCTTAGGCCATATTTCGCAGCGATTTGAGCGCATTGGTCAAATCCAGTAACGACGCGAGAGAACACAGCATCATCTGTTGCCGACATGAAGACATACGAGAGGGTCGCCACAATAGGCTTCCATGTTGCAGCAAACATATCTGCATCATATATGTTAGTTTCGCATATGACCAGATCTGTAGCAGAGTGAATCTTGAGTAGTAGCTCTTTCCAGGCGTACTCATACGCATGCCGATTGTCGTGCTCCTCAGGAAGGATAATTTCACGGGTCTTTATCGAGTCGTAGATGTCCTGAAGGTATTCCGGATCAAAGTCTTTCCCGCCATTGACTCCCCTGAGATTCTTTGAAAAATCTAGAATGGACATCCGGGCCTGCTTCATATTGGGGTTATGCTGATCGGTGTTCAGCATGATAATTGCGTACGTCAGCACAAAGATTGCGTCTTTGTCTGCAATTCCTTCTGGCATCGTTTTGGCACAATACTGCTCAGAAAACTCCGTAACGATTCTCGCAATCAGTGCTGACTCGCCAGGAAGACGAAACGAATTCAAAAGCTGCCTCAGAGCTTCATCTGCTCTCTGGCCAGTGAAGTCGAAAAGATCGATGAAAGCACTGAGTATTGCTTCGTTTGACTTCTTCGAAATGTATTCTCCCAACACCCTCTTATCCACGCGAGCGGTGCCTTTGACAAACTCGGCTATGCAACGGGGATCGTTTGGATCTTTGATGATGCCCTGGGACGTAAGGAATGCGATTCCGGCCTTTGGGTTCTCGTTGAACTTAGTTGCTCCACGGATGATGATCTTCTTGCGTGCTCTTTCTTCCCGCAGATGGGCGGGATCAGGATACCCTTCGGATTCAGGCTTGTCTTCCAATCGGTCTGCGATGGACTGGACGTACCCAAGAAGAGCGTCCAGGCATAATGGAGGAACATTTACTGTGCTCCAAGTTGCAGAATCGGGAAAGGCGTTCCTCGACAGAAGCCCCACGATATCCATACATAGGTCGCTACGATCTGTTTCGCAATCGTAATTGACAAATAGCTCGACCATGAACGAAGGGATGCGGACTAAGGCTCCCAAGTTTTCCACCATTGCCTCTCTTGCGTCCGGTTTCCTGGAGCCTCCTTCTAGGCCTAATCGCTGTCGGTCCTTCACTGGGACAGGGGTCGACCGGCCGCTGGTGCTGGCTAGAGAGGGAGGAGGCTTTACTAGACTCGGAGCTTGCGGGACACCTTCGTATAATGATGGCTCTATGCCAGGTTCCAAAGGTATCTCTACTCGAGGAAACAGGCAAGTAATCAGGTAGGATAGATACAACTCTTGCTGTAGCTTCAGGACGCCTCTGCAGGTTGCTACTAACGTTCCGGCCACGCGAAGGGATTCGTTCAAGATAGCCATGTTCTCTGACCGTACCAGCTGGAAAAGATGTCGGCACATGGTATCTTTTGCTAGGTTGGCCAAACTCGGGTGGTTTGCGATTGAAGGCCCAGCTACCTCGAGTGCTACGTCCACTATCCGCAGGGCCATTACTCTCATTGTGTCGGTGTGCTGTCGATCGTGTGGATCCAGTAGGTTGACAAGTACTCGGAAAAGCTCCCTTATCGAGGGCAGCGAATATGGCTTGATCTCCACAGGCTTGTCCTCCTCTACTGCAGCGGTTGTTGTCAAATCCAGGGTACTACCACTGACGTCGACGATCGAATCGTCGCCCTCTTGTGGGCCCTTTTCCAGACTATTCGACTGCCGACCTTCCTCTGAGTTTGGCGCGGGAACTGCGAGGCTGGTCCCGTTCACAGAAGGCTCCATTCTGACAGCATCCATGTCGTCCTTCGTATCTTCCTCCAGCGCTCCAGGCTCCTCTCCGGCCTCGACTTCCAAATGTTTGAGTCTTTCGAATATCACCTGGCACATCGAGACCATCGATATTTCTGCAGACCTCCGGAGAAGCTCTGAGAGCCTGGCCTGGCAACACATGCTCAATCCACATTCCATCATGCCGCAGATGCTTTCGTCACCGAGTATGGCACCCCCTGGTCCAGATATCATGCCCTCCATGAGCTTCAATATCCTGAGGAGAACTATCTCGTCCGCGGCAGAATCGCTGGCTTCGAATCGGCAATGTGTAATTGCAGAAGCAAGCAGCTGCATAGCTTCTGAGAGTCGCGGCGAGTCTCGACTTATAATGTTGTATGAGAGGAATTTAGTAATTGCAATAAGTGCAAGCGATGTGATAGGTGCTGAAGTCGAGGAAGAGCGGATGACCTGTAGGAAAGGGTGGAGGAGGGAGGGGGTATCAAATGTTCGAATATCTACACATTATTAGCATTATGAAGTAAATTGGCTCCAAAAAAGACGTGTATACCTTTACAGCCTTTGAGGTCATTCCTTAGACGCGCAAAAGCAGACATCAAAGGATTGTCCTGCATGCTCTTGCCCTTCTTTCCCCTTAAGCCCCATCGACTGGCCACAGCATCTTCTTGCTCGGAAGGGCTGACGATACCCTGACCCGACCTCTCCCGTCTATGAACGGCTGGCGCCTTGTTCGAGCTCCCTCCAAGTATTGCAGATACGGAGGAATGCGCCCAGCGGGTGTGCTTCCGCATCGCGGAGGTGACTGTAATACATTCTGTGACGACGAGAGCCACTGGATTTACAGCGACTGAAATCGGAGGTGGTCTTTCGAAAGACATGATTGAATGCTCTAAGGCGGATACAGAGCCGTCCTGTCCACTGGTGTTGGCCATGCTGGAAGCTTCACTTCTCGGCGGAGGTAGATGTAAGAAAGGATCCAGGGCGGCGGTGACTAAGGATTTCGTGGGGAACGTTTGCATTTAAGGACGCCGGCGACCATGACTGTGCAAGGACAACATATTCGTGGCAAGTTGAGCGGAAAGGGACTGCTGATTGGGCCGAAGGCGCGTTCGAGAGGTGCCTGGGAGGAAGGGGAAGTGCTCCAGTGATATGCCAAGACCAATCCGCGCGAAGCATTTAAGGCCACCTAGATGCTTTCTGTTGTGAGGATGCTTGAAAAAGACACTAAAACACGTTTAGATTCATAGTTTCACGTAAATATCAGAGAAGCAGTTTCGGGTCATGTGTGGGTTTACTATTGTTACAACACGCATCTCGTCCTTTCAACAAACGCCGTAGATGCAGGGGAAGTCTATATACAGGGTCCAACCCCCAATTGCCGGGCCTCAACTCCTTGAAAATCGCAAGTAGAAATAGAATTGAAGCTGATATGCATCGCATACGTTTGTGATACCGGCTCGTACTCGGAGGGGACTAGCCCGACGTGTGATCATCAGAATCCAATGAACAGCGCCCGTGAAGCTCTTAGAGCTTTACCAAGTAATTGAAGAAAAGTGAGCGATTAACGCTAAAGGCGCTTGCAATAAGCTCTGCAGTTGAATGTAATGTGTATGGCCGTACAATCGTTATCACGACTCCGGCGCCGCATCTTTCTTCCCTATTACTGGGATTTCATCAAAAGGGTCGACGATTTTCGCTTTGATTTCTTTGGTCTTTTCCGTCTTTCTATACCATGTGTTAGTCTTGGTTCAAGGGAAGGATCAGCATATCCACGTACGCTTCATCCGCTGGCTCCTTTTCCGACAGCTTTTCCTGGTGCTTCTCTGTATGCTCATCTACTTTCTTCTCCGCCTCATTCGCTGGCTCTTCTTCCGCCTTCTTCGCTGGGTTCTTCTCCGCCTGCTCCTCGGGCTTCTTCTCTGCCTGCTTTTCTGTAGGCTGCTCCGGCTTCTTCTCAGGCTTCTTCTCTGATTCCTCACCACTGACCTCCTTGACAATTTCCTGCTTCGCCATATCACGAATATTGGTCTTATCATCATCCCACTGGCCGCTCGGATTCTCAAACTGATCATGTATCTTATCAAGTCGCTCCTTCTTGGCTTTCTCTTCCGCCTCCTTGGCTTTACGTTCGTTCTCCATCTCTTCCATGTGTCGCCTATCATCGACACTAGGCTCGTAAAGATGCCAAATGGTGTAATGCGGCAGACCGACTACTGAGAACTTCATGCGTTTGGCCATCTAGAAATCAAATTAGCTGAAGATGCCCATTTTTAATGAAAGTTGATGTTACCTTGCCGAAGCCCTCTGTTTCAGCATGCTTCTCGAAGCTGAAAGCTGGGAAATGGACACCGGAGCGGAAGACCTTGGCCTTTGCCAAGATACTGACTCCACCAACTCCGTCGATCTCCATCTCCATATCTGGATCACCATAAGGATCTCGCAGGTAAGCCAGATGCGGCCGCCATGTGGCATATTCGGCGTATCCCTCGACAATGACTGCATCCTCGTCTAGTGTTTCCGCGAGAGCAAGAGCAGTTTCGGACTCTTGCCATGAATTCAGGTCGTACGGTTGTTCGCCTCCGAGCCAATCAGGTAGTGGTCTCCATACATCTGCAAGTATCATAAGCTCGTGATGTGACTAGTTGTATCATGTAGACTTACTGGGGACAATAACATCCTTGTTGTGCCTCATCAAGTCTTCCAGAATAGTGAACGGAGCAGTTTCCACGTCCACGTCTCTCCAGTACACCCAACTGTGTGTTGGCCGCAAGGCTGCGCTTAGAAGCCAATTGCGGGCTTGTGCCATAGACTTCCGTCGCCCGGCTTGTGCCGCGAAACCGTGTCGACTCTCCACATCCTGATTCACTTTTTGACCAAAGTCCTTGTTCAGGATGGAGATTTCCCCGAATTGCTGTTTAGGGTCTTCGTTCTTCTGTACATCTACTAGGAGATCATTCAGAAGTTGTAGTGTATTGTCCTTGGAATCGCCCACGAGGAATGCTAGATCAATCAAATTGTGAGGGTATGTCAGGTTCCTGAGGTGACTAAAGAACATGGGAAGATGTGGCGCCGCGTCTCGTAGAGGGGCGCAAAGCAGTATCCTCTCCTCCCTCTCCCAGCCTCTTGCTGTCCCCTGTACATTGTTTAAATCATAGTATCGGACTGTTTCAAGCTGGAAGTCCTCGGAGCCGGCGAGAAGACCGAAGGATAGGACGGGTATTGCACCCGTGATGAGTGAAGGGAAAACAAAGTAGAGGATGACTAGTACAGCGGTGGCCGCGCCTATCGCTTTGATAATATTGCTCCGGCGCCTCCGCGTGGAGGCATGGGATCGAGGCTGAAATCTATCACTAAAGATATTAGCTTCAACTTCAGATGTGCTGAAGGGCAGCATGTTTATTGGTGGAGTCGCAGCGACGCGCTCGCAGATGGAGGTGAAAGAAGCAGGGCGTACTTGTGGGGTTGGATTTCAAAGGTACCGCTGCCACCCATCGGAAGTGCGGTATGCCCATTCGGGTAGGCATGTCTATGCATCTTTCCTCTGGGTGATGCATGTAATGGCAGCATCCAGCAGAGAGAGAGGAGATGTCACCAGAACGAGCCCCGTCTCCTTCACCCGCCAACTCGTAGCAATGAAGCGGGCGTTGCGCGGGCGTCGTTAGCAGTCGAGGCGGCGGTAGGCGGGAGTCGCAATGGTATCGTAGCCAGCGTGCGGCGTGGAGAAGAAAAATACGCTCTCGGATTCGTTTGGGGGTCAGGGTTTCTGAGGGCGCGAGCTTCGAAGATATCCAGCCTGTGACAATTTCGCTAGCAGCCACAACGGGTAACGGGGCAGACGATGGGTGATGAGATAGCCACACGGCGATGCGGCTAGGGAGGATTCAGGAATAGGGGCAGTTGAGCTTTGCGCGCAGGAGAGTCAGCTCAGCGGCGTCGGAAATGTTGCCAAGTGTCCGCTGTTAGTTGAAACATACGCCGGCGATCTTCCTCCGCACCCGTGGCCCCATGAACCTCGCGGCAGAGGCAGCTGGCTGGCACGCAGAGTCGGTCGCTGGGCCCCGTTGTGCACCCCAGGCCCAATTTCAGAAGGCCACTCCGCGTTGCACCACCAGGGAAGCCGGATACGGGCGCTGTTAGCAAGGGCGGCGAAAGACAGCTATCGCCATGTGCGCAGGGGTTCAGTATTTGCGGCATGGCTCGATGTGCTTAGCGCGGTGAGAGGAATGATAGTCGAATCTTCACATCGTGTTGTGTCATTATTGCCTCTTATGTTCTACATCATATTATTCCATACATTAACGCGTCTATTGACAGGCCTATGGGTCTTTGCGAAGGACAAGCGCAACGTCCTGCCCTTGCTCCTTCGACCGCCTCCCGCCAGGGATTGTCGTCGCAGTTTCATCCGTCCTTTGCGTTGGGAGTGACTCTGTCTGGCGGCCATGGGACAAAGCGAACGCGGACGGGTGCGAATGGGAGACAGAGAGACGTAGTACGGCATCACATAAGCCTGGTCGGCTGAAAGAGGTCACTGTTGCCCGGTTCCACACGATATAAATTGACATTCAATAATATATCGATGTTGATCCACCTCTTGCTCGCCTGTGGATCCTTGTGTAACACGAGGCTAGCACGTCCTTTCTCGAATCTCAGATCATACGATTAAACCGATGACTGACTATAGATGACGTATCTGTTTCGGCATGGACGTGGAGAAAGCAGACTCTGTAATCAAATCAGTATTGTGCGTGAAAAGCTTGATCGTGACAGTGAATGCCGTGAACAATGCTCAGAAAAGCCGGTTTTAGTCATGCCCGCCGCCGGCTGAAGGTCTGCACAGCCCCAAGACGGAACCGTACAGCCCCCAACTCGAAGACCGCAATTACATCCAGAAGAACAGCAATCGAACAGAGATGTCTTCCGTAAAACTCCACAACTCGTCCTTCCAGCCGAAGCTAGTAGAGTGCGGGAGGGCGGCCTGGCGGGGAGGGCATCATTGAATGGATAGACTAAGTTTCATCATGGCGTGGAGAATCGATGAAATTATAAAGCTTACGCAAAATGGCTTCGTGAAAACCGGCTGCGATGAGCATGTTCGCCTACTAAAGTTCCAGAGGTTAGCATCTGCAATGACCGATCGCATGGAACAAGAAGTTGAGTATTGGATCTCCGTAATCAGACAAATTGGTAAGTTGGTATGTGTTTCCTCAAGGTTGTTCAGTAGCAGAACTGAAATAATACACTCATCATATAGGAGCAGGTTGGAAAGTGAAAGACGAGGAAGAAGTGGTACGTACCTTACGTGAAAGAGGATGTGGTTAAACTGTACAAAGGTACTAATTAGCATCTAAATAGCAAAACCCACACGTCTACAGCTTGGGCTCCGATGTCCAGGTTGGTCATTGTTAAACCTCGCTCGTGGTTCTAGATGTGCCGTCCACGCCATGGCATCGTGAGCTTGTGAGCGAGTGTGGGATGTCGTCGCCAAGAGAGAATCCTCATCTCGAATCGCCGCAGAAAATTTTCTATCGCAAGCGCGTTAGCTGAGACCCATAGCAGATATCATACTAAAAGTGACTTGTAAAGGTATGTTCAGATGGTAGTGCATGTTGTTCAATGGCTCAGGAGTCGCCGGAACTGGTTGGATAGGATTTCTTCATGAAAACTCAAACGGGAGGGGAGAGAGAGCAGCACACTTACAAGAATTACAGCGATGCCCCAGATGCCTCAAGAGATCTAGGGCCAGGTGGTGCGGCAACCATGGAGGGTTGTGCGCACCTGGATTGTTGAGTTGGAGATGGAAGGTGGAGAGTGGAAGAGAAGCTCGAGGTCGGAGAAAAGTGTGGGAGACGACTTAGCGCGCCAAGATTTGCCGGAGCTCGGGCCTCAACTTCATTATTTTCCAACCCGCGATCAATTCATGATATCATGTGCTACACATACCGCAGAAATGACAGATCGGAGGAGGATAAACGCCCCCAGTGGTGGGACCAACGCACCTGTCTTTGTAAATCCAGCGACACCAGCAGACTCGCTCGCATCCCAGCGTCCAACGCGCACTCGCGCGCCAGACGAGCTGCGCAAGATCTGTATATACACCATTTCTCTTTGATTCAAGCCTGCTATTGCTTTGCTAACCAATCTCCCAGTCCTCAAGACCGGCCTCGTCCCCTTAGCCTCTGGCTCCGCTTACCTCGAGCTCTCTCCTCCCTCCGCCCCGCCCACGAAAACCCTTACACCATCCCGCACATCTCTCAAGCTCACCTGTGCCGTCCATGGCCCGAAGCCCCTCCCGCGGTCTGCACCCTTCAGCCCTCACCTCATTCTCTCAACGACTGTCAAGTTTGCGCCATTCGCTACCCGCGCTCGGCGGGGCTACATCCGCGATTCTACAGAGCGAGACCTGGGCGTGCATCTAGAGACTGCGCTTCGTGGCGTAGTAATAGGGGAGCGGTGGCCAAAGAGCGGAGTAGAGGTCATCGTGACCGTGATTGAGGGAGAGGAGGATGGGTGGTGGGGGGATGGCCTTGTGGGTGGAAGTAGCGGGGCAGGAGGGGGTGGTTGGGGCTTAATGAGTGTGCTTGCGGGCACGATTACGGTAGCTAGCGCGGCGATTGCGGACGCGGGGATTGATTGTGTGGATTTAGTCTCTGGGGGCGTAGCTGCAGTTGTGCGGGATGTCGATGCGAAGGGGAAGGGAAAGACGGAAGAGGGGTTACAAGAGGGGGAGTCGCTGGTGCTAGACCCCTGTCCGGCGGAGCATAAGGATATGGTGGCAGCGTGCGTGGTCGGATATCTGGCTGGGCGAGACGAGATTACTGAGATCTGGATGAAAGGAGAGACCGGAGGCGCTGCGGATGTTTTGCTGGACAAGGCTGTGCACGCGGCTGTCGCTTCTGTGACTGTCGTAAAGGAGGCAGTAAAAGAATCAATTGAGCAGAAGTACAAGGACGTGCTGAGCAGTGGGCAAGGAGGCTTTCGGGGTCCTAATATTACGAAGGAGGTGGAGATGACAGGTTGAAGAGTTTTAGAAAAGGATTCTGGGAGTGGTTATTTCCTTGTGCATAGCGTTGGCGTTTTGTAATGCGGAAATGGTAGCATCGGAGCGCTCCCAGCGCGCTCAAGCTCTAGTCGAGAGTATTCCACCGCTTCGCCTTCGGTAACAAAAGATGAAGAGAGCTTTTCAACATTGAAGAGAAACTATGTCACTTTGAATACTTTACTGCACACATCACGTTAATGAGCCTAAACTTGTCAGAGTTGGGCACGCTTGCACTCGTGAAGCAGATTGCGGATGTGTAGACTATCCGTTCAATGGCTTCCAAATTCCCGGCAGCATAAACTTCCGTTCCTGCATGCTTTGATGTGCCCCTGGCTAACTTTGTAGACGGCCGAGCGTCGCCGTCATGTCGCGCTCCCCTCGTCTATTCAAACAACAGATGCCTAGCATCTTTCCCCAGCCCAGACTCCATAAAGCAGAGAGCGTATATGTACAACGGTGTTACACACAAGAGAGGTGGGAGTAGTTTCGAGTGATGTGATTCGGTATCGTTTGGGACGATTTACGAGACCGAGCGGCGCAATTCGATCGAGCGAGTGTCGACTTAATCCGTTTCCCCCTCTGCACCGTCTGCGGAGCCGGCGGGGGTTGGCTTGCCGATGGGAATGCTCGAGTCCACTGCAATCATCTCGGCCAGGACGTCAAGTACAGGCTGCGATCGTTAGTTTTGAACAATTGTGAGCGCATACCACAAGATCTCACCTTCGGGACGGTCTTATCGTAAATGGTGATAAGCTCTCTGGGCTGAGGATAGACCTTGAGAGCGCGGTAGAAGCACAAGGCTGCATCCATTGCGTCTGCGCCTATGCAGTAGATCAGTATCTGTTCACCAACGCCACACGGAATACGGCATCATACCATCCTGGCACAGTTGCTCTCCGCGCGCAACCTCTTGCATGAAGTATGCCTCGACCTCCTCCGCATCCGTAGGGAAACCCTCCTCACTCGCCGCATCCACAGCCTGCCTGACAAGCTTCTTCTGCTGCACGGACTGTAACTGGGCCTCCTCTTTCGCGGCCTTGGCCTGCTTCTTGGACTCCCTCTTCAGCGCCTTCCGGAAATCTGGGTCTGTTCGCCTCCGGTGGTCGAAGTAGACGGCGTATGCGAGCAGGCCAGTGACAACGGCGCCGGCGCTCACCGCGGCAATGGTGGAGGACTTGAGCGAGGTAGACATGTTGAAAGCGACTTTCGAAAACCAGAAGAAGACGAAGAACTATATAGAAGATCAGGCGCTTGCGGCGGAGAGAGAGAACTGATGGGGGTGAAGAACGACGGTTTCGTGGATGGAGGAGGTCTCGAAAAAAGAGGTTCACGCTCAGGAGTCCGAGCGCCATCAGTCGCCCTTGCTGGCTTCGAGCAACGTCGAGGTGAATGCTGACGACGTTCCCACGGCCTCCGCAATTGCGACACTACCCTACAGCACATTACAGCAAATATCTTGCCGGCAACATGTCAGAGGAAAAGAGCAAGGGGATTTCCCTCCGCAAGAAGCGTTCCGTGCGCCCCAAAATCAGCGCCCCGAAGCAGATCAGCGCACCTATGCCCACAGGACTAGCCGCTGCAACCCTCTCTTCAGGCACGGGAGCAGAGCGTCTGCGACCGGGCGGTGGCCCTGGGCCTAGGGAACCGGACGCGCCCCGGCAGCGCCCGCCGCAGGGCGAGAAGACGGCGGACTTGGTCAAGAGGAGGTACTCAACGCGGTTCACGAATCTGCCTACAGACTTTGGCGCGGGAGCTCCACCACTGCCCTCGATGCCCGGGATACCAACCCAATATGCAAGTCAGCCGCCTTCTAGGGATGGGAGGCCGCCTGGGAGCTCTGATGGGCAGCGAGTGAAGGTCGACGAGAAGGCACTAAGGGATCCAAACTTGCGCCCTGAGCAGTGTAGGTGGCCATTCTGATATGCACGCTTCACTGTACTCACTGTGCTGTAGATGTCGCCACGTTGCTCTCAGATGCTTCAGAACAAGACATTCGAGATTACCAGGACAAGCTACGTAAATTGAAGAACCGCACCTCGACCGACCTCCAGCACAATGTGTACCAGAACCGAACTCAATTCATCAAGATCAGCAAAGAGGCGGAGAAGCTCAAGGGCGAAATGCGGATGCTTAGGACATTGATGTCTGAGCTGACGAGCACATTGGGGCAGACGACATCTGCATCTGGTTTGGGAGGGGACGCCATAACCGCAAGAAAGCAGGCCAATAGGAGCTCCGTTGCCAATTTGGAGGCTCTGTGGAACTCGCATCTTCAGACTTTGTGGAAACGCGTTGAAGGATCACAGAAGTTCTTGCCCGCGATACCTGGGCGGCACATAATACACGAGTCCGGAAAATGGGTGGAACTTAACGCTGCAACTTGGAAGATCAGGCGGCGGATTCACTTGATCTTGCTAAACGACCACTTCTTGGTGGCCTCGGAGAAGAAGAGAGCAGATATGGCGGGGCAAAATCCTCGAGACGCAAAGCAGAAGAAGAACCAAATCCAGACACAACTAGTCGCGCAACGGTGTTGGCCGCTTCAAGACGTCCAGATGGCAGATTTGTCTTCTCGATCTGCCCCCGGAGGTCGTGAGCGTGAAGGAAAGGGAACAACGGATGCGATCAATATCCGCGTTGGCACAGAATCGTATACGTTTGCTGTGTACGGCTCTGATGTTAGCGAGAAGAATACTTTGCTTTCTACATACCGCAAGACTCTGGAAGACCTTCGGAGGACTATGGAGGTCGAAACTGAAGAGCGAGGAAAACAGCAAGATTCAGTCAACTATTTTGCCACTCGGGATCTAAGCATTTTAAAGAAAGCCGATCTCCTAGAGAGTCTGTCCGAAAGCACAGTCAACCATAGGTCAAGTATGTTTGTGGACGTGGATGGGAAGCAGCAGAGCATTCGATGGGTGGAGAGCCAGCTGGATGACCTCGACATCGACATCGCTCTCCAACGCTTTGAGAAAGCTGTTTCCAGGGTGGAGAAATTGAAGTCATTGGCAAAGAACATTAAGAGCAATGCTGTTGCTCAGAACCTCGTCACGTTCAAAGTCAACGAAAGAGCTGCGAAGCTTGCAACAGTACTGATACGGCAATTGGTTGAAGATAATTCTTGGTTGACGTCGACGAAGACTCATGTCCACTGGGTTTTCAGACTCGGGTTCGAGGACAGAGCCAGGGATGCATATCTTGAAGCAAGGGGTGCCGTAATCAAGACGCGATCTAGGTGAGCACCGCTTAACGTTTTCCTTTTTCTTTACAGGGCTAATTGTTTTCAGACAATGCATCTTCGAGGGCCACCTTCCTGAGTATATCTACCAAATCTCCTTCATCTACTTTACCATTATCAAGAATACGGTGCATATCTACCAGAACTGCTTCCCGCACGTCATGATGTCCGCGTGCATCAAGTGGGCGAAAGAGCATATCGACGAGTTCAACGTAATCTTGGCACGCCAGCTGAGCAGCGTGGATACCGAGAGTCCGCTGTGGAAAGAGTGCATGGACCAAGCGCACGCACACGCAGCAATGCTGACAGAAGTTGGATTGGATTTCAAGGACTTAATAGGGAAGGGCATGGAGGATGGAGGTGTTTCTAATCGAGCAAACAATGGGCCTGTTGGTCTAGGCGTGACCTCCTGAACGCCCTCAATAGTAACTATGTAAGCAGTCTTGGTTATCTACCATACTTTGGAGTATCGATTGAAGGGAATTCGTGCTTCCCATGTCCTTCATGCATTGCAGTTTCAGATTTACGGTTATGCATGCCTCTGTGGTGCGAAAAAGTGAGTTGTCACAAAAACAACTCGCTAAGAATCTTCGCTTTGGACGTTCACCGCCTCACTTACCTCTACTACTTAAAGCAGTTCTTCTCACGTTTCAGCTTCTGCAATCCTTCCTCAGCCTCAGACGACCTGTCTTCCCATCGTCTATCGCTACTCAGGGCTGTCCTCTACTCTCTCACATTCACATTTACGGGCCGTAGTATTCGTCAGAATGCCTTCCGAAGACGAGAACATCAAGTTCCTCTATCTCATCTTGACAATCAACGGACCGCCTAACGCGTTGGTGAGTGGCCACAAGATCTGATCGCTCTGACCGATTGGTGACCATGCTGGGAGACCTCAAACAGTACTGACTATGAGTGCACAGATCAACTGGGACGCTGTTGGGTCCGCACTCAACCTCAAGAAAGGCGCAGTCACCAAACGCTGGTCGCGTCTCCAGAAGGCGATCAAAGATGGCACCAACCCAGGTCCCAGCGCTCATGAGCTCCTCTGGTTGCTCGTGAAGCACACCAGCGGCGAAGCTGGCAAGGTATGTGCACGGATCTCTTCGTCGATGTTTAGTGTGTACTTTCGGATGACGCCATCTGAAATGCCTCAATGAGCTTCCTATGACTGTCATCCTTCTGATCGAGTGTGTACACTCAGACAACACTGGCTGGGGTCGCTCAACGAGTTTCCTGTTTGGTCAAGATAGAAAGCTGACAACCATTATCTCTAGTCATTCGATTGGAAGGTGATCGCGGAGGCTTGCTATACCACTCCTGGAGCGGCGTCGAAGCGCTTTTCCCGCCTCAAGCAGGCCCAAGCTGCTGGGACTTTATTCACCAAGGACTCGGAGAACTCCAACGAGTCCGCAGCTACAAAGGGCGAGGCAGCAGGCAAGACGGCCGGTATCTCAAAGCGCAAGAGGGACGACAGCGTGACTCCGACCGATGCTGCTGATGCCATGCCCTCTCCGGGACAGGATCACGTCGAGAATGAACACAACGAGGACGACGAGGCTTCCCCGAAAAGCCCAAAGAAGCGCAAGGCGCCTGTGGCTAAGGCCAAATCTCCCGCCAAGCCGAAGGCAAATGGCGGTGCAGTCAAGGCTCTGAGGGCCCGCAAGACAACCAGGGTCCAGAAGGAGGTTGTCGAAGAAGATGATGGACAGCACCACCAGGACAATGGACAGCGCCAGGACGTTGTCATCAAGCAGGAGCATCACGAGAGCCCTGCCCCCGAGCACGAGCACGAAGCAGCAGAGGGCCTGGAGCACACTTTCATGCCGCTATCCTACTACCAGAATCCCGTCCCGCAAAATGACTTGTGTAAGTAGGCCCATCTCCCATGTTTTCCTTAGGTTTCGTTCTTAACCTCAGGATTTTGGTGTTGATGAAGGGATCAGCAGCTGGCTGGAGAGTGTCGAACCAGAGCAATGAGTACAACGTCTACTCCACCTATGATCGTCTCCCTGGCTACGGCGTTCCAGCCGATGTTGCTCGGAACATTTTCGGGGACGTTGTCTGAAGCATGGTATCAGTGTTTCTGGTGGCATAGTCCAAAGGTTGTGACTTTTGGGCATGTTGAATTGCAGGTGAAGCTGGATGATATTGGCGAATTGGGTGCTCTTATTTGGGAATGAAAACATGCGGCCTTTTAGGCCTATCCACATATGGGATATAGTCTTTGATACTGCTAAATGAAGCACAATTCAGGTTCAAATTTGCAGGATTACTTCTGGCACAGGATCCCATACATAGTGTCATCTCTTCCAGTTTACAATCGCGTGAGACGCACGAAAGAGTCCATATACTACAAGAATATGCAATCCCCGGACCCTGCTTCATGCCTTTCCCACCCTTCCAAAAGACGCCATGCTACAAAATTTGGCCCCCAAGATCCATGGATGACTGGAAAGGAGACCCTGGAACTGATTACGATAGTAGTTCTAAAGTCGATGTCGATAAAGGAGATATGCTGCCAAGTTCTCTAGCATGAGCAGCCTTGGTTGTCTGCAGGCTGGTTGGGATTGATGTTTACGTCGATCACTATTGACAGCGTCAGATTCTGTGCTGTATACAAATGGACATACGCTGGCAGGACAGCCCCGCAGGATCTGGAGATACTCGCTGTAGAGGGAAGCAGATGACTTACTCTGACTCTGACCCTGCTGTGCCTCACCCTCCATTCCAGGTAGGGCCTGTGCGATTCTCTTGAACAGTGTCTTCACGTTGTGTCCGACCTTCGCGCTCGTCTCAATGAACATGAGGTTGTTCTTCTTCGCTTCTTCCTCTCCCTGTGCTGTGGTGACCTCACGCTTGTCGTTCAAATCGGTCTTGTTGCCCACCAGGACGATAATGACATCGTTGCCACGCTCACCACGCACGTCGTCGACCCATTTCCGCGTGTTCTCGAAGGTCTTCTTGTCTGTTCGCTCGGTCAGGTCCTGGCTCTGAGAGAAAAGATCTAGCACAGGGTTCATACTCGTAACGTCGTATACCACCACAGCCACGCTCGAGTCGCGAATATAAGAGGGGATCAAACTCCGGAATCGCTCCTGGCCTGCTGTGTCCCAAAGCTGTAATCGCACGGTCCGGTCCTCGAGGTACATGGTCTATAATTGTGTGTTTAGCAGCTCGTTCTCCAACTCTACAGAAGCCTGTTATATCCGCGCACCTTTGACAGAAAGTCTATGCCAATCGTGGCCTGGTAGGTGTTGTCGAAGGAGTCGTACATGAAGCGCGTGATAAGTGACGTCTTCCCAACTGATCTCACGGAAACGTATTAGTATGTGTCTGAGGCGGACGCGCTCGTGAACGGGAATTTCGTACCGCTCTGCTCTCCGAGGAACACCAGCCTGTACAGAACGGCGTTAGCGAATGCGCCTCGAGCATCCCTGAGTTCAGGATGACTGACTTGAACTTCTTCAAAGGGTTTGAATAACCGGATTGCGCCATTGTAGAGTTTGCCGGCGATGGAAGGTGGAGGACGAGGGTATGTTCAGTTTCCTTCGGGGTCGAAGGGCGGAAGGTTGGGTTGGGTGACGGGGCAAAGGAGTCGTGGAAGCCGTCTATGGAGATTCTGGAAGCCTTGATGGATCACGGAGGCGGCGGGCAGGGTTGGCCTGTTCGGCACGCCGAAGTGCCAAGAGACTCAAACTTGGGCTTGTTTGCGGACCGCCCACAAGCTTGCTCCTGTATTCCAATCAAAGTCGCATGCACTGTCATCCATTGACGAGCTGCATATCGAATGGCGGTTCAATCTATTCAATTGATGCAGAAGGGCGGAGATGCTCGGAACTCGGATAGTTGTTCATCGGACGCTCTCGTCCTACATATTAGTCTTGCTGGACCTTATTATTTTAGAAGCTTGATATCCCATCAAATTTGGACATTAAATCTCTCGTAGCGAGTCAAATTACTTCCTTCTATATAATCCCGTAGCACATATACACAATTCACCAGTCCTGCCCCTAAATGCCAATCAAGTAGGGCAGGCTCCGTATATACCCTGTCCTCGTGTATTTGACACTACAATATCATGCTTACCCCACTGCAGCCAAGCTAGCTAGAACATCAGGTCCTCATAGATATATCTCGATGTCCACACTCTCTCAATGGGCAGTGTTTTTGGGTTAATCCGCAGATGATATGCCGGAGTAATACAATAGACAGGTTCGGCGTTGTAGTTGGTTATCAAGTCAGTCTAACACACTGAAGGTTCCCGGTTCAAGCCCGGGCCGAATCACTTCTTTTTGCAGATTTCTACTATCCTTACAAGGGCTCTGGTGAATTGACCGTCTCTATGACCTTCCTTTTGCTTTAGTAGGGTGGATCAAAGCCTCCTCATTCATCAGCTTACTCCGACAGCTCGCTTGCGTTAAACGGTGCACAGGAAATCGATAGATGAGGCTGATGTAGATATATATGTACGTGGAGATGCGCCGGGAGAGCTAAAGAGTTGATATTGACGATGTTTCCCAAAATCCACTTCGACACATATGTATCGACTCCCTCGTTCTGGTTAGAGGGTCAGCCTTCCGTCCAATGCAACATCATCAAACTCATGACGAAGAAAAGCTTCGATTCCATGCATTTTCCGTTGACTCCTGATTCGACGCTTGAACGAAATCTTGGCACGCACGTGGCTCTGAAAATTGGGCCAACCGCGGCAACCTCCAAAATATCTATCAATATTCCCCAAACCACAAACACCCCGCAACCTCGACCGGCAAACCGTCCCATTCCTCTAGAATGGCTTCTTCAGTTAGCGCTCCGGCGCAGCACAAGCAGCCATCCCGCAAAGGCAAAAAGGCATGGCGAAAACATGTTGACACTACCGAGATCGAGCAGGGCCTCGACGATGTGCGAGACGAAGTGATTTTGGGGTAAGTATCTCCTTCTCTAAGCCTCTAGTATTCTATGTTTCTCGATTCTAAATCCTAAACAGCGGCGTCATCTCCGAAAAGCCCTCCTCCGAGCTCTTCTCCCTCGACACCACCGGCTCCGCCGAAATTCAGAAAACCTACAAAACCGGCAAGCCCCTCAAAGCCGACGAGATCATCGCCGCGCGCTCTGCCATTCCAGCTGTGTCTATGAGAAAGCGGCCAGCGCCGAGAACTACGGATGGAATAATTGCGCCCGAGGGCAAGAAGCCGCGGATCAGCAATAAAGAGTATGACCGGCTACGAGCGATTGCGTACGGTGGTGATCAGGTGCAGAAGGATGTGGTGAGACTAGAGGGTGCGACGCATGATCCTTGGGCTGCGGAAGAGAAAGTGCAGGATCCGAAGTTCTCGTTTTTAGAGGAGAAGAAGGCGAAGCGGGAGCCCGTTACGCTGAAGCGGGCGCCGGTTTCGCTGGTGGCGAGTGGGAAGGCGGTGCCTGCGGTCAAGAAGCCGGAGGCGGGGAAGAGCTATAATCCCAACTTCGAAGACTGGAAGGGTGTGCTGAAGAGGGAGGGCGACAAAGAGGTTGAGGCGGAGAAGAAGCGGCTTCAGAAGGCGGAGATTGAGAGGGAGAGGCAGGAGAGGATCATGGCTATTGCAGCAGAGCCGGATCTGGTGTCTGACGATGGTGAGAGTGCATGGGAGAGTGAGTGGGAAGGCTTCCAGAGCGAGGTGGAGGAGGACTTGCTCAAGAAGAAACGGCCGGAGAGGAAGACGCAGCCAGAGAGGAACAAGATGAAGCGCAGAAAAGAGGCAGAAAGGCTGGCCCTACATGAGGCGAAGTCGAGGGAAAGAGATCGACAACATGCCCAGATCAAGGCAGTTGCGAAAGCCGTGAAGGTCCAGGAGAAGGCAAAAGAAGCCGCTCAGGCATTGGTAGTCGTGGGAGAGGATGACTCGTCCGATGAAGGGGATGAGGTTTTGAGACGGAAGTCATTGGGCAAGGCTCGGTATGTGCATCACCATGTACTCAGTGCATTTCTAACATCAGAACTAGTATTCCAGAAGCCCCGCTGGAAGTGGTTTTGAGCGACGAGTTGCAAGACTCATTACGACTCCTCAAGCCTGAGGGCAATTTGCTCAAGGATCGATTCCGCAGCATGATGGTCAGAGGAAGAATTGAGAGCAGGAGGCCAATTGCCTTCCACAAACAGCGAAAGATGAAGGCCACCGAAAAGTGGTCGTATAAGGACTGGAAGCTTCCACAATAGTGGACTTGAGCGGCGTTACGTCGCGAATGTAGAGATTTCATAGATAATCACAATACAACTACTTGTATTGAATGCTGGTTTTACACTGCGCATGCTTTCTATGGCTTTAAGCCGTTTACCGCGAAGCACTTCCGGGTATTCTAGGCTGCCCTAGCCTCAACATAGCTCACCTGGTGTATTGTACCTCCAAGCTTATCGAACAGTGGCGCCCTTCAGGGTTACGACGGTACATAGACCAGCAGCAGTCTTCAGCTTGCTTAATCCGGTCTTCTTCGACTCGCCCTCCCCCGCCAATTGCGGCACCTCACCGACCTCGAAGCCAACCTCCAGATCATCAGTAGTAGTGAAGCCAGGCTGAATGGTCTCCCAGACCTTCTTCTTGGGGTTCAGCACGAGCTCTGGCTCGCCCTCCCATCCTTCGAAGTAGACTCTGTCTCCAGCCTTTGAATCAGGCGGGGGATTGACCAGCTCAACGGGCCCCTTGTGGCTGTCTTCGCCTTCAGAGACTCGTGGTGATGCTGCAAGAACCATGGCGGCAGACTTGATACCGCGCATAGTGACTGGCTTCAGGTTACAGACGGCTACGATCTTGCGGTTTTGCATCTCTTCCAACGGGATAAGGCCGTTCAGCCCAGAGCACACCGTCCGCACGATTTGTCCCTCGTACTCAGACGTATTGTCTGTTCCTGCTGGGTCGCCACAAGCAATGGTGCTGACAAAGAGACTGTCGGCATTGGGATGTGTCGTAGCCTTGAGGATGTGTCCAACTCGCAGATCAATCAGACACGGGGAAAGTGGCTTTTCGACAGGCGCCGCTTTCTGCGGCTTCGGCTGCTTCACCTTCTTTTCCTTCTTGTTGCCTCCCTCCGCAGCGATTGGTGTCTCCTTGCCTACCGCCGCGGCCACAGCCTCGCCCGCCTGGTGCACCTTGTCCTTCGCCTTATCTTTCTTGCTCTTGCGTCCGCCCTGCGTCTCTGCCTGCTCGCCCGTCAGAGTCGTAGCCGTAGCTCCACCCGCACCCACTGCTCCCGCAGCCGCAGCCGCAGCCTCCTTCTCCTTCTTCTTGCGCTCCTTCTCAGCCTTAGCGTCGATTGGCTTGATCTTGAAGAGCACTTCGTCCGCATCAATAGTGACCTTGTTGTCCAGCTTCAACCCGAACACAGGTGCGTTCTGCACAAAGTCGACAAAGCGCACGATGTGATGGTATCCCTGCTCCCCAGTCCGCTCCTCTGCACTCCACTTGCCAACGACAGGCGCCAGCTTCTCATACAGAGCAACGTCCGCGACGGACGGCTTGCTGCCCAGCAGGGTTGTGCGGGAAGACAAGTGCGTGTTCAGAGATGCGAGGCGCTCGTCCGTCTTCGCCTGGTCTTCAGAGGGAGAGGCAATATGGCTGGCTGTAATGAGCCATTGGGTGATCTCAGCCTTTTCAGCGTCGGTATAGTGGGCAGCGGGGAAGATGGCACCAGAGACTTTGACGGGATCGGTGGATGAGACGTCTGCAGTAGGGAAGGAGGCTTTAAGCAGGGAGACAAGGCTGCCGTCGAGACTGGAGGTCGCCATAGTGCGTGTTGGTATTTGTGTTTGTGTTTGTGTCTGGTTCTGGTTCTGGTTTTGGTGGGGGTAGTGGAGTTGGAGTGGCAGCGTTGACTGTAATCTGCGGTGGAAGGGTCTTGGTACGTTTGAGAGGGGACGGCTGGCGGGTTCAATCCTCCGGTGCACTCTTGGGAAAGCTGTATTTGGTCGTCGAAGATTGGCTCTGCGTAGTGTATGCCTAATAGTGGCGAAGTGCAGCAGCATCCGGACTCGCCAGAGTTCGGAGGTCAAAATTTGTCGAAGTCACCAAGCGAGTCGTCGAAGCACCACCGCTGCACGGCCCTTGGGGATGTGTATTTACGCCCACGGACCACCAAATGCATATTTATATGTATCAGTTCGAAAAAGACATCTTTTCTGATTGATTGTACGCTAGCTATGTGGCTTTTGCCATGCTGATACAATGGACAGGAACGCTCACGCTGCCGATGCAAGCAAATCTACCAGTCTAACTGAGACTTTTTAATGCAGACGAGCAATTGCCAGTCATAACAGCTTCCTCACTTCTTGCGCGAGGCGGCCAGTTCCTCCAAGAACTCCTTGGGCGGGCTCTGGTTGTACCCGTTCGGATTGTTCTTCGTCCATTTCCAGAGATCGCGGCATGCATCCTCGAGAGTCAGCTCTGTCTTCCAGTTCAGCTCCTTGTTGGCAAGACTAGGGTTAGCCGTAAGATCCAATACGTCACCAGGACGACGTTCCACAACTTGATAGGCTAGATCGTGTCCGACAGCAGCGCCGAAGGCCTTGATCATATCGAACACCGTCGACCCTCTTCCACTGCCCAAATTCCATGCCTTGACACCAGGGTGGTGCTCACGTAGATAGTTTAGAGCAACCAGATGCCCTCTGGCCAGGTCCAAAACGTGGATGTAGTCTCGAATCGCAGTTCCATCCTTCGATGAGTAGTCTAGATCGCTGTCAGATCATAAAGACTATAGAGGAGCGGTGAGTGAACTCACCGTCGCCGAAAACAAGGAGCTTCTCTCGTTTGCCAATGGCAACCTGAGCGAGAAGAGGAAGCAGGTTGTAAGGAACGCCAAGAGGATCCTCGCCCATGATTCCACTGGGATGGGAACCGCAAGGGTTAAAGTACCGGAGAAGCGCTGCATTCCATTCTTCGCCAGACTTACCGGCCTTCTTGGCCTTGTTGCGCTGAGCTTCGATTTGATCGGTGATGACAGACTCCACCGTAGACTTGGTCCTTCCGTACGTATTGGTAGGACCGATGGGGCAATGCTCTGGAATCGGAATCATGTTAGGGAAGCGAGTGGCATCGCCGTAGACAGTTGCCGAAGAGGAGAAGACGACGTTGGTGACATTGTGCTTTTCCATTGATCGCAGGAGGGCAACACTTCCACCAACATTGACACGATAATACTCCAGTGGGATTTCCCCAGACTCGCCAACAGCCTAAAAAGGTCAGCTGAGTTGGTTCTCTATGCGTTTTTAATGTCGTCGAGAAACTCACCTTCAAAGCGGCGAAGTGGATGACATTGTCGATGTCGGGATGCTCATCAAACACCTTGTCGATCGCAGCCTCGTCCGTGATGTCGAGCTTGTAGAAGGCAGGCCGCTTCCCAGAGATCAATTCAATACGATTGATGACTTCTATGGACGAGTTGTATAGGCTGTCGACAATGACAACCTTGTAGTCGGCCTCAAGCAGGGCGAGAGCTGTGAAGGAGCCAATATAGCCGGTGCCACTGGGAATATTAGACACTTAGAAACGGGATTAAGACCACATGACAGCGCGACAGCGCTATCCAACGGGCCTGCAGGGCCAGGACAACGCAGGATAGGGCTGCAGGACGCCCAGCTGCCGCCACGCCCCGCCCGGTCCGCTCGGGAGATAGCAGACGGTGGAGATGAGAAAGCGACTACGTACCCGGCAACCAGGACAGAGCCGACGACCATGATTGCAATTGGAGTGGAGGATTTGCGTGAGGTTTGTGTTGTTGCGCTGCGGAAGATGCGAGCTTGTGGACAGTCTGTCCAGACGTCGACGCTTGGATATAAAAACGAAAGCGCATTAGACAGCCCTGTGGCGGTGGGTTTTCCAGAGCGGATACGCTTCCCCAATAGGCTAAGTCGCTGTCTCAGAGCAGTCTAGGCGTATTCATTCACCTGACAAAAGACACGAGATGTGAGTTTTCGGTGACGGAGTGTAGATCAGGTTACCCTTTGGCTGAACGGCTACATGCTAGCTGTGGTACCTTTCACAGTGGTATCGAGCGGGCAAGAATGGATTATGGGCAGTATATCTCCAAGTTTATGTTCATGTAGTGTAAATTAGATACCTCTTTCCTAAACGGAATCCTAATTGCTGGGCTACTCGTTACAGTGGTATCAAGCGAGCAAGAGAGAAGCCTAAGCACATCGACTAATCACTGCTAGGTTTCCAGGACTCTAACCACGATGTAAAGGCTGATCCATTGAAAGTCAGGCTGCATTTTAACTGGTTAGCAACCTACTAGCCGTGGCCTTCCTTACAGTGGTGTTGAACGAGCAATATTAGAGCTTGAGCAGTGGTATCTGCTGTCCACGTGTCTAGCTTTGTGAATATTGCGTCCTTAAAGGATATAAAGTTCAACGCATTGAGAATCAAACTGCCTCTTGACTCGCAGGCAGTCTGCTAGCTGGACTACTCCTCACAGAGGTATCAAGCTAGCACAATTGGAGCCTGACTCAGTACTTTCTCTCCCTGCGTCAAAGCTTATGAGATTTTACGTCCTTGGCGGATGTAAAGGTCATTGCGTTAGGAATTAGACTCCCTCTTGACTAGCAGGCAATATGCCAGCTGAGCTACTCCCTACAGTGGTGCTGAGAGAGCAAAAGCGAGGCGAGAAGGGTCGTATATAGCTCCGGGTGCCCAGACTGATCAATTCTGCGTCCTCGAACTACGTAAAAGTTGATGCAAAAGAAATCAGACCTCTTATTGACTGACCAGCTGTCTACTGGTTGAGCCGCTCCTTACGGTAGTGTCGAGCGAGCAAGTGCTAAGCCTGAGCAGTGATATATGCATGTGCTTGAGCATATTACGTGGCTTGGCAGCAGATTTGACGTCTTAAAGGATAGAGGAGGAAGACACCGGCGCAAGGAGGCGTTGAAGTGGCGTAGACCCATCACGTGACGGAGAATTCCTCGGATTAACCGGGATCGCGCGCAACAAAACAACCCCAGACGCGCCAGGTTAGCCTGAACTCTCGAACAAGCAACTCCCGTCTCTCCATCCCAGCGCGCGTTGACATAAAGCGCCTCGTCATCCCCGTCTTCCATAATATGCCCTCCAGCTGTCTCTGTGCGCACACCCAACGAGAAAGACCCTGATTTTGGGGCGTGAAAAACGTCGCAGGTACGTGTGAATTGATACGGAGCAGCTTGCCCTTCCTATTGTGCGCCTATTGTCGAGTCCTCACCTATTGTCCGGTTTTTCACCACACCCAGAGCTATTGTTCCATTGTACCTGTTGTCATCGGTTTCTACTTAAACGCACCTCTCGCACGTTTTCTTCCTTCCTCAACTTTCTCTCCTTCCTCAATCCTCTCTCATCCACCACAATCCCTCTTATCACCACATCCTGTAAGTCTACACGGTTATATTTACATCCCCAATTCTCTCATGACTGGCATCTGATCTGGGCTGCTTCATCTTTACCCTCCTTATCATATCCTCAATTTCATCGCGTCATCAATCCAATCTCAATTGGCGTCTGATATGGACTGCTTCGACTATACCATCTTCATTTCACACTCTGTTTCCTTGCGTCGCCAATTCTACCAGCGTTCCGACTCAATTGCACCCCGCATGATATCGTCGGAAGGACCTCAGCTAACTTTGCTACACAGTCAAGACACAATGGCCTCCAACACGCCTTACAGGCGCTCGAGCAGACTCGCATCAGCAACCCCTGCTCCAGCGAGGTCTGGAGCTGGTTCCGCGGCTGGATCCGTGAATCAGAGCATCGCAGGGAGCAGAGCGACCCCTGGTCGCACCACCGGGAAGCGCGCTGGCCCACTGCCCAAGGTCGCAGTGAACCGTTCGCACGCATACGGATCTGCGGGCCATGCCCACCGCGCAGATGACATCGCCCCTCCGACCACCGCATTCGACCAAGCCTTTGCGGCGCAGCGAGAATCAGCCCTCGAGCGCGACGTCACTGTCGCGAGGTTGAGCTCTTCCTCAAGGAGCCCTCAGCGAAGCCCAATAGAGAGCCGACCCAGCCAGATTCGCGAGCCCTCCCCGGTCCAGTCCGAACTCGCCACCCCTTTCGAGCCAACATCGCTCATTGACTCTTCGAAGAGCTTTGGCGCCAATCACGAGGCTGGCTTGCACGCGGAGGCCTCTGTCCGCAACCTCAATGGCAACATTCACGCCCGACATAGCCCCGCTGCTTCTGACACTACTTCTCGAGGCGGAGGCCACCCTTCTCTACTCCGCGTCCTCCTGCGCATGATCAAGCGCAACTGGCTCGACGTCCTCAAGGCCTTTGTGATGATGGTCGGCTTCGTGTTCTTCATTTCCATCTTCTACCGCGCTGTCACCTCTCTTTCCGTCAGTACCGAGCCTATCACGGACGCCGGCGACGCTATGAAGTCTCAATTCACCAGCACATGGGACTACGTCAAGAATGGCGTCCCTTTTAGCACTTCGGGCTCCTCGGATCTTTACCCCAGAGTCGTCAAGCTTGAGAATTCCGTCCAGGACATCCAGGAACATCTCCCAGAGCACATCGTCGTGCAAGTTGACCAAGTTACCGGCGAACCTGTCATCAGCGATGCGTTTTGGCGAGCTCTTCGCAGCAAATTCTCTCAGAAGGGCTTATTCAACGTCGCCGATAAGGATCGCGAATGGAAGAACTTCCTCGTGAACAACGCCAAGAAGATTGAGAACGCCATCAACAACGACCGAAAGAAACTGCTCACACATTTCGACAATACGTTCATCTTAGCTCGCAAGCAACACCAGGTGTTGACCCGGGACGAGTTCGCGGAGCTGATGCAGAAAGACTACTTGGCGATGTCAGCTCGGGTTGAGAAGGAGGTTGAACGGGTAGCTAAACAGATCGGTACCGTTGCGATTCGCCAGCAGATCAGACTCGAGTCTCTTGCCTACGCCAATCTTCTCGCCAACAGCGAACTCTCGCTCAAGACTGTCAACTTCTTCTCCCCAGGACTTGGCGCCAAAATCATTCCGCGACTCACCTCACCCACTTTGACGAGGGATGTTTCTTGGAAAGCAATAGCCTTTAAGTTCCTGCTTTGGGCACCTCCACGGCACGCACCGATTACCGCTCTCGAGCGTTGGGAAGAAGCCTCCGATTGTTGGTGTACAGCAGCCAGCTCCACTAAGCAGTCTCAGCTGGCAGTCAATATGGCTATCCCAATTTTCCCCACTAGGGTCACAATCGAGAATATCCCTAAGGAAGGCACACTCAACTGGAAGTCAGCACCAAAGGACGTGGAACTGTGGGTGGAGATTGATGATCCCGACAGACGTGAGGCGGTTGAGATCTCCTTCAACGAGCTTCACAAGCCTTGCCAGGGATCTGGTCCAGGATCGAAGTATGTCTGCATCGGCACCATGATGTACGACATACACGGCCCAAATCACGTTCAGACTTTCGACTTGGAACTCGATCTCAAGGCCCATGACGTTCAAGTCGAACGTGCCATTGTTCGAGTGATCGAGACCTGGGGCAGCGACTACACTTGTCTTTATCGCATTCGCATGCACGGTGAGCATTTGGAATAGGTGGAAGGATTAGGATGTTCTACATGCATTTGGTTTCTTATTGGTTTCTAACCTTTGGTGGCATTTGCGATCTTTGGAATGATCTGGGTTTGTTTTGTATCCGCGAAGGCCATTGTCGATACCCAATTTCTCTTCCACAACTTGCATGGAAGGAGTTCTGGTCTCGGATTATTGTTTCCTTCTCTTTATTCTCTCTCCTGCGACGAGATACCCATGGAGTGTCTCTATTTCGCTATTGTCGACGCCAGATCATGTCTGTTGTCGTAGCTTCATGAAAGCATTGGCGGCCTTTACTATCGGGAAGCCTCATACCAGCATAGTTATTACCTGATCATGAATCGAAAAGAATGTTCTGCTTAAATCCCTCGGTCTTCTCTTGACTTGATACAATGACAGCGCATTGGCCTCTGGATACTCTACTGCCTAGAGTCTCCAAGTCTCAAGACTTCTTGTTCGCATCCAGGAACCAATTCAATTCTTTGAAGTATTGAACTAAAGCAAACAACCATGCACGCATTCGTGATTCTACAAAGGTACAGTAAAACTTCTTTTCGTCAAATACACACTCCCTCTACGGTTGCGTACACTTGCTTAACAGCGTCTGAGGTGGCCTGGTGAGCTATCAGGCTTGCCACAACTGTCGTTTCGCAATTTTGATAACAGACTAATGCTCTCGGTAGTACAAAGGTACTACTTCAAATTCGCGCTAGTGTTTGTCACTGCCTGGGCTTGGCTGTCGTCAGAGTGTTGCCTCTCAGGCCTCTCAGCTACCCCGCGACTTTAGCGGGAGGTACATATATGAACCGACGCGCCTCCATCCTTGGAGTACATGCGCTGCGTACACTTCTATACTCTTCATCCTGCTGATTAACCACCTCCCCCAGCTCCATCAAGATGGCAGAGTCAGAGAACCCAGATGTACCTCAGAACAGGAAAAGGTTTGTGCCGCTAGGTGTGTTGACAACCTTCCTGCCCCAGACGAGGTACATACTAACGCGCGTTGCACAGAGAACAACCCTGAAGTCATGTCCGCGCTGGTGCACAAGCTAGGACTCTCCGAAAAACTCGCCTTCCATGATGTCTTCAGTATAGACGATCCCGACCTGCTCGCTTTTGTCCCCCGACCTGCCTACGCCCTCTTGTTGATCTTCCCAGTCAGCGACACATACGAGAACTTCCGCCTACAAGAGGACAAGGAGAAGGCAGTGTACGATGGCAGTGGTCCTGATGAAGAGGTCATCTGGTACAAGCAAACCATTGGCAATGCATGCGGTTTGATCGGACTACTTCACGGGGTGTCCAACGGAGAAGCTCGCACCCACGTCGGTTCGTTAAAGGCTTCAAGCCTCCTACATATTATTTGGCTCACTAATCTCTCCCAGGGCCTGATTCGAGCCTAGAAAAATTGATCCAGGACGCTATTCCTCTCAAGCCAGCCGAACGTGCTGATCTCCTCTACGAGTCTCAAACCCTAGAAAGTGCCCATCAATCCGCTGCCGCTACCGGAGATACTGCTGCACCTGATGCAGACGAGAAGGTTGACCTACATTACGTGTGCTTTGTTAAATCGAAAACCAACCATCTGTGGGAGATGGACGGTCGTCGCAAGGGTCCGCTCGACCGGGGCGAACTGGATGCTGATCAAGACGTATTGAGCGAGAAGGCTTTAGATCTTGGCGTACGAAGCTTCCTCAAGCGCGAGTCGGAAGCTGGGGGTGGAGATCTTCGATTCAGTCTCATAGTACTCTCGCCAAGTCTGGAGTGATGGCACAGGGAACATTATCGGACGGAGCGTTGCATTGGTCTGCATGGTCTGGCGTTATATCACAATTCCCACGCTAATTGTCTCATCATACTCGACAAGATATCAAAGATATAGACGCGCTCAGTGCAAGGATATGCTGCACTAACCTCACACAGTGTTGCCATCCACGCAGAAGCAGTGTGCCGTCCTAGCCGCAGTCCTCATGACCCCTCCGGACGTGCAATGCCCTGCGGGTGAAAATCGCCGAGCATAGTTGAACGCAGATGAGACACTCGATGGCTCCGCGGCGAACCGTCTTTAGTCGTGTGTCTGGAATGCACAATCCACGTGGAAAGCCAAGATAGACGCTCACCGGAACGCCCAATCAGTAAAAGCCCCAAAGCGATCTGAGTCGATGCCGAGAGCTATCTGTATGCGGAGTTATATGTTGCCCAGAAGCCTGGGTCGAATGGCAAGCTGTGAGTGCAGGCCTGAGGTTTAGAATGGTTGGTTGACTGAATTCAGAAAATGCTCTTTATTGTTCTGTCTTGCCGCATGCATGCACCGATTTCGCCTCTAGGTGAACTTTTTTTTTTGGAGCCGTGTATGCGGGAAACGTCTCCTCATTCCAAACCAAACCTGCTTTAGTTTTGTTCCGAGTCAATCTGCCATTCTGGGTAGCGTAGTTTGTGCATCTCAAATCTTGAAATGGCTACGTATACGCCCGCGTCGCTCTCCTCCAATTCTTCCTCCTGATCTCGCAAGTTGAAAGTTTATTTTGGTCGTTGCTGCATTGACTACCTTACATGTGACCTGCAACGGGAAGGCCCAAAATGCCCGTCGTGAGAACCTCAAGAATACCTCCTCATTCAACTACTCACGGTGGGCTCCTAGGAAGCTTGCTCTTCTACCTCTTGACCTTCACCCTAAGCGTCCTTAAACGTTACATCTTCATCGACTTCGCCATGCGCGATGGATCTTCCATCCAAGGTCTTAATCTGCAACATCGGGACCTAAATCCCTCTCGCATCTTTAACATCTATGCTAAATTGGTTGTCCAGTCCATCGCAGCAACCGCGGCGGCCATTAGTGTGGCGGCGACCCTTCTTGTTCTCTACTGGTTTTGCCGGATGCATAAGCGATTTCGACACAGGTACACTTCCTAACTCCTTCTCATTCATCGTTAATCCGGTGAGAAAATCAGACTTAGCATGTTGCTGATCTATGGTGATCTGATGAAGTCAGCATGGTACTTCATATTCGCAATTGAGAGTTTCCGCCATAACGTGGACACAAAGACGCCATTCTGCCAAGCCAGTGGCTTCTTCATACAATATGGCACAGAGACATGTGGTTAGGATCTCATCGTTTCTTAAAGTTCAAGCAGATCTTAACTCTTAAGTCAGATTATGCGGTTCTCGTCATTGCAGTCCACAGCGCGCTTCAGGTCTTCCAGCCAGTGAGATCAGCAAAAACGGACGGTCTCTACCAGTACCGTAATTTTATTTATCTTGGAGGCATCTCCATCCCTATTATCATGGCCGCCCTAGCATTCATCAATCCTACCGCTGGCTACATAGCCCAGGGCGCCTTTTGTACCCTTCCGTTGCGCCCATACTGGTACCGGCTTGCTTTGGCTTGGATACCGCGCTATCTGATTGCCATAATCATAATGGGCTTAGCAGCTGCCATATACACAATCGTTGGCTTCGAGTTCCGCCGCTTTGCGAGGGCTTCAGGAGACTCAACCAGCTTCTCCGACTTTCCAGCAACACCGAGAGTGTCAGCCACTGACGGCAGTATTGACACATCAGCAGCTGCGGTACACACTGCCGTCACATCTCCTCAATTCCGGAGGAACTCGTACGGGGGTCCAGATACAATGCATAGTCGTAAACCTTCGGTTGCGCTATCTATTCCCGAGACTACATTGTCTCAGCGTAGCTCAGTGGACTTCCAGGAGAAGTCTGCGGTGCCCTTCAAAATCGGCACTATCGCTCAAAACGACGGATCAGATGTACGCCCATCAATCACAAGCCTGGTGACGGCAGACACGAGCATATCAGGTGAGTACAGTGAAATAAGCAAAGGCTCCCTGATAATATCTCAGCTAAACGAAACTCAAGGCGAATCCAATGTGCGTCGACCATCTGTCGTTCGTATCGACCCTGAAGCTATACACCCTTCAGACGCCACCCCGCATACAGCAAGCCAGAGCATGACCATACAGCGCACCCGCATCCAGCGTCAAATCCGCCTCCAATTCATCTACCCCCTCATATACGTCTGCATGTGGATATTACCCTTCGCCCTGCATTGCCTACAGTACCAAGACCGCTATGCCCAACATCCACCTTTTGTCCTCTCCATCCTCGTCGTCCTATGCCTCACCTCGATGGGTACGGTCGACTGCCTCATCTTTTCCCTGCGTGAGCGCCCGTGGCGCCACATGCCGCGCTCTGACCGCACCTTCTGGGGTAGCTTTGTCTGCTGGCACGGCGACGGCGACGACGAGCGCGCGCAGACATCTAGACAGGGTAGACACTCTTTAGATGACGAAAGCCGTCGTTCAAGCACGAATGTAGGTAGTGAAGCTCCACCCGCAACTCGAAATCAACATCTGGCATCTGTTTTCATTCCGCGAGTCAGCACAGCTCTATCGGGCAATCCGCCTGCCCGCACGTTCTTGAGATACATCATCAAACAGCCGAAGCTGTCGAATGGGTCTACAGAGGAGCAGAAGAACGCCGCGGAGATAGCGCGGGAGCGGCTCAGGGTTGAGCAGGATGATCGGAGGCTGGCAAAAATGAGGGCCGATGAGAAGGCGGCGGCGGCTGCGGCGGAGAGAGAGGCTTTGGTTGAACAAGAGCAAAAGGAGGAGACGAGCGGAAGCGTGTATTCGCAATCGACAGGTGCTGGTCAGCTGGATCTGGAGCAGATCAAGGCCGACGAAAAGATGACGGCGGCAGTAGCGGCAGAGAGGACAGCTTTAGCAGCACAAGAGCACGATGAAAAGGAAGAGACAAGTGGAAGTGTGTATTCGCAGTCGACTGGTGACGGACCACCAAACATGGAGCTAGGGGAGGCTGCAGATGGCGGTGACAGCGGTAATGAGACAAGCAGTATCACAGAGAATGTTGAGGAAGTGTAGCGCGCGCATGGCTGGTCGGTGGTGGTTTCGGTAATCAATGCGCTTTCCTCATTCCTCTTCACAGAGCGTCATAGAGATGATGCGAGGTGGTTTTCGGTTGTTCTCTATCATGCTCCTCTATACCTTAATCCATTTCGGTTCTGTCATATCTTAAGCTCTTACCACGCTTTTGGCATTTTGCCTTCCTTCAACGGCTGGTATATCTCTGTCCACAGCTCGCTTGCCTCCCCAAGATGATACGTCAAGCTCACATCCGCCATCCCTGCCTCGCCCGTTTCGTCACCCAGAGTCTCCAGCTGGCCGATGATGTTCTCAAGCCCGAGTGCCTTTCCCGTTGCCTGCGTGCCACCAGCTTCAAGTGAAACATGGACGATATGGATATGGAAGTGGTAGTAAGTAGGTTGATCTGTGTGCCGACATATCAGTGATCCCACTTGCATGATTCAAGTATTTCTAAGAAATTACGGGCACTTACAGTGCACGTAAAGCTTCAACTGATCCTTCTCGAGCTCGGGATAAAGCTTCACCGTCACATCGAGCAGCTTCTCGCGCATATGGTTGACCCACGTGACATGCTTCTTCTTCAGGTCGCGGACAGACCAAATATCACGACGCTCAACAAGGGCGAGCAGATGCAGACTGGATATGGTTTTGCGATCCCAATTTCTGTTTGCCAAAGTCAGCTTCAGTTTATCTTTTTGGGGGTGCTGCAACTCACAGATCTGGCAAAAGCAGAAATCCTTCATCGCCATGCTCTCGGTAAATCACCTGCTCTTGCTCCGTTCGTCCCTCAATGATATTGAACACCCAATTGAGCCTGCCTTCCTTCCGCTTCCGCTGCATGTACGGCCGTACGTGAGAGACGTAGATCTCAGGTGTCTCTGTCACCATGCGCATGCCTTGTTGGGAGTACTTCTTAATGTGCGTCTCCGTGCATGGGTAGATGAGGTTCAATTTCAGATCTGGGGGTTGCGACGTGGCTTCTGAGTTTGAGGATGAAGTCGAGGAGGCGAGGAACCAGCTGTAGATGTCATTCGCGCCGAGATTGGTGATGTTGGCAAGAGACGAGGCGAGGGTTGTGAGATGGCCTAGGTCTGAGGCGAAAGCGGCGCGCTCGGCGAGGAGGATAGCGGGTTTGGAGGCGATGCTGCCGTAGAGAACGATACGGCGGCCGGCTTGATCTAGAACTGGCTGTTATTCAGGTGCTTGAGGACAGCAAGGATCGAATATCACCTTGGTTGAGGAGCTTTTCGAACTGAAACCGGGGAATCAGGGCCTCTGCCGCCGCAGCTAGGCTTTGGGTGGCCATTTCTTTGGCTGGGCTGTTCTGAATCAATACACAGTTAGATGGTAAAATCCTTAAAGCTTCTAAAGAACTTGATAGAGCATCTAGAAGTATAAATGCGACATTGAGATGAATTTCGAACAATTGTGAACACGCCAGATGCGTCTTCCGAAGCTTAATGACATTAAATCATGCCACCGTGCCTTAGGATTTGGGACCATTGGTAACTCCGAGCCTCTTTTTAGGATGAAAACTGATAACCTTTCAACTCCAAGAAACACTACAGAATTGACAGTGGAAAGGAGACTGAGAGATGTGCCGGCACAAGTGATTACGAAATTCGTGCTCGGGGTTGAAGTACTCTATATCCACGAAGTTGAAGCATGAATGAGAGCAGTTTGTCCTTACTCACAATTGGCTTTAGTATCACCAGAAACACTTTTACACGAAATTAAGAGATGAACGTCGACCTGAGAAAGATGGTTGCTGGTGCGAGGCCGGTGTCCCTCACTTTCTCGGGCGGTACGTAAAATACTGCACTGCGCATATTTCATCACACTACACCTTCGTCACGAACCTCACGCGTCCCTCAAACTTTTGCAAATGAAATCTCATAGAAACGCACTTATCGCTTCATGAACGCCAGTTGGGGTTGCTTGCAGATCTTTTCGCAAATAATGCTTTAGATCATGCTATTTTATCTAGAAAGTATCCCTCCATTTTTCATCTCCACACTGTCTTCTCCAATCCTCTCATTCTATCACCAGCCAAACGTTTCGGTATGTAATGAGACCACCTCTGACTCTCCTTTCATCACCCTGCTTTGAAGTCCTGCTACGGCGTTAGAAATATCAGTCTTCATGCTTTCCGGTCCACATCCTTTTCTACGCATTAGTACTTCAACTTTCTTCCCTGCGTACTGAGCAGAGCTTACCTAGAATCACAACGCGGCGACCAGTCACCAACGTGGGCAATAAAGTACCCAAGAGAGGCCTGCCGATGTGATGGGTGCTCAAATTGGCTGTTGATGGCGTAGAAGAAGTCGGTCCCGCATCGCTTTTCACCTTGGCATCACTGGCTTTATCAGACGAACTCAGCTCTGCGCGTGTCTCAGTGTCTCCTCCCTCGGTGACATAGAAGCGAAGGCGAAGGCCTCCCTCAGACAACATGTCCTGAAGTACTGACAGCTCCTCCGAGATCCATCGCAGATGTTCTTCCTCGCGAACCACCCACACGAGAGTCACGGTTCGTACGTTCGCAACGCCTTCTGCCATTGATCTAGCCGTGTGGAGCAGCCAAGGTAAACACGCGGTAATGCCACCACCCCCCGCGACAAATATCGCTGAGCCGTACTGGACGTGTATTTTCTCAGCGACGCCGCCATACGGGCCATCCACCCAAATCCTGGAGGGTTTCGGATCGATATCGCTCTTCGTAGCAGCAAGAAGCTGGCTGGTCAATCCACGATATGATCTTATGTAGAAGGTCAAGGCTTGGCCATCGACTGAGGCCTTCTCGCTGGCAGTATATGGGATAGAGGCAATCGTAAAAGGGTGATTTTGAAGCTTCGCCAAGCTAGGAAAGCGCAAGAAGCAATGTTGACCGGCCGTCCAGTGGAAGTCTCTCGGTGCAAATACTTCGACCCGAGTCATATCGCCTCCCACAGCTTTGATAGTTGCAGGCCACCCACTAAGCCACTGTCTTTGGATATTCATCTGCTGGTTCCTCACGAAAACGCGAGCAAGGATCGACGCCCCCCATACCGCCAGAGTGGCCCACAGATATGCCCACGAGTCCATTTCTTGAGCTGCGTGCCAGAACATGAGCCCCAGATAGACTATTGCTAGCCCTAGGTGGAACTTATAGAAGAAGTTATAGAAGTACTGGCGGATGTAAGGTATCGAGAACAGGACGATAGCAACGAGTATAACGAAGGGTGGTGTGCCTGTGTACTGACTTCTCATGAGTATCCATTCTCTTGTATTTCAAGTTGAATTAGCTTACCTCCATACCGCCAGTCTTGTAGTACTGCGCATGCAAAGCCTTGGCTCCTCCATCCTTCAATGGCGCCACGATGAACGGCACTGTGTGCACGATGCTTAGGAACAAGCACATATACGACACCCACCTATGCACCACGTTCAACTTCTCGTGGCTGATACCTGTCATTAGCGTTATGATGTTCGCCTTCCCTGCCAAAGCGACGATGATTGGCGTCAGAGCTATCGCCATCAATCCAGTTCTAACCGCCAAAGGAGGCGACCCAAAGCCTCGATGAAGGCGATAATACGGCCGCTCTACGAACGTCAAGATGACCAAGAATGCCACCATTAATAGCAAAAATGCGAGTATCCCGAACGAAGGTAGCCCAAGCGCATCGCTGAAACGGCCTGAAAATCGCCGGTAGTGTAGTGAGCGCGCAAGTGCTAGCGCTTTGTATCGTATAGATATAGGTTCATCCTGGAGAACTGGCTTGTGAGGATTTTGGTTTCGTATCAGACGATAACCGTATATGAGCGTCGCGAGTCCTAGGATGATGATGTAGTACCAGGTGGTGTAGTGGCCGTATTCGAACTGAGACGCCCATGATATTTGCGCCTGTGAAGCTGCATGGCCGGCTTTGTAGGCTAGGCAGGTATCATTGGCACAGAGAGGGTCTGAGAGGGGGAGGTTGGTGATATTGACTGCCATGAGGAACAAACGCAATTGATTTGAATTACAAGTCTGCAAAAAGGAGGGGTATATATAAAAGACGAGCGCTGTGGAACACACATGTAGATGCCAATTACTTATGCTTGATTGGATCTTCTAGGGCGCCCTACCTTCATATATTAGGGCTGATATGTGACCCACAAAAGAAAACTCTCACCCCATATCCTTACGTATCTGCCTCGTACTCCGAGAAACGGCTGGTAGCTTCAGATATGTTTCGACTGGTCGTGTAGAGAAGGGATGACTAATATGCTCAATTGAGCTCAATCTTGAAAGCTTTCTACGTAGATCCTATTGTGGGGCACGGATTAATGCCCTACTTTTCGGGGCTCGTATTCTCTCATGGGGATATAAGGTATGTGGACAAGGGAAGTGACTCGCGAGCATGAAAGGCGGAAGTAACCAAGAGGAGTGGGCATCATTCACGAGGGGATTTGAGAGTGTTAGTTGAGTTGCAAAAAGGTACGCGCAAGATAGAGCTGCAATATACGCTTGGATACTCAATGCAAGTCTACCGATAATTCCGCAGTGCCAGTGTACATCTATCCACTATTTTCTGGGTTGTCCGATGAATGTTCTACCATGTCTCGCGAGGAACGTCAAAAATTTCTTAATGTAATCGGTGCCTGCTTTGGAACTTCTGTGGTCGCCGCATAATTTTCATAGGACATTATCCAAGGCTTTATAGATTGGTGTAGGTAGCACGCGGTTTCAAGGTATAGTTCATCATATCTTACCAACACCAAACAGAAAAGCAACAAATAAACATGTCGAATTCCAATAACAAGACCCAGAAAACAATGGAGTGAGACAAAAAAACCGAAGTCGAAAAATCCCACGTGCCACCGTGCCCTCGCGTCACCCCTTCTCGCTTTCCTCCAAACTAGCGCGCCGCCAACTTTCCCCATGGCAACGACATCACCACCCATCGTCCCATCCCTGCGCCCATCTTCCAACCTCACTCCATTCCTTCACCACTGCGCCCTCGCTACTATACCACAACTCCCCACCCGCCAATATCTACAACTCCCACAGCCATGCCCCCGAAACGCCGCACCTCCGCCGGCCCCCGCGCCCCCGCGCAATCCACCCTCGCCTTCCACGGCACCATCAACAAAGTCACCAAGCCCACCACCGGCCCCCGCAGCGCAAAGTCGCACCTGAAGGTCGACGACATCCTCAATGCCTCGACGAAACCCGAGGCCTCTGATATCTCTGAGATCGAGCCCGACGCCCCTACCATCATCCAGCAAACCGTCGCCGAGATCCCAGCGCCCGTGAAGCCCGCAGCGCAACTAAATGCCGAGAGGGAAGCGCGCAAGGTATCCGAGGCGCGGATAAAGAAGTACTGGGCGGCGAAGGAGAAGGGGCGGCTGGCGCCGCGCGTGCATCAGGAGGAGTTGGGCCTGCATGAGAAGGTGTTGCGGGAGTGGGATATGTGTGCGGCGTATGGGGTAGGTTTTCGCTTTCTCGTTTCTCTTCACTTGGGATTTTTGTGACGGAGTGGGGTGGATGAGTTGTTTAGAGGATGATTGCTAACGTTCTGCAAATGTAGCCCGCAATCGGCAATTCCCGCCTAAAACGCTGGAATCGCGCGAACCGTCTTAACCTACACCCGCCTATCGAAGTCCTCGCCGTGCTGCTTATGGAGCAGGACGATAACAATGCCGGCGCGCAGCGGGCGTATGTAGACGAGCTGATGAATTCACGGTTCGGGGATGAGGCATGATTAGAACGGAGAATTTCCTTCCAGGGTTACTCATGGCGTTTCAATTTCCAAACTACTTGCTTTTATGTCATTGAGAATATGCTGAGTTGCGGAGTTCGGCGTTTGAGCAGAAGGAATGATCTTGGTCATTTAAAGCGTCAATCTGTGCGGGTAGGTTTTTGGTGTAGTCACAGCAGAACATGCGAGATCTCACGGCACAAATCAAGTACCCATTCAACTCGTCTTTTCAGCTCCCAAGAAACATCGTGCCATTTCTAACCCTACACACAACGATCACCGGTCCCTCGCTCGCAGCCGCACAAGTAAAGCAGCAGCTCCAAGCGTGAGTCGAGATCGCTAAGCGCCATACGTCTGCGAAAAATAACTCCCCAGCATTGGCATCTGTGTCACCCATAGCACCTAGCCTCCTCAAAAATTTCCAAACACCAACGCCAGAATCCCGGTCTGAATCTCATAAGAAAGTAGTAGCACACCAGCTAGTCCCACACACGCGCTAGTGGACACAGTCATCCCAGAAAAATTAGGAGTGCAGAAACATAGGAAACCCCTCATCCCGAGAGGAATCCCGTCCCCAAGCCCCAGGCCAATTCCAGGCACCCCGGCCACGAAGAAAGTAAAGTTCAAAAAAATACACACATAGAACGAACAACTGAATGCATCGAGTATCCAGAACCCCCTGGTCCACGTATTACAAATGCGAGTCGCCGCATTCGCCGTCGAGATCGATTTCGATCCCGCTTGAGAAGATCTCATAGGTCCAGCCGAGATGGAAAACCAGAACATCATGTCGAAGGCTCGGAAGGCCATAAAACGCCTGAAAATCCAGGAAAAGAAGCCATATCCAGGCTAAGAAGCCCAAGAAAAGAAGTTCAAGAAGAGCTCCTGGTTTCGTATGGTGCCGTGTGTAACAATCCCATGCCGTCGTATGGTCAATAAGTTTCAGTCGTAAAAGCGTCAAAAAATGTCATAAAGGCTCAGAGGCACGTGTGCGTATCTCGTACGCGTGTGTAGAGAGAGGTGTTCGAAGGAAGAGCTGGTAAGTTCGGGAGAGCTGCTGGCTCTTTCTGTCGCTGCTCTTCTCATCGTGAATACGGTTTGTTCATTAGTGCAATCTCACGGGCGATCGTGGCCCATTCGAGTTCGCGGCGGAGAGGCTCATTGCGCTTCTCACGCTGGAACTCTTCCCATTTTAGGAGTTCATATCTGTACTGCGTCAGTACAGTGGACTCGCCGGGCGGGACTGACATAACTTACGTAAATCGGAGATGAGGCTGAATAATGACGTTTAGGCGCCTGGCCCGAACAAAACAGCTACAATTACCGTTAGTTAAGATGCCCAATGGATTTGGTAAAGGACACGGGAGAACTTACTATGCTCTTGGGAACGATAGACCCAGCTCGTTCATAACCTCTGCAATGCAGATGGTGGCAGAACGAGATACGCCAACTCGGCAATGTACAAGTGTTGCCGTGCCGTCCAGCTTACCGCGCTCTGTATGTTGTAAGTATGAAATTGGCTTCACTTAAATTAATGTTGACGTACCAATGAATCTCAGACACCGATCGAATTCGTCCCACAAGGGATCTACGCCGTTATCCTGAACACGATCGATGAAAAGGAAGTTTTCACTTGGCCAGTTCAGCCTCTTCTTCGTGCCTTCCGGCCATGAAAGAGACTCTCCGACGCTTAGGATCCGCGTGATACCGAGTTCTTTGAGAAGCTCCGGGTTGTTTGCGTGACCGAGGTTGCCCAGGTACATGTACGGTAGGATCCTGCTCGGTAGGCTTCCGTCAATACGGGACAGCCACTGTGGTTCCGAAATATGGAAGACGTCCTCTTTCCAGCGCGGCGACTCTTGAAGAATTCGTGGCTGAATGGCAGTTAAAAGGGCCACGTCGGTCGGATACGCGAAGAAGTTGCGCCCTTTCTCTCGGTGGAGCTGTACCCAAGCGTCGTGCACCGGTAGGCCTTCAGCATACATAAAGTAAGCCAAGCCCAGTAAAGACGATTCAGTATACCCATCTGTACAATGAATCAAAACCTTCTGCGGCCGGGCAATGTCTACCATTTCAATGTCATCGCCATCGTTGACAGCCTGTTCTTCTGGCTTGTTGACCTCTTGAGGATTCGCAATCTCGTAGATCCACTTGCACACCTCCATTAGGCCATCCGCTTCAGCATGTGACCAAGTCGGAGGCATGATGCTGCCAGAGGAAGGGAATTCGATGTGTAAGGGAGCGTGCTTGGAGTCTTTGAGGCTGATTTTGAGATTCTTGAGGGACCGAGGATCAGGTACATGGGCAAGGTCGCTGGCCTCGATGTTCACGTCGATGGCCAAGCCTTGAGACGATGAGCATTCGAGAGCGTCGTCGGGTGTAGGCCCAAGGTAAACGTTGTTGCTAATCTCGGACGCTTTTGACATTTCGCACATCTCTAATCGTTCCCAGTAGACTGCGACGTCTAGTCAGAGAGAGTTCACCCGATATTGTGTCAAAGACTTACAGAAGTCCATAACTTTTCCCGTCATGCAGCCTTCGGGATCGACTGCCACAAGCTCGGGGTACTTTTGCTCGACGACACAGAAATGATCTATCCAAGATGTCAGTTTCAATTAGGAATACAAGAGGATATACCTTGAATTAGATCCCTGAGAAAATAGACTTACCGCCCAACATGAAGGTGTTGAAGAGCCCCCGCTGAATGCCATTCTTGGTCTCATATGCTCGCTGGGCCCGCGAGATTTTCTTAGCCAACTCAATCGTGGCCCCAGGATTCGTCTTATCATCTCCATACACGATTATATCCGAAACAAGAGCCATCTTGCAGGCCTGGATCTGGAAGTTGCGCACAGAGAAGCCATCCTTGGGGTCCGGCTCAATAAAGGCGCCGGCATCCTCCGACATGCATCGCCCTTGGAGCAGCTCGTCGGGCGCAATGGCACCCTTCAGCTTAGAGACGCTGAGATCCCCACCCGTCTTGACGATTGTGATGCCCCGGATGCACTTGGGCACCTTGCGGACGCTCTTCCGGCGCGAGACGAAGAAGGCGAGCTGGATCTGGTTCTCGGCATGCAGACCGTGGAGCCAGGGAAAGACTTGCTCCGGATTCGGGAGTGGTTGCGTCGAGATGTGCTCCAGGGCCTGTGCTAGCCTCTGTGCACTGATCATCCACACGGGCGGGTCTTCAGAGTAGAGGCTGCAGTGAGTGCTCGGCGGGTATGTGATGCTGGACGTCTCAATGAGGCTGTCCTTTGGCGGACTGGCCGGGGGAGTCTCAAGACCCCTGAATGGTGCCGGGCCAGGCGAGCAGATTGGAATGTGCTTGTTTGGGATGGCGGCCGGGGTGCCCCTCGAGGACGTATTCAGAGTGAGATGGGGAGGTGGCGTCGACGAGCGTGGCATGGGCGGCGCCCTGGCTACGGCAGCAGCCATTGCGGCAGACGTGGGCGTGGCTTGAGGTGGTGAGGGGTAGGATTCGGTCTGACGGGAGATCCGCCGGGAGGAGTGCAGAAACGGGGCGGAATCTGCTGTAGGAATCGAGCAGTCTTGGATGGTACAGACGGGCGGTTCGTGCAATGTTATCGCCGCATATGGGGGCGGGCAGATGGCTGCAGTGGTGACTGCGCAACACACAGTGTCGCGTCTTCTCGTGCAAGTCGTGGTGTTTTGGCGGAGGCGGCGGAGGCGGAAATGTTCACACAACGACCAATTACGCTGGAACTGGGCAGAGAGTAAGCATGATTGTGACAAATGGGCGATGGAAGGCGTGCTCTTACTCCTGGAGGGTCTCGTCGGGAGCATGAAGCGTGCGAGGGGGGTCGTCGGACAGGTGATTGCGGAGGCGTGGAGATAGCGGGGTACAACAAAGGTACGCACAATAGATCAAAGCGCGTCAGCACACTGGGCAGCAGGCGGCGCAGAGGAGGGAGTTGAGGCGGCTCGGGAGGGCATCTTGGGGGGAGGGGAGGAGTGGAGGGCGGAGGGTGATACAGTAGAATGCGTCTGGGTGTGTGGTTTCTGTCCCCGCGAGCAGCCATTCGCGAGCGATGCAGCAGCCAAACGCCCCGGCAAAGCACACGGTATCAGCGCCAACATGGGCTGAACGCTGCACTGGCGGTTGGCTGGTGGAAGCCCGCCCGACAGCACCCGAAGCCGTATCGAGCGCAGTGGGCTGTTTGGCAGATGTGCTGGCCTGCCGAGTGGTGGTGCTGCTCAAGGCCGCTGCACCTAGGGGGCCTAAGAAAGCACCTAAGCAGCGCCCCGGGATGCCGCAAGTTCACGACGGCGCCTGGTGCAAAGGGCCTCGCCGTGGGTGGGAGCGCATTGGGGCTTATCGCAACCCGACCGCCACACTGGGCACCGCGCCCTGCAGCCTGCGCCGTTCACGCACACTCCAGGGCGGCGAAGTCAGAAGGTTGCTAATTCTGGCGCATTCGCACGCTCAAACCCCGCCATCGCGCGAATTGGCGGGCGAGACGGGCGTCGAGGGTTTTCCTGGAGCGAGGCGTGCGAGGCTCCACGACGGCGCCGATTGCCCCGCTCGACGGCCGCTAGCACGCAAGTGGACCACGCCAGCCGCATGCGGCGTAGCAGATTACCCCACATTTTGGCAGCATTCAGTGGGCCCAGACGTAGAGATCGTCCCCGTGTCGCCCTCACCACCACGAGCCCCGATCTGCTGCGCTTTCCGTGATGTCCTGCGCCTGCGCCTGCTCCACGCCTCGTCACTACACCACAGAGGTTCCCCCAGCAGCCGTCGAGAACAGAAACAGATCACCCAAGGCAAGGGAGGCCGCCAGACACATGAAACCACTATGCCCTCCATGTTTCGCCTGAGCCAAGGCACCCTGGAATTTGATATCACTGCTCAATATACTCTTTGTCTGTCGCCTGCACTGCTTCCAATCAGAGAAAACATGGTCCCCTTGGTGGTGCCCCTCCTGCCCCTGCATGGCCTAAACATACACCTTGCTTGCAGCATGCTATGCATATGTGCTTCCGTGCGAACCGAGACATGGAATGACGGTTATGGCGGGAACCTTTCTCTAGTTCGTGCTGGCAGAGACCATCCAAAGGCTACCTTGAGACGTTCTACATATCCGTCGAGTGGACCTCGGTCTCGCTCTGTCGCGTGGGCTATGGAGAGGTAGCACTCTAATTCTGTAATAAGCTGTCTCCTGTGTACACCTGTCTGCCACTGCTTGGGGTGCTTCAATTCATAGTCAGAACTCGGAACGAGATAGAAGCCCTTCGCCTTGGGCTATGTGGAAACTTGCTGAGACACCCCAGCAGTGGCAAACAGGTCTACACGCGAGACAGAGTGCTTGAGGAGTGTGCCATCTTTTACGCCCAGCATGCCTGTGTGGCCATTGCTTGACCCTGCATCGAGCGGCAGTCTTGCGCCCCTATTCTGACCCAAACCCCTGGGCCTTGCCCTTCAACTCCGCGGCCAGCCGCTCCAGATAGAACTTCGCAATCTCAGTCGGCATCCCCTCAAAAGCCTTGGCCATTTTTTCGATGTCCTTCCTCCCGCTTTCATATGCCTGCAAGTCCCGGTTTCCATACACGTCTCGACCGATCGCGTAATGCTTCTGCTCAAGATTCCGGAAGAAGACGTTGACAGCAACACTCATCCCAGCCGTTGGCCGCGCTGTATGGGACCACATTGGAGGTATGAAGAGGACATCTCCGGGGCTAAGCAAGACTTCGTGCGGATGCGTTAAAGCGAGAGGCGGATGGTCGTGCGTGAAGACGTCAATGTTTGAGCTTGAGCCTCCTGGAGGAAACTCCAGATGCATAGCATCGCTTGGTGAATACAGCCGCAGCGTTTTCGTTCCGCGGATTTGGCAGAGGACGTTAGCCAATACGTCGAAATGCAGCCAGAGCATCAGAGGTCCGGAGACGCGTAGTGGCGAACTATGCATAGTCTCTCTCACCGGAGACAGTGCTTCCGGTAACTGGAAGTCTCCAGCTATGCCTGGAAAGTCTCGCTCCAGCATTGTAGGGTGTTTGCCGGGCTGATTGATTGATACGGACCGCAAATAAGATTTTTCTCCCTGGCAAACTCCTCTTATAAACTCTCCAAACGGTTTCTTGACGTACGAAAAGTTCTTGGTTTGAAACGTCATTCGGTCCGTCCTGCATGAGTGTATTATGACCGAACGGTCAGCGCCAATCTTTTCTTCCAGGTAATTTGGGGTCCATCGATGGGTACAAGGACCGAGGTCCAAGCCTTCCAGAACGCGAGGCTCTTGATTTGCTACAATGTCCCTAAATGCGCTCTCGGATGTGAGGCGAACTCGCCGAATAGGCTCTACTTTTAGCCTAGGCGTCTTCTCTACGGTCAACCCATTAACTCCTTTATCGGGTAGTGCTGAATGCGTAGGAGTCGGACGAATTTTAGTGCGATGTTGCTCGTCTTCTAAGAGCCTCGCAACGCTTCTCTTACTGACGATGCTGTCGTTCGTCTGGCCGTCGCTCAGGCTGGTGGATGGCGAAGTGGTCATGTCGACGGCTCACAAACTTTCAATCTTGAGGCATTCTGCTGTAGTTTGTGGTTTCGAGGGCGTCGTGCATGTTGGTATGAGTGGGAGCTCGATTAGTGTGCGGGCAGCCACAATTTTGTCCAGGGTTCATCATAAACTGCAAACGAGCAGGCGACGGGATAGTCATGACTTGGCGCCGTAGAAGCCTTAGTGGAATTTCGACCGCGCTTGCTGTTATCACTCTATGGTGATGATTGATAGGTATTTTGCTTTTAGATTTTTCGTACGTTTGTTTCACTCGATTGGCATTGGATGATACTTCAAGGTTTACTTTTCGTAGTCGGTTCGAATCTCACCGGTTATACATGTCTCGTAGTCTTATATCATTGCCAGGCCAAACTCACAGTATTTACAAATTAAGTTTGAAACGCGCACGCTCCAGCGAAAAGGAATTTGTACGAAGTACCGTGTTTCGAGGTGCAGGGTTCCCTCGGCTTGCGATTTCAAGGCTGACTGGGATGCCCCACCTGCACTACTTGCTGTGGCTGGTGAACTACCGACACCAAAGGCTGTCCGCCTAGAGCATCGCCCGCTCATCGCCGGCTTGTATTCACTGTCCAAACTTATGTCGCGCCTACATAACCCTCGCCCAGAGTGGAGGTGACCCCGAACTTCTCCACTAGCTCACCTTACCTTCCGCCCACCACAACACCTCGGTCTAGACAGCTCAGAATCCTCAACACGATGGCAACCATGAACTTCGTTACGTTCAACCAGGACCACAGCATGTTGGGAGTCGGTACGTGTCTCTGCCTGTTCTACGAGTAGCTGCTAACACGTTTTGTGTCTCATCCAGGTACCAGCAAAGGCTTCCGGCTCTACAATACCGACCCGTTCAGCAAACATTATGAATCGCAAGACGGAGACATCGCTATCGTGGAGCAGCTCTTCTCGACGTCTCTCGTTGCGCTCATCATGTCGCCTCGTGTTCTGCGGATACAGAACACCAAGGTACCAGACAACAGGCCCTATAGTGCGATCGGCGGGCTAACAGCTCAGCGAAATTCCACTATCTGCGAACTCACGTTCCCAACCCGCGTGCTTGCCGTCAGACTCAACCGGAAACGGCTTGTAGTTGTTTTGGAAGATCAAATATATATCTACGATATCGCCAACATGAGGCTGATATACACTGCGGATACCTCTCCCAATCCCGACGGTATGGAGCATCGCCAATCATTGTAGAATCTGTTCTAACCCACACTTTGTTAGCAATTTGCGCGCTGTCAGCCTCTTCCGATTCAAACTACCTCGTGTACCCCCTGCCAATGAAAGCTGGGCCCACCGGATATGCGCCGCCATCGCATGCCCCTCCAACTACCAACCATGTTTCGCCGACTACTGGGGAAGTCCTGATATTCGACGCGACCAAGATGGAGGCAGTCAATGTAGTCGAGGCACATAATTCACCGCTATCGTGCATAGCGCTGAACAACGATGGTACACTGCTCGCCACGGCCTCGGAGAAAGGGACCATCATTCGAGTCTTCTCAGTACCAGACGCGACAAAGCTGTACCAGTTTCGAAGGGGCTCCATGCCTGCTAAAATCTTCAGCATGTCGTTCAACTCCACATCGACACTTCTCTGCGTATCGTCAGCGACGGAAACCGTTCACATTTTCCGACTCTCAGCTCCAGGTGCTGGCCGACGCAACAGCATGTCCTCTCAGATGCGACCACCATCAATCTCTCGAGACCGCAGCACCAGCCCGAGCAGCGAGGAAACAAGAGAGACGTCAACGTACGGTGAAAGCACGGAAGCTTCGATACCGGATAGGAAGCCGCTGAACCCCACCTTCGCCAGCATGATCCGTCGGACGTCTCAGAACGTCGGCAAGACGTTCGCAGCGACCGTTGGTGGGTACCTGCCCAGTACCGTCACAGAGATGTGGGAGCCGTCACGGGATTTTGCATGGGTGAAGATCCCCCGGTCTCAGATTGCACCGTCTTCCGGACCTGTGAAGACAGTCGTTGCTCTAAACAATAGCGGACCACAGATAATGGTGGTCACGAATGAAGGAAACTTCTTCGTTTTCAACGTGGATCTGGAAAAGGGAGGCGAAGGCAGTCTCGTGAAGCAGTTCTCGTAAGTCTTAGATTCCAGGTGTCAAGGAATACACTCATATTAATACGACTTAGGGTTCTCGAGCAGAACGACCAACTGGGACGCTCTCTGGTCGAAGAGTAAACGCTCGAGGGTTTTGCGGTGCTACATTGGCGTAAGTGTGGAACACGGGTACTCTTTCAAGTACTTTTGTTCGGTTAGGGGCTCATTGGAGTGGTTGTAGTAGCATTTCTGGCGTCAGGTCATTATTAAGTGCTTCGCATCGTCCGGCGAGACATCGACATTGGGTATATTGGGCCACTTTGGTACCTAGGTAGTTCATCAATTGCATGGCAATCTCGACTTGACGTATACTGTTCTGCAAGCCCGGTGCTTAAATGCCCGCGTTTGTGCGAATAAGCTACCTCCCTTCTGCTGCACGGCCAGCCCACCCTTTGCTGTCAATTCACCGCAGTCAGATTGGCCAGAATCAACGGGCCGACACCTCGGAAGTTGAGAATCTGAAGTCTCATTGATCTAGACCTTACGAAGTTATCGCGAGCCTCTATGCCGCTAGACTTGGTGTTGAGCTAACTATTCTTTGTTTAATAATGACCTAAGCAACCGCCGGCACACCATGATTGAGTTGTTGACTGAGCTACGCTGGCCTGACCTTGCTATGAGTCTTCAGAAACTTACTCTATAGTTTACAGCTAGAAGCAGATTGAGGTATAGAGCTCTCGGAGGAGGTGTCGGGCTGCCGATCCTAGCCAATCAGAGTGTGGTGAATTGACAGCAAAGGGTGGGCTGGCTGCGTAATGGAAGGGAAGTAACCCATTAGCACAAACGTGGGCATTTTAGCACGGGCCTTAGAAAGGCATGACGCCACGCTTGTTGCCTGTGCTCAGCCCCGCGTAGCTCGAGCTCCATTCACGATCTTAAGCTGCATAATTTCTGTCTCCACTGCTCATCCATAACACCCTCAACATCGACCTGAACATATCTTCACACCGCTCGATCCATAGCCCCTACACCGTCAATACTAGCAAGGGAAACCGGCCGCCATGGTCCAGGAAAACACCACCGGCAACCCGCTTGCCGCCGGCTCGCTAGCCGTCTTCATGGCCGCGAGTCTGCCTAAGGGCGCGTCACCGCCTCTGAAGAACCCCTGGGATGCTATCGCGCTCGCCGTGCATGCCGGCATGATAGCTGTAGGCTTCAGGCTGATCGGTCTCGGCGAGGATCATCGGATAGGTATGCCCTCCAATGCTGTTAAGCTGCATCGCCATGCTAATCCACCCGCAGACACCGCTTCAGATGCCCAAGATCCAGAGCCGCTTCCTTCGGAATGGAACGCCACTTCCTCCTATGCCTTCCGATACAAGCACGCACAATCCTCGATGGAATACCTTGTCAAAGTGAGCCGACTAGGCAGCAAAGCCGTCGTCCTGGCCATGGCCATCGGCGCAGATAAGACAACTACCTTCGAGGTGACGGTGAAAGACTATGTGTCCGAATCGTCAATCCCATCCACAGCCTTTCCCTCAGACGCGTCCACGGAAAGCATATCACAAACCCTGCAAGACGTCTTCATCTCCGTCGGCCGCCTCGGCGACCTTGGTGCCCTGCTTAAGATCAGCGTAATCCAAAAGCTAGCGCCAGGACTGAATAAAGACGGATACGAAGAATACACAGAGGCCGCATCTGCTTCGGGCAATAACCAGCGCCGTTCGCCGCCTCCCCGCCAGCCCCAAGCGCCTCAATACGACCCGCTTCGAGATGACCCTCTCCAACCTCCTCCAGCACGACCATATCCTTTCAACGACCCTCTAGCCGTACCTCCGCGCCGCGGTCCACTTCCAGACCCAATACCCGGCTTCGAGGATGAGTATGAAATCAATCGGCCAGCGCGCGGCTATGGCGTCCCCGGCGGCCGCTTCCCCAATCTTGGGGACAATGACCTTTACCCACAAGGTTTAGGACCGAATGACCCACTACGGCCGCACTTTGGCGGTGGGTTGCCACGACCGGGAGCTGGCGGCGGCGGAATGCATCCGACGTTCGATGATCCGATGTTCGGGGGGAGGGGCGGTATTGGAGGCGGATATGATCCCATGGCTCCGCCGGGCGCGCGGTATGATCCCACCGGCCCTGGAGGTGCGCCTCGAGATGGAAGAGGCGGAATGGGCGGGCCTCGATTCCCTGGAGGAGGTGGATTGGGAGGGAGACCGCCGAACCCATTTGGCGGCTATGGGGACGGAGACTTTATATAGGGGGACAAGACCGAAAGATGATATGAAACATGAAGTACGATAACGAAGTCATGACATTGGTCATGAGAAAACAGAAGAACTGGCCATACAACCGGTATTAACGGTCAAAAACTCCTAGATAAAATCTCGACAGTGAGGCCTTTGGCTAACTAGATATTTGCTATTGCCGGAGGGTTTATGTATAAAATCAAATGTAACACAACCGAGCATTGCTCCTCTGCTCCTAGGAGATTGCCTAAGTCTCTAATGTTTGTGACTTGTCGTGTCTTCTTGTGTCTAGAACGCTCGCCACCATATTAGATAGCCACGTACTACCATAGTGTTAACAACAGCTCTTTAACACCTCAAGAAGAGCACAACAGGGAATAGTAGCAAGCTTTGTGTGTATCTTCATCTCTCAGGCACGCTCTATGATCGTAAAGTGATAGCTGTCTGTTCTTGTTAGCGGCTAAGCTATATTGCACAAGAGTGAGCGCGGTATCGGTCCTGAAAAGCGCGGATACTTTGCATCCACTTCTGAACAGTCTCTAGATAGCATCACTAGAGTTTCAGTTTGTTTTGAAGAGGTCACCAATACGATTATGTTGAAGGTGAAGTCTACGAGCAGTGCAACCAGTCAGGAGCGCCAAGCTCCACGATAGAGGCAGAATTTTCGCATTATAAAAGTCGAGTATCCAAATTACATGCCAGACCCAAGATACAACACCCCGAAAGAGCGCCCCAAACAACCGTCGTGGCCCAAAACGCCAAAACACCAACCCGTCCATCCCTCACCCACCTCAAACCCACCAACCACCTCTCAACCAAACCCCCAAAACCCACCCAAATCAAATCCCTAAAATGCCCAAATCCATCTCCTCCCGCCCAAAAACCATAAAAAACCCATCCGCCCTCTTTCCGCGCTTTGGTTATTGCCCAATCTATCCCGCGAAACCCCCCATACAAACCACCACCCGACGTCGAACTAAAGCCACGCTAACGACGCGCCTGCGATCCCAAGGTTGCCGCCCAGCCCCAAGGAACCGGCGCCAGAGTGCATGGGCCGCGTTTTGCAAGCGCTGGGAGACGCCGGCAGCCGAGAGAGACGAGGGAGAGGCGAATTGGCGCGCGGCCGGCGGCTGACACGGCGGGTCGGGCGTGTAAGCTGCAATGCACGGGCGACGCCGGGTCCTGGCGATCCTGGGGGTTGTGCTGGGGTCACGGGCCAGGTGTTTGGGGGTGCACCTTGCATCCCCACGAGTTGGTGTCAGCCTTATGGGGGTGGAGGCTTGGTGGGATTTGGGGCTGAGGACGAAGCGTTCTGGTCGGGGGGTGGAGATGTGAGTAAGTGTTGTTGTGAGCGGTGTTGGTGTCAGAGCGAGGGGACGACCTCTGGGAGATCACGTGCTATCACGTGAGCTCCGCGGAGTCGAGTGCACAGCCTTAGGTGTAAATATAGCTCCGAGGAGGGTACGAAGCACAGAAAGGATGGCTGAGCGGGATTGTAGATTGAGCTCGGCCACCGGTCATAAATCTGTGTGTATGTTGTTCTGTCCGCTCATGCTTGTGATGCTATATGGTATTGATTTAAATTTAGAGCGACGTGTCACGTGCTTGGTATGTATGTATGTACCCGTCTCTTTCTCTTTAAGAAGGCCGAATGCCATTGCCGAGTGTTTCAAGATGATGAAGTTCGTTTCTCTTGCGTCTCATCAGTCGTGTTAGTTCTTGAGATGCCCATGATGATAACAAGCACACCGACGACAGATTGCATTTAAAATAAATTCCCCGTTTGGATTCAGTTTCGATTGCTGCGAAGTCGTACACCTCCGCAGTACCCCACAGATCCGTCATTTGGCAGTACCCCTAGATCCAATAGTTTCATTGATGAGGTGGCTAAACGGAGCTTCCTAGATCGTTTGAAGGACTTTCGTGACTGACCGAGGATGCCAAGCCTATGAGGCTTCCTGCATCTGTCGATTATCGTGGCCCGAACCAATCAAAGAAAATTCAATTGCGAGAGCGAGTGCGGGTCTTGGGCATGAGCCGGCCTACGAGTTTGGATTGCTGGCCACCCACCTCGGACAGCTGTCATGTCCCGCCAATGTTACTGGTAGCGGAGGATCATCGCCTAAGCTAAGAGGCTGTACCGCGAATTTGACAGGTCGCATACCACAGATGCTCTTTTTTTCGGGGCGGCCGGTAGCAACTCTGAGGCCGTCGAGGCCAAGTCAGCGCTCGCCGATGCTGGGTCGGCGGCTTGAAGAGGATAGATATGAGACAGGCCATGATGCGCAACGGCCTGCACGGTTACGTGGATGGCGTGAGCTGTGTTCCCTTGCGAGAGTCGTGGGCACGCAGCAGGCGCCTCGGACACGTTTTGCCTAGCTTTGGAGCGTGCTGTGGACCCGTTTGGTTGGTGGCGTCGGGCTGGCGGCCCTATTCGTCGTCGGCATGATTGACTTTCACCCGGCGAGGAAGGGGAGGCGTGGAAGAGGGCGGGCATCGAGCATCACGCCCGGACGCCCCGATCCGCAACGAACTGGAGGACCGGTCCGCACATGCCGACTCGCCCGCAGCGTAGTGCGGTCATGTGCTTCGGCGGCGTCCAGCGAGGAGGGATTGATGCATCGTGGCCAGCCTCGAGGGTGCGCTGGAGAGCCCGAGACTGCTGCGACGTCTGGACGAAGAGGAACGGCCGTACGGCCCCCACGACTCGGCGATTCCGCCGGTGGCTGGACTGTCCCGTGGTAAGAATGGCAGGTTTCCAGCAGCATGGAACGCTACAGAGCGCAAAGTCAGGCGACAGCATCTCGACCTCAGCTGGCGGAGAGCGCAGACCGCGCGGAAGGGCAGGCGAGTGGGAGAGGTCCCGAGAGACGGGGTTAGGCAGCAGAGGCAAATGTGTCGATTCTCTGGAGGTGCAGCAGCAAGCCAGCACACAGCGCTTCACTTAAGCGCTGATTCGGCTGCGAGGGCGAGGGTCTGCAGACGGCGCAGGGCAGTCCGGCTCGAAACAAGACGGGCCGCGAGAGGAGGGGCTGGCGCTTAAACCCTGAGGCCCTCAGCACGCCTGCGACAACGCCGGCGACCACCATGCGCAACATCGAACGCTGCTCCAACCACGGCACTTGTCGCCCCACCCTCACAAGCAGCGAAGATAGCTGCAATCAACGGCTGCCGTTGACGCGGGTCGACCTGCCTGGACTGGCCAGCGCCGGCCACAGCGGGTATCACCTCGTCGCATCAGCGCATGCGGGCCCCGTCAAGACTGCGCAGAGGGCGGCTGCTGCTCGCCACGAGCCAATCTCGAAGCCCAGCGGCTAACTACTGCAATCCCCGGCTCGCGGGTCCAGCAATCAAGATGGCTGTCGTGCCCTTGCGTCCCTTCCTTGCCACCATGCCGCTCCGCGGCCCACGACGAGCCCGAAGCCGCCGTGGAACGAGTCTCGCGCGAATGGGAGCTTGTCGCAACCTGAATGAGTGACTTTGATTGAAGATGAGCCGCCGCTGGAGCGATCCAGCGACGCCTTGTGCGACCTCTAGAAACCAGCCGAACTGACCCGCCAACTCCAAATGCACCGTTGCCTGCTAACTCCGGAATGCCGCCAATGGTATCGCACGATCGGTACTGCCGCCCGACAATGGCCGCCCACATGCTGTGTAAATCAAATGTGTCTGCTTTCCCGCGGTCCATGCCGCCTTGCATGTCCGCCCGCCTGACGCGCTCCCCCTCTTCTCAGTGCCCCAGTGAACCACGCCCAACGAGCCCTACCTGTCCGTCTATAGTCGCGAAAAGTCTTCGGTCTTGAAGAGTGGTGTGGGTTGGCCTGCAGGCGACGAGTCTGCGGGGCTGTCGTACTCTTGGCGTACGGTGGCCGGTCCGTCCGGGCTTCCGGCAGATCGCGATGTCGCCGTGCGTAGAGGGATTAAGTTGTGCTGTCCAACCTCGAAGCGTCTCGGGCACCCGTCCTCTTCATGTCTGGTCCCAGAGTTAGCCTTGAGCCTCATCATTGATGTCGTGGGAGAATAACGAACCTTCGGAGCGTATCCCTTCGGGCAAAGTGGGCCTCGCATGCAGCACACTTGAAGTTCTTTGTCTTCACATGCACCTGCGTTCGGTTTCAGTAACGCTCGCGTGGGATCAGGAAGTACACTTACGCTCTGCTCGTGCCTCGACAAGTCCGTCTTCCTAACGAACCCTCGTTGGCAGTTGGGATATGGGCACTTGTGGGGATGCTCCCTCAACGGATCGTGCGTCGTCATGTGGGCCTTGTGGTTGTAACTGCGTTGGAACAGCTTGTGGCAGATCTCGCAGGCGTAGTTTGCGTTCTGCGGTGTCGTAGGATTCCGCCTGATTCTCATGCGGCTGCTACGATCGGCGAAATGTTCTCTTCTGCCCGAGCTCCTTCGCCTCTCAGGCGGCGCGCTTCTGCTGTTCCTATCTTCCATCTTAGCAGACTCTGCTGCGGCCTCCGAATCCATCATCTGGAGTGTTGGCGAGCCGTAATCGTAGCGATACAAGGCATTGTTTGACAGCCGATCTGGGGAGACCGTCAACGGCTGCTGACGAAGGACGCCGTGAGGAGAAACGTCTCCATCGTCGAGCCAATCGTGGGGCGCTTCAAGCTTGACGTTGGGCGTGAATACCGCCTCGGAACCGGCTCTTGAATACATCGACGTCTCGTTCGAAGATGACACGGAAGATCGGTGCGAGTAGTGGTGGTGTGCCCGGAGGCCGGGAGAACGGTTGGGGTCAACAAGCCCAGGAGGAGGATATGAAAAGGCCTGGTTCCAAGAAAGAGGCGAACGAGTGACGGGTGGATCGTATAGACTGGGCCACTGATCTGCTAAAACCTCTGGCATTAGAGGAGACGTGCTGCTACTCATGTGAGGATTCCAGGCCTCGGTAGGCTGAGGCGAGGGAGGATACAGCGTCGAGGCGTTCTGAGGTTGGCCTACCGGGAGTGTTATCGAGTAGTTGTATAGCCCGAGCCCGTCTGGAGAGTAATTGACAGCCGAGTCACTTCGTGCTGGAGAGGGATAGCTGGGCGACTGGCCCAGGGTTGGTGCCTTCATGGACTGTCGGAAATGGGGGTGTAAGGAGGGTGAGGGATGGGTGGAGTCCATGGTGTTGGAGATGTACGGGATGAGTAGTTGGATGGACGCCAAGCGAGGTGTGGTGCCGGGGTGCAGGACGAAGCGGCAAGTAGGTACTAGTCGAACGAATGTGGGCTGGCAGCAAGCGGATTTATACAACGGGAGGGTGCAGCGGGATGGATGGCGAGGGAGGAGAATGCTTGGAGTCACAGACCGAACTATAAAGCAACGGCATTGGAGAATAGCCTCAGTAGATGGACATGCTTCATGTATTTTTACAATTGGTGCGGCGGTGTGGTGGCAGCAGACTGCAGAAAGACGTTAGGAAGCTGGGACGAGGCAGACTCGGAAATGACAAGTGCATGGTGGTGGCACGCCGGGCGGCAGCGCCAAAGCGACCGGCCTCCGTTCTCGAAGGGACCCAGTGAAGTGAGGCTGCGCCAGGTTAGCAGACATGTCGCGCAGACGCAGAGCGGAGCGCGCGAGGGAGCGGAGAGAATGCTGGCGGCGGCCTGGAGCATCCTGGAGCCATGCCCTGGCGGCATGTCATAGCGCGACCCGACAGAATGGCACCGGATGGGGGGGGTGTGCCAGATTGCGCCAAGCCGCTGCTCCGCCAACTTAGCCGCAATCGCCCCATGTGCTCTGGCCCCTGCATAGAGCCTTGTGCCAGCGTCGAAGCGCGCTGCTGGGGAGGGAGGATCCGCGGTTGGTTGCCATGGGCCCCATGCTGCCGCAAAGTCTGCGATCGTTGCATTTGATACCATGTACAGTTGCGCGCGCAGGCGCCAGATCGTTGCACCCAGCAATGCAGAGACAGCGCGAAAGACAAATGAAAAGGCAGCACGCGGGTGGCATGCCGTTGGAATGTTTTCTGACGCTCCCCGACGCTCCTCGATATTCCTTGATGCCCTGATACCATGATGCCTTGATGCCTCGATGCTTTTGGTGCCCTGATGCGCCTATGCCTCCTCTCCCTAAGCACCTACTCCGCGTCTGAAGGGGTGGTCCCTTGCTGGCCCTGGAGCTGCCCGACCATGGCAGTGAGCTGCTCTACTTGCGAATTGAGGTGGATGACCAATGATCTCAGCTGCGCATCGCCGTCGGACGTGCCCGTCGCCGTGTGCGGCCGATACCTAGCGGGTGATCCGCCTAGGTGCCCGTCGAGCGAGGCTTGGACGCCCGTTGCTGCCGCCAACGGACGCGGAGAATTAAGCGATGACTTCAGCGGTGGCCGTTTCTTGGAAGGCGACGTCTCGGGGCCGCCCATCGACAGCGAAGTCGACGGGGCCTGCGCTCGACTCATCCAGTAGTCCTGTCCATGCTCATACGCCCAGATTGCGGCAACGAACGGGAAATGTGTCCCCTTGAGCAGGACAATGCGTGCACTCCTCAGTCGCTCGGCGGGCAGCACGAGTCGGAGGGGCCGAAGCAGGAGTGCGATCAGGTTCTGCGGCGCCAGTCAGTTCAGGGCTCGACAATATGTTCGGTAGTAGTGTCGGGCAGGCCATGGAGCTAGGAAGGGCTTTCAGATTGAAGCAACGAATAGGACCAGGAGCTATGCACCGCCAACTCGACATCATCGAGGTCCTCAGCCTCAGCTACTCGAGCCGGGTGGGGCGACGGTGTGGAGAACTACGGGACCTATCCAGTCTGCCTTGAGACCTCGCCACAGGACTTGGAGTAGCTCTCCGAGCAGACGGCATCTCGCGACCGCCAGTCGCGATTCGAGGCTATGCAGCGGTCTCTGGGCGGCCGGGGGCTATCTCGACGTTTCAAGTGTTGCTGAAAATAGGGACTCACCAGCGGCGGCAGATAGTACGTCAGGCGATTCGAAGTCGACGCCTCCAACACATAAACCGAATATCTGGTAAACATGCGGTCAGTGCTTGTGCGGTGAGGCCAGCCTGGAGGGGACGTACATGTAGAGATACTCGTCACGTGCGTGGTCAAGAACCTACAACAGCGGTTAGCGCATTTCTATTTTCAGCGTGGTCCTCGACTGGCACACCGCGATATGGGCCAGGGCCGAGGATCGCGTTCGGCGGTCGCACGGCCGGGAGTGTCGGATGGCAGCCCGAAAGCCTGAGGTTGAAGAGTGACGATGCAGGAAGTCGGCGCGCAGCAGAGTGAGGCTGGGGGGTGTTTGCAGACAGGGGTGGTGCTCGAGACGAAACGTCTCGTCCAATCGATTTTGCCAAGACCACATTTTCGCTTGCAAGCCACCTTTTCGCGTGAAAGAAGTTTCCGCGCTATCCTTACCTTGGTCAGGCTGTTTGACAGCAGCGATATTAGCGACGTGATGAGCAGAATGTTGGTTAAAGCAACGAAGATGAGCTGCGGCCCCGGTCAGCGGATCAGAAATGCATGTGGTGACCGTGTGCCATGGACTGCATACCATGACGGGTGGACCGAACAACGGGGAGCTGGAACACCAATTAGCACACGATGAACATGAGGCCGCGTATCCGTTCTGAATGAGGCTTTACATCTCTTGCGCCACATCCTGTGCTCGCACTGTTAGCCACTGCACTCTCGTGACCGCAGCTATGCGTCCGGGCCATGGGTTCACTCACAAATCCTAGATAGCTTGACCTGTCGAGCATTAGCGATCAGCGGTCACTAGAGAAACGGAGCACTGCCACACTCACCCGAAAAAGACTTTGATCAATATCCAGGACATTTCATTGGGCTTGATCTGGTCCCGAGCCAGTAGCGTGAATGTCGTTAGGAAGCCTACGTGCATAAGCGTCATAGCCATACCGTTGCCCGAGCGGTGTGGCCTACCGAGATAGAGGATTACCACCAAGGAAAGGAACTTGCAAAAGTCCTTTGTCTGCAGATCGGTCAGTGTCGGTCAAGGCCACCGCCGGAGGCTCCTAGGCCCACTCACCATCTCTTTTAGGCATGGAATCTACTCAATGTCAGCCAGTGCTCTGGGTTGGCTGGAGATAGCACCGATGCAGCCGGGCGCCCTGAATGCTGTGCCACTCTCGCCTGGAACACCCCTGACTTGTTCCGGCCACTCGTACAGTAGACAATAGACACAGCAACTCCGAGCAGTTCAGGGAGATTCAAGGTACAAAGCATCAACCGCTGACTCACCAGTGTGCCAAAATAGGGGTTCAAGCTCAACAAAGAGAATATCCTAGCGAACGTCAGTGCGATACCTACGCAAAGTGGTTGCGTACGACAGGAGACTTACCTAGGAATCAGGAGTAGAGCCTCCAATGCCAGTATGTCGAAAGCCATGTCTACCAGATCACTCGAATGTATGGATAACCCAACGATCCCTTCCATGTCAGTACTGGGCAAGCAGCTCATAAAAACCGCTGACTTACTAAGGACGAGAAATGCCGCGCCGAAAGCGACGATACCCAAATCCCAAACGAACCAGAAATCCGTTGTGTAAAAGGAAGTCTGTCCGGCATCCTGGATCTCACCAAACTCGTCATACGCAAAGCCGGCTATCCAGATATACAGGAGAATCTCCGCCGGGGTGATGTGGGTATAGCTCCGCTGGACAAGGACTGCGTAGTAAAGCAGGAGAAATGTGGCGAAGAACAGTGTCTCGAACGTTTTGAGATATCTAGGAACCCGGAGTCTACAGAATGGGTCGGCGCGCCTTCGCTCCGGTCAGCAGTGCAACAACAAGGGATGCATACGGAAACACAGGAGATTCTACTCATCAACGTACCTACGGTTGTACCGCTTCGCTTCCTTGACGGAGTCGAATCTTAGCGTTTCCCAAAACACGATATCGCCCTTGCGAGGTTAGTACTGTGACCGAATCTAAAGGGCATCTGGAGCTAACTTACCCGCCATATGCCATCGATGATTCTCTGAATGACCCGTTGGCTAAGAAATTTCTTCGAGCCGGATACTGCGGCGATTTCCAAGGCACTCAGGTTGACGAATTGATTGGTGAACTCGTCACCTTGTGCAGCGGCTGTGACTTCAGTCACACTGTCGGTTCCCAAACGTCGATGTCCATTCGTCCTATTGAACTCATCCAAAAGCGGCGTGTCCTCGTTGGCCACATTTGATGCTCTTTGGCCGTTGGTTCGAGCTAACGTTCCGGATTCTGGGTCTTGCTCATGTGGTGTTGCCGGTCCCAATGGAGGCAGCTCGTACAAGAGAAATTCGATGGCTTCGCGTTCAGATAGGTGAGTGACAAAACGCCATGCTACTATCTCGCAAGCATACCCTCTAGCTTCGTTGACCCCTCTGTCGTCGTCGGAATCCAGCGCCGAAAAATGTGTCTTCAGAGCTCTGTGACCGTTAGCCTTGCAAGGTCGGATCGAAAAGGTTTGCGCATCATCAAAGGCATGATGTTTTGTCATGGACCTGTGTACGCTCTTCTGAGTTTAATATCTTTTCTGGTATGCGCGTGTATCACTCCTTCAAGTGAAACACTGTCTAAACACCGCAGTCGGTGGTGGCCCGTGGGCTTAGAGGAGTGTTCCAAATGATGAGTTTACGACTTGTTCAGATGTTTGAAGATAGATCACAGACATCAAAACGCCACCACACAACAGTACACAGGTCTATGACGAGGCGGTGTATGCAGCAGTAAGTATGAAGAAATTCACCTACAGAAGTGCTGACACGATAGCAGGATGATGGATTTCGTCAGAGAGATACTTGATCAAGGGCGACAAGACAATTCCTTTCGGAATTGACCGTAGTTCTTCGAAGGTATACGGAGCTTCGACCGCCTCAGCAAAGTAGCTATTGAGGCCATGGTTAGCAGAGTCTAAAAGAAAGATGTAGGGCAATTGTTCTGTCCTTTCATATGTCTCCCGTTGAATGAACACGGATCTCCTTCCGCGATCTGATCAATGCATTCAAGTTTTGGACTCGTTGAAAAAAGAAAGAATGCTTCGTGAGAGATTTTCATGAACGCATTGAACATGTGTAGAAGGCAAGAAGTCAATGGAGGCTCTGATGCAAAGTACTTACAATGAAAGCTTCTCGACGAGGTCAGAGAAGGGTTCGTCGTCGCTGATGGCTGGCACCTCGAGAACGTGCTCAGGCCACATGGGGGTTGTTGGTCGAGAAGCCATGATGGGCTACGGCTGCAGCATTGCCAGAAGATTAGGTTTCGACGAGAACGAAGCCATCAAAGGCAGAGACACGCGTGAAATCGAGACTGACGTCGTCACGTCGTGATGAAAAGCAAGTCGCGTTACAAAGGGTGCGGCTGAGTGCATATTCACCTTACATAAGCCGTCCACCAAAACCAGAACACAGCCGTGCATCAACACCAACAGCACAATAAATTTCCTTTTTTTGGAATTGTAACATTTACACCTCAACACAACTATTCCTCTTCTCCGCGACTTAATAACTTGTCGTATGGCCGAGATAGAGAACTGAGAAGTGACTCGTTTGCGGTCGTTTTGATGTTCCTCGCCTCGCGTAGCTGGTGGGGTCGTGAATATGCACTCGGCCGCAACCTTTGTAATTCCACCAGGCTATTACGTTTGCGGCCGAAAATTACCCGATGGCACGTGCACTGTAAATCAGCGTCCATCCGAACGTCTTTCAAACACTGGCATCAGAAGCTTCTTATTGCATTGAAAAGCAATCAACTCCATCCGCTGCGATATGGTGGTCGTGACGGCTACATAGGGGTCATCTGCTGCTCCTCACCTGTTGTCAAGCCACCATGTCTGACATAACTTCAGACGCAACCACCTTGCTAACCTCGTCATCCACTAACGTGTTTACTACTGTCGATGCAGCTACTTTCGAAGCATACCAAAACGCCATATCCCGCATTCCTCGTGAAAGGCCGAGAAGATTGCGGCAACGTAACCAAGCAGCTAGTTCGGACCTTCCACTCGAAGGTACTGACGGAGAAAGACTTGACCTCCCACAAGATAACGTTACCGGTCCAGCTCGACGCCTGGGGCATAGCACAGGATCTGTCCGTCTTGCTGATATTCAGCATGATCATATAGCTGGCGAAACTGTACCATCTGAGGTGCCGACCGTGGACTACTCCGTCTATCGAAACAGCAATTTAGGGCGGACTGTCACTGTCGTGTATGAATCGAGCATCAACAGTGGCGGCAAATCTATCTCTCACCTTCAACGTACTGGGTTCGAAGAAGGCGGTATCCAAAAGGAAGCTCGTCATAGTGGCGTCTCTAGCCCTCATCGGAAGGACACTAACGACGCTCTGTCTGCTAATCTACTTCAACTCTCTCCAGTGACTGACAGTTCGGTCCGAAGCACGACAGGAGCCCTAGAGACCGGTCGTCAATCTGTGGCTCCAGATCCTCTTGAGACTAACAATGCATCATTAAATCTGAGCCAACCGAGTTCGTACCAAAGCTTTCCTGAGTTAGCCAGCGATGATACTACCCGTCAACCCAGTGTCATGACCCGTATCAACTTGGCCACCGCTGAAGCCCATGGAAGTTTAGTTTCCTCTCTACTTCGTCAGCGTGTACCGGAACAAGGTTTTCAAGAGCAACAAAAAACCAGTGATGACAGCAGCGACTTATATGGGGAGCCCGCGGCAATTTCTGAACTGCGTAAACGTAAAAGACGACTTCCTGTTGATCAGCTCATACTTCTACCTTCACTAGCCGATGACGATGAGGTCAATTTTGTATGTTTCCCAGTTCGTGGTTACAGATATCCGCACGCTTTTCTACAACCGCTTGTGGAGCCTTATGGTGATCTCAAAAGTACACGGGGACAGATCACACTTCCAGTTTATGTACATTCCCCTGCCACTGCTTCGGGTGGCCCAACGAATTTATCAAATGTTCAAGAGGCAGGACTTCCTTATAATTTGGAACTCTGAAGATACCATGAGGCACCACAAGTGGTGGCAGAATAGTATGCAAACATCTATGACGAAACACAGTACCCATCATTGTCTATGAATAGCGCTAATCACACTTTTTTTCTATTAGCTACATCGACTAGACACTGAAAATGACCCAATCGAGGAAACTCGAGATCAACCTACGAGGAGGCACGCTTCGACCGAAAAGTCGCTCCCTTCACACACCAAATCACTTAAGAACCCCTCCAGGCTATTTCGAAATATGAAAACGCAGAGCAATCCGACCATTGATCTTACCAGATTCCGCGTTCCGAAGAGATATCGCAACAACCAGAGCGCCTCGCAAAGCTTACTCCACAAAAGCCTTGCAGACGGATTCGAAGGTGCCGAGCTAAATTTGCTTCCGAAGCTGCCCAAACTTATCCTTCGACGGCCTCGACCCACGAATGGAAATGTGCTAGTTGTGGTTAAAGGTGCACTGCCGACTCCTTGCTTTGCGAGCCAGAACCAGGATCTCAAGTTGGTAATGGGGATCGTCGAGAGCACTCCAGCAGAGCGATCACATGAAAGAGCATCCCGAAACGAGATTAGCCCACAAGAACAAAACAATAGTACCTTTCGAGGGTCTCTTAGACGCGAACGGGCTGAAGAAAGGCAATCTTCCCGTTCGGCGATCGACGAGTCCCGCTCGATGATCGACGAGGATGAGATTATGCCAGAGATACCAGATGCTCATCTAGTGTTTATGGAGGACCAGGCCTTTGACGACAATGCTTTGGTCGATGGCGGGAATGAAGGTGTTGATGCAAATGATGAACGCAGGTACCAAGACGAAGGTTATGCAGAGGAGCTTGAGGAAGACGTTGAAAGTGAGGACGATGAGCTGTTAGGGGACGATGAGCAAGAACTCGAGGAAGAGACCGATGGGACTGAGGATGAGACTGAAGACCAAGATGAAGGGACTGATGAGGAAGTGACAGACCAAGCTGAGAAAGAGACTGAAGACGGTGATGAGATTGCCGACACCACGGAGACAAATCAATTCGAATGTGATAAGACGACTGAAGGAAGGAAAATTGATGCCGACCAGTATGAGGTGGAAGATGAAGCATTACAGGACCATGTTAGCTCGTCCGGCAGCACCTGGACCGGCTTCTCGCAGCACGATGCTTCGATCAGAGGGGACAGGCGCGCCATTGTACCCACGGAGGCTATGCCCCAAAGCCTTGCTCCTCCGAGCCCAGAGCCGGAGGACCTCGATGATATACTGTATCGCCCCGGACAAGCTTCAAGAATGCGATCAAGACACCAATGGATGGAAGTGCAAGACGAAATCCAAGACGACGAGCCAAGCGATGGGTACTTATTCGGCTTTCATCAGCAAAAGAAACTAGATTCATCTCTTTCTAGGTCGCATACCACACCTCGTCGGCAATTCCAAGACCCCGAGGAATCTATGGCGGCGTTGACTCTCAACTCCGGCGGCTACTTTGCCAGCGCATTGCTACAGCTGTCTGTCATACCGGAGACCTCCTTTCTTTCTCCGCAACCACGCCATGAACTGCACGACGAACCTGATTATTTAGAAGAGCAGGATGACGTCTTAACGGAGTTGATCTTCCCTAGGACTAAATCACTAGCTGCGAGCTCGTCTCAACACAGCCTACTCTCGCGGACGAGTCGAAGGAGACATTCCAGTGTGGTTGTAACTCCTACGAGGAGTCTGAGTTCTTTGGCAAAAGTCACTAACACATCTTCGGGAACGACGTCAGGCAAGCCACGCAGAACACCGTCACTTCCATTTGTACCCCCATTCCTCAAAGAAAAGACATTCGGCAAGCACGCTATCGGAGATCGAGTTTCTTGAACACCACCAAAACGTCGAATGCTTTGCCGGCGGAAAGCCATCGCAGGGTGCTACGCTCACAGGGCGTGACTGAATTTCCCTCTTGCTTCACACACACACATATATATATATATATATATCTATCTCAGATGGTTCATGTCAGTACCGATAGTGTGGAAGCAGCGGCATAGCTTACAATATGGAGGAGCTTATTATCATACGTAGTATATAGCAAGCACACGCACCCTGCATGTAACTACATGAAACGGAAACCAAATAGATCTCAGTGTCCAACAAAATACTCCGTAACACCCTTCTTAGTCTTCCACCGCTGAAACATGCACGTTAAGGGAAAGAGCGCAGAATTGACCGCGCCCCATGCAATCAAGATGCCGAAATCGAGACCGATGCGGGAATGGAGGTTAAACAGTATCTGACGACTTCCTTCTACGACTACATAGCAACATAAATCCGTCAATACAAATAATTTCTATAATTAGATTTTAGAGGGAGGACTCACCCTGATGCAGAGGCCATGCGTAGCCCCATCGATAGAACGCCGGCTCGATCTCGATGTCGTAGAAACTCGTCGACACGTTTGTAATCACCCAGAATATCAACCTGCAGGTGATACGTTAGCTTCGTGACTTTTGAGTGCGTGTGGGGAGTGCAGACGCACCATAGCCCCATCCACGGCTGCCCAACTACCATCGCCATATTCTCGCACGCAAGGCCTAGCGCTATCATCCCCCAGAAATTGAGCATCCAGTAGACAAGGAAAGTGCCGTGGCCGTACGCGATAGGGTTTCCGTACGCAACGTCTGTGGTCTGCGTCTCGGAGGTGATGGGGTTTGTGTGGGTGAAGTTGACTTGGAATGCCATGGAGACGAAGGAGTAGGCGAGGGATAGGAAGAGGTAGGCGGATATCGTGGCGCAGTAGCGCCAGAGGATAAGCTGCCAGAACTTGAGCGGTGGGTGGCCTTTTGGGTTCAGGTATTGCATGTGGATCGGGAGGTAGAAGGAGAATGAGAAGAAGGATATGATGATGAGGTCTTGGTGTTGTTAGCTTTCATGGTCTAGATATGGAGAATAGGGGATAGCTTACAGATCAGCCCAATGCTGACTGCCGGAATAGACGTATACGGATAGAAAGGTCGAAGATTGAACTCTGAGAACCCAATCGCAGGACTGATGGCTTGAGGCGCCGCTCGCATGTTCGCCAGAACCGTTGGATCTGACGCATTCTGCAATACCATCCCCGCCCACATCTTTCCAACCATACTCGTCGCCTGCGTTTGGAACGTACTGATCTCTGGAAGCAAGAAATCATACCAGTTGGTGTCATCCCGCGCATCTTGATAGACCAGCTGGCACGCTCCCATCGGGTCGTAGGAAGCATTCCCAGTCGCGATCGCTGAATATAGCATAGTTGTAGCATTTGGGTTGACGATGATGGCGGCCCATGCGTCCCAGTTGTAGACTGCCTGGCGAACTTGCAGAGGATCGTTGTTGAAATGGGATGGAGTCATGGAGCCGTATCCTAAGTGGGCCATGCCGGAGTTTACTGTTTGTTCTGCGAGCTGCACGATGGCAGGTCCTACGATAGGCGCATGACCGGTGTTATCGTATGGTGCTTGACCGTCGAAATCCACAATGTAGACTACTAGTTTGTTTATTTTACTCTCTGGACCATTGAGGTGGAAGAAAATGCCCCAATCTGTACTATGATCAGAACATATAGATACATCAAGGATTTACTTCTACTCACATAATGATAGCACAGACAAAATGAAGGCCATTAGAAAAGTCGCTAAAGTACGTTAGCTAATTGAAGCTTCAATTTAGTTGTTGCAAGTACGTACTCGTGATCGCCCATTTCTGAAAGGCTTTCTTCCGGACGTGATCAAGATTCGGATCCCAGAAACCTACGGGCTGGGGCTGGCCTCCCGACTCATCACCTTTCTCTACATTACTGCCGTCGCGGCCGTTGGGGCTGTTCTCATTCGAACTTTCATCTCGAGAACTCGTGTCGCTCTTCCGCTTTCGCAGTCGGTCGAACATCGCGAATAATCCAGCAAGCATTAATTTTAGGCAGAATTGAAGGAAAGAAATGAAGCACAAGGCATTTCAATTTTGGAGGTAACAATATGACGTCGACCATTCGGCTGCCGAAACCTACGTAGGAAAGTGATGCGCCGTTGCCATCGCGTCCGCGGCAACTAGAGCACCTTACTACCTGACAAATTAAAATGAGGCAAGCTAATCGATCGAGCCTACTGACATGGCGGATGCGAATGGTGATGTCAACAAGCCCATCTCGGACGCTGCCGGCGATGTGCCGCATTACGCCCCACCACGTGGATGCGCGATGCAAGATCTTGAGCCGCAAAGGCGATTACCTAATAACAGGCTTCACATCCGAAGGTCACTAAATTTTCCAGCTTTTGCATCGAAAATATATTGATTACTGTACCTAATCGATGGCCTGAGCCAAAGTACCGCTCTGCTTCCATTCTGTTGTGATATAATCGAGACAACAAGCCCAGTGTCCCCTGACCGAAATCAAGTGCTTGATTGACCAGCAACGAAAGGAAATAGGAAGCTAATTGAGAATCCTCCTCATCCGAAAGTCCTGGTGTTTGAGCCCAAGGGGTATATGTAATAACGCCGAAAACACCGCAAAGCAATCCTCGTAAATCATCCCCACGTGACCTTCTAATATGGGACTGAAGGCTCAAGCATCGGGGTCACTCTCGGTGCCGCTTGAAAACGTCGACAACATAGGAGCCAACTCCATCATCTTGTTGCGGCAGTGAATGACTAGGATCGCGACCGCCAGACTGTTCCAGACATCGTAGTCGTCTTGGCCATAGTCGAAAATGGCGACCATGCGAAGAGACGGCCACAGAGCTAAGATGTCGTAGCAGACGAAGGCCATGACAGTGTGACTCACAATGACGCCGTACAGAGTCGGTAGCTTGCAGGTGAACTCTTCCTCACTCGGCGGCTCGACGGACTCGGCGCCATCTTCGTCCCGCTCGACACTCGAGCGAATACGGAACGCGTCTTTGAACTGAGATCCCATGTAGCTCAGCCGTGCGAGCATGTTGCTGTGAAGCTTCGCCGTGGGCATGTTTTTCGGCCCCGACTCGAAGGCAAGGATTGGGAGGTTCCAGGCCCCATCTACCTTTCCATCAGTAGTAGCCCATTTGAGGTAGGACCAGACGCCACGACGGATGATGTCTTCGGGAGTGCGCTGGGCAGCTTTGGATATGATCGAGTCGCGGGTTCTCGGACCGAGCTCAAGAAGAGCTTTGAGCGCTTTCGTGCCTAGAATCGGATTAGCACCGTCCTCAGGAAATACCGGTGTAGGCCAGCGAAGGCTGCATACCTCTGAAGTTGCTCCCGAGAGCAGGCTTGATGAAAGCTTCGTGACGATGGTTGGTGAAAAGATTGGATGGCATCATGTCGAAGTCCGAGGCCCACGATTTCGGCATGAGCGGCTCGAAGCCTCTCAGCTTGACCTTCTGGTAGACGAAGACGGCATCTTCAGCCCAACCGGTCGCACGAAGCTCAACAACCTCCTCTTCCCTTCTCTTGCGTTCGGCGATATCATCGTGGGCGGCCTTGTTCAGCTCATAGTCCCCATCGTCGACGACAATGGTCTCTTCATTGGCGTCCCAGGCATCTTCCTCTGGAATCTCTTCCATAAGCTGATCGATCAGCGTATCCCCCTCGAAGTCGGTGTACGGTCTCTCTAGGGAGGTTGGGGTCAGAGATCGGTCGAGGTCGTCACTATCGATAAGGCTGGGTGAAGTGGGATTCATGTTCCAGCTGTTCACTCGGGTCGCTGGGCTCATGGAGCGAGGATTGAAGCTGGAGCGTGGAACAGACTTGCGCGGCGTCGGAAGGGCTTTGAAGGGTTTGTCGCGGCGCTGTTGGGTCTTGCGAGGGGAGACCAGGCCCCAGAAGCGGTCGCTGATATTGCGCAGGAAGGCCATGGCGGGGGCTGCGCTGAGTCGAAGGTAGGTACTCGGTGGAGGCGTGAGACAATCCGAACTGGTGGAAGCTCGTTGCGTGGTGGTGGAAGTGAAAAGCGACGGTTGCAGGCGGTGGCTCGAAGCGAAAGAGGTTGAAAGCAGAGGCAGCGGGGCGCACAATAGCTATTGTGGTCACATAATAGCTATTGTCGCAACTCACCGCATCCGGAGCTCGAGGTGGCTGGGGAGGCCGGGTCGGTGAAAGCTGGAGTTAGACTGGGAGCGGATAGGGTCACATGACCCAATCAACTTCATCCACACAGCGATGGGAATGCCTCAGGGCAGCTACGCAAGCTCTGAGCGTGACAAAACAGGACAAATGTACAGCACGTCTACATGTGAAGCCGCATGTTCGCTCTGCAGGGCTCGCAAGCTAGGGATGCAGTACCTAGGTAGCATCTTGGTGGCGCAAAATCAAAGACGCGGGGCATTTTTTTCTTAGAGCCTCACGATGCGATACGCATCTCATACTGCAAACAAAATGGCCCCCTCCGCAACCACCCCGGAGAAGACCCTCTCCCCCATTGACCCGCAGGTTTTCGCCCTGCGCAAGGTCCTGACCTCCGAGTCCGCGCCTCTCGCCCACCGCTTCCGAGCTCTCTTTTCTCTAAAGCACCTAGCTTCCCTGTCGCCTCCGACTCCTCAGACACGCCCCGCTATCGATGCCATTGCTGCTGCCTTCACGTCCCCTTCCGCGCTACTGAAGCACGAACTAGCCTACTGCTTGGGCCAGTCGCGGAACGATGCAGCTGTCCCATATTTGCGCACGGTGCTGGAGGACAGGGATGAGGACGCCATGTGTAGACACGAGGCTGCGGAAGCCTTGGGGGCTTTGGGCGACCAAGACAGCTTGAGTCTACTTAGGGGCATGAGGGACGACACTCAGGAGCTGGAAGTCGTGAGAGAGACCTGCGAGATCGCGGTTGAGAGGATTGAATGGGAGCACGGCGTTTCACGGAAGGATGAGCAACTCAAGCAAAGGTGTGATACACGAGCCAGCTTGTAAATGAACAGAGGCTAATTGGACAATAGCGATTTTGCGAGTATAGATCCGGCCCCACCACTTCCACAGGCCAGTTCAAAACCTGCAATACCCGAGCTGCAAAAGACCCTGTTGGATACGTCGCTGCCGCTTTTCCAGCGGTACCGGGCCATGTTCGCACTTCGCGATCTGTCTTCTCCACCTGACCTTCCGACTGCGGTGCCCGCCGTGCAGGCACTTGCGAGAGGCTTCCAAGATCCATCTGCTCTCTTCCGCCACGAGATTGCGTTCGTCTTTGGACAGCTATCCCATCCTGCGTCCATACCGAGCTTGACAGAGACTCTGAGTAACACCAAGGAAGCTAGCATGGTCCGACACGAAGCCGCAGAGGCGCTGGGCAGTCTAGGAGACGAGGAGGGCGTCGAGGAAACCCTGAAGAAATTCCTAGATGACCCTGAGCAAGTTGTGAGAGACAGCGTGATTGTGGCACTGGACATGGCCGAGTTCGAGAAGAATGGGGAGGCTGAATACGCGATCATCCCAGACGCAGGATTGATTGAGGTGTAACAGTCGACCAGGGCACGAGGCATGCATTGTCGGCGTTCAAAACGGGGGCTGGGTGTAACAACAGGCCGGGGCATTGGGTAGGAACTGGCGAAAACATGGTCTCTGTTCCCCTCAATCTAGTTGTTGTCGTTCCATCTGTGGAACAGGTTTAGCAGTTAGAAATGAACATGGGAATTGCAACCTACTTGTACCCGCACTCGCAGGTGTAGAAGACAGTGGTGCCCTCGTCAGCGCCGCGGAGCTGCTGGGTGTAGTAGCGGACCTCGTCCCGGCCGCACTTCTTGCACGTCTCCTTGATGGCTGCGCTTGTCTGCATGTCCGCCTCCGTGAGCGTCTGGACTTCAGACCTCTTTGCGCGCAGAGCCGACGGGAATGCGGTTGGCTTGGACTGTGTGACCACGACCTTGGACGAGGTATCTAAGCAGTGGTCAGCCCCGGCCAGGCGCAGGTGAAGTTATCGCGGCAGCAGCGGGACGGGAAAGTGAAATGCAGTGAGGAGGGGACAATGCGGACCTTTGCAGGATGCGCCGCAGACATCACAGGTGAGGATGGCCCTCCCCACGCCCGTGTTGCTGTCGAGAAGATTGCCGCAGTCGGTGCAGAAGACGAGGGACGCAATGGCGGCCATGCTGCGTAGCGATTCACAGGGTTGTAGGCTGGAAGAAGCGGATTCACGACGCGGGAAAGCTGGTGTTGAGTGCTAGACCTTCAAGCGCAGAAGAGAAGGCTATTTTACGCGATTTTCGCAGGGAGATGCACAGGACCACGGATCGCCCGCCGCCCGGGGGGCGTTGGTCTCGGCAGGGCTGCAGCGCGTGGAGTCCATTCATCCCGACTTTCGAGGTGCGCCGTGCACTATCACGACAAAGCAAACACTGCACGACGCCGCTGTCTGCACGTCGCCAGGGCCCGGATCTAGCGTCGCCCATGTCTTGAGGCCTGAATGCCCGCAGAAAGCGCCCTCCGTCACCTGTGCCCGCTCCTCCTCCCCCAGCCGCCGCCCATCAGCCTTGGGATCCTCCATCACCCACGGTGCTGCTCCCGCCCCTCGCAGCAATGAACGGCCATCGTCAAACTGCCAATGGCAGCTCACTGCCGTTCCGCCCTCCGACTGTGGATCAAGCACTTCAACACTCACCTTTGACCTCAATCGTGCCCTTCTCGCCCGGTGAGTTCGCCTTCTATCTACCTCAACACCACATTTGTCCACCTATAAAACTATATTCCGCCGCTTCTAGCTCTTTCTAACAATTGCTACCTTCAAGAAACCATTCCGTTCCCTTCGGCTAGCCCTCCTAGCTCCTCCGCCGTTTTCGCCCACCCCGACCAGCGAGCTTCCGCACGGCGTGTCCTGGACTCCCTCAACTCGGAGGCGACGAGTCAACCAGGCACCTCCGTACGCCTTCAGAAGACACTCCGAGACCTGAAGCAGCTATTGGACGCCAGCAAGCTTACTGAATTGTAAGAATCCAATGCACAAGCAGGGTGCGATTACTACATTAAACACGGCTGACTTTTGACATAGCAACTTCAAAGGCGCCCCTCCGCTACCTACACCGCCTCCAGACTCCCCGAGTGTACCCACGGCCTCCAATGGGATTCTGAAGCACTCAGGAGAGCCAAACCTTAGCCCCTTCGCTAAGATGGTTCTGAACAACACAGATATTGCGCACAGATGTACGTGCGCAGGCAAGGCTTCATGAGGCAGACAACTGACTGTCGGTGCTAGATCCGACACCCGATTCCCCGCTGGGGTCTAGTCGAGAACATACGTCAGCCCGAAAGCCTCCCAAAGCCTCCCCTGCAACCCCCCACCAACAATCCGTCGCTCGAAATCAAGGCGCAGTGAGCTTGAACGCGAAGCTTGGGCTACCCGGGAGCAACGTATCTACGCCAAGAAAGGTCCCTCAGGTCCTCGTCTCAGGATTGTCACCTTCCTCCCAGCGTGAGGATTATGAGAGCTTTGCATATCTCGACGAACAAGACAAGCCGCTCTCAAAAAAGCGAAAGCGACCAGAAGCCGACGAAGAAGCTCTCACCGTTACGTTTAACCAGCAACAAAAGGCCGACAAAAAGACAGATGAGCTTCAGAACCTACTGGACGATATTTTTGAGGCGGAAGACAATTACGAATCCGAGGGTCCAAGCTCTCTCTCTCCTGATGTGGCGAAATACATTACTGTGAAGGAGGTCGGGTTTGTGGAGGCTCCTGTTCTTACAGCAGACGCTCAGCGCAGTCTAAATACTCATCTCCAGCCTGTCCTAGACGCGGGTAGGTTCAATGCGATTTCCGTGGACGACGTCGTTCGACTTCAAAAGCTTTGTAAGAGCAGGATAGATTCAATCGATACTGTCTCGCTTGACATCGATTCTGGACGGGAGGACGAACGCCTTCAAGACTGGCTCTCTGGTATCCAGGATGTGGAGCACGCTCTGGGGGCTGCAAAAATCCTCCTCAAGACCATGACGGCTGGCAGAGTAGAAAAGAAGATCTACTCAGAGGGTATGGTGGGGACTGTTGTCAACGCTCTCAAACGTACACTTGGGAGTATGATCCTTATTGCTGAAAGCAGACCGAACTCACCCATCTTTGACGTCTCCTCCAATCATAAGCAGGTTCCCAATCTCCTGCAAAGGAGTGGAAAAATCCTAGAGCTGCTGGGCGAACTTGTGGCCACTGTTCAAGTGGCGGAATCGGCCGTCACAAGCACCGAAGATGTGGCAACGAGGCTCATATTCGTCGAGAACGCGACTTCTGAAAAGGATTCAGCTCTTGGGATCAAAAAATTCGAAGTTGTTCGATCCGTCGCTATGGATGTCTTGGCGAAGATATTTGCTCGATACGAAGATCGGCGAGCGTCGACCCTGAGGGACGTCCTGAACTCGATAGGGAAGCTCTCTGTCGATCGCCGCAGTGCACGACAGTACAAAATGGCAGATGGAAAAGCGATCCAACTGGTGTCTGCACTCTTGATGCGTCTCGTGCAGACTAGCGCCACGATTTCGATTGCTCAACAGACCGGCAAGGGGACTGTAGTTCGCAGCACTAGGAAAAATGACGTGGATGAAGATGGAGATGATAGCTCAGAGAGCTCAGATGGTGATGCACCCAGGAGGAAAATGCCGAACAAAGCCGCCAATCTCTCGAGTCAAAGCTTAGCTAAGATAGCACGGCGGTTTCACGATGATGCACAGATGGCTACCGATTTCGTGGTGAAGCACCTGGTGGACCGAGCCAAGGAAACAACGAAGTCTGCAGATCTGCCATTCCGGAACCTTCTGGATATCTTCACAGAGGATTTTCTCAGCGTTCTAGGCTGCCCTGAGTGGCCAGCTGCGGCAATCTTTTTACATAAGCTCACGCAATACATGGCCAACATCATTGCCGACAAACAGAAGCAGTATTCAGTCCAGGCTAAGACCATGGCCTTGGATATATTGGGTATCATGGGGTCAGGCCTCATCGATCTGCAGGTCCACTTGGGAAAAGATGCCCAGAAACTTGATAAGAGGCAGTCTAGTCTTTCTGGGCTCTTGTCACAACTCGGGGAACAGCTTTCAGAGCAGCTCCTAGACCAACTCTCTAATCAACTCTCGGGAAATTCCTCAAATTTAAATACCTCCGTCATGATGGCTAGCAAGACGGAGCTCTTGGATTTTGAGGGGCCATACCGTATTGTTCTAGAGTATCTCCGTCATTCAACTCGGAGCGAAGAACAAAGAAGCGCACAGGGCTGCCATATCCAGCGCTGGGCCTCTGACCTCTGTGAGATGATGGCGAGTCAAGACACAGACGATGAAGAAAATCCCGCTCTGGTCACACTAGAGCAACGCCTGAAGCACATGATTCTTGACCCTACGTGGCTAGCTGCAGAGTAGTAAGCCGATCTTTCTTGGGAAACCCTAAGCCTCAAAGAAGCTAACCTCAATATAGCGACTTCGAATCTGTTTCGGAAGACCATGGTCGGGTTGCTGCTATGATTGTTGCCTTGCAAACACCATTCAGTCGACACTTACAACACATAGTAGGCTATATCCTTCACTCGATGTCTAATCCGGGTAAAATCAGAAGCCAAAGCTTGAAGAGCCTTGGAATGCTCATGGAGAAGAACCCGAGAATTCTGAACGACGGCATACTCGGCAACATAACTATCTCCTTAACGGATGCCGGAGCTCAAGTTCGGGAATACTCGCTACAGCTGCTCGACAGATGCCTTCGCTGGAACCCTGCAATTGAGCCCAACTGCACGCTGCAAATCATTTCTAGAACGAACGACGCCAGTCCCAAGATCAAAAAGAAGGCCATGGAAATTTTGAAGGGCATTTACCTGCGCAATGAGGCGCCAAGTGTCAAAACCTCTATCGCAGACGCGTTGCTATTCAAGATTCAGGATACAGACGAAGATGTCTCCAAGGAAGCTTGCAGCCTGCTCGCAGGCATTTGGATTGCACCTTACTACGAGGTCGCAACTACAGAAGACGTAAAGCTCCGACTAGCTCTTCGCGCTCAAGTGTCTCTTATCATTCGGACGGCACGAAACCAACAACAGTCTGGTGTGCAACTGGAAGAACTGCTCCGGCACATTCTTACTGACGATCCAAGATCAGCTGACGCAAATTTCCGTGTTTGCAAGAGTATGGTGGCTGAACTGTTTGAAGGCGTGATCGACAATACCGTCCTCCCTGATAAGCCGGAACAATGGCTGATTATGGAGACTCTTGCGATCTTTGCACACGCGAGTGGCAAGCTCTTCACCGTTGAGCAAATAGTAACGCTGCAGACATTCACAAACGACGTCAACGACCCGAACGATATGCGCACTTTGCGGGCTGTCATGGTTGTATTCCGTCATGTTCTTCCACTCCACACCACCTACCCAGACAATTTTCTTCTGACTGTCAGAAACGCGTTACAAAAGTCTCTCTCGAAAATGGGTAATCGAGCGATCAATGAGTGCGCTCAATGTTTCAGCATCATCGACGGAATCCTGAAAGAGAATGGCCAGAGACCTCTTCTTAACATCATATCCATGTTAAGGGACGTTAGGACAAAATCCCTCAACGAGGGAAATCTTTCCAAACGTTTGGCCCTCATTGGCTACTTGGGGAAGCATTGCAACATCGAACATCGAATAAACGACGTCAAGAAGGCTTTTTCAGATTTGGAATTCAAGTCGGTCGCGGACCTCCTTGTAAACGTTTTACTACCTTTCACATTAGAGAAACATCCTAAGGGTGTTCGGCGACAGGCTCTTGAAAGTGTAGCCATGATGTGTCAAAGCTTCCCAAGAGAGTACGCCCGAGGGGACGTAAACGAGGCTTTCAAGCTTGTATTTGCAAATGAAGACATCGGTCTGAAGTCCAGCTTGCTAGACCAATTTCTGGATGTTTTTGCACAGGAAGAGAACCGGTCTGGCACCGGTCTAAAGAATGCTCTTGACAAAGGTGCAGGAAAGGGTGCTGAAGGGTTCATCAACTCCCTTGTTGCAAACGAGTCGGACGGCGTGCCTAACCGACTTGCAAGCAACTTTCTTAGCCATGCCATCCAAATCGCTCTCACTTCAACCGGTGATGTTGCCCTGAAAGCAACAAAGTTTATAGCGAGCAGCAATCGCCAAGGCCTGATTCTTCCGATGGACTGCTTGCCGGCTCTGGTTGCTCTAGAGACGTCACCAAACCCGACGATTTCCGATGTCGCGTTCCAGGAACATCGGAATCTTTGGAAAAAGAACAACGGGATGGAGAAAGAGTACATGAAGGGAGTGTCGCTTGCCTTCGAGCACCATCGTGACATCTTGAAGGACACGAAAGGAGTCATTATCGTCGTAAAAGAAGGCAAATCCTCTTTCAATCCCAAGCTTCGTCTCTGCTACGACGTTCTGTGCAGTGGCGAGTTCAAACCGAGAAAGAAGTTCCTGTCGAATTTAGTCGATCGACTGAATTTTCAGCTCTCGAAGCTCGATACTAGCGGCGTTGAACCAAGGCCACTGGCCTATACGCGCTTTTGCGTGGAGAACTTTGCCTTGTTTGATTACGCTCGTACGGAAGAGGTCTTGCACGTCATATCGTGCTTGGAGAAAGTGGTCATTGCTACTGGTAGCGAAGTGGCACAGGAGATCGAGCCTGATATCTTAGGGAACGATCTCGATACTGAGCTCATCCAGCAAGAAGAAACCGCTCCAGCTACAACTCAGGATCTAAGCCTCGAGTTTGATCCGAGTATTCCAAGCGTTCTCCCACCGGCCGAGGAGACTCTGTCTTCAAAGCCTTCAGCAAAACCAATCAACGAGACTCGGCTGCGCCATCTTACCGTGGCCAGTACAATACTCACGCTCATGTGGGAAACGAGGAAATTCCTACGCCATTACTGGAGCCTCGATCGCGGCAAACCCGGTGCCAAATTGACGCTGAAAGAGCTCAACAGCCGGCCAACCAAAGCTACATTCAGCACTCCCGACAAGCACCTGCAACGAATCGCAGAGATCGTGTCTTCGCTCGACGACACTGACGCCATGCTCGCGCGGTGCAAGGTCTTTGCTGACCTAATGTCCCACGACGACGAAGCCAAGAACAAGTCAGACGATGATGAGGACGGGCCGCTAGATAGGGCAGCAGATGGCTATGACACCCCTACCGGCAGCGGAGACGAGGACAACGCAAGCAATCCGCCCAGTGGCAGTGGGAGGGGCCGCAAGAGGAAGAATTCATTCCCTATTGCAGGAACGCCGAGGAAGAGAAAGACCGGTGGGACCGGAAAGCCGAGGGGACGACAGCGGAAGTCTAGGGGTGGGTCAGGGAGCACACCTGACGCAGATGACGGGTGGGATTGAGTTGGAGTTTTCGATGTTTCCATCTTAAACCGCCGTGAAACCGGCAAATCGATCGGAGATCGATACGCGGAGTGGAGTCTACGGCGGCAACTTTCATGGTTTGGGCATTTTCGGAAAATGGGAGATACCCCCTCTTGCATTTATGCTTTATGGTTTGCAGCGTGTCGACTCGGCGTAGTCGACGTTCTTAGATGCGTTCCTTTTCTTTCTTCTCTGTCCCGCTTGGGCTGGCATATCTTGCCTTGCTGGCCGGCTCGGGGATTTACTCTGGCCTCTCTCGAGATGAGGCGGAATGCATGAGGCCTGAGCGGATGGGATATCCGCTGCTCAAGGTACGAAGTACTGGCTTTTTTTTCATCGAGCTTCACTCGCCGCAGGTCTCTCCATAGATCGCGGGTACATACTGTAAAACAGATTCAGAATTGATCAGCCACACATAGTCAGCGGAATCTCGCATATACATCCAGATCAATCTGCCCAAGACCCTTTCGCTGAAGTGGTATTCAAATTAAGTATAGTGCAAGTATAGACCCCAAACGCCTCGCTCTAAAATTACACCCCATCTTGCCTATCACCTCCCTTGCCCTTGATACTCTGGATCAACTTTACTCTGCTTGAACAAGCTCTTCCCCTTCAACCACTGCCGATACGCCTTGTACCTCTTCTTCCCGCCATCATCCTCATTCACATCAAGCGGATTCTCCGACACCTTCAAAAACTCATCATAGAACCCCACATCCTCCTCACTGATATCCCATCGCGCCCCAGCTCCATCAGCACTATCCTTTTCCGGCGCCGACAGACTCAGATACTCGAGGAAATCGAGCGCAATGGGGTCCGAGGCGGAGGGCGTCTCGGCCGACACGACGAGCGGCAGGTTGAGCGGGTGCGAGATGTACTCCGCGTACTCCGCCGCTTCGGCGGCCGTGACGGAGGGGTTGAGCGAGTTGGAGTGGAACTGGTCGAGCGTCCACTGCGTCATGAGGTTCTTGTCGGCGGGCTTGAAGGGTGGGTTCGAGGAAGAGAAGGAGGTGGTTTGGGAGGAGTGCGGGGTTGAGAGGAGCCGGGTTTCGAAGTGCGGGTCGCGCAGGATGCTGCCTTTGATGGGAGAGCCGCTTTCGAAGCGGCCGCCGGACGAGAGGCGCGCCTGGTTGCGGCGGGCGGCGATGCTGAGGACGCGGGTTTCGGTTTCGCTGGAGGGGTCGAGGATGGTGACGCCTTTTCGAGGGGGCTTCTTCTCGGGGGAGTCGGTCTCGTGTGGAGATTTGCGCGGGCGGAAGGGTGAGAGGTCGTAGTCTCGAGATTGGAGGGATTTGTCGGGTAGGTAGCGTGCTGGCGAGTTGAGGCAGAAGGAGTAGATCTTGAGGAAAGACGATATCGCGAGTGGACGGTAGTATTCCAGCCAGTAATCGTCGTACAAACCGACACCCTTTTTGATGAGCTCGCTGTTGGGTCCAGATGAAGAAGGAAGGGAGTGTTGCTCTAGAAACTCAGGCGTGAACCATTCTATGTAGTCCCGGCGGCTTTTACCTAGCCATGCCCGAGGATCTGCATGATGAAGATAGTAGTCTGTTGTCAAATCCCACAGCATCGGCTGGCCTATAGTAAAGATGTAGTTTCCGAGAAAGAGGTTGTAAGCCTCCTGTCGTTGTGAGTCTAGGAAGGAATTGTGGTAGTAGCGCTTGAAGCTCTCCACCATATCTCTCGAGTGACTTTGCCACTGATTGATTTTCCGATACGTAGCCATCGTATTTACGAGGTGGGAGCCGCCGTACTGGATGGCAATGGTGTCGCCGTGGTCGTGAAACCTTCACCCAATTAGTCTAACGGTCGACGCGCTGAGGTGTAACTTACATGTGGGTGAAGATATTGACTGCATCAGTATCATAGTCTACGGTGTTGCCAGCGATTATTCCAATTGCCTGGAGCTGTCTGCCCAGAGCTCGCTTTCCTATAACAAACTGAGCGGCATTTGTGCGGTCCAAACAGTCAATACAGTTTGTTCTCGCCACTCCATTCTGAACCTGAGGGGAGTCATATCTGCTATCGCCATTGTGAAAGAACCCTGTTCTTTGCAAGACGTTCTCTGCAATGGTCTCCAATGTCCCTATTACATCTTGGCCGCGCGTTTTAGAGGCTCTACTCATATCGAAGGCTTCGTACAGAATCTTCTTATCGGCTGGGAGAGATTGGTTGAGGTATTTTATCGCGTTCTCATACTCTCGTAAGAGTTTTGATTCGCGCGGAAGTCGCTCGCGTGACTTGATGAGATTCAAGACATATACAGGCGCTCCGTAGCGTTCGAAGAGGTTGTCAAAATGCAGCGCAGCGGCACTGTAGAAGGGATCTATGAGGTTCAGGTCGATATCAGGCTTTGGAGTCACCCCGGTGTTATCCTGCGTCCAGTACAGTGGAATACTCCCACGATGCTGAATGTACGAAGTGTAACTGGGGTTGGCATACAATCGGGGACCTGGCGCATGGAAAGAGGTGTTGAGGAGCTCCGACACGATCTGCTCGGTTTCTACATCATTGGCGACATATCCCAAATCATTCGTTCCGCGCTTCAAGAATCGAGCTCCGGCGAAAAACCTCGAGCGACGAGCGATAATAGTGATGTATACTCGTCGCCCAAACACGTCGATCGAGGACTGATCAATGAAGCCGTGAATAATGGGGAGACACCAATCATAGGTACTCTTCAGGGCAGCTCTAGCCGGTTCTAGAAGGTAGTGGTTCCAGACAAACATATCGTTGAAATCGTAAGTTTGATGGCTCAGCCCTTTGCTTAAACCTTCTCTTTCACGTATGATGTTTTGCTGGAGGCTCCTCGTGATGTTGTACGAGTAACTAAAGTAGAAGCCTCTCGTCAAATCAAGGTTGTTGAGAATGCTCAAAAACCTTGACTCCTCGGGATTCCTATCTTTTTGGAAACGCGAAGTAGAGCCAGTCGTCAGAGGTACCATTTCTGTGCCTCCAATTTGATAGACGTAGTGGCCTCCGATCATTGCCACTTGGGTTCTCTTCGTGATAAGAAGCATGTAATAAGCCTCAGTAAATCTGATAAAGCCTAGAAGGCCCCATGTACTGCACTTGAGCTTCATGCCACCTGAGCCTTTGTTTCCATCGTCAATTGCATTTAGGAGCTGGTTCATCTCCCTTTTGTCGTAGACAATGTCGTCTTCGAAGATGTTGAGGTGCCCGGGGTGTGCCGTACGGTCTATCTTAAGCACGCGGAAATGTTTGTCCATGACATCTCCGCCGACAAGGTAGAACCGAGTGCTGGTCTCGTAAAGAGAGAACCTGTGCATCTTGTTCACGCCCTCTTCGCCAACCTTCTCGTAGGCGGCTCCTTTGTTGCGTTGCATGAGAGTAGGGCTAGTGGACCTCTGGAAGGATTGTGGCTCAGCGGGCTCTTCTTCGTCACCTTCGAATTGCAAGGATTCGTCATTCTGCGGCGTCACTGCTGCTAGCTCCGGCTCCAGCGGGCTTTCGCGGAAATCGTTGACTGGCGGATCGCTGCTGAGGCCAGTGATGCCTTTTGGGAGAATAAGCTCGTCGATGAGGGTTTCGGCATCTTCATCAAGGGCATCTTCCTGAGACCGCTCTGGCGGGTCTGAATTTGACGACGCTGGCGCAGGTCGCCGCTCAGAATTTGCCCGTTCACTCATGTCGAGCTGTCTGCCAAGATGATCGGTTAAGACGTCTCGTTGACAGTGTCAGGGGAAAGCAGCTTTGTTGCCGCGATGGTTCGTTCATATCAGTTGCATCTGCTGATGGAGATGGTCTTGCAGGGTTGACGTCAGTCTCAAGCTGACCATGATAGACTATCGCAGGAAACAAAGAAGCTCCAGAGCCCAGTGCAGGATACGAAGGGCTGCAGAAATCTAGTCACCGTTGGTAGCAAACGAGCAGCTGTGATGAAGGAATGGGGAAACACATAGCAGCAACGCCTGCTAAAAGTCGGGGAACGTTGAGTCGCTCTAGCGTAACTATTTCGGGACTAGCAGAACAGCTCACAGAAACCGTCTCATCTCCCCATGCCTGTATTTCGTTTTACCTCTTAGTATTCATTCCGTTAGACCTTGCTCACTTGCTCACCCACCTAGAGAAGACGCCTGGACGCTATGTCCCTGGGTGCGATAACTATATTACACAGTAGGCCTTCGATGTGCCGATAGGGGGTCCTTTTCGTCTTGCATGTTTTCACCATCTCACAGCAAATCGGATAATGGAGTATATTTCATAACGTGAGCTGCTACAATGCTGCCACGCACATGTGTTTGCCGCTGATTCGAGCGCCTCTTTGGATTTCAGGAGTCCATATACAAAGGTAAGGCACAAGTGGATCTTGTTGCCAGTTCTGATCTCTCGCTGTGCCACGACAGACGATGCTGTCACTAATGCTTTGTTCTGCGAAAAGCTCGTGTCTCCATAGGGCGTTACATATACAGCTCGTAGCGTCGATTCCTCCATCCCATAGGGTAATCCATGCCAAGGACTGGGACGGTCGAAATAAGCTCTGCAAGAACCATGGTACGATATGTGACACATTCAATTCTCGCACGCACAGGCACATTCTCCAATGCTACTCTAAAGTCTTTGCTCACTCGTATCTACGATGCATCATGAACATTCAAGTATGGCGCCTGACGATGGCCATATTCCAGGCCTTCCACAAGAGCTTTGGGATATCGTGGTCAGAGGACTGTCACCGCAGGATATCAAGAGCCTTCGCCTAACCTCCAAGGCTTTCAACTACACCACATCGCCCTACTTGTTCACTCGAGTCTGCCTATCATCACATCCACTGGACCTCGATATATTCACCCGGATCGCAAAGCACCCAGCTTTCCATCAGAACGTACAAGAGCTCATTTGGGACGACTCGACTTTCCGTCCCGACATTGTGCGATGTAGGCAACGAGACAAGAATGGGACAAGCTTCTGGAAGCCGATAGCGGAAAAACACCTTAAAATACGGGAACTCAACTGGGACAAATCGGCTCTTGAGCTCGCCCTCTCGCGTGGTCGATTCCCAAAGCTCACAAAGGTTACATATGCCCTGATAGCCTTCCGCAAAGACCTCATAAAAATTTTCGACCCCAAAACGACTCGTTTTCCGACACCGACATGGCGCTTGTGGTACGAGCAATATTATTCGCCTGTTGGAGAAGCCTTCAACCCAGCGCCCGACTTCCACGTAGGCTCATGGCCCTCTGATATTGATCACCGGACGTTTGAAGCGCATCGCGGCCTCAGAATACTCCGTGGGTGTTTCGAACGCTCGGGGCGGTCCGTCCCTACCTTATCACTGGACCTTGGCGGCTACAGGCACCAAGGACCAACCTTATTCCCTACCCTGTTCTGCGTAGGAGACAATAAATTCCATCACTTGGTAGATTTTGGCAAACACATCCGACAATTCAACATCAAGTTCAGCAATGGACAGGCCGTTTTCAAGACTCAGGGCCGCCATCTTTTCTACACGCTCAATACTATGCAAAACCTCGAGAAAGTTACCATCGAAACCCCCTGGGGCGACACCACAGTCCCTGGGCTTAAAGATGCGTTGCTGAGCGATTTGAGGCTGCCGAAGCTACACGCGTTCGCGCTAGATGGGCTTGAACTCCAGCATTCTGACCTGTTGAAGTTCCTAGCTCTTCATAAGGATACCCTTGGCTGGCTGTTTCTGAAAAATTGCACTATGTCTCAATCGACCGAACATTCAAAAGTCTGGGCCAGTGTTACCAATCACCTCCGACAGAAACAATTCCTGTACGAGGCCTGCCGTTTCGACGAATGTTATGAGCAGTGTCCGATTTATTCTTTCGACCCCTTCCCCTTGAGTAGGCGTCGATGGGCTCGCGATAACGCCGGAAAGTATACTACCGGTCCGCTCGAGGATTTCGAACGGTGGGCCTTTGCAGAGAACCTACAAAGGTATAGAACTGGAGGACGCGGGAAGGACGAGCGGTACATTACGGGGCCTGAAGGGGCCTAGCAAGTTGTTGTTGGATCGTGCGATATCGAAAACATACATGTCTGTAGACACAAATCTTATATCTGAACCAAGACTGCTCAAGTGTAATAAGGCACCTTAAACAATAATGGACAAAAATACAAAGATTTACAACGAAGCGTCTTCCTTACTTTCCCCACCAACCTCTCCGTTAATCATTTTCCGATTCCATTCCTTCTCCATTGCCTCCACTCTCTCCCACCCATTCTTATCCCCCTCTTTTTCCCCTTCCCCAATCTTCCTATCCCCACCACCCTTACCCCGGCCTTCTCTCCTCCTCCTCCCAAACTCCGCCGCCATCCCTGCCAACCCTTTCGCCCTCTCCCTATTAACCGCCACCTCCCCCTTCCCAAACAGCTCATCTCTCTCCTTCTTCCAGACGACATACGGCCTCTTCTCCACATCCGTTACCACATTCCCCGACGCACTAGTCAGCGACCCAGACCCCGGCACCACAACCTCATACTCACAAAAACCCCAAATACGGAGCTGTTTCTCAAACCCTATGTTCGGGGTAATGAGCGGTCGGGACTCGCGCGCTAGTGAGAGGGCCTCGGAGTACGGGAGGCGAAGCGAGCGCATGAGGTAGGCGACACAAAGCGCGCCGGAGCGGGAGATGCCTTGGGTGCAGTGGACCAAGACGCCGGGTCGTGTTCTAGATGACTCCGTGCCTTTTTCACTGCTCGTATTTTCGTCTTCGGCCTCTTCGAGGGCGACTTGGATCCAGTCGCAGGCGCTTTGGAGGTGGAAGAGGATGTCGGCGAGGGGGTCGTCGTCGATGTCTATGCAGCAGTGGGTGATGCCCTGGTCGGGTGCGTATTTGGGCGTGTCTTCGGGGCGGGTGATGGAGAGGACGTGGGTGATGTTGTGGGATTTGAGGATGGAGATGGAGCGGGCGGCGAAGCGGCTGGGGGTATGAGTCTATTGTAGCAGGCGAGGGGATAGGGTTTGATGAGGAGGAAAGGGAATTTGAGAGCTTACTCGGATACAAACAGACCTGGGACGGCTTTGATTTCGGAAGCTTGGAGCGATTCCATTATAGCACAGCGGGAAGTGAATTAGATATAGATTTTTATCGTAATGAAATTTGTATCTTTGATCGATAACGATTTAAAGCTAGTCAAAGGTCCATCGACTATTGAGGGTACCCTTGTACTTGTGCTGCTGCTTTACTTCGCTGCCTGGATACCGCAACGTCAGCTAGCTAGGTAACACTTAAAGTAAGGTCTCACATCGTGCACGTGGCGCTGCTAGCAATTGTGGCTTTGCAGAAACGCCACAGATTTGGCAGTTCAGTCAGCGAGTGCTAAAAAAGGACATATGATTAGAATGGAAATGTCAGCACGACAAGTGCTATTCCATCGCGGTTCGTAGACTTTTTAGAGATGCCATTTGAAAAGACCAAGATCGAAGCCAAAAGAACAAGATCCAAGGGTATTTCCACTGCGCTTGCCCACATATAACAAACGTGAAATGAGCTCCGCCTCCTACACTACATCATTACTCTTCATCGCGGGACTATTCCATCGCCATTCCATGAGGACCACATTACCATAGCGCCCAATCCCAGAATGGATTATCCTGGCAGCTCGCTCGCTGTTTTGTCGCAAACCCACAGGTTCTTTTACCAAGTAGTCCCCTGACCGAGGTAAGCTCCTGCATCAAGCGCAGGAACACTGAATCCATAGCCTTCCGTATGGCCTTCCTTATCATTCGGGGTGATCTCTACTCTGATAGTGACGTCGAGCCCATATGCACCGCAAAGGCCCGTTGGTTGTAGTCCAGTGGCCGCAGGATGGAATGTGCCAGCACCATTCTCACCGGCATGCATCGGTTTGCGAGCGTTGGCCTTCACATCAAGCACAGCGGACACTGGAGCTCCGTGAACAAGTTCCTGTGTCCCTTCCACCGGCGCCGGCGCGTCACCGTTGGTAGCAGTCGTAGGCGCGGGAGCTGGTACGGCGGCAGCTACAGTTGCGGGATCCTCTTGCGACTCGGCGATGATGGCGTAATTGCGCGAAGGCATGGTCGCATGGTTCTTGTCGGATGTCTTCTTCGGAATCTTTCCATTCGTGCCGGTGCGGTTGCCGTTGCCATTCCCATTAATGACCTCTGCGCCTGGTTTGTGGCCTGGGTCATGGTCAAAGAGTTCAAGCAGCGTCTCGTCGGTGTCATGATCAAGATGGTGGATCTTGTTCCTGGAGGCCAGTAAATTAGCAACAGCTTGCGGCGGTGGCTTGTTGGTGATGGCCGAGCTAATAACATTAGGCATATAGCGGAAATCACGTTCGGCTGGGATTCCAAGCTTTGCATTAGAGTAGAAGCGCCCGATGGCGGCAAGATGAACATCACCACCGAGAATAGTGATACGGACAGAGTGTTTCTTGGCAAGGTCCTGAAGTTGGAGAATCAACTCTTTTCGCTCATGTTTGTGCTGATGTGCCGTGTAATGGTCGTCCAAGTCATCAAGTAGATCCACGTTGCCATCGAACTTGTTGAAGACTCCTCCGGCGAATCCAAAACGCTTGTTCAAGAATTTGATCGGCGCAATGATAGGAGAGGAGAAGATATTCTCCAGCCACTGGAGACGTGGATATGCGATGGGAACGCCAAGGAGGAGGATTAGGTGCTTAATCTCCTTATTAGCTGCAAACTCCGCGCTAAGCCGATCGAATATTTGCTTATAGGTCTCTGGGTAGTTGATCTGATGTCTGGTGCGCTCGGTACGCGCGTCAATACCACAGAAAGCGATTCGTGCACCTAATTGGCAGTAGAGGTTCCGGCTTCGCTCTTCAACATACGGCCCAGGCATGCTACCAATGATATAGGAAGGGTCCTCCTTGTCATCTGTCTTCACGAAAGTATCCTTCATTTGGATGGGATCTTCTGGAGTACCATCCAGTCCTACTTTCATTGTGTTTGGAGCATCTGTCGTGAAAGTACTCTTCGGGGGCGGGATGTGGTGCTGGAACAGGAGATAATACTTGTGTGCTACACCACCGATGCCCCTGAAGACTGCACATCTCATGAAGCGATCAGTATATGAGCCGAAGCCATCGATGATGTCGTGATCGTCCCAGATATTGAGTTGGGGAATTTGGGCGTTTGCGTCGGAGAATGGTTTGGTGCCGTACCACCCTATATAGTTGTTGAAGTAATAGTCGTCGCATTCGGCACGCAACTGTTCATTGAAAGGGTATCCGCGACGCTTGTGCGGGTTCCCAATGTCTGTCCAGGCACGCAAAGGGCCATCTACTCGTACTCCATCGTTGTATATTTGATCGCCGCCACCAATCATAACGTGGAATGGTTTTTGCTGATGCATCCGGAGGACGTCATTCCAAAGCGCGGGACCTGACCAAGCATCAACGTTAGTTCCAACGCTGAAGCCATTGCAGGAATGGAAGAGGATGCGCATCGATTGCGCAATTGATGGGACCACGAAGGTGTTGGGTCCACCTTTCCGCTCTCCGGATGAACGCGTAGTACTCGCGATGCTATACTCCCATTTGGCCTCGAAGTTCTGGAATGGCACGTCAATTAAGAAGCGCCAGAACGTCTTTCTCGGGTCCTCGTATAGCTTTGTACCCGGGATAGATCCAGACCCCGTCACTGATGCAGAGCCATTCGTCTGGCTAGCTACAGCGGGGCCGAGACATCGCAAGGTGAGCTCTGGATGATGTTGCCCCGGTGTGGTGACAATGAGAATACTCCCATGCCATGTTGGAGCCTGAGAGGCTGCGTTGCTCATTCGCTTGTAGTTCAACAACGGTCCACAGAGGACCTCGAACTCATCCGAAGTGCCAGCTCCCACGCTGTGTATGCCATTCTGCGGAGTCTGCGGGACGGTTCCCTGTGTCGATACATTTGGGGGAGTAGGATGGTGAAGGTGAAGGCCGCGCTGCTCGGGGGTCTCGTTTTCCTGATGATGGAACCGGTCCTTCTCTCGTGCGTGGTCCATATTACAGATAGGGAGAGAATTGGGTCGTAGAAAAGGCTGAGTGGGGGCTGAATCTCCAGCTACAGCTCGAGGTTCTGTTGTTTATAGTGGTGTTTGGGGTCAGCGCAACGCTATTGTGAGGGCAATGTTGCGAGAGTGTCGAAGGGACGCGGGAGAAGTAGAGGGAATGTGGAGAAGAATGCGGCGGATGCGACGGCAGCGCGTGTGGCTCTAAAATGAGCGTGGAGATTTGACTGGGCGCAAGAAAGCACATGGGCGACACTTCAGGGCAGCGGAGGCTGGGGCGGACAGCCTCTGCCAAGCACAGCCAAGGGGCACTAAGGAGCTTGAGCGATGAGGATGACATCGTCGGATATGGGCTGTTTCACAGTGGCGGTGCGGCTTTAGCATGCCTATCGCGATCATCGCAGCGTGCATTCGGTGAGGATGCGACCCAAAACATCACACGAAGCCATGCGAACCCGCGGAGAGTCGCTTCGAGTGGCTAGCCCGAGTACACCCTTGACTCCCTGAGCTCGTCTCCCGCAACACCATCGCGGGCCAAGCTCGACGGGGCAGATCCGCACGGGGTGGCTGGGGCTAGGGTCTATGGCAGTGCAGTGGCGCGGCACGACATTCCGAGTTGCAACTCTTCCGGCTGTTTATGCTCATTCAAATCATACCCACCAGTTTCGTCGACTTCTCAAAATGCTCCAACGACTATCAACCTCTCCAGCCATGATTCTTGCATCGGCGACGGCCCCTCAGAGTCGCTCCTGGAGACTGCCATAACACCCGGGAGCTATGCCAATATCGTGCCTCTCCGCGAGCAGCTGAAAGGCATGCTCTTCCGAGCTGAGATGCGTGAGATGTAAGCTTTCTCGATGCTTCTAGCCGCGTGTGGCATAAGGGCTGACTGCCTATCCTCGACGCAGATGTCCTCCGTATCCAACGACGACAAGACAAAGATAGCCAAGCAAAAACACGTGTTGACACGAGCCCTTGTGCTCTGGGGGGAGACTTATGGCTCACACAAGAAACACAGCTTTCTGGCATTGAAGAAGGGTGAATTTGATGCAATGCCAGAATGTCACGTGCCACTGGCTCTTCGGTCCATTGTTCGAAGTCTGATTTACACATGACATTGCAACTTTGGAACGAGCTGACGAATTAATGATATAACTATCCCTTTTCCACCTGATCAGCCCCATAAACGTGATTAGTATTGAAGTCCTGATGAACAACCTTGGAAACGACAAATGAACAGAGAGGCAGAGAAGAAAGCACCGCGACTTTTTGCGCCTCCCTATGCATGTAGAAGGAACGTCAACGGAATCGAGACTCAGACGGATGCTTCGAGAAGCATTGGATTTGTTACCTAGGGAGCTGTACCTAATGATTACTGTCACCGACTCACGTGTGACTCTGAAACGTGACCTGTCGTTAGATTAGTTCTGTACCTGGTCGTGTAGTTTGTTAGAGGTGTTTCGCCATCTAGCATTTATTTCAAGAAAGGCTGAAGTCATAGGGTGACAGGCAGCGAGTGTTGTAGCCTACCCTAAGCAGCGCCAGGCCACCAGAAGAAGTGGGATGTCGATTTAGCGCTGTTTTAGCTGTTTCGAGCTCCATCGACTTTCGTTCCAACACATCAGTCAGCTGCCGTACTTCACACTCGCCGCTCCGCTGCTCCCGCCTGCTCCTTCACTGCTCTGCCCTCTCTGCTTGCCTGCATCTAACTCAACACCTCATAGACTCCTGTTAGCAGCTCCGTGTGCCCCGCACTTCGTCCCCTCAACGTAACCTTCTCTCGCGCGCGCCGCCGTCCGTTAGCCACGATCTCCAGCTGTTCAACGCCCCGTGGGAGCAGGCAAGCTGGGGAAGAGAAGGATATCGAGTGAGGACCTTGGTCGTCCATTCAAGAAAGCCATGACAGTGCGTGTGCCCCTCGCTGTTCCCCAGTCTTCATCCTAGGGCTCCTGCCTTCGTGGACCTAGGCACCGAGCGTATATTATAAGCACATCTTAGCTCGCAGAGGTTCCCTCCTCTACGGACACATTTCTCAAGTTCGCACACATACTCCATCATGGCCAGCCCACTGACAAGTTTGAAATTATTGCAGGACTCCATCATGCAGGTCGACAGCCCCGCTGCTGCCGCCGAGCAGCTAAGAGCTGCCGATGGAGAGATCGATGAGTCCCTCTACAGTAGACAGCTCTACGTGCTCGGACATGAGGCTATGAAGCGTATGGGATCCTCCAACATCCTCATCGCGGGGCTCCGAGGCCTCGGCGTCGAAATCGCCAAGAACATCGCACTGGCCGGCGTCAAGTCCCTAACCCTCTTCGATCCGAAACCCGCCACTATCGCCGACCTATCCTCTCAGTTCTTCCTGCACCCAGAGGACGTGGGCAAGCCTCGAGCCCAAGTCACAGTCCCCCGAGTTTCCGAGCTGAATCCATACACCCCCGTTCGAGAGCATACGGCGGCGGACCTTACATCGGATTTGAGTCTTCTGAAACAATACCAGGTCGTGGTTCTCACGGATACGCTTTTGCGAGACCAGATCAAGATTGCCGATTATTGTCACGACAATGGCATCTACGTTGTCATTACGGATATATTTGGGCTTTTTGGAACAATCTTCACAGATTTTGGCAAGAACTTCACCTGTGGAGACCCCACGGGCGAACAAGAGCTGAATGGAATTGTTGCCGACATCGATTCCGACGGGTTGGTGTCTGCGCTGGATGAAACTAGACATGGTCTTGAAGACGGCGATCACGTCACTTTTACTGAAGTGCAAGGCATGGAAGCTCTTAACGACTGTGCACCACGAAAGATTGAAGTCAAAGGACCATACACCTTCTCCATCGGCGATGTCTCAGGACTCGGAACATACAAGCGTGGAGGATTATACATCCAAAAGAAAATGCCAAAATTCATCGACTTCGAGCCTCTGAGCAAGCAGCTGGCCAAACCCGAATTACTTATTTCGGATTTCGCCAAGTTTGACCGACCTCAGCAACTTCATATCGGCATTCAGGCCCTGCATGCCTTCGCGGAAAAGCACAACGGAGAATTTCCGAGGCCCCACAACGAAGCGGATGCCTCAGAGGTCTTCAAGATTGCGTCAGGCTTAGCCGGTGAAGGAGAAGACAAGGTTGAGTTGGACGAGAAACTTCTAAAAGAGCTCAGCTATCAAGCCCGTGGCGACCTCACTCCTATGGCCGCTTTCTTTGGCGGTCTTGCGGCGCAAGAGGTGCTTAAATCCGTCTCCGGAAAGTTTCACCCCATCGTGCAATGGCTTTACTTCGACTCCCTCGAATCTCTGCCTGAATCTACCCCGCGCTCTGAGGAAAACTGCAAACCACTTGGAACTCGTTACGACGGCCAGATTGCAGTCTTCGGTAAAGACTACCAGACCAAGTTGTCAAATGTCAAGCAATTCTTAGTTGGAGCCGGCGCGATTGGTTGTGAGATGCTAAAGAACTGGGCTATGATGGGGCTCGCCGCAGGCCCAGAAGGCAGGATATCCGTAACGGATAATGACAATATCGAAAAGAGCAATCTGAACCGACAATTCCTCTTCAGGCCTAAGGATGTCGGCAAGCTGAAGAGCGACTGCGCAGCTGAAGCAGTACAGGCGATGAACCCAGATCTGAAAGGGAAAATAGTGACTATGCAGGATAAAGTGGGACAAGAAACCGAGCACGTTTTCAACGAGGATTTCTGGGAAGAGCTTGACGCGATTACAAACGCATTGGACAATGTTGAAGCCCGCACCTATGTTGATCGACGATGTGTCTTCTTCCGGAAGCCCCTGTTGGACAGCGGCACACTCGGGACCAAAGGCAACACCCAAGTTGTCCTACCCAATATCACGGAGTCGTATTCATCGTCACAGGATCCTCCAGAGCAATCGTTCCCGATGTGTACGCTTCGAAGCTTCCCTAATCGCATCGAACATACCATCGCATGGGCCAAGGACCTCTTCCACACATTCTTCGTTCAGCCGGCGGAAGTGGTCAACCTATACCTTACGCAACCCGGTTATCTTCAGTCTTCTCTTAAACAATCAGGGAACGAGAAGCAGACTCTAGAGACGCTTCGAGATTTCTTGGTTGTTGACAAGCCACTGACCTTTGATGACTGCATCATATGGGCACGGATGCAATTTGAAAAGCAGTACAATAATGCCATCCAACAGTTGCTTTACAACTTCCCCAAGGACTCCACCACGTCCTCTGGACAGCTGTTCTGGTCGGGACCGAAGCGAGCCCCTGACGCACTGAAGTTCGACCCCTCGAACCCTACGCATTTCTTGTTCGTCGAAGCCGCCGCCAATCTCCATGCTTTCAATTACAATATCAAAGCAAACAATGTCAGCAAACAAACATACCTGGATGTTCTCGATGACATGATTATCCCAGACTTCAAGCCGGACCCCGGCGTCAGGATTCAAGCTAGCGACAATGATCCGGATCCAAATGCCCAGCAGTCATCAGCCTTGGATGACGACAACCAAGAGTTGTCGAAGATTGCCAACACATTGCCCCCTCCAAAGTCGCTTGCTGGATATAAGCTCGAGCCAGTCGAGTTCGAGAAGGACGACGACACCAACCACCACATCGACTTCATAACAGCAGCTAGTAACCTGCGTGCCGAGAACTACAAGATTGTGCAGGCTGATCGACACAAGACCAAGTTCATTGCCGGAAAGATTATTCCAGCAATTGCAACCACCACTGCTCTTGTGACAGGTCTCGTCAACCTTGAGCTCTACAAGATTGTCGATGGGAAGACGGACATTGAGCAATACAAGAACGGGTTTATAAACTTGGCTCTTCCGTTCTTCGGCTTCAGCGAGCCAATTGCTAGCCCGAAGGGCACGTACACTGGGACCAACGGAGAGGTTCAAATCGACAAGTTGTGGGATCGCTTCGAGGTTGAGAATGTCACGCTGAAGCAGTTCGTGGATGACTTTAAGGCGAAGGGGCTCGATGTCCAAATGATCAGCTCCGGTGTCAGCCTGCTGTACGCTTCCTTCTACCCGCCGGCCAAGTTAAAGGATCGTCTAGTCCTCCCGTAAGTACACCTATGCGCTATCAAAAAAGAATAAATGCTAACCAAGAAACAGATTGAGCGAGCTCGTCGAGACCATTAGCAAGAAACCCATCCCCTCTCACCAGAAGAACGTCATTTTCGAAGTCACGGCAGAAGACACGACGGGCGAGGACGTAGAGATCCCCTATGTGATGATGAAGCTGCGGAAGTAGGAAGGGCTTTCGTGTTCATAGGTTGATCTGATTGGGAACCCCGTTGTGCGGGCTCTGACAGCAGCCTAGCTGCATAGATACAAAGGTAGTAGCACCGTTGCGTGCATGCATCAATGCTTGGAAATAGAATGAATACACGAAGGCACTGAACAATGAAAACCAGGGATTATGACCAATGATGACCGCCTCTGAAGAGAAACGTACCCTTGTACCAACAGCCTTTTGGCCTAACGCATCCGTGTCCTTGAGTATACCTGATCAGCAGCCTCGTGCGTATTCCGGCTAGCTTGTTCAGGAAGGCAATACCAAATCGTCCCAGAAATGCGGTCGCACTCTTTCTTCATCACTATGGGGCTTATAATCCATGATTGGAAACATTAGAAGTTATAATACATACGACCTTGAGTAGGTACCTGACGCGGCAAGCCCTTGCTCTCGTCACTTGCTTGCTAGGTATTCCTGTCTCATCATTCCCCAACGCCCGACCCGGCCCGCCCCCTGCGAAACGCCGGACGCAGATGTTCCGCACCTTCTAGCTTCGGAGAGCGATTGTTCTACCGAAAGGTCTGGCGTCACCGGTGGATCTCTGGGAACGCGCCGAAACGAGGGGGGAGCGTGCGAGCTGGTGGGAGGGATGCAGGGATGGGTGGGTGGCTAGTGTTTGATCTTTTTGCTGAGTGTGGAGCGGATGGTGGGTTTAGTAGGGAAATGCGGCGGTTGGCGATATGGGAGGTGAAACAGACGCACGTAGAGAGTCGTCTTATTCTGGGTATCTGGGGGAGCGGTACGGCCAGGGCCCTCAAGTCGACTGATGATTACATGGGTTCCATCAGTATTCTTAGAAGGGGAAATTTGCGAGTTCCGAGGCTCGAGGCTCGCGAGTATGTAAATTTAGAAAGTCAAGCTGCATTGGGCAATTGGTCACCGGCGGGTACTAGAATATGTCTGCAGATTTTTTTTTAACTGAGTTTTCCCGTTTACTGCATATTGCGCCGATGCAAGACGAGACAATTATGCCGGGATCATTTTGAGTTTCGGAGGACGCCAGGGAATCTGCAGGCATGCATGAGTGCACAAGCATGGGTGGTGCTCTTGCGGCAGAGCACATGGAGAATGTAACGGTTTGCTTTAAGCCCGGAGAACACCGAGGACAGAACGGATCTGACCGACTTCGATTCGAATGCTGGATGGGTATCACAATGGTTCGAGAAGCTAGTCTATCTACAATACGCCGAACCCCCTACTCCTAGAGCGCCGCACTATCTCTGCCTTTTGACCCAGTAGCTCCGTGAAGTGAGCGGTTCATAATCCCATAATTGCCTGCAGTGTGAAAGGCTGTCATGAGACCTGTTTCGCCTTGACTACAACCTCTTCCTTTTCATGCGACTGTTTTGGCAGCGGGGGATACCCCATGTCATCGCTTGCCTGCTCGCTCCTAACTGACACGTCTCGTTGCACCGTGATGCCACGCAGGATGTGATCTTGGCTTTCGGTTTTCCTGAGCTCGTGGTGATGTCCCTCTCGAGCGCCTAACCCCACTGTTGTGATACTCTGGCCCAACATCTTGCCGTCGTGGTTTCGCCTCGAGTCCATGTTTTCGAGCCCGTACTCGGAGAGTCTCTGGCTACCGGCTCCAGGCGTTCTTCGCGAATTGCTACCGTATCCGTATCCGTAGCGCGAGCTCTTGCTCTTGCCCACAGACGAGAGCAGGCCTGGGAAGCACGCAGACGCTGCTTTGCGGAGGCTGATCAGGCAGGCGCATATTAGGCCCACGGCGGTCTCGATGAATGACCATAGGTTCGTTGTACATGAGTCCCACGGTACATCGACGGCGTGCGTGGACTGTACGAGCGCCTTCATGCGGATGGCCGTTGTGATGCAGACGAAGAGACCAAGCGTGAATAGAATCATCAAGCCGACTTTCTTGGCCAGCGTCATTTGTAGACGTCCAATCACAGGCAGCGGAAGAGTGAAGACGAATATGTCGCTCAGAAGATCTGGTTGGGAGTTAGTCTTCACAATCGAGAGTAGAAGATCAAGCAACTCACTAAAGGCGGCCCAAGTCCATCTAGGAACGAAATTAGCAGTGTGTCCTGGTGACGGCCAATGCGAATGACTTACCGAAACCAGCTGTTGTTTACGCAATGGCCTGGTACATTTGTCTTGTTCCATGACTTGCGGATCGGCGTGCATTGGAAGATCGTCGCAATGACGAAAGCAAAGCTGCCCAGTAAAATAACGGCCAGTGTCGCCCGACATATCTTGCGGAACAACGGAATCGAGAACACTCTGAGATAGAGTAGCAAGAAAGCTAGCTTGTTGAATGTGATGTTCACTTTGTAGAAGAGCTGTGAGAGGTAATAGTACTGCACCAGTGAGTTAGTGGCGCCCTTACGCATGTCCTAGCTCATTCACTGACCTTTAACGCAACGTGAAGGTCCCCACCCATCTTCGGAATATCTTTAGTATGATGGCCAAAGCCATAGTGCGCAGCTGGATAAAAGGTCAGCATGGGAGGCTAGAGGTGTGACCAGACTTGATCAACTAATCAGTGCGAGATAGAGAAGCTCTGAGCATACCTAGGTTTAGAATTATGCAGAAACCAATCAAGACAGCCTGGACTTGGTCAGTCTTGTTGCAAAATCGAGGTTACAGTGAATTTCTCACATTGGAGCAGATGACCATTGCCTCTTCAAGGCCTAGAAACCCTCTGTGTCGCCATACGGTGAACATGCGGGCTGCGACGAGAACCGTTGCAATTACGGTCAGAGCAATGGGCACAGCCCGCAGATATTTGTCTTGCCCAGGGAAAGCGTCCATTGCATTGAAGAGAAAGAAGTGAACGAGTGAAGAGGGGCGCAAAGGGAGGAATGAGAGATGTTAAAGGATGTGCCCGTATCGACACAAGCTCAGTTCCTGGCCGCGTGAGAGGGTCCCGACGGCACGTTCTTGGATTGTCACGGTGCAGATCGCGACGCCAGTATGCACATGCATTACAGAATACGACCGGCAACAAATTCCTTCCGGCCATAGAGGGACCAGTTCTCAGGGACAGTCAGCGGTACCAGGGGGGTCAAAGACGCAGCGCTGCGCGTGCCAAACGCACGAAGGGTCGACAGGTGCTGTAGGGTAATATCCGAGTGGTGCAATCGGACGTGCTGGTTGGGTGTCGTGTATCGTGAGGCAAGGGAGGCAGCCAGCCCCTCACGCTCCGATCTTGATGCGGAAGCCGATTAGATTGGGGATCAGCGTGAATACACAACTTTTCCGTCCAGTGAATCCTCTCGGGTCGCGCTAGCAGCGATTACAGGCCACAGGGAGCAGGTTGTCGTGTCGTCTGCATCACCGTGGACGACATGATTGGCACCTACAGTTCCCCCCCTGTACGGATTGGACACGATCGTGCGTAGAACAAGGGATTTTACATACAAAAACCCTTGTTTTGCGCACGGTCGTGTCCAGTCCGTACGGGGGGGATACTGTAGCAGACGTCCCCGGTACAGCCACACAACCACATGGGAAGTCGAGAGAGCGTCTTTGATCGGCACCGCAGGTTCAGCGTGCGGTTGGCAGTCGATCGGGCCTCAAAGGGGATGGGACGGGTTCGGTCTTGCTGCCGTGTGCGCGACTGTACAGCTTCTAGCGTCTTCTCGACGCGGGTGGATCATGATGGGGATGTGTGGAGGAATGCTGCGGGACGTCAGAGAGTCGTGCCAGGGCGCAGAGCGCTCCTCGGCTCCTGCGCGCGTGGCGTGTCCGTCTGGAAGCATCCTCTGGGATCCGGCTCCCGTGTGGCGGATATATTGGACGGGGGGGAGCTGTGTTGGCGGAGGCAAGGCACACGGCAGTCACCATCCGCCCAGGGGACGCCCAAGGGCCGTCAATCTCTGCAGCGATCCATGCGCGATCCATACGAGATCCGGACAGGGAGTGAACGAGCCGGCAGCCGTCTCGCTCCCGTTGGCTAGCGATGGACGCCATGCCAGACGCGGTCTAGGCCGCGGTACGCCCTGCCCCTGGAGCCGACCTTAATCCTACGCCAGCTCCGCGGACTCCCTCGCCGGACCCCATCGCAACCATCTGCCCATCCCGCTCCGCCATCTCATCCCGGCCCCACCGCGCTGTCGGGACGGCCCAGGGTCCTCTGGCGTCTGGAGCGTCGCATCGCGCGTTGGGATTGGTATCAGGCCATGGCCGATCCCTATATCCTCCCAATCTTAGCCTCCATTCAGCCTGCAGCATGCCCTTACTGACGAGCCCGGCCGCCTGGGTGGCTTCGACAGCAGCGTTCCCTGTGCAACCAGTTTGCTGCCGCTGGTGAGTAGGCAGCTCGCCTAGGTGGCTCGCCCAGATAACAGCCCTGAAATGTCTCGAATGGCGTCTGTCGCTGTCCCCTTGCTGTTCCCCTTGCTGTCCCCGTTGCTGTCCCACTGTCCCCGTTCTTTTGGCTCTTTGCTCCAGTCTTATAGCTGTGACACTTGCCTTTTATCATCCTTCACTTTGCCCGGCTCGGACCCATCTACTGGAGCAGCCCCCAATCGTTCCCTCAATCCACTTACTCACTTCAACATGGCTGCAGAGAAGGACTACGGGAAGGATGTCGAGGTCACGGCTGGGTCGTACTCTGGCTCTGAGAGCCCGACTACCTCCCACCCGCCCCTGGACCCGCAAGTGGAGAAGCGGATCGTGAGAAAGCTCGACATGAAGGTCATCCCGATCTTGTGGATCCTCTACCTCGTGTCCTTTGTCGATCGAGGAAACATAGGTAATGATCATCCTAGAGTATTGATGGCGTCAAGAGCTCACACACTATTGTGCTTTATCAGGCAATGCCAAAATTCAAGGCATGGACAAGGAGCTCAAGCTTGAGGGGCAGATGTTCAACATTGCTGTCATCGTATTCAACATTGGCTATGTCACGGCCGGAATTCCTCTCAGCATTGTCTTCCGGAAGACCGGCCCAAAGTCGCTCGCCGTCATGATGTTCCTTTGGGGTGAGCACGCTCGTCGATATTGCCATCTACTTTTTTGCTGACATCGCTGGCAGGCCTGACCGTCATTGGCCAAGGGTTGACAAAGAGCTACGCAGGCCTGGTGGTTTGTAGGACCCTGGAAGGTATCGCTGAGGCCGCTTTCGTTCCTGGCGCAGCCTACCTCATTGGATCCTACTACAAGAAAAATGAGTTCCTCAAGCGCTACGTCATATTCTTCAGCGCTGGAATCTTTGCAGGCGCCATTAATGGGGTACGAGTCAATGCCGCAAAGCACCGTTAGCATGCTGATCATTCAATAGTTCCTCGCGTATCTGTTCGTGAAGATGGATGGCGTCGGTGGTTACTCCGGCTGGCGATGGTAAGTGCTAATACCATGGCGCCCGTTCGCACTCCGATCTAATTTCCCATAACAGGATCTTCATCATGGAAGGGCTGGTTACTGTCCTCGTCAGCTTCGCTTGCATTTTCTTCATCGTGCCCTTCCCTGAGCAGTCAACATTCTTGGCTCCTGAAGAGAAGGAGATTCTTCTGGCCCGGCTTAAGGCAGATGGCGGTGCTGTGGAACACGACAAACTTACGGTAGGACGTGCTCTAGGATTCTTCAAGGACTGGAAGATCTGGGCGGCGTAAGTTTCTAGCACCCCTTGATTCAAACCTAACTAACATGATCAGCATCATCATCTATGTCGGTGCTGAAGAGAACGCAAACTCGATTGTCAACTTCCAACCCAGCATTCTTAAAGGCATCGGCTACACAGCCATCGAAGCCCAGACCCACACGATCCCTGTATATGTTACCGCAATGGCATTCTCCATCAGCTGCGCTGTCTTGAGCGAGTATCTGCGCCAGAGATATCTTTTCGCCATGGTCGGGTTCATCACACTTTGCATTGGCCTCGCCGTGGAGGTTGCTCAGTCAAAGGTTGCAGGCGTAAAGTACATGGGTATGTTCTTCATGACTTCCGGCGCATACCTAGTCATGCCCCTGGCTGTCGTTTGGATCGCCATAAATGTTGGAAAAGGCTACAAACGCACCGTCGCTTTGGGCGCTATTGTTGCCTTTGGTAACTGCGGGGCCTTTGTCGGTTCTAACGTTTTCCTTACTTCTGAGGCAAAGACTGGCTACCACACTGGGTTCAGCGTTGGCATGGCGTTCTGCTGCGCCGGCGCTCTCGCTTCGACTATCATGTATGTGGGTATGCGTTTAGGGAACAAAAAGCGAGACGAAGCGAGGAAAACGTTGCCCCCGGCGTTGGATGAGCTGAGTCTGGAGGACATGGGTGAGAAACATCCGGACTTCCGTTACTCTTTGTAAACGTATATGATACACGGAGGTTGGTCGAGTCTTTGCAGAGGAGCTGACATAAGGTCTGAGTTAAAGGTCTGAGTTACTACTAGAGGGCTATGTTCTATCAATTCAGTGTTATTGTCATGAAGCCGTCGCTGATGACTCAATTCACGATGTGCAGTTCTTTACGTCCTCTTTTTCAGCTTTCAGTTGGTGTATGAGGCCCTCGCAGCCTAGGTCGAGGAAGCTACGTTATCAATTACTGTGCCCATCTCCGGCCAAACATCCCCGACAAGTGCGGCCACATTCTTTAAACAGCCGATAACTCCAGCTACAGTACCAGCCAAATCATATCCTTCCATAGCCTCCAGTGACATCTTCAAGAAGAACACGCGTGTCCCCAACAAAACTAGATCATCTGCCAAGAAAAAGAATTTAAAATAGTCTCTGTTTCACGAATAGCATAATCTAACATAACAACTCGGCACTATTCCTGCTATTTTTCGAGCAGCTCTTCCAGTCACAGCTTCCGAGTTTCCACATAGTGCTCTATCGGTTCTTAATTGATCCAGGTGGGTTTCGCGAGTTTTCTTAGGGCGGCAACACACTCGAAAGAATGGTTCATTTCAAAGCACGTCAAAGCCAGTTTAAAACACGTCAGAGCACCATGGAAAGAGCTCCTATTTACGAATGGCGGGCCAAAAAATAGCAATTCAGCTTTATTCCTGCTAGTCTATAAATAGCCCTTCAATTCACAACCTCTAAATAATTGTTTCACGCTCTGACAACTGTCAGTTAGTGCAAGAGGGCCTCACGAGGATCACTAGGGCTGCAGGAGACCATAGGGTGTACTTGCAGTGTGTCTTACTGACGTACTCAATGCCGTGTTCTTCGGGGTACGCGCCTGGAGTTTGAGGGGGTTTTTCATCGTGACAGTGTTCACTGGTGTCTGGCCCAAGGAACGCCCCAGGAGTCTGCGGAAGTCCTTCGAGTTGTTCCTGGTTGTCATCGCTGGTGGCCTGCATGTCGACTCCAACGTTGGCGGGGGTCTGAATCTCGACGATGTTCTCTTGGTCGATGACAGCCAGCTGCACATCAGTGGCGGGGCCCGCTACAAGCCCTGGAGGTCTGGCATTTACAGCTTACCATTTAGTGCAGGAGCCCTTAGATGAGGTGCCTGGGCCCTAAAATGCTTAAAATGACGGGCTAATTCGCAAACTACGACTTCCACATCTGCTCAGAGATGTTGCCGCGCTCGATCTTCTGGAGATGCTCACTGTCGCGTTCTTCGGGGTATGCGCTTAGAGTCTATAGGAGTTCGCCGAGTGTACTCTCGCGGTACTGCTCTGGAGCCTCAAGATGCTCCTCGTTGCCGTCATGACCATTGCTGAAGGTTTTCATGCGGACGTCAGTGTCGATGGGGGTCTGAGTGTCGATGGAGGTCTGAGTGTCAATGGTGGTCTAAGTATCGACGATGCTCTGGTCGACAACGGCAGGTTGCAGGTCGGTGGTAGCTTCTGCAGCTAGATCTGGCATTTTAAGCTTATCAGCTAGGCGCGTTCGCGAGGATTCCTGACGTAGCAGCGCGCCCAAACACGGGCTGTAAGCCACGAGGTGAAGCCATTCAACACTGTCAACATGATCCCCCAGGCAGCGCTTCAATTCATGACTTCCAATCCTTTACATCTTGTTTTTCAGTCTTCAGTTGGCACTTGGGGGGTCTGACGGCTATTCACTATGTAGCAGCGCACTCGCACCAAAGCTTCAATTTACTGTTTCGATCGATACTTTGAACCAGCGCTACTCTCCGAGCGATACCACGTATTGATTCCTTTGGCGCACTGGGTTGAACCGGTGTTAGGAGATATTCAGAAAGTGTCTACTCTGAATTGGAATTTTGAGTCACAGGGCTGATACCGAATAATACTGCCATGATGTCTTACGCATGAGTGAACAGGTTAAAAGATCTATCATCTAAAATGCCATCTAAATCTACATCTATCCACAGAACAAGAAACAGAAGTCTAGATACAATGAGTTACAAGAGGGTATATCCGCACCACAAAATCATCCCAAGCCCACTCACCGCCTCAAGCCCAGTACTGCCCACACTCTTCCGGCTTTACACCCCTTCGATACAGCTCCCTCGGCATCCCCGTCGAGTCACACGTCGCAAACTTCCACCAGCTCCCATGAAACACGGGCAATACTTTCATCAGCGCCCACCTGACCGGCGGCGGGATGGGCGGGAAGTTGTGAATGCCGCCCTCGAACGTGCAATCGTGATTCAACAAGAACAACGGCAGCTGCGTCGTCTTGCTCAAACTCCCCATGACCGTCTCCACCTCCTTCTCCACAATCCCCTTGAGATCGAGCTTATCCCCGAACTCACGCAGCGCGAGCAGCGTAGGTATTTCGTCGTTGAGATGTGTGGTCAGCGGCTCGAGGAAGGTGTCCATGATCGCGAGCATCTCTTTTGCATTGAACCCGGCAACGTCGCCAGCGAGCAGAGTGGAGAGGTACTCGCCCCATTTGTGGAGGCCGTCGTGGAAGGCTTCGTGTTGTGCGATGTTGACCTGCATCAGGCCTTTCCGCCCGGTGGCTTCCTCGATGGTGGGGAAGGCGTGGCTTTCTTCGCCCATGTGGTGCGCTGCGAGGCCGTCAAAGGCAGCTTTGCAGTAGGAGAGGAAGGCGTAGTATTCGGACGGATGAACATGAGGCGCTTGGAGATAAATGCCATTAAAGGCGCGGCTGAAGATGTTGTGGACAAGGGCCATGTCCGAGGCGACGTAGGTGTATTGGTCTGTTAGACCGGTTTGGAAAAATGGAGTTGGGATGATTTTCATGGGCCCGGACTCCCAGGAGAATTTGGGGGAGGCCATTTTGGGTGTGCTGGAAGAGGTTTGGTCCATTAAGATCTACAAGATGAACTGAGAGCTGTGAAGAATAACGCTAGAATTGAGAGGCAACTTGAATAGAAGACTTGTGTGATGACAATGGTGAGGTATCGCCGTGGCCCTGCTTTATACTCGATTCTCAAGACCTCATCCAAGCCTTCTTAATATAACCTGAGTCCTCGGCCATGCCGCCAGAGCCATCACAGCGATTTTATAATGGAGTTGTTTTTAGAATCATTACCTCAGCTAAAGACGGCAGTTGTAGGTCAATATCGCACGCCAAGAGAGCCACTTGAGGCTTCGTACGCTCCCAGCGGTGAGGTGTGCAAAGATAAGATGACCGCCTAGCGTTGGCATAGAGAGAAGATAAGGCTGAGCAGGCTACCTCTCTTAGGCTTAGTAATGACAGAAGGACTGCTTGCTAGAGACCGAAAGGGTGTGTCGATGCGTGCTAGATTGTAGTGGCGTTCAGCTGCGGGCGGCTGAGCCCATTAGCTGCGAGTCCAAGCAATCTGTGGGACTTTTGTCAAGCGCTAAGAAATAAATAGAGACAAAGGTGCGAGGGACTCAATAAGCTGATGGCGCATCAATGAGCTCTCTGCGCATGGGAGGCTTGGGCCTGGATAAGAGGGCAGGCTTTGTTGAACATCAAGTGGCAGTCCGTTCTGACACCGTCTGAGGTGGCCTGAAAAGCTATCAGGCTTGTCAAAACTATCGCTGTCCAATTCGTAATAACGTACCAAGGCACCTCAAGTGGTGCTAGGCAAGTGTACACAAGCCCAGAGTGGGGTGTGTGTCTACCGTGTCGGAAATTCAGAATGGAATCACAAATATGTAGACTGCCATTTTTTGTTCAAGGGAGCCGTGGCCGTGGGAGGCGAGTTCGGGCCTTGGGCGTCACGCGGGGCATGGAAAAGGTGGCACACTAATTCTAGAACAAGCTGTCTTGTGTGTACACCTGTCTGCCACTGCTTGGGTTGCTTCAATGTATTTTCAGGAATCTGAAGAAGACAGAAGCTCTTCACCTTGGGCTATGTGGAAACTTGTTGAAGCAACTTCATGCAGTAGCAGACAGGTGTACACCCGGGCAGAGTACTTGATGAGTGTGCCACTTTTTTCATGCCCAGCGTGGGCGTCTCGCGGTAGTTGTGTAGCGGTAGTTTTGCAGCGATGGGCTTTAGGAACAACGTCGCGATTGTCAATAACACTGTGACGTTAGCTTATGTACATTTTTTGGACACTGTCAATGGTGCTTCACGCTTCCAAAAATCTAGACGAGCTGTGATTCCATCAGTTTGACCGACTACTAACCTCGCTGGGGCACCACAAACAGCGTTGAGCAAGTATCGATATTCATGGTCTTAACGTAGAAAAATGCAGGAAGATACGCTGCAGATATGATAGGAAGTGCTTGGATCTAGTGGAAGAGATCTAACGTTCGATATGTAGTAGCTGAAGATTTTCGATGCCATATAGAATACCAATGCGGGGGTCGGTGCGCAATTCGCTGTAGTAAATCTAAATTTCCATATAAGCTTCCAAAAAATTGGGACTGAATAGTTCAATGCTTTGCAATGATGGTTTGACAGTTACTTGTAATAACGGTGTGGTGGTTACCCAGTAGTTTCGAAGTGGTGTTCCCGCTTCGAAACCCAGCCGCCCCGCCTCTCTAACCACCCACTTACAACCATCTGAGGACCAAAAGAAACGCAAAAAGAGATGCCTACAACAGGAATCGAACCCTTTGGGGTGTGGGTGTGAGCGTCGTGTTGTACAATTAATCTATAGTAGCTGCTTACTGTGATCTTTGCATTCCTGACCTTCGGTGGTGCTTTACCGCCTTGATACAAGTGCAACGCTGGGGAGAATTAGTCACTAAGCGTTACGAAATATGATCACTGGTAGCTTACCGTTACCACTGCGCCATGCAGGCTTTTGGGCAAGGCGAAAAATTAATTGCTTCATGTGCTATACTATGAGTGGGGCACAAGCGGGGTATGGTGCCACATCACTTCAAAACTTTGCAACAAACTTTGTCCTCGCATGAGAGCGACACTTCAGATTATCTTCGTATACTTCGAAAGTATCAAGCCCTAGATTATTGGTTTCAAATGTCGAAAGATCGATCGAGCGGCGTTATCACGTGCTGAGAAAGAGGTCTGCGACCTCTCTCAGCCACCACGCACTTTCTACAATCACTCATTGGTACATGCTAACCTGAGCTACAACCGTCTGAGGTAGCTCAACAGATGTACACGCTGTTCAGAGCGATTCATTTCCATGTCGTTCTGATCCTTGAAAGTGTGCTAGGGTACCACAGACGTTGGCAAGATACTGTATAGACTTCTGATTAGGCATTCCAGGCGCTATCAACTGACAACTGTGTGCAAAACGCAGGTGCAAACTACAAAGAGTAGCGTTGGCAATACCATTAGCGCCGTAGACCCCCCCTTAGGGCAATCGAGCGCCACAGTGACACTTTGCAAACGGTTTGCTCCATTAAAGCAATCACATTGCTACAGCATGCCTTCATTATTGGTCTGTGTATAATATCTTGCTACTGCTATCGGTAATTCAACATACTTTCGAAACCTGATTGGGACAGAAGTTCATCATTCTGAATAAACGCTACACCTACTGAGCCACCTCACACGGCGGTACTTGTGGATTTATTGATGAAGGGCGGGGATCTCAAATGGTATCAAGGCGGTAAAGCACCACCGAAGGTCAGGAATGCAAAGATCACAGGATAATATTAGATCTTGCTGGATGCTACTGCCAGGTGTGGCCCGTTTGACCAACTGTTTGTTTAGGCTTGAGCGAAAAGTATGATGATAATTCGAAATAGTCTGAGCTTGTAAATCCCGAAGTTTAGAGCAGAGGATAACACTTAAGGATGTATAATAAAAAGTTGAAGAGATTCAAAGCACCAAAGTAATAGTAGTGACTGAGCTGAAATAGGCACGCCGGGCATGAAAATGGTGGCACACTCAGCAGTTCAACACTGTTTGAGGTAGCCCAGAGAGCTATCAGGCTTGCCAAAGCTGGTATTTCATGGATAACAATAGAGTACTAGAGGATCTAAAGCGGTGCTAAACAAGTGTACACAAGCATAGAAACAGTGTATATATACCTCGGGGATAAGAAGCTTGAAATCAGAAACCAGAGATTCATGGACTGCCACTTTCGGTTGACACTCATCAACCAGGCTGTCTCATAGGTCCACCTGTCTACCACTGCCTGAAGTGCTTCAACGAGTTTCCAGAGTGAAGAGCTTCTATCCTGTTTAGATATCTGAAAATGCAATGAAGCACCCTAAGCAGTGGCATACACGCACATGCCCCGCGTAACAGCCGATGCTTGCCGAAATCTGTCACACCGCTGAAATCGTGCCGATATCGTCCCAAGCTTACCTCCGACCGCCAGCGCCAGGTACAACATCATCTATCCGGCCAGCTTGTCGTTTGCAAACGAACGCTTTGTGCTTCAACATGGGCTCTACTTTCTAATAAAGTATCCCTCTTGTCAATTGACCGAGCTTGACTCTCCACTCTCCTCTCTCTACCGCCGACGCCCTCACAATGTCCGCCGCTTTACCCGGAAATCGCGACTTACCCGCGTCCCAGTATGACCTCAGCACATACTGGGGACGGGTCAAACACTCCGCACAAATATCAGACCCTAGGTGAGGAAGCTGCTTGTAGACATCTCCTTGCTTTGTCCTGGTGTGGTGAGTACCACTACCGCTGAATGCGCGTCATGCTTCACCTCTATTATTTTGCGCGCGGAGAGCTTGAGCTAATGTATATGATATAGGACTCTCCTCACATTCCCAGCCGGTCTTGATCATGCGAAGAAGTTGGTCACATTGTATAAGCAGGGCGAAATCAAGGAGATGACGCCGGAGCTGTGGACCGCGAAGAAGATCGTGGATTCTACGCTCCATCCGGGTAAGAGTCGCACGACCAAAACGAAGTACCTTGTCTGACTCGGCAAAAGATACGGGAAAGCCAGTATTCCTCCCATTCCGCATGTCCTGCTTCGTAATTTCCAATTTGGTGGTGACGGCGGGTATGCTCACACCCGGGCTTGGGGTAAAAGATCCAACACATCACGAGGAGACTTAGTATACTAATCAAGTCATAGACGGTTGGTATATTGGGATGGCAGATAACCAATCAGTCCCTCAATGTAGCCATCAATAATGCCAACGCGAACAAGTCCACGGCTCTCTCTACGTCCACCCTCATACAATCATACTTCATGGCTGTTGGTGCGTCATGTACGGTCGCCCTGGGTCTGAATGCTCTGGTACCGCGCCTGAAGCGTCTCTCTCCAGCAGCTAAAATAACGCTGGGGCGCCTCGTGCCATTTGCGGCGGTAGCCAGTGCAGGTGCATTGAATGTGTTCCTCATGCGCGGCGAGGAAATCAGACAAGGCATCGATGTATTCCCAGTGCTTAGTGAGGAAGAAAAGAAGAAGGTGGAGGACGGGAGCCTGGAGATCAAGAGCTTGGGCAAGAGCAAATCCGCCGCTACATTGGCTGTGGGAGAGACGGCGCTGAGTCGGGTCTTGAATGCTACACCGATTATGGTACTACCGCCCCTTGTCTTAGTCAGACTACAACGTACAAACTGGCTGAAACAGAGGCCGAGGATGGTAATGCCATTGAATGTTGGTAAGTGAACAAATGTACTATGACGCTCACGGTGCACGGATATTGATATCTGCTGGCAGGACTAATCTTTGCAACATCTATCTTTGCCCTTCCTTTAGCTCTTGGTGCTTTCCCTCAGCGCCAGGCAGTGAGCGCGAAAACATTGGAACCGGAGTTCTGGGAGCGTGCTGGGAAGGACGGGATGGTCGAATTCAATCGGGGTATTTAGACCACCAAAGAGCATCATGTTGGGCGGAAGCTTGGAGGGCCTCTGTATAAACCTGCGTTATGTAATAAAATGAACTGAACTACCCAAGTAAAGGAGCTCGTGTCAATCTACTCAGCCGAAAGCATGCAAAATGGTGAACATATCAACCAATCACATGCTTCCGTTTCTCAGGCAAAGCAACCAATCTATAGTCACTCTAGAAGGATAGCAAGTCAATTTAAAGGCGTAAATCTAGCCGATATGGGCTTGAAAGAGCTCATATTCTTTCTCACACGTGGAGGAGGAGTTGATTGATTATGGGGCGCTTCGCGGCATCAAAGGTGGCCTTAAAGCCAAACGCCACGGTGTTCACTTGAATGCAGCTGATTTAATACCGCTAAGACAACATCAATGTCCATTCACGCCTACACAAACCTGGAGGACCTCGCCCCCTCTTCTTTCTTTCTATCTCTTAACCTAAAGCACCTCTGAATCTTTTCTCTGGTGTTTTGGCGTATCAAAGAACCCCTCGCTTCTGGCCACATCGTCATCTCGTCTTTTTTATTGATCGAAGCTCCCCCGACCTCCTCCATAGCTCCAATCCACAATGGCACCACCCGGTCGCCGACGACTCCCTCTCTCCCCGTTGACCCTTATCCTCGGCCTCCTATTCCTTTTCTCCGGCACAGCTTCCGCCGCCTCAGCTGTCCTCGGTGTCGACATTGGCACAGAATACATCAAAGCGGCCCTCGTTAAACCTGGTATTCCTCTCGATATTGTCCTGACAAAAGACTCAAAGCGCAAAGAGGCTTCTGCCGTCGCCTTCAAACCTTCGAGAGCTGGTCACCAGGCCGGCAACTTCCCCGAACGATTCTATGGCGGGGATGCGCTCGCACTCGCGGCGCGCTTCCCTGCGGACGTGTACCCAAACCTGAAGACACTTCTCGGTGTGCCCCTCGAAGACCTGAGTGTAGTCACAGAATACAAGGACAGACATCCGGCATTGCAGGTTGTGGGGGCGGACGGACGGCCCACTATTGCGTTCAAGAGCGAAACTCTACCACAAGATGAGCTGCCGTTTTCCGTTGAGGAATTGCTGGCAATGGAGCTGCAAAACGTGCGGGATAATGCAGTAGCGATGGCAGGCAAGGGGAACGATGTGTCGGAGGTCGTATTCACGATCCCGCCGTTCTACACTGCGGATGAGAAGAGGGCACTGGAGGCCGCGGCCAACCTGGCTGGGCTGAAGGTGCTAGGCTTGGTATCTGATGGACTGGCAGTCGGCATACAATACGCAACCTCAAGGACATTCCCGAGTGTTAGTGAAGGAGGGAAGCCAGAGTATCACATGGTCTTTGATATGGGCGCAGGGTCTACCAAGGCGACTGTCTTAAAGTTCCAAGGAAGGACGGTCAAGGATGTGGGAAGATTCAACAAGACGATCCAAGAGGTTATTGTACTGGGTACAGGCTGGGATCGGACCTTGGGTGGAGACTCACTGAACGGCATTGTCATGGATGATATGGTACAGCAGTTTGTTGAAAGCTCTGGCGCAAAAAAGGTCGGTGTCGCAGCTGTGGATGTTAAGGCTCACGGCAGGACAGCTTCGAAGCTTTTAAAAGAGGCGGAGAAGGTCCGACAAGTTCTGAGCGCGAATTCCAATACCGGGGCAAGCTTCGAAGGACTCTACGAGGATGTTGACTTTAAGTACAAGATCGCGCGGACGCAGTTTGAAGAATTGGCTTCGGACTTTACTGCCCGTGTCGATGGACCTATTACGCAAGCTCTAGGTGCAGCCGGTCTCACAGTTTCCGAGTTAGACTCCGTCATTCTTCACGGCGGCGCCGTTCGAACTCCCTTTATTCAAAAGAGGCTTGAGTCTTTAATTGGAGCAGCCAAGCTTAAGAGCAACGTCAATGCCGATGAATCAGCTGTTTTTGGGGCTGCCTTCAAGGCTGCTGGACTGAGCCCAAGTTTCAGAGTCAAGGAGATTCGGGACATCGATATTCAAGGCTATCAAGTTGGGGTGCAGTATACTTGGAATCTCAAGGAGCGATTCCAGAAGCTTTTCACACCTACCTCGCCGGTCGGAACGACCAAGGATATTCCATTTAAGATGATGGACGAATTCGAGTTTACTCTTCACCAAGGTATCCCATCACAGGTGGAGGAATTCTCACAGCAACCGGTCATTCATGTTCGAACTGGGAACTTGACCAAAGTTGTCAGTAACTTGATTGACAAGGAAGGATGTGACCGTGAAACCTTCAACACCAAGTTTTCGGTTCGACTGAGTCCTGTTACTGGTGTTCCTGAGGTTGTTGGAGGCTGGGTTAGCTGTGAAACCGAAGATACGGGCAAGGGTGGTGTAATGGAGGGCGTCAAGGGATTCTTTGGCTTCGGGGCGAAGGATGGAGAACAACAGCCCCTCAAAGAAGGTGAGACAGTGCTGGAAGGAGAGGAGGCAGATTCATCATCGACAGAGTCTTCGTCCACTTCATCGTCCTCGACATCAACTTCGATGTCATCTCCAAAATCATCTTCAGCATCGGCGGCGTCAGAGTCACCAGACGCCACGGAAGGAAAGAAAAAGACTATCACTTCAGCGATCACCTTCCATATCACGCAAAAAGGCTATGAAAAGCACCCTCGAAAGGAATACAACCGTATGAAGGACAGGTACGTTAAGCTACAAAGACCTGCGACCTGATCTCTGACTAACTTTGTAGACTCGCGGCTTTCGATGCTTCAGACAAAGCTCGACGCGGACGTGAAGAAGTTCTCAACTCATTGGAAGCTTTCACTTACCGCGCGCGGGATCTTTTGGATAACGAATACTTCATTGCCGCCTTCACGACCGAGCAGAGATCCTTACTCGAGGAGAAGCTCGGCTTTACAAGCGATTGGATATACGGAGATGGTCGTGACGCTACGGAAGAGGATCTGAAGGCTAAGCTGAAGGACCTCAAGGACATTGTCGACCCGGTGCAAAAGCGAATCGACGAGGCCCGCAAGCGGCCGGATGCCATCAAATCGCTCGAAGAGGCTCTCGAGCAAGTCAAGAGCTTTACGGGTATCATCGCAAACGATATTAAGGATAGCGCCGCTAAGGCTTCTCTGGCTGCCGAAGAAGCGAGCAAAGCAGCTGCTAGCTCTACTGCCTCGGCGGAAGAATCGGCCACTGCCGACCCTCTCGATGACCTTGAGGAAGAAGATATGCTGAAGTCAGCTTCGTCTGAAGCAGCAAAAGCATCCGACGTGCCTGAGCCGCCCATCTATTCAGAAGATGACTTGGAGGTTCTCACCAGCGTCTCCGAAACAGTGCAGAAGTGGCTGGACGAGAAATTGGCCGCACAAGCTAAGCTCTCCGAGACGCAAGACGCAGCTTTCACGATCAAGGACTTAGAAGAGCAATCCCGCAAGCTTAACAGCGCGCTCATGGAGATGGTCCAGAGGAAGATGCGTATGCCGACTAAGAGCAAGACGGCGAAGCCCAAGGCGACGAAGAAGCCGAAGAAGGCGGCCAAGAAGAAGTCGAAAAAGGGAGAGAAAGCTGAGGAGGAAGAGGAAGTAAAGGCGGATGGGCAAAAAGCAAGGAAAATTAAGCTGGAGCCGGGGGCCACGATGGAAGAGATAGAGGAGGCAATTCACGGAGTGAAGAAGGCACATGATGAACTGTAGTTGCTTTGTATGTAGTGGCTAGAACGCGCATAGGATGGAGTTATAGGGATTCAGGAATATATCTCCACATTATGGACGACAATTACATGCCTAAAGAAATGCAGAAATCCCTCATTATGTTGACAACGCTTATGGAGTCTATATGACTGATGACAGCAGAGTGAGGGACTCACATTTGATTTGTTATACTTCCCCAGTATATAATACCTATTCACATACTACTAGTAATGCTCTCATACCAATCAACATTTGGAGGGGTCTACGGGTCGCGAAAAACTGCCCCACAGCTCACCTCGAGCTAGCTTCACTCACTTTTCTCAAGCTCTCACACCTCACTCCTACACCCTACCACGACCTTCCTATAATTCCAGAATGTCAGCAGAAGACCCTCAAGACTTGCATCCACGAAAACGCGCGCGATTGACCGGCCCGGACAACCTCTCACCCGTTGCTGCACCCGCTGCGAATGGAACCGCCGCGCGCAATGAGAAGGTGGAGGCCGAGATCGAGAAGGAGGTCAGAGCTGGTATAACGGAATACGTGTGTCCGGAGAATGCGGGGTTCTCGGGTATATTGAAGCAGAGGTTGGTTGGGTTGAAATGACAAGTTGGAGAGAGTAAGGAGCTAATTTGCTGGGTGGAATAGGTATACCGATTTCTTGGTAAACGAGATTCTACCGAATGGGAAGGTATTGCATCTCGAGAGCTTGCAAGTGCCGCGCAATAAGCAGGAGCAGGATGGGAACTTGAAGACTGAGAGTTCGGCAGGTGGTGAGGCCGTGAAGGCGGAGACGGAAGTCAAGAAAGAAGTTGTGAAGGAGGAGCCAGTGGTTAAGGCTGAGCCAGTTGTCAAAGAGGAGCCCGTTACAAAGGAGAGACCTTTCGGAAGGGAGGAACCTATCGTCAAGGACGAATCTGCTGTGAAGGTGGAAGAGAAGGAGGATATTGTGGCACAGGTGCGCGTAGCAGGCATACACTTAAGATTTTCCTTTGCTAACATTTTGGTTCTAATCAGATTCCGGACGAGGACGTCGCGATTCTAAAGTCCATCTTCGGAGGCAACACTACTTCGTCAATTCTTTCACTACACCGAGCTGTCCTCAAAAGCCCCGAACGAAAAGCTAGAGACTTCAATAGTGTCACATCTGAAATTTTGCCGGATAAAGAACAGCGCACGAATGCGCATCAAGCGATTCGCCGCATATTTTCCTCCCGACTTGAGACAATCACAGAGAAGGACGAGACAATAACCATCAAAGCCTTACCCCCGAAGAGTAGAGGTAATAGGGCACAGCAAAATGGAGCCGCTAAAAAAGGAGGCAAGGGCAATAAAATGAGCTGGGAGGAACTTGGTGGAGAATACCTCCATTTTACACTATACAAGGAGAACAAGGATACGATGGAGGTCGTCTTCTTCATAGGAAGTCAGCTCAAGCTGCAACCTAAGAGTTTCCAGTTCGCTGGTACAAAAGATCGAAGAGGGGTAACAGTGCAGCGCGTCAGCGCTCGACGAGTCAACGCACGAACAATGTATGAGAAGTGCAGGAATCTCTGGAACGCCAAAGTCGGAGACTACTCATATCATACCCAAGGGCTGGAGTTGGGCGAACTGTTGGGGAACGAGTTCGTAATCACATTGCGGGACTGTCACTTCCCTGGTGAAGAAGGCAAAAGCAGCGCACAACGCGTCGAATTAGCAAACTCTGTGCTTTCGAAAGCCATCAGAGACTTCAAGGAGAAGGGTTTCATAAACTACTACGGCCTCCAGCGCTTCGGCTCTTTCGCAGCGAGTACCGACACCATCGGCGTTAAGCTCCTCCAAGACGACGTCAAAGGTGCCATAGACCACATCCTCGATTTCAATCCGGACGCACTGGCCGCCGCACAGGACCCGAACTCTACAATGATGGTGTCATCAGACGACAAGGCACGTGCAGAGGCATTAAACCTCTGGAAGACGACTGGAAAGTCCGCAGCCGCGCTAGAGAAGCTCCCACGCAAATTCTCGGCTGAGAACAGCATCATCAGACATCTGGGGTTCGTAGACCGTAGGTCCGGCGAGCTCCTCCGCCGTAACGACTTCCAAGGCGCTATTCAGGCGGTTCCACGGAACTTGAGACTCATGTACGTCCATGCCTACCAGAGTTTCGTATGGAATATGGTTGCGGGGAGGCGATGGACTACGTTCGGATCTCAGGTCATCGAAGGCGATCTGGTGCTTGTCAATGAGCATAAGGAGAGAGGCGCGCCGGAGGTCGTCGACCAAACCGTTGATCAGGCGGGCGAGGTCATCATCAAGCCGTCTGGCGATGATAGCGCGGCGATGGCGGACGACGTCTTTGAACGCGCGCGGCCATTATCAAAAGAGGAGGCGGAGAGTGGCGAGTATAGTATCTTCGATGTGGTACTCCCACTTCCCGGGTTCGATGTCGAATACCCGCCCAACGCGATCGGAGACTTCTACAAGGAGTTTATGAAGAGTGAGAGGGGTGGAGGACTGGATCCTCATGACATGCGGAGGAAGTGGAGGGATATCAGTCTCAGTGGGAGCTATCGGAAGCTACTAGCCAGGCCGGGAGAGGGGCTCGGATTCGAAGTCAAGGCCTACGTGAACGAGGATGAGCAGATGGTCGAGACGGATTTAGAGAGGCTGCAGAAGAAGGGGACGGATTCTGATAGCGGCCTCCGGAATTTCAAGTCAGAAAACGGGATCAAGGAGGAATCAAACGGAGACGTCAAGATGGAGGACGGCGACGAGAAGGTCGAGGCAAAGGTGGCGGTCATTCTGAGGTTGCAGTTAGGGTCAAGTCAGTATGCGACTATGGCGCTGCGGGAGCTGATGAAGTTGGGTGGAGTCAAAGCATTCAAGCCAGAGTATGGAGCTGGAAGGTAGTGAGGGTTTGGAGGGCTCTCATCAGGGTTGAGAGGGACCCCAAAGAATGAACAGCATACAAACGCTGCCCATCGACTGCAACTCGACCAAGGCCGTGCATACACCACTATCTCGAGCGAGTTCAGCCCGCGATGGTGAAATATAAAAGTTCGAATGGTCGGATTCGCGCTCTCGATCCAGGAACGGTCCGTGTGCCCTCAACTAACCCTATTCGAGCATGACCGCTTATCAGTCCGCGCCGGACATCATCCTGCCACGTGCCTGCATGGCAGTACCACCGTCCACGAGTTCGGTGCCGGGAACGCGCTGACGTGCCTGCATCATGTAACGCGCTGATTACGGTAGGTCCAGCACAAGATGTAGATACAAGACGGCTTCGAAGCCTGTACTTCTAGCTCTTCTCCGCTCACCAACCCGCTCTGTCTTCCCCTCACTGCCATGGAGACCTCCATATTGCGCTGTTTGGTCTTCCTCTCAGTTTCTTTGAGCCTTGTCACTGCCAGCGTCATTTCATTAACGGTTTCCGAGAGTCCTGCGAGCTGTGGCCAAAATTCGTCATGTATTTTAGGGCCAGATCCGCTGCAGTCGCCGTACCCGTACTATTTCCCACCTGAAGCAAGTGCGGAAACGCCGGGTTTGTTTCCAATGGCGGCATGTAAAGGCGTGACGCTGGAAGAGGCGACGATTGATCAGCTGCAGGATGCGATGGGGAAGGGATTGTTGACGGCACAGGATTTAGTTAGTTGTTATACACGGAGAATATTGCAGGTTGATGCCTATATCAGGTAAGAGCTTTCAAATTGAGACTTTGTTTCTACCATCGGTCTTAAACTATTCTACAACTATTATCATGAATCGGGATTTTATGTTCAGTAATGCAGTACTCTATCTCATGATCAATCGTCAAAGTTCTAAGAATGACACAAAAGAGCTTATCATTCCCGCCTGTTCAATTTCTCCATGTATAGATTCCACTAGAAAGAAGAACGACTCAATATCAGCCGGCCTAACATTCCAAAAGCTCTATCCTCGAACTCAACCCAGACGCCACAGACATCGCTGAAGCCCTAGATGCAGAAAGAAAAGCTGGGAAAGTCCGAGGACCCCTTCACGGAATCCCGTTCCTGGTAAAAGATAACATCGCCTCAAAAGACCAAATGGAAACGACTGCAGGAAGCTATGCCTTGCTGGGCTCAGTAGTTCCGCGCGATGCACATGTAGTAGCGAAGCTCCGTCAAGCTGGCGCTGTACTGTTGGGGAAAGCTACCTTGAGCGAATGGGCTGGTATGTATAGTTCGTAATGAGAGAGAGGGGTTCTTGGAGCTGAATGACAGGATAGATATGCGCTCCAATAACTACTCTGAGGGTTATTCAGCCAGAGGTGGACAAGCTCGAAGCCCTTACAATCTCACCCTCACTCCGGGAGGGAGCAGCTCAGGTAGTGCAGCAGCCGTCGCAGCCAACGTTATCACATTCGCTCTTGGGACCGAAACTGATGGAAGTGGTGAGTTCACCGGATTTTTTTTAAAGAGGTGCACTGCTGACAATATCAAGTAATCAACCCTGCTGAACGCAACGCTGTAGTAGGCATTAAACCAACCGTCGGCCTGACATCAAGAGCAGGGTAATTGTCTCACTAATCTATCCCTATACTCCCTCCCAAAATAACAAGCGCTAAACATCATTCAGCGTAATCCCCGAAAGCACTCATCAAGACACCGTCGGTACTTTTGGCCGGACAGTCCGCGATGCCGTCTACGCCCTCGATGCGATTTACGGCCCAGATGCTCGCGATAACTACACCCTCGCGCAAACCGGCAATACCCCCCCTTCTGGCTACACGCCCTATCTTACCTCTTCCGCTGCTCTCGCCAACGCAACTTTCGGCATTCCGTGGTCCAGCTTCTGGGTCTACGCCTCCGAGTCCCAAATCTCCACGCTCCTTACGCTCCTCTCCGTTCTCGAATCCTTCGGCGCCACGATCGTAAACAACACTGAACTCCCCTCAGCCGCCGAGCTCATCTCCCCGGACGGCTGGAACTGGGACTATGGCACCACACGGGGCTACGCCAACGAAAGCGAGTACACCGTCGTGGCCGTCGACTTCTACAACAACATCGCGTCGTACCTCTCCGAGCTCTCCAACACCGCTATCAAGAATCTTGAAGATATAGTAGCGTACAACTTCGCGAACGACGGGACAGAGGGCGGCAACCCGTGGCCGAACGGCATTCCCGCGTTCTATTCGGGGCAAGATGGGTTTTTGGCTAGTCTGGCGACGAACGGGACGATGGACGACACGTATTTCCAAGCCCTCTCGTTCTGTCAAACGAAGAGTAGGGAGGAGGGGATTGATGGCGCGCTTGCGAATGGGGGAAGTCCCGTGGATGCGCTGCTTGTCCCACCTGATGTTGGGCAGACGTATCAGGTTGCGGCGCAGGCGGGATATCCGATGGTGACGGTTCCGGCGGGAGTGAGTCCGGATACGGGCATGCCGTTTGGGTTGGCGTTGATGGGGACGGCGTGGAGTGAAGGGAGTTTGGTGAAGTGGGCGAGTGCGATCGAGGATGCGCTGGTCAAAGGGGGGAAGGAGAAGGGGTTAGGGAGGACCCTGCCGAAGTGGTGAGTCTCTTATCATTGTTCGGTATAATCACGCTAATCTTGGATTCAGGTACGGGTATTTACAGAAGAATGTGCCGGTGTTAAATCTTTAGTGATGGGAATAGCTGATGTTATAGCACGTGGACGGCCGACAAAATATACTTATCGAAGCCAGTTTCGATATCACTATCTCGAAATCGTACTTCGTGCCGAGACTTCTCACGTGACAATTACTTCAGACGTCGGACTTTGTGCCGATTCGACTCCTTTAGGTTGTGATCCTCGGAATCTTCGCTGCGCTAGTGAGATTCTAGGATTGGAAATGGTAAGAGCTCCATTTATTGAGGATCTATAAACTCCAGGTCGTCCTGTCTTCACTCTTTACCCAATACTATCAAAAGCACTTCACATTTCTACTTTGACCACACGGCTACGGACGTGAGGATTCAACACAACTCCATCATAGAATATAGCAGTCATGGTATCCGCAGTTCTAGCCTCAGTCGTCCAATCCGCTCGATCCGCCGTCGACTCTATATTCAGCTTCATCAGAGCCCAAGGGGACACAGATTACCTTGGGGAAGCTGTTTCTCAACTCGAGCAGCACTCTCTCCAAGCCGCAGATCTCGCTAAGAAGGCTGGCGCAGACGAAGAGACTGTGCTCGCCACGCTGCTCTACGATATCGGGATATTCCTTCCAGATGCCTCCAAACATGATGCCATGATCGCTTCAGACGGCACGCGTGTGGGCACCGCCGGCCACGAGGTCCTGGGCGAGAACTACCTGCGAAGCGTGGGATTTAGTGACAAGGTCGCGCAGCTGGTCGGAGCGCATGTTATGGCTAAGCGGTATTTAGCGGCGGTGGATCCGGCGTATTTCGATGGGCTTTCTGCAGCGAGCAAGAGGAGTTTGGTGTATCAGGTGATATTTCGCTATTTGGTAATTTGTGGCGATAGCAGACTGACTGAGACTAGGGAGGTAAATTCAGTCCGGAAGAGGTGAAAGCAGCTGAGAAAGACCCGCTACTACAGCAGAAGCTTGCGGTTCGGAGATGGGACAATCAGGCGAAGGTTACGGGTGCCAAAGTCCCGGATCTTGAAAGCTATAAGAATCTTGCAGTTGAGTGTCTCTTAGATTCGTGGTCCCCGCGCGACCAGTCCCCTGTCCGCTGACTGTTGATAGCCTCTCGAAGGAAGGTAACACTGCACTCACGTTCGTACATCATTCCGCGACGGCCGACTGTCGTTATCTGCGTTGATGGCTTCGATCCCTCGTACCTGCAAAAAGGAATCGAGGACGGAATCATCCCAACCTTATCTTCCTTCGTAAATAAGGGGTTTCACGAAACCGCAGAAGTTGCGATGCCGTCTTTTACCAACCCTAATAACGTCTCTATCATCACTGGAGTACCTCCGGCAATTCATGGCATAGCTGGCAACTACTTCCTCGACCGCGAGGCGGGAAAAGATATCATGATTGTAGACGACACACTCTTACGCGGCTCCACGATCCTCGAGCAGATGTCCAATGTAGGTGTGCGTATAGCGGCTGTTACTGCGAAGGATAAGCTACGCAAGATCTTGACCCACGGTTTGACACTTGGCAAGGGCAACTCTGTCTGCTTTTCCTCTGAGAAGGCTGCGTCTTGCACGCTTGAAGAAAATGGAATCAGTGATGTGGAAAAGCTCGTCGGGCGACCGCAGCCGCCGCAGTTTTCGGGGGAGCTGTCGCTCTTCGTACTCGATGCTGGCATCAAACTACTTGAGCAAGACCGAGCAGATCTATTCTATTTGACCTTATCCGACTTTATCCAACACACGCACGCGCCTAGAGAAAAGGAGTCCGATGACTTCTACGCAGCGCTCGACGCTCGAATCGCACGTCTAGTCGAGCTAGGAGCTAAAGTAGCGATCAGCGGCGACCACGGAATGAACGGGAAGTGTAGTCCAGATGGGAAACCCGACGTCTTTTTTCTCCAGGACGAATTGAGGCCAGATTCGGTCGGGGCTCTTGCCGCGTGATCTGTCCCATTACGGACTTGTTTGTGCGGCATCACGCCGGCCTAGGATCGCTCGTCCGTGTCTACGTCGACAAGAGTAGGACGCAGGATGTAGATGCTATGATCCAACTCTGTTGAACGTTTTCACAAGTCGAAATTGCGATAACTGGCGCCGAGGCAGCTGAGAAGTACGAGATGCCGCTTGATCGAGAGGGTGATATTGTCGTGATTGCGGCGTGCCATGCGGTCATTGGAGCGACTCGCAAGGAGCACAACATGGACGACATCAAAGACCACAAGCTGCGCTCCCATGGGGGACTGTCAGAAGCTCATGTGCCGCTCATAATGTCCGAATCTATACGGCGTAACGCGAGTGTAGATGGACGGAAGTGGAGGAACTTTGATATCTTTGACCTGGTATTGAATCATTAGCGGAGGTTTGGCCTTTCGTTGCTGTTTTGGGGACTTGGTATCGAAATCTCAATCTGTTCCGTAGTGTCCCAGGTTCCGATGTCCATTCCGTGGTCAAAATCCATGGTATATGGCCATGACGCAATAGAAGAAAAGTCGTTGTGCGAAGATAACAGGTCGAAATTCTGCATATTGTCGATCCAGTTGAAGCCTCCGTCCGGCGTTTCCATATGCCCAGTATGGGCTTGTGAGTCTTGAAGCATGTATGCGTCCGAGATTGCGGTTTGCGGAATGGCGGAAGGTCCTCCTTCACATCTCTGCAAGAGCTTATCTACCCCTTCAGCAATAAATCGGAGCAAATGTTGGCGATGCATCTTCGCCGCGGCCCTGCGGAGAACAGATGCCATGTCCTTCACTAGGGGCAGAATGTCCACACTTCCAGTCCGTACGCTCCGCGAGAATTTCGTCGCTACTTTGAGGAGGAAGACAACGGTGAAAGCAATCATAGTATCGAAGTAGAGCGGGAGGCCATGGAGATGAGATTGCACACTCTGGTGATGAATGATTGTGCGTAGAATAGACTTGGCTGAGACGACTGCAGCGTTCGCTATCTCTTCCATGCCAGGGTGTAAGTCGTGAGAGTCTGAGGTTACGCCCCGGAAGGCAAGAGAGCAGAGATGAACTTTAGCGAAGTGGAAATGGAGTCCGACCCCTATCTGTGAGTAGTCTCCAATTAGGGTGTGGGTTTTCAAGCTCTCGCTCCAGTCTGCGCGCCAGGTATCTAGTGATATCATGAGTCGGTGTATTTTTGGAAGCTGGTCAACAGAAATAGGTTTCTCTACGTCGACCCCGAAAGCATCGAAGACAGAGCTAGATATACGCCAGATGTTAATCTGACTGACTAGTCTAGCATCATCCTCGCATGCATGCTTCGTACCCAGAAACCGAGATGCAGATTTGATCGAATCGCATTCTCTTGACATCGACGGAAGGCCATATGCCACGCTAAAGTGATGATCACAAACGTACACTAAGTAGTATAGTCTCGTCTCGTAATAACTTCGCATTCGCCCTGGAGAGCTGTTTTAATGCTGCGGTGAAGCTGAAATTGAGTTGCAAGTCGAACAGCTGCAATAGAGCATCAGTAGAGGTTCAGACCTCCATCTAGTTCAGAAGTCACTTATCACTTGCCACAAGACTCCAAGAAACTTCGTTGAGCCAGAATGCACCAATACACAGGCCTCTGATGTCGTCTAGTCTGTTCTCATTTAGAAACATCTGAGCAGCACAGCGATCCATGAATCCTTTGTAGCAGCGCTCATACAAGTGTCCCAACTCCGCGGAGTGCAAAGCGCCAACTGTACAAATTCCCGCCAGGAGAAGAGAAGAGCTAGACCTGATGGCATCGAGATCCTTGTGCTCCCCTAAGGTCTGGTACAAAAAGTGATCTAGGCGATTCGAGTACAGCTCTAGAAGATTTTGGGCTTGGTCGTATGTCAATACGCCCTGGTCGATCAGATCTGGACCAACTCGAGTCCTGCCAGGAGGCCTCGCATATGAAGTATGCTCTTCAACGCAAGCGGCGGGAATCGTGGCAGGTCCGCTCTCTAGGTCCATTACTACTTCCCAAGACTGATCGCCTGGGGCGCGAACTGGTGGTGGCATGGTGACAGACGATGGCTGAGTGCCACGTCGTTGCTCGGAACGAGGCTCCTAGGAATAAGGTCTGCTAGGGGTTTCTGTATTAAGAGGCGCCCGAGGTCCATCTACTCTTCGCTCCTCTCGAAGCTCAGCCAAAGAAGCTTCAAGACTTTGAATTTTACGTGTAACGGAGTTCTTCCAGCTTGGTTCAGTCAGCTAGTGCTGTGCAACGTCTCCGACTAAAGCCTCGCAACATACTCTGCGTCTTCTTCCAGGAGCATTTGAAGACTCCGATTAACCGTACATGATAAGCCTCGCTTCTTACACCGTAAGCATGGCGCGCGTCCATCTCGCATATTACATTTTATCTAAAAACTTTTGTTAGCCGGTGTCAGTGACTGCGATGCTTTTTGCATTGAACCTTTTGCTTGCGGCATGCAACGCAGGCGGTGATTTTTCTGCTAATATCGGGGACCTTCCTGTCCCCAAATAAATCTCGAAGTCCATTCCCATCTATCGGCAGAGAGATACTCTCCATTGGTTCGTTGTCATCCGATTCTGCCATGACTGATCCAGCCTCGAACTTCGGCCGAGCTCCGTAGACCACGGTCAATTCACTCCAGATCTCCTTGTCTGCAGTGCAAAGTAACGGACGACTGCCGATGCCTAGTCGTTCGAGGTGTGCGTGAGGAAGAGAACGCGGTGGTTCTCCGATTAGATAGAGCAAACAGATCCTTCATCGGACTTCGTGCCGGCCAAATATGCGACCGCTGACATTCGGCCAACACATCCGAATCAAGCAGCGACTAGCCAGCCGACCTCTTCTACCTCTTCTACCTTGCATCATGCTATGCCTTTTATCTCTAACCTCTATATTCCTCCCTATATCTATGTTCTTACGGGCTTTTTGACTAAACCTACGTGCTTTACTCCTATGCCGCGCCCGTACTCCCTTGCAAGCTCCTCCCTCCGAACAATTATCGTACATACCCCCTCTTCAGTCGTAAGTTTGACTTAGACGCTTCAAATCTCCGTATTATGTAACTTACACCTTCTATCTATTGCGTTTGACTAATCCAAGCCACCGTCCCCGCATCTTCAGTCCGTTCGATGACAAGCTGAGCCCGGCTAGCATTTATTTCCCGAGCTTACCTTCGCTATTGGTGCGGACTAGCCTTAGGGCTTGCATGCTCGGCCTCTTCAGGCATTCTCAACGCGTCTCCCTCGGCTCTCAAGTCGTCGATTACATCGATTGCCTCATCAGCCTCTATGCTGCTCTCCCCCACCGCTTTCGCCTTCCTGATCTCCGCTTCGTCATGCGCATAATCACTGCTCTCATCTCCAACTTCGATCTCGTCGTCATCCGAGTCGTCTTCATCCGCGGAAACCTTTGGCCCCGTCTCCGGCCTCCTCTTGCGCTCGAAATCCTGCGCATGTGCAGCGTGCAGTATCGTCCCTACCCTCGAGAATCCGAGAGGCTGCGGTGATGGTCTGCCTGCGGACGAGGAAACAGTGCCGCGGCGGCGGCGATGGCCTGTGTTAGAGCGGGTGCGGGCAGCTTCGAGATCGATGCCACTAGTACGAGCTTCGGTCGCGACACGGGTGAGGGCTGACACAGAGGGAGATGGCCCGTCCTGTTGACCGGCCGCCGAGGGATGATGCGACGTTGGGCGGGTGGCGATATCTGGAGAGCTAGTAATAGAAGGAAGCTCGTAGGGTAGAGGAATGTCCCTGGACGCTCGGAAGCGGCCGACGCTGGAAGGTATATCATCAGTACGGCTCTCAACAAGGTGTGGTTTCTAGAATAGTAAAGAAATGACATACTTGGTACAATGCTCGTTCTCAACGCGAAACAGGCTCCACATGCCTCTTCGAAAAACTTCAGAGAAAGCAACAACGAAGGACAGAACAGCGGAGTGCTGGAGTTCGATGGGATAAATGGCGTAAAATATCCAATTGAATCGAATGATAGGATCGACGACCATTGCGACGTAATACATCCAGACCTTTTTATATCCGAGGGTGTCGCGAAGGAACCTGTTTTTGGCATATGGATTGCCGAGACCTGGGAGGTTAGCATAAGAATTGGAAGAGTCATGCCTTCGGTGACTTACTCCAATCCATGACTACATCCCAGATGCCTAAGTGTGTTAGAGGCTTGGTTCCTTTATTTGGTATACAAGAAAGTGACTCACTGCAATAGATTGCATTGATTGTTGCAAAGACGATGAAAGCGGCACGATGTTGCGGTGTTTTGCCAATTCGATAGACACTCAAAGTAGCGTAGAACAGAATTGTAGCGATATATTTCCCGCCATTCACCAGATGCGGAAATACGTTTCTAGTATCGTTATAACGTCGAATGCATTGCAGCGCTCGCCAGACACCAGGCAGGGTAGAAAAGAATCCTAGAAGGCGAGAGTGCGTCGAGTTGCACCGGCCAGGATCGTTCCATCTATTAGCGTAAAGGCAGAAGAAGAGTTCGATATTCTGTATTTTGAGTTAGAATCTGAAGACATGCAATCGGGTCAGAGATACATACTCCCATGCTGTATGTAAGGGAACAGAACATGTCGCCAAGGTAGAAATCTCTGAACTCTACAGGGTATAATCCGGCGAGAGCGAGTCGCCACTGTAACTGTTTAGTGCGCGTTCTAGAAAAGGGGTAGGGTACTAACTATGGAGTAGAGGAACCATTTACGAGTTCGATGGTAGAGAACCGGAGCAGGGAAAAAGATAATTATCGCGGTGATGCCGATCAGGATGACGGGATAGTATATATATAAGGAAGCACTTCCAAATTGGCTGAAGTTGAGCCAGATAAATATTCCAAGAAGAAACAAAAATGCGCAAGGAAGCTATGGACCAGTAAGTATTGGAGAGATATGATGTATTGACATTATACTTACTTCAGACAGTTGCCTCCAATCAAGGTGGTGGCGGGTATCAAACTCAAAGACGAAAGCAAAGTTAATTTTGCTGTCTTGCCAGATTCTGCAGACCACACAGAACAGTAGCATTAAGAACACCATGAGAAAGTATCCAGCGTAAATCTGTTGCGTGTTAGCTTGCATATATAATAATAAATGCGAGGAACTGTTACCTGAAGGAGGTAGCTAGTGTCGAGTGCTAACGTTCGATCGGGTGAGTTAAGTAGCTCAAGTCCGTAAATCAGTCCTTCTATCCCAAATACTAATCCTGCAGCTACCATCACGCCATTACGGAATGAGTTCTCTGTAAAGTCACCAGCTCGGGCAGTCTTGATTCGCAATTTTCCAACGGCTACTTTATGGTTGCCTTGTTCAAAGTATCGGGCATACAGATCTTCAACGACATGTATGTGTCCATCCAATACTTCGCTTTGCACGAACCAGGCCTTGTTGACCTTTTCCGTCATGTAGCGCCCAGGTGGCCTGGCATTTACAGCCTTGTCATATTTCTTGGTGATTTTTCGAAATGCTGTTCGGTTGAGGAGAGAATATGATTTGAGTAATTCCAGCCCTCGGTAGTACTCTTGGAGCGCAGTCTTCAGTTTCCTCTTGGCACTTCTATATGGAACTTCGGATAGCACGGGTCGACGAGAATAGTCCCGACGGTCATCTACAGGCTCCCTATGCTGTATCGCCGAGGGTGTTCCGAGTTCCTTCATTGCTTTTGTCCCCTTCCCAAAACGACCGGACTTCGCTGCTTCTAGGGCAGAGTCGAGGGGCTTCATCCACGAAGCCCTCATGATTCGGCTCTTGGTATCCTCGTCTGAGCTAGAACCCGGGGCGTTGTACAATAAGCCCTGGCCCTCTGAGAGTGTTTTCTTTTTGTTCAACTTCGCAGTTTGATGTGCAACAATTTCTTCCAAGCGGAGATCTCGCATAATATGTAACTGCTCTCGCAGAACATTTAGGCGATCAGTGGCTTCGTCCTCTTTTTCTTTGTAGAAAGATTCAATTTTCTCCAGTTGCAGGTCCAAGAAGTTGAAGAACTCGGCTTGACGGAAATCGAGTTCACGATATGACTCGAGAGGCATGTCTGGCGCCCCTGCTGATACTGGTGTTTTGTTTCCTGATAACGAGAACATCCTTGTGACTCGTGGTCGCACCCCTTCTGTTCCTGGCATAGAATTTATGCGCTTCGGTGTGAAGATACTCATATATCTGTGAGGTAATGTAGAAGCCTGGCGATGTGGAGATTTTGTCTTGCCGACTTCAAAGGCATTGGAAGCACTCGGTGGAAGCTGAAAAGGGGGCGTCTTCGCGGTTGTGGTGGGCGCTCGGTATGGTTGTTTGAGACTCGCATGGTCAGGATCTAGCGCGGGATCTGGCAGCTCCAGCTCCGGCGGCTTCTGGTCTTTGCTATGGTGCCTTTTATGATCCATCCCCGGGTCCGTAGGACTCCCAATTATACTCCCATATCTTGTCATGCCTGGGTATCCCGGTTCTTCGCCCTCTCTCAATGGCTGCTCTTCCGGATCGCGCAAGATGTATCGCCCCTGCGATGGGCTTTTCCCGTTGCCCTTGGGCTTGAAGCTAGAACTGTCATTGCGTATAGAAGCGTTCCGGCGGTCTAGCGCGCCTTCACGCCCAGCATGCTCACGTCCGGAACGTGAGCGATTTAAGAACGAGTACGTCGGTGCGGTTTCAAAAGGGTCAGGAGTGATGGTGTTGCCTCTCTGGCGGTTACGTGGAGTCTGGTTGACAGCTTTCACGGCTCGCGCGACGTCCTTGAGCTTCTTTTTGCCCAACTGCAGAGACAAGACGTTAGCATCCGAGAGCAGGAGTGATCGTGGAAGTTGGACCTTATAGTCGAGATATTTGATCCTCCACTCTGGAACACAGTCCCGCTCAAGCTCCCTGATAACAGTTAGGATTGTCTGGGTCCCTCGGTAGAGTTGCGTACTTTGCGAATTTCATTGCGTCGCTGTTTTAGATTCCCCTAGAATATGTATAGCGCCAGAAACTTGGTCCGACCTCGACACAGCGGTGGCATTAGGGGGAGAGAGGTAGAGACAGCATGCAGTTAGCATTAACAGTTCTGTAAGTCGTGGCACGCAGAAACGCGTGAAATTTTCGCGACGACTGATGGCAAAGTTTCAGGAGTCGTGGATGGACCGCATTGTGAGAGGTGCGGGGCCATCTACCGATCCCTGCCCGAGCCACCGGGACAACGTCATTTGCAAGGGCCCCTGGAGACCTAAACACTAGAAACATCGTCGCGAATATCACGAGTAGACCGCAAAGCATCACTTGCATGCCGAAGTTATGAGTGTTATTCATTGATTGATATAGAACTAACAAACGGTCGGGTCAGATTTCGACCCGCCGTAGGCCATCTATCAAACGTCTCCTACCAATCCTAGTCCCTACGGCCTATATAGCAGTCAAGCTATTCCAAGCTGCTGTCTACGAGGTCTGGCTCCTGTCTACCAGTTCTGGTTCTGGAGATGTTGGGGGCGGTCGTATTGGTTGGGATCGTACTGATCGGCACCTTGGTTCTGAACGTAGTGCTCGTCGTACAGCCGCTCAGCATTCTGCTTGGCGTGGCGCTTCGTCTTCTCCTTGTCGAACCAGTCCTCGCCCTTGGTTTCGGCGAGTTTGTCGACCTCAGCGCCAGCAAAGCCAGCAAGGAGCTCCTTGGCGAACTGATGAGAGACCGGCTTGCCTGCTAGGTGTCAGTAATAGCCGGTGATTGTCATGGGAATGAACGGCACGCCTGGGTGAACATACCCTCGTTGCGTTGGTGGTCCTCGAAGGCCTTGAAGCCAGCGAAGGCGGCGCCTCCAGCGAGCACCTCGTGGCCGAGGCTTGCTTGGTTGTTTTGGTCGTCGTTGTAGACCTGGTTGTAGTTGTCCTGAGATTCTCCTGTTGAGACGCTCGCAGTCAGTCACGTCGCCCAGCCAGGTGGTGGAAAACGAGAGTGCTTACCCCAGCCGAAACCCATGATGTCTGATTTGAGGGGTTGGATTGGATTGTATGGTTTGAGGTGACTGTGTGTTGGAATGCTGGAGCAGAGAAAGCTGACGGCTCTGGGCTATTTATGCTGGCTGGTGAAACAAGCTCGCCCGCTCTACCCCTCTTTCGTCATCTAGCCCTTTCTCGCCGTGCAGCGCATCGAAGACGTACGCAGGTGGGGCGCCTCAGCTGTTCAGGGTCCAATGGTGGCGGCCGCAGCATGGGGTTCAGGACCTCTCGGCCGTGAGATGGCCTGGAATCTGGTTAGCTCTGCAGCCGGCTGGCACGCCGCTGAGGGGCATGCGCCGAAGCTGTTGCGTCAATTGGCTGCTTCGTCATGCTTCTGAAGCGATCGTGTGATGGAGGTGAGGGGCGCATCCCTGTGGGCCTGGCGGCATCAATCGCGAAGCTTGGACGTGGAAGCACGCAACAAGCTCAGCCAAGTTGCTGGGCGAAGCTTGAACCTGGTGCAACACCTCGCAATTCCAAGGAACGAAGGCGTTAGGATCGCTGGAAACTGTGACGTTGAATAGCCACATGTAGGGTTCATCTGCACCATATTTGAAGCTGATATGATGTTGCCCAGACGAAGAGCTGCGAATCACAACAGGACCCAAGCTTTTCTGACGTCTTGGCAGGGAATCGCGGGAGATCTTCAGCGGGTGTGGAACTTCAGAAAGAAGGCTGTGATGTTGGCCCAATACAAACACCATGCCAGGCCGCCTTCCGAAGAAGGATGACTTTCCTGCCACAATTACCCTCAGCATCACCCCGCGTGCGTATTGCTCCTACCTCTCGGGTCTTCGTCGAGCTAACCTCGCCAGCACCTCCTTCAAACTCTCCAACCAACATCCTGCTCCTGCTCCACGGCCTCGGTGACACCAACGCCTCGTTTACTACTCTTGGCCAGCGCCTATCCCTCCCCGAAACCGCCTGCATTTCCATACAAGCTCCAAAGCCACTACCTTTCGACCTCGGCGGCTTTCACTGGGGCGATGACATCGTCTTCGACCAAGCCTCTGGTGAGATGGACGTGGACACAGGCTTCAAGTCGTCTACGCGTCTAGTCCTCGATGATGTAATACGCAAAGGCCTAGTCGAGAAATGTGGGTACAAGCCACGCGACATCGTAATCTTCGGATTCGCACAAGGCGCCATGGTTGGACTTCAAGTTGCTGCTGAGCTAATAGAGGATGAACTGGGCGGCCTAATATCTATCGGAGGTGTCATTCCATCCGGCGCCCCTCTCAAGGCATTGGATAAGAAGAGTAAAACACCTGTCATAGTGTGCAAAGGCTCGAAGAACTCCGCCGTTACGCCGAGTGCGATAACAAGGATGAAGGACACATTTGAGTTTATAGAGGTCAAGGAATGGAAGAAGATTGGGGATGGCATGCCAAACAATCGAGACGAGATGCTGCCTATTATGCAGTTCTTCGCCAGGAGACTCCGGAGTGTAAAGGGAGTACCAGCAGGCAGCGTGGAGATAACTTGAACATGACTTAGAGCACGAGATAAAGGTCAAGGCTTTCCTCAATATCATTTGCAAAATATTTCATATGAGATACGTTCTTCCTCGAATGCGCACTCGATACAAAGGGTCTGAACTGCGTTGCTCCCTGAGTCGTTCGGAGATTTAAGTTACTTCTCACGCCAATGAGGGATACTAGAAGGCATTACTGTAGATGTCTACTTGTGTGGCTCACAATTAGAACAACGTTAACAGGAAGTTCTTCCCATTCCTCTCCAGATCGTATCACGTGCTTCAGGACCGGGGTCGCGAGGTCGGCAATGACGTTAGGCGGGGATCTCACAACACTTCGTCCAATACTACAAATTTCTCAAATCCTCAGCACATGGGCTTGTTTCGATGTGTCTTGCACTGTAACACGCTCACACACGACGGCAAAATGGCAACCCCTCGTACCTCACTCAGAAGCTTCCTAGTCACCGCAAAAGACGCCATTCGTATTGCCATAGACAACAGCCAAAAGATCACGTTCGTGATTGGCAACGAATCAGCCGGTATAGCCCAATCAACACTTTTTTTCGTCACTTCCACTGACATGATTTGTAGATCTCGATTCTCTGACCTGCTCAATCCTGTACGCTTACCTCCGCTCAAGCTGTCCCCCTCCTCATGCATTCACACCGCTCTACGTCCCTGTCGCGAACATACCGTCCTCGGGGATACAGCTCCGTCCCGAGCTACTTGCCCTTCTGCCCCGCGCGAATATCGAAGCGAAGCATTTGATTACGCTGGATGACGTACCGGAGCTGTCCAGCATCAAGTCGAAATTACGCCCGGAAAATACCAAATGGATTCTAGTGGACCACAATGCATTACAGGGAACGCTTAGCAGCATATATTCGGAACGAGTCGGAGGCGTCATTGACCACCACGATGAAGAGAACAAGGTCCCGGCGGATACCGGTGATGAGCCTCGCATCATCGAGAAAGCAGGTAGCTGCACGAGCTTGGTCACAGAATACTGTCGTGGAGCGTGGGATACCATATCAGATACGGCGCTGTCATCTGGCGCAGCTCATGCACAGGGCGATGAAGCAGTAGAAGACGGAGCGGTGAGAAGGCTATGGGACGCGCAAGTTGCGCAGCTCGGACTGGCCAGCATCTTAATAGACACATCCAATCTGCAGTCAAAAGAAAAAACCACCGGACACGACGTCACCGCGGCTGAGTATCTTGAGGCTAAGATCATGGCCTGCACGCAGGTGGCCGGCGGATTTGACAGGACCAAGTTCTTCCAGCAGCTTGATACGGCAAAGAGGGATATTGGGGGCCTCAAGCTGCAGGATATACTAAGAAAAGACTATAAGCAGTGGACAGAAGGGGGTCTGAAACTCGGCATCAGCTCAGTGGTCAAATCCCTAAAATTCTTGCAGGAGAAGGCCCAAGCAGAAGCGAGTGGGCGTTCCACTGCAGATGTTTTCCACTCAGCGATCCGCCAATTTGCAGACGACCAGGAACTTGATATGTACGCCATCATGACAACGTCAACGTCGCCCGAAGGCAGTTTCCAACGCGAGCTTCTACTTTGGGCGTTCACAGCTGATACCATAGCCACCGCCCGGAAATTTGAAACGAATGCCGCGGGTGAGTTGGGTCTCGAGAGCTGGCACGGTCCAGACGGCAGGTCTCACGATGAGGACGGCGAGAAAGACTGGAGGAAAGTGTGGCGGCAACGCAGTGTCCAGCACAGCAGAAAGCGGGTTGCGCCGCTGCTTAGGGAAGCCATGAGTTGAAACAAGCACCAGGCAGGTAAGCAGTTATACGGAGTTCAGACAGCGCGATACGCGCTCAGCACCGACCTCTCAGAAGGTCCAAGTCGGTTTCGTCGGTCGAGTGTTCTGCAAGACACACCCGAGGGAGATGTGGCGGGAGATCAGCGGTCCGCTTGCTTGATTAGCAGCACGTCAGGTTTCAACGACAGGTTGGGCGATTCGCACAGTGGCCCAAAGTGTAATGCACTGGATGCCCAAGGAGAAAGTCGAGACCCGTTTTGCAAGACTCATCCGGACGGCAGGCCTCTCCCTGAAGCGGACTCGGAGCATGAGCAAGGGGCAAGGCTGATTGAAAATGGAAGCAATACAATCTTTATACTACCTAACTCTGTTGTTTTTCGAGTGGAAACGAGTGGCTGGAGGCACGCAAGCGGGACCATGCCTGGAGAGAGCAGAGCCATGCAGGCAGCCGGCAGAACGATGCCGATGTCTGGTTCTTGCGCTGATAGACAGATCGCGACGGTTTAGGACTGGTGCAGGCAGGGAGGACAGGTCTCGCCAGCGCCGGCCGTTGATTGCGCGTGGTGAATCGCACGCGGGTTTAGGTTCAATCTAACGACGCGCCTCTGGATGGTTAGGGAAACAGTCTTTGTCGCGGGCATTGGCGTGCAGGAGTGACAGGCTGGCTTGCATGCACCTCTGCTGCCAACACATCAACCTCGTGCAGGGCCGATCTGCCTGAACCACTGGCGACCCGCAACGTCGAGCGCTTGCGACCGCGTTCGTGCCGCGAAGGGGTCCGCAGAGGTCCTCGCGAAGGCTTGGAGGCGCGAGAAAGAGAATCCTTGCTGGCTCCGACGTCGGGCTGGGTCGCAGAAGGGGCCGCGGGGCCTGATGAAGCCACCCGCGGCGGGATCTGGCGTTCGACAGCGCAGTGGCGGAGCGGGAATGGGGCCTGGTGGGCCCAAGGGTCGAGCTGAGCGTGGTGGTGAGCATCGCGGTTTCTGCAGCGCGTGGCCGTGGCGGCCTGCACGCCGCTCAAAGCGTCCTCCAGCGCTCCACGGTGCCTCTTCGAGGTGCGCTGTGTGGCCTGTCAGCGCTGGGCGCCTCCATGAACAGCGCGGCTTCGGGGGCGTGATTCGCGGACGTCCACGCAGTGTGTGCTGGCTGCTGCAAGTCATCGGCCTCCATGTCCAACCTCCCATCCCAGCCCAGCCCTCTCCCAGTCGTGCTGAAGGCTCTCTCCAGGGCGGTCAGTCGCCACCGCTGCCGTCCAATCTGCCTGCTCGCCGTCGAACTTCTGCATCTTCCATCCCGCTGTCGCCATCGCATCGCATCGCCGCCGCCGAGCCCGCGCCTGTGAGGTTGGTCGAGTCAAGACACGCCGCTCTATCGATAACGGCGGCTGCCAGCACATCTTCCACGCCCTCCCAGCCCACTCCAACGCGACTTTGTTTCGGCCATGCTGCCGTAGACGATGCTGCCCTGACAGCGCGCCCATTGCCAGAGCCTCGCGATTCCTGATGGCGCAGCATGATTAGAAGAAACGACCACTCCGCCTCGCCGGCGGCCATGCTACACTCTACTCCGCGTATGTGGTCCACTACTCTACCTCTTCCCGCAGCCCTCAAACCTTTTCCCCCGCGTGCCCAATAGACTGCTCTAAGGAATAACGCGCACTGTACGATGAGCTGGCATAAGCTAACTGAGCCCTCCGAGTAGCCGTGTCCCCGACCCTCACCCACGTCTCTTCTAGAACCCACACCCCCTCGCAGTCCGACGTCCATGACCCTCCTCGAGAAGTCTCTCTCCGGTCTGCCAGTCCGCCACGGTCGCCCTCTCCGTCAAACCTCACCTCAACCATGGGAAGTCGACCTGGCGGACCCCTCGACCATGACCGGACAGCCAACGCTCAGCGGCCTGTCATCAATGCCTCCATCTCTGCTCCCGCCGGCCGCCTCCCACGCCTCCTCCCACAAGACCTGTCCCAGTACTCCGAGCCGTACTTGCCCACTGCAGCCGTCACAACCTCATCCACGTCCCTCGCCGAGTTGGCACATCTGATCCGACTCCAAGGCTACCAGGAGCAGCGCAAGGCTCACTCGCGCGTCAGGCTTCACAGATGGCTTGTGGCAAGCGCCCTCTCCGCGCGTCTGGTACACTGCGGAGAGCTAGCCCACCGCACTTTGGTTGACAGCTTCAGGTCCGATGATAAGAAAAACTTTGCTACGCTTTATAATGCCCTTCACGACGTTCGGAATTCTTGCGACGCCACGAGACGATATGCATTGCTGGAGCCTGATCTCGAATTTGGAATGTCTAAAAGCTCACGGAATGAAAAGTCGCAATCATTTTCTACGTTTATCAATGAGGTTCCGTCCAAAATTTTGGACGAGCTGCTCGATTTCGTCTCCGAAATCCGCACGAACCCTAGTTTCCTTGCTACTCGCATTTTGAATTTGTCACAGCAGGAGCTCGCTTCTTTAACTTCATTTCGTCAAGCGTTGGATCCCATTGATTCCGTCATGGCGTTGCAGGCTCGGGGTAAGGCTGTTGGGTCCGCTCAGAAGCCTTCTCAAGCCTCGAGCTCAAGTCCAGTAGAGCGTCTACTGTCTTTTCAGCGGCATGATCCTCTTTCTGCTCTCATTTATACCATTTTTGCAAATTCTTCGGGTCCAGACTCCGCTGAAGACCTCCGCCGAACGGATGCCCTGGCTACCACGTGTGCGAGGCTCATCACCGAAGGGAAACCCGGAAGTGACAAGTTTATCAAGCATGTCCTGGATGCCTGGGCCGGTATGCGGGAGTGGCCCGGAAAGGCCAATTTGGAGCTCTACCTAATGCAGGTTCTCCAGGATGGGCAGTTCCTGTTGGAGAAAGCCGAGGACCAGCCAGCAAGGCCAGGGACGCAGCCTGTCCCGCGCAGCACCAAGGATACTATTGCGGCTGATGACTTCTACGACAAGGCCATCAAGAGACTTTTCGAAGTCGTTGACGATGAGCCCAGCGCAGGAGGTATCCCGGAAGGCGTTCTAGAAATTGGTACTGCCATTCTCCGGAAACTTGAAGACTCCAACAAGCATCGTACCGCAGCACGAACTTTCATTGTGTCTCGTTGGTTCTTTTCTACCTACTTGTTAAACGCAATCATTCATCCCGAGGCACGTCTCACTTCTTTTCCATCCATCCTAGGAGTCTCTTACTGACTCAAAATAGAGCCAAGGTATTATGACTGGCCATCACATCAGCGAGCATGCCCGTCAAAAGATTCTCAAAGAGATTGCTATCAGGGCTCAGAAGCAGGTATTAGACATGACCTACAATTGGTATGACTACGCTCTTCCCATTTTGAAGACGACGCTAAATTGTCGGTAGGAAACAAGCTGTTCCCATACTTCCCGAAATACGTACTCATATCGACAACATTCTTGGCCGTTTCAAGCACACTCGCAATCAGTCGAAGCCTGTCCTTCTTCCCGCCAAAGCCATTACCTCTCCCCGCGAGACAGTGGAGGTGCAGCCCTTCATCGTTGTCTGCCCTTCGGACATCATCACTCTGGTCAACACGCTTTTCCCGGAACGTCGTCCTCCATCTAGTCATTTCGAAAAAGATCTGCAACGACGTGGAGGCCTGGCGTCCTCCGCTTCGTCGATCTCTGGGGTTTCCTTACCCTTTCACGCCAATTCAGTCTCCGGAGATGCAAGTTCTGTACTCAGCATTAGCGCATCGTCAATGACGAGTGATACCACATCGCGAGAGCCTCTTCTGGACTCCTCAGGTCATCCCATTGAGAGACACCCATTGCTGCCTGGAGAAAACTACCATGAGCTGCCCAAGATCGCACCGACAGAAGACTATGGAAGACGCCTGAGAATGGCTTGCTCTGAAATGTCTCGGATCCTTGGTGTGGAAGCATCCTCAGGATCTTGTCATCCATGCGCAGAGCGATGGGCCGTTCTATATGTCTCTCCGGATGGCAAAGAACTCCGGACTAGAATGCGGAAAGATGCTGATGATGAAGATGAGCATGACGATGATTCACCAGACAGTGACAGTGAAGATGAGGGGCCGTCTGACAGAATCGACCTAGAGAGCGATTATCATCAGTTAAAGGAAGCAATTGGAAAGTTGGTCGAGGAATACGAGATTCCGAAGGAACTCGCACCCGAAAGCGAGTCCAAAGGCTTCAGTAACCGCACTTCCACACATCGCCGGGATGCAAGGAAAAACTTAGTCCGATCAGAAAGCGACAACCTGGCTTCAAGAAACCCATACCACAACCAAAGTCAAAGTCAGCTCACCAATTTGATTGCAAGTCAGCGAGCTATGCCAGCCCGACATCGATCACCACAACATCCAAGAAGCAACAGCAATCCAGATCCGAAGGATGCTCCGCAAGACAAAGCATCAGTACTCGTTACGATGCTTGAAGTAGCAATGCATCAATGTCAAGCTCGCTCAGACTTTGTCAGCGCTCATCTTTACTACAAGACCCTGCAGACCCTTCGAAAGCTTTCATCACCGTCTCTCGTCCGAAATGGCTATTCTGCTCTCCTCAACTACTTTTCCAGAGGCCCACGGGACTCCCTTGGGAAGTCAGCTAGCGCCATCGAGGAGTTCGAGGCCTGGTTCGTCTGGCTCAAGCAATCCCAAGAGCGGCACGATACTGCAATCGATGACATGATCCTGGGATTAAAAAATCTTCGCGATAAGATGTGGTACATCACCGACGTCCGCAACTCCGCCGGCTACGAAGAAGCCAAGAATGTTGCTATTGCCCTGAAGATCATGGGACAGCCGACCAAGACGCTCGACGGCAAGCCAATCCAGACACCTCGGCCCCGGAACTTCTCCAAATCATCCACCAACAATTTCTTGCTCAAGACAGAAGCTCAAATTGTCGACCTCATGGCGGCTAACTCAGATCACGGTGGCCCTAACAAATTGGCCGACGAGCAATCCGAATTGACCCTCCGCTGGCTAACACAGTACGGTGTCGAGAATTTCTGCAAGGGTGAAGAGAGAATTCACCGATTCTGTCTTGAAATTGACAAATGTGTCGACAAGCTTGTTGGCGACGGCATTCTTGATGGCCCAGTCTTGTGGTCTTCGGAACTCTACCGCCGTGATAAAGAGATTCTTGACAGCGGTCGACAGAAGGGCGATCTTTTCTTAACTGGCGTGGGAACACTATCAATTGCCGGTGACGAAGAGTATGAAACGCAGCATAACCGACCAGGTTCACGAAGCCTGGACTTCGCCCAACGCCCCAGTCAAAGCAGTCTACGTTCAATCTCGGACCGCAATATATCTCAGCAAAGTTTTGAGTCTGGCAAGTTTGGCTCGGGAAGGAACATGGACCTAATGGATTCCCAAGATTACTTCGGAGGCTCTAGTCCTGTGCTCACCATCGATTCTACAACGACGTTCTGGTCTCCCTTCCAAACGCAAGCTCAGTCACCTACTAGTGCCACCAGCATTCGACCTCGGACCGCGTCGTCTTCGAAAGGAACCGTGATGCTCAAGCAATCAGCCACTGTGAATGAGGACAAGCGTCGATTCTTGTTAGATCTCAAGCAAACATTGACAGGCTTGCTTCTCAGTGATCTTGGAACTATGGTGTTTGGTCACGGCAGCGAGACGGACGCGTGGTTCTCTGGTGATCTTGGGGAGGAGTGTATTCAACGAAAAGAAGAGGAAGATCGTCGTCGGAAGAGAGCATTAGCGAGAAAGAAAAGTATGAAGAGCATGAAGAGTTCTGCTCGTGCCGAGCATCGTTCCGGTCCCTTAGAGACATTGGGCCGTAATGAGCGGAGTCAGCCGGCAGCCCCGGTCGCAACGCTTCAACACGCTGCACCCGACACGCATCACTCAGCTGGAGAATACTCCACATCATCCAGTGATGCCACAGCTCGGTCCTCGGGTATGGCAGCGGCCAAGAAAACTGGGTTACTCGAATTCCCCTACAACATGGCTTTCAGGCGTCTTTTGAACAAATTCGCCACGCATCCCAATCCTTACTCGAAACTGCACGCCCTCTACGAGCTAGAGCTCCTCATCATCGCGTCGTTGACGTCACGTTCGGGCCGATCTTACAATAGCCGTCGCGAGACGCTTCCAACAGTTCCTCAGTCGCCAACTCTGGGAGCAATGCCGGAGCTCAGCTCTCGTGAACCCGCCGCACATGTCTCACGTGCTCAGAACCTTGAAGAAGCCATCGCCAATTGCGAAGAGCGTCGGTCGCACAGCATGACTGTTCAACACGGCAACGGTACTGCCTCTCCAGTTCCGTTCCGCAGTGGCAGTGGCGCTGGTACTCGCTCCCCTGTTGGCCCACCCAGCACCGACATGATTGTGGAAGTTCTGCAAGGCTTGTTCCGTGACGCTGAGATTCGCCCAAAGACGCTCTTCCGGGATCTCCAGTATATCGCCTCATTCGTCCCAGCCCAGATGCTCGACAAGACCGCCCGCGGCAAAGCCTTCTGGGACGCCGGTCTTGCTGCTCTGGGCCTGAAGCAAGACGTCTGCCGTGTCATGGTTGAAATCGCCGACGAAATTGTTGCTCTCAACACCCAAAACCGCTCCACCAGCATCTCCGCGCAAAGTCAAGGCAGCGCGGGTCTTAGCACGCCGTCCTCGACGAAAACAACCTCATCATCTCCCGCTACTCCAATCCCTGCCGATGACCCTCTTTCCCGCTACACGATGGAAGATGCGGCACGCATGCTCATAATCACAGCCAAGGAGGGAGATGCTGTCGCAGAGCGTGAACTCGCCATCTTCTACCTCACGCACCCAGACCTCCTTCAGCGAACCGTCTTGCCCCTGACGAAGCCGCGTGATGTATTCAAGAGCGAGCTACTTAACAGAGATCGCAAGAGGGAAGACATGGCGCGTAGCGATCCGATGACGATGTGTGTTGCACAGCACTGGATGGAGATGAGCAAGAAGGGCGGCGATGTACTTGCCACTAAGTACTTGCGTGCACGCGACGAGATGGAGAGAATTCCGTAAACATGCGTACGTGAGGAAAAAAAGAAAGAAACATACATGTTGGTGTTGATATTGGCCGGGATGGAGTTCCCGATAATTAGGACCGAACGAGTCTGGGTGAAAGGGCGATACTTTTCCATACCTTCCCCTCCCTCCTCATCTATCCTTTGTTTTGTTTTTAGTCATTGCTGTTTTTTGACATCAAGTTGCGCGGCATAGCGATTGGGATCGGGTTTGCACAAAGCGAGCGTCAAGCGTGCGGGTTCTAGCATTATTCCCCCCTGATGATTGATTTGATACATTTGAGCTTGTTTATGGTTGTCGGGCTTTTCATACGCGGAACGGGAACGCAAACGTAATCTATTACCTCCCTCGTGCTTCGTTTCATATATGGGTGTGGGGGTCGAGTCTTGGACGTATATTATTCTTTGTCTTCTTCTTGTGCGAATAGATTTCGAGCTTGGATATGAATGGGATGGGGTCATGGCTCAGGAGATCAAGAAGACGGTGCATTCACGAGTTCCCTTTGGAGTAGTATAGCTGGGAAATGTGGTGGGAATAGATGGAGCTGTGGTGGAGTGAAAGGGGACCAATTATATACATCTATCGTATACCATGTTAAAACTTTGTGTCTTTCTGCGTGTGGTATTGGCGTCTCCAATGGGCTTGCTGCTATCGCATTTGGACCTTCCGCGAGCTCTATCAACTTAGTGCGTCAGAGCACGCTAGCTGATCACCCATCACGTGATCTACGATCATCCATCAACTTGACTCCGACCTCAACTCCAACTGTTTCAGAAACTACCACTAGTTATGACATATTTTCTTCGCCCAACGATCGAAAATGGGCAAATTCGATGCCGTCAAAAGATCCTTATGACGCTTGGCTCGATGTTCTACCGTCAAAAATTTCCACGTCAACCAAAGCCGAGATGCCGAAAACTATACGCCATAGAGGAGGTCAATAGCGCCCAGATTCTCTAGAGAAGCGATGAGGTAGAAACAACCAAAATGAGCTAACTAATATGCAAACGGACATGGCTACCGAAGCCGCCATTTATATAAACAAGCCTAGTAGAGGCAGCACGAGAGCTTTTTCCTTCTGCGAGATGCCCCAACCTCGGGTCATCCTCATCCACGCAATAGCAATTTCAAAGTTCATTTGATTAATAGCACTATCCAGGGCTTCCAAGTAACAATGTCCTCGTGCAACGTTTGCTATTCAAGGACAGGAAAGATACCCTGCTGGCTTTTGGACCGGGAAATAGATTATACTCAACCATAGCACCGTGCAGGGTTCTCCACATTTCTTATATATGCGGGCATTATTCCAGATCCCCCATTTTCCTCATTCAGTAGACCTTGTACTCACACAGCTGAATGGACATTACATAACCGATGGCTTATAAGCGTGCTAGATGGTATTGGTGAGAATAGTCACATCAGCTTTTTCCCTTGACGAGGCTAGAAATCATTCTTGGCAACTCTCCAACAGGATCAGAAATCCTCCGGGGAACTCTACATAACAAACTAGAAACCTTGAGTGAGGAGCTTCATTTACAAAAAATAAGAAGAATAAGGTTTTGATGTGATGTTGTACATATATATTGCGAACGGCTATGAACACTGGTCAATTTCCTCCTTACCAAGAACGAGCTGCAGATACCTGATATGGTGCTCATTGGTATTAATTATTTCATTTCACAGTAAAAGTATAAAAAGAGCATCAACCTGTACTTCGATCTTCTCAAACAAAATCATCAATCAATTCCACTTTCAATCATCTGTTACAATGGCTCCAACAACTTGGCTACCTCTTCTCCTATACATCCTCACTACCTTCTTCATCCCTCTACAAACGGTCGAAGCGCTAGTCAAGCGAGCTATGCCAAAGCTGACTCTCCCCTACGCTACTTACGAGGCCGCAAACTACAATCCCCTCTCAGATGTTCGTTCTACTTCCTCTATATGTACCTTTCCCGGTCCTGATGACGCCAAAGCTAATGGAGATTTTCAGGTCTACACATTCAAAAACGTCCGCTTCGCGGCTCCGCCCCTAGGTGACCTCCGCTGGGCAATACCTGAACAACCACTTGTTGAACCTGGGGTCCAGAACGGATCGGTTGGATTTGCATGCACGCAAAGCTTGCCTGCAGGACTGAATGTGGGTTCGGGGAGCCGCAGTCCGAAGGTAAGTCAAAGTTTAGATTGGCTTGGGATAGGCTGATTGATTGAGCTAGATTATTTCTTCCTTGATGTATACGTGCCAGGCAAGGCAATTCGGGGGGAAGTAGCGAAGTTACCGGTGATCGTGTGGATATATGGATGTGGGTACATTACCCGTCCCTTTTCCCTACTTTCAAAATCTATATTACTGACTCTCTTTTTAAACAGTTACTCGGCCGGGTCAAAGGATGGCGGGATCTCTCTAGGGCTGTACGACGGAACCGGCCCAATCGTGAGTTCTGGTGGCAATATCATCGTAGTGACGTTTAATTACAGGGTAAGATGGACTACTCTTAAAAGTTCAGTGTGTCAGCTTACTTGACATTCGAAGGTCGGCGTGTACGGGTGCCTCGCCGGCAGGACTGTCGAGGCTGAAGCTGTAGCTAACGCCGGTCTCCACGACCAGTACGCCGCCTTCGAATGGGCGAACAAATACATTTCCATCCTCGGCGGTGACTCTAATACCGTCTCTGCTTGGGGCGAGTCCGCAGGCGCCGGTTCAATCTACCGGCTCCTAACGAGAGAAAGCGGAACGGTAGATCCCCTTTTCTGGCGTGCGGTTATCTAGAGTCCAGGGTTTCCGGATAAGATTGACCGCAACTGCTCTATCGAGCGGGACTACCAGAAGTTCGAAAAAGCAGCGGGATGCGAAGGTCAGGGATTGGCGTGCTTGCGCAACACAGACGCCTCCATTATCAACCAGGCCAACGATCTAGTTACTAGTAATCCAATTGCCCCTGTGGTTTTCAGTCCGGCGCCAGATGGGATTTATTTCCGTCAGCATCCTGCAGTAGAGTTCGCCTTAGGTATAACTACTGCATATTCTCTTGTTGTTGTTGTTGTTGTTTATCTCAGCTGCTAATATATGCGCCAAAGGCAATAACTGGGCGGAGATGGATTCTGTTATCCCCTCGCACTGCCTTGATGAAGGAGCGTTATTCGTCAACCACTCTATCCTAACGGACAAGGATCTTAACGACTACCTTGAATATACCTGGCCGGCTTACGCAGTCAAAGACTACGATGTAGTAAATAAAATCGAGGCCGAGTACCCTTCCGCGGCTTTCAAAACCGAAGCGGATAGATACAAGGCCATTATTGCACAATCCAGCTTCCTCTACAATACCAATTTTCTTAGTGTTGCGTACTCTGGCAAAACCTACAACGCGCAATTTTCCGCACTCAACGGAACTCATGGCTCAGACGTTCTGCCGACCTGGTACGATCCTTTCGCCTTTACCAATGTCTCCGGGATCGAGCTCCCGCTTTGGAGTACGTCGCTATTCAAAGGCTTGCCGATCCCAGGTGTTGCTCGCGGATATCAGTCATACCTCGTCAGCCATGCCCGCTTTGGCAACCCCAACTCCAACCAGTCTCTCAACATTCCGCCAACGATAGAGTGGCCGGTGGTGGGGGGACATCCTGACGGGTCTTCCCCAAACTATCTTTGGGATGTGCTTAATGTCACCGACACTGGCTTTGAGCTTATCGAGGATAGGACGCAAAATCGCTCTATTTGCCTTTTCTGGGGCGGGATTATTTTCGCGACCACGGTCTTTGGTGGGTATGACTTCCCTAGGCTCGCGGGTGGGTGGCGCGTCTAGCTAGACAAAATGCGAGGAAAACAGCATACAGTGCTAGATTGTAGACGCTTGTTTGCGACTAGCTTGACGGCTTTTGATGGTAGCAGGTCGGGTCAATTAACTTTTCCAGTGGCCTTACAATCCTGTATAGTCCGGTGGTTCTATGAATGGTCAGCGAGTTTGTGTGACATGCGAAATCACCAGAATTAGTAGCTACTTATTGCTATACTAGTACATACTCTCTCATATGGTCACACTACCCAGACTTCCCATCCGCCGCCAGTTCGTGCATCCGCCTTCGGCCCCTTCTCTCGGCCGTTCTGGCTGGACATAGGAGTTCGGGCGAACATGTTATATGCCTCGGAAACGGTTGAAGTCGTCATCTCTCTTTCTGCATACCGCGCACGATGGAAGGCCCCGGTCCATGATAGATTAAGGTTGGCGCTCAATATGACTGCGGAGTGTTGGATAGACTGCGTCAGAAGTGCCATTGTAGACATGCAATTGAAAGGCGAATACGAGAAGGAATTCCAAACAAAAAATAAAGGAGATCTATCCTTTAGAAAGAGGTCGCTCTTGGCTAAGAGGATTTGGGCCGGCATTGTCGAACATTACACAAGCCGAGTATTATCATTTGACAGCGACGGGCATCCCGCGCTTGCCAGTTTCGCATTCAGGTTCTCGGGAGTAGTTAGCGGACGATACGTAGCTGGTCTCTGGGAGAAACATCTACCAGGCTGCCCAACTTGGAAGGCAGGCAAGACGAAAAACCAAAGAGGGAAAAGGACACAAAAAGAAATCCCACCACAACCCCAACAGCATCCCGCCTCGAACCCAAGAGCAAAAGGAAAGGGTTCCGAAGAACATTCAGTTTACACTGGGTAATATGTTTAGATATAATAATATATACTTGATAGAAAAGCTGAACGAGTGAAAAGCGATATTGAGATAGAGGGGAGGCTATTGGAGAGGCTGGCTGGTTGGACATGACACATTGGGGGGCGCGTTCCGTGGTTCACCGTGAGGCTACATGTGTCCCCTCTTCTCTTCGTCAGCTCACGGAACTCCGGGGATTTCTCTTACGGTATTTTTGGGAGCTGTGATTGGCACACATAGCATGGTGATTATAGAAGGTCTGGTTTGATGGATTTGGGATAGAGCGATTCTGGATATTTTATGATACGGATCTGCCTCCATCTGTATCTACAATGGGATCCTCAGGTAACCTGAACATATGAGCTTTTCGACTCATATCAACGTTGGGCGATATTGGAACGAATTGCGGGGACTGGTGTTGAGAAGATATAGGAGGGTTGGCCTCCACTCCTCCATCCAGTGATGTCCCTTCATCAGTCCTCATAGGTACCTCGTCGTCCCTAGGTCGCTCAGGTATGGGTTGGCCGGAAGATCTTAGCCTCCGGCCGTGAGTATTGGTCTCTTCGACCTTCTCTCGGACTATGGATAGGGCCTCTTCGTTTCCTTCGTATGGTTTTGAGATTTCGTCCTGCCGCACTAGTGCTTCGATCGACGGCGCTGGTTCTGGCTGCTGAGTCGGCGTACTGTCTGTCTGAGCCTCGCTGGGCTTCTCTCCCGTCTTTTCTACTTTGGCCTCTTTTCGAGTCCTGTTTCGTCTCGCGTTCGCTATCAACTCCTCAAACTGGTCTTTGTTGCTGGCAGCCCAGCCTTGTCCATCAAAGTCTTTCCTCATTACCGCAGAGGGCACCGTTGAGGCGCCAGCTCCTTGGCTACGCTCCCAGGTATCTAATTCTCTCAAAAGCTCCCTCTTTGTTTTGGGCCGCGTCGAGTCGCAATTCGAATTCCACAAGTTGACCCATTCCGTATGGCGTCGGATAAGCAGAGCGCGAGAACCATGAGCCGCAATTCCTAGATCCTGCAACTTCTTCTTTAGAGCGTTGTCTTTCAGCAGCGAGTAATTGAATTGGGGTAATCGAGCAGCGGAAGGCGGTGGTTCCTTTGGTTTCGAAGGCTGAACCCTAATGAAACAAATTAGCCGCGAAATCCACATGCAGGCAGTACATGAGACATACCTCGAACGACCCGCCCCATTGTTGTTTACAGGCTTCCCATCGCATTGATCCAAATGCGCGTAGACCAGCCCCACTTTCATCCGCGACTTGCAGATCGGGCACAGCGTCGTCCCCTCTTCTGGGTCATAGTCTTCATCGCCACTGTCATCCACTTCAATCGGCTCTTCTTGAGATATCCCATCCACTGCACTCCTACTCCTTCGCGTCCGGCGCGGGCGACGCGTCTCTCCAATATCGTCTTCCTCAATATCTGTTTGGTCTAGCTTCCGCTTGCGTTTTGCCCTCTCAGTCTCCTCATCCTCCGTTCCCGCTTTCGCCTGCGCGAGCTTCAGCGCTGCAGGCCTCGCAGCCTTGAATGTGTCGACCAGCTCTTGCACCACCCAATTCCTCCTCAGTTTATCCGCCTGGTCGCTAGCGCGGCAGGTCGGGCATTTGCCGTCAGAGTTGAAACAGCGTCGGATGCAGAGGGAGCAGAAGGTGTGCGAGCACGTCGTGATCATGGGCGTGTCATAGAACTCCTTGCATACTTGGCAGCGTAGCGCGGCTTCGAGCGGCTCGAAGGAGGAGAGGGAGGTGTTGAGCCAGTCGGTGGGGTCCTCGACGGTGTGGAGCTTGCTCATGGTGTGTGTGTGTGGGTTGCCACGTTGGTGAAGCGGGATTGAAGTTAACTTGAAGTGTGAGACGCGAAAACGTCCGGCCCGTGAGCACGTGATTCGGAATGAATTCACGAGTGTAGCCAATCACGAATTCACATTTTAGTTCATGATTTCTTAATGGACTATTGACTTCATTTTGTCCCATGTTGAGAGACCATGTTGGTATTCTCCAATGCTTCGCGATCGTTCAATCTCTCTCGCATCTAGACGCCGTGACGTAGATGCTTTACTCAAGAGCTTCCATCGACCTCTGACCCAAAGGGTCCCCTACGCATCAAATATACAAGACTCAGAGAGCTTTAGAATCGTAGAACAGAGGTCTTGCTCCTGACGCCGTCGAATATGCACGTGTTGTCCACCGGGACGTATTGCTTGGTGATCACCTTGATGACCTCTTGAGACACCAAGCCACCTGTAAGAGCGGCGATGTTGTGTAGTTCAGCACCACCGGCACGAACGCTATGAAAATATGAGTTTTGCAATCTTGAACACAAAGGAGTCTGAAAACTTACATCTCTTGCACAAACTCTGCGGCCTTTGACTTTGCCTCAGAGTAGTCTGGATCTTCGACAACCGTTCCAGCTTCCTTGATCAAGTCATCGATGATCTTGAAAGCAATACCAGTAACCTTCTCCGCATCTGCCTCTGCGTCTGTCTCACCAGGGATCTTCGCTGCTCCACCAAGCGCATCTGCGGCATGCGTGGATGTGAAGATGTCAAAGGCGAGGAAAGCGATGTAGATCAAGATAAGAGACTCCGGATTGGTGAGTCCTTGAACTGCACATTAAATTAGTAGAATTCTAGAATGAAACCGTCCATATCATACCTGCGGCCTTGGCCCTATCCTCCCACTTGACGCCTTTCCCTGGCTGCACAACATGGAATGGCCTTCCTCGCACCAGCTTGATGTGCGCAGCATTCTTGCAGAATAGTTCCACTTCTTTCTCTTCAGCGGTCTTTGTCTTACCAAGCTTCTTCTCGAGCCCTCGTACCCTCTGAAGGACCTCCGAAAGATCTGCTCGGGCCTTCGACTTGTACACATTCTGCAGCTGGACATAATCCGCAGATTGTGCCTTCATATCCGGAACTGATCCAGGCAGCGGAAGTGCACCACGGGCAACATAGAAACTCCAGATAGCGTTGGCTATTATCCAGAAGTCCGGGGAATCGGCCGTAAGGAGCTTGCACTCAGACGCATCAAAGACTTCCTTCACAGAGCTCTTAAGCTCAGCTGGATTGAGAGACTTCAAGACAGCCGCCACAGCCTCGTCGTAGTTCTCCTCCCCACCTTCTGCATTGTCTGTCCTCGCCCCCTGTGACACCGTCTGCCTGAAAGCAGTCTTCTCCTTGTAATTCTGTGGTACTTGTCCATCGTGCGTCTTCTTCCATTCTTCTAGATAGTATAGTAGCAGACACAGATACGGCACGTGTCCATGGTCATGGTGGTTCATCTCCATTAGTCCACTTGTCTTTTCTGCTGTGTATTGCGAGAGCTCTGGCCATGGCGCCAGAAGGCGGAGGTCGGTGGTGGTCTCTGGATCCGGGTGTGTATCGACGATGGGAAATGCAGGGGGTAAGTGGATAGAGAAATGGGAATAGAATCCCGTGCAGTGTATGTAGAATGTTGGTATGGCGGAGGTCTCGGCGTTTGCAGAAAGCTTAGAGAGGAGCTCGGGGGCGATGGGCGCGGTAACGAGGATCAAGGTATATGGTTTCAAAGCGTCCGCTTTCAAGAGGAAAGACTCGATGCGCTAGTAAATAGTCAGCAAACATTCCTCTTGAGGAAATGGTGAAGGCCAGGGCATACCTCTGTGATGTAGCTGCCTTGCACGTCTGGATTGAGCTCTTTTAGGAGGTTGCAGGTATGCTCTGCCCTGAATCCCCCCAACTGCTCTTCTTCGAGAAAGAAGTTGACGCCTAGATCTTCCTCGGAGACTATTGTGGAGTCTAATATGGTGAAATTACCAATGCCTATGATTTGTCAGAACCCGTTCCCTATTCTTAGTTGTACAGACGAGACGAACCTGGCAAGACGAGATTCTTCAAGGTTTCCACTCCCACGACACCCGGACCGGAGTTTATGAGGAGTATATGAGACTCCTCTAGCGCCGCCTGCCCGCTGGCAGCCCATAGTCGTAGCTGGCGATCATACCTAGAATAGTTAGGAAGTGCTTGGAATCGTGGAGAGTTGACAGCCTTACTTCTTCTCCTTCGAGGTCGGCCCTTGAAGGATCGGGGGTGTTGTGCCTGTCATGGCTGAATATGGGTTTGATCACCACCAAAGAGTCGGGTCAAGCTTCCAGCCTCAAACTTGAGTGTGGTGGGAAGACTTTTGGATGGCGTAGTCGGGAACGGTGAGGAGGTGGAGATTCGAGCCCTTGCCGTTTAGAAGCTATGGGTGCTACGCGTAGTGCTCATCCACCCGCGTCCAGGATTCACCAGATATCAGCTACAGCGTCGACGAGGCGGCAGTGAAGGTAGGTAACGTGATGGATTCCAGGCACCGCCCGAGCTGCTGTCACCGCCCGGCAGTACTCCGAGGCGCCAGCAGGGGACAGGAGGGGCTCGAGGGCGGCATCGTGATTGGACCGCCAGACTTGCTCTCCGTAAGCTGTGCTCAGCCTTACGAAGCACCAGAGCCAGACTCAACCACTTGCGCCGGCGGGGTCCTGCTCGAGCCTGACGTGCCCAGAGACCGTGTCCCCCGTTACACTCTGCATCCCTTATATTAGTTGTCTCAATCGCCCCCGATAGCAGCGTAGCACCCTCTCTTCTAGACCTCAAGTCTCCTCACGCCACGTCTTGTGACGTTCATGCGCGTCTATCGTCAAATCCTCCCCACGCTAATACAGAAAACTCCGCGGCGCCCATATACTCCCACAGTCGCCCTCAATTCTCTTCGTACTTCAAACTCTGAGTCCTGTTCTTTCTCCCTACTCCGCCAGAGGCATACAGTTACCTACAAACCTCAATTGACCCCCACTCGATTCTCCGCAACGCCCCTCCAACAACCCCGCGCTCGCTCCCTTCACACCACCACGTTCAACAACAATATGACAGACACAGGCATCGAAGCCGCAAAGCGCAAGGCCGCAATCCGGGCTGTTGAAGAGCACTTCTCGCCCGACTTCTCCTACGTCGGCATTGGCTCCGGCACGACCATCATCTACGTCGTCGAGGCCATAAAAGAGCGCAGCACGAACCCAAACATCCTCTTCGTGCCCACGGGCTACCAGTCACGCCAGGTAGTTACCCATGCCGGGTTGACGCCCATCGCATTCGACTCGCTGCCCGAGGGAAAGATGCTGGACGTCGCCTTCGACGGCGCCGACGAGGTGGACGAGGACCTCAACTGCATAAAAGGCGGTGGAGCGTGCTTGTTCCAGGAAAAGCTAGTAGCAGAGCGCGCGAAGAAGTTCGTTTGTGTAGCAGGTAGGTCGCTAGTCGCTCTCTAAACCTTCAGATCTTGAGTGCTGACCGTCTCTCCCAGACTACCGCAAAGACCAGCCCCGCCTCTTGACAAATTGGCCCACCATCCCCATCGAGGTCGCCCCGATCTCCATCAACACCGTCCTGCGCTCCCTCCGCCTCCTCGGCTCTCCCAATCCCCACGTCCGCACCGGCCTGCTCGCAAAGGCTGGCCCACTGAAGACGGACCAGGACTTCTTCATCATAGATGCGCCGTTCCCCGTGCTGCTGACGGCCAAAGACACGGCGTCGGGGCTCGGCGCTGGCGACGGGACTGGCGGGAAGTGGGAGGTTGAGCGGCTGAGCAAGGAGATAAACCAGATTACGGGTGTTTTGGAGGTGGGGTTGTTCTGTGGCCTGGACGGCGTGCAAGCGGAGGCGTTGAGGGAGCAGGGACTGGGCAAGGCTTCTGTGCTTGGTGGGCAGAAGCCCGTAGCGGTGTATTTCGGGATGCAGGATGGGTCGGTGAAGGTGAGGACGGCGAAGGGTGGAATAAAATAGTGATGAGCGTATTGGAGAGCGACGGAGCATTTTGGGAAGATATGAGTGAATGTGATGTGTATACGTAGTGACTTTTTGTGAATGCGCAAGATGAATGGCATAGATGTAGATTCATAGTTTAGCATCAATCAAGTCAAGTTAAGACAAGTCACGAAAGCCAGATTACAATGACTACTCACGACCAGTCAAGTCACGATGGCGAAGCCAAGAACTTTTCGAAGATCAACAATCCTTGAATTCAAGGTTGATTTGTATCTAACATAATGAGTACCCATCGCTAGGAGCAAGATCCAAGCAGAAGCCGATGCTATTCAAATGTCTGAAAGCCAGGCAATGCCAACCCGCCGCTCAAAATGCAATCCAACACAGATCGAAAGTAGCTTTGCCAACAGGCAAGCGTACCAACAGACCACTAAACACCGCCAAACCAGTCGCCGGTGCATAAGGCATCCAAGGTCGGTCTGAGCCCTTCAGAGCCAAGGAGCCAAGCAATGCATATGCAATTCATGATGTAGGAGAAGACCACTGCAGCCGGAATAGACACCGCCGCAGTAAAGAGAGAAAATGAAAAGAAAAAGTCAGACAAAACGCCGTCGCTATGATTTGCTTGCCAGTGGAGCATACGCTCGAGTCGCAAGGTGATGATGTTGTGATGATCAGGAAGAGACTTTCCGTGAGGCCTCCCGGTAAGGCGCTCAAATGGGTATATCATCAAGAAAACCGGGGATGGAATAAGGAAACATGCCGATTCAGCCGTGAGACGTGGAATATGGTCGTGACGTGGACGGAGATCGTGGAGATGAGAGAGGTATCTGTGAAGTTCAGATGTAGAGAATCTTGAAGCCGTCGTCGAGACCGGGAGATGGTTTCTTGGTCTGTGTGGTGGCCGACATGCCCTTCTTGACGGTACTGGGGCTCAAGCCTTTAGCTTCGGCGATGGCGCGCTCCTTTCGAGCTGCCTTTTGAGCGTGCTTCTTGATGTCCTTCTTCTCGCGAGCAGACGGAGCCTTGCGGCGCTGAGGGCCAGTCTGACGTTGGACAGTCTTTCGACCACTCGGAGACTGGGGCTTCTTGAGGTTGATCTTGACCCGAGACGGAATGCGTTGGCTATCTGGAACGGTCGGAGAGTTGTAGTCTCCCTGATAGAACGACTCCATGTGCCAGTCTGGCTTCGAGTCCGAGTCCGAATTGTCGGGAGAAGCTGGATCCGCAAGGGGTAGGCCATAGGATCCGGTGTCGGAGGTGAGCGACTCTTGAGAGCTGTTGGCGTGGAGTCTGACAAGGAATGGATGCGGAGGCTTGGGAGCCTTCGTCTTCAGGGTGCGGGTCGCACGGCTGAGGCGACGGTCACGACGCTTGTTCGGACCGTCCGTATCCTCAGTGTCGGTGTCAGTGTCTCTCTCGACACTTGAGCCGCCTGGCGAGGCGCTGCAGCTCTTTGCGTCGATCAAGCTGGAGATTGCATTGTTGACGTTGCCCTTAGCTTCTTCAAGCGCCTTCTTGATCGTACGTTCGTCTGCCAGGAAAGGGAGTGAGGTCGAGACCGCCTCGAGCATCCATGGCTGATCATATGGAGTAGTGGCAAGCTTAGTCTGCTGCGTCTTCTCTTCTTCCTTGGTGAGCTCAATCATCTGGACGTTCGGCAGGCCGGTGTGGGGCCCATTGATGTTGCGGACGGACGAAAAGTGCTCCCAGGTCTAGACGGATTGAGTCAGCACGGATTCCAGCGACATGTAGCTGAGCAGCAGAACAGCCGGCTCGATGGTGGGACTTACGTGGTAAGCAATGTGAACAACCGGGCGCTGGCCCTCCGGCTCGTTTGCATTCTCGCCATGGACCTCGCCATGGACCATATAGGCGAATTCGCGCTGGTAGATCTTGACATCGACGCGGAACGCAGAGCTGAAGGCAGTGATTTCCAAGTTGTCTCCATACGTGCCACCACGGGCCATGGCTCGCAGGTGCTCCTCGAAGGTAGCATGGATCTGCTCGTCGGTCGGGGCAGTATTGTCGAGGGGAGCATTGACAGCGGCCGTGTTCTTGCGCTTGGGATTGCGTCTCGTACCGCCTCCAACGTTGACCGTAATGAAGCTCTTGTATACGTCGGCGTGGTCTCGCATATATGCAATGACCTTGGCGCGAATCTCACGATGCTCGCTCTGATCGCCGTACAACTGGTCAGACAAGGCATTGAAAAGGCAATTTCCTGGAAACACGTCTGAGTTAGCACTAACATGGTGCAGGAATTGGAAGAAGTTTACCGTCGCCGCGGATCTTGCTAGCATAGAGGCCAAAGCCAGCAAGTTGAGGGAACTCGGTTGCGGAACGCATGTTGGGTTGTGATCGGTCGGTCGAAGGTATTGTGAGGATTATGAGGGAGGATTGTGTGAGGGAGGAGTGTGTGAGAGAGAAGCGTAGAATATAAGGCTTTCTGCATGAAGGTTTGAACACGGCGTGGAAAGGTTTTTTAGCAGAGTGGCTGGGCGAGCCAGCATCCGCGCGACAATAGCTATTGTCGCAAGTGAAGAGCGAGTATTCTTATGACGATGCCCATGTACCTGGCCCCAAACGTAAGCTGGTACGATACCGCGCTATGCCGCTTTGGTGAGCTCAAAGACAAACGCCCTGCGACGCCGCCCGCTGCCTGCGCCGTGCGCGCGAACTGTCCAGGCTGCGCGGTCGGGGTTTGGGTGTCGAGCAACGCACAATCGTGCACGAGAGATGCAGCTTCAACGCGGGCAGTCAGAGGACAGGAGCAGCCGTCTGGAGCATGCGGCAGCAGAGCGCGCGTGGGCATGTGGTGACCGGGAGCCTAGGTGCTGCCCAGGAGTGCCTGCCTGGCCAATGGGCGTCGAGCGAATCCGGGGGTCTGAAGCCGCTCCGCATGCCACCTGCATCTCAGCATCCTCCACAGCCAAGGCACCCAGATCCCGAATTCGTGCAGACGTGAAGATAGGTGGGACGATCTGGGTTGGTCCATCGCGGTATCAGACAGCTCGTTACGTTTCTTAAATTCTGAGATTTGACGAGTCACGTGACCTTTCCGGAACCATCTTGTTGCACGCTCGACCACACTAGATTGATTGCTACAGAGGGTATGGCCTGCTGTTTATCTGCCACAGCATCCGCGGTTCGTTGTCGATGGGATCCGCGCGGACAGACAGCTGGATTTCCAAGACTCGGTGAAAGTAAGTAGCGAGGCGAGACCATATCTGGCCTGACGCCCCTAGAGTCTACCTCAACCATCCACTCATGTATCGTGGCGGACCTTAGCTGACCAATTCCTTAGACCTGTGGTCGGAGGCGCATTCGTGAGCATGCCGTCCAACATGAAGTCAACATCTACATATATATACGTCCGATTCCATACTTGCTACAATCGAGCATCCTGCAAACAATCTTGACTACAGGCGTTCTATTCTGTCACTAGCGCTTCGATTACCTCCTTTCACTCTATTAGACACCTATCCTACCATTCGAGCTCAATCATTCTTATCTTCGGTCATTCACCATGTCCAACCAAGCAGCTTGGATCAAGTCAGAAGGGGCCAATCTCACGCTCGATTCAGCAGAGACTCCTGCCCCAACCGCGAACCAGCTTCTGATTAAGACCGGTGCCATTGGTTTGAATCCCGTGGAAGCCAAGCTCCAGAAGTTCAAGATCTTTCCCATACCGTACCCCAATATACTGGGCTTGTCCTTTTCCGGCACAGTCGAGAAGGTTGGCTCCTCAGTCACTGACTTCAAGGCTGGTGATCGCGTTGCAGTCCACAGATCCTCTGGTCATAGCACAGGCCCGGTAGGCCCCTTTGAACACTCCAGCACTGGATCATATCAGAAGTATGTTATTGCCGACTCCCAAACAACAGCCAAACTTGAAGACAACGTCACTTTCGAGGCGGCGGCAGCAGCCATCACCAACCTCGCAACTGCTGTCTCTGCACTGGCTATCTCCCTTAAGCTGGACCGTCCGAATCCCAAAGGGCCAAATCCAGCCAACGAAGGAAAGAAAGTCCTGATCTACGGCGGATCTTCCAGCGTCGGCGGCTTCGCAGTGCACTTCGCAGTTAGAGCTGGCTATACCATTATCACAACCTCATCACCCCGAAACCTTGCCACCGTAACCTCGCTTCATCCCGCCAAAATCATCGACCACACACAGCCTGCCTCGTCTATTGTCGAAGAGCTCAAAGCAGCAGGCCCATACCACGCCGTCTTCGACACCATCGGCCTCCCAACAACAACCACCATTCTCGGCCAGGTGCTCGCAGAACAAGGAGGCGAATTATATGCTACGCAGCCGCCCTTTGGGCCGCTAGATCTGCCGAGTAATGTGCAACGGCATTTCGGGAGCTTTCCGGCTGCTTTCGAGCAACCGGAGAATGAAGAGTATAGGAACTGGTTTTATGGCATCTTCGGGAAGTATTTAGGAATGGGTCTTGTTGATGAGTAGATTGGGCCGGAAAAGATTGAGGTTGTTGATGGTGGCTTGGAGGCTATTCAGGGGGCACTCGATAGGTTGATCGAAGGTGTTAGTGGGAAGAAGTTGGTCGTAAAGGTGTAACAGAATTGGAGAATCGATACCACATCACCACTAGAACTGGTATCTAAGGGTCTATTCTACGTTATCTGATGGCCTTCAACTATCGACGAGCAATAGAGGCAATTCTACCGTTCTTTACATTACCCTGGCTAGTTCTGCATAATCGAGCTCCCGCGTAGGGCGTGGCCCCACCGCGATCCTCCGCAAGCCCATGACTGTCCCCCTATATAAGAAGACTCCGTTTCCAGTGAGAGTACGCAGCTATGAAAGATATTGCGCGGGCTCGATATCTCAATTGTGACGACAGCAGTTATTCGTTGTGTTTCCTGGTAAACAAAACCTTTTCGTATTCCACCACCCCGCTATCGCGAACTATCGTGCCTGCCTCAAAGTTAGGCTGGCCAGTATTTATCAGCTGATGATGCCATTTGCAGGTCCTTTCAAGACTTTGTCACTAGTAATCCCTCAGGTCATCCCAGGATCGTGCATGTGCTCTCTACATTAGAGCCAATCGAATGATGGCTGAGACCAATATCATCGTTATTGGGTAAGCGATCACGCATCCTCTGCATCAGGCATCCATCTCAATCCCATATCCTTAGGGCCGGAGTCCTCGGCCTCACGAGCACCCTGGTTCTATCCAAGCATGCAAACTTCAAGATCACCGTCGTGGCAAAGCACATGCCCGGCGACTATGATATTGAGTACGCATCACCTTGGGCTGGTGCCAATTATCTCCCAGTAGGCGAGCCTGGGACAGAGTTATGCCGCTACGAGCGTGATACTTGGGCTGAACTAGACCGGCTGGTCAAGAACGTGCCGGAGGCTGGGATTCACCATCAGCCCACGGTGTTGTATAAGCGTGCAAAAGATGCGAGCTCCGTAATGTCGCAGAAAGACCCTTGGTTCAAGAATACAGTAGCTGACGTAAGTTTCTCAAAGCAGTTGTTTCTTTTGCGTATTACGCCTCTTAGGCAGCAGATCTCTTTCTAGTCATGCCTGCTTCTAGTCACAATGCGGTCCCACCAGGCAACGACACCTTGTGTCTCTCCATTAGCACAATCAGGTCACTCTTTTTGAGTCATACACTTTCAAGCCTCAGGCAACCTTTCAATAGCTTTCCCTACGCAAGGCTTCCACCTTAGCTCACGCTCTTCCCTAGTTCCGCATCATCCCCTCTTCCGAGTGTCCTGCCGGTTGCGAGTACGGCACCGCCTTCACCTCCGTCTGCATCAACACCGCCATCTACCTCCCCTGGCTCCTCGGCCAATGCGTCAAGAACGGCGTCGTCTTCAAGCGCAGCATCCTCTCCCACATCAGTGACGCCGCCGCCCTACATCACTCCGGAACCCCCGCTTCCATCACCATCAACTGCACCGGGCTCTCTGCCGGTAAGCTAGGTGGCGTCATGGACCCCACCGTCTTCCCAGGCCGTGGGCAGATCGTGCTCGTCCGCAACGAGCCCGGCGTCATGGGAGGCCTTTCCGGCACCGACGATGCCGCCGATGAGATCACGTACGTCATGCAGCGTGCGGTTGGCGGCGGGACGATCCTGGGCGGCTGTCTTCAGAAGGATGTGTGGGAATCCCAGCCAGATCCGAACCTCGCGGTGCGGATTATGAAGCGCTGTGTGGAGTTCTACCCCGAACTTACGAATGGTAAGGGTATTGAAGCGCTCAGTGTGATCCGCCATGGTGTAGGGCTGCGGCCGATGCGAAGGGACGGCCTGCGCGTCGAAAAGGAGAAGATAGAGGGGAACTGGGTTGTTCACTGCTACGGGCACGCTGGGCAGGGCTATCAAAGCAGTTATGGCAGTGTGGCGGAGGTGGAAAGGTTGGTGGAGAGCATTGTGGGAGAAAGGGCGAGATTGTAAGTGTGTTAGGGCCATAGCGCTAGATCATCGGTATGTGTCGTCTTCCTGTCTTTTTTCGGAGTGTTAGATGAACGCGTTCGTGGAGCTTGTGGTCATCAGTGCCGCGGTGCTCACCGCACTACACCAGACAGCCAACGTATTTCCGCTTAAATATGAAGCTACAGTCCCAGAATCCTTCCATCTCCCGCTACACAAAAGAGAAAGAACCCCTCAAAATTCCAAAGCTCATTGCTCAAAGAGCGAGAATAAATATTTTTCAGCTTCTCTAGCGGTGTTTGACGTAACCTGATCGACTATTCAACGTGGATACGGTACAGGCCTACTTAATCCAAAGTAGCCACATCAACGCCGCAGATAGTTTTAAGATCTTAGAATCGCCTTTGCTCGTCCGGATCTCCCATAGCGCATTCAATACAGTTTCCCTATTTCCCCATCTGACAGTCTACAAAAGCACCTCCGCAAACCAGCCAACTAGCAACGATCACTCACAAGAGCATGTTGCGATCGTAGCTCTAATTCTCGCAAACTCCTCGCGATTCCCCGAGGGATGTTCTATCCAAGATACAGTATGAAGACGAGCTCAATCACACCTGCAAGCTCTTCCAGCTTGTTCGGATATCTGATAACGAGTCGACGGCCTTCAGACGGTGTCAAACGGCTGTAACTAAAGTAAACCAGGCTGGGATGAGTGACCTCGAGTTCGGTTTCCTGGTGATTCGATGAAGTACCATAAACAGCCGGTAAGATGAGTAGGTGAAGGGGATATCGATCCCAGCTGATTCGGGCTCTCTAGCGATTCACACGTCCTTCAGAGATTTAATCATATACGGGGGGACTGTTGACAGTGGCAAGCAGGTGTATGCTGCTATCTGCGTTCATTCCGATATGTAGTCCAGGGAGCTTTCTGCTTAGGAGGGTGGATATTTGGTCAAGGGTAGTACACTGCCGGTTAGTCTGTTGACACTCTTATGCCACTGTTTGAAGTCCTTCGACGGGTTGTCGGACTGTAGAAAAACGTAGCTTTTGCATCTGGGTAACCTCGTCAAGGCACCTCAGACGGCGTCAAGCGAGTGTCAAAAGACCCGTCTCCTAGCGCTGTATTGCGGTCTGTTCACCAAAAAGCTCACTGAAAGGGCCATCGTTTGACTTAAGAACTTTTATCTAGGTCTGTCTAGCTACCCAGGGGTGGAAATGAAAGCAGATATCTCCAAGGCCGTCAAATCTGACGCCGCCATCAGAAGAGAAGAAAAAAGCAGGCAGATTGCCAAGTCTCTCAAACGGATGAGCCCCGCCCCTCAAGACGCCTCCGACGCTCTCCGCCTGCCACAAATAGAGACTCTAGTGAGTCTAATTCGTAAGCCGCGTGAGCTGATAAACCAGGAAGCAAAGCAAACCCGAACGCCAGAACTAGAAACCAAGCCACCACCGTAGGTCAGTCACCATCAGTCTGCATATTAGAAGCCCTCAAACTCCACCAAAGCCACCCAGCTCCCCTAATCCGGCCCCCAAACAAGCTGTTCAAAGGTCTTCATCTTCGTACTCCGGGTCGACGCAGCCGTTGTTCTGAGGATCGTCGACCAAGATGAACGGAGTTCCGTCCTCGGCCTCACGCACCGGTCCGAAGAGTCGCAAGAGATCCCTCATGCCCAACTTCTTCATAGTCTTGCCGTCGTCCTCCATAACCTCGTCAATCTCTGCCGTCTTCCGCTCCTGCATGTTGATGAGCTTCTCATCCACCGTGTTACGAACACAGAAGCGGGTCATATAAGTCTTCGACTCCTGGCCATAGCGGAAGACACGGCAGAAGGCCTGCTGCTCGATGGCGTGATTCCACCAAGGATCGACCACAATGACGCGAGAAGCCATGGTCAAGTTGAGTCCAAGCCCACCGCACTTGAGCGACGCAAGGAGAATCTTCCTACTGTGGTCTTCCGCAAACGTCTTGATGGTGTTGCTTCTGGCTGTGAGACTCATGCTTCCATGATACTCGCAATAATTCCACTGTTCCTCTTGGCAGATCTTCGAGAGGATGCGGATGATGGCCAGAAACTGCGTGTAGATGATGATCTTGGTGTTGGGGGCCTCATGCAGCCAGTTCAGCACCTGCGCCTTGATAGCAAGGGTTTTGGCGCTCGGCAACACTGCATTTCCGGACATGTCGATCCAGTCGTCTGGGATGGTCTCTCTCTCGGGCCTGACGTCCTTGCTCTTCCGCGAACGTCGGGCGCGGTGCCTAGTGCTCGATTCTCCCTCGTCGCCGCTGAAATCGAGGGAACTTCCCCGGCTTGAGCCGTCCGGGTGGTCGTCCTCGCACGGCACCGAGTAGCTGAACATTTGCGCGCAGTGAGAGCAGACTGCGCGGTCTCTGCCGGTGGTGGCTGCTTCGAGTTGGAGATCCTCGAGGCACAATTGGCAGTAGATGTGAGAGCAAGCAGTGAGCCATGGGTCGATGGGTGTTTCGTGACACTTTGCGCACTTGGCCTTTTCCTTGATAGCTTCCCACCTCTTGCCACTTGTGAGCGTGTCGAGGTATGGCTTGAATTCGTACTTCATGCCAAAGCCTCCGCCGGTATTAATGATGGCGTCGCCGCTAGAGACTTCGTCCATCTCGTCATCTTCATCTTCATCCTCTTTGTCCGCTAGGTCGGCGTCGCTAGAGGGGCCTCGTTGAACGCTTGATTCGGCCGGCGAACCGCGGGGGGCGCCCTTGTTCTTATCAGCTTCCCGGATTTCCTTGATCATGGCGGTGAGTTGCGTGCGGATTGAGACGATCTGGCGTCCACGATCCGTCTCGCCGACCTCCTCAGATTGTGTCAGCTGCTTTAGTCTCTCGATATCCTCCATCTCCAAGAGATCTTGCATGGTCAACTGAAGCGTTAGTATATGGCCGGTAAGCTGGCGTAGCCGAAGCAGCATACTAGCAAAAGCTGGTTAGCATCGAGCGTCACATTCAAAAGACGAGCACTTACACGAAGATGTTAGTGTAACTCTTTTCAAGCTGGCCTGCGGAAGCAAACGAGTTGATCCGGGCAATGAACCTCTTCCTCACAATGTCATAGACACTACGCTCGACATCGTTGAACTCGCACCAATGCGTAATTGGCGTAGCTTTTGGGAGCTTCAGAATTGGTGCGCCGAACATGATGTCCTTGTGCGTGCGTCGGATCATGAATGCGTTGAGCCGGACAAGGAGCCGCTGAGTTGTATCCGGATCTGACTTGTTGCAGTAGTTTGCCTTGAAGATCTTGAAACTGCCGGTATGCGGAACGTTCAGGAACTTGAAGTACGGGTAAAGCTCCGTGATTCCGTTCATCACAGGCGTTCCGCTGAGAGCCCATTTGTGATCAGCCATCAAGCCCCGGCAGGCTATCGAGGTACGGCCGGTATGGTTCTTGATGGCTTGCGCCTCATCGAGCACAACCCTGAGGAAGCGCATGCGGTGCAGAGGGCCTCTCTTCTCTTCCCACTCGTTCACCCACCATGCCTGCTTGTCCTCGGGATCAAGAATCTCAATTGGCGGCTCCGTCTTTGGGTAGGATTTCATGACATCTGTGTACGTAGTGAGAATAATATCATGCGAGTCCATGATACTCAAGGCTTCCGTGGAGTCGAGTCGATTGCCTGCCCGCCAGGTCATGACAGCACCTGTAGCCCATGGCTGACAATGCACTTTGATCTCTTCTTTCCATTGCTCTACGAGAGCTGGGCTCGCCACGATCAAGGTAGCGCGGCCGTCTTTCTTGTCTTTTGGCGCCTTTCCGTTGATGATATTAGCAAGCATCATGACTGTCTTTCCCAAGCCCATCTGGTCCGCTATCAGGCCTCCACGAGGTTCGTCCACCGCGGTCTCTCGGCGGCGCATGAAGGCACTTCCGAGAAGCTGATAACTCTTCAGTGACGTTTTCATGCCCTTGACAAGCCATTTGCCGTCATTGTCGGGTTTGCAGCTGCCGTGGCCTGTGAAGTCCTTAGTGGCCGCTAGCAACACCTTTCTGTCGGCGCGAGCAGACTTCTGGTGCTCCAGTGGTACACTTGCAATCAGTTGCTTCAAAGCTTGATCTTTCCTTCCCTTTTCAAAGGTCGGTTGGTCTGAGCGGTCCTCGTTCCCTTCCTGGTCTTTGAAAACGTTGCTGGTGAACAAACTGCCAACGTCCGTCATGTTCGGTCCAACGTATTTCGCGGACTTGGCTTTCTTAGCCACTTTTCCACCAGCTTTGGCAGCACCCTTGCCTTTCTTGGCGTTGGAGGTGTTGCTGGTGGCCTTGGCCTTCCCCTTCCCCCTTCCCTTGCCTTTGGACAGAGCTGCTGCCTGGGCCTCAAGCATCTGTCTCTTTTTCTTCTTTCCATCATCTTCAAAGGCCTTGTACCCGACTAACATGCTTTCCATACTGCCCTTGAGGCGATCTGGCTTCGGAGTCTTCCGCGGAATTGAGGCTTGGCGACGTTGTCCTGCAGAGGAACCCTCACTTGAAGCATATGTTAGCGATACTTCATAAGCACTAAGAATTATACTTACCCTGGATCATTAGGGTCCATTTGATCGCCATAGCTGCTGCTGTTGTCCCACGACCACTGTCCGTGATTTGTAAACATTCGCTCGTCGTCATCGGTTCGCGTAGACTCCCCGACGAATAGCGAGTCCTCGTCAGTGGGACTCGACATCGTCTCCTCCTCTTCTTGCTCTCGTCGCTGGTCCGCCTTACGCTTATTCAAGCGAGCGTTTTCAGCTGATTGAGCCTTCATCCAAGCGATGTCTTCGCTCAAGGTCAAGTCGCGATTCCTTTTGATCTCTTCGATCTTGGCCTTGTGCTGCAGGAACCTGGTTGATGTAAGCTTAAGGAATACCTCTTGATAAGGAGTAGAGCTCACCGTTGAGCTGCGAAGAGATTCTCATCTTCGTCTTCTATACGCTGCTTAGCGAGGTCATCTCCTAGAGCATCGTGGCGTGGCGTGTCCTGTCGAGCTATAGGTCCCGAATCCCTACTCGTAGTCTTCACCTTCACGGCTCTCTCTTTTGCAGCCCGTTGAATCTTCATGAACTTGTCTCTCACTGTTTGATTAGTCGATGGGTTGCGAGGGGGATTCAGAATGGGTGTCCCAAAGTTCAGGGACGACCTTGGATCTCGGGCGCGTGGGGTTCCCAGCATACTCGTCCCAAGGTCCATGGAAGGCCTCGAGCCTCGAGTCTCACTGGTAGTTCTAGGTCCATTGTACTGAGCTGAATCGTATTGGTTGAAAGTAATGGTACCCGGATTGAAAGGAGTCAGTGGAGGCGGTGCCATGTTCCTATTCATGATGGTGTTACGAGCAGCTCTGGAGACCGATGCTCTCTCGGGCGCTGGAGTGAATTCAGTCATAGTCACATCTCCATCTTGGTCTTGAATCGCTAGTTGCACCGCTGGAGTAGGTGATGCAAGATTACGGGGAGTCACAACTCGTTCGGTGATCTCAATAGGGTCTTCGAGCTCTTCTTCCGGCTGAGTGTGTTCCTCGAACTCCTGCCGAGTGTCCTCTTCGGGCTCCGGCTGCGTGTAGTTTTCGAGCTCCTGTCGAGTGCGCTCTTCGATCTCCCGCTGTGAGGAAGGTATCTCGATGCTCTGGCCGAAGGTCTGCTGGTTGGTCTCGGTCATCTCTGTATCGGGCGCTGGCTCCTCCTGGAGATCTCTAGCACGCTCGCTCGCAGAGAGGTCATGTTGAGATCCGATGGACGGCGGAGATTCGCTATCGTTGGGGCTCGAGCTAGGCTTTGGTGTGTCGGAATCTTCATCGGAAAGATGGTCATCGTCGTCGGACTGATCTTCCTCAGAGTCAGGCGGGACGGTAGTGTTGCGATCTTCATCATCGTGCACCATTGCATCAATCATCTCCATCTGAGCTTGTCCGATCGCCATCTGCTCGTCGGACAGTTCGAGAGCAACAGGAGGCTCCATATTGAGAGCTCGATGGAGGTTGGCGAGTATGAGTCGAAAGACTAGTAACTAATTAGCCATCAGGTCGACTAGTGAGGATGATGGAGGCTAAGATTGCGTGATGAAGGTGATGTAAGCGTGACTGGGAAGGTGTCTTCGAAAGTGAAGTAGAGGTCGCAGTCAGGTAAGCGATTGATTTCGAGCGCCTGTGGGGATCTAGTAGGGATATTGAAGGCGTAGTGAGATCGATCGAATGCAGTCCAAACCAAAATTCCGGAAATCGCGTATGATGGAGGGTCGCTTACCTTAGCAATGGACTCGCGGTCCTGAGCGTCGTGCTTCTGGATGCCAAAGTGAAATAGAGAATGGAAGGTGGTGGATGGAGGAAGGAGGAAGGTAGTGGACGGAGGGAGGTAGTCGGTGGAGGAAAAGTCGTTGATGTAGTATGAGTAGTGGATGGATGGAGTTAGTGGGTTAAGGAAGTGTCGTTGGCGAAGAAAGAGTAGCCCACGGAAAGAAGATTGGTAGATGGAGGCAGATTGTGAGTAGAGGAAGATATTGGATGGAGGAAGAGAGGTCAATGAAGGAAGATAGTGGTTGAAAGAGGTGTCGTTGATGGAAGGTAGTGGATGGAAAAAGTGTGGAGGGTGAAGACTTATATATCGCAGAAGAATGTAAGATGGGAAGTGTTAGACCCTGATGGAGAGTGGAAGAGCAATAATCACAAGTGAGGTTTGAAATAGTGCAGAGGTGTGGAACTGCCGGAAAGTGTGCTGGAGGCGGAGACTTGATGAGAAAGTTACGGGAGCGTGTTACGCAGAGGGACAATTGTGGAGACTATCAAGTAGGATAAATCAAGATCGCTGAGGGCTTGATGTGAGGTGCGAAGAGATCTGAATGTGCTCGAAGCAAAGATTAAGGAACGCATGTCGAATACCAGCCTGGGGGTTACAGTCCTAGACGATGGCCTGTTGACACTCTAGCACTGCTTAGAGTGCTACGATGACGCTCATATTCCTCGAAGATAGAATGTCCTCAACTTAGCTAACCATGCATCTGGACTAGGTAATCCAGAAGTCTCCATAGAGTACTATTTCTGATTCCTAGCGCTGTAACGATAGATTGCACGTTCCCCACCGGGAAGGCCCTGATCCTCGAACGGCTCTTGAACATCTTCACGGCGAGGCTGGCTTCCCAGATTACCTGTCGCTATCATTCTTGGATAAAGAGGTTGAACAGCTGGAAAGAATACATCGATTTGCCTGCAGTACCAGGTCAGTGGGCAACCTGGTCAGAGCAATTTCAAACTTGCATTGGCGTTAAGTTTCCGTTGAAGCTCCCACTTTGATATGACCTAGATCCCATAGCGGCGAACCTTACATTATAAGGAGGGACCGCAAGAAGTGCGTAAGGATGACTGTGGTTTCTCTACGACGGCGGACTGCCGTGGTGAGCTACATGCAAGAGGCGATGACTGTAGATGTCTATTTCGTGGTAACCTCAGATGAGTGTTGTTTCGAAGACGAGGTCGAGTTGTGAAAATGTGAGTCGAGAGAGCATGAGATAAGATGTGACATGATCTAGGGCGCATCTCTCATTTCGAACGACTTCGTGGATATCTGTTCGTAAGCTGTGCGATTAATAAAGACTGAAATTATTTCACTGATTCTCCGTTAGCACGCGATGCAATGTTTCGGGGCTGAGAACTCTGACCTGGCACATCAAATTAGAGACATGGAGCCCATTCACGCATGAAGGCATGCCTTGACTATCATTAAAGTAGAATTGGTAGCTTTACTGTGATCCAAGATGGAAGACTCCGTGAAATCAACCCCACCAAGAAGCCCATTGAAACCCTACTGTCCGCTAAGTTGAATAGACCCCCCAAAAAAGAAACTGCCCACGCTGGCCGCGCGCTGGGGTATTTTCGTATACAGCACAAAAGAAAACAAGTCGCCTAGATGAAGTCTACTGATACACGCTCGTAACAAATCAAAACACCCGCCGTGTAGGCTATTGTTCAGACTCGAGACTGAACTCAATACTGTTCAAATGTATTGAAAATCTTCCGCCAACTCCAATGTGTTTTGGCCCTGGTCGGGCTCAAGCATTGTTCAGTTCCCCAAAGATTACGCCGCGACGCCAAGAGGAGAGTATCAAAATTGGGGTGTAACCTTGCCGTTCATATCGATCGGACACCTGGGGTCGTTTGTGAAGTCACTTGGGTAGAACCAGGCAGCAATGGCGATGATGACATAGGTCGCCATAAGTAGAACTCCCTCAAGCCAGTCTAATAATGTTAGCGAAGATAGCTCTAGGAGGACGCAATACTTACGAGATTTGCCATCCTGAATGAGGTAATTCACGAGCAAGATCGTGATAAAGAGAACTGCAATCTGGAAAGTATCAAAGTAAAGCGTCATACAAGCTTTACCAGCAATCCAGCCAATGATGACGACAAGCGGGAGGACTAACAAGGCAATCTGCATGCTAGATCCAACTGCAACACCAATGGCGAGATCCATCTTGTCCTTGATCGCGACAGTGACTGCAGTTGCGTGCTCGGCAGCGTTGCCGACGATGGGAAGCAGGATAAGACCGACGAAGACGGTGGAGACTTTGCCACCTTTTGTCACGCTCTGAATATTATCGACCATGAATTCGGAGCAAAAGGCGACCAAAACGGTAGAAGCTGCCAGACTGACGAGAGCACCCCATAAAGTCAACTGGGGATCTTCGAATTCTTCTTCTTCGTCTCCTTCCTGAACCAGTTGCGTCTGATTAACAGAGCCGCCAGCCATAGCAGCATTGCCGGCACCAATTGTGGCGATTCCACGGCTACTAGCGCCCTCCTCAATCTTTCCCGCCTTCTTTCTTTTCTCGACCTTCTGGCTCGGTTCATTGTACATCGTGGCATGGGACTTGAGCTGGAAAAAGAGATAGCAGCCATAAATAATGAGAAGCATGACAGCTGTTCCGTGAGAAAGCTCCTGGTTTCTGAAGAAATTGGCGTCGCTGTCATCGGCTAGAATGAAGTCAATACAGCTAAGGTTGTGAAAAATCAAGAATCGACTTACTTGAAAGCATGGAGTGGAACACAGTCGGGATGATTAGACTGCCGATGCAAAGAGCCAAAAGACTGGCAGCAGTTTGGGCGACGGTCACGTTGAAGAACTGTTCCAATCGGTTGACGCCTCCACAGAAGAAGCACATTCCAAGAACGAGAAGCAAGTTGGAGAGCATACTTCCGATCAACGAAGTCTTGACAATAATGATCTCATCTTTGAAGAGCGCTTGAATTGAGACGATCAATTCGACGGCATTTCTGTGAGCAAAGTCAGTGGTGCCAATCTACACAGTGGCCACTACACGTACCCAAAAGATGCATTCAGGAGACCACCAAGGGTTTCACCAGTACGAAGCGCAAGCTCCTCGGTCGCGTAGCTGAGCATGGCCGCTAGCGGGACGATGGCAATGAAGTTGACAACGAACACGACTATACCGTTAAGATGCGCGTAGTTGACAGCGAAGCCAACAGGAACCATGATGAGCAGGACGTTGATCCATGACCCGAATAAGACAGCCTTGAACTGTTGCATGGCTGGGATACTGCGAGCCAGTGCCTCCTTGCGCTTCGCGGATTTCTCTGACATAGCGGTTTCTGTGCGGTCCAGGCCTTCGTTTCCATCCTCTTCGGTGTTCTTCCGGAGTATATTCCTGAACTTCATACGGTTTCTTAGTCCCTTCTTCGGAGCGGGAACCAGGGTGTCGCTAGTCTCAGCGGATTCTTTGCTTGTGCCCCATGTCGAACTCGGCTCACCATTCGCGACCCCATTAGTTGCTTTGTTCTCAGCACCAATGTCCGTAGGAGCTTTTTCGCTGCTTGCCGATGTGGGAGGCGCGGTTTCAGCATGATGAGGACCTGGGAATTCCTCCTTCGCCTGCCGACTTTCGGCGCGACGCTGCTCTACGATCGTGGGTTCCAAATGAGTTTCCGAGACTACTCTGCCCAGGTTGTTTTCCTCATCTGCGGGACGTCTGCTCTCGTTTGACCGCGTTCGCGCAAACGGGTTATAGTTCGGAGTGCTGCCCTCCATCGACCAGGCAGCGCGCCTGGCTTTTGATCGCACAGAATCTATATTGTTGAATGTGAGCATAGTCCTAATGCATCCTCGGTGTGTTTATTGCAAGTAGCAAGAATAACGAGGTGCTGGTGATGAAAGACGTACGCATAGCGATATGAGATCCCAACGGGCGTCGCGTCACAACAGTCGCCTTGAAGCCGCAATTGCAACTTCAGCCTTGTCCGAAGAGGGGTTATCGCGAAAGGCAACCCGAAAGAAGGCTTCCGGTGTGGGGAAACACAAAGTCAAAGGTTGAGTGGCAGATGGATGGTGATTGGGGGCCAAAAGTACAGGGCGGACGGACGCCTTTATCTGTGTGGAGAAGGCTGTGAATGCAGCCTGTCGGTATCTGTGCCGGTCAGTAAGTGCAGGCCTGTAAGAGGACACAGCCCGAGCGATTTGGAAGCTGCCTGGAATACAGAGAAAGGCTTACCGTCGGCGCCTGGGAGAATGATGGGAAGAAAGGAGGATGGCAGGGCAGCTGGGAGATGGAGGGTGCTCAGCCACAAATACGTCGGGCGGCGTTTGATCCTTGTTTACTTGCGGGTACTTGTGGGGAAGAGCGTCACACCAGCCACAGCGAGGACGACCAGGCAGCGTTCAAGTGAATTTGCGTGGGCGGTGTTGTTGGGAGAGTTGTGGCTCGCGCATTGATCGAAGGGACGTCGTGGTTTAGAGCGGCCAGCGCATGCCAACAGCGTCACAGGCGCAAGCAGACGCTCGTCAGACTGCTGGGCTGCTTGGCATGGAATCAAGGTTTTCTCGGTCGGATCGCCAAGTCGCGCGGTGGACACAGTGCATGTTCTCGATGTTTCAACTGGCGCGCTCTCAAAATTCGAGGGCCCATCCTCGCGCCCTTGTCACTGGTGCGACCCACCTTGCGCCGGACAAGTGCATCTCTCGCCGCACTCCTGGCATCTCTCCAGGACACAGGCACGGCCACGAGCACGATAGACCCGAGTCCAGCGTTGCGAAGCGGCCGGCTCACGCCAGCAACACGACAGATCAGCCGGCCGACTCGGGCTACTACGCCTTGGGAGCCGTACTGGAGACGGCTGAGGCCACGAAGACCCCGACGCCCACCTGCAGAGAGTGGTGTGCATGCGGGCGGACGGGCGACGTGTTACACGTACGCTGAGTGGGTTATACGCCCTGCTCACGACCGGGATACCACTTGACTACTCGCCGTAAGTTGAGAAATAAGGTACAGAGCATTGTTACAGACATATATAATGGCCAATGATGTATTTTGCCGGGCCTGGATTGGCCCCTACAAGGACATATGTCGCGAAATAGCCGCTGTATTTGGCAAGTAAGCTCGCAGTAAGCCTTTTTGACGGGGCTGCTCAGCTGCCTCAAAAGCTGCACAGACCACAGTATATCAGTCGCATTATCCACTCCATGTGGAATATCTATGTCGGTCCCGAGCTGATGATCCTTTTGCCTCTACGTACGGAGCACGCTGTGAAATACCGACAATCAGACCGCCTGGAACCGTGACGTGGGGGACTCTTGCACTGCCTCAATGCGCAGATCCTTTTCCGCTTCCCTTGTACTGTAATTTCGCATCAGAGGCATTTGTCAATTGCAAACTCGCGTTCAAGCTGGCGTGGCCTTTGGCACAAATACGATCGGCTTTGGAGCAACAGCAGCTCTCAAACAAATCATCAGATTCCCGTAAAGCAATCAATTCTGCATCCGAACAATCGTGTATGCCGTACCACCGCAGATGGGCATAAATCAGGTTGTTGATGATTCGAAGCGTGGTTTTCTTAAAGATGTTTCCTTCATATTGAGCTGGAGACTCTCATAGTCACAAGTCGTACGATTTTAAACAACTAATGAACGCCTTCAAGTCCACAACTCCTTCACCACTTGTCATTTTAATTACCTGACTAGGTAGCTCGTATTTTCATGAACCCGGGTCGTAGGATGTACGTAATTTGCCATACGGTAAAGTACACATCTATCAAAAGTCGCTATAGCAACCAGCGCAAGCCCTGGACGCAACGGAATGCTTCGATCGCGTGTCGGGTACGCGTCACGTGACATGTGCAGCGATCGTCGGACTTGAAGGTCAGCAGCGCTACAATTAGATCGTCCATTAGAATCGGTCCATGATATTGTCAAAGGTGTCGAAGCCAAGAGACTGCCAACCTGCGAAGCTCATTGTCAAGATTCTCAAGCAATACGCTAAGAACCCCGGGTTTTCTAGTGTGGTTGTGGACCCTTCAGCCCTACTGCTTATCGATAAGATTTGCCGGTTGACGTAAATGGCAAGCATCCAGCCACCTCTTCTCTTCATGAACTCCGAGCACCCAATCTCCAGATTCATAGCCCAAGATGACGAAATCCAATCTCGACCTCATTGAAGAGTGCGACAGGTATTCCGCAGCTCCCAAATCTCCCCAGTCTCGCATTCACCCCGCCTAACGCGCCCGCAGCTTCCCATACTACCAAACCGACCCAGTCGCCTACTTCGCCAGCATTGACACGTACTACCAACTCCGCGTCGCCGACCATGACTACGCCCTCGGCTACGTGCTGCCCTCCGTCGCCGAAATCTTCCGCGGCCTGCCTTCGTGGACCTTGGACGACGACGAACGCACGCTGACGCTGATGGCTGGGGACACAGCCGCCGAGCGCAGCGAAGTAGTCATGCGGACAGTGGTGGCAATGCGGGAGACGGGACACTTCAAGGTGCTGAGCAAGTGGCGGAATGAGCTATACCCCGTCTATGGCAAGAACCGCGAGTTGCTCTTCAATGTCGAGCGGTGCGCGAGTCCGCTATTGGGCATTGTGACGTACGGCGTGCATCTGGTGGCGTATGTGAAGGGGAAGGATGGGAGCCTGAAGCTCTGGATCCCCAGGCGGGCGAGGACGAAGCAGACGTATGGCGGGATGTTGGATAACGCTGTGGCGGGCGGCATCGCTTCTGGCGAGGGGCCGTTTGAGTGTCTGGTGAGAGAGTGTGAAGAGGAGGCTTCATTACCAGAGGCATTGGTGCGAGAGAAAGCGAAAGCTTGTGGCACAGTCACATATTCCTACGTCAGGGATGAAAGGGCGGGAGGCGAGACTCGATTGCTGCAACCGGAGTGCCAGTTCGTCTACGACATCGAGCTGCCGGAGGACGTGATACCCAAGCCGGGCGATGATGAGGTGGAAGAGTTCTACCTGTGGAGTGCGGACGAGGTCAAGGAGGCTATGGCTAGGGGGGAGTTCAAGCCGAATTGTGCGGCTGTAACACTGGATTTCTTCATTCGGCACGGTATCGTGACATACGAGAGTGAGAAGGACTATATCGAGATTGTCTCGAGGCTTCATCGGAGGTTGGAGTTCCCAACTCTATGAGCCGCCTAGCCTTGTAGGTATCCGGACGCCTGCGCTAGATCGGAGACCAGAGGTTGCGAGCCTCCAAATAGAAGAGTCCTCCAAGAACGCCACCCATGCAAAGTGCCTCTCTTCCAAGCAGGCCTGGTTCGAGCCATGGACTATTCTATGTCTAGATAGCAGCTGAGACTCCTCGTGTCCAATACCCTCAGCCGGTTGTTGTTCATATCCTTTGTACGGCATCCGCAGATCACCTCTTTCCCGTAGCCAGTTCTCTCATTTCTTCAGAAGCATGTAGACGTAGTCGATTCGTAGCGGTGTGAGTTTCTTGTACGGACCGTCGATGTATAGCAGCAGCCCACCGAACGAGATATACACTTTGCTATAGAACCAGTTCTGTCAGCAGCGATCCCAACCAACCTCGCCCGCTACTTTTTGACTGCGGGATAGAGCTCACATGTTCTCGCCGGAGCCTTCCTCAAATCGGTATACCTTGCCGTGACACACGTAGTCGTACATATCAGCGAGGGTACTATCCATGCGCGACAGCTCTCGCCAGCCCTTCTCGTCCTTTGTCCCGTCGAGGTTGAGGGTGCTTGCCAGAACCATCTGCACGCTGTCTTTTTCGATCAAGGGAAAGAGTTCATGGTTGATGTCGAGCCAGAAGGTCGTCTGGCCGTCAGTCGACTCTCCGATGACGCGCGAGACGCGGTCGTACTTCTGGCTGTCGACCGTCTCGATGGTGAAGGTTTCTTCGAAGAGTTGGGAGTCGGCCATGGCGGGCAGCACGTGAGCTGGCGGCTTCGAAGAGAGATTTCAGGAGTCGCGGGCTACTGCGGCAGTGTTGGCTTCGGTTTGGGAGCTGCGCGGGCTGGCGGCGTGGGTGGACGAGCTTCAGTGTGTTTGCGTCGGTAGAATAGTTCAAAGAAAACCATAAATGCGGCGTCGCCAGCTTGGTAGCCGCACAGGCCACGTACTCCGGGGTCACAGCGTTGCAGCGTCAACTCCAAGAACATCATCGTCGTCAACCGCCAGGACATCCAGCATTCACTGCGTTCACGGGGCGAGTGCATCGTTCGCTGGGCTTGTGCTACGGTTTCCCTTACAGTTTGTGCCTGCTCAGGCATCCAACAAGTATCCTCCCTCAAGAGCTGTACTCAGCCTGGTCAAACATGGGTATGCCATAGCCCGATAGCTACAAACTGACCTCCAGGCGCAATCGGCACGACCGCAGCATCAGCCACTTCCTGACAACCTAGTAGCCAGCTTGTTCGGGCTGTTCTTGCTGGAGGAACCAAGGCCGGCTGAAAAAATCTCCTCGGCATCCATCGGATACGCCTATCAGAGAGCCTTTCCTCATATCTGTCTGGCTCATGTTGGTTGCACGAGACTAACGGAGAGCTTCTGGACTGTTTTCCTACTTGCTTCTCCTCACCTTGATTGCACAGTTGAGCTAGACGTCTCTGCCACTGCGCATTCTTTCATCCAGGCTTGGTGCTCATCAAGCCACATCGTCCTATGGACTTGCTCGACCTACTTACACAAACTCGATTCGGCGGCCGAATCTTTCGCCCAAGCCAACAACTACTGGGGAGCCTCGAGCAGCTCGAACGTCGCCAGGTTAGGAGTTCCTTGTTGCCACCGCGTACTAAAGGAACCACCCCGCCAGCCACAGATATGGCTACCGACGATAACCCAGAACTTGACACTCCCCAAGCTCCTCCGAACAATGCTACGAATCCAATTCTAAGCATTCCAGCCGACATCTTCAGGTGTGTTGCTGATTACCTTGAGCGTGCGGACGCTCTAAGGCTCAAGCTAGTCTGCCGTGGATTATCGCAGTCCAAGCTCATCGATGAGGTCATATTCAAGTATCCAATTCAATTCGAAGATGTTAGAGAAATGCGGATGAAAGACTGGTATTACAAGAGCTCTGGCCGCGAGCGCTGGGAAGCTTTCTGTGCGTCCGTCAATGATGGCAATAGGAGGTTTATTTCTAAGCTGGCAATGGGCCATTTCTCCACCATTGATGATTTCAAGTGGATATCCGACAATCTACCGAATCTAACGAGCCTCGATATCTCTAACATCAAGGACTTTGTGTGGACTCCTGCCGAGATATGGACGTGGAGTGAGCTACTCCAAGCTTGTCCGACTCTCTTTTCACGGCTCCAAGAGCTGGAAGTTTGCAATTGGTCTGATTTCTCGGCTCACTCCAGAGTCGAGTACAACTATTCATACAGCGACTACCAATTCAAGTCTAAGTTTCGGCTGTCGCGTCGTAGAGACATGAGTTCTGTCCCAAGCACCATTCTTCCGGCCTGCACGCAACTCAAGACATTGGGAGTTCGAGGGTGCTCTCGCCACATCACATGGAACGAATGGGAAATACATCAGCGAGTCTGCGTCTTTGTCGATGCGCTCGTCACTCATGGCCCCTCGACATTGACGACGTTGAGACTGCACGACATGTCACCTTTTCTCTCTTTGCTAGTCTCCGAGAACGCGAAACTGCGCAAGCTTTGCAAGATTGAACTCAATCTTTGCACTTGGATGCAAGAACATCGCGACAGCTTCCGAAGCTACAACTACCCATTTCTGACACATCGCATGATCCCTGGGACGCAGCATCGAGAAGAGGAGGGGGATTTCGATACCGGTGACTATGAGGCTTGTGAGCGGGATCACATGGAGATTGGCAACAAGGTTACCCAAGGAGTCGGCCATTCTCTATGCAACATGTTCAAGGAGCTTCATACTGCTTCCCAAGAATCTCACATCAAGCTGATCCCTACAGAGTCACTTCGTGATGTCATCCTTCACCCTTTCCACTTCGTTTCCATCCATAGACCAACGCACCGCCATGTGGAGCACCCTGACTATTCCGTCGATGAGGAGATGCAATCCGCCTTGAAGTGGATGGCAACTACCTGTGGTTTCAAGCCAATTTTTGCCTGGGATTCTCTGTGTTGCGAGTAAGTATCTGTTCGATACCCACCATCGAATTATGCTGATACAGGAGCAGTGTATTCCCGGACAACATTGATCACGCCACCACCAAGCCCAAGGCTGACATCATCTCCGGCCTGAAGGCTTTCTTCGAGACCCTGCGCCAATTGGGCATCCCGGTGAGACTAACGATCGGCAAGTGCAATAAAGAACCTGGCATCGGTGCTTCCATTAACTTGAGAATAGGTGATCGTATGATGTCGTGCAGCAATAGCGGACTCGATAGCAGCGTGTACTTCTCCGATTATAAACACCACGTCGGAGAGGGCGCAGGGCGAAAACAAGTTCTCGCTGCAAGCCAAGCACGATTCAACCTGAGCAACATCGCCCATCTCGTGGACGAGCTGATTATTCAGTACTCCCTAGACATGCCTGGCGTGGCCGGCTGGGGAAAATCCAATCGCCAGCTATCAAAGGGCGAACTCGCCCTCGTTGCTCGCGAACTAAAGGGTTGGCGGAAATTCTGGGCACGCTACGCCCTCCGCCTCACAGCCCTCAAAAAGCTTACACTCCTCATCCCACGGGAGATCTTCGAAGCCTGGTCTCTGTCTAAACAGCTCGCGCAGTTGCTTGGCCACGAGTCGTGGCAGGTGCTGGAGCTGGATGTTGTCAGCAGGCGGATCGAGCCTTCAGTCATTGATAGCTTTTTGCTGGGTCGGTATCTGCACAAGAGACATCCCCGGATGAAGTTCCTCAAGCGTGCCTTCTACCGCCAGAACGAAGACCCGCTGCAACTCAACGCAGCGCTAATGACGGAGGATATGCTCAATGAAGAAAACACCTTCGCCGAGGACGGGGAGGAGTTGGCGGACTTACCAAAGGAAGAGGTAAATCGGTTCTGGAGCGCTGGACGGAGACCTGAAAAACGGCCGCTTCAGTACAGCGATATGCCGCCTACCAAGAGGCCGCGTATAGAGTGATGGGGATCAAGGCCGGCGTTCTAGGGAAGGCGGCAAGGTTTATTTATCCTCCAGGTAGTTCATATGACTCTCTTCAACAGATTTACTTCAGCAGCCATGTTGTCCCATCTTATAGGCATATGTTTGATATCATTCTCTTCAACAAGGCTAAGCTGAGACTATTTCATCAATCGTCTATGACCCAGCACTAATAATCCACCGCTCAATATCTTACTAGACGAAAGAATATTATCTAGCTCGTCCTCTAGGTCCATTACAAATTTGAGATCTACAGTATCCAAATCCATCACAACTCCAAGATCTCCTTTCCGATCCAGGGCATATATAAAAACGCCTCCAAATCGGTTTACTCCATTCCCCTAAACCCATCATCTCTAACGCATATCCCCCCATCGCTCCACCTCATTGATACCAGTCATTCTCATTATACAAATTCAGCACCCCACCATACCCATTCCCATTCCCATTCGCCGTATGCCCATTGCTCGGGCTCACGGCCGCCGTCGTCGTGTTCAGCCACGCGATATCCGCGTCGCTGAGGTTCCAGTTGTCGAACCCCAGCGCGAGCTGCGACTGGTCGCGCAGCCACCAGTCCTGGCCGTCGCTGATCAGCGCGTCGACGCCGCCGCCGAAGAGCTGGCTCGGCGACGCGCCCGACGAGGTCGTGCTGCTGTCGAGCGACTGGCGCGCGGGCTGTGCGGCCGGCGTGCCTGTGGGATAGCGCTGCGCGCGGGGGAACTGGAGGTCGGCTGCTGAGCTAGGGGGAAGGGAGTATGATTCCGAGGTGCTGCGGAGCGCTTCTGAGGAGATGGCGGTGGCGATGTTGGGGTCGGCGGGGAAGAAAGGGGTTGTGTTTTGGATGGGGGGAATGGCGTACTGGGGCGGCGGCGGCGACGATACGGGATCGAGCTTGCGGGCTGGGACCTTGGGAGTGACGTCGCCGTAGGGGCCAAACTTGGCGTCGGTTCGGGAGAGGACGGCGGCGGCTTCTTCGGGGAGGTCGACTTTCCATTTGCGGACGAGCACGCTGAGGATGCCGAGGGTTCGGCGGGCGCAGAGCCAGCCTTCGGCGATCTCTTCGAGGTGCTTGACCCCGTGGATGATGTCGCGTTTGGCGTTCTTTTCGGGGAGGTTGAGAAGGTGGATTGTGCAGGCGCTGTGGGCGATGTAGACTGCTACGTTGCAGATTTGCCTCAAGCCCTGAGATGGTTAAAAGATGGCCGCATGAATGGAGCTCGGATAGAGCTTACGTGGGATCGTTTGTAGAGTCGGAGTAGCTTAGAGATCATAGCTGCGGCCTGGGTGCATAGTTTACGTGGAGAGACGTGAGCTGGTACTGCTGGATTCTCAGAAGATGGCCAGCATAAAGAAGAGTTGAGGGATCTTACGCGGTGAAGTAGCTTGGTTGTACTTGAGGAAAGGCCGGAACAGATGAATGTATAGTAATTGAAAGAACATGTGCATCACCAACATACTCGGCAATCCCCCTTCCTTGGGTTCGAGTTCGTTGGGAAGCTCTCTTCTCCATGTTTCCAGTCTTTGATGAATCTCACTCAGCTTCTTCAGCTCAGATTGCTTACCCTTCGCTTTATCCATGTCGATGGGGTTGTAGAAGAAGTTTATCAGGTCATTACTAATCTCGCAGAGGGCAGAGATTTGGCGAGCTACCTATATATCATTTAGCCTCGGGTAAAATAAAGCGATAAATTCGTTTGGCTCACAGCGCGAGTTCTTGATGGCTGCGTATGTGCTTGGCTGAAGCCTGAGTCGGTGTATGCAGACCAAAGATCAGCTTCCTCCATGGGGAAAACCTCGAATTTAGGTACTGTTATTATCGAGGTCGGCAGCTGGGGGAGTCGTCCGAGATAGTTTGACCAGCACCTAGAATGTATGTTAGAAGCAAACGCTTCCGAATGCGTGGCAGAAGTACGAACTTGTCGAACAAGAAACATCCCCAAAACGTGATTCGACGCGCATCTTCCTCCGTCTCGTCTAAAGCTGCGTTCTTGTCATGATACATTCCACCAGAATCGAGATTGAGTCCAAGGTCACAGGCCATTCTGAAGCTCATTCCACTGTATACCCAGCCCTTGGCTTCTCGGCCACAGCCAGCTTCACGAACAGACATGAGAGCAAGTGCTTGTACTAAGAGAGGATTAGCACATCTACGAGAGGGGCTGCGTTCTCAGACACGGACCCGTAGTCAGCTTCGGCACTTCATGAAGATCGTCTACCAAGATCAATCTCTTAGCTTCTTTAAAGAAGTGGTCACCCGCAGTAGCCGAGTCATCCCGAATAGCTCGCGATCCGGGCCAGGACGTGAAATGGCATCCCAGAGCTAACATCGCATTTACAAGGAGAGGAGTACAGTATTCAGTTTTCCGGCGCGAGTTTGGAGGAGGTTTCCCAAGTAAGAAGTCGCGGTAAAAGAGGCTCTTTGATAACGTAGTAAAGAAAGTATAATGCCAGCAAAAATACATGTTCATAAGGTGTACAATCAAGCCCGGGTCCGATGTGACGGTCGTCCACGACGTTATTGGGTTCTCCTGTTGCATATATTGCTCTACGTTCGACTCAGAATCCTCGTCGGAGTCCGATCCAGCTCCAAGGTATATCAGATTGGAGGTCCCCCCAATGTAGCGTGTTGAGCCGTCCTCCAACCGCAGTTCGCCCATCTTGCCGGACAACTTCGACTCAAACGTTTGCGCAAATGCTGAGGCATCGCTGTACGGCGACACGGCTTCATCCTCGTCCTCATCCATTCCATTTTCCTTCGCGATTATGGCTTCGGCAACAGAGTCGAGGCTCTCGCACGTCCGAATCTGCTGCACCAACGCAGCGACTTCATCTTTGGGGTAGTTTAGAATTGCTTGGACGAGGGTCTGGAGGGTCGAGTTCCGGGTCTTGAGATTGTCAATGTCCTTCTTGTACACGCCTTTTCGCCGGTGGTCCGAGTTCGGGTCGTACACGCACACGGTGTTATATACAGCGGCGCATGCAGAACAGGATGGAATTGAGCCGTCACACTAAATGGAGATGCTTCAGTTGGTGGGTGTATCTCCGCGGCGGGTACGAGATGTGATCGCATCCTACCTTTGACTTGCGCTTCCTGCAGGGCACACATGCACTTGATATGCATCGCCGCTTTTTCGAGCCCTCGACCAGGAGATCCTTCTTGCCCTTCCTTCGAGCCTTCTGCGCGCCGTCCGCGCTGGGCTGCGAGTCAGTGGCCTCGAGCTTCGCGCCGGAGTCCATGGTGGTGGGGCGGTGGTTATCGGCAATGGCGGGGACGTTCGAGGTTATATTCGTCGAAGGGGCAGCATTCAACTCTAGACGCCTGGGTGTTGCGCGCATCCAACATGCTGACCAACAAGGCGATGGGATGTGTGGTAGGCGTCACGACGAGCACGGGGCTGCGCAAAAGGAAAGGGCATTGGAAAGTACCGAGCTGCTCGTCCAGCGCGATAAGGTGCGGGGCCAATCACACTCTCGCCGACTCCAACGACTGTTTTCTGCTGTGTGCCATATAGCCCAGTCATGGTCATGAAATAGCGAAGTCTAGTGGTATAGTACCATGTTTGCATGAATGTTTGAGACTTCCCTGGCTTGATCGAGGAGATAGATCGCACAGACGTCAATAGTGACCATAAATGTGCTCACCTACACGGAAAGGGATGCCGCAGGTGCCACCAGACCGTTCTCATCACATGTATATTAGCTGTACGCACTGCCAACGCATAGTTGAGAAATCTTCTGATTACAATTTCCTTACTCTCCACTTTTCTCGTCGCTCTCTGGGCTTGCAGGGGGTGGACCCGTGCTCGACACCTTATGCTCCTCGCTTTCTCTTTGCCCCCTTTTCTATGGTACTTTACATATTAGAAATTTTGAGCAGCCCTCCAATCCGAACTAAGGCAAGCTTAACGTTGGCCTAACTGGTCAGCGGCAGGGCGCCTGTGGCGGAGGGGGAAAGGCAGAAGGAAAAAGTGGGGTGTTTACTGCTTTATGTTGCCGGGCTGTGCGGGGATGTGCATTTGTTTCTGCACTTTTTGAGTTCAATTCGCAAGATTGGTGGTGTTTCTTTTTGCTCCTTCCATTTCTTCAAAGAATCACGATGTTTGAGTGTATACACTTAGGCCCGTAGCCTAACTCTACAAACAGTGCATACCTCCGTGACAAGAAGCATAGAACGCCTGCTCCCTCCAATGCCCTCCGTGATATAATCCGATTGACCTGTCCTCGTAGTCATCCGGTCATCCCAAAGCCATGTACTGTATCCTTCAAACTCCCCAGAAACAAGATCACCGCGCCGTCCACCTACATATCCTCAACAGAACAGTTAGGATGCATGACATACACCACTTTGCCTTGAGCAAGACCTTGCCCCTGATCGTCAGCCAATCCCTCACCGCGGATGGGCATAAGGATAGAATCCTACATCGCATTAGCACAGCCCTAATAGCCACCTAGAGCACAAACCACGTACCTTAACCATCCTTCTCAGCACCTTCTTCGCGAGCTCTCTCTCATTCTCCAGATCCTCCTGCGTCTCCAACTCGGCCTCACGCTGCTCAAGATACCAGACTAGCAACTCTTCCTCCTCGACGCCATCTTCGGATGCTTCCTGATCCGCGTTCACACGCCCCACAAGCAAGTTCAGAATGGACATGTACTTGTCATATGTAATCTTCGTACGCTCACGCTGTGGAGCTGGCGTGCGGGATACGGCCCTCGATGCTGCGCCGTCTCCAGAGGGACCAGCTTCAGCATCAGCGTCATCATCTTGGTCGCCCATCTCGTGGTCTTGGTCGGCCGTTGCAGCATCGCCGTCTGCACCAGCCTCACCATCATTGAGAGCGGCTTCCTCATCCTCGTCCTCAACTTCTACGTCGTCCTTCTCGACGGAAATGATGGATTGGCGGAGGAGATTATAGGCTTCGCGCACAAAATCAGGAGTGATTTCACTCACACAAGTAGCCTTGGCGATGGCCTCGGAGAGACGGATCATACTCTCCAATTGACGTACCGTGATGCGGTAACTGTTCCTGCCAATACCGCCTTGAGCATCGTCGGCGCGGAGTTCCTTATATTTCTCGACGAGAGTTCGCTTGGCCTCTTCTGTAAATTCGGGCTTGAAAGTACGTGCAAACCGAATGTAGCGCTGAAGCTGTTCAGTCGAGAACTCGGGTTGAACGGCCTCGTCGCGAAGGCGATGGATATCGACAATGTGCTCTGCTAAGTGTCGATCGACGGTTTCGTCACACTCATCTAGTACGACGAAGAAAAGATCAAACCGAGACATGATTGGGGCGCTCATGTTGACATTGGCACGAAGTGTCGTCTTCCGGTTGTAACGACCGCCGACAGGGTTAGCGGCTGCCAGAATCGACGTCCTAGCATTGAGTGTGGCCTGGATGCCGGCTTTGGCGATGGAGATGGTCTGCTGTTCCATGGCCTCGTGAATGGCGACTTGATCGGCAATGTCCATTTTGTCGAACTCGTCAATAGCGCAGATTCCATTATCTGCAAGCATAAGGGCACCCGCTTCAATGGTAAACTCGCCTGTCTCTTCATCCTTGACTACCGCTGCGGTGAGACCAGCGGCTGAAGAAGCTTTGCCAGATGTGTATACTGCTCGAGGGAGAAAGCTGCAGATGTATTTCAAGAATTGTGATTTCGATGTCGATGGGTCGCCGACGATGCAGATGTTGATATCACCACGAAGAGCCATACCTTCCGGGGTCTCCTTTGACACACCGCTCATAAGTTGAAGAAGGAGGCCCTTCTTGATGACCTGATGCCCGTATACCATTGGGGCGATGGAGTCCACCAAACGCATAAAGATGTTCGGCTTGTGTACCATGTTCCGAAGATCTTCAATCTCGGAAGGTGTGAGTGATTCGAGATACTCCTTTTGAGCTTCCTCGCCTGTGGCGTTAGACTCGAGTGGTTGGTTTTGACCCAAAGACGCAAGGATGTTGCTCTGAGGATTGCCTGGAGTGGACGTGTCTGGAATGACCATGCACGCTAAGAAGGCCATTCGGTAGGTAAGATCACGCACACCTAGTTGTCTGAGCCCAGTGACGCCGTTGCCACCCACATCGCTTCCGCGTGGGGCATTGGAGGTATCTCTAGTTGCTTGTGGTCGTATTCCTGGCACGCGGAACTGGCTCACGTCCGGTATGACAATAACCGTGCCTGTGAAGATACACTTTTCACCAGCCTTAGCTCGGTCTACCATTTCACCGCGAAGGATGACATCCATGGTACGAGGCATACTTCCGGTAGGGATTTCGGAGCTGTTCTCTTGGATTCGGACTTTCTGCCAGTCGACAAACGTAGACTGACGGATATCCAAGCGCCAGCCGTCCCGGTTCCCGCACACTTGATTTGGGCATTGTGTTGGTTCCGTGAATTTGAAAGTCTGTTCGACGTTGGGCACAATGGCGTTGCAAGCCTGGCATATGAAGGTTCCGAGGAAAAGCTCAGGGCGAACTTCTGAAGTGCGAGTTACAGTTCCAGAAATAGATAAGAGACGGCCGATAGATGTGGTCCGTAATTGGCGGACCCGAGAAACGAGGGGCAGATTGTAGAAGGCTAGTGTGAATATCTTGTCCGTTTGCTGGTTCGTCGTTTTCTCATTGAGAGACTCGTTCTGACTGAGGGCGTTCCCAGCGACCGACGAATTGGTCACGGACGACGCCGAAGCCGGCTGGCGATGCTCGCGGAAGTATTGCGGCTCGTACTTCGCAATGAGATTGTGCAAGGCCCGAACCATATACGGCAAGAAACGGTAGTATTCGCTTGCAACCGCTTCAGCGACCACCCCGTCTTCGTGTCTAAGCAGGTGTGTGAAGTCAACGTATAGGGTCGACAGGTTGTGCAGGCGGAGGCCGTGTATCTGAGCAATGTAAAATCGGGCATCTGTCTGGGCGCTCGCAGTAGGAACGGCGGACGAAGTGGGATCATCCGTGAATCTGTAAAATACATTAGTCTCTGACTTCTACTACTAGCAATGCTGAAAACTGACCCTTCTAGGAACTCCTCAAAACGTTGCGACAATGTCTCGCCAGTAACGTCCACAACGCGCGGAATATTCCCAGTGGCAGCATTCGGCCTACGTCCAGGCGCTCTTGCGCCGACGATGTTGTCGTCGGGGAAGCCTTCAATGTCGCTCCCAGCGCCTGCACTTGAGGGCGGGGCGCGCTGTCTGGCAGAGGAGGGCGTCTGGTTCCTGCGTCGGCTGGCGCCAGGGTCGCTTGAGGGAGTGGCGGCGCCCAAGAAATCCGAGTTGAGAGCTGCGTCGGCGACGGAAGACATCTTGCGTGGCTGTGATGGCACTGTACAGTTGGGCGGGGGAAAGATTGAAGGAGTCGCGTAATGATCGCGTTCACCTAGGTAGTGGACGCGTCAGGGTTGTCTTGGCCCGAATTCATTTAACCAATTGTTCAATTAACGCTTCTCTTGGTCTAGCGCGAAGTGGGGGAACTCGATGCTAGGAATTCATTATTATCGCCAAGTTGAAGCAGTCACGACGGAAAGCACATCCCAAGCAAAGTCTTTCATGGCACGCCCATACTCGTCGCTCATCGGGCAGAAAAGCTTGTTGTCCCGTCTGCGTTCTGCGCGCTCAGCTTCGCGAAGCCCTGCTGCTTCTTGCAACGCACTCCGTGGTTCGACGCACGCCATGCCACCCAACTGTAACGCCCATTCAAGCGTGGCATTGACATCATCACGGAAGGTCCACAGCGAGAGACCAAACCGGTTCGTTCTGATAGGCTGATGTATTATGTACAGTCTACCAATCATGCAAAGGGAATCGAGTCGTGAAGCACGCTGTCTAAAGGAAGTAGTCCGGGGTTCTACGAGATACCATCGGCTCGCCAGCCCGTGGGCACGGGTCGAATTGCAAGCTGCAGATCCGTTAGCATATTCTGAGTGGGGGATAGTCGAGTACAGCTTACAAGGTGTACTTCAGATGCTCGTCGATCTCCATGATCGCGGCCTGGTTACCGCATCTGTAGCAGTAGTTGGGCGCTGTGCGCATTAGCCTTCGTCTGTGGCAGTTATGAAGAACCAACTCACCAGAGAATATTGTCACCACATTTCGATCCTGAGACCAGTTGTAGCCCTCCATGACCAATTGATGGGCCCGTGCCACGAGCGTCAGGCCGTTGTTGTGGTTGAACGCCTCTGAGATATCCTGCCCGAAAGTGTACCCCGCGCCTCGGGGAGATATGCCCCATCCACACCTATCATCAGGGTCTGACCAGAGGAGGTCGCACATAGGACCTTCGTGGGGCACTTCCTGTATTCTGTCAAGAGCCCGAATGTTATCGAGGGTGTCGATGCTGGGAGACAAGCCGCCGTGCAAGCAGAAGATCTGATTGTCGATAAGGGCGGTGAGGGGGAGGTAGTCGAAGAGATCCGTGAAGGATTTCCACACGTTAGCGTTTCCGTACTTTCGAAGGCACTCGTCGTAAAAGCCGTACACCTGGGTGATTTGGCGGGATTCGTGGTTGCCGCGGAGGATTGTGATGCGCTGGGGATACCGAATCTTCAAGGCCACAAGGAGAGTCACAGTTTCCACCGAGAAATAGCCACGGTCGACATAGTCACCTGCACCATCGTTAGAACACGACTTCGCGCCCAAACATTATTTCGCAGCTCACCCATGAAGAGGTAATTGGTATCTGGGTTGGGTCCACCGATTTTGAAGAGCTCCATCAAGTCGTGGAACTGGCCGTGTATATCTCCGCACACAGTGACGGGGCATTTCTGAACTGCTGTGAGCTTGTGAAAACCTAAAAGAGCGCGCATGCTGCTTACGACTGGCTGTACATTGGACTCGTCTTGAAGGACTTCCCTAGCCTGGACACGCGACAACAGTCAGCCTCTGCTACACACAAAACAAGCGCCTTGTTCAAGCGACGCAAATTTGAGGGTCGCAAGGTGGATTGCTCACCTTGTCGCAAAGTCTCTGGACATCGCTCTCAGCCAGCTGCTTGCAGGCCATCAGACTCTCAATCCATCCGTCGAGAGTCGAAATCGAGGCAGGTTCTGTGGTCGGGACAGACGACATCTGCATGGGCTCAGGCATCTTCACATCCTCCATATTCGTATCCATGATTGCGGGAGCGTGAGCGCCGGGGTATAGAAGGGTTGGCGGTTCGTTGGGGGTGCTTTTGCGAGGGCGCTGCTTGCCGCCCCGGATTAGGAACAGATGACGTGCTGTTTAGAAGAAAGGGCACGCCGATGGCGGGACCTGGCCTGTTAGCACTTGGACCGTACAAGTGGCCGGTGAGGTTGGGCGTCGGTGGTATCGTATGGCGACGGCGACGATTGCGGCAGGTGGTGAAGGTCCGTTGTTGATTGTGACCTTGGAAGCAGTCCTGGAGTGCTAAGAGAGTCGCCCGCGCTAGCTATTTCAGGCTAGCTGACCTAAGGGGGCTTGTAAACTGGCCAGGCTTGGCATTCACAAATCTAGATTATGCATTAATAGTTAGCAGTATAACGGGCATAACTAATGAATTGTGCATACTCCAATGCCCTATCTGAGGTCTGTAAACTCGTTTGCCACTGCCTGTCCTGCCTTGACAGATTTCCGAAAGTTTGAGTGAATCGCGTGAACAGTTTGGAGCCCGAGGACTTGCCAAAATCACTTCAAACAATGTCAGTTTACGAAGTATACCTAGGTAAGCTCCTTGACCCTCCCAAGGTCAGCTCCTTGACCCTCCCAAGGTCAGCTTCACGCTACCTCACACCGCAATTTGCGGCTTGGCCTGGCTTGAGAGGAAACCACCAAACATGCCAATGGCAAAATCAGATGACAGAGCGCTACGTGACAAACTCCCTTAAACATAAGAGGAAGAGTTTGGTGTCTTCTAGACCATCATCCATAAGTACGGTCGGTAGTGTGCAGAGCTTCAGAGCCTTGATTAAAAGGTCAAAGTCGTAAAGAGGAATAATTGAAGATTATCAACCCATAGCTTCAAATTCGTCCAGCCTGTACTTAGATTGAACTGGTCGACAGCGGGCATTCTTTGCTTACCGACTAACCCTTTGAGTAATCTAATAGAGAGGAAAATGACTTCACGAGCTCTCCCATCTATCTAAGTTATTACAACTCCACCGCCCCTTCAAGCGATCTAATCTCTCCTATCCTCCAATCGCTCCAATCTCGTCAGGCCTCCCATCTTAACCATCAAGCGGCCACCGCCCGCTTTCCTATCTCGATATCTACATCTCAACCGTCTGCTTGCTCATCCTTACACTTCATCAACTATCAAACACATACCGCCCAAACCAGCTTCTCGAGATTGCCCGGCTTCATATGCGTCTATTAGCAGCATCCCCTCGTTCCTCGAAGCACACACTAGAATCTCGTAATCATCCAGCTTGACAATGATCTACTAGCACGGAGAGGAGTGGACATCATGGGAGGTGGGGGTTCCTACACAGGCAAATTTCGCGTGACAACTGTCGGCTGAGATGTATACATCAATCAGAACGAAGTGCCCAAGATTCACGAGGATTGTGCACCGGCATCAAGAAAATCGTCTGCCATGCCACGACCGCGCGAAGGGTGAATGTGCGTTCCTCCCGGGTTCTCGGCGCAGCCTTGTGCAAAAAGAGAGGCGCAAAAAGAGACCAGCGCCCGGTCAGGAGTTGAACCCGAGACCCTTGGGCGGCAAAAAAGAGAGAGAATACACACATGGTTTGATTGCCAGCAGGTTATGTTTACCCCAGCCTTCCCATACACTCTTTGAGAACATACCGGAGGGCTCAGCGGATTGAGGTACCTCGCGGACGTCAGGAACGCAGCAGGCGGCTCAAGCCAACAACTGTACCACTGCGCAAACCGCCCTGATGCTTAGTGCCGTGAAGGACTGTTCGGCACATGTAGCATGATCCGTGTGTGTGATGCGTGCCGGGGGGGTGTCGGAAAGGGGACGTCTGTTAACTTCGTCACGCTTCATGCGTATATATATCCTTGTGCGTCAGCGGACTCATGATCTATCGTGACATCGCGCGCGCGCTGGCTATGTGGACGTAATGATCAGGCGGTCGGCGAGCGTGTGATCTGGTGGTAACCCGTGCTCAATCTCTGATTAGAAGAGCGCTTCACTTCCCGACGAGCATCTCGATATGTTACCCCCGCCAGTACGTATTTCTTCCAGTCAAGGCAACGTAGCCACACATCAAAGCCGGAGCCATACAACAATATGCTAGCTTGTCTCTAGAGTGGCGAAGTCGAGATGCCTTGATAGGCTCTGTTCAAGGTCCTTGTTGATAGCTTGCTTCGAGGAGTCCACCCTTGCCTATATGTCCTACCTGCACTGGAAGTCTGGGATGCTCTTCTCATCAAAGAAGGCGAACTTTATAAACAGTCTGTCGTAGTTTCTGCTCATTTCTCACTTCCTGGTAGCATTTTTAATGCTCCTCTTGTAAATGTTCTGGCTATGGCCGTCCCAGTTATGATGTATAGAGTCCTACCCCAGAACATGTTTCATATCGTGCGTAGGTGTAGCTGATTTCATATCCCTGCACTAAGGCTTTCCAGGAACAACTTCAATTCAATTGTGTCTCTAAATCCTAAGGTGACCTGGTGGACTTTAGTCACTGTATTCCTTAGTAAGTATCAGGGTAGAAGTTGAGTGTTGCTTCAGTGACTTCCATCTAGTTCTCCACAAATCAAAAACAGCTAGATAACATGGAAATCTTACTATGAGTCCGCAAGGTGCCAGCAAGGTGCCAGCAAGGTGCCAGATGCGCTTAAGTTGGCATAAGCGCGTGATGAAAAGATGGCGATATTCAGAGGCAGGGGAGTAGTAGCCAATCATAGATGGTCCAATACTGGAGCTGGGGCAGTGAGCGGCGGCCGGGATGTAGATGGATGCGGCAAGGCAGAGTCGCCTTAGTGATACGTTCAGTAGTAGAGAGGTAGATGGTTATGGATGGTAACCGACGAGTCAACAAAGGGCTCAAATCAATGACCTTAAACCTTGTCCAGACATTCGACACTGTGATGAAGCATGTTACAGAATTGTAACAAAGTATATATAGACCTAGGTCCTGACTCGGTCGTACCGTGGCTCGCTTGTCTCCTATAATTAGCATGTGTGTTGCGTATGACTTCCCTCCTCTGATCTACGGATGCGGGCCCCTAATACCGGAGTACTTATTCCCTCGCCTCTCATCTTCGACTTTTGGTTCGCAGCCAAGATCCCTCCTCACAGCGAAGTCAATGATCTTTGCGAGACTGTCCTCATTGAGGTTCTTAGAGGACCGCTGTTGGCCCCTTCCTCTGTAGCCGATTACTCAGCAGCTTTAGTATATCTTTCCGTCTTAGGAGCCTAGCTAGCTTCCTCTCTCGAACACCAATACAATATATTCTCTCTTCTGCACACCGCTCTCACACCGCCATTGGCCAAGCTCCAAGCAGCTTCCCGGCTTTCAGACCACTACGCGATCACCTCAAAGAAGCAAGAGACAAACTGCAAGACTCACACACAGCAGCCTACTTAAGTACCGAACCATCAGCATCTAAAAGCTCTACAGAACATGCAAGGTTTTAAAGTTGGCAAACTCACTGACCGCATCCAGTACACCAAATCCGAGTACTGAGCAGTGAATCTTCTCTCATCAATGTAAGATTTGGGGCCCGCCAACGCAAATGGGCGCATCGCCAACGCGGGTGGCGGGAATAGTCACGATAGACGCGTGGTGTTGAGCCCCGCACCCATTGGTACCTTGCATGTTGCTACCTGTGCCAGCCCTGGAGGCGGGACCGGCTGGCCAGGCGGTGAGCGTGATCGCACCGGGAGCTAAGCTCGATACAGCTAGCGCCTCCCCGCGAACCGACCAAAAGCTTGGCAGTCGTACCTTTGTAGGAGCTTGAAAAGCTCCGTCGCGACTGCCACCCCACCACCACCATCACAACAACAACACTGTCCTCGACGCACTTGTTGGAACCACTTCACCACCCCCTCGCACCTGCGCTGAGACACCTCGCGCTCCATTGATCCTTCCTGAGCCAACCTTCGCTGCATCGCAACCATGGCGCGCAAGCGTTCGGCCTCGCCCGACTTCCCTCCTCCTTCGCCGTCCGATTATGGCGTGCGCACCCCACCCGGCTTGTCTCCAGGACCCGAGACTGGACCTGAGTTCTTCATGTCGGGCGGCCTTGGACCTCCAACCGCAACCGCAGCCGCATCATCATCTTCAGCCTCCGTCGCCGTCCCGATCTTCGAGTTCGAGGGCCAACCATCCGAAGCTCCAGCCGAACCCGAGGGCGAAGCGTCGCTTGTAGACGTGTCCATGCTTGACATCGATGACTTTAATGCTGCTGTAAGTCATTGTCGCGCCACATTGCGCGGTCGCTCCTTCTCTCGACCCAAGCTAATCTGATCTTAAGCAGGCCGTCCCCGCGACCCGCCGAATGGGTTTTGTCTTTCAGATGGTTACCCGCAATATCCCTACCCTACCCAATCTGTCCTCTATCACGACGTTCCGACCAATCTCAAATACGCGGCGAGCAATCGGACGATTTGCGAACATCCGTCCTCTGACCGCAGTGCTCCAAAAGGTCACGACATTCTTCAGCCGCGCACAGCACCCCGCTCAGCAGACAACAACCCATACCATTGCAGCTGTTCCAGTTAGCAGCCCGCGCAGCAACAAGAAGATATTCCTTGACGTGGACAACGCCACCGAGGATCTTTCCAGTCTTCTCCATCGCCATGTCCCAGGCGAGTGGCCCGAAGAAGAACATACCATCCATAACGTCGATCCGAAATGCTCAATCGTATCGCCCTCCAATGCCTCGTTGCTCGATAGCACCGACCTGAAGCCCACCTCAGAGCTGAGCGAGGACGATAGATGGAATGAGGAGGCCAATCAACAGCTGCATATGGAAGATTTCCGCTACGAGAACATCGACATTCAGATGAGGTGTGACAAAGAATCACGCATGAGAATGAGGGCCAAGTTGCGATATCGCTATGATGAGGACAGCAACAAGATAGACCAAATCCACGACCACCCACTCTGGAAGCGGATTCACAGACCTCCCAAGTCCCACCCCGTGCGTCCTCCCGGCTACTATAACCGTCCCCTGTTGAAGCCGAAGGGCCCGTCTCAAAAGCGTTCGGTCCAGAATGCACCAGCTCGCGAAAAGTCGAAGCTCAAGCTCTCGGCTGCGCTTGCTAGCGCGACCCCGCAATCGGATCTGAAGGTGGGCCAGGCCCCGGCGTTGCCAGGCCTTGCAGCAAACCCCACCACCGACATGCAGCTGGCCGTCGCCGACCCAGAAAACCCTGTCGACACTCAGACTACCACCAACGTCGATGTCTCCATGCAGAACATCGCCGAGACTCAAACTACCACCAGCGCCGATGTCTCCATGCAGAACATCGCCGAGACTCAGGCCACCACCAGCGCCGATGTCCTCATACAAAACACCAGCGACAAATTCCCGCAGACTCCTAAGGCGGTGTCCAAGCCAGACCTCAGTGAACCCCGCCAGGATGAGAAACTGCCTCAGACTCCTGGAGCGTTCCCCGAGTCCAACGACGCCGCGCACCTCCTTGGAGGCATTGTTCAAGCCCACTCTATGGTCCCGCAGACTCCTATTGATAACGACATGTCCACTCTCGAGGATGCCCCTCCCCGGAAGTCGGTTGGATTTCACGAGAATGCGTTCAAACTGGACCCGACAGACCCGACTAAGAAAGAGCACGCGGTCCTGGAACAGATGCACTACCTCTATGACGATATCGCTATTATCGAGCAAGCCGAAAACCGGTTCAAGGATCAACCCCCACGACTTGACTATCCCGTCGAACCCGTGGATGAGACCGAGCTGGAAGATTTTGTGGGCGGATTTTTGTCCGAGGGCAAAAAATCACCGTACTACTTCTCCCATCTGATCGATCAGTCTCCAAAGAAGGCTGACGAAGACGACGACGACTCTACGCTGCTGGGCACTGTCACTCGAGACTTCAAAGAATGGCACTGGAACACCGTATCGGGGGTAGAGATGTCTGACAAGAAGCGAAAGGTGAAGGATGAGGAAGCGCGACTTGAGTTTCTGAAGAAAGAAAAGGAAGCCAAGCGAAAGGCAGAAGAGGACGCCCGGCGAAAGGCTGAGGCAGAGGAAGCCGCGGAAAAACAGAGACTCCTCGAGCAAGCTGCGCGCGAAGCTGCAGAAGCTGCGGAGAAAGCTAGGAAGGCTGCTCGACCGCTTATCAACCGGATTTCAAAGGAGGCCATGACTTCCATCGACGAGGCGGCGAAGAAAGGCCCGAACGGAGTGCACGCCTTGTTCCTCAAGGGCAGCAACTTCGGCAGCCTGCTTCCGAACAAGTTCGCCGGGGGAAACCCGCAGGCGTGGCTCGACGACGAAATTGTCAACACTTACCTGAAGTTACTGGCTGAGCGTGAGCAAAAGCTAGCAGGTTGGACCAAAGCGTCGGGACGCGGACCGCCAGTCCAGGCCATTGTCTCCCAGTGGTACCAGAACGTAAAGGGAAAGAACAAGGCCAAGATCGACGAGGATAAACCAGCATTCAACCCGAAAGAGTTCGACGGCGTGAAGAAATGGCACGCACGTGCAGGCCTTGGAGGCAAGCGAATTCTGGACACAAAGGTCATTCTTATTCCCATCTGCGAGGGAAACCACTGGCGCCTTTTGGCGATCAAACCGGAAGTTCGCGAAATTGAGCTCCTAGACAGCTTAAACCCCGCGAAGCGTGCGTACGAGCAGTACGTGCACCTAGCTCGCCGCTTCCTAGAGTTCGAACTAGGGGCCCTCTATGTGGCGGAAGAGTGGAAAGTTGTGCCGAATAGGTCCGGCCACCAGGCCAACGCGCGGGATTGTGGTGTTTTTACGGTCTTCAACGCCTTGGCGTTGGTGAAGGGAGTGGTGCCGGCCAACAAGGTCACGCCGGCACTGATGCTGCCGGCGCGCCTACAGTTGGCCGGCACCCTCCTTTCGGGGGGGTTCAAGGGGGAGTTCGAGTACTAGGCATAGCGACGGTGTTTTGAGCGTGGGTTTCGGGCCGGTTTTGTTTTTGTTTTGGCATGGCCTGCGGGCCCATTGGGGAAAAAACGAATTATGATTATTATACCCCAGGCCGGGCATTGGCCCGGCCAATTTTGCATGTAACAACACTGTACAGTAGGAGAAGAAAAGATTCTTGATCAAATTCTGATGTGTTTTGGTGCATAGGTGATTTGAGAGGCTGTGGATTGAGGGATCACGTGGAGTTGGACGCGGAGGGGGCTGCAGTGTAAAAGAAGACGCTGGAAAGGGTGCGCGTAGGGGGGAAGTAGAAGACCCCTGTGCGTCTTCCTCTTTGCCTCCGCGTGCCTAATTTGGCATCTTTTTCTGCATCACGTCCCCTCCGGTGTACCCCTTGCGTGCCTCCCTGCGTCTTCCGTTTGCCTACGCGTGCCCTCTTTAACACCTTCTTCTACCCTGCGTCCCCCTCTGTGTGACCCTCTACGTGGCCCTCTGCGTACTTCTCTGCGTGAACGTGGTGTAGAGAAAACTGCCAAATCAGCCACGCACAGGCAAAGGTGAAGACGCAAAGGGGGACTCAGAGGGGGCCGTAGCGTATAAAACCGTCACGCGGGCCAGGCAGAGGTGTGCATAGAGATGGACGCAAAGGGGGACGTAGAGGGTACTAAAAGAAGTAAAACGTAGAGTGTCTAAACTGGGTCGTTGAAGTGAGCGTTTTGACACCGTAGGAATACTTCTGAGGCCCTCCTGGACGTACTAGGAATTCTAAAAATAGGATGTAAAGGACGGAACGCTGTGAATCTGAAGGTTTGTAATATGTGTGCTACATGATGCTGTATATTGGGCCATATGGAACAATGATGTGAATAGAGTTGGTTGTTCGAGCGTTTTGACAACATAGTAGCAGTTGTAAGACATCCCTACACGTACTAAGAGTTTTAAAACGGAATGTAAAGGTTCGGACACTGTGGATTGGAGGGTTGTTGTTCTAATGCTGTGAATCGAGACTTTTTGATCGAGGGTGCGAAATAAACGTGGTGTTTGGGCGTTTTGACAATATAGTAGCACTTGTGAGACACCTCTGCGCGTACTGCCGAGCTGAAATGCATGATGTAAAAGTTTGGACGCTGTAAATTGGAGGGCTACGGTTGGGATGCCGTGGATCGAGTGTTTTAATCGAGGGTTGTAAAATAAGCGTCGTGTTTGAGCATTTTGACACTATTGAAACACTCGTGAGACACCCCTACGCCTACTGACAAGCTGAGAAGCGTGATGTCAAATGCTGGACACTGTGAAGTGGACTGTTGCCTTTACGATGCCGTAAATGAAGTTGTTTATTCGAAGCTTCCAGTTGAGCGCTGCGTGTGAGCGTTTCGACAATATGAAAACACTCGTGAGACACCCCTACACCTACTGAGAAGTTGTGAGACACGATGTCAAAGACTAGACACTCTGAATTGGAGCGTTGCTCGGAGAGTAGTCCTGGATCGAGCTTTTGAGTCGACATCGTGAACTGCAGCTTGGGATTAAGTGCGCTGACACTACCCGAGCACTCTTGAGACCCCCCTGGACGTATTGGAAAGCTCAAGAACAAGATGTAAAGTTCCGGACGTCGTGAATTGAAGCAGCGAATAGAGAGTAGTGCTGACACATAATTTTCGATCAAGGCCGTGAATCGAAGCTTTCGAATGAGTGCGCTACTATATCGGAAATCCTCGTGAGGTCCCTCCGGGCGTACTCACATGCTAAAGAACGAGATGTCAAGAACCAGACGCTTTAGATTGAAACATCGAATGGAGAGTAGTGCTGGCTCGGGATTTTTGATTGAGGCCGTGAATTGAAGCTTTAGATTAAGTGTGCCGCTACATCAGGAATACTCCTAAGACCCCCCTGAGCGTACTGGCAAGTTGAAAAGCGAGATGTCAAGAACCAGACGCTGTAGGTTGAAGCGTCGCTCGGAGAGTAGTGCTGGCTCGGGATTTGTGATCGAGATCCTGAAATGAAGCCGCTGAGTTGAGTGCGCTGCTATATCAGAAATACTCGTAAGACCCCCCAGGGCGTACTAGCAAGCTGAAGAATAAGATGTCAAGAACCGGACGCTATGAATTGAAGCATGGTTCGGAGAGAAGTGCAGGATCGAGCCTTTCAGTCGAGGCCCTGAAATGAAGCTGTAGTGTGAGTGCGCTGCTACATGATGGACACCTGTGAAGGCCCCTAGCACGAACTAAGAATCGAGAAGCAAGATGTAAAGAATTGCATCTTGTAGATTGGGCCACTGCTGTGGGAACCATGTTGATAGTACTAAAGTGCTTCTCCTCGTAATTGAGAGCTCGTATCTGAGCGCGCTGCTACATCACGAATACTCGTGAGACCCTCCTGGACATACTCACAAGCTGGAGAACGAGATGTAAAGGACAGGACAGTGGGAAATAGAGCATTGCTCTGAGAGTGGCGTTAGGTTAAGATTTTGATAGACGCCGTGAATTGAGGTGTTGGACTGATTGCGCTGCTACATCAAGAGTACTCGTGAGACCCTCTCGGACGTACTGAAAAGCTGAAGAACGAGATGTTAAGAACTCAACGACGTGAATTGAAGATGCTACGTGGAGTTGTCCGATATCATCACGGAGAAGCGTACCATTGTCCGCCCTTCTCCGAGTCTCAGCCGAGTCTTTAGGTATCCAAGTCATAGAATAAAAGAGCGCCATCGGCCCCTCGCAATCTCTTCGGCCGATTCATCTCGGCTCGGCCTTTGCTGCAGGCCGACCAGCCACAATTTCGTGGGCTGTAATACCTATACCCTCCCCCATCAGTCAACTCTTTTAATCTTATCAGATCATCTTCCCACCACCCCCCTTTCCCCCCCAACCACCACAAAACCCACCAAAATGCTCGCCGGCGCCATCATCATCACGAAATTCCTCGGCCTCGCCGTCTCAAAGCTTACGGACACCCTCTCCCGCTCGCTCGCCGCCCGCATCCACCGCCTAACCTACAGGTCCGCGGAAACTCCGAAAAACGTCGTTGTCATCGGCGCATCCTTCGCCGGCTACCATGCCGCACGGCTCTTAGCTAATTCGCTACCAAGCGGGTACCGCGTCGTCGTCGTCGAAAAGAACTCGCACTTTAACTTCACGTGGTCGTTCCCGCGGTTCTCAGTCGTGGGTGGAAACGAATGGAAAGCGTTTATCCCGTACAGCTCGTACCTCCGCGGGGCGCCAGAAGGCAGCTACGAGTTCATTCGCGACGCTGTAGATGATGTGAGTAAGACAACGGTGGTTCTAAGGAGCGGACGAGAGATTGAGTATGAGTATCTTGTTGTGACGACGGGGTGCCAGGCGGATGCGCCGTCGAGGCTGAATGCGGAAGAGCGGGACGATGCGGTCAAGATTTTGAGAGGGCTGCAGGAGAAAATCCGGGAAGCGAGCGATTTCGTGGTTGTCGGGGGTGGGCCTGCGGGGGTGGAGCTGGCGACGGATGCGAAGGCGCTGTATCCAAAGAAGAATGTGACGTTGATTCATTCGCGTAAGCGGCTGTTGCATGCGTTTGGGAGCAGACTTCATGATACGGCGATGGAAGAGTTGAATAGGCTTGGTGTGAGAGTCGTGCTTGGGGAGAGGCCTGTTTTGACGGACGAGAGTAGTGGGAGTATAGCTCTTAGTAGTGGAGAGACGGTGGACTTCGACTTGGTGGTGAGTTCATGGCCGACCTTGCGACGATGGGTCCGCTTCTTAACTTTTGAAGGTCAAATGTACCGGCCAGAAACCGTCATCGAGCGTTGTCGCGAAGTTGGCCCCAAACGCGATATCCCAATCAGGATATGTGAAAGTAAAACCAACGTTGCAGATCGAAGACGATGACTTGAGAAACGTCTATGCTGCTGGCGATGTTGCAGAAGCTGGTGGATATGGCAATAGCCGATCTACCATGGAGCAGGCAACGGTTGTGGCAGACAACATCGTCCTAGCTATCAAGGGAAAGCCTCTGATTAAGTATCATGCTCAATGGTGGGAGGGAGGCATTGAACTGACTCTTGGCCTCGTAAGTACTTATGCCAAGAGAACTAAGAGAACCTTGACTAATTGATAACATAGAACAAGAGCATGATGCATCTCGAAGATGGAAAGAGAGACATACAATTTAACAGGAAGTCGGCTGATATGGTAGGGAAATGTGCACAGTGCTGGAAATACTTCAATGCGGGACCGCTTCCTAATGCGGACCCAGTTGTATGATGAACTTGCGTACTGGGAGGCCAAAAATGACTTGCTAGATCCCTGTCTAGCTACTCTGGTATTAAATGCTTTAATTAGGAAACAGAAACTCAAAGTGATGAGTTTTGATGAGTTATCGGATATTGCCCTCGGACGGTTTCAGAAGATATCTGAGTGCCAATGGACTTCCCGTGCACCCCTCTAGGTCTTCCTTAATCTATGCCATAGCCTCGAGTGTCAAGGTGGCGTGTGGGAGGATTCGCTATTTTTGACATTGCGGTCAGGTAGTTGTACGTCTAGGTATGACTCCGAGGCGCAGCATCGGCATGCTCTCAAGGTCCACTCACTTTCCTACTTTTCTTGACACTCTGAATTCATCTCATGCTTAAAACTTTGCACACTAGATTGGGGTCCACCGTATGAAAACTAGGACAAACAGAAAAAAGAAGAGTGACTTCTCTGAATTCTCTCGCAGGCTTAATCTCCTATAAACACATCCTCATGAGCCGAGAGCATGACGAAAACATCCAACAACACCTGTGTATTCAATTTCGGCGGCGACCCTAAAACGAACACTAGTTCCTACATCGACGTAGCGGCGCTGGACGTAGGGTCGTTCATCTTACCGGAAGCCGACCTCCTAGGCTTTGTCACGGAATAAGGAGCTGTAGGCCGTGTACATGATGTATTGGATGATGATGATAGAGAAGAGAGAGAGATCTAGAGGAAGGTGAGGCTATATGCAAGAGGTGCTGTGCGCCTGCCGTAGCCCTCACCGCTATTTTCCTGACAGTTGCCGGCCCATAAGATAGCAGGCGTCCCCGTCTGCTGCCCATCAAAACAAGCTAAGAAGGAGGAGTAGGTGCTGTGAAGGGGCTTACACAGGCTGATAGCAGGCGTCCCCCTAGGCTGTGCAAGCGGTGTAAGGCGTAGAGGCGTCATGTGTAGCAGTCGTACACCTTGTTCGTGAATGAAGTAGTTGATTGGTCGCTGGTAATAGAGGAATTCGCTGGGGTTGTAGAGGTTGTAGTGATGTCTTGTAGGGCTTGTTCGGTTGAGAGTCGACGACATCCGGGTGTTTGACGAACGTCGAGAGGGAACAGTATCCGGGTGTTTAACGCTGTGTCAACAGAGAGGGGGGGCCCCGCAGCGAGTGAACGTACGCGGGTTCGGTGGAGAAGCTGAGAAGTCCGGGTGTTTGACTAACCCTGCGTGTACACAGTGTCCGGGTGTTTGACTCTGCGGCGTGTGCTGGATTGGAAAGAGGAAGTAGGGCTAGTACGCCGAAGTGGGTTGTGGACGTGGAGAAATCCGGGTTGCAAGCTGTGTAAGCCTCTTCACAGCACCTACTCCTCCTTCTTAGTTTGTTTTGATGGGCAGCAGACGGGGACGCCTGCTATCTTATGGGCCGGCAACTGTCAGGAAAATAGCGGTGAGGGCTACGGCAGGCGCACAGCACCTCTTGTATATAGCCTCACCTTCCTCTATATCTCTCTCTCTTCTCTATCATCATCATCCAATACATCACATACGCGGCCTACAGCTCCTTGTTCCGTGACAAGGCTTGCACGACGATTTTCAAGAACATCCAACATTGTGGCCTCGCAACTCAACCCAACACCCAATCTGGCTGTACTTCAAAGGCCCCAGACTTTCTACGGAATTGACAGTAACGCACCCTCTTGAGGTACTAGGCCGTAAACCATTCGAGCAATCTCTCGTTATTGAATCGTTTGAACTCGAATTGGTTGAAGCCGGTAGGGAGCCTGGGAAAGGTAGTATCGTAATGTGTAAGTTCTCCACGGTCTTGCTACTTCTGCAAATGAAGTTGCTAATTCCTCTCAGCGAATGTGAGCGCAGATCCGTTCTGGGCGTCGATTCTGCCATTTGCCTCAAAAAAGACGCACTTTATGGGCATGGAGGTGGCTGAGAACATGATTTGCACATTCCTCAAGATCGGCGTTATGATGTATCAGTGGATCGTCCGCGGATTTTGGATGCGGGGCCTTATCTTCCTGAGGATCTCGGATATATTGAAATACTATGAATTCTCCAATCTTGACGGTTCCTCCTATGGAGAAATCGCTGCGGGGAGTTTCGACAGTTACGTTGACGAGTTATACCTTGCAGATGTTCGCAAAAGCCGAGAGAAGAATATGGAAGCCATTGTGCTGGGTGCTACTTCTAAGGACCAGCGCGTCGGCTGCAAAATACGCTCCGATCGAGGTTGGCGGCGAAGTTGTGAAGTCTGAGCTCCTGCATAGCGGCGTGTTTAGAAGTACCTGTTTCTGGGTTGAAGCACCTCCAGGAGGAGCAACTTGTGGCAATAGTCAAGAACATCCTATTGGCAACCAGAAGGGAGAAAGTAAAGGCTTTGTTATTGGGACTATTGTACCGTTAGCTTTGTTGGTCTTCGGCTCCCTGCTGTTGGCCGTGATATTAAGGAACCCGTTCCCGCGAGGCTGGTACCGTAAAGTCAGTCAAGGGGAGGAGGAAGATGATGATGGAGACTATGTGGGGAAGGGAGATTGGTTAATGGAGTTGGAGAGCGCCGCCGAAGCGTCAAAACAACCTTAGCAGTAACTTCAGCATGATAGCTGGCGGTAGAATCGGGTAGATACTGTTTCAGAGGCTAATTGTTAGGAGTTCCGGGCAACTGCTCGTTCTCGTTAGCAACAATCAAGGTCTGAAAAGGTCTGAAAAGGTCCGAACCTTTGAGTCCCAGGCGACAACAGACAAGCCGTGCGAGAGGAGTCGAAGCGAAAATATCGAATCAAGGGTCCCGATGACACTAGCTAGCATATCCTTGTCAGTAAACACCAGTACATCATGCGATTTTGTAGATGAACGACTGAGGATAAGTTTGATTGATCATTTATGAAATGCTAACGCAAGAAGATACCGACCATGAACAGACACTCCTCTAAAAGACATTATTTTAGGAGCTCCGACTATGCTCGTGACAATAGGAAATCTACGAAATATCCATTCAATGTGATAAACAGGGTATTCATGATTAATTTTAAAGCCCGACCCGCAATCCATGCATCGTAATACAAAAGGAGAACCAAAACCCGACGTGTAGACAAAGAAAACGGCTCTATGCCTCTTAACGCACCCCACTCATCCTACAGCCACCTCTACTTTTTGTTCTTCTTGCCTTTGTTTTTATGTTTAGCATTCTCAGCCTTAGCATTCTCGGCCGCGGTGGACTCGAGTATAGCGTCGAAAGTTTTCGTTGGATCGTTGCTTGACGCGGGCCTCATTGCCAGATTCACCGCACCAGCTGGCACGGGCAGCGCCTCGAGACCAAGATTCATGACGCTTTCGCGTCGCCTGTCAGGGCTTCCCGTTCGCATGCCGCCTGGTGGCTGCAGTAGGCCCGGTTCGGGAAGGAGAGAATCCTGCATAGTCTCTAGAAGAGCTGCAGCCATCATGGGCTTACCCTCAGTCCATTTGTGGGACATTTGCCAGCAGTGGCTACGAAGGTAAATGGCCTCAACGCCGTGCTCAACAACATCGGCAGGCAGGTGTATAACATTGGAGGTTCCAGCTACACCAAACCAGCTGCGTTGCGCACTAAGATCTTCACGTGCCCATGGAACGCCAGATCGTGGCGGTTGGCAGAGGAAGTATTCGACTCCATCGGTCCAGTGAATGCCTGATGCGTCGATCACTACCATTGGCAATGCTTGAATGACAGCGTACATGAACATCCACTGGCCAGTCCGCAGGTCGCATATCTCCTGGAGAGTCTTTCCCTTAGCAGCCTTGCGCTCGAACTCGCGAAATCTGTCCAGGAACGGGGTTGATAGAATTGAATCTTTATTGTACGAGTTCTCCAAGGCTCTGAATATTTCCTCTTCCTTGAGCTTTTTGTTTCGTGCTTTGGTATCTTTCTTTTCGTCTCCGAGGCCATAGTCCTTCTTCACACCTTTTAGACTTGGCCAGCGTGGCACGTCGAAAGGAACTGGGGGTTGGACTGGAGGAGAGCTGCGATCGTACTCGCTCAAGGCCTTACGAAGTGCACGAATTGTCACGGCTGGAATATCGTCTGCTTCCTCGTCTTCCATTAGACCGTCGGCCGTCCGCGTGGTCATATGGTTTCGATCTACCAGTAAATCGTAGAGGCACGAAACGTCATGGTAGAGATCCAGTAAAACGAGTCGGTTCATGCCACTAATTTCCAGGTTGTTCTTCTTGGAGGAGGCTTTAGGCGGCCAAGACCCATACTTATGTTTGTAATATGAATAGACGTGTTTGCGGGCGGCTAAGAACGCGGTTTTCCAGGCCTCGAAGTGAACGATTTTGCCTTCTTCGGCCATTTTGCTGTTCATGATACCTGCGAAGATGGACGGGAAATCGAAATCCTCCAATCTTGAAGTCACAGTTTTCAGGCGGTCTTCTAGATCCATAGAAGCCCTTTCTATTCGATTGAGAGTGACTGGCTTGATCAGGTGAAATTTGGGGCTGTTGCACTTCTTGATCTCCTCCCATCTTCCCGCTCCATGGACGAATCCTTCGTTGTATAGCATGGTCGAACGCATCCGCTCACCCAGCACAATGGCTTCGATAGTCTTCTCTCGGCTTTTGCGAACGTCTGCAAGGTGTAACTCGTCAACGTAACTGTCGAAACTCCCCGCAGCGACTTCTCCATAGGAGGAACCGTCAAGATTGGAGAATTCATAGTATTCCAATATATCCGAGATCCTCAGGAAGATATCAAACATGGACGAATTCCTCTCTGTGGCCACCAGCGATTGGCCTAGGAGAAATGCAAAGAAGTTCCTGTAAGCGATCAATTTGTCCACGTCGGCAGTGTTGAGATGCTGCTCTGGAGCATTTGGAGAGGTAGGTGCAGTATCGGTGCTCAAGGCAATGGGAATATACAGATGGGTTTCGGTAGGTATGTCATCAGTCGTGTCGCTTAGGGTCCTTGATCCTTTTGAACCATCAGAGCTCCCCTGAACTTCATTATCCTGGACGCTTTGGTCTGGAGAAACCGGTCGAGACGTTTGCCGAGATGCAGGTCGAGACGACGGTCGAGATGATAGCCGTGGTGGAAAAGGATTAGACACAGACCGGGTCGCGCCGCCTTCGCTGTAAAGTCTACCAAAAGCCAGTTTGGTTAATCTTGGAGAAGAAGAGTATATCGAAGAATCAACGCGGAACGAGGGCCCTTTGCCTGAGTTCCGCGGGAACAAGTAGACGAAAGTGTCTCCGTGTTCGTCCCAGAGTTCCGGTACCTGGTCCTGTCAGCATGCCAGCCCAAATTCTAGTGCTTAAGCGAATGACGTCGACATACCTTCTCAGCCCCCATCAGAATTGACAGGTTGTATTGCACCTTACCTTGATGCCCTATTACCCACGCCAGCGGACCTTGTGCTCCCGATCCTGCTTCGTGGACATGGTCACTACTGCCCCGCGCGCCGAACAAGAAACTCTTCCTCTTTGCCTTTTTATCGTGCGTGTGAACAGGAAGCGTTTCCGGTATTATTAAGTTCCCTGTAATAGGGGTCTGCGGTCGGCTGTTGGCGCGGCTTGGAGGCTGCGATGCAAGCAGGGGAGGTGTAGTAGAAATCGAGGGAGGCTGAAGGGTGCTGGCTGGTTCGGCATGCACAGGGGTGATAGTAGGCGGGCCCGTCAAGCTAGTAGCTGGAGGAGGCGGCGGTGGTGGGTATGCGGGAGCAGAGTGGTGAGAGACGACGCGTTCACGCTCTTTGGTGAGCTTGCGGGCGGGTGGTGGTGGAGGCTGCCATGCCGCTATGCTGTCCTCCGGGGCCAAGCGGCTCGAGGGCTGGGCTGACCGCACAGAATCCGAGTTTGCCAGAGAGCTGGTGTCGGAAGCGGAAGAAGCGGACGAGAAGAAGGAGGAGATGCGGCGCGTTGCCCGGTGCTTGGAGGTTGCTCGCGCCTGGGGAGCAGCCATGATAGATTCCTAAGTATGCGCAGGGAAGGAGGGTGAGCAATAAGAGTCGCAGAACAATAAGACTCAGAAATCATAGGGCGACGGAGGCGGCGCAATGGGTGTAATGTAGGGGAACGGGCCGCGAAGGGTTTGTTTCATGGCAACTCGGGCGCAGGAAACCCAGTGCTCCGTGGACTTCTTATGGGGACGACTAGAGCCGTAAACACGTAATGCTGGACATCCTTGCACAGCCGAGCGCCCCAGTTTAAACGGGCTCGCGGTGCTGGCCGGAAGGATCACCGCAGCCTCAGCAGTGTGCACTTTAGTGGTTGCGTTCTGTCGTGTGCTGGCGGAGGCTGCGGTGGTGGGGGTTCAAGGTTCGGACCACCATTGGAAGCTTTGCCGTGAGGCGTCAGGTGGTTCCAAGGTTATTTTTGAGAATGCGCCGGACTGACGGTCAGACGCCGCTGCGATCTCCCGACGGCGAGCCCTTCACAGGCTCGAGGGAGGCAATAAATGCACCTGCGCCCTGTTGCGTCAGTCCGGGCAGAAATTTCGACCTCTTACACGCCGCGCACCACGCCTAGCACGCCCTCTCTCGGGGCCAAGCTAGCCGTCCCAGGACCCCGCTCGCGATGCTACCATTTCCCCGGGATCCGCGCAGAGAGGCGCTGCATTCGCTGCCCTCACTCAGCAGCGCAGGCGTGCCGTGTGAAACATATAATCCGCAAGGCGCGCCATACCGAAGACATCAGCAATAACGCTGTGAAAAGGGGCAGGCCAACCCAATATATTGCGTCGTAACCGGGGCCGCAGGCGACGTAAGTCTTCGCGGGACTGTCGGCTGCTGTTATCGATTCGCGTCCTGGCAAGGTCACGTTGTTCGACCTACCTTTGTACTCTCTGGGGATATGTAATTAGAATGCTAACTGACACGCATCTAGACACGAGCTTGGGGAATATAGGGGAACCCAGCAACAGCTCGTGGACTGTTCTCAAGCTTGTATGAGCATAAAAGGCCTCCGACATCTGCTTTAGATAACGTAGTCTCTTTGGTCACGTGCCTTCTTCTGGGCTTCTGACATCAGCCCTATCACTCTGTCACCACTTACTTGTTGGCCGTGCGCCATACAGTAAGTCTCTTTTATCGGGCCACGGAACAAAGCCTCTTTAGGGCGTTCAGGGAACTGCCTAGGAACATGTTGTTGCTCTTGGCAAGGCAAGCCTGGCGGAGTGTAAACTAATTGCGCAATTAATGAAAAGTTCCTCGCACTAATCCTCGCTCCTACCTACTTCGTTTCAACCACCAATCCACCATTTACTCAACGTCACTAGAGCATCTACAATCAAAACTTCTAGTCTATCACGACTGGTTGCTAAAGTAGCTAGATTGCACCAGCCTAGAGATCGAGACACGGTTGTCGAACACGTCGTCAGCTTTCTAGGTTGCCGTCCTCACCGGAACGATCTGACAGCCCGTGGGTAACGAAAACCAACACAAGGCACCTGGGCAGGCACTTGCACGGTATGTGTGGCGCTTCTCTTCCGTTTTCCAAAAGGGACTAGGCTGGGGGCCAGCTCCGTGGGAGGACAGCAAGCCTCAGCCACTTCCTTTGAGCATCGAGTCCAATGGCACCATCATCTTCAGTTCATGCCCACCTGATAATCAGCCGTCTTAGAAAAGCTCGAGGAAGCAGGCCCTGGCAAGCATGACCGCCGTCAATTCTAAAGACAAGATGCCTACCAAGCCCCTCATCAACCTCCTCCGCGGTTGGCCGTCAACTTCCCTTTTGCCAACTCATCTCATGCAAAGGGCCACCGACAGTCTCTTGTCTAACAAGAAAGAGGCTATCCCTGGAATGCTTTATGGCCCTGACGAAGGAGATCCGCGGCTGAGAGAAAACGTAGCGTCATGGCTTACGACATTCTATAAGCCCCAAAAACCTATTACCCCGGAAAGAATCACGATCACCGGAGGCGCATCGCAGAGTCTAGCATGTCTGCTGCAGACATTCTCCGACCCCATTTTCACGCGCAATATCTGGCTCGTGGCCCCTGCTTACATGTTAGCGTTTCGTATATTCGAAGACAGCGGATTTCATGGGAAACTTAGAGCAGTTCCAGAAGACGAAGAAGGTATTGATATCGCATATCTCCGTCAGGAGCTACGGAAGAGCGAAGAGAAAGCGCGCGCTGATGGAAACAACTCACCTGTAGGTTCCAGAGACTAGGTGAGTGACTCTCATTAATAATCTCAATCAGAAACTCAAGCCACCACGACTATGGAGCAAGACCTATCGCCACTTCATTTATGCCGTGCCAACCTTCTCCAACCCCTCGTCCAAGACGATGTCACTTCGACGTCGAGAAGACTTAGTTCGAGTGGCAAGGGAGTTTGACGCCCTCGTTGTCACCGACGATGTCTACGACATGCTTTGCTGGCGGAAAGACCCTCAGCCTTCGAGTCTTGACGAAGCTGTCCCCCCTAGGCTGGTAGATGTCGATCGTTACCTCGACGGCGGTTCCGAGAGAGAAGGCGCTGATGGGTTCGGCAATACGGCCAGCAACATGACTGTGTCGAAGATAGCAGGTGGGTAAAGGAAGTGCCTTTGCGTGAGGCAAAGTACTGACAGTTGTGGCGTAGGTCCAGGCCTGAGGACTGGTTTTGTGGAAGGAACCGAGAAGCTGGCATACGGAGTCTCCCAAACGTAGGAATCCCCACCTCGCGCATACCGGCAGCAAGTACCTGCTACTTCGAGCGCCGTACCTCGTTCATATACACGTTGTCTCTGTTAGCTCTTGTGGACAGAGTGGCTTGCTGACCGTTTATGATGCTTTGTACCCCGTACAACCGCTCAGCCGGGCAAACGTTGGCGGGAGAACCCCAGAATTCCATCTGACAGCTGACTGACACGCTACACAGAGGATCTTCGAGGTCTGGAGGTGCACCGTCCCAGCTTACTGCATGTTTTGTCGCGGAAACACTGCAATCTGGAGAGCTTCAGGAATACGTAGGTACGCTGCAACCGGCATATGCTTCCCGCTGGCGAAGCATGATGGCAGCCATCGAGGCTGAGCTCCTGCCACTCGGTGTGACAATGCCGCAGCCAGACCGAGATGTAGTCGGTGGCTACTTCATCTGGCTCACGCTGCCATCGGCACTGAATGGAACGGCTGTCGCACAGCGGGCGAAAGAGCAGGAAAACTTGATCGTGGCACAAGGCGAGCTCTTCGAAGTGCCCGGCGATACTAGCCACCCCAAGACCAGATTCACCCACGATCTGAGACTCTGTTTCGCATGGGAGGATGAAGCTGTGCTGGGCGAAGGAGTGCACAGGCTAGCAAATGTGATCCGCTCGATGCAGACTGGCGACAGTGAAGGGTTGAAGAGGATGCAACCTCCGGCGGACGCGGACTCGAGCAGGAAGGACGCTCCAGCAGGCGCGCCGAGTAGCTTCTGGTGATGATCTCTGTAGGTCTACCGTGGCCCTCGAAGGTGGAACCGTCTTCGAAGGATTCCAATATAGACAGGTTCTAGACAGCTCCTTGTAGCACAAAAGCACTCAACGCGGCGAATCATGCACAATGAAATTCAGCATTTACTTTATTCAGCCAGTGGCAGCAGGCCACGCAGAAAAGCGACTCAGGACTGCCGGCGCGGTGTCCTCCTTTAATTTAATAGCGCGGCACTTTATGAGAGACGTCGATCGGCCGTCACATAGATGGACTCACTCTATGGCCTGCGACCTGCCTCATCAGCCGTCCCAGCACCCTTTATTTCCGAGAAGCAGACCCACCCCCTGAAGCTTAACACTGCCGGTCGCGGGGTATCAGGGTTTTCCTGCGGGGAGGGTGTCTCTCGATATTGCAGACGTGGCATGTGCTGTCCCAGACACTCACGGCTTTGACGGCTGATGGCGGCTCGCCGTACCACCTGCCAGGCGGCACGCCCAGCGACACGCAGCCACATCTCTACGCTCTCGAGGCGCTCGCGGAGCGGCCGCATGAGTCGCACGGCCTCGTCGCCCTGGTGTTCTGCCCAGCCAGATTCAGGGCTGCGTTTCCAGATCGAAGGATCTCCCTCACGGCCCGGCGGGTGGCCTCCGTGGCTGTTTTCTGGCCCTCCTGGCCAATGGCTGCTGCGCTATGCTGCGAAAAACTCGGCAATTCGGTGCCATCTCTTGTCGCCGGCCACTCAGCGGACAGGCTCCCCGGGCGCAGATTGGTACCTGACACGGGCCGAGTTTCAAAAGCTTGGTCGACAGGCGGCCGGGTGTGGCGCGAGGCCTGCCATCGCCAGCGGTTCAGGGGCCACGAAACGACGTTTGGCGGCTCAACCTCTCCCTCCTGGCGACTGGACAGTGACCCTCTGCCGTTTCATCGCGCGACTGACCAGACCACGCACACGCGCACGCCTCCTGGAGGAATTTCCCTGAGCGTCGTGGCACGCGCAGCCGGCGCCTGGTGGCCACAGGGTCGCATTCCGCTGCCCTGCCCTAGAACATGCCCGGCACCGACGCGGCACCAGATGGCGGAGATGGGCCGCTTCACGAGGCTAGAGGGAATGACCTCCGTGCGAGGGCATCGAATGGGGCTACAGAGGAGGCAAAGGGCATGGATGGCTTGATGGGGATGGATATAAAGTGTTTATTTGACGCTGGCCGACCGAGTGGAGCAGCAAGGTCCCATCGCGCCCGACTCGAACGTGAAACAGGGAGGTTTGGAAACAATTCGCTGCATGACATTGTGAGTGGTAGCTTCTCGTTGTCGCCTATATATGAAGAATGCCCAAGTGCTGCTGAAGCCTCGTCTCCACGCAGCATTTTTGTTGCTCCTGGCTCCGCTTGTTGACTTCTTTTTTTCCTTCGTGCACCGTCACTCATTCCCCAACCACTTCACTCATTAAGAAATTTCACTTCACTTCTCCGGAGCTTGGACTTCACGGACTCATCCACGTCAGAGACAAGAATCCAGTTCCATCTACTTGTTTCCTCCAATTTTCCCGCTGTCCCAGTCGTGTCACACGCACAACAAACACACTCAGTGGCCGGCCACTGACTATATCACCCTCCTCAGTCCCTACACTCTTTCTCTTCAGCTTCAGCGCGCTTCAGCTTCAAGCTTTACATCATCGCCATGGTTGCCTTCAGCACGGCCGCGCTCTTCGTGACGCTGCGCGTCCTTTTTACCGCTACCTCCTCGTTCGCCGCTCCTATCGCCGCTCCTGTTACCGCGCCCGCAACTCCAGAGGTTGCCGCCGCTTCCAGCTACTGGCTCGCAGACATCAAGCGCCAGGGCACCGTTGCCTATGGTGCCTCCGACTTCAAGATCTTCCGCAATGTCAAGGACTATGGCGCCACGGGTGATGGCTCGACCGACGACACGGCCGCTATCAACCAGGCTGTCAGTGACGGCAACCGCTGCGGTCAGAACTGCGACTCAAGCACTGTGACTCCGGCTCTTGTCTACTTCCCTCCTGGTACCTACGTCGTCAGCAAGCCCATCATCCAGTACTATTATACCCAGTTCGTCGGCGATGCCGTGACTGTCCCTACGATCAAGGCCGCTGCGGGCTTCTCAGGAATGGCAGTCATTGACTCGTAAGCCCCTCGTCCCAATCCTGCGTTGCTATTGCTAATCTCTCGCCCTAGTGATCCCTACATGGAGGGCGGTGTCAACTGGTACACCAACCAGAACAACTTCTTCCGTCAAGTCCGCAACTTCGTCATTGACCTGACTGCCATGCCCGCAACTGCAGGCGCTGGTATCCATTGGCAAGTCGGCCAGGCCACCAGCCTTCAGAACATCCGATTTGAAATGGTCAAGGGCGGCACAGGCAACGCCCAGCAGGGTATCTTCATGGACAACGGATCCGGCGGCTTCATGACCGACCTGACCTTCAACGGCGGAAACTACGGTGCCTTCTTCGGCAATCAGCAGTTCACGACCCGCAATCTGACCTTCAACGACTGCAACACCGCTATCTTCATGAACTGGAACTGGGCATGGACATTCCAAGGCGTCACCATTAACAACTGCAAGGTCGGCATCGACATGGCTAACGCCCCCACGAACCAGACCGTCGGCTCTGTCCTCATTCTCGATAGCACAATCACCAACACTCCCATCGGTGTCAACACCTCCTTCACCCAAGACAGCATCCCGACCGGCGGCGGAACTCTCGTCATCGACAACGTTGACTTTTCCGGCGTACAAACTGCTGTTCAAGATTACACTGGCAAGGCAATCCTCGCTGGCGGCGGAATTGTTAAGTCGTGGGCTCAGGGTCAAGTCGCTGGTGCTGCTAGCGGCCGTGTGCAAGACAACCTGCCCACCCCTGCCAAGCCTGCCAGCCTCCTCAACTCGCAAGGAAATGTCTTCACGAAGTCCCGACCCCAGTACGAGAACATTCCATCGTCTCAGTTCGTTAGCTTGAAGTCTAAGGGTGCGACCGGTGACGGCGCCACTGACGATACCGCTGCTATCCAAGCTGCGATTAACGGGATGGCGGACGGCGAGATTCTGTATGTCGACCACGGCGCCTATGTCATCACCAAGACGGTTACCGTTCCGGCTGGCAAGAACATCAAGATGACTGGCGAGATGTGGCCCCTCTTTATGGCTTCCGGCAAGGCTTTCAACGACATGGCAAACCCTCAGCCTGTCTTCCAGGTCGGCGAGACGAGCGGCGACTCGGGTTCCTTCGAGATGAGCGACATCGTGTTCGAGACTCTCGGCGCTGCCCCTGGAGCTATTCTCATGGAGTGGAACCTGAAGGCTTCCGAGCTGGGCGCTGGAGGTCTCTGGGATGTTCACTTCCGCGTTGGTGGATCTGCAGGAACCGAGCTGCAGGCCGACAAGTGCGCTAAGAATCCTGCGACCAAGCACGATGCCAACCCTGACTGCATCGGCTCGTTTCTAATGATGCATATTACCAAGGATGCCAGCGCTTACCTCGAGAACACCTGGTTCTGGCTTGCTGATCACGAGCTTGGTATGTTCCTCCTCCAATTCTTTTCCCTCTCACCCTGCTAACCCCAACTAGACTTGAGCTCCCACTCCCAGATCGACCTCTACAACGGCCGCGGCCTCCTCGTCGAGTCCCAGGGCCCCGTTCACCTCTGGGGTACCGCCGCCGAGCATAGCCAGCTCTACAACTATCAATTCGCCAACGCCAAGGACATCTTCTACGCGCTCATCCAGACCGAGACGCCCTACATGCAGCCCAACCCCAACTCGGAGCAGCCCTTCACCACCAACGCCAAGTACTCCGACCCCGACTTCTCCGCCTGCACCACCGACGCATGCAAGTCGGCATGGGGCCTGAGGATCGTCGACTCGAGCTCCATCTGGGGCTACGGCTCTGGCACCTACTCCTTCTTCAGCAACTACAACCAAGACTGCCTGGCGACCAACTCGTGCCAGGAGAACATGATCAGCGTCGAGAAATCCTCAAACGTTAACATGTTCGGCATCTCGACCAAGGCGGCCACCAACATGATCACGCAGGACGGCACTAGCATGGCGCTCGACAAGGACAACCGGAGCAACTTCTGCGCGACGCTCGGCATGTTTACTGTTGCGTAGACACGGTTCCCCCCCCCACACTCTTCCCTTGCATTGCAACAACTTGCATCCTCCCATCCCTTTTCTTCACTTCGTTCCCGATCCGATCCGGCGGGCCTTGCTAGCTATGACCCTCCGCTAGTCCGGACATTTCTTTTCCTGATCTGTGATCTTGTTTTTCTTTCCTTTTTTGCTTCTTCGACAACAACAATCAACAACAAACAACCTCTTTTACCCTTCTTTGTAAGCTACTAGGGCACTGAAATGCGGAACGGAACGCATGGCTTGGGGTTGCTTTGGCGGAATACACGACTCTGTTCGAGACTGCATGGAATGGGTTGGGTTGGTTGCATGGTGTTGGGTTGGGACGGTGGCAGATACCCCCTTTCCGAAACTTGGGAATAACTATGGAAATGAAAAGGCTTTTTGAGTTCATTATGAGTGTTTGTGGTGATTAATACTGAGTGAGTGGTGCTTCGACCAAGTGAGAATTTGGAGAATGAGATGATGAGGATTCGGGGATGTGGAAGCCAGTCCACGCGATTCAGACGTGATTTTCGCGCTCTGGTTATTATTTCGAGAGGAATACACTCGAGACTCAACGCCTTTGAGCATCGGAAGGCTTTTCTCTCAAGACAGCCTAAGGGAGAGAAAGACATATGAAGTGCGGAGGAGGAGTGAGCGATGACGACTATGCCCAAGATCTTCCGTCCCAACTCAACCGCACTGTGCTTGCTACATTACAAAGCCCAGATACCCGCCCTATGCCCTATGCGCTTTTGTACATTACAGTAATCCTACAAGTGTTGCAACAGTTCCCTGACCCTCTGCACGGCCTCCCTCGCCTCTCGCCTCCTCTCTACGCCGTCTACGTCCTCGTCTGGCTGCCCGCCTGTCTTCACAATCTCAGCGACCAGGTCTTCAGTGTACTTCAGTGCTTTCCGCCCCTCCTCCGTGATCTCGCCCTGCCATGCCTCTCGAGCCTCTTCCCATCTTACTTGCATGCGCCGCATAGACCACACGACGCCGAAGATCGCTACAGCGGCTGACTCGACCACAGAGAGGGAGGGCACGGAGAGGTAGATGAGCGCCGAGAGCGCCGACGAAAGCGACGCCGTCGAGAGCGTCGATATCACAAGGCTCTGCGCGAGCGCTTGTAGCGGCGGCACCGTATCCTTCAGCAGCAGCGCGCGCATGATCGGAATCTGCATCGGCCAGGGCCTCGGGTCTGGGATGTGCACTTCGCCATCCTCAACGAGCGCTGCCTTGTACTGTGCCACCTCCCTCCACTTGAAGGGCGACACTGGACTCGTGAAACCAGCATCTTGAAGAGGCTTCTCAGGGCTTTTCGTGAGGACTTCTTCGCCAGGCCTCGTTTGCCCCTTGAAGAGTCCTGCTTCCTCGAGTCGCCCGGTGATGTAGATGGAGCCTTTTTCGGCGTCGACCAGCCAGCGGCGTTCGAGCACTTCGGATGCAACCATGCTGACGTCGTCGACGCGCCAGAAGAGCTTCCACCATGCGATTTTGCGCCAGTTCTTGCCGGCGAAGGCGCCTTCGAGTTGGTCGCGCAGCTCGGTGTGCGCGTGCTCGGCCCATATTCTGAGAGAGTCGAGGATTGACGTCCGCGTGTGTTGGGGAATAGTTGATGCGACGAGCTGATTCAGGCGCTCCGCGTCTTCCTCCGTAATCTTGGTTTCTATGTCGTCGAGAGTGGATAGGATCAGGTACTTGACGGCTGGTTTGAGCTTCGAGGCCTGTTGGTTCAGACCGTCCGCTAGCCACTCAGTGATGGCAGGCAGTCCGCTGCTGTACCATCCGTGTTCGTAGGCGACTGAGTTTGCGATTGACTCCCTAAATTTTGCAAGAGCTTTGGCCGCGACCTCTAAATCCACTGCTGTTACTCCCTTCGAGAGTCGATCCTCCACTGTATCTTGAGGTGCCGGTATCCCAATAGCCACCTTGACCACCTCCGGCGGTATGTTCTGTGAAGTGGCGTCTGCTGTATACCGTCCATACGCAATACCACTCTCCAATCCGTCCCCCACAACAATCGCCTTGTGCACCGGATACGTGACCAACGTCACCCGTCCAGACCCCTCCGACGGCATCTGCAAACTCGGTATCAGAATCGCATCAGCAGGACTATCCTCCCCACTCGCCCGTCCCCCTCCAACCCCAACATCAAGCCCCGCAACCAGAATCTCAAGATTATTCCTCAGCAGCGTCTGCGACGGCACCGAAACCGTCTCCAGCAGCGGATTCCTCGGATGAAACTCCGCCTCATCGCCGTACCTACACCGCAACCGCCGTTAGCAACCACTCTCAAACAACCAGCCAGGAAGCATCCCAAACCGTAAAAGCAGTCCCCTCCCCTCAAACTCCGCCCTCTCCACCCTCTTCTCCCACGCGCCCTCTCCACCCAGCGGATCCGCCAGCAGCAGCCGCGCCATCTTCCGCGCGTGCTTCTGTCCGCCTATCCCCAGCACCGCGACCCGCACCACGGCATCGCCGCCCTCCAGGCCCCGGAGCGCGAGCTGCAACCGGCTGATGTTCACATAGTTCGCCGCCGCCGCCGCCTTCCCTAGCCCGTCTAGCGCCTGATGCAGCTCCTGGAACCTAGGCGGTACGTCCAGCGGCGCGTTGATCGCAGTGGTCGAAGCGAGCGAGGAGGCGTGTCGGAGGTGCGCTGGGGCGCGGAAGGCGTGCAGTTGCGGACGAGCGCGGGTCCTGGGCGTCGCGAGAGGCCACGAAAAGCGCCATGCCGAGCACGAGGGGCAGAAGAAGAGGCCGATTGGGGAGTTGGAGGGGTGGCGGAGGGAGCGCAGCACGGAGGGGGTCCGTGGAGGCATTGGGAGGTTGTGGCCTTGGAAGCTTCAGGTTTCCCGCGATGTTTCGATGATGGGAGGTAACAGAGTGCCAAGAGTGCACCAGCCACAACTGCTATGAAAGTCCAGGGAGACGTCATTTGATCGGAAATATCACAGTAGAGCATTGTTATGGAAAAGAGTCGATTACATCTGTCTCACAGTTGCCACTTCGTCTTAATCGGCCTTGCTTTAACATTCTTCCAGTCATTCAAGCTGTTCTTCATTACTACATGATCGCTGGGTAAAGTATGTCTCTAGCGATACCGGTCTCGACTACTATCGAATCATGGTATTCCGAACACAATGTATCCTCCAGGCAGACCCGATCAGACACCGTGAATTTGATGCCCCCATCAAATTGAACAACTCCCCTCCGAGCACACCTCGCTCTTAGCTTCGTCTTCCTCTTCCAGATCCAGATGACCTATTAGAAAAATTAGACACAGTCAATGAATCATAGTGTGTTCTCAACCTACATGCTGATTCTCCTAGCGACGGTCGCGAGTCCAGTGTCATTTTCAGCTTCCTTGCTCGCCTTCTCAAGTGCCTGAGTTCGGTTGTCCTCGTGCGACTTGCGAACCTCTTCGTGGCTGGGTGGAAGTCGTTCGTTTTGGAGATCAACTTTCCGAGCGTCCTCGAAGCTGTGGATCGCCTGTTTGATTCCCTCGGCTCCGAGCATGAGAGTACCTGCAGGGAGGCGGCCGCCGGATGCTGTCTTCAGCTCAGTAACACGCTCAGACTCTTCACGTAGGACCTGGAATACTCGAGAAAGACGACCGATAGCAAGAATTTTGTTCTTGATAGCGCGTCGTTTAAACTCGGTTGATTCAGGGTCCATGTTCACCGGAAGAGGTGGCGATGCAGGGCCGGAGATTGTGCCGCTTGCGGTCTCTTCCTCAAGCTCTTCCTTGGAGCAGGTATTGAGGATGGCAATGAGCATATCAGTGACTAGTGAATTGTAAGCCAAGGTTTCTTTTCTACGGCTAAAAATGAAACATACTCTTCTCTCCAACGAAAGGAAGTGACCAGGTGAAGACATCCATGAAGTTAGGGAGCCAGTAAGGATGTGGCGTGCAATCTGCGACTTCGTTAGCGATATGCCTGTTAATTAGCACCAAATGAACCTACTGAATTGCCTGATGTTCATAACGTTGTTCTCGTACTTCAAAACAGCAGCCTTGTTGTTGTATACATCCAAGTAGTTCGGGGCGCTGAAGATGGTCATGACACTGGGGAAACCGGTCGTTCGAGTCTTTCGGTACATGCGGTACCCGGCGTCCTGGGCCTCGTGGGCCCGAATAACTGACAACAGGTTGTTCTTCTCTAAGAAGGCGCATGCCGCGGGATAAGAAAAGAAGTAGGAACATCCTCGAACATGATTGTGAATGAAGAAATCGTTCGTCTTCTCCTGGCCGAACTCTTCCAGCGGGTCAGCCCAAAGAATGTCGCACATCAAGCCGTGGGTAGGTGGCTCTCTGAATCGGTCAATCTAAATTGTATTAGCGGTATTCACACAGTTGGAACGACTGTACTCACGCTCTTCAAGTCCTCCAGGGTGTGAAGTTCTGGGCTCAGCCCTCCGTGTATACACAAGAATTGTTTGTTCATGATAGCCGCCAGCGGCAAAGCGCAGAAAGACTCCATACAAGCTTCATACACAGCCTCGGAGTATTTGTGCTTGCACTCGAGCTTGAAGGTGAAGTAGTCAGTCAAATGCCGGCACTCGTGGTTTCCGCGGAGAAGCCAGAGGGTATTGGGGTACCAGATCTTCAGGGACCAGAGGTACAGGACGCACTGATTTTGAATTAGCTGTAGTTATAGGCGGCCCTGCACGTGCACGTACCTCTATACTGAAGTACCCTCGGTCGACGTAGTCTCCAAGGAAAAGGTACCTGGTGTCGGCGGGGTCGCCTCCAACTTCGAACAGCTTCATGAGATCATAGTACTGTCCATGGACGTCACCACAAACAGTGATTGGAGCATCCATCTCCAGCATGTTCGGCTCATTCTTCAGAATTTCGGTGCCTTTGCGTATAATCCACAATGCTTGGTCCTCGGTTAGTCTCCCCTCGCGGTAGAAGTGCTGCTTCAGGAACGGCAGATTCGGCTTGTTGCGATCTTGCGGGGAGAGGAACTGATCCTGTGTAGGGGGATGGAATGCGGGCGCCTGCACGTCTGCAATTGGATTGGGTCAGCATGTCAGCTTGTGCGAGGAGGGTTGCTCAAGAAAGACCAGGGCGCGGACGACCAATGCTGGCGCAAATGCTGAAGAGGCATACCTTTACAGACCCTTTCCATAGTGCTTACTTGCGAGCCATCTTCCATGGTGTGCAGCGTAAAGTCGATCTCAGGGAGGGGTTTCTTCTGCTTGACGGCGCGAATGGCATTGTCGATGTACTGCGCGTGGTCGACAGGCTTTGGCGGGTTATCCATGGCGGCGACACACTCGGGAGAGGTTCGAGAACGAGAGACGGGTCAGAGACGCAGTAGTGGCGGCGCGGGCAGGGAGGGTAGGAGACCCTGAGGGGCGCTGGTGAGGGAGATGACGGAGCCAAGAAGTGGTGAAACTGGCGAGAGACGGGCTGTAGCAATGCGCGTGCGGGTCTTATCGATAGGCCTGGGCGCGAAGAGTATCGTCGCGCGTCGAGGGTCGTGGTGGCGAAGGTGCAAGAAGAGTGTTCGCAGCTAGGGCTGAGGAAGTGGGATATTGAGAAAGGGCAAGCGATGATCCGAGTAGCGCGCCGCTGCCTGGGGCAATCGTGGGCGTGGTGCACGGGCGAGAGCGGGCCGGGCAGTTAGATCGAATGGCGTCGCTTGATCTTGGTTACTCGCCGTATTCTAGAGTCAGTGTGGAAGGCAAGTGAGGGAGAGTTGTGGTGGAGCAGGCGGCCGAACAGCACACCGTCGCCGCGGACGGGTGCCTCAGGAGTCTGCTTGAGGCCGCAAGGCTTCAAAGGGCTAGATTGTCCAGCTGCAGCGCGTCCCCAATAGGCTGTCCATATTCACAATCCTCGTCAGAAAGCACATTCGGCAACCAGTCACATGAGTAGATAGCTGCCTGGGGAATCAGGTGCAGTGGTACATAGCACACCTCGTCTTTGCAGCACAGATTGCACTGTAAATATTGTGTAGACAGATTCAGGTACCTTTGTATGAACTCGACGATATGGCGGGGTTCTCTCCGTTCGATGTGCGCAGTTTCCCAAGAGACGGAATCTAGAGGGATGGATAGACTATTCGTACAACACACAATACAGGTCGGTCTCTTCAACCTGGGCAGCGGGTAGGTATTGCTAAGCTGAACCCCTCCCCGCGTTTGAGAGTGGGATTGGTAGAACGCTAAGCTGATATCGGACCTCGGGGTTTTCCAAGACAGCCACTTTCATTTTCACGTGACATTTGGAATAGACAACATTGCGTGGATGGGTGCTTAAAGTTCAGCGCGGAAGCCAATGAAATGAATAACAGCAGGCCGTAAGCAACGCCCAGTCCAGTTCGATCACGCCCGATTCGTCCCGTATTCCTTCCGTGCCAATTCCTGTGTTACGCCTTGACAGAAGGTAGCCAGCACCGATTGCCACCATCCGACCGAGCTCCATCCTAATCCGGCTTGTATGCCACTTCGTCGCGATGGGCTACCTAAGCAGTAGCGGCCATAGTCCCATAGCCTCGTCCTCCATTCTGGACCCTTTCGCTGTACACACCGGCAGCTGGCCGCGCGTCGTAGATGCCTGCGCGTGCCTCGTCGCGGCGCTTGTAGTAGACGTACTCAACGTAGAATGCGTGGATGTGACCAGGGAAGTAACTAGATGAAATCGTACGATCAGCCATGCCCTGAGGAGAAAGGGTGGAATGGAGGGAGAGCTTGATGGCAATGGCACGTACCCCAAGAGCGTGAGCAAGATGTTTATGAGCAAATCAGCTCCACATCCTGCGACAAGGAAGACGCCGATGGGTGGCACTGTGAAGGTTGTTAGTTGGCTGTTTGCGGGTATTTTGAGCTGAGGCTGGCGGGGCTGTACCGAAGAGCGTGATGATGATAAGGAGGACTGTGGCGATCATGATGGATGAAGTTTGAGGGTCTTGTGTTCGTTGGAGCTTTAAACGTAGAAGTAGAGATGTTGTTGTGTTGTGGCGTGTGAGTGGAGCTTGCTGCCAAGGTGGTGCCTTTTGTATGCTTGTCGATCAGCTGTCGTCACCCGCCGACTTCTAAAACTGGGATTGACGTGGCTGGAGAGATCCTGGACGTGGCGAGTGCGTGTGGCGCAGCGCGCCTTTCCGTTTAGGGGCTACCTAGGGAAGATCACAGTAGCGTCGCAAGCATATCAAAGTTGCTTTTGTCATTATGTTGGCAGTAGTCACATTCTGAGTGGTAGAACAGATTTGATTTGATACCAATCTCAAGCAGAAGCCGTAAGGGTAGAAAAGCAGAATGAAGAGAAGGAGTGCCAAAAGCCGAATGAAGCCGCATAACGAATAGCAATACCCAAAACGCTACCAAAGAAACAGTGACTCGCAGAACCTAAAGAAATCAACACTCGAACTGAAAGCCCTTCGCATCCTAATAGTGTCCGTACCAATATGTTCTATGCCGGCATTCCCTCATCGTCCGCAAGGTTGCCATCATCCATGAGCTTATCGTCGTCATTTTCTCCCATCAAATCCTCATCGTCTTGCTCGTCCTCATCGCCAAGTGTTTCGCTTCCCCAATCTTGACTGCTATTGCGTTCCATTATCCACTTAGCAAAATTCTCCTCCGTGTCCGATCTGACCATCTCTGCCTTCTGTCTCAGGAAAACTTCATAATTCGCCTGGATCTGTGACTGCTTAGGCGTGACGATGCGGCGTGGCCGAGCCGACTTATTCAAGGGGCTCTTCGAAGGTGTTTTCGGATGCGTGACGCTGTCTTTCCTCGACAGATTGACTTTGTCTGCGAAAAGCGCGGGATCGAAACGTGCGAGTTGAGCAGCCCACTCATGACCTCCGCGCGTTGAATCGACGGGATGTTTCGCCAAGTTGTCTCCATAAAGCTCCGGATCAGAACGTGCAAGCTGGGCAACCCACGCAGGACCTTTATGTACTGGCTCGATAAGCTGATCCGCAAAATTGTCTCCATAAAGCTCCGGGTCCAAACGCGCAAGCTGGGCAGCCCACTCAGGATCTTCGCGCAACATATCGAATGGGGGCTTGGCTGACCTGCGTTTGGGTTTCCGATCTGGATCACAGCTCCCGACGAAAGGGCAGGCATCGAGGTTGATCCCCGCTTTCGATTTTCCCTTGAGGGCATGATTCAAGGCGGACAGAGAGGCTTTATTGGCCGCGAGACGATCTGATACAATCCCGAGAGCCTTGGAAAGCCGCTGAGAACGTTGATCCAGCTGGCGTTGCTTCACTTCTTGTGCCCACTTCTGGTGTGACCTTGAAGGAACTGGAGGAAACCCGAAGTGATCGTTCATCTGCTTAGACTTTTCGTTGGTGTCTGGATAGGGAATCATTACAGGACTAGCACGCAGATCGTACTCTCGAATTTGGTTTTCAGAGTCGCCATCATACGAAGATAGAAACAGGTCGGAATTTCGTTTGGAGAGTTGACTCTTTTTGGAAGAACCACGGTGTTCGAAGACGCTCGTATGCTCGTCTCCAGGCGCCATATCCTGCATCAATGGGATTTCGTCCTCCTGAAATTTCTGAGCAGAAACAGCTTCTTTCTTTGCCTTCTGCGCGGGGTCGGCCCGAATGTGTTTCTTCCGGAGTAATGAACCAAACGCCAATGGTCTTATATCAGGTAGTGATACTTCGCTGTGCTCAGAGAATGATCTCTTGGCTGTTCTTTCTCGCCCTCCGCCGCGATGATATACTGCCATCTCCAACGGGGCATCTGAACCCGGGTCTGAATCTTCAGACAACGGTTGGATGACTAGCTCACAAGGCTCTCCATCGTGAAAGTGGCCCTTGCTGACTGGGTTCGTGGGGGAAGGCAACCGGAGTAAAGAAATGGGCTCCGATCTTCCTGCTGGACTTCTGGGATCCCCGCTGAACAAGTGCTGAACATTGATGCCAGAGACGGCAGCACCGCGGTTGCACGCTTTCGGCCATCGATGCAGTGGATTGGAAAACGGTTTGCCTTCATCTTCAAAACCACCACGCTTAGAGACCGGAGTGTTCTCAAATGATGCAATCCAAGAACTGATACGCTGTGGCGTATGTTGCTTTTCGCCACGCGCACCATACTCGTATTTGAGCTTTGGCAGAGCCTTAGTGTTTATATCATCTTGCAAACGGTTGATGGCAGACGGACTGAAAGCGTCTACCGACAGCCGGTTGTCCTGGTGTTCGGGGAGCCAATGAGGCTTGTGCGGTGACGGAGCAATACGGACGCGAACTTTGAATCGAGATTCCAGTTCGAAACGAACATTTCCAGGGAAGGATTTGGTCAGGTTGACAGTCAGAGTCACCTCCATGATATCAAGCTGATCAAGGCTTGTGGAATGCTGGCCTGTCGAGTGACCTGTCCTGGTCGGGCTGGTTCGGTGGTTTCGGGTACTGCGCCCTGGAACGATTCCTCGAAAGCCTTGAATAGACTGATCCCATGCAAGCAACAGCTTGCCTTTGGACACGATATCGTACTCCGAGTCAACAGGATACGAGCTCCACTGATCTGCAAGGATATGCTCCAGGTATTGTGGGGCCACTCGAATTTCGGAGCCTGGAGATGACATTTCTGGAAGGCCCATCGGCCTCACATCCGGTGCGAACCACATTATATCGCCGAGAATGTCGAGTCTGAACTCGCTCGGCACTTTCTTCGCTGAGAAGCTGACTCTGACTTGCGGATCGGGGTAGCTCTCCTTGAAACAGTCACGGGTCCGGAGGAAGTTGCAGATGGCCGCGGGCAGATTTCGACTGGAGACAAACCAACCATGCTTTTGATGCATCTCATCCTCGTAGTATAGGTCAATCATGCCACGTATAAGTTGCTCCATGTCGACGTATACAGTCTTTACCTCTAGTGCTTTGATGTATTGGAACAGGCAGCATATTAGCGAATTATCGTCCAGTGAGCGACCTGAGGCTGTCATTAGCTACAATGTTCGAGGGCAGAAAAGTGCCGCAGATGGCGAGAGAGAAGGAATCGCGAACCTTTGCTACCATTTTCCTGCTCTACAAAAGCTTCCATCAGGACTCTTGCAACTAGCTCTTCCAGTGACTGCTGGAAGGCCTTCTCCCAGAAGCATAATTCCTCTGCTTGAGCGATGGATAGGTTCCTCCATGTCGAAACAGTGTCCACGTGTTCGAAATTAGACCGTAGGTCTAGTGCAGAGCGGCGGACACGAGGACAGTACGCGTCGGACGGCGAGCGGATTTCCAAAGTTGTCAGTCCTCGCAAGGTCAGGTCGACTCGGAGGCGTGGGTCAACCCAGTCGGCACCATAGCCTTTGGAGTTCGAAACTTGGTAAGTGGTATGTTCGTAAACGGATTTGAGTTGTTGCTGAGGAAGAGCAATATCAGTAATCTGGATCAGTTTCTATCCAGCTGAGACATACAGCAGGAAGTGTTGAAGACATCTTCAAGACTGCGGTATCCTAGACTGAATAACGTGATATGAGGGCAGCGTCTCTTGGGCGCTGAATCAATACGTGACGCAGACGATGCTTGCGGTGGGAAGATTGATTGAGCAGGGGAAAAGGAACACGAAGGCGACTGAGGTAGAATGGCAACGACTGCAGTTTCCTGTTTGATAGCTAAGATAAAGACACAGCATGCCATTGCAGTCCTTGCCTTTCCAAAATTGGGGATCGCACTTGCAACTCAGCTCTAAGGCTTTTCGTCTGCTACTTTTCGTCTAGAAATACCTGTGTTAACACGCATTAAATACGCAGAAGGTATTGTGCTTCTTATAGGTTGCGATGCCACCGGCGATCCTCATGTCGCGGCATTCATCTGCTATATTGATAGCAATCTCCAACTGACATCTCCCTTGCCGCAAAGGCATTGACAGATGAAGCTTTTGTGTGATATGTAGTCTTTACACGTCGCTGAGGCATTAGCGTGGTAGCGAAGAAACGTGTTGGTTCTTGCACCATTACACCGCATCCATGCTTGCTCGAGTCGTGAGACGCTCGTTCTTATTGCCCAGTTTTGATATCTGGAGGAAGGCGTCGCAACCGTAACCTTCCAGACTATGAAGCTCCAAGCTACCTGCCCAATATTCTGCATAGATTCGACTCATGGGTAGGCCAATGCCGAGACGCAGGTCAGGTGGTCGACTAGTCAGTGATGAGAGAGAGCTGTAGTGGAGGCTTGTATCATCTTTTTGGTGCTTCTTTCCTTGCTTGTGAGAGGGTCCGTGATCGCCGGGAACCTGGAGCTCCTGCATGGTAGCTAGCAGCTTGGGCACTCTATGAAGGTTCTCTAGCCTCTTTTCTCGTCTGGGGCCTTTGCTGAAGGACCAAAGATGCGGCAGGATATCCCTTGGTACACCACCGCCTTGATCTGATATTCGAATGATGACGTGCTGAGCAGTCTCGCAAATGAGGACTTCTATGGGTGGCACCTTATCGCCCTTGTGTCTCCTCCGCTCAATGACGGCTTGTATTGAGTTCCTGAGCAGTTCTCCGACGATGTATTCAAGGTGGCTTAGAATGTAGGGGAAGGTGGCGTCCAAGTGGCCCTGGATCTTGACTTCTGGTAAGGCTAGATCTGATCCGTACGTTTTCTCCATCAACACATGTGTGGCTGCAGCACATCTCTCGACAATCTCCTTTGCATTGCACTTTAAGAATATCTCTCCTACGATATCTGTGCTTGGGTCATTCAATGGCTGAGCATTTGGGAAATGCCAAGGGGCATGAAAGGTCTCAGTCAAGGCAAGATGCTGCTCCGCAATCACGCGTCTTGATATTCGCTGAGAACATGCTATAGTCAGCATTACTGAAGCAGAGGCGGGGGTTTGACGTTCGTCTTACGGATCTCAAGAGCGTGAAGATGAATTTATCCGTCTCTTCGGGTTTCATCAGACCATGGATCTCCAGCACGCCAATTGCGAGCCGTGGTATGACGGACGCATGCTCCCGCAATGTCTCCTCCACCAGTTTGCAGAACTCGTCGTTGTCGTCGAGTGTTTTTATTTCTGGCATGCGGCGAAGGCGCTCGAAGGCGCGGTAGTAGAGCTCGTAGACGTGGGCTATGTGCGGATTGGTAACGACCACATAGGGCAGTGTCTGCATATCACGGAGGCGGTGCGAGAGCCTGTCAGGGGTCAATCTTCGAAGCACTCTTCTAACAAGCACACGAGGCAGACCTCGTCGGCAATTCGAGTCTGCAGTAGTTGGCAGCATCGAGCAGACGAGACTCGGTCAGCGTCCGTCCAAAGAAAGTGAGCCGCCGCAAGCTGATCGGCTGGGCCTCTCGCTGAACCCATCTATCAGCCAAGGGTCAATGAGTGCCACAGTGAGAAGTTCTGGCAGGGGGCCTACTCGTCGAGCGCCGAAGAGGGTCGCCAGGCCGGGGCGACAGCAGCAGCATGGGCGTGTCTCTGCCCGCGCGCGCAAACAGTCACGGCGGAGGGGCGGGCTCTTGGACCGGGCCAGCGATGAATTACGCACGCGCGGAGCGCATTGCTGTGTGGTGGCATGTTCTGGGCAGCATTGGTGTTGTGCGCTGGGTTAGCCACTCCACGGTGCAGGACATTTGCTACCTAGGCATATTCCATGCGGCCAAGCTCCGTGGACGGCGGGGGAACATGGGCATCACGAACGCGCATCAACGGTGCCACGGTCCAGGACGCAGCCGCAGAGCCGCCGCAGAACAGCTGGGCCGCCGTGGAGCTCCCCAGTATGCCCTGCTGGCAACCGCCGCAGCCATCTGCTTGCTGGAGCCCTCTAGCAGAGACGCGTGCAGCAAGCCTGCGGGCGACTGTGGCCAAACGGCGCTGTTTGGCTTTGGCCGCATGACGTTGGCCGCGCTCCACTGCTGGCTGCAAGAGCTGCCATCGCCCAGCGTTTTTGCGCCTCAAAGGAATTCACTCCACCGACTAGCGACACGCCAGTCCCTCACCCTCCACGCCTGCGGTGCCTCTACGAAGTAATTCGCGTGTTGCCCTGCCGATAAATCTTGTGCCGCTCCACTCGCCCACTCACCCTCTCTGCCGCCACCTTTAGCGAGTCCGCGAACCTATCCACCTATCCTACCACCTACTACGACATCCTCAACGACACTGCGAGCGCCATACTTTGAGCGCGCATCCACCTCCTCCCAGGCCGTCCGCCGCATCTACGCTCTCCCAGATTGGCTGCACGCCTGCTCCGCCATCTGCACCAGCTGCTAGGCCGTCTGCTCTTCTCCGCGCATTGCCTCTAGTTGCGATCCGCCACCGCCGCTATGGATCAGGTAAGCTTAGACCAGCACCCCTCGCCGTCATGAGAGAGCGCAAGCTGATAGCACTCGCCCGTCTTGCAGCTTGGTAGTGACATGCTTGTCGACCCGGACTTCGACGAGAAGAACGATGTCGTCAACATCTCCCCCGACGATGCCATGGAGGATGTCGAAGCTGAGCCCGAGCCCCGCGCCGACGACTACGACGCCATGATGAAAAAGCACATGCCCGAGCTACCCGACCAAGAAACCGAGGCTGAGGTTGTAAATACATGGGAAATCAAAGGATGGAGGTCTCTCGGCCGGCGGGAGCAAGGCCCAGTCTTCGAGTGTGCAGGCCATCCGTGGCGCATTCTCTTCTTCCCCTTTGGAAACAATGTCGATTTCGCTTCTTTCTACCTGGAGCAGGGCTTCGAGGACAAGAAGGTGCCAGAGGACTGGTATGCTTGTGTGCAATTCATGCTGGTTCTGTGGAATCCGAACGACCCGACAATGCTGGTCCAGCATCAGGCGACCCATCGCTTCACGGCCGACGAAGGTGACTGGGGGTTCACACGATTCGCAGAGCTACGGAAGCTTTATGCTTCGCAATGGGAGGACCGCAACCGCCCGATGGTAGAGAACGAATCCTGCAACGTCACCGCATATGTCAGGGTGCTGAAGGACCCAACCGGAGTCCTTTGGCACAACTTCATAAAGTAAGCTTGAGGACAATCCGCGGTTCAATCAAACACTAACGGATGCTCCAGCTACGACTCCAAGAAAGAGACTGGCATGGTTGGTCTGAAGAACCAAGGGGCGACCTGCTACTTAAATTCCCTTCTGCAGTCACTATACTTCACCACTGCTTTCCGAAAAGTAAGTCACTACTTCTATAAGGGACTCCATTACAATACTGACTCTATAAGGCTGTATACCAGATTCCTACCGAAAAAGAGGCAGAACGTACCAACAGCGCCTATGCTCTCCAACGACTATTCTACCTTTTGCAGACCAGCCCTCTTGCAGTACCGACAAATGAGCTCACGGCATCCTTCGGCTGGGATTCAAAACAGATATTCGAGCAACAGGACGTCCAGGAACTATCCCGAGTTTTGATGGACAAACTCGACGAGAAGATGAAGGGTACAGAAGCCGAGGGTGCCCTTGAGAAGATGTTTGTTGGCAAGATGAAGACATATATAAGGTGCATCAACGTGGATTATGAGTCCTCGAGACTGGAAGATTTCTGGGATATTCAACTCAACGTTAGTGGGAACAAAAACCTGGACGACAGCTTCAAAGACTACATCCAAGTGGAGACCATGGATGGAGAAAACAAATATTTCGCCGAAGGTTTCGGTCTCCAGGACGCCAAGAAAGGCGTGCTATTTGAGACCTTTCCTCAAGTCTTACACCTTCAGCTCAAACGCTTCGAGTACGACTTCAACAGAGATGCCATGATGAAAGTCAACGACCGCTACGAATTCCCCGAGGTCTGGGATGCTTCGCCATATCTATCTGAGCAAGCCGACCGTTCCGAGCCGTACATATATCATCTTCATGGTGTGTTAGTGCATAGCGGGGATCTTAATGCTGGACATTACTACGCGTTCCTGAAGCCAGAGAAGAACGGCCATTTCTACAAGTTCGATGACGATAGGGTGACCCGTGCGACACAGCGCGAGGCACTCGAAGAAAACTTTGGGGGTGATTACCAGCCGCAAGTAAACGGTAATGTGCAGTCACAACGCAATCCATATACCCGGGCCTGGTCGAACAAGCGATCGATGAGCGCATACATGCTTGTATATATTCGTGCAAGCCGTTCGGACAGCATCTTGATGCCAGACCAAATTGTGGAACCTCCCCCTCACCTACCCCAAAAGTATGCCGAGGAACGAGTGATTCTAGAAAAGAAGCGCAAAGAGCGCGAAGAAGCACACCTTTTCATGGAAATACAAGTTGGATCGGAGGAAAACTTCAAAGCTTATCAGGGATTCGATATTGTTCCATGGAAATCTGACGACTCTTCCGCCCTTCCAAAATCTTATCGAATACGGCGGACGACGACGGTGGCGGAGTTTGCCAAAGTTGTAGCAGATGATCTTGATGTTGATGCTGACATGCTCCGTCCGTGGGTTATGGTCAATCGGCAGAATGGAACCGTTCGTCCTGATGTCCCCATCACATTTCCAGACATGAGCGTCGAAGAGGCTTCAAGCAAGTATGGAAACAAAACCTCCAACTTCAGGCTGTGGATGGAAAAGGCCGATGGCAGGGATGGCGAAGGCAATGCTGTCTTCAAAGAAAAATCAGTCGACATACGCAATGCGCAGAGCAACCGACCACTGATGCTGTTCTTGAAACACTTCGACGTTGATGCCCAGACTCTGTATGGTGTCGGCAACTTCTACGCAGCGTTCCAGGATCGGGTCTGCGATTTGTCCCCAGCGATTCTCAAGATGATGTCTTGGCCTTCTGGCACACAATTCAAATTATACGAGGTAAGCAGCGCCGAAGTATTACTTGTTCACGGCAGAGTATCTGACTTCAAATAGGAAATCAAGCAAAACATGATAGAGCCAATGAAACCAAAGGCTACGCTCGCGGGATCCGAGATACAAGATGGCGATATCATCACCGTCCAGAAGACATTGTCTGAAAAAGAGTATGTACCACACCCATCACGATGTCTACTCATTTTAACCATTTATAGGACACAGCAAGTTACGGCCACGGGAGGCTATACGGATGCCAAAGAATTCTACGACTATCTACTAAACCGGATCAACGTCGAATTCGTTCCAAAGTTCCTCTCCGACCCGGAAGAGGAGACTTTCACCTTGGCCTTAAGCAAGAAAATGACGTACGATCAGCTTTGTGCCAAAGTGGGCGAAAGACTCTCGATCGATCCGACTCATCTGCGATTCACGACCGTCAATGCGTCTGGGAGGCCAAAACAGGCCATCAAGTACAACGTTGGCAGCCTTCTTGGCACAATCCTCCAACCGTCTACTTATCATTATACCGGTAACGTGATGCAAAAAGCAGATGCGTTGTTCTATGAAACCTTGGATATGAGTCTCAAGGAGTTGGAGTCAAGAAAGATGGTTCGAGTAACGTGGCTTCCGGAAGGTCTATCTAAAGAGGTCAGTGAGATCGGGTCTAGTACTCTGCAGCGGAAGCAAGCGCTGACGAATAACAGGAGATATATGACTTGATGATTCCACGCACAGGCGTTGTTCAAGATGTCCTGGATTCGTTGCAGAAGAAAGCTAACATCAGCGACGAATTGATGCCTAAAGTCAAGCTCTACGACGCGCACAGCAGCAAGTTCTACAAATACCTGTCTTCGGACTATAGCATCTTGGGCATTGGCGAATTCTTCTCGCTATATGCTGATTGTTTTCCCGAAGACGATTCGCCCAAGAAGATTTCAGTGTTCCATTTCGACAAGGAGCCCAGCAAAACGCACGGCATTCCTTTCCAATTCCCTATTAAAGAAGTAAGCATAGCATTGCTAGCTCGGCTGATCGCAGACTAATTGTGATATCAGGGCGAAGTGTTCAAGGACACGAAAGTGCGACTCTCCGAGTTCACACACATCAAGGGCAAGCAGTTTGAGAAAATCAGATTCGCACTAGTCGGACGACCTCACTACTCCAAACCCGAATTCCTCGAAGATGGTACATGCTCTAGATCTCGTCATCTCTGGTGATCAAGCTAATACTTTTTAGATGATGTACTATTCGATTTGCTAGGAAGTCGAGACGAGTACGCTCTGGGTCTCGACCACGTGAACAAGGCGAGGAACAACTGGAACAAGTCGGATTCTATCTTTATCCGATGATAGACCCATCTCTGATGCATATCTGAATGCGATCGACAGTGGTGCAAGGCGGCTTGAGTTTACTGTTTCGGCGTTGCGGAGCACATAGCGGGCGCTGATGTTAATGACGACACGGGCTCAGCTGGCTTTCCATGCATAGACGGCGTTTTTCCAAGCGCACCCTTTTGGTAGAGCGAAGGACCCAGTCGACAGGTGTTGCTATGCGGTGGCAGAGGATATCAGGTAGACTGCGAACTGGCGTACTTGGCTTAGCGGGAGCGGGAGGCGTCATATCTGCTAAGTCACGAGTAACAATATGTATACTGAAAAGCATGCTTCTTCAAAGTCTACTTTTCACATGTGCTAAAAAGTGAATTCAATATCGCGACACGTGATCTGTACATACCCGGCATTTTGCCGAAATAGTGGCTAGTGGGCTGTTCTGGACACGGCATCGCGAACTTTGGAGCGTGGGCTGTTCTTGCAATACCACATCACAATCACCCAGCATGCGGACAATACTACTTCTCTCCAGCCTACTGGCCTTGTTCACTTCTACCGTGTACGGTACGGCTCTCACATACAAGCTAGGCGCGAACGAGAAGTCGTGTTTCTTCAGTTATGTGGAGCAGAAGGGGGCCAAGGTGGCATTTTATTTCGCGGTTAGTTCAATCTTCCTCTGGAACAATTGAAGTATTACTGACACGACATTTGCTAGGTACAATCCGGAGGTTCCTTTGATGTCGACTACTCGGTCGTGGGTCCCAATGAGAAGGTGATACTGGATGGGACAAAAGAGCGCCAGGGCGATTTCGTCTTTACAGCGAACGACGTGGGCGAATACCGCTTCTGCTTCAACAATGAGATGTCCACTTTTGCGGAGAAGATGGTGGACTTTGAGATTGCTGTATGGGATTTCCCTTGTTCCTCTCCCTCGAGTTCAATCTTCCTCCGTGCATAATCAATCCTCTAGAAGGTTAAGAGTGCTGACATGTTTATCTTTTTAATAGGTTGAGAACGAAGCTCGCGCTCAGCTCCCCTCCAAGCAAGGCACATCCCCCGAACAGACTTCCGTCCTCGAGGAATCCATCCTCAAACTCTCCGCGCAGCTCTCCACCATCAACCGCAACCAGAAGTACTTCCGGACCCGCGAGAACCGCAACTTTAGTACCGTCCGCAGCACCGAGCGTCGCATTTTCAACTTTAGCATTATCGAAGGCGTTATGATGGTCACAATGGCCGGGCTGCAAGTCTTTGTGGTTAGGTTTTTCTTTCAGGGCGCGCGGAAAGGTGGGTTCACCCTGCTGGGATAATGAAGGAGGAGGAGGCGGCGATCTTTATCCTTACCATGTTTGCTAACGGCCTTTTAGGGTACGTGTAAAGGTGTATACTGGCTGGCGTTTATTAATAGGGTGTAAAAAACGTGCGCGCAACTTGTGTGTCCTTGGGATGGGTGGCTTGGCCGGCGCGGATATCCCCTCAAGGCAGGTGTCGTTAGTTTGGAAACATGAATACGATGAATGGCTTGTTAGAAGTTCTTCGAAAGCGGTAGTTCAGACTGCATCCCGGTTTTGGTATTTTAATGACCACGTTTCCTCGGGCCTAGTAAGCACTTCGGAGACTTTATAGTGCTCGCTTCCACCAGTCTCACCACCAGGGCGCAAGACACGAACATCTTGCTATACTCTAAGATGAAATTAGCAGAATACGCCATTGCGAAGGACTCTTGCGAATATCGTGACCTGTCTGATACATAAATGTCTATCTCCCACTGGCTTTACGCTGACCTCAGGACCATCATACACATCCCCAGGCCCGTCTTTCTCTCGAACGCGGTGACAATCTCCAATGGAGAACGTTCTTGCTCAGTCCGTGGAGCATCGCCGCACTTTCTTAGGTTCATCTAGCAACTTAGACGTCACCCCTTGGCATCTCCTATTCCACAGGCCGAGGCTATCATGAAATGTCCGTCGCATCACCGATCCTATCTCAACTTTTCAAACTCACAGACTCGACACAGCATGACAATGGGTTCCAGCGTTGTTCCTTCCGTCGGGTCTGTCCAACTATTGACAACGCAGATCGCAGACCCACTCACGTGGGGTTCGTCAGAGTAGGCCGCGGTTCACACCTCGCCGAACACTTCACGGCGAGACTTGATAAGAAACACTCCACAATCCCACCACCAATCGAATAGCTTCAGAGATCGTCTCAACGCCCACGCTTCCGGATCCCGGATATGCACATGAGCCGACCCAATGATGTCTCAGCCCGCCGTCGTCAAGGGCATGTTTCCTTTTTCGCGAGTCTTGTTCCGAGCTCGAAGTATTGTCTCTGCATCTCCACAAGTCAATTTATATCCATGTCGCACGTTCTCTACTGTCTCAAGCAATGGTACATAGTAAGCAGGAGGTGTTCATACCACTGTACCAAAGTGATCCCTGCTAATGATTCTTCTCATCCTTCCATTCAAGCCCTGATGGGTTGGTTACACCTTGAAAGCTGCAAAGTCCAATAAAAATCTGAGTAGCCTTAATATGAAGCTTCAACTACTTATCAACGGTCACGACCCAGTAAGGGCTCCCTCGATATGGGGGTTCCCTCGACGCCGTCGGCCTCTCTTTATCCCCCATAAACAACTGCCGCACACTTCTCTGATCGACGCCTTACCCACAGCCATCCGCGCCTTGGGCGTCGATCCTTAGATTACCCTGGGGCCGATTGAGCCGCTTCCTATTATGGTTACCCTAACCTCCGAGATGGCCGCTTTCAGCGATGCGATTTCATTTTGGACTTCATTTTGGTTTGCGTAGGTGGTGGGTGGAGCCGAGTGGCTTGGAGAAACACTTGGGCGCTGTGTGCCTTCTGAGCATCCCGCAAGCTGATGATAGGGCAAAGGAAGTAGCACATGTCTCAGTGAGTCTGCAATATGACCAAGAGATCGAGCATCCTCCCAGCAGGTACGCAGCTTCCACAATGCAAGAGCCTCTCTATCGCGACGATCGGCATTTCTCGTCGTGGGATAGTGTTGTGGTTGACCCTTAGGTGCGTGGAGAAGTCCTCCCTTCCCACGCAGTCTTCCAAATACCTCTTTCGTCATATTGCGGAGTATCTTCAGGGCAGACACTGGAAAGGCATATAAACCTCTTCAGTATCCAGCAATATCTCCTCGTCCAACTCAATCATCACCACACCCTCTACATCAACCTGCAAGCTTTCTATCACCACTTTTAACCCACGAACCACCACCTAACAACCCCTTCAATTAACCAAAATGCAATTCCCCTTCATCCTCTCCTCCATCCTTTCCCTCGCCTCCGCAGCCGCTATTACAACCCGCCACCCGGCCAAGCTCATGGGCGGTGAGTTAACCAAGCGCGATATTTGCGGCGGCGACACCTCCCCCGTCTGCTGCCAACTCGATGTCGAGGGCGTCGCGGACTTGAACTGCCAGAGCCGTAAGCCACTTCCCCTATCCTCCCATTGACCAGGGCGTTCTTGCTGACGCATTCATCCTGGTACAGCCGGCGACGTCTCCACTGTTGCGGAGTTTGAGGACGCTTGCGCTGCGAAGGGCCTCTCGGCTGAGTGCTGCACTCTTGTTGCTGTAAGTAGCTTTCTTGGGTGTTTGTTTTCGGGGTGGGATCAGAGAGCTGATGAGAGAGTAGGGCACGGATGGTCTTGTTTGCTCTGCTGCTTAGGCGGGGTGTGAGACCTGGGGATGGGATGGTTGGAGGGAGGGAGGGAGGTTTTGGACTGGAGAGACAGGGGATGCATATATACTTTCATGCTGCACCGATTTCGTTCGTAGTTGGCGACAATGAGTATTTGATTGAGGTCATAATCCCTATGCCCCGTCGCCCCATAGCGTCTTCCTCTGTGCTCTCTCCTAACTCAATGTTTACAGCACTAGGATAAACATTCCCTTGAATCTTTTTTAGCAACGCTTGTTGTGTGATTTCGTACTAATACAGATCTAGAGCAACGAGCGAAAGGTCCGATCAGTGTATAGTTAGAGGTGGGTTGGTAAGGTTTCAGGCCTGTCACATTGATATAATCACGTACATACGCTTCAGATGGCGGAAAGTCCTTAAAAACACCACAAGTGGTACCAATGCCTTAGCGCTGTACTAGAAACCCCCAGTCCACCTTGAAATCAAACTCCAAAAGTGTGCCCAGCGCCCCAGTGCCCAGCAACTATTATTACATCGCCCTTAGATCTCACCCTCTGCATCCCCCTCCAAATCACTAACATCAACCATCGAGCCAGCCCCACTACTCTCATACATCGGCACCGCTGTCGTCTCCCAGCACCGCGCCCACGCCACCTCCCCCCTTTGCGGATCCAGAATCGCCGCATAATGCGTACACTCATTAGTAATCGGGTAATCTGTCACCATATCCACCAGCTGCTCCTTCGTGATCCACACCTCGTCCTCCGGCGCCCTGCGCTTTCCGCGCCCCTGTCGATACTGGCGCACCGCACGCTTCCAACTCGCGACTACGCAGCCCTTGCGGTCTAGGCTCTCGTCGACGAGCCCTTGCATCCCGACGGCGCTGTGCTTGGCGTGTGCGACGTGCGTCCCACTTTTTCCTTCGTAGGCGGCGTCGTGGTTGGTGGCGGTGATGAAGGAGGTCGAGGTGCGGGTTGTGGCGGTGATGCGGTCTTTTTCCATGACGGCGGTGGTGGTGCCGTCGGAGAGGATGAGGTAGGCGGATGTTGTGGGGGTAGAGGGGAGAGTGGATAGAATGGTGGCGAGGTCGGGGAGGGGGGTTTGATCTGCTTTGGATTTCTCGGTCTTTATGCTAGAAGGGGGTTTAGAGGGCGATGCGGGGCGTTTGGGGAGAATCAGGTCGCGCAAGTGGGAAGCGATGGAGGGGCGGAATCCGAGGAGCACGAAAGCTAGATGGGTGTAGAATTTCAGGTTGGCGAGTTTCGAGTTGTCGTTGTTGTGGTAGGGGCGGAAGTTTAGGGAGACGCTGAGGTCTTGGCTATATTGTGATCGTCTCAGTGGTTGCTTGTAGTGATCTATTTAGGTATTACGTACCGGACACCAGTTAGTATTCCCACGAAACCCACATAAGTAATGCTCCTCGCCATTACCTCCCCGCCTGGATGCTCAACGAATTCAAGCTGTACGATGACTTTCCGTAGCTCTTCCATGGCCCAGTCCAGAGTTCGAAAATGTAGCATTCTGGTCTCATCACCGTCTTTCACTTGCACACCACCGCTCGTGCAGCCCATAAAACAATCGAGGAGTGTATTGTATGCAACCAGCAAATACATGTCAACTCCAACGATTTTGCTGATGCCGCGGATCTCTTCTGTCTGTTCTTTGCTGTATAAGCGCCGTAGAAACAGGCGTGCAACTGTCTTTACTAGGGCTACGGGGACGTGGGTTTGCTCAATTACTTCCTCGAAGAGCAAGCCAAGGCCACTGACTACCGCTTTATAATCATTAGCGACCTGCGCGTAGCGTTGCTGAGGCGGTAGAGAGAGATCAACGGTGTATATTGGAGGCATTTCGGCATATCCAGGGAGATTGCTCGAGGCGTGGCTTGTCTTTGTTCGTCCTCTCAGCCTTGAGAAATTTGGTGTTTCGGGCTGGATGGACTCCTGGCTGTATATCGAGGCTTGCTCATCAACGCGAGTAGCGTCTAGCACAGATGAATCCTTGGATGAACTTGATGCCTGATTTGACGGCCCTTTTCGCCTTTTAGACGACGAACTTGACTCCTCGGTAGGTATGGATCTTTGGCTGGATGTTGACGAGGCCTGCTCACTAACTTGAGAGGTCTTGCCCGTCTTGCTCCTTGTTATTGGAGCCATATTGAACGATTTGACAAATGCGAGATTAAATGATACGACAGAGTGAGAGAGAACTGCTTAAATACTTATCGACATGTTGGTGAGGCGCAGCTTTCAGCCTTAAAGATCAGGGGATGCTGCTGTCTAATGGCTGCTGCCTGGCCATTGCTCTTTCTGGAGAATGCGCGTCAAAGAAGAAAATTCAGATCGCTCTTGAAGACTGGAACGGTCAAAGGGGTTTACATGATGATGATACGTAGTGCAAGGGTGGGCTTGATGTGTTGTCGGTGCTGCTGCGTCGGAGACAAGATCAGCCGAAAACCGAAGCATCTATTCTAGGACTATTGACTACCTCTCCTTAACCACGAAACCTTTTCTCCATTACCAACGATCTGAAGTGTCCTTCATGAGACATTTGCCCTCGTAAATTATGTGATGTGCAAGTCATGGTTCTGAAATTCCGGGTCCCTGTGGAATTCGTTTCTATACTTCGAGAGAATTTCTACCCTTAGGACCCAGCGACTCAACAATCATGCAATCAGGCAATCCATTAGACGCGTCAAACCCGTAGGGTCTTAGGAGGGCAGTCTATGTAGAAAAATCCCGCGATCTTGGTCTATCATTTTCTTCATGAATCATTCGTTTTCTAGCAACTCAGCGTCTTCGATTTCCGTCTCTTCATACATTAAACAAACCTCTAGTGATGAGGCCCACCATCATCTTGTCATCGGTGATTATGATAATAGAACCTGAGTCTCTGCCCTTTTACCTACGACCGCATGAGATGATCCGGCGAGGTATCAAGCCGGTTCAGACGACACGTATCTCAAAATGCATTGAGATATGCCCGGGAGGTGAGGGCAAACCGACTGTATTTCAAATAGCTCCGCGAGCGTGACTCCCTCCGGTCTATGCCGATCGAAGATCACATGGCCGTGTTATCCGGCAGCTACGCACGTTTTCGGAGCTAAGCACCTTCCACCTCTTCGCCGCTCGGGCAGCCTATAAGTCTCTCACTTCCTACAACCCCAACACATCAATCCATGTGTCTCCCAGGCTGTTGGAGCTATACAGACTTGGTAAGTGTGTCGCTTTTCTCTTACTGTAACGCTCACTGACACACCTAGGAAATCGAGGACGAACCCCCAAGACCAAGGAGGATGGCAGCGCCTTTCAATGTCGGCCCAGGCCAGCAAAACCCAAGCATGACCTACGTAAGTGCCAAGATCTCTTCAGTTCTTCTTTCCTCCGCCTCTCACCGCTTCACAATGCACCTCACTCCAATCTGCGTCACAAGCCTCCAAAAGCCAGAGTCTTACCTTCCTGTCCTGCACCAACTTCACAACAACCTCCTTTCCTGAGGCATCCAAACGCTTTTCAACGCGATGGCATTCAATGTGAATGGTGGCCCGTGGGGCAATTGGCAATGGCCTCAGCCCTTTGACAATCGCCGCCACACTCACACCTACATTGCACAACGTGGCGGGGCACCAACTGTGGGGCCCACTTTCTATGGCACCCCCTACGGAACTACTTATACATACCCGTCTCCATACACCTATGCCTATCCTCAAACCTATGTCTACCCTCACACCTATGCCTATCCTCAGACATATGCTTACCCGACGGTACCGCAGGTCTACTACGCGCAACCCGGAGGCGGCTATGCTGCGGTGGCAGTCCCCCAAGTCCAAGCTCCGCAGCAGACCTACGTCTATGCAAACCAGCCAGCTGTCGGCATGGCTGGTGCGCCCATTCAGCAGCCTAATCTAGGCCCGACTCCATACCCTGCTCAATACACGGGCCAACCGATGGCTAGCTACGGCCCTTACCACCACTACCATATGGGTCGCACCAAGGAGCAAGTTGATATGGACAACCGCCGCACGGCGTACCAGCAAGGTGCTTATTCCATGCATCCCATTGCGCCTGATAACCCGCCCCCAGACACACAGTTTTGGTGCAAGGAAGTCGATGGAGAATGGACGCTAAGGACTTTCTTTACCATACAGGAGGACCTCAAGCCGGGTAATTGGAAATATGCTCCTGACACTGGCATGTTTGTCTACATCAGGAAATAGGAGGGGATGATGGCAAAGGTATGTATCATCAAAGCTCTCCTAGCATTCTAGACTGTTCTCTCGACTACGGCTCCTGCTGTTCTCAACTCTAGAAGAGCAAGTGAATTGACCCTCCTAGCGAATGGTGGTTCTGGGTTCCCGAGAGGCCTACATGACGAACGCATCATATTAGCGAAGAGCTTTCACGACAATCAGCAAGCCATTCTCGAGCGTTTGTCTCCTTAACTTCATGTTCGGCAAAGAGGGATCGTGGGTTGATGGATATTGAGCGATGGCGAGCGATGGACAAGGAGGTGGCACTTCTCTGGATACTGTCACAGGGCGATGAAGAGCTCTTCAACAACACGGGGTTCGACAATCCTTTCCTCCACCTCTCTCGGTTTTCGCAATCCTAGCGACTCTTATGCGTTCGACACTTTTTGCGACTCTTATGCGTTCGACACTTTTTGCGACTCCTTTCTGGACGACACTGGACCAGCAAAATTGCAACGACATTGGACGGGACAGCTCGCAGCAGGCACATGATCGGCATGAGTTTCAAAGACGGATGCGGATCGATCTCAAGGTTGTGCTTTTGTGGTTTTCTCTTCCATTGGCGTAGAACTCTTTTTCTTTCATACACTTTTCGATTCAGTTGAACTTCAATGGGCAACTCTTGAGGGGTGGATATTGCTTTCCGGATGGTCTGGGCCTTACCCAGAGAATGGCGTGGTCTTGCGTTAGGCAGGATTACGAAGGTCGTGTCGAAGCGATAATCACAATATCAATTTCTATGCGATAAACAACGGCGTTTGTAATTTGAGACGCCATGTGAAGAACCTTCTTATGAACTCGTATCTACTTCGAAAGCGTCTTTAACGCAGCGATTAAGCTCTTTGAGAGTGATTGCACTTCGACTCATAACGAGCCGCTGGTGGGTAATAGCTCGTCGTGGAGTACCAGAGCATACAAGAATCCATGGGAGTAGTAATACTGTGTACCATTTCTGCCTATACTTTGCTCGTAGATGTACCTAGCGTGTGTTCTGAGCAGAGAATATTACCGCAAAATCTTGAGGTCTTGATTAGCTTTCCACCGTTCTTCTGGTATTCTCCTCCTCGTGTTCTTTGGACAGTCTCGCATCATGTGTCCTTCCTGCCCACAACCATGACATGTCACGCCCCTGGCTGTGTTTGCCATGCTAAGGCCGCCACCTGACGATATCCCTCTCCCCTTGTTTTGATTCAGGTTCACTTCCTTCCTACGCCGTGCCTCCGCCATTTTTACAGCCTCTGCTTTTGCGGCCTGCTTCTTCGCCTTGCGGTCGGCGCGAGCCTGGGCGGAGCGGATGAGCGCATCAGTGGGGTCACCGTCAGGGTCGGAGTCTAAGGGGTCTGATTTTTCGTCTGAGTCTGACGATTCTTCCTTGTCGGCGGAAGAATTTGTGACCTGATATCGTCAGTGCTCATGTTCAACATCTCTTTGTCGACAGGCCGCGTCCCGCAATAGAGCTGTCCATTCAAGGTAGAACTTACTTGAGCCTTCTTCCCCTTTCCAAACCTCATCCTCCCTCCCGCACCGAAACCGCTCTCCTCATCACTACTCTCCTCGTCGCCCTGACCGTCAATCTCCGCGAACCCTGCCTGCACCACCCTCATCTGGACCTTGCCTCGCGCCGCCTGGTCATCTCGAAAGCTCAAGACCCACCTCGTCTCGCCCACCTCAGCCGCCTGTCGCTCAACTGCCTCCGAGCGTTTGGCTTCCTCAGCCGCGAGGGCGGCCTGCATGGCAACATAGTCGGAGGACGGGGTGGGCGTGTATGAACCTGAGGAAAGACGTTGGCGCTTTGCATGAGGCCCATTTGAGATGGGTGTTGAAGGGCCGGTGGAGGACGTGGGGGAGGAGTTCTTGACGGTTGAGCGTTGCATGAACTGGACGACTTTTTAGTATCGCGTCTACATATCTCACAGAAAAGGAAGGAATACCTTCATAGTGAGTAGTCGCGAAGACATTATCTTGGGTTCCTTTGATGTACTCATGCTGGGCAAGCTGTAGCGAACGTAGTAATGGTTAGTTGTTTCTGCCGAAACTGCAATAAGTTTGTGGAGTGAGCGGCGTTGGTAATGAGGATGTGGTGGTCAAAAATATCGAAAGCTTTTGACGTTTCTGGGTGCCAAGGCTGATCTCCAACGTCCATTCATCCTTCTCTACCTACACCACCGTCAAGCTCCGCCAGTCGCGGCAACCCCCACAACCACTGAACCACGATGCTCTCCTCCACGGTGCGCGCTCGCGCACCCTACCTCTTCGTCCGGCCTTTCCTTCGCGCGTACAGTACCGGCGAGGTCCCCTCCAACGACCCTTCCCCGAAGGCCCCGAAGCCGAACGTCTCGGCCACCAACGCCCTCCCCACGTCCTCTGAAGGGGGCTTCGACAAAGTTTTGCAGGAGAGTGTAGAGACTGCGGAGGAGCTCCGTGTGTTACAGGCGCCAAATCGCCAGGCTCCCAACAACAAGGGGATCTGGAGCCGGAGTCAACAGCCGAGGGCGGTAGCTATGACGGGGCCGAGATTCGAGCAGACTATCATGGAGGATCAGGTATGCAATTATATTTGCCAATATTGATTTGGTGGATTCCAATTGGTGCAATTGGCCCAGGGAAGCGGACATTTGTGAAGAGAGCTAATCTGAACCTTGTTAATAGCCACGCCCTTACGCTGCCATTGAACTTATCCATAAGCAACCTGTCCGCTGGACTAAGGAGAGGGTTGTTTCGTGTGATGGTGGCGGAGGACCACTAGGACATCCCAAGATCTTCATCAACACCGACAAGCCGCAGATCTGCTGGTGCACTTATTGCGGACTGCCTTTTGTAAGTACTCAATTGGCACGATATTCAGCTTCGTATCAATCTTATGAACTAAGAGTAATTTGGTACTCTCGTATCTGCTATATTCTAATATATTCCAGGCTCATGAGCACCACCGCGCCCATCTGGAGTCCCTCCCTTCAACATCATACCCATTGAAGCCAACTGGTGACCCAGCCGAAGTGGAAGAGTCGCAGCGTATCACAGACGAGCCATTAGGCCAGCGATGAGAGCTTGAAGTTGGCATTCAGACTCATGTATATATGTAGAATCGTATTTTGATAGCGAGTTTGCAACCTCCTTCAATTGAACCCGCAACGTGACACTGAACTTAGAACTAAGATATTCGTACACAAGGCCACCTAAGTATCATCATCAGAAGAGGGGCCTTAAAACTAGGCATATAAAGATTTACTTCGAAGCTCTAACTAACGCTCCAAAACTCGCTTAATAACCCATCCCGCATGACGTCTACCTATCGCAAGCTCTCCGAAACAAATCACCCAATGCCCCTCTCAGCCACCAACACCTTCTTCTTCCTTCTCCTCTTCGTCTTCTCCTTCTTTCCAGGCCCGTTCATCCGTGTCCTCCAATCACCCTTTACATCCACCCCCAAAACCCCCGCCTACCCCACCAGCACCTGCGCGTGTTGCGCCTGTAACAACCCTCCTCCCGCCACCAAACTATTAACTTCACCATCCTCACTACTCACAAAACCTACATCCGCCACCATGTCTTGGTTTCAGAAAACTATCACCCTCCCCTCCAAATCGCGCGGCTCCTACCTCATCACCTCCGACATCGTGAAAGAGCTGCCCGAGCTGCAGAACTACAAAGTCGGCATCCTGAATCTGTTCATCCAGCACACAAGCTGCGCTCTGAGTCTAAATGAGAACTGGGACTCGGATGTCAGGGCGGATATGAGTGATACGTTGGATCGGATTGTGCCTGAGGATAAGGGAGGCAGGGAGGGGTTGTATAGGCATGATGCAGAGGGGAGCGATGATATGCCAGTGAGTTTAGGGATACTTTTTTGGGGAGCATGGGTGTAGACTGTTCCTGGGAGATCCTTTGAGGCAATATGACAGGATTCAGGCTGACGGAGTTTCACACAGGCACACGTCAAAAGCGCACTCATAGGCGCAAGCGTCTCGATTCCAATCAGCAATGGCAAGCTGGCTACGGGCACATGGCAGGGGATCTGGTACTTGGAGTTCAGGGCATCGAGGCACTCGCGGAAGGTGGTGGCCACTATACAGGGAGAGAAGTCGTGAGCGGATCGGGGACCTGAGATACATAACTTGCTTGTTTGGGAAACTCTTCACAGAGACACATTAGGGATCAGGTATTGCTTTGTTGCATTGAGATTGTCTGACTCTCTATCTTCGGGTCTGGTCGAAAATGTGAATTATAATACATTTATTTCAACATCGAATGAATCGACCTCACGCTTCGAGTAACAAATTTAGGGTACAGAATATACACCAGGCCAGCAGATTTGTTTAACCAACTGACACTAGAGAGGCCGGCGCTTCTAACAGTCCGAGACCATAACAACACTACCGGAGGTGGAAGTGAGGAAAACCGGGTATAAAACTGGGTTCAGACTGGTTGGACTTTTCAGAGTCTCCAGAGTCCAAATGTTCGCTCTCCTGTTTGTGAGATTTTGTAGCAATAAGGCGAGGTCTTGGAGGTCTTAGAGAGGGAGTCAACCCTATTTTTCGAGGGCGCTTCCGCTTAGGTTTACGAAGCGACTTATCGACCTCGTTCGCTCCAACTTTCGCTGGCAGAGAAGAACGAAGCGAGGGGCCGTCAATCATCTTGCCTTTCAGCTCTTCGAGAAGTTGCTCAAGTCGAGATATTCTCACCCGAAGAGCCTCCTGCTGGTCTCTTTCACGGTTTGAAATACGCCGTATCAATCCTGGAGGATGTTTGGGGCGTTGGAGCTCCTTACGGCGTTCGAGTTCTTGCAGTTCCTGGACCCACAGCGCGATTTGACTAGAGCTGACTTGCTTAGACTCTGAATCCACTTTATTTGAAGCAGACTCTGTCAATGATTGCATGCGGTGCTTAATTGACCATGCTGTTTGCACTGGATGTGTATCTCGAGACAGCTTTCTCAGTGATGTCTGCAACGCTCTGTCGAACTTTCCTTCGGCCACAAACAGTTTGCGTGCAATCCCTTTGGAAGGGATTGTAAAAGATGGATAGTTTGAGAAGATGTCTCTAAGAGTGTTTTCGTTAGGTGACTGAGTGATAAGATCTCGAACTGCTTGCTCTGTGAATTCCGAACTCTCAATTGCGAGGGAAAAGAGAGGCGTTGCGTCATTTCGTATTTTCAAGTATGCGCGATATTTTTCGGATTGAAGGCCTTCCAAGATCGGGTAGAGATTCATCTTGAGATGTAGGATATCGCGGCTCAGCTCCGTTCCAGGTCGGATCCGTGCCCTAGCTTGACGCAAACCCGGAAACGGACACTTTGCTAGGACTTCGTAGAGTCGTGAGAGATCTTCGTATACCCGTTCAAAAGGTTCGTACCACTCTGCGAACCGAGCCCGGTTTTCAACTAGGGCCAGCCTATGTGTGTCCAGTTCAAGGCTTTCCGGTGTTGCGGTTTCGAGTTTTCGTCTCGCTGATTCTAGCGTTTTCGCCAGAGTTTTAAGACGCTGGTCTCGTTTAGGATTTGTAGCGCCTTCCGTGGGATCGAAGGTCTGCCAGTTCATCCGGGGTTTCGGTGAGACCGGACTTTTGCTGGACTTCGGTGCTCTTCGCACTTGTTGTTTGAAGGTTGCATTTGTAGCTAAGCCGCCGCGAAAGGGTAAAATCCTCATGTTTGTGCTGTTGCTGATACCCCATTTAAGCACTTGTGGTCGTCCCCCTCTTGCTTAGGAAGTGCATTACTGTTGTTACAGTTGACCAGGTTTCCAGACTATTCTAAAAAAAAAAAAGCTTGCGCGAATTTGACTGATGAAGGCGGAAATGGTGCCTGTGGCGAATTGAATGAAACCACCACTAGTATTAGAGATTGCGGCTGAGTTGTTGAATTTCAAAGACAGCGAGGAGTCGATGGAGGCAAAGGGTGAGAAGACGTTTAGTTGGATGTTTTGATATTGCCAAGCCACTAAAGTAGCTTGTGGCTGGGGCCGTTACAGGGGTACCTGAGTAATTCATCCAATTCATGACCACCGTTCTTCATCTCCATTTTCCCTTTCAACTTCGAGTATTCAGACCGCCATAATGCCGCTCAGCCACTTTGTCATATCTGTAATTGGGTCCCTAAATGTCGACCTCGTTACTCGGACAGCCCGGATTCCCACTGCTGGCGAGACGCTCACCGCGGAATCATTCGACACTGGATTTGGCGGAAAAGGCGCCAACCAGGCAGTGGGTTCTGTACTTGTCGAGTCTGCCTGGGCCTACTAACGTTAGAAAAGGTAGCATGTGCTAGAGTATCTCGAACACAGTCGCAGGCCCGCAATGGCGAGTCCACTGATGTAGAAGTCCGCATGGTCGGCGCAGTTGGTGATGACCAATTTGCGGACGATTTCCTGAAAAGTCTGCAAGCGGGTGGAGTAGAAACGTCTAAAGTGCAGAAGTTGCCGAACCAGAAGACTGGAGTGGCCGTCATTCTTGTTGAGAGCCAGACTGGAGAGAATAGGATTTTGTTGTCTCCTGGAGCCAACTACAATGTACCGGTTGTAGACCTTCTCCAACGTGACACCACAGTTGCCCTGTTCCAGTTGGAAGTTCCTATCGAAGTGGTAGGTTCTCGTGCATTTACAACTGGATAATGAACCCAGACATGTTTGTAAATACATGCCTAACAAAAGGTAGGCTCTTCTCAACATGAAAGCCGCGAGGGAACGAGATATCGTGGTTATTTTGAATCCAGCTCCCGCAATCCCTCTCCCAGAAGACGCCTACAAAGGTCTTGACCACTTGATCGTGAACGAGACCGAGGCCTCTATTCTATCCGGAATCGAAAACCCAACATCATGGAACGATGTCACCTCAGTATTCATCAATAGAGGTGTTCAGAACGTAATAATTACCCTAGGTGCTGAGGTTAGTTTTCCTCTCGACTATCTATCAGCCCGTTGCTGAAAATATCAGGGGGTATACTACCAAACAGCTGCCCGCCATGCCAAATCCGAACCGGCTAAAGTCTTACCAGCTCGAAAGGTCAAGGTAGTAGACACCACTGCTGCTGGTGACACATTCGTAGGGGCGTATGCTGTCTCGGTTGCTCGTAGCAATTCAAGGACTGTAGACGCGTCCTTTGATATTGACGCAGCCATCGAATATGCAAACCGAGCCGCCTCGGAGACGGTACAAAAAGTGGGCGCTCAGTCTGCGATACCGTGGGTGGATGAGGTGCCTTCGAGCTGAGAAAGTTCTACCAAACTGTCCCTCCTCTTATCGACGATTGCGTATACCAGCTATGTCGAAGCTTGGCAAGAAACCCTTCACGAGGAAGCGAAGCCAGACAGGGGTTCAAGAGAAGTGAACTGGTATATCAACACACTAGAATCTAGCCACAATCGAAGCTAGCGATACCTCAAACGGTAAACATTCGCAATGCCGTTCAATTCCTTTCTAGATTTCTCAAGTGACCTTTAGAGTCTATCCCATCCGCTAATTCAAGCCTCACACATCCTCTAAAACGTATGCCTAAACCTCTCCTCCTGACTAACATACCCCTCACTATCCGCCTTCCCATTAACTACCCTAAAATGCCACGTCATGACCCCAACCAGCACGACCAACAACCCCTGCGTCGCCACCGCACACCACACGCCCGTCCGATAACTCGGATACTCCTTCTGCATGAACGTCGTGCTCGCATAGATCCCGCCAATCGCCGCAAACACAAACTGGATCCCGCTCGCCATGCTCCGCCGGCTATCCGACCGCACATTGTTGCTCTGAAACGCGATAATTGTCGGCAGATTCGCATTGCACCCGGACACCCCAGGAACACGCCGAAGTACCGCACCCCGTTGTTCGTGCAGTACGCCGTCAGCAGCAGGCCCGTCAGCGTGATGACGGCGTTCAGCACCATCCACGGCATCCGCAGCCGCGTGCGGTCCGCGATCCACGCATTGCCGACGGTCCAGAGGATGGAGACCAGGTACGGTGGCGCGCAGAGGAGGAACACGATGGCGGTGGTGTAGCCCATGGTCTTGAGGATTGTCTGGATGAAGTAGGCGAAAGCGTAGATGGGCGCCGAGGAGGTCATGAACATGAAGCCGTATACCTATAGCTGCTAGGCGCCGAGGTAGTGCCGAAATTTCGGCCAGGTCAGCTTGTCGGGCTTGGAGCCGCCGCGGTCGCGGTCGACGCGGTTGAGGACGGTGAGGAGCTCGGCCGTGGTGAAGGCGCGGCGGTCGTTGGAGGCGAGGAGGACGTCGGGGAAGCCGACCACGAGGAAGTAGCCGACGAGGGAGAAGCCGATTGTTGCGACGCCTTCGATGCTGAGGGGGGGGGTGTTAGGGGGTTTGGTGAGGTGGAAAGGGGAAGGGGCCGTACATGAAGATCCAGCGCCAGCCTACGATGCCATACGAGCCATCTAGCTTGACGAGAGCGAAGGCTAAGATATTGCCAAAGGCGGAGACGAATAGGTTGATCAGGTACCAGAGCGCCATGCTAATCCCCATATCAGTACCTTCATCTAATTCTCAGAATGATGAACACCATTCACCGCTGCTGAATCTCATACCGCTGATACCACGTCGACAGCAAAAACATACAACACGGCAGAAACCCAGCCTCAAAGATCCCAATCAGAATCCTACACACCACAATCACTCTCCAATCGTTCGCGAATCCCATTCCTAGCATGACAGCCCCCCAGCTGAACGCCAGCGCATTCAGCTGGATCTTCGGTCCAATCGGCCGCAATGTTAGGGTGGACGGCAGCTCGAACAGGAAATAAGTCACGAAGAAGACGAGCAGCGCGATCGAGTAGCGGTTCCCGACGTCGAAGTGCAGGTCCTCGTTCATGCCGGCCACGCGCGCGTTTGAGAGGTTGACGCGGTCAAGCCCGGCGATGGAGTAGAGGCCGCCGAGGATGGGAATGAGACGCCAGTCGACTTTGCGGCTGGTTAAGGTTAGCTATACGCTATATTCGTTTGAGAATGGTAGAGGAGCTGTTTTCGTTGCTCACATGGCACGTGCTTCCTCCTTCTTTTGCTCATCTGAGAGGTCATCTTCAGCGATGTGGCCCGGGGGGGGTTTCTCTACGACGAGCTCCTCGTCGACGACGTTGATGATTTGGACGTCTGGTTTCTCGAAGAGGGAGGACCGGGCTGTCGCGGGCAGCGGGGAGTCGTGGGACATATTTGGGTCCTTGAAGGTAATAAAAGTTTCCAAAAGATAGATGTTGACAGGGCTAGGAAGACTGACTACCACAATCTCGCTAAGGGCATAAGAAATACGAACCGACGATATTCTATAACGTGAGGGAATCCCCAGATATTTAGTACACATCTACCCCAGCTCTCCACCGCTGCGGGGCATCTTATCCTGAACCGATTCACCAGATCTTGCAAGCGATGAGGTACATAGTAGGTTCTTCTTCAAGAGGTTGTTGTCATGAAGATCCTCAAAAGTAACCTGGTTTGCATGGTCAGCTGTGAGTAGTCTCCGATATCAGTCTTGGCCTCTTCATTTTCTCCATACCATAAGTCTTGGCCAATGACTTAAGTGCGTTATTAGCACGCCACACAAGCCACTTTTGAGACACGAAGGCTCAATGGAAAGTCAGGCTGTTGCCGACAGCCGTTGGTGACACGTTGAGGCAGATAAGTATAGCCGGCTCAGTGGCATCGAACGCACGACCGATGCCGGACGCGGTAGTTGGCGATGGAGTAGAGATGCAGAGGATTAGCATGACTGGTGGTAACAAAAAACATGATCCGTGAAGTGCATCCGTGTATTTGTTGCTTATACCACGACCCAACCGCATTCCATCGTCTCAATACTCCAACACAATCCCAACATAACATCAAAACACGCACGATACCAAAAGCTAGCAACGCCCAAAAAACAGCAGATAGACAATAGGGGAAAGGGGTAATCGATAGGCAAGGAAAGTGAACAAGCAATCGCAAGAAACCAGCCAAGCAGAAAGCCGACATTAAGGAAACGACAGGAAAGGGGGAATCAGGCCCAGCAAACTCCTGAATAGACCCCAGCGCCCAGATCAGACGCCTAAAAGCAAGTCATTACCCATTGTGAAGAGTGTGTAAGTAAGAGAGGTATGAGTTTCGTTGCTCTAATCTCCGACTTAAGGTTTTTTTCTTCCGAGGTATAGTATGATCGTCTCAGCTTTCGTGGACTCCTTATAGCTTCGCATCCGAAGTCTCCAATGCCATAGCAGTGATGACCGTGTTCCAACTCAGCCCACCTTCCCGAGAAAGGGACCGCCTATTCATGGTGACATGAAGGAAGGCCGGTGTTTCTCGGTGGGGACAACCAAGTCGAGAAGGCCAAGAAAAGAACGGCATCGGACAAGGGACCAGAAGGTAAGCGGAGTAAGTGGTGGTTGGGACGACACATTGTCTAACGGAGATGGAGGACCAAACGACGGCAATGAAGAAAAACGAGGACTCTACGTGGTGGGGCTGTTATAGTTCCTCATCGGTCTCATCAGGCAGTGAGACGAGGACAGCAACTTCCTCCAGGGTTTGAGCCTCAACGGGGACAGGAGCTTTCACAACAGGCCCGGCGGTCTCGTCAACATAGATTGGGATCTCCTTCTCTTGCTCGACTTGCACCGGCACCTCAACCTCAGTCTCGACTGGAAGCTGAGCTTCAATTAGTGTCTCAACCGGAGCCTCAACCAGAGCCTCAACCTCAACTAGAACCTCAGCTTCAACTGGAGCTTCAACCTCGACAGGCTTTTCCTCCCCAACTAGTTCCTCCTCCCTAAGCGGTGATGGCGACGTAAGGGCAGCAAAGTCGAACTCCTTGGAAAGACCAGACGGCTTCTCAATAGCAGCATCCACCGTCACGAACGACGACTCATCGCACCCAGGCCCGTAGTAGTCTTTAGCAGGCAAGTCGGAAAGCGGCGAGCGGTCCTGGTCCATAGCATCCTGGACAAGGGGACGGCGAAGCTTAGGTAGCTTGACTTCATGGATAGCGCCCACACCCTCCAACCCAGTCATCTCGGTAGCAACATCGTCGACATTGGCCTCTGCATCTATGGAAGTGGAAGCGAAGACGAAGTCCGGTGGCGGAATGTTTTCCTTGCCCCTTTCAGCACCTTCTCTTGCCTTCCTCATTTCTCCGTCGTCGTCAGAGGAGATGTCCAGCGTGCATGCGGAATGCTCCATCAGGTTTGTGGCCTCTTCCTCAGGGGTGTCTTCGTGGATATCGAAGAACCAGGTCTTTGGCATAGCTTCCTCTAGAGTTGGCATGGCGGCAACGGCTGGCTTAGGAGTGTAGGTAGGAATAGTGCCGCTAAGGGCAGCATCGATTGAGAACGGAAGACCAGAGTTGCCATTGGCCATGGAAGGCGAGAAAGCGGGTGGGTCGATGCGACGGAATTGGGATGAAGATGCACGACGCTTTGAAAGGAGGCCGACACGCTTGTGCTTTGGGGAACCACGGGAGGAGCCAATCGGGGTTGAGGATGCAGTGGAAGGTGAGGATAGAGCTTTGCGGACAGAGGGCAGGGTTGGTGTTATTATTTTGCGAGGGGAGGGCAATGTGGTAGGGCTCGTGCGGGCAGACTGGGTGGTAGTGATGAACTGGGAGGGTTTGGCGAGGCCATCGGTGGTCTTGGAGCGCTTGGTGGGTGAATTGAAGATGGAGGGTTCGATATTCTCCGAATCATTATCGGAATCGAAGACGGAGGGGCTGTAGCGGCGTTTAGTGGCTGTTGAATGGGTGGGCTTCTGGGAGGGTGAAAATGATGCTGGGATAGCTATGGATTTCATGTTAACGAACAGATACATGGGATTTACGCGTCTCATATGCGAGACGAGTAGTGGGCGAACATACCATTTTGGCGGTTCTTGATATTGGAGAGCGATTGGAGCCTAGGGCTGTCGAGGGCAGCGAAAGGCTGACGCGTGGGAACGTGAGTAGTCATAGTGGCGGTTGTAGACTGTATCCAAACGAAAGACTGAGAGTAATTGCAAGTCTATCAAAGACTGGTTTCTAGGATTGAATAGTCTAGCCGGCCAATTGAGTTGGTGGTGTATTGGTAGAGAAGCAAGAATGGTGTCGAGTACGAGGCTGTTGAATAACGCGATATAAAATGGCTGTGGAGACGCGAACAGAAGTAATTCGACGTTGCCAGAAGTGCAGGATGCGAGTATCAAGGCAGGTGAGGGTATACAAGACGTGAGCAGAGCGGAGAGGGACGAGGGCAGAGGTCTTGGGGGAGAGCAAGCCTGGGGAGGGAAAGGGAGGGACGAGAGGGGCGCGCCGAGGGTATATCGGGGTGGCAGCCCTCGGGACGGGAAGCAGGCTCTGCAGCGCAGACGGGGTGCAGAAGCGTAGGACTAAGACGGGTCGGGCGCACAGGGAAGGGAGTGGTGAACGCGTTCGTGTGGTGTTGGCGATTTGAGGTGCAGCTCGCGCGTCGGTGAAGCCAAAGCGCTGCACGCAATCACCGCGAGACACGGTAAACGCGCCGTCGAGAGCGTCAATCCGGTTTCTCTGCCTGCTTCTCAGCCTCAGGCCCGCCCAGCCGGCGTGCCCTTTAGATCAATGCACCGCCAGCCGCGGGGGGCAATTGGCTGGGCTGCGCGGAGCCCTCCTTCACCCGCATCTGCTCCCTGCGCTTCTAGCAAGGTTGCGCGCATCACGACGCGACTCTGCGAACGCCCGCCCGACGTGATGACTGGGCTGCTCGGAGACACCACGGCGCAGCCAAGCCGAGCGCTTCCTCGCGTGCAGACGGGGCGCTGCACGGTCAAGTGCTGCCGTCCGACGCAGCCAGGCAGTTTGAGTGAATGTAGGGGCCGGGCGAGCCGAGAGCGCACGACAGCCACCCGTCGTGCACCTGTTTATGCCTGGCTATGCCGTAGTTTCATTAAGAGGGACTGTCTTGCTCCTGCTCTCTCGTCATGGCGCCCCATCACGCGTGGGCTCTTTTACACTCTTCGCATGGCTCGCAGCCGCTGCTGTTTCAAACCGCCAGTGTTTGGCCCAGCGCTGCTTGACGCACCAAACGTAGACGTCGGCGCACCACATGAGTCCAGCTGTTGAATTTAACGGCATGCGCCTCGCTCAGGTTTCTAGTAATACGATGTATGCATGGCCTGGCACCTGCATCGTCTTGTACATACATACAATGTCCCTCAAGCAGCTCCACGAAGCGCCCCCAATGCAAATCATGCAACCCTATCTCCATGTCCTCATACCATGTGTCATGCACTTCCCGCCTGTGCCTAGCTGCTGAGCCAGCATCCACTATCAGAAGCAGGCAATTCGTCCTCTCAGCCTACCACCTCAGCCCACTACGAGAGCCCAACGTCATCCAGTCCCTCACAGCTTTGCCTCAATCTCCTCAAAGTCGCTGAGATCCTGCACCGGTCGGGCACCCTTGCTGACCTCCAGCCCAGCCTTCCACGCATGCACATCGCGAATCACTACTGGTGTGGTTCCGTTGCCCAGCTTCACGTGCGTCTCACCATCTGCCTCCACCACCTCCTTCTGGCTCTCTGTCTCTGCCAGGGCAGCCGCCAGCGCTGCCTTGCCCTGCTCCACCACCTTGGTCACAACGTCCGCCTCCAGCTTCAGCTCCCCAAGGTAGGAGGATAGCGCTTCGACTAGGTCATCTTGCTTGGCGGGTTTCTCCACTGCTTGGAAGTGTGTCTGTAGATCATCGTCCTTGACGGCCACTTTATTGGCTGTGAGCAACTCGCTGACGAGTTTGACCATTTGTTCGTTCTTCTCTGCAGCCGGCGATGACTGCGCCAGCATGTGAACAGCTAGTTTGGCACGCGTTGGTGACGTAGGCGAGATGAACTGGTCAAAGAACTCAATAATGTCTTTCTTGGTGAGGGGTGTAAGATGCTCCACATCACGATCGGCTAGTCAAAGATTAGTATATTATCGATATCAGAAGTTTTTGAGCACATACCAGACTCAAAATCGTAGCATTCGCTCAGAACATGATTCCAGAACCTGTTCGTCTCCTGTGACAGGTTCTTCAGCTTCTCCAGCCGCTTATTGATAATGCTCCTCTTATGCCCTTCAAAGTCTTCGTCCTTCATGTCGTGCAGCATCTGCCCGAACTGAGTCAAGAAAGCGTCTATCCGGCCCTCCAAATAGTCGGGGCTCTTCTCACTCTGGATTAAGATACGGTATCCAGCCCACATGTTCAAGATCGTCGGCCCGCTGAACACAACATAGCCAAGTTGCTCTTTCGTCCGTAGCTGGTCAAATGCTGGCTCGTCCGCCATCTGGGCCATAAGAAGAAGCTTTGCCTTCCGCTGCCGGTTCAAAGGATCGCCAATATAAAGCATGTATTCGATGCAATGATTGACGTTCGCCGGATCTCTGAGGTCTCGCTCGTAGACGAAATTACAGCCCGGCGGCAAAAGTAGCGAGCGTCGAATACGCCATTGAGAGGATGGCAGTTTCTTTGGCTTCAAGATGGACTCGACCATGTCAGTCAGTTTCAGAGCATCCTCCTTGTAGATGTTTCCATGTGCGAGCAACTCAATGTGCACCTGGGCGAGGAGTTGAGGGAAGAAGGCGCGGACGTCAGCCGCAGTGACGCTGTGCAGCTCCGCAAGCAATTGCTCGTTGATCCAGCCCTTCTCGGTTGTAAGCCACCTACTAAAGACTCCGACCTGGTGGTACGGCTGCTGGTACTCCCAGTTTCGGAAGCTACGCGCCAGTCGTTCTTTTATTATATTGAAACGGTCCTCGCTAACCTCCAAGTCTCGCATTGAGACCAGAACTTTCTCGAGAAGAACCGCCATCTTATCGTTGTAGCCGCTGACGCTAACATCGAGGCCAGGAGCGTGTGCAGCGACTGAGTAATTGAGACCAGATATCTCAGCGTCGTAAGAGTACTCCACTAAGGCATCGTATACTAGTTCTCGGTAGAGATGTGACACAACTGTATTGAGGGGTGTCAGGCTAACGAGTGGTGATCGCAAAATAATGAGTACGCTAGCTTTAGGGACCCAGAACTGGTCATCTTTCTTGAACCAGGTCCGGACGTTCTCATCATTTCGGATGAGCTTCGGCGTCTTCAGCGGCTCCTCAACTTCCTTCTTCTCCACCTCGAGTCGATTTGGGATGAACTCGTTCTTGTGCGGGAGATGGAGCTCGGCCGGGCGGCCGTTAGTCGGGCTCGCAACTACCTCCTTGATTTCGGCTAGAAAATCCTCTGGTATCTTCTCATACTTGTATTCGGTTCCATACCACTTCTCTTTCTGGTCCCAATCGCCCGGGAAGTCTTGGCTGATCAGAGTCAACCGGAAATTATCCGGCCGCAAGTACGTAGCTGCCTTGTTGATCGCCTCAGCATTGAACTTTCGAATCAGACTGGGTCCGCTTAAGAGAAGCTCTCTGGGGTACGGTCTCTGCATGATTCCACTGAGCAAGCTTGTGGTCCTGCTCGCAGGGCTCTTCTGTTTGTACTTGAAGTCGACCTCGCTCATGCGCTTCATCTCATCCACGATCCATTCCTGAGGCGGCGATTCGCGCATCATTGCAATATATTGGAATATCGTCTTCGTGACTTCCTTGTAGTGCTTGAGACCCTCCTCAGTGAGTTTGACCCTGACAACAAAGATTGCAGATCCCGGGCATAGAGGCTGTGCTCCTGCTGACAGTCCATTGGCCCATCCCTTTGCTTTGATATAAGCTAGAATGCTACCTGGACCTTCGTGGCCAATGAGATGTGAGAAGTAACGTCCTGGCTGAGACTCGTAAAGCTCCTCTTCATCTTGGTATAGAAAGTCTAATTCCAAATTCCGCATCTCGAAGACAGGCTTTGCGAATATTTGCATTCCCAACTCTTTCTCCGTGTACGGAGCAACATCGTCCCATCGTAGTCGAGGTAAATTCTTGTTAGGTACCGCAGAAAACAGCTCCTCGACCCAATTTTCGAGATCGTCCAGACTCTCACGGCCAAGAACAACCAACTTCATCCGATTCGCCGAATAATGTGTATGGTAGAACTTCATGAACTCATTCCGAATCTTCACCCCGCGTGCGAGTGGTTCATCATGCAGAGTCTTGTAGCTACCTGTCGAGAAGTGGTTGTACGGATGTTTGGGGTTTGAAAGTGACTTGTTAAGCTGATGTAATCTCCATGTATCATTTTGTAGATTCTTCTTGTTCTCCGAGTCGACAGCCTTGAGCTCCCTATCCAAAGTTTCCTCAAGAAACAACGGAGCTACAAAGAACTGTGCAAACCGATCGAGAGCTCCATACAATGGTGACTCCGCTTTCAAAGCCGTCAGGTCTTCTGGAGTGTCAGAGGTAGACGTGGCATTGCTACTCGAGGTTTTCGATGACGCTCCTACTTCGAAGTAGTAATTCGTCGAGGTAGCCGCAGTATAGGCATTTGAGTGTCCGGAGTGTGAGGTGAGGTATTGGTTATATGCATTCTCCTTAGGATACTGCGAGTGGGAATAATTAGCATGCTTTGAAATACTGCACAATGAATGTAATAATCTCGATAGCCCAATGAACCAGCCAGACTGCTCCTCTTCCAGCTCAACTCACTTTCTCAGTGCCCATGAATAATAGATGCTCCACGGCGTGGGCAATACCCGGCATGTCCTCCGCATCGCTAAAGCTTCCCACGTTCACGTCCAACGCACCGCTGACTTTATCCGTGTCGGGATCATGTATGAGCAGGGCCTCGAGATGGTTCGCTAGCCTAATCACTCTGTACGACCGATCATCCAAGGTCGGCCTCTCTAGGTTCTCGGTGAGTCGTTCGGGCTGAGCAGTTCGATTGTTGATAGGCTCAGCCATGGTGACTGGGGGGGTCAGGGTGTAGGGACGGAGGATGGTCACCGAGTGGCTCTTATGTCGCAAGGCTGCTGGAGCCTGGAGAGGGTGTGGACGTGTCTGGGGGCAAAGTAGTGGCGCGGTGGCGGTGAGACAAGGAGTGTTCAAGGCAAAGGCGAAGAACAAGCGTGAGGCTGAGGCTGAGGCTGAGGCTGAAGAAGACTTGATCGAAGGCTGGAGTTGGTGTCTGAGGCTGCCACGGGCTACCCAGACATGCTCCAGGGACCGACTACCACGAGAGACGAGCATCCACCGGAAGAGACAGCGGGGCTGGATATAGCAATCACAGCGAATGTCGAGCCGACGAGGGAGGAAGGTGTTTCAGAGAAAGGCAGCAGGAAGTATTATGGAAACGTGTTCCTTGGGAGAGAAATAATTTGAGCGATGGAGAGGAGGGTCGAATATGGGGACATCAAGGTAGAGGGATGATGCGGGCCTCATGCGCTAGAATCGGTGTGATACAATATGTAATTCCCCGACCCGCTATTCCCACCTATTCACTAGCTAGTCTCTCTCAAGCATCTCCTCGCCACCCTTTCTACAAGTGGTTACTATTCACTTCGCCATACTCTGCCAACTTGCCCTGCATTGATATATCTGGATCCTTGCATCATTCCCTTGTCCATCATCCATCATGGTGCTCGAAGCTGGTTACCCCAACACGACCGGGTTCCGCAAGGTTGTCAAAGTCACCATACTCATCAAGAAGAAAGAAGGCATGTCCGACGAGGACTTCATAAACCACTACAATAACGTTCATGCCCAGAGGGCCGCCCCCGTCGTGCAGCGAGCAGGCGCAATTAGCTACAGCTTGGTAACCCCCCACCAGCGCCCTATTGCAGCCTGGACGTCTGAATGTGCCCCTGCAGACATACCATCTCCAAAGGGACCGCAAAATGATACAAGACATCATGCACAATAAGGCGAAGCTGGCAGACTACGATGCTATCTGCACCTTTGTCTTTCCAGACTATCTGTGCCTAGCTAAGTTCATGTACGACAAGGAGGGCGCGGCCTTGACCGGCGACCATGACAACTTCATGGATGACAGCCAGATGAAGATGATGGTTGGGGACGAGTACATGGTCATAGAAGATGGTCAGAAGGTGGGATGAGTGGTAAGATGGGAGCCAGTCACGCGGGGCATGGAAAAGGTTGGCACACTAATTCTAGAACAAGCTGTCTCGTGTGTACACCCGTCCGCCACTGTTTGGGTTGCTTCAATGTATTTTCAGGGATCTAAAGAAGATAGATGCTCTTCGCCTTGGGCTATGTGGAAATCTGTTGAAGCACTCCATGCAGTGGCAGACAGCTGTACACACGGACAGAGTACTTGATGACGGGAGTGTGCCACTTTTTTCGTGCCTAGCGTGCCAGTGTTACGTGCACGGAGTATAGCAGGGGCGTCTCTGGAGTACATATTTTTCATTCCTCTTAGCAACCATCTGGTACCTCGTTACCTATTGTATGACATCGGGGCTTCGCACATTCCGCCTGAAGTACTCTCTGCGTAAGCCACGTGATATGGTCTAAATACCTAGGTAAATGGTACTATTTCTGTCATGTGTCAGAAAGCACTGCTGATTATGATGTCAAATTCCCCACGCTGTTACCTCCCCAGTCGACGCTGATAGCACCTGTGTTGCCCTTTCATTTAGCCTTTTATACTCAAAAGGTACACGGAGTAGATGAGCCTTACTTTCGATCGTAAATCAAGGCCCTCAGGGCTTGTTGAGTTTCCATTCTGCGACCCTGACGAGAATGCCACCCCAGACAGCATTCGTGTATCCTTCATCGTCATCGTATCCGTTATTTCTGTTACCGCCTGGCGTCTTGCCTGTAGATGGACTAGAAGACAACGTCTCGACAGTAGGAGCCTTGTAATTGGACTGGCCGGATTTCTGGCCGTCGGCATCAGGGTTTGGAGCAGAGTTATTAGCGTCTTGAGGTGGAATATCCGTCGGAAGGGATCCAAGAGGAACGGGAAAACCATAACCGTAGGCGAATGACTGCGGGGGGACGTCTGGGTGTGCCATTTGCATTACCATCCCGGTTTGTTGCTGAGGGACGGTGGACCATGGCATATATGTATTGCCAGCTTGCATACTTGTAACTCCAGCATTGCCCCAAAGGGCATTGTTGTCGGCAGTTTTGTCCTTGGTATCATTCTCGACGGCTTCAAGAATGGTGTCCAGCTTGTTCTCATTTGATTGCTTGCCCTGTTTGCCCTGCTTGCCTTTCTTACCCTTCTTGCCCTCTCCCGTATTCGGTGCACCCTTTCCTTTGCCTTTCTGCTTCTTAGTCGGGTTCTCTTTTGCAGACTCCTTGCCTGTAACCAATCCAGGTGGGGACGGTATTCCCAGTCCGCCACTCATCCACACATCAGCGTCGGAAGGAGGGGGCGATATATCCGGTGAAATGACAAGACCATCGTCATCATCATCGAAAATACCACCCCAAGCATGTCCATCGTTGCCCTCCTTCTTAGCCCACGTTGACGATGCGGGCTTCGTCTTCGCTTGCTTCTTCTGATTTGCTTGTCCCTGCTGCTTCTTCCCCTTTTTGCTTTTGGTCTGGTTGCGTTGACCACTATCATCCCCATCAGGGTTCCCTTCATTCTCCGGCTCGGCATCCCAGTTACCCGAGCCAAGGTCATCGTCCTCCAGCTGCTCCTTCCTGGATTTGACTTTCGCGGATTTGGGTACGGGGCGAACTTTGTTAGCGAAAACGGGATACTCAGGTAGCTCGATGGCTTCATCAGTCATTCGATCACTGCCTGAGCTCCTACGAGATAAAGGCTGTTCCCGTATCGGCGCCCCACGTCCATCGACAACTACAGACGCATCGCGGTTGCTAGCCTTGATTACAAAGGTAGGCAAGCTCGGCGGTGTGATGGTACGTATGGAGCGGATGGTCTTTGGAATTCCTGGGGCCACCACTGCGGCGGCAAGCGATTCGATGTTCCTGATCGTGCTACGAATGTCTTGCAAGGCTGTCTTCTCAACTTCAGGATAGTGAACGCGGGAGACACTTCTGGGTCTCGTCCCTTTCGATTGCTCCTTGGTTACTTGGGGTGCGATAAGTTGGACTTGTGGGACTCGGAGGGCCGTGAGGCTGGATCGTACAAGAGGAGGAGCGGAGTATCGTCTTTGGGCGGTGGCTTGGGTAGCCTGTATCTTCTGGCCTTGCGCAATAATCTCTCCGCCATCATCGATATGGCTCAGAAGATCAGTCCCTGCCTCCGACCCCCGGCTCCTATTGGCAGCTTTCGGGATAGGCTTCAAGCGGTGGGGACGGTCGTTTAGTGGAGATAGAGGTCCGTCATCGATTGCGTGAACCCAATTGTCGACTTTGGATATCGGGCTCGGTTCGGCAGCGCTGCGGTCGTGCGCATTCCTGATCGCAACTTGGTGGAGTGACGCGGGACGCTGTCCGGGTCGAAGACGGCCGGTGAAGGCCGCGCCGTCGTCGATGCAGCTGTGTATGAAGCTCATGGTGCGTGCCGAAGGTAGATGGAGTCGCTCAATTGGAAGTTAGCAGCTCAGGATACAACAAATGCGCGAATTGACACAGGATAAGGTGAAAAAATGGCGAGAAGTGAGGAGTGCGAGGGCATCGTGAGATTGCGCTGTGTTGGCGCCTTCCCGATCCCACGGCATAACCGCCAGCATTGCCAGCAAAGAGCACCGACGCAATGTAGCTATCATACAGTGCCTTGCATAGATATCCGTACATTTCCTGCCACTGTCCATAGGAACCGAGGGCAGCAGGTAGAATATTCCAATCTGCGTACATCTTGTTGACGCTGTCTGGGGTAGCCTCGCAAGTTTACTAGTCGCCCAAAATGCCGGATTCCTCTCTTATTTGGAATGCTCAAAACACTATGAAGCTCCTCAAGCAGCGGTAAACGAGTGTACGGATTTCAATGACGAGGCATTGCAGGTGAAATTGTCTCTGCGTTTTTCTGACGTGCACGTAAATACACTCGTTCTTTAATAGCAAGAAATGGCCGCAGCGCAGGCTTACGGTGCTCGATCGCTTTTGTTATCGTTAAGTAAAATGATCCTCATCTTCAAGCGATTTCTCGGAAGACTCATGGAAGAAGAAAGTGAGAGGAGCATTATGCAGATTGCTTCACGTATTGCTCGCGGGTGGAAGATGAGAGAGCGGGTGATGGAGGAGATGTTTAGGAATAGAGGCCAGCATCTGACCATTTTAGAGAGGAGCCTACCAACTCAACAAGCACCATCTTTTTGAAAGTGCAGACCATGTCATTGTAGGCTTGTGAAGCTAGCCCATCTAAGTTTCCAAAGCTTCAGTCATAGCTAGGTATTGACGGTTGGAGGAGAACGCCCGACTCCCGCTAATATGCACCACCTATTAAACCCCATCCTTGACCTGATGCCACCCAAAGAGACCGCTTTGACATCGTTTCCTACGAGATGGTGTGTTCGCTCGAGGTATCGCCATTTTGTTCCATCTTAACGTCCTCTCCGCCAGCTAGTACCTTCGTCTCTGGCACCCCCTCCATTGGGCCTCCGCCTGGCGTCACTGCCACAATATTGCCTTGCTCGTCCACGAATTCGAAGTTATAGCGAGACAGTAGGTGCGGGATCGCTGACAGCTGTGGACCGTAACGAGCCGTGTTGTCGTATAGCTCGAACAGAGGGACAGCCAGAAGCTTCATGTTCTTAGGGACGCTCAGGACCTCTGCGCGACTGTTAGCAGCCACATAATATGTCTAGGGAAATCAAGAGGACGTACTGCTCCGTGGAAGTTGGATGAAGTATAGCTTCTTGCACTCCTTGGGCCTGGTAACATGTGCGGGGATGAATGGATACATGAAGGTCTCGAAGTTCGGTCTCCACCATTGAGCCAACGTATCCGCAATCTGCCACTCGTCATTGACGCTTCCGCCCGTGAACTGTGTGCCGACAGGTGCAAGCCGCTCGTTCAGCCGCGCCTTGAATCCCTCAATCTCGTCGTCGTCTGGGTGGAGGTAGTCGCCTGGCCTGATCAAGTCCATCGTTAGCGCACTGGTATGACTGTATCTACACCGCTAGATTCACAAAATGAGCGAGGGCGGCATACAACTTGAAGAAAGCGTTTGCGATCTGCAGCATGAGGATATGCGGATGGTTGTGCTCGTGGCAGACGAGGATACCTTCACAGGTTCTCCTCATTCCATGCTCGGTGTAGTGCTCCTCCAAACGCTTCAGTCGAGCAAGCACAGACGGGTCCTCCTCGGGTTGCCCCTCTTTTGTACCAAAGGTGTAGTTGCTGAGAGGATAGAGGCGGATTGTTTTCGGTTGGTTCGCATTGAATGCTTTGGGGAGGATGGGACTGTGGGATCTTAGCTGGTGGACATAGCTAGGACTTCATTCGACTCACGGGTAAGAGCTCTGGAGCGCGTTCTGGGTAATCGTAGACATATTGACAGTGGTGGGTGGTTTGCAGCTGAAGGCTGGAGCTTGTGGTGGAATTAACCTCGCGATCCAAACCGTCCGCCAAGCAATTCTCAGCCTCAGGGCGGACCGTCGTGGTCGCTCGACTCTCACTCGTCCATTAACAGAGCATGACTGCTCTATGATACAGGATGGTATTCGAGGAAAGGAGTCTTACAGGGAAGCTGGTGAGCATGTTATAGATGATCAGGTAAGTAGAATTTTCTCCACCTCACCTTCCATTTGTTCTGTGGGAAGAACGACGTTGTTCTATTCTATGCGAGTTAAACAAACAGCACACAACGCTGCCTGAAAAGCAACACTCCTATATAAGAAGCTTCGTCCTCACTTTTGATCTGCCTCGCGGTCAGCTCTCTGTTCACTTGCCTGGCTATCTACTCAACCCTTGACCGGAAATTGTATCGGTCTGGCTTGGCTTCTGCCTACTATATGACCATTCGTACGTCTATTACCAAGTTGAGTGCCACCTATACTGCCAGCATTATCGTCAGCCAACACGTCGACATACGAATGTATCGGCAAAGATGACAGCGCTGTTCTTGTTAGCATGCTACGATACATGCTGAACGAATTCAATTAAAGTACCTAGATGATACTTGATATAAGAAGCAAGACGGAATTCCGACTGCATATATTTGTCTGACAGTTCCGCATTCATGAATGTATTCCTTTCAGAAAAAAAACCCCTTTCATATATGGTCCTACAATACCCACATACCCTGCTCTATCTATATTGTTCTGACCACATTCATCTCGCATGTCTCTTTTCATCTCGCATGTCTCTTACTTTGATGCGGCCTTGTCTGTCAATATAGTTTTCACTGAGCCGATAAACCCTATCATTACTTATTGGGTGGCCTCTTTGGTGTGGTTGGTATTGATTGTCGTCACTACTGCCAGACAAGGTGGCGAAGAGGCACACATGAAGTACACTTTCACTCAGGGCATTATCGCCTGCAATGTCAGCTCTCCTTAAACATTCACACGTAAGTACGTCCTTTTATGTTTAAATGAAGTCACTGATACCGGCCTTACACTTTCACTTGGGAACTCCTCGACGATGCATACAAAAGGTACTCCATCTAGTCAGAATTCCCATTCTGTAGATTCCTACAACACAACACACCTCCACACACTCGTCCATCATCTCTAAGCCTACCTGCCAAAGTGGCTCGACGCCACGAAGCATTCTTCGTGAGACATCGTATGAAGCCGCTGAGTCCGTGGGCCTTCCGCTAGCTCCAACCCCTCATGGCTCAACTCTCCACTCAAACGATCTCTTCCATTTTCGACCTATCAGCAGTATTCAGGACTTCTTATGCTCGGCCCTTAATAACTCGATGGGCAGGATAGCTCGGATGGCATCGGCACGTTGTATCAGCATGTCAATCCTACTTTCTCCACATTTGTACCGAGTGTCCGACCCCGTTCGACGTCTCCAGGAGCTGGGTCGATCGATTTCGAACTTTCAATGCACGACGAGATCACTAGCATCCTTTCACATTTCCCCTGTTTTGCTCATGCTCATAGAGCGATCACCAAAGGTCGTAGAACAACGGCTCAGTAGAAGCACTAAACTATAGATATCGTGTTCACACACAGCGCTAGCGGTATACCAAACACAATGGTCTTCCATGTGTCGGAATGTTAACTTGATGTCATGCACTATTCCACTTTCTATTTCCTAGCTGCTATGTATTCGCTCTGTGTTGTCAGACTTTGATAGATGCGATCCGCAGCCACCTCTCTTTTGACCTCCGCCTCGTCTTGAGCAAGGCGGCGGCAACGCGCCCTAGATGTCTTGAAGTAAGTCAGTCTTCATTGCCTATTATCTTTACCAAGAGCTAGTAATTTCTCGAGTTGCCCAAACCCCGCCTAATCGCCTTCCCTGTGAGCACGAGATCATTTCACGATATTTTAAGCCATATTCGTGAAAGCGACCTTTCGATAATAACGACCAACAGCTCACCCTTCTTCCATTGTGAGCGCTGCAACACTGTGAACGATGTTACAACGTTCAGCGATTATTTTGGTATGTCTTCACAAAGCAAGTTGTGAAAGAACGAACGCTACCTAATACATTGTTTAGACTTAGATTAGCGTAATATAAAAAATGCAGCTTCCGACTTCGATTCCCGCATACAAATTTTAACGTTCTCACTCAACTGGATTGTAACCTTAAAACACTACCAAGTTCCGGCTTTCCAGTTTCAATCTTCCCACACACCTCAAGCGCAATCTCCAAGACACCACCGTCATGTCCAGGCACGTGCGATTCGATCTCGGAGATATGCTCCGCGGCGGTGGCCACCATGGCCACTCACACAAAAAACAAGCCCCCAAACACGTCAAAGAAGACTCTCACTTCACGTTCGTCAAAGCTTTGAGCAAGCAAGCCGGGGGTGACACCGGTGCCCTCAATGGCGGTATCTTCATCGTCAGGTCCAAGGGTTCAGGCGCCCTGTGCGTCGAGAAGCGCTTCACGAGAGAAGATGTCAAAGGACTGCACGCCAAACGCGAGGTCAATTATCTCCGCAAGCTTCGAGGCCATCCAAACATATCTCATCTCAAGGCCTACGAGCTAGACCCTGGTGAAGTCCCGCGCATGGTCATGACTTACTATGAGCTTGGAGCCCTCGACACTCTCATCGATCGCTACAAGCGAAAAGACCAGTTCCTGCCAGAAGGTTTCCTCTGGCGCGTGTTCCTCGATATTGCGAAGGCGCTCCGATTCTGTGTCTACGGGATCCGCCAGGAGGGCGACAAAGCTGATCCCGAATGGGACACGATTCTCCACCGTGATATCAAGCCTGGAAACATTTTCCTCACAAGCAGTGGCTCGCTCTACCCTAGAAGCGTGCTCGGTGACTTTGGCTGCGGCATTTCCGAGAGTGACATCACAACTGCTCTCGCGAGAGATGAGCGGGTGAGCCGTCAGGCCAGAGCCTTCGCCCCTCCTGAATCCCCCGATTACGATAGACGGAGCGATGTCTACCAGCTCGGACTGGTGATGCACTGCTTGTCTCGCCTTCTCAGGGTGCCGGATCATACGGTAAGGAGCGCTCCGATCAAGAGCATCCACGGCGAGCTGCTGGGTCAGGTGGTTGGGGCATGCTTGAGGCGAAACACGTCGGAGCGCGAATCTACGTTCTTCCTGCCAGGAGTGGTGGAAAAAAAAACCAAGGAATATCTTGAGAACCATGAGCCAAAGACACTCGCTACTTGGGCCTTCAACTAAGCTGAGTCGCTCCCTCACTCCCTCAGGTGATAGCTAGAGTTCGCTACTAAATGATCTGGTGTAGATTGTGGCAGCAACAACTTGTTCGCATTGAGCTCTCCTCTTTACTAACTAGATTTTTAACTACTGCATGCTTTCTAGTCAAACCTGTAGCTCACAGCATAACATAACATAATAAAGCCTTCTTTTCTTAGACCAACGTGACCCATTGATTATCTTGTAACCCTTAATTTATTTCGCGTTTGTTGCTAAATTGTCTCATACCATGAGTCTATGTCATTTAGGTCTATGAATCAAGACTGCTCATAGTAGAATACCGAGTAATGTCAATATATTCATATTACGTGTAAGCCAAAATCACTTTGGTGAAGCTAGGCTCCCCCATAAAGGCCGTCTAACCGTCTAATCAAAGCTGACTCCTAAGAGCACGCCCTTGTCCTCCCTTAGCCTCACTATTCCCCTGCCCATCCCCCTCCGCACCAGCTACACTTTGCCACCACGCCCGAAATACCTCAACCTGCCTCCTCTCCTCGTCGCACACTTCCGCCGGCGGTCCGCTACACTCCTCCCGCGCCTCGGTCTCCCCATGCTGCCCCTTCTTCATACCCCACAAAGGCTTTCCAAACCGCCACACACGCCACGCGCTATCCTCCGAGCTCAGTAGCTGCTCTTTACCCTTGTGCGACTTGACCGCAAAGTTGTGCAAGAGCACCACGTCGCCCACCTGTGCGGTTGGTATGGCGACGCGGTAAGGACGGAATATCTGGACCTGAATGGCATTCGGGTGGATAGAGGCGTCAGTGATGTGGAAAACAGTGCTGAAGTCTCTTGGACCTTTCTTCGCGCGTTCAGCCGGTGACGCGTCTCGCGTGACGATTGCGAGGACATCGAGAGAGGCATCCAGGGATTGCGAGGGGATGTTGAGGTATGTGCTGAGTTTAGAAAGAGGCGTGTAGTAGGAAAGACTGGTGCGGAAGCCTTGACTTGGAGCTTCCACGGCTTGGCGAGGCTGGATCTTCTCGGTTGCTGTGGGTACGAGGTGTGCAGTCTCTTGCTCCAACGCCACACTTCCACCACCGTCTTCTTCTTGACTGCTCGTTGACGTGGAAGGTGAAGATTGCCTTGCAGCTAGGCTAGAACGGGGAGCAAACCACTCGCTCAAGACCGCAGGAACAGGTATGCCGCCGACACTGACGCGCGATGGGACCTTGGCTTTTCTATTCCGAGGTTGGGAAGACTTGCCTCCCAAAGCTGTCAGAGAAGTCCGGAGTTGTACTGATTTACCATCTCTAGCATCCAAAGAAGTCCGGGGTCCCTTGCTAGGAGCTGAGTAGTTGGAACCATTTATCATCTCGTCCACCTGCAGGAATTCCGACTTGACTAGGGGGTTGTTCCATATAGTGTCGCGATTGTGTTTATTCTGTCTACGTGTATCAACAAGCCTCTGACTCGCAACGGAGTGCTCGGCGGTCATCTCATCCACCTGTCTGACTTCCGAGGTAGCTAGAGTGTCGTGTACAGTGTTACGACTGTGCCCAGGGGTACCCGCAGATTTCTGTCCATAAGCCGGAATAGGCTTCTTTTTTGTCGCCGAGGGCCGCGAAATGGAGTCCGAAGGCATTTCAGTTCGCTCTGGGGAAGCAGACGAGAACGCGGCAGATGTCTTTTGAGTCAGTTGCGGGGAGAGCGGCAATGTTTCGGGCAGAGTCTCTGAGATGTGAGTACCCAAAGTAGGTTGTGAATCTTGGAACCGCTGTTCGTTCGTGTTTTGCTGCAGTGTCTCATCGATGTGAGTGCCTAGAGAAAACGATTGCGAAGCCACTGGGTGTTGGCTTGCATCTGGAGTCATCGGAAGGTTGCTATTAGCCATAGAGTAGTTGTGCATAGTGACATCTTGTAGGTCTGCTTCAGGTTGAGTTGCAGGCGGACTGGACCTGTCGAGTGGAAGACGCGGATAACTGACTTGACCTGCAGCGGCTTCATTATCCCATGGGGCTTCTGGTGGTGAGGAGGCTATGACTGGGCTGGGTGAGCGTTGTGTCTCAATGCCACGGGATTCTTGCTGGGTGATTGAAGAATATGACGGACGACGCGGCATTTGAGTCTCATAGACTTCTTCACCTAGCGACAACATGTCTTGATGGCTTTGCTTTGGCTCCGAGACATGCGGATACTCAGGCTCGTCCAAATCATACCGATAATCATAGTTTTCCATGGTCACGGTCTGCGTGTCATCTGAGAAGGGGACAGTGGATATTGATGCCTCAGAATGCAAGTTCTCATCGAACGAATCTTTGATGACAGCCCCATCAGGGAATTTAGACGCCGAAGCTCTTTTCTTTGAATCTGTGTCTACGTCGTCCATTGGAAAATCTAGAGGCTCAAAGAGGCTTTCATCAACTTTGACGGACGATGAGCGGGATATCAAAGGCAAGGGAGAACGCTCTCTGTTGAGCGCAGCGTCAACTTTTGCTGTCTTAGTACTTTCTCTCTTGCTCTTGATCGGCGACGTAGCTCGACGCCTGGAACGCAAATTTCTTCGAGGTGGATCCAGTTTAGCAGGCGAGGCGTTCTTCTTGGATCTTGTATTCATGGCGGGCGCGCTTAGAGCCAGGTTAGGGTCTTCATCGTTTTGCTCTGAACTGGGTTTCGGTAGCCGCAGCTTAACAATCAAAGATTTTGGCGCACTAATGGAAAGTTCGGTCTGACTATCATTAACTTCGTCGCCAAGAGGTTGAGGAGCATTGTCAAGACCGTCGTACTCGCTCCTTGAGGCGTTTATGACCGTTGAGAGGGTAGCCTTCTGCTCATCTTCGTCGTCGTCTTCGTCACTTTCTTCGCCACCAAGATCCACGATTACAGTTGGCCTAGACGATGGCGGGGCTCTAACCTCAGCTAACCCGGGAGAAAATCTTTCCTTGTGCTCAGCTCCTACATACTGCGATGTCGGGGGCATCGTGGAGGAGTAACCGTCTGGTGTGTCATGTAAGGGATGGTAAGAAGCAGAAGTCTCCACTCCAGGTGCTACAGGTAGACCCTGTGTAGCATCAACCTCATCGTCCTCAGCTTGAGCTAGAATAGCAGGGGGGCTGGATTGTTGCGTGTCTTTGTCCAACCCTTTTGGTTGGCTCAGGAGCTCATAGAAGTTAGGGAGCTCTTCATCATCGCTATCACTTCCATTATCTGATGTCTTTGCCTGAGAATCTTCCATCATCACCACATCTCTTTGGACTTGTTCGTGATGACTGGATGGGCTGGGTGGGTATGGCTCCTCGTTGGCATGAGGAGAGCTAAGCGGGTGTCCATGATCTGCACTCTTTTGAACAGTATCTTCCCAGTTTGCTTTTTGGCCCTCATGAGCGTCAGACTGAGCCCAGTAATTATCATGTTCTTGAGGCAAGTCTTGTTGCATCTCCTGAATTTCTTCTCGTTGCTCGTCCTCCCTTTCCACAGACTTCGCCTCTTCTTCGTCGGACGAAATGTCGATGAATACGGAGAGCCTCTTCTGCTCTTGTTGATGATCTGGGGAAGCCTCTCGTGATGGACTGCTCTCGGGAATGGCCTGTTCAACTTCGACGAGCGGCGAGTGCTTTGCTTGGACCTGATCAGAGATAGCTACGCCCGCGGCCGTGTCGTGATCGTCGCCTTGAGGGCCCTCACGCCTTTCATCTGACTTGGGAACGCTGTTCTCGGGATCAGAATGATCAATAGCATCAATAGCATCGACGCCTATATCATTATCGTGTGTGTCGTCCAGACGACCTTCATCCCTTTCATCGGATTTGGAGACGCTATTCTGTTCTTCGGAGTGATCAATAACTTTGATGCCGACGTCGTTATCAGAGGGTTCATCCGGAAGATCATCTTCATTCCCATCGACATGAAGAAGCTGGTCTGCCTCCTCGTCCGGATTAATGCTTTTAATATCTATGTCATTGTCGCGGTTTTCGCTTGGAGTCTTCTCATCAGCCTCTTCAACCTGCGCGAGTGATTCTGCTACCTCGGTCGGATCAACGACTTCCAGACCTGCATCAATGCTGTGAGCGTCATCCATACGGTCCTCTCCAGGCTCGTCGGTCTGCGGGAGTCGGTCTGCCTCCTCGAAATTATCAACAGTATCTTCAACTGGATCAATGGCGTGGCTGACTTCTTCCTCCTTAGACAAAATAGTCGCAAGCTCCTCCGGTGGGACTTTCTCACGCGAGGAGGCCGAACCGTCAAACCCAAACGAAAACCGAAGGTCGCTATAATTAGAAGCATGTGTATTGTGTACTGCCAAATGATAGAAGTCGCTCGGGTCAGCTGCGTCCTGATCGGGGTCTGGGGTAGGCTCTTTGGGTTGATCTTCTGCAGTTGCCTCATCTTCAGCGGAAAAGCCTGCTTGCTGGTGATCAAGATAGGACGCAAAGCTTGCGTCACGTTCCCCTGGGAAAGGAGACGGCATCGGGAGAGTAGACGGTGTCAACGGCTTGAGTACCGGAGTCGTAGGTGCATCTCCGACAGGCGTCTGGAGTTGCGATGTGGTAGTGGACGCGAAGTTCGTGCGAAGAAACGGCAGATCTGGCGGAGGCATCATCACCTCTACACTCCTGTTAGGCTCAATTGGTTCTTCCCGGGTTCCCGAGCGGTCTCGACGCCTCGAAACCTGATCACGCTCCGGCTCTTCATGCTCGCTCACTTCTTCGTCTGAGTCTTCCTCGAGAACAATCGGTTCCTCTTGTGTTCCTGACCGCTCCCTGTTATGGATTTCCTGATGAGGCTGTTCTTCATCATCCGAAACAGCTTCGTCCGCAACGGCTTCGTCCGAACTGACTTCATCCGAACTGGCCTCGTCCGAACTAGCTTCCTCCGTAGAGCTCAAAACCACAATTTCTGGCGGTTCAGTAGGATAGTGGTCCTGCCGTTCTTCTTCCTCTTCAAAATAGTCCTCCTCGTCAACTTGATCGAGCATATTTTGCTCTTCGTCCGACTCGGAGGAGGCTACCTCAGTGTCGCTCCAGTAAGTCTCGCCTTCCACGGGAACCTCGTGCTGGTCATCATTATGAAAGTCCTCCAGTTCTTCGACTTCCAATTCAGCGGCTTGTAAGCCCTGTGAATCAACTTCCTGGACAAAATCGGCTTCATCCTCAGTGTTTGGCTCTGTGTCACCTTCATATACCACCTCTCGTTGAAACGTATGAGGCTCTGGCTGGTCATAGAGATCGTCGTTATCCAGTTCCTGGACGTTAAACCTGTCGTCAGTGGCAATGAAATCGTAATCGTCACCAAGGTCCTCCTGTGCGAACGTTGCACCACTTTCGAAGCTCTGGAAATGGTGTACAGTTTCTTCTGCGACGTCTTCATCATCGCTGAGATCCTCCCGTACCGACAATTCCTCACTTTCGTGAATATGGGATGATCGTGCTACTTTTTCTACCTCATCAAAAATCACGTCAGGGTGTGCAGCCTGCTGAGACTCGTATGAGACGTCTTCGATGGGTGATGGCTGTTCCAGAGGTAGGGTGACAACTGTTACAACATCTTTTCCTTTGGAGGGAGAAACCGGAGTATGCGGGAAACGCGAGGGCGTCACAGCTGCGGCTTCTTCAGCTGACTCGGAATCCTCTTCTTCCGCAGATGTAACTTCTTCCTTCTCGGGAGAGGGCGTCCTCGCAGAGTATGTCCACACGCCGCTCCAATCTCTGTATGACTTCCTCTTCCTTCTCTTTTGGCGGTGTCCTGTAATGCTCCCATCTTCAGCAGTATCCTGGGTGTTCAGCTCAGATCTAAATAGAGATCCTTCGGATATACGTGTGCGCTTAAGAAATGCAGGCGAGGACCACTGGTCTGGAGATATTCGAGAGCCAAGGTGCTGAGTGCTGACCCGCTCGATGGCAGGCGTGATCATGGAAGTAGCATGCCGTACTTCTACATCTTCGTCCTCGGGCGATGGTTCTGGGGACGGGTCCCGGTCGTCAAGATCGATGCTTGATAACTCTTTGCCCTCTCGGGTAATCTATCCCTCAGGATCAGCCATTGGCTCCTTCGTTGGAAGGCTTCATATCAACACACCTCAAGCACAACCCTCCGGCCATAACCCAGCTCCCAGTCTACGCTCTTCCCAGGCGTCTGGATGCCTCCATCATCTTCAATAAACCGAGCACCAAGTAGTCCCAGCGTGACTTCATCCCCAATCCCAATCCCGGACTGCGCAATAGTTGTCGCACTGGGTCCCGAGAAGCGCACTCTGACCTGCCCTTGCCGGTGGCGAAGACGGAAGTCAGGGTCCGCCAGAAGCAGTGCACATTGCTTTGTGGACGAAGAGTAGGGCCACAGAAGTGTGACTACGGCGTGAATGACCTTGGTCTCGGGGGAGGGAAGGGTGGGTGCCACCTCTGCTATAGCAATTCGCTCCATTGCTCGTCGTGCCGGTATTGTCCTCTGAGCAGCGGCAATTTCATACTCGGAGAGACCGACGAATGGAACCGTTTGTGCGTGCGTTTGCTGTGCGTCGAATTCACTGGGGTTGAAAGAAAGGTAGTCAACGCGGCGGGCAAGTGAGGTCGAAGCTCGGACCGCCGTCCACGCGAGTCAGCTGATCACGCATGATGGTCATGAATCTTATCGACACCATGACTGCAGCAGTGCTCGAGGTTCGTTCACTCATCACGAATAATTCTTTTAAGAATTGAAACTCCTGATGAACCATAGCGACGTTCCTCCAAGAACACATGGGGTGATGATATTTGTGTTTGCTTGGAGCTCAAAGGCGATGATATTGGCTTGTATGAGAGCGAATCTAAGTTTTATCTCTTTTCCCCGGCAACCTCGACCTCGACTTTAAACGGTTTTGATCCTTGAACACGGTCCGCGTACGGTAACAGCGCTTAATGTCCCCTTTTCAAGGCCGCTCAAACCTCCTTCTCTGGAACAACAGCAACGTTCCCCTCCTTTCCGGAATCGGTGTCGGTCGCAGTACTCTCCGCCACAAAGTCATGTTCAAGCTGCTTCGCGGCAGGCGTTTCATGCAGCCTAGCCGACATGAAGATAAGATCGATACCCTCAAGGGTGAGGCCGCGAGTCTCAGGACAGCAGAAGTAGACTGTTGAGTTTATTAGAAACCATGTACGAATGTAGGCATTCGCGACTTACCATATGGTGCAGCGATAGCATTGAAAACAAGGAACCAGATCCAAGTCTTCCATCCAACGTTAGGATCAGCGATTGCGATAGCTAGCACATTTGTCAGCAGAGGAACTCGAAAGTCGGCGGTGATAGGTAACTAACGTCCAGCATAGACCGTAACAAATGCCATCAACCATTGACTGGAGACACTGAGAGCGAAACCGACATGGCGGTAACGGAGTGGCATGATTTCAGAAGCATACACGTACTAGAAGCGGAGCGGATCAGTATACCTTGCAAGTGTTACGGGTCTAGAAGTGATCTTACTGTGACTGGACACCAGGTCGGTCCAAATATTGCAATCCAGCAGAAGAGCATCGCCGCTGCGGCTGCACCGGTCGCATGGCCAGGGCTAGATAGCAAACCAGTAAAAGCAGCAAGGAAGACTGTCTGTCCAATTGCGCCAAAAATGAGCCAAGTGCGTCTTTTGAACTTCTCCATATAGACTACGCCCACGAAGTTTGTGATAGCCAGAACCGACGTTGCTGCACCGGCCAGGCCGGAAGCAGTGAGAGGTGCCAGACCTATGTATACTTGGAATATGGTAGTCCTGCGAGCGACGTGTTAGATGGCTCTGTGCAAGTGATAAATGACATGGTATCTATACGTACGTGTAGTAGAAGATCATGTCAATGCCCATGAGATACGCCACACCTATGAGGATCATACCAGTGCGTATCCGTCGCGCGGCTTGGATGTCGGAGGTATCATAGAAGAAATCCTTGATACGGAGGCCTGCAGTCGTAGTGCGCTCGAGTTCTAGAGAAGCTAAAATGTCCTGCTTTGCGAGAGCAACCTCGGAATCACTGATGGACTTTTCGTAAAGACGTTCCAGGACAGCATCTCCATCAGCATCGCGGTCCCGTGCGTAGAGGTATCGTGGAGTGTCTTTCAGACGGGTCAGTATCTGAATGCAATGTGGTAATCGGTGTCTGCTCACCTGGGCTTCGTAGCAGGAATCCGATGGTCAACAATGCCCACACAATCTGGAACGCAACTGGGAATCTCCAGACGGCTTGAGTATTATGAGCGAACACCATCCCGAAGTCACTGGTCGCCTAGTCAGTCCTGAGATTTTCGCGGAGCAAACGACCAGGACATACACCCAGTAGGCAAAGGCAGTTCCCAGACTTGCGCAAGCTAGTATGGCGTTAACACCTTGACCACGCTTGCTAGTGATGATTGCCATTTCAGCGACAAAGATGGGCACCATTGAGGTACAGAAGCCATTGCCGATGCCCTGTATTCTGTTAGGTACAGTCCGACGACTTAAATGGATAACACACAATCAAGACTCGTCCAGCAATCAACTGGCCGTAGCTATAGCTACTAGCAGAGATGATAGTTCCAACTATCTGGACTGAGCTTCCCAAGATGATCCATGTCCTTCGGCCCAAGAAGAGGCCAGACAACGACACAATGATACATCCCAACCACGACGCCAAGAGAAACACTGAAGTTATCATGGATATCGTGGTGGTGTTTGGCATCTACAAGTAACCGTTAGCGTGTAGATCGTGTATGGCATTGCTAGTCACGTACTCCCATGGCCGTCTGGAACTCGGGGGTCAGTAGAATGCCCCCCAGAACACCTGCATCCCACCCGAAGGTGATGAATGATAGCCCTCCTGCAAGCAGGGCATTATTGTAAATCTTCTTCCCTTGAAGAACCATGTTGGCATGCGTGGGAGGAGTTTGGAACTGCAAAGAGCAAATGAAAGATACAGAATTAAACGGGCGGGAAGCACCTCTGGCTAGCTACACGCGAAGAGGCTCCGGAAGGGTGACCGTATACATAAGGCACATGCGTATCACAGATAGCTTGCTGATAATTCGAGACATGGGACGGCTCCGAGGCATGTAACCGAGCTGGATTGAGTCAGGATCTTCTCCAAGCCTTCTCAAAAGCTCAGGACAACTCCAACTGGCAATGGCGTCTTGAAGAACTGGTGCATGCAGGGTGGCGGTCGGCGAGCACGCAGTAGATCTTTCCGTAGACGAAAAAACGGGGCTGGAAGTTGACAAAATGAAAGCTCCGAACGGCTTATCTAGCCATGTTTGACGAATTGACGAATGAAAGACGGTGATGAGTGAGATAGTAGATCAGATCCACGGCACAGTGCATTATTCACGCTGCTTGGTGATACCAACTGGGCGTTGAGCAGGGCTCAGGAGACGGCTCGGGGGTCCGGGAAAGGCCCAAGAGCTGCACGGTGCATGGGAACCTCGCGCGGAGGCCGTTGTCGGGCTTCACGCTGCATGCTTCTGGGCCGTGTTTGGGTGTGAAGACGTTGCATACTTGGGTCTGGAGGAGATGAACAGGGCGCAAGGGATTCAAGGTTTGGATGCCTCATAGTGCCACACCACTCGGCTCGCGGGCCTGACAGGTGGGCCCGCCGTCTCTTAGTGCCTCATGCTGATCCACCCGTGGACGACAACAACCAGCAATGATTTGCTCCTCTGCTCAGTCCGATGCGTGAGGCCTGCACGTTGCTGAAACAGGCTGGGTGCCCGCCGAACTGGTCTGCCGAAGCTGTGCCTCAATCACCAAATGCCGCTGTGAACGGGGGTTGCGCACCTCCCCCAAACGAGGATTCCCGCACATCGCGGTGGAAAAGGTTTCGCGTCTCCATATCATGACTCTGCTTAACGCGGGACCCTTGGGCTACTACCCCACATCTGGTGTGAACACCCCCGCTCCTTGCCAGTTGACAGCATCATGGCCTATGTCTGGGACGGGAGTGGTGCACTGGGAGCTCCCTGATTTCACAGCGGGTCATTTCCCTCGCGGTGTAGTACAAACGGCAGCTATCTACGCAGAAGCTTGACTTCTTCCTTTCATCGCTTTCCTCTCTCAGCCTTCCTCAATTTCTACAGTAGCAACTATGGCTTCAGCCACCGAGGTGGACAGTCCCTCCATCCTCTCGAAGCTTACCTTCGGGAAATTCTTCCTTGCATTTTGTGCCTATCTTGCATTCAAAGCGCTGCATCAAATCGTCTACTATCGCTTCTTCCATCCATTGTCCAAGTTCCCCGGTCCATTCTGGGCCAGTGTGACGCGACTCTGGGTTGCGTACCACAACGTTAAGGAAGACGAGCGCCTGCTTGAATATGAATTGCACAAGAGATATGGTATACATTGCCCATCAGATGTGACCCTGTGTTGCATAGCTAACCTTTACGGCAAGGTCCTGTCATCCGCATAACGCCTACGCTGCTCTTATGTAGTGACGCGACGAAGCTTCCCGACATTTATAACCGACAAGCAACCAAGTCCAAGCACTACATTACGGGTAGCTTCGGGGAGACGGAAAGCTTGTTCAATATGCAGGACTGGAAGCAACACGCTCATTTCCGGAAGGTCGCCGCAGGACCATATGCCTTCTCAAATATCAAGAAGATGGAGCCTTTGGTGGACATGCGCATTGCTGACTGGATCAGCAAACTTACCAAGCTGTTCGCCAAATCACCAAAGAAGTTCGATTTTGCTCCATGGGCAGTATACATGTAATTGCTATTTCAAAGAACCAGTCTTTGCAACTCCGCTGACCAGGGCCCTAGGGCGTATGATATAATCTCAGAGATTGGTTTTGGAGCTCCATTCGGTTTTGTCGAGTCGGGATCTGATGTTGGAGGCCTCATTCAGGGTTTCCACGATGGCCTCGTGCCATTTGGAATAATGGCTCGTCTATATCCCTTCACGAATTGGGTGAAGAGCACTTGGGTGGGCGAAAAGTACCTCGTTGCGAAACCAGAACATGACTCCGGCATTGGCACGCTCATGCGCTTCCGCGACAAGCTCATTTTGCAGCGCCAGGAGGACATTGAAGCAGGCAAAGTTGGACGCATTGATCTATTACAGACTTTCCTCGATGCGAGAACCGAAGATGGCAACCCACTCGACATGGATTACATCAAAGCCGAGATCCTTCTGGTTCTTCTTGCCGGAGCAGATACTACCGGAACTGCATTCCAAGCAATGATGTGTTACATCATGTCCAACGAAAAGGTCTACGCCAAACTCATGGCAGAGCTAGACGCGGCAACTCGAGCAGGAAAGCTCTCCCCAACTCCTCAATACGACGAAGTGATCCAGCACTGCCCATACTACGTCGCTTGCGTAAAGGAAAGTACGAGACTGTGTCCCTCCGCGCCGAACATCTTCCCCAGGCTTGTCGGAAAGGGCGGTATGGAGCTTGAGGGCAAGTATGTACCTGAAGGTATGGAAGTTACATGTAACCCGTGGCTCGTCCACCGCGATGAAAATATATACGGCCCAGACGCCTCGGAGTTCCGACCAGAGCGATGGCTAGAGAGCGAGGAAAAGACTAAGGAGTACAACAAGTACAACATGGCTTTCGGATACGGCGCGAGAGTTTGCCTTGGGAAAGACATGTAAGCATTCACTGACCCTTTATCGCTTACCATATCTAACCTTCTCGTAGTGCACTTATGGAATTGTACAAGGCACCCTTGGTATTCTTCCGCAGCTTCAAACCTGAAATTGTCAACAAGGAACAACCGGGCACGTTCGTTGTCAAGGGCGGAGTAGGATTCTGGAAGGTGAGTTTCATATTCCAGTATCGCCTTGCGACTTCTTCTAACGTCTATCTAGGATATGTGGATTACCATTGAAAGACGCGCGCCGGTTGTTTAGGCTTCTTACATATTACTTCAAACCTCTTCCTCTATTTCAGCACATGTAATTAGCTAGCATATGTTCCCGAGTAGACTTTCAAGGAACTTCCATGCGAGATATTGCAACCATGCCTTCGAGTTTCCTGAGTCTCCTGCATCTGAACCCTCAGAATCCCTGGAGGATACGAGAAAAACTAGTGCCTCGTTTAGACAGTCTACCCGTCACCATGCAACTGCGGAAGTGACTTCTTCGCGTTCGGCCCTGTTGATCCTCTCACTCATCCTCACCGCCGAGTCATGCCCCATCCCGCGCAGAAAAACTAAATCCCTGAATTCCCCCACCCCAGCCCAATGCCAGCTGCCGTTGCCACTGCCGCTCCCGCCTCGTCTCGTCTCGTCTCGCCTCGCCCGAAATTCGCACCGCACGGGCCCCCATTCACCGCCATCGACGGCGCCGGTCGATCCCTGCCCCAAGTGGGGCCCCCTGGCCCGACCCGCCGCCTCGGGTTCGGGATGCAAGGGTTCTTTCCATGATTCATGGCCCGTTCGAAGACGCCACTCACACGGCAGTTGCAGCGCGAGCAGCGATCAGCGGCGCGCCGGTGTCGGGGGAGCAGCCCAAGCGAGGTGCGAGGCTGTTGGTGACGGCCTGCGTGGGTCCGACGTAACGGTGAACGGGCTGGCGTGGGTAGAAAAATGGAGAAGGGGAGGAAGGGGATACTATGTGCCTTGGTCTGAGTTTTGTGAACGGATGGGTTTCTTGCGGGAGGATTGGTGGGGGATGGGGGCCCGGGCTTGCGGCGGGAGAGTGGAGAGGGATGCGGCACAGCGGGATGCCGGAAGGAGGAGATCGTGTGGTCGATCTTTTGATAGGGTGCTCTGGGCTTGACTCGTGGAAATGGACTTCGATGATGCAGTATGGTGCGGACAGGCATATGCCAAGTTTGGGTTGTGTTTCGAAGATTGGGCGTGATTTCGGTGACATTTTCAAGTAACTGGATCGTGACCCAAGCTTGCATGGGGATAACCGATTAAAACGTTGTTCATGACGCAGTTGTTCTGTATTTGACAGTTGACAGATAACGAGCGCGCAGTCATAACCGGTCCTATTACTGGGATGTGATCATGATTCATTCTGGTTGAGGTTTTTGCTCAAAGCGTCGATCTAGCGCGCTGTTTGCCGCATTTGTAGACATATTTAGGAACCTTCAACTCCGACTTATATCCGTAGGAACAAAAAAAAGCTTCCGTTGCATCCTATCGTCCGTAGACGATCCATCATCAAGGCGTCCGGCGGCTAGCCCAGTTCATGTATCACCAGAGCGATCGAAATGCGCTGGTCCATCGCCAAACGGTCGACCCTAGAAACCTCTTCCAACTGGCTTTGAATTGTTTTCATGCGAATAGAAACTGCTCTCTTCCTCGTCGCTTCCTTCCACATGGGTCGTGATATGGGTTCTGGCAATGATACGACCATCCGGGACATTTAGCATTTCCTCGCTGTCGTTGCTCGCTCGGTCTTGCTCGATTTTGGTTGCTATACTGTTTTTCGCGTACGCTGGAAGTTCCGTGACGCTGTCCGCGATGTCGCCCTTGGCTGCGTCGCGATGGCTTAGTGGCCTCAATTTGACAGAGTTGTCGCCTACAGACGATGTGTTTTGTGTCGAGTTGGAGATTTTGTGGAATGGTCCAGACCCGGACTTTATACCTGTAGACCCATATTTTTGGTTGTTGTTGTGAGACGATCCGAGGAGTACGGGGGCATATCGTTTCGCAAGAGCCTTGAACGAAGGTATTGAAGCAGCAGCAATGCCCACGTTAGTTTCGATGACGCTCCAATACATTGCTCCAGATATTACGTAAGTGGCATCGGGGGAGACCCTGAGAGACGATTTGTTAGTTCACAAGGATTTTATAAATGTGAAAGATGTCAATCATAGACGTACAGCATTTGTGGAATGAAAGTGATACGGACAATGGAGGATATGCATGCACTTAACGACGGTTAGCACGCGCAACGAATCTTTAGACAGGTTATTGTGACTTACAAAAGGCCGAGGCAAAGCATGACGCCTAAAGCTATCCTTTGGTTGCGCGGGACCTGAAGCCGGATGACAAGTTTGACCGGAAGGGTGTAAGTTAACAAGTCCGTCGCAATGTTGAGAGCCGCGTTGGCTAGATAGAAGGCGTTGATATTGACACATTTCTTCTCTGTGATTGTGATATCCCACGCGGCAGAAACGGGATTGCACTGGAAGATGCAAGTCAAGACATTGGCAGTGGCCTGGCATCCCACGACTCCTGTCATTACAATCGCCGTGCGTCGCAGGTTGCGGTCGCCGAGTCGCATATACAGAGCGAGTACTGAAGTTTTGATGAACCCCAAACACGCGTTGTAGAATATGCTAGAAAACCACACGATCTAGAAATGTGAGCTACGTTCGAAGACTGGGTGGCTGGGAAGAACTCACCTGAGCATAGCTAATCATGTTCTGGGTTCCGCGAAGCATCACTGCTTCAACGTGACTTCCGAGACCATGATTTACGGCCATGATGGTCGCGGCTATAAAGGCCCATGATAGTACCTGCGCGGTATCTTAGGTTTGTCTTCTTCTCCACGTTCGTCACTCTTACTGATGCAATTGTGATGAGGACTGCGGTATTCTCGTTAGTCGACGCCTTCGGTTTGAAGTTGTCAGTGTTCGAATACTCACCATCGTCAGGTCCTATGGTTTTGATAACCCAAAACCGAGTGAACAGTCGTAGAAATATGATTACCGTGGTAATAGCGCCTGCGACTCGCGGTCAGAATTAGTAGCTTGTAGGGGAGTCCCCGGAAGGCGTGTATATCAAACAACGCACCGAACGCTATGCAGAGTGCAATGACTGTGTGTCCCACAGAGTCGTGACGAATCTCTTGAGCATCAGCCATGGCTTCAGTGGGCAATATGTGGTGGGGATGACCGCTGGAAGGATTGGAGAAGCTGCGGGGAAAAGATACAAAGACTGACTAGAGCTGGAGTAAGGGATGAAGCAAGTGGCTCTTGAACTGAAGTCACGAATAGTCACGCTCTAATAATGAAGTGAAGCTTATGATATCTGTGTGCTGGGCTGCTACCTCCCGCTATGCACGCTTCCGCAACGAGTGCATGACCCTGAATGCCCAGTTTATACCCCAGGACGCCGTCTATGCCTAGAAAAGAGGTGATCGGACAGTCCCTTGGCCGTTTACGCATTGCGGAACTGTCGGCAAGGCTTCAAGAACGGCCTGGCGTATGCTTAGAAAGGTTGGAACGTGCATGTCTACAGCCCAAGGGACGGCTGAGGTCGGGGATATTCGACGTGACATGTTTCACGTCACTCTGAAGCTGGCAAGAAACCGCGCTGCTCAACGTTCCCGCAGCTGGACAGTGCGAGTTCCTGGAGGCGAGAGGCGAGCTACGAACCGCCCCGCTGGTGAAGTGAAGCATCGGGCGCGCGACATGGTTCTCAAAGCAAAGGCAGTGGCTGCGGCGTGAAGCTGTGGGTCTCTCTTGGTAACGGAGATCCTGGTTGGAGTCGCAGAGTGGCGGGCCAACTGAGTGATGAGCATTTCGGGCGCTGGGAGATCTACAGTCTGTCTGACCGCGTCCCGCGTCGTCGAGTTGCGGGTAAACCTGCGCGGGGTGCCATGCCATCGGCGAGGGAGACCCAATGAACATGACGGTTGCTGTCTTAGTCCTGAATGCAGGTGTTGGTGGTTGTTGTCACGGGCGGCCCAAGAGGCTGCGCAGTCACCAGTCACAGTGACTGGGTGATGTTGTAGAGTAAGGGGGGAAGGGGTGGGGGTCGAGAGCCATCGGAGAAAATAAGCTCAGAAAAGGGCCGCGGTACCACTCCGTCGGGTCGGGTGCTCCTGCAGACCGTCACATCCTCCGTTCGTTCTCTGCCCTCAACTAAAGCGACAGTAGTTGGTTGGCGTCATGGAGGTCTTACATAGATAAGCCCACGTGAATGAGGATGGATGCTGCAAGCCATGTTCGTGCATCACACACCCAACTCCTGGAAACCAGGCCCCAACACGACGAATCCGTAATCCCTCCATTAGGAACACAGCCCGCAACTTGAATCCTTGGACACGAATCGGTTACTGCCGATACCTACTGTATTGGCCATCACAGCCTGCATGTCGGCCATTTCAGGAACGTCTGGCGGGGATATGGGCCTCGGTTCCCTTCTCTAGACACGGACTTTCCTTGAAAGACTGCAATCAATCCTCATAGGTGTCATGCACCATGTAAATGTGGATCATCTTATGTGTGGAGCAAAAGTCCATTTGGATGTGTAGTAGGTTTGCAGGGTACAGTAGGTATCTGCCGAAGAGAACCGCGTCAATAGCCGTTTGGTCGGTCAAGTCATGGTATCAGCTTCTAATGTCAAGGTTGCGCTATATCACAGTTACGAGGACTCTAATGCATTGAGCGAGAGCCTCGGAACTTGACGGCAGGGGTTGTCAACGTCGTGCTGTGATGAGCGGTTGAGAACTCTTCACTGTTCGCCGTACGTAAACGCATAACGTCAGCGCTCCCCACGAAAGCACAAAGAGGATACTCTATCTCTGGAAGGTAACGTAGTCGGCAAGCTAGTGGGCCATGCAAGCTAGTGGGCCACCCAATTTTTGGTGCGATTTAGACCTTTTAGCACCCCAGCAATCTCAACAACTACAAGATATAAAGTATAGCTTTAAGATTGCATATACTATCTAGCTCATTTTAATAGCTAAGAGAATGTTTGGAGCAGTATAGCAGCGTAATCCTATTATATTGTAGGTATTACTTGATTTTAGGGGCCAAAACTAGGCAACATTTTACTGCGGCTAAACAGGGCTATCAAGAGATCTAAAAAATTAACAGATGATATTAAAATAACCACGGATATCATTATCCTAAGTCACAACCTGGAATATTCTGTGATTGTTAAGATTGCTAGGGTGCTAAAAGGTCTAAATCGCACCAATAATTGGGTGGCCCACTAGCTTGCATGGCCCACTAGCTTGCCGACTACGTTAAGCAGTCTGTAATATTGAGTAATACATCATCATTCATGTAGTCTCCCATCCACTGGTTGTCTTTTGAAGGCCGGATCACGTGATATGTATCAACGAGCGAAGTCGTCATGTGTGACGACTCACACGCTCACTACTGTCTCTGAATTGTCTTCTTGAACTTTGAATTCATCATTTATAACTTGGTTCGCTCTTGGACTTATGCCAATTCGATTGTTTCGATTCCATTCTTATTTAGGAACAGTTCAGGGATCAGCCGATATCTTCACTTCACTGCCTGAACTGCTTGAACTGCCAGCTCGTTGTGCCACGCTCGCTCCTCAACATCTAGAAACACCTCAGCACTCGGATCTCATAAGCACGACTTTACTGCCCTTGACTGTTCGCGAGGATTGGAAGCCTCGGCATGGTCCTAGTCGCGCATCAAGAGGGGCCTTTTTTTGCACTTCCTCGAGAATTACGCGATGAAATCTACCGGCACCTTTTTTGCAGCCAACGCCAAATCGAGATCAAGTACCGAGTAACCGACGATCTAGGATGGGGAACTCCCCAGGCTGTGGGGACGCTACCAGTCGACTTTCTACGAACCTGCCATGAGGCCCTCTCTGAAGCGCTCGATTTCCTGTACGGCAAAAACGTCTTTAATCTTCAGTTGACCTCCAGCGAGAGTCTTCAATTTTTCTGCACTCTGTCATCCTACTCACTCACATGCATTGAGCATGTAATCCTTCAACTCGGCGCCGCCTCTTTTACCGTATGTAAATTCGTGAGCGACCGTATGTTCTTACGAACGCTCGCATCTCCAGACTGGGGTAATCCGTACTTCATGAGGAATCTTTATTCTTGCTTTTTGTCCGGACAAGTTATCGAGTTGCGGCTAAGAACCGATGACAAACTACGGTTGCGCCATGAACGGATAGAACACCAAGAGATCGGCACTATCATAGCCTCGACCGTTGAAGATGTGGTCAAGGCACACGTGCTAAAGACCGAAGGATTGGGGACCACGCTTCCTTTCAGCCATGTTTGGGAGTCCGACGAATGGGATTAGCTATTTCGATATTACACCATCCGTATTGAACAGCCTCTGAAATGGGAGACGAATACCGGCCGCAACGTCGTCTTTCGTCTTCATCCTGAGGCTGCGAATGAGAAAGTCTTAGAAGCAAAAAGGAAGATGTTGCGAATGGAGATGGGTTTGATGTCAGAAAGCAGAAGAATACGGTCGGGAGACGAGGTCTTACAAGATGCAAACGGAGGTATTGAATGCGGAACGGAGCTAGTTAGAATGGAGACGAACATTGAAGACACAAAGTCACTGGACCCCCTTTCGGAATGACAAGGCACTTTCCTCATACGACCCCCGGACTACTGTACATACCCACTCCAAGTCGAAGCCTAGCTTTTCTGTCAATCAACATCAGATTAGCTAGACTATAGTCCGGTTTAGGGATACATACTTGACTCCTTTCTAAGGGCAAAAGTACCTCTGATCTTAGAAGCCTTCTAAAAACGCCTTACACATAGGTTCTGAGTCGTTTCCGTGTAGTTACTACCGCCTGAATACTTCTAAGAAGGTCAAAAAACTCCACTGCAATGGGCAAATTTCGAGCTCGAGAGTTGGATGGACTGTATTTCTTAGCAACTATCCAGAAGCTTAGCGTGGCACAAGCCATGTTTTGTACGCGTTGTGCAACTGCAAAGAAGCGTCATCGATTCACGCACAAACTGTAGAGATCGTGCAGGGCGTGCTTTGCGTTGTGACGGGCCGTAGCTCTCTCAAATGTACTGCTTGAAGACCTCCGACAAGGTTGGGAAACTTCATATCGATGCAAAGAGTACGCGCTTGTGAAGCAGCGGCACTCTATAAATTGTTATAAAAAGGCTAAGCCATAGCTTCCCTTCGGAATGCCGCCTACCTATGCAGCCAACCCTTACCATTCGGCAAATACCCCCTACACTCCATGCTTTTCATCCCCTCCTTCTCCGCCATCCAGAATCCAATCACCTCTTTCTTCCGCAAGAACGCTTCCATCTCCTCTCTCCCCTTGAACCGCGCAAAGATTCTAGCACTCACCTCATCGTCCAGACACTCGTATACCTAGTACGTGTACACACCAGCCTCGGCTCCAGCAGCTTTCTCGGTCTTCTCCACTATCTCTGCGAGCGTGGTCAGAGCAGCCAAGACAGATGATCGCGCGGAAGATGATGTGCACACGATGCGCGTGTCTTGCATTATGCCGCACTCGCGGCTGTCCCCGAATAGGTCGAGGAAGCCACTGCGGGCAGCGTAGTGCGAGAGGTCGAGGCCTGTGGTAGATGCGGCGGGGATTAAAGAGAGAAACATTTGCATAGATGGGGAGTTGAGGTGCGTTTCGTAGAGATCCTTTGGTGTATCAGCGGAAGTAGTAGGCATAGTATAGAGCAAAGCATGAGGAGACGTACCTCTCGAGCTCCGTACACCTCGAAGGCAAACATACTCGTTGTTTTGTGAAAGTCGTGCGCGTAGTCGAGGGGGATTCCGAAGTAGTATGTCTTCGTGGTAGGTTCGCTGGACCAGACATACTTGGCGAGTTCATCATAGGCGGCTTGCCACTGTGATACGATGCTCGGTTAGCGTTCCGTTATCTTGAAAATGTGGTTTCTTGGAGAGTTAATATGATGCAGAAGCAGGAGCAGATTCGATAGAAGTGGGTGATATCGAAGCGTCAACAAGAGTATCTGAATGAAAAGACTTAGGGAAAGAACTAACATTATCATACTTATCAGGAACAAAATTACAGTTCGCAAAGAGGTAAAACATCTTTCCATGAGACTTATGTGTTGTGGAAATACGTCTTTCGAAGCGAACTAGCTACCAAGAGTATAGCGAGGCACGAGATATATTTAACAAGAAGCCTTAGTTCCTCTTACTCTGATATATTAGCTTCAATTGCTACAGGAGACCATTTCCAACGTTTTATACCTTACCCAAGGACCTTTCCCCTGCTACCGTCTTCCCAAATAGAACTGTCACGACACCTTCTATAATCCGGACAAACGTCCCCTTGCCCCCCCTCTTCGACTAAGAATCACCATTCACAGGACACTAAATCCGTCACGACACCTTAGAACTAGCACGACGCCTCGTGAAGAACCTGCAGATCGGAGCTAGGCTCCGGACACTGTTTCCCGGAGAACTAGGGATTGCGGAAGCGCATTGCGGAGGTGGCTTGCGTGCGCAACTGCCCCAGGATGAGGGGAATGTGGCTTGCCTGCTAGTGAACACTGAACAGCTGCTGCCGTCCAGAGTAGTGGTGTACTCTGTGCATCGTGTGAATGATATCGTAGGTGCTCCAAGGGGCTGTAGAGTTGCGGGATCAAGTAATCTTTTGCAGGGTCTTTCAACACATTATGGGGTCATCATATACAATATCTCTCACTTCTTTCCATCCCTGCTTACGACTGCTTTGCATGATCTAACATTAATACTCCACATGCACTCGAAGACCACCCCTGGTATCATATATCAAGTATGATTTAAAATAGTGAGCTACTATGGAATGGCATCTGGCAACTCAGAAAGTTCATGATGGTACATCTTAAACAACGGATCCCAGACCGTTACCGTTCTCTTGGTGATGTCACCGTTTGCGTAAGGGGGCTTTTCGTGGAAGAAATGCTTGTCTGCTGAGCACTCAACCGCTTTTCCGGTGATCTCGTTTGCAGCTTCATCAAGGAACAAGTGATAGGCGGATATTATGCAGGAGATTGGCGTCATACATTCAGGAGATACCGCATCTACCATTTCCTGTGGAATGATGTTCGTGTGGACGATACCGGGAAGTACAGCGTTTGTTGTAATATTCTCTTTCTAGACAAGGTCAGGATTCGGTCAGAATTCTGTCAGGGACGGCCAAAGTACGGGCTCCTTACGATCTTGAGCACTCGAGATGTTGCCCGGACAAAGTTCAATACCTAATCATCCATTAGCGATAATTCTTGAGATTAGCTCCATGACAAACTCACAGCGGCCTTTGCGCCATCGTACTCGGGATAAGTCTCATGAGGATATAGTGCAGCAGCGCTCACGGTCGTCACGATCTTACCACCTGGTACTTTGTTCTTCCTCATGAAGTGGATAGCGAGCTGTGTTCCGTAAACAACACCTAACATCCATGTGAGCGAAACGCTTCAATTATAGATGTCAGAGCTTACCTTTGTAGTCGACATCGGTACATAGCGTACTCGGCGCCGGCGGGATCCTTCGATATGTAAGTCCTATACATTCATTGGAAAAGGCTATATTCCATACTTGTCTGACCCCCGGTGGTTGAATATGTAGATTGAGCTTTTATCTACAATGCCGGCATTCGCGCACAGCGCATCGATCCTTCCATACTTGTCGAATACGGCCTGAAAAGTCTTTGCTTGACTATTGTAGTCGGCTACGTCTGTCTGGAAGAAATCGGCTCCCTCGCCAAGCTCTTTCGACAGTTCTGCGTTTGGCTGGATATCTGCCATGGCAACTTTCCAGCCTTTGCTCACGAGATCACGACTAAGACCTTGGCCCATGCCGGACTATTCGGGATGTAAAGTCAACTCTTTTGTCGAAGTGCCAGCTTCAATCGACAGATTACATACGCTTGCTCCGGTCACGATCGCGACTCTGCTCGAGGTACCCATTGTAGTATTTTTCTTTGGACTTGAAGATTGAATATTTGAAAGGCGAGCAAGAGAAGGACAACTAATTGATGGACCAAAAGGATAGGGACGAAACACTGGCCTGTTGGGTATCTACACCCGTGTATGAAGGATTAGGCTTGAGATGTTCTTCAAGTAAGGCCCATGACAATTCTGCGCATCATACCGCATATGAATACCTTGTCTGCCCCTCAGCATCAGCGTTGGATGCCATGACTTTAGATTGCAAGACATGGGCGCAAATCCCCAGCCCCGGGAACGTTATCCGGGTCGAATAACAAGAAGCGATTCATGCGGATGTCACGATTTCCGACTCTGCCTTGACGATCCCCACTAGTAGCACAAATGGAATGGGCTGAGAACGGAATGCTAACATGTTCATCCAATGAAGGTACCAGGAGATTTGTCGAGCAATGAACTGACTTCGCGCTTTGAATTCTAATCACTTTGGAGAGAGTGAGGCTTCGATCCTCTCCGCTGTCCTCCACATCATGCGCTAGTCTTCGCTTGAATATACGGGGTCACAGGGAAGATAATGCACCTGATTCGGGAACGAGTGCTAGTGGTGGTGAGTATTGTAACGATTTTATGTGCAGAATACAGACCTTCCAATGCGATAGCCCTGATTGAAGCTAACTTACCTTCTCATAGCCAAACTTCGTTCATGGTTGAGCATACCAATCTGCTCGGAAACCCTGTCGATTCCTCCAATATTTCTTCAAATTTGAATCATTTCTTCTGAGATCAAGTGCCATGATATTCCCTTGACGAGTCCCAGTTAAAACAGGTAGCTTTAGTGACTTCCCGCAGCCGACTCCCAGCTCGGCCCGGAACCAGTCATAGCTTCCTGAGCTTAATCTCTCCGCATTTGAACCCTTTCCCCAGGATAACTTCTCCCGAGCCTCTCTACGCTTCTCACCCGCGCAGAAATAACAGCGCGTCTGATGATCAGAGTCACACCGCCCGAAACTGCGGCCGACGATAGGCTTGAGGCTTGCCAAAATTTGCAATGGCTCAAAGGCATATAATGGCGCGCTTGCCCCCTTGCGAACGCGCGATTGAAGGCAGATTTGGGTTTGACAAGCTATCCGGAAGTTGAAGAGCTACTCTCACATCATGAACGACGAAAAAGCCGATGTCGAGCACCACTCTGCCGATGAGCGGCCGTCTGGAAGCGTCAAAGGCAAGGAGGATGCGGCGCAGACCTATCTCCCGCAAGATGATACCGAATACAATGTCACATTCAAGACTTGGTGCGTTGTGTTGGTAAGTGGAAGACGCATCAAGGCGCAAACGCGCTATGACACAGGCTTTTTGCTGACACCGGTAGATTTTGTCCTTCTCGTACGGCATTTCGTTCTGGATTGTTCCCTCCCTGAGCTCTATCCAGACACAGCAAGTAATCTCAAGCTTAATTCTGAACGGCGCTTTGCTGACTTTGATCAGAGTTGCTACTCAACTCGGCGACCCATCTGCAGCTGCATTCTATATTTCAATCTATACTATAAGTTCTGTAAGTCTGTGATACCACGGCACTGGGCTAATCCATACAGATGACCGTCACAATTGCCTTTATGTAGGTATTCTAAGCCTGTAGGACTCTAGCGGATACTGACTGGTGTCTAGGGTCTGTGGCGCTAATTCGGACCTCTTTGGTCGGCGCTGGTTCATCATTGGCGGAAATGTGATAATGTTCGTTGGGTTTATAGTCGGTAAGTAGCGCAACCGAAACGTCCTCGATGTTTTCCTGTTACTGATCAGACTGCAAGGTGGCTCGGCGAAAAACAACACAGCAGTCTTAGTCGCTTGTGCCTTGATCGGATTTGGTGGTGGAAATGCACAACTCGCTGCATTTGCCCTCCCTGAGCTGCTACCGAACAAATGGAGACATTCCGCTATTGTTATTGCGGATATTGGAGTTTACTTCGCCGTCATCGTTGGCCCTGTCGCTGGGAGATTTGCTGGACAGCACGGCGACGCTTGGAGATGGCTATTCTACGGTCCAGCTATTGCAGTTGGCTTCTCGTTCGTGGGCCTTTTTTTCTATTACTTCCCACCAGCTCATCCACGAGGTATTCCATTCCGCCAGGCGCTTCGCGAGCTCGATTACGGAGGAGCGATTCTTTTCATCATCTCTACGACCTTGACATTGACTGGAATTGTGTACACAACTACACTTCCATCATCCGATCCCAAGGTCATCGGCACTCTTGTCAGTGGACTCGGGCTGCTGGTTATGTTCGCACTGTACGAGACGTTCATACCGTTGAAACAGCCTCTTACGCCAACTCATGTCTTCACACGTGGCCATGGACGTGAGCTCACCGCTCCCTTTGTGGCTGGGTTTGTCGTTACCATGTTCTACTATGCAATCAACGTGATCTACCCCACGATGATTGCCGTATTCTTCACGAACGAAACGACTAGTTTCCGATATGCGATCGTTCTAACGTGAGTACGACTCTCCATTGGACCGAGGCTTTACTGACTCCTCGTCTAGACTTCCTCAGAATCTCGGATTGACCTTCGGTGCCGTCCTGCTCACTAGTTTTGGTACCAAGATTGGGCATTGGAAATGGACTCTCACTGCTTCAGTGACCACCATGGTGGTCTTCGGTGCGCTTCTCGGGCTCGGTACACCTGACAGGAAGGGCATGGTCAGCAGAACCCGAATTCTTGTCCTTAGACTGAAATCACTGACAAGATACAATAGATGATCGCGTTCGTCTTCCTAGCTGAGATGGGTTTTGGCTGGGCGCAGGTAAATATCGCTGTGGTGCTTGTATTCTTCAAAGCTAATCATGTCTTAGTACTTATCTATCGCTTTCATCCAATTCGGTGTCGATCAAGTTGAGTTGGGTATCTCTGGTGGTCTAGCGTAAGTTCTCTCTCCAGCTTGCAGGACTAAGCACTAAAGCATCTTGTAGCGGCGTTGCACGCTTTGCGGGCGGATCAGTAGCTATCAGCGTCTACACCACCATTCTTACCAATGTGCAATCTTCGCACGCAGCAAAGCTTGTACCTGCTGCAGCCATCGCTGCCGGCCTACCTGCGGCGTCTGCTTCCGCGCTCCTCGCCGCTATTCCTCTTGGCTCCGCCGCGATCGCGAAGGTGCCGGGCATCACCACCGAGATTGCTGTTGCAGCGGGAGCGGCGTTCCAGCAGAGCTATGCAGTAGGATTACGGACTACGGCCCTGAGCTCGCTGAGTTTTGGTATCATCGGGATAATTGGTGAGTTTCACCCATTTCTGGGCATAAGCGCGTAATATGTTCTAACAAACACGGCAGCCTGCATTTGTTGCAATGATATTGGGCACAAGATGACAAACAAGATTGAGATCTTCCTTGAAAACGACGAGAATGCGGAGAAGAATAAATTCCATTGATCGTTAGGAGGGTGTAGATACGCCCATATGCCGCCGTCTGAAGCGCCTCGATATATTTCCAGAAACACGGACAAGATGGAAAGTCCATTGCTTTGGATGATCTGGATACATGCCGGGGTACCTCGGACGGCTGTGGATAGGTCCACAGACTAGAACTGTGCCATAGACTTTTATCTCAAATCATGTCGTGACGAGTGTCTGAGCTGCTGATATGTCCCATAATGCTTACCATCAGATTGTGTACAAAATACATTTGGTAAAACGACGGTGAACAGCTAAGTATAAGGATGAAGACTAATGCTATCGATGGCAAGACTCACTCGGTATTGGACTTAGTGATTTCCGCGGAGCTGGAGGACTACGATGGTATGGGTGAGAGGCGCAGGATGGCCCTATCAACCGTATCGATGTCGAGAGGTCCAATCTAGCCAGCCACGGAACTGCACGCGGGATGCGGACGCGCTGATGCATTTGATTGATGCTCGATGAACGTCTGGACGACTGCATTTTCCCGAGAGGCTGGCTCAGCCGGAAGTCCCACAGGGTCGCGAGCCATTGTGGCAGGTCGTGGGGGAGGTGCTGGCGGCTCTGCAAGTCGTAATGACCAGCGAGCTGATATTCACAAGGACGCTCTGCACACGCCGACTTCTCGAAGCCAGCTGGACGCGGTGGTCCCGGGTCGCGGCGGCGCTGAATGGTGCAGCGAGGCAGATGAGGGACGGGAGCGATGTGAAGCTGGTCGAGTTGTTCACGATCACCCCCAACCAGCGGAGAGGTGCCGCGCCGGAAAGGGGTCAGGTGGTGAGAGAGCTGCCAGCCGTCAGACGAGGTGTGGAGTGTGGAGCACAGTGTGGGCCAAGCTGAGCAGGCGGCTTTCCAGGGAGTATTGGCTTGGCATCGAGCAGAACTCCAACGGCCGATGCCACAACCGCAGCATTCCAACCCGCCGGCAGCTCCAGGCCTCCCGTGCCGTGGTTCCTGCTGATTCACAGCGCCCGCCGTCTCACCTGGTGATACTGTGCAACGCCTGCGCAGAACACCATCCATCGCACAATCCATAGGGCTCCTTGGTCTCATTTGCGCCATCAGGCCACGCTGGAAAAGGGCATTATCGAAAGGAGGGGCAAAACGTGCAAGAGCGGCAGCTGCTATCGATTTGGGATAGATGCGGTGCTGCAGTGCTGACGCGCGGGATGCGACTCGTACCGATTGCGCAACAGGGCTGCAAAGGGGGGCAGACGGTCCAGAATGCAGACTGCTGAAGACAGCAACGGGCCGCTGGACGCGCGTGCTCAGGATTGCGGAGAAGAGATGCAGGGCACTTTAACGGTTCTGGCAGCGGTGCAGGAATCGCAGAAATGAAGGCGCTGCTAGAGCTCCCGTTTCCGGCGCAGAGCGAGTCGCGAGCAGGGGGTTTGTATTGCTTCGCAAGCCTATCGACGGCCGCACTGCTGTATCGCAGCCGGCGCGACGCCCCAACTGGTGATGGCGGCGCCCTGGCTGGGCCTTTGCAGCCAGACAGACTGCTGGTGCGAGGAGGCTTGCCAGGTCGAGCCGGTGGCTTGAAGTCGGCCCAAAGCTCTGCTTCTGGGGGCGTGTGCTCGCGCTCGATAGTGCTAGAAATGCCCTCAGCGCCAGCGGGTGCGAATAAAGAAAAGACGTCCCCCGGTCAAAGATCATCTCTGTTCAACACCGCATCCAACTTTCGTCACTCTCTTTTTGCTGTTCTTCAGGTCGTCTCTCCAGCTTCACCGTCCTTGGCCGTCGAGCACGATCGGCATCAAACATCCCGCACCACAGCATCGCCGGGCCGCTGGCGCTGCAAGGGGCTGCCTCGACCACATATCTGCCAATTGGGCCACACCACTCGCCAGCAACCATTGCACCGCACCGCTGGCCGCCGCTGGCAGCAGCCTGCGAGGCAGGGCGCGCTGAGATAGCAGGAGACGGTCATGTTCTGGTGCAGCGGTGGATGCCTGTCGGTGCAATGAAGCCCTCTCGGAACCGCGCTTCGTCGTCGTGCACAAGCACCCGCCGCCCTCGGCCGGAGAGACAACAGCTCGCATCTCGTGTTCCCAGGAAGTGGCGGGAAGAGAGAGCCGCATGGGCTGCAGGTCAAGACACACCCGTGTCGCACCATGACCAGGTCTGGCCATGCGTGGAGAGTCAGCCTTCGAAACAACGAGCTCCACCCGGGAGCGAGCCGAGTATCTATATCAGCTGCAGACGGCCCGTGTCGACGCAATCCTTCAGACCCAGCGCGCTGCTCTTCCTGGTCGTGCTGGTAACGTTGGCCCTGCTCTGTGGACCCGTCATCGCGAGCGACACACATGGTGATCGACATCGATCCGCGCTCGACGCCAGTGTCGACTTGCCCTCCAGCTTTGACGGCCTTCTTTTTCTCGACCGCAGTGAGCCGCCTCCACGCATGCATCTGCTCGCGCGGGACCATGTCCACACGACCTCCACCGCAGACTCGCAATCACCCACCGCAACGAAGAAGTCTGCCTCCTCCGCGAGCTCCCTGACGACGGACCCCGAAGCCACCACGACCCTCACCTCGATGCCGCAACCATTTGACGCCGTGCTGAGCAACAACTTTACCTCGTCTTGCCAGAACTTCTTCCAGACCTTCCTCTCGAACTCCACCTTCACCGACTGCCATCCGTTCTCGCTCCTCCTCCAGGTATGCTTCGTGAGCTGAAACGTATGTCGCAAGCGCTGACAACTGCAGACCTCAAGCGGCTTCTTCGATGCCTCCAAATCCTTTGTCCGCATCACGCAGACCCTAGACGCGACATGCAAGGTCGACTTCCACCAGTGTGCGGCGGTGATGAATGAATTTGGGCGCGCCATCAAGAACGAGAGCAATTGCGCGGTAGACTACGCGCAGGACAGCCCGCTAGTGCTACAGGCATACAACGGTTTCCTCGCGTACCAACCACTCTACCAGGCCGGGTGCTTGAGGGATGCTCGTGGCAATTACTGTAAGGCGACTACTGTTCTTGCGTATGGCCTTGACTAATAACTTCCAGGCTTCGCCAATGCCATCACCAACACCACTGCCGTAGTGGACTCCTATCCGTACTATCTCCCTCTCGGCGTCTCGCTCCCAGCCACATCTCGACCGACATGCAGCACATGTCTCCAGGACACCATGGCCATCTTCTCATCGTTTGCCGGCAACACGACGCAGCCCATCAGTCAAACGTATGGCGACGCCGCTCAGCAGATCGACGTCGGATGCGGGCCAACGTTCGTCAACCAAACCGCAGCACCACTAAAGGGTGGTGCAGGCGGCATCGGAGCCGGCCTGACACCAATGTTCGCGCTTTGGATGATGCTTATCGCATATCTGCTATGAGACAGGAATGCCACGACGCATTTGCCTAAACGGTCGCCGCAAAGCGGTCACCAGACACGCTCTCTGCTTTACACTGTACATTTGATTTTAAGCACCTGATCCAGGATACATCAGCGACGGCGCAAAGGGGTTACAGTGGACGGATTGAATTTGGAGTCCGGGAGGCCCAAACGGGGGCGCCTCCTGGCCGGCGTTGGGAAAAGCTTCAACGTGTGGATGATATGAACGGGCACTCCAGCTGCCGATTCCATGCCACGGACACTTTCGATTTTCTCTTTTTGATTTATTAGAGCTAGGATGATACCACATTACTTTCCCGGTGGTTGCACCTATGGGCGCAGCTGTCAATAATAAATATAATTAATATCGCAACACTACGAGCCACCCATCCATGAATACAGGGACAATCGAAAAAGACAAGGGCGCTGGTACCGAGCCCGGCAAGAATAGCCGCATTTCCTCCTTAGTGACCCATTCGGGTGGGATGAAACAGACAGGAGTCACGTGCAGGTGTATCACGAGCAGGATTTCCTCAGATGGGCCCCCTTGCATCAGACGAAACCTTGGCACGTTCAGCAACACCGCTTGGCTGCTCTCCCGAAACCTTTCAGCGCTCACCACGTCCGCCATGCCTCCTGAGGCGCCTGGTTTGCAGCCGTGCTGCCCATCATCATCACGACGCCGCCGCACATCGATCAGTTGCGCCCACGATCTGGGTGCGGGAGCGACGGCGGAGCGGAGATTGCTGGGGCGCGGCGGGCTTTGTCTGACAGCTAACGGGGCGGTGTGCGTGGCTTTGTAGGACGTTCCTGGCGATTCGCAGGGATGCTCGACAGCAACGGCCGCCATCATGGGTGTGCGACAACGAGCTTGGCCGTCGGAGAGGTCAAACACCAGCCGTCTCATTGGCTCCATGCAGCCGTGCATCGCATCTCAGCCCTATCCCCAGGGGCATCCCACTTTATCCCACACGCCCGCCTCTTCCGTCTGATGGAAATACCACACTGGCCGCGTGCACCGAGTGATATGTTCCTTCCTTAAGTTCCTCCTGTCTGCCTCGTTGTGACCTTTCTGGCAACCTCTTGCGACTACATATCTCCAACGCGCCACCTGCTATCATGACCGCGGTGATGACCATGGGTGGTGGACTGGCACCCGCTTCCCGACACGACATAATCAGTACTCTGTTGAACGACTACGGCAGCTCCTGGGAAAACGGGGGGTCTTCGCCGTATGCAGTCTCTCCCGTGCGCGACCTGCCACCGCTGCCGTCCATCAAAGACCTTCCGCCGCCTCCCCCTAAAGACGACAAGCCGCTGCCTTATTTCATGCGTTTCCAGCTCCGAGGTGAATAGCCAATTTCGTAGTCTCAAGTCTGTCTTATGTTCGCTTGTGTATGCGTGGGTCCGTCCGTGCTCTTACGATTGAAAAAGATCGAATTCAAGAGCTAGGCTGAGGCTGTGCGCGGCGGATGCTCAGCTTCGCCCGAAACATGGGTTCTGAGCACTTCTAGCAGCTCAAGACAACGTCTTATCACTGTTCGGTCAAGAGCGCCTGCTGACACGTGCCAGTGGACGAGGCAAGCACGAAGCCGCCGACGCAGCAGGAACCCACAATCATCCACTCTAAATCTATCAGTCGCGGCAGAAAGCCCAACAACCTCAAGCTCGCCATAAGCAACGGTGCCACTGCCGTCCTACCATCCACACAGCTTACCAACGCGTCATCTACTACTGCTGCACATACACCGCAACTCTCGGACCGCCCGCTGCCAGGATTACCCGATCTGCCACCGCCTCCACCTAGAAAGTCATCCCTGCGGCCTCAGATGGGCAACAAGGACTCCAAGGTTGCAAATGATAAGGAAGAGAAAGCGACGTCGCCCAAGGGCAGCGTCTTCAAGCGACGTCCAGTACCCGCTCCCAAGGTGCCTGGAGTGAAGAAGTATCCCACACTTGGTGATACTCTCTCCAGAACGGGCTTGAAGCACAAAAAGTTGGTCGACCGAGGAAGTCTAGTCGACCAGCAAAGCACAGCCGACCAGCGAAGCATTGCAGCCTCCACGTCACCCAGTACAATTCCATCACACGCGCAAACTCGGTCGAATGCCACCGACTATTCCTCAACGACGCCGACCAATGTTACCTCGCTAGCTGGTACGTCTCGAGCTGGCACTTCTACAGCCACAGGCAGAACGGGCAGCACCTCCATCGACACGAACGGGCCTCCAACCCCAGAACCAAGGACTTCTCTCGTTCCATCGCTTCCATCGCCCAGTCCTGTACCAGAAGAGTCTCCCTCCAAATATGGCCTTCGGGATCGATCACCAAGCCCGAAAGCCGGACCGCCCCCCGTATCCAAGCACTACCGGGGGAAAAGCAGCACGGGTTTCGACATCTTCAAAGTACGTGAAACCCCGCACCGTAGATTTCGTACCTGCAATCTATTCTCGTTCTTCTCGCTGGCCGCCCCGAGATTCAGCTATGCAGGCAAGCACGCTGACGAGTCAACTTCCAGGCTTCTTCCGGACTCCAGAACGCGCGAGCGTACCTGAATACCATCACACCGTCGCCTACGCCCTCTCCCATCGTAACGCCCATCGCAAGTGTAATGAACACCACGACACAGTCCCAGGAGACGAGTGAGGATGAGCCGCTCTATTCGCCCCGCTCGCCGAAAATACAGGAACTACGGAGGAAGCGCTCATCGATTCTTTTATCCCTGAACGAAAACCGGCCTGCTACCTGCAACGCCCCGTATCTCACCGTTACACACACCGACTGCTACCACAACCACGCCCACTTCCACCCTGGAAAGAACACAGCCTGCCCCGTAGCATGCATGCTCTGCTACAAAGACGAGCCAAGTGAACGGTGGACCTGCACATGGTGCGCCCTTCGGATCTGTTCAGGCTGCCGCGCAAACCTCGAAAGAGTGCCTAGCCGCAATATCTGCGCTTTGAAAAACTCGAATTTCAGCACCAAAGATTCGCGAACGCGCTCCCGTGTGAGTAGTGGGCCAGGCGTCGTGCTATGGGAATCGAAGATGGAGAAGGTTAGAAAGTGATCGGGGTAGAGATCAAGTATTCGGCAGCTTAGTATCAAGATGGAAGATGACGAGATGGAGAGATTTTGGACCGACACCAGCTTCAGCTCAACTCAATCCAGTTCACCACCGACATTTTCAATTCGTCTAGCTCTGCGAGCTCCCTTTTGGATGGATTCAGCCTTTCTTCCTTTATCTGTCAGACGTACGCACATACCCCCGCATTGGCATACTGCATTCGCATCGAATCGGCGTTTTCCCTTCTCACCCACCCTTCAATGAAAGAGCTTTGAAGCCATCCTCAGACCAGCAACGAGTCGAGCAAGACTCCTTCCCTGTGCAGTCGATTTCCTTTTTACGGTTAATGTCTTTCCGTATCGTATGTACACGCTGGAGTTACGGCCGGTCGATATTGGATTGTCTGGGTTGGAATGGCATTGCTATGCCAAAGAGCTTAAAGCGTCTATCCGACACTTTTGTATCTAACAAACATGTTTCCTTAGAGCCTTGACTTGGAGTATTTCCTAGTCGAAGTATTTAGATAGATAGAAATGGAAGTCGGGAGGATGGACACTTTTGAGACTTTATTCTAGCATCTTCATTACCCTTCAGCTCGATGGATGATCCTTTATTTCTGTGATTTAACATGCAGTATAGCAGAGAATCATGGATGGGTGGAAGATCATCGTGGTAGATTCTGGGACCTGGCCACCCCAAGGCAATCACCAAGGCAGTCGTGTATCCTAAAGTAGCCTATGTATGAGGCGCGATATATGTAGATCTTAGAGTTCAATAATCTCCTAAACACAATCCTCCACACTGAGTTGTCGTGAGGTGCCTGTAGTCAATGTACGTAGTCCTGTTTAATTGTAGATTTCCAACACCATGTGCTCCCACATAGAAAGCGGGGCTGCAGGTGCGAGGATGTATAATGACTATGGGGATGGCGGAGATTTCCATGCTGAGGTGAGTGATCCCGAACGTCCTTTGTCCGTGCGCCCGGAGAAACCATTTGCCGATACCTTGGCGCGTTCTTTTTCAAGGTCTCGAGAAGCGGTTGCGGGATTCTTTCGTTGCGCTCGGCCACCCCACAACCACCCAACAACTCCACTACTCCTAGAAATCCCTTCACAAGCAGCTCTCCTGCTAGAGCCAATTCCCAATCACTTGACATGTCCGACTACGGCGGTGATGACGGCGGAGGAGACGTTGGTGACTACGAGTACGTCGAAGCCTCCACCTTGAGTGCACCTGGATAGTCCAGAGACCCAAATTCAATGCGCGCATGGGCGTCTTTCACTCTCCACTACGTACTGACACGTATATTTCCGCATAGGGAAGCTCTCGATGTCTATGAAGACGACAACATCGAACCTGATATATACGAAGAAGAGGACGGGGAGAAGGAGGACGTAGGCGGCGGTGAGGACCCTGGTGGAATAGAGCACAACGAGAAGAACATCGTGGCGATCGGCGACCCGGCTGCCGTCGTAGCAGCAAAGGAGCAGAAGAACACGGTCAAGAATCTGAGGGAGAAGCGGGTGCCGAACGAGAAGCGCACGACTACACCATACATGACCAAATACGAGCGCGCTCGAGTGCTGGGGACGCGCGCGTTGCAGATCAGGTACGCCCCTCAATTTTGAGAAACGAAGCTTGGGAGGCTGCTTTTTGGGCCTGTCGCTGATATGGAGATATAGCGGAAACGCGCCGGTTCTTATCGATGTGGAAGGAATGACGGATCCGCTTCAAATTGCTATCAAAGAGCTTCGCGAGAAGAAGATCCCCTTGGTGGTGCGGAGGTATCTCCCGGATGGCTGGTAAGTGGAATAACATGTTGTGTCGTTTAGACTACCTCTAACATGTGATTTAGGTATGAGGACTGGACATGCGAGGAGCTGCTATGATACGTCGAAATTAGTTGCATCTAAGGAGTTTTGGGGGTTGACAAAATAGGATCAGGCGACGACCCTGGAGGCGTTTTGAAGCGGAGTACCAGATTTCTGACTGGTGCATTCTGTACAACTGATATCAAACTTAGCGAATACTCACTCGTCTATGTCAGAGCGAAAGATTTCCCCTTGCAGACTCGACGTCGGGAATTGTTGCTCCTTTTAGTGAACATAGTAGGAAGTGGGGTAGGCAAAAGATGCCCCGCATATGGAGACGTCAGTCGACACAACAGCTCCGTCACAACCTCGAGTTTCTCTTAACTGCTCAATTGAACTCAACACAACCTCTCACAACTCTCCTACTATCCCCACGTTCAATATGCCGTTCACAACTACAGCTACCATCGCCTCGTTCGGCGGCAAGCTGCTAAAACTGACACACAAGGCCACCAGCACGAACTGCGACATGGCTCTCAACCTCTACTTGCCTCCTCAAGCGGCGAAGTCTGGCGCAAAAGTTCCAGTACTGTTCTATTTATCTGGTCTAACCTGCACTGGAGACAACTGCGCAGAAAAAGGGTTCTTCCAGCACGGAGCGAGCGAGAAGGGTGTTGCGGTTGTCTACCCAGATACTAGCCCAAGTACGCCTACCTGATGCACTTCAATGAAACAAGCTAACGCCGTTGTAGGAGGGTTGAGGATCGAAGGCGAAGACGAGGGATGGGACTTCGGAACCGGCGCCGGCTTCTACGTGGACGCAACTAAAGACCCCTGGAGCAAAGGCTACAAGATGTACAGCTACATCACTGAGGAGCTCCCAAAGGCGCTATTCTCCTCCTTCGACCAGTTGGACTCCAGCAGAGTCAGCATCACAGGACACAGTATGGGCGGGCACGGCGCTTTGACGTTGGTCAGTGTTCCTGGATGCGAACAGAACCCAGTGGCTGACAGCAGCCCATCTAGTTCCTGAAGAACCCAGGCATGTACAAGTCTGTATCGGCATTCGCTCCCATCGCCAACCCAATCAACTGTCCATGGGGCCAGAAAGCGTTCAAAGGATACTTCGGCGAGGACCAGCAGGCGAAGTGGGCGGAGCACGATGCGACGGAGCTGGTGAAGAAGTGGAAGGGGCCCCTGAATCTGCTCATCGACGTGGTGCGTCCTCAACAAACTTTCTCCAGATCTCGGATTCCAGACTGGCAGCTAACGGCCTTTAGGGCACTGGCGACAACTTCTACAAGCAAAAGCAACTGCTGCCGGAGAACTTCATCGAGGCGGCGAAAGAGGCGGGTAATGATAGTGGAATCACGCTGCGGATGCAGCCGGATTACGACCACAGCTACTTTTTCATGGCCTCGTTTGCAGACGATCATGTTGCGCATGCTGCGAAGTATTTGTTTGCCTAGTAAGTTGGTCGCCCGGCAGCTGTGTTGTGGCGACTGACAGGTGCAGAAGCGGTTCCACTGGCAAGGAAAAGTTATAGATTGGGAAAGGGGAAGGATGTGTATATAGGATAATGGAATCAAGGCTTTCAAGTGGTACGCTATTTCGCAGCCTCAGCATTGGTACAACGTGTATTGAAAGGGATGCTGCTTTTCTACTGTAAAGTTCTGATTCTGCGCGGAGTCATACATGGGTGGTGGCTTAAGAGAGAGTTGATCGGCACATGCTCTCGATACTTCGTAGCAGAACATATTCTTTCGCCTTGGCCTCTCAACAGGCAGGAATCCAAACTGTCTACCGCTAGGCGTCACGACAGGAGAGGAATACCTATCACAAGGCATCATGGTGTGACGAAGTCGGGCAAAAGCCGCCAGCGAAGCCTTTAAGACACGCGAGATGGTCCGGTTCGACATCCCACCAAGCCGAACCTCACCCTGACCGTCAACTCGACAACAAAGACTGCACTGTTTCCAAACCTAGCCCACGAAAACGGTGTGTGTAAGTGAAACCGACACGTGAGCCGTACGCACATCTGACTAACCGCGCCTCGTGCAGGTGAATTGCCGCCTGCTCGACTTGCTCCGCCAGAATTACGATGCTGGACCTCCGTCCAATGACCCGGTAGCAAATAAAATACCCCAGCCTCAACCACAACTAGCTCGCCTTCCGTGTGCGTGTCTTTCGTGAGGACCGTAACGCAGCTCTCTAAGCGACCTCTCCGCAAACTTCGTCCTCGTCGTGGTCGTGTACCATGGACGCTCAGGTATGCTCTCAGACGCCTCTCGTGTTACCCTTCTGAATCCCCCTCACCTGTAACGCCAGCCCGCTGACTTGGTTGCTCTTACAGCAGGTCGAAAATGCCATCGAGATCGCCTGGAACCCCTCTCCCGACCCAAACATCCAGAGCCTCCGCGCCCAAGCCCTCGAATTCCTCAATCAGCTGCGGGCCGACCCCACCGCCTGGCAGGTCTGCCTGGTCCTGTTCACCCGCGACCCTCGTCCTCTTGAAGTGGTGCGTCACTTCTCTCTGGAGGTGGTCAACAATGCTGTCCAGGAGCACCGGCTGGATGCCGAGAGTCTGGGCTACATCAAGGAAAATCTCATGGGCTATATACGGCAGATGTACACCCCCGGCTCTCGACAGGACACCGTCGACACGGCACATATCCAGAACAAGCTCACGCAGACCATGACATACCTCTTCGCTTCATTATATCCGTCTAGCTGGCAGACTTTCTTCGACGATTTCCGGGCACTCGCTGGGGACACCACGGCTATTGGCAGTGTCAATGTTGCCGGAACTATATTATATTTGCGGATGCTCAGTCAAGTGAATGATGAGATTGCAGATGTTCTCGTCTCGAGATCCTCGGAAGAGCAGAGACGCAACACTGACCTCAAGGATCTGGTCCGGGCAAGGGATGCCCAGAAAATCGCCGTCTCGTGGCAAGAGATTCTCGCCAAGTGGAGGCAAATTGACCTGATGATGGTGGAGATGTGCCTAAGAACCGTCAGCCGATGGGTCAGCTGGACTGAAATTTCTCTCATCGTCAACGAGGCCATGATCACCAACTTCCTCGAAATGGCTGGACAACAGGGCATTTCTTCTCCTGAGAGTCCGGAGGGAAAGGTCCGAGACGCAGCAATCGATACTTTCACGGAGATTGTGGGCAAGAAAATGAAACCTGCCGACAAGATCGAGTTGATACTATTCCTGAATCTCGGGAATGTGGTTGGGCAATTAATCAGTAGTCCAGCTCTGTCCGAACTTAGATCTACCTCGGATTACGACACTGACCTTGCAGAGACAGTGGCAAAGCTTGTCAACATGACGGTCTTCGACATTGTGAAAGTGCTGGACAACGACTCTGTAGACGACCGATCAAGACAGATCGCAGATGAGCTGTGTCAACTCTTTATTCCCCATCTGCTTCGGTTCTTCTCTGACGAATACGACGAAATCTGTTCGACAGTCATCCCGTCCTTGACTGACCTTCTTACTTTTTTCCGGAAGCTGAAGAGGGCTAAAGGAGAGCTACCCCCTCATTATTATGCCTTGATAGGCCCAATTCTGGATGCCATTATATCCAAAATGAAATACGACGAGACTGCCTCCTGGGGAGAGGAAGATGAGCAGACTGACGAAGCAGAATTTCAGGAGCTCCGCAAACGACTCCATGTCCTCCAGCAGACGGTTGCCGCAACAGAAGAGCCTTTGTATATTGATACCTTAAGCCGTGTGGTGGGAAACACTTTCAGTAAACTCGGCTCCAACGATCCCTCGCTGAACTGGCGAGACCTGGATCTTGCATTGCACGAAATGTTCCTTTTCGGTGAACTAGCCGTAAAAAACCAGGGCCTCTATCAAAAGCGAGAGCCCTCTAGTGTTGCATCTAATAGACTGATAGAAATGATGTCCAGCATGGTCGAGTCTGGTGTGTATCCTCCGCTTTCCCAGACATTTGAGCGTGACCTGACGAGTTCTAGAAATCGCTACATATCCACATCCCTCAATCCAGCTTCAGTACATGGAAATTTGCGTCCGCTATTACCAGTTCTTCGAGCAAAACTCGGCCTCAGTCCCGCGAGCTCTAGAGAACTTTGTCCGCCTAACCCACCACGACCACATCAAGGTTCGGACGCGATCCTGGTACCTCTTCCTCCGATTTGTGCGACCTCTTCGATCACAAGTCGGCGGCGTCTCTCAGACCATCATTCAAGCCATTGGCGACCTACTTACCATCAAAGCTGAGCTCCCAGATGATTCGGGTGATGACGATATGTCATCGGATGAGGATGATCAGTCTGCTGACGCGGTATTCACAGCCCAGCTCTACCTTTTCGAAGCTATCGGGGTTATTGCGTCCACCGCTTCTGTACCCGCGGAGAATAAAATCCTCTATGCCCGATCGGTCATGGGACCTTTATTCGCAGACATGGAACAGACTTTAGGGCCAGCCAAGAATGGCGACGAAAGAGCTGTGCTTCAAATTCATCATATTATCATGGCTCTAGGTACTCTGTCGAAAGGATTCTCAGAATGGGTATCCGCTTCCCCAGGGGCCCTTCCGCCAGTAGAGTTCTCTGACGAGTTTGTCAAGGCATCAGAAGCTATTCTGGTGGCATTGGAATCTCTGAACTCTTCAATGAATATCAGGACTGCAGCCCGATCTGCCTTCTCTCGTATGATTGCCGTTTTGGGCTCTCGCCTGCTGCAGCAGCTACCTCGTTGGATCGACGGGCTGTTGTCCCTCAGCTCTACCAAAGACGAAATGTCATCTTTCCTGCGGGTCCTTGGCCAAGTTACTTTCACCTTCAAGTCCGAGATATTCGGAATTCTAGATACTCTACTTACACCACTCCTTCAACGCATCTTCGCAAGCCTGGCCGAGCCGACAGCAGGCACTGATGACGTAATTCAGCTTGGAGAGCTGCGTCGCGAATACCTCAACTTCCTTCTCATCCTGCTGAACCAGGACCTCGGATCCGTCCTAGTCAGCAACAGTAAGCAGCCTCAAGATTCCCATTCGCCCTTATGGTCCTTCTAACTATGACATCTAGCCAACCAAGCAACCTTCGACACCATCATCGGAACCCTCGAGCACTTCGCGCGCGACACAAGCGACTACCCTAATGGCCGCCTCTCTATCTCCGTCCTCATTCGTATGACAGCCGTTTGGGGCGGGCCGGACAAGATCGCCGAAGCGGGCAACCCCGCTGCCACAACTGCCGACCCTACCTCTCCCATCTCAACCGCATCGCCGCTCCCAGGCTTTGACACCTTTGCCGTCTCCCGCTTCTCGCCCCTCGCATGGAGCATCCCCGCGAGCTCAGGCTTCAGCGCCAAGGACCCACAGGCGCGCCAGGTCCTGCTCGAGGTCGCCGGGCTGCAAGTCGAGATCTACAAGAAAGTCGGCGTTGGCTATCTCGAGCGTCTCCGCGAAGAACTCGGTGGCATGGGCGTCCCAGCGCAGGAGGCAGAAGTCTACGTGACGCAATTAGCTGGCGCACTCAATACGGGCACTCCGGCTGCCAAGGGGCAGAAGGCCGATCCGATGAAGGGGTGGCAGAACTTTTTTGTGGGGTTTGTTGGAAGGGGTGCATAGCGTGGTTTTCTGCGACTGGAAAGTTGGCTTCTGCTTTGGTTATCAAGGTGCGGATGTTCTTGGACGGCATGGATGCATGGATATGATTCATGATACCGATGGATGAGTTGCTGGGTAGCATTTTGGTGAATGTATCTTGAGCCTGTGACAGGGACTACTGGTGAGTGATCAAGAGTGCATAGCTAAGGTAGCGAAGAACCTCTGGCCTTCTGCTAGAATATCTGATATGTGTGCGGATATCCTAGGCTCACGTGATATATCACGTGCAAAATTGGCCGATTCAGCGTCAACGTATTAACTAAGAGTATAAAATAACGTCGAACGGTGTTTTCCAAGATCCAGGATCGAGATCCAGATTCTCTTCCTTTGTGAAAGAAAAAGAAGGACAATCTGGGCATGGGGAGGACGCGTCAAACAGATCGGCCGTCGCAATGCCATGGAGTGGACTGATCAAAAGCCCTACCAACACGGTCCATGGCTCTCCTGGCGGCGGATTGGCGGCTTCCAGTCAAAACCTCAATCAAAAAGGATCATGGTGGTGTCGCGTATTCGGGGGAGACGGCGCTTTCTCGGTCGTTGTATGATGAATGAGTACTACCCCCTCTAATCCAGACAGACGGCAGCATTCCCCGCTGAGAAATGAGGGTATAGCGGAACCTACATGCGCTGCAAGATAAAAACATCCATGGTAGGGAGGCCCTTCCCTACGTAAAACGTCGTATCGCTATCTGTTAGTTCCAGGCCGTTTTCCGCCATGCAGTTCGGTTGCTGGGTCTTCTGTTATTCATACATACACTCCCCCGCTAAGCTTTCGTCAAAACGTGATAGAGCTGCTCGGCACCAATGCTGGGGAGGTACCCACGCCGCCCGCTCCCATGTGTCTGTCGCAAGCACCGAGTTGACTCCTCCAGCACAGGGGCCATGTTACTCCCGATGTGCTCGCTGTTGATGCCCAGGTCCGAATCACACCATAGCACCAAATCGACCCATGTTTGATCAAGCTGGAAGAGCAAGATCTCCCTCCTTGGAGAACCAAACCGACGTCGCCCACCCTTTTATACCCCCCTCAATCGAAGAAACTTCCGCTTACTAACGCAAGACATGTGCTATCTATCATAATCACGTGACATATATCACATTATCTTCACTCCCATCTCAATCCAACAGGATGCAATATATACGTAGCCTTCCATCCCACCATAAACACAATTCACAGAGACAGAGAGACAGGCCCACAAGGTATCAAATACAAAAATCGCAAAACCCCCTCAAAATTCTATCCCGATCCCATCGCTCAAACCCCTCAGTAAAGAGACACAGCATACCAACCCGCCATTTTATATATGTATGAAGAAACGCCAAAAAACTCAGCACCCAACCCATTCCATTCAACAAAGAGAAACGTTTTCAAACGCGCTAGGACGCGTCAAAATAACAATAAAACTATGCCTGACACCGAAAATCAGGCATGTTTCTCCCTCTGTATCGTCGGGCTGGCGCTCAACGCCTGGCTCAGCAACCGGCTAAGCCCGTGCGGCCTCTCCCGCCCGCCGCTCACGCTGGCCCCATCGTGCGCGGAGTACGTGCTGCCCCTTCTCCCGGAAGGCGTAGGACCATTGGTGTAGAGGCCCTCACGATCCGGCGCCTCGCTAGCGTGGCTGCCCCGACGTGCGCGTCTCATCGCATCCTGGTCTTCCTTCTTGTGCAGGCTCTCGCTCGGTAGCAGGATCGCGCGGTCAAGAGCGTAGGGGAGACCACGATGCCTGCCACGGATCTGCATGGCGACAATGATAAGTTTTGAAAGCGCGCGGAATTGGCCGCAGAAGGAGGTGTTGACGCCCGGGTAGCCGAGGGAAAGGCCGACGGTGCCGTAGGCAGAGACGATTTCAAAGAGGACGGAGAAGAGGGTGAAGGCGTAGTCGTCTGTGTTTTCGAGGCGACCGCCTTCGATGATGGCGATGAGGAAGAAGCCGAGGAAGACGAACCAGAGATCGAAGGAGAGTTGACGGCGGAGATGGGCACTGAGGTAGCTGTTCGGCTGGTCGTCTTCTTCGTCAGCTTGAGACCAGACGCCGAGGGATTTCTCTTCGTAGACGTTTGTTTGACGCATACTGATGGCGATGGGGAAAACGGATATGTACATCATAATGAGGTACGAGACCTGGATGGCCGGGTGCAGGTCAGCGAGATTAACGACAGAGAAGCCGGCGGTACGCGTGGAAGCAGCTTGGAAGAGGCCATCAAGGAACCGATAGCCACCTGGAAGCGAAGTGACGGTAGGGTCATTAAGCTATTAGCTAGTTAGTAATTCCCAAGTAAAAGTAGGCGGAGTCGACAAAACTTACATCGAGAATGATGAAGAAGACGAGGTCGATAACGTTCAGCAACACCAAGATCCAGAACAGCCACCAATTCGCACTACTTGGAAATAGGAGGGTGAAGCATCGCCTGGGATGGTCCAAGAGAAACCTCAATTCCTCCCATACCGCACTGCCCATGGGGACACACTTCTGTACGATCCAGATAACAAAGCGAAGCATGCAAGGGAAACCAGTGTTGCCAATGATAATTAAAAAGGTCCCAAGCAACATGGGGAAGACTGCTTGCCCGAATGATACCATCGAATCAGGAGTGAGGGTGAAGCCAAGGTCGTTGAACATCGACGCAGGCGTAAAGAAGCCCCACCAGACCGGGTTTTGTCCATCGGCGTTGATAATACCAGAGTATTTCTTCTCTCGTACTACCCATGGCAAGAGACAGATCATACCCAGAAGATGGAAGCCAACATAATAGACTATGAGTGTTAGCTCGGCGAGAAATCCAGGAAATGCATGGCACTCACCAACAAGAATGAGAGCTAGGAGTTTGAGCGCACGGTACTCGATGCCGCCCAATTCCTCTCTTTGCTCCTCAGTCAAGTCCACGAAAGCAGAATTTCGGCCAATAGTGGGAGTCCAGCTCAAATACGGCATTGGATCTCTTTCTTCCTCGGTCTTCGACATAAAGCTGCCGAACGTTCTCGAGCGAGCTCGTTGGCGGAGAGTCATGACTGTGCTCTCTTCACCCGTGGTTGCGCTGCGTTTGTTGAAGTTCAACGACGATATCCCAGTACCAGGCCGGCGTGGGTGATCTGGTTCGTTAATAGTGATATTCTGCTTGATGGGGTGGTCATCAGCGTTCAACTCCTCCGGTGGCCTCGATAAAGACCGCCTCACGCCATGCGGCTGATCGTTCGAAATTTGTTTGTCGAGGGCAGCTTCTTCATCGTTGAGGTGTTGCGGAAGGTCTCCTCGGTCGAAATCTCGAGGTCCGGGGATACGAAGTGTCCCTTTGTCTCTCGGATTCCGTTGATTCTCCACAAAAGCAATGTTCTGCTCCTTGCTTCGCTGCTCCGGTATCCGCTCCAAGCCGGAAAGAGATCTGAAATGACTTGGTCTTTCCCTCGGATTAAGCTCGTCCGCGAAGACTATGTCGCGGTGGAATGTGGAAGGGGAGTGGATTTCAGTCGCAGACGCATTCTCGTGTTTGCCAAATGGGATATCATCTGCCGATCCCACCAGATTGTCTTGCCCGCTGGACGACCCTCCGTTGGAAGACTCCCCTTTCTCCTCCTCCTCGTCGAAGACTTTTCGAAATCCATCAACCTGCTCGTCGATCTTTCTGCCCTGAGCATGCCCATCTGAAGCTCGAAGAACCCTGATTTCACGGGCTCCAACTCCAGCCTCTTCCCTACCAGCATCTTGTTCGCCCTTTGCCTGGCTTTTCGACCGCGATTTTGTCCTGGTGTGTCGGAAGGTCATAGCCTCGTGTACTACGTGTTGGAACCTCTTCTCGAACCAATAGAGACGGACGAAGACGACAAAGGTATTGATGAATATGGGGTTGCAGATGCAGGCTAGGAAGAAAATGACAACCTGTGAACATGTCAGTATGTTGCAATGTCGCCGCAGAGAAACCAGGCTATTCATTTAATCTTACCTGTTGATATGTATTCAATGTGTTTATGTCAAGCCTAAAAGCTACTTAGCAACGCGTTATAGGAGCTCTAGCAAAGAGTGTTACATACGGGTTCAACCCGCTCTGAGTGCATGAGCCACTTGCGAAGAGGAGAGCGTCGATATAAGCCATTCCGCCGGCGGGATAGAGCATGACGGAGCCAATGAGTGACAGGGAGATCAAGTAAATATCTAGAGATGGTATAATTAGCGCCTAGAACTGTTCGTATAGGGTCATAGCTTCGGATCACCTACAATGAATTGTAATAAAGTTGAAATGGGGCTTCGAAAAGGACTTCTGGTTAGGAAAGATCCCTTTGAGCCACGCCCATAACGCCATCCATGGCCCAAACATTGTGATCGGGTGCGAGAGCTCGTCCGGTGGTGGTGGTCGAGGTGGCGAGGGATGGGCGGAACACAGTCCAACAACGACCACGAGGCGCGGTCAAGTAGAAATGTAGGTACAATTGAAGGTGGTGAAGGAAGAGAGTGTTGGCTAGGATGAGGTTCCGTGGTGTGCCGAGCACGAGAGTGCGGTGGAGGCGGTGTTATTGGGAAATGGTCATTGCCAAATGTCAGCGAACGGCGTCGGGAGCCCTATGGCGAGGTATCGAGTGCTGATGAATGTACATGCTCTAACTGCGGTGAATGTCGAGAGAGGCAAAACGGCAGCAGCGGGCGGCGAGTCCTGACGGAGAATTGGGAATACGGTGATAAGTACGTGGTAGTACCTGGGTGGAGAACCGGGCCAGAACAGCATCATGGCCGAGTCGCGCTCAGCCACACAGCCACACATTCCTTCTTTCTCCACCTCCTATTATAGGGCTCTGCTGTTGCTGCATCTCCCAGATGTTACACGTCAGCGCCGAAGTCAGATATACACATTGGGCAGCCAGCTCCCGACGCCGCTTAGGACGTTCAGTGCTCTATCTTCGGCGACATGCAGGCCCGGCCTTGCATCGCCGGGATGGCTCGGATCTCCTTGCTCTCCAGTCGCGTCCAAAACACCAAATGCTCGTGAGACATGGTCTGTTTAGCGGTCAGAGATTTAAAAGGGGCGCGGCGTCCACAGCGGCCAGCGGGACGGATTCGGTCGTGTCCCGAACCGTGCCGTGGGATTAGGAGAATGCTGGAATTGCTTGTTTGCGATTCCATCACATGTCAGATTCACCATCTAGATCGCGCAATACTGTCCCAGGAACGCGTTTCGTTTCACACAGTCGGGCCAATCGAACACACGGGCAAGCGATTGGTATTGAAGCAAGTATGCAACTCCATCCAGATGAACTCGTGCCGCGCAGAAAGCATGCCGGGAAAATGTAGGGTACAGAGAAAAGAAACCGAACCGAAAAATCTCAAGATGCAGCACGATACACACTATACATATTCGAAGCAATGACTAGCTCCTAAGGGAAAACTGCCTCAGATCGACGTGGCCACTGTCACCACCTTTGTACTACCTCGTCCCTCTGAAGAATGCAATTTAGAACCTTTGTATACTAGCTACCAAACCCCAGAACCTCAGAACCCCACTGATCAGCCGGTGCCGTTGACCGCTGGCGACACGGCGCCAGACCCTCCTGGCTTCTTCAGCTTGAGAGTCAACGGGAACGGGTAGTCCTCTGGGTCTTCCTCTTCCCTGCAAATAGTTAGGACCTAATAATATACTAGCGTTATTGATGCCGAACTTACGGTAGCTTCCAGGCTATGTAATCTTCTGTGCTGAGACCCTCGCGGCCTTCTTGGATCGACGCGAAGTCACCCGGAGTCATCATTCCGGAGCGGTCACGTGGCGAACCAGGCTCCGACAGCGGCCGCGAGATCTTGACCTCGGTCGACCCGAAGAAATCAGGCTCTTCACCCTCTTCGAATGCGGCAGGGTATGCTATTCGTAGAGTTAGTGGCGCCAACCTCGTGGACGATAAACAAAGAACTTACCCCTCCTTAGCGCTAATTGCCGCGCCTTGACATACTCCATGCCCATACGCTTCCAATCAAGCAGGTCGCTCAGGCGCTCCGTTCTGTTGCGCTGATTGATACGCTGTCGCTTGCTCTTCTTGGTGAAGTCGAACATGTATTCTGACAGTTGGTTGACCGAATCGTCGACACCTTTCATTCTCCGGTCCACAATGTAGATACCGTAGTCCTGCGCGTTCTCGATCAACTCCTCCATATAGCATCCAAACCCAGACAGGTTCGTTGTGATACTAGGGACACCCATTACGGTGCATTCGGCTGGAGTGTATCCCCAAGGCTCATAGTAGGATGAGAAAACACCTAGATGCGTTCCGCGCACAAAATCATCGTAATCCATTGGCAACACGGGATTGGACGAGTTCAAGAACTCGGGGTGGAAGACGACCTTGACTCTGTCCGACGGGTGGTTGAAAAGTTGGCAGCGACGGATTTGATTCAACACTGGGTCCTCTGCGTCGTTTACCATGTTGTGTGTGACGATCGGAGGGAGATTATGTCGCTTCATAGCAAACAACCGACGACGGAGCATGATCTTGTCTGCGGGAGAAATCAGATCCTTGTCTTCTGGGAGCACCGAGCCTTCGTGCCAAGCAATAGATCGTTCGAACAACTTCTTGCCAACATTCTGTTCGATGATTTTAATCGTGTCATGGAGGGATTTGATGACTGCTTGGCCCTTCAGAGCCTCGACTGTCAATGACTGCGTTTGCGCGGGCATGATGATAAAAGCGACCACGGTCATGGTTGAGCCTGAGCTCTTCATCCTGTGGTTCAGACGAGCAAGCGACTCAATGAACATGTCAACACCTTTATTCCGGTATTCGTAGCGTCCGGCAGTGAAGAAGTATAACGTGTTTTCCGGATCGAAGTCGTTGTGCCCGTAGAAATGACCGCGTACAAAGTCGTTGATCTTGACTTTGGCCTGCTGATGGAGATTCTGGAACTCGTGGGTAGCTGAGAATTTCTTGACATTGAGACCGTTAGGTAGAACGCCGTCTGGCTTCCTCTTCAGCAGATGTTCGCTCTCGTAGGCAGTGATATGAGAGACGGTCGTGAAGACGTCGGCGGCGTGCGCAGCTGCTCGTTCAATGCAGTACCGGTGGTAGATACCACGCTTGCCGGCTTCGGCATCCACGTCAAAGTATTGGAGGTTGTTGTAGAAGTCGACTGACCCGGCGCAGAGATAGCGTCCGAGAAGGGTCGCATGGGTCGTGAAGATGGTGGTGACATCGATGCGTCGCTTCTTGCAGAGAGGTAGGGCGACACCCGCCAACCATTCGTGGAATTGCGCAATAACTGCCCTTTTCTTCTCGTGGAAAACATACTGGAGGAGATTAGCAACCCAGAACAAAGTAGCCGCCATCAAACACGCATACCTCTCCCAAGAACCAGGCAATCAGATAGCCAAACACAATGGCCTCGTTCGTCTCCGCATCGCCCGGGGGCGAAGGAATGCCAGCTGACGCCCAAAGATCGCCCTTCCACTCATCAAGATAGCCGTAGGCAGTTGCAGTATCAAATAGTAGCACTCGTGGGGCGCCATCAATCAGCCATCTACCGTATAATGTTTGGATTCCGCGCTCGTTCATCGACTTGATTGTCTCGACCAATGCAGGATCGTGTGGCGTGATCTCTTCCACCTCAACTGCAGCCTAGGGGTGATGTGAGCTGTGAATGTACGTGTAAAATGCTACTCAACGTACTGAGTTGCGGTTGAGCGGTCCAAGGAGCGTGTACGACGAGCCATACTCGGCGGTGGTGACCTGAGCTTTCGACTTCAGGACCGAGTAGATGCCACCGACTGAGGAGCGTCAGTGAAAGGGCGTCTGGGAGGACGCTGCCGGAATGGGTACCTCGATTGGCAACTTCGGTTGCAATTTCAAAAAGAACGTGATTGTTGACATCGCGCACGGGGTCGGCCATTGTGTTGAACGGGAGCGTCCAAGCTCAACAGAAGGCGTGAAAGGAATTGAAGGGTGAGGATTTCTAGAGGCGTTGCCGCAACGTCACGGAGCTGCATTTATAGCGGTCAGCTGGCGCTCAGAGGTTCTTGGGCCGCCGGCGGAGCTTGCTTGAGGAAGCTACGCACTTGTTCTCTGCAGGTCGGGTGGAGAGATCACTTACGGCAAACGTCGGACGGGGCTTGCAGGCAGGGCAATTGATGCGCCGCAGTGCCGTGCGTCTCACGAGAGAATCTATCTAGGAAGAAATGGAGGGCGGCGGTGCTGGGCAAGGCAGTGTCGAGGATGGAACTGTGCTTCGCCGTGGAGGAGCCGCCATTTGTGGTGGAGATTGAGCAGCGCAGTGAGAAGCCCGGGCAGACTAGCGCGAGCCCCGAGCTGATCCCTGCACGGATGACTTCATCGGCCTGGGCAGCTTTGCAGACTCCACCTGGAGAAAGGGCCAAGGACGGGGCGACAGGACAGGGCCACAGGGCTATTCGCGGAGACATGCACACCACCGCCCAAGGCCCGCGTGTGCCGCCAACTGCTTCACCCCGCGTGCCCGCCTCGCAGCCGCGGCCACGGCCCGATCTGGGGAGCCTGAAGTTGTTCGGCAGCCCGCGATGGTCTGAAGGACCCGTGGCCCTCATCTCGCACCCGATAGCGACGATTGCTGGGCCAACGCCGGCGAGGGCGACGATGCCACCACCTCAGACCACCAACTTGCCTCCCTCGCGCCGACAATCCTCTCGAGAATCACCGTGGCCATGCGTCATGCCCGCCCGCGATCGCTGCCCTCTCGCCGCCGAGTGCGGGGTGGTAGTACCACATGCACATTGATAGCTTCCCAGCGCAACCGGGCCCCTCTCGCCTCCTCTCACCTCCTCTCCACTCCAGCCCATGGAATGCGCCCGAACCATGGCTTGCGGCGGTCCCGAGCCATCGCAGTCTTCCCAGGCTCGACCCCCATCGGCATGTCAGCAGACCCTTTGTATTCTGCCCGCGTAACCAGCCGCTGTTCAGTTCTCCAGAACCACGGCTTGCCTCAAGGGCCCACATGGCGGGACATCCTGGCGTGAACGTGCAGGTGGCTGGTCGTCTATGCAGCCAGTCACCGGCCTGCAGCCAACGTTCGCTTCTGTCAGCACCACGTCCAGCTCTTGCATTACGAAGTAATTGGGCTTGCTAACTAGTCTCAAGCTAAGAGGATAAGTCCAATACGAAGTATAAACGAAGGAGAACACACCAAAGCAAACTTACACTCTTGAAGACCATACCTTCCCCTTCAACAGCACATTCCCCTTCATCACACCATCCGCGCCATGCACGCTTATCGTCCACGTGCCTTAGCGTCCAGGCATTCAGGCAGGTCCGAGCCTTGGAACCTTCCGAGTTGTGCCGGCAGATCTACAGTGGGAGAATCTTGATCTGTGTGCACGTACAGGTTCGATAGAGACTCAGAGATCCTACACACAAGGAGGCTCAAGAATCACTGCTTGGGGTTACCCGCATCCAATTTTCAAAGGGCAGCTGAGCTGCCTCTTACCTCGCGAGCTTCCTAGCTACAAGACTACTCTTCGCAATAGTGTTCAACTTCCAAGGAGGTACTCAAGTAGACAGCATATCCACGTGCCTGGTCTTATAGCCAAGTACCATGAAATCCGCTATTGCATGTGCTCCATCTATGTACCACGCATATCATCGTGATGGGAATAATTGACGGGAATGACTTTGAGAGTAAACTTGTAGAAGCAATCCAGTATATTCTGGCTGGGAAGAACAGTCCTCACTTGCAATTGGAATATATATGCCACCAAGAAGGTTAATTTGTGGATACCCTATATATACCTGCGGGTGGCTTTCGCGATAACGCCATGGAATTGACCGAGGGGAAATGCCATCATTACCGTCATTAATACGAACTAGTCTGAAAGCAAGAAGCACAGAGTTGTTGGCTTCTCTAACCTATTTCTCCTGGGTCGCCTGGATAACCCGATAATCCCCTGTTACTTCATTCGCAGTTACAATCCAGCTTTCCACTTCTTTGCTACTGCGGCCTTGTGGAAGCGGTTCTTGAGATGTATTTCAAAGTTCGCCATAGGAGGCGTGTAGAGCTTTCCTGGGCAGTCAACGCAGCGAATGCGGGGCAAATATGTGTAGAGCACGCCTGGATGAGTAGGGGCCGGGAGGTCTGGCTTGAGCTGCAACACTACCGAAGACTTAGCATCGATTGCCGAGAACACCATGACAGAAGCAATATTCGAGCTGGGATATGCTTGGAGAAGCTGCTCTAACTCTGAGCACACCCACTGGGGGACAGCGGGCGGGTCTTGGTTCATTCGAGTCCTCATGTTTCCCCATGTTTCAGGTACATCCTGTGGCCGAATGAAATGATCTCGGACTTTGGAGAGTCGTTCCTGTCCGATCATCGGCGTCTTCTGACCAGGGAGCAACCCTAAGCTCTGACGGGACGGAGATGCTCGTGATCGTAATGGAGAAGGCGAATCGCTCAGTGGAACAGCCGTGTCAGACGCCTCGTGTGATGTTCCACCAGCTGCACGAGCAGATTTCATGTCCGGTGTCTCGGTGAAGCATGGCACACTGTGGCGATAAGCAAGTGGCTTCCGGGGAACTTGAGGTGGTGTCTGCGCGATGTCTGCAATTTGATCTGCAGCGAAGCCGAGAGCATCCATCCCATCCCAGGGCTGGTTGCTGGGATGTGCCGACGGAATACTCTCCTCCCAACTTGAGGCGGGCTTCTGGGAACCTAAAAGACGAGCAATGCGCGGTTCCATGGCCGAGTGTTGTTTCATCAGTGACAACGGCTTAGCTTCATGCATCTGCTCTTGCATGTGTGAAGGGAGTGACAACAACTCTGGCTGCTCAGCCGGAGCAGTGGTTTGTGGCCTGAAATGAGCAGTCGCAGGAACCTGGAAGTCGGCAAAAAGCGTGGGACCTGTACACCATTCCAAGTCCTCAGTAGCTTGAGGAGCTTCGGCTGGTGCCAATTTGCGTGTTTTGGTTAGCTTTTTGCATTCTTCCTGGCCAAATCTGACGCAGCAATGGCAGCGGTTCCGATCATCGGGTATTGCTGGGGGAGAGCATCGTAACTGTAGAAATTAGTAAATGTTCTAATAAGTCATTAGAAGTCCACAAGATCATGGTGTTTCCTACCTTCCGAGTTCTGCAATAGCGACAGGCATCAGTCCCTCTCATGCGTGGCGCTGGCTTCTGCATCAGAGGCGAAGGCTGTGAGGGCTCGACGAATGTTTCCAAGGAAGACTTTCCAAAACGGCCCACAGGAGCAGTCGTGGTGATGGAAGCATCTTTCTCTGGAGCATTGCGTTTTGCTTCACTCTTGATGATGTTCAGCATCTCTTCACCCTTTGGAGCAGTTGTCAAGTTCTGATATCCCCTTGCTGTTATGAGAATGTCGTCCTCAATCCGCACACCGCCGACGGGTATGTATCTCGAAAGTACATCTTTATTGATGTACTTGGAATGGACTGGCGATGGGAGGTAAAGAGTTTCGAGTGCGTATAGCGAGAAATAGATTCCAGGCTCCACAGTGACTATCATACCCTCTTCCAGAGCGGGACTCTGGGGATCCGTTGGTGACAAGCAGAGTCCAGAGTTAAAGACCGGGAGATGATAGTTGGGGGAGTATTTGGAGCTTGCTTGAGCATTACTGGAATCGAAAATTTCGTCCTCCGATAACGACATTAGCTCCCGTTGGCCTATGTCGTGGACTTCAAGACCAATATGGTGGCCCAGACCGTGAGGAAAGAACGCTCTCGAGGTGCCGGCGCGGTAGATTTCTTCGGGTGAACCATTGTGGAGGATTCCCAGGGCCAACAAGCCACCGATTGCGATTTGATGGGCGAGGATGTGCAGATCCAAATACCGAACTCTGGGGGCTAGTCGCTTGATGCAGCAATTCTGCATTGTCTGTACCAAGTCGTAGATTTGCTTTGCCTCTTTAGATGGCCAAGATCCTGACAACGGGAATGATCTGGTGACATCACTCGCGTAGCACTCCCACTCACAGCCTGCATCCAAGCACATCATCTGTCGGCCTTTGAGCGGTTCATCGTTCTTAATGTAGTGCAGGGTGCTTGCATTGACGCCCGATGCCGCGATCACTTCGTATGCCTGATGCTTAGCCCCTTCAGCGACACAGGCGTCGAGGAATATAGCTTCAACCTGAGATTCATTCTTGAATTTCAGAATGTTGAGAAGTACTTCGCGATGTGCTTTGGCCGTTATCTCGTTAGCTTTGCGGATTAGACCGATTTCGTGGGAGTCTTTGATCATCCGGGCGGAATTGATAGCCAGCTGCAGCTTCTCATGATCCACACGCGGATGCTTCTCTTGGCCCGGTATGGCAGCTTGGTCCGGATGAAGGATGTATATGTCGCCCTCGTGGCTAAGCGGCCAGGCTTTGACAAAGTTCGAGACTGAAGTCGTAAAATGGACTTCGTCTACGTCATACTTGTCGAAAGCTTCCGCTCGGGTAGATCCGCGGCCGTTCCAGATGACGGTTGTTGGGTCGATCTTCGGAATGAAGAGTGTGAGAGTGTCCTCATTTATGTCATACGCAAGATGACAGTCTGTTTCGTTGACGCTGGAACTCGTCAGTAACGTCAAAAATATTATGATAGAGTGAGGGAAAAGATAACCCCGGAATATGAAATGATATGCATTATTGAGAGCATCTCTATCGTAACGTAAAGTGCTTGTGCGTTAAGGAAACTAGAACGAGGTGAAGATAGGAGGTAGGAAAGATTTTGATCACTCTAATTCGGCAGACGCGACAAGGCTGGGCTACCTCCAAAAACGTTGGAGTGATAGACATAAGAAAGCAGCTTCACGAGGGATGGACATGTGTAAAGCTTGCAAGAACTGGCACATGAGGAATATAATGTTTGAACTCACCCGCTTAGATAGTAGAAGTACCTCCGCTGCCGGAAAGGCTTTGGCTGGTCGCTATCCTCCTCATACTCCGTCGGCGCACCCGGAAGGTAGATAAGCCCTTTCGAGGCTTTGAGTTTCTGGGCCACCCTCTGTGCGTGCTGTTTGGCCGGATACTTCTCCAAGGGCGATGACGAGTCGATGTGGACCCAAAAGTCTTTGACAACCTGTTGCTCGTTCTGGAGCCTGTTGTACAGCTCCGTAGCCTTCAGCTCCTGGGGCGCGGCGGAGGCCATACCCGGCACCTGTTGAACTAATCTCACGGGATCGCGAAAAGGATGATGAAGCGTCGGAGTGTGGTGTCGCAGAAGCAAGGTGTTGGCGCGGGTGATAGATAACGTGGGAGGTTCGCACGGGCCAACTCAGCCGGTGAACGACTCCACAGCCTCAATCGCCAGGAGCTTCTGGTGACAGGAACTTAGGCAGTGTTCACCTTTCGCAGGCAGACAGGAGAACCCGGGGAAAGTCGTGCTGTAACCGTTGGCACGGTGGTGTATGAGCTTTTGGGAGAGCAGCAGCGGACGAGGGGCCTTTTCTAAGGTCCGCCCTAGCATCTTCATGCGCTTGTACGACGCTGTACAACACGACACCTCGCTCGCATGCATTATCGGACAGGAGCAGACAATATTGGGCAATGCCGATTTGGATGATGGGCTCAGAGCTGCCCTTACCGCTGATAGACATTGTCCGCAGACCTCTGTCATATCCTAATTCATGGAATCACACTCGACTAGGCGAAGCCACTACCTCCACGAAGAAGCATATCTCATCTCGCTCTCGGGACAGGCTACTAGGGTCCCTAGAACCGTCTGTCTGACGAGGGCAGGCACATAATATACCGTATATGTGTCACGATAATCACCAACTCTCCTGAATTTAGACGTCCACTGCGGGGTGAAGGATCACAATCCCCTGCGGACTACTTCTGTCACACGGGACAGATTTCGAGGATTTTGTGATCTGTCTTCCCTCCCCGTTATCTTATCATCAGGCTTTGCACTAAAGACAACACTAGCTGAGAATGAACAATCCATAACAACGCCTTAGCTCTAATTGAAAGCCCCGTGGTAAAGCTTTGGACATGAAGGATATCAGAGACTTGGTCCAGTTTTCCATCTCTGAACAAAATACTCGGAAACAAGTCGGATTTCCAATTGCTTTCCGTATTTCTTTGTCACAAATCTGATTTTCAACTTCATGCTCTTGGCCCCAACTTGGAACCCAAATTTTAAGTACGGAAATATCTGTATGTACTCGAAACTCTACAACTTTTCAGTACAAAGACTCGCTCAAAACTCATTGGCACCTACACACAATCGTCCCGAGCAGGAGAAAAGGTTCAAAATCCTGCCATCGGAGAATGTGGAGGCCAACTAATCCGCATAGGTTGCGTCCTGTGTGTCAACAAAGCACTTCCATAATACCTTACCATATACTCTAGCAACATACCGACTCATCACTTGGCACGTCAGTTCATCACTAAGACCTATGTTAGTCAGCGTGGGGTCTGAAAGGGGCTGAACGGGCCGCCTAAGTCACATGGTCCACATGCCTAAAACATCAGCCATGTTCTCCCGGCAGCGACGAAACAAGGCACCCACGGGGCCAGATAGTCAACGTTGGCGAGGCCATGTCTTCCAGGCGGGAAGATCCGAGATCAAAATGGCGTTTCCGAGCCCGTGGTACAGTCCTCTCGCTATTCACCTCGGTGCGGGGAAGAATGTCTCACCTGCGGCCAGGCCCCCCGTCATGCACAACGGCTGTGGCTTCGGTTGTGGCTCTGTCCCCGGTACAGTAACGTCACGATCAGCCAGCTGTAGAACTTCGAGTCCGGCTTGTCTGACAGTCCGGAGTTTGATTTATCCCCATAATGTTGGATGGCTGAAATAGTAGTGCCATGAAATAACAAGTATTCTAAGGATGAAGCCCGACAAGCGATTTATCAAGCGGTAATTAGATACGAGTAGTAGAGATAGACAATCTGGTATATGTTTAAGATAGGTAAAAGAAAGGCATAAGGCATTAAAGTTAGGGTCCTCGCGGTTCACATATCCTTCCAATAGTTGATCGAATCCGCTCCAGCTCCAACACGCTAGCCTAAAGTCTGCCTGCGGACAAGTGGGAGTATCAAGTTTACCTCAGTCTGAAGCCCGCATTCTCATCATGAGATGCGTAAGAGATATGCCGCCAGCTGCTGCAGTTCTCTCCCAAACTTCCAAGAAGCCCACGGCTGCTCTTACACCTTTCCCCAGCCTAGTTCTTTGCCTTGGCCTTGGCTCTCACCCCAGTAGGCTCTGCTACTTGAGTAAGCACCCTTCGCCCGCTCCTCTTCGAAAAGAGAGCGAGCCTTCTCTGCTAGATATCTTGTGCGGACACTCAAGTCAAATTCGAATGGTACCGGCTTTGCTATGAGCAGTGTTGTGTAGTCAAGTGTTGGATCAAGATCTTGGCTAGACTTCTTGGTCTTGACGCGAACCTTTTCCATATGCGCCTCGTCTTCTGCGATATCTGCAGCCGGCCAGGCACCCGGATAGAAAAGCTCTTCAGTCGCTTCCGACTTTTCCAGACCAGCGTTCAACTCTTCGGCGGAGATAGTCGCATTTGCGTGGTGGCGTCGGAGACCATATTTCTCGTCAAGTTCTTCGGCTTCGGACTGTGAGTCGTAGCCAGAGTCGCTGCAGGCTTCGTCACTGTTATTTTCGCTTTTTTTCGCAATGTTGAATAACCAGGCGATAGATCCAATCCCGATCAACATGTCCTCGTCTGCGACACCCTGACCTTGGCACACCCTGCGGCCATACCCAAACTGCGTGCAGTTAATCACTGTGGGATATTGCGAGAGCGGCTCGCGATAAGTCGGAAATTCAGGCTTAACCCAGCGCAGAGGGTTGAAGATTTCAGGGTCTGGGAACATAGCGGGGTCGCGAGAAATGGCCCTAACGTCGGTTAGCGATCGACCAATGAGGACAGCTCTAGGCCAACGTCAACGTCTGCTTACCATTCAAGTGGATGCATCACACTGCCCTTGGGGATGTGGTAGCCGGCATACGAGTCGTCTTGGATCAGGTAATGTGGGATGCCGGTGGGAACAGGTGGGCGCCAGCGCAGACATTCCCGGATGACAGCGCGCAAGAACGGGAGGTTCTCGCGATCCTCCGATCGAGGCGGGCGATCTCCGCAGACCCTGTCGAGCTCTTCCTGGAGCATCGGGAGATACTGCGGGTAGTGGCACATCGCGAGACAGAAGGTTTGCATGGGTGCCGCGATGGTGAGTGCGCCAGCGATACCATGCATGCCGACCGAGTACGCGCCTTCCATATCGTACTGGAACCCCCAGCTTCCTCGATGCTCGAGGAATGTCTTCATCCAAGACTGAGGTGCTCTCTTTTCTTTCATGTCATGCTCAACGTCCTTCTGCATTATCTCAAAGAATTTCCGCTCAGTCTTCGCACGTCGTCGTTCCCATGCCTTGGGTGGTGAGAGCCAGTCCGGAAGAGACATGAGGAACGGGAGCTTGTTGCCCATTGCTCCAGTAGGCGATACCCCGATGAGAAGCTCACGCGCTCTCTGTTTCAGCTCCTCGTTGGCTTCGCTGTGACCCCAGGCCAAGCGACATGTAACCCGAGATATGAACGACTCCAATGCGTGGTTATACTGCGATGGTTGTTCCATCAACTCTACGAGCATGCGTTTCGCCTCGAGTTCAGGGTAACGGTGGAACTTTGCGTTCTCCGACTCTCGCATCACGGTGTTTGCGAATTTACGTTGTCGTGCCCATGCGCCTATGTCAAGTTAGTAAGGTCCACATTAGAGAGAATGTTCCAGCCTTGACTAACCATTCTTGCTTGTTAGGGGAAGATACTGGCCACTGGTCCGGTTGTCATCAATGAGCGCAGGGATGTGAGGGCGGTCTGAGTAGATGGCACCCTTCTTGGACAGAAGATCGTGTGCTACCTGATCAGACGATATCCAAACATGGTTGCTGCCAGCGAGGTTGACCTGGTAGATTGGGCCGTACTCCTTTGCCCACTCGGCGAACTTGACAGCGCTGTTCTTCTCGGGCACATCCGGCACAGAGCCTAGGATAGGATAACCTGAGGTTCAAGAAATATAAGAAGATGTTCTAAGAACTGCACGACCTCGGCGATGTCACGCTGCAGAGCCTTCACGTGGGTTGGAGGATCATACCTTTGGGACCTGGTAGCTCCTTCAGACCAGGGGGGAGACGCTTGTGGGGACGATTTGCAAATCGCTTCCAGAGCGTTGCAGCGCACAGGATGGAGACGACCAAGAAGAGAGACAGGAGAGCCATAGTTTGAGATGAGGTCTCGCTTCACGCAAAGATAGCAATGAGTTTGCAGGACAAGAGGAGGAACGGAAGCGAGTACGCGTCTTTCGACGATCACGCAGCGTGCTCTGATGATTATAAACAGCACAGGTCAATGTGGGATACCGGATTGCCGGGCCTGCTGGCAGATGGAACGCTAGACTCAGCCGTGGACATGGTGAAGTAATATCAGGCATCCTACCACGCGATGCCGGCGTCATGCGGGACACAACCCACTCCTGGGCCATCCAAGCGCCAATTGAGCACCTGGCCGGCGGCGCAGACGAGCCACGGCCCTAGTTTATGGCAGCTTTGACAACTGAGTGGACCATGAGGCACTGTCAAGGCAAGTGTCAGTCAGCGCTCTTGTGACAGTTGGCGCTGCAGCTGCTGTGTTCCCCTCCCCGAAGTCCGGGAGAGAGGGATCGTCCAAGGAGTTCAGGGAGAGGTCATTCTGAGAATGATGCTCCTAAGCGAGAAGACGTGGTGGTGGAGGATCTCTGGGCCGGGCAAATAGGGCAGGCGCTGCGCGGAAGAGCGTGGATCGGGGACACGCAACTAGGGATAGTGGTGTGGCATGCCGCCGCACAGCGACAAGATGGCTGCTGGGACTTCGCGATGTCGGGGCGCATGTGGTCGCACGACATCAGAGGCAAAGAGATGGATGTCTGGCGGCGAGTGGGTGCAGCAAAAGTGCCGACGCAAGCCCAGATCCTGCATCTGTTGCGGGCTGGCTGGATGCGCACCGCACTGCAAGCACATTGCGATCATGATTCGAAGCGGTTGACGTCGGAGGCTGCAGAATGCGCGCGGGTGCAGCTGTCGTCGGTGCTTGATGCCCAGACGTGGTGTTGATCAACGTTCGGACCAGGGCCCCTGGCTATCGCGCATCGAGCTGGGCTGGTGGCGTCCTGGCGCCCAGGGGTGAAGGACGCAAAACGGCCGTCCTGGGCACGGCACACGTGCCGACTTGCTCACTCACTGCTCGCACCTGCCGTCACGGTGGAGGTTCTCCACACCGCGGCCATCAGCAATGCCTCTGCCGGCGTGAGCAATGCCTCTGCCGGTGTGAGCAATGCCTCTGCAGGTGTGCGGGCGCAAGCGCAACAAGCGCATCGGCGTGCCCATTCCGCTTTCCAGGCGTCGGACATTAAATTCTGGGCGCCAGGCGTCCCGCGCTATCCCACGATACCAACCTCCAGCTTCTTCGATACGGCGTCCCACGACGCTCGGGCTGGCGGCGATGCTCGTCGGCAGCTAGCTGCATCTGTCCACAAGGAGAAAGCCACCCCAGAGCCTCCCAGCATTGTCGCAGATCTTGCGCCTAGTCCCAACCTCATATCCACCGCGTGGAGAGCCGGCCTCCATGTCCGAACTCGCTACCTGGCCCCTTTCGTCTCCATTTTGCGACCGCCTTTCGTCATGCTGTCGTCGCGGCGTCCCGACCGCGCGCCTCTGCCGTTGTAATATGCGAGTGACAAGCCCCGACGACACCTGGAGTACGGGGTGCATGCAGTGAGCCCAAGCGAGCATCTCGGAGCGTCGGCGCAAGACGCCCTGTATAGACTGAGTTACCAAGGATGCAAGCCGACGTTGCGAGCCTCAGCCCGCGGTCGTACTCTGGGGACCTCAAACGTGTCGCACGACCCTGGAACGAAACTTCCGGCATCCTTCACTCTGCAGTACGCCATCCATCCTAGGGAAGATCTAGCGACACCAGCCGGCGAGGTGGGCGTGAACTGCCACGGCACAGCGGTGGAGACGGGCTATATCTGCTCACACATTACCGCCTTGCAGTCAATAGAGAACGCCCGGGAGCCAAGTCGCGTCGACAACCATCTCGTAAACCTCCACCGTGTGTGCGCCCATAGACCCTGCTAGCAAAGAGCTGATGCTCAATCCGAAACACTCACGAGAACTTGGGTTCGTAAAGATTATTCCAGTAGGGTGTCATCGCGAAGTCCCGCCAAAGCCGCGGAGTGCATCTACAGCGCCTGCCTTTTAGGCATAGGCATTAAGAGCGTGCCCAGAAGATGCGCTGATTGTGCCAAGTTACCACCTACCAAACTCTGCATGGCTATTACGTCGAGGCCACGCAGCACTGCCTCGTTGCGGCGACACTTCCGATCCTCTACCAACCTGGTTGTGGTTCACCTGTACGCTGTCGCGAAACCACCGCCCCAAGGGCCATACCCTAGTATGCTGTAAACGTCTGCTGTGCGACCGTCACGTCCTGGGCCATGCCTTTCAGCCCAACGATATGCAACGTCTGGGCCACAGAATGCCTTGCATGGTACCCCCTACTCTGTCTAGGGGAACTACGGAACTTTGCTCCTCCCAGTAAGTGAATCCCTAGAGTTGTTGCTATTGTTGGCTTAGTGAATCTGTTACGTTCGCTAAGAACGGGGGTTAGGCGTTCTTCGGAGTTTGAAAGCTTTCTAAAGGTCAGAGCTCTTGTTGCTATGAATTCTTCTCGCCAGAAAGCGCCATGCCTGTGATTTTAGGGGATCCTAGAATTTTCTCGGAGCATTCACGAGCACCTTGTTCTGGGGTGTGTGTGCGAGTCTACCTACCTACAGTCTCTCCTATAGTACGGTCCTTTCTATCTTGAGGCGACGTTTGTTTGCGCCATTGTTGTGTGGCGTTTCTGGGTTTTTCTTTTCTCCTTCCACGCAGATGCATGCATGCAGCTTTCCCTCCATGTCTCAGCCAATCCACGAGCAAGGAGCGCGCAGCCAAAAAGCCACCAAATATTCTCCGCGCGAGCTATTTCTGCAGGTTCCCGAAAGCCAGGCCTGTACACAAAAACCCTCTAGAAATCGCCAGGGCTCCGACCTCTTGACTTTGATCAAGTCCAAAACCAGGGTGTCCCGAGGTTTTCAAAGTATCGTTCGATCCATCATGCGCCAGGATAATTTGCTGTGGCGAAGTAGCGTTCGGACTCTTTCCAAGATGCCGAATGACTGGTCTCATCAATTGCATAACTTTAGACCCAGTGACAAGGCTTGCTAACACGGTCGACTTCTACACGCATACGAAGAAAGTCTATCAACGAAAAAGTCATGTTCTCTTGTGGTTTTCCCGAACCTGCGAAGCTAACGCTGTGTAACGATGGAGCCATTCCTGCGGCTTTTATTGAATGGTGAGTCGGCTTGCAGACCGCCTCCGCCGCGTCGAGATCTGTCTTGGCCGATGGGTAGCAATCGATCTCGGATAGATCCATTCTCCCCTTCCAGCTTGTTTTCGTTGCGACGCCATGCTCTCTCTTCTCACTCAGCCTGGTTCGTTTCAACTTTTCAGACTCATGATACAGGTGTATGAAGTCGTTAACATTTGAAATAATATCCCAGCTCTAGGCTAATGTTTCCAAATTCATGCTTCAACGAGGATGTGTACTACTCGACCATTCTCATGGAACCATCGGTCCCGAGTCCTGTCACACAAAACAGCGTCGCCGCTTTTAGTTCGTCAGACTTCTCCTTCATGTATTTGCAAACGCGCACATCGGAAAGCGGAGTGCCGTTATGACATATATTCTTTCCACCCACTGGAGAGTAACCTATCCCGCCCCATCCGTGAGGCTTTCACTCTCAACACCTTCGCTTACTCCGGAGTCTCGACCTTCCGTTCACCCCGCAACCCAATCTCTAAAGTTTGGCCCCTATGCCGCCGGTGTTGTACGGACACTTGGTCTGGATCACAGCAGTTTTCGCGCCCTACGATCGCATATCGAAATGAGTCCTCCCGACTCCGACGAGAATTTTTACACTCCTCCATATGTCGCCTTGTAAGCGATGTTACTCACCAGAAGCGCTCGCGATGGGCTGGTAAGCGCAGGGAAGGTAGCTATCCGTAGAAGTTCACGAGAATGGACTTCAGCAGCATCTCAAGGCCCAGGATCCTACTCCGCGGATGGACAAGGTGGCATTCATCCGACACCTCCGACTCTCGCCGGTCTCAGACCCTGTACTGTAGTGTGTTGGACTTGCAACACCAGCGACTCCCCCTATAGGCTCCTTACATCATGAAACCGATCACGGAAATGTCGCTCTGTCTCCCCACAACCACTGCTGCACTCCTATGATGCACCGGTCCAATCACCGGTGCTAGGAGCATACTGTGCCGCGATTATTGTGTCTCGGATTCCGAGCCATGGATCCCTTAGGTTCCCTACATCTCATACCTTCAGCATCTTACCGCGAGCACGAATCACCTTACAGACAGACTCCGACACGATGCTCCCCAACTCGCCGCACCGGGATAGTGCTATGCCCTTCGACCTTCTTGACGACAAAGATGTCACACGAAGCCACTCACACGGAATGCGCTTTCACCTGGGCAGACCGTAAGGGCCAAGTTCCTGTTCGAGTATCATCAAATTCTTAACTGCAGCGACGAATCATAATAAGAAGGTGCGGTTGGAGTGGGTGGCACACAAGCCAGGTCTGTGATACTATGAAGAGCACAGGAAGGGACTGCGGCGAGGGCAGGCTGAGAAGCGGATCGCTGGGCAGACGAGACTTTCTAGACCTTGACCTTTGCTGTAGCAATGCGTCTTGCCCTTGCAGTAGTCGCGATGTACTATAGCACAGTCTGTATAGCATAGTGCAAGCTTCTTGGAGTACGAAGCAATGGCGCAGCGTGAAGTCTTGATGATATGCAATGATTGGTGGTACGCTATCGATGCTAGTCGTTCAGCCTGACCCTGCATGCGATCTCATCATTGCTGTGCTCTGATGAACTCGCCTTTGTTGTGATTGAGCTGAATCATTGCATTCTTCTTAACTTTGAAAATCGCTGATAAGGACTCTTCTATACGATGGATAACACCGTGTTCTTGGACCGATTTGCTTTGACAGGGCCTCTAAATCGACCGACCCGTGGTAGTACGCACTTGAAACGTCCCGTGACCTGGTGCTGGATGCTTTCTAGCATTAACGAATACAAGGCTACCGTCGACGATCTGCTGTCTTTTTGTCCCTCCTTTTCAAGAGCTTGTTCTCGCAAGTCTTGTCCTACGGATGGGGTCAAGAAAGCAAACGATAGTATCTCATTGAATAGTTCACTATCTTCAATACAGTAGCTCATACAAAGTTCCTGTTGAAAAGCGGAGGCATCATCTTTTCTAGTCAGTCGTCATTGAGACGGGCTAGCACGGGCCAGTAAGGCGCACAGAGTATGACCGAAGGAACAGCAAGGCAATTTCAACGTACGTAAGTATATATTCTAACCACACCCCTCGTCCTCTGGCCTTCATCTGGACTCCAGACCGACTGTCTGCTTCAAATTTAAGCATAATCATGTACGGTTCCAGGCGATGCATCGCCGCCACTAGAACGACTCGCCTGCATCATTCCACACAAGGAATGGCGTGGAAGCGTAGGTAACTTTCTCTATATTTCTCTTTAATCATATGCGACCGTCCTAGTCATTATTTCTAGCAGTATCCTTACGGTTCTATATCCCTTCCATTGCTTTGTTTGCTGTGTTCCGCACGAGTCAAGATGCCTCATGAAGCAGTCCCGACTGAATCAAGTATCGGTTTCAGCCTCGTTGGCCGAGGCCTAACGCCAATACGAGCCACCTCGTACCACACCTTCCATGGTACTGATTTCTCAGCTGGAAGTACCGGTGACCCCAACTAACCACCGAAGCATCAAGAATCCCTTTAGGCGCCTAGCAGCTTACCTTTTGCGTTGACCGCGCGCCGCAAAGCTCTCCCACTGTTGACATCCGGCAACGTGTAATCTAGCCGCGCGGGAGATAGGCAGCACTTGGCTCCTAGCTGATTGAGGCTCTTCACCACTCAGGTCCGCGCGATCATTGTCTCCGAGTAGTTCCAAAGGCCTCTCATCCTCCTTACATCCGTATTCGGCTGCGTGTTGTGGCACTTAATCTGTTTTATTGCAGCGCAAGACTTGTATTTTCTCTCTATTTTTCCAGTCCTGCGGATATCGATGCCTGCGTTCTCCCTATTTGCATTATGAGCGTGTACAGAAGCCTCCAGACTCCAGTTCTATCTTGAGTGCAGTCTTCTTTTTCCGTCAATTTTACTCCTGTTGAAACAAGTACGAGTATCAACCCACAGGATGCGGACGAATCTCACCGAATGCGGCATACGATACATGTCAAACCCGGAGCTGTCGTGGATATATGGATACAATGGCACAACTCGAGGAATACCCCGGAACTTCTCGACACAAGCCACCTTTGAGGGATGTGAAGCTCTTTGCGGTCACGGCACTGACTTTTATCCGTGGGCAACGAGCTCAGCAACCATTACAACATGGATCCTGCCAGTAATCGGGATGATTCTGCAGGCTCCTTTCGAAAGCAATGCCTTCAGACGAACGATGCTAGCTATACTTCGATGGCTAGGATCTCCAATGAGCTCGCTTTCCTACATCCTATGGAATATAAAGGTTTCTGGCAAATGCGCGCTGATAGGTGAGTGTTAAAAGTTTAGAAGACTTTTGTAGAGTCTGAATACTAAGCTAAGCCAGTTGATATGTCAGTACCTTACGATAACTCGGTTCCCAACAAGGAAAGTGACTTTGCTCACATCCGGGACTCGTTCTACCTGCTCATGACGATGAACCAATACACTATGAACGACAGAGCATCGTCCCGGAAGTCATCCGAGGGTTTACTACGTATCGTGCTCTTCAGTAGAGATCTTCGCCTGCGAAATTCAAAATTGTCATTGAAGCAGACGCGTGAGAAGCTAGCAGAAGAACTAAGAGAAGGTCGAAAAAGAGGGGTAGTACCAGTCTTCGTCTCGACCATGTGGTTTCTCTTTGCCCTCGCAATTTCTATCCAAAGCGCCTTCGGTTTCCTAGGGGAGAACACAACTGCACATGATCTAGCACTGGGTTTCTTGCTCTCCTGGCTTCCAGTCCTGATTCTCGGCGGCATTGTCGATAGGAACCCCGTTGCCGCAGAAGACGTCCGACGGAAATTAAATAAGCTCGTTGACCATGTTCGAGAGTCACTTCTAAACGATGAACTTAGGAACGAGTTCATTAGATCGTTTGAAGGCCAAGCCGAGTTCCCGAGGTTGGAGGCCTGGGTGAAGGAAGTCTATGATGACTGCGAATACATGACAAAATTCTTCACCGCTTTCGCCGGCCAAGGAAGACTTCCATGGCATTATGGAGCAGCGTAAGTCTTCACTAGGAACTCGCCCTCCGTAATATATATTAACCATGCTTCCAGACACCCCATTCTTTCGGACATTGAACCTTATGTAGCCTCCAAGGGACGCAACTGGCTCGACAACGAAGAAGAGGCACGAACTAATCTCGTTCTCGGACTTGAAAATAGAGGCTTGATCTGGTTTGACTTCAGAGAGCTATGGCAAATATTGGCCTCAATTGGAATCGTAACTTTTACCATTGCCGGAGCCTTTGTTATATCGTTCTTTACCCCCACCGTCGGCTTGGGGTGTCGGAGTGGTGGGTATCTCATCTTTACCTGCATAAGCTTTGGACTCCTGGTTTGTGAGCTGCTCGTTTGGTGGGCCTCGTCCCCGCCACAACCTGAGGAGCCGCAGTTGACCAAGCTGCTGAGCCGAACACGTACACGTTTGGAAAGCAACGCGTCATTCGTGAGAGCCGGACGTACGTCGAAGAAGCTCTCGCACCGAACCTACCAAATGATATTGGCTACCCGCGATTTCATTGAATCGTGGATGGTGAGGATCGTCATTGGCTTAATCAATATCCTACCCCTACATAACAAAGAGGACCGCTGTCGACGGATTCGGGAATCCATAATAGGCCGCTTCGGTACCATCCATAACTACACGCTGAAGGAATGGACTCGATACTTCTTCTTCATACCCGTCGAGCTCGTGAACACGACCTGGCTCTGTTATATTGTATTCGCACAGACCTCTGGTTCATATCATAACTGCCGCTGCTCGACTTCCATGTGGGGAGGTGGCGGTGGATATATCGATTTCAAGCAGTCGATAGTCACAAATACTCCCTGGGTACATCTCTATTGGATCGGCGGAACAGTCCTTGGATGTACGACCATGGGTCTCTCCATGGTCTATATTGTCATAGAATGGTGCCTTCAGTCACATCTGAGCACGGAGAACTACTCCAAAGCCCAACGCGGGCTTCAAAGAACACGCCTATACCGCAGGATAACATTTCCCATTCGGATCGTCACACGCTATATTGGCGATACTACGTTCGACGCCTTCTGTTGGCTATGCGCAAAGCTGAACGTCAAATATAAACACGAGCGGTTTTTGTTATGGACCTACAAGACGACTTACTGGTACCGTCCTCCTTACTCCGGAGCTAGGAACTCACCACGGCCTCCCAACGACTACCAATCACAACCAGGCCCACGCCCATCCACAGACGCCAGCGCCCCTTTCCTAGGATCGCCGTTCGCTCAAACGACTAGTCCTACTATCACTCGATCGCATGAACTTCAACCTTACATGTATGGCAGCCCTGATCCAGGTATAGGACCGTCCAGCCCGCCTACTCAGTATCGCCGCAAGAGTAGTGAAATCTCGGTGCAGCAACACTCACAGTCTTTCCCGAGGTTCTCTACAGAAATGCGCGAACGGGCGACTAGCGACTCGTCCCAAGTACCGCTCATTCAAACGCCGAAAGAGGCACAGGGCTCATTTATTATTCCCCGGAAGCCTTCTGGGGGTTTGAGCGTAGGCCTGGGTATATCAACGCCCGTATCTCAATCTCCAACACGGCCTAGTATGGATAGTGCAATCAGTGCAATTAGTCCAACCGAAAAACGGGGGAGGAGATCAGAGGAGTATTTGTCGCCGACAGATATTCAAAGGAGACCTTCATCCGAAGAACTTTTACAGCCTCCACTGCATCGTCCAACTTACGCTCGTCAGACAACGGATGAGAGATCGGGCCGAGGGAGTAGTGAAGAGAGGGAACGGACTCGCAGGGGAGTTACGTGGGCACCCGAGGAGAGAGAGACTAGGAATTTTCTACCGTCGCAGGGACCGCGTTATTCTTAACGTGGAAGGACTACTTTCAAAGGTTGATTCCGTTTTCATTTCTCACATTTTGGAGGAGGTATGGAACTGCGTTGGATATAATGGTGATGTCGGCCGTCTAATCTGGATCTCGGGCTTACAATTTTCTCTTGCTGTACTCATCAATACTTATATGACAAGAACTCGAACTGTCCGCTCAAGCACCGTCTGTAATGCTCTAGCAGTCCTTTAGCAATCAAAACAAGATGTAAAAAGCCTCGGCATGTAGATCAAGTACATATCCAAGTTGTTCTGATATTCGCCGTCTGCTGTGCTCTAACAGGCCTGTAGCAATCAGAATAAGATGTAAAACACTTGACCATGTGAAGCTGGCACTAGATTGAACTGTTCTGATATTGCTCTCAAAATGATGGGGATGATGCATGTGCTCTTGATGCTGATGCATCGAACTGCTATTTTGTCATCGTTATAGTGCTCTCTGGAGTATCCTACCAATTCTGAAAGAATCAAGGCAAGAAGTAAATATCTGCACTGTAGTCCAGACCCCTAGCCAATGTAATCGGTATGCGTCTTTAAATCTGAAAGCAGTGGTCTTAGTAACACAGTCACGTGAGCTTCACGGCCCTGACGAAACGCCGACACTTGGCACTTGCTCCCGTCCCATTGTCTCTCCATTCCACAACGACCATTCGCTGTGAGCATGCTTCTTTTCGCGCACCCATTATGATGAACCCGACCGTCACCAGACTATGGATCACTGGGGCGACCCTTGGGCCGACGATGCCGGAACGAAGACGCCCCCAAAAGAGTTGGAGGTGAAGAAACCGATTATAGCGCCCGCGGTACTCCAGGGGTTTGAGGACGAAGCACAATGGGGAAGTCCCGTGGATGAAGATGGGTTTGGGGACTGGGCTGAGTTTTCTGCGCCAATTGGATATCAGGAAGCTCAGGCTGATGATGAAGAGGAAGAGCGGTTGGAAGAGCTCGAAACGACATCCACGCCTCCTTCGTTAGCCACCTCAAGCGAACAACATGAGACGCATACACATTCTCCAGGATCGCAATCGCCTACGGTTCAGATCGAGAACGCGCATAAGCAAGACACATTAGGCGTCCGTGACGATGCGTGGAGGATTGACTCCACTCCGGAGTTGAACACGGCGGGTCATGGGCCATGGGGTGATGTACAAAAGGGGGAACATCTTGGGGGAGATCCAGGTGGCGTAGAAGCCGAACCCTCGGACTCTGGAACTACTATACACCCAGATAACGCCGACGATGAACGGACAGAAATCGAGCCCGGGACTTCGGATGATGACGCGTCTACCCGCCCCTCTACCTCTCCTTCGGATGCCAGCCAGCCTGAAGTACCTCATGAATCTCCACGCACGTCCTTCGAGGAGGAGGGGACACTGGTAGAAGGACCCGAAGAGTCGAGGGATAATGGAAAGGAAGAGTCCCCGGCATTGGCCAAGATACCGGAGGATGATGTTAGCGATGTTACACAGAATGCGGACTTGGTTGCGGAGATCGAAGACGACGACGACTTTGGAGATTTTGAAGGAGATGAGAGTGGCGAGGACGAGGACGAGGGAGAGGGCGAGGGCGAGGAAGGAGGCCGAGAAAGCGAAGAGATACGGACTGCGGTCTCTCCCGTGGTGTCTAGTTTCCCAGAGTCAAATGAGTTCACAGAAGAACGAAAGGAAAACCTAGAAGTGCACAGAGGTTCATTGGAAGTCCTCAAAGGTCCGGGATCTTGCGATAGCATTACCATAGCTTCCTTCCAACCGGACTTGTCCCTGATCGATCAGTTGTACCCTTCTCCACCTCCATTCACACCAAAAGGAGACACTCCGGAGGACACGATATCCTCTACGTCTACCCGCAAGGCTTGGTATCGGCTTACCCGAGAGCAGACTATGAGGGAGTTCAACAGCGGAACTGATGACGATAGTTATGTTCGTGTGTCGTGGATTGGCTCGGCGATTCGGACAGAGGTCAACAAGATAGTGGGTCGGTGGAGCGCAGAAGACCGAATTGCAGGAAGGCCTGTTCTTGGAGGCAGATCTGCGGGTGCTATGTTCTTCTGGGATCAGCCAACCCATGCAACGGAACCAACTATTGGGACTACCTCTCGACATGCTCGTCACAGATCTTCATTATCATCAAACATGAACGCCGCATCGCCTACACTATCGAACAAATCAACAGATGCTCCATTGTCGCCCAAGAGCCCGACTGCGCAATTCAACTGGAGCTCTTCACCTCGCTCTCAACAGTTCCCATCAACGTCTATGTCAGGCGAAGCTGCTAGAGCGCCCCGCCCAAGCGTAGAGGAGTTGGCTCGCAATGCGGTAGGGCAGCTCAAAATGGGGAAAACTAACACATCTCCTACATCGACTGATGCGCCCCGGCCTAAACCGATAGCGAAAGTAAAAGCTAGCTCATCGAGGCCTTTGTCGATGGACATCACGAGAGGAATTCCATCACACCCGACTCACAAAAGGGCCTCTCAGAGCACAACAATACCCGCTCAATTCGTTAACACCTCTATGCCATCTCGGGCACAGCCGACTACGGGCCAACTAGAGAAATCGCCGCCATTCTTTATACCAGAGTGGAAACCTTCAGAGGAGGAATCTGCTTCCATTACAAGTATCCCTACGCCGATAGCGGAGCATTCCAAGCTTTTAAGTGCTGCAGCGTCAAATTCGATGATGGATATGGACCCTTGGGCAGGTCTGACCCGCTTAGATACCCGTTCCAAAGCACCTGCTGCTCTACAGAACCCACCACGGGATGAAGACGATGACTGGGGCGAGATGGTCCAGTCACCCATAACTCCAGCCGCTACTCCAATATTGCCACAAGCCCAGATCAAACCAGGGCCGCCCCAACAAGATCCCTCTCGTCGCTATGCGCCATCTATAGTTCGACTCATGACGCCTATATCACCAACAACTTCTTCGGGGCCTACACTTGCAAACCTTTATGGCCCTATCGTAAAGCTATCTAGTGTTTCAAGGACTCCATCGACGGATAGTCTAAATGCAAAGGCAAGGACAACACCCCCACCTTTGCCTTCCTCAAGCGTACCAACACTTGAATCACAATCAGGCCTAGGAGATGCCGATTTCTCCGGCTTTGAGTCATCTCTCCCGCAAAAAGTTGATCCCCCCTCTTCGATCCCAGCCAAGAAGCATGTACGCATAGCTTCGCCTCCTGTGGCCACAGTTACAGAGCCGAACCCTCTGGCAACAGCCGACTTCTCGATATTGGACTCCCCGGCTCTACCTACAGCCTCATCATCTTCATCCGCCTCGGCCAAGAGTCACGTGCGCGTGTCATCGTCTTCATTCTCGGCTCCGGTCGCATCAGACCCCCTCGCGGCTGCTGACTTTTCCATTCTCGAATCACCCTCCTCCTTCGTACCAACGCCACCACAAGCTGTATCGATGGCGCCGACACCAAAACACAGCCGTGCTTCATCGGTGACCTCCCACCCATCTCTATTATCCACAAAGCAAAAGGAAGCCGAAGAAGCGGAGACTTTGCGAAAGATCATAAGAGGGTTACCGGACCTTAGCTATATGCTTCGTTAGACGCGTTACGTATTTTTTGGGCATTTTCACAGCGATTTGTACGGGGGAGGGATATTGGCACACCCTCTAATCACTCCACGCACACCCTATCGCTTCACCGCCTTCTAATTGGCTCGGAGGGGCCGGAGCTTCCTCCGGGTATTCACCTCTACGTCTTTCTGCACGTGATGCTATACGCGAGGCCGTATGTAAGCTTATACGTGAGCTTGTACGTGAGGCTATACATAAGGCTATACAAATCGGAAGGCTATATAGCCATATATATAGCATTATGTACAGTATCGCTCGCGGCATTATATACAGCATCACTCACGGCATCACGTATAGCTATACGCGCAGTGCCCATGTGTCTAGGAAGATGCTGAAACTAATAGAGGCTCCTTTCCATCAAGCCTGGCTTGCCTGCATTGCCGCCTGCATTGCCGCTTGCGCTCGCTCGTTCACTTCCAAGAGGAGCACGAGCGGAAGCTCCGAAGAGTCGGCCCAGCCGCTCCAGCCAATTAGAAGGCGGTGAAGTGACAGGGTGTGCGTGGAGTGATTAGGGGGTGTGCCAATATACCTCCCCTTTGTACGTATGTAAATTTATTTTCATGATTGGACCCCCCAGGTGTATCCCACATTACCATACACGTCCGCAGCCGCAACATCCAACATGTGAGACTCGTAATGAACAACAGTGTTACGATTCTTGACCGTCCTTGAAGAAAACGTCTCTCATCTGATGTACACCGTCTCTGTGGGAGCGTCAGCCTCCCCATCCATGATTCCATGCACATAGCAAGACCCGACCAGCTCGTAGCAGCTGGGCCCCTCCTTCTGTTTTATCGCTCGAAGTACGAAAGGCGTATACCCTCCAGAAAGGACCCAGACCGGATCCCCAACGGTGGTATCTCCCGGCCCAAACCCTATAAATCCCATCTGGGTCTTGAAAAGCCGGCGCTGTTGAATATTTGCAACTATCGTGGACCAAATATCGCGGACACGGACTTGCTTTCCGTTCGACGACTCCCAGAGGATAGTGGGATCTTGGGGGCCCGTCTTCTTCAGTGCTTTGAAGGTCGTTTCCCAGACATGAGTGGTTGAGAGCGTCGAGAGAGCTTGACTCTCGTGGCGTGCAAGTCGCCGAGAGTCGGTGCCGTCGAGGATGGCATCGCCGCAGACACCGCGCCACCAGGCTGCGGGCAAGGCAGTGCCGTTGGGATACAACATTTCGGAACCACGAGAGCCCATGCCCAAGCCAACGGTTGTGAGCCATTCAGCAAGGGTCTGCATGTAGCAGTCTTCGTCTGCAGTAACGTCCATGATGCCGCAGACGGTCGACACCGCGTCGAACGCTCTGCCCGTGGCTCGGAGAAGGTTCCCGTCTGCGAGTATGGCGGCATCGTAGGACCACGCTGTCTCGTAGCGCTTGACTAGATCCACCCGTAAATGGTGGTAGTTTTCTTTGTGTATCGGGTCCTCCCAGTCGATGGCCCAGGATGGGAGATCAGACTCGACGTCTCTTCTTCGCCCAGAGATGTAAGATAGGTAATATAAGCGTTTTTTGGCATTGATGAAGTCTGCGCAGACCTGTGTGTACACTGTAGAGACCGGTAGACTGTAGTCTGGCAGCATTGGCTCGCCTCCAAGCCAGTCGCTCGCCAGGCCGAGCATTGCGTACACTCGGTCCACGCCATTCGTGGCGGATCTGTCAGAGTAGTAGTCGCACAAGTCCAGTAAGCTCCATTTCCGTTCGCGCAATCGTTTCTTCAAATCCGCGAGGATGTCAAATGCATAGATGGAGAGGCGGAGAAGCGATAAATCGTTTTCCCAAGCCTGGCAACAGCCTGCTGACTCATGCGCTCCGCTATTTTCTCGTGCGGCGACAAAGGCCTCGAAAGGCATCCTGATGGTTGCAAAGAGTACCGACGTGGCCTTGGGCAGAGTGTATTCTTGAATGACCCAGACACGAGTGAACCACGGATTCCGTTCAACGAAACGCATCGCCTCTCGGAAACGACGGAGATATGGGCTGTCTGATATTTGTCTCGAGCAGTATGGTGGGAGATTTACCAAATGGTGGTTACCAGCCAGTAACATGACAATCCACGCCAAATGAAAAGCGTAATCGACGTCCGACTCGGATTTGAGCGACGCTCGTGACCAATCGAGCACGCCCTCTGTATCTGGTACATCGAAGTCGGCGCAGTACTGCTTCATGTTGTTGTCGAGCTCCGCCAACTTGTCCGCCTTAAATTCAAAGCATTTGCTTTTGTTCACCGTTGCTATGTGAGCGCTCTCACGTCTTCCCTTCCGTTCTTCAAACTCGCCCAACCAAATCAGTACCTCCTTACAGTTCTTGTATATCTGCGCCATCATTCCAACTTGGTGCGTCTTCTCGCTCGAGTTTGACTGGTCAATGCAAATGGCATCTATCCAGATCCGCGATTCTTCGACGATTCCATGTGCTCTTATCCGCCGCAGCGCGTACCAGAGATTCCGAGTAACGAGACATTGAGACCCATTCAAGGTAATTGAAATAGTGTCCTTGACGTCGCCCCAAACGTACGACAACGTGTAGTATGTTGGATTCTCCGTGAAAGATGCGGTTTCAGCCTCACACGTGATTGGATCAGTCCAGTCGCCGGGTAGAAGACGTAGTAGACGGAATTGCTGGGCGGTATAGTCGATGGTGGATCCAGAGTATCCAGTATCACCCATGTTGGTGGCAGTTGATCGCGGAGCCTTTAAGGATAATGCAGGTTGAAATTGAAGGTTATGTAGCGCTGGCTACTCACACAGCCACGATTTGCTGCAAGCCTTCCGACGCCACAGACGGCTGAAGATTTCAAGCCTAGACGTGTCCCCAGTGGTGTTTTTATACTTCTGCAGTCCTGTTATGATATATTCTCGCGGAGAAGTAAGAAGTTAAGGCACATCCCAAGTTTGTGACTATTATATTGCGTATTTGTAGAGATATATTGTATTCGACTTAATTGCACGTATCTACAGCCTCGCTTTGGGTTTGTGATTCTTTGCGTCTCGCGTGGCCCAATCACGAAGCACTTTCCTCTGAATCTTACCGCTTGGAGACTTCGGAACTTCTGGGATGAAGACTACACCACCAGATAAGTGTTTGTGCTTCGCAACACGAGCGGCCATCCACCGTTCGATGTCCCACTCCGTTGATTTGCCATTGTGCTCATCCTTGATGACACAATACGCGCGAGGAAGCTCTTCGTGTTCGCTAGTAGTTATTAGCAACATGGACATGAAGACCAAGGAATGGGAAAACGAGGCGGTGATGCAAACAAAACTTACAACTGAAGTGCCACGACCGCCGCATCGGCAACATGGTCATGCTCTAGAAGCAGCGCTTCCAGCTCAGCCGGCGCGACTTGGAAGCCACTGACTTTGATGAGTTCTTTCTTCCGATCCACGATCCAGTACCACCCTTTGTGGTCTCTGATGGCAACATCACCGGTCCTCAAGAAACCGTCTTCATCAAATGTCTCGCGCGTCGCCTTCTCGTTCCTCCAGTAGCCAAGGCACACATTGGGACCCTTCACATGAACCTCGCCTCGCTCACCAATGCCCACCTCTTTGCCATCTTCATCAATGAGCTTCATCATGGCGTTCGGATCTATGTAGCCAACTGAACCACTGCGGTCGTCAAGACCTCCGGGTACGTGTAACGACGAGCACGTGACCTCAGTCATTCCCCATGTCTGAACAACTTTCAGTTTGAATCGGTCCGAAACGTCATTCTGGAGTTCCTTTGATAGTGGCGCAGCGCCGCATAGGATATTTTTGAGAGAGCTTAGGTCGTACTTGGAGGTTTCTGGTCGTTTTGCGAGCATGACTAGTACCGGAGGTGCCGTTTGGATGTGGGTAACTTTGTGATTTTGGATGTGTTCGAGGAACTTCGTGTAAGAGAATTGACGCATGAAAAAACAAGGCGTTAACAACCTACAGGCTGCAACAATCGACCATAGCTGACCATATGCGTGATAAAGAGGCAGGAATCCGAGCCAGCGCTCTTCAGGTCGATTTGACGGGTGGTAGGGCTGCTCCAGGTCGCGCATATAGATGCTTTGTTCCACGTTGGCTATGACGTTTTGATGGCTTATCATCACACCTTTGGGTAATCCAGTGGTTCCAGAGGAGTAATTGAGTGCGGCTACCGTAGACTGCGATTGCTCCTTGCTCAGTCGCTTCCGTTGCCATTTCTCCGCCGCTTCAACTGACCCGACCAGAGTCCGCCAATCGCGAATGCCGTTCGTAGTTTGGGCTGATTTGTCTGAGAATAGGTATATCTTATCTTGTGGAAAGCTCGTTTTCGTGGATGCTTTGAGGACTGTTGAGAGGAGGCTGGGTTCGACGAGGATAGCTTTGCAGCCAGTATTCTGTATCTGGAAGACGGTTTCTGCTTGGACGTTAGAACTCATGTTGCAATCGAGCAATCTTGAGGACTCACCGTCGATTGTGTAGGCCGGATTGGTACCGCTGAATATGAATCCACTGCCTGATATGCCTAGATAGGCAACGGGGACAAAGATGTGATTGTGCGAGTAGACCATTACTACGTCCCCCTCTTGCAGTCCCAATCCATGCAAGCCCAGGCCCAGCCTTTTCGCCCATTGTAGCAGTTGTCTTGGTGACAGCGAGTGCTCCGTCTCCACCGCGTCAATCCATATTGGCTTGTCAGACGGCGTTGTGCCCGGAGGAAAGAGGTATGAAAGGACGTCGGTGGCGGGAATGTCAATCTGGAAGGGTGACTTCTCGGGCATGATGGCGTCGGAGTGGGACTGTGGGAGACTCAATGCACGGCATGAAGCTGAGGGCGACACGCATCGCTTTTGAGCGTCGCGTCTTCATGTTGGCGGGGTCTCGACGACGTCAATCGGGATCTCGCACAAGGAGCTGCCTCGGATGGCTGCAACATGTGGGGGAGAGCTTGGGCCAGCGCTTGCAATTCCGGAATTTGTCACCTCCAAAACATCGTCGCTTATCCTTTTTGGGCCTCTTTGGGGGGTATCGAGAGCGACTCCTGGCTGTTTTGATAGTAATTTAGCCAATCCGGTGGCATAAAATATCCCGATAGATCCTCGGCCTCATTTAAAACGAAACCCGAGCAATGTTCAAGCTCGGATAGTTATGTTCATCTCACCCATAGCTCCAATAGCAACACTGATTCCTGGAAATGTGCAAATCAGCTCATATTCGAAGCTGTCATTCGTCGTAGGTGCGGATTTCGAAGTCCTTCCCATATTTTGGTCTAAGATGAAGTTCATGCTCCATTACTGCCAGAGTGGGGAACAATCAACTTAAGTTGATAGATTGATTGATTTGATTTGGTTCAACCAAATCAATCAATCAATCCGAAGAGGTGGATTTTATCAATCAAATCAACTTCAAGGCATCAAATTGATTGATTTGATTGGTTTGATTGATTCCTATTTGCGGAGCGTAGATAGAGTATCCTATAGAGAGCCCACCTAGCAGAAGTGCTTACTAAGCAGTCTCCTAACCCTGATTTTCATCCTAACTCACATCAACGCGTCCAACACCATACCACCTCTGTACAATATCGCACCCAGCAATGAATCAGAACCTTCAGAACGTACAGCAGGAAGTTATCGCACGCGCAAATCGAAAGAAACCTCCCCGTAAGGTTAATTCTATGCGCGCCGAAGTCAACACGAATGAACACGTCGAAACACCTGCCACGAACGACGACGA